TGAAGAAAGGAGTGCGGTTTCAATGGAACGAACCCGCAGAGACTGCGTTCGTAACGCTGAAGAAGGCGTTCACGCAGGCGCCTATACTGGCGCATTTCCAGGAAGATGCAGAGGTAACGTTAGAAACGGATGCCTCGGCCGGAGCGATTGGAGCAGTGATGTCGCAGAGAGGTTCGGACGGAAAACTCCGACCAGTAGCGTTCATGTCAAAGTCGTTAACTCCCGCAGAGCGGAACTACGACGTTCACGACAGAGAGATGCTGGCCATCGTCTACGCCTGCAAGATATGGCGACACTACCTGGAGGGACCTCACCCTATTCGGATCTTTACCGATCACAAGAACCTCGAGTATTTCCGAACGGAGAAGTTACTGTCGAGGCGACAAGCAAGATGGTCCCAGCTGTTGAACAGTCTGAGCTACACCCTGGAGTACAAGCCGGGGGTGATGAACGGTAAGGCCGACGCCTTGAGTCGGAAAGAGGAGCTCCTAGAAGAGAGCGAACCAAGACAGACCGAGACGATGCTACGGCCCATGAATCTCTCGGCTACAGCGCGGGAGATTCCTCCGCATCTACAGATCAACGGTACCCTGCCAATTCCCGGCGAGGACCTCCGGAGAGACCTGTTGCAAGGTTACGAGGCGGACGAAGTAGTCAAGGCCATCTTGGAGAAGATGGAGAGGGAGCCCAACGAGCAGGGTCCCTACAAGAAGGATGGCGAGGGGTTCCTAATCTACAAGGGACTCCTGTACGTCCCTGATGTGGAGTCGGTAAGGGTCCGACTGATGAAGTACGTTCACGACGGCAAGCTCGCGGGGCACTACGGGCGAGACAAAACGGAGGACCTCCTCTCGAGAGACTTTTATTGGCCCCGAATGAGAGACTGGGTAGGCAACTACGTGGCCTCGTGCTTGACGTGCCAGAAGAACCGCCGTCCCCGACAAAAGCCGATCGGAGAATTGGCCCCTCTACCTGCGGCGAGGAAGCCGTGGTCGTCTATCACTTGGGACCACATCACGGACCTCCCCGAGTCATTGGGCCAGGATGCAATCCTGGTAATCGTCGACCGCTTCAGTAAGCGGGCACACTTCATCCCGTGTCGAAAGGATAACAACGCCTCGTACCTGGCGAAGTTATTCTTCTCCCACTACGTCAAGTTGCACGGGTTCCCTGATCAGATCATCTCGGACAGAGGAACATTGTTCATGTCTAGCTTCTGGCGGGATGTGTGTGCTTTTGCGGGTGTCGAGAGGAGGTTCTCGACGGCATACCACCCGGAGACTGACGGACAAACGGAGAGGAGCAACTCGACATTGGAACAGTACCTGCGGAGTTACGTGAACTTCCAGCAGGATGATTGGGCGGAGTTGTTGCCTCTGGCGGAGTTCGCCTACAACAACTCCAAGCATTCCGCCATAGGGATGTCGCCTTTCATGGCCTCCGAGGGGACTGACCACAAGTTCACCATCCGGATGGCCGAAGTGCCCAATGAAAGCGCGGATGAGTTCAGGGAGCGACTCTCGAACATCCACGAGTCGGTACTCCGGGCGTTGGAGCAAGCAAGGGTAGATATGGCGAAATACGCCAACAGAAAGAGGCGACCCGTTCCCGACGAGGGAATGGAGGTCGGGGATCAAGTGATGTTGTCTACGGACCACATCAAGACGGTTCGTCCAAACAAGAAGTTGGACTACAAGACCCTCGGACCTTTCAAGATCACCGAGGTCGTGGGAGATGCGAAGATGGCGCGAAGGTTGGAGCTTCCCGAGCAACTGCGGCGGGTACACCCCGTGTTCCATGTCTCGATGTTGATTCCGTACAAGCGGAATGAGCTGCCCTCGCGGGAACAGGTCCCGCCTCCTCCCCCAGAGGTGGTGGATAACGGTGACACCCAGTGGGTAGTATCTGAGATCGTAGATTCGCGGAGCAGGAAGCGGGGACGTCAGACGCGTACCCAATATCTGGTGCGGTGGGAAGGTTACGAGGATGAGTATAACGAGTGGGTACATCCGGAGGACTTCCACCATGACGACCAAGCGGTGCTGGATTATCATCGACGATACCCAAACAAGCCGAAACCTGCTTTCGAGGAGTACGGCGATGCCTAGGGCGTTCGGAGCTCGCCCGTAACGGGGGGATCCTGTTATAGCGACGCGCGCGTACGCCGGACTCGAGTCGTACCAACTCCGGCGGAGTTGTTCAAGGAGCATATCGTATTGTACCACTTTGTATCAGCATTGTAGTATATAGTCTTTCATCTGCTATTACATCTATATACCCTAGTCCTACGTTCTACATTACTCCCGGATATGTCCTCGCAGGTATACATCGAGCCGGTCTTCCCTGGAGCCTTCTCGACGCCTAACACTTGCCGCCTCGACAGTAACTTCTCCGTTCGGAAGTACTCGAGGTTCTTGTGATCGGTAAAGATCCGAATAGGGTGAGGTCCCTCCAGGTAGTGTCGCCATATCTTGCAGGCGTAGACGATGGCCAGCATCTCTCTGTCGTGAACGTCGTAGTTCCGCTCTGCGGGAGTTAACGATTTTGACATGAACGCTACTGGTCGGAGTTTTCCGTCCGAACCTCTCTGCGACATCACTGCTCCAATCGCTCCGGCCGAGGCATCCGTTTCCAACGTTACCTCTGCATCTTCCTGGAAATGCGCCAGTATAGGCGCCTGCGTGAACGCCTTCTTCAGCGTTACGAACGCAGTCTCTGCGGATTCGTTCCATTGAAACCGCACTCCTTTCTTCAGGAGCTTTGTCATCCCCTGTATCTTCTGGGAGTAGTTCGTGATGAACCTCCGATAGTAGTTGGCGAAACCTAGGAACGACTGTAGTCCCTTCAGGTTTCGAGGCGCCGCCCATTGTTCTATGGACGACACCTTGGAGGGGTTCATCTTTACCCCTCCCGGAGACACGTCGTATCCAAGGAACTCCGTGTCTGTTGTGTGGAACTCACACTTCTCTGCTTTGGCGTACAGCCCATTTTCTTGTAGCCTTCGCAGCACCTCCTTCACGTGTCTCTCGTGCGTAGTCTCGTCGGGAGAGAACACGAGGATGTCGTCCAGGTACACTACGACGGACTCGTCCAGAAGGTCCCTGAACACATGGTTCATCCACCTTTGGAACGTCGCCGGAGCGTTCGTCAACCCGAACGGCATCACCAGACACTCAAACAGTCCGTATCTAGTACGGAAAGCTGTCTTCCATTCGTCCCCTTCCTTTACTCGTAACAAGTTGTACGCTCCTCGGAGGTCCAACTTGGTATAGACCTTTGCTGTCGTTAACTTATCGAGCGTCTCGGAAATCAGCGGTAACGGGGTCCGATCCTTTGTGGTAATGGCGTTCAAACGCCGATAGTCAATACAGAGCCTGAGCTCTCCTCCCTTCTTCGGGACAAACAATACGGGACTTGCGGCGGGTGACGTCGAAGCCCTGATAAAACCTTTATCAAGGTTCTCCTTGATCCAGCGCTTCAATTCGGCGCTCTCCTTTTCGGAGTGGTTGTAGAGTTTTCCGAAGGGGGGTACTTTCCCTTCCTCTACGTCGATCGAGTGATCGAAGTCTCTATGTGCCGGCAACTCGTCGGCCTTGGTCTTGGAGAACGCTCCGAGGAAAGCGTGATACTTCTCCGGTACCACCTTCCGTAACGTCTCCATATATTCGGGAGGGTCCAGGTCTCCCGGGAAACTCTCCGCTGGCTTGTCGTCCCAGTCCCATAAGTCGGGACGCCTCACTCTCTCTTCTTCTTCATCATTGGCCTTGAGGTAGGCCACTACTAGTTCTTCGGTGACCCCTCCTTTGATTCGGTCCGTCGAACGTAACTCCTTCTCCTCCGCTTCGTAATCCACGGGGGAGTATACTATTTCTTTTGCTGGTGTACATCCGTTCTGGACGCACTTATCTTCGAACGCTACTGCGCTCATTTCCCAGTCAATTCGGGGGTTGTGCTCCTTCAACCATGGTAGGCCGAGCACCGTTGTGAAAGTTCCGAGGCTACATACGTAGAAGTACGCCGTTTCGGTATGTCTACCGATACGTAGTCTAGCTTGTACCCGGTGTGTAACTGCACCGGAAGAGATCTCTCTCCCATCAATGACCAGGAGTGGTCGGGGTCGTTCTAAAGGAATGAGGTCGAATCCGTGTTGCTCGACGAATTCGGTGTCTATAAACAAACTGGTCGCTCCTGAGTCGATCATCAAGACCGTCTCCGTCGGAGTACCATTCGGGTAGAAGGTGCCGGTGACCGTAATATGAGCCTCCGGCCGAGAGGGAGAACCTATGCTGCTCAGCACCAACGGTTCTCCAGTTGCTACGTTCAAGTCATTACCCGGGGAACTCGGATGATCTGTTATTCTGTTAGGCGTCGAGAAGGCTCCAGGGAAGACCGGCTCGATGTATACCTGCGAGGACATATCCGGGAGTAATGTAGAACGTAGGGCTAGGGTATATAGATGTAATAACAGATGAAAGACTATATACTACAATGCTGATACAAAGTGGTACAATACGATATGCTCCTTGAACAACTCCGCCGGAGTTGGTACGACTCGAGTCCGGCGTACGCGCGCGTCGCTATAACACTGGGCTGGAGCAGCGATGGGAGTAGGGGGAGTCGCTGTGAGGGCCTGGAGAACAGCCTGAAGGTTGGCAATGATATCGGCAGTGTTGTTCATGACGGCTAGTGGCTAGTAGCTAGTACAAGTAAGGATAAGGTAGGCTAAGTGGACGTTAGGCTTGTTAGGCTAATCGAGGGGGATGAAATGAGAATATGAAAGATAATCTTGATAGTGAACTCAGATTATGATCCCTTTTTGGGAGCTTTTGCTCAAAGGAGAGGGTATAGATCGATGTCGCGCGCACCTAGATTTGCGAAATCAATAACAAATCGGTCGATTTTTGATATTGCGGAGATTCAGTCGCTTGGAACAAACGGCCCGGTATAGTTGTCGTTCAGGAACGAAGACCATTCTTTTGAGCGAGCCACCTCGGTATGACTCTATCTATCCTTCTCGATACAGGACATCTGTACTTGATTTCAACCTAACTCATCTTATCACTTTCGCCCAATCCATATAGCTCCGGACAAGACACCCTCGACATTACCATGATGCCGCGTTGAGACCAGGCTCGACAATTCAAGGCGGCTCACTCACGAAACCCTTCGACGACTTTTTTCCTTCTTCTTTGAACCTTCGATTTCTTTCCTCTTAAACCTTTTACGGTGACGATGGACTCGCCATTATCACCTCAACGAAGTCTCCCGGACTCTCCATCTTCGAGACCGGGACAGATAAGCAAGGCGGCGTTCTTCCGAGCAAAGTCTCCGGCAAATGAAGCTGCCCACGATAGGCGAGTAGATGCCCTAAAGACCTCGGGGTGGGCCTTTCCGCCCGAGTCACAAAGCTCCCCGGAACCCAGCGATGAGTCTCATTCGGATCGCCGGCCTTCTGCTCATTCGATATCACCCTCTCATGGGGCTACGCTCGGTCACTCGCCTCAGATGCCTCAGATGCCGAGCGATGGTCGGCCTGGGCCAGTAACGCTTGACCGTGCGGCCTCTCAACGTTCTTTTTATGAAACTCCACAGCCTGGTAGGACCGATCCTGCAGGTATACAAGGGCTTCCCTCGCCGAATGGAGCTGTAGGAGGACCCTCTCGTGTAGGCAGTCGAACAGGGCAGAGCGGTCATCGACGAACAACGTCGAGAGCCGCTCAGTTACCTCAACCGCCTTCTGCAACGTCTGATGCGGGCTTCCATCGAGATCCCAACGAGCTGCTGATGACCCTGCTAGCAGGGCAAGCGGCGATGGACTGTCAGGGCATGCCAGTTTACCGATGGGAAGAGGTCGAGGAGTGGAAGAAGGAGCTGAACATGTTGAGCTCCCGGCTAGCGAGCCAAGTCGCCAAGCATCAGAGAGAGCAAAAGATCTTGACGGCGGCTAAGACGCTGGCGAAGTTGAACGTCGGAAACAAGAGAATGTCAAAGCAGACGGTAGAGAGTGTCGAAGTGGCAGAGCAGAAAGCCGCTGACGCTGAAAAGGTAAGTCTTGGTGCTCGAAGCTGAAAAAGGTGACTCGAGTTGAGGAAAACGTTTCCAAACAGGAAATGATGGTTTTGCGGGATCGAGAGTCAGGCCTTCGCCGCAGACTGATGGAGCATTGGGCGGGTGTGATGGCATGGGAAGTTCGACGTCTGGAATTTGTCGTGAAATCAGCAGAGGGTCGGGCAATGCAAGCGGCTCAGGAGGTGGAAGAGCTGGCAGGGCTCAGGGATGTTGCCAGACAGGCGGAGATCCTAGAGAGCAAGCTGGACAACGCGCAACAGCAGCTTGAAAATGGGAGCAAGAGGATTCGGGAACACGAGGAAGAAGCCCGTATGCTCAAAATTGAGCTCAATGCCCGTGATGCGAAAATCTCGGATCTTGAGGGGGCATTGGCGGACCTAGAAGAAGAGGTCAAGATGAAGCGAAAAGAGGGTGCTGTGCTCGAAGCCGAGATCGGCCAACAGCGGAGAAGAGGGGAAGAGCTGGAAAAGATGCTCAACGGGATGGATACGGAAGCTGGCAGCCGAGTGAAAGAACTGGAGAGCGAACTTGTCCACGCGAAAGAAGAACGGGATCGCTGGGCGGAGGAGAAGGTGAAATTAAAGGAGTCTGCCGAGGACGGGAAGATGAAGGCGAACATGTGGGAGACCGCCAAGATTAGTGCGGCACAAGCTTTGGGTGTCGCACAGGTCGAGAACGTCATAGATATCTCCGACGGTATCAAGAAATTGATGAACACCGTCAAAGACCGTGATGAGGAACTCAAAGTCCTGAAGGAGGAAATGCGGGAAATCAGCCTAGGGTTCGAGGATGAGATGGCTAGACTGGCTAAAGAACGGGATGGTTTCAGAGCCAAGGTCGACGAGATGGGTGGGCGTTCTTTGGATGAGGAGACTGTGCGCGTCAAACAGACCGAACAGCTGGAGACCAAGATAAGAGTGAGCACTAGTAACGAAACCCATTCGAAATAGCAATTGAAGATCGTTTTCTCTGCTGTTGTCAGTCCCAGACGGATAGGCTGATGATTCTGGAGAACGAAAACTCGAGCCTTAGAAAGGCTTTGAACGAGACCGAGACCGCTTTACAACGGCAAAAGACAGCCACCCCTGTGATTACCGCTTCGAACGATAATGCGGCAAAGATCGAAACCTTGAGAAGGGAATTAGACTCTCAAGACGCCTTGATGGAACAAATCTGGGCGCTGCTCCCAGTTACTCACACTCGCTTGCAAACCGGGCTAATTGACAGGAATACGAACAAGCTTAAAGATCAGGTTGTTTCGCCGTCGGTCGATATCGACTATGAGGCGTTGAGGTTGCTCTATAGCTCCTCCCCGCACCCGAACGAGGAGCGCTATTCGGGTCCTCAAGATATCGTTGGCAAAATCAAGTTGATGATGGAAGATGGTCAAATCCTGGTTGAGAGAGTGGTCCGATCTGGAAAAGAGCGCGAATTGCTGAAGAGCAACGCGCTTAGGGCGCAACGGCTTGTGGAAGAGGGTCAAGCCAACTTGAAGACGTATCAAAGGTGAGCGCGATTTATCAACAGGCGGTTCTGTTTGCCATATTGAACTTGCGCGTGTTGCACCATAGGCAAGTGGACATGCTAGAATCGCGCCTGAAGCAAGCTGCTGGCGTTGAAGGTAGCTCCGAGCTGTAAGCTAGAGCTCTACCACTACCAAAAAACTCTCAGCCTGATCTGACATTCTATGATGCGATGAGCAGTTTAGCACAGCTGTCTGAAGCGCGAGAAGCGGTCCTCGAGACCAGACGCGCTAACCAACAGCTCGAAAAGCAGCTCGCGGCTCACCAAGAGCACGTAGAACGCTTGGGAGAAGCCAACGATATCCTGTCTCAACGGGCGTTGACGCTGGCCGACGAGATGGAACAAGAGAAGCGCGTAGCGCATGCCAGGTTAGAGAGGGAGATAGAGAGTCTCCGAAAACAGCTCAAAGCTTCGGATGAGCGGGTAGACGATGAAAGAGCACGGTACGTCGCATCTATATCTGGCTCGATGTGTATAGTCATTGACAGTCAATCATCACTACAGTGAGCAAACTCAGCGAATACAGCTACTTGACGAGTTAAACTCGCTGCAGAGCGAGGTGACCCGGTTAAGGGCACAATTGCGCAGCGCTCAATGAGGGAGCAAGTGATGTGCTAAAAATAGCTTTCGATAGATTGGTTGTAATCTTCCTGGATGTGGTAAGCTAATGAAGATGAAATATAATGATGAAGCAGTTTCCGTCCTTCATAGTGTCGCAATGTATCCCTCGGTCGCGTTCGGCAGTTCGGGTTGTCGCGCATAAGCACGATGTGATTCGGCGATGCGGCGCCTCACATCTGCGTATCCGGTTTTCAGTGAGTCGAGATCGACTCGCAGGTGACCAGGTTCGAGAGGATTCAGGTAAGTCGGCTGAAGTAAGACGGCAGAGATTCGGGTCGTTAAAGGAAGCTCGCCTAACGATGTTTCGGGTTCGATAGTGCTGGCCACATACTGAGCGTGCAAAGGTCGGACCGTGAACGATGGAGACGGGCTCGGTGAGCTAGGCGTCTCTTGAAAAGCGTCAGGTCTGGGGCTCGGGTGAAACATGGTGATCTTGCGCGTTGTAGCCTGAATGGATGTAGTGCCGGGCAGGTTGGACGATCGTTTGTGGACATTCGAACGAGGAGGGGGGTTCGCAGGACCGCTAAATAGGGTTGGATTCGGTTGACGATTCTTCTTTCCGAAAAGACCACCAGGAAGGCTGAACTTGGCGGCGGTCTTGATCGGTACGCTCGATTTCGAAAGGGAATTTGATCGCCGCGAGGGAAGTGTAGTCCAGGTTTCATCAATTGAAGCTGGATGCCATGACGTATTGTCAGTGTTTGATCGTGACTACCAACTGCGGCTGGACGTACCGAACTCTTCATCGTCAACGTAACTTGTCCCCGTTCCAGTTTCCTCCTCCGACCCGTTCTTCACCTTCGCCGCCTCGAAAGCGCGACGAGCGATGAGATGATCAGGGACTGCCGGTCGAGCAGAAGGCACCTCTTGCAGAAGCTGGCGATGTTGCTCAATTGTCCTACGCGGGGTCGCGGGATATGCAGTGGGCTTGGGAGTGGAATGATGCGGGCTCTTGTAGGCGGAACGAGATGGTAAGGGGTTTCTAAGATTTGGTTGCGGGTCATAAAAGCCTTCCGCTTCGAGGTCATGGACAAAATTTGAAGGTGTTTTGCTTTGGAGCCTGGGGATGATTGGCGTTCTCTTCCCAATGATGCGGCGGGTTTCATATATGTCGTTGTGTGACACCTGCATGTCCTCGAAAGCCGTCGAACAACCTCTCGCTTCATCGAGATGAGTTTCCCGTAAATCGTCCATATGGTGAGCGCTCGGAGCTGCATTCCCGTGGTCTTCCACCGTTTCAAAGATCGGACCCGGTTGATCCTCAGGATATTCGTCCACCGACGCCGGGCCCCGACCGTCTCCCTGCACAATCCCCGCCGTCTGATCTTGCACTCCGGCCATGTCGAGCTTGTACCTCTGCAACTTTTGCGATCCGGTCGGACCGTCTATTCCCGCCGTTTCGCGACCACTTGTAGCCATCCCGTTTCGTCTCCCCGCATGACCGATATAAACGACCTCTCCTTCACTCTCGCTTCTCGCTTCCTTTCCCGCGGTTAGGGTAGCAGAACTTCCCGTTTGCCTTTGACGAGACTCGATAAGCGCAGACGCAGGTTGTCTCGTCGGGAGGGTCTTTTGTCGTTCGAAGCCCATGACGATGGGGAATTTCTTGGCAGCGTCCGTCTTCAGGTTTGCTAAGATAGATAACATTTCGAGTTTACAGTCAGTGTCCTCTTCTTCTTGACCGGATCTCCGGGTAGAGCGCCGAGAAGCATAAAGATGCGAAAAGGCGAAGACGGCAGGCACTCACGTAACGTCCCAAATGTGATACCACTGCCGGCATCCGTAACTTTCGTGCCTCCAGCTGTCCTCGCACCTGAACCCGCTCCGCCAGCATCTTGCACTGCTGGCACCTTTCCCTTATCAACGCGATCGGAGGTCTTGCTAGTCATGCTGTTCTTGTTCTTCGAATCGTGGATAGGTAAAGCGGGAGCGTGGGGGATAGGGGTAGCGAAGCTAGAGATCTTTTGTTGGATGCTCGTCTTCCTCGTTCCTTTTTCCCAGAGATGAAGCGAAACGATCCCGCATAACATAATATCAGATCGTATAACGTACTTTGATGCCCACTGATTTTGATGGCTCGATACTTACCTGTGGTATTATGATTAGGCCCCAGGACCTTCATCTTCCCCTTCTTCTGCATCCCGTTCGGATTCGAGTTCCACGTCGAGTTCGAATTGAGGCTCGACGAGCTTGACGGCCCCGCAACTCCGGAATTATCCAGATCAGTCCGTCCTAGGTCCATCGGACCCGATGGTGATTTGGTCGTCGACCTTGAATCCGATGCGGCTTGTGGTCGAGTCAGGGGCACAAAAGGCAAGTTGCTTTGCCATCCGCGTGGATTGCCGTTGCTACGGTTGTTGTTGAGCTTTGAAGCATTCCCGGTGTTCGTACCGTTGGACGCCTTTGTGCCGGTCTTTGTGTCTAGCTTGCGTCTCTTGGATACTTTTACGGGAGGAGGAGGTTTGGCGGGGTCCTCCCGGGTTGAGAGGTCCAACTGAAGGAGACACGTGAAAAGAAGAAATTGATGTTAGTATCGAACGTGTTCTTCAGACCGTCGAGTTTCTAGGATCAGGAATCAAAGTAGAAACGATAGAAACGATAGAAGCGAAGAGAAACGATAGACAACTGATGTGGAGGTATTAGGTATGAACCGAGATCGATGAGATAGGGGTCAAAACGTTGCGATCCGACTTGCCTCTTGCATCAAAGTCTTTTCGTATATCTTGCCTCCTCCAGCTCTATTTCCTTGCTCGACATTCCCGTCTCCCGTCTCGTTGTCATCGTCATCGTCAGAATCAGAGTCTGCGAAAGCAAAGTTTTCTGGACCTCGTTTCCATCCCTTGTTGAGGTCGGCTTCCCGAGGGGCGGCGACGGACATGGTTCACAGACGCAGAACGTGTTCAGCTCCGTCGAGCGTCAAATATAGGATAGCAATGAGAAAGCAGTGTCCTAGTCACTTTTGAGTGGCGATGATGAGGTTTTCGTGGAGGCTGATCAGATTGGAATAGCATACGAGGCGATCATCGAAGCCTGGCTGCTGGCTGATTGGATCTTTGGAAAGTCGCAACGAGAGCTGATGAAAGAGACTCTCATCGACGATCGGCGTGATCGCGGTGATGATGAACATGAAACGCGAGATGTGATCGCTTTTGAAAGCGCGTCGCCCTATCCCGTCGTCCCTTCGGTCATCACGTAAAGAACGCCACCGTTCCATTTCTTCTTTTGCCGCGGCCGGATCTCTTCCACCTCACGCCACCTCCCCCTTTCAGGATCGATCACGTGAGTGCACGTGCCTCTCCCTGGGCGTGTGTCCCTCGGTGACTTTTCCCGGTTCTATCGCTTGGAGCGTTTACGGAGGTGACGACGATTTGATTCGATTTCGATATGAGTTGAACATCGACTACCAACATCGACAATCAGGGATAGCACACCACTCTTCATCGGATGGAAGGGACAACGTTCGATCACTTTCGACGACAAAACCATGTATCCATATCATACTCCCCCGTACTCGCCGCAGATCCCGGGCGATCATCATCAACAGCAACACGGCGGCGGAGTCGACCGACGATCCTCGTTGACGTTTCCTGCAACGTCCATGCTCGCTCAAAGCGGCGTGACATCGTCGCCCTACCTCGATAACCACAACACCATCAACAGTAACGGTAGTACAAGTAGCATCGGCAATGGGAATGGAGGCATGCCAAACCAGTACAACAATGGGAACTACTCGAACGGGTCGCACAGGTTCATCCAGGAGGATCGATTCAACAACTCGCACCAAGATGTCCATCAGAACAATTTCAACCTCAACCTCGGTCGTCAAGACATGCCGTATCAGCAGCACTCACAGCAATACCCACACCCGAACATCAGCTCGTTTAGCTCTCGAGAATCCTCCGTCGGAGGCAGCGGAAACGTATCCGACGCTCAGCAGCAACAGCGTAATCGACAGCGCTCCATCGCTTTCCAGGAAGAGATGTTCAACGCCGTCAAACGTAAACGGAGTTCGCTGTCCGACGAGCACGCCATGTACCTGCAACAACAGCAACAACAACAATTGCAGCAGCAACGAGCTCCGGGGTACCCATCAGGAAACGCCTCGAGCCTCGGTCCATCCCGTAATCATCCGGCGGGTAACAACGTGCCTCTATACCACCCCTCCATCGACCCACCTACCGCCTCTTCCTCTCGTCGGGGTTCCGGGCACGCTACGTCTACCTCGGATGACGATGGCCCCAACTCGACAGACCGTGGCCCCCAGTCTGGTCCGCACTCGCCGACCGCCTCATCTTCCTCATTGTCCAAGAAACCTCGCCTGATCAAGGCTTGCGAACCTTGTCGTCTCCGCAAGATCGGGTGCGATGGGACTCACCCGGTCTGTCAACGATGTAAGGCTGATGACCGGGTCGGCGAATGTCGGTTCATTCGGACCATCGTCCGGAGCAGTCTCACCAGGAAGCGGATGACGGAGCTCGAGGAAAAGTTGGATAGGTGGGAGAGGCTGTGGGCTGGGTTGACGGGGGAGCCTAGGGGGGAGGATGGGGAGGGAATGGGGATGGATCCAGAGGTCTTGGAGAGGATCGTCATGAAGGATCAGGGAGCGAGGGGGAGGGGAATGAGAGCGAGGATCGTGGAAGGTCTGGGTGGGGGGACGTTGATGGTCCCTCCACCGCTGCCACATCAATTACCGGGCAACCGTATAGACCCCAATCTCAACAACGGATCGGGCTCGGCCTCGGGGCTGCATTCCCAGCATCCGAATGTCCTCCTCGATCCCCCGGTCCCGATCCCCAATTACCTCCACCCGTCCAGTATTTCCCTCCCCACTCCTCTCCCTTCGAATACCTCGCTCCCGCTCAACCTTGGCGTCTCCCTCCCGACCACCGCGCCGTCTACAGCACCTCCTTCCCCACGCACAGCCGAATGGGCTCAGAATCAGAGCACACACCCCGACCCTCAGATCGACAAGAACCTAGATGGAACAGGCTCGTTCACTCGGAAAGGAGGCAGCGGGTCGTCTTACCTGGGACTGTCGAGCGGGGTGACGTTCTTGAACGCGATTCTAAAGTTGTGCAAGGAGAGAGGAGGGATCTTTATCGATGTGGAGAACACCATGCCGGGACCGGGAATGGGCGGTGGACCTGGACCCATCGAGGGATCTGGGGATGGGCCGAAAGGGTCGAACGGGACGGCCTTGGGACTGGATGTCGATCGGCTCGACCCGGTCAACAAGTCTGGTAGTCGACCGGGTTCGCCTGGTACGGTCGATGTGCCTGATAACGCGGGACTGAGCAACGCCGAGATAGTTGCACGGGCGAGGACGTTGCCGCCAAAGGAAGAGTACATGCCGTTCGTAGACAGCTACTTTGAATATTTCCGTGAGTCGTTGGCCCTGTGGCTGTCTTGAAGATCAACTCCGCACTTGAGAGAGCTGACCCGAGTCGATTGTGCTTTTTGCGGATGCTAGATGGGATCACGCCGATGGTTCATGAACCAACGGTCCGGGCGACGTTGACGGGAAAGATCCCGTTTCCCAAGAACGATAGTTACCTCGCCTTGATCTACATGGTGAGCATCTCGACAACAGTCGCCATGATCGTTTCTGAGACTTTCTCGGTCGTCTCGACCTCGCAGATCTTTGCCATGGGCGCTCTCGATAGCGTCGCCCAAGAATCGGACTTTCACGGTCAGACATACTGCGACATCGCCCGAGCCATCCTGAACAATGATATCATGGAGAGCGGTAGCGTCGAGCTCGTACAGGCTATCGCTATCTTGGCGAATTACTTGCAGAGGAACGACAAGCCGAATGCAGGGTACCTGTGCCTGTGAGTCGAATTATGCAGTGCATAGCAAAGTATCGTTCGCTAATTAACGGTGTGCTCTTTTGTGACAGGGGAGCGGCTGTCAGGATGGCTATCGGTATTGTGAGTCGGCTAAGCCTTATTCATATGCTTCAGGAATCGCCTTTCTGATTGAGCTTCCCGACGCGAGTGCAGGGCCTCCATGTGCATGACAATCACGCCAAGATGTCACCCCTCGAAGCCGAGATGCGAAAACGAGTCTGGTGGTCCATCGCGCTCCTTGAGTCTGGTTGTTCCAAGGTAAGCTCCAGGCTCAAGGCAGAGTTTCACTGATACCATCCTGATGTAGATCCTCTCATCGCAGACCTTTGGCAGGCCCAGTGGTCTCTGTGGTGTCAATCTATCACAGATTCCTCTACCCAGCAACATTGACGACGAGGTGAGTCAGACAAGACTGAGCAAAGCGGTAATGCAAGCCCTGATATCGCCATTAATGCAGGACTTGACATCCTCGTCGGAAAGACTCCCGCCCGGCGTGGCACGCGAGACGCTCTACTCTACCTTGATAGCGCACAGCAAGCTGGCTCGAGCAACGACGATCGTGCACACCTCGATCCTTCAGCTTCAGCCGGCGCCCTCGTTGGATCAGATCAAGCAGTACGATCGCATGATTTTGCAGGTCATCGGGGAGCTGCCAAGCTACATCACCTACCCCACGGGTCCCGTTCGAAACAACTTCTCGCGGCACGTGTTGCTGTGGAGGCTTCGAGATTGGCGAGCGACCTTGTTCCGGCCGATCTTGCTGGCTGCGGCTTTTGACCAAATCAAGGAGAAGCATCTGAACCCGGCCATAGTGGATGCTATCTCGTGAGTCTGTCGCGTCCCCCCGGAGTGTTAATTCTGCATCTAAGTCTACCTTCTCTTCGTTCCGCAGTATCTGTCGTTCTTTGGCCGCTGAGAATTTGAGCGAGATGGGCGAGTATATCAGGGTGGCTCAACTCCGAGGTTCCACTCGGGCCGAAGAGTGGTACTGTATGTACCTATCTCATCAGAGCAGCTTGACCTTGTTGCTTTCGCTGGTTGGCGAGCCGGCACACGTCGAAGCCGAAGCGTGGCGAGGGTGAGTCGCTGATAGCGAGCCAGGGCGTTTCCTTCTCAATCGAGCTGATTGATTTGGCAAATTAAGGACCATTCTCGCCACTGCCACTTGGTTCCGGCAACTCAAAGCGATGAAGACGGTATGCTATGCACCACAAGTCGAGTCTGCATACCAAGACTGACGTCGGGTCTTTTCGCTTGATCAGGCCGGTACAGCATTGGCTGCTATATTGGAGAATGTGACGTTCGCGACGGCAAGCTTCCCGATCAGAGAGCAGACCAGCATCACACCGACCGATAACTGGCTTCTGAATCCCGGCGCCCAAAATGGCCAGGCGATCTTCCCGAACGATGCTCTAGACGTCATGCGATACTGGTCAGTCGTGATGCCATGCTGAACGAGCTGACTCGGATGTCTTGCTGACATATGACGCTTTACAGGAACGCACTCTGCCCAGAAGGCGCCACTGGACCGGTATGGGACGACTCGATATGGAACGCCATGTTTAGCATGAATCCGGATACCCTTGGTTGACGCTACAACCATTGATAATACACGTAAACTTATAATATCTGTCTATGCTAAAAATGGGCTCTACTGTCCCCCTGGCGAAGCTTGATAATTTCACGAAGATGATGCCTCTTGCCTCGTCGTGCGCTCGAGCAGTTTGGCCTTCTGCTCGTCCCATCTCTTCATTCGTCCTTGCTTTCCCAGCGACTCGTCGATCTCTCTGAGCAGATCGAGTGCATACACCTGAGTCTTCCTCGCAACCTGAATCGTCCAATGCGGGTACTCGGTCTCGCCGTTCTGCCTCTCGATACCCTTTCCGAACTCGAGCAGCTTGAGCGCTTCGGCTTCGGCCTTGCCTATCTGGACGTCCTCCATCAAACAGGTCGCGTAAGCCATCCTGGCTTCCAGCAGCTTTTCGATGCTGCGAGGCTTGTCGTATTTTGAGGAGGTAGCGGTAGCAGCGAGGTCATCTTCACACAGACGAACCTTACTGGCGAGGAGGGCTAACGTGGTCTTCATGTCCGTTCCGGGAGTTTGGCTGATGACCTTGTCGATGATCTCGTGCCGGAAAAAAGGCGAGGCTATTACGAGTGCCGGATTGTTCGCGGCTGATTCAGGTATTGATTTCCTCGGTGCTGGTGCAGATATAGGGACGTTGAGGTTGGGTGCGAGTACTGGGTCCTCGACAGACTCTATGACACGGGTCGTGTCGACTAGTCTCGACAGGAGGAATCTTCCATCTGAGAAAGGTGAATCGTTTCGAGCGTCAGTCAGAGACAGAATGCGGGTGTGACTTGAGCTCGTCTCGCTTACTGGGTATATCGTTGTTCACCGCCCGAGACCTTGCAGTGCTCTCATCGTCACATATTCCCGAAGCGACGTGTCTCCTCCATATCCTTTCCTCGGCCAATTGCTCGTGCAACAAGATGACCCATCGTTCATCTAATAACCGCGCTGCACTCGCCCATGGCTCGACATCCAGCGCAACGTAGAGACCCTCGATCAGGACGATCTGATGTTCCGGACCGATGACGATGTCGTCCGCTACTGGATCCTTGAGCGAGTGAGAAAAGGATGGTGCTCGGATCGTATCGCCCCCAGAACTGCCACGTAGTCTGCGGACAAAGTTATGATACGCAACTGCGTCGAACGTATCGTGTGCACCTCGGCGTTGATGAGCATCGACCGGATCCTAAGGAAAGAGTGACGGCTGTCAGCTTGCAACTTCCGGTTCAGCTACGAGCTCGACTTACCGGGAACTTGTCCAGCTCTGCACGAGAGAAGTGCCATCCGTCCATCCCTACGACCCGGCAGATCTCTTGCCCGCTGACACGGTTCACTTCTCGGCATATCGCCAGGGCCAACTCGGATTTCCCACTCCCAGGTCCTCCAGTGATACCGACGAGGAGCCGCCTACTTTCTCCGGCGGCCTTCAGTTGCTGGCGACGAGAGATGAGAGCTGTACTGCTGTCAGAGATGACTTGCTGCATGATGGTTGTGCTAAGCGTTTTTCAGAGAGATCACATCGACGACGACCTCGAGACTTCGTAGAGGCAGAAGTCGACTTGATCGATTCGTCATAGTCATCGGAAGCCGCGGCCGAGAAAGAGAAAGAGGCGCGCGCGCTTGATCGGCATGATCGGTCGACCTGGATATTTGGAGCTGGAGTTTGATGGGGCCAGGTCTACGAACAGTTGCGCCTGAAGTCGGCACCTTCTGGCGGTCATGATCCAAGCACCATAAAGGATGACAAGGTGTCGGAGTCGGGCTAATCGCTTATCTGTCCGATCATCAATTATATATATAATAAAGGACGGAAAAGACAAGTTGTATGGAGACAACCTGCGCATGGCCTACCCGGTAACAGACCCCTCAGGTTCTGGGTTCAAATCTGACATGAGAATTCCTTTTTGCCCTTTGTGGTGCATTTTGCGCATTTTGGTTTTTGAATTAGCGCATTTTGATTATTAAAAAATTCTGACAGCGACGCAATTTTGCTAATAAGGACATGTATATGTTGTAAGGGGATTCAAACTGTTTTCTGATGCTTTTGCACTGACGTTGAACAAACCTGAGCATTTATGACGATGTTTGTCATTAATGTTTGCAAGTTGCTCATTTCACGATTATGACACGTTAATGGCATTGGTGCTGTTGTTACATCCATGTTCAGTTCATGAGTGTTGTGCAGAGTCTACGATAAATGTTTCGAAACACTGTTACAAAACTTGACCCAATATCAAGACGATTTGGCTGGCAAAGTTGCAGTTGGGTCGAAAACGAGCCTGAGCCCATGTAAAAATGTTTTATAAAAATGTCATATAAAATTAATTTTTATGGATTAATGGTATTTGGGTCGCGTCGGACCTCAGCCCTGCAACCCTATAGGGAAGAAAGTGCAATAGTACACTTCCCTATATGGTCTAATAGCCGAAAAACGTCGATATAAGCGAAAACGACGACATTGCCGAACAACACAGCCAACGGTACATTAGCAAACACCACTGCCATTAGCCATTACTATTATCAACTCACCTATAGCCACGGCTACCAATTAAACACTTGGCCTTGAGGCTCAGACATCACACATTAGTGAAACACGTCGCAATCAACGAAACAACAAAATAAACGCTGTAGCCACATTATCATTACTATCGGTGGTGACATTCGACTAGACACTATACAACACTTACTTGAGCAGGTCCCAGCTCATATACTACTTCATCATGCCACCTAAACGTATCAGCCGCTCTGCTGCCCTTGCAGAAAGTGCAGAGGAACGATTAGCGCGCCAAACTGCGAATCGTGAACTTGGGCAACAACGTCGCAGGGAAAGGGAACGAGCAAGAGTTAATCAACTCAATGAGCCTGTTAATACTTCCAACAGGGCAGAAGGTCAGCAAAGGCGTCGAGCAGAGGAGCGCGAGCTTGCGGCGCAGCACGATGACGGAAACTATCGCACCAAGCTTGAGCAACTGAATGCAGGCAATCATGAATCACATTCTTTGGGCAGTATTGAGGTGGAATGTCCTCATTGCCATGCTCTACACTTCAGCGAGGAACGCCTCACCAGATCAAGCAAACGAAATCCAAAATTTGGCAACTGCTGCACATCGGGAAAAGTGATCTTACCATCGATCGGTGTCAATGTCGACTTCCCTTTACTTGACTCATTGCTCAAGAGGGATCATCCTCAGTCGAACGCTTTCATAGAGAACCTGAGGCACATCAATAACGTCCTGTCCTTCACATCGCTAGGGATCAACGCAGACGCCACTACTTGGGGACCGCAGGGGATCTATAATCTTCGCATCAGCGGAGAGTTAGTACACAAAATTGGCTCGATCTTACCAGATCCTCAACAGCCGGCGCGCTTTGCTCAGATCTATACTTTGGATGATGACTCTGCAGTCACACAGCGGATGGATCATTTCGGTGGAACGGGAATACAGCAGGAAATCATCAGGCAATTACAATCATGGCTTAATACCAATAATCCTTACGCTCGGACCTTCAAAAGTGCCGCTGATCGGTATCAGGCTCAGCCAGACGCACTAGCCTTCAGGCTCCGAGCTGTACAGAAGGAAGGAACTGATGTGCGGCGCTACAACTTGCCCACCATCAGTGAAGTCGCCTTGGTCATGCCCAACGACGATGAATCTGCAGGATACGGCAGAGATATTGTGATCCAATACAAGGGTGGATTCCTCAAACGATTGAATGAACTGAGCCGCATGTATTTCCCATTGCGTTACCCTCTAATTCACCTCCGCGGTGAAGATGGATGGCATGATGGAATTCCTTTCGCTGCCAATCAAACTGCTGGAGACGCTATTCGAGGTGAAGATTCAGAAGGTGAAGTGATTACCGGACGCGACCAACGGGGACGGGGAGGTTCGACCCGTGTCAGCCAGCTGCAGTTCTTTCAATGGCACATTCACACACGACTTCAACAAACGGGAGTGCTTTTCTATATGGGCAGACTGTTTCAGGAATATACCCTGGACATGTGGGTTACGGTTGAGGCCAACCGACTACGTTTTGTTCGGACAAATCAAGCAACTATTCGAGCAGAAACCTATCAAGGTTTAGCAGACGCGGTCAACACTGGCTTATCTGCTGAACATATTGGCCGGCAGGTCATCCTGCCATCCTCATTCGTTGGTGGTAATCGTCACATGGCTCAACTCTTTCAGGATGCAATGGCGTTGGTGCGTAAATTAGGTGCACCTAGCCTCTTCATTACTATCACTTGTAATTCTCGGTGGGAGGAAATACAACGGGAACTGTTACCAGGTCAGACAGCTACCGACCGACCTGATTTGGTTGCCAGGGTCTTTGCCCTGAAACTGGACGCAATCAATCAAGAGATCTTGAAGCAAGGCGTATTGGGAAGGTGCATTGGATATGTGCAAGTGATTGAGTTTCAAAAGCGCGGCCTGCCGCATGCGCACACTCTTCTCATTATGGATCAAACAGACCGTCCAAGGACCACGGAAGATGTTGATAGGTTGGTCTGTGCCGAATTACCTGACCCTGAGACGGATCCCGTAGGACACGCAGTAGTGGCCTCTTGCATGTTACACGGTCCGTGTGGCCTGGAATATCCTTCAGCACCTTGCATGAAAGATGGAAAATGTACTAAAAAGTACCCAAAGAGTTTCCGGGACGAGACTCTTATGGCCGAGGACGGATACCCTCATTACCGACGGCGCAACAACGGAAGATCTGTTAAACGGACCATGGCAGGCGGTAGGGAATTTGAACTACGCAACGACACTGTTGTGCCCTATAGCCCTTACCTCAGCAGACGTTTCAACTGTCATATCAACGTCGAGGTAACAACAGGAATCCATTGCGTAAAATACATCTACAAATATGTCTACAAAGGGCATGATCGGATTACCGTCACAATGGGACCCGTAGAGGAACCTCAGCCAAGGGATGAAACGAGGGAATATGTTGACAGCCGCTATGTCTCACCACCTGAAGCCATGTGGCGGCTGCTCAGTAATAACATGCATAAGCATTCTCCACCAGTCATGCGATTACAAGTCCACTTGCCGAATCAACAGCAAGTCCTATTTCAGCCTGAAGCGGGAATACCTCAAGTCAGTCTATATGATTTGAATACATTACTAAAGTTGTGAGACTGATTCCATATTGAGTTGTTAGATGCAAGATGGCGCCATGCTATCCGGTACCATGCTGACCAAGTTCTTTGAATACTGCGCTGCCAACCCTGATACCACCGCCAATATTACTTATCCTCTGGCGCCAGAACACTTGGTTTGGGATGTAGGTAAAAAACAATGGAAGGCACGCCAGCGAGATTACTCTATTGGAAGAGTTTACTTTGCTCAACCTCGGGAGGGCGAAAGGTATTACCTTAGGATCCTCTTAAACACAGTGCATAGCCCTAAGTCTTGGGAACATCTCAGAACGTTTGATGGGGTCATTCATCCCACATTCAAAGCCGCTTGCATAGCCAGAGGTCTCTTGGAATCGGACGAAGAGTTCGATATCTGCTTAACGGAAGCAGCAACCTTTCAAACTGGCAGTCAATTGCGCCATCTATTTGCCATGATCGTTCTACACAATTCACCAGCAGAAGTCGGAGCTCTCTTTGAAAGGCATTTCGCAAGTCTTACAGACGACTGTCGCCATCAACTCATCAACCGGTTCCACATTGCAAATCCTAATGATGTGCAGATCAAGGATTTCTGCTTATTGGACTTGCAGAAAGTCTTTTCCCGCCATGACAAAACTTTGGCCGAGTTGGGATTACCCGTTCCTTCACCTGAGGCGGTCTTTGATGAAGCGGGAAGATTGGTTCAGGAGGAATTGAGCTATAACCAAGTTGAAATGCAGGCCGCAACAGATTTCGCCCTTGCCGCATTCAATCTGGATCAGCGTTCTGCTTATGATGCAGTTATGACAGCTGTTGAGGGGGAATCCGGGCTATTCTTCTTACAGGGTCCAGGTGGAACGGGAAAGACATTTGTGGAGAATTCAATGTTAGCGGGTGTCAGGCAGAATCACGGAATAGCCCTGGCAGTCGCTAGCTCAGGTATTGCAGCGCTACTACTTCGAGGTGGACGGACGGCTCATTCTCGCTTCAAGATTCCTCTTGAATGTGGAAGCGACACGGTGCTATCAATCAGCAAACAGGGTGAACTAGCAGAACTGTTTAAACAAGCTTCGCTGATAATCTGGGATGAAGCGCCTATGCAGCATCGCTATACAGCCGAAGCTGTCTCTCGATCATTACAGGATTTGCGGGATGATCCAAGGCCTTTTGGCGGTGTTACAACCGTCTTTGGAGGCGACTGGGCTCAGACTCTGCCCATCATACCTAATGCTACCGAAGGGGAAATTGTTGGTGCTACACTACCCTCAAGCACGCTTTGGAACGCTGTTAGTGTCCTCCGATTGGAGACTAACATGAGATTACAATCACAAGGACTATTACCGGAGGAGCGGGTCATGATGACTCAATATGCAGATTGGCTCAAGCAGCTTGGACGAGGGCAACTAAATACCGAAGAGGGACATGTCGAGTTGCCACAGTACATAAGGACTTTGAGCCCAACTCAAGGTCTTCCAGCGCTAATCAGCAACATATTCCCTCAAGTGGCTCAAATTGGAGGTCAAAGCCTTGACCAGCAGTCAGATTACTTTGGCGGGCGGGCCATCTTAGCAGCACGGAATGACTCAGTTGATGCTGCCAACCAAGCAGTATTGGATCTGCTGCCAGGCAACGAACATAGTTTGAGGAGTGCTGACTGTGTAATAACGGATGGAGAGGAATTGGCCGACGGATTAGGATTCCCACCGGAGTATTTGAACTCCCTTACAATTCCAGGCCTGCCGTTGCATGATCTTCGGTTGAAGGTCGGCGCGCCTATCATTCTTTTGAGGAACCTTGATGCTGCGGCAGGCCTTTGCAATGGGACTCGCTTGCTACTCTTGCAAGTTGGACGAAGGTGTCTTCAAGCCAGGATCTTAATGGGTGATCATCGTGGAAAGACAGTATTAATCCCTCGGATAGCCTTGGACACCGTGACCAAGACCTTACCTGTCCCGTTCCGGAGATTACAGTTTCCAGTCAGGTTGGCATTTGCTTTGACAATTAACAAAGTAAGTTACATCGAGTGCATTGAAGACGTAAAGTTGAGAGCTGATTGAATTGATGTGGATTATAGGCGCAAGGCCAGTCTCTTGATAATGTAGGGATTGACCTTTCATCACCGGTCTTTGGACACGGTCAACTATATGTTGCATTTTCAAGAGCAACTCATCCTGGAAGATTAACGGTACTGCTGGAGGATTCTAGATATGGATTGGAACGGAAGGTTAAGAACGTAGTATATAGTCGGATGGTTGAGTTGTATTAGTCTTAGTAGTTTGTGGTCTCTTTTATGTTTCTGTTTGTGTGTTTTGTTCTCGATCATTGTATTTGTACTTATGCAATTGTTCTTATAACGATTGCCTTTTTATCCATTTTTGCCCAGGGCCGGCTCTAGAATTGAATAATGGACTTAGTGAAAATTGGCATAACTGACGCGACTTATGAAAACGCTAATAACACAAAACACGGAAACACCTGACGCCCATCTCATGGGTGAAAGAAACTAGTAATACTATATATTCCCGCCTCTCTGAACCTAGCTCTGTGGTTCAAGTTGCCGCCAGAGGATGACCCCCTAGCCCTATCATGGGAACACGATCCGTTTGCTCAGCATGGACCGGCCTGAATCGCCTCCATTAACAGAGACTGATCTTAGCCACTACTTTTTCCAACAACAATACCCGACGCATCTGAGTCGCTCGAAATCACCGCATTCCTTCGTCTCAGCTTTTGCCTCCCATGCGACGGGCGATTCGTCCGTCCAGGCCGGCACGCAGCCACTACACTTGCCTAGTTTTCTACCACATGATACGACTTTGAATACCGTCGTCGATCAGGGTCCGATGCCATCCTTCTTCGAGCCGATCTCAGATGCATTCACGGGAGGACCCGAGACAGAAGCTTTCGCGCCTGCCTACTATCGTCCATCAACAGTGATCAGCTCAGATCTATACGAAGGTCTCGAAGTGAGCCAGTCTGAAGGAATGGTTCCTGCTGCAGTCCCTCGTGTACTGCCGAGCAATGATCTACACCACGTTTATGGTCCAAATGTTCAATTGGGAGGTTTGCATAGTGGTCAGCCTCCGATCATGCTGGACCCATTCCATGGAATTGAGCATGGCATCGAAACAGGACCGATGTTCGACAACCTATCGGTAATGCGAAATCAAGAGAGCGCAGTCCAGTTCTGTCCACCTGGACCTACCTTTGATCCACATTCTTCAGCAGGTTTACCTTACTGGGATGATATCACCCACCCCGCCCCAATGCTCCTGGATGCCCAACAGGAGTGGCCCTCAAGGATGTTGGAAACGCACCCCGCTATGAGTCAGCAGAACTCTTTCGCATCGATCCCACAAGAATCGAACGTTCCGTCCGCCTTCTTGACATCCCTTTCCGATCCTTGGTGGGCTCTATCGGCCGCTGACTTGATCGGAAAGGGTGATCTTCAGGTCATTCTGGAAGACGCGAATCCTGAGAACCGGCCGTATTACCCCTACAAGAGATGGATCCGTATCACAAGCCGCACAAGACAGCAAACGGTGGAAGTCACATTTGACAAGTTCCGGCAGCACATGCACGTTATCAATCTTGCCAAGCTCAAGGACTCTCTCCAGAAGATCGCTCCATACCTCCCGAGAATGGCGCAAATTCTGCCCCGTGATAATGAGCTTCCAAAGCAGATCAAGAAGTTTGATGACCAGCTCAGCAGTGCTGAGTTCAGTAATTTCCTTAGCGCCGCTTACCTTCGGGACCTACGAAAGTGTTTCGATGCCATGCACCAATCGTTCCGTGATCACGAGGAGGAGAAGGACAGACCCGATACATTGCATAAAGGGTGGACAATCATCAGGGATCACAAGGACACGATGTTGCGGTTAGGCCAGTATCTTTTGGTTATCGATATGGCGTTTGAGCTCCAGGCAAAGTGGAATGTCCATGAAATGATTTTACGGCCTGAAGTCCGGGATTAGCTGTCAACATCACGGTTTTATCCCTAAGACATGTAAAGTAGAGAAACTGTATAAAGGCTGAAAATTCATGTCACAACAATGCGAGATCCAGCGCTAGGTGCTTCCTTACGACGTCAATCCAAGCAGGACGCGTTGCGCGCCTGTAAACTTTCGCAATATCACTTATATCCTCGATGGCGCAATGCTCTGGGTCAAGGTGCATCAGCATGTAGTCACATGACGCACATAATGCGCCATTTCCCCATCCGTCATAGTTGACAAAGGACGACGAGATGACGAAAGAGATACTATCTGATAGGTCTTGCAATTGGGGGCGAAGGGGAAGTGGGGAGATTGAACGATATATTCCGCCTACAACTGCTCCGAGCTAGATAAATCACATATCGCCACGATCAACCAGTCTGTTCTCATATACACCTCCCAACCTTCAGGAGCATTACTTAGTCAGCGTCACGTCACATGGTATCGTCCAGAAGGAAGAGATCCGCATCAAACTCTTGGGATGCGTCTGATCACTACTCACCCAGCTTCAAGGGCTCGCTTTCAGGGCATGCGCATGCCTATTCCATGTCTGATCAGCAGAGCTTAAGCAGTGGAGGATTCAACAACGCCTTGACTCCCGATCGATGGGGCCAAGGTACCTCCGGGGTATCTGTTGAATGGTATGGTACAACTGAAGACTCCTCTACCATGAGCAGTCACATTTCCACAGGCTTTGACCACTCCAATCGCTGGCGATCCCTCCAGAGTAGCGTCTACGGCAAATCAGGGATGTTTCCTGGCGTGTCGCCGGTGATGTCGAATCCGAGCTCCAGCACACAGCTCGACAGTAGCCTGATGCACGGCTCGGCATACCCCTGCTCGTCCGGCCAGATCTTGAATCCAGGTGTTGGCGCTGATGTCATGTCGCAGGAATCGGGACACAACATGGCAAGGATGTCAGATCGGGGTCCGTACCAGCAGGGGCTGCGTTCGTCGCTAACACAGGTATGACGACAACGGTCGATCAGGTTTCAGGTCCCGGTCTTTGTAACGGGCAGCCATCGATGGCCCCGGTTCCGATACCAGCGTTAGGTGCTGCGCAGTGGTGGCCATGCGTGCCCGAGGTCCCCTCGCACTCGATGTCATTGAGTCAGCCATTCTTATGCAATGAGTGGTCGTCTTCCGACTGGGAGCGGCGTTCAACTCCTGCGCTCGCCGCCAGGGTTCCTACCAGCATGCTGACGACAGCGTCGACATCGTCCTTAACGACCCAGCCACCATCGAGCCGATCGTCGAGAGCTCGAACTAAATCCAAGCCGAAAATGGATCTCAATGTCAACCTGGACAACGTAACGGTCATGTCAGACGCGCGTGTCCGCCAAAATCATGGGATAGTCTTCTGGGTCCGCATATCAAGCCGGGAGAGACAACCTCCTGTCGAAGTCCGATTGGATGGGGCCATCCGGATCTCGGACAAAACATCGAAGCTCAACGGCTTGAAGGAATTCGTCACAGCTTGTAGACCGTACCTTTTCAGGTTATCAAACATATTGGAGAGCGGCGATGAGCTGCCAAAGCTAATCGCCGACTTCCACGATCGTCTGACCAATGACCCTGGTTTGGGCCAGTTTCTGAGCTTTGGATATCTGACATTCTTGGCTAAAAAATTTGAGCCTTTCTCCCGCACTCTGACAGAATACGCTGAGCAAGGCAAGCTGGAAGCAAAGTGGGCAGTGGTGGACCTTCACAAACAGTGGATGGACTGTTTGAGATCGCGTCTGCATGCCATCGATCTTGCATACGATCTGAAGAAGAAATGGGGATGTCAGCACCTGTCATTGCTGCCCGACGCCTGGTCAGCTGCGAAGTCTAAGATGATTCGCAGTTGATACCTCGCCGCTGCCTGTTGCAGTAATTTGTATAGAAAAATCAACAGAAAAAGAAAAGCGTATTCCTATACTTTGTTACGCGTCATGTCAATCACTAAAACGTACAGATAATGCATACCAAGGGAACCCATGAAGTTGCCTCAAGCGTCTACCTCCAGTACCTTCAGGATCTCGGGCATCTTCTTCTGCAGATCCAGATGACCGTCCACGACATTTGAAATGTCGACATCTTCCACACCAGCCTGCTCGACCCGACGAAGACCCGCTACGTGCACCCCGTTTGAAAGTGTGACCGCGCGCGAGACCACCTCGTGCAACCTGAAACAATTTCAGTTGAGCATGTTGTTTGCAGGCCGAGAGCCGACTTTACTCACCTAACGACGGATGCCAAGACAAAATCCTTCTCGCACCAAGCGTTCACGAACCGCCTGGCCACGACTCGGCGACACTTGGCCCACTCTGCGTCAGTCGGAGCGGAGGGCAACGAGATGAGGAAGGCAGATTCGACAATCTCGGGCCGGGCGGCGCCATTCGATCGAGAGCTCAGGTAGAGCAAAGCGTGGAACACCGTCAAAGCTCCCAGACTCTGGCCGATCTATCATGAAGGCAAAGAGATCAGCAAGGGAAGTTATCGTACTTCTCGACACGGCGCTTACCAGGACTACGGGACGTTGCCCCTGAACCCGCTTTTCCAAGACTTCCCCAAGCAGACGTCCTGCTTTGATCGCCTTGTCCTGACTCTGAATCCACACGTTATCCGTGTACATCGAAGCCATGCTATAGACCGACCTACAATCACCGATCGAAGAAAAATTGTCAGTCATCTGGAAGGCTGGTGCGGGATGTCGGTTTCTCTCGCTCACATAGGCAGGGCCACAGCAGCGAAGTAAGCGTTTAAAGCAGTCCGCTTGATGACCTGTTTCTTCAGGTATCCCTTGAGTTTCCCCGTGACGAAACTGTTGATGGCCTTGCCGGTCGCAAGCATATGCCGAGTCTCGTATTTGAGAACGTAAATGTCCCGGCCGTCTGAGAAGAAGGGCGAGTTGGGTACGATTTGCGATTGCCAGGCTGTGAGCGCTTCGGTGGGGGATTTGATGAGGAGACCGGGTACGACGATGGTAGCCTGAATCCTCTCTCGTTGTCAGCACGAAGATCCCCATACTCTCTTCCTCTTTGTGTGGCTGGTCGTATCACTCACGATCAAGCTAGGCGCCCGGCCTTCCAATAATCTCGCATCGTCTTCCGCCCTCTTCTCCCTCTCTGCCGGATCGTCCAAACTGATCCTCGAAGTCCTGTCCTCGATGTCCCTGGTGCTTTCGATAGAAGTCCGAGCAGGGGTCGAACCTGTCCGAGCAGGCGATCCGACAAGAGCGTTCGAAACGTCAGGCTGCTTGCTCATCCGGAAAGCGTCTGGCAATGCCGCGTATTTCTTCTTGATCGACTCGATGAGCGTCTCTTCATCGACATCCTCCTCCGGCTCGGGTTCCGTCTCGCGTGATGCTGAGTCTCCCTCAGCCGGGTTCGGTGAGACGGGAGCGACCTCATCGATCTGCTTCGACCCGAACTTGACGTCGACAAATTCAAACTCGTCCACTCCCCTCCATCTCTCCCTAACTCGCTTCCCTGTCAGACCTCCAGCGGTCACCCCAAAGATACTACCCAATACCACGGGCGCAGTTGCGGTCGTTAAAAGCCCAAAGGTCATGAACCCTGGTATCAGAGCCGCGATCGCGGGTGCGGCTAGTCCACCGGTGATCCCGAGGGCAACTCCTCCGACAACAACTCCTGCACCGGTAGCCAACCATCTCCCTGTCTTGCCACCCCATCCTTCAGCTTGTCTTTCCCGGGACCGAGCGACTTCTTCCTGGTTCTGACGTTCAGAGACTTGCTGCAGCGTCTTGAAGAGCGACCTGGATAGTTTCTGTTCAACTGGAGCCAAATGGGAAGGGATAGGTATGGATAAGAGGTCGAGGGTGGTGTGTATCAATTGTCTTGCCGAGGGGGTATAAGATAAAGTAGGAACGGCCTGTTTCTCTCCCTGCCTCTCATTCCCCGTAAAGCTCGAGGCTGATGTCTCTACCTTGGCGACCTTTTCCGAGTCTGTCGGCGGCGTAAAGATCGAAGCGATCACCAAAGTCTCGATCACACTCGTGTAATCGGTCTCCCTCTCCTTATCGGGCATGTCCTTGAAATAATCCTTGGCCGCCGCATGGACCTGTTCTGCGCCCACGACGCCAGGCAGACCCGCTTGGTCCATCTTGATCATCTTGATGACCGACTTTGCCCATTCTTTTCCCACGCGGATCCACCATTCTCGAGTGATAGGAGGTAAATGAGGGAGGATCGGATTACTGGTGGAAGCCGAAGTACAGGCGAGACCGACCAGCAGACGGAGCTCGGGCGACAAGGTCGGGGGTGTAGGGAGGTTGTCGAGCGGGTTGGAAGTGGTTGGGTCCGAGGTGGATTTGGACGCGACCGTGGGGATGTGGCTGGCCACCGAAGATAGTAAGGAGGACATGGTGCTATCGTGTCCTGAACGCTGGTCCTACCTGTGCGAATTGCAGCTTTGACACGATCTGGGTCACTTCAAACCTGCTCGAGGTCGACGATGACATGAGAAAGCACAAGGTCCCCGAAGAGATGACGTCACACAAAGTAAACAACTCATATCAAATCACGTGATTTTGTTCACCGCTGATTCGCTCGTTGCGTTACGGCAGTCAGGCATAGCTACGGGATTGGGGCAGCCAATTCAGGCAATGGAAGGTTCTCCTACTTTCTGGGCCGCGTTGAGTCTTCTGTTTGCAGCCATCGATACCTAGATGCTAGTATCAACGAGGTTGCAAGTTCTCACGACCCCCTCCGTATCGCCGGACCACGGTCAAAACGCTTTCTCACCTGGATCCAGCGCACTGGCTCCTCATTCTTCGGGGACCGCATGGCACCTCACCTGACACAATCGACTCCCCCCTATTCGAGCTGTTCGGAGCGAGATGTCCAACGTGAAAAGCGTGGGAACTCCTGATCGTCGCCGTCCCGAAGCCAAAAAGAAAGCTTCGATGATCCGCGTCGGTAAAATGGAAGCTTTACCCTCCTCCTTCTCGCGCTCTCCCTGCCAAATGCCAGGTTTCTCCTTCCGCGTTTCAGCCAGGGTTTCGACGCGCGAATCGATCAATCATTCTCGACGATTACTATTCCTTCTCCATGCTCTGCCTTCGTTGATGATCCCATCAATCCCATCAATCCCTCTTCGGTTTCTTCCCCATCAGATGTAAACAAATCTCAGCGACATCGTTGACGTCGCGTGTCGCGTCAACGGCCAACGTGAAAGTATGAGAAGGGGCGAGAGGGTGAGAGATTTCGAGGTCGATCGCTTCCACAATCAACCCTCGACAACAAGTCACCACATCGCCATATCGGCCATTCTCTTCGACAAAGTCCCACGCCAACAACCATCGACACTCACACTCGAACTAGCTCCTTCTTGATGACCACAACTATGCCAACTTGACCGTATCCTCGCCTATCAGCATGTCCGACACGTCGTCGACAGGAGCCCACCAACGGCCTCTCCAGCCGCTCTCCCCCGTCCCACGTCGTTGGTCGCAGATCCCACCGAGTGGTACTAGTAACGACAATACGGGTTCTCCAGGATTACGTGGCCACGCCGAAGGGACGTCACCAGGAGGTTCCCCCTTTGGTGTCCGGACGCAGGCGGTGATCGATGATGTGGAGAAGATGTTATCCCGTCTGTCTGACGCCGCTGAAGCAGCCGAAGAACAGACAAACAATCAAGCACGGTCTCTGGGAGAAGAAGGGACAGTCAGTAGGGATTCGTTCTACACCGCCCCGTCTGAACCGGACGACACGAACGCGAGCACGAGTGATGCGACGGCCACCCTGCAGCCTCCTCGTCCGCGGTTCCTCTCTACTCGTCGGTCTGCCGAAGCTTTACGACCTCGCTCAGACGGTCTGGGAGCAGGAACGGGTGTCCCCAAACTAGACCCAGCCAGGATGAGCCTCTTCTCCCCACCCCGTACGGCATTCGGCAGTGGGAGCGGGCTGTTGAGAAAGGCGGAATCGAATACAAACCTCTCGGACCGGTTCAACTTTCGAAGAGCTGGGGAAGGGTCTGCCTTTGGGATTCCTGCAACTGGGACGGACACGCCGACCAGGTCGAGATTGATCGGGAGTAGGGATTCACCATTACGACGCTCCTTCAGACCGGAAGAACGGGGAGGGGAGGTCGGGACGCCAGTAGGGGAAAAGATCGTCAGGCCACGTTCTACACCGCCTAGAGAAGAATCTGGGGGAAAGAGTGACCCGACACGAGAGACGAGTCCTTCGAAGGACATGTTCGGACCTAGAATAAGGCCGACTCTTCCTCCTCGAAGACCAACGGAGGAGTCTATCTCCTCTCCCGTGACGTCTAGACCGACTTCCACCTTTTCGCTCCCCGTGACCCGTCCTTTGAACACGCCACGTATGCCTCCTCCTCTCCCACCGCGAACTCGGAGCGCAGCATCGGTCTCCAACTCTTCAGTGCACGATGACGCGGAATCCATCTCCGGTACGAGTATGGACTATACCCCCAGCGAAGCGGGAAGGAAATTGGAAAAGGCCTTTAGATCGATAGGATCTACCCGATCTGGAGATTCGACCTCCATAGGGAGTCTGTTGGATACGACGGAGAGCGAGAGAAATTCGCACTCGAATTCAAACTCGAACGGGTTCGGAGGCGGTGCTGGGTCCGTTTCGGCAAGGAACGTACCGCTTCCATCTTCCCCTGCCGGGTCGAGGCTCGCCCCGTCGACCAGGGCAGACCCGGAAGAAGAGGAAGCAGAAGAGGAGGAAGTGGAGGATCTGGTCCGGACCCCGAGAGCGTTGAACTTGACCCCTCGAGAACCGGTCACTCCGACTCTGAACAACCCGTACCCTAAGCCGGCGAGGAGCTGGGTGAGAGATCCATATGTCGCCCGGCATCTCGAAAACATGGGGATCGAAGGGCCGAGGAGGGAACTGTTGACTCCTGTGGAAGAGAGAACCGAGAGGACGAAGAGTTGGAGTAGCAGTGGGGTCAGCGTGGAACCTCTAGGTAAGCGATACATTCAGCGCGGTGCAACAGGCGAAGTGAGATATCGAGTCACTAACACGCACCTCGCTCGGAATGATAGGTAAACCGTTACCTCTGGTACCGCCCATCGAAGGTCTACCGCCATCGGCATTCTACAACCCTGCTCCTTCCATCGAGCCGCGAACCCCAGCGAAAGCTTCGAACCTGATCAAGTTTTTCGAAAGCGCTGGCGGAAGCCCTTCTGCTCCTGGCCCGAGCACTGGTCTGGGCCATGTTCGAGGAGCCAGCGTTCCGGAGGTTCAACAACAAGATGAATTGCTGCAAAGCCGACCGGTAGTCCCGGCTTATCCTGGTAGTGGATCTCTCCCCCCTCGGCCTGTACCTGAAACTACACTCGCTGCCGAACTCCCAGTCGCGGTCACTGCGCTTCCCGAACCGGGCGTGTTGTCAAACTTGCGCAAGGGGTCTTCATCGCCCTTGAGAAGTGTAAGGAACGTTGTCGCGGCCTGGAGAGGAAGGGTCTTGCCGCATTCTCGATCAGGTCCTACGGATCACCTTCAGTCTGGAGGCGTGCCCCCCACTCCCAATCCCGAACTGATCGCAGGCCAAACCGACGATGACGACAGGATCATACGAGACAAACACATGTTCGACGATGCGTTCGTTACGATCAGGAGAAAGAGCACCCGGCGTCGACAAGCTGGGACGGATTCGCCCGCCCCTCCTTATGAAGGTCCGCGGAGTCCGATAGCTTACCAAGCCCCGACGTCTTCGCGGGATATCGGGATCGAGAAACCTCTTCCGCTGATACGAGATATAGCCGACGAGGCGCCAAGAAAGCCGCGAGGACAGGTGGTCAGCACCTATACCGAAATGACATCCGAAGTGAGCCAGTACCGAGCGGAGTGCTGTTTACACAACGGCAGCTGAATGGCTTTGTTTCCTCGCACCATCGTAGCCTCGTCGGATCGGCGAGTTGTGGTATCTAAACGTCCACGGAGGCGAACCTTATACCTGGATCAAGTGCGATGCCGAACTGTTCGAGGACCGCCTGGTCTTGAGCTGGATCCCTGAAATCTCGCGCGGAAGTCGAGGGGTGGTGACCCTCGATCTCACTCATTGTCAGGGTATGTATGCGTCTGTGTATGCTATTACCAACAGAGCTGACTCGAATACTGCCAACAGAGGTTCGATCGGTACCGAGCCCAAATCATCACAGCGCCCGGGACGATATCGGAAGTATCGCCGCCCGGAATCATCCCGACCCAACCCTAGCAGGAACTCTTTACCCGTTTCAGATGGTAAGACAAATTTCGCGCGACACAACGCGACCGAGGCGCTGACCGTGCCGAATACAGATCTACGAAGATGGACTGGAGAGGCTAGGTAGTAGCAGTGCTAGAGACCGCGTTCGATGGGTATCGGCTATATGGTGAGATACTTCGATAACGAGACGAATGGGATCGGCTACTGACTCGTCTTGAGGCCTCAGGGATGTACTTGAGCACGGACCAGACCGGTCAAACGCGTTAGAGAATGGATCTGCTTTGGGCTCTTCGGATGCAGGGTCGAGAACGACACGACTAGAAGAACCTGCCGATGCACGAGAGGCTCAGCACAACGGTTACCGCAACTCTCGAGCGATGGACGACGGGCACATTCACGACTCTGAAGGAAACATGATGGCTCTTACGCGTGGCACCAGCAAGCGATTGACAGGACGTTCGGGATCGATGCTACGAAGGATCGCTTCCGAGGCGGATCTGGAGATCGGTTTGGATTCGATGCACCACGCCTGGCAGGGGGACGTCTCGCCCCATCTACCTCCCGCTGCAAGGCAGTCGCCTTCCTTTCTCACAGCGAGGGGCATGTCGCAAGGTGTTCCGCCGCTATCTCCTTCGACCACTTTGCTCACTGAGACAGACATTGGACCGTCCGCCTCCATGTCCGGTCAAACGCCAGACTTCTTTAGTGCCAGGTCGGATGTCTTCGGATCAGCCTTTTCGCAACAGACTCTCGGACGTCGAGGAGCCCGAAGAGTGCCACCGTCTCGTGAGGCTAGTCAATTCGAAACACCTGTGGAATTCAGCACACGCGGAAGCTATGTCACCCCCGCTTCAACGGCCACTGGTATTGACAGTCAGGCGACCATCCGTCCTACGAACCATCGGCGTGCGAGTGACCGATCGGACACGATGTCTGCAGTGTCTGCTGTGACATATCAAACCGGCTTCCTCGACATGTTAGAAGAAGAATCAGTCCTGGACGACTTTCAGACAGCTTCCCAGGGCGAAAGAAGAAGAGGTCCTCTAGGACCGCGACAATCCTTGCGCATCGCTCCTCCTCGCCAGAATACTCGAACCACGAATTACTTTACAGCGACTCAGGGCACAGAGGCGTCGTATATCTCGGCTACCAGCGGACAACCATCTTCTCCGGTATCTTCTGGCTCACATGCTGCGTCTGCTGTCGATCGTGTCTCTGCCACTTCACTTACTTCCAGTAGGACTACAGTGCAAAGCGTTCACGATTCGTCCGTACCTTCCTCGGTCTATGTGCCTCCTGTTAGCCAACCGCCTTCGAGAACATCGAAAAGCTCGTCAGCTAGTCGAAGCACCCTGACTAGCTCTTCCGTTACAAGTAGTAGCCGAACCTCTTCGTCAATAAGCCAGACCACAACTTCGTCAACTCGAACAGTGAGGGCAGATTTGAAGGTGGGCGCAATAATCAGCTACCGTGTACATAGACGTGCTGACTGGTTGATCATATCAGCCGCCCGTTGATGACGGGGAACCACAAGCCAACGATCCTACCGAGGGTATCAGGAATCAGCTGAGCCGTATCGAAGAGCAAGTAGCAGGAATCGGGTCCTATCTCGCCGTGAAGCCTCGGACCCATAGCAAAAAGGCGACAAGCGCGATACGTACTGCAACAACGGCGGAGTCCCCACCTTCCCCTTCACTATCGTCCTCATCGAGCTCCTCTTCCAGAAGCAGCAGCAGCAGTAGTGCTCCCACCACTCCGACCGAAACCTCCTCTGGGCTGAACAGAAACATCATCGAGATTAGGGACGGGGTGGACGAGGTTCTAGATCGGAGTGACGCGATCCTCGATGAGCAGCAGAAATTGCGAGAGCTACTGGAGGAGCAGATTCCTTGGCAAAAAGATCAGATGACAGGTCGAGTACCTACTCTGCACCGTATTGAGGACCTATTACTTCGCTTGCTGGTCAGATCAGGCGATTCCGAGATCCTGGACGAAGCTGGATACCAGAAAGATCGAGTATCCGCGTACAGTCCGCATCGGAGCGCTAGCGCACATTCCCGTTTCAGCACAGACGAGACGAATACCTCTGTCTTTTCCAATGAAGACGGGCTGCGTGCTCCGCCTCCACCAGGCAGTCTCGCTACTAATTTCCGCCCTTCCCATGCTGGCGATCGAGCCAGTCAAGTCTCGAGCTCGCTGCTCGTTACCACACCGAGGATCGACGGAGAATTGGACGAGATGTGGGAATTGCAGAATCTACCGGATGGATCTCCCCCTCCCGCTCGGGATCGTCAGCGTGCTGCGCCTCCTGATCTCTCTTTCTTGCGACGACCACAAGGAGAAGCCCAGCCTGCGTACGACGATGAAGAGGACGATTACGAAGCTGACGCCCAGCAGGATGAGATGTCCCAAGCAGAAAGCCCCCAGATTCGCCCGGTACCAGCGCCGAGACCTATTGCAATCCCCGATCGTCAAGCTTACGATCTGCCCAGAACCCCTGAAAGCAGTACACCAACACCTCCTCGACCGAGAACGCATCGCCCAGGACCGGCGCCAGAACCTCTGAACATTCCATCTCCGGTATTACCCGGTCGACCGTCGAACATGGCGCCCAGCTCCTTCAGACCTCCCCCAACGATGCAACTGCCGATGCCCCGGCCTTCGAGATTGGCAGGTACTCGAGAACCCATGACGACCACTTAGTAAGTGCGACTCCGGGCGTTTAGCATTGTGCCGATCCTGACAATTTCTTTTTGGATACCTGGCAGTTTCCGGCGAGGCTTCCCACCGCCAATGTTTCCTCCTGGCGTAGTAGGACCTCATATGGGACCGTATCGTGGAGGGGTACCTCCTGGCCTGCCTGGATTCGGCGGGCCCTTTGGGCCGGTGAGCTATCTAAACTTTACATTTCTTGATTCCGATACTAATAGGTGTCACTGTAGAACGTATTTCCCCGCCCTGGTTACCCTCCTCCTGGAGCAGCCGGGGGAGGGTACGGCTTGCCTCGGAGGCCTCTCTTCCCGTCTCGTCCACCCCGGGGAGATCTCACTCCGCTCAGCCGATCTTCTCGTACTGTTTCCTATACGGATTATAGCGTAGGTATTATCGGTACTGTCGAATATTTGGAGATATTGATCGACTTTGTTCGGCTGTGATTTAGGACGAGAGCTCCGATGGCACTCTTGAAGAGGTCAAGGACGCTGTTGAGCATCTTGATCAGACTCAACATCATGCCATTGACAAAGCGCAAGCCTTGGCGGAAGCTCAAGGCCAACAAACCAACGAGATCGGCCGATATCTTCACGAGCTAGGCGAAGTCATGGACTCGAATAGGAAAGACCATTACGACGAGCTCTTGACATTGCACGAGGACATCGGCAAGATTCGCGATCAGATCGCACGAGGAGGACTGAACGCGCAGACCGAGGTCAAAATCATCCCTCCGCCAGAAGAAGCCGCACCTGTGCCTCCTCCCAAGACCGCACCCGTGAACGTCAAGGTTCATCAGGTTCCCGAAATCTTGACGCCTGCCCAGCCAACTACTCCAACCCCTGTTCAACCTCCTGCTCAAACTTCGGTCTCGGTGAATGTGCCGATCCAAGCGCCTCCCGCTGCCATCATGAGTGTGCACGAGCACTCTGAAAACGGGAGTCCGGTGCCTCGATCCCGTAAGCACAGAACGTTTAACCTATAAACAGTCAAAAGAGCTCATTCGTTTCAAGCTTTTCCAGCAATTCCTCTCGTTGTCGACAAGGACGCCGAACAGGACGCAATGCTGCGAGATTTACAGAGGAAAGGTGAGGCCCACGAACGATAAGCTTGAGTCTCGGTTACCTAACATCACCGCCTATAGTCGCCCTGTTGTTACAGAACATGGCCGGAGACGACCGCGGAAAGGTTACCGAAGTTGAGATCACTCACCAGCCCAGCGATGTTCAACCTGGCGACAAAGAGACCATCAAGATAACCGAGGTTCAGCAGGGTCCCGGTCCTCTGCCACCGAAATCCGATCACGACGAGAACATCCGCATCACGGAGATTCATACGGGACCGGCGCCATCTTCAGCGGTACCGGTAGTTGAATCTCTCCCGACGATCGTACCATCGCAGCCATTGTCTGTTCCTGCAGCAGCTCCGTCGGTTCGTTTTGCACCTGAACACGTTAAAGAAACGGTGACCGAGGCAAGTCGGAACTCTCATTCAGTGTTTTACGTTGCTGACTTTAAAGATTGATTTGGCAGCAGGTCATTCGTGGTCCAGGTTCGACGCCTGTAGTGGAAAAGGAGACCATTCGGGAATACGACAGAACTTCCAGCGATGTAGCAGCTGGCCGCGCTCCCCAGCACGAAACTATCATCGAAAAGGAGACTGTCACCGGCCTCGGCCATGACCACCCTGATACCTTGGAGCGTACTACAGAGATTTTCCATGATGCACATCCACCACCATCCGTGATTCCACCTTCCGTCGCAGGTACAGACCGAATCGTCATGCAACCGCCCACCCTGGCTCCTGAAGGTAAGTTGGCGTTTAGATGGTAGGCAAATAAAATGCAGACTGCGCTAATCGGGATCGGTAGTGATACATCACGACACTGTCGAAATCGTCAAGACCCCTTCGAAACGTAGCAGAGGATCGCGAGCGGATACTCATGTACCGAAGACCACTGTAACAGTCGCAGAGGATAGCGCCGGACATCCTATCGTTACGACGACGATTGAGGAGCATGATGTCGGAGGCCGTTACCCCCATTCTGTGCATCCACCAACTACTGTTGCGCAAGATCCGCCCTCGCACGGAAGTGGTAGTAGACCGTCAAGAGTTGCTGCTACAGAGCTTGGGAATATACCCACTTCTGTTGCGCCTCCGCCAGCCACAGTTGTAGTGACACCACCGCCTCCTACTATCATCACTCCAGGACCGCCAGTCGCCACTGCCTACGATCCTATCACAAGACCCCATACACCGGTTGGAGCTGGTCCGCCTGCTGTTACTGTTGTTGGAGACGCTCCCTCCGGTGGCCTGGTAGTTAAGCCAGTCCCTTCGTTTGCGCCTCCCTTGACAACGGCTTCTAAGTGAGTGTCTACTCGTTGCGTATCAATCGGCAGTATGGGCTGACAACATCTGCGACATAGCGTCAAACCTGCATCAGGTGGCCTGGACAGAGATAAGCCAGTGGTGGTGCCGGACGTACCCGTCCAGCTCACTCCAGGCCCGATCGTCCAACCTGCGTCGAATGTACCGACTCAAGCCTCCAGGCCGGCGACCGTGGTGGCTCAACCTGTGCAAAACCAGCCAACGTCCCGACCAGCGACCGTTGTGGCCCAGCCCTTGCAAGACCAGCCAACATCGCTAGGAAACGTTCCATCGGGATCAGAGTAAGTGGATTGTAGACAAAAGGCAACACCTCTACAGAGCCAGACTGACATACCGTTTCAGTGCGAATCCGACAAGCAGGCCCCAATCCGTTGCCAGTCGGAAACCACCACCTCCCCGCCCTGTCTTTGAGGAGGGTGATCCGATGGCGGCTCCCGCGCCAACGACAGCGCCCGCGGTCTCAGCGCCACCTGCCCCTCAATCCGCGGCCAACGTACCTGTTGTAGAAGAGGCGCGAAGACCGCCGGGCGTGTTGAAGAAGCAGCCACCAACCACCCCGTCTACCTCTGCTCCAGTAGCTGGAGACGATCCCCGAGTACGATTTGAGACGCCAGCTCCTGTCACACAACCCGCAGGCGTGGTTCCCGCGACTACTACGGCAAACGTACCAAGTCGACCAGCCAGTACTCAACCTCCTATGCAGGCTGCGACACCGAGTACCGTTATACCTCAGACGATCCCGCCAGGATCCGTATCGCAGCCGAACGTGCAGCCCAGCCTAGTGGAATCGATCCCTGCTCAGACGGCGAAGCCTGTCCGGGAACGCCCAGTGGTCTCGCCAGGACCAGTAATGCCTACGCCTGCACCGACAGTCTCGCACGACGCTCCCCAGTCGGGAGCTCATCACAACGTCCCAAGCGCAACATCTGGACAGCCGACCGGAGGCGCACCCTCTGTTCGACCTGCCACTTCGTCGGGCGGTGCTCCTGCTTTGGACGCACCTGTTCGCCCTCCTTCGTCCGGCATGCAGAATGTACCCTCAGCCGTGGACGCCAGTCGACCTATCAGCGAACAACGACCTCCAGTCAGTCAAAAACCGACTCCACCTTCTACAGTCCAGCAGACCCCTGCCTCTGTTCCTGCTACCGTCCCATTTCAAAATGTCACTCCAGGATCCTCTTCTGGCAACGTAGCGCCCGTGGATCCGGTTCATGTCCCGGCGAGCGACCCTGCACACAGGCCCAATGTGTTGAAGAAGCCTCCGCCCCAGCCCACGATTATCCAAGAATTGCCGCAGCCTACCACTCAGCAGAATGTGCCTGGCAATACGGTACCAGGAGGGGTTGATGTCGTGGAGGGACAGGCTGTCCCAGGCCAGCCCGCTGCCAAGCCCAACGTACTCAAGAAGCCGCCCCCGCCTACAAAGGTAGTGCAGCCAGGTCAGCCCATTGAGACGGTTGCCAATGTTCCCTCCGGGTCCGATCCAGCCACAGCCGGCCATACGGTACCGGTACCAGCCGACGGTGTCACGCAGCATGACGGCTCGACCGCAATGCCTCCTGTCCGTAAGGGCCTACCCACAGCTCAAGGTACATCAGGTCACCCTAGCGGCACCGGTCCTGGCGAGCCAAGGGCTGGTTCGAAGCAGCCAACGGTCGTTCCGGGCCAAACACCCGGTGGCGCGACACAGTCCATCAGCCCTGAAGCTGCGCTTGCGGAAAGGGACAGAATTGCCGGTAAGTCTGGCAGGCGGGATAACACGTTGAGTTTCTGACTGAAAGCGTAAATCACACTCTGTTAGCACAAAGCAAGGCAAACGCAGAGAAAGCAGGTAAGAAAAGGGGTTTCATTTCGTGTTCGATATGCAGATGTTTACGATTGCCGTTACCGCTCCATTCGACCAGAACAAGAACGGCTCGAAAAGGAGAGGCTACAAAAGGAGCACGAAGCAGCACAGAAATTGGCGGCAGACCGTCATAAGGAGCAGCAAGACGCTCTGTCTGATATCAAGAAGACTCTCGTAAGCGCCTTGTCACACCTCCCTCCACATTCTTGACATACACCTTACAATCGCGTTTCATAACACAGCATGACCATGGCACACACGATACCAAGTGGAAAGAAACGTTCGCTGAAGACGCCAAAGCCAAAGAAAAGCGTCGAAATGACAAGACCGAGAGGGACAAGAAATGGCAAGGTACGCATGGAAGCGCTTCGATCGTCTCTTCATCTCTCTTGACTAATCAAGTTGTCATCGAACGTAAACAACCTGTAGAGGCAATCGACAAGCTGATCATTGAGAGGGACGCGGACAAGAAGTGGCGGGAAACAGAAGCCAAGAAGCCTGGAAACCAGGCCGTGATCGATTACCTGAAGAAGCGCAACGACGATCTCACGGCCTTCTTGCGAGCTTTGGCAGCCGATCTTGTCGCTCAAAACACCAACCAGCATCAGCAGACGCAACAGGCTGCCAAGGCATGGGCTCGAGAACAGGTCGCTTTCAATTTGAGCGGATAGTAAGCGATCAGTGGCGCGGTCCGGCAGCGTTATTTCGCGCTAATGCCATCTGGTTTACAGTCTCGACGACTTCTCCAAGGCGTTATCGGTAAGCATTCTACCCTATGGGTAGTAAAAATTGGCGTCATTAGACTGACCGCAATCCCATCCACTAGTCCGAAGTGCGCGCGCTCCTTAAGGAAGTTGGTGACTTGCGAGAAACTAGGAGGGCTCTCTACTAGTGAGTGCCTTTGCCAGCTTTTCTGTGCCATGTACTGACATCGTTAACACATCTAGCGAGTTGGCGGAACTTCTACTGATGAAGGGAAGGCAATCACACGGAGACTTAATGGCAGTCTTGCCTTTTCCCACGGGTAACGGAGTAGGACCAGGACCAGGCATCGGCTTACCTAAAGCTGCGGCGCCCAAGCCGAACCCGCCAGCTCCCAAGGTGAGCACGCTCCTGCGACGCAGCACGGGGACATGAGCTGACCATTGGCCTTCTTCATGATTTAATTTTAGCCTGAGCCCCCCAAGCCGGCAGTACCGCCTGCTTGGCAGTCCTACAACTTGCCCCCCAACATGACCATCGGTGAGCTGGCCTTTCCACGGTCTCCAACACGCAAACCTTATGCTAAGCATCCGGATTACGCAGGCAACCCTGGTCAAGCTCCGTCTAATGTGCCTTCGGCGAAAGGTGGTAAACCGCCAGGAGGAGTAAGTCGCATCTGAGTGATACACGCATCCCCTCTCAGCAGACTGATTTGCACTTTGCGCGATACAGTCGAGGCCGCTCCCGACTCCGGGCGATGTCGTGAGTGCGTAGTCATCGTAGACTGTTTGCACTTTTCGGACTTGCGAGCTTAACAAACCGATTTGCGCGCAGTGACCACAACGACTACCACCCACCCAGCCTGATCAGAGGTAATGGCTCGATACAGGAGGTTCAACGGAAGGACTGTACCTATCTATATAATGTGCTTCACAGGTGTGCTTGCTGCTTGCCGTCTGGGTTATTACGATTCCATGCATCATGATGCAGAGTTGGACCAAGAAGTGCAGAAAGGGCGTGCAAGTTGAGCCGGTCCTTAATAATCAGATATCATACAATTTCGTTCGCAAAGAGAGATCGAAGTCGGATTTTTTCGAACAAGCGGAACCAGAGAGATGAAAGGTATCGTCACGTCACAAGAGTTGGCGATCTCAAGCCGTGGTAGTAGTGGTTCCGGCCGCGGCGTATTCCTGCCGGTACGATTGGCGATCAGTTTTGCGATCCACTGGTGTCAAATCACTGAAAGCTCACCAGCATCTCCTTGTCCAAGTCCTCGGCGGTCTTCTTGGGCCTAGGAGCGCGCTTGGCAGCACCTCCTCGAGGGGCAGCTCCACGTCGAATAGGACCAGCGCTATTGAATGTAAAAGACGGCATGGCGAGAGTTCAGTTTATGTCTTGTAGCGTTCCAAATAGGGGATTTCAACGAACCCTCGCGAAGCAGCAGCAGGGGGTGCGGCAGCAGGCACGGGCCTGGGTGCAACACGGGCGGCGAGAGGGACCTTCGAGGGGTCAACGACGACCTCGACTTTGAGAGGTCGCTCTGTGTGCGGAGAGCACGTGAGGCAGAGTCCAGCAAATGATGGCAGAGTTACAAACGAGGCGCAAAGGGGAAGTTGGGTTCCAGATGACGGAGAGGATTTCATAATGTTGGCGAAAGGTAAAGTTGTAAGGTTGGGAGGATGGTGTAGAAGGATAGTATGGCGGATTGTCGGGTCGTGGTTGTGGTTGTGATAAATGTTGATGAGGGTGGAAAAAAATGGTTGACGAATTGATGGTGTTGCATTTGGAAGAGTTGAGGTGAAGGAAGAAGACGACCGGATGGGAACGTGGGTCAGCCACCTGATCAAGAGATAATGTCGGACCTGCCCGCCGTTGCCGTCGCTGCCGTCGAACCGAGAGAAAACGGGCAAGTCGAGTCGATACGATTCGGTTCGATTTCGGGGATCGTGCTTGTGCAAAATCCCTAATGCGAAGGGCTGGTAAGAGGCATCGAATGCCGTAGACCTTGACCGTCGTCCAAACGGGTGCGCGAGCGCAAGACATCGATACTGATCGACGTCGAGGTAGGGCAGTGACCGCCAATTCGAGCGTCATCGCCAACCGGCCAATGTGCAGAACCGGCTTTGCACGGAAACGAATCGAGCTCGCCTCATCGCCGAGCCTACCGCGGCGTCCAAAGCGATACATCGTGACTCGATCCCGTCCAGAACCGCCCTCGTCGCGGAGGATCGATACCTCCCGCCAGGCGAATGAGAATCCGCATCGCAGGCAAAATGGTCCACCAGCCTCTTCGAGTCGAGGCCGATCAGCCCACCATGATCGTCACCCCTACCGCAAGGCGGTATCGCCCACCCCGCACGACGACTCGTCCGTTTCGCTTTGTGTCTCGCCTTGTGCCTTTTCTTGCCTCTTGCCTTGCCATTGATCTTGCCTCTAAACGCCGTGCTGTCTATTGTCTTCCTTGCAATACCGAGTGCCGTCTCGACGTCGATTGCCAGACACGACGACGGCGGCCAATCCGGCGACGGCGACATCTTCGTATTCGCCCCGGGGCAGCATATTCTGAAAAGAGATTCAATCAAGAAGAAACGCCTACTAACTCTGGTCGATCATCCGGTTGTTGTCTGCCGCCCAATTAAACATCCGACATGCAGAATCATCGTAAGCTCTCCATAACGTGACCAGATGACAAGCAGCCAAGGCAGGACCTGTACGTACACTGTTCAAAAGCCTTCTGCGCGCTTCCCTTTTGCCTGAAGATGACAGTGGCGATACCCTTGGACTTGCCCTTGTTGTCGTAAGCGAGTTCGACGACCTTGACTTGACCGACGGTGGTGGTCATCAATTCCTGAAGCACGTCGAAAATCACGTTAGCGTGTCTTCCGAATATGGGAAAGGAGCCAGTGCAAGATGAATGGACTCACCCTGACGCTCTCCTCCTCGACGTCCAGAGGCAACTTGCTGATGATGACCTTGAGAGCCTCGCTCGTCGCCTGCTTCTGCTGTTGCACCAACGGGTTCACGCCCAACTGTTGCTGCTGGGGTCGACCGGCGGGGATCGCACCGGCGTACTTGGCCCGAGCGCCCGAGGCCTGTCCCTGTTGCTGAGGACGGGCAGAAGCGGCGGGACGGGGAGTGGAAGTGCCTCGGCGGGAACCTCGGCCTCGGGAACCTTTGGGTCGGGTGGCGATGATCTGCAAAAGAGGTGACGGGAAAGGCGTGAACCAACAGGGGGAAGGTTAGAAAATGGATGCCAGTTGCGGAGTTTGATAAATCGAGGCAGGCTAGGCGTCGATCGATGATGGATGTGTTGTCTACGGGGGTCATAGTCGGTTCGAGCCGACGAAAGTGTATCGCGTGGAGCTGATCGTGATCCTTCTTGATCCGCTGGTCCTGTCCGAGTTCTGAATGATCTCGTTGTCTCGTTACGACGAGATTCTCTTGCCTCCGCTTTTCTGTCTCATCCAACGTAGCTCTCCCAATGCACGGGAGGCGGGAAGCTCGACGCCTCTAGGCCGAATCGATGGATCCCCCCGCCTCCGATGTCCCAGACCAGATCGCCCTCATCCGCGTCACCCCAAACGACCAAAGATCCAGCCAGAGAATACGAAATTACGGAGGAGGGAGGCGTAGGGAAGAATGAATCGAGGGGGTGGTGGCAAGAAGTGGACGTACTTCATCGAGAGACTCTGTCGTAGAATGAAAAGGGCCAGGTCAGCAATCGGCACTGTCAAAGCGCGTGTAAAGAGATTCAATCAATCGAACTGCTCACTGTCGACATCCATGGCAGACATGTTGGTTCAGTTGATACGTTTGTTGAGTTGCGAGGTGTGAGGTTGAGGAAGAGTGTGTTTGAAGCGATCAGTGAGAGTCGATTAAACAAGGTGAAGCCGGAAAGTCGACCTTCTCGAAGTGTTGAATCACTCCCATCACTCTCCCTTGTTCTCTCATGCTCGTCTCGCTTGTCGTTTCCGCTTTCTCACGCGTCTGCGCGTTACCTCGCATCCCTCTCGCTTGCACTCTCTCCCGAAAACCTGCCAGCGAAAAATCGACATCTCCCTCTCAGAACATCCTCACTTCTCCAACAAAAGTATATATACCTAGTTCACTCCCTTGACCTGTCTCATCCCACCTCGTCGCCCTTGAAGCTATCTCGACCTCTTTTCTATTATCACGACCAGAAAGAGCCGCTACGTCGCGTCTCCTCCCTGTGCCTCTCTCTCTCTTCGTCACCACGGAAGGACCCTGGACCTCTTCACTGAGTAATCCGAACCGAGGACCGGCTACCCATACAAAAGGGAGAGAGAAGGGAAAGGGTCAAGACGGGGCTCGTGTGTACGATAATACACCGGCTGGCATAAAGCATAACATAGCATCATGTTCTTCCTGGTTGGTATCCATCGTCCTCTCGTCCCCATGTCCCCATCTTTTACGATGGTAGACCTCGTCGCCGTCCTCGATTTTCTTGTCAAGCCAGATCACAATGGCTGACGGAGAATTCGAATACGTATCCTCCCCTCCTGCACCTCCCTACACTCGTCGTCGAACCTCCGTTCGTATCGTCGTTGCTCGAAATCATGATCGTGCCCCGCAACGCCATGTCTCGCCCTGCGTAAACCGACCGTCGTCACCATGCGCATCACGTCGATGAGTAGAAGGACCTTGAACATAACATCTCTGTGAGTGCTGGCGTCCTTTGCATTCTACACGCCATGACATCGACTGACATAACTTCCTTCCATACGTTACAACTCCCCGTCTCGCAGCTTCATCCATCCTACTTTGGACCGAACATCACAGAGATCGTCCTACAGAAACTCTATGCCGATGTCGAGGGCGTCACTTCGGGTCAGGATGGGTTAGTTCTCCGACATCTCTTCCCTTTCCCTTCAGCTCTGCCTAGTATCAAAACAACCTCACTGACATCCAACAACAACATTTTCAACTGCACAGTTACATCATCGCCATAACCGATCTCCACAACCTAAAGACCCTTCAATCCGGTTCCAAGGTTATCCAAGGGACCGGCGAAGCCGAGTTCACACTCCATTACCAAGCGCTGGTGATGAAGCCCATCAAGGGCGAGGTGGTGGACTGTCAGGTCGAAAAGGTCGGAAAGTTGGGATTCTTCTGCGTCTTGGGACCGATGCAGATCTTTGTGTCTACGCATGTGAGTGGTTGCGGGCCGTTTTTCCGTCTCTTTCTTCTTGAATCCCCTTTCCACCGCTTCGCTCGCTCGTCCTCGAATCCCGGGTTGCAATACAAAACAAAACAACACGCCTCTGAATGATGACAAGAAAGCATAGGGACATCTTACCCTTTCGGGGGCATGATGCAAACGTACTGGGTGATTCAATGTAGTAGTATGAATCCTTTTAAAATGTCCTGACAAGCGTAGTTTTGGGTAATTCCGGGATCGGACGAGCTCGAGCGGGCGGGAGGAGACCTTTTCTTCTATCGTTTTTCTTTTTTGCGATAGCCAGACCTGAGCCGATGCTGATGCTCGACCCTCCGATCTCGATAGTACACGCCGGAGGACTTCAAGTTCCAGCCCGAGGCCAACCCGCCCGCGTTCACCTCGACGCATACGGGCGAGTCTATCCGACGAGGAAGCCGGATCAGGTTGAGGATCGTCGGTGTTAGGGGGGAACAGAGCGACTTCGTGAGTCGGCTCGCCACTACAAGCGCGTTCGTCGAGGATGAGAGTTGACGTCTTGCCTCGTTGCATAGTTTGCGATCGGGTCGATCAAGGGCGATTACCTGGGCCCTATGGAGGACTGATCTTTTGTCTCTCGCGAAAATGTCTTGTAAACGAGGCTACTTTGGCCTTTCTATACTATTTCGATGTATACCAAACAAACATGTGCAAAACCGAATACAAAAATATAACGAACCGGACTACAATCGGCAAGCTCGTAGGTGGGATGCATCGAGCAGAACATGCGAAGCAGCCGAAGCGGGCGGGTCAAGGACTCGCAGTCGACTGAGGTGCTGCTGTAAGACTGGTGACCGTACTAGCAGAACGATCAGTAGAGAGGCTGTCCAAATCCGCTTGAGTAGATCGAGTTGCGGTCAGGCTTGGGCTACTCAGCAGCGAGATACTCAGGCCACGCAATGGCGACTCCACCTGGATGCTCAGCCCTTTGAGAGGACCGCCCTTGATGACCTTGGCGGCGGGTTGCTCCTCGCTGACCTTGACGGCGGGTCCCATTTTTTCTAGCTCGGGAAAACTGGTCAGACCATCTGCCCTGCTGGTCTTGCCGACCCATTGAATGACAGCATCTGGGTCGAGCACGCCAGTTGGGACCAGCGTGATAATCGGCTGGCGCAGCTGGGTGGGTGTGGGTCTCTGGATTACCTTCGTGGACGTCTTGGTTGCCATATCGCTCACGGTATGAGTGGCAAGATTGTCAGGTCAGAACCGTCGTTCAGATGCGGCGTGATAGGCAAAGGCGTCGACCAGGAAGGCTGGAGGGCGATCCTCCATTGCCACACAGCTGTGACATGTCAGGGCACTTATATACGTGTCCGCCTCGGCTCACATAGAAGAACAGACGCACGGTGTCAGACCGTCAAACCCGCTAGAGGAAAGAGCCGAATCAAAGGTGCGGCTCAAGGACCTGCGCATCAGGGTCACAAAGGAAGCGCATCGCGCCACATCCATGATATCAGCTCGGCCAAGTAAGGGATATCAAGACAGTTACCTTCCGGCTGGTTTCTTCGTATTGCATTGCATCACTGTCGCTAAGCTGGAGTTCGTGCAGCGTGAAACAAGATACGGCTGACATGTCAGCGGTGTTCGTTCGAGATACTGTCAAGCTGAGAGGCAGCACACCGTTAAGTCGAAAGCTCATACCGGTGAAACGATAATAGAGCTGGCTCACTTTGACGAACACCAGCGTTGCACAATGTTCCGAATCCACAAAATCCCGAATTGCAGAACAAGTAAAGGTGGTTTGCAGTAGGAGTAGGGGTCGAAGTGGGTAGAGAGAGGACGTTTCCAAGGGAAGCTTGTGGACACCATGGATTTGCATGTTGAACTCTGCGATGTCCTTGAGAGCCTGCTCCGCAGTGCTGCCTCTGATGGCTGAACAAACGATCAGCATATCGGGACCTGGTATAGGTTGGGACCGTTCAGAAGGCGAGGGAAGCTTGGTACCACTACAGATAAAGTGATATTCGTTCCCGTAATCGAGCAGTGGCGATTGATGCTCCACACCGGCCATACTTGAATCTCCCTGTGGATGAAGACGTTCGAGCGTCGGCTCAAAAACCTCATCCCGCAACTGCGAGCATCCGTGTGCGCCTTCGAAACATATTCGTAGCCGGCTTGATTTTACCATTGTCCTTCACGGCATGACTCAATTCCAGGCGCACCCTTCCCACGATCCCACAAGCACATGAAAAGGCTCGTCTCTTTTGACGACGGCTGGCGCACGCAAAATGGCGCGCCATGACAGCATCGGGTTGAAACGCGACGCACCTTTGACCAAGATCTAGTCAGATGACCATCGTGGCGGTTTCAGGCTTCTTCGAGTAATCGATTGGGCAGCTATAGGAAATGAGATGACAACTTTACGATCCTTGGATTCGACCATCGAGTATCCTCTTGCCACGACACCGTTTTGCGCGCGATATCGCGTGATCCTACCAGCCATGACCGCGGACTCTCGGTCGCCTCACAAGCCATCACACAATTCCCCACGATCTACTTTCGTCACCCTGGGACAAAGAATTACATAGAGATCTCGTCGCTGTTCTCGACCTATGACCCAAACGGAGGCAAATTTCCTTTTAACGTAAGCCTCGACTGTCTAAGCTTTTCACAAACCATGATGTTCGACCACTAACAAAGAAGCCCTCCCAGATACTGGCCGACGCAGGATCCATTTACAGTTGTGAGGAAGGGATTCAGGAGACTCTCCTGATTGAGCAAGATAGTCTCGATGCCGAGTCTACAGCGCCCGAGAACTCTGCTCACGAGCATCCATACACGCAGATCGAACATGAGGACCGCGTGTTCGTTGCAGAAACATCGGTCAATAGACTCAAGGTCTTCGAAAGGAAAGCCGGTTTCGCGTTTGACAAGAAGGAAGTCGTGGTAGCCATACGCAAGTGGTTGATGGAGTGGTTTGAAGAGCTCGCGGGCGCTTCCAATGTGTGCGATCCCCAACAACGATTCGACTTCACCTCAACGCTAGCGGATCATGTTCTCGAACACATGAAGGAGAGCGATCACAGAAAGGCGCAGGAACTCGAAGAGAACGGACATCTTCAGGACTTCTCAAGTAAAGCGAACGAAGCGACATATCAATTGTTGAAGGATCTCGAGGAGAACAGAGGCATTTGCGAAAACTATCAGAAAAAACATCTAGCTCTGCTATAGATGGGTGATATAGTGGGAGAGAGGAGGGTTCGCGAGGGTGAAAAGTATATTTTTCCCAATTTGCACTGCGGAGAAGGGTGCCGATAAGCGAGATGGAGCTTGAACGTCATGGTGTAAGAACCCCGCTTTGTATAGATTGTGTGTCCTGCCACAGTCCCCTTGTATATTGCCGTTGAGATTAAACCGTACTTTTAAACCGTACTTTCCTGGTAAGTTCGAATTGTTAGTCTTTCAATAGGGTCATCTTTGCTATCGACACCGAGTAAAGGGATGAGCTGCAGCTGGCGTAAACGAAATTCCTATACCAGGATTGATAAAACGCCCTTGCGATGTTGTGGCATACATTGGGTCGTTCAGCTCCAGCAGACACCCGTGATCGTGTTGGCCGGAGGGGAGGGGGTTGTCAGTTGTGTGTATAGGGGCGGCTCCTGCAACCCAACCCAGGTCGGAAGACGGACAGTACGACAGTTTCGTCTGAAACGTGTTCGAGCCGATGAGATGCCGCCATCGCGCCACGTCATGTCACGGCATCGTTCGCTCGCTCGGATTACCAACAACGGCCTCGTCCGAAGAGAGCACGCTATCCTCGACCAACCCCCGGGTTATATATATGTCCGGAGGGTAGAGGCTCATGGTAAACTACAAAAGGGTCAAGAGTGAGCAAGGAAGTAAGCAAGTCTCACGGCAGGTTTCATACAAAAGTCAATCCTCAGTCAGTCCAGTCTTCTCAGCTTTTCATTCCTACCATGTCGGTCACGGCTCGATACGCGATCCGACTAGCTCAACCCCGACTCGCACCGTCGTTCACCAGCAGGTACTCGCCAATCCGCTTTACCTACCAATTGTCACAACAATATCGAAGCATGTCGTCCACTCAGATCCCTACTACCATGAGAGGAGTCTTGGTCGAAAAGGTGGGAGGTCCCGAGGTGCTCGAGTTCAAGACCGACTTGCCCGTCCCCAAGCCTGGTGCCGGTGAAGTCTTGGTCAAGAACGAGTTGGCCGGACTCAACTACATCGATACGTGAGTGGTCGGCATGATGGAGGATCATTCTCGAAAGTTATCGTTGATGTTGGCCATTTTGATACCTGCTAGCTACTTCCGGACCGGTCTCTACCCATCTAAAAAGCCCGAAATACTCGGCAAAGAGGGGTACGGAACGATCGTCTCCCTCGGCTCGGACGAGAAATCCTTACAAGGCCTCTCGGTGGGCGACAGGGTCGTATGGATGGGCGGGTCTGGATATGCCGAATACACCGCTGCACCGGCTCTGCATACTTACAAGATCCCTGACGGTCTCGATGGCAAGCTCGCCCTCGCTTCGTTCTTGCAAGGACTCACCGCGTTGAGCTTGATCAGGGAAGCTCATCCGGTGAAAGCTGGGGAATATGTCCTCGTCCACGCCGCTGCGGGAGGGGTCGGGCTCTTGCTTTGCCAGATGCTCAAAGCTACCGGAGCACATGTAATCGCGACCGCTTCTTCCCAGGAGAAACTCGACCTGGCAAAGAAGAATGGGGCCGAGTTCCTTATCAACTATTCGGAGGAGAAGGATCTCGTCGCCAAAGTGCTCGAGATCACACCCGGTGGCCAGGGGGTGGATGTCGTCTTTGATGGAGTGGGCAAGTCGACGTTCGAAGACGACCTGTTGATGGTCAAGAGGAAGGGTTCGCTCGTCTCGTTCGGTAACGCATCAGGGGCGGTACCTCCGTTCGCCATCTCGTAAGTCTCGACGTCCTATCCTTGGATACACTGCTCGCGGTCATGGCTTTCTAATCCCTCATCTGCTGCATCATCACAGTCGACTGACGGCCAAGAACCTCCGACTTCTCCGACCTACCCTCTTCAACTACATTACCACACGCGAAGAATTTACCACCTACACCAAGGAGCTCTTCCAGTTCATCCTTGATGGAAAGCTCGACATCAAGATCCACGACACTTATCCTCTGGAGGACATCAGGAGGGTGCACGAGGATCTGGAGGCGAGGAAGACTACGGGAAAGGTTTTGATCAAGATTTGAGGGGTTAACCATATCGAACAAATGACAAATGAATCAGGATTGTAATACATTTGAATCACTATTGCTCACTGAGGGCTCGAAAAGCTACATCAATTCCAGGCATGTGATCGGAATGCGATCTCAGTTGGATAACGAGTCTCGATGGATGTGAGCCTGAGCACGGACATGGCTTGAAACGACATGTCCGCTTTCAGATCGCGATGAGCGATGAGCACGACCAGACGGATGAACCTCTCTCATCGGATGCCCTGTCGCTGTCGACGATAATCTTGACTTGCTTGCCCATCAACAACCTTGCTGTACAGCTTGATAGTGTCGTGGCACATACCATGTCGTCACCTTTTATCAAACGAGCCAAAGCTCGGACGAACCTGCGTCAGCGGGACGATGCCGCGCCAGGTTCACCTCTAGCCAGGACGACGGACGATGCCGGGGATGAAGACGAGGAGACGAGCGTCAGCCCGATGCAGATGGCCAAAAACAGGAAGAAGGATAAAGAGAAGAGAAAGGTGGGGTCGACAGGAAAGACTCGGCTGAGTTTCGGAGGAGAGGATGAGGAGGTAAGCGATTCCAAGTGGTCGCTCGGTATGCGGACCTCAGGCTGATCTTGACTTGGCTTTGCTCGCGAGGCAGGCTTCGGAAGATCAGCCTTTTGTAGCCCGGAAATCAAAGCTTTCACAATCGATATCATTACAGAAGTCGGCAGCCGTTTCATCGGCTGCAGCTACGGCTAGCAATGATGGCACGGGTGATTACCACAATCCGTTCGCTTCTTCATCTTCGACCCCCGTAGCTTCCTCTTCGGTCTCATACAATAACGCCTACCTCGAAGAGCTCAAAGCGTCGACACCGATGAAGGCACCACGTGCTCGAGATTCCGAGGATGAGGCTCAAGCTATGGAAGTTGACGATCTACGGGAACCAGCCTCGAGCACGACATTCGCTACGCCAAGTCTAAGCCGGTATGCGCCCGTCCTCGATACTACCCAGGGTATCCCAGATGAAGCGGCGATAGCTGCTGCTAAAGCGAAACGGAAGACGGCGACCGGTACGGGCGTATCTTCCTCAAGCGGACTCGGAGGAGAGGATTATATCAGTATCAACCAGGACAATGGCAAATTGGCAGTATACGACGCGGATGCAAGGGGGGATGTAGGGCCTCATCCTGAGAGTAGGTTGCAAAGGGAGGAAGACGAAGAAGGCGATGGAGATGAAGGTCAGTATGGATGGGCTCAGATTGGTTCTTGTCTCCGCTCATGATTGAATCCCCTTCATCAGGATTTGCCGATTTCACCGAGACGAATACCCGACTCGCCATCGGCAAGGACGCCAACAAAGCTGCCGCTCGACGGTTGCGGAGCGATATGGTGGACGCAATTGAAGAACGGTCAGTCATCTTGCCGAAATTATTCCATCCAACATCATTCGAATCCTCATGAAACCTCTTTGTTTGGCTACGAAAAGAGAAAATGAAGATCTGGACGACGAGGATGAGCTGGCTTGGGAAATGGCTCAGGCTAACCGAGCAAACCCCACCATTGACGCCGGACCATCTCAGCCAGGCAAAGTAAGCACGGTCATATGACGAATCGATCAGATGCGAGGACCTGACCAGATCATTTCCTCATATGTAGACCTCACGACCGTACAAAGCTGCTCCGATACCCGCTTCAAAATCACTGCCTACGGTCACTTCCGCTTCAGCTCGACTACAATCCTCTTGCGCCTTCTTGAGAGCATCGAGGGCTACTCGACAGAACCAGATCGAGGCTGCGGATCGGGACCTCGTCGCATGTGATACTCAGGAAACGGAGCTGCGAGCTGAAGTGACGATGGTCGAGGCGAAGAAGGAGTGGATGGAAGAATTTCGCGGCTGGGTTGAAATGCTGGGAGGCTTTTTGGAGGAAAAGGTGGGCCGCTGTGCACTCATTCTCCCATCACGCCACATAGCTAACCTGCAGATCCGCCTCAACCTGGTTAGATGCCGGTACTGCAGAAGATCGAAAAGGATATGATGCTGCATTACAAAGAGCGTCACGATATCTACACCAAGCGGAGGTTACAGGACGATGCAGATGATCTGGCATTGTGCGTCGGGATTGTGGCACCTGCCGAAGCGGCCGAGGAAGAGGAGGTAGACGAGCTGGGCAGGACTCGCCGTAAAGTCGATGAATCGGGAGCATATTCTGGTGTTCGACGGGCGCGGAGAGAAGAGCGTGTTGCTCGACGACAGCGCAGGAACGTACGGAAGCCTACTCCCCGTACGGACGAGGATGGATACTCTACCGATAGTTCTTTAGGTGAAGGGGACGCAGAAGACTATCAAATGGCACAAGAAGCTCTGCAAGCTCGTGTGCAGGCCTTGTCTAGCGATGTCAAGGCGGAGGATTTCCGTGATCCCGAACTGGGTCTTGCGGTACGCTTCGGCGGCTGGCGCAAGCAATACGAAGACGAGTACAGCAACGCGTATGGTGGTTTAGCCATGGTGCAAGGTTGGGAGTACTGGGCGAGACAAGAAATGGTCGGATGGGAACCAAGCAGAGTGAGTTGTCGCCCTAGAGGTAGGATAATTGCAGAGCCTGATAGCCGTCGCGCCGTAGTCATCCAAATCGCTAGACTCGTTCCATTGGTTTGATTGCTTGCACCGTTATTCCCGTCCCAAGACGGAAGATGCGCACGCAGAGGATTCGGATGACATGGATCTGGACGAAGAGCCACCCCTTTCTGCAGAGGGGGATCTTGCTGCAGCCATGATCTCGTCATCGGTGACCAACATCGTGCTTAAAGCGATCGAGCATGGCGTCTACGATGTGTGTTCGACCAAGCAGACCAGAAATCTCGCCGATCTCCTGGACGTGATAGGCGAATATATCGGGAAAGAAGGCTCAAAATACCGTGTAAGTGACCCCCTGCAACCATCCGTCGCTTGATGCCGCCGCTCACCTTCTTCCACAGGGCTTACTTAAAGCTATACTCACAGTCTTTTCGACAAATATCCTCGCCAATATCGAACTTGTGGGTTCCTTGACTTCGCCTCACGCACGTCCTCCACCAGCATTCGACCCGGCATCACGGACGTCTTTGAGGACATTTACCAATCGGCAACGCAAAATGATCAAGAACCTCTTGCTCTGGCGACGATACGTTCCCGATGAAGTATCCGCATTGGTCAACAGGATGATTCTAGACGTACTCCGACCTGTATTATCACGATGCTGGGATAGTGGTGGTCAAGAGATCACAGCCGAGGCAAGTAGATTCTCGGACAGCTGGACGAAATGATGATTCCTGACTCAAACGCATCATTGTAGCTTGCGAGCGGGATCCCACCCGGCTTACTGAACCCGACGGCATCAGCATTCGCCAGTGGGTCTCAAGCGTTCTAGAGGATACCGAGTTCGGCATTCCACTTCTGCCGTGACCGTCGACGTGAAGAGTTGGTACTTTTGTGGTATCGACGCAATTCATGGCAAAGACCAGGCACACCAGCGTATCAGGGGAAACCCTCAACAAGCTTCTAACTGTGTCTGGTAGACGGTCTAGCAAGGCGAAATCGTTCTTGAAGCATACTCTTGACCCACCCTCCCAGTGCAAGGGTATTCCCTGTGCACTTGCTATGGAGATGTTGCGGTTCGTTCGCTGTCAGACATGAAGTCACCGCTGTACATATTTCGTTTCGAGCCAGCCTGGCCGAAATTGTAGCTCAAGTGGAACCAACGGCCATTCACACCGATTGACAATAATATGGAAGTGGCCTCTCATCGTAATATTCATGCACATCCCAAAGCATCCATACAAGCTGTAAACTGTCTCGACGAAAGGCTACCGATGTTGACCCGCGATGTAAGCCGTGTAGGCCGACATCGCGCCTTTCGACGGGTTGACAGATGCGAATTATGGCGACTGAATCTAGCCAGCCGCTCAAAGCGATGATGTCCCAGGTTGTGCAGGACATGACGTCGCTGATGGAGGTCTGCCGGCTAGGTTGCGTGGACCTGCGGTCCGAGAGTGTACTTGTCGAAGGTACCGACGTCGCGAGCCAGACCCAGCGAATGCGATGTGCTGCCATCACCACCAAGCTGATCGATTCGGCCTGCTCAGTAATCGGTGTATCCGGCTTGACTCTGAGCATAGCTAGTAGGCGTATAGCTTGTTGAAGTGTCATCCTGCATGGTCTTGTAGTCGAGAGCATCGCTCGCAGCGGTGACGGAACCGGCCGAAGTCCTGCGCTTCAGTCTGTCCCACTGATTCGGCATGATACTAGATGGTGCCACGCCTCCCGCGATACTGGCGGTGTCTCCTGATTGAGAAGGTGCCTGCTGCGAAGCGTAACTCGGGGCGTACATACTACTGTACGTTCCTCTCTTCCCTCCTCCAAGATGAGGCGGTAAGAAAGGCGCGCCAGGCGTGAGCATTGGCAAAGTATTCGAGTAAGCCTGTGATGCCACAGATGGAGCGATGTAGCCAAGAGGATCATGGGTCCTATAGTAAGCCGCGTCATATCGACTAGGGGCTGGAGTATTGATCGAGATTCAGGTTCTGGTCGATATCGATGAGCGAGCACTTTCGTTGCTTACTGTCAGATGGAACGGTGGGACCGCTCATAAACTCCATCGCCGGCGCCTCGAAACGTCTAAACTGCTCCATCGCCTTGTTCAGGGTCTTTTTGGGTCGACTGAACTGGATCATGCTAGCTTGCAGATTGTTCAAGGCGCCCTCGACGAGACAGTTTTTCTCCTTGTAATGCGTGAGGAGGTGATGCCAAAGCGGATGCTGGAGCGTTCGCGTTATAGTCAGCTACAGCCGATACAACAGCAGTCATAACGAGACCTTGCTCACCTTGCTCAAAACCTTCGGGTTACCCAGAATGACCACTCCATACTTTGCTCGAGTGAGAGCTACGTTCAGTCGTCGCGGGTCGTTCAAAAACCCGATCCCCTGATGTTCGTTGCTTCGCACACAGCTGAGAATAATATAGTCCTTCTCTCGGCCTTGGAAAGCATCGACACTGGCGACCTCGACTTCCTTGTATAGATCCTTCTTCAAAGATCCGTTGTATTGGAAGAAGTTGACCACATACGAACGCTGCCCTTCGTATGGCGTGATGACTCCGATCTGCGACGGGAGGACGCCGGCCTTGAAGAACTTGGTCACAATCTTTTCGACATTGCTTGCTTCCGTCCTGATAATTAGAGGTTTAGCTAGCTGTTTGCTACGATTGAGTGCTGCAAGGCAATAATAGCACCCACCTGTTCAAGAAAGACGTTCCGCTGCTGGAGATCTCTTCGTTGCCCAAGTTCTGATAGAAGAACATGGGCGTATCCATGACCGGCCAAGGGAAGTCTACGTTCTTTCTCAGTCTTTCGGGAGCGGTGACACCGTTCTGAAGCGTGCCCTCATAAAACATGTTCGAAGGGAATTCGGAAAGGCACGGGTGCATTCGATATTGCACCTGAAGTCGAATGGGCTTGTTGCCGAGGATGACCAAGCGCTCAAAAAGTGACTGGGAGAGACCTGCACGAGCGGCCTTTTTGTTCATGATGACGGGACCAAGTTGCTGGAAGATGGACATAGATAAGCGGGAATCCCACCCAAAACTGAGCGAATGACTGACCTGATGATCTCCGACGAAGACGACCTGTTTGCAACCCATGATCAAGGGGATCATACACTCTGTAGGAGTCGAGTGTGGCAATGAGCGATGGCCAGAATGAGCAGGGTCTGACTTCAACTGACCTGGTTCGGCGGCTTGAGTAGCTTCGTCGATCAAGACAGTCCTGAATTTGAACTTTGCCAACCGAGGGTCTCCGGCACCAACGCAAGTGGTACAGATGACATCGGCGGCAGCCAAGATATCTTTCTCCGCATTCCTGACAAGGGCCCGGTACTTCCTCTCGTCGGTCGAACTGAGTTCTCCCTGCTCGCTCTTCAACTGAATGAGCTTTTGCAGCTCTCGGTGGGTGTCGGCGTTCGCTACTTGATTGTGCAACGACAAGAATGACACCGAAGAATCTAGGGCTTCGCGAGACTTTGCAGCAACTCGGACGACCTTGAGCCCAGTTTTGTGGATCTTCTCCGTCAACTGGTCAACTGCGACGTTGGAAGGCGCACAGACTAGCACTTGACCCGGGTTCATCTTTGCCAGATGGAAGACGATCGAAGCTGATGTGACCGTTTTCCCCGTCCCGGGCGGCCCCTATGGAGTTCGAAAAAATCAACACGGGAGCGTAGGCAGGAGTTCGCATACAGACTTACCTGAATCAAGCTCAAAGGCTTCTGCAACACGCTTTTGACAGCGTTCATCTGCGAGCTGTTGAGATCCGGTAGGTTGGGGGCCGACATTCGTTTCGGAAGCTGGGTTCTCAATACTTGAGGTTCAAGCTCGTGACCGAGTAGTTTGTGGTACTGGCGCAATCTGGGTGTCAAATCGACCGAAGGCTTAGAACTGCCTGTCCCGTACTCACGATATAGCCTGAGACACTCCTCTCATCCAAAGCAAACGTTTTCATGGCAGACTGCATACGATCGAAGCTGGTGGATTTCCAAACGTAATCGACCGAGAAGCCGGTAGAGCAGTCTGATGGGACTCCGTCCGATCGACGAAGCTCAAGAGCAATCTCGTCGGATACATCTGTGTTAAGGGAAAGCGACATCGGGTCAGTATCTTCTCTGTCCGTCAACGCTAGAAGAGAGCCATACTATTGGGAATCTTGACGACGTTGCCGTCACCCTCCCAACTCGACCCGCTGTACTGGCTAATCCCGTGGAGACCGCCACCGGAAAATTTCAGTCGCAATTCGTCTCCAACCGCCAACCTGACTTCTCCGCTTTCAAGCTTGGGCATCGAAAAGTAGACGATGCGCTTGTGGTTCAAACCGATGTCCCACCGGATCGAGATGTCATTCTCAGTTTGCGACTCTTTCAGCCTTTTGTCGTAGTCGGCCTCGATCTTGACAAGAGGGCCGAAGATGTTCTGATATTGGTATGCGTCCTCGTACCTGAGCATTCATATGCGTGTCAGCTCTGCGGCCGGGTCGTCGGCATCCAAAGGCGTCATAGTCACTTTAGTAAGATGGGCTGCAGATCTTCCTCTCCCTCTGCCCTCTCAGCATCTTCCAGTTTGGCATTCGGATCCGATCTCCACAACTCTTCGAGCCTGTTCAATTCCTTGAATCCGATATGTCGAGCTCGCATGATCTCGTGCTCCGTAGGCGGCTTGACCAACCAGGACAAGAACGCCCTGTCGTCGATAATTGCTGACCATTGTGAAATGTCCCAAGCGATGTCCTTATTCCCAGTCATTGCAGCGCACGGTTGTCGACAGAGAAGGACGACAACGGTATCGCTCTTTGCGGGAATGAAGCCGAGTGTAAAAACGTTCTTCGCTCCGCAATTGTAGCCTGCAAGAGCCAAACGACAATGGGTCACGGATCGAGAGGTGGCATTGGGACTCGAGACTCACATTCGGGTGTCGTATCACCAAGCGGACCATCCGGATGAAGCATCACTTCCCGATGTCTAGCCCTGACCATATGGTTGACAATGTGTGTGGCACCACCGTTTCCGCCATTCTGTCCTGTATGAGTTCCACCAATCCGAGCGTTGCAGAACCACTTGTTGCATCCCAGGCACTTGACTACCGAAGACGGGGCGTGAATTCCGCAATAGGCGCATGCGTGTTCAGGAAGTTCAGGAGCAGCCGAAAACTCGTTGTTTACATGTCCATGAAGGTTGTCAGGGTTGGCGAGTTCACCCAGCACGTCGAGGTCATCGAAGTCGAGAGCATCTGCTTCTGGTCTCCTCTTCTTGCGTTCAACGTCGTCGCCGATGTCGAGATCATTGAGGTTGACGTTCAATTCGGACAAACTGACACTGCCGTTGGGCGATGCTGGCCTATCATCCAGATGTGACGAATAGACAGAGGTGTCTGGTCCGTACTGCGGAAGATTTGAGGCAACATGAGTACCGGGTTAGCCGAGCTGTTCCTGCATAATGAAGGCCTCTTCCAGATGTCCCTAGACTGACCTGAGAAGCCCCGTCAAACTGGCCAAATTCCATGGTAGCTTAGAATATGTCGGGACTCAACTCCCTAGCGTTCGTCCCAAGACAAAGACAGAGTATGACAAAGTCGATCCGGCCCTACTCTGTTAGGTTGCTGAATCTGAAATCAGGTCTGATAGATAGCTTGAACCGCTAAAGGTAGCGTAGAGATCGTAGAGACAAAGGTGATCACATTTTGCGTAGAGAGAGGAATATGCCGTTCAACCTTTTGCCTCGCAAGCGGAATGACGACGCCTAGCACGCGAGACACTCAAACCGATCGAGGGCAAAAAGACTGGATCGATCTGATCCAGGAGCAGATCGAATGAGATGCATTGGTACAATGGCTACAGCATGTTATCGCCATGAAAGAACTGCACAGACTGCTCGAGCAATGCTAAACCCCGGAAGAATTCATGTACAGACGCAAAAGGTGGTGCGGTAGTCGTTATGAAGTAGAAAGGCCATAAGCTGGGTGACCTGGAAAACGATTTGACCCTGAATCGAAGACATCCCTTGAGGATCTCGATCGGTCGTTGTTGGTGGGGATTAACTATGCAGTGGGCGTTGATATCGAGGTTCTAATTGCGGTTTCCGGGATCAAAGCCGGCAAGGAAGGGGTAAGACGGGGGGAGGGGGTTGTTGGACCGATGGTATATGGAGCCCAGGGAAATGCTTATTGGCCGAAAGCGAATCCACCTTGCGGTGCTGCGACTGTGGGAAGGGAAAAAGCAATTCGTTAGCGCCAACTATCGTATGGCAAGCAGTGTATAGTGCTTACGATCCGAGTTGAAGGCGTATTGGCCTGACGCATCAACGGCAGGAGCGCTCTCGTCAGCAGCTTCCTCCTCCTCGTCTGTGTCACAACGATATTCGAATGTCAGCGTCGAGCGAGACTTGTGATATTTGCCATATTGTACGCACCTTCGGGGAAGTACTTGTCCATGATGTAGAAGCACTTCTTGTAGATGTCCAGGTTCTCGTGATGTTGCAGGTTGTGAATGGCGACCTACCAAGCTTTATGTCAACACGCAGATCCTTCCCGATGTCGCGCCTGCCGTTACACTCACCATGCCACCAGCCTCCTCAATGTAGACGGCGTACTGGTTGAAAGCTCCAGCACCGTTGGCATCCTTGTCCATCTCACCAATCTTCAAGATGTTGTCAAGTCCATCAAGGGCAACCTGCAATGTCGCAATATGAGCTTTGATATCGTAAAGGCCTTGAGAGTCATAAGAACACGTACCTGGATGATCTTGTTGTCCATCGACTTCAGGAGGTCGCACAAGGGCTTGATCACACCCTGCTGTACCATGTACCTGATTTGTGAGGGCTCAGCCAAAGCTCCCGAAGTAGCGTTTGAGATGGCCCAACAAGCCTCCTTCTTGGTCTTGAAGTCGGCGTTTTGCAGCAGGTTGATGAGGGGAGGCATGATGTTGCTGAAAGAAATCGCGCTCTGATGAGCACGGTACGTATGCGATATAGACTCCAGTAAATAGACTCACGCATCGATAATGGCCTGAATTTGCATTGGGCTACCGGCGGTAACGTTCGAGATGGTCCAACAGGCTTCTTTCCTGATACCGTCCTTAGGCGAAGACAGCAAGGCCAACAGAGCTGGGAGGGCACCGGCGGCAATGACGACCTGGGTCTGCAGGTCATCTCCGGTAACAATGTTACCAACCGATCGGAGGGCGGGAGTCTGGACAGAGGTCGAGTTGTGCCTGTTTGCGAAGAACGGCGTTGAGCAACGTCGTCGTCTTATGTGTGTGCGTGAACCAGCGACTTACATCAAAAGGTCGACCAATCGCCTGCAGACACCACTCTCGATAACGGCCTGGATCTTGTCGTTGGTGCCATCAGAAAGATACGACAGAGCCCAACAAGCATCGATCAGGACCTCGTCATCCAGGGAGTAGATGAGCTTGGTGAGGACAGTCAGAGCCGGAGAGATCAAGCTCCAGTCGGGCTGAGGGGCCTTTCCACGGCAGAAGTTGGAAAGCGTCCAGGTGGCATTTCGCAACATGGACAGCTTGTGATTCTCGTTCAACAAGGCGAGAAGAGGAGGAAGAGCACCCTCGTTCAGACAGTAATCTCGGTACTTGGGCGAGTCACCAGCGATGTTTCCAAGAGCCCAAACACTGCAGTCAGATTGTTGCACGTTAGTAACATGGATGTGCGTTCTCGATGGTATTCTAGACTCACGCCTGCTCCCTGACGTCCGAGTTGTTAGCGCTCAGAAGCTGGATGAAGTATGGTACTGCTCCAGCGTTGATCACGACCTGGGTGTGCTCAGAAGTTCCCGAGGCGATGTCTAGCAAGATCGAGGCGGTTGATCAATACCGAATGTCTGGAAGGCTCAAAGTCGAAACAGTGCCTTCTACTCACTGGTCAACGCCCAAGCGGCTTCAAACTGGAGCATGTTGTTTTCGTTGGCCAGGAACGAGACGAATCGGTCCACAACCCGGCATTGAATGACCTGGTCGATAGGAGGGTTCTTCTCTTTTGACAGCATCCTACAAATCGGGACAGCAATCAGTATTCCGTGATCATGCTGTACACAAGCAGATTATCCTTGGCAGAAACTCACTTCCTGAACTGCGTCGTAGCTTGGATTTGTCGGTCGATATCAGCGGACATTACGTCCTCGACCAATTGCGGCAACTAAATCAAGAGTCCTGTGTGTAAGCCAAGCCCCGAGCAGACCCCATCTAGGTCACGCGAGCTTATTACTCACCCTTTCGGTTCCGCTCATCTCGTCCTCGCTCTCAACATCGGTATCGTCCGCAGAGGTGAATTGACGCCTTTTAGCAGCGTTCTCTTCTCGCTAGGATCAATTGAAATCGGTTTGACGCTTAGCTGGTGAGAGATGCGAGAAGGCGGGGAGTCTTGTGCTAACCTTCTGCTTTCGAAGCTCCACCTGCTGCTCCTCACGACGACGACGCAACTATATGTGACGAAGATATTATGAATCAGCTTCAGTTAAACGTCCTATGCCTACGGACATTATGCAGCGAGCAAGATCATGCGGTCTAGCCGATCGGCCATGTCGATCGATGCTTCTCGGATCACAGCACGCTGCTAGATCTTCCTACTCGCCGCCCATACAGCCTTCTCGCCAGTCCGACTCACGTCAGCAGCATTGAACTGAGATTTCTGCTTGTAGTTGGCCCTTCGCAGTTCCATGTTTCGGTCAGACATCTTGAATGGATTTGATCGGTTGTTTTGTTTGTTTTTCTGAGCGGTTTCAAGGGGTCGGGTTTGCGGGAGATGGCGCGTAGCTAAATCAAGGTCTAAGGAATGAGGGAAGCTATATGATGATAGATGGTTTTGTGCGGATGAGAAGGCGATGCAAGAGATGCGATTGTCAAAGCAACAAAGATGGACAGAGGTGGAGAAATTCCGTCAGCGGAAAGTCGCCTCTGAGAACGGTCGACCGACAGCTCGAGCGACTCACGAACTGTGATCCGGAGTTCTTTTGTATCGTCAAGGAAGGTGGGTCTAGGATTTGGGCAGATGACTTGTATCTATTTACCAGATCAAGTGTGGTCGACACTGTCAACAAGGGGATGATTATCGAGATCGAGAATGGGTTGGAGCTCGACGATTTCCCCTCGAGCGAGGTGGAAGCCGCGTGAGAAAAAGCAGCCGCACGCCGCCCGACTCTCGCTTAGGCTGGGCTGGGCTGCCTTTCGAAAACAAACAAAACATCGGGAATGACCAGTGGACATCAGCTTCTATTCAATGTCCGTTTAACGTCAAACTCCTAGATCCCTTTGTACAATCTGGTCGAAGCTCTAAAGGCCCTTTAACTAGTCTACATTGTACATGTCCTTCCTTTCTATTCTTGTAGCTTGTCGTCGAATATTCTATTGTTGTTACTGCACCAATGCCTGCTTGCGGACTCTGGCATCGTTGAGCGCTGAGATCTGGTTGTGCAAAAAGTCGGAGGTTTGCGGTCTTTTTGTGCGAATCGTATGGATCTGGTTAGATTCTGGTTGCGAGCGAGACGAAACACATCGCTCGCCGACTCACCTCATACGCAAGATCCTAAGGAGTATCTCGGCCGTTCTCTCCTCGTCTTCAGACGCGCCGGAAGACGTGAACCCGCTCTGAGCGAGACTCTGAGACTTGCTCGATTGTCGGCCCACTCCCTTGATGGCAGCAACGCACTTTCCCTTCAGACTGGCCACAGGGAGATCGAGGTACTGTCCAATGAGGAGGAGATCCTTGTATGCTCCTGACTGTAGTACCAAAAGAGGTACGCCATATTCAACCCCATTCTCGCAGGCGTTGAAGAAGCTCTTCAACAGCTGTCAATGCGCAAGGTCGGGCGATCAGGATCGTGTCCGAACTGATATGTCTGACGACTCACCTTGAGCCACTGGAAGACCACATTGATCTCTTGCGTCGACAGCGGGTCTGCCGTTGTTTCCTTGTCCGACAGTGGGGGGATCAATGTCGAGATCAAAATGTCCAGCACCCGCCTCCACAGCCGCGTCATGACGTGAAGCTTGACCTTGTCCGACAAGGTGACTGCGAAAGTCGAGAACTTCATAGGGAGTCCGGAATACATCAGTTCGGAAACGACAAGGCAATCAACTCGGACCATGCTCACGTTTGTGTCAAAGTAATCCAAAAGTGGAACGAGGCTCGCTTCGAAGTCCTGGTCTGAGAGAGATGTCTGCTTCGCCGTCCCTTTCTTGGGCTTGGCGCTTAATGGGCGTAACAGCTCTCGGATTGCGTCTTTGGACAGCTGAGACTTGACGTAATCTCCCATCTGTAGAGCTCGACCCCGTCAAAAAGTGACACTCGACAAGACACGGTGTGGACAAACCTAGCTCACCCTGTCTACGATACACCGAGTCATGTTCTCTCCAGCTCGGTCCAGTGACCGACCAGCCCGATCAAGGTGAAACTTGATTTCGTGTTTTTCGCCCCCCTCCATCTCGAGGCGCACATACACGCTTCCTCGGGGGTTTAGAGGGACCAACAGCTCGCGAGTCGGAACCTCGCGGTAAGCTGAGGGGTCAAGCTTGAAGCTCGCCGTGCCGATCAGATCGTGCTTGCCGACAAGCGTTCGGTCGTAACAAGCCAACTCGAGAATTTTGGGACCGCCGATAGTAATCTCGAAGGATTGTTCCCAAGTTGGATCTGCGCTGCTGATTGCAGTGTTCGATTTGAGCAGGCGATTGCTGGTAACAGGATCTGTCATTGTGACGAAGGCGTCGGCAGCCTTCTGAAGGTTCTTGCTTAGCAGGTTCTCGCCCCTAGATGCAGTGACCGTGAAGACGTGCTGAGTCGATTTGGCGTTCCCATTGGGAGACCCGTTGGTCTTGAGGTTGTGTTCTTTGACGATCCTGGTCGTTTCGTCGGCGTCCATAGCGATACCCAAATCTTCTAGACAAGCGCGAGCCGCACCCATGTCGGTGAGCTTGACACAGGCCGTAGGAGGTATGTTGAACCCTTCGACTTTCTTCCGCTCGAGACCCTGAATGGCCTGTTTACTCTTAGCCAGCCATGCTCCCGCTTTACCTCCCACAGAGGGCGCGGGTTCAAGAGGAGCCGAGGTGTTGCCCCTGTTTGTAGTCATCTCGGCCATGAAGAGCGATTCAACCGTCGTTGCGTATTGCGACACTGAAGCCGCCGCAGTCTATTGGAGGCGAGAGTCAGCTATTAAGTTCCTGTATACATGCACATAGCTGCTCACTTTGGAAAAGTCGATCAGATAACATGCTTTGCTATACTCTCCCAAAGGCAGATTAACAAGAATTGTAGTCACGGCTGTCCTGATGAACTGGAATAAGTCCAACACCGATTGCGAGTGTCGCAAGGTGCCCTCTGGGACCCACTGTTTTCAATCGAGATATTAAGCGGGGCTATGACAACGAGGCCTTCGAGGTTCGGAACTCACGCTGTCCATAGCAACAGCTCGCGAGACCCATTCGTGCGTATCAACCTCATTAGTACCTCTCAGCCATTCCCTTACGTGAGGCTCGAAGAAGGGTTCCAACTCGAATGCCAAATCTTCGCCTGGGCAAAGTTCTTCCCACAGGTGAATCAAGCGGGCAGTACGCTCGTAGAGTCCGAAAATGACGTCGGCTTTTGTACCGGAAGAAGGCTGATCCAGGACTTGCAGTTCGGCGAGGAACAAGGGTAGTTGTTTCGACAAGATGATAGAGGGTGGATGAAGACGTCTGGGGTAAACAGATACCGGGCGTATTCAGTATTGGCTCATCCAGTTTACATGCAGAACATTTGCTCACCCGTCCAATCGATCCTGTGGCCAGACTTTGCCGACGCGCTGCACCCCTTCCTCGATAAAATCGGCCAACTTTTCGTACCCCTCGAGCGATTTCTCAGTGCCCTCATTGCCAGGTGTCATACCGCCTCCAGACTCGGCAAGGAATTCTACTTGTTTGACGACGTACTCTCCCACGGCGGCGCCTCGTAAGTCGTCGGCAGCATTCTGCCACGAACCAACCCTTAAAGCGTCCGGAAGCAAGCCGGAAAGATCAGGCGAGTCCAGCAAAGCCTTGATCAGGCTGAAACATGATGGAGGCGGTTTGGTAGGCGGTATGGCGGTCGTGGGATAGATACTAGCAACAGCTGAAGTCAGATGGCTCGCGAGCTTGTTGTGCAATGTCATCAAGGTAGACTTTGCCAGTTTTTCCTGATGAGAAGCATAACGTCAGTGCCCTTTCAGTTGGTAGTGAGCCTCTCAACGGACCGAGCTCACTTCTTCGTCGTCAATACCAGCTTCGATATCCATGGCGAGCTCCAGCAGGTCCTCGAGCACCCTCTCTGCCCAACCAAACTCTTCGGTATAGCTGGCACGTTTGCGTGACGCGCCTGGACCCATCATCCGCCTGTTACCGACCACTTCGTCCTCTTCCGACTCCCGTCCGAGGCAGTCCGACCAGATCTGAAACGACACGCTCACCTCGGCAAGCGTCTTGTTCCGAATCCCCCAGACTCCTGCGCACAGCTCTACCAGCTCACGCTCTCCAGTTGTCTTTGGCGTGAGAGGCGTATCCCAGCTCAGAGTCAGCCTGGCTTGCTTGACTAGACGGGCGTAGATTTCGTCCTTGCGCTGATTCGGCGTGAAGAAGAACTCCTTGCCCGACTGCCCCGAAGTGGGCGAGACAATGTTCATACCAGCGAGATCAGGCCGAGCGTGGACCAATGCGCCCAGTTCGGCTTGAAGGGAAGTTGCACGCTCTTGCATGAACGGCGATTCTGTGGTCTGACCCGCCGTGTTGGCTTGTACAAGATGGACCTTCAAATCGGACAGGTAGCTCTGTAGAGACAGATTCTGTCAGCGCGTACGGAGCAAGTCAGTTGTCGCGTTTAGAGACGCACCTTTTCATCCAATCCCGCTCGTCTCAGCGAATCGAGATCATGGTTGATCTTGTCCTTGTTGATGCCGAAGACACGTCGCACAACATCAATCAGGTCGAGAGGCGAGCCTGAATCGTTCACCAAAGAACCTTTTCTATCCTTCTCTCTACCGTTATGCGAACTACCCCTAGACGGACTTCGGTCCCATGGAGTATCGATGGATCCTTCGCTGGCCAGACTCACGCTACTCGAGGCGAAAGACGGAGTAGATGGCATGGGAGGCGGTGTAGCCGCATTCTTTCTTCCCATGCTGCTGATGAACGAGCTCTTTCGCGAAACTGTCCTCGCGCTGGGTGATTCGGGTTCCGAATTAGGACTGGCCAGATCCCCGTAAAACGACTGGGACTGCTGACGTTCTCGAGCTGTCTCTGGTCTCAAGCTCCAGAGATCCAGCTCGGTCATGATCCTCAAATACATCTCCTTGTCTTCCTCCTTGAGTTTCCTGTTCATCGGGTTATAAAACCCCTGCAAGCACGTCGATAAGACCGCGATCAAGTGAGTTATATGCACGTGCTTCTGAGGGTTGACCGATTTGCTCGTTGTCGGCGATGTCATTCCCCCATCGCTCGAGGGCAGTACCGAGCTGAACGTCTCGAGAAGGACCGAGATTTCCCGCAGATTCAAGCCCGACGCTGTCTTGGTCGCCTTCTTGTTAGGCAAATAGGATAAGAACGTGTTGACAGCTAGCATCACGATGCACAGATATCAGCTTGACGACGCATTCTGGCATTTCCGTCTGTCTCGACCCGAAACTCACAAGTCCTCCATACGGCATCTCCGCCCTCGTTCCCCAACGAATCCCAGAAACCAGGCAAGAACTCTTTCGGCAGTTTCCCAGCCTCCTTCTCCTTCTTTCTCCCGAAAACGCTTCTTCCTGGACTAGTCGCCGTGCTAGGCGCAGCGATCATCCCGGACGACCCGGTCGCATTTGAGGGATACTTGGAGGTCGAGGGGAAGTAAGAGTTGGGAGCATTGCCGTTGTTGTTAGGGGAGCGGAGGTTACCGGGACTCGATCCGGACGAGAGCTCGAAGGGAGAAGCGAGGTTGTGCGTGTTTGGCGATTTCGCCGGCCTCGAGACGGCTGATTGCAATATCCGGTTGATATACCTGTGTGAACACAAGCCAAATTCAAGGGAACTCTGCTGATAAACCGGTCGAGAGAGCCGGGACTTACGCGACCCTCAACGCATAATTGTATGCCGTATCGTCCAGCTCGTCCTGCACGCCAATCGGGTTGACCTTGCCTGGAGGGGGCATCACCTGCACCGGATAATCGTCATATGACCCTTTCCTAGGCGATCTCGTTCCCGCATGTACCATCTTGTCGCCGTTCTTCGCTTGCTTGGGCGTGTTCTGAAGGTCTACCGGTCGATGTTTTGCTCGAGGTGTAGGTGGAGCATCTCCTTCTCCTCCGATAAACCCAGAGTAGAGCATGAACCCTTCACTGAGCTCGTTGGCATCTTGTACTTTTGGTGAAGACGCCATTCTTGACAGAGACGAGCTTCCAGAATGACGAAGGCGGTGAACCTGAATGGCTTTCGAGAACACTCTGGGTTGTTTACTTTTCCAGAAGAGGTCGCCCAGGGATCAGGGAGAAGTCCACAGGTGATTCCGAAATAGCGGAACGGACAGGACCTGCTAAGGTCGTGGCTTTCCGACAGAGAGCGAGATCTTCCCTAGATGATGGGATCCGGACGTTGAGCGAGCATTTCGAGAGCCAGAATCCTACCGACGGCTGCAGAACCGCAGACAAGGTTGTTACTCGAAACACACAGCTTTCGCGCTTTTTGGCGTCCTGGAGCTGTTTCCGGTACGAATCAACGCGATGCCGGAAGCTAAAGTTAGATCTTTCTGCTTCCGGCAGGGACGAGATCCATATCAATGGCGTCGAGCGAGTGTTCCTCCGGAAACGGACAGGTTTTTTTACAAAGCCTGAAATACCGTAGAGATGGCAATTCTTGGGGCTCATGGAGCTATCGAAGACCAGCAGACACTACGGTACTACTAAGCTACTACCCGGTGTTGATCGCGTTTGGTGTTACAGAATCTCGCTCCGGTCCCTCTAGCAGCCTGGAATCCATGTCGTGCCTACACATTGCGGAAGCTATGTCGGTCCAGATCGGCCTCATCCGCTATCGACAGGGCCATATCCTATCTGCCGTGATGATACCTGGTATTTACAGCTCGATAGCAGAGCTGACAACAGGCATGGGGATCTAGCGATCCTAGCGATCACTCTGTACTCTGGTACTCTGGTTCACTTTCCTCGATCACGTTCAATCAGGATCGAGATGAGCTCACGCCCAGCCCCCTCCTTTGGGAGAACAAAGGCGCGGGGTTCGTCTAGCGTCTAACCGGTGCCGAGAGAGTCCCTTTTGATCGGATTACTCCGCGAAAGGCAGGAAGAGGAGAGAGAGAGAAACTCAAAGGACTGTCGTCGACCGACAACGAACAGCAAGGGGGATTGATCAGATCAGAAATGTTACGAGGGATCAAGGATTCGCTGCTTCTCGTCAAAACATCAACCTCTCAGCACCAGACACCCGGGACGACGGTCGACCTGGCATCGTGATGAACAACCGGTGACATACGATATTCCCATACGTCTAGACGCACGAACAACCCATAGATCGGGCCACGAAGACATCAAGTATTCTCGTCACCTCTACATTCCTTTATATCTGTGCTCGACACAATCGTGAACCTGTGACTACCTCCTCCCTCGACCCCCTGACAAACACATCATCCCCACAACAATAATGTCGTCCCGACCTCACAAACAATCCATGTCCGAGCTCAAGCTCCGCCGTTTGACGGAACACAACCAGAGGCTCAAGGAGGATCTGAACAGGCCCAGGATCAGGGTCAGCGAGGCTAGCAATTCGTGAGTCGAAGTCGAACATGGTGATCGGTCCTGTGTTTCGGTCGAGGAGGGGAAGGTGCGACTGGTGGAGTTCGAGATCAGCAAGGCATAGGAATGGATCGCTCGGATGACGCAGCATTCCGGGAACACATGGTTGATAATTGATGGTCAACATCTATCTGAGATGTGGATACTCGAGGACGGGTCGCAGGCGAATTCGGCTGCATAAAAACTCTTGACACAGAGGGCCAGACATAGACATATGGACCAATCGGAATCCCACCCATTATATTCCTCTTCTTGACGTCTCTATCACCACTTTCACCTCCTGTTTTTTTCTAATCCACACATACTTGCCTGCATCTTTGGGTTGATTCGTTCGAATCAGCTACTGATTTGTCTTTTCACCGACTTGTCTTCTCCACACAGCTTGATCAGGTACTGTCGAGCTACCAAGGACCCCCTTGTAAGTCACTCCACTTCCCTCTTTCTTCTTGTTTGCTTTGTTCCCCTGCTCGTTACTAACCTACCGTCACAATGTGCATCTTGTCTGGTACAGCTCCCTTCCGTCTGGGGTTCGTTGGCCAAGGGCGAAGACCCTTACGCACCTCCTCAGCAAGGGTGTTGCTCCGGTGAGTTGATCGTCCTTTTCTTGTCCGTCCGGTCTCCGGAGCCCCCGCTGAAGCAACGTGTTGATGGAATTCTTGTAGTCATGTGAACATCTCTCACGTTCGGAAATACGTCGGACTGACCTATAAGCGGACGTCGGACAGCTTACAGGGCAAGGTAGACGGAAGGCATGTAGAAGGGGATGTTGCCAGAGTCGGTTTCAGCGTTAGAACGTCCTGTCAACAAGATTCATTTGGTTTCGGGTCAACGTTCATCTTGTAACGATAATTTGTAAGCTCGTAGTTTAATAACATATATCCACTGTCCATACTCATCAGAGATCAGTTCTTGTCTGAAATTGGGGAAGTGCGACTTCTCGCAAGATACTGCGGACTCAATAGTCTCATCCCTGCCTCGTAGCCAGGCTAAATGCTTGTCTTCCTATCCTGATACGCTAGGATGGCCTCGAGCCGTCCGCAAGGCAGGTCGGAGATGATCGGTTGCGACTGGGCTCGGGTGAGTCCGGCATCCCCCTTGCGAAATCTAACTCTTGTCCACCCGAAACGCGGGATCGGCGTCAAGGTTATGTATCCGGCAATCTGGCCCCTTGCTTCCCGCCTGTTGGCATGTATTTGTTATTGCACTCCCAAAATCCCTATCACACATTCACCCTGCTGAATCTCCGCTCACCTAGAGCCAAGGTGAGTCTTTTTGAATTGTTCAACCATCGAAGGTCTCGCCTTACAGGTCTTGTTCCTGGTCCGACTGTACTGCGTATCTTCATGGTGCTCGGTGCGGTTGTAGTGCTTCTTCCGCTAAACTGGGTAAGTGCTGGCAAAGTAGGAAGAGATTACTTCGCTTAGGGCGGTCAGTCATATTTCCGGGCCCGCCTATCTATCAGAGGCTAATACTCGTTCTTACCGAAGAAACACTATATGATTCTATTAAGTGCAGGATTTACAACAAAGTCCGATCGTCTAAGGTCATAATAAGGCACAACAGGGGCTGGTTTCAGGAAAGAGTATAGGTTGATCGTGAATGTAAGCTTCTTGCGTCTATGCTAATCGTTGACACTGTGAATAGCCTTAGACGATCTCAAACAGCTCGGACATGCTTTTGAGATCAAGGCCAGTCGTAAGAAGAATGGTAGTGGCGTTGTTGTCAGATACCGGGCACCGGGCATCGTTGTGAAGGCGGCCGCACAAAGCAGCCGACATTCTCGACGTGATGGTCTGCGCCACCATGCTGTCGACTTCTCGGGCGCTCCAATCCTTCATCTTTTCCCTCAAACTCTTCCGCAGCTGTTGCTGAAGTATGAATGCAGGTCGCATCTCAAAGCGTTCTGTGAGCTCTCTCTTGAGTCCGTCTTGTAGAATTTGGCTATCTTGAACCCTGGCCTGGATGGCCGTATAGTCGGTACGGAACTCCGCCCAGCAACCACTTGCATCAAGCTTTTCGCTCGCTTCATTGAGTGCCTTGTAAAACTCGCAGTAGACAGAATATTCATCCTTGGCCACGAAGACTTCCAAAAGCCTGGCGACATCGGCCCTGTTCCGGTCATCTTCGTGTACCTGGTGGTACACGGTGCCTTCATGTTCGATACAGTCTGAGCTGTTCTCCGCCCTTGATGGACCAGTGCAGGTACATGATTCATTGGTAAGTGGATTGGTGCGAGACTCTTGTCCGGTGGAGAAGGTACACCCCTGCTCCAGGATACTCTTGTAGGCATCGTCGCCACGATCAGCACTGATAGTAGACATTGTCGGTCGACGATCGCTGTGAGGTCGAAGCGCGATAGGAAAGGGGTCGGAAGTGGTTGTCCCTTTTCAGATGAGGACGGGGGCGAGGGGGGATTCTGGCGGATGTTGTAGAGATTTATATCACTCTTACCCTTCATCGCATTCCTTTGTCGATCACATCACGGAAGCTACATATCGCTCGAGATCCTGGCCGTATCGCGTTTGCCCTGTGACAGCAGGTCATATGACGATATCAGACCCCATGACCGTGTGCAAAGAATGCTGACAGTAGGTGCGGTCACTTACATGCAGAGACGCCGCAGAGCAGGCAACATCAGATACTACAGCCTCGGTATCGACTGGTCACGGCACCAGATCGTGCAATCCCTCGCGTTTCAGATTGTCGCGCCGATCCGGGCATAGGGTATCCCCGAGATCGAAAAAGAAAAAGGTCGAATCAGCCGAAGCGAGACGTCAAGAAATTGCTGTGCAACAACAGAGATCTCCATCAAATCATGTCACCAATCGATCCCTTGATCGTATATCCTTCGCTATATATGTTGACACTCCAGGCTTGCGACACCCCCAAAGAGAAGGCGATCAGGCGAGATACATCCATCGAGATCCGTTGACCCTGCAAGATAACCCGGCATCATGACCCGTTCAGCTGCAAAGATCGGAGCAAAAACGGGGACAGAGACGGTTGACAGTAAGCGAGTCCTTTCGGCAACCGTCGTTGAGCCGGGCTGAATCCCATACATGACACACATGCAGGAACTGCAAGAAGCATGAAAGCGCAAGTCATCGGGACGAGATCGCCAGTGATCAGCGGCAAGGAGAACAAAGGACGTAGTCATCATCAAGAGATCGACGTGGACGAATTGCTTGGATCAAGCAGGAGCAAAGCGAGTCCAGGTATGTCATGCAGCGTACTGTGCTCAGCAATCTGACGAGACACCAGCTAATGTATACCTGTTGGGCACCCGAATACAGTACCTGCCAATAAGACTAGAAACTACCACGGATCCCGGTTGGCCGACAAGACGAATCTCAGTTCTCCTCGAATCCGAAGCCCGTTGATTCCCAAAGCCGATCTCCAGAAATCTAACAAGCCGATTCTATCCCCTCCAATACGCCAGCCTAATTCACTCTTGGCTGCTACCACAGGCAGGCACCTCAGCCTCGATCGTTCTCTTCATCGCGGTACTGCGGGTCGGAGTAATCTCAGAAAGCAAGTGGAAGTCGAGTGTGACAGCGAATCGGAGGAGCACAGCAGCGAGGCAAGTGACGAGGACGATGAATCACTCTGGCCGAGCAGGATTACCGAACGCTACGGACCGGCCTCCTTCGGGAAAGACAAGCGCGATGCATCTAAGAAGGAACAGATGAGCTGCAAAGACGATAGCAATGAGGGTCATGTCCAAGCATTTCAGCAGGTGCGCGACCCAGAGTACCTCGATGGTAAATCTTGTAAATGATACCGGCTCACGATGCGGGCAGCAGGCTGATGATCAGGTTGCGATATGTCAGCTTCTCAATCTGATATAGATCCGGAGAAGACCTTGGAGGCAGAAGACCTAACGGAAATTCACTTCCTCAGACCAATGAAGACCCCTCAAGAAGTGTGAGTTAGACCTTCGACCTTCCCTTCGGGTGCGGGCACTGTTAATAAGAGGTTCTGGCGACACCACAGACATGAACAGATCTCTCAACGCAATATCGCCTTGACCGCTGCTCAAGAACATCAGATTCAAGAGATCACCGAAAACCTCAACCCACTCTGCAAGTCTGTTCAGAAGCTGTACATCAAATTCGCCAAGGATACGCAGTTGAATATGACGCAAGTCAAGCTCATGGCCGGCGGGGAGAGAATTGCGGGCTTATTTTGGTTTGTTCTCAGTCGTCAAAGAGACATGTATGAGAAGGCAATCGGAGTGGAGATACAGGATCTCTCGGGGTTCATCAATGCTTTCGAGCAAACGTCTTCCGAAATCGATGTAAGCAACGCGTTCAAGGAGACGAGATACATCGAGTCTTATCCTTGATATTCTCACAGGATCAGATCAAAACTGTTCGAGAACAACTACAAAAATCACTCGGCAAGAAGAAGGCTGTCTTAGAGGAAGGTCGCAAGGTGTTAAAGAAGACCGGTGAGCCGCAGAACCTGTTGAGACGACATCTCGAACGCGAAGTCAACCTGCTCCAAATTAGAATCCAGACAGCAGAAGCAGATGCAAGCAATACAGAGGGAATTTGATGACTTATATGATACCTACCGGGAGAAGGTGAGCAAAAACTAGCAAGGGACCCCATTTCGGTGTCTTGCTGAAACGAATCGATCGTCTAGCTGGAAAACCTCGACGATCCAGATGATCGACGCCGATTCATGGACAAGAGAGTTAGTCGGCCTGTGAAGAAAAGCGATAGACTTTGCTCATACACCCCATCATTGGACGGAATAGACCGCGAAAATCATGATGGCAATGACATAAGGCCCCGTGCTGTAGAACTAGCTTCACTCAATGTTCACCGGAAGATTAAGAAGTTTCGAGGTTTCTTCGCCAGGACCAACACAATCGCCGGGCACCTATTTACTTCCGCGTCCGTCTGGGATGACGTCCCGGACCCAGGATTGTCATTTACGTTTTAATGTCATCGTTGTATCTGCGAATTTGCGTATGTCTATGCCAACGAGCGATCTTATCAACCATCCTCGGGCTATAACGAGTGCCTTGAACTAGAAGGAAGGTCATGCAGAATCTGCCTGATGTATCAAGGGTGGGTTCCGCCACCTCCTTGAGTCAAGCCGACTTATTGACGAGTACTTCGTCAGCTGTCAAGCCGAGTGGTACGGATACTCGCCCAGGTATGTTCTACACCTAAATCTCAGAGGAATCGCTCACTCACGCTTTCGAACAGAATCCGGGGACTATGACCTTGTCGGGGACCAACTGTTACCTTCTATCACACGGCGCTGGGCCCGATATCACTCTTGTTGATACAGGATCTCCCTCACCTAGCGCTCCTGCTTTCATCAGGCTCTTGTCCGAACATCTCAGGACGACGGGGGGCATTATCAGACACATAGTCCTTACACACCACCATATAGACCACGTTGGAGGGTTAGAATCCGTCCTTGCAAGTATCCGATCCTCAGGTGCTCCACAGCCAAAGGTACACAAATTCAAAACCCCGAATCCCGGCTCATTGCGGCCGAGTCGCTCTGTAGTCAGCGACGAAGATCTAGAAGCGTCGGTGAGGGCACATAGTCGGACCGATGTGGTTATCAATTGGCTGGAAGCGGGGGACCTCATTGGAGCGATAGAATCGCACGGATTGAAGAGGCTTCGGGTTTTACATACGCCAGGGCATACTTCGGATTCGATCTCTTTGTTGCTGGAGGAGACTGGGGAGCTATTCGTTGGTGATACGATCTTAGGGTAAGCTCTTCTCTGTTTAATGGAGTGGGGTTTCGATAGACCTGATGAAGAGGTGAGTATCACTATAGAACCGGATCCACCGTCATTAATGACATGGGCAGCTGTGAGTCCCTCCTGGTCCTCTCCGGTCATGAAAGGACCTGTCTGAACACGCTCAACATGGGCAGACATGCACTCGCTGCATCAACTACAGAGCCAAGGCGCCAAAGTGCTCTATCCCGGTCACGGTCCTCATATCGAGACGCCTGAAGCAGTTGCAACCAAGATCACCGAGTACATCGATCATCGCCTACAACGGGATGCACAGATTATCCAGAGCCTCGAGCGAAATCAACAAGGATCGACGGCTGCAAAACTTGTGGAGTCGATTTACCCAGATCTGCCCGAACGAGCCGTGCTTGCGGCCGAGCAATCCATCCTGGCTCATCTTTCAAAGCTGGAAGAAGACGGCAGAGTGACGAGCACACCCGTGCTGAACCAAGATGGACGATTATGGAGCTTGAGCTTCGAGGCAGTTGGACAGACAAGAAACCCCAATAATATAATACAAGGGTAATATCCCAAAAGTACACAGTACGGTCACCGACGCGAAGTTTGGATACATAATTACGATGACTCTCCTCCTTCGCCGCGATCGTACGCATCTATCTTGAGCCTTAGATTGAGACTATCAGAACGAGACGCGTTGCATGTTAGCACTCGTATGACGTGGTCCGACTGAAGCAACACAGGGCAAGGTGCTCACCTAAAAAGTCTGACTTGGACCTATTCTCATGACTGCATGACCAAAGCCTCCTCCGAAGAGTAACAGCTGTCGTCATCGCCCTTGACAACGAACTGGTTGACTAATGCGGCGGTCTGGTCGAGGTCATCCTTGATAGAAATGGTGACGTTCGAACCGGGGGCAAGCTCGACCTGTGAAGATGGAATTCCAGAATGAGCACCTGTTGTCGATAAAGACAGCGAATGGGGATTGTATACTCACGAACCAACCGACGCCGCTCCCGCTCCTCAAGCTCATCTCCTCGGAAGTGCCGGAGACGCTGTCGGTGATGGTGACGGTCACGGGTGCTTGAACGTCCTCGAACCTGAGCTTGGCGAATCGACAAGCTACCAGGGGACCCGATGTAAGGCGGACCGAGGCGGCCTGGGCAATGGGAGCAAAGATGGCCAGGAGGGCGACAAAGGCGAAGAGGATGAATGACATGGTTCGGGAAGACATTGTGTGATTATCGGTTGATCGTTTGTGTGGTTGGGTGGGGTGAATTGGATTTCGGGTTTGGTGGTTTAGGTTGATTGGGTGGTTGTGGTGGGGGTTGCGGTTGGCGAGTGAGTGAGATTGGCTGGGTGGAGCAGTGAGGTTTGAGGAGAACAGCTCCGGATTGAGAGAATGTGAGGTTGTGAGGTATGGGACGTGCACAGCACTTGAAGAATTACTAGGTCTAATAAAGATAGTGGGTGAGTTGGACCGTCACGGACGTCGAGGGATTGATGGATGCAAGGTTTCAAACTCACTAATGTGGAGTGGTGGATCGAACTGATTTGCTTGTGGATTAGTATTTGTACGTCGGTCGACGAGAGGAAAGACGCGCTCGTTCACAACAACATCCTGGAGGGAAGGGTGTTCGTCTCCGAAGGTATAAGAATGAAAGCGGTCCGTGTGCGAACTGATGGATTGTGCAGGACATGGACCGGGTGGCTTGCCTTTTCGCGATGGGTCCGAGAGGACTGGAGGATCTTCCATTGTTCCCGATTGCCCATCAGTCCTCCGATCTCGCTTCGCCGGGAGGGAAGCGACTCAGGGGGATCGGCGATGGAAACTCAGTTCGACGCGTCCTTCCTCTTCGTCCTGCCTCGTTCGAAAGAAATTCTAGGGTGGTGACATTTTTCTTAGCGTGGTGATTTTTCTCTACGGTGGTGACATATTGTGGGGTAACAGGTGGAAATAATATCAAAGATATCATTCGCTCGAAATCCTCCGCCGCTGAGATAACGTACACATCAACCCTACGCCAAGCACCCTCCCATTGTATAGTCAGAATCTTTCCCGTTACCAATACCTGCTGTTGGCCTGCCATAATGTCGACCTATAGTTCCTCTGAATCCTCCGAGCGAAGTTCTACATCGCCATCCCCTGAAATTCTCAATACCGTCGATTTAATCCGCCGCCAACCTGCTACTGAAGCTCCCCACCCCCTACAACGCATTTTTGATCACCCTGGATATGACAACTCCGACGCCATTTTTACTGCGATACAGGCCGTGGCCAAAGAAGAAGGGTTTGCTGTCCGCAAACAAGGATCTAGAGCCAACAATGTATACTTTGTCTGCTCTCAAGAAGGCGAACATAAAGATAGCCACCGATATATAGCCACGGCAGGTCGCATGAGGAAAGACTCAAACGTCAAATCTAAGAGGACCAATTGCCTGTGGAAATGTTACGCCGCCAGATCCAAGAAGACAAACATGCTGTGGAAACTTTACGAGCGAAACTTGCAGCACAACCACCCTATGACGGGCTCGGCCTACTGCTTTCATCAGCACCGTCGTTTGACTGACGACGAGCGTGCTGTGGCTGTGAGCGCTCTCGCGGCAAATGCTACGGCGCCAGCAATCGTGGAAATGTTGACGCAGAAGGCTGCCGCAGAAGGGAGGACTAGCTATGTTTCTCCAAAAGAGATATACAATCTCAAAGCTGAGATAAAAGGCGTCGCTCTGCAAGGACGGACTCCTGTCGACGCCATAATTCGGGAGATGCAGAGGAAAGGGATCCCCCACCGCTATCGAGCCAACCAGAACGAGGAGCTTCAAAGTTTCTTCTGGACTACTCCCATGGCCATTATTCTGGCGAAATATTACGGCTACGTTTTTTTCATCGACTGTACTTATAAAAGCAACAAGTACCAAATGCCGCTGATGCATATCGTCAGCATGTCTCCGACGAATAAATCCTTCACTGTGGCGCTCTGTTTTCTGGAAGGGGAAACTAAGGAGGAATATGTCTGGGGATTACAGTCGCTGGCAAATGTTTGTGGAAATTTGCCGACGGGAGTAGTATTGACGGATCAATGCGCCGCTCTACGAGACGCCCTGACGATTGTCTACCCAGAGTGGAAGCAGCAGCTCTGCACCTGGCATCTGTCAGAGAATTTGAACGCGAACTACAAGCAAAAGGTGCCGGAGGAGGATTTCGAGCGATTGAAACACTCGGCAGATATCCTTCGAACTGCTAAGACAAAGGAGTCCTACGATCGTATCCGAGCGGCGTGTAGCGAGGAATTCCTTCGCAATCCCAAAACACGGTCGGCTTGGGCCTATGTGTTGACGCAACATGAGCAAGGGGACTTCTTTCTCACCCACCGATTGCAAACGACGCTAAATTTCGGTGCAACTACAACGTCGCGGGGAGAATCTTTCCATCGCGCTCTAAAGAATTCTATCAACGGAGGAACAGCAGATATGTTTACCGCCGTACATGCTTCAATAATTCATATGCGAGGAACTCATCGCAATATATTCAAGGAGCATGCAAACGACGCTATCTTTCGAGATATTGACTCCCCACCATGTTTTCAACCGGTGAAGTTCGAAAGAAAGTCTCCGCCGCTACAAGTCAAACTAACTTCCTGTCTTTCAACAATAGCTCAAGAGTGTAATCGCCGTGAGAGGTCTCAGGATGATGCGCGACGGAGCATTTCGGCTGCAACAAGCTGCTAGTGCTCTTGGAACACCCCTCGAACGCTGTAGCGGATCTATGAAGCACACGCAAGGTCTGCTTTGCCAGCATGATTTCGCTAAATTGTTGGCCCCGGGAAGTCTCCACCCTCTTGTGGATCCCGCCACAATTCATCCGTTTTGGCACCTGCGATCGCAGAAACAATTACAAGTTGAAGCGAAACAATTGGCGACGGAATATGCCGAGCGAACGATGGCGACGGGAAGCTATTATGACCACTATGAGGCCGAAGAGCTCATCGCCCTGCCTACCCTGCAGGCCGATGCAGGTATGGTTCCCCAGAACGATTACCTGGTCGATGGCGCCGGAATGATTCGAGAGACCGATCCCGCCGCTCGAATTATTCAGGAACCTCTCAACCGCCCTCAGTTAGTCAGGCAAAAGGAAAAGAGATTGCAGAAGGAACGTAGTGTTCAGGAGATCAGGCGGAATCTTGGGCCGGCGGAAGATATCGTGGTCAACTTGACGGCGACAAATCGCCTCGAGACGCGCCATGAAACAGTCAAACGTCGAATGAAAGCGGCGGAAACTGCCGCCAAAAAGGCTGCGAAGGCTGCAAAGCCCTGCAAACATTGCAAGATACCTGGCCATACGATGTCCAAGTGTCCCTACTATGCGGACTCGCAGGCGACGGACATTCTCCGTGCCCAAGGTTCTCAGGTATCTTTGCCGCCGCCAAATTCCCAGCGATTACCTCCTCCGTCAACTCTCCCAGGTTTTATGGCGCCGTCCTTGCAGATGCACCCTTCTAGTTCTCAGGTACCGCCTCCCCATATCACACCTATGTCTCGAGGGCCCTTCGACCGTTCTGCTCCAGTGCTACAGTCGGGGAACTTCAACTACGGAGGATTTCCCTCGATGTTTTCCAACGCCACACCTTCATCGTCAAGTTTCCCTGGAGTCGCCCCTGCTTCCCAAAACGGCTATTACCAATCGCAGTACAACAATAGCGCCAAAGGACCCCTTTGGTGAAACATGGCCTCGCGAAGCTTCATTGTTCCTGTTGTACTATTCTTTGACGTCACATCGCTGATCATTCTCGGCTGCGTAGTATATTCTATTCTTTGTTCTAGCGTAAGTACAGCGCCAATTTGTATCCGCCGTCAAATTGCTGACGATGTTTCAAGTCGATCGTCGTTCAGGTACTTTTGGCGACGAGCCAAGTGGTATATCTTTGTTTGAACAATGGCGTCGACAACAGCAGCGACGTCATGAGTAGGCAAATGAACCCCTATCGATGTCGTCATGACGAGGCGAATGAACAAACGATTCTTGACGTCGATTCTTTTGTTCTCCGATTTCACCACGACGTCAAGCGTCAGCTAACATTCTCGAGAAGCATATATACCAGATCGATTCTTGATTTCCCCCCCCCCCCTCGATACTTACTCTCTACCTCTCTCTCTCTCAAACTACTCAGTCAATAGTCTACGCCGTCAAATAGCTCTCGAAGTTCCCCCTCGCCTCAACAACAACAGCAACAACAACAACAACAACAACAACATGCCCGCCAAGTAAGTTCAGTCTCGACTCGGTTCTCTCCAGCGTAGCATATCTGACGAACTTTGACGTCGTAGCCCGAACGCTGCCGCCAACGCCGTCGCCGCCGCTGCCGCCCCCCCCGTCCCCTATGCCCTCACCAAGAGGGTGCCTACCGAAGAAGAGGATGCGCTGTAAGTTTCGACGTCAAGTTTTCCGCGAATTTTTCCGTCGCTAAATTTTGCTCGATTTTTGCCCACGTCAGCGATGCCCCGACTGAGGCCGACGAACTCCTCCCCGTGAACTTCGACGTCGACCAGATCATCGAGCTGGTCGAGGACCTCGATGAGCCGGCCCTCAAGATCTTCAACCCTCGTTGCGGTACGGTCAACGACTGGTGGAGGAAAATTTGCGCCGCTCAAGACAAGTGGCGAGCTGCCGAGGCCGACGAGCGAGGTCAGTTCCCGGCGGCGAAAATCGGCGACGACTGGAAGGCCATTCGGGCCACCACGGGCGCCTTTATCGTCCCTCCAAGCGGTGCGAAGCTCGCCGCCATCAACTTCGACGCCGAGCGTCAGTTCAAATTCCGGCGTCAAATTTCTCTCGATATCTCACTGATTTATCGTTCGTCGCCAACAGTCCACAAGGCGTTGATCAAAGAAGAGGAGCGCAAGTGGCTCCCTGCGGTCCCCCCGGCGGACTTTATCGAGTTGATGGCGCCGAGTCGAACGGGCGGGATGGACGAACAGGCGGTGAACGGTTGGCTCGTGAGTATTCTTGTTTGTTTTGACGTCGTTTTTTGGCTGACAATATTCTCCGCCGCTAAACTTCGCAGCAACGATGGCGTGGCGGCTGGCGCATCGCCTGCGGCCATTGCAAGGCCAAATATTCGTCGGCGACCGTCCCCCTCCCCGCCTACCAGTTCCAGAACGACGACGCTCGCCAGTATGTTCTCCCCGCCAACGCTTCCCCGGCCGCCATCGACGCCAACCCTCTCGCGCTCTGCGTCAAGTACGGGACGCTCGATATTTGCCGCTCGACTGTTCCCCTCGTCTCTTCTTCGGCGTTCTCTGCCTGCGGCAGATGCAAGTCTCTCGGGAAGACCTGCAACGAGGCCGCGGGCGCCACCTTCGACTGGGACAAGGACATCGACGAGGATTCGCCAGCGGTGCTCTCCGTCGCCAAAGTTCTTCGGGACTTCGCCTTGGGCCGCAAGCAGCTCGTCGTCGAAAGGAACTCCGCCGCCGCTCACGGTCTCGAGATTCTTCGCGACGGTGTTTGCCACGGTAACACTGAAGCGATGGTCGCGGTCGAAGGGGTCGCTCAGCCTCACGAAGGTCAAGACGAGGAGACGACTCGAATCTTGACGGAGCTAATCGACGAGGTCAAGAACGCGGGGAAGAAAGGCAAGGGAAAGGCTCGAGCGGCTAACAACTAGCCTCTTTTAATATTTTTACAACTTGTACTCTCGTCGTGTTTCATGTTTTTTTATACAATTGTCTTTACGCGTGGGAAAATATCGCGAGAGAATTGGCGCCGAACGACATTCTTGTTTCCACCTATTACCCCACACTTTGATCACCACCGTAGAGAAAAATCACCACGCTAAGAAAAATGTCACCACCCTAGAATTTCTTTCGTTCGACCCAAAGTGGAAAGTGGCTTCAATCACGTCCCTGAATTGTCTCGCGTCCCGGGCAAAACTCTGCTCCCGAACCAGGTCCATCTCACTTTCGCGATCGAGGCCAACGAGCATCTTCAGGCATCGGACCTTGACGATCCAGATGCTAGAACTCGAATGTTTCATGTCGGGATCTCTGTGCCTTCAAGCCATTCAGTCATCCATCGCGAGTCTATTGAAAGTAAGACGCCGGGATCTGGCTGAACAACACTGCGATGGCTGCCATGATCCAGGCGAGGCCCAGCGCACCGACGAGAAGGAGACATTGTTCCTCCAACCCAACCGTCCCTCTCGACACCGCTTCGTAACAAGCCAACTCCATCTCTTCTCCTAATTTCTCCGAAGAAAAGTTCTTCCGGACCCTCTCTTTGCCAGCTCGAGCGATTCGTGCTCGGTCGTCAGGCGAGAGGTCAAACAAGGTTGACATTGCCCTGGCCCATTGATCTGCCTCTGGTCGCCTCAACAACCCGGTCGCTCCTTCGCCTGAAAGCTCAGCATCCGTGTCCACGACCGTCTCGGTAGGTCCACCACTGTTCACGCCTAGGACCGGAAGACCGCAAGCCATCGCTTCGACCGGCACGATGCCAAAGTGTTCATTCTCCGGTGTGTAGAGGAGCGCGATTGAGGAATCCGCCGTGAGAAGAGAGGCTCTTTGTCCGTCCGTAAAGTTCAGCAGGAACACGACCTCGGCTTTGTTCACCTCGGTCGACGTCGGAGTTGAATCGCCATCTTCAGGTCGGATCGTCACGTATCGCAATCCAGAGTCATCGCAGAACTTCGTCAGCCGGGCGTACGTGTCGATGTTGTCTTTCAGGGCTTTGTCGTATCCTCCTGTATAGTGATGACAAAAGGAACGTCAGTGCTGTTGTCCGGAGTGGTTGTGCGCGATATCGACATACCTGCTACTACCAGACGCATTGAGCCGTTTGGGCGATCTTTCTTGACCAAGCTGAACGCTTCCAACGCTAGCTCTATATTCTTCTTGGCCTCGAACCGATTGAGCGAGACAAAAGTCGCCTTGTCCCTAACGAACGTTATCAACATCAGCCTTCAGGACTGTTCTTCTCAAGGCATTCAAATCAACGCGGCTCACGATCGGATCATCTGCACGTTCTTATCGTTGTTTGTCTCAGCAGGATCCAGACCGACGTATTGTTCCACCTTGATGCAAGGGTAGACGACTCGAGGCTTCTGTTTCAAGGTAGGGAACGCTCGATCGTACACCCTCGCGGTGAAGGAAGAGTTGGCCAGCACGATATCCGATTCGCCTGAGGTTTCATAGGTGCAACCGAGGATCAGCTAGACTTTCAAGTGCGTGAAGAGAGCGAATGCTCTTACCGGTCGTTGCTTCCTCCATCTTATCGAACGGGAGACGATACAGCCGCTTCAACAATCCCGGAGCCTTCTTGGACTCCTTCTTCTTCGCTTCCCTAGGATTCATATCGCTCCTCCCGACATTATCGACCTCGACCTCTCTTCCGCCTGCCAACAGCTTGTCGGGAAAATGACAGTAGAAAACGACTCTCGTCTGACCGAACCACCGAAGAATCGGCACGCATACGGACAACTGATCCACAATGAAGACGTCGAAGGACTCCAGAGGAGATAGTGGTGAGATGAAAGGAATCCGGAAAGGTAGGTAGATGGACGCCAGTAGAAGGAGAGAGAGGTGGATCTGACGCAAGCTCGCGCAGACGATGTGTAGCGAGTTGAGAATTGTACGGGGCACAATGCTATCCCCAAGAACGTGGACTTTGAGGGTACCTAAAGTAGCAAGAATTAGCTCTTGAAACAACGCCGTTTAGATAGTTTGCCTAACGAACCGTTTCTCGTCTCTTCGAAACATCGCTTCGGATCGTGTCTCGAGGTGAAGATGACAACCTCGTGTCCTCGGTCTTGCAGGGAGACTGCAGCATCGACAATGAGCTTCTCGGCTCCACCTAAGAGCAGGTAGAAATGAGTGATCCCAAGTAAGCAGAGTGCGCATGGCGGAACGAGTCCGGTAAAAGGCAGGCCTACCGATACCGAGATCAGGATGTACGAAACCCACCCGCAGCGGCGTGATGTCCGCCATTTTTCAAGTGAACGAGAACCAGTATCCTAGATGAGAGATCTCTGGCTCCTATGCGAGGTGATTATTGAATGCATATACAGAGATTCGCATGGATATAGCTTTACACCGTAACAAAACACGAAACCTCGGAACCCCTCAGTCATCTTCGGGTCCTTTTCTGCTTCCGAGCACGATGACGAACGCAATCGAATACTAAGCAGGGACGATCTGTTACAGGAGGTTGTTTTTTGCCAATCGTACGATCCATAAGTACGCAACTAACGGTGGCAGCGAAGTCTGCCCAATGAGGAAGAGGCGCCGCACTGACCTATAGTCTTTCAGAGACACCATACCATGAGCACATCACTTCGCGTGATATCGTTCCATGGCGAAATCAGCCTGGCTCATCTATATTCTCGGTTGATAGATCAGGTTGTGTCTTCATATTGGCTTGGCCATTTGTTCAAGTGCTTACCCATTGCAAGAAATCCCGGATCCAACCTGGCGTTAAGCCGCTTCCCAAGTTGAGTAGCCTCGCAGAGTGAGTATAGAATGGCATTCGAACCACCCTACTCTCCTGCGCTGCTAAGGCGCGCACGATCTTCTGGACGACTTGTCCCGGTTCTAGAGAAGGCGCCATGAACCGGAAGAACAAGGATCGAGGGAACTGAATCTTATCGAAGAGTGGGGTACGGATGTGTCCGGGCAAGAGCAGAGTGGTCCGGATTTGTGGAGCTTTGTATCGGTTGTTGAGCTCAAAACGTAAAGCGTCATGCATGGTAATCAATGCGGCCTTAGAAGCGCAATAGTCGACTGCGATGGTAAGAGTAAGAGGTTTCAGCCACGTCGATGTGGCAGCGAGATAGTTCCGAACATCGCTCACTCATCTGCGCTGACCCTGCCAACCCTAGCACGCTGGCTACGGTTACTATATGCCCCTTTCCATTCTCCAGCATGCCCGGTAAGAACGCTTTGATCGTCCAGAAATGGGACAAGACGTTGACCCCGAATGTACTCAAGATGTGCAGGTCTCGTCAGTATACGCTACAGGAGGGCAGATGATGGGGAGGATCAAGGTCTCACCGTTCGACATCTCGCGCCTCCAGATCGAGAATCAACTTTCCCGAAACGACCCCGGCGTTGTTGACCAGCATAGTAGGGCTTCCGACCTGAAATCGCAGGTTTAGCCAAGAATGTGAGCTTGTCATCTTCACCAATACTGACCTCGTCTCGTATCTTCTGCGCAATATCCATCACCGCATCGTAATTCGATACGTCGCAAACGTATGACCAAACGTTTTCTACCCAGTCCAGATCCCTTTCCAAGAGTCAGTTGTGGGGCGACACATACGAACAACTTGTCCATCGGATGTTGCGCACCATTCTCGTCCTCGCACTGGTTGATGTCGAGCACGATTACAGTCGCTCCAAGCGAGGCGAGCGTTCTTACCAACAAAGCGCCCACGCCAGAAGCACCTACGAACACGATATCGGTGATCAGCTCCAGCGGTCAGATGGCTATTTAGGCACGGGTGCGCTCACCCCCTGTCACTACCACAATTTGGTCCTCCCAGACGACCTTCTCTTTCTTCCCAAAAACTTTTTGCTGATTATTGTAACACCTGCCGAGGTATCTCGCAATACCTGAAAGCGATCGACGAGATGAGTAACATGGCGCAGAACGAGAAGAGCTCGTGTCTTACCTATGAAGAATCCTACATCCGAATAAACACGAGCCCAGAAGTAAATTGACCGAGACGTAGGAGATTCTTCACGAAAGAGAAAGAACAGCCGCAGACCGGACTGAACGGCAACCGGTACCATGAGGGCGAAAAAGAAGTTAAAGATGGTACTCGTTACGGTGTCCAGCGTGATCGGTAGAGGCGGCGGATACGGCGTGAGGTGGGAGGGTGTTTGGCTGCAATGTGAGAAGAAATAGGGCCAGAGTATAGGTCACGCAGCGAAGAACAGGGCAAATGAAAGAAATCAACATCTGGAGCTGAATCAAATTGTATTCATGTCTAGGCGTATGATATCTGCCTCGCTCGTCGACTGCTCATCTACATCGCTCCTATCTGTTTCTCATCCCCTACTCCCTCCTTCGCGGTCTCTGTCGAACCGCAGCTTGTCCACCCGTGCGCTCTCCGAGCAGAAAGAATAATCAAAGTGCTCGAGCGCTCACCTCCCCCAATTCTCCACCGGCTTGCCCAAAGCGTCCCTCTTTCCTCCCGCTCCCGCTCGCTCCTTGGCCGCCTCTGCCCGGTAACTCTTCAGCCTGTCCAAGCGTTCCTTTTCTTCCTGTTCCTTTTGCAACTTTTGGGCTTCCCGCTTGTTGGCGTTCTTGCGCTGAACTTTGGTAGGTGCCGAGTTGTCAGCTGCGGAAGAGGAAGGTCGTTGGGACGAGGTCGTCCGACGGGTAGAAGGGGATTGAGGGAAGTTGGGGTTGGAGCTGGTCAACAGGGAGAACCTGTTCAACGAAGGTGCCGAGGGAGCTATGGATACACAGTACGCAATGACTAAGCACAAACAGCCCTGCCGAGAATTTCACTGTGTTGATGGTGTATGTGCTCACCCCTCGAACTCCCAGCGATAGCAGCAAAGCTCCCTCCGTTGGCATTCCCGCTCCCGACAAACTTCTTGGGAACCTCCCAGCCGTCATCCTCCTCGCTCTCATCCAACTCGGCATCCTCATCCTCGTACCCAAAGTCCTCGTTGACGGCCTGGGTCGCCGCGGCAGGCTCTTCCTGAGCGGGAGCAGGGGCAGGGGTAGGAGCGGACGGGGTGGAGGTGCTCTGTTCGGGAACGATCTTCATGACCCTGGCGATCTGAGGTTGCTTTTGGTCCTCCGGGAGCATGCTAGAAAAGAGAATGGGTGGAATATAGATTGGTATGTATCCCCAAAGGACACAGCAAGACTATCGGACAAAACTCACTCGTCAACCTCGGTCTTGGGAGCCTTCTTGACCTTCTTCTCGGCCAAGGTCTTAGGCTTCTCCTTGGCAGCCTTTGAATGTGTAGGCACAGGGGCAGACGCCTTCGCCTCGACCTCTGGCTCTGGCTCTACCCGAGAGCTACTGGCGCCATCCTCCTTTCCTGAAACATCCCCTGCAGCAGCTGCTCCATTCTTCTTCTTCTTGCTAGCCGACTTTTTCGAACCAGCCTTGCTCTTTTTTCCAGACCCAGACGCCGACTCTCCCGTCAACTCGTCCTCGAACAGGCCCTTCCCACCGGGGAGTACGGCGTTGGCGGTCTTTTTGATGGCTGCCGGGATGGCCTCTTGTTGTTGAGGGTTCTGTTGGACGTATCGCCAACCCGCAATCAGGGCGGCGAGGATGGCGGCAGAGACGATCGTCTCGGTCGGGATGTAAGGCATGGTATGTGGTATTTGGTTGGTGAGAACACGACGGTTGGGGAAGGGATTGAGGAGATGGGCGTAGTGATGGGATCGACTTGGACCTTGATGGACAGGCCACGACCTTCGTGACGTGGATCCGGTCGCGGGGGCACAAATGACACGTCATACAAATGATAACTATCACATTAGCAGTCCTTCTATAACTACAACTAATCGGTTGCTGAGGGGAGCGACAGTCACTGTAATGGACGAGCAAGTAGGCGCAAGTAGAGGTTGAAGGACGAGCAGACCGCAGTCTATATGCATGATTGCAGGCTATGAGACCTGGCTGGATCATAGGATCTCCGCCAATTCGCCAATATGATACACACGATGGGTCTCTGTGATGTTTATTATTTGATTTCTTGATAAGAAATGTCTCGAGATGCGAGATGCAATCTAGTCAGCGTGGTAGCTCAATTGCTCGTGAAACTACACCACTTGCCTTCAAACGATCGCTGATATCATATCGATAGCCGTAGCAGCAGTCGCTTTTTCGAAATGCCCAAAGGACCTTCCATGCTAGCGGGTCTGTCACCCGACGTCCGGCAACTCTTGTACAAGCAGGTCTCGGAAGCCAAACGAACTCAAGCAGAGACCATCCCGACGCAGCCTCCCAGCGGACATGAACCAAGTGCAGATGCAGGACCAGGGCCATCAACGGCGGGCCAGAGGTCTCGAGCATCACATGATATGGAAGGTTAGTTAGCCATGGACGAAGGGCGATTTGCCGAGAGCTGCCGAACTCAAATTTCGCTCTATACGCCCTCAGAACCCGCTTCGAAACGTCGCAAGACCACCACCGACGACGCCTCGGCCTTGCCTACGAGTAGCACAGGATTCACAGAAGGATTCAACGGCGCGATGATCAAAAAGTCTTGGGAATGTCCCGAGCTCGTCAAGCGGTATACGGTAGAGAACTGGGAAGAGGAGATGCCAGAGGATATCAAAAAGTGTCAGTCCGGCGCTCTTTCCTCAACCGATACATCTTGAAGTCGTGCTAACTATCGGCAACCGTCCTTCCACGACCATTCGCAGACTTTCATCAGCGTAGAACTCTCTTTACGCGGTACTCTTCCCACCCGATCTTGCTGGACCATACAGGATGGTACAGCGTCACTCCTGAGAAGATTGCCAACCACATAGCGGATCGATGTCGCTGCGACACAGTGCTCGACGGATTCGCCGGCGTAGGCGGCAACCTCATCGCGTTCGCTTGGACGTGTGAGAGGGTGATTGCCATCGACACTTCGATGGACAGATTGAGGATCGCAAGGCATAACGCGATGCAGTATGGGGTGGCAGATCGGATAGAGTTCATATGTGCAGATTATGTCGAGTTTGTGGAAGCGTGGGCGAGACGGAAACAGAGGCAGAGGGAAGAGAGGGGGGAGATGGAGGCAGTCGTAGGGTTAGGAGAGGAGGTGGATGTCGTCTTTCTCAGTCCGCCTTGGGGTGAGTTCTCGGTATGCTGAAGAATTGTATCCAAGCTCCAGCTGATCACTAGACTATGCGCGGCTATCAGGTGGAACGGAGTACCTGGAAGCGACAGATACCACGGCGGACCCGGACCCAGACGCTTCGTTCGCGATCCCGAACCATCTCCCGGCCTTCCCCCTGTCCACCCTCCTTCCACTCCCGGCCAAGGAACTGTACGACCTCTCCCGTAAGATGACCCCGAACATCGCATTCTACCTTCCGCGAAATAGCGATGCCCACGAGATCTCTGAATGGGCGGATGAGACGCCGTTGGACGAGAACGATCTTACCGTCGGTGGGAAAGAATGGGTCGAGGTGGAAGAGGAATGGATGGGCTGGTCCAAGGAGGATCCGCTCAAGGCTGCTGGCAAGAACAAGCGGCGGAGCGTAGGAAAGAAGGGAGCGGATGGCAAGTTGAAGGCCATCACGGCGTACTTTGGTGGGCTGGCAGGGCAGGGAGAGGCGTAGATACAATGAGCTATTGAATCAGGCGCCTGGCCCACTAAGAACCGGTTGGCTACGAACCCCGACCTGTATACATAGCAAGGTAACCCGCCCGAATGTCAACGCGATCGACGACAAGGTGGTCGTATGTATCTTCGAGCCAGAACTCAGTCTTCTAGCCTTGCTCTTAATCATAACCCAATGATGTAACGATGACCACAATTACTGTGATATTCGCCGATCCGTGCGGAAGCAAAACGGGCGACCTTGAGCGATCCTCGTCATCTTCGAGGGTCTGCATTCCGACATTTACAACATTCACATTCACATCTGAGCTTCATACAGTCCTTTCAAGCTTTGTCGGAGCACCAGCGTCGTCTAACCTTGAGAAGTATCACATACGGAATGTCTGGAACAGCAGTGCGACGTGTTCAAAAGGTGAGCTCTCGTCATCACTTTGCGCATTCGAGACGAGCTGCTGACATTCCGAATACCGTGTGTATGGCTACAACAGGAATTAGGCGACATTCGCAAGTCGCCCAACAAGCACATCAAGGTCGAGGTCGATGAATCCAACGTGACACACTGGGATGTCAAGCTGGACGGACCTGTCAGTTCCAGCGGCTCCGTCTTTAAGCTATGCGAGCGAGATACTGAGCTATGAGCCGTTGACCTTGGTAGCACGGAACGCCTTATCAAGCCGGGACGTACGGTATGACCGTAGACTTTACCAACGACTACCCCTTCAAGCCGCCCGTGGTGAGTTTTGGTATAGCCTCGAACCCCCGTACTGAAGATAAGCCAGCTCACCGTCTCGTCGCTCGAATAGCTCAAGTTCACTACCAAGATGTACCACCCGAACATCGACTCGGACGGCAAGTAAGCCTGCTGCATCTCTCTGACGGAATGCTCGACACGATCACTGACATTTCCACTTCCTATCAGCATCTGTATCGGTGTTCTGAAGACTGAAAACTGGAAACCAGCTACCAAGATCGTCAGCGGTAAGCCGGCTCAAGCGAGGCCAGCGACTGCTACAGCCTGGCTGAACAATTTTTTCCCAACGTATAGTACTGGACGCCATGTACGAGCTCCTGGGTCACCCTAATCCTGACGATCCGCTGGTCACCTCGATCGTACGTGCCTCGTACTGTACGAGACAACTTCCCCTCTCGTCTGACTGATTCTCGTCGATCATCTCGCAGGCGGACCAATACAGGAACGACCGACCCAGCTTTGACAAGACCGTCAAGGAATATATCAACCGCGTAAGTCTACATGTGCCTTCGACGCTTTGGCAGCTCTGGTTCTCTACTTACTATGATCTTGCTCCTCGTTTCCAGTACGCCAAGTAGCAATTGACCGCGAACGAATGGGAGAGGCGATGAAGATCGCATGGCAGCTGGCGAGTACTGTATCTAACGAACATAACGATGACATTATGCATACATGAATGGACCCTTCCGCCTCCTATTTCCATACCTCGCCAACTTGACTTCGAGAATCCATGGAATAAGCAGATTAGCTGTCAGCTGACATCGTGTATACATCGCTGCAGTCTACAGTATCGTCAATACGCTGGCTACATGGATCATTATGAAAGCTCAAACTCGTCCTGTAAGAATGTCCTATAAGAAATGCCAAATTGCTACCCTTCTACAGTGACAGCGCCCTATTCCTTCCGATAGTCCCTGTAAGTCGAGACGGACGTTGATCTTCCAGAACCTCATCCACGTCCAAGCGCTCCTGATTCATCGCTTCGAAGCGCCTGCGATGCGAATAATCAGTTATAGGGTGAATATGAGAACCAGATCGCCCCTATCGGGACTGACTCTTCCATATCCTGTTTATGCCCCTTGTAAGTCCAGCCAGCGAAAGCCATCCTGCAGACAAGATCGTCAGCTCCACATACAAGCCCGTCGTTATATGATCATACGCTCACTGCTTTCTGATATCCAGGATATGAGCCCCGTGCTTCCGGTCGGCAAGCATGGGGTCCTTGGTAGCATGGGCGGGAGCTCCACCTGGGGGTGCTAGGGGCTGACGATGGAAGCAAACATGTTAACTTCTGCAAGCACAAATACGACCTCGGCAACCTACTTCATTTGGAATGTCATCGTCGAAGTGACGCGTGTCCGCAGGGTCGATCAGGTTGGGCTGGTAAGGAGCCTCTTGCAAGTGAATATCTGAAGATGGGTAGAGTGACAGTCTCAAGCAAGTCCCGATCGGTGGAATCCAGTTACTCAATACGTACTGTCCCAATCGATGCCACGGAACCAGGAATGCGCCTTGATATCGCCCGCCCCATCGTCACCTAGTCCGCTTCGAGGTCCATTCCGTCCTCCTATACTCTTGGACCAAGGGTTACTCCTTTCGGCCGTCATGATACTATTGGGCCGATTGGTCGAGGCGGTTGCCATGCTACCCAGTCTATCTTCCGGCTCGCACAGTAGGCTGGCCAGGAAGTCTGTACAAGCCTTGCTCAATCTTGGCTTCGTCGGGAAGCGGAGTGATTCGCGCCAGTTCAGGCTAGTGGGAACAATATCAATCTCGATGCGGTACTGGCAAGACAGCTCGACAATTCTCACATTTTCTGCCGAGTCTGATGTCGAGATCCCGAAACGAAGGGAGGGAACCCGTAAAGACACTCGAAGGCTGAATAGGGATAATCAGGGCCTGTTTATCGAGTTGCATAGGCTAAAGACGTGCTCACCGATACACCCTAGACTCCACCAGTCGCAAGTGAATCCGTAACCTAGACCACGAATTACCTCTATGAAACAGGGTCAGACCTGGATACCGTGAGGCAAATACCACATCACTTACCAGGCGCCATGTATGAATTCGTCCTGCAGCGAATATTAGCCTGGGAGACGTGACCACGAAAATCACAAGCGCAACTCACCCGCAAACACTCATTGCCAGCTTGCGACGCTTTCCGTCCCGCCACGTCAACATGCCTTGACCCTGGTTCAACCAGTCTTTACCCATGATAGCCTCGACCTCTCGGCGTTTCATCGTCTTGAGTTTCATCTTGGACGGTTCTTCCAGATCGATACCGTGTTTCTTGAGCAAGGCTCGTCGTTGTTGATCGTAGTAGTAAGTGTCATGAGCCCAGTGCAAGTCGTTTGCCAAGCCAAAGTCTGAGATCCTCAGGTGTCCTTCCTTGGAGAATAAAAAGTTATCGGGTTTGATATCCCGATGGATGAACCCGAGCTTGTGAGTCGCCTCAATGGCAAGGATCATCTCGGCAATGTAGAATCGAGTAAAGTCTTCCTCGAACGTATCGCGCTCAACCAGCAGGTTCAGCAGATCACCACCCCCTTCATAAGTGAGAACCAGGTATAATCGATCAACGTCCTGGAAACTGTAATGCAATTTGACGATCCACTGCGCGCCCGCGCTAGAGTTGGCGGCGGCAGCCAACAAATCCTTCTCCGCCCGGACATGTCCCTCTTGCCCTTTCCGAAGCATATCGGCCTTGCGAAGTTCCTTCATGGCGAACAACTTGCCGGTCTCCTTCTCCTTGACAAGACTGACCACACCAAAGGCTCCATGTCCGATAACCTTGAGCTTGGCGAAACTGAGTGTGCCAACCTTCTTCCGCTTCTCGCGCAAGGCCTGCGTCTCTTCTTCCCTCCAGCGGGCACGGAGTACGGTCTTCTCCTGCTCGGAGCAGTTTCGCTTTTGCATCTCTTGCTCCAGCGCCAATTCTCGTCGACGACGGTTCAAGATGTAGTTGTTTGGATGGGCCGCGTCAAGCGACTTGGGAGGTTTCAGTAAAGCGTGGTAGAGCGTTTCGAAGTAGATTGCGACCGAGGTGGCCTTTTCCAACGTGGGCAACGATGGCGTCACCAAGCGCGAGGGCATTGTGGCGAACACTTCTTGCAAGCCCTCGCCCATCTCCCTATCAAGGGTGGATCCAGTCAGGGCGACCGCACGCATTGTGGGACTGTTGCCTCCCGTCACCGTCTCCTCTTTGCCTGTCACGCTGGGGAACGGCAAGCCATCGATGTCTTCCGGATTGACGACCTGAGGCAGGCGCCGTTTCTGCTCCTCATCGACCAGATCTTGGAGTTTGGTATTGGCTGTCAAGAGTGGCGGTCTCTTGCTCTTGATCCTCAGCGGCAAGGTGGGTCGGATGACGATCTCTCGATCGTTGGCCATGATGTCCTTTTCCTCTTCGGTCGGAGCCATAAAGGCCCTTTCGAATGGATTGTGCGTACCGCTAGCCTTGGTAGGAGTCGCCTTGGACAAGGGAGATTTGCCGGTAGGCGTACCTGGCGAAAGACCTGGGCTCGAAAATTGGATACCTGGTGTGGAAATGTGCGCCGGAGGAGGTCGCAGGGTCTCGTTGGTCGCCTCGGAGTAGATCGACGAGGGCATACCGTTGATAACCCTCAGAGTTTGGAAAGGCGTAGCTCTGACAAAACAAGAGGTAAGATATTTAAGATCATTTTGTCGCCCCAATCTGTTCGTATGATGCCTCTTCACTTACACCGCCAAGCCACGTTCGCGATTGATCATGCTCTGAGCTATCGCCCTGGCCTGCTGATCGGCCGCCCTTTGCTTGACGAGATCTTTGATCGCCTGAGCCCATATGGGATCTACAACCATCAGATGGTCAACTAGAATCAGTAAGAGGCTTTCACGGACCGAGGTGGACGCAAGAACCGAAACGTACCGGCCACCTTGCCCATCCCATCCATTCCCCATCGCATGAGCATGAACAGGGCTTCTTCCTCCGTTTCGGCGTGTGCGACGTGTCTGATAGCCACACGACGAAATCATTTCAGCTGATATGGTAACAGCTGTCGCGTTGACGAAAGACTGACCGGAAATCTAAGGGCCAACTGATCATCCGTTTGTCCAGTCCGCCTGGCCTCGTACCTCCTGCCGCAGCCCCTATCCTACCTCCGGTTGCACCATTACCTGCGCCAGCACTCGTTCCTTTACCTGCGGCGCCAGCTTTGGCCGTATCAAAGAACCTGCTCCCCCCACCCTGACCTCCCAAACCCCGAGGACCTCTTTGGGTCTTGAGCAAGATGGTCCCGATCTGTCCTCTCGGCTTCCAAGTCCCGATACCCATTCCTTCTCCGCCCTTTGCCAAAGGCTGAGCATAAGCCGCAGTAGGCGGGTGAAGGATACGAACAGTTCGTTGGATCCGGTTGGGTCCGTCCGTGGCGATAGGAACCATAGGCTGTGTCTGACCTCCTTCGGCCGTGTTGACGCCTTGAACGGGTTTCCTGGGGATCTTGTTGGTCGGCAACGGGACCCCGTCGACCGCACGTCCAGCTGCAGTCCCAGGTAATCCAGGCAAATCTTTGCCTCGACCGTCCACTTCTTGACTGTAATCTTGATCATCATCGAAAGCCGGCCCGACCCGACTCCTTAATGTAGACCCGATGTACCCCAGAGTCCCGACGACAGGGTCGAGGACCATATTCCTCAAGCCGTTCACGCTGGCGCTGGCATACGAATACAGACCTGGCCCGCCTCCTGCCGCATCCCCTCCTCCGGCTCCTCCGGTAGCTACCAGAGGTTGAGGCTGTTGAGACAAGGCTCGAAGCATCTGAGTGGCTTCGGACGGTTGACGACGGGGACCCGCGGGAGGATCCATCCGAGCTCGAGGTTGTGCTTGGGCTCGAGTTGGAGGATCCCTTGGGTACGCGGCGGGAGGCATATCCTCGTACCTCCTTCCGACCGTCTCCACAGCTCGACCGACATCATCACCCCGAACATTGACCTGGCGACCTTGCTCATCATACTCCCAATCCCACCTCGTATCCCTTCTAGCTGGCGTTTGAGCCTGGTATTGGGGATGGTTCTGGGAATGCAGGTCAAACTGCCCGTTCCCAGGAACGTAGGACAATAGATCGAGAAACCCTTGATGAGCGATCGTACCTTTGGGCACATAAGTCTGGCTATGGATCGTCCGACCTCCAGGGGAGATAGGTAAACCGGAAGGATGAGGTGGGAGACGACGGGGAAGCTGGGTGGTGTAGGCTGGAGTTCCTATCCCAGCATAGTTATGGGATGGGGTCGGGGATGGGTCCGAATTCATGGTCGCGATAGTGATGGGACGAGGTTTCTCTCGGCTGGATAGCGAGAGTCGACGAGTTGATGATGGAAGGACGGGTGTGTTAGAAGGTGTGCCACCGGTGACAGGCTTTGCGATCTGTCGAAGAGAATCAACCACCGTGGACTTTACGTCGATGTCGATGTCGATATAGACACGAGGTCATGTTCATCTGTGCCGGTAAGGCACTTGTCGTGGCAACAGAGGTCGAACGATCAACAACAAGAACACAGCATCGCAGCTGCATCAAACACGATCAGACATTCCGATCAGATCGCATCATCGCAACTCGCTCTCGGCGAAATGCGCCGCGTGTACCGTAGCATAGTTTTGCTTCCCGCGTTTCATCCCTCTAGCCGTGTTGTCTCGTCACAGATCACAGAGGTGCAAGAGAGAAGCGGCCCCTTATCTCTGTTGCCTGATCTTTGCGCAGGGGACCATCTGATCGTTTGACACTCGAGCTCATACCGCCCACGTCATTCACCGCTGTCACTTCATCGCGACGAAGGAGCAAGATCGCGAAACTCTATCAAATGCCATCAATCCCCCCATCGAAACTTCCATCTACCCCCCCCCCTTTCCCTTCTGTTCTTTTGTTTCAAACCTCGGTCATCGACCTCCTTTCGCCCTTGCTTCCGCCCCATCCTTTGACCTCGGCCACCGGGCCAGGAGAGGATAGCTTCCGACCTGATCGGTGACGAAGACATGCGCAAAGGATGCGCCGGAAGCAGATTATGACGGAGGGGGGAGGTGACATGGGTGGATCCTACGATCCTACGTCGACCTGGTTGTTGGTCAAAGGGATCGTCTGGAGCTGGAGCTTCTCCAAGCTACCAAGAACGTCAGATAAGATATCAGCTTGCCCCTGTATATAAGGTCGACATCTTGGAACCCTAGCGGAATCACCTCTCGGATCGTCGACGGAACCATGACCTCTCCAACCCAACGCGGCACCTGGAACGCCGAGGTCGACAAGCTGAAGAACAGGCTCTCCGTGCTTTCCCAGAGCTCGATGGACGGTGAAGATCAAAAGAGGTTGAGAGAGATCGGGATGGCGCAAGATCGAGGGGGTGATAGCGACGGAGGTGAGACTGTCGAGACGGGGCAAGAGGCGGGGCAGAGCGATTTCGTAAAGGCCAGACGACAAGCCGATCATGCGGACGAGATGCGTTACGATTGTGAGTCCTCTTTCTCCCCATGCTTCGTCGTCTCCGCACCTTCTTCTCCTTTGGCTTACCATGTTCGTTGCGCTTTCCATCGGGCCTCCTCAGTCTTCTTTTACGGGACCCTCATGCACCCGTTGATCCTGACCCGGGTGTTGGGGCATCAAGACCCCGAGCTCGAATTCCAGGACGCCATCCTGCTCGTCAGTGCCTCTGGGTTATTCTGAGCTCGACTTCCTTTCCTAGCTGATATCTTCCCAATCTGTGCGATCGCCAAAAACGAATCTGGAATCCGACCTCGCGACGATTACAGGGCTACGTCAGGCATTGCGTGAGGGGTCACGACTATCCGGCCATCCTACCCGTCTCGGAATCGAGCAAGCTGTTGAAGAGGCGAGTCGACGTGTCTGCGCCCGGTCCTCTGTGTTCCCGAATGCCGTCGGACTAAGATTATGTTATCCTGTTCTATCTCAGACGATTAGACGACGATGAAGCTTGTGTCAGAGGGACTTTCGTACGAGGTCTGACCAAAGTGGACGTGCTCGCCCTGGATGCATTCGAGGGGGATGTGAGTCGAATATTCGCTCTCGACCATGTACTATCTCGGCTTGTGCTGACAACGAGCCGCCCCACGGGCAGAAATACGCCCGAGTACGAATCAGAGGTTCCGGGGGTACTCCCTCTCCCTTCGTCTCCCCCGCCATCCTGACTCCCGGATCGGACACCTTGTTGTTCGTCGAGGAGACCCCGCCCGTGCTCAGTCCCAACGGAATGCCACCAGGCAATGGCGACATGATCAACCACAACGACACCGCGCGCCCCAGTCCGTACTTTGACAACCTCCCCGTTCGACCACAAATCATCACCCTCGGCCCGCCCATCCAGACGTCGACCATGTTCGGCTTGGGCACGGGTCCGGTGGACGACCTCGTGAAACCTGACGTGACGGTCGAGCGCGCTAAGAAGGGGCTGCAAGAGGGGGAAGAAGGGTTCGCAGAAGTCTTGGGCTGGGTCTATGTCTGGAGGTGGGACGTGGGCAAGCTCGAAAAGGAGATCTGGGAGTGAGTCTGCAGCGTCTGGTCTTTTCCGGTGAATTCGGTCAGATCCGGCTGACACCTCGGTTTGACGGTATCGCAGTTTCAGAGCCTTCTTGGCGGAAAAGTCTCATCGATGGACCGGGACTTATCATCCGCCCAAGGAGGAAGAGGGAAATCAATCAGGTATAGGTGGACATGAACAAGGGCAGCCTGAGAATGGAAAGACCGGGGCGGACGACAAGAGGCCTCCTGGAGGGATTAGGAACGAGAGCTTCTACAAGGACGTGGATGATCTGATGGATCGGTTGAAGGCTGGGGAGACGAGTTGATAGAGGATTCCGGTGGTCTGGGTTCGAGATTGATAGAGGATCGGATATGAGTTCTTGAGATTGCTCTTTTTTACGAGACGTGCAAGGTATATATTTACGAATAACGATGGCATCCTTTGATCCCTCTTGCTCGTGGTCTAATCCATCATCAACCCCTTTTTGAGCAAGACGGCCATGACGACCAGATGCGTTCCGAGATGCACCCCAGGCCCGCCCATCTCTTTCGTCCAGACGGCCTCTCCACCCGTAATCCTCGCGATCGCCCTCCAGATCGGAGCTACGTGATAGATCGACAAGGCCAAGGCCATCCTGCCGTCCTTTACCCTCTGTTCGACCCCTAGTGTCTGGTTGGCGAGGTGGACAAAGGTGACGACGGACGTGGACAGGAGCAAAAAGGCATAATTGCGGAGGATGTGACCGGTCTGCGAGCGAGCGAGTCGGTCCGGGTTAAAGGAGAGGGCGAAAAAGTTGAAAAAGGGCGGGATGGCGAGGAGGCCGTGAAGGTAGAATGCGAGGTTGGATCGGGGCATGGTAGGCGGCGGTGTCCAAAGGTTCGGTTGGAGGCTTGTGCTGTGGTGATGAGAGCTATTCAGCACTTTCTGTGACAGCTTGATGATGATGATGCAGATGATTGTGAGCTGTACCTCCCCCTTCCCTCGGCCCCGGCGTTCATGAGAATGGTCGCAATCAAAGAAAAACATGTCAGGCTCCCATGATCAGTTCTTGTCGGTCGTCGTTCTTGAGAGCTCGAAGACCTGGTCATATTCACAAGACAAGGGTCTATCATGCTGCTCGTTATGTCAGCGGAAACCAACAGTTTGGCCATGACGATGCCGGAACCCACATTGACAGACCTGATCGTCTTCAATCCGACACTGAAACACGCAGACACGGACTCGTTAGATCGGCTGTCTCTCGTCGACAAGGAAGACTATGACGAGGTATCCCAGGTCCTCTTTGCCGATGGTACCGGATTGCGCAACAGTAGAGGGGAGACGGAGTGGAACGTCGTACTCAAGCAGATGGGGTTGGCTAAAGGTTTGATGGGGTTCATGAAGTGAGCCTCTCGTTCAGCTTTCCGTATACCTGTCTGGAGCTAACACTGCGCGAACCTTTTCGACACGATAGCATGATCGAGGATCAGTCGTTCCCTGAACCAGAAGAGAACACTTTCCAGATCATCCATTCCAAGAAGCGGGTCACTTGTATTTACCAGATGGAGCAGGACCATACGCTCGTTGCCGTAAGTCAACTCTCAAACACGCTCTGTCGAAACGTAGATGGCCAGAACTGACAATCCCCCTCCTGCCTCTTCAGGTCTTTGCGGTACCCGTCCCTCCAACTCCGGCTGCGACCTCGAAGCCTTCGTCGTCTACGAGGCACGCCAAGCTACCTCCCGCTTCTACAGCTAGACCGGTCTTGATCACCGACGAGCAGTACGAGGATTCGCTCGCAAGGGCTTGTGGACGTTACCTCGTAAGTTTCACTCCCTGCTCCTTATCTGCTGGTCAGCCCACTTATTCAGGAATGCTGATTCATGCTCGCTTCACTTGGTATGGCGTAACGCTCGTTTTCCAGGTCGAGTACGGGTCCCCATCCAACACGCTCAAGACGCAAGGCAGGGAGGCGGTAGAGTCAGCTCTGAGGACATTCTTCGGCGGGTGGATCAAGGGCGCTCGGCCTACCCGAGAAAGCTTGACCGGACCGAGTTCGGATTTCGAGCATGAGGCCGCGGGTCTAAGCAATGAGCCTACGACCTCGGCCGCCTGGGAGGCCTTGGTGAAGGAACTGAAAGGACAGGGTGCGGATGTGGAGGCCATCTTGATCTCCTCGGACGGGATATTGGCGCAAAGCGATAGTGCTGGCGGACGTGGGATCTTGGATGATCTAGCGTTACAGGACCACCTCCGTTGGAAGCACGAACAAACTCGTCAAACCGGTTCTTCGCCGCTTGACGGGTCGCAAAGCGGAAAAACTGTGTCAGGTGAAGCGACCCATCAACACCGCTCGGAAAGCGGGACTTGGAAGAAGCTGGGCATCTCTTCCTGGGCGCCCTCGTTGACTTTGGGGTTGGGGTCGAGTGAACCATCAAAGGTCAAAGAGACTGCTCATACCTCGAATTCTACTTCAGCTCTCGGTGTCGGTGCGAGTACGGGCGGTGCGAGTACGGGCAAATGGGGAGGGATTGGACAATGGTTCGGGATGACTTCGGATACGAATTCGGACTCGCCTTCGGGTTCATCTTCTCGTCAGCCAGAAACTGCTGGAGAGCTCGACCATGCTGAGAGCGCTCAGAAGGGAATGAGCAAGGACCAGGTGGATTTAGCTAGTCTGCATTCGGCCTTGGAGTCCGAGGCGGGCGAGCGGGAGGTGAAAGAAGGGCTGGAATGGACGGTTGAAGAGGTCTGGGTGGACAAGGGCACGACCGAGGCTACACTGGCCGTTGTTATCGTGAGTAGTAGTCGGTCCCATCAGCCACGAGACTTAGCTGGCCGTTCTGATCTGCTTCGTGGACCCGTTCTTGTCTTTGACAGAAGGACGGCCGACTGCTAGCCATTGCAATGCAAGGGCATGACGTTTCGCTCCTCAGAATCCTCACATCCACATGCCACACAGCAATTTCGGCGCCCCTCTTCACTCGACGTGAGAAGATTTCCCGGAATCCCCAGTTTGTGAACTTCCCCCTCTGATCTCAACAGCGAAGCTCTATGGACTGATAGATATTCGCACCCGTCTTGCTTCAGCCAGCAGGAAATGAAAACGAAGACGAGCATGAAGAGGACGAGATCTCCTACCACAACCCACTAGGACTAGAAGTTCGAAAGACGCGTACGGCCGGACGAGGGGTTTTTGCGCCAGGAGATATCCCGGCGGGAACAATCCTCGAAGAATCACCGGTGTTGATATTGACTCAGCACGAGTGGGAGCAAGGCAAACTGAACGACGGAGTTCTGGGCGGGTATGCGTTTAACTGGAGTAATGGCGGGATGGCGGTCGGACTCGGGATAGGTTAGTATCGGCTGTGCTTTGCCCTTGCGACCTGTTGCTGACTGAATCACCATGAACCTAAATACACGGAACGTGCAGCTTCGATGTTTAATCATTCTCCCAAACCCAATGTCAACTTTATTCGCCGGGCTCCGACAAGCAAGTCGCCCGACGTATCACCCGCCATGGTGTTCATGACTTGTCGACCGGTTCGCAAGGGCGAGGAACTCTTTATCTGTTACGGACAGGAATCGAAATTGTGGTTCTCGCCGGATTATGGGAAAGCAGTGGCGGAGAGCACGCGGGGTTACGAGGAAGAGGCCGCGGAAGCTGCCGATGCCTTTCTGAGCGGGTTTGAAGGGCTGGCAGCGGATACAGAGGAAGATGTGGAGCACGAACCGACGAGAGCTCCTCTCGATGTGCAGCTTGTCGATCCACCAGAAGCAGTCATAGAATCTTCACTGGCCAACCTGACAGGAACAGAAGCGACATCCGAGAACATCTTCTCAGAGCTGAACGTTGAGCAGGACAATCTCAAAGACGAGGATGAGGAAAAGCGAGCTCGTAGACGGGAAAAGAAGGCGCTCCAGGACGAAAAGACTGCCAAGTATCAGCACAAAAAAGCCATTAGAAAGGCGGATAAGAGCGCGACGACATCCGCACAGTCAGAGGTTCAACTCGCACCGCCCGTTATGACTGATGCATCAGCCCAGTTGGAGGAGCCGTCGTATCAAGCGGCTCTGCAGGCAATGGACTTGGCACCCGCCATCATAGTTTCTGTAAAAGACGTCGAAACTATCAAAGCAGAAGAGGTGGGACAAGACGAATTTGAAGGCGAATTCGGATTTGCGGGTTGGCGATCGGTCAAGAGAGTGCCAGGGCTATCCGAGGGGGGAGAGCCAGCACTGGATTCTACTCGTACGTCACGCGGCGATGCCCGACTTGCAAATGCCTCCGAGACTAAAGCTTTTGCGGTACAGTCGAAATATGGGCAGCCGACCTGCCAGCTCAGCTAATTGGGAAGTTGTCGCAGTACGTCAAAATCGATATCGTGTCAGACGGTTTTCTCACGGCTTAGACAAATTTGGTCTCTTCGCAGATACATTCGTAACCGGCAGCTAGTCGAAGACGAATTGTCGCATCTGAGACGGATCTACAAGAATCTATCGGCTGGTACGACATTGATCGCCCTATACTTGACATCAAAGAAATCCAGAACCGAGGTACAGGCGGATCTGGCCGATTACGACTCAGAACTTTCTGACCTGAAGCTAGTGCAAAAGACTGTTCCCGCCCGCGCGGCTCACAGCATGAAAGAGGTCGAACATTTGCGCGCCCTCTGGCCAGTCGCACTCAGGCAACGGCCCATCGTGGCCTCCGACTTACCATGGTCTGCTGACCGCAAAGCATGGGTCAAGAACGGGATGCAGATAGTGATCGACTTGGCGAAGCGGAATAGAGCTCAGGGCGAGCTTCCGGTTGCAGTCTACGCTGCCTCGCCGCCGCTGGAAGCGCAGCTGAATGAACCCGACGCAATACCTCCTACTCCCGACATTAGGGCGTCGGGAGTCGACACGCGTAAAGCGGCGCGGCATCCTCTGCGACATGCGACAATCAGCTGCGTGACCGAGATCGCGAAACTTCGCACGGTTTCACCCTTTGCCGACATTCAAGCCACCAGAAACGGCGCGGGTTATCTGTTGACGTCGTTGTCGGTCTTCATGTCGCACGAGCCTTGCGTCATGTGTGTCATGGCACTGGTTCACTCGCGGGTCAAAGAGGTGTTTTACCTGTCTTCAGCGGGAGGCGCATCGAACGGGGGTGGGTTTGGCGGGAGTTATCCTGTGCATTCACACTCAGGGCTCAATCACCAGATGGACTTGTTTGATTGCTCGGATCTTGTATCGCAAGCGGACATCGACGATATCACGGTTGCGGACATCGTGGATCTCTGATGAAGACTTGTATTGTACTACATCTGAATATTGCAGTCTTGCTCAAAGTTGGGTTTCTTGGCGCGTGCGCTCTTTCGTATATACAACGGTGGCTAGCCATTCTTTCTTGCTCAGTGCGGGGCTGATTATTTCGTAAAAGGGCGTAATATTCTGGTTCATCATGAGTTGTGTTTCTGCGCTCGCGTCAGCCGACGGTCAGATCCAGTCGAAATGGACGGCTTTCGTCGCTTGCTCGGTGGGCCATCAGAGTTCGAGGCAGTGATCACGGTATTGAGGCGTTTCGAAGGTATAAGGGGGGAGTCGTAGGACGAGATTTTGGGGTCGGCCAGAGGAAGCGGTAACGATAGGGTCAGAGTTGTGTTTTGGTTGTCCTTGGTGAGCGAATCGCCCATGCATCCAAACTGGAATTCACAAGTACAACGTCGGCATGAGCGGCGGCCTGTGGAAGCGATGGGTCGAACCACTCACCAGTATACCGAAATAACGACCACCTTTGAAGACCGCATTCCTCTGTACGGGTGCGTCGCCCTGTGCACCCAAGATGGTTTTGATTTTGGCCAGGGGTTCGGGGAACTAGGTAGGCGATAGGTTGTGGTCTGAGTCAGAACGGCCTGGACGGTTACAAGCTGAGCAGAGGTAGACTCACGAGACCGGCCATATCTTCTTGAAACAAGGCTGAGGCCAGGGACGAAGGCACCTGGATGGTTGCGGCTTCGGCCTCTGCAACGTCTAGAGGTAACCATACTCCGTCGACGCCGGCGAATTTGGAATCCCGGAAGATCATGCTGGTAGCATGTTGACCGACTCTTCGCTCGACCTCCATTACCGAAGGGTGCTTCAAAGCTCGAAGCAGTGCGGAAAAGTTGACTAAGGCATTTAGAGAAGCGAGTCAGTACGTTGTGCTATATTGAAGGTCGATCGATCACTCGGACATACCATAATCGCTTTCGATGCGGCGGTAGATCAATGTTTCGTTCCACGATATGGCAAAGACAGATACGCTGTCGATGAGCAGAGCTTGAACAGGAGGGTACGTCGGCTTGCTGGCGTTCACGAAAGTAGGAGTCGAAGCGGCAGGACGCGGGGGTGCTGGTAGTCTAGCTGGGAGTTTGGCGTAGGTCGTCGAGGAGCCCGTCTGAGTCTGGAGCGGCGGAGCAGAAGCCAGCTTCGCGAGCGGGGCTGAAGTCGATGCGCCGGGTTTTGGTTCAGTTCCAACGACAGTATCCATCTTTGCTTTCACCGTGACCGCTGCGACGTCCTGTATGTCGGACCTCTCAGAGCCCACTCCGACTCCGGAAGGTGTCCTAACATCACGATCACCACGGAGTACAGCTTCTTGCATGCCGTCTGGATCCGTCGACTTCGTCAAAACAGAAGGGCTGACGCCCATGGCATGCTCGTCCAGGTCGGAGTACTGGAAACTGGCACCAAGTAGATGTTCCTCGTCCCGGTTTGCGAAATCAGTATTGGAAGGCTCCGAGACATCCTCCAAGATCGTCTCGCCATCGGCCCAAGCAGAAAGGATGGCATCGGCCACGTCTTCCATGCCAATCGCGTCGTCTGGGATTTGGTGATCTTGCCGCTCGCCACCACTACATTTCGACGGAGACCCCGAGGGGTTGCTGCTCGCAATCGCCTTGGCGCGTATGAGAGCGCGGGCAAACCGGGCCTTCTCAATACGGCGCGCTCGTGAGCTTGTATCAAGCGTCGAGCCGACCCCGATAATGCCCCAGACATCTTTTTGCTGCAGCGTTCGATCGGAAGAATCGCTCTTGGTTGACGCAATGCTCTGACAATCTGGCTCGCCCCGCCGCCTACGTTTGCCTTGATCCACAGCGGCAGCGGTGACCGCAGCGTTCATGAAGCCCCACACATTGTCCAATTCCTCCATGCCAACACTCTCGGGGCCCAACAGGTCTGCCCACGATCGAGACAAATGTTCGTTTGACAGGTCAACATCCTGGTCAAGCTCATCGCCACCTTGATGGATCAGCATAGAATCCCTAGGGGTATGAGCGGAATCGACGTCCATTGCAAGGTTGGCGTCTGTCTCAAGACTACAGATGCACGCCGATTCGCAGTCGCTGATAGCCAGTTGCCGTCCAAGATCAGGCAGTAGCTCCAGGTCGCTGGTTCCTGCAATGTTTTCGCCATCAGTTGGCGATCCCCCACGTTCCGGATCGCTCTGCCCAAGAGGATACTCTCGGCTCGATACTGTGCTGGATCCGGCTCGATCTGCGAAGGTGGGCGAGTTCAGAGGACTTGGAGCTGGACAAGCCGGAAGTGGAAGCGACAGTCTCATGAAGTCGCGTGCGCCTACAGAGCTCTTGCGACGAGGTCGAACCGATGTGATGGCTTGGCTCGAGCTGGCTTGCGCGACGGGAGCAGTCGCTGATGTCATGACAGTATCGCCATGTTCGGCCTGCGTTCCCACCCCTTGTAGCTCCTGCCTGGTGGTAGAGATCTCGGTCGATTGGTCGATGGAATCCGACAGATCGGGCAGCAGTTGACCCAAGACATGAACAGCATTCTGCAATTCTTCGTCGACATCCAGGATCTCATCCGAGCCCATGCCCGAAACGGGAGCCATGAAAGCTTTCTTGTGTTCCGCTTCATCGTCCTCGTCATAACACGTCCTGGGGGTCGTGGCGGGCGTATCAATCTCGCTACCTTCAGCATCTCCAGGACTAAGCACATCACGATAAGCCATAGGGTGGAACCCGACTCGTTTGATCGAGGTCTTTCGATAACCGAGCCTGTCGAGATCGAGCGTGTCCATGAATTCGGTTGCAACCTCGTCCTCATCCTCGGAAGAAGAACCCGACTGTGCATCCGGCGGAGATAGCGCAGGCATATAGTCCGAATCTTCAAACATGCCGTCCAGGGGGTTGCTGGGGAAGGCCGGCTCCATGATCGGCTCAAAGGGCGAGAAACGGACTTGTGCGATAGGCGAATCGGCGACCGGTACCATGGGCGGACTGTCCATGAAGAAGGAGCGGGCAAGATCTTTGATGCTTCCGGTCATAGGTAGCCCGTTCTCGTCCCGAGAATCATCAAACTCTTCACTGTCTTCCTCCGAATCATCGTCGGTCGACGTGCCGGACATGCCGTTATCCTGATCGTTGCCATCGTCTTCCTCGATAGACTCGCTTCCCGAGCCATCGTCGCTTGTAGTCTCATACTCGCTTGGCGTGTCCATCATCGTTTCCGGATTGGCGTCCGCCGACTGTCTTATAGGTGCCGTCTCTGCGACTGCGCTGACCATGCCTCCAAGCTTGATCTTAATTTTCAATCCTGTCGGCTTGACCGGATTTGTGTCGTCCTGCGCAACCACATCCATGGGATCTTCCGTAGCAGACCTGCTAGACGCTCTGACCTGTTTCGCTTGCCTACCGCTGCCATTTCTCTTGACTTGCGTATGCGATGTCTGCTTGACGACATTCATGGCGGACGCAGATTCTTGATCTTCTGGCAAGTCATCAAACGGACTCGTCCATTCGCGACCTCCCACCCGTCCTTCGAGGTAATACACCGTCCCCTTCCTCCTGTGGCCATCTCGTGCCGCCGATGGATGGAGCGCAGGAAGAAGCCGAGATTCCAAGGCGTAACCGGCAAGGATACGTTTGCGGATGAGCATAATTCGCTCGGGCTGATGTACTGCGCATCGTCGAGCATAAGCCCGAATAGCGCTCTGCACCAGGTTTTGGGGAGCAAGAGCAGGGCTACACAAGAACGTATACACATTAGCAAAGTTGATCAGTCGATCCAAGATTGAAAGTTACTAGAAGCTCACCTTGGTCGGATCCACCCTTGGTTCACGCAAATATCCCCAATCTCGGTCGGCGTCAATGCCCTATTTCCGAACGTCTCCAAAGCCGCACAAACGGCCATAAGCTTGTCGTCCTTCATGTCGTCCTGCACAATCTGTCCGTTCTCCTCTTCATCCTCATCCGCCGTGATGATCCCGCCATGATCAGGCTCGATGACGTCCGCCGGAGGGAAAGGAATGGTGCAAGGATTCTGTCCCTTGGTGCTCCGGAGACTGTGAGAGGTCGGACTGGCAGGTTCCGTCGGTCCTTCTTGAATCGTTCTTTGAGACGTGATCTTGCCCCGAGCCCTCTCGACCCACTGTCTCGAGGGTCTCGCGGACACGCTTGGTGCAGGCTTAGACTGGAAAGTCGTGTCGCATTGCCTCTCACCGGTCGTCGATATTGGAAAGGCCAAAGTCGGCGCAGATCGAGCGATCGGCGAAGTCTGGATCGCAGTATTCTCTCTTGTTGGCGCTGGAGTCACTGGGTCCTGAGTTGACGACGACTGCTTTTCTCTCACGCCAGTTTGCTCTTCTACTTCCAGGTTCGTCGTCCCTGAATCTGCCGATATTGAGGCAGTCACCGATGCGCTCCGACTGGCCATCTCCGACCGAGTCTCGGTTGTACTCTTGGTCTTCGTATCCGACTTGCCCCATCCTTTCCTCCAGCCCCTGCCCTTCCTGACCCGTTCTGGTTGATCTTGCTTCTCCTGTTGCGGCTCGGCCTTGATCCTGGACGGTCCCGCTATCGCCGATTCGACCTGAGTGACCGAACTCGGTACCTCATGCTTGACCTTCTTCTCGTTCTTACCTTTCTCCTGAGCCAGATCCACTTTCGGAAGAGGTTCTCGCTTCACCATACTTGCGCGTCCTTGCTCCTGTTCTCTAAATCTCGCTGACGACCGGGTCGCTATCGTCGCCGATCCTGATCCTGCTCCAGCGACCGGAACAGATTCCACCACGGTCGCGTGCAGTCCAGAGACTGAAGCCCGTCGACCTCCTCCGCCTCGCAAGCTCATCGACCGTGGGCCCGGACCGGCAACTGCAATGGCCTCAACGCTATCACCAACTCCGGCATCGATTTCGCCTCCGGAACCAATCCCACCATCGACCTTGACGGGAGACGTGAGCGGGGCACGATCGTGAGCCGGAATGACGACCTCGACCACCCGACGTTTCTCCTTCACCGTTGTCGTGGGACTTGAACTCGAGCTTGACATTCCAGCTGCTGGCGACATCGACCCGACTCGCTCATTCACCGTACTCCTTCTCCTCGCTCTCAAGCCGATCGGCTCTCTGCCCTCGATTTTGGCATCAGCTCCTGCTGCCGGCGATGGTGATGGCGAGGTTGATGAAGATGAAGAAGCCTTGCCGAGAGCCGACCCGACAGAGGCGATGGGGAGATTGGCAACATCCCCAACGACCCTGGACCGAGTGGACCGCGTGCTGGGTCTAGGACCTGACATGCGTTCCCAGCCGCTCGGTAGTCGAGAATGTCCCGGAATGCCAGGGGTTGAACTCTAGCAGTGTTTCGTGGCGTCTACGATGTCTTGATGCCGAGATGATTGCGAAGAGTACGGAGGGGTTCTGGTAGGAATGGGAAAGAGGCGAAGAAATTCCGCTGCGAGGTGCAAGGTTTGTAATCCAGTTGTATCTCCAGATTCAAGGTTGGCGGGCCGAGGTAGAGCGAGTCGAAAGCGAGGCTTCTAATTGCGAGACTGTGGACGTGTTTGCGACTCCTCACCGGGAGGGGGATCCGTGCTCGAGAGAGAAAACTGAATATAGCGTTGTTCAAGGTTGCAGCTACTGAATAGATCAAAGGCGAAACGTGACGGCGATGTCGTGGAAAGTGGTGAAAGATTGCGGTCACGGAGAAAAGGAGGTGGAGAAAAGTCGCCACCTATTTCTTCTCGCTGGCTCCTGGCCTAAAGGATGACCTCCTGATCGTCTGTGAATGTTGCGAGAGGGTAGAGACCCTTTCTCTAATGGCTAGTAGTAGGAAATTGCTAAATGGAGAACGACGGATGACGCGCGGGAAGGAGGTGAAAGGTGCGGCGAAGTGATGATGTGTCGTGTCGTGTTTGTGTTCGTCCGCTCCGATGCGATGGCTGCTTCGAGGTTCGAGTTCGAAGTGATCACAGGAGCGGCGCAAGGGGAGAGGAGAGGGGGGAGGTGTGAGGTGTATGAGAGAGATAACGAGGGGTGTAGATGCAAGCAGGTCGACCTCGCGGAAATGGATGAGAACGGCTCATCAACCGCCCTCGCGCGAGAGGGGGAATGTGGCCACGAGCGAGCGAGCGACAATCTCACATACGCGTCGCCCCTCGCCTCTCTAGCCTCAAGCGCCTAATCGATAACACCAGTGTTGCACCGCGGATGTCGATGTACAGCATCAATAGTAGCGATATACCGCTCACAAACTATACAAATAATAGACCGTGCGACTAGTCCTACTATTACAATCCTAGTTGAACATCGTGACGGTGCTACGAGGCCCATCCGTTGCCTGTTAATGGCCATATGCTCGTCTGTTCCTGCGCCTGCAGATATGCATGAAGGGAAGCGCAGTCAACCACGTCACGTTATGGCGTGATCAGAGTCTGAATTGCTGCATCGACCTCGATGCGAGCTACAAGCGAGAGCACGAAGATCAGGTCCCGAGACTTTCTCACAAACCGCAACCCGTCTTCGCTGTGCTGTCACGATGGCGCAACCATCGAAAGGAAAAGCGCGAAAGCAATGCCCTCGCCTCATCTCTCCGACCGAGCCCGGAGCATACCTCCACATGTCATCGTCCAGCTCTTGTAGGTGCACAATGCTACACAACACATCACCGTGCCGTCAGCGACGCCGTCGTCGGCGCAACAAATCGTTTCGACCAAGGCTGTGTGCCAACCACACGCACAGCACGCCAAGCGCGAAAGACGGAGACCCCGGATCTGGTCAGAAACCCCCGCAGTCCGGCCCCAGAAGCGTACATGCAGATGGGCAGACGTAGGCTCCAGCTTTTGCAGGGGGCAGACTATTTTCCCCGTTTTCTCATTGTCTCGCCCATCTATTTCGTATTTCTCGACCAGCACAGGGTTAATCTTCCCCTCAGAGTGAAAACGCTGAATAAAAACCCGTTTTTCAGGTTGAAGTTGAAAAAAACGCTAGAAAAGGATGTCCGCGATGCGCGCCTTTCGGAGGTGAAGATCGAGATCCCTTCGTTCGCGCGTGAAGATCGAGCTGGTCCTGGATGAGAGAAGTGGCCCCCGGTTCGAACGATGAAACGTCCCGAAAGCGACCGTTGATTCGAGAAGGAAGCAGCTTTGGGGAAGTGATTTGTTGTACGGGCGCGCCTGGATCAAACTCAGCATTCAACGTAGCTCCTGCGCATTTTCTTTTCTTCTGCTCTGCTGTGTGCGCAGGTGGGCAGCCAAGGAAGGGGGGTGAAAACGTTGATATCCTGCCGATGCCCGTGCCGTACCCTCGCCGGACTATACAAATATACACTGTCGGTCACGGGGTCAAGAGAACGTTCTCGATGTTCACGTTGCGTCCGTTTCGGATCTGACCGTGATGTCCATCATCCCCTGTACTCGTGGAAGGTGAACGTGCGACGACGCGCAAGGCTCGGTTTGTGTTCGTCGGTGCCTTCTGTGGGGCGACACCCCTCATGGTCGTAGATGCCATCGAACGAGAGATTCTGGATTCGTATCCTCTCGAGTCAGACGTCGTCCCACATGTCGACATCTTTTGCTCGCCATTGCTAGCAAGAGCGCGACCTGAATCTCGTGATTTCCTCGCCACTCGGATACTCCGTGCTCTGCGTCGTCAACCGCGGGTCGGAACTCTTCAGAGTTTGCGTGATCGCCCAGACCCGACGTCATTTCGCTTCCTCGTTCGTTTTGTTCGTTCCAGGTCCAAGCCTGCCGGTCTTTGGCTTTGGCGTTTGAGACCGAGCCTCGGGCGAGAGGCAAAATGACAAGAGACGGATCCAGGGCGAGCAACGTGTTTCGATCACGACGACGGCGATCACGGCATGCGCGGGCCTGCATTGCATCGCGCAATACCGTTTTTTACGGGCTCGAGCCGTCGGGTCATGTCATCAACATGGGTCAGCGACCGTGCGTGATTGTCGGCTCGCGACCGTTGTTCGCACCAGTCGGATTGCGAGAGGTGATACGAAATGCGCTGCTAGATGCCCGTGTCCCATCTATACCAAATGCACCCATACGAAGAACGGTTCACCACGGACCTGTTCTGACCAGGGATCCCCTTGTTTACCTTCTTGCGTGATTTTCATCTTTTGCCTCCTTGGCCTCGAGGGAGAAAAAAAAAGCCTCCATGATCGCCTTTGCCCGAAGTGATCGTCCCGGCCGGAACGACGTAGTAACGTAGTCTCATCCCCAATTGTAGCGTAGCGTAGCAAAGAGGTCATCCGGCCCGCAGTTGTAATACGATATCCATCCAAGCAAGTCTTGCCCAGTCTTGACAGACAAGGCATTCCCTTCTTTCCCTTCACTTTCGCCTTCGACATCATCGACTGGATCGACCTCTCGCCCAGTTTTACTGCAATTCCAAGAGAAACGTTCGCTCGATCCTCCACCCGACTCGATCTTTCAAACGCAAACGCGCTACGACGACATCTCGAGAATCCTCTTGTCCGTGCAAGCGAGGGTAAAAAAGATCGTCCTCTCCCCTCTCTCCGCATTTCTACTGGGACCTGACCCCTGGTGGATCGCAATTACCCCGAGTCACTTTCGGTTCGACCCCGGGTTTTACGTTTACGAGAGAGAAAATCGAAATCGAAATAATCGAAATCGAGATCCAGCTCGTGCACAGTCAGCGAAACTCGCCGAATTTTGGGACACACGTTATCGCCAAGGTCATCCACCCCATCACCCTTTCAACCCTTGCGCCCACCTCTCTCATCACTCGGTCGACGAAAGGACGGTCCCACCCCGCCGTATACCTTTTAGGATAGGTCTAGACAGGGCGATCAAGTGAAAACTGTGGTCCGACGTGTGTCGCCTTTTGGATTCGTATCAGCTCTCGATCCCGAACAAAAGGCCGTATCCCCGAAGACCGACCCACATCACCTCTTACCCCCATCAACTGTCAAGCAATACCATCAACCTTCGAACCTTTATCGACCGTTCTGAGCACCGTATCATCAACAAGTCGGGAAGCAGATAGGTTGAGAGAGAGCAGGAGACTAGACTAGATCCGGAATTCAAACTACAAAAGGTGAGTTTCAGACTTTCCTTTTGTTCTTCCTTCTTTTCGTGGAGTGTGTTTCGAGGGTGATACAAGGTGGATCGGGTTGGGCAGAGAGGGTAGAACGAAGTGTTCTCTCGATCGCCAGTCGTGATGATGATCATCATCGGTCGGCTGCGGCGGGGAGTGAGGTTGCCGAGAGCGAACGTTCAAAGGGATTGATGGGTTTCAGCATCAAACAAAACGATCAAAGGGGACACACGCAGATGAAGCATCGTGTGGGTCGGCAGGGTGGAGTGAAAGGGAGATCCTTGTGAAAGAGGCCGAGAGCTTCGCCGTTTCTAGCCGAGGATGATCTGCCACGATTGGAAAGGAATCGGTGGAAAGGGTTGTTACAACGGATCACGTTCGAGATTACGCAGCGCAGCGATGATCGATTTCGGGTTCGAAACTCTCGACCATCAGCAGATGACCACGATGTCGGCCACGACGACCATCTCCGGTCTCCGACCTATGACCTCGGCGAGCACATGTACACATTCCACAGGCAACAGAGGTCAATTTCGTGCCGTCAGAATGGATGGAGCTGGAGCGGGGTCATGAATCGACCCCCCTTGTCACGTTCCTTTCCCCTGTGGCCCCCCACCCGAACACCGCTCACCTCGGGCCAAGCGAACACACATTTCAGCTCTTTTCCATCTCCACGAGCTCTGGTCGAAACGAATCAAAAAGGCTGATTCACCTTTCTTCACATACCATCACCCCACCTTGCATACACCTTTGCCTTTATATATACCTCGGTGTCGTTCCTCGTCGACCTTTCATAATTCACCACCACCCATCACCTACTCGCACTCGACCGACGCCATACATCACGACATCTGACGACTCGTTTGCGACCGATCACATCATCGCCTGCCCTGTCCCTCGATCCTCGTCAACCCTGTCACCATCGGGTGCACTCACGACCTCCTTTCATCCTGGTCACGTCACCTCGTCTGAAAACCTCGCCTTGGCTACCCCGTACTCTCGCTGTTCCTCGTTATATCCCCTTGAAACGACCATCGTCGATAGTCGCAACCAGTCGCACCTCAAAAGTCCGCCCGGTCGTCACTCCTCAACACAACCACCTTGTTCAAGCCCCGCCCATCGAATCGATAGTTCGTCCGTCGCAAGCAAGGACGACATCTTACATCAGGCCCCGAGACACGAAACCGGCAAACAAAGGAGCCACCTCGTCGACAAAGTCGCAGCGTCTGACGCTATACAGACGTGATCCTAGTCAAGCCCAGCGCCGAGGATCCGTACCCTCCGCTGGCTCTCTTCGTACAGGACGTATATAACCTGGCCTGAACTGAAGCAATAGCTTTTTGGTGAGTTCGCTCGCTTTCTTGAAATGCATTTTTTCTTGCGTTCCATTCGTTACCCCCCCTCCATCGTCGTCTCGACAAATTTTCGATCGGAAGATCACCCAAAATCCCCCTAAACCCTCCACATCCCCGAAAAGCCAAAAGGCCAAAAAGAGAGTGTCGCACTGAGCCTTCACCCCCCAAAAACACCAAAACATCATCACTCAGAGGGGAAAAAACGAGAGCCGCATTGCTCACACAAAATTGATACAAAAGCGAATACCACGCAAAAAAAGAAAAGGCCAAGACCGTCAACCAATAAACCTCACCGATTCGATTTCGAAACCGGACGTATCATAATTCCGAAGCAACACGCACGCTGACACTCGTTTGCCAATAAACATGCCTTGCCAACCGTCGATCCCGTACCCAAAACGATCTTCCCGATCTCCTGGCCCCTCGAACCTCTGCCCCGCTACTCCGCCACCCCTGACCTCGATCACCGCCTCTGCCCACACTCTTGCGCCCCGTCGCAGATCGACGATTCGACATCAATCCCCGTCGAAACCTCGTCAGATCGCCATTGTCCCACCCTTTCACGCCGCCCCTTGGTGTTCCTCGAAACAGGTCTACGCAAGACCGACCTTGCAAGTCAGGTCCGGCAAGTTTGACACGTCCAGGATGACGACGGACATATTTAGCGATATCGGGTATTGCATGAGTTGCGAGAAGCCTCTGCGGGATAGCAATGCGTGAGTGTCTGCGGTTCGGGTTAAACATGGCGATCAGGACAAGCGAGACTGATACCATGTTGTAATCTCCCAGGTCGTATTGTGACGACGTTTGCAAGGCCAATGACGGATACTCGAGGCGTCTTCGGACGGGTATCGAGGATTCGCCCTCGATCATGGCCTCACTCCCGGCTCTCTTGGCTTCCAACATCAAGTCGAGCTCTCGACCCCGTGGACAAGACGCTTCGGCCTCGACCCCGTCACAATCGGAGACCTCGTCGCCATTGCAATCGCCTTCACCCTTTGCGCATCCGGTCTTGGGACTCGAAAACAGCCCGAAAGAGGACGCTTTTACGCTACCTCCCCCGGCTTATCCTCATGCGAATCCGCTTTACCACAATACGTTTAGCACCTCGTCCAATCCGGTCAAGATACCGACATACAAGACCGCTTCTCCTGGAGCCGACCTGTCTCACAGTCAACGCGAGTCTTACAAGGAACACCTCAACGGAACTCCTACCAAAGGTATCGAGTCGACCTTGCGGTACGGTCGTCGACCGGGGCATACCAACAGCGTGACTTCGCCCTTGGCGCTCTTCCCGATCGGATCGACCAAACGTCACGACTCGAATGGAGCGCCGAGGCCCACCAACGTGCTCGGATCTCCGGCATTTGCTCCTTTGAGGAATGTCTCGGACTCGTCTGTCCTCACCACACAGCAGAACGGGGATAATCGACAGCGAAAGTCGTTTGCCTATGGGACGCATTCGCCCTTGCTCCTCGCCGCCAACGCTTCTCGAGCGCCCTCGTCGGCCGTCGACTTTTCCAATGCGAGTGCCAACCCGCGCGATCAGTCGCCCCAGCTCCAGGCTTCGTCTTCCACGGCTGCTCTCAAGTCCGCTCAGAACGGCAATAATGAGAGGCAGAGTCGTTCGGGATCGAGGCCAAGGATTGTCGTCAGGGAGACCGCTGTCGATAACCGAAGGAAGTCTTTCCCCGCTCACTTGTTTGCCGGGTTGAGGCCCAAATTGACGACCTCGGCCACCGTGATGGACGCTCGGGCACAGCCGGTCATCTGCTCCGACTCGGAGGAGGACGGTCTCGTTCCTCCCCCCGAGACGGAAAGGGAAATTTCCCGCCGAGGCCGAAGTCGAGAGCGCAAGATGAGCGCCGTCGAGAGGGAAGGATCGCGTTCTCGCTCGTCCCGTGCGCCCTCGTCGCACCTCGGTTTAGACGGCATGGCTCAACCGAGGACGAGCAGGTCGGGCTCGAGGATGAGGCGAGAAAGAGACGGCGAGAGGGACAGGAAGCGTAGTCAGGGACGCCGGAATCGGGACAGGTCGCATTCCAGCAGCGATCGAGAGCGTTCCAGTGGCGATGACCAGTCATTCCGGAGTCACCACGCCGCGCCTCGTCTGACAACTCGTGATAGCCATTACAATCCCGAGCTCGATACCATTGTCGGTTCGTTTCAGAACGAGCAGCAGGCTGGCCAATCCGTCGAGCGGGGCCGCGGCGCCAAAGCTAGCGATGTCAACTATGACGGCTTTCGAGAAGGATCCCCGCTGGCTACCATCAAGCCCAATCGTAAACAGATCCGCCCAGTCGGCCCGGACTTTTCGCCGACCGCCTCGTCCAAGGTCTTGTCGGACGAGTCGGTCGATCGTAGATCTCGCTCTAAGTCGACATCCGAGTTCAAGCGGACCTACGACGCTCGCGTCGTCGTATGACCCAGGCTCGGCTGAGCATTCAGCGACACCCCAAAATCCCCCATCATCATCACCACATCGAGGTTTTACCACCTCTGCTTGTTCCAACACAACTCTCCCAACAAGAAAAAGAATTGATCATCAATACGCATCAGCCTCTCCATACCATATCCACATTCATCAACTGCACGACATATGGTAGACGACTGCGGTCCTCCCAACACGAAAAAACGAAGAAAGAGGACAGGCAGGGCGGGAAGACGTGTTGGAACTTCGAAGTCTGTTAGACCAAGATCTCTCCCTCATCTCCTCGTTCTGGTTTTGCCCCCTAAAACGCATACAAGAAACACAAGAGAACCAGTCGTTGTATATAGCATTAGCCCCATAGCATTTTCACCCATACTCCCACACGATTACATGCCTGGTCGGCGTGACATTGCTTTCTCACGCCTGGTCGTGCACTCCACATCTGCTCACTCGCTTGCGTAGCCGACCCTGCCAAGCTCGCCAGCCAGGTCGGCACATTCGATTCGGTCGGCGAATTGTCATCTTAGGCGGACGAAGCAATCTCGGGTGCCTTGGCGTCGGTATGGTTATCTGGCTGCAATAGGTATCTTTAACTACGCTACTCAGCTACTCGATATCGTCGACGGTCATCATTATTGATATGTTATGTCCGTGTCAAGCACTGTATGGCTTCGTCGTAATCTTTGATCTACATCTGTTATGCGCCGAAAGCGAGATTCACTCGTCACAACCCTCTTATGTATATGGGTAGACCGTAAATTACAGCTTGTCAACCTTCCAGAGATCATCACTACGAAAAAGGAGGTATAAATCATTCCAATGCATTGTCAGCTCGCACGCCTCGTTATGCATTCCGACATCAGAGATGAGCGGAAGACTCACCCGAGGTAACACATGACCTCGACAGCAACTCCCTTGCCGGCCTTTCGAATCTCTTCGCTGCTTGCCGTCAATTTACCGATCCCCGCGGCAGACTCTTTGCCTTCGGCGTGGATAGCCACGATCGAGTTGGCGGGAAGACCGGCTGGCAGGTCTCCTCCTGCCGATAGTAGACCGGGAGCCATCATGTTGGCGCCCTGTGCGAAAGTGATGCCGTCAATACGTATCACAAGGATAGTTCAGGGAATATCTAGCTAAGCACTGACAGCTAGCAGGAACTTGATTGCACCCCTATCTATGCGGACTTTGGGCAGCATGTCTGGGTCTACGTGTAGTGATACAGTTTCGACTTCAGCGACCTGCGCTTCCGAGGTGGATCAAAGGTAGGGAAACACTGACATTGATGCAGAACCTTCAGGGTCGGTACGAGAGGCCCGTCAAAGTGTTGGAAGATCAAAGGTGTACTGTCCAGAGTATAGATGGTGATATGATCACGGCTAGAATTCGAACAGAACAAGGTCAGCGGGGCAATAAGTCTGTACAGTATTGTGTGCGTACCACTTCGTGATAGCAATGGCCTCCTTCTTTGCCCAGATCTCATCAATGACCTGCAATGGCTCTTGAGGTCCTCCTGCCGTCTCCTCCTTCTCGTCCGCTGCATTCTTGCCTTTACCCTTCTTCTCGATCTTTCCACCGCCCTTCTTCTTGCCCCCTTTCCCACCTTTTGTCTTTTCCTCTACCTGCTCCACCGGGGCCGCTTCTTCAGCTTGTGCTTCAGGCTCGACGGCCGCGGCTGATGCGTCGCCCGTCGTTGACGCTTCGGTGTAAGCAGGTCGGGTCAAGAATGGGATCTGCTCGCATATGGACGTCCTGATATGACGCTGGACCGAAGACTTGAGCGAGGTCGAGCTTGCGATATCCTCCTTGGGGTCAAATCTGATCCAGAAATAAAGAGCGTCAGTCCCGCTTTCATCTGATCAGCGGAAAGTCACGCCTGCAGCTGGCGGCGCACTTTTTGAACATGTCTGCTGGGTTTCTTCGGTATATCTAAAGGTGATAGAAGCTGCAGATCTGGTCGTTGGTCGCTGGTTACTGGATTCTTGGCCTCTTGGGAGATGTACACAGAGATCAGAGATGATGATGGATGACCCGGGTTCAAGCTTTCCGTTTCGAAGAATCGTCATCGTCGTCTGCGCCTCAAAGACCGCGCTTTAGAGGTTCCCCCCCCCCCTTTTGTATTCGATGACATTCCTACATGATAATCTGGCCATGTCGTCACCATTAGCAGCTCAAACCTATACTCTCAGCTAGGCCGTCGAATCTCTAGCATGCAAGCATGCACATATACCGGCTGGCGGCGCTCATAGGCGTCCTCGCACTACCAGGACGTGTCAACGCAGATGCATCGTCGCCTGATACCACCCCCATAGACCACTTCCGCCACATCAGGCAGGCATGCCTCATCAATACTGAATGTACATTATTGGGACTAGGAGAAGCTGGGACACTTGATAGTCCTTCCAAGGCCGCCGAGAAGGGTGAAGGGGAGAACTCGCCAGAAGAGCTGTTCGTTGGAGAAGTAACCGATCAGCCCTCGATCATCGTTCAGAAGTATGTTCCCGGTGAAAGCGATTCAGCCGAGATCCTCAGCTTTGAAGCTTGGAAGGAGAAGCAATTTAGAGAAGCCGTAGCTTCTGGACTCGTACATGAGATTCAAGAGGAGGAACCTGTTCCGTCGCGAAAGGTCGAGCATGACGATCAGGCCACCGCGCATCCTGCTCAACCGCAAAGCGAAGGTGGACAGGCCAAGGAGGAGACTCGAAAGGAACAGCCGAAGCAGAAGGTTGAAGATGTAAAGAGCAAACCGAACCCCCCCAACGGTAAACAGGTCACCAACCCGCCCCATCGGTACAACTATGCTTCCCCCGACTGTTCCGCCCGGGTCATCTCCTCGAGCTCGACATCACAGCACGCCTCGTCGGTCCTACACAAGTCGAAAGACCGGTACATGCTCACCCCATGCAACTCCAAGGAGCACTGGGTCGTAATTGAACTCTGTGACGAGATTCGGATCGAAGCGGTCGAGATTGGAATGTTCGAGTTCTTCTCCGGGGTAGTCAAAGAGGTCGTTCTGAGCGTCGATGCGCTCGAGGATGACGAGGCAGAGGGATCGGACGAAGATGGAGACGAAACACCCCGAAAGGGTAGCGAATGGGAACAGGTCGCCGTCTTTGAAGCGAGAAACGTCAGGGGATCCCAGATGTTCAACTTGCCCAGTCCGACCTCTTTTCACCGTTTCATCCGGCTCGACTTTCCCTCGTATTACGGCAAAGAATATTATTGCCCCATTAGTAGCGTGAAGGCGTACGGAATGAACCAGATGGAGGCGTTCAAGTGGGAGTCGAAAAGGAACAAGCAGAGGGAGGACGAGTGGGCTCGACGGCAGGCCGAGGAGGATAGGAAGCGGAGGTTGCCTTTGCCCTCAGTTTCTGAGACGATATCAGTGGTTCAGGTGACGCCTCGAGCGCATCTTCCAGTGAACACTGTGATCGTAGAGGGCACTTCTGCTACGGTTTCGAGTGGCATACCTGAAGAGGCGGAAGAGGTACGGTACAGCGCAGCGCAGACCATCATGGTTGCAGAGAGTCCCACTGTGAAAGGCGGTACCTCGGAACAAGGCGCATCGACGACTTCAACTTCAGCGAGCGCAGCTAGGACCACTTCGCTGATGCCGCGACATACTGAAATGTCAATTGTCGATAATGCGTCGCACAACAGTGGATCTGGTGATACCACAAGAGCGCACGGTGCAAATTATAATGAAACACTATCGGCACATGCGGGCCGCGATGACGAGAATCATACCGCGGTCGGCATCGAGCCCGTCGCTAAACAGGTCAATGACACCAAGGTGGCGCATAATGCTACGACTTCAGCGGAAGGAAGTGAGAGGACGGCCTTGTCTACCGACTCACCACACGGCCAGCCGACGTCGGCCGCAGCATCGAGCAGCACAAGATCCGCGACCTCCCATTCCCCATCTAGTGCACCGCGTCAGAGCAACGTCAAAGCAGACTCGTCAGAGTCCATCTATGCATTCATCATCAGGCGGCTCAACGCCCTTGAAGGCAACGCAACGTTGGCCATGATGTACGTGGAAGAGCAGAGCCGAGTTAACCGCGGGCTATTGGGCCAGTTGGAGAAGTCTTGGTCTCACTGGCGGATTGATCAAGCTCAGCAACAACGACTTGCCGCAGAAAAGACTGTCAGTATCTCATGCTCTCGTTCCAGGCATGTACATCTTGAAACTGAAGACTATCCCTATTGTTCAGAGAATTGCAACCGAGGAAACTCTAGATCACATGCTTTCGAAAATGGATCAGCGCGATCTTCTATTGACGGAAACTATTGCTAAATTGCAGACCCAGTTGAACAGCATGACGGAAGAAGTAAGCCGTCTTCTCTACGACCGAACCCGGGATTATCGGCTAAATTCACCGGAGACGTTTTACAGATTGCTTGGGAGAAGCGGAGGGGTATCATCCAACTGGTACTACTTATAACGGTCATCGCGCTGTCAGCCTTGTCTCGGTCGGCGACGGTCGATGTACATGCCGTCAGACCTTTGATGAACGCTAGAAACAGCACATCAGCGGAGCTCGCGCGTGCCAAGGAAGAATCACGACCAAAAGACGCCGAGATCGATCCTCCCAGCCGGGAAGAAGGTAAGGCCGATGTACACCCTAAATTTCGACTTTCGCATCATACTGACATGCTTGAACAGCCAAATCACCCCTGGCACGAACACGATCTTTGGGGCATTCGAAAGGATCCCCTCGAAGACCGGGGACTCCGATCAACGGTATCAAGAAGAATAGACCCGCCTTGACTCTGAATGCGAAAACATACACCGACCGGCTCGAACCTCCACGTACTGCCATACCAATGCGCTCCCGACACTTCCTTCCCACCAACGTCACGCCACACCTCAACGGCAAACGTTTGGCTCGTAGCTCTCATTTGCATACCATAGATGCGGATCGTGTCCGCCGCAAGATGCAGATGGAGTCGACTGACATCAATAGTACACCCAGTAAATCCTTTAGCGGATCAACAACCCCGTTTATCGCCACGCCGAGACCAACGATGTCGGGAAGCCTTTCGACGGAGAATGCCATTGTGGACTCGATTGATTCGGAGTTTTCCGAGTATGAGCTGGCATCTGCATCGGAAGCCGAAGCCGAGCTAGACGTACAAGGCGGTCTTACGATCTGATAGGCACACTCGCAGGCTGTTGTTTGTTTTGACGTGCCATGTTGTAACCTTTCGGTAAAAGCCAAAAGCAACCCGATGTGCAAGCCAAAATCCAATTTTCTAGAAAAGGCGAAGTCAGAGCGTTTGCTTGCCAAGATTTGGCGTCACACCAATTGACCATTGGCAAGCGACCGTGCTCAGTCCACGAACAGGTCACCGTCTTTAAGAAGATAAATATGCACAGGGTCAACATCATCTTTTCGCTTGACGTCTACGATTCAGAATTGGCGGTCAGGTCAGTACTTGACACTGACCAGGAGAAATTATCAGTTCGTCTGTCATCGTTCGATGGAGCTTGGCCCTTCGCGCTGCTGGGCGACGTGTAGTTGCGATACGCACGAGTCCAGAATTTGTTCGACGCATAAGCGACAGACGTCCGTCGCTTCTTTACTCCCTCCGGGCCACAACCTTGAGAGTGGGATACCGCGGCAGTTATTCTGATGAGCCAATTCGTGGCAAGTCAGGTCGTATAGACTAAACTTACTGGGACAACGGTTGATCCGACAAGCTTCATCCCCTCTTAGTGCAAAATCCACATCTCAAGTTTCAGTGAGAAACGCCAACATGTCACTTGCCTTCCTCTGTCCCTCCATTACCAAGTCCACTGTTTCGTCTGCTTTCCCTTCCTCAAGATCGGCCAAATTCATAGTGGTCCATGATGGTGATAGGAGCAGAGCAGTAGGTTTCGACGTCAGATCCGTGTTTAGTTCGACGCGTAGGCTGTCTTTTCGTCTGAACTTTGACTCCTGTGTACGACGTGGTATTCTAGCAGCAACGCCGTATTACAATCGGTATCATTAAGAGGAATCCACAAATCTCGTCGAGAAAACCAAATGCTCATCGCCCACCATCAAGAGGGCATGATCATGATCACAATCGAGGGGTTTGTCACTAGCGCGTCGAAATAACTCGACGAGGCGTCTTACTAGCAGTTATCAAGCGCATCTATCCTTCTGCCCCTGGTCGTCCTACATTTTCACCATCTCACCTTTCAAGAAAATCAGTTCCAAGAGATATCAATTCTCAAAGGCATTCCTATCACGCATATCACTCTCCCATCAGTTTCAGGTAAAGACTCTCCCAATGCTGAATGTTTCGATCGAATTCTGCGCGTTCACGCATAGACGAAGAAAATGGATTCGTACGATTTTCCGAATTGATTCATATCATCGATAGTCGTAAAGGGCGGTGCACAAGACACAAACAACCACGTCGCCCGTTTCATCTACATTGCAATGCTACTGTTACACTCAGGTCAATCGAGTGGCCTACACAATCATTGGCCGAGATTAGCTTGATGAGGTAAGCGTTCACCGGCCATCAAGGAGGATTTACCTTGTCGTACAAACCCTGGACGACAGTCCCGACTTCCCTGATCGTCTCTAGCGTCGTTGCATATGTCGTCTATTCGTCAAGAACGCCATCAGCAACAGACTTCAATATGATTCGATAGACGGCGAAGCGGGCTCACGTCTTCCACAGGCTCGTCGTAGACGACCAGTCTTCCCTTCTCCTGATCGAGCACTCCGTGGAACACCTTGTCCAGGATCATCTGACTCAACCTGCAAACGAGTTCCCACACAGACATCAGTAACTCCGGTTCTCGAGTATTGGTGACAAATCGCCGTCAAGAGACCAGACGGCTTACTTGGATTCAACGCTCGTCACCGGCTGACCGACTTCCTGTGCTACATGGGCGAGATCGACGACCGAATACGGTTCCAACACCCTGACCAAGTTCTGCTCAAGGAGCGTGTCGTATAGGTGAGCCAGATGAGTCCGGATAAGCTGGTCGTGTTGCAATTCTGAATACGTGACCGAACGTATCGTTCAACTTCAGCGTACGTACTCTACCAATGCAATGCTCAAGATTCTTCTCGCAACTCACCGCTCGTGTAATCTTTCAGGTTCTTTTCAAAGGCTTCAAGGCTCCTATCCTTGAGCGCCTTGGCAACCGCCTGCATCGCCTTCAAATCCTTCTTGCTCTCGTACTTTTGCGCCAGCTTCATCGTAAAGATCGGTGCGAGGTCATCCGGCTGCATCAGGCATACATTGTGAGTACCTTGTCGATATGCTGAGAAATTGCTACGCGAAGAGATGATTGGGGCTTACGAGATTCATCATGATCTTGCACAGACACATGTACTTGAGCGCGGGCAGAGCCCGATCATCATCCTGTCCCGCAAACCCTTCGAAGGTCTCGAAAAAGTACGAGTATCTGCAGACAACCATAAAAATATCGCAAGTACAGTGAGTATCTCTGCTCTTGACACTGCTGGTCGTCATATGCTGTGATGTGGGGCTTACCCAGTCTTGTAATCCCGGTCTTCGGTATGGAGCGTTCCGGACTGTGAATCCAATTGAGCTTGTAAGAGAGGTGGACAATAAATCGAAGCCGCCGCTGTCCTCGCCGAGGTCAAGGCTGACTAAAAAGCCCAACGGAAGCAAAGAACCGTCAGCTACGGTCTGCATCAACGCCACACTTGTTGAAATCAGTCGGCAACGAACCTTGGCTTTCGGCATGTTCTTGGTCGCGTGGTTCACTCGGGACTCGAGCAGGTGGACTTCGGTGAGGATCATCTTGTCGTCCAGTTTTCTCAGTTCCTTCAAGAGGGATTCGATCAGTTGTAACGCCGGTCGGTATGATTTCGTCTCCAACTGCCTGTAACCATCAAACATTCAAGTGAAGAATTCAGCAAAGGCCTCACAGAAGGATGAACAGGGTGACCGTGAGGTGAGGACTGACAATCCGACGAGCTTGACTTCGAGGCTTTGACGGAGAAAGACCCGGTTCTCCTTGGTCGCCCACGAGATATTGTCCTGCAGGACGGTCATCTGCTTGCTCCTTCCCTCTTCAGTCGCGGGGAACGAGTCGATCAGGGTTCGAACTGGGTGATAGAAAAGGTCGAGTGTAGGTAAGCAACGGCAAGCAGAGATGCGAGCGAGAATACGGAAGGCGAAGGAAGCGGCGCTCACTAAGTCGAGCCGTCTTGGCTTTGGCGATGCTCCCCATGAAATCTCTCGAGTCTGTCACCAACTGAGCCAGGGCATCCGAGTTGCTGTAACGAGCAACATCAGATGGGTTCAGTACTGTAAGAGGCCGAAACACGTAGCGGGATGCCAGGGTAGAGCTCACCCTGCTGCCTTGTACAACCCTCCGAGCTTGAGCAGAGCCGTCTCCTGTTCACGCAGCTGTTCATCGTTGGCTACAGGATTTGATGGGCAACATGAAAAATTTGTTGTGGTTCATCTGATTAGGTCACATCAGACCAGCATATTATCAAGGCGAACTCACCGGCCTTGTCCTTCAGGATCTGCTTGTAGAGCTGTTCGGCCTGTGATGGGTCCGAGGCGGCGATCGAATTAGCTTGGGCGAGTGGAGATGTCATGGCTAGTCTATGTTCGATGTTTTGGTATCCGAGAGGCCAGGTAGTATGTCACAATCTACTGAATGCTGAATGCTTGTACAAGATGCTGAATTAGCCATACTCTGGCTGACGACTCGTCATTCTCAGCTCGAGGGACCTAGCCGCGGACATCTAGCTGTTTCTTTCCGGTCTTGGTAATGATGCCGTAATTAGCGGACATCGATCTGTATACCTTCCCCCCCTTTCCCTTGCCAAAGTGACGATGGGATCGAGACCAAAAGTATAAAGTGGTCGAGAATGAATCAGAAAGCCTATTCAAGGTCAAAAGACCGACTACAACCTGGTCACCCGATCTAAAGATATAGATCTTGGACGACACATACGTATGATCTCGTGATAACTCGCTCCTTCGCCCGGGTCCACCATGAACAACGACACCAAGACACCCTCGGTCGCTGGATCAGAGGACGACTGGGAGACCGTAAGCATCCTTCCGCTAGACCGTGCCGTCCGTCACTTTCGCTCATTCGCAGATCTATCATTTTCTGTACATATCATCGTTTGCAGGCCGACTTTTCCAATATTGCGCAGACGAAACCCCAACGTCGGCCCTCCTCGGAACTCGCTGCCAACTTGCGTCCATCTGCTCCGACATTTCAGCCGCGGACCACGAAACCCCCTACGCCTAGACTATGGGAACCTGAGCCTCCTGTAGCACCTTCTGGGTCGAGGACGATGGCTGGGATCACGGTTTCGGGTACAGGAGGGACCGGGCGGAGCGTCCTCCTGGGCCCCGCGATCGAAGGGAGGGAATCGACTTCCAGTTCCTCGAATGCGGATCTTGCCGCACGTTCTCGAACACAACCCGCCCAGGCCGGCGCACAGACCGTCGTCAGTTCGCCCGAAAAGGACCAATCGACCCCGATCCCTACATCTGCCCAGCCTCTACCTATCACAAGCTCAGGATCAGGATCGGGAACGAGCCCTTCTACGCCTGATCTCTCTGGGTCGACAATCAGGCCGACGACGATCTTGATGAAACGAGAACCTGCCGCTTCTGCTCCTCGAACATCCACGTCGACAGCTGGTCAGGGGCTGGGAAATATATCCTCGCCCTTTGGGGATGATGATGAGTGGAATCTTGATCCGCGGACGACAGTGGTCTCGAATTCGCAACTGTGGGAGCAAGCGTGAGTCGCCTGTCTCTACATTTCGAGCCCCCTTTGATCGATCAGACGTGTGATCGTCTATGAGCTGACTCGTCGGGAATCGTTCGAAACTTGCGGGTTATCAGGAACAACTCGGCTCCGATGCCAGATCTGCCCAAAAACGCTCCTCCGATGCCGACTGCGGCCTCGCTCAGGATCCTTCGTCGTCCTTCTCCTGCCACCTCGGCTTCCTCTTCGTCACATCAGAACTTCCAAGGAGGTGATGGGTCGGGCGGCAACGGGAGCAACGAGGCGCTGAACGAGCAGAGGGACGGAGGAGTCATGTTCAGGGGTAGTCCAGGGGGTGGTGGAGGAAACGGGTCGAGGTCGGGGTCCAGACGGAACAAGACCCTGATCGAGCGCGAGGAAGAATATAAGCGAGCTAGGGAGAGGATCTTTGGGACGACCGAAGGTTCGGTGTCGGGAGGAGCTGTCGGGGAGGCGGCCGTTCCCGACAATCGATCCGAGGTTAGTGGAGGTGAGAGTGGAGCGGTGACACCAGCCAGGTCCGGGTCGAGTAGTACCGGGTCTGTTTCGGCTTCCACCGCTTCCGGGGTTGTCGGTGGCGGTTCCAATCAGGCCGGACCAGCTCAAGGTCAGCCTCAGGCTCAAACGCCGACATCGTCACAATCGCAATCGCAGAGTCGGAGTGGTAGCGTCGGACCGGGTTCATCGACTTCGTCTTCCTCCAGAGCTCGAACGGGTCCGACTCAGAGCAGTAAACGACGAGGCGAATCGCACTTTGAACCTCTTCGACCGCCTGGAAGTGGTGGTAGTCCAGCAGGCCCCGCTTACCAGTCGATGCAAGCCGGAGGCAATCTCGGGGCGATGTTACCCACGATGAACAATACGGGAGGGATGGGTTATCCGAGAGGCGCGACGAGGGATCGGTTCAATGCGAGTGGATATGGGCCGATGGGGATGTACCAAGCGTATGAGCCTGCTCCGTATGGGATGGGCTTGTCCGGAGGGATGCCTTATCAGGGAACGGCCCAGCAACAACAACAGCAGCAACCGGGTGGGTTCTCCATGTACCCTCAGTTGGCTGGAGGGTATCAGCCGGGACAGGGGCAAGCTCAGCCTCAGCTCGGGATGGCGCCTGGAGGATATGGAAGGATGGGTGGTGCGGGAAATATGGGCGGATTCGGTGCGGGACCGATGCGACAGCCAATCGGGCCTGGGGATGCGGATGGGATGGGTTTCGGCCAGCTCAGGTTGAACGATGCTATGCCATACGGGGGAGGAAGTGGTGGTAGCAGTGGAAATGTGGGATACTCGGACGGTTGGCATGGACCGCCTCGGCCGGCGTATAGCAGTTCGAGCTCGAGCGCCAGTTCGGACGTCGGCTCGACGGGAGGGTACGGACACGATCCGATGTACCGCGGAGGAGGGCCGATGCCACCTCCTCAGCAGCAGCATCATCATCATCATCATCATCAACAGCATTCGTACGCTTCGCAACCTCAACCTCAGATGATGTATAACACCAGCAACAACAGTAACAATAGCAACATCAACAATAGCGGCGGGAAGAGCAACAACATGTCCCACTTGCACGGGATGGAACAACCTCAACCCGGGTACATGGGAGGGCGATCGGGTCCGGGGGCGTACGGACAAGCATGGCCAGCGTTGAGAAAAGGGTCGGGTCCGGAGAATGGGTCGGGCGATCCGGGATATACGAGGTAGACGCTCGGTCACACGCGCTTGACCGTAGCGACCATTTGTATACCCTCCTTTTGTAATTACGGGCCGAAGAGAGGAATGTGGGCAGGAGGCTCTATCCGCGACAAGTGTGTCGTCTATCAAATATGCAGATCTCGGTACATCGAGATGCGCCGATACTTTGATGCAGAGGTATCCCCGTTGTTCGTTGCTGAAGGAGGTAGAGAGTATGGCCTGGGTCGTCTCTCGGTGACTGCCACGCGAGATTGCGCATCGCGGCCATGAGCGAGCGAGCGGACTGATCGAACCATTCACTTGCATGTTGCATCCATAGTCCATCCCCCATCTGCTTTGCCCGTCGTGAACGACTGCTAGGTCCTGCCATAGCTTCTCATTCCCATAGTATCTAACACATACCTTGCACAGGTCTCGTTCGTCAAGATGTTGCCTACGGCGAGACCATGGACATCCATGACGCCGCTCCAATCGCTCGTCGGCAAGTCCCATCCAGCTCATCGTTATGCCATCGCTCCGCTGACTTTATATGCCTTTGCGACGTCTGTGTCCAGAGCGAGCGACGGATCCCATGACACATGAGCCCAACTATGCGGTCAATCTAGAGCTGGCCGAACTGGTGAACACGAAAAAGGCGAACACGTCAGTGAATTGTAGACGACGAGCTTGGAGACTGTCCTAGAGAATCCTCGCTAAACGACTTTCCTGTGCCTGACTTCTGCAGACCTCGGGATGCTGCTATGGAAACCGTTCGAAAAATCAACGACCGGAATCCGCATTGTGCCTTGCTCGGACTGCATGTGAGACCCGGTTGATACCACAGCCACGTCTAATCTCTGCTAACAACGGCTCATCTCCGCTATCATAGCTCCTGGATACGCTGGTCAAGCAATGCGGATATCCTTTCCACCTCCAGGTATCCACCAAAGAGTTTTTGAACGAGCTCGTCCGTCGTTTCCCTGAACGGCCACCTGCGATGATGGGCCCGGTCATGTCGAAAACGCTCGAGGTGAGCTAGTACCTGGACGAAGCAGATGTAACACCCTCGGTATGCTGAGGCAAATGCCCCTTAAGCTCATCCACGAGTGGAAGAATACGATCTGCGTGACGTCAAAGCACAAGGAAGACCTGGTTCATATTCGGGACATGCACCGATTGCTCTCGTATAAGGGTGAGTAGCGAATGTCTTTTGAAGTGATATTATGACTGATCTTGGACTCATCGGCACATCCGCAGGCTATCGATTCAAACCTTTCGATGCGACCCGGGCGATGGCATCAGCTAATCCTACCGAGGTATGCCATTTCGCCTTTGTCCGGTTACTACGGTCCATGTTCATCTTGCTTGAATACAGAATCTGAAATCTCCGGACGAGCTAGAGGAAGAGGATCGAGCAGCAAAGTCTGCTGTAGGTCTACCAAACATATCTTTCATACGTGTGGCCAACAGCTGAGCCTGTCACCAATTTTTCCGCAGAAACTGCAAGAGCTCATCCGAAGAGGGAGCCCGCGAGACTTGGCTCAAGCTCAGGAGCTGATGAAGCAACTCTCTGGAGCAGTAAGCGTCGAGCTGTCAAAACTTTGACTGTACTCGCTTATTATCTGCTTACGCTTCACATTGGGTATGCATAGGAACCCGAAAAGCAGCCCGACTATGAGGCACAGACCAAGAACGAGCTGGAAAAGGTGCAGCAAAAGGCCATCTTGCTCAACGACATGCTGAACAACGTGGATCAAAGTGAACGGATCGGAATCGAGGGGGATGCATACGATGTAAGTTTAAGGATGCGACATCATACTTGACGATGTGCTGACGGATATTGTGGCGTTCATTGGATCGAATCAGCAAGTCGCGCAGGTGTGCAAGATGGCTCGTCCAAAGATCCAAAAATGGATAGGAGACGCTGGAGAAGACAACGCTGAGCTGATGGGTACGAATTTCGATGACAACAGTACGGAATCCTGGAGGCTGAATATTTTGACCGTCTCGACTTGCAGATCGTTTGCTGCTCATTAACGACCTGATCAACAACGTACTCGATCGGTATCAGGCCATCAAGACTGGTGATTGGGCAAAAGCTCAGGAGATAGATGCCACGTAAGGCTCAAAATATAATGATACATGCGATCAAGAGGGCGACCGATGCTGACGACCTTGATATACAGCCTTAACCCCCAGAACAAGCCTCCAGACCTCATCTCCTTTGATGTCTTTGGGGATGACAGTAATCTCAACGCGCTCAGCCCGGATACCCCTGGCGCCTATACTCCGGAGCCGACTGCCTCATCGGCTCCTGGAGGACTCCCGCTCGACCTATTCTCGTCATTCGCCTCTTCTGGACCTTCCGCCGCCCCTGCGAAAGCAAAACAGGACCCCATGGCCTTTTTCAATACGCCCCAGCCTTTGCAACAGCAATCGTCTGGCTTCCAACAAGCGCCTCTCGGTAGTTACGGGATGCCTTCGATGCAACAGCCTGTGCAGCAGCAATCGGGTCCTAACAGCATGTTCGCTGGGCTCGACTTTAGTAATTCTTCAACTGCAGCTTCTGGCAGCTCCACACCAGGCAACGGTTTTGGGGTCGGTATATCTCTGCCGCTAACGCCTTCGAATATGGGAGGAGTGCAGGGCAACAATGGGACGAGGCAGCCGGTCGGTCAGCCGCAGCAGCAGACTCAACCTGCCGCCAAGAAGGACCCATTTGCGGATTTGGCCAACTGGTAGATCCCTGGTCCGAGACCAGCTTTCCCAAGCCCCTATGGAGCTGTCAGATGCACTTGTGTATGTATTACGACGATCTTGTATCGGTCGATCCGCATGTAGAGAAGGGACGAGGTATATATCCTGAATTGCTTCCATGCGCGTCGCCCTCGCTCGACCTTGATCTCGCTCATGACGAAGCGTCTACATCAGCTCGTTACGACGGTTTCAATGACGTTGGAACATCTCTCCACATCTACCTCGAACCACAAAGATACTTCCTCGACTCACAGCTGGGAGACTGACAGAATCACATAGACTTCCTTATTCTCCTGAAATCGAAAAATATGGCCGACGACGCAGTACCCATCCCCCTCGACCTGAAGATCCGCGAGTATGCCTTTCAGCTGCAGGACCCCAACCTGAGCAAACTGCATGAACAGGCGGCAAAGGCTTTCTGGGAGAGCATCGAGAAGAATGGTGAGCGAAGAAATGGGGTGATGCACCAATATCTCACGCTTGAACTCATGCCATCAACTCGTTCATATAGAGATGGCACCTTACATGTCGACTTTGCCATCATCCCTGACACCACCTTCTGCCGACCTTCAGTCCCGTCTAAAGGCGAAGAACGAGGAGCAGCTCAAAAAGATCGAGACTAAGATCAAGGACGCGGAGGAGAGTCTAGGAGAGACCGACGTTTCGGAACCGATGAGGGAAAAGGCAGGGTATCTGGTTACGATTGGGGACAAGGTGAGACGCCTTCCCGCCCCAGGTTGGTCATGACAAGTTTCCATAAACTGAACCAGCGTACCATCTTTGCAATAGGAGAATGCCCTGCCGGCACTGGATGCTGCTATGGAGAAGACTGCTGGTGTCGGAGCGCGCATAGATCTTGTGCTTGCCAAGATCCGTTTGGGCATGTTTTACGGTGATAGCAGCATGATCGACAGCAACATTAAGACGGCGCAGGAGTAAGTTCGCCTTGTCATCATTCACTCATGAACGTGTATTACAGAATCTGATTCGTGTGCCCCTCGCAGCCTGATCGAGAAGGGAGGTGACTGGGACAGGAGAAACCGCCTCAAGGTATACTCTGCCATTCATTTCCTTGGGATCAGGAAGTTCAAGGAAGCGGCCGACCTCCTATTGGAATCGTTGAGCACCTTCACAGCTACTGAGGTGATGGAGTACGAAGAGTTTGTCGCGATGACTATCATCGCTACCGGTGTTGGTTGTGACAGGAAGGGTATCAAGACCAGGGTATGTTTGATCTAATGAGTATTCCGTGAAGGAGGCGATTGACGTTAGCATTCACGATTTAGGTTCTCAACAACGCCGAGATCAACTCGTTGCTACCCCAGATGCCTGCTCTGGCGACCTTCACCAAATCTCTCTACGAGTGCAATTATGCGGAATTCTTCAAATCCCTCGGTACGTTAATCTAACCTAGTGGGCGGTGCTTCGCATCCCAGACTGATCCAAACTGCTCAACAGCTGAGGTCGAGGAGACCTACCTCACGCCGCTGCCAGTATTCGCTCCTCACGCGAGGTATTATGTGAGAGAGATGAGGATCAAGGCGTACACTCAGATCTTGGAGAGCTACAAATCCCTTACGCTCGAGAGAATGAGCAAGGCGTTTGGCGTTAGCACGACCTTTATCGACGCGTAAGCAATCATAGGGATACAGGGATAGTTGGCGAAACGATAGCTAACCCCTGTATCACTTTGTTACGTTTAGCGACCTGTCCCGTTTCATTGCCAACGGACGTTTGGCATGTACGATCGACAAGGTCTCAGGGGTTATCACCACTACGAGGACTTCGGCCGAGAACAAGACGGTCGCTTACGAGCAGGTAGTCAAGCAGGGAGACATTCTTCTTAACGGTGAGTCGGTGTATAGCGCTGCAATCTCTAGTGACCAGCGGGTTTGCTGAGCGTATTCGCGAAAATTCTACAGACATCCAGAAGTTGAGCAGGATCATCGGTTGAGCAGAACACATTATTGTATAGAACGAAATAATGACGAAGCACGCGATATGGCAATAAGTTCGATGGCTCATCGGCTCCTGCATGCTTGAGTACGGCTTCCTTCACCCTTGCTAACAGCTTGTCATCTGGATCTGAAACCTTGGCATAGAATGCCCTTCATATGAGGCCATCCTGCTTCATGAGGAGTATTAAGACGGCCTGCACTTGCATTGATTGGACTGAGGAGGTAAAATCCAAGATACGCCACATCGCCTATGAGCCAAACTGCAGTGGCCCGACGAGTATTCTGCTAGAGGAATCCAGTAGCAACAATGAAGAACTCCACATCTAGATTTTCCATATTGACGCCTCATCTGGCGGAAAGCCTGGTGACGATAATCACTCTTGTGGGGCCTGGGCAGACCAGATGTCACCACCTTCCGGTTCTGAACGTAACGAAACCGAAACGTAAGCACAGATTGTTGGCGTTACTCAGGCCAGACAACTTACCTTCTCTCTCTTGTTTGCCCATGTCTCGCGCAAATCCTCAAAGGACTTGGACATCTCGTCGATGTGCGTCACAGCTTGCAATTTCTTGTCACAGACCGTGTATCTGTCCGAGGTAACAATCTCAAAGTTCCCTTTGATCTGAGGCAATGATGGACGGTCAGGTTGAGCCTTGGCGTCGAAATGCAACCCCTGATGGCCTGATTTGCTTGACTCGCTGTGATTCTCGGGATGCAAACGGTCTTTCTGGCCCGTTGCATTAGCATTGTGGTGCAAATCGAGCATCCGTCGATGGCGTAGATTACCTTTGTGATGACTTGGACCGACGTAATTCGGTCTGGATGAGACGTGAATGTCGTCCTTTAGGTCATCGCACGAATGGTGTGTGGAAAGTATCCTGCAGTAGCTGGCAGATCCTGTACATGGTATGGCAGACAAGTCCCTTGAAATACAATACTAGGGCTAGGCGAGAATCGTGTTGTCGTAAAAAGATCACTAGGCGTAACTGAGAGGATTTCGAAAAAGGAAGATGTCGACGATCATGAGCTAAGATCGAGCCTGTCGATCTGCGTAGAGAAAAACGCGACAGGAGTTGCTGGGCTCAGGCCAAGCCGGCTTTCCTGCCGAATGTCTTGAGTACCAATATAGACATGCAAAGGCCTGCCAGTCCTCCGTAAAGAAGGGCGAGGGTTTGGTGATTGGAAGGGTTCGGGTACCAAGGCGACGCCTTGCGCTCGTCAGGCGTGAAGGTGGTAGGCAGCGATGGCTTTTGCGCTTCTTTAACTTCGAGCTCGAGTCGCGCGACTTCGAGTTCAGCCAGACGGAGCTGCTCCTGGAGTTCGTTGATAGTCTCATGCGCACGACTGAGCTGTTCCTCTGATGGATGTGGCTGGCTGGGAGTCACTGAACCGCTTCGCGCACCGCTCGGCTCGGGCAATGAGCTTGCGTGGAAGGGCTGTTTGGGCGTAAAGATGGCGGATAGCACTCTAGCAGGTCTCAGGGTAACTCTCCGCCCGAGATCTCGAGCGTCCTCCGTGTCCGTCTCGGTCGACGATCCGGCTGTGTTCCCTCCTAGCTCAACAAGAGAAGCACTGCGTCGGTCTATTGCCCTGGGCAATCTCGGTCTCGAAGTTGTGTTCTCCTCTGAGCCTCTCAAGGACCCGTACGAGAGACTTTTGGGAGGTAAGGTGGCCGTATGGTCGATCGCAACATCGTCGCTTTTGCCTAAAGCATGGGCAATACCCTCCTCAGCAAGGCTATGGCCAAATTGTGGCGAAGTGTATGCTGGAGGTGGACTTATGAAAGGCGACAGTGGCGCGTCGACAGCTCCCTCCTTGGTTTCGGTCCCTATCGGTCCTGATCGTTCATCGGTGGGGTCAAAGATACCTAGACCTATCGTAGCCTGTCGAGCCTCCATTTGTCTCGTGGACTGCTCTGGCGAGGCCATTATGTCAGAGCTTCGAGGCATCGATACAGGCTGCACTCGTCCTTCCGCTACTGCACGATCCCATGCACTGCGACCTTCGCCATCATGGACGGTGTCTACGAGATGTCCGAAGTTGTTACTGATATCATGCCCGGCGTATCGATCAATCTCGGCCAGTCCACGCTCGAATCGCTTGGCCTTTTCCGCAATTTCGTCCCGGGAACGCTGGTCGTGTTGGCTACTCATACTGTAAATGCGACCTGGGCGTGGACGATCGCGGTCGAGCAGATCCTCCTCGCTAATATCGCTACCTGTTGTCGACATCGATCCGATACTCCTCGCATCGAAGTCGTGAGCAAGCCTTTTGACATTGCTGGAAGCGCGACCGTCATCCTCTTCATCCTCGTCCTCATCAGCTTCCACCATTACGCTCGTGTCTCGAGCGTGCGCCGCGGAACTCGTGGCAGCTGTGTCCGCTTCAGCTGGAGCACTAGGTGGCGACCATGAGATCCCGGCAATGCTCCCTTTGAGCGAGGCACGACGTAGATTTCGGGACAGACTCAACAGCACATCCAAAAAGGGAGGCGGTTTCGACGACGAGCTGTCGCCGCCGAACTCTGAGTAAGCGAAAAGCTAGCGGCGGTCAAGGCAAAACGTTCTGATTGACTCACGCCCAACTGCCTTCACCTCCCATCAGGAAGCCTTTTCCAGTGACTCTTCCTTGCTTGATCCACTCTGTAATATCTTGGATCACCAAAGGGGGTAATTTCGTAATGCCAGTTTTCGAGTCTGGATTGGGGTTGATGCCGTGTGAGAGGCAGTGCGCAACATAGTGTGCCGTTTCATGTGCTGTGATTGAGAAGATATCGCTTGAGCAAGGTGAGACGAGCAGCTCCGAAAGTTTGAAACAAGAGCTTACCATTCCATAGCTTCGGATTCGGCTGTGGGCAAAGTCAAAGCGTCAGTATCCTTGAAATCTACGAAGTAAACAACGACGATGATCACTCACAGGCAATTCACGAGTCGAAACCGCGTCCGGCTTAGACCCCAATTTCCACTCCCAGACGCCCATATCCAGCTTGCCCGCCTTCCTTTCGCTCTCTTTTCCTGATAGAACGTCGGTGCCGTCTCTCGAAGTGATGTCACTGAGATTTGAAACCGAGTATCGGTTGACCAGCTTTCGACGGACAGGCGGGGTGTAAGAAGTATAGCCTCCCTTTGCTTTCGATTGCCCTTCACGAAGTCCAGACTGCGAATCTCCAGAACCGGCCTTTTCTGGAGACCGAAGATCCTCCACGCTTTGAGAGCTCCTCAAAAATCCCATCGATTTGCTAGACCTGTGGCCAGGTGTGGCAGGCGGAAGAGCGCTGTACGAGACGACCGGCGAGGTATTCGTCCGGCTGAGGACAGCTGAAGAGCTGGAATGAATGAGGTAGGGGTGGTTGTATGTGGATTTCTGTTTAGTAGGGGTCAAAGTACCCTGATTGCTGGACATGGATGACCTCCGTGATTGAAAAGGGTCGAAAGGACCACCATCGGGTGATGCTAAGACTGTCGGTAGAGATGCGGAATGTGGCATCACCGGTCTGCCAGACGGAGACCCGGCATATCCCATAGGTGGCAGATAGTCATTCGCTGGATTTCCTGCCGCCATAATGGAAGTGGGCGATCCGATAGGTATATCGCTCGAAAAGGATGATGACCTGTATCTTCTTGGTGGTGATGAGGTGGCCTGGGTAGCAGGGTCCGGCTTTTGCCGGTTCGAGATCATGTTGGCAATGTGTCCCCTAAATCGAGCTTCCGCGATAGCTTGCTATGTGAGGGAAGGTCATTACAAACTAGTCATCATGTGTAGAATCACGATGATAGATGAATGGTTTCGGGGTGCGTCTGATGAGAGATGAGAGACGAGAGATGCCCCGTTGGATGCTGATATTGCTGATGAGGTGATGATCAGAGATTGGGTTTGTTTACGTTTTGCCCTTGAGCTGCGCTTTGTTTTGAATGTCCGGGCACGGGAGGTGACGACGTCATGCGTGTTGAAAACGTGATTCATGCTGGAAACCATGCGATTCTTACATACAGTGGTGAGAGAAGCTAGATGATACAGTAGAAGGCAGGGGCTAACAGATCTGGGTATATGTCGTCTCCTGAGGGTTTTATCGGTCGAACGATCCTGAAGCAGAAGCGGAGGTATATTCGAAAGTTGTGTGTTTGTTGACATTTCGTCGAATGTCGATAGAGGTGTTTAGTTGAGCGCCATCATCTTGCCACCTCCAGAGAATCGTGTGGAGGTGCATCACCGCACGCCCTTTGAATGATCTCCATGATCAATGACCTGCCCGGCTATACGATTTGTGATATGTGACTCTACAGCGGTCAGCCCACCTCATGGGGCGTCGTATATCATGCTAGAGGAAGTGACAGCCCGTACAAACTCCCTGCTCTCTGTTCAGTACGTTTGGGTATATACCCCGATAGAGTCATATATGAAGTCTACACAGGACTCTTGCATTTAATGTGATGTACGTAGTGTTCCTCGTTGAACGTTTTACAGGTCTTCGCTTGAGCGTTATAAGATATAGGGTCCCGAGAACACAATCTTGGAAACGATATTGAGTTCAATCCGCAGCTTTTCCCGGCATTTCGAGCAGACGTCCGTGGCAACAAGGGTCAGATTGAGACGACTTCGGGAAGTAGTTACACCCCTAGGCACGATCCACCCGATCATCAAGAGGACGTCTTTGGCAACAAGCGGAAGATTGAGTTGGGAAGTAGTGACGACAATTGTCTACAGGAAGAAGCAGAAGACAGGGAAGACGGGAGAGAAGAAGGAGACGTGCATCGGGGGAGGACAACGAGACACTAACCTCTTCTTCAGTCTGTTCGCTCCCGTATATAAAGGTGTCGACAAGGCAGAGAGATGTAGAAATAGAGCGATAGAGATAGAGAGATGTGTCCAAGTATGAACGAGTGTGGTCATGGCGGTCCGAGTGCCGATTATGTCTGCAAGAGGAAGCAAAGTTAGCTCTTGGTCTCCCGATTTCACTGACCCCCCTCCCTCCCTTCCCCTTCCCCTGCCCCCTTCCCCCAGGAGGATGCTTGCTATCCTTGGGATCTTTGTATTTTGCAGAGGGTTAAACTCTGTTGAATCGCTGATCAGAGAGAGAGTCGGAAAAAGAAGATCCGGAATATCTGCCACGCTGCCGGCTGAAATGCTTGATCGAATCTTTGGCAATAGCTTCAACGACGACCTCGACGATAAACTCACTCTTACGCATATCCTACAGACGTTAGAGGGCATCCATCATCAGGAGTCGTGACTTTTGGCTCCTGCAGAAAATGAATCCGGAGCAGCTATGAGGGAGACTGCGCGGCATTGTACCAGGAGAGACCAGGTCGACCGGTGCTATTTGGCCAACATCTTCAACGGGAGCAAGACAGCTAGACAGGGAAAATAGGGACGCTTCGTCTGGCTTTTGGTGATTATGGCTGATGTGCAGTGGTTCAGGTTATCTCACAGGCAGAAATGGACCGGATCTTCCCATCGAGTACGCGCTAGAAGCGTCAGTTACGGCTGTTTCATATTCACATTTGCTGTGAACTATGCCATACATCACGCATCACGCTAACAAAAAGACGAAACCACCGACCAGCATGGTTAGACATCTGTAGCCTCCTAGGGGCTTCGCAGACCGTGAAGCCGGCGACTGTGAGCCGATCGACACCGAAAACCCAGCCACGTTCATATTGCTTTTGTCTTCCTTGCTAGCCTTTTGAGTCGATACAATCTTTGATTCAATCACTACTGTTGTCGTCTACAGCGCACCCTCCCCGTACAAAGCCTCGATCGTATCATACGCATACTCATTCTTCAAGTGATAATAATTCGGCGCGGTCCCCCCGATGACCTTCCACGCCTCGTCCAGAGCCTTACACACCTCCTCTGGCAGAGGTCCCTTTTCCAAGTGTTCGAGGTTGTTCTCCAACTGCTCCTGGCTGGAAACACCGATGAGGATTCCATCGTTGCCACCCTTGTTGGCGAGCTTGAGCTGCGAGTGGTGCACGAGCCAGCGGAAGGCGACCTCGATGAGCGTGAGGTTGTGCTTTTCGACGACGGGTTCGATAATCTTGAGCGCATCGAAAGTGGCGTCCTTGAAGTATCGTTGTCTGCGCCAAGTAGACCGGATCATTCTCAGCTCCTGTAGTCGTGAATGGCAGGATGAAGTGCTCGAAACTGACCTGTACATCGCACCGCTCTTGGCAGTGTCGGAGAATCTGCCCTCCTTGGGGACCTCGCCCGACTTGATCTTGCCGCTCAACACACCTGCAAAAGACCACATCATCAGCTCTCTCCTGTTTTGATTTGGAACAGCTCGGGCCTAGAGTTGCGTACCTCCGGCGATCGGGTTGTAGACAACGTAATCCAATCCGAACCTCCTCAACGTGGGGATCAATTCGGATTCCGCCATCCTGGTGATCGCATTGTACCTATTCGAGTGTATTCGTCTCACTTAGCTCGCCCGTTTCTAAGACATCAAGCGGGTGGAATAGAGAACAGCTCGAAAGACTCACATTCCTTGGTACAAGGTCGGTCGCACCCAACCGTTATACTTGCAAGTCAAGCATACCTCTGCGACCTGTCACAGAAAACCCCATCACAATCCTCATTAGTATCAGTGTGACACAGAATGTTGACGGCCACAGATGGCAGAAGAGCGCGGTAGACTGACCTCGGCGGATGTAAAGTTGGAGATGGCAAACGTCTTGAACTTGCCCTGCTTGTGCATCTCGTCAATGGCCTTCAAGGTCTCTTGGAAAGGGGTACCTCGATCGGCGGCCTGTGAGTATGAGCAAAAGTGACCACAAGAATAACAACAGGTCGAGGTAGATCAATGCCATGCTCAGTATCGGGGAAATGAGAGGTAATCCGCTCCGACATCGACTCACGTGCAAGTAGAAAATGTCCACGCTGTCCGTCTCGAGCGCCTTCAAAGACTCTTCCACTTTGGCCTTCAATGTCTCTGGCTTGTGCGCTCCCAGATCGTTGGGGTACCACTTGGTAGCGATGGTCAACCCCCGCTCCTTCCACCCGGCCTGGGCGGTGAAACCTTCCTGTTTCCCTCCGACGTAGACCCGGGCGGTATCGACCTCGTCGTAACCCGCCTTCTGGAAGACGTCGAGGCATGATTTGTACTGTTCCAAGTCGGTGATTCGGGCTCCGGTATCATGATCCGGACCAAAGGTCATCACTGAAGAGAGACCGGTGGAAAGAAAAGGTCAGTCGCGCAGCGTGATGGGTGCGGGAGCGTGTGGGCGTGGGGAATGTTGCTACTCACGACCGAGGATGATACGGTTCTTTCCTTGAGCGGGCATGTCTTCAGGTGTGTTTCGAGTAGGGTAAATCAATCAAGTCGAGTAGTTGAGGATGAGGATGGCAAGGATGGCGATGGATGATGGGGATGGAGCGAGGACATATATATATATAGCCAACGCCGGCTTCGGTGGATGATGCCCCGCTTCAAGTGACCTCCACCTTTTGGTACGACCTCCACCTTTTTGTGTACGGTAACAAAATCGATGATGACGTGTACAAGACGGGACTGGCTGGTGGTTTCACCCATCATCTTTTCCGAAGCGAGTGGGCGTCTCATCTTGGTCACCACACTCTTGCCTGGCAGTCATCATGATAGACACGTCGAGCTGCTGTTTCATGCATCTGATGTCGTACTCGTTCAATCCTGATGAACGGACCCCCAGAGGGCCTGAAGGCAACTGGGCAGACTCCGAAGTTTCACCGTGTCCAGCGGGGTCTAGGACGGCGAGCCCTGCTATCAATACCCGTCTTCATATATGCTATACCCTTGTTGTCTCGTCACCTTTACATGCCCAGCTTGCGACCGTTCAGTACGGACGTCCTCCATATCCGGTCGATCACTCTCAACTTTCCTTCCCGCTCCAGCGAAGGAGCCTCGAGTAGGCGCAGGTCGTCCACGAACGCCTGGAGAACACATGTTGTTCGTGTCAGCTGTCGATTCATGCTCCCTACAATCCCACTTTCATCAAAGAGACAGGACTCACCGCCCGATCTCCGGTCCGAAGACCGGCCGCCCATTTTCGTAGATTGCCGACGGCGAGAATGAGTAACCCTCGATCCTTGTCCGACATTTCCTTTTCCCCTCGGGGCGCCGTGATCAACAGCTTTTCCACGTCGCTGTTGCAAATTCATCGGAGAAGCGTGGAAATGTTAAGCGGATTCTTGACAGAGGCCCGATGACCCTGTGGCTCAGACTTACCGGATCCCGCGCAAGTAATCCATTCTTCTTCCTGATCCGCGTCGTTCGCCTGTCCAGAGTCGTTTCGTCCACCCGCCCAGCCCGTATAGGATCAACAGAGATGGCGCCAGACCGACAAACGCGAACGTAAGTTGTTGTGATCGGAGTAGGTGATCCAGCGAGAGCAAAGACAACGAGAGGTCATACTGAACAAAGGCAGGTCATGTAGCTGTCAGCGGCGCTAGTGAAGAACAAATCTGGGGACTGGGGTGCGACCCACTTTGGTCTTTTGAACCTGGATCAGTAGCGTCCGGATCAGATTACCCATAACGGCGTTCTTGACGGGGCTCTGTGTGTCATCAGTGCAACCAACATCACACGTCAGCCTTCAGGCCAGATTCACATCGCCAGGGCAGAATTTGCTGAGCTCACTCTCATCTCGCTCTCGTACACCTTGAGGACGTCTTCCATGTTGCCAGCCTTGACTTTCGCGCTCAGGTCTGATAGACCCTGGTCCGAGAGGTGGTAGTAGTCCTTGCCAAGGTCGAGGACCATCCGCTCGAGAGACTGTGATCGCGGATTTGGTGATCAGTCGGAATACTACGGGATTGACTGGTATCAATGCACAATCGAGACCCACCGCCTGATCGCTCTTGACGCTGTCTGGGGCCACACCGAGACCTTCTCCACCACCCTTGAGCGTCTGTACGACCCCCTCGAGAGGCTGAACTACCCAGCCGACGACCCAACCCCGGACCGTCTCTCCCGCATTCTGGATCTGACTGCGTATCCAATCCTGGTTTTGCCTCGCCGTCCGGGAACCATACTTGATCAAGGGAGGCAAGAGGAGTAGAGGGATCCATAAGCGCGTCAAGCGAGACGGTCGGCCATGATCCTGCAGGGACGAGGTGAGCGAGGTGACGCTCGCCGGCAAGGTCGATCGTAGGATCGGTAGCAGCGTCGCAGCTGTTAAAGAGGGAGGAGGAGGCGGGGAGGCCGTCTCCCTGCGAGAGGCTCCGGATGAACCGTTCTTGTTCCGTTTCGACGGGGTAGCCAGCGGGGAGGGAGACCCCTGTCGAGCCGGTTGAGCCGGACCGATGGGCACGTCGAGCGCAGAACAGACGACCTGATGCAACCTCGACGTCTCGGCGACGATGACCTGCAAGTTGTCTTCGCTCCCCGTCGTCCTTCCCGCTTCGTCTTCCCATCGAGGCGCCCGACTGGCGAGGAAGCCAATCTTTTCCGCCGCTTCGTTACGAGCCTTGCGCAGAATCTTGATCGAGGCCAAGACTTCCCGGCGGGTCAAGGTGAACGGGTTGTGCGCCGGAAGAGGGAGATCGCGAAGAGAGCTCAGGGCAGTCTTGGGCGAAGCTTGACGGAATAGTCGGGTGACTTGCACATCGGCCATGGAAGGTATCCGGAAGGCAGACTGTTTGAGCGGGTTCGGCAAGAGACGATAGACCCGTAATGGCAGCGCTATAATGCGATTGAGGATACGGTCAGCTGACAATTCTCTTGATGGTAATGAAGTCATGAACTGACATTGCACAAAGTACAGTCCAATGTCCCGCCGACTATCGATCATGGTCTGCCAATAGTTGAGGTCATGCTCGAGCGCGAGCGCGCCCTGCATGAAATCGTCCAGAATCTCCCTCCACACGACTGTCACCGCCCTAGCCATGATCTGGGCTTCCCTGACCTTGTCGATTGGAGTCGTAGTGACTGCATTGGATTGGCCATACCCCTGCTCCTGGGTTGGAGCTTGAGCGTTGTCATACAGGTCGACAAGCGTTTGCAAGACCCCCTCGAGCTGTTTCCTCGTGATAGGTTTAGACGTGCTCAGATCCCTAAGAGCCCTCTCGATAGTACCCGAAGCCGAAGATACCTCGCCCGTCTCCGAGTTCCCTAGTACCGAGATGGGAATCGAGATGGGTATGGTCGATAGGGCCGTGAGCGAATGGTTCAGCTCTTCGAAGGCATACGAGGGGGTGGCTTGCCGGATGAGCGACATTTTCGTGAACCAAGACCGGTGTCCTCACGTCCGACCAAATACCAGATGGACACGATCCTGTGATCTATAGCTTGTCGAGATTGTTGGGTTGTGACGATGATGAGGGTCGAGTGCTTGGGATAGGATCTTTGACTTTTTGGTCTCTGCTCGCTCAACTTGCGCGAAGGCCGGAGCAACTCGGCCGGGCTGCTCCTTGGTTGCTTCGACCTTCACTCTGATACAAATCATAAATCAACCTGTGAGCCTGTGAGCCATCTTGCCTATCTTTTCGACATCTTCTACCAATTCAGAGCAAGATCCAAGAATGAGGTGGTTCAGGTCAGTCTTCCGGTTTGGTGCACAGTAGAACAATCTCTGACGAAAGCTACCGGTTCATCGATATCAGCGCCTGTCTCGCTGCGGCCAGCTTGACGTCGGCAGTTGCCGTTGATGTGACGGGGTCCCTGGCATACAACTTCTTTCTCAAGGGTCAGCAATGAGAGAGACCTTGAACTTCTTCAGAATGTCGCTGAACTTGCGTTGCTCGACTTTCAGACACGACCGAGCTGAGACCCGGAGCCAAGGTCATTTTGAACCATGGCGAACGTAGCGCTTTTCTGCGTCAAGATGGGTCTTTCGTAATGTAAGTCGCCTACGGAACGACCTAGGTTCTACAGGACAGGAAAGTCTGAAGAGTGGAAACATCTGATACTGACTTGTTTCTTGTTCAGACCCGATGTGCCCGAGGGAGAATATGCGCTCGAGGTCATCAGTAACACGCACGCATTCGAACCGGTAAGCATCTTGACATGCTGGTGATACGGTACTGCCATCTAGCAGGGAGCCTATCCTGATGTATCTGCGGTACACAGCTCTACCTGACCGTATCGGATGATGATGCTGTCTACGTACAAGCCTATCACCCGCTCGGGACTCCTCTTGATAAACCCGCCTCCTCCCCCTCCTCTTCCGCATCTACCCCACCCTCTGCGTCATCATCTTCTTTCCTGCCATACCCGATCGTCCTCCACCCAGGCATGCGCCTCTCGGACGTCTTCTACGACGCCTCTCCCTCGGCCGGATCCAACCTCCTGGGAATGCTCAAATCGCCCATGGTCCTCATGCTAGCGTTTACGGGGATCATGGCATTCGCCGCACCGAAATTATTGGAAAGCATGGAAGTCGACCCGGAGGACGCCAAGAGCGTGAAAGAGATGAGGGACCGGTTGCAGAGCGTTCACACGACTGATTGGGGCGAGAAGTATGTCACTCAAGGACAGCCTGCCGCTTAGGAAATAAGCTGATCCGTAACCTATGGTCTTTGCCTCGCTGGACAGGTTGGCAGGGAGACTGGCGGGTGTACCGGAAAACGCCAACGCTGCCGCGAGCCCCGCAGCCGTAGGATCAAACTCTGGCGGAGCGGGCAAGAGACGAAAAGGTCGGTAGAGTCTGCCCATAGATGAAGATGCGCCGGACTTGTAGCGGGAGACGAAGGTATGGCACATTAAGCGGAACATCTATAATATGAAACAAGCTGCGATGGCATTACACGATGGCCGATTAGGTGTCCATATGCAAGCGGTATTGGGACAGAGAAACGATCAATGGAAATCTGAGGGGCCGAGGATACAAAGTCTGAGGGAAATGTCCATGCTAGCTAGACCTCTAGCGGAAGCCGGAGTGCGTTCGATGCCGATAGTGTCCGCAAAGCATGATCCCCAAGGTCGGATCAGAACAGGGCGTGTAGTGGGTCGTCGTAAGAGTCGTTAGTTCGGGGAGGGGTCATCTGTGATGGGTATCGACAGCGTCTGTCTTTCGAGGGAGGATGCCACTGTCTGATCCTCCTATGCTCGATTCCAACGTCCGGCTCCTCCAATCAAGCCCCATCCGCTGACGAGCATGATGAGCGAGGTGAACAGCATGAGAGCCATCGGATTCATGGCGAGTTTGGTAGCCGAGTTGCAGTTGACGCAGTTCCACTCTGGCAGCATCATCAGATAGCCAAAATAAGGGTCAGTCACTACAGCACTCGCCTAGAACCCGGTCGAGGTGAACTCACCGGGCAACGGCGTATAAGCCTGCGGTCGATACAGCGCAAACTCCATCCCCGAATACGGACTAAACCTGCCCCCAGCCTGAGCAGCGGTCGGTCCCCTCTCGTCGTAGATCTGCAACCTATACGTGGCCGCCGCAAGCGGTACGTTCGCCCCGTTCTGCTCGTATTCAAAGGGAGACCAGATGACTTGGGTCGAGGATCCCGGGATGACGTTCTCGACTTCTCCAGCAGCGTTGGTAGGACCGACCGGGTAGGTGTTCCCGTTCTGCGAACAGGAGGCGACGACGGTCAAGGAGGTAGGGGTGACGCTGTACAGGATAGCGAGAGTTCTTGTCAGATATCGATTGGGGAAGTCGTTGAAATGATCAGGCATGGGCTCACTAGAGACTGGTCAGGTTCCAACCGAAGGTAACGTAGTTCGAGGCGGCAATCTTGTAGTACGAAGCCGATGCACTTGCAGGAGGTTGCTGAGGTCATTCCAACCCGGTTCCCATAGGTCCAAATCACACATGGAGAAAGACAGAGACGAGATCATCAGCTTTGACCGCCTCCAACGGCCTTTCGGCAGGGAAGAGATTCCGATCTCACGGTCATGGTCAATCCTCCAGCAGCAGCCGTCTGAGGAATCGACACGGTGTTCGTGCCAGTAGCCGTAGCCGTAGCTTGACGGGTGTTGGAGTTGCTAGACATCTTGGATTTTGTGTCACCCGTATGGTGGATGAATCAGTTGAGTGCGAGAGGGTGGTGGCGGTCGACGTATACAGTGAAGAGAGCGAGACTGGTCGCCAAGAATACCAGATCTGACCCGTATAGGAACTCCGGATCGTACTGAGATGGTAATCTGATGGTGATCGAGGTTGACGTTTGTGAGATTGTGATTCGGAGCGATCCCAAAAGACGAGGCGCGCCAGAAGGTGGCTATGCTGATTCCGATGTCAAGGGAATGCGGTGACTGAAACGGGTGGTGTCGGACAGGCTATTCGGGACCTTGCTTGATGTCTAGAGCAATACCGACTGCAGTCAGAGAAAGTGACAGGAGGAGATGCCGGTGGATATCTGTCCCGTTCTACCCGATTCACAAGTTGCATGCAAGTTGATGCAAAAGGTTTGAACTTGCATCGATTGATCTCTTGTTTTGGCTGAAGAGGAGGCTAAAAGCTTCCGGAATAGCTTCCGAAGTCTCTTACAGGGGCGACGCGGAAATAAACGCAGAGAGACCGATCAAACGTCACTTTCGTATGAGCGGTTGCAACAACTAGATCACATCTAGCATCTAGCATCTAGACCTGACCTGCAAGCTCCTCCACCTGCTCGATTCACGGGCTCGCACTCCAATTATACGTTCTACCTCGTTCATAATGTCCGATACCACCGCTGCTGCTGCCCAACTCCCTCAACTGACCAAGCAAGAATCTTACCTAGCCGCTTTCGAGGACGATGAACTCCTCCCCATCATCGCCAACAAGCGGCCCATTCGGACAGAGAGGGACCGCTTGGGGTTGGCACAAGATCGAATAGCTGGGACTGCTGGAGGGTCTTTGGCGCTACACGATGAGCTCGGGGAACAGTTGGCAGGGGTTAGTACGACGATACACGATACCGCCGGTTCGGCATTCAGGCCCGAGGGTCGCTTTTATTCGAACAAGGACGACAAGTATAGCTGACCCATGTCGTCCCCATTGCTTTTCGCGAACGGTAGATGTCACATCAACTCAAACTGAACGCGATGCACTTTTCGAAATCGCTCGAGGAGGAGAAATCAATCCTCGAATCCTCTCAAGGCGTACTCGAAAGTGAGTCCCTGTCATTTCTCCTACGGAATATGTTGGCTCTAGCTTACAGAGGTGACTTCACACTCTCGATCGCCTGCTATCGCCACCTCTCAATCCGCAGACAACCTCGTCAAGACCCAAGCCTCTAAATCCAAGCTATCCTCCGTCTCGTCCAAATCGAGGAGTACGACCTGGTTGACGATCGTCTCCCTCCTGGTCGTCATGATCGCTTGGGTATGGACGTACCTCTTGATCCGATTCACATAAAGAAGAATGTGTACATTGAAAAGCTGGACGCCAGATTGAAGGTGTCCTCGAGGCAACCACGACAAAGAGACATAGAGGATGCCTGGTTTTAACGACAAATAACGATTACGGGGCATGTAACGATGACTGCGTTGTATGTGATATGTAAAGGATACAGTTTGGATGATCATGCTGCTTTGGTCTTTCTTTCCATTCGTCCTACCCGCACTTTCTGGATGACCTCTCAAGTCATCCTCTCGGCCCTGATCAGCCGGTACTGCCTGCGTTCTTCTTCCTTCATCAGGGGTCCGCCCGTAAACCGCAAGATCTGGTATTCTTGGTTCTTACTAGAAACATTGAACCACATTATGAGTCTCTGCAACTCCCGGAATAGGTCAGATCTCGGCTCACCTGAGCGCGCCGAGGTTGACCCGGAAAGCGTTTAACGCCTTGACGGGTTTGGCTTCCCATTCCGCTTTTCCCTTGCCCATGATGTTGTTGTTGCTATTCCCGCCGACCTCGCTCGCCTTGCCCTTGTTCTTGCTTTTTTTCCGGCGCTTGGTCTTGACCTGGTCGACCTTTTTCCTCACCCAACCCTTTCCGTCAATTTCTTCGTCTGATCGGACCTCGTCTGCCCCTGCACCTGTAGGCGCAACCAGCTCGCTACCATCGATGCCCTGTTCGTCTTCTTCTCCGTCAGGAGGACTCGTCAATTCGAATGGCTCGATTGCCGAGCGCCTAATGTCTTTGGGTATCGTGCTACTCGTCGCACGAATCTCAGTCAATTTGTACCTAATGCACTGCTCAGTCAGCCACTAACCTGCCTGGATCGAACAACAATAGGTTCGTGCTCCCGTGCGAATTGATCTCATACCCCACAATCGTTCTCGAGTGGCCAGAATGCTGAGGAGCCGCCGAAAATGAAATAAGCCTGCGTTTGACTTCAGCTTCACTCTGACCCCGTTCTAGGCTACATACCTGTAGAATCAAAGGCAACTTGCTGGATGATCGAACAGCAGTAGAAGATTGCCTGTCCATCAGCTTGTCGAAAGCCGTCTTTGGCTTGTCCTGCTGTTCGGCATCAGGGAGTGTGACGTCTTCATCCTGAAATGAGGTAGTCAAAATTAGCTTCGCGTTGAGCATATCCTGTCTACATAGTGGCCGATGAAAGCATACTCACGAAATACTTCTGTACATAGGCGGTGAGCGCAGAATGGGTCGTCGTCGTCGAGTGCCATTTTGCTCCTGTCGGTTTCGGGAAATCGTCTAACGGGCGGTTTGGTCATCAGCGCCTGCTCAAGTGAATGAACGCTGTCAAGGTGTAAGATGGCTCACGGAGATAGCAGCTACGCATCGCAACAAGGCCATCAGCTTTGTATACCTGGGAAGAACTCCGCCTCATCACTTACGGAACGCCTTTCGCCACCATGGCAGCGTAAATGTCTTTTCGAAAGCCAGAAGTCTCGTCCCGAGTCAGTCCCTCTTGTCGTCTAGCAATGATCGCCTTCAAGAGCTTCATACCTGAAGTACCGATCCATTTCTTCGTGCCCACAATCTTGCCTTGCAACTGGTTCCGTCCTTGGGTATCGAACCCTACCATGAGCGACCCAAATCATGAAAGACCGTTGCTAAGCCTTCTTCCTCAGCGCGACTCTCGTTGAAAAGATCCAGGACTGACCACTATCCCAGGCTTGTTGCATCCACACCTGTAAGTTTCTCACCCCAGGCGAATCCGACCGGCCCGCTGGGTCCGCCGAGGGGAACACCGGTCGGTATTCGGGTGTGCTGGATAGCAGCGCGGTCAACGCCATCTCGAGGTTCCTATATCCGCAACCCCAACCTGAACACCCGTTTCAAAATGTATCAGAATCGTATACCCGGCAACTCGCAAGATGAATGCGGGTATGTCAAGATGACACACGCGCTTACCGCTATCGAAGCCCATACTGCTCTTGATATGACAGACCCCTTCGGCGCACAAGACCGCTCTGCGTGTGACGCCCTGCGAATTCGCGGCAAGTAGAATCTTCTTCAGGATAGGTATAAGGCCTGTCGCATCAGAGCCATGATTAGCTTGCAGGCTTGCGAGATCCATTGACTTGGTCAAGTGACAGATGTCTTCGAGATCGAACCGCACCTGGTGTAAAGTTGGGTGGCAAGCGATCAACTGAACAGTCTGCTGGTGACCACCTGAATCGGCAGATGATCATCAGACTAGCCTAAGACTGTATGGATGCAGTGTATAGCATCGCTTCAAAGCTTACCAAAGGTCTCCACTCTGCCTTGGATCACCTGCTTTCCAGCCTGACTTTCCCAGCTTAACCAATCTGCCTCCAAGCGATGTCGATGTATTCTTGTCCTGCGTCAACCCTTCTTCTCGCCTGCTGTCGCCCTCAGCGACATCTTGTGCTATCTGTTCGTCTTCACTGGACCCCGCGGAATCTGGCGACGAGGTGTGATGTGGACGTCGTTAGCAGAGACCAGGAGTCATGATGTAAGTTTCGACGCACCAAGGCATCCGTTGACGTGCACCTGTCGTTCTTCCCCCGTGAAAGCTTCCAACGATCGACCGCATACGAAACATTCGGGAACATCCATATCATGCCTATCTTAATGCTCACTTCAGCTTACTTCAGGTTAGATAATGTAGAGAAGAGGTGACTTTTCGGATAGGACGTACGTCTTTAGCTGGCCCGCGGGTACCGACTGATCATCGACCCGGCTTGCGACTTCGTCGTCAGGGTACTTTCTCTTATAAGCCGAAGAGTTCGACTTGTCTATCCTCATCTCGAATGTCCCAGACTCGCCCGGGCCGGCCTCTGTCAGCGGATTGGATGCCTCTTCGTCGTAATGGCTAGCGACGTGAGCGTTGAGCAGCTCGATGTCGACGTCGAACCATCGATTGCAGGTCGGACATTCCGGCATGTCCTCTGAGACGTGCGATATGACGCTCCGAGAGTATCTTCTGACTTCTAAATCTGCACAAAGTAGTGAGTACGACTTGCTAGCTAGTCTAGCTAGACTCGCAACTTGAAGGCCCGCTCGAGCGAGGTTCGGATGTAATTACGGAAGCATTTCCCTGAATGGCCTCGGAAGTAGATTCGGCTGAGTTGCAAGCTAGCGCTGTTCAAGGAATTGTAAAGCCATTCGCAAGGGAGAGTATATAGCTGACAGACTGACTGTCGATTGGCGTCGAGCTGATCGCAGCACGCAGCACGCATAGAATCCTGTTGAGATAGTGACTCGACATGCTGCCGGTGCCTTCCACGGCCTACCGGTCGAAACCGCGAGGCTCCCAGTCCTACTTTGTCTCGGGACCCTCGACGCTCCCGAGCTCCGTCTTTGAACGTCTACGGACTCGGGCGAGGCTCACGAACCTCGCCGTCGGCCTGATACTATCGGCACTGGGTTTCTCTGTCATCCTCAATCTGCGGCACTGGTCGGAGGCGAGCGGACGGTCAGGCTTGTCAACATCGCTAGACCCGAACGGGCGGTTCAGCTCGTCCAGGAAACCTACATCAATAGGGAGTATAGAGAACACGATCGAAAGGACGGAAGAGATGGCAGGGTTGACGCATCTCGTCATGGTCGCTGGACATGCCATCTGGAAGGGCTCGGATCCTAGTGCCAGAGCGAACGACTCGGACTGGGTGTTGACGCCTATACAGCGAGGAGGGAGCGTACGGACGTTCTTTAAGCATATCGAAGCTGGGTGAGCCACAGGAACCGGTGGGAAGCCCGAATCATGACTGAGCCGATGTCATCGTGTGGTTCGTAGCGTTAATGAAGCTATGGACGATCCGAATAGCTTATTGATTTTCTCAGGGTAAGCCGCAGGTCGGATTAAACCGGATAAACCTGCATGCACCTTACCTTCACCTTTTCTTTTTCTCGCCAGCGGCCAGACCCGTCTAGACACCCCACCCACAACGGAATCCCAATCATACCTCCGCCTGGCCATCGCATCTTCCCTCCTGCCACCTCTTTCCGAGTTCCCGAGGGCGACCACGGAAGAGTACGCGCTGGATTCGTTGACGAACTTGATGTTCTCCTACGCGCGGTTTCACGAGGTTACGGGGAATTGGCCCAGAAGGGTGACGGTGGTGGGGTATGAGATGAAACGACCAAGGTGAGCATGGCACCTGGCGACCCTTCCTATGGCTAGGAGGGGATCGGACTGATCGGAAACCGACCCGGATAATAGGTTCGAAAAGCTGCATCGAGCGGCAATGAGAATCCCAGGCCAAGATTTCAAGTATATTGGGATCGACGACGAGGGCGATACATCAGCTTCGTACGAGGGCGAGGTGAGTCAAACAATTGCACGCAATATAGCATTCCTGGGCGCAAGACCTGGGCTGACTCGTTCAATCGTCTCGCGTTTCAGTCGACCTACGGCTATCAACCATTCTCTGAAGACCTCTACGGCTGTTTCCCACCTCTTTCACTGAAAAAGACCTCCCGAAACCCGTTTGCACGGTATCATCCTTACCACACCTCGAGCCCGGAGATTGCAGGCCTACTAGAATGGTGTCCTGTGCACAAGGCTCATGCACAAGGGCCGGAAGGCCAGAAGGGCGGAGGGGTGTACCCGCATGTCTTGCCCTGGAAGACGACGGAGCCCGCGGAGAGCTCTTGGAGTAGAGAACAAGATTGAGGCTAGAGGACTAGACAGCTCCCAATGTGGCTGTGGATCTTTGTATATAGACTAGATGCGGGCGTAGGATGCATTTGTGGGAGGTCAACGTCACGATAATACTGCAACGGCTCGCTACCGTCAGCTATGACCCAGATAAGCCCAGGAGAGTTTGACGATACCGCCGACTAGTGCTGTCCACATCCTCCTGCTCTTTTGAGTTTTACCTGGGCTCAGAGAGGATGTCCAGGTAGCGCATCGCTCAAAAAAATGTCCGTCGTAAAAAAACACGTTAGATGATGACAATTACAACCACAACGACAAGGCCACTCTGATGGCGACCAGTACCTCCCCTTCATGGCTTCTCGCAGCATGATCCGCCGTTGCTCAGAAGAATCTCCACCACAGAAACAAGATCGTGAAGAAACCGATCCCTCCTACTGGAGCCCACTTGCGCAGCATAGCTTGAAGGTTGATGTTCCTCGCAGCTCGCTTGTACTTGGCAGATTCGGTCTTCAGCGAGGACGATAGCTGACCCATACCTGCAGACGCGGATAACGTAGCCTAGTTAACCGGGGGCCTCGTCATGTATACAGGAGAAAGGCGGAACTCACGGTCGAGACTATCTCCACGCCAGAGCAAGTCTTCCATGTTCTTGGTCATGATCCTTGTCACGTCCTGTAGGTCGGTATTGAGCTTGTCCATGTTGGACATGGGCGCCGAGGCTTGGGCAGTGTGAGGGTCTTGATAGAGTCGAGTGGTTTTTGAGATGAAGGTATCTGTCGAGCCAAGACCCCGTCCGGTCGAGACATGATATCAGTCTCATGACGGAAGGAAGATGCTTCTTCATGGAAATTAGGTCGATGTGGACTCACCGAAACCACGGAAACAATATGGTCGATTCGCACTAGCGATCTGGCTCTCATAACTCCTTTGGAACTCCTTGCTCAGTTCGTCCAAGTAGGAAAACGCCAATTTTCGAGGATAAGATCCGTCACAGACGGCGAGGTAGACTACCTGGTCCACGAGGAGGTAGCTGCGACGAATTCGAGCGGATTTAGCACACCTTCACTCTGGTTTGCTGTGCTAAGTGCTCGAAGCGCTTACTGTATTGTGAATTTCCCGCTCTCTATCGAACAAGCCGGCTCGCTCCTGTCAGTCATCCTCCTACACAACAACTTGGACTGTTGCTTTTGCTCGACGAGATCCTTCTCTGTCTGTAATGGCGTGTTGCCCGAATCAGCTTGACTGGGCCTAATTATCGAATCACCTTTGTCCGTTGGTACGTCTAGGTGGAACTCACCGACTCGTCATCTACGCTCGCAGCCAATGGCAAACCATCCGTCACCCTGAATATCATTGTAGACCTGACCATCTTGTCTTGATCCCTCTTTTCGTTTAAGCTAAGCCTTTTGTATAGGAAGCGACAAGGGATTCCGTTGTTGGTGTGGACACGTATGTCTAACCGGCGAGGTATTCACTGTTTCTGTCAACTCTGGTGGTGACCTGCAGTATAATCCGAATTTACGTCTCGCCTTGGATTGAAGAGTAGATCGAGATGTGAAGTAGCCGTCGGGGCTGCGCTGTTCGCGCTTCACCTGTGGTAGCTTGGTAGTGGATGCTGTTGATCAACTGTGCAACTGTACCGTACCATCCACCTGATGCTCGGTCACTTGAAGGGGAAGCCGAGCGTAAAATGTCAGGCTCAATGGGTGGGAGGGGGCTCCCTACTCTCAGCAGATCAGCAGCAGATGATTGAAAGTAGTTTCATCCTTCTGCTTCTGAATAACCCAGTCTTTACAGCCCACCGCCATCCCATCGGAGCCAATCATTATGCAGTCGTAAGCTTGTTGAGCGTGGTTTACAGCTCTATTTGGAAGAGCTTAGCTGATTTAATCTTCACCATGGCAGTCGCGCACAAGCAGGACCTTCCAAACCCGCCCGTCGGGCATCAAATTCCTCCTCCATCTCGGCGTCATCCCTGATCGACGACCTGGATGAAGCAGCAGAGAAGGACGATTTCGACTGGAAAGGGTTGAGGGAAAGGCGATTAGAAGCTCTCAAAGCTGAAGTCAAGCGGAACGAGGCGTCCAAGGATGACCGGCACGGACGGTTGACCGAGGTTACCAACGAAAAGGAGCTCATCTCCACCAGCGCGTGAGTCGCTCTGCGAACCAGTAATCTCCCTTCATCTCTATCATATTGACTTACATCGATCTCGCAATGTCGTGATATAAGAAAGCAGCGGTACTGCTTGATCCACTTTTTCCACCGGAATTTCACCCGATGTGCGATCATGGATAAACACCTGAACGTGAGTCTGTACCTGTCGCCATATAACTATGTCCATGACTCGCTAACGTCTTGCCAATCGCACAATATAGGCACTGGCAGACAAACACCGACATACCTTGTTCCTCCGTGCGAACGTCGAGAACGCGCCCTTCTTGACGACAAGGCTTGGGGTCAAGGTGTTACCCTGCGTAGTGTGTTTCGTGGACGGGAACGCTGTCGACAGGTGAGCCTTTTGCGTCACTGCTGTAGTGGCAACCAAGCGATCTGAACTGATCGAGAGATTTGCGGTCTCAGGCTTGTTGGGTTTGACGACCTAGGGAATTCGGATTCATTCCCTACAAAGACCCTGGAAGCTAGGCTAGCTCGATCGGGTAAGTCAGTGGTTTCCGCAATTCCTGAAGTTCTGAGACTGATGCAAACCATACATCCGAAACAGGTGTATTACCTCCTCCTGGCCAGGTAGATCTCCTACAAGCCAAGCTCGCACAACGAAAAGCAGGTTCGGACGAGAGCGACCAGGAGGACGATGATGATGCCGCCCGGGACAAGGCAGGACGAAGAAAGATCGTGCGAAGTGTCCGAGGGGGACAGGCACGAAGACAGCGTGATGACGATGACGACGAGTGGTCGTGAAAGGGTATTAATCAGCTACTGGATATGCTACAAATGGAGTTCATTGCCACAGACAAGCTCGTCATACGATCAAGAGAGTCCGAGCTTCTCCCCGACCGTCATCAGTCCACCTTTCGCCTGCTCCAAGTACCCGAGGGCGGTCGCCGTGCTTGAAGGCGCACTTGCGACCCTGGCTGGCGACAGCGACAAGTGTCCCTGTCGATTATCCTTGCTCGACGTTGATCTTGATGAGAGCTCTCTCGTCCGCCGGTCGCTGTCTGATGTCATAGTACTGGTACGAGGTGAAGAGCCGTATGGGATCGAGACGTCTGATCTGGTCCGCGATGATCCGGGGGACATCGGCTCTGCCGAATTGAGCAGGGCGTGCTGAGAAGTGTTGGGCGGATCGAGCACGATCTGATGCAAGCTAGTGGATATTAGATTGCGTCTTGCCATACTGCAGGTGACTTTCGGTGACTGACCTCGTACGGAAATGGGAAGGAGGACTTTAAGCCGGGTCATTCGTCATCAGCTATCGAATCCAACGATTCCATACACAACCCGGACTCACGTTGGCCGAAGAGATGACCGGAACATGTGAACACTTTTCTACCCCAAACTTGCTGATCTTCATGATCGCGTTCGAAAGGCTAGTTTTCTCCTCGGATGTCGGTCGGGCCCGAAGTCGGGTGGTCGGGCTGTACAAGGTGATGAGATGCACTTCGAACGGGACCTGTTCCTGCTCGTGACCAGCAAGTATCGCATACCATTAGGTCCAGACGTTCAGTGAGACAGCTCAAGAGGCACGGAAGATTTACCTCGGTTGAGCTAAACCAAGTCTTCTTAGACCGTTTCTGAGATAATAACACCGCGACCTGTCCTAGAGACCCGTCTTGGGCCGGTTGTCGATTCTTGATGTGACGGTAAAAGGTCTCTACCTTTTCGTTCACTGATTCGGCCACCAGATCATCAGATAGCATAGCCTGGCATGAAAGGCAGCTGGTCATTCGTACATAACACATGAAGTAATGATGTTCTGTATCTATGCTTACGATATGACATTCCATGATCTCTTCGGTCACCATCTGAATAGCACCGAGGCTCCGCTGAAAGAGGATAGCCTGCAGCGCGATTACCATCAGCTTGAGCATGGAACCTAGCTACCCAATCTACGTGACTTGCATGAATGACTCCTGTGAGAGCCTGTCGCACTGAGGCGAGGCCGATATGCTATTCACGACGAGGTTGCCACACTCTTTGAGCTAAAGCGCTGATTGTAACGCTGATTGCATATGCGCTCACCAGATCGACCTGGTTGACCACGATTTCAGGATCCATCGTCGAAGATTTCGAGGTATGAGCTGAGCATTAGTGCAACAGTAAACCGTGTCCAGGACAATGAGGTGTATGTAGTAGAGTGACAAGCAAACGAGGCTGTTATCGTCACATGATTCAAGGTTGCCCTACCCTTAGAGGACAGCCAACGACCTCCACTTTCCGCCGATCGTCCGAGAGCGATCTAGGACAAGGTCATCTTCGTATCCGCGTATCTACGTCCATGTTACATCATCCCGCTCATGCGCTCGAAGATAGTATAAAGACCAGTCAGACTGCATCTGCTACGTTACTCAAGCTATGATCACCGCACCGCTCAGAACGACTATGCGGTCGACCGGATCCCTCGCCAGAATCACCCGGATCGATCGACGTCATCTGTCGGCAACCAAATCGATCTTGCAGGATGTCAAAACGCCGTCCGAAAAGATCACCGTGGTACCATTCATGCTGGACCCGACATCAGCTCAGCAGAAGATGAAGGAGAACGCTTTACTTTCCACGGTGAGTCAGTATGATCTTGACAAAGCGCTAGGATCGTCATGATAGCTTACTGCTTGCGCTTCACAGATCACAATCCCGAACGCCATCTACGCCTTTGCATTACGCTGGTTTGGAGAGTCGGTCACACCGTTTCTGCATGAATTCGGTCTGGGAGGAAACGGGTTGAAACATGAACGGACGAAAGCCGTATGTTGAGCCAGATTGTCATCGAAACGGGCACCTCCGAGCTCATATCCCGATTGTTTCTGTTAATTCTAGGTCTACTGGCCGATCTGGAGGTTCACGCTCTTGGCGGATATCGACATTCCGGGAACGACCAAGTCGCCAAGCTTGATCATGTTCAACAGTACCGGGCTGTCCGGAAACTCTTTCTCGCCCGTTTCGTTGCTCGACTTTACTCAGCCGGAGCTTCCTGACGACCTCTTGCCCTGGGATGCCGAGCAAGATTTGAAGCAGCTAGAATCGGTCGGGGTGGACGTGGATGCTGTGCCGTTCAGCGTGGATCCCCTCAAGGTGATGCAAGAACTCAAGCGGAAAGTTGGAAGACACGTCAGGCTGGGCGATATGAAGGTGGATCTGGAGAGGGATGTCAATGAAATCCTGGTCAGTCGGTCTCACAAGGCTATTTCTTTCAACACATAAATTCTAACCCGTCGCTTTTTGGCCTTCATATATCTAGTTCGCTGCCTATCCGATCTACTTCCCCCTTTACGTCTCTGAATGGTCTTTCAAGCTGAACGATGATAGCAAGGAGAGGCGAATATCGATCGTGATGAACGCCGATGATGCGGATGTGAGCCACTGCCTGCGTCACTCAAATCAGGCTCTGGTAGACTGATATGTACACCTCGGACACAGCCTCGCGAGTGTCGATGTGTGAAACCCATGATACCCGGTCTAGGGGAAAAGACGTGGGTAGTTCTGGCACAGTCGCTTCTTGCCTGAAGTGCACTAACTGAAAAAATCCCTATCGCAATCAACGCAGACGGAATTTTGGATATTGGATGGAGATGCCACACATCATCCCTGACCCAGATTCTCCTCATCCGGAACCCATGGGCGATATCCATCGCACGGTCGCACAATCCTATGTGGATTGGTTGAACCCGGCCACTCGACGGAACACCCTGATAGGGGAGCAGGATCCTCGTTCGGGCAGCCTTGTGGCTCCGACGAGTCCTCTAGAACAGCTGGATGTTGAGGAAAGCGAGATTGCGTGGAACGACCCTCGGGTACAATCGTGGTCTGGCGAGGAGAGGAAGGAGAATACGAACTGGATGATGGCACAGGCGGCACGAGTGATGATGGAGGGTCAATTGCAGGTGAGTCCAGCGAAGCGTGCATATGCGCGACAATCTTGCCTGGTACCTGATCTGACCCGTCATGCCGATGCAGAAAATGCAACGAGCCGAGAAAAAGGCGGACAACAAGCCCGTAACAACTCTGCGTATCGACATGCAAAAAAGGGAAGACGGAAGTAGAGGCATGCCATCGTTCTCCAAGGTCACGATGGAGGAAGCGATTGCTGCGGCCAGGAAGTCGGTCGAGGAGGCCAAGCGGGATGTCGAGAGCCAGAAGCCGCAGTGGCTCAAGGCTCGCGAGACAAAAGAGAAGTGAACGCTCGGCTCGAGAAAACCCTCGTTCGAGGCCGAGATACCTATAGTTGGGAGAATGCCACGAATGACGCAACATACCCTGAAACGGAACAATCCAATCGAGACTGCGTTCATCATTATGAGGGGCTGAGTATGCAAGATCGGACGATCACAGTATGTCTATCTACAACATCAACCCTACGATACCCGCAATGGCCCCCGCCAGCGCAGCCGTCTTTCCTACAGCCGATCCGTCCTTAATACCCGAATTAGCCGGAGTAGACGACGTGGGTCCTGCAGAGGCGCTGGTCGAAGTCGCCATCCCAGTCCCCGACACGCTCGTCGAAGCTTGTCCGCTAGCCGTGCTCGTCCCCATCGTCGAGGCCGCGCTAGAGCTCGCGCTGGTACTCGAGTTCTGAGGCTGGACAGCACCGACCAACGCTGTACCGTTCGTCCACCTCGTCGTCCCGCTCTCCAAAGCCCACTTGAGTCCACCCATGACATGTCCCATAAAGGTGGGATCTTGCCACGTCTCGCTCAGGTGTCCTAACGAGGTGTAGAACGATCTACCTGTTCCAGGAGCTCCGTCGGTCGGGGGTTGAGCGCCGAGAGAGTCGGTAATGTACCATGCGATGGGGTGAGGGACGCCTTGGTCATAGTTGCCTGAAGAGCCGCTCGAGCCTGTGTCATGAAAGTGTAACAAGTAAGATGGTTGTCTCAAGCCGTGAGCGGCCGTCTGGCATCTGTGGAGCCGGACTTGCCAGTATAAGACGATTCGTCCACGGTCAAGACGACCTGGGCACCAACGTCCCTAGGGTCTGAGCGGTAATTGTACACTTCTTCGGTCTGTCAACAGTCAGTGTCAGGCCAAGGCATCGGTTTCGTTTAACGATATGACCTCGTTGGTCTAGCCAGTAGGGGAGGACTTACGAAGGTCCATCGGTCGGGTACTCCGACCATGGAAGGGTGCGTCTTGTTCAGGGGAGTGAACGTCTGTCTCCCGTATCACACGTGTTTTCGTCAGTCTCGACTTGTCCTTCTCTCTGCCTGAAACTGAACGCCGAGACTTACGGCAGGTTGCAACTCGGGATGATAATCGAACCTCGTCCCGATGGTCTGGACGTACCAATCTTCCCCGCCCAGGCAGTCCGTCGCGGCGTGGACTCCGACGAAATTGCCACCGTTTTGAAGGTAAGTGTGGAATGCTTGGGCTTGAGACGAGTCAAGGACTAGAAGGAAAGGAACAGGGTTTCGGTTCAGCTATAAGCTTGAGACGTATGTTTCCCCTTCTGAAACTCACCTCCCTCGCCGGTGGTACTCAGAAACATGACGCCATCGAATCTGCCCAACTCGTCCCCGTTGAACCTCGTGGGATCCTCTGTGAATTCAAAGTCCACCCCGTCCGTGCCCGAACGTGCTTGGAGCGCGGAGATGGAATCGGGGATCGAGTCGTGACGGTAACCTGTGGTGGCTCTGAAACAGAGCACGGATCGAATGAAATGAGTAAGAGTCTCTGTGAACAAGATACATGTAGAAGTGCAGACATAGATCCATGAGGCGGGATACTCACGTAAAGACGAGGACGCGGGGTTGAGCCATGACGATCGACGTTGCTATTGACAACAATACGGTGATGGTGACGAACATGATCCTCGCTCTGTAATGCTTCCCAGGATGTCGTCGAGGTCTATATATGTATCAAGAATTCCAGCGAGGTCGTCGAGATCGAATGATGATGTGATGCTCGAGATGAAAACAAACAAAACCCGACCTCGCACCACCCTCGCCACATTCTTCGGGCCGAGATCGAATTAGCGCGCAGGATTCATCAGCCTCGGTCTTCTCGGTTTACTTCCGCTCAATTTGTTTCCGATCAAAGATCAACAAACACCGAAGTGAAACCACATGTCCCCAGATCACTCGATTGAAACGATCCAGCTTGGCAGATGTTACAGGTTCGAGTTTGATAATTCATCATGACTTTGATCTGGGAGATGGATGTAAAGCGCCTGGTAGGCCTCGACCCGTTGGACGACCTTTCGCGCAGGAGGAAACCGACGAACGCGCTCCAGGCTTTGCTTCCCGTCACCCCCCACTTCACCAATCGGTTGTGTGGGGTCTCCGCGGTCACGAGAATCTAGAGGTGCTGGTCAGGCGTGGACATTCGTCGATTTTGACTCGATATCTGCCTGTCACATCGAGGACATGACAGATCGCACAGGCGCAGAGGTGTGTGATTGAGATGTGTACAAGCTCGTCTGCAGGCGGATGTTTGGCTCAGTTCATATCGTCGCAATCTCTGCAGCCAAAATGACGTCGACGTGATTTCTGATGAGGCTGACACCTTTCCTTCCTGAGACTTCTCCTTCGAGTGAATGGGACGCGTTCGAGCCGCTTTCGATACAAAATCACCTGCTCACAACTTGGTCAATCATCATGCATCATAACCCTGCTGGTCTGCTCGAGTCTGATTCACTCCAGCGACATCACCCGTAACGACGCAATCTTGCAAGAGTCCTCAAGGGATTTTCCTCTCCCTCTTTCTACCCCGTGGACGCCTCTCTTCAAGCGGGAGTACGAGCGAAACAAATGCGCGTCTAAAGGGAATTCCCGTGTCTCTGCAGGTTCGAAACGACCTCTGCACGATCTTGACATCAACCGGAACTTTGTGTCGCTCCCTCTGTTCGAGATCAGGTCTTACTCGATCGAGGAGATACCGGACTGGCGACTCCCTCGTGGTTCCAATTGGACAGACTACGGGGCTCGAGTCTCTAGTATAGGTTGCGGAATACAACACCACTCGCACGACGTGATCTGAACGGGAACACCAAGCAATAGTCGCGAAAACGACCTCGACCTCAGCCATCGGAAGGAAAGAGCGATGACAACCCTCTCGCCTAAACCATCTCCTTTCAAACGAGCTAGATTTCACCCCAGTTCACATCTTCAGCAACATCATCTGCCTGCCCCGATCAGGAGTCCGGCGGACGTGTTTTACACCGGGACCACGGCGAGTACGAGTACAGGCAGGACGATCGACGTGAACGCGAGTTCGAACGCGACGGGGGCGGGTGTAGGAGTAGGGAGGACGAGAGCGTTGAGTGGGAGTGTGGGTGGAACGGGCCGTCAGGTTGGAATGAGCGACTTGGCCAGGAGGTCGGTCGTGGGAGGCCTCACGGGATCAGCAAAGGTCCAGGACCAAAACGATGGGCTGGTAGAAAAAGCTGGGTCCGGGTCAGTATCGACATCGACAACGATGGGCGGCTTGAAGGGTATCGCAGGTCTCGAAGCGAAGAGGAGCAAGATGGCATTTGCTGAAGGAACCGGGACCGGGACGACGAGCGGGAACGTGAACTTGACCTCGTTCCAGAGTCCGTTTGGCAACTCGGTCAACGGGAGCAGGTCAGTCCCGGTACTGAACGGCAGTAGTAAGAACGGAGCTTCAACATCGACGCCGAGACCGTCCTTGACGACATCGCGCTCGATGACGCTCGAACCTGCTCGCCATCGAACGACCATACCCGACCCATCTCCTACCCCGGACGTATTCTACGACCCCCCTACCGGGAGCGTGAAGTCCACTCACCAGGCTTCGCCTTTCCTCTCCACACGGAGTCAAGTGAGACCTGGCGGTCCTGCGACCGGCACTCCGTTCTTCAAACCCCCCGCACCTCCATCACAAAGTAAACGGTCCGGCACCCCTATCCTACCGCACGCGAAACCTTCCACATCGACCCGGTCTGCACTCCATACCCTACCACAACCAGGGATCACCAATCTGCACCTGAACGGCACCGGCTCCAATGCCGCGGCAGGACCTTCTGCTAACAAGCGGAGAAAGACGGAGACGGGCACGATACCCGTACAGACCTTGCCCCCTCTGTCCGCGTCCCAGCAGCAAGCACAGGCACAGGCTCAACGAGCAAAAGACGAGAGCCATGCGGATTACAAGAACAAGTACACCAAGGCGTTCCCCAGTTTCGTCTTCTGCTTCGACGCCGAGTTTCTGATGAACCAGAACAAACGAGGCGCGGCAGGGGAAAAAGGGTATAGCGTGAAAGATTGCAAAGAGGGGATCAGACGGATGGGAGGAGTGAGTCTCGGTCTTGCATGCTGAACGCCTCGGCGCAGACAGATTGCGAATTCGGTGCAGACACTGACTCTGGCACGTCATACGGTCTGACAGCAAATCGAAGATTTCTTGTCGAGACGGATTACGCATTATATTAGCAATCGAGGCGTTCCGTCCGAGTTGGAAAGGATGATGGCCGACAGCGCTCGACGGACAATTGGACCGGACGGCAAGGAAAAGACGTGAGTCGGTGAAGAGGATGCTGCAGTATGTTGAGGATGACCAGAGCTGATAGGATTCTCGATAAGGCAACCGGCAATGGCTGCGAAGGTCTGGAATCTGCAGAGTCAGTGCGATCAACAAAGCTAAACCAACATTCGCCCCGACTGACATGATCGCGCTTCCTCTTTACAGAACTCGGCAATATCCTCGAGTATCTGCTCCGGAATACCCATGTAGCCCCCGTCGCGCCGATACGAGGAGAAGACGACCTGTCGTACCTGCTGGAAGACGAACGACTGCACGGAACTCGAGAACGAGACAAGGCAGCGCCTCGAGCGGACTGGTACTACTTTCCCAAGGGGGTGCACTACCTCCTCATCGATGATGCCACCGGGGAGAGCCGGTCGATCATGGCGAAAGAATTTCCGAAGCACCGCCCGGGGGAACCGACACCGTGGCCGATCATCCACGAGACGTTTATGCGCATGTCCGAGACTGCCAAGATGAATACGGACACGGCGAAACAGTTGCGGGAAAAGGCTTGGAAGACGTGGGTGACGAGGGAACGGACCGAACTCGAATCGAGTCGGGTCAAGGGGTCCGCCCTCTTTGACGAGCATGCCAAGAATACGGGCATGTTGACGAGGTCGACGTCGCTAAACAATCTGGCCGAACGGGTTCGAGCCGGTCGAGGAGATACAGGCGAAGATAGCATGATGCCGTACCAGGCCGCCTCGGGCAATTCGGTCGTTCTTACTTCCAACATCGCTTCGACTAGTAACGTCAGATCGACGACGGGAGTCAACCTGACACCCAACGGGATCGGTATGAGTGGAGTCACGCAGGGCAAGGACAGACGGATCATGCAGATGAGCAAGAGGGTACAGCTGTTAAAGGGTCAGACCGCTGCCAAGCTGTCGGCAGCGAACGGAAGGCTCGAGACCTCCAAGGTGGAAGCCAGCGGCGACCCGGTCTACGTCGCACGAGGCGGCGACCTCTATGACGAAGATGACATCGAAATTATCGGAGGAGCCGAACTGGCGGACGATGCAATGACGTGGGGTGGGGAAGGCAGTGGTGCCAGTCATCGTCGAGGCTCCTCCTCTTCCACCAGCCATTCGGGAGAGATGGTTGTGGATGGTGAAGCCGAATCAGAGACCGGCGACGGTCAGGTTGACGGAGACTACGGGGAGCCGTACCGCGAGTCGATGGACGACCAGGCCAGACAAAAGGTCCTCGCAATCCTCCAGGCGGCAAAAGCACCTGCGAGGTTGACGGGTTACCAGCGAAGAGAGCTGAAGCGGGCTCGAAGCATGGGTTTCAGGATCGAGCGAGTGAACCCCAACCCGCCAGTCAAACCTGGGTATTGCGAGAACTGTCGCGTCAAGTATGAAGACTTCGATACTGTGAGTTTCGGGACTTGCATCAGTCGTCACATATCGAGCTCGATACTGATAAGAAGAGGCATTGCCACCTTTATAGCACATCAAAGGAAGACGACACCGCAAGTTTGCCGAGAATGCCGCCAACTTTGGCGAAGTGGACGAGTTTTTGCTCCGAGTCCGCCGGGTTCCGAAAGGGTTGGCCGGTACTAGCGTCGACGTGATGACAGACGACACATAAGAACTACGACTCCCCGGCGAGAAATTAATGACGAACTTTTCCAGATCCTTGGCACCGCCTGTAACCTTTACACCCATTTACTAGAGGTATCGCACTTTCACCTTGCGACTGAATTGTAGCTTTTAGTGCATTTGCCTTGTAGCAGGCAAATCGTGTTTGTTCGCCTTATCATCACGCATGAATTATCTGATTGTGTATAATGGAAGCTGCAAGTTGTAATTTGCCCTTGTCATCCGTCACTTGCGTCACGGCTTCCCCGGCAAGAAAGCAGCCCTAATGAGTGAGTTCGTACATGCGGGTCACAAATTTCTCTGAGCAAGTCGATTGGGTAGCCATGTCTCTGCTGTAAGCATACACCACCAGTCTTTTGACCTGCCCCTCGATTGGACATTTTTCGGACTAGAAAGATGATACAGAGACCGCCCCTGCTGTCAGAGAAGGGTGGCTGGCATGGCTGGACGGATCTCGGCGCCTATTGTGCTGCGGCGTGGCGTCCGGAGAATTTCGCACAGACACCGGATCAGAGCCAGAGGCAGAGTTTCGCTTCGTCAACAGCCAGGTCACAAAGTACGGAGTTATTAGGGGCGTTACATTTTTCTTACGGGCGTTACATTTGATCCGGAAGCAAATATTCAGGCAGAAGAAGGAGGGGAACTCGGATCTGCGCGCCGGAAGCAAATATTATGTGATTTTCGCGACTTTGGACCTGTGTTTGAGACAGCCAAAGTTGTTAGTGACAACCTCTTCAAAATTCGTTTTTTTTGCACATTCTGGTACATTAGTCGTTCAGTGTCGTATCCTAACAAATTCAGGTGATTTGAAGTCATTTTGAAGGTTAAATTTTGACTTGGTAAAATGTACCAATTGGGCTGTAAAAGGCGCGCGCAGATCCGGAAGTAAATTTGCTTCCCTGTCCCTCTTGTGCCTCCTAAAATGTAACGCCCGTAAGAAAAATGTAACGCCCCTAGAAATTCCGCACAAAGTACCAAGTTGAAAGTTCCATCGCTTGCCATGTGGGCAAAAGCTCGGTTCCCATACTCTCTCCGTGATCGTTTCTTCTTCGAAACCCCTCGGTGCCGAGTTTCGGGTCGCGAGCAAGAAAGCCGCGTTCGGTGATTGAGAATGAAACACGTGGACGAGCTGTTCTACACTTTCCGTCCCGGCCGAGTGTGAGGGAACGATCTGTTCTGGGCAACGTCCCTTGATGCTGAGCGTATTTCACCCGTAATCGCTCAAGACTCCTCCTTTGTCGTCGCATTGCAAGCGGTCATCGTCACTCAAGGTATACTCCGCTTGGGACTTCCCAGCATCGGTCGGCCTCAGTACACATAAGCTATATAGACAGGTCAAACATTAGGCGACCTGAATGTCGAATTTCGTCTCTAGGTGGCTTTCACTCCAGTACTCCTCTCGATCATCACAGAATAACCTTCGTAATACAAAGCCAAGCTGCCGAGATGAATCGAGGTACCATCGCCGTCGACCTGGACGATGTCCTGGCAGCCACCAACGAAAAGGTCTCGGAGATCCATAACGAGATGTTTGGTACAAACATGTCGTTGGACGACTTTGATTATTGTGAGCGATCTCTCATGCCGGTCGGGACTCCGCGGTGTTTACAGATTTGGGCGCCTGTCAGATCTTTGGTGGAGGAACAAGTAGGCCAAAGGATCGCTAACTCTGGTATGGCCTGTGAGGCTGAGTGTCATTTCGCAGATATTGGGGTACAGTGGCGCAGACGATTGACAAGGTGAAAGTATGTCATCGGTAACGGATTCAAAAATCGGGGATTTGGGCTGAGATCGCAGCACTCTCTTCTTCAGGCGATCTATACTGCAGGCCTGTTCAGCCGTGTCGAGCCAGTGCCAGGCGCGCAAGATGGCTGCAAGGCCCTCAAAGAACTAGGCTATCGGTGAGTGAAGCCGTATCGAACCTTTCAGACATCCTCTAACGAGCATAATCTGGGAGATAGGCTGATTATCGTCACAGCACGGTCCGAAGAGGCCAGACGAGTGGAAACGGAACAGTGGATTGACAGATACTTTCCTGGAATCTTCGATGAGATCTGGTTCTCGGGGGAGTTCGTGTCGATACATAAAAGTCTGAGCGGTTCTACTCCAGCAATTAAATGTGGAAGTACCAAATCAGAGGTGAGTCTCCGTTCGACTACCTATCGACCAGAGCTGGCACTGATCACATACCTCTTCATCTCCCGGCTGTAACGGGTATAGATCCTCAGACAAACAGGAGCTCTGATGTTGATCGACGACTCGCTAGAACATGCCATCGATCTCGCCAAAGAAGACCCGCCTCTCCGGACCATCCTATTCGGCCCTTACAAATGGAATCGCAGAGAGTCAAGGTCGATCACAGACGAGGACAAGTTGGGCTACGACGAGAGGAAGGCGTTGGGGATGAAGATGGAACCGGAATATGATCTTGATACGTTAGGGGGATATGCCCAGCGAGCGAATGACTGGAACGAGGTGGTGGAATTGGTATCACAAGTACAATCAAGCTGAACCATTGTACGTTATGGATGTTCGAAGTGAACTAGTTTTACTCTACGAGGCTGAGGGACATCTGTTCATGGATGTCCCTCACGGTACTGCCCGTCATCACAGCATACTGCAAGAGGACTAATCGTTAGATGGTGAGATGCGCCACAATCCTCCATGACACACCTTGCCGATCAGAGCTTGGGTTCCATCCCTACAAAAGTAATTGATCAGACACAAGGAAAGAATCCGACTTGAAAGGAGACCGGCTTACTTGATTTCGTTGTAGCTGTGTAAGAGCTCGATGTGGGCTTTCACGATAGCATCTGCGTGTCGATCGCTAGCAGCAAGGAGTCGATGCTGTGAGCAAATTCGCCCAGCATAAGGACAGGCCTGTTGCGACATTTACCCGACTTTTTGCTCGAGATCTTTGATTTCCATCTTGAGCTTGGCAATGCGTTGCTCTTGGGCCGCGGCGAGCGCCGAGGAGGACTTGAACCGTGGTCGCCGGATCAGCGCCTTGCCAACCTCAGCAATGTCGGTTGTTTTACATACGATGGGCTTCTTGAACATTGTTATGTGGATGCAGGATGTATCAGTTTGAGAATGCGAAGGTGCGAGTCGTCCAGCTCATGGATTCTAGGACCAGGGTGATCACTTGATCGATTGATCTGATCACTGATCGCCGCCCAACCCAAAGCTGAAACGCGCGCGGACATTGTTCGTTATTCTCGATGTCCGTCCTCATAATTATGTTTGTGGGTTGAGCAACCATGGATGGATATTTCGAAAGTTGCGACCGTTCAGTCAACGATGAACGAACGTAGCCTCAAATCCGTGCATTCTTCGTTATTGTCATAGTACCGTAGTCAAATTGGGACATAGGACGTCAAAATGGCTCCCCCTGTCAAAAATTCCAACAAACGGAATCCGAACTCGGCAAATGCAGCTGCAAAGGTTCGTAACCGGACGTGCCCGTAAAGTGCCTCTTGGAAGAGCCTTCGTTGACAACCTCTTGCCTCTGAATCACAGCCCAAGCCGAGCACCAAGCGGGCCAAGGAGCTCAATCCTCTCAATGGAAAACCAGCTCGTCGTCCGGATCAGCCGAAAAAGGTCAAGCTTCGCGACCAGAAATTTATCCCTGTGCCAGAATCGGCTTTCTTAGGCAAGGGGAAAGGCAAAGCTCGTGCGGTTGATGGCGAAGGCGACTCTGGAGAGGATTCTGCCGGGGAGCAGGGGGAGGATGATGACGAGGATGAAGACGACTTGGGGATGTTGGTGGATGGAGAGGATGACGAGGCCATGGAGTACATCAAGGCTGGAGGCGCTAGCTTTCTGACGGGACTTGATGCGAAGACGATCAGCAGGTTAGTTTCTGCCAGATATTGCAAAAACACGATGAATAAATCATTATTGTTTATTGTGGCAACAGATCGAAGAAGGAAACCGAGAGACTTCACGAGCTAGACAAGACGAAAGAACCTCTACCGAAAAGAGCCAAACGCAAAGCGGCATCCCCTTCATTCTCGGATCTCAGTGATGCCGAGCTGGACACGGACTTTGACTCTGAATTGGATTCCGAACTTGACGACGAGGATCTCGACTTGGATGACTCGGATCTCGATGAGAAGGTGAACCAGGAGTACGAGGAAGAAGAGAAGAAGCGGGTCCGCAAGAAGCCCAAGGTGACGGAGGCTGACGACCTGGAAGAGTCGTATGCGGCCCTGGGCAGGAAGCGGAAGGAAAAGCAGCTGGAAGCAGGGGAGGAGGACAAGGAGCATACCGAGGTCGGACATCTTCCTATCAAGCTCGCCAACGGCGAAATCGAGCAGCTGCCAGGAAAGACCCGGATAGCCATCCCATCAGGTCCACCTGACAAGAAGAAGAAGAAGCAAGAACAATCGGATGCAGAGACAGAGTTTACGGAGTCCGAGGCGTCCGAGGACGAGGAAGATCTCGTCGAGCGGATTGCCGGGGCTCGAGGCAAGTTCGGGCGGATGGGAATCTCCGAGATCTTGACGGCAGATCTCGATGGTGTGCAGTGGAAGGAGAGGACGAACAGAAGGCTGGGCATGGCCAAGGAGCAGATCGCCAAGATTGGTGCCGAGATTATGAGTGGAGGAGAGCTGATAGATATGGTGAGTTATAATCTGGTCTCGGTGAATAATGGTTCCATAGCAAAGCTGATTGTTCGAGCTATCATGTCCAGGTGCCTCTATTGACGAGAATGTCGACTTTCTCTTTGGAGAAGGTCAAGTCTGGTGACGAGTATGACACCATCCTGCCTGTTCCAAACTCGATCCGTGGTCTGGCCTTCTTGTCACAATTGGCGGTATACAAGGATTTGATCCCAGGTGCGCCGGTTCACTTCTAGTTTCACATCAAGTGTACCGTTTCTGACCGCAACAAACTTTGCAGGCTATCGGATACGTGAATTGACGGCACACGAAGAGGCGGAAAAGGTCCGAGACGAGGTCCGCCGCCTGCGAGAGGGAGAAAAGGGTCTTGTCAAGAGCTACAAGCTCTACCTGAAAACCCTCGAGACGGAGATCAAGCGTGAGTAACTGATCAGAATCGCTAGGTCACATTACGCACAGCTGATTGAAGCGGTATGGATCGATTAGGCAAATCACCATTGGCTTCGGTCAGCTTAAAGTGCATGTGCGATCTCTTGTCCTCGTTGCCTCACTTCAACTTTGCGGAGAACATCATGGGAGTCATTGTCGGACGACTCAGCAAGCGGACGTGGGACAGTGTGAGTCGGTGATACTCATTTAGGGAACCTCACCTTGGCACTGATGCTCAAATCGGTTCTTTCAGGACTCGGAACTCTGCCTTAGAACTGTCGTCAAGGTGTTCCGTGATGACGTAACGGCACACTACAGCGCGGTCTTGCTTCGCTTGATCGCTCGTATGATCAAGGAGCGTCGGTACAAGGTGCACCCCAACGTCTTGAGCTGTCTGTTGGCCCTGCGACTTCGGTCAGAGTTGAGCAGTCCGCACGAAACCAAGAACAAGGCCAGATATAACGACAAGAAGCCCGACGAAACCAAGGTCAAGAGCGAGATTAGAAAGAAGTGGATGAACAAGAACCGTAGAAAGGCGGAAAAGGAGCGACAAGAGGTCGAGAAAGAGCTGCAAGAGGCATCCGCTGAAGTCGACCAGGAAGAGAGGTCGAAAGTGGTAAGTGGCAAGCGTGTGAATTATCGCTGCATTTTAATACCTACTGATCCTCTTCCTATATCTCTAGCAAACTGAGACGCTCAAGAACCTCTTTGTGCTGTACTTCTCCATCTTGAAGCAGCCTAAGCGGTCACCACTGCTTCCTGCTGCCATGGAGGGTATCGCCAAGTTCGCGCATCTCGTCAACATCGAGTTCTTCCGAGATCTGCTCAAGGTGCTCAAGAACATCATCAAAGGGGATGGGAGCATGGACGACGAGGACGAGGAAGACTTCGCTGGACCTGATGTTGTGGGCAAAGGTATCGAGACACGGTTGCGTATGTTGGCCATCGTGACAGCCTTTGAACTGTTGTCCGGTCAAGGTATGTGCATTTGGCAACACTATAAGAATCGACACGTGTCTGACAATCGATCTCTGTGTTATTGCACACTACAGGTGAAGCCTTGACTCTCGACTTGGGAGAGTTTATCGTACAACTGTATGCGCTCCTCCATCCCCTGTGTCTCGACACGAACATCGAGCACGTCCCTATCGCCAAGGGCATCCCTATCGCTCAAAAGCCTTCCGCCACCCCGATCGACAACAAGAAGAAAAAGGGCCCGACCGACCGATCATCTACGGCAGATTTGCTCTTCAGATGTCTTCACCTCGTCTTCTTCTCTCGGCACGCTCACACGGCAAACTCTCCACCTTGGCGAGCGGCTGCGTTTGCAAAGAGACTACTGGAGTGCTCGCTTCACTTCCCCGCTGCTACCTCGAAGCGATCCATCGAGTTTGTCAAGATGCTTGTAGGCAAGGAGCCCAAGCTAGAAGCGATGCTCGCCACGGAAGACCGTACGGCGGACGGAGTTTACAGGTATGACCTGGACGACCCGCAGTTGTCTAACCCGTTCGCCGGGAGTTTCTGGGAGTTGGGCATGCTCGAGCGAGATCACTGGGACGAGGATATCAGGAAGCAGGCGGGGCTTCTCGCCAACGGAAGATTGGGTTAGATGCGCTCTTACTTTCGATATCTCGCAATATTGTAGAAAAGCAGATGTGGATCATGGCACGTTTTGTATCGGGTACACTCTGGATGACATCGATTACAGAATTCCAGAACGATCGTCAAACTGTCGTCTTCGAGCGAATGTAGGGGTATTATGATTCTCTCTATTGCTCCTTCTTGGACTGCGATACACCTGCAGTCTTGGAGACCGCCATGAGGTAAGGTGGTACCTAAGGTCGAAGCGATTGCGAATTCAGTCAACTGTTTCGTTCTGGTGAATCGAGTGACGAAACTAACCTGGATGCTAGATAGGGCAGCGATTCCCATGGCGACCAACGGGATAAAGACCAAGAACGAGACCAGCAACCCAGTGATGATGGGTTCGGTAAAGTACCTCTCCGGTTCAAAGACGGGAGCGTCGGTATCGTTCCCATGGGTCGAGTTGTGCTTGTTCTTGTGGCCGGGTCGGTGATGAGTCCCGTTCTTGTTCTTGTGGTGTCCATGACCCTTGGCAAACTCGGGGATCTGGGTAGTGGTGGTGGTCACGATGGCAGGGTGCCTGTTGACGGCATCGTCATCGTCATCGACGTGTTCGAGCGGCTTGGACGAATCCAGGACGTCCTCCTCGACTCTCGCTGCATCACTGTCCTCGTCCTTGTCCTCTGCGTCGGCCTCGGCTACGCCAGGGAAAAGCTCCTCGAGGTATTCTTCGGCTTGATCGGCGAAGTCTCCACCGATCTCTTTCAGGTCGTCGTACACGTTGGCAGCGGCGTCTTTGAGCGATTCCGTAGAAGGCTCCATCAATTGTCGCGCTACATTTCAATACATGGTCAGCCTCGCGATGATCGTGTTGAACAGAACCACCTCCAGCGTACCTTCCTGTTCGGATCGCTTGGCTAAATGTTTGAGCGTTGCATCATGGCCGGCACTATTCGATCGACAGGGAGGCGTTAGATTTCGACCTTGAGCACGGACGGAACGACATGTACTCACGCTTGTTGTGCCAGAGCCTGACCGGCGAAAAGGAGAATCGAGAGACTAGATACGTATTGGCCGACTCTCATCTTGGTTGCTTCGTGGATGTGAGGTTCCGAATGTCAATACGACTTGTACAAGGTATGATATCAATTGTCAAAGGCGAGCTTGATGATGGGCATGGTGGATGATGATGATGATGAGCCAGATTCGAGTGAATAAGTGTCAGGCTCAGCCCCCTGCCCCTGACATTTTATCCCTGTCGCCCATCGTCGCTTCGGCCAAGATCCCGATGGAGGGGACATTCTTCGACTTTCTTCGACTTTTGTTCTCTCGTTCGCTCTTGTGAACGGGTTTAAAGCACTAAAGCTAGCTACAAGACCCTGACTCTAGCTTCTCATGGTCATAGTACGATCCGCTTTCGTCAATGGCGGGGCCATCATCCCTATTCGCTGGTCTAGCGACGCCAGACGGGCGCAGCAGCAGTTGTCAAGAACGTACTCGACGCAGAAACCGGGGCGTCCTAGTCCGTCGCCGAAAGTTCGTGCGAGGGCCTTCAGAGTATACCCGAAACCAGCAGAGAAAATCATGTATGAGAAAGCTCTGGAAGCTACTGTGAGTAGCGTCGCCCGTTTTCGCTGTGGAAAAGAAGCATCGTCTCACCTCAACGGATGACGAATTCAGCATTCTAGAAAATCGAGCCTTTTGCGATGGGCAAGCGAGAAGATAGGTGGTGACTACGACAATGAGCTAAATAAGCGAGGCTATGCTGGAAAAAGTCTCGAGAGGGTGCATTTCAAGGCCGTGAGTTATGCTGTTCTCGGAATCTCGAGAGTAGGCTATCTGACATCTGTGCTTCCGATGTTCGATACTTCATGCAGTACTACTGGCCAGTCTGGAAATTCTCTTGTTTCGCAGAGACTAGAGGAGACAACAACGAGACCAGCATAAAAGCGATCATTGATATGCCAGATCATGTCATTCCAGGTACGTCTGGGCTCATTATCGCCAGACCGTCTGCCTTGAGCTCATACTTCTCGCTTCCAAATTGCTATCGCATACGAAATCAGGCAGCCATGTTTCACCTCTCTCTTTGCTACCATTCGGAAACGCACCTTTCGAAGCCCAATATGTCAAGCCCTATGATCCTAAAATCCACCTTACTCCGAATGTCCATCCGGATCTTCGAATGCCTATAAGCACTATTCCGTTCTCAATTTCGCCGTTTGACGTGATGGAATTGGCAAGAAACTCGGCACCACCTAGAGTGAGGTTAATGACCCAGTATCGGGGTGGGAACGAGTTTTGGATCAGCGCCAAGCATGATATCAGAGAGGTTATCGTGAGTGTATCGATTCAACGCGCATGCGTACCCGGGTCGAACGTAAACTCATCTCGTCATCTGGACGATCTGTAGGTAGCCGCATACCCCGTGTACCACCCCATTTATGTGGCTGAGTATGATTTCGTCCTCCGCGATGATCTGCCTACCCGACGTATAGCTGTAGCTATGGACGGATATAAAGCACATGGGAGCTCTGTGAGTGGGGTAATGTCCTGCCATGTCTCAATTTCTCGCCATCATCCAAGTATTGAGCCGGCCGACATTTCAGACCCATGAAGTCAAGGTATTTATACCTAACGTTCATGACGATTCGTGGAAAAGGTAAAGCCAACTTGTACTGCTCGCGAGCTCGATCGCCTCTCAACCAGACAGTATTGAACAGTACAAATCGAGGATACTGGGCAAATCGGGATGACGACCGGACCGATCTCAACGATTTAGGGGCGGACGCTTTCTTCCAAGGATTTCACGAAGAGACCTTGTCCATCTGGCTCAACCCGCCAGCGAGACCACGCACGCCGCCCACAAAAGGTCAAGATAAGCGGACCATCACTCTTGCGCCGCCTGCTTCCCCATTGGAATCAATCAAGGTGCATGAATCATCTATACCTTGGGATGATGTGCGGATACAAGAATATGGCAGTTCGGATTTCTTGGCGAACCGGGCGTGGGTACGCTTGAACGCTGAGAAATTCGGCGTAGACATTGCTGTCAACGTGAGTTCGCTGCCTTGAAACCTGGCCCAGATCTAGGTGCTTTGCTGATATTTTCACTGCCGGTTCTAGCGCTACAAAGGTGAAGCTATTGAGAAAGCCATCAAGACAAAGAACAAGAACGTCATGAAAGAGTTGGACCAAGACCCATTTTACGCCTTCCTGACCGGAAAGGCTGACGAAATGAAAGAACGCTGGCAAAGAGGAAAGCCGGACTGGTTGAAGAAACCAGGAAGTCTCGGCAAGAGGAGGATCAAGCCCGATCCTTCGGGACGATTCTTGCAATAAGGGAGACATGTAGTTGTTACGAATATACACCATTCCATACTGCATTACAATATCTTTGTACAACGTGTTTTCGACCGTTCCCCTAGATTTGGGCAGCAACCTGTCCATCCGCGCGTTGGTCCGAACCGCCTGCCCATACGCGTGCGCCTGACGGGTCCAGGACTTGTTGGATGATCTGAATAGACCTGGTGTCAGTTAGAAGTCTCATATTCCAGCCAATACTGACAACTGACCTGTCCTCGACCCGCCACGGCTCTCGAGAATCCTTGCGCGCGGCGAGCGTCGTGTCCCATTTCTAAAGAAAAAACATCAATCAAGACTTGCCACTGCCGCTTGCAACGGAGACTACCCACCTCTGAGCTTGTCGAAGACCTCGTCAGAAACCCCTTCTTCAATGTAGACCTCAGAGTTGACCTCCCCCGCGCTCTTGCCGCTCTTTTCGGCATCTTCATTGTCCGCCGAGGGCAGACCAGCGGAAATGCAGAATCGAGGCGCATCAAGAGCGGCTTGCGGGGTCATGCCTCTGAGGACATTTAGTAGCACCTGGACGTGTCCCTGGGGCTGCATGAAGCCGCTGTCAAGTCCGTTTATTTCAGCTTTGCGCCATAGCAGATATGAGGAGGCCAATTCTTACCCCATGACTCCGTACGACAGGAAGAGTTCGTCTCCTTTGGTGGCCATAGCCGGAACTATGACAAGCATGGATCAGCATGACATGCCGAACTTCGACGCCGCATCCCAATGGGCTTACTGATCGTATGATACGGGCGTTTGCCTCCCTTGACGTTGTTCGGGTGCCCTTCCTCAAGCGTGAAGCCGGATCCTCGATTCTGAAGCGTGAAACCGCAGTCTTTTGGAATTGCTCCCGTTCCGAAGCCTGGAGTACTTCAAAGTGAGTATGGTTCCCGTCCGAGACATAGTGCTGGCATCGATCTTACCAGCATAGTTACTAAACGAGACAGAGAGTGTTCAGCTCGATGGCTCAGGGTGTATCGGGAAGTCGCATTCGCTTACCTTGCAATAAATGAACAAGCGTTACCATCCTTGTCCGAGGCTAAAGTGTATACAGTGGCGGTAAGCTAAGATAGCGAGTTCAGTTGCGTGGTCTACTTACTGGTGAAATACACTGTGTCAGAGCTTTGTACGGGGGAGCCCTGAGGAACGAGATGCGGCTGGTCAGCAATGCTCACATCCATACAAAGCAATCACGCATCAAACCTACCTTTCGTACATCTACAGTAGACTTTTCCAGATCGATCAGAGCCGCTCGCTTGCTCAGATATTCCTGCGCAGATGCGGAAGATTAACCGCTGCAGGCCGAGGGGTAAAGCGAACTGGCTCACTTTGCTGAGCATTTCTTTTACAGGTACATGCACCACCTCGGGATCCGTCACATAGTAGCGTGTATCTGTGCAAAACCAAGAAATTCAGCTTTTTTGACCGCTCGCCCATGCTGAAAATGCTTCGTCTTACCGGCAAACGCCAGCCTGAGCGACTCGATCAGGATATGCAGGTACTCCACGGAATTGTGTTCCAGCTTGAGAATATCGTCTAGTTTCCCAGAGGCTTCCAATCCCTCGATGATCCCCAAGGCGACCAAAGCTGTCAAACCTTGTCCGTTTGGCGGACACTGGAATGTATAGTCAGCGTATCCAGCCGATGGTTGCTAGATGGTGTCGAACGTATATCTACCCACCTCGTATAGCGTCACTCCCGCTTCGCCGGCTTGTCCCTGCTTGAATTCGTATTTGATCGGTTCTACCACGTTGGCGGTATGAGAAGCGAGATCTTCCATCGTCATCACACCACCTCCAGACTGAACAAGCTCGACAATGGCCTCGGCGATCCTGCCCGTATAGAACCCCTTGGTTCCGTGTTCAGCTACGGCCTTGAAGGTATTGGCGAGATGAGGAAACTTGACGATATGGGAAGCCAAGGGAGCTTTGCCGTCCAGGAGCATGTCATGGGCGTGCGGAGAAGCTCGCTTGATGAGGTTTTCGCTACCCTGCCAGGCGTTTGCGTGAAGCTCGGCGGTAGGGACTCCTTCTTCTGCCAACCGAATAGCCGGAGCCAAGATCTCGGACAAGTTGAGCTTGCCGCTTCCGAACTCTTCGACCGTCTTGACCCAGCCGCTGGCGGCTCCAGGAACGGTCACGCTATTGAGATTGGTAAGCGGAATCGTGCGACCGTTGATGCCTTGAGAACGGAGGTGTTTGAGGCTGAGGGCCGCAGGAGCTCGTCCCGAAGCGTTGATGGCCCGGACTCTTTTGGCCTTTGCGTCCCAGAAGAGGCAGAACAGATCGCCCCCGATGCCGGTACAACTTGGTTCAGTCACATTCAGAGCGGCAGCTGTATTTCAAGTGGCAAAGTTAGCAGTACACGCACGAACTCCTGAATCTGCGGAACGTACCGGTAGCAACGGCCGCATCGGCTATGGCGGATCACATTGAACGTGAATTGAGCATATCTCTGCCAGCTCGACTCGGTCTCCAGTTGCTCACCTGCATTTCCTCCCTTGTTCAAGATCTCCAACCCAGCCTGACTTGCAAGGGTCTGACTGCTGGCCACGAGACCTTTGGTACTAAACACCGTCGACCGTCGAGACGGGAAGTGCGAGAACTGCGGGTTGTTGGACGGATGGACCACGTTCCAGTCGATAGCCGGCATGTCGGAAGTAGAGAGTTGGTGATGCTTTGGGGTAGGAGCAATTCAGGTTCAGGATGATGAGGTTATGATTATGATGAATACGCATCGAACTTGAAGCGGTGAGATGCGAGACGTGCATACCTTGAACCAGATCGACAGTCAGATGGATGGCACTGAGGGAAGGTGTGTGTGTGCCTCTTCGGCCGAGACCGACCGACCGGTTAACGCGACGAGGCACCGTCGGATCTGACCGACACACACCCACCCACATTCTCCAACGAAATCGAATATGAGCTGTCAACCTATCTACAATCTAGCTATCCTGAGACAATCGATTATGAAACTAGCTGTCCTGGCGATACTGTCGTTCGCTTTCCTCTTGTCGGTCATCTACGTGTTGTGATTGGTATTGTCCCTGATAGGGTGTTTGCGCAGGGTATCCCTGAGACATCTGTCCCGGCGGCATCCCGTAAGCGTACGGATTGTTGGGAGGCATCATTCCCATCCCCATCGGCATCCCGAACATGGGACCCATCCCCATCGGCGGGCTCATGGGAGGTCCAAAGGGAGGTATCATCGGCATCCCAAACGGTGGGTTCATCATCGGTCCTCCGTAGTATGGTGCCATCCCGGGCATACCTTGCGGCAGGTCGGGCGATAGGAGCGTCTTGTACTCTGCATTCGGTCGTTGAGGCAGGTCGGGAGGTGGGGTCGTCTGCGAACTGCTACTGCCCGAGTAACTTGGATGCACATGCGCAGGGTTGATTTCACCGGTTCGCGGACCGCCGCTACTGCTACCCTCGCCCATCCCGGTCTGACCCATGGCATTGACAGCCTCTTCGTACCGCCGCCGCATGGCGTCCTTCTCTTCTGTAGCGGACGCCCACCTCGAATGACCTTGAGAAGAGCCCGACCTAGGAGCTTCTGTGGGCCCAAACTCTTGCCGGGTGGGTGTGGCACTGCTCGAACCTCCGTGCCCGTGCCCGCTATCAGACCACCCGGAGTCACTACGCCTCGCCTGGTGATGATCCGAGACCTGTCGGGTCGCTTGCTCATAACGATGCTTCATCATCTCCTTTTCCTCGGCGGCGGTCATGAAGCGCGGCGACAGGTCCAACGGAGCCGGTCGTGAGCTGCCCATAGATGATGCACCTCGACCAGACGATGAGCTGCCTTCACCCCGGTCCGCCGTGCGACTGCTCGATCCCGCCTGAGCCTGATTCATCTGATCCTGGGCCTCGTAGAATCGACGCATGGCCTCCTTGTCGCTCAGAGGCTTCATAGACGAACTCGAAGATTCGGCTCCGAATGGCATATCACTCGCGTCTCTGTTGTTGTTGAATGGAGGAGGAACGGCTTGTGCGCGCGCGATCTTGTCTTGTGCTTCGTAATACCGCTTCATCTGCTCCTTGTCGCTAAGCGGTCGAGGTAAATGGCGTGATGTAGTCGGACTCGTTGCGTCGTTCATACCAGGCATAGACGATGACGTGCCCTCGCCGTTGATGCCTAAGCCAACGAATGGGCTTGACGGGGGCTCTGATGATTCTCGGGTAGGAGACAGCGGCGCTGCTCGCATGAGGTCGCCCGGCATTTCGGCGAGCGGAGTAGCTAGCGGCTGCTCCGTACGAGTATCGCTCTCATGCGAATCGCCGCTTCCTTCCCTCGCTACGGGCATCTTCTCCCTCGGATAAGTGGTGTCATGTCCAGAGCTCGACTCGGCAGGAGGATCCACGACCACTTGTGGATGCCCAGATTGACGAGGACTATACTCTGGCGGAGGCTCGTGGGGCACATCTTCCGACAAACCCATTGGCTCAAGATCAGCTCCCCCAGACAGTTGTGTCATAGCGGCATTCCTTCGGGCTTCGGCATATAATCTCTGTTTTTCCGCCTCCGCTGCATTCCATCGATTTTGGCTCGACATCGGATTATCCTGCTGTATCTGAGGGGAATGTTGAACCTCCCCATTTTCGTTCAGCACGACCCTGCCGCCATCCTGGTGGACGTAAGAGCGACGGCTGGGTGTGGGACTGATTCCTGGTCTTTCCAGTAAAAGAGAACCCTAAAGTTTGACCTCGAGATGCGTTAATCAATCAATCCCAGCGCGTAAAGCTGCTGACTTACGGGTCTTGCATCGAGACTTCTGCGGCCGTCTTCGCTGACTATAGTCACCCCGGTCGGAGTTCTGGAAGGTCCAGCTGGTCGCAAGTTGGCACCCGGCGATCCGTGAAGCGATGGCCCTCGTTCCATTCCCTGACCGGAAGACCAAGACATCCTTTTCGTATCAGCAAGAACGTTGACCGACTGATCGGGCAATCCAAACGTCTGAGGTCGGACCCGATTGAAGTTGTGGCCGGCGTCGGATTGCAGATCCCGCACCGACGATACGTCTGACTGTGATTGCCACTGAGGATGCGAGTATATAGAAGAAGAATCCACAGAAAGCGGCCTCGAGGCGAATGGTTGGGGAGTCAATCGTGCATGGGAAGGCATGTCCTGAGCGATGGAGGGATTTATGGGTCCGTAGTAGCTGTTTCGAGCTGGACGACCGGGGTGTCCGGGGGAGAGCTGATTGGCAGGGTTGATGCGAGGTTCCGGGAAGGCAACAAATTCGGTGGGTGGACGCCCTCCTCCGGCCGGACCCGCAATCGAACTCCTGATCGAAGTCGTCTGACTGTCTGACCTGGCTACTCCAGGTCGGCCGACTGGGAAAGGACATAGTGCGTCCACCATCCCGATCTGGTTGACCACGTCGTGCGCTCTAGGTCTACCATAGATCCCGAGAGTGACTTGCAGGTGCTCGAGCTTGACGTCGCCCATCCCTTCCATGATCGCTTTGACCGAGAGCTCGTAAGCAATATCGAACAGCTTCGCACCTTTTGTAGTATGTGCTACGAGACCGGCAGGCACGACGAGTGCGATCGACCGTTTCTTCTCTTCCGTCCGACCGATCTTCTCTCCGACGGGAACCTTTGATTCGTGCACCACTCTTGTTCGATTCGAAGATGCTTGTTTTGCACCTCGGCTGACCGGCGGGCGAAAGGTTATGACCTCGATCAATTCGAGGTGGAAAGCCCGGAGTTTCAATGGTTTCGGTCTTGATGATCGCAAACAGGCCAACACTTCGATTCGATCGGCCGGTCCAAAAGCCGTATAGTTGCGCATGACGGTCAACTCCATTTCGTCTAGTACCGTCGAACGCGTCTCTGGAACGTTATAGATGGGCCAGGCCGAATGTTGCTCATGTTTGGTGATGAAGATGGCTTGAGTCGTCCGGGTGACCGGGTTCGAATCGCGTCGTAGCAGACCGCTATCGAGATCCGTTTCAGCATGACGGTAATGGAGTGCTATGCGACATATATGGCTCACCTTTTCGGTTTGTGAGACAGGTTTGCAACGAGCTCGTATCGTAGTCCCCCACCTTTCGGTTTCATCTCTACAGTTCCGGGAATATTCAGAGGCAGTGGTATATAGAACTAAGCAGACGGAAGTTGCATCAGACCTATCCGTTTGGTCTGGTCATACTGTACACCTCTCATTCACCTTGAAGTCCGTCTACATTCCCCAACATTCGAGCAGCATGAGAATCACAGAGGGAAAAAGACGTCGCGGAAGACTCACAGCCTTTATCGTCTCCCACTCTTTGCCCGCGGGCGCCTGCCAGACAGTGACTGGAGCTCCTACAACGCTCATAGTAGTTTGGCCTTTGACCCCATGAACCGGTCAGATTCCATTCAATGTTGGGGAGGTATACGGGAAACTTACCTCCTCCAGGCATATTTTCTATCCTTACAAACTCGACTTGTATTGATCTAGCTTTGACTTGATTTGATCCTGGTCTAAACTCGAGGAGCTGTTTGCACGAAGAAAGGTATATGCGTTAGTGACAAGCTCGTCTCACATCCGCTCCATACGCTGCTACGTTATCAACGCACACCATGTACCGCTGGAGGTTTCCTCCAAGGTTCTTGACCCAGAATGCCCGGCCATCCTGTGGGACAGAGTCAATACGAGTTGGAGATATGATTGGCGCTTGATCCTCTACCCTAGACATACCTTGTAGGAATGGCACATTTGGCAGGGTCTGGAAGTTCCTGCAAACACAACGGACAAGCCACCGTCAGCTTTGATTCGGTAAGTTTTCGCATACCCAGTACACAGACATTTTTACGTTCGACATCCTGATCCAGGCCTCGCAACCGCTATTTGTTTACACTTGCAGTATCCTCGCTGTGGTCGAATGTCGCTCTGAAGTGCTATCTTTTGGCAACTATGTCCATCCTTCTGGAAGATCTGTCTCTTCCTTTTCTGATTTAGGACATAGTCGTCCGCATCCGGTACATTGGCTCGTTAGATTATCCGAGCGACTTGTCAACGATCGATTGCAAGAACCTCTTTCTGAGATCTGAGATGAATATGGCCAAGCAGATGCGATAACGTCATCTTTACGTGAAGCGCCGAGGCAGTTCAAGCAATATCCAACATCACGTGATCAAAAGTATCACGATGCACGATGTCCAAGGGTTGAAAGCAACTCGCACAAGAAGCAAGAAGTGACATCCTGCATGCACAAGACACTTCGGCTTGACAAAAAACTAACCCTGGAGGAAAATTAGTCCGGCAGGGCAAAGGTCTCTCACGCACGACATTCGAGGTTACTCGATGATCACCGCCCTTCGGTAGCCCTAGTGAAACGACATTTTCGTCGCAACTTTCCAGCACCCGGATACGCTCTTTGAAACCCATCTCGCAAGGGCTACCGACTCGAGATGGCCGACAAGGAAGCCGTAAGGCTCGCAGAATACATCATTCGTGCCGACTTTGGCAACATTGTAGCATCGGTCGCTTCGATCTTGCTTCATCGAGGTCGGATGCGATTGACCGAAATTGCACATTTCACCAAACTGCCTCGTCGACAGGTGGCCGGGATCCTAATCACCTTGGTTCAACACAACTTGGCGTGGCATTGTGAGACCGAGTTGGGGCAGCGGACACAGGAATTCTTCGAGATGAACCTGAAGGAATGTCTGATGAGGCTGAGGTGGGGGCGAATCTTGGAGCTGACTCAAGAGAACATGGGTGAAGACGTGAGCCAAGCAAACGTGTTCATGATACTGACGACTCGCTAATCTTCCGCGATTGGTGGTGTTCAGGCTCGACTAGTTGTTCAGGTCGTACTTCAGGGAGGAAAATTACGGCTGCCGCATATTCTGCAGGATCAAATATTGGGCCTCGATTTGATAACAAGCCCTTCCAAGCGGGAAGTCCGTACGTAAACTTCACAGCCGGGTCTGAACTGAACTGAAATCCATATGCTAAACGTCCTTGTCCACCAGGCAAACAACAGCTGACCGAAGTCGTATACAAGCTCATCATCAACCGATACATCCAACCGACCACGCCCATCCTGCATCGAACGCCTTATGACGAGATGCTCAAGAAGCGGAAGGCCAAGGAGAAGTCTCGGTCGGCCCTGCTCTCGGTGAAAGAACTGGCTCAGATCAAGAGCGACGTGATGGGCGAAATGAGGGATCTGGTCAAGGAGGAAACGAGCGCGGACAAGGCGTTGCTGAAGGCGGGGGTGAAGCGGAAAGCTGATGCTGGAGTTGGAGGATCGAGCAAGAAGGTTTGTTCCTGAGCCCTTCGATTTTCATCTTGCTCTTGCTGATGTCATTGGTGTTTTCCCATTCTAGCACAAGGGTGACGAATTGGAGATGGTAGACGTAAGCTATTGAAAGCCCGCAACGTCCTCAGGGAATCCCGCTAAGTCGCGATTGTTTTGGGTCATTAGCCAAAAGCCATGTTACGAATAAATTACGAAAGATTCGATTGCCTATTCCGAAACAAGGTGAGTGATGCAATCGGTGCGCTAAGTTGAACCTACATGCTAAAACATATCGTCTTCGTATTTCTCAGCTGATCGAGCTGGCAGTGGCGGATCGTTACAACAAGGCCGCCGGGTTCATCGTCAAGGGCCTGATGAACGTCATCTCGGCCGAGGAGGACAGTTTGCTATTGGAAACATCTTGTGAGCTGCTGACAGCGCGTTGAGAAACCGAGCATGTCGACTGATCGCTCACGGAAATATTCGCTTCGAATCTCGAAGCGACTGGGGGGATGCAAGCTGTATTCACGCAAATGCGAGAACACGAACGAGACTCTTTATCTCTTGGTTTCGGAGGGAAATCCTTGACTTCGAAATCCAAGATCCACGAACTCCTCGCTGGATACGCTGCCATCCTCGCAGGCGAGGACGACCAGAACGCCTATCGAGCAGAGGGAGTCTTTCTGGGACGAGACATCATGGCGGCCTCGGCGAGCGGACCCCAGTATATGGTACTTTTCGAGCGTATCTGCAGTCGGCTGAAGAGGCAGCTGTTGGAGAGTTTTGTCGAGGAGACGCAGGGTCCGATGGGGAAGCGGGTGTTCAACGCCGTCATGCACGGTGACAAGGTGACGGAAGAGATGGTGAGTCATCGGGACGTAATCATTGAGCTCGAACACTTTTGTCTCACCTTGGATTCGCAGGTCGTTTCGAAAGCGCTCATCAAGGGGGACGACGCCCGAATCAAGCTGAGCGCGCTCAAGACCGCCTCTCTCGTCACATTCCAAGCCATATCTCGAACGGCCGACCGTTCAGCATCTCGTTGCACATTCCTCTACTACGTCGACCTCTCCCGAGCCTATCAGACCATCCTCAGCCGGATGTACAAGTCGCTAGCGAACATCCATCAGCGAAAGGAAATGATCTACCAAGAGTACGAGGAAACGTTCAATAACAGTCAGAGGTCGGACGTCTTGGAAAAGACTGGAAAAATGGACGAACGGGACCAGGTCAACTTGGTCAAGATGGAAAAGGAGCTGGACAAGTTGAACACGGCGCAGTTGAGGATGGAGACGAACGTTTTCGTCTTGCGGGATCTGCCCGGAGGACCGCTTTCCGTCCGGTGAGCCTGGATAGCGTGCGACTTCTGCTCTTGATACTCAAATGCTGATACACCTTCTGAAACTCGATAGACTGGATGATCCGTTCGTGCGGTAATATCAATCGGGATGTACAGACTTCTCGACGAACTCTTCTATGATCTATGCCATCGTCGCATGTCCATGATCCGCGTTCCGCGTGCGTCGGTCAAGTCCGCTCAAGTCGGGGAAGGTCCTGCTCGCATCCGTTTAGACCATTTTGGCGGTTTCTAGCGAGCGCCGATGTATGATAGAGATGCCAGCTAATACAACAGGCTGAAAGGAATCGCGCATGCTCCTTGCTAGCTCTTCGAACAGCTTGTACGAGATCTGAGACGTCCGTTCCGATCCGATTATCATCTCGAATGGAAAGGAGCGGCGTGAGGATCCCCCGTTATCTCGGAACGTTTTTGCTTCCGTCCGATTCGGGGATGTACGCCGATGATATCGGTCGCAAGAGCGCAGAGTATATATACATCGCGACATCGTTGAGCGTTCACCAGCACATCTTCCCACAGTGGCGTACAGTGGTCTCCAAAGTCCTTCTTGTTCAAGCCTTCCCGAATCCCCGACGTATTATAGCTCTTGCCATCAGATTCCTCTCATAATGTCCTCATCAGAGCCCGGATACCTCAGTGCCGCTCGATACGGCAAAGATCTCGTCAGGGTCGCTCGAGTCGTCAGGGAGGGCAACGTTCATCATGTGGTCGGTGAGTCCGAGCCAGTCCTCAGGGTCGAGCGGTACACTGAAGATGATTTCTGACAGAATATACCGTCCGGGTGATGCTGGAGGGTCAAATCGAGACCAGCTACACCAAGGCCGACAACAAGTGTGTCGTAACGACGGACAGCATGAAGAACACGGTCAACGGTGAGCATAGGTCTGACTGAAATTCATTTCTAGATCAGAAACTTGAACTCTCATCCGTTTTCCATGTCGTAGTCTTTGCCAAGACGTCTCCTCACGTCTTGACGCCAGAGCTCTTTGCCCTTCACCTGGCTCTTCACTACGTCAACCACCACGACCATATCAACAAAGCTTTCATCGACATCCTCTCTCACAAGTGGTCCCGGATCCCCGTCCAGGGCAAGCCTCACGGATGGGCGTTCACGAGGGATGGAGAGGAAAAGGCTGTGATTGCGGTCGTGGCGGACGCGACTGAAGGCAAGCAGAACGTCAAGGCGACGGTAAAGTCGGGGATGAAGGATCTGCTAGGTGAGTTGAACGCTGGATCCCTCACTAGGCAAGTAGATACCTAATGCCTCTTTCACGATGTTTTTGCAGTACTCAAGACCGCTGGTTCGAGCTTTGAGGACTTCTACAAGGACGAATTTACGACACTCGGAGGTTAGTGCAGTCGGAGCTTGCTCAGATTATATAGGGGTAAACAGGGAGACTTATCGATTCCCTGCTTCCGTCTTACAGAGGTCGCCGACAGACTATTCTCGACTTCTGTTACCCTCGACTACACCGTTCCCCTTCCCTCGTCAATTCCTCTGACGATCGATTCCATTACCGAGATCGGCAAGAAGCTGGACTTTCCCCGAATCTTCCGCACCGCCAAAGAGGTCACGCTGGAAGTGTTTGCCACGGACGAGTCTGCTAGTGTTCAGGCGACCATGTACAATACCGCTCAGAAGTTGCTTAGGGATGCCAAGGAGATCGAGAAGGTCAGCTACAGCTACCCGAACAAACACTACATGTGAGTCGCTTTTCCCCTTATATAGCAGATCGTCTGCTGGCAGAGGCTGATCCTGGCGACATCTCATAGTCCCGTCAACCTCGCACCTTTCGGTCTGGACAACGGTTTGGGACGAGAAGGGGGCGCCGAGGTGTTCCATCCTGCCGCCGACCCATCTGGACTGATCACGGCTAGCGTGACGAGGAAGGGAGCCGGTGGATCTTTACCCAAATCTAACCTCTAGCAGGGCGGTAAAACACTGGATGGAGCCCTATACATGCTATACATAGATTCTTGAACCTTGTAACATTTCAGTCTTTTTCCCTAATGATCGCGCTATCGATTGCGGCATACTCCAGCACTCCAGCAAATGCTTGATAGTGATCATGATGCGTTGGGGACATCTTGAAGTCTCATTACAATGGGCTGTGGTTTGGGTCAGATATACAAGCCCAACCAGAATCACAGCCGGCCACCCAGCCAGCCTTCTTCTTAGGCTCAGATGGTAATAGATCGAAAACAGCGAATGGGGGGTTGAGAAGGGTGTGAGGGAGGCGAAGGGGAAGAGTGAGGGAGATAGTGCAGGAAAGAAAGTTGAGAAGAGAAGCCCTCGTGATCGGAGGGTATACTTTTACCTTTTCTGTTCAATCGAAGCAACGCATTCGGCAGTGCAGGACCATACGTCATTGCGCGTTTATACCTTCACCTTCTTTTCCGCCTGTCAGTCGCAATGTCGGAAATGGATGAGCATGTGATCAAGTTCCCGAGCGGTGAGAAGAGTGGACTCACAGGCTCCTCAGTAGCTGGCGCTTCCGTCCCTTCGCTCTCGTCCAACTTTCGCTTCTCCGCGCCCGTCTCTCCCTCTCCGTTCGTCGATTCTGCTGTTGCCGCCGTTGACGCGGTTTTGAATCGGTCTTCTCGAGCCTTACGTCTTCGCTCTTCCTCGATCTGCTCGGCGGTCTTTTCTACTGGTCTAAGTGGTGTTTCGCAAACAAAGAGAAAAGAACGCACGTGTTCAGCTACGTGTGCAGGGTCGAACTGGTTCGGACAGCGGTTGCGAGATAGCCGACTCACGCAGCAGGTTGAGGAGCGGTCTCGCTCTTGGTGGTCTCGCCCGTCACGGCAGCCTTGACGGCTTCAGACTTTTCGACCAACTTGCCCTTGACCTTTTGCATAGCGCCCGGTTTCTCGACGACTCCCCACTTGGCTCGACGTTTCGCCAAGGCTTCCTCCGACTCGGCCAAAGATGCGGCAGAAGGCGCCGGCGTAGACGCAGCAGCGCTTTTTCCACTGCCAGCCGCTTTCTTGCTCTCGGGCTTGGTAGCTTTCTCGACAGGCGCCTTGGGAGCAGATGCAGCAGGCGGGACGAAGGGGATCCCAAACTTGGCCGCTCGCGCTCGTCGTTTCTCGAGCTCGATCTCTGCCGGGCTCTTTTCCGCTCCAACGCCGAGTTCGACGAGGGTGGTAGGTGGGGCTGCCTTGTCCGAGGTGATGTCGACCTCGGTCGTCTTGCCGTCTTCATTTGGGATAGAGGTCATGGTCGTCTCGGATGTCTGTTCGCCAGGGTTGGATCTGGTGTGGAGTTCGCAACAGAGCTCCGTTAACACCTGCTTTCAAACAGTAAAGTAGATCTCCTGAGACTCACGCATCAGGCACCTCAGCACCCTTGTCAGCTTCCCTAGTAATGGTCACGCCAGGAATTTGCGGTACGCCGGTCTCGGCTTCGATCAATCGATCGACGAGTTCGGCTTTTTTGCCCGTTACTGGGAGGCCTTTCTCGGTCAACATCGACTTGAGTTCGACCACGGTATGCTTGTTACTGATTGCACGGAGGAAAGGCTAGGTCAGATATGGTCAGGAGTAAGGAAGCGTTAGAGATGCGCTTACAGTTCCTCGGAACGCGTCATGATGTTTGCTCGGGATGTCTGGTCCTCGATTGTTTTTTGCTGTCCGTTTGTTCCGTAGAAGGTTGCTAAATACTCTGACGTATCGTAGGACTGTTGCTTAGACTGAGCGATGGCAATATGCTAGTACGCTATGTGATGATGGTGGTGGCCCTACGAGGTTGAAGAGGTTTCTACTCCGGGAAAGCGATGATATGATGATGAGGTGGAACGGCAGCAAGGGGGGAAGGGGGAGCAGGAATCACGTGACATATCATGTCGAGACTGATGACGTAAGGCTTGCAGGAGGGGTGGGGGTCCTTTAGATTCAGATTGCTCGACTGCGACTTGCTTGTTTGCTTGTTTGAATCACTCGATCACTCGGCTCTAAGCCTCGAACATACTACTGGCTATTGGGTCCAGGGCGGGCAACTCAGAGATCGTCATTTCAATACATCCGGATCTCGAACATCAACAGAAGGATGCCCTTGCTCCTCATCCTCAAATCCGCCTTGATCGCAACGGCCAACGGCCTGACCCTACTCGCCATCTGCCCACCCCATGTAGCCTCTACCAAAGATGGTGACCGAATGATGGAAGATGTTACCTCCCCTGAAAGGATACTCGCGAGCGACAGGACACCTTGGATGGAGAGACTAGTCGTCTTTGGCGTGACGGCGTACGAGATCTGGAGCTTGCGGCAGGGATACGGGAAGATCGGTGGATTGCCTGCGAGATTAGGCGAGTTGGGAGCGATACTTGCCATTGCGGGGGCGACGCTTCGATTGAGGTGTTACCAGGTATTGGGACGGTTCTTTACCTTCAAGGTGAGCCTCCATCAGCCATACCGTACTCCGATATTAGCTGGGTGCACCGAACGTATTCTAATCTTTCCTGTACAGGTTGCCATCCGACGAGAACACCGCCTGATCACCGGTCCTTTTCCATACGATCTCTTCCGACACCCCTCTTACACCGGACTAGTGCTCATGAGTATCGGTCTCGTACTTCGAGGAGCGACCTCGGCCAGCTCGTTGCACTTTCCGCTTCTAGACCAGCTCGCCGTCAAGGCTGCTCAATGGACAACAGGCTTCCTCGCTTCCGCATTTGGGATTAATACCTCGTCGGATACGGTACAGACGATCGGCACGAGCGGGGCTGGTATCCTTCTCATAGCTGGGCAAGTAAAAGTCCTAAACGCCCGGGTCAGGGTGGAGGAAAAGGCGTTGAAGGAAGAGTTCGGTGGCGAGTACGACCGGTACTGCAGGAAAACGTGGAAGTTCCTGCCAGGGTGGTAGGCGTAGCGTGCTGTGAGCATTCGATAGATGACGATTAATAGCATCATTGGCTAGAAAGGAGGGAGGGGTCCATGTGGTAGCTTCTCAGGATGTTCGCTCGCGATCCTGCAGTGCCGAGTGCTTGAGGCTGAATCATCACCTGATCATTGCTCTGTCTGAAAAAGCCTTCCTTTCAGTGCCGCAGACCTTGCGTGATCGGCCTTGGCGAGTATATATGGGCGACGGTCTTGAGGTGATTGGAATTCGTACTTTCGTCGGTAAGCTTGACTTTGCTTCATACCCAGAAACCCTTCCACAGCTGACCGACCCGACCTACCTCTCGAATGGACAACAAGAAAGACAGACTGCGAGCGCAGCAACGATATATCGATCTCCAAACTGCTATTCTGCACAACAATGCTATAGATGAAATCCGAAGGTTAGCAGAGGCCGGAGAGCCAGTGACATTGTTGAAAGATTTCGGGGACAGAAATCCTTGCGCTCTCATAAAGCGCGCCTCGACAGACAGCAAACAAGCGCGGATGGAAGAGCGACTGAGGGCGATAACTCTTGCTACCAAAGCTCTCCCTGCGAAGTTCCATTTGCAGCCTGAAGACCTTGACTGGTACAAGAGCCAGGACCCGAACAAGATTTTCGGCTTTGCAGAGAGCCAATCGGATATTGCCACGTCTGTATATACTGGAACAGGCAACCCTGAGTCGATCGCGTCTGGCCTGACGGAGCAATCGCGGGCCAATCAATTCCTGGAGCCCAGGCCTACTGACGACCATACGATAGGGGCGACTTTGTCGAGGCCTTTATCGTCAGACGAAATCGCAGAAGTGCAAGGACGAATAGCTAGCTCGAGACTTGCGGGAACGCAACATCCTGGCAATGATGCTGATAGTCTGTATGACATCTAGGCGCCGTGCTCTTGTTCATTGTATCGCAAGTCGGCCCGAGCGACGAATTCTGCTCATGCGCACATAATAGGGTTCTAATGCAGAATATCCAATAGGCCCGAGTTCCGGAGACCGCAGTAAACAAGCGTCGACCCAAAAGTCTGTGTGCGGCCTTTCCTAAGATAGCTCGTGACTATGACGTTCCCCGTTCGGTTAGGAAGAAAGGAATGATTAGCGGAGAAGCTCTTTTGTTTTGCCTGCTGCCGGTCGGCTGCGCTCGAGAGTCCAAGACTGACATGACGTCCTTTCACTCGCTCGCGTTCCCGTTAGCCATGGCGCAAGCGTGATGCGGCTACTTATATCGAGAAGAGGATGTGTCTGAATCGTGGTAACGCAGTCCGCCACACCAATAATGGATGCCTGCCACATACCAATCTCTCCAATCGGATACTAAGTTCACTGATCAGCATGACCTTCAGCCAGAAACCTCAGCGCTCTGGCGTGGCTCTCCCAACGTTTGGACTCGATTCAGTCCCAGCAACCGGTTCTTCGGATACACGCTACCTTCTACTCGAAGGGGATCCCAGTCAGGCTAACCCTCTGGCTTCGAAAGGTGCCACTGGCGAAGGGAGCGATATCTGTCAGCTGGCCGAGACCCTGGACCACAAACAGGGGCCGAATTCTAGTGGCACGGGAGAGGACAGTAATAACTACGAGTATTCAACTGGAAGTGATAAAGCATCGGCCATCACTATCGTATGGGTCGGCGCAATGATGTACCCACCGAAACCCAAGATTGGGCCCAGTAGAGCCAAGGCAGATACGTCATCGGTGGTATTGTCTTACGATAGCGCTAGCGGTACCATGTCCTCTTACACAGCAAGCAGTCGATTTTCTCTGCAGAGTCTAGGAAATAGGTAGACGACACATTTGACCCGCAAGCTCCGATCTCTTGGTTAAAGAAGCCCTGTTTTCCACCTCGATGTATAACAGAATCTAGTTACAGAGAAGCGTTTGGAGATGATGTTCTGGGTATGATGTGATATTTGCCGATACAAATCTCCTACGACGGACGATATGATGATTGAGACGAGTGTCATGTCTTGAACACGATGATGAGCAGAAGCAGAATGACTATCAGGGCCACGATCGTGATCGAGCTCACTGTAAGACAATGGTACAGGTTAGCTTGGTCTGAGTCGATATGATGATTGTACAGGCTTGGACGCACCATGCTCCCTACTGCCCTTGGCCACCTTGTCCAAGCTCCTCCCTGCTCGTGACATCCTCGCGGCGGTCCCGTCCATTCTTGCATCCGTGTCATCCAACAACTCATTTTGCAGATCCAGCTCGTCCCCAATCTGTATTGACATGTGGTGATGCCGGTTGATAGAGTGCGACAAGAGGTCTAGCCGTGCGTCTTGGTCTATCGTTGAGGATTAATGTTTAGCTCTCGCTATACTTGTACTAGCTAGGTGACGACTGACCGTCCATGACCCCTCTCTGATCTTCCAAAATCTGCTGTTCGTTCAGCATCCCTCTCCCTTCATCTTCGGCCTCATCCGGATCATAGCTCCCCCTTCTGCCCTTAAAGCTTCCCGGGTTGAACAGAGGATCCTGGTCGGCCGGTATCGTGCCTGACGGATGTACCACCAGATCGTCATCCTCGTCCTCATTATTATTCTCGTTCTCGTATTCGCTAACGTTGTCCCTGTAGCTACCCTGACTCGAGGATGCTCGCCAAGGGATTTCTGAGGGAAAGTTGTTCATGGCCGGTGTAGGGGGAGAGACGTGCAGGTCAGGGACGGGACGGGCGGTCGAAGTCGAAGAGGCATCATTCGAATCAATAAGCTCTTCTGTCGAGATTTTTGGACTGCAGGTGCGCTGTCATCAGTGATTGAGCAGGCATAGAGACGACATCAGAGGATCACTCACGGCGATACGGGCCGAGCCAAGCCCTTGACCTTTTCCCGCCCGATATCATCCTGTTCCATCAGACTGATCATCCTATCATATCGTTCCCCGATATCCTTCATTACTGGATCCGACGCTCCGTTTTCTCTAGCCTGTTCCTCGATCTTAAATAGCCCATCCCGCACAAAGTTGAGTGATCGGACGATTTGCGATTCGGTCGATGCTGAAGGCGATAGGTTCAACGAGACCACGCGTGATCTTTCCAGGATCATAGACGACAGCGAAGTCAGCCGTTGATTCAGCGATGCCGTCGAAGGGATGGACATGGTAGGGGGTCGGCCAAGTAGCTGCAGACTATCTAGGGGTTCCGTCGAGTATGGTTCTGCAAGTATGCGGCGCTGTCGAGGATACCCGGTGTTGGTGCGTGCGGGCTCTTCGAGAGGTAGTCTCGCTGTTATAGTATCGAGATAGTCTGAGATCTAGAGTTGATGTGAAGAGTGAGAATGTGAGGTGTCGGCAGGCATGCCCGGTAGCCAGTAGTAGTGTATGGACGTATGGATTGATGATGATGCACGAGTCCGGGCGATGGGCCACCTCCTCCTAGCGCGCGGTGAGTATGACATCAGGTCGGGGGGCCAACCTCGACCTCCACGAAGCTACATACACATTTCCTCCAAAACACCCCTCATCTCGTTCCTTTCCTTTGTTCAGCAGCCCTGTTTGTTCATCCGAGCTTGGAACCGCACCGTACATTCTCATCCGTCATCCTGGCAGCCGAGAGATAAGTCGAAACGATGGTAGGTCTACGACCGGTATCGATAGCACCTCACAAGCTAAATCGTATTGTATACACCTCTTCTTATACTCAGTCCGCCCTCTTCAACTTTCAATCGCTCCTGCTCGTATGGCTGCTCTTGATCTGTACCTGTACCTACGTTCGAGGAACCGCTCCGGGGTTGGTAGATAGGAACAAGGAAGGGTGAGTTGGGCGTAGATACGCTACATCCGATCGCTTCTTGCAGGACGTTATAGCTGATTACGCATTTGCCGGTCAATTCCAGGTTCTTGGGGATCTTCTTCAAGTGTTCTCGGATAGGTCAGCACGCCTGTCCTGCTTACGTTGTGTCCATCAGAGAGAAAGCTGAAATATACTCTGCTTGCTTGGGCAATACCGTTGTTGCACAGGGGAACGACTCTCGCCATACGTCAGCCTTGCATGCATAGCCATGGCCGTCAAGATCTTGATCGCAACATGATCTTTCCTTCCCCCTCGGCTTTCTCTGGCTTTTCGGATGACCTTCCCAACTTCTCTCCCACCTCTTTCCAACACTTAACGAACATGTACATGATGATATTCCCCGGAGATGGAAGGAACGGTCTTCCCCGTCAACTCGGATAAGAACGCATTCTCTATATACCTCAGCGTGAAAGGCTTCGAAGGCCCACATCAGTCCTCTTGATTTTGAGGAAGAGATACAGGCTGGTGGTGAGATGGAGCACCTTGAACCTGGTCCTTCCCAAGGACGTAATCGCGGGGTCCATGGGCGGTATAGCCGACTAGGTTGAAGCAGGAGTCAAAGACAGGGTTCAGTGTCAAGGCCGAAGTTGGTCTACTGGGAGAGTCACATGTGACTTGTTTCCCAAAGATATTGCCTTGCGGCGATGAAGGGGACCGAGTGGTCCCATTGGGGCGTCTAGTCAAACGGCACCTTTGTTCGTGAAAGAACACCTTCTACTCCTCGATCACGGAGCGATCCCAGTGTCAGACCGTCATAATCTAGCAGATGGCGCCTGGATCGTCTCACACACTCTGCACTTCTGACCATCTTAACTAAGCTTCGAACTTTGAGCTTGAGCACCTACGCACTTCACTACGGCGGAACATCGTTTGCCCAGGGCCGGCGCGGTCATGGGTATTTCCGTGTCACGTGACTGATTCTCAGAAAGTCGCCGCTCGGCCCAAGAAGTTGAATCGCTCATCTTACATGTCGAATGTGTTCATGTTCTTTTGCTTGACCTTGTTCATATCGATAGCTTGAAGCCTCAGTATCAATCTCGTTGTGGAAGATGAAGGCAAACTTCAAGTTCCAGGTGAGCAAGCTAGTCCGAGGTGGCCCGAACGAGTGATAGCTCATACTATCACTGGCTGTCGATGCAGAACCTCTGCGGGACCGTCTATCGTCAGGGAAACGTCGTCTTTACGCCAGATGGCAACTCGATATTGAGTCCTGTAGGGAACAGGGTATCGGTCTTTGATCTCGTCGGGTAAGTAGCGGACGGCACGTGTTACGAAGTGGTCTCGCAGCTAACGGTCGTCACTTGAATAGCAACAAGTCCCGGACGTTGCCATTTGAGAACCGGAAAAACATCCTCTCCATCGCCTTGTCCCCTGATGGCAATGTTCTGATGTCAATCGACGAAGGTCAGCAGCTCAATCTCTGCGTCAAACTAGAACAAGCATAGCTGAAGCCCCGTGATTGCTTGGTGTAGATGGACAAGCTCTACTGGTACACTTCCGAAAGGGGACGGTCCTGCACCATATCAACTTCAAGGCTCCCGTACATGACGCCAAGTTCAGCCCGGACGGAAAGTGAGTGCAGATCGCAATTTTGGCCACGACGCACTTCTGACGCATTACATTTCGTAGGTATATCGCCATCACGCACGGCAACCAGATCCATGTCTGGCTCACCCCCTCTCATCTAGTTCGAGAGTTCGCTCCGTTTGTGCTACATCGCAAATACACTGGCCACTCGGACGATGTGACGCATATCACCTGGTCGAAGAGTTCACGGTGAGTATACCGGTGGAAGGAATAAAGCTATGAGAGGAGACTTGTGCTAATTTCAGACGGCACGGAACAGGTACTTCATCACCGCTTCAAGGGACATGACGGCGAGATTATACACGCTGCACCCGCTCGAAGGATACAAGCCGAAAACTTTTGCTGGACATCGGGACGCATTGGTCGGAGCGTTCTTCAGCGAGGACGAGAAGAGTGTGAGTGCTCTGCGAGGCCCGTATATAATTGCATAATTGCCTTGAGCTGAGCCGTCGTTTTCGTGGGCCAGATCTTTACCGTGTCCCGTGACGGTACCGCATTCACATGGCAAGCCAAGAAAAAGACAGAAGAGGATGAAGATGAGGACGAGATGGAGGTCGACATCCTGGACGCACCAGACGGTATTGCGTCGACCTCGGCTGCGGCTGCCGATGCCGTCGTCGCTTACACACGATGGGGGATCGCCAAACGGGACTACTTCAGCCAGACCGGCGCTCAGGTCGTCTGCACTACTTTCCATCAACGTGCTTCCATGCTTGTCGTCGGGTTTTCGAGCGGAGTGTTTGGACTGTGGGAGATGCCAAGCTTTACCAACATCCACACGCTGTCGATCTCGCAAGAAAAGATTGCGGCCGTCGCCATCAACCCCACAGGAGAATGGCTGGCTTTCGGAGCGCAGCTTTTGGGACAATTGCTCGTCTGGGAGTGGCAGTCGGAGAGCTACGTGCTCAAACAGCAGGGCCATTACTTTGACATGAACACGCTATCGTTCAGCCAGGACGGCCAGAACGTGGCTACAGGAGGCGAAGATGGCAAAGTCAAGGTCTGGAACGCAAGAAGCGGGTTCTGCTTTGTCACCTTTGGTGAACATTCGGCGAGCGTATCAGGAGTGGAATTCGCCAAGCAGGGACAGGTCCTGTTCACCGCCTCGCTAGACGGAACGGTACGGGCGTACGATCTCGTACGGTATCGAAATTTCCGGACGTTCACATCTCCTACGCCGGTACAATTCTCGAGCTTGGCCGTCGACCCAAGTGGAGAGGTCGTCTGTGCCGGATCTCAGGACAGCTTCGAGATCTTCATGTGGTCAGTGCAAACGGGGAAATTGCTCGATGTCTTGACCGGTCATACGGCTCCGATCGGCTCGCTAGCCTTTTCGCCATCAGGAGCACAGCTCGCTTCGGCTTCGTGGGACAGCACTGTCAGGACCTGGAGCGTATTCGGTCGTTCGCGTGCGACCGAGCCGTTCCAATTGAGCTCAGAGGTGTTGTCAGTGGCTTACCGACCGGATGGCAAAGAGCTAGCCTGTTCCACGCTAGATGGCCAGATCACATTTTTCGACGTCACTGAGAGCAAGCAAACCAGCGTCATCGAGGGACGGAAAGACGTATCGGGAGGAAGGATGCAGGACGACCGGATGACAGCTGCCAACAATGCTTCTAGCAAGTATTTCAACAGTCTGGCGTATACTGCGGACGGGAGCTGCATCATCGCTGGAGGTAGCAGCAAGTACGTATTGATATATGACGTACGCGACGGCGTCATGGTCAAGAAATTCCAAATCTCGGAAAACCTATCGCTAGACGGAACACAGGAGTTCCTAGACAGCCGGAAGATGACCGAGGCAGGGCCAGTTGACACCCTCGACCTGCGGGGCGATGAGGAAGACCTGAACGACCGAATGGACATTACGCTACCGGGAGCGCAGCGGGGCGATCTGTCGAAACGTAAATACCGAAGAGCAGCCAGGACGATGTGCGTCAAGTTTTCACCGACCGGTCGATCATGGGCGGCGGCGTCTACCGAGGGACTGCTCCTCTACGGACTGGATGATACGACCACCTTTGATCCTTACGACCTGGACATCGATATCACGCCCGAGTCGCTGCTGGAAACTATCGAGGAAGGGGACCACCTTCTCGCTTTGATCATGGCTTTCCGACTCAACGAACAGCCACTCATCCTCCGAGCATACGAATCGATCCCTGCCAGCGACATCCGGTTGATAGCCAGGCAGGTCCCGGAAGTTTACCTCTTGACGCTCTTGCGTTTCATCGCCTCGCATATGGAAACTTCACCGCACGTCGAGTTCGACTTGTCGTGGTCGCAAGCCTTGATGACGGCACACGGGCGATACCTCGGGTCTCGGTCGGGCGAGTTTGCCAGCGTGTTCCGGTCGCTGCAGCGGAGCGTGACCGAGTTTGAGCAGAGCATCACCCGGTTGTAAGTCCATCTGGGTCGCCCTCTCGAATGGGTATAAGCTGATAATCGTTACAAATTTGCCGAACCCGACAGATGCAACGACAACAACTATGCTCTGAGCTACGTCATCTCGCATGCCACGAAGCCCGACCCGAACCTCGATATTACGGCCGATGTGGTCGATGTTTAATCGACCTTGATCTTGGACCCTTCAGACGATTTTGTTGGTGAGGGCTGTCTGGCGACATCGAGGAGCACCTTCATGATCCACACAAAGCAGCCGAGTACGACGCAGAACGTGATGGATTCAACGAGCGCTTGGTGCGAGGGAATAGCGGCGGGAAGAAGGATACTTGCGGATGTTGACTCGTTGTGTGAATGGCCGGTAGGGTCGATGTTGTATAGATACGAACCGGATAGATGCCGTCGGATATCTGGATCCAGCACATTCCGATCGATGACAGAGCCTGACGTGAACGCCAACTAATGAGACTGGGAGCGTGACTATATGGTGTCAATCTTCGACTTACCTAGCGATTCGCTTTCCTCTGAGCAGCTCCATACCGCTCGCACATCCACATCGGCATCCAGCCCAGTCTGTCTCGAATCGACCGTCGACATCCGAACCTCACGGTACCTGCTCTCGTCCGGCTGTTGATACCGAGCGTGTGCCGGGATGACATGCTGAAGCTGATCTGACGAGGACCATTCGAGCTGGACATGAAGCTTGTTCTCCACCGCAGACTCGTCCGTCTCGTTTGACGATCTGAAGCCGTATTTGACAGGTCTTTCGAGATCGGGGCTGACCGGAGAAAGGTTCCACGAGACCACCTCATTCGGTCGTCCTATGGTCGATCCTGTAGGCTGCCATAGATCCTCAAGCTCGTATGGATCAAAGAAGATCTTGTCGTTTGTCCGTACGAACAGATGAAGGTCGCAACCCTTTGACCGGGAACCTGATACGTCGACCTGGATCTTTGGGTGGATAGAGTGAGGGCGAACGAAGCCGGCTGCGATGTTCGTGAGAGACATGGTCGCCGTGTAGTTGATCCACACGGTTGTGGATGAAGTCGATATATGGTCAATTATCAACATGCGGTTTAGCTGAACGGTAATTAGGGTAAGCAATCACCGACATCAAGAGATCAGTAACCAGAGAGCCGAGGATACCAAGGTCAGATATCGATGTCAGGTTGACCGACATGTTGTTGCTGTTTACGTCATGCTTAGGCACAGATCTACAGATCCACTCACAGCGGCTCGCTTGGAAGCAAAACCATAATTTCTCTTGCCGCCGGCACGCGGAACGTAAACCGAAAGAACGGCTGGGCGAAAGTCGAGGGCGAGAAACTGGGGGAAACTTATATAACCCTCCGATCTCCCATCTACCCACCGACAAAGTCACAGCCCTCTCATAGAACGAGACACTTTTGAGGCATTCTACCAAACCCGATATCCTTCAATATGGTCTACACTATCATCGTCCACATGCAGGCCAAGCCCGTAAGCCTATAGCCCAGCCATGCGAAGTCGATCGATCTGACTTACCCCCTACTTGTTCTCCAGGACTGCGTCGAGAAGCTCAAGAACAAGTTGATCGAGGCTTCTCAGGTCTACCGAAAGGACAAGGAGACCATCGACTGGCACGTCATGCAGGATCCCAAGGTCCGTCTCGTCTCGTCGCCACACCGGAATGCATACAAGAACGATCGAAGCTGATCGAATGACCGGGGCTCTCATCTATACATTCGGGTGTGATCTTTAGGATGAGACCAAGTTCGGAATCGTCGAGCGATACGAGCAAGAATCTTCTCAGAAGTACCGTAAGTCCATTTCGATGTACGTCTCTCATCCTTGTGGATTGATATACTGATTTCATTTTCACATACCCTTATAGACCTGGAGAACCCGTACGTCTGACCTGCTGACCAAGCCGAGCAACAAGCTGACGCCGAACCCGATCGATCATGCGATTCGCCACTATAGGTACTGGAAGACCTTTGACCCTTATGTCATCCCCCTGTTGGCCAAGCCCATGGACCTCTCGCGGTTCGAGGAGATGTAAATCGATTTCCGCTCAAAATTGAGAAAACGGTGGGCGTCTTCGGGAAGAAATAGAAGGTAGGAGAAAAGTTGAGGATAGCGAGGCAGATAGATCGAAATACGCAGCAGTATGATAGGAGTTGTGGCATCGACATTACAACACATGTAGCATAGACATAGGCGTTTCGGCATGAATCGCAGTGATCAGCATCAACATTGCGGCGATGGTTCTGTCCATCGTCGAGGAACGGTCTGGCAAGCAAGGAGACCGAGTCGGTATTCAGCAACGCCCGTTCCAGAGCCCCGTCGTATGGTATGGGACATCGTAAGGATGAGTCCAACGTCAGGGACTGACGAGGCTAGCGTCTGCGAGAATCTATTCCTCCAGCACGACAGAATGGTCGGCTCTCGTTCAAGCAAATTAGTGAAGTCTAAACATATAGCTCGTGGCTGTAATCAGTCCAACGCTAGGATCGAGAGCTCAATGACCTTGATATAGCCGGAGAGGACCATCTGCTGACAACGTTTGAGCTTAATGAGGGAGTGACACGGAGCTCGAGGTGTAGCATATGCAGCGTAGCTACGGCCTATCAACTGCAGCCCGTCTAGAACCTCTTCCTCAAAGAGGATTGGTAGTCGTTCAGATCGCTACTGAGACCGTAGCAAGCTATTCTCTTTCTTGTTGAGCATGCATGGATCACATGCCGCTTGATCTGGTCCCGAAAGCGCCGGTCAACATTGCCTCCCTCACGCCGGTGGAGTCGATGGAGCATCTGGGGGATCTGTCGGGAGACTATAGGGTGCGTTTACAACTTCTACGATCCGGTAAAAGCGGCAGATTTGAGCCTGATCATGCGTGCGTTTACAAATCCTTAAGGGATGGGAGGATTTAGGCCGAGTACAGATTGTGTGGACCGCGATGGATTTGAACGGCAGTCAGGAGCAGGGTCTTTTGAGCTTTCGGGACTGTGAAATGATGCCAAATTACCTTGTCAACTCTGAGCCCATGATGACGAGTTGCCAGGAAATTCTGGAGAAATATCGGTTTCACATGGCCGGATGTCAGGCTCAACCACGAAGACTACACAGCAAATGCGACAATCTACGTGTGGGATCCACTCGCTGACGGGACCCCGTGTTCAACAGGGCTGCGCAATAGTAGTATGCGGAACATCCAGCTAGTCTGATGATATCGTCGCTAGAGTTCGAATGATGTCTTCTTGGTTAGTTCGAAAATTGACCTGCTTGAGGATGAATTGCACTTCGCGAAGCCACTTCATCCGGACTTTCGGACTATGTGTTCGAATTTCCGGATCAGCTTCAGGTCGCCCATGAGTTTCATGGAGCGTTTCTATTAGCCACTCTTGCTTGTGCGCTCTTTGAGCATCTCGAGAGTGAAACGATACGACAGATGAAACACGAAATGCTGCGCTGCTAGTAGACGTGACGACGCGGACATCTGAGATATTACGTACATGTCCGCGTTCGGGCCCCTTCATCAAGCGGAAACACATGCGAACCCGCTCGAACCTCGAACAAGGAGGGCTAAGTACAATTGCGATCGTATATCATAGACAGCGCAGCATACCGGTACAAGTGTAACCTTCTGACCATCGACTCTGTTGATATCAAACCTCGGGGATCTCTGGCCTACTTTGTCTGGATCGACACTCTGGGTCCCCCGGTACTCCCCCTCCTTTCCGATTATCGACGTTATCACGAGCCGGCACGATGTCTTGACGACCTCCTGAAGCAACGGGGGAAATTCGCTTTAACGACAACGACAGACGAAACGAACAGAACAACAGCAAAGACAGCTTATTCTCCATAAATTTCCAACCCACAAACCACTCAAGGCTCGCTACCTCCGAAAGCACATCCTTGACGTTATGAGGTCGGGACCTTCTGGCCCGAGGAGTCGACAGCCGACGCATCCTAGTGCGCCCAATCAAGCTGGAGGACGACAACCTGCCGCCAGGCCCGCAGCTGATAGAGACCAGGTCTTTGCGTCCATCTTTGGGAGACAAGCCGCTGGACATCATGCGGCATCAGGGCGACCAGCTGCTCACGATCAGAGTCAAGGTCACGCATATGGGTCACAAAATCCCGGAATGATGCCTTCGGGCGGATCCGGCTATGAACAGTTTGCACCTCCTCTACCGCCTGGCATGGGACCTGCATACAACCGTCCTCCCCCGGGAATGGCTCCCGGACTAAACTATGCGAGGGAAGGATCTCGAGACCCTTATGGCGGTCCGTCCGGGCAGCTGGTAAGTTGACCCGGATTCGCGACCGGTCATGTAGCGAGCCAGCTGATGAGACTATCGCGACACGTCCATTTCACAGCCTCAGGACTATGTTCGGGATAGACGACAATCCTTCACGCCTTCTATCGCTCCATCCATCGCTCCTTCCATGACTTCGGCGTCGAATTACGTCGTCAACCCTTCCGGTCCCTCTGGTCCCGCATCACATGCTTATAATCCTTCACGCCAGCCCATGAATCCGTATCCTCAACCGGCCCCTATCGATACACAAACGCGATCAAACTACCTGCCAGGGCCGTATCCCCCGGAACGCACGAGATCGAGTTCCACTCAAAGCGGAGTCGTTGGAGGTAGACCACGACCAGATGCGTCGATTATCAACGGCAGCTACACGTCACAGACGCTACCGAGCACGCGTCGTAACCCCGGATTGACGCCAGCACAATCGTACAGGTTGCAAGAGTCAGAATACTCGAGCGGGAATGGGATGTCATCGCCCACGTCGTTGTATGAGGAACGATTCGACTCGCCAGCAGCGATGACACCGGGACCCACCCAGGCCACTTGGTCATCATCCACGCAACCTCTGAACCTTCGGGGACGACCGAGCTCGGGCGCAAGTGGAGGAGCTGCTGGAACGATCGAAGCAGAGACCGGTCGAGACGACATGTCCCCACCTCCCGATTACAGCACGATGGACCCGGCCCTCTTGATGCGGAAACGGACGGGCCCGAGTGCGTCTGCGGGAAGATCGACTGCGGACGGACCACCTCGATTACCGGACGTCGTCTCGGACGTCAAGAATATGAGGTTATTTGACAATGATGGTTCCAATAACCGGAATTCGAAGCAGAGCGGAGACTGGTCCTTCTTGGCAGGCTATACCGACGATGCGACCAGTGATGTCGGTAGTGGGAATGGGGTGCTCAGGCGGCCAAGCCAGGAAGCTCGATATAACGGCCTGCCGACGATACCAGGCTCTCGTAACGTCTCGAACACAAGCACCGTACGAGACTTTCGGTCGGAAAGTATACATGGCCCATCCGAATCAGATGACAGGTCCAGATATAGCCGGGATGATGGCTTTGCGTCGTCTGGTTTCGCCAGCCCTATCAGTTCTGGGACGCATGATGGCGGTCGGTATGCGGATGAACTAAGAGGTATGCCAACTATCACTCTTGTCAGTGCAACTTCCTACAGAATAGCTGATGTATCCCGAATAGATCGTGTACACCCGGTCGTTCGACAGGATCCTTACATGCGGCATCGCAGGCAGGCTAGTGATACTTCCATAGTCAGCGTAAGCACTGTCCATTCGGGTTACGGGACCGGGCCTCGGAATAGTCAGACGTGAGTTGCTCATCGATCTACTGACTACACTTGAGGACTAACTGAGTGAGCGTAAATCAGGTATTTGCCCAACATTGATACATCGTCACGCCAGTATGGCGAACGAGGTTCGCCGGTCATGTCGTCACCCGGCACGCTTCCTGGTGACAACCCCTTCCAACCGCCTGCTGCGCACCGCCTCAGCGGGAGGCCGTCGAGTGAGAGTATACAGAGCCTCCCTTACGGTCAGCGCACGAGCTATGGGTCTGGCGTAGATATTCGGTCGACAAGCTTTTCCGGACCTTCCATGCAAAGGGAGGCCGCCGTGACTGCGATACGCACAGGATCTCTTGGTCACGGTACTCGCGTCCGGTCACAAATGCCACTTTCAACCATCAGTCATCCCTCGCCGAACAGCTCCATGACCAATGTCGCCATCCATGCAAAACGGCCTTCGCAGAGTCAGGTTGTCAGGAGAACACCCACCATCCACCCGGCCTTCATCTCGCGGGTGGCCGAGGTCTTTAGGCAGGTTCTGGCACTAGGGGATAGGATCAAGGACGGTCTGAGCTACAGTGACGCATTTGACGGTCGGGAGGCTGTCGATCTTCTTTGCGATATCATCCGAACTGGCGACAGAAACTTGGCGCTGCTGTTGGGGAGAGCGCTGGATTCACAGAGATTCTTCCACGATGTGACCTATGCACATCGGCTGCGAGACAGCACACACGAGATCTACCGCTTCAAGCAACTGCTACCAAGTCCGTTTGCAGGCCCAGAAGGTGCGACCGCGGATGGCAGGCCTGCCTCAAGACCCACCTCGAAAGGGTACTCATCGGGTTCCGTCACCGCCTTGACGGCCATGTCGTCTGGAGCGAGTTCCCCTCTGGCCACCACTCCAGGCCAGACTCCAGCAACATCGACTACGACCGTGAACCAGGTCAGCGATTCGGGAAGACCTCGCCGGGTGTCCGACGCGTCCTCTGAGGATTCATTGCCCGTGGGCGTGTTCACCTTGTTGACCGATTGTTACTCGCCGACATGCTCCCGAGATTCGCTGTGTTATTCGATCAACTGCCCGCGTCGACTTGAAGTGCAGAAGCGACTTAACATGAAGATTGAACCTGGTCTCATTACCGAGATAGCGGAGGATGTGTTGCTTGATACGAAAGTGAGCTGAGAACCCTTACCATCGATGCGAGTCATAATTAAACGGTCTTTTCGATAGGAAACTGGCACTCTCTGGATTCAATCCGTTCCGCAGGATGTGATTGACAGCGTGGATGATACCGAAAAGAAGCGTCAGGAAGCCATCAACGAGTTGATCTACACTGAACGGGACTTCGTCCGCGACATGGAGTATCTGCGCGATGTAAGCCCGACTAGCGCTCTTTTCTTGCAAAAGCTGTCATTAATGACCCCTCTTGTAGCAATGGATCAAACCTCTGCGTACATCGGATGTCATACCTGCTGGCAAGCGGGAGGAGTTCGTGCAGCAGGTGTTCTGGAACACCCACGAGATCCTTTCGGTCAATATGGTCCTGGCGGAGAAGCTCACGAAGAGGCAGAAGCAGGCTCATGTGGTCCCGCGCGTCGGAGACATCCTGCTCGAGCAGGTGCAGCGCTTCGAGCCATTTGTGACGTACGGTGCTCACCAACTTTTCGGGAAGTACGAGTTTGAAAAGGAAAAGGGAACCAATCCTGCTTTCCAGAAGTTTGTCGATGTGAGTTGCATTTATGGTCTAGTCTGTTGTGGACGCGATCGTTGACAGCTCCACATCAAAGGAAACCGAGCGCGACCCGTCTTCGCGAAAGTTGGAATTGAACGGTTATTTGACCAAGCCTACCACTCGTCTGGCTCGATATCCCCTTCTACTCGAAGTTATTGTTAAATATACACACGACGACAACAGCGACAAGGAGGATTTAGCTGAAGCTGTCAAGATCGTTCGAGAATTCTTGACCAGGGTCAACAAGGAGAGCGGGAAATCTGAAAACCTCTTCAATTTGGCTCAACTGGATCAGCAACTGATCTTTAGACCAGGCGAGAACTTCGTGAGCAAGAAATAATGTCGCCATGACAGGCGCGCGAGCTGACTTATTCTGCCTACATAGGATTTACATTTGCGAGACAAGAATAGGGAGTTGGTCTACAAGGGTCCGCTTAAATGTCGCGGCGGACCGAATGCGGAGAATGCCGATCTCTTGGTGTTCTTGTTCGATCACGCGTTGCTCATGGTAAAGCCAAAATGGGTGAACAAGCACGAGCAATACAAGGTTTACCGCAAGGTCAGTCGCAGACCGCTTCCATCAAGATTTGTCAGTGGCTGATCTTGCAGCTCGTCGCAGCCTATACCCTTGGAACTTCTGGTAGCGACATCTCCCGAGGACATCAATATCAAGGGTTCGATAAGTCGTGGCAAGGCGACAGCAGGACGTCAGGCCGGCGTGAAATCGGCTAAAGACCCGATTCCCAAGGCCGAGTCGAAGCATGGTTATAGCTTGACCCTGATTCATCTTGGGCGCAAGGGATATACGATGACCCTCTGGTGTCCCACCTATGCGGGACGTAAAAAGTGGCTCGAGAACATCGATGCGCAACAGCAAGCTCTGCGGGATCGGAGCAAAATCTTTGATACCGTCTCCTTGACCGACCGATTCTTCATGGGCGTCAACAAGCTTAACTGCGCGGTACCATATGGTGAGCTCACGGCTGTATGATGCCTCTGTATGTTGATCAATCTGTTGACCTCCTCTGTGATATCTGTAGACCGCGGTAACCGAATGATATATGGGACAGATGACGGTGTCTACTTCAGCAACCACCGCGACGAGAGACTACGGCATCCGACCAAAGTCATCAGTATGCCTGACGTCACTCAGGTGGACGTCTTGGAGGAGTTCCAGCTCCTAGTTGTGTTATCAGGTAGGCGATGGGCGCTTCTTTTTTTTTCCTTTTGTATGTAACAGTTCTCACCCGCTTGACCACCTTTCAGAGCGGAGCGTTACAGCTTTCCCGTTGGAATTCCTCGACCCCACCGACACCTCTGCAGCGCTCAAGCGTGGGAAGCGTCTATCGTCACATACATCGTTCTTCAAGAGCGGTATCTGTCTCGGCAGGACTTTGCTGTGCATCGTCAAGTCGAGCTCTTTGTCTTCAACGATAAAGACGCTCGAGCCCATCGATCAATCGATGAGGGGTAAAAAACAGCCGACGCCGTTCCGGAAACTCTTGAACAATTCAAATGAACCGTTCAAGGTGTTCAAGGTTTGTCTTGTGGTCGATCTCATGCTTGTATGGTATGCAACATGACTGATCAGTTTGCGGGACTTGTGCAGGAATTCTACATCCCGACAGAAAGCAGCGGTCTTTCGTTCTTAAAGACCAAGCTTTGCGTAGCTACGACCAGAGGTTTCGAGGTCGTTGATCTAGAGGCAAGTCGTACTAGAGTCCGGTCCAGGTCTTTGAACAGCATTCTAATCCGATCTTGTGCTCGATACAGACCTTGGACACCCAGGGCTTGCTAGACCCATCGGACAGCAGCTTGGACTTTGTGTCAAAACGAGAAAACGTTCGCCCCGTGGCCATCTACCGGGTAGAGGAGAACTTTTTGCTGTGTTACGCCGAGTTTGCTTTCTATGTCAACAAAACTGGGTGGCGAGCGAGGCCGCGATGGGCCATCCAATGGGAAGGTTTCCCAACCGCGTTCGGTGAGTAGCACGGATGCCTCAGCAGGACCACGAAACCGGTTACTGATTGACGGGTCCTCCTATCACAGCCATGCACTACCCCTTCATCCTGGCGTTTGAACCGACATTTATCGAGGTTCGGCACGTTGAGAGTGGTAACCTGGTGCAGATCATTACGGGCAGCAATATCCGTTGCCTCTTCTCGGACACTCCACCTTCGCATATACACACCGCGAACCAGTATCGACCCGGGATGGGGGCGGGTTACCCTTACGGCCAAGCACCTCCGCCTCATCCGCAAGGTTATCCGTACGGCCCTGGAGGCAACCACCCCGCTCACATGCCTCCACCTCCGGTTCCTCAACCGGCTGGAAATCGACTGCAGCGGAATCAGATCATCTTTGTCTCGGACGATGGTAACGTCCAGGTCGTCCGGCTCAACAGGGAGCACCTTCCTGGTATGCTTCCTCCTAGTGGCGCGCCCGCCTTGATGCCCAACGGCAGTATGAGTCGTCGATGATGGAAATGACGGGAACGCCTTCATCTCATATAATCTTCAATACACGAAACAAGAATCCAGCGGGCGTAGGGCTTTGCGTTACCGGACCCCACGACCCACACGTTCATGACGAAATCCGAAACGTCGCCGCCTTTTCTCTCTCTCTCTACTGGACCATCAATTCGAAGCCCGTGTACATGCCCCCATTCGATTTATCGTTGGCCCATAGCTTTGACAAGAATTGTATACCGTACCCGCGACCCATGACCGATGGTAGATGATGATTATTGAAGCCTGTGTTGTCCCCGTTTCTCTGCTTACGTAATAAATGATGCTGTCCTCGGTCGGGACCCCCGATTTTTGAGTTTTCGGATCTGATGACATCGACAACAACCTCGCTGATTCTCCGAAAGTACACAGCGATCACACACGCACACAATCAACCTCTCTCCGCTTCATGACACGATAGTTGTATAACCTCGCCTCATACTACCCCCAAGCAATCGATCGACGCTTGTCCGATCTACACGCCGATCCGCACTCGCTGCCAACCGGACCGTCGCATCCTCTTGGGAGACAAACACGCCTCGAAAGCTCTCATTATGATGGTCGACACATCGACGGTGTGGGCGTCGCCCAAATTCACCTTTCAGGACGATCCCGTGGATGGCAACGACGATCCGAGCGCACACTTTAGCTCTTTCCCAGATATTCTCGAACATCAGTCGTCGACCAAGTCTCGATCGGGGTCGTCGTCCGGTTCGAGACTCGACGCGAGCTCGCCTCGATCCGTGTCTCCTCTGCGCGCAGACGATCGTTTTGCTGGGAGTCCCGGAGATACGGGCACGCACAGTACAGGAAATCAGACGGGTGTAGAGTTTGTCCATGGGTTTCCGGGGATGCCTTATGGTCATGGTGCCCGGAGGGACTCGGCGTCGTCGACCACGATCGGAAGGATGGGCATGAATACGAGACCGTACAGTCCCTCTTCGGCGGGAGGTGACGCAGGAGGCAGATCGACACAACGCAACAGCTTTGATTCAAAGAGTGGAATTATATCGACCCCTCGATTCTCGAGACCCAACTCGCCCCCAACATTGCCCCTTATGAGGCAATTTTCTTCCGGACAAGCACCTCATCCAGGTCTGCGGACGCCTTACTCGGATCCCTTGATACCTGTACCTACGGCATCTTCCTCTTCCTTCAGCACCAACCATCATCCGCACTTTCAGCACAACCCGCACATCGGCTCTTCGTCCATACATCAGACACATACCCACCACCCGCAACACCATCCTCACCACCACAACCCTAGCTTTACATCCCCACATTCGTCCTCTCGTCACTCTGGAGAGCACTCGCCGACAGACAACCTGAGCGGAGTCGGACGACTATCCGATCAGCGAGGAGACGACGAGGTCCAGCCCGAAGTACTCGATCTCGTCAACGTCAATGAAGGAGTTTCAGACGACGAAGACGATGATTTCGAAGACAGGACTACTTTTAGCAACGGCGCGCTCAAGGACGAGCCTCCCACCCCTCGATTATCTCATAACATGCACGAGCCACATACGCCCGCTGCATATCAGGAAGCGCAGAGGCTCTTAAATCAGGTCACCAAGAACCTGAGTAGCATGTCCAAATCCACTACGTTGGGCGGTAACACGTCGCATTCACCGGCGAGCCTGATGGCTGAGCTCAGACGGAACTCTGGAGAAGGTTCCGACCTTGCACGCATACCGATGAGTCCGCTAGAGGATGAATCGGGCAGGGCCGGAAATACCAATTTTCTGGTAGAGATGGCTAAAATGAGCACGAGCATGAACGGCCAACCGGTACACGCGCCCGGCCACCTACATTCTCTCGATCCTGTTCAGATGGACGGGATCGCGGTGCACGACCTGCAGATGATGGGGTTACCTCAACCGCCCTCTGCGATGGGGAACTTCGACTTTGACGACGATGACGGCGAGCAGGACGAGGAACCGTTGTATGTAAATGCCAAGCAGTATCACCGGATCTTGAAACGGCGAGCCGCTCGAGCGAGGTTGGAGGAGATGAACAGGGTGGTGAAAGAACGCAAGGTAGGTTCAAGAGCCCGAATGTCGTGCATGTTTCGCTTGCCTTTCTGACGACCTACGGACGACGACGAATAGCCTTATCTCCATGAATCCCGTCACAAACACGCTTGCTCCCGCCCTCGAGGCCCAGGGGGAAGGTTCTTGACCGCTCCCGAGATCGCGGCCCTCAAGGCTAAAGAAGAGGCCGAGGCCAGTGCGAAGCCTCGACCCGAAGTCGGTCCCGGTGGCGATTCTGTGAGCGGGACCAGCCCCTCCGAAGGTGGAGAGGACACTACCGGCCGTGTAACAACGAAACCGGTGGGTAAGGGGCCTTCGGCAAACGCGTCTCAGGGGCCGGTCGATATGGATTGGAATTGGGCAGGCTAGAGAACGAACGCACTCAACCACACACACACACATATACACGACTTTTTGCGCATCCGTTGTATCGAATTACCACATACCGGCAAATTACAATCGCATGAACAGACAATACGTACATCATTTCGACGCGTTCCAGCCGTTCAGTGTGGACATGCTGATACCGAAAGAAAGCTGCCTCGCGTCCGAGACGATAAAATGGGGATGAAGTGACCCTGTTTCGGATCGTTCCTGAGAAGAATGCATGGGATTGATGCGCCTTACCTTGAGTCAGTATGGCAGGAACAGCAGCAGAGTCAACAACGACGGCCTTGCTGCGGGTTCGTGCGGACAAGCCGTGGTTTGGTTCTAACTTGGGATACGGGGCATGATTTGCACTTCCATCATGAGTATTGTGCCCTCCGCGCGGCTATGAAGTTCATAATACAAGTTTGAAGACTGATCATTGAGTGGTTGCTGCCGACTGGCCAAGAATTTGCGGATCTTGCCAAGGCTTTTTAGAACATGTCCATTGGCTATTCGCCGTCCTCGATCTCGATCTCCGGACCAAACCCCGATTTGCTGAATGGTATCGCCTTTAAGATCCGACTTCACATCGAGGACCTCCTGGACGATTGATGTCCGCGCCCAAATGTATGGCATCATTTAAATTACCCAAATGCCGGCCCGCTTGTGCGATATGCTACAACATAGAGACGTTAATGTAGCCTGATCATCAAAGGGCCAGGCATCCTTCACGTAGACGATCGGAATGGCCATGGCATAAGCGCTAGGGCAAGGATCGTATAACAACGCGATGAATTCGCCCCGCCGAGAGTCTCGCAACGTTTACCGATATCATGAGCAGGAAATATTTGTTAAGGTCGAGATTAAATAGCTAGGTCATGATTGGAGATGCAAGTGAGCGATAGTGATGCCAATGTGCAAAAAGGCACTGGTATCCCGAGTGACTTCCCCCAGAGGTGCGCTTTTCATCGAACAAGCGGACGCAACCAGAGTCGAGGTCGCATCGCGGGATGAGCTTGAAGTCTCGTGCGACTCCGCTGTCGGGTGCATCGCTCTCCCTCAGCACGATCGCTTCCAACGCAGCACTAATCATCACCATGAATGGCTCTGTCAGGTTTGTCTTGTTTCCCCTAGCATTATCCCAGGATCATTCGGTACAAGGTTCGCGGCGTCACGCGGAATCTGTCACGCGCTGGCAGGTTTCATATCTGAAACGATTAACTCTTGCGCATCTCTAGCCACATACCTTAATGGTATACTAGAGCCTAAAGACATACTGTCTGAGATTACAAGAATCGAACAGTGAAGTATATTGATTTGACTTGCGAAGCTATACAAAAAAAAAACGCTTGTAGCGTTGACAAAAAGATCAATCAAGCTCTCTGCCTGGGAATCGAACCCAGCGCGGGCGCGAGTAGTGTTGATAGTTGATATCATGACAAGCGCCAATGTTACCAATACACCAGCAAAGATGCCATGTGCAGGTTTGTAGTTGATACAATATAACCGCTCAATTGTCTGACTGATCGTGTCCTAGTTTCCTAGTTTCTCATGCTTTTCAAACACCGCCCGCACTCCGGTTTCCGGTATCTAAGGCAAGTGCAGCCAAGCGAAACGTATCAACATCAAGGTATGTACATCTCAAGCGATCTGCTCCATATCATCGTCCTCGTCTTCGCTTTCGCTGAGATCGAGGTTGATAGGCTTGAACACCTTTGCTGCGGGAGCCACTGCCGCCTGTGTGGTATCTGCGACTACCTCTTGTTGTGCAGGCAACGGCGGATCGTTTTCTTCTTCGGGTCCTTCGCCGACGATGGTACCGTCCCCGACCTCTCCCGGCCCCATCACCTCGCCCTTGGCCAGTCTCATGAGCTTTGAACTCATCATCGCCGGTTCGACCGGGTAGTACGATTGCGAGGTGGAGACCAAGGCTTCCCCTGCGACTTCCGCCGCGACTGGTCGGGTAGTATACGGGGCCAACCGGGTCGCGTGTCGGACCAGAGTGTCGACCGGGATGGCCGCTGACAGTCCAGTGTTCAGCTTGTACCACCGAATCAAAGCAACGGACTCGTGCAACTCACCCTTCTCGGCCATTTCAATCCCCCTGCAGACTTCGCTCCCATTCTCGATGATCCCTGCCAACTCCCGTCTTCCCTGTTCGAGAGTGACCAATACTCTCCGTGCCTTTTCGTCCAGAGCCTGTCTCTTCCGTCGTTTGCGTTGCAACCTCTCCCACCGTTGTTGGTGCCGACGAGCGAGTTCAACCAGCCGAGCTTGTTCTTCCGTCAGGCTTTCGAGCCGCGCGTACATCTCGGACACCTCTTCTATAGGGTTGATCGACCTCGGTATCCTCCTAGATCCGGATAACGAATTTGACAGTGTCTCAAACAACCGGGTGGCAAGGACGTGCTGTTCGTTGATATTCGCCAGCAAAAGATTCCGCATCGAGACGTCCTCGGGCAAGGTCAGTGGAACGTCCCTCGCATGGACGTGCTGTTTTGTCCGTCTTGCACGTCTGCTGGGCCCGCTCGTCGATGTTGACGATTGTCTAGTGATACGGGATGAGCCAGGTATGATTGGATACAGTGAATTCATGCAGTCGCAAGAGGTACAACCGGGATAACAAGATGAAGAAGCGAGTCAACGACCATCGACCTAACAAGGACATCTGCGCCAGGGGCGAGGGGCATGGGCTTAGGAGACCTCCTCACTGGATCAGGTTAACAACGGCCTCGACTTCGTCGGCTTCGAAATCCTTCATCGCGATCGCCTCGACGTCTTGCTTCGTGTGTTCCTCAGAGGTCGTGCCAGACAATGGAGTGATGCCGATCCTAATCGGACATAACAAGAACGACAATTAAGCAAGGTCTTCTCACAGCACTCGAGACAACCCTTTCCCGAGGTGGTACTTACTGCGAACACAGTTTGAACAACGCTTGTTCCCGGGTAATCCCGTACTTTTCAGCCAACTGTCTCATCAGCGGGTGCGCGAGCAGTGATGGATTGCCAGACAGCGTCCAGAACGATTGATACATGATACCATTCTCGCGGCAGACATTGAAGACTAGGATCAACAGAGGATCGATCAGATTCCTGGTTACTCGATCGGAAAGGATCACCATCAGATCATTTCGCGCGACTGACCTTCCCAATCCCAACGGTTGCCCTTGTGCCATCTGTTCTGGACGACGGAAAGCTTGACCTTGCTCTCCCCGATCAACCATTTCAAGGTGGACGCCGAGTAGATGTTGCTGATCCCTAGCGATCTGACGGTTCCACGAGCGTGATGTTGTTCCAGCTGTCGATACGCTTTCAAGGTTTGCTGTGGTCCGCGTTCATCGGAGTTGTCGAGGAAGTTGTTGTCAGCCTCGGATCAGGATGACGATCCTAGGCCGGCGATATGTGACTCACTTTCTTGTCCCGCATCGGACTGTGCATGACGAGACAATCGATATACTCCACTCCCAACTGTTTCAAGCTCGTAGCGATGCTCTGATCGACCTTGTCTTCAGTACTAGCCCGAGGTTCGTAGGGAAGCGGTTGCGTCAGGTCTTGTCCGTCGATCGGAGTGAACTTGGTCTGGACGTAGAGCGAAGAACGGGGGATGCCATGCGACGTTTCGAGTTCCGAGATGGCTTGTCCGACCAGGTCCTCTCTGGAAGTTCGACGAAACGGATCAGCTGATATCTCCAGTGACAATGCCAGAGAGTCCATGGCTCACCTGTAATGCTTGGGTTGACATGCCGTATCGATCGCTCGAAAGCCGTTGAGGACCGCCTTGACAACGAGGTCGGTCGTGGCTTCCTTCTTCCAGGCCGTACCGTAGATGATGCGGGGGACGGTAGCAGACATGGGTGGGAGCGTTTCAATTTGATCCAAAAAGCCGACGTGACTGGAGATGGCTAGCAAGCTGATAGACGATAATAGCAACAAATGTACATGGCAGCATGTCTACAGGATCTCTAGATCTACCCCTTTCCTTTGCGATCGTCAACAAATAGATAAATGGTATGACACGTCATTTCCTTGGAGATGTTTCCTCCGACCTCTCGGCTTGTTATCATCATCCCATTCTACTTTATTAATTTGATAAGACTTTCCCTTCGCGACCTCCTTGCGAGATTTCGGATCAGCGACATGATCGAGGGAATATACCTCTCGCGAGCGTCGACTTGCAGTCAAAAGACACAACCTGCTTCCCCCCCTTGATATCGGTGTATGGCATCTCGTTGGATCACAAACCTATTCCGTCAATCTCCATCTGCGTCCATCCTACGTACCCGTCCGATCGTCTTGATCCCGCAAGCTAGACCTAGACAGACTCCGTATCAACCACTCAACCTCTCGAGACATACGAGCAAAATGTCCGCCCCGGCTCAAGCTGAAAACCTCCACAAGGACCCCGTAACTGGGGAGATGATCTCCAAGTCGTATGTATGGACTGTTCGAAGTCTGCCAGTGCTCACATGAGCTCATTGCGTCTATACACCTTGCCTATGCCATCTAGCGAGCTCAAAAAGCGTATAAAGAACAGGGAAAAGGAGGCTGCCAAGGCTGAAAAGGCCAAGAACAAGCCCGACCAGCCCGAGCAAAAGAAAAAGGACAACAAGGCCGACGAGGAGGAGCTCGACCCCACTCAATACTTTGCCCTCCGAACCAAGCGTATCCTTGCCCTCCGAGCGTCGCAGAACCCGGACCCTTACCCTCACAAGTTCAACGTCAGCCAGTCGATCCCGTCTTATATCAAAGAATGGGAGGTCGAGGGCAAGGTCGCCAAGGGTGACAGGCTCAAGGAGCCCACCATCTCGCTCGCCGGAAGGTTGGGCAACATGAGAAGTTCGGGTCAGAACTTGCACTTTTACGACTTGCACGCCGAGGGCGAGAAGATTCAGATCCTAGCTCAGGTTCAGTGAGTCGAGGTCGCCGCCCGTCTTCAAGGTTCGGCCCGAGGAACTGATGCGCTCTCGAATGAATCTCGCAACCTAAAAGGGAGGCCGAGAACGAGGAGGAGTTCCGTCAGATTCACGACATTCTCGCCCGAGGTGACATTGTCGGTGTCATTGGATCCCCATCCCGATCGCAAAAGGGAGAACTCTCGATCTCTCCCCGCAAGATCATCCTCCTCTCGCCCTGTCTGCACATGTTGCCCAAGATCACCGACGGTGGTCTGACCGACCCCGAGATCAGGTACCGAAAGAGGCACGTCGACTTGATCATGCACGACAATGTCAAAAAGGTCTTTATCACCCGTAGCAAGGTCGTCAACTATGTCCGCAAGTACCTCGACTCGCTCGGTTTCATGGAGGTCGAGACTCCGATGATGAACATGGTCGCCGGAGGTGCCACAGCCAAGCCGTTCATCACCCACCACAACGACCTCAAACTCGACCTCTTCCTCCGAATCGCCCCGGAGCTCTACCTCAAACAGCTCGTCGTTGGAGGTCTCGACCGGGTGTACGAGATCGGTCGAGTGTTCCGAAACGAAGGAATCGACATGACCCACAACCCCGAGTTCTCCATCTGCGAGTTTTACATGGCCTACGCCGACATGTACGACCTGATGGACATGACCGAGAGCATGATCAGCGGGATGGTCAAGTACATCACTGGAGGTACCAAGGTGACCTTCCACCCCGAGGGCAAGGGAGAGGGCAAGAAGGAGTACACGCTCGACTTTGCCACTCCTTGGAAGAGGTTTGACATGATTGAAGAGCTAGAGAAGCAGTTGAACGTCAAGTTCCCTCCTGGCGAGACCTTGCACACTGCCGAAGCCAACCAGTTCTTGAGGGATCTCTGCACCAAGGTGGGTGGCCGTTACGATCACGGAGCGAACGATGAGGAGGACGCAGCTGACGAAGATTTGTGGGTTTCTGATATAGCACAACGTCGACTGCTCCGAGCCGAGGACCAACGCTCGATTGCTCGATAAGGTACGTACCAGATTTGAATGCTTTCGCCATCTTGCCTACGTCTGACCCGCGACTCATAACTCTACAGCTCGTCGGCGAGTTCATCGAGAACCAGTGCATCAACCCCTCGTTCATTGTTGGACACCCGCAAGTCATGTCGCCCTTGGCTAAGCGTCATCGATCCCGACCGGGTCTTTGCGAGCGGTTCGAGGCTTTCGTCGCCACCAAGGAGATCTGCAACGCCTACACCGAGTTGAACGATCCTTTCGACCAGCGAGAGAGGTTCGAGGAGCAGACCAGGCAGAAGGATCAGGGAGACGACGAGGCTCAGGGTGTCGACGAGACCTTCATGAACGCGTGAGTAGCTTCGCAGGAAGATAGCCTTGGCGTAGAGATCATCGCCCAATCGAGACTTCTTGTGTGCTAACATACGTATCGGGCGACCCCTTTCATCGATGTTCTCAGACTCGAATACGGTTTGCCCCCTACTGGAGGATTCGGTCTTGGTATCGACCGTTTGGTCATGTTCTTGACCGATTCGGCCAACATCAAGGAGGTCCTCCTCTTCCCGGCCATGAAGCCCATCCAGACCATCTCTCAGGGTGAGTTCGAAAGTGCTCGGCGTTGGAGCGGAGGCGATTTGATAGAGAAGGAACGCTAACCATGTTACTTCTGTTCGGCGTTCCCGTATCGTGTTTCTTTTTTTTCCCCTGTCGTCGGTTTTGCTTCCCTATTTGGATTTGCTCTCAGGCGCCGCCGAGCAAGCCGCTCCCGAGAAGGGCGTACTGGGACCTACCGAGAGGTTCGACAAGGAGGCCGTGGACAAGCGCGTCGACGAGCAGAACCAGTTGGCTTGATCGAGCGATGTAGAATTTTCACAAGGAGGTCTTTGGGTTTATGGAGATCGAACACGAAGATTACATGATGATGACGATGGCAAACATGTGTGCGCTTCCGACCAGAGATGGCTGCACGAGAACGCGGCGAGGTTTGCTTCCAGCGCCGATCTCTTGGTTCTGGTGCAAGCGCTAGGTCGAAGTCCGTCAAGGAGCTGAGGCAAGGGTAACAGCCTGAAGCATCGTTTGAAGACGTCGAAATCTTGCCGATCAAAGTCCATCGCAGGACATCGTTGAACGAAGAATGTCGAGGTAGCATGAAACTTCGCGACCCGCATACGTTGTCGATGAAACTCCACAGATTGCAGATGCGAGAGCTGCTGGGGCGATGTCTCGGCTGGAGCGGGTATGTACAAGACTTGTATTAACTATGCGGCAAGAGGGACATTGTCGGGGGCAGAAGAAGGGCTCAAGGATGGCAATCACCACGGAACGGGTCTCGGTTCACGGAGAAATGGATTGTAGACAAGAAGGGCCAACAACCCTTTCCCCTTGCTTCGACGCACCCGAAAGTGCGGAAGACGGGAACGGATCGTGACCCTGCAGGCAGGGTTCCGCCTCGGCCCCGGGGATTAGCATTGGTTTGGCCCCTGTTCCAGCAGTCATCAGCAATGAAACGAACATGTCCCTGTAGACGCCTGACAAAGTGAAGACATGATCGTCCTGCTTCGCGAATTGCTGCAAGAGAGAGAGAGACAGTCATCGTTCTCGATCGTGACATCTGAACACTGCCCATGTCTCGAATGCAGCACCACACGCGCCTTCTGCCCTGTGAACCTACGCCCTCCCGGTTTCATCGCGCCTGAGACCTACGGTGTCGCAGGAGAGGTGATCAAGGCGCCGAATGACGAGTGGGTCGGGCGTACGGGCGTTCGTGTCTCGGGGCTCGGCAGAATTTACCCGTGACCCGTGCGTGACAGAGGCGCGATATTGGCACGCGGGATTGCTTGCGATCGACACACGCTCCCGAGACCAAAACCCTCTCTTCCCGCTTCCTTGCCCCTTCGCCCCTGCATGAGCCTCCATGTTTGACCCGAAGATCGGTGTCTTTTCCTTCCGAACACGCGGCGTACGTGATACATTCTGCCTTGGTCCCTGAGCCGTCTGGAGGGAGTCAAAAAACGTGAGCGGGCAGATCTCTCTCGTCCCGGGTCGACCGGGCATCGTCAATGACGGATCACTGAAACGTCCCCCCTCTTCCCCTGCTCGCTCCCCCTCGGTTCTCTCCCTCCTTGATCATATTCGCACACACCTCGAAACTTGAGCCGGTCTTGTCGACCGGTTTAGCATCCTCGCGATGCGGCAGAGGCTGCGGGAAGCGGGGAGATGGGGAAGCAATTCGTCTGACGAAAGCCTCTCTCGCAGACAACGCATTTGTTCGGGACGGGCAATTCAGGGGTTACCCCCTTGATCTTGAAGTTCTCTCCTGGCGGTATGCATATCCCTGCTCCAATACTTCTATGATCATCATCGTAGCCCTCGAGAACGAGATAGACGTTGCTCGCCCGCGATTTTGAGTTCGTTCATATATCTCACGCTCGTTTTCGATCAATCAAGAGGAAAGGTCAACCCGGAGGGTGAACGAAGAGGATCGATATCTTTCGACACGTACGCTTTGAAGCTCCTCCTTCCCTCCTGCTCGGTCTCGTCTTCTTGCGATCAAGCCAGCGTTTCGACAGGAGAGGGAATAAGCACAGTCTTTACCAGCCTTCCGTGCTTTGCCCAGGCCACAACTGTCGTTTCTCGTCTCTCTTAGCAAGGTCTGCCATTTCGGAAGGTTCGAGCTCGGATTCGGACGATCACTCCAATTCGCCAAGGCAAGATCGACATCTCCTATCTTCTATTCGACTTAGCGCTGGGTTCTTCGGATCAATCGTAGACATAGTTAACAAGCTAACAAGGCAGCGTGTTTTGGAAACAAATCTTCGGCTCTACTCAACGTCTCACTGCTTCTCTCGGTCTATCTATTCTGTCCTCGTGCGCATCTCGCTCCTCCCCTCGGCCCCGTCCCGTCGCGCAGCTCACCCGTTCCTCTCTCTCTCCCTTGCATGTCGATCGCGGTCATGTGTCGAAACAATTGCTTCCAACCCATTCCATTCCTCGGCTCCCAACTTGCCTTCTCTTATCCCGGACTGCCTCACATCATCGTCGTTCATCATCATCGACACGCAAACCACGGGTCGTACCCACTCGACCATCATAAAAACGTCATTCCACCCGGACCCCACTGCTGGTACCTTTTCGTTCGCCCCCATCTCTCGATCAACGACACGACGATGCTATGCACAAACAGACCGACGTTCCAATATCGGTCCAGTTCGAGAGCTTTGATCAGCACACGTCTGAACGACGACCGTTCCACATACTTCATCACATCAAGCTTTCGACTCTGATCTGCCTCCGAGCTGGCAAGGAACCCTCAAAGTTGGATATCAACCTCGATCTCGATCTACGTATCGAAAGGAGGGCAGCGACCAACATATCGTCAGCTTTTGATCCGTCCCATCAACTGGTGGTCGGATAAAGAAGGGTCGTTTCAGCCCAAAAGAGGGCTTTGATCGCTTAGAGAGAGAGAGGATATACGCGAGAAGGGAAAAGGGCTCAAACGGCGGGGGAACAAGTCCCGAAAAGAGAACCGTCGTGTTTCATACTTGTGAGCATATCTCTCTCTCTTCCTGTCCCTTTAGAAACCACCGATCGTCGTCTTCGTCGTCGTCCCGATCGATTCAAACAAAAGGGAGAGATCAGAGTTTCGCCGCTGATACCGTGATTCCTTTCTACCCGAAAAAAAGAAACGCAGATCCCTCCCCTTCCCTTTCTCTCTTTTGTGTGTCTTCGACGTCATCGGGGATTAATTTTCATCACGAGACATCGGAAGAGGAGGATCAGCTCACAAGCCAAGATAATCGAATCATCCGTCCACCACCCGACTGTCTCATCACGATTGATGCAGTTTTGAGTCGACCTAGAGCTCCCAGTCTCGAAAGGAGCTCACCGCAAACACCCTAGAGTGGCGCGTAACATTCTTGCCTGCAAGATGGACGAACCGCCCGCCAAACGAGCTCGGCTGAGCGACTCGCCTCGTACCGATCGGACGGGGTCTCCTGGGGACAGGTTCGCCATCTCTGGTCCTGCAACCTCGGGTCGACCCCGTCCTTCCGTCCTGGCTTCTCCTCGAACACAATCAGAAGCAGAGGCGAGGAGGGGATCGGTCTTTGCCGGATCTACCTCGCCCACCCTGGCTCGTCTACCCACATCATCACGACATCCGCAGGGCAATCCTCCCGGTTATCCCGTTGCAACTTCTTCACACGCACCCGGATCTGCTAGTGGTTCTCGTGTGCCGCTTCCTTCTATCGGTCAGATGTCGACAGGGTGGACATCTCAAGTGACAGGATATGACCCAGGTCCAGGACCTCCTGCTCGACTGCCCCCAGAGCAAGGGTTCGCAAGGACAGACAGCCTTGGCATGATCGTTGAGAGTCACGAAGGGAGCGATGCGGGGACGGTCGGCAGTCGCGATCCTGGTCGCGAACGGGCACCGCGCAGCATGATGGCTTGTGAGTCGCAAACTAAGGCGTACCGTCGAAAGAATGTTTCAATAGGGCAAACTTTCCTGACATCGGCCCGCAAATGTCTCTCCCACCTAGGTGTACGGTGTCGCAAGCAAAAGATGAAGTGTGACGGACCCGCCGCGGCGCCCTGTCGAGGTTGCAAGTCGGTCAACACCACTTGCATCTTCGAGACCCGTACGCGATCTTCCCGGCCGAAATCCATGTCCACGCTAGCACCCGCTCAACCGCTTCCCGCCGTCATGTCCTCGGTCATAGGTACACCGACGTCGACACTTGGACCCCCAATGTACGGTCACAAGTCTACCAGAAGCCTGGATCCGTATGCGACCGCACCGCCACCACTGCTTGTGGGGACGGCGACGGGCGCGCCAGAATCACCTCGGCTGCGACAACAGGCCGTGTTTCAGCCGCCACCGCCGGGACTAGGCAAGGCAGTAGCGGTCGGCGAGCGAAATCCTGGTTTACCGTTCACACCAGGTCAACCTTCGAACCAGCCTGGACTGTTTGCGTCTTATCAACCTCGATCGGGCCACCGACCATCGTTCTCGACCTCGACTTTGGACATCTCGAGACCACCTCAAGTGACTGGGTATGCCGTGCCTCCACAAGCTGGCGGCCAGGTGACTTCGCCCACGACACCTCGAGCCATGACCGCCTTGCCACACAACCTGTACGCATTTGAGACCCGCGTCCGACAGCTGGAAAATACGGCGCGCAATGTCGAGGTCTTGCAAACCAATCAAGCGGCGCTCCAGAACACGGTTCAGTACCTCGAACTGCAAGTCCGACAACTCACCGGTCAGCTAGCCGAATCGTCCGAGATGGGTCTGAGCCGGATGTTGAGGCGGGAAAAGGGCAAGCAGAGGGAAGTCTACGTGTCAGAACGGACATGGGACGCGTACCGGTCGTACATTTCGCCACTCAGCCCGTGGCTCGTCACCTTGACGCAGCCTACCGACCTGTCTGGAGAGGTAATTTCCGCCCTGGGTATTCGTCCTCGAGTAAGCCCGGGACCCAACGAAGCTCAGACGCAGACGAGGGAGATGGCGAGGATCGAACTGGCTAGGCTAGTAGCGACGGGTGAAGATTGGAGTCGGGACGATATTCACGCGCTGGGCACGCTCGCGATGTGGGAAGGGAATTCCAGCCTGGCGAGTCTGGCGATCGGGCAAGCGCGCAAGGTGACGGGGAAAAGGAATGGGGATCTCGGCAGGGAGATGATGCAGGCGAGGGATACCGTCGAGATGATCCTTTTAGAACACATGTGAGCGCCGTGGTTGCAGGCTGACTTTTACCATCCGCCGGGCATGCTGACAATAATGGTGTCATCCTGCGTTCAGGCTGTGGTCGATAGATTCCCCATGTTTCGTACCGTCTTCCGTACGCTCGTCCGTATCAACCACATGGCGGGACAAGGTCAAGACGCACGTTCCAGCCTTCCCCGCCGAAAAGGACAACGACGTCAAGATGCTGGCCTGGATCGAGTACGCAGAGATGCTTACGGACGTGCAAAACGTCCTAATGGATCCGAGTCGGAACAAGACGAGGGCAACGAGTTCGCCACGTCCCGAAAGTATCGGGTCTGTGCGGAGTGATCGAAGGGCTGCAGCCGAGAGGTTCAGATTGGAGCGGTTAGAAAAGCGGAGAGAGTTCCTGGCCGGTTGGGACGGTTGGCAGAGTCGGTGGGGACAAGGTGGCGATCCGTGAGTTTGCGCCTGGGCGTGATGGACTGACAAACCTGGACAGGTCTGATCGTGTCCTGCGCCCCGTTTACAGTATCCTGGCACTGCATTACCACAGTGCGATCCTTATTACGACATCGCCGTTGCTCATGCAAGAGATCGAGCCCGTCTCCCTGATTTCTCCCGGAAAGCCCGCTTCTGTTCAGTCTCCCTTGATCAGGGAGCCCGGTGACCCCTCTGCACCTGCACCGGGATCCACCGCTTCCGGTCGAGCGATCGCAGGTCGACCTGGGTCTGGACCTTTTCCGCTGTGGGAAGAGCTCAGCGCCGATCACGCCGGTCACGAGATGCTGGTACGGGCTCGGGATTCAGCTGTAGCGTTGATCAGGAGCGTCTGTTCGCCCGAGATTGCGCGGACGCTGCATTAGTAAGTCTCTAGCCTCGTGGTTCCACGAATTCCGAAGCGTGGCTAATCAACTCGTCTCGTCTCCAGCTCTTTGCCCATCTTTCGATCGCGATTGGCTTTTGCCATCTCGCACATCTTGGCGCATTCGGTCGCTCTACCACATTCGACCCTGACGGCGCTCCCATTGCATCAGTCTACCTTGCGACTGGCTTACGAAAAGTTGGGCGGGAACAATCTCAGCAACGGCGGACCTGCTACCGGGTGGACGGCGTTGGGAGAGAACAGCGCGCTCGTCGAGGTCGTACGGACGGGCGATCTCACGCTGGGGTCTACCCGGATGTTATTCGCCGAGGTCGCAGATGGGTCTATTGAAGTCGGTCGGGATCTCTGGGACAGGGTGTTGGGAAAGTAAACGACGTGAGGACTGCTATGACTTAGGCGATGGACGAACGGACGACAATATATACCCGAACATGGAAAGGGACAGGGGAACAATAATACACGAGCAAAGTTCCCGGCGTTCACCGAAGCAATTCATACCCGAATCACCGCACGAGCATTTTTGGTTTTCGCTGCAAGGGGCTTCCTCCAGGCTGGAATACCCCATTTTTTACACCCACAGGCACCGACTCTTAAACCTAGTATTTAGATTGTAAAATAAAGCACATACCCAGATTGCACATCAGGGCTTGCGTTTCTGTTATCGTAGTTGTACCGTTATAGGCCAGCTGGCATCCACCGCATCGACTGCAGTCTTGTTTCATTTTGTAGTAGGGTCTCTCTCTCTGACAACGACGGTCATGAACAGCATGAAATCAATCTCGGGTTTCAGACTTGGGACAAGCTTGCGAAATCACGTGATTGTCGTATGAAAGACGCGTCCGTCGCGCGCGTGATAGCGTAATCTTCAGATTCCCTCGGCCGGCGGGAATCGAGGCGAAAGGATGATCATCATCCCCCCTCCCGCAACCCAAGTCATCTCCATCTCCATCAGGAACCATCAAACAAGACGACCACTTTGAAATATATCTAGACACTTCATTATCACTACTGTATCGATATACTCTCTACTACTGCCACGTACACTTGCTGGGTGGGCGAGGCGAGCAGAGCCCGGCGAACCTGCATGGACCAGACACGTATCGATTCGACCGCGTCGTAAATCGTCAACAATCCATCGACATCCTCGAATCAGTCTGACCAGCAGCCACACCTCGATAGGGTTTCCTATCATCTATACAGCTGGTATAGAACAGAAGGCGACTCTGCATCAGGTCCGATTTTGACAATCACGGTCGGACCAGACCGATATTCAATATGCCGGCCGGGCCTAGCAGATCCAAGGTTGAGAGACCTATCAAGACGTTGCCGAAACCCGCGACATGGTTTTCCTCTGGCAGCCTGTCTGCCAACCCCACCGACCCGCCTGCAACTTCCAAACCTAAGAACTCGGGACGTCCTAAGGCGTCTTCAGGTCGACGTAGATCGTCACCAGAAATGGAAGATGAAGGGGTGGTGACGAGGAGTAGAGCAGGTCACGCTCGGGCTGTCAGCGGGGAAGAGGACGATTTCATCATGGTCTCGGTATCTCCAGAGGGTAGCAAGGGCAGGAAGACGAGGTCACAGCATGCTGCTGCCAGCCTCAACAAGCCTGGAGAGCCGTCTTGCGGGATGACCATGGCAGCGGAAAAGTTGTCCTTGGTCGAATACGGGGGGATGAATCATCCTCCGTCTTCATCTACCCCGCCCAAACATTCTCAGCCTCCTCGACTTCCCCAACTCGATCTCGCATCCGGATTCGATTCAGGAACGTTTGATTCCCCGCTGCGACCACTACCGGGACATTCGCGCAGTCTCAGGCTGGACTCCAGTGAAGACAACAATCATGGCGCCGAGGACGAGAATAGTCGCCACCCTCAGCTCGAGCCGCTCTCGCCTCCCCGTCGAGATCGTCAGGAGCCGTTCGGGACTGCCTCAAAGACGTTCATCACGCGAGCTCGATCAGATTCAATGCGAGGAGAAGAGGGGGATGGATCGTCTCCCGATTCCGTACGACAGAGGCAGGGAAGCTGGATCAAGCGGTCCAAAGGGACCGCCAATGCGCCGGTGGCGGTAGACGCTAGCCCATTGAACGCGTTCCCAAGTGCAGGTCTGGGGAAATTTGGAGAAGGTTCGCTATTCTCACCTCAGCGGATGGGGATGCAAGACGGTGGACGGATGAGAAAGTTGACGAATGGGTCGGAGCGGTCTGATATGAGTAGTTCACCACCTCCCCCGGACACACCTATTCAGAGGGGGTCTCACCAAATTCACAAGATGCGTAGCTCGACCGGTCTGAGCGGGATCCCTCAGCCCAGGTTTGCTTCCATGAGACGCCCGTCCGTCCCGCTAAACAGCATGTCTTCGAGCCATAGTATAAGCGGTCTGCCAAAGTCGAAAAGCGGGAGCGGACATACCGGTCCCACGTGCGATGCGGACAATTCCGTCTTTCTCAGTCCGGCGAGCAAGACGGCCTGGTCGTCTTCCAAGCCGATACGGCCGGTCGAACACGGATCGTCAGCCCGAGGCTTGTTGTCGTATGGGCTCGACAAGCCGAGACCTCATAGCGGGACCGCGCTGGATAGGGAATACGAGGCGGACAAGGAGGCGGAAAAAATCTTCGGGAGTGGGAAAAAGGCGATCAGCATGAGCGAACTTCGACACGGTCCAAATGGATCGGCGAGCGGGTCCTTGTTTCAGCTGAACAAGGAGAATCAGATCGGGATGGATTCACCTCTTCGGCCCGCGAGACATCGGAGGACGGGGAGTCATCATGGCAACCAACTTTTATTCGCGAAGCCAGCCGATCGATCTTCGATACCGCCGGCTTCACCCTTTGCCACCATCACGAATCGACCTCACCGCAAGACGATGAGTGTCGAGAACGATCACTCGAGCGTAATGCCGAGGTCTTTTGGCCTGAAAACCGGACTTGCAGACTCGGCCAAGGGAGCGATCCCTAGCACGCTCGGCGGAGGATATGGCCTGATTCCTAAATCGACCAGCGGTTCGTCGCGGAGCTCGATGGAAAGTTCGATTTCGAACACGAATACCAATCTGACTTCGGTGACCAGCGCCACGAGCTTGGGTTTCGAGGACCCGCCGTTCTTCGATGATGTCAAGCCTCTTCAGGCAGCGTTCGAAGCGAGTGACAGTCAGAGGGTCAGTAGGAAGTTCAAAGGCAGGGATAGCATCTCGAGCAACAGCCTCAAGGATCAGATTCTCGAAGAGGCTCCCGAGGTAGAAATCTCGGTCGTGACGAAACCGCCGCTCTTCGCACCCCAGCCGTCTCGGCCTGGTTTCTTGAAGCGTGCCAGCTCGTACGCGAACGATCGGGACAAGAACACCTTGTTCGCAGAGACACCTGGTCTGGGACCCGTTGTCGGAAGTGGATGGCCTACAGCGTTCGGAATCGATTTCTCAGCCGCCCGGGATAGCTTGGGTGGAGCGTCTAGCTCGCGTACGGACCGGCCCAGTATGCCTGATACACCTGTCAAGAAAGGATCTTTCGATGGCACGGCCGCTGGCAAGAGCATGGGTCGGGTCAGCCACTCGGTCTCTCAGCCGATCCTTAACACGCAGCCCCTCTTCTCAGCGGCCAAAGCTCCACCTGTTCCCAGTCAAGTCGTGGTTCCGCCTCTGCCTAAACTAGTATTCAACGGGGGTCCACCTGGATATAACGTACCCCCATCCCCCATGGTTCACGCCGGTACGCGGCCTCCACTCGTCACCATCACGACGGGATCATCCCCTATGTCTGTCGATAGCCCTGGCGTCGAAGAGGCTTCGCCCACGGTCAGAGTTTCGCACAGAGCCCCCTTCGGCGCTGCTGCTGCTCAAATGATGCCGAAAGAGCAGGATTCCGCCACAAAGAGCCAGCTGGCACCGGGGGCACCTGCCAGCGTACGCATGGGTCTCCTCCGACGACTGAGCAGCAGTGCCGCCAGCGCCAGCAGCGAGATGAGCGAGGACGAGAATACACCAACAAAGATCAAGGGTGGGGAACCCGACATGTTGGCCGCTCAGCGACCGAGTCTGCTGCGATCGACGACCCCGACACCAGCTCCCAAACATGGTTCACATGATACCTCTCTGCTTGCTCCAGAAGCGGCTCCCAGTCAGAAATCGGCCTTGAAAGCGCCCTCTCTTCAACATATGCACACAGCGCCCACTCCTGCCAGGCAGTCTCTTCCCCATTTCAAGCCGGTCAAGCGTATCAACCATAGGCAGTCGGCACCCGCACCTATCCTCGATCAGGATGAGGACTTGTTTGACAAGAGGTTCATCGCGCTCGAACCGCTTGGCAAGGGCGCTTTCAGCCAGGTCATCAAGGCAAAGAGCCGAGAAACCGATAAGGTGTATGCCATCAAGAAGGCTCGAGGTGTCTTCGAAGGCGTCAAAGATCGGTACGTACAGGACGGACGCAGCGATGAGAGTGAGGCACGACCCTAACATTAGATTCGCCTTTCAGGTTGCGTCATCTGGAGGAGGTCGATATACTGCGTCATCTGAGTCGAACGCAACACCGGCATGTCATAGCTTTTGTCGATGCTTGGGAGCAGGTGTGTCTCAGGCGTCGCAACTGCCGGAGCAAGAAAAAACCTAACTGATCCGCTTTCTCCCCAGAACCGACAACTATTCATTCAGACTGAACTATACTTGGGAACGCTGGCATTCTTCCTCGAGGAATACGGCAGGGTTGTAGAGAGACTCGACGAGGCTCGGGCATGGAAGATATGCCGAGAGATGGCCGACGTGAGTTGGCTCGCGACTTGACTCTCCGGGTCACATGTACTAACAGCCCATTCTATCCGCGCGAACCTTCAGGGTCTGGCCTACATACATTCGCAAGGGGTGATACATTTCGACCTGAAGCCAGACAATGTCCTGATCGACGAGACGGGCTGCCTCAAGATAGGAGACTTTGGCATGGCAACTAGGTGGCCTCGGATCTCGGCGGAAGAGATCCTGGTTGGCTCCGGGCTTGGCGGGGAAGTCGGCAACGCTAGCGGAATCTCGCGCTTGAGCGACCGCGAAGGAGATCGCGTTTATATGGCACCTGAAATGCTGCAGGGCGACTTTACAGCCGCTAACGATGTCTTTAGGTGAGTGGTCTAGTCAGACTTGTTCGCCATCCTCGCTTGAGCTCACGTGAGCGGTCTATAGCTTCGGTCTGGTCGTCCTCGAAGCCGCCACCAATATTTGTGTTCCAGACGGTGGCTGTGAGTAGTGGTCTACTTGATCATCATGCCTTTCAAAAGGCTAAATAATCTTGACACGATAGCTGCCTGGCACGCCATCCGCGAGAACGACTTTTCCATCATCGACTTTACTTTCTTATCGCCTGCCTTGGTTGACCTGATCACCCAGTGCATGCGTGCCGACCCTCTCGAACGACCTACTATGGCGAATCTCATAACACATCCTATTTTGGAAAGAGCCAGGAGACTGGGCAAGGATGCTCTCGCCCCAGAGGACGAAATGTTTTTGCCTCGAGTCTTGGCCGATGCGTCTCCCGCGACCGCTATGGCAACCGACGTGGACGTGGAGATGACGGACTAGTCAAGAATCATCGCCAACTCTGACGTGCCGTTCTGGTTACGCTGCTACTCTTGTGAACGACAATCTCCGTGACGAACGCTTTATAACGACACTACCACATTTCGTTTCGCTTCCAACTTTTTGTTCGGAACCAGGTTCCTGAACCCTTGTCATTCGTGATTTCTATATTGTTGTACAAGCATATGCCATTCGTCTGCCGTGTTTGGATTCTATGCTTCGTCGCCGACTTCGATACCGATCCAGGAGACAAAAACCTGCTCGTCGAAACCCGCTCTGGTAAACATCTTGACTGCCGTCACGTTGTACGCTTCACAGTCCGCATGGATGTAGACGGAACCGGAATGCAGAGGATGACGTGGGAATTGTGAGGCAAATTGTCTAGATAGCTCGGCTACGACGAGCTGAGCCAGTCCTTTTTTGCGATGACCTTCGACGGTGTGCAACGACCCGATGGATACTGCAGTATGAGGCGGTGCTTAGCTAATCGGCAACAAGAGCTTAGATTATGCGGACGACCTACGGTCATCGTGAGTCAGGGCCCAAGCGGCCAACTCGTCGGTAGCCTCGTCTATTACAGTAACTGAGAAATGGATTCTTGATACGTAATAGGCCAGAGGTCGAGGGTGAGAGCTCAAGGCAACGATCTGACAGGCAGAGCAAGCCATGTCAGCGTTGATATTGGCTTGTCCCCGCAGCTTCGTGCTCAACTCACGGTATCACAATCTTCTGCCGTAGCTCTCCTTACGCGGTATCCCGCAGGAGCCTGGATTTCTTGATTGGCAGCGGTCACATCAAGCCTCTTCACCATCCTGGTACAACTGCCGTCGTAGATGATCTTTTTGCCAGATAGAGGTACCCAGCAGCGATCGATGCCGAAATATATAGCTTTCGTCTTCCGCCATAGTGAGAGAGTCGGTAGGATACCTTCTTCGAACATCCGGGTAAATAGTGCTGCGCTCTCTCCCGTCGGAGGCGGTACGTGTCCTTCCAGCGAGCTCGACTTGACCAAGGGCTCGTGTGACACGTATAGGTCGACGCAAGGGGTGTCGTCCACCATTCGTAGTCCGTTCGACATCACCAGAATCCCGAAAAGGGCCTCAGGATCGTCCTCCTGGCCTTCGGGAGGCAAGTCGCCATAGAGCCGGATCAGGCTCCGTTCCCCATGGTGATCTGTCCAGGCTTTCCAGCATGTCTCTGGGTCGATCGGATGGATGTCTCGCTCGATCAACGGAGCGAGAAAGAGGTTTCGCACCCGGAGCGAATGTGGCAGATGGTACGGCGCTGAGAGCACCTTGATCAGGCGAGGTAGGTCCGTATACTCCATGTCGACGTAGATGTCGACTTGAGAGTTGCGGGGGGTCGCACATGGTTGATCTCTTCCTGTTTTGAAATATATATTTCTGGGAAATTCGCCGAGAATCGGAATTCGGACTTGACCGAAAGTTAGGTTTCACTTGAACTCGCTGGCTTGCTTCCGTTCGTCTCGCAAACATGTGGGACCGGGTTGGGCATGGATTCCATACGGAATCCAAAACTAGCTGGAATGCGATGCTAGCCAGTGACGTTCCAGGTGTCCTCGACCGCTATGATCTAGCTGAGGCGGATGCTCGTTTCCAGTGGGGCTTTGGCCGGCACAAACGACACCACATGTTCATGCATCAAATACCGACTTACAATCCTAAGCAAGAGCGTAGCAAACTACAGAGGAATCTACAAAGATCGATGACCTTCCTTTCCAGGCAACAGGACATTACGTTCTGCCTGTAAGCTAGTCCCGCGTCGGTAACCAACTCGAACGCCTCTCCCGAGCATATGCGCGATCCCTCTCATGTCGCAGCCTCGCGCGGTCTCGTTCGACTTGGTCGTCTTGATGGCGTCTGTTCTCGTTCCAATAAGGCGATGCGCTGGAGTCTTGACGCGTATACCCATGAGTACCAGGTGGAACGATCTCTGGCTGAGATCCATGCATTTCGTATCCATAGCTATATGGCATGCCAGAATATTGTCCCGATGATGGCATGAACATGTTGTTCCGGTACGCGGGAGCGACGTAGCCGTTAGGCGACATGGTAGGGTAAGGATGGTGACTATCCATCTGGGATGGAGGCATACTTCGACCTCGCAGCTCGTTATTGCCGATCGTCGAAGGGGATGGGCGATGGGTTGCCGATGGCAAGTCGCGATGAATATATCCAGGAGGCGCACCTGCCGGGAAAGGCGGAGGCGGGGGCGGAGGAGGCAGTGGAGCAGACCTGACGCTGGGACTGCGTGGAGTAGGTGCGCTGTCTTGTTGAGCCGCCATCTCGGCATCTCGGGGTCGCTGAGGTAAGGAACGTAGGTTAGTGGATATCTCATCGATTGAATGATTTGACTCACCTCGTCCACCGCTCTCAGGCACCATACTGAGAGTATCTGCATGACAGAAGGGGTATCGGCCTTTCTGCTGATGACCGGGCTGACGGAGCACTTTTCGAAGGTTGGATCCTATCGATGCAACCATATGTCATAGATCAACTCATATGCTCGAGCGATTTCGCTGCGAAGAGGCTTACGAAGTGTCCAAAGACCCAATGTTGAAGGTTCGTGATACAGAAGAAGAAACAGTGATTCTTCACGCAATCGACGTAAATCGATGCTTGCAACAGGTTGGCTTGGCCTCTAAGAGACCGCAATTCTTCAGGAGATTCTCGTCTCCACTCAGGCTGAAGACCGGGAAAAATCAGACCGAGCCGGAAAATCCAGCGTTGCCATATAAGACTCACGTTCGCCTGGACAAATTGCTGAAGCTCCTGCTTGCCTATCAGCCAAGGAGGCCTGATACAGAAGATCAACGCGCGATCCATCGGAATTTGCGTATCGACCAGTACAAGACTGCCACAGCCATCGGGAAGCTCGGTGGTGTTTTGTTGGCGAACTCCACCTCGCGTAAAGTGGCTTCGACCGTGCTGGTCCCTTAGACTCGGCGCCACTGTCTCTGAAAGAACCTGGAAAGACATGTTCTGCGCGTTGAACCTGAGCATGTGGAGGACAGAGGTCACAGTCTTGAGGACCTGGAGGTTGCGAAATGTCAGGTCGTCAGACAGTCCTAGCTACCAGAAGATCGAACGCAACTCACGCATCCGGTTACCCATCCTAGCAAGCCCGCGTCTTCAGCCCTCAACGCGGCCTCATCGCCGAAACCGACGGTATCGAATCCGTCCGCAGAGACCGCAAAGATCCTAGATAACAAACGGGCGAACGTTCAGCACTTGTAACGCGACAAACCAGATGGAGGAAGCACTCACTGATCGCCCCATCGATTGTCTCGGCTGATTGGGCGATATGGAACGTTCTTCTCAAACGCTGTCGATTCACACGATTAGTTATGCGTTTCATGATGGCTCTCACGCGCGGGTGGCTTACACTGCTCGATGGCCCGAAAGAAGCTCTTTCTCTGCAACCACTGTCTCAAAGGACGCTCGGCCGATCCTGTGCTTTCATTTGTATAGCTCATGACGCATGTCACCAGCCTTTCTACCGTACGTGCTTTCGGCGAATCTTGCGGGAAACCTCCTCGACCCGTACTGGACGTAATCGATCCGGTTCCCCATAACGGACGGGATTGCCATCTCCCACGCTCCATCACATAAGATTCTTGTTCGGCCGGATCGATCCACTTTTCCCATTTATCGATGATCGCCTTTTTGAGATACAGGTTCAGATTATCTGCCGGACCAGAAGGAGGCCGCGACACTTGGCTAGGATGCGGTAGCAACTCATTGATATTCGGCATGGACGCGTTGATGTAGCCTCGATCGTAGCGAGGTCTTGTTTGCGACCCTTCCTCGGAATCGTAGATGGACGACCTTCGCCGAGGCATGAACGGTAGCGCTTCTCGAAGACCTCGCAAAGAGAAGATGCTGGACCCATCTCTCCCCTGGTCTCTGTTGCGCGACTCGTAGTAATCCATGGCATAGGCTTGTTGACCGGGACTCATCATCGGCGACATTGGCGGGGACGACATCGAGTTGAACGAAGGCGCAATCGGAGAGAATGATCCTCCGTACATATCTCCCTGATGTGGCGGGTACGGATAGGCGGGATACATCTGCCCATGCTGAGGGGGAAGTGAAGGTAACGGTTTGAACTGGTGCGTTGCGCCCGACATGGCTGCCATCCGAGCATACTCGCTGCCCGGTCCCGGCTGATCGTACGGGGACCTCGGCGGCATACTAGCACGCTCCATTGGTAACCTCCGACTTCTATCATCCATATCCGTCTGAACCATCCTGAGCGCCGGCCTCAGTGTCCTAGCTTCCACGTTCCTATGGGTCGGTTCCTTCCTCTTGACCCCACCCCTAGGCGACCTAATAACCTCGGCATTATCCATCCTCCTTCTCTCCCTCCTCCTTCGGTCGTCCTCACTCTCTTCCTCCTCCAAACTCTCGTGATCACGCTCATAACCCTCGGCATTTCTATTCCCCCGCCCACCGTTACCAACAACGCTCCTTGGCCTTCGATCCATCATCGCGCTCGAAGCCGCTCGACGACTCGCCACCCTGATCCGTTTGAGCGCCTTTTTCGCGCTTCCGAGATCCTTGAAGGTGTATTCGACAGAAATTCCACTAGTGCCCGTCGTCCCTGTGGTGGCGTTGCCTCCTTTGGATCCGTCGCTCGATGGACCGGTCCGACGAGGCGGTTCAGCTTGTTGCGTATCGGATTGAAGACGTTCGGCGGGTTGGTCTTCGTCGCTATCTGGCGGTGGACCGCGTGGGAAAGGAGTTCCAGGTCGAGGAGGTACGTAGATCTGATCAGCCAGATCAGTTTCCGCGTCCGCCTCGGGAGCGGGCTCCGGTGGTGATTGAGAAGGGGGATGCGATTCGATGACGGTCGGAGCTCTCGAAACTCGAGACATCCGATCGCGCTAAGTGTTACTCCTTCGATCGATATATATCTCCGAAGCTAAGCTCCGGCCTCTCTTCTCTTATCCTGGTACTCGTGCCTTTCCTGGTTCTCGTTCCTACTATCCTTCTCCTGCTCAGTGTGTAGACAAACTTCTCTGTACGCCTCCTCCACTACTTCTTTGCAATTGATCCTCGTATCTAGCGTAATCCTCCAACCGATCGACCTTTCTTTGACTTTCCCGTCGAGCCCTTCGTTGCCTATCGAGTTCGTCCAGGTCCAATTCCCGCTCGCGTTCTCGGTCTGGTTGATTTGGGTTTTGATGTTGGCTGTGAAAGCTCGTCGAGCTGGATGGTCGATAATATCCCCTGTTCTCTTGCGTTTGAGGAGGATAATACTGGCCCGGGTTGGAGTTGGAATAGGACCTTGATCTCGAGTGCGAATGCGAGGTGGAAGGAGGGTTCCGGCTCAAAGATCCCGTATAAGATCCTCCTTGCGATTGGTGCCTGCCGTGATGGCCTTGGCTATGGCCGTAAGAGGACCCCGATCGATAGACGGGTGCTGGGACTTGAGATTGCGAAGCGTCAGGCGCGAAATATCCTGAACCCGCACCTGATCCGGGTCGAGGGAGAGGAAGCTGCCCTTGTAGCGGTGTGTTCGGGCGGTAAGAGTGCACAGAGCCCACCGAATTGGGTCGGACGTAAGGACCCGAGTGATTGGAAAAAAGTTGAGGCGGAGGTGAGTTGTGGTGAATGTGGATAATCTGAGGGGTTGATGGGACTGCGTATGGAGCCGGGCGCACTAGAGCAGGTCCGACCGGGAGTGGCGGTTGAGGTGGGTAAGTATTGTCTGGATAGATTGCAAAAGGGTAGTATCAGACAGAGTACACTCGCACAAGATGGACGAGATGAACTGACATCCTCCCCACAACCTAGGAAATCCTCTTGGTCTTGGGAATCCGTATCCTTGTGGCGGCAGAGGTCCTCCTACGAGCTGTGGTCCGTACCCAGGTCCGTAAGCTAGATGTCCAGGTGGATAGTTTCGGTGATACCTGTCGTCGTCGAAGCAGTAGTAACAGCACCCACAGCAATCGTCGCAGCAGTGGTAGCAGTCGCAACCCCAGAGTTCGCTGCAGTATCCGGCAGAACAGCAGACTCCCATAGGACGGGCGGTTGAGTACTGGACAATATTGCGAGAGGTGAAGAGAGTGGATGACAAGACGAGAAGCTCGGAGGTTCTGCTGGGGAGATCGATCCATCGTATATCACGATTCGTGGCCAAACCTTGACCCCCGAGAACAAAAGACATCAAGGGTGGTCAGGGTGGACATTCATGAGCATGAAAGCAAGGTTTGGCTCGACATCACCACGTCATCCCCCTTCTCTTTTGTTTTCTGTTGAAACCCGATCGAAACGGATTCAAGTCATCCACGTCGATCGAGAGTGAGACCTTCCAGCAGAATCCATCGACAATCAAACCAAAGGAAGGGGCCGAAACTGATCGAAGCGCCCAGAGAACGGTGGCGTAGAAGCTCGCGCGGGAGTTTCAGATGATCCATCCCGCGATCCACCGAACAATCATATCAAAGGACCCCCGTCGATTCCGATCGTACGATCTTGCCGTCTCGGCCGAGTCCACTGGATGATCGACCTTGCCTCTATGACAGGACGTCTCGGAGTTATTGATGTAATGTCACGGTCTTTACGTCTCTGGATGAAGTTGTTGTTCGTTATGGGCGTACTCGAACCTTTCTCAATGCCATTCAAGTCCGACGGATTCCCCTGCTGTCGATCTGTCCGGCTGGCAAGGTTGGCACCAACCATTTGTCTATCAAGGGGAGAGGAATTGGGAACGTCCGAAGTGGTAAAGACGAACGGAACATACGGCGTCATTGGAAGGAGGTTCTGGACAGAGGGGCTGAACACATCCCCGTCAACGATCTCCTACTCCGTCTTGAGCGCGTCATCAAGACCAAGTATGACCTTGAGCCCCTTTGCGAGCTCCTTGGCCATCCCCCTGCCTCTTGAGTTCCGGATGCGACGTGTAGCTGGTATGTGGCACAACGGAACCCGAGTTGATGACGTCGCCCTCCTCCCATCCCGGAAGTGACATGTCGTTCAGATCTACAAGACTGTGATGCATCATGACAACTATATACTACACATAAATCCCTACTCTCGACCTAAGACCGAATGCAAAACGTCCTCGCCATCCCTCAGTCACTTATACAAGCTCCCCTCTCCATCCTCCTTCATTCCCTTGGCTGCTGAGATTGCGATCAGCCGGGATACTTCCCCCTCGCTCACTTGCCCTCGTACCCAGCCAGCTCGACTCCGAACGCGATAGCCAGCTTTGAAAACTCCTTCATATGGTTGAAAGAGAACTCTTCGTGCTCGGTAGTATCCCCGGTAGAGTGGATCAGCTTGTCCGAGTCGGCAAAGGTCGATTCTGGAGGCAGAGACGGGGCAGTCAAAGAGTGTCAGATTGGAGGTTGCGTGGGTGATGACGATGACAACGACGACTCACCGATGGTGAAAGCGGATTGGTATCCAGCCTGAGAGAAACTAGCGTGGTCCGAGCACTACGATCACAGTCACACCAGCTCGCCTTGTCAGTCACCGTTCTCGATGTCGCAAAACGCGTATTTCCCAGCAGACTTACAGCATAACCGCACTTGGTAGGAACGGCACTGCGTTGATTGTCGGAAAGAGTGTAGGCAATGTTAGTGTGGCCTCAGATACAACGCAGGTTAGTTATGCGGTTACTAACGGAATATCAACTAAACAAGGTGAAGACCGCGTGTCAGCCCATAATCCTCCTGTATCTCACCCCAGAAACGCTCAGACTTACGATAAGCGCCAACAGCCTTGGTCATAAACTCGCTCAAGGCCGGGTCCACAAAGTCGGTGATGATTCCTACGACCTCCTCGGTCCCCTTCTTTACCCAGGCGGTCATGTCCATCTGGACCATGGCCTTGACAACGACGCCCTCGGCTTCGTATTCCTTGGCGATCGCTTGAGACCCGAGGAGACCGCCCTCTTCGGCGCTGAACCAGTGGAACTCGAGGTCGCTTTCCGTAGGTACGTAGCCGGCTTCGTTTAGCGCCTTGAAGGCGTGGATGGTCGAGGTCGTGCCCGACCCATCATCGTCGGCTACGAGAGCGAGTGGGACCATGGGGTAAGGATCAGCGAGAGGGTCTTGTAAGGCCCAAGGGGCAAGCCAACGACGCTCTCGACTCACCTCCGGGAGCAGGCAAGAATGGCCACAAGTTGGTACTGTCCTGATGAGCCCCGACGACGACGACGCTCCTCTTCTTGTCCTTCTTCCCAGCCGCCGGGAACCTAGCGATAATACTGCTCTGTCCCCAAGGATGTTGAAACGCCCTCACGCTGACTTTCGTGGCCTTGTTCAGCTTGGCAAACTCTTCGACCTTGCTCTGCAACCACCTGGACGACTCGGCACCGGTGGACGACTTGTAATACCGGGTTCGGAAACCGCCGGAAAAGTGGCCGAGGAAGGTGCGCATCGAGTCGGTTGAAATGCTGGGGAAGAGGGAGTGGATGTAATTGTTGGTCGTGCTGTTGGCCTTGGAAGGCGAAGGGTATTCTGAAAAAGATAGATGACGTATAAACACCAGATATGTGGAAGAATCTCAATAAGGCCATTGCACTCACCAAACACCTTTTGATGCTTGCCTCCGGGCGAGATCAACGATGCGAAACCAAGATCGGGGTGATCAGTGCTGTTAAGCGTCGACAAGACGGAAACCGTGTTTATCAGCTAGTGTCAAATGTTCTGCGACTGACTGGACTCACATATCCATGAATTTAAGACCCTTGGCCTTGGCCTCGATCTTCTCCAATTCGGTCATCCAGACGGGCACCTCATCCTCTCCAAACCTGATCAACCTCTTCTCCTTCAGGTCGAGATCGAACCCGTCTTCCTTCCACTCGTACATTGCGTTCCTGATGTGTGAAGATTGGTCGTCCGTCAAGAGGGCGGATCGGAAGAGCTCGTGCGGGGAAGGAGCTTGGAGAGCGGACTGCGAAGGGGCGTTGGCGATCATGGGCGAGGCGGTGATCGAGCTGGGCGCCAGGGCCAGCAGAGCTAGCAGCGGGATGAGGTTTGTGAGCATGTTGATGATGGTTTGTCGGCAGTATCTCTTTGACGCAGAGGAGGTTGAACGGAGTCAAGTGGTTAGTGTTGATGTAATTGTATGCCTTTGATCTGAACTCGAGATCATGGATGGATCTACGATTGCGAAGCCCCAGATGCTGCTCTCGGCCGCATCCGGTATCGATGGCGCTGCCGGTTATCAACAATCGGTCATGACCGACCCAATCCTCCGCCAGGGATCGACAAATGACGTGTTATAAGGGAATTGTAATTGTTGAATCATCAATCCCCCCCCCGGCTATCGTCCCATTCCGGTTAATCACAACATCCCGTACAAACAGACAAAGTGTACCTACAAGTTCTTGCAATCAGAAACTAGAACATCTCGATCGTTAGCGAACACTGTCATCCATCAACACCTATTCGCTACCACATCCCGAACATCAAACACAATCATAGTCAAGCATGTCCGGACTCGATGCAAGCTCACTCTTCAACGTCAAGGGACAGGTGAGTCGCAGGGCCGATGTGCGACTGACAGCGTCTTCTCCTGGTTTACTGACCTTGATCGCCCGGTCATGGCCTGTTCGTACAGGTGGTTCTAGTCACCGGAGGTGGAAGGGGTGTCGGAGAGATGGCAAGTCACTCGGCTAGGCCTGTCCTCTCCTCATTATACCCGACCTCGAGCTGATGACCCCGCTGTCTAACGCGCTCAGATCGCCACGGGCTACGTCCAGAACGGCGCCAAAGTCTACATCTCGTCTCGAACCCCGAGCGCTCTGAAGGAGACGGCCGACAAACTGAACAAGCTCGGGAAGGGCGAGTGTATTCCTATCGTCGCTGACCTGAGCAAGTGAGTCGAGCATGTTCTTTTGTGTAGTAGGACCGTGTGCGTGTGAGCGGTGAGCTGACTATGGGAGCGGCTGGCTCTAGGTACGACGAGTGCGTCAAGCTCGCAGAGGAGATGGGTCGACGAGAAAAAGGTAAGACAGAGACCTCCTTCCCTTGTTACGCCTCTCTCATCTGACATTGTTCTCCTCCCCTCCGTGGCCTAAAGTCCTGAACGTCCTGGTCAACAACTCTGGAGCCACATGGGGCGAATCCCTCGAGACCTATCCGGACCAAGCGTTCACAAAGCTCATGACGCTCAACGTCCAACGAGTGTTCACGCTCAGTCAAAAGTTGGTGCCCCTCTTGAAAAAAGGTGCTGAAGGCGGTGGGGTTGGTAGGATCATCAACGTGAGGCTCAATTCGACTTGAGTAGCTGTAAATAGTAAGTGTGCTAAACTGCTTTTGGATTGCGTCGATCAGATCGGAAGTATCAACGGAGAGATTCCTCCGGCCATGGAGACGTACGCATACTCGTCTTCGAAAGCCGCTCTGCATCAGTACGTCTTTCCCCCTGTCCTCCCCTCAATCAATCCGGACGGACCATTGGCTGATCTCGTCTCGCCCCGCTCGCAGCCTCTCGCGCCACTTGGCCAGCCGTCTAGCCCCCGACGGCATCAACGTCAACACCCTCGCCCTCGGACCCTTCCCTTCCAAGATGATGGCCGCGACGCTGGACAAGTTCAAGGACGATATCGTCCGAGGTATGCCCCTCGGCCGGGTCGGAGAACCGAGCGACGTCGTTGGGGCATGCTTGTGGTTGAGCGGCAAGGCTGGGCAGTTCATCACGGGCGCGACGGTTCCCATCGAGGGCGGGCATTTGATCGCGGCCAAGTTGTAGTACCGGGGTGGCTCGTAAAGCTACGCTATCAATGGTTGTAACGCAAATCGAAATGGCATGATGATCGCATGATCAGTATTTCGGCCAGGAAACAGAACCTGAATATCGAGCCCCAAGATCAACCTTGGGCTTGTTGGCGATTGCCTCAGCGACATGATGATCTGCAAGCCGGTAAGAAACTGGTCAACTCTTGTACTTTGCAACTTGCGGGGCGGATGGATTCGAGTAGCTGACGGGGGCCCACAGGGTCGAGACGGGCGACGAGACATCGGAGTGTTGGCGAGGGGAGGCAAGATGTCCCTGTCCCCCAACGCCGCACTGATGAAACATGCACCTCGAACCTGAGCAGCGATCTGGGCTTACACTCCTCTCCTTACAAAGTCGCATAGGGGCTTGTGCCCAACCCGATAGCGATAAAAGCTGGTTTTTGGAATCCCATTTGCATCAAGAAGGACGCTGCTATTGCGCAGGATTCTTGCAGAAAGATCATCTTGAGGGCTTTGCTCGCTCGACATTATTCTTCAACCTTTGGTCCCGCCGGCCTGGGCCAGACTGGAGTTTGCACCAATGCCCACATCACCCCGCCAGACAGCGACGAGGAGCCCACTTTCATCACGCCTCCTTGCACACATGATCTCCTCACCCCAGATGCTACCCCCGAAAGGTTTCGCCGGGAAAACAAGATCATCGAGCGCAAACTCGAGGCGTCGGAATTTCTCAAAGAGATTGAATCGGACGCCTACCTCGCCGCCGAGTGGACATCATCCTGCCTCGCCGCGGGCTCGACGATCTTCTTCGCTTCCTTCTTCTTCGCCGCGGGCTCGACCATCTTCTTCGCTTGCTTCCCTTCACCGGGTCTTGGTCGTAGTGGTACGCCTCGTGTTGACTGCCGGTCAAAGGAGGGGAGCAAGGGGGGCCACGATGGTCGTACCATACCGGGTTGAAAGACGGATCCGATGGCGTGAAGCCAGATTGATCAGGTGCGTCGCTGTCCATTTGCTATTATGTATCCAAATTACATTCCCGACTTTACCAACTTTTCATTATACAAAACACCGCGGACTTTTGATCAATCTTGATTCGAAGGACCAAACTTTATACAATTCCACCTGTTGCACGGGCTCACAGCCGACTCTTGATCTCCCTGACCAAGCCCTCCGCCTCGTCATCGTCCAGGAAATCGCTAGATCGCGAGGCGCAATCGAACAACGTCAGCGCAGGCCGCCGACAAGACCGTCATCTCAGGAGGGACTCACCGATAAGCCATCTCGCCCCTCAACATGTATTGATGACTCGGCGGGGAAGATCCGGCGGGTTTGTGTTCATACGACTTGTTGTTGTTCTTCTTTTTCCGTGATGGCGAGGACACCGATAGTTTGTTCACGGGGAGTTCGCCTACGGGATCCGAGCTGGATGTGGTATTGGATGTTCGTGGTTTCGGGTCGGGTTTGGGGATCGAGCTGAACGTGGGTGCTGGGATGAGGTGCCAGTGAACCTGGAATCGACAGGACGGCGGCGCTGCTTAGCTTTCTTCTAGGGTTGACGTATAGGAAAAGGTTTCTTGGGCTCACATGCTGTATACGATTCGCCGTAGTTTCCAGGTGATAGACGAGAGAGTAGAAAGATTTGCGACATCATGTTTCAGCTTGATTTCACTATCTCCCCTCGTGCTTGAGCATACGACTCACGTGTACCGCCTGCGCGTATCCCTGATTACAGACGACGTTCAGATCGGGATTCCCTGTCGCCTCGCATACGGCGTTCACCACCTTGGGTAAAGCCATTCCCATCTTGCCTGCGCTCGTTGGATCCAAGTCGGCGAGCCGCACCACGTGAGTTTTGGGTATGAGGAGCGTATGCCCGGGTCTCATCGGATAGATGTCTGAAGGGCCAGGAAACGATGAGAATATGGATTTATCTTCAGACACTCAAACTTTAAGCGGGATATTCCATGACGATGATGACTCACCTAGAAAGGCCATACAATCCTCGTCCTCGTAAACGACGTACGCTCCGCTCTTTTCGGCGACGATCCGGCAAAATGTGCAGTTCTCGTCCCGAGCGGGGTATGAGGAGGGGCGGTCTTGTACCGATCGGAGGACAAAGGATGTCATGATAGGGGCAGTTCGAGAGCTTCGAGTATCAGGATCAGATGCAGTAGAGGAGCAAGAGGTTGGCGACAATAATGTGAAAGTGTCGCAAAATGTAAACGTCCATGTTGAGTATTCGTAAGACCACCCCCCACACTCCCCGTCAAATTACATCCGGCTTCCCCCGATCCAGATCGATCGGAAGTAAATCACGCCACAGGGCTTGCACATGATTTCTCTTTGACACGTCATTAGGAATCGTCGAGTCACGGACGCGTCAAGTTACGACTTACCAACAAAGGGTGCATGTTGCAAGTTGCGGCGGATTCGTGCGTGCGTAACGGGGAAGGGTGCGGTACTGCGAGGGGAATACAGGGTATACGGGGGTTGCGACGCTCTCTTTTCGTACGCGCGTCTGCGTATTCCCCCTCCCTCCCCTTCGCCCCTTCGCCTCCCTCCCTCCCCCTCGACACGATACACAATCATCATCATCATCATCATCAACCTCACCCACCTCCATTCCTATCACGATCGATAGTCTCGACAACCCCAACATCGACAACAACAGCAAGACAACAACACAAACATGGGTAAGTACATCCACCTTATCATTGTCAATAATCACGCTGTCGTCGCCATCACAGCCTCGATAGCTAGAGAGAAGGTCGGACACGTAGGCTGATTCGACTCTCGCGTTATCATCCTCTCACAGCCCGTACCAAGCAGACCGCCAGAAAATCCACAGGTCCGGGACAAAATTGAACCAGACCGACGCTAGGCAAATCGCTAACAAGGTGTCTCCTCACTGTACAGGTGGCAAGGCCCCCAGGAAGCAGCTCGCCACCAAGGCCGCTAGGAAGACTGCGCCCTCGACCGGAGGTGTCAAGAAGCCCCACAGGTACAAGCCCGGTACCGTCGCTTTGAGGGAGATCAGGAAGTACCAGGTGAGCTCATGTCCCGGCTTTGATCCTCGGTCGAGTCACTGGCTTGGGTCAGGACGGTCTTTGCTTACTCGGATGCCTTCTTGCCCTTCGCGATCGCTTCTTATCTTGCGGAACACAGAAATCCACCGAACTCTTGATCAGGAAGCTCCCCTTCCAGCGTCTCGTTCGAGAGATCGCCCAGGACTTCAAGACTGACCTCCGATTCCAGTCGTCCGCTATCGGAGCGTTGCAGGAGGCTAGCGAGGCCTACTTGGTCTCCCTTTGTGAGTACTGCGCGCCGTCTGTTTCAAGGGGTTTCGTCCGAGAGATGGTAGCTCACTCGTGTTGAACAACGTTTATTCGTCGCGTCGCAGTCGAGGACACCAACTTGGCTGCTATCCATGCCAAGCGAGTCACCATCCAGCCCAAGGGTACGTCCTTCTCCTCGCCGCCCTCCTTGTCATTCCGCTTCCTAGTCGCTGACCCGCTTTCATCTCTGTTTTTCCAGACTTGCAACTCGCTCGTCGTCTCCGTGGCGAGAGGACCTAAGCCAAGGAACACTCAACCCGAGACGAACAAGAAGAGTTTGACATCTCGATGTCGGTTCTTTACCCCTAGTCTCTCTTCGGAGGACCTGTGGGCTCGTACTCGTAGAGGTCCTATCTTGGTTTCGACTGTCTCTCTTTACTGCCGGCTCGCTCGCTTTTGCTCTTCGGATCCGGACCTTTCTTTCGCCTTCTTTCATCCGGACCGACCCATATACTACAACACAATGCCCCTTCTTTGAAATCGACTGAACCTGGACTGCAATATGAAGACCGCCCTCGTTACTACAACAACCACCGATATTTGATTTTCGCTCAATCCCTGATCACCCGATCTCCCTTTATCATATATACATACATCTTCAATCACACGCATTCGATCACATTGGGAACCACTGAAAGGACTGAACGCGGAAGGGTGGAGCGATCTATTCTTCCAATTTCAATCCTGGACGCGAGTCCGGATCGTCGAACCGTGTTTGTGTTTGGAAACTTAGCGTGCTTTTTCGGATTTGGAAATTGTATGAGAAAAATGTCCACCTGTTAGCAGGACGTCTCCGGGTCCCCTTCCCCTTCACAGGGGTCAGGGTCTGGATAGGTTTATATATATACATCGGGTGACCTATAACTAACTATTCTTGACTGTATTGGCTCATTCATGGCAGAACTCTCGAGTTTCACAGACTGTGTCAACGTTGAGACAGATCGTTCGCCACGGTTCCTAATCCTGCTCACGCTAGCCTGGTGACAACATTGTCCCAACCTGTTGAGCTTCTGTTGAGTAGTTGGATATGATATGGTCCTCCCCTTCAAGGGGTCTCCAACTATCGTGTGATCAAGGAGATGTTCATTTGATATATCTTTGCGCTTACTATATTGCATACTACAATTCGTCGTGGGCGGCCTGGCCGTCATCGTCATCTGGACCCAGCCCCAAACCCTCTGCCACGTCCTGAGCGCCATCTTTGACCGCCTGGGCCATCTCTTCGCCTCGTTGCAAGATCGTCTCCTCGAGCTGCTCACCGCTTTCCTTCATCCGCTGCTTGATGCTCGCCCAATCTTCGAACTGTGCGTCCTTGAGCATGGCGGCAGGTTCAAAGGTCGATCCCTCTGTACTGGGTTCTTCATCAACCTCTGGGAGAGGTCCAGTGGCTACAGGAGGAGCTGGGCGGACGTTTGATTTGGTCCTAGCAGACAACGAGACGCCCAAGGATCGTCGCAATAATGACTCGACGCGGTCGAAATAGCTATCGAGAAAAGAGTCTAGGCAGCTCAGTGATGAACGGACGGGCGCACGCTAGCGGCCTATCAGACTCACGTGTTGCTGTCCTTGACATTGAATCCGCTTCGAATCAAGGCCGTGTCGATGAGAATCGCAGCGCTTTCACGGAGCTCCAGCTCGTCGGCAGTGGGTCCGGTCCCTTCTTCATTGATGTCCTCGTCGAACGAAGGCATTTCGAGCAGTCTCTCTAGTAGGCCTTCGACCAAAGGGCTCTTCGGGTTGAGCTCAAGGATCTTGGGCATCTGCGCCATCATGACAAGCATGGGGTCGTCCTTTTTGGCGTTGGCCATGGCGAGCCGCTGGGCGTTAGCTGACCAGCCAAAGTTGTCTGCAAGTGTTTCATCATGTCATGCATGAGCGACGCGAGGTCACGTCTGTGAGGATAGCGACAGCCTTACCTGCGACAATGGCACATGGCGACGAGACCAGTCGGTTTGTCAAAACCACTAAGTCGCGCAAAGTCAGTCACACATGCCCTATCGCCCTCAGAACCCAAGTCAACCCACCATCAGCAACGATGCCTTCAAACTGCGACTTGAGCCATTTGAGCAACGGCGCAAAAGCCTTGTTCTGGGCAGCGAGTTCCGCTTTTTCAGCCTCGTGTTCGTCCTCGTCTCCGTACTTGAGTCCCTTCTTCGAGACGTCCTGGAAAGTCAGACCACTACCATTCATATCGTCAGAAAAATGCGATTCTTCTCGGTGGGACGAGGGACCCGTTCCTCACCGGTAATTACGCAGGGCCAACATGACACTTTCATCAGGAGGTGCATTCAGTAACAGCACTTCGTAACCTCGCGCCACTGGCTTTTCCACTAAAGGAGATCTGGCGAGGGCTTCAGGCGATTCGCCCGCACCCGCGAGGTAGAAGATTTGCTTTTGATCGCCACGACGGTTCTCGACATACTACCAACGAGGTTTATGCTCAATTTCACCGAATTCCTTCTGGGTGGTCCTGACGCGAGGCTCACCTCATCGAAACTGGTAAAGTCGGACCGGGTCGAGGAGACCCTCAACAAGCTAGCAAGCTTGTTCTGATCCTTTTTCGAGCTCGATTCCAGGATCCCTACCCTCAAAGCGCTTCCGTACACGGTCGAAAACTTCTTGAAGTTCTCCTCGTCGTCATTGGCCAATCTCGTGAACAGGTCGAGGGCCTTTCGAATAATGATATTCCTCAGTTGCTTGATGAATTTGTTCGCTTGGAGCGTTTCTCGTGACACGTTCAGACTGCGAACGCACTATGATCAGAACCCCTTGTCATATGAGACATGAAGCAGACTCACGGTAGGTCGTCAGCTTTTGTAGTAAGAGAAAGATGGCATTAGACTCTACGTCCGGTGTCTGCATGATTGTCTTGTGAGACCTACCGTCAACCACAATGTTCAAGAACCTCAGCCACTGAGGCAGATAATCCGCGCCCAAATCATCCGTGATGAAAACACGCTAGATTGCAAAGGAAACCCAAGACGCCCAATCAGCTACCCAGTTGGCCTCGAAGACGATGTTGTACGCCATGTCTCACCTTGACCATCAGTCGGATATTTTTGACCCCCGCGGTAATCTTTTGCCAGAAATCGTCAGGAACGGCACTGGGAACGTACATCATGGCTCGGAACGAGACGCCGCTACCGGTATCACCCTAGAAATCGAAACGAATCCGATCAAAACACTGAGAGATTGACTTGTCGGTGTGGACGTCCGTACCTTCCAATGAGCCCAACCGAGGGTCTCGGCGTCTTCCGAAGAGGTGAGCGTTTTGTAAAAGTCTCGGTATTCTTCCTCGGAGACCTTTTTCGGTTCCCTATCGATCCAGATGGATGTTTTAGCAACGGCATCTATCTGAACGAGCCTGGGTCTATCGCTCACTGCATCCAGATAGGTCCCTTTTCGTTCAACCGTTGCCATGTGAAAGATCCCGGCGCGCTCGAGCTGTCGTCGTCCACCTCGAGCTCGTCGTCCGCGTTGACAGGTTCAGGGGTGGTCGGTACTCGTAGGTAGATCGGGAAGCTTGAGGCGAACTGCGAGTGTTTTTCTCTAGGATTATTAAACGTTATCGAGCATCGGTAGACCCGCTCATCAGCCAAGACCAACGGGTTCAGGAACCGACACGACCTACACGAGCCCCTTCAACCTATCCGTTTCCAAGACCCAATCGTTCTCTCCGTCCTCAGACAAGTCAAGCACGATCTCTGTCCCGCAAGGTCCACCCCCTTCGAATTTCAACGTCTTCCCCCTCGGGTCTGGATAGACGGAGAACTCATCCCCAGACGCTGTGGATTCAAAGATCCATTGTTCCGGCTCAGGGTTCGAGGGCGAGGGGGCCGGGAGGGAGATCACCTTGACTCGCGGGGAGACTAGGTAGGAAGAGTAGAAGCCCAAGCCGAATTGACCGATGAGATCGCTGCCTTCGTTACCGCTGCCGCCGCCATTCGCAGAGTCTCCGACGGCTCGGTGGAGAAACTCGGAGGTACCAGATTTAGCGATCGTACCGAGGTTGGTAGCCAGCTCGTCCTTGGTCATCCCGATCCCAGTATCTGATGATATCGACTAAAGTTTAGCGAAGGGGAATTCGAACCGACCTGCTAGACGCAATCGCGGGCTCACCTCGAATGACCAGCTGCCCCCCTTTGCCACCCTCATTCTTCCTCGCCTCGATCGTGATGTTCCCCTGCCAACCTTCCAACCCGTGCCCCTCTCTTAGGTTCGTGATCCTGAGCTTTTGCAACGCATCCGCGCTGTTCGAGAGGAGTTCTCTGAGGAAAACATCCTTGTGCGAGTAGATCGAGTGGATGACGATGTTTCGCAATTTCGAAATGTCTGATTCGTAACGGTGCGTCTCGGCAGTGGCCGTGGCCGCTAGTAAGTCCAGGGCGCTGAATAACTTGAGCGCCTTCATGATGGTCAGGAGTGCTCGAGATGTTGTCCGAGATGTTAGCTGTTGGTGTGTTCCGAGGGAGAAGAGGCGGTAGTCAGGTGCATCAGTAGTGAGAATCGAAATGGTTGATGGACATTCTCTCTCTCTCTTTCTCTCATGTGTGGTGACGTGGCAGTGTATACACCTCACGTGACTCTTCGTATTTTGCTTCCGCAGCGACGGTCTGGGTTGGGGTTACGTCATAGGATTCCTGGATGAAGAGCATATTCAAAGAGGTTGATCTTTCATCTCGACAACCTCTCGACAGATCGACAGAAATATAAAAGTTCCCGGTTGCGGATAGCATCACAGACATATAGCCTCGGAATCTACAAGATACGATCATAATAGCCAACAAGCCAGCCTCGTCACCGCCATGTCACAACAACCCCGTCCTGGCGTATCATACGCCGCAGCGACTTCTTCCACGTCGACAGATCCGACAATCACAACGAGCACGAGCACAGCAACGGCCACGCTCAAACGAAGAAGACGTGTTCAAGTCGAAGAGAAGAGCTCTCCAATTCGCAAATTTCTCAACTACCCGGCTGTACATGTCGTCATCTTTGTCGGCGTCGTCGTAGCGTAAGTTGGCCGGACCCTCCATGTTGCAGTCCTCGGTCCGCTGACGGCCCGACTGATTTGCCCTTCACCGCCACTCTTCACAGCCTTGGAATCACTTGGGATGCTATCTACCATACGGCATATTCTACCTCGAAGTTCGACCTCCGACCGAAAGCGGCCGCTCACGTCTGGTATTTCGCCGACAAGCGCAACATCCTCAACCGGATCTTCGTCAAACGCGCGGCGGCGTGGACGACTTTCGGTTTCCTTATCCCCCACGCCATCTTTTCGCCTTCGAGGCACCACCACCCGTACTTTCCCTCGAAACCTCATCGAGCGCTCGAGATCGGCTTGTACTTGCTCGCTTGGTACGTCGTCACCGGGTGGATGACGAGTTACGTGAGGACGACCACGGGCGCGGTCTGTCAACTCCCTCTCCCGCCTCAACTCGCCCAGAACCCGTCCTTTTCCTCCTTGACCCGGATCGATCAGCTGCCTATCGTCCGGGCCGATGATTCTGGTGACGTCCAGTCGGGTACCACCTTTATCAACGTGCCTCAGGAATACTGCTCTTACGGCCGGAACATCAACCCTTCGGCCTTTCCCGAGCTGTTTTCCCTGCTGAAGCCCAGGACCAAACAGCTCGCCGAAGAGGGGCTCTACAAACCGTTCAACGTCGACTCGACCGATTTCCGAGCGAGGTTCTTCGAAGGGTTCGATCTGAGCGGACACGTGTTCCTCTTGTTCGCGTCGATGGCGATCATCACCAGGCAACTCGCCCCGGCTTTGAAGATGGTGTATGAGAGGGGCACGTTGGTGGAAGCTCCGGGGAAAAGGATCGGGGGTGTGCAACTGGCAGGGCACGCGTTGAGCATGGTTGTTGGGCTTGGGCTCGTCTTGATGTGGTCCTTCGTGAGTCTTCGAGTATCTCGTCCGGGGAAAAACGGAATGAAAGGCTGAAGACTTCCCCTTTGCCGCTTGCCAGATGCTATGGACCACCTCGGCCTACTTTCACACCGTCCCGGAAAAGATCGCCGGCTACCGTGAGTCATCGGCATCTGGCGACTTGCATCGACGCGTCGCATAGCTAACATGACGTCTTCAACAGTCGTCGGCATCGGAGCCATATTGTACATCCACCTCGTCTCGCGATCAGCAACAGCCGTCGCGCCCAATTATTTCCCGCGGCACGGATAGTCTGAAGTTCGTCTACCAGGATCATATAAAGATATTTGCCCATACAACATGCTCGACTGCTACATGCGCATATGACCATAAACAAGCGGATAAACTCAGACCAAGTCGAATTCTGGTTTTTCGATGGCTCGGACGGGCGCGCTAGGGGATTTGATCTTTTGTCGTCTGATACTCGGCGAGAAGGGATGACAATCAGCTTTTGGTTCGACAAGATGCAGAATGAGCAGGGCTCTTACTTTTCACCTGCAGCCACGCTCGGAAAGCTGGAAAAGAGGTCGGGGTGCTTCGGATAAGGCGATTCGCTGCGATGCCAGAATGTTCACATTCAGCGAGTGATCGGGTCAGAATCGCGCATGGCCCTCGAAACGTACTCAAAGTAAGGATGCCGCGAGGCGACATCGGCGCTGATCCTCTCCTCCGGGTCATATCGTAACAGAGACGCCAACAGGTCGTACCCTGAATCGCTGAGAAACTGGTACTTTTTTCGCAACGACGAGTATCTGCGCGAATGCGAGCAGCTCAGCTTTGAGTTTGAACAGCTTGGGTTGATAGGTCCCGGTGCCACTTACGGAGGTCCAATAGGATTTATGGTCCGTGTCAGAGGCAGCCTGGAGAATCCTGGCCACATCTCCTCCGTAGGTTTGCCCAGCAGGTTGAATATCTGCAGATATGCCAATCGGAATTCGCTGTCAATATCGACGGCGATCGAAGTATGTTCATTGCCCTCTACTGACCCGTCCGATCTGGTCAATCTCGCCTCGACCCGGGAACAGGGCGTCCTTTTGCATCAATTCCGCAAAGATGCAGCCTACCGACCAGACGTCTACCGCTGTGGTATACTCTTTTGCACCAAGCAGTAACTCAGGACTCCTACAAGGTGACCGAAGAAACACATTAGGGGCAGAGCTGTATACACGACGGGACAACTTGAACTAACCGGTACCAAAGCGTCACCACCAACTGCGTCATCTCTCCCAACGGGTCGCCGAACTTTCTAGCGAGCCCGAAATCGGCCACCTTGATTTGCCCACGATTTGTCAACAACAGGTTGGACGTTTTGAGATCGCGGTGAAGCTATCACACAGGCATCAAGAACAAGCGAATCAACCGGTTGTTCCAGTGAACTCTGTGAGTCTGGCAACATGACCTACGATCCAGTTGCTATGACAATGAGCTACCGCGCTCAACAGCTGCATCATCAACGTCTTGACTTCGGACTGGAGAAATGGATGTGGCATCGTCTCCAACAAGGTCTTGAGGTCATGTTCGATGAACGGCATCACAATAAAGATCCTATCGACGGCGTGTTATGCGCGAGACCATTTCAAGCCAAGCGAGTCCGGGGGGAGTCCAGGGTGGATCGTGTCATGTAACAGAACAAAGAGGCAGGCTGATGGGAGTCATGAACGGTTGTCGGGATTTGAACACCCGGAGAAGAGCTCCGGGCGGACCAAAGCTTTGAATGGACTTACTGATTCAAAGTATCTCCGACGACAATCTCTCTCACTCCAACCACGTTCTCGTGCTCGCCGGCGACCATCAACGCCATGACCTCCCTCAAGCTGGTGATCGGGAACCCTTGTTTCTCTTCCTCCAGCTTCAGCTTCTTCAAAGCGTAGATCCCGCCGGTCTCGTTGCATCGCGCTCGAAAGACGATGCCGTACGTCCCTTCCTCGATATGATTCAGTCGGGTATAGCTGTAGACCGATCGACACGATGCCAGAGGAGGGTGTTGGGCTCGACGAGGTGCGAGAGTCGATCTTGGGACTGCCGCAGGGAGAAAGATGGGTTGACGAGGTGGTGGTTGCGAAGATGTTGTAGCTGATGTTGTAGCTGATGAAGGCTGGTTTGAGATTGCCGCAACAGGTTCTTCCATAGCTGCTCCTATCCGCGAGCTACTCCCCAGGATCCTGAATTCTGGCGACGGCGATTTCGATTTCGGCATCGGCGTCAACTGTTCCTCGATCGGCTTGACGTTGTTGATCGGCTGAGCACCATCAGGAGATCTCCCATCAGCAGCTCGAGAATCTCCACCTTGTTGTTCCTCATCCGCTCCGAAAGACGTTCCCCTCTCCCTCAACTGCTTGACCTTGATCAAACGCTTCTTGATTCTGACCAGTTCGGCCTCCCCGTCATAGTTTCCATCGGCCTGTGAAGGAGATCTCGTTCGAGCGCGTTTGGCAGGGGGTTCAGCTGACGGCGATGTCGGCCGATTGGATGACATTGTTAGGCGCCTTTGGCAGGCTCTAGGTGAGAAGGATATCATCCGTAACGTCTGTTCAGATACAGCTTGCCACTCTATGAAGGCAAGGACATGGTAATCAACGACTCGATAATAAATATTCATTATCATGATCGGTTGTCGGTTGTCGACCGGGCCTTGTTTACGAAGTGTGGCTCATGGCTCACCCCTCTTCGACTTGCATGGGGCTAGGGGCTTAGCTATCTATCAGTTAGATGCATATTATTGTCTGCCAAATTATCGATAGACTGCATGTAGACAAACTTAGTTAGAACAAGAAGTCTGCCTGATGGATTCATCTTCGGAAAAACCTCTCAAGCCTCCGTCGGATCTGATACGGCTTGGCGCAGGCGGGACGCTTGTGGAGGACGCCGATGAAGAAGTGGGTCGAGCCGGTTATAAAACCGATGAAACAGCTTCCAGCACAAAAGCTGATCCCTCACACTCTGTATCACTCGAGACATTCGAGCTTTACTCAAATCTCGCGAATACCGGTTCGGAAGATTCAAACAACGCTAGGAAGGGCGGCCTTGGTTTCCTCGATTCGCACAAAGACACCCTCGAGATCGACTTCGAGCTTCAACCACCGTCGGTCCCTCTCGACTCTGCCTCGAGCCCAAAGCTTCGGCATTCGAGGGTCAAGAGTCACAAAGCGAAGAAGTCCGAGCTTCAGAGCAAAAATATCTCGGTCAGCATTCACCAGGATATAGGCGCGTTGAGGAATAGAAAGGGAGATACTGGTACGCGGGGTGCATAGGAGGATTGGAGCGTACGTTTCGGACGTCTGACGCGCATGTCATGGTTCAGGTAGCGTGGTATGGAGAGCAAGGTGAGCATCTCTGTTGTGAGGAAATTTGCGCTTGATAGCGAGGTCACCGAGATCTGATGTGGTGTATCCCGCAACAGCCTCTTTCTGGCCGAATTCCTGTTGCAGCAGTTCTACTTCCCCCTTCCCACAATGACGCCTCTGTTAAACCCAACTCTGGCCAAAACCTCCTCGGTCCTGGAACTCGGCGCGGGAACAGGTCTCTCTTCGGTCTTGTTACACGAAATCTTCGGATCGTGGACCGCCACGGACCAATATGACAACCTCAAGCTCATCTCTCGAAATCTCAAGGAGAACAAGCTGGAAGATGTCGTCGGGATCAGAGAGGTCGATTGGTTTCAGAGCTTGGAGAAGGCTTCTCAGTCATCAAATCGGCAGGAGGGTGGAGATTATGACCTCATGCTCGCTATCGATTGCATCTATAACGAAGCGTTGATCAAACCGCTCGTAGCCACCTTTGACCGGTATACGACGCGCAGAAAGACACTTGTCTGGGTCGTCATCGAGCTGAGGTCGTCGGATGTGGTGCGTACACTGACGATGACGCCAAGGTCGCAATGAAACCGCGACCATGTCCGTAAGCTAACTTTGTTGCGTTCCAGGTAACGGCTTTCCTCGAAGAATGGCTTTCGCATGACGGGTGGACGATATATAGGCTGGGAGAAGAGGCGATGGGACCTAAGATGGCGAGAGGTTTCGTTGGCTGGATAGGTTGGCGCGAATAAAAAGGTGACCCTGAAAGTACCTCATCAGGATACTCGGCGCGAGGCTCTGGACCATCGTCGTGGTGCGGTGCGAGCCTCTTATATTTCGTACGTTTGTACCGATAGTTCGTTGTACACGAGCGCAATCCCACTAAGCTTACCAAAGCTCACATGAGGCTCGACGAATCCGTTGCAATTTCGCGCTTTCTGGATAAGGACCATCGGCCATCGGCAAGTCTCAAATCTCGATTGAAAAGGCCTTTATGACAACTTGAGCAATAGGATACATACGCGGTCTAGTATCTGCTCAATGTCAAGCGAGTCATGCGAGTCAACCATGATGAGGGAGAAGAGAAGAAAAAAAAAGCAAATTTTGTTGACCTTGTTGAAGATCATGGGAGGGACCGTCATGCCATTAGCCTCCAAAATGCCCACTTATGTCGCGGGCGTAGGTCGAACGGGGAACCTTCGGGGCAGCGGCGGGCCTAACTGTCTCGAAGAACAGGATTACCCCCAGTGCGCGCACGCTAGGGTAACCCGGTGTCGATGTTCCGAAAAGCTCAGTTGAAAATATAATGTTCCTGACTTCCTTCCTGACTGTTTGGAACGAGTCAGTCGCTAATCTACTTTGTCACGTGATTCCAAAGCGATAAGCACCATGGAATTGTAAACTCTAATCGAGATTAGACGTTTGCAAGTATAAATTTATGATCAGATAAATCCTTTGTATCATCAGTGCCTGCAGCTTGGATCGTCCCGGATAGCCCACTCCCATACGTCCTCGCCATGTCTGAACTCTCGCTGGGACCTCAGGCTAAACGTGCGAACAGGTTGAACCTGAGTCCGACCCAGAAAGAACTCTTGGCTGGGACGGTTGGCGGTGTCGCTCAGGTGCTGGTCGGTCAGCCTTTCGACTTGGTGTGAGTCATTCTTGGGGTTCGATGGCTGTCGGGGGCAGTGATACTGGAACCTAAAGCTGAAAATATTGCTCCTGACAGAAAGGTCTTGCAGCAGACCTCACCATCGGGGACTTACAAAGGACCCCTCGACGTCGCCGTCAAGGTTTTCAAAAATGAGGGTCCCCGTGCTTTCTACAAGGGAACCCTGACTCCTCTCCTCGGTATCGGGGCATGCGTTTCCATCCAATTTGCTGCTTTCGGAGCTGCCAAGCGATATTTCACCAAGGACAAAGCTCCTGGCCAAAACCTGAGCATGGGAGAACTGTTCGCTGCCGGAGCTTTCGCTGGGGTTGCCAACACGATCCTGTCGGGGCCGATCGAGAACATCAGAATCAAGCTGCAAGGTCAACCTAAGCCGAAAGCTGGAGAGCAGAAACTGTACAACGGTCCTCTGGACGTTGCGAGCAAGCTGTATCGAGCGCATGGGATCAAGGGGATCTTCCAGGGTCAAGTGCCGACGATCTGGCGTGATGGTCTCGGTTCCGGGTAAGTACCGCGGACGGAACGCACACGCCAGTTACAGAGTCTCACCATAATGATCTACGATTGGACAGGTCATACTTTGCTGCTTACGAAGCCACGATTCAATACGTCTGCAAGACTCAGAACATCGCTCGAGATCAAATCTCCCCGTTATGGGCCGTTGGATCCGGTATGGTTGCCGGTTACGCTCTCTGGTTCAGCGTCTACCCGTAAGTAGCAGATCAGCCCTCATACTCGAACCATCTACCACGTGACATCGCTGAATCCTGTCATCTCTGAACACATCAGAATCGATGTCGTAAAATCGAAGATCCAGTCAGGGGCAGGCGTCTACTCGGGCATGGTGGACTGTTTCAGCAAGACCTGGAAGAACCAGGGTCTCAAGGGTTTCACCAATGGATTGATCCCTACCTTGGTCAGGTCGCCGTTTGGTACGTTGCATTCCATGGCATCAGTCGAAAAGACGAGAATGTGACTGACCTCTCCTTGTCGATAGCCAACGGAGCGACATTCTTGTTCTTCGAGTTGACCATGCGCGCACTGCAGTAGAGCGCTGGTTTACGGTCCCCATAACCAAAACGTGCTTCATACAACACGATATGGACCACCAACTTTATGGCGTGACAACCGAAGTATACGCTTCTTACTTAACGATATAGACTTTCAAGCATAGCATGTCCTGCGGTGCTAGTATCATGATTATGTAATCCAGGTCTCTGGGACCCACGCATACACCTCGTCTACTCATCTCCCTGATATATGGAAGACTGGACCCAGATTCTCCCCCTTCATACACCTCCCTCCTGCATCACTGCCTCGGCATCATCCACCTTTGTCTCTTCCACTTTCGGTTCTACGTTCATTGACTCGGTCTCGGCGGCAGCAGAGTCAGATGTTTCCAACGCTTCGCCAGCTATCATTTCGGTCGGCAGGTCCGCCTTTTCTGGCTCGACATTCATCGCTTCCGAAGGAGCTTCCGCTTTGATCGCATCAGTTGCTGCTGCCTCGCCTTCTGCCTCGGCGACCTCTTCAGGCCCAGGCGTTTCGCCGTCAGCACCAATGTTGTCCATACCGGCTGGTTCCTCGTTTTCGGGAGCGGCAGCATTTGTACCAGCCTGTTCCGATCGCCTCGCTTCGATGGCTGAGACGAGGTCCGGCAGATCTCCGTTTCGCGCCTTCGGAAAGGCATTCAGATCGGTTCGACTGGCCAGGCGCAGGGCTTTCCATGACAGAGATGCTTTGTTCTGAGACGCCATACCTGATCAGTAGGGATTGCAAAGTACAGAGCTGTGTGGATACTCACTTCGACGAATGGTCCCAGCTTTGTGGTATATTCCCGGCCCATAGCCTTTTCGTCCTCTTCCTCTTCAACTTCGCGGTCATACTTTTCCTTCAAGCTCTGCACAGTCTCCGCTCTATGAACCCCCCGCCCGACCGGTCAGAACGGCTACACTATCTGGTGAGAAATTCAGAACACTTACACCTTGAAACCCTTGAGCTGATCGACACCGGTCAGAGGGTCGGTACCTAGGCGGCTCAAACTCTTTGTTCCGGCAGACCACCGATACGGCTTCAAAGGAGCAATGATTCGCTTCCGGTTTATCTCGGCTTGCTCCAAGGTCGAATCTTCCGCTGGTTTCTGATCTAAAGGTGGACAAGATAGCTGCTTCCAAAGAGCCTGCGGTCAAGCGGATCGGGGAGGTCAGCTCGTTTCTGTGTGATGGAAGAGCGCGAAGACACGAACATAGTGTCTATCCATCTCGAGCATTTTGCGGATCCGAGCTTCGAAGTCCCTTCCGTCAGGTAGTTTCATCAGTTCGATCCTGATCTGACTAGCAGTCTCGCCTGCCCAGTCAGCCTGAAATAGAAGTATGATAGGCACATCAGCTCTGCTAGAACTCGAGCAGTCGGATCCCATGACGGCGTGCGTACATCTGACACCTCAACAAAAAAGGATGGCGGGAATTGCGGCGTTTTAGGATGCTTTGGCCTCTCCTTCTCCGTCAACTGCGCGATTTGTTGTAATAGAACCAGAAACTGTGCGTATATCCGCTTGCGATATATCGGGTTGACCAACTGAAGGCAATCATACCGTCAGACTAAAATTTCAGACGTATCGAGTGTGTAATCATCTCACATCGGCTTCCAAAGTCCGCCGGTTGACCAGAAAAGCCGGATACTCGTCTGTCCGCAGATCAGTCTCCTCAGTGCCGGCTAAAGCCGCCTCTCGCATGCTCTTGGCCATCTCAATGGCTTCCCCTCGCCGACTACTCAATTCGTTGAGAAGGACGCCTGTCCGCCTTCTGAAAGCTTGTATGGGCGTCTCGCTCGCAGAGGTAGATGTACTGGCCGCTGTTACTGGGCGAGAACCGGCGAGAGACGGCGGATTGGTGAAGGCGACTTGAAGATGGTATAGCACGGAGTAGAGGTCCTCCTGCTTTGGCACGGCAGAATCGGCCTCTTCCTCTGACTTGGCCTGTGTTTCTGGCCCATCCACCTCCATACGATCCGCAGCATCTTCGGGATTCTGCTTACCAGCAGCAGCTCCTGTCTCTGAGTCTGTCGTTCCCTGCTGATCGGCCTGCTTCTCCCCCGTTGCTGTTGCTTGGCCGTTGGGTACCTCCGGACCGGTGCCCTCGATCTCCTTCGATTCCATCGTCGTGGCATCTTCTGCTTCCACCTTGGTCTCGGTCAGATCCTCCCTCGCGCCCGCTTCAAGCTCTTTTTCCTCCTCATCTTCCTCGTCCTCATCATCACCGTTCATTCCCGGCCACCTTTGCCTCATCTCCGAGTATTCTCCTCGCAGATTGACGCCGCTCATGTCGTTCAGCTTGAACCACTCGGTAATGAACAGGTGTATTCGGGCTCTCAGCAGAAGCGTATCCGTACTGGATTCGAAATCAACCATCACATGAGACGTTTGTTGTAAGAGATGATTCAACAGCTTCAGCAGCGTTAAAGATTTCCCTTTAGATGGTTGCATTCCCTACAACGCAGACGCGATCAGAAATAACGATCGAGACGACAGTCCCGAGCACACGGGGCTTACTGCTGTGATCTGTTCAGCTCTGCGCTCTACCCAGCCGAAGATCACGCTCCAGCTTTGGACAGACAGGACATCCCCCAAGTCTTCTAGGATCAAACTGAGCGATGCGCCAGAGTCTAACGAAGCTGTGGTTTGATATTGCTCTGATAGGTAGGAAAATGAAAGGTACGGTTGAGTCGATTTGCTCAGGCAATGACTTAGTATGCAGCTCACCGTAGGCGACTTCGAACAAGACAAGCCCGATATCGAGCGAGTCGAACAACTTTTGGTAAAACGTCGACCTAGATTCGGTACTTGAGGCGAAGCTTGGTTCCTCGTACTGGTGCATTCGATACAACAATCAGATGGCTACCCCCTCGCTATCTGGCTGTGAATCGAGAACTCACCGCCCTGTCCAAAACGTATTCCCTTACAGCACCTTCCACATATCCCGTTATGAGGTCCTCGTCCAGCTGTTCTCCGTCGTGAGAAGTGGCATACGCTTCACAAGCATGCTGCCAGTCATTCCTGACGTCCAGCCTGAGTTTCTTCAAAGAGATGACCTCCGGGACGATCTCGTCCACATCCTGGTCCTCGCTAGCCTTCCGTGGAGCAGAATTCCGTATCGACGTCAAATCCGCGAGCTTTGTGCTCTGGATGGCGAGCAGCTTCGAGCGAAAATTCATGGTTACTACTGAATTCCCAGATACCGATCGATGCAGCTTCCAGCTTGAGGCCTGGCAATTGCGGCAACGATATACCAGCGAAGGGGCCTTCTTTTCCTTGCAGTTATAGTTATATCCTGGATGAACCTCTTCAGCGCGCGTTTGAACCCCTATGTGGTGGGTCCTGTAGTGTCCTAGCGATCGATACTCTAGCTACGCATCTATAGGCCTAGGGCCCGATATCTGAGGTGACTGTGATTGTTTTGTGTTCAGGTAAGTGTGTTCCAAAAAAAGCCAAGAGTTGGTTGGTTGGTTTGACCGCTTTACTTGTGACTGCGACGGTCGGATCAGTTGGAACGCGACAACTCGCTCGATCGCAGGGAGGAGGGCAGCAGCATCACTCCATGAACCATCATCTCTATCATCACCATCACCTCCTACAGACGACACCTCAGTCCCGTCAACGATTACACCTCGCACTGATATAGATCCAACAGAATACCTGGCGGAAAACCGGGCGCTCGCCAAAGTCGTGCTCAAAAGTCGCCCATTCCGCCGTCGGCATCTCGAAACCTTTCTTGCAATCACTACTAATTAATTGGGAATTCGAAGTGCCCTCGCCGACTCGGTTTCACCGTCGACAAAGGTAGCTACGGACGCCGCCTTCTTGATGCAACATCTCTCAGGAGCCCTATATGTGATCCGGAAGCGTTAGAACTGGGGCCATGGGTATCCTCTCTGATCAACAACAGCATCAGCCGACATCTTCACGCTCGAGATCCCCGCACGTCCAACAACAACATCACCACCATTCGGACGCATTTTTCCCTCCCTCTTCAGCATCTTCCACCACATCTAGTCACGGAAATCATACTAGTTCTCCACATTCGCACGGATTTCACCCATTCGCAGCGGGTGGCCGACGACCCGGGTCGCCTGGCATGGCTTTCCCTCGCGAAGTCAACGGCCAGGGTCACGAAATCAACACAGACGACGGACACGATGGGCACTCTCAGGCCACCGGCTCTGCATCACACCACGGCACGTCGAATGATCACCCGGAAAATGTGACTTCCAACGTTGATCATTCGCATTCGCACTCTCATGGGGATGAGCCCAAGGGGGAGACGAGCGTGAGAAAGACCATGTCCCAGACAGCACAGAGGCAGGAACTCGCCCGGATGGACATGGTTGCCGGGAAGAAGGTCGAATGTGGAGGGTGCTCCAAACTCATCGACCAGGCAAGCGGTGGAATTGTGGTCGCTTTTGGGTGAGCGTCCATGATTCTATCGCCAAGCGATAGATCCCATTCCGGCGTTGCGCTAGAAACTGACCGATACTCGATTGTTTCTTTTTGACGCCCTGTCACCTGCTTTTCATTTCGTACAATCACCCGGCTCACATGCGCTCCGACAGCAAATCACTCTGGCACGTCGATTGTTTCCGGTGCATCAAGTGCAACAACCGGGTGACGGCGGACACGAACCTCCTGCTTCTCTCGGATGGCGACCCGGTCTGCTCGTCATGCTCGTATCAGTGTTATGTGTGCAAATTGCCCATTACCGAAGAGGCCATCATGACCGGGGACGAGAGTTATCATGCCGATTGCTTCACATGTAGGCAATGTTCGAGACGGATAGAAGAACTGGTCTTTGCAAAGACGAGTCAGGGAATCTACTGCATGGTAAGCCACAACTCTGCGTTTCGGCTTCCAAGACATACAATGCTGACATAGCCATTCCGAAACCAATCACATAGACGTGTCACAACGAACGAGTCGCGCGGTCGCGACGTCACGCCGAAGCCAAGCAAAGAGCTCGGGCCAAAAAGGAGCGCGAGAAGGAGAAAGACAAGGAGAAGGAGCGGGTGAGGGGCGCAGGCGAACGTCCTGCCCCCATCATCAGCAATTCAAGCGCGACAGAGAGGGCGAGAGCCGATTCTGCGGGGGGCAGCCAGCCAGGCAAGAGTCCTCGCCCCGAGGCTCTGTCTGGGATCAGTGCACTGTCAACACCAGCAGGTTTGACACCTTCCCCCTCTAGACATGGTTTCATCGGCATACCAGAGCCAGGTGGAGCATCGTCAGCTAGTGAAACCATCCAGTTAGGGTCCCCTCGACTGGATTCAGAGTTCAGGCGAGAGGACCCGTCGCGGCAGGGAAGTTCTCTTGACCGCCATCGCCATTCCCCTTCACCGATGTCGAATTCACGGCGAAAGCTCAGTCCAGGGGTCGAGATCGACATGAGTTACTATTCTGGAGGCGAGTCTGGTCAGGGAAGTGCCTCGACCGTCGATCCCGAACGTCCCAACTCAAGAAACAGGAATCAACCTGGAGGTGTAAATCATCAATCTTCATCTGAGATCCCTATTGGCTTGGGAGTCGGACCGGTAGGTGGGCTGAGTACCCTCTCTACATCAAGAGCGGATAAACGAGGTTCCATCAACCCCGAGATGGTGCTGAACTACCAACAGCAGCAATACAAAGAAGAAGTACAATCCGCCTCGAGCTCGGCTCCCAACTCGAGCAAGGACTACTTTTCCGGCCGAAGTTCCCCTTCTCCGGTCATGGACTCCTTCTCAGCGGGACGTCACTCTCCTCTGCCGAATTCGCCCCTTCGAGCGAGTTTTACCGATGCCGAAGCTCGGGAGAATGAGCGGGCTGGGGCCCGATCGGCAACCCATACAGGTAGTCCTACGCTGAAGAGCTACCCAGCCTCCAGTAGCCGCCTGACTCCCACGGTTCCAGCTTATGGCGGACCCAAACCTCGGAGTCCAATGATTCGAGCCGCTTCAGATACAGGACAGGCCTCCGATACGCCACCGCGCTCAAGCAGCTTGACAGATTCATTGGACACTGTGGCTGCCAAGAGCACCGACAGGCGCGAGGAAGATAGAGATGATGTCACGATCAAGGAGAAGACCCTTTATCAACGCGGTCCGACTCAGGAAAACAATTCAAATAAGGGTCTGCCATCGCAGCCGTCTAATTCATATGAACCGCCTCGCATAGATGCTCCTGCGTGGTCAAATCTAGGCTTCTCTCTGAGCGATCCGGATTTCGCCAAACTCCTGGCTGAAGTCAAAGCTTCTCCGGAAAAAGCCAAACAAGCTTTTGCCGCTAGAGAGGCATCGCCAGGTCGATCTCGTCTGCAAACAGCTGCTGGGGAACGTGTGACACCGCTGCAAAAGCCAACAAAGGCTCCAGGTTCCAATTCCTTGCCATCATCTCCGGTCCTCGGCCACAGTCCCCCGCTGCAAACGATTATGGCCGCCTATGCCTCCGACGCGAGCAAGATCACGGAAAGGCCCCAGCGGTCCGATAGCCTTAGGTCGTTGAATAACGGCCTAGTGTCAGATGAAACCGGACAAAGGCGACAACCCACACTTGCGGTCCATCGCCAGTCGTCAGAAGAGCTAGTCACTGACTTGAGCGAGCTGAAGATCCCCACGCTCGAAACCACTGTACCGGCTCTGCAAGCTCTGCTTGCAAGCACAGCAACTGCAACAAGCTTGGATGGTTCAGTCTCGATCCAGAAGACATTGCTCGAACGGGCAGTCAACGAGATTCAGGCATTGACGGATCAAGTCACGGTGTTGAAGGACAAGTATTCTGGAGCACGGGTCAGTGCATCTGTCTCCGCAATCCCATCATGCAAATGCTAATTATCGCAACGACTTGAACAGAGAACCAGCCTTCACTATATGGAAGGTATGACCGTCGCATCCGAGGAATACGAAAAGGCGGTACAAGCTCGGCTAGAGGCAGAGACAGAGGTGGCGAGACTAAAGGCGGAAGTTCACGGGCAAACGGCCCGACTCTCGCTCATTGCGGAAGATGAGCGGCGCCAGGAAAGTCTGAAGCGGCAATCCAGCGATCTCGTGACAAACTTGAGCGGACTTGAGCAGGATGTTTCCAAGCTGAGGGTTGAGCGAGACATCACCTTGGCCGAAGTACAGGAACTGGCGGCTACAAAGACGTGAGTGACTGTGGAGGCTGGAAATGACATCCAGTGACGCCTGGTACTGACAAACTTGCATACCGGTAGGGACTCGGATCTCCCAAATGTTGATCCGGTCGAGAAAGGCGCTACGGTGGCGCGATCCTTGACCAAACGGTTGAACACTGTCAAAGAACAGTACAAGACCCAACTTCAACCTCTGACTCTCGAACACGAACGGCTAAGTCGAGAAATAGCTGAGCTTCGTGGCACGCGGGACCTATATCTCGAGGAAGCCGCTGCCTTGTCCGCCAAGAACGACGAATTAGCGGAACTCAATACTAGGCTGACTAAGCAGACCGAGTCTATGCAGGATGGCTTGGCTCGACCCAGAGCACCCTCTGCGTATATGCGGCCTGGTGTCAAACACCACATCTCAGGCTCACCCTCGTTGTCATCTATCGCAACGAGCGCCACTCTTCACGAGATGCCGGACGAGAACTTCAGACAGATAAGAAACGGGCGAGCAGATCCGATCGATGCAGCACCGGCTGCACGTCGATTCAAGTGGTACAAGTCCTCAAAAGGCCCTGAACCTAGCGGGCTTTCCAATTCCATATCTCGACCGTTGGCGCTTCCTCCCGATAAGAACAAAACGCGACCAAGCAACGATCCTGGTGTGCGGGAACACGTCTTCCAGCCGACTAGCATTTTGAGATTTTCCAAATGCGAGCATTGCGGCGACAAGATGTGGGGACTGCAGGAAGTTCGGTGTGCAGGTAAGCTCGCCCTGAGAATAAACCAGATGAGAGGTCGCAATTTTTTCTGAGTGCTTTTGGCTATCAGTGTGTGGAGTTTACTGTCACACGAAATGCGTCGACAAGCTTGGAGGATCATGTTCCGGTAGTCATTCGGGGCATATCCGTGAAGAGCCATCGGTGGAGACAGGTGAGAGACATCTTGACCCGTAGCCACTCATGAATAGCCAGCTGACTCTCCGGACCTTGCACCTCTAGTGACAGTAACTGGACCTTCGTTGTTCGGGCGTGACTTGACAGAGCAGGTGCAGGAAGATGGCCAACCTGTGCCTATCATCGTGACCAAGTGCATTGAAGCGGTTGAAACCCAAGGTGCGTCACGCGTAGGACCTATAGACTCTGCTACGGCTATCGCTAACTGACTTGGCTCAATCAACAGGAATGGAGTATGAGGGCATCTACCGAAAGACGGGAGGATCATCCCTCTCGAAAGCCATCACCCAGCTGTTTGAGAAGGGCAATTACGATTCCTTCGACCTCAACGACATTGATCGGTTCAACGACATCAACTCGATCACCTCCGTCCTCAAATCGTACTTCCGAGCCCTGCCTAATCCTCTCCTGACGCACGGACTGCACGAGTTGTTTGTGACTGCAGCTTGTGAGTCGCGCTAGTGTGTCGTAGGAGGGCAGACAACTGATCGTGTGCGCATACGACACAGCTATACGCGAGCCAGACTCCAAGTTCGAGGCCTTGTCTTCCCTCTTGACACAGCTACCGACCGAGCATTATAACACTCTCCGAACTCTTATGCTTCATCTTCATCGGTAAGTGTGCGATCGGCTCACTAGAATGTCGAACATGGCTAAACTAGTGATATCCACAGCGTCAAGAGCTCGAGTGCAGAAAACTTGATGAACGCTCGCAACCTCGGAGTGGTCTTTGGACGTGAGTGCCTGAGAGACGGCTTTCACAACATCTTACCTGACTCGAGAGATACCTTACTCGCAGCTACGTTGATGCGATCGGCGGATCCTTCAAGAGAATTTGCAGACATGGTCAGTGACACGCCGGACTGCTCACCAGCAAGAGATTGTGCTGATAACCACATCCCTCTTCCAGGCTGGGAAAGCCCTTTCCATCGAGTGGATGATCGAGAACGCTCCTGCCGTTTTCCTATGATGCGCTTTCTGGAAAACGCAACGCAGAGGCCGCCCAACTAGTAGCAAAAACAGGCCAAGGGACCCTTGATACCAAAAATGCATTACCGTTGTAGATGTGAATTCTGGGATCCTATTTGTATGGAAAGTTCAGGGTACAACACACGATGCCGATCTGACGCCCTGTTGACCGTCGGATGGATGCCGTAAGCGGACACGGATTGCTCCCGAGCTTCGGCCGACCCCGATGACGACCAGACCGTCTTTGCCTGGATCAACTGATCAACGCTACTACGAGGACTACTAGCTGATACGTCTCTGGGCCCCGTCGATGGGATTGCTGTGACCTGGAGCAACATAAGCACATCCATCATCCTCATCATTGCTTCTCGTAGAAATCCGAGGACTACATATCCAACATGGTTCCCTGGCACTCTCAAAAGGCGAGAGTAGGTCTGCTGTATTCCAAGAGTCGGCTAAGTCACTTCCTGCTAACCGATGACCTTCTACATGTCACTAGGTTCAATTGAAGTGTGTCTTGTTGTCTAGAAATAACATCTCGTATGATCACTGATTCCGGAAAGCTTACCTTGTGGTTTCGAAAGGTTGGCTGCACAGCGGCTCACGATAATGCAGGAAAAGAAGCTGGCTCTAGCCAAGCAGTAAGTGCATGAGCTGTTCCGTTCGAGTACCCTATTTGAACCGTCTGAGACCCTATACAACTTCTTGCTCGTCAGATCAAGAAGAGAGATCGCAGATCTAGTGACAAAAGGCCGAATCGAAACTGCGAGGTTGCGGGTAGAAACGTTGATTGGGGATGATATACATGTGAGTAAGGGCCGATCGGTAGCACTCTGGAAGCGTTCACAGGGGGATCAACTTTTGACGAGCTCTGCTCTATATAGGTGGAACTTTTGGAAATTGTCGAGGTAGGTCTTATCTGAACCCGAGGCGGGTGACTGTGTATGCTGACACAGAGAATCTCGCAAACAGCTTTATACCGAGACTCTTTCCGCCCGATTTGCGCTGCTGGATGCTTCGTGAGTTTGATCTCAGTACTCCAAGTTTCGGGCGAGCGGCTCATTCTAATTGTTGTCGCCCATTGTAGCAAGGACGCCCCGGACCCGAGCTTGAGAGATGCTGTCTGTGCGATTATCTATGCAGCACCCCATACCGAACTCAAAGGTAGGACTGTGCATATACGCCCAGTAGAGCTCACGACTCACCCTCCTTCTACCGATATGTTCCTACAGAACTTCATCTGCTACGAGAAATGCTGATGCAGAAGTTCGGTCGGACATTTGCCCTATCGGTCGTGAACAACGATCCGCCATGTGTACCGCCTCGAGTCCTTTCCAAGCTGGCCATTTACGTACCACCTCCAGAACTGGTAGACATGTACCTCCAGGAGATCGCTCGAGGGTATGGGATCAACTGGACGTCTGACCGGCTAAAGCAGGAGGAGGTCGAAGAAGAAGTCCCAGTGACGGAATCTGTAGAAGATGCGGGCAAGTCAGTCGACAAGGATGAACAAACGCCGAAGGTGAGTTCTTTCAACCATATCGCGCGCGACGTTGTTGATTTCGTTGAGTATGTCTGGCAGGACGGCAAGGCCGCATCAAAAAAGAATACCGAGACGGCGAGTGCCGAAGCAAAGTTGATCGAGCAGACGAAGAAGAGTCTAGAGAAGCAGGACAAGCCGGAAGACGCCTTTGCGGCCCTTACGGCCAGGTTTGATGCATTGAAGAAGAAATAAACTGATCGGGAAATGTTAGTTTACTTTGAGGGATATGGGCACGTTGTATGATGAGCCGTATGCATGGCCGCGTTAATCTGATACTGGAAACAGTCCTGAATAGATGTGTTTGCGTCTTTCATTGGTATCGTCACTATACAGTTATTAGCAGTGAATATCAGATTGGGAATACATGAAGGTCGTGAGGTTTGTATCGTGCAGCCGGAAAACGTATGGAAAGGAGTGAAACTATAAACTCCGGGAGGAACTAGTCTGGTTTGGCCGTGCCCCAGGTGTGATACCGGCAGTGTTCATGTGTTGGGCGCCTTGCAAGCGACGATATCGATCTGATCGATGACCAGTGTCTCAGTCCCGCTGTGCGTAGAACAAAGGGACGGTCAGCCCGTGAACACCATGAAGAGGCTGTAAGATTCGCCGCGAGGCTTACCTTTTGTCACCAGCTGCTAATGCTGACAAGCTTTCTAGCTTGAGGTTTGGCTGTTGGATGCTGAAATTCCAGACTTCGTCCACCGAACGGTACGTCTTCAGGTGGCCCTGACCACGCCACAAAGTATATGTTGGCGATATGAGCTGCTGTCGTTTTGACATCGGTAGCCGTAGTCCAGTAGACACACATACCTTGATAGACGACTTGGCTTTGACTGACTTCTGTAAAGCTAGGGTCATGCTACGGTCGAACTGTGCGGATTTGCCATCGATGTGACTCAGCATTTGTCACGGCCAGATCGCTGTCCACCAGCCCTGTCCAGACCGAGCTCACCTGCAAGAGGATCTCGTTGGCCAAGGGAGGGGTCATCTGTCCGTGATGCACCATCTCGTCCAGAGCATCGCAAAGTGATCTGCCGAGGCTATCGAACCGCATGTGTTAGTGTAGGGGCCGGTCTCAGTAAGACAGCTGTGTGGGAGACTTACGCTGAACCCCTATAGATTTCAAGATAGGTCGCTCCCCTCTGTTCGTCAGCCATCGTGAATCAGATAGAACTATGAAATCTTGTACCTGTTTCGGGATTAGGGCGCAATGTCGATGTACAGAGTATCAGTTGAAAGTGATCAGTTGTTCTTGCAGGCAGTGGCCCAGCAGGCGGCGCTGACCGGGAGGATCCCATCCCTGATCCCATCCTCGGTCCCGAGAGAAAGAGAGAGTTAGCTTACGTAATCCGCGGACACCGATCGATGGGCATCGTCGTCATATCTCGGAAGGAGGTCGCCAAATCGATGAAGTCATTTCATATTACTCGTACTCTGTCAACGACTTCGGCGAGGATATGGGCTTTTGAAAGATATAGACTATCCAGTAACGTTTCATAAATCGCACGAATATCCATACAGTCAAAGGTGAGGGCGACTGCATTTTCGAACGTTGCACCGGGATGACAAACTAACAGCTAACCTTTTCCTAGATCCAGCCAAAAATGTCCACGATCCCTCACCCCAAGCTTTCCGACAAGCCAGAGACCGACTACATGCTCTTCCACACCGCGCTCAAAGCTGGTCAGACCATGTCTCTGGTCTCTCCCCCGCTCATCGCTGCCTACCACCTCATCCGTCGGAAACCTATCTCCATACGATCGTTCTTCTGGCGACTGAACCTGTTGGCCATCGGTGGAACGGCTGTCAGCGTTCCGATCGGGGCTTATATGTTGAAGGACGAATCTCAGGTGGCGATGGCTGGTAAAAGGGAGAGACTGGTGAGTTCCGTATCTACCACCTTCGATCACTCGAGTCCTACTGACCGTCGTTGACCTGCCAATAGTCGCACAACGTAAGCTCGTTCAGCCGAGAAACCATGCCATCTTTGTTCCTGTGGTACTGATGATTTTTCGTTCTTGTAGCCTACCCAAATCCGCACCGACGACTACTCGCTCATCGGATTTACGCTCGGAGCCCTGATCACTCCTACGCTCCTGCTGAAGCGAGCTCCCTTGCCCTTGTTGCTCTTGGGTGGTGGATGGCTCGGTATGGGAAGCGGGATCTTGACGCATCTCTACAAATCGTGGTCGGACGGCTATGCCGTCAAACCTGATCTCTCGGGGATGATCGAAGACTTGGAGAGGCTGCCTAGTGAAGCCAAGAGGGACGTCAAGGTTGCGCTCGAGAAGCGGAGTTGAGAATCCACAACGGGAAAACGCATGATTGTAGTCAACTGTATCTTTCCAGCATCAAATTTGTTATGAACCGTGCCACTGACGGCCCGAGCGTTTTATATGCCATGAGAAACGCTTGCGTGATCGAGACTACCCGCAAATGCAATGTCATAAAGTCGTGAATTGTGCCGCCAAGGACACTTTTTGTGGTCGTACAGACATGCAATTAATTAGGGTGAGACGGAAATCGATGTTAGGCAAGATGAATAATGGAAAGGGGTATACGGTTTCGTTCCGAGCCGTCGTGGTTTCTTTGCGGTCGGGGAAGGGGTCCAGGCACAGTGTCATTTTCGTCCTCTCCTGTATAGTCGGTGTCGTCAAGAAAAGAGCCTATTGCGGGTCGGGACATGTCGAGTCGGGTGGGCAATAAAAGATGTTTTTATCGTGTATGACGCAGCGTTTTGAGGGTGTCGCGTCTATAAAGCGATTGAGTATTAGCTTGACACACCGTCAAAAAGGGCCGCTAGACTTACCTTCAAGTCGGGGCAAACCCAGGGAAGGTACTACGGTGAAGATCGTCCCTGTTGGCTGGTTGCATCCCTAAGCCGCCGAGAGTCGGCGAGAGGTCGAAGCCAGCCGGACTTCGACGGATGGGGGTCGGATATCGAACAGGAGCGTTCGGGTTGCGAGGCAACTGAGAGGGAGAGGCGAACTATACCGCGTCAAACATTTAGTGAAATGCTTCCCGAACTAAACCAGACTTGATTGCTACTCACAGGATTGAAGGGATCCGAGTTGGGGCTCATCAGCTGGGCATGCGGCGTCGCGAAAGAGCCCAAAGTGGGCGTAGGCGACAATGGCGGCAGTCCCGGGTTCATCACTTGACCGAAGCTGTGCTGATTGGCGAGCAGTGGGCTCAAGCTTCCCGTCATACCTTGACCCAGCTGGAACGCCTGCATCGAGCTCATCATCTGGTTGATGTCAGGCATCATACCGTACGAGTCGAAACCACCCATCGACGGGCCAGGATTGCCGACATTATTGCTACCATTGTTGTAGCCGCGCCCTCTGTAGTTGGGGTTTGTGCCGGTGCTTCCGTTGTAAAGGCTGTTGCTACTCTGCTCTCGGTGACGATGGTTACCTTCCCTGCGACCACCCTGGTAACGAGGACCTCCAGAAGGAGCAGCTGGAACAGGAAGTCCGCATTCTTCCAGAAGACGTTTGTAGTTCAGACCCGAGACGTTCCTCATGTCTTCAAGGACACGCTTGACGGCAGCCAGAATCTCTGGCTTCTCGTCCGGAGGGATGATGGCGTCCGAACACACCATCTTCGAGACGGCATGGACTCCATGCACCTGGTCCTGTAAGATCTCTCGTAGCGTCTGATCGTTTGCGGACCGGAAGATGGCGTCGATCATCGTCTTGGCTGCATCGGGCTCATTCTTCTGGTTGACAACTAGAAAAGGAGAGATTCTGTCAGCTAAACCGCCAGATGCGTAGCTTCGTGCCCGTTGCTCACGTCGCAGGATTGTCAGGGAGGCCAGTTTGTGAGTCGCCAGGTGCTGGACAAAGCTTGCCAAACGGGTGGCCAGCAAGCCATAGCGACCAGGCAGCTCATTTGCATCCATCAACCACGTCAACAGGAGCGCTCCGTTCGGGTTGGTAGCCAATGGGATCGAATGCAAGATGATGGCACTAGCGAGTCGTTTCTAATGGCCCAATAGCATGTCAGCTAACGAAGAACGATCCCGAGCGTAGGATGCAGGCGCACCTTTTGGAAGAAGGAGGTATGGGGACTCTCGAGACAGGTTCGCATGCAACGAGCTCCATACCGAGTCTGGGCAATGTCCCAAGTCCTGTCAACCATGGCGTCGTACACAAATCCGTTGAATGGCGAAGGGAACTTGAGGCTAAGGTGTATCCGGAGCCGAGCGCATCAGCATCAGACTTCCATATCGAGAGGTCTTCGGATACCACTCACCAAGCAGAGACCAGGTAGTTCCCGTAGCTGTCGGCGCTGAGAGGCGGTACGTAGGGAGACAGGTTTCGAGAGATAATGGACATCTCTTCCTCGGAAGTAGCGCACTCGATGATCTTTTGGGCGGCCCACGTTCCGTTCTTGTGTGTTCCCGTGAGTGCCAGATGAGGTGCGATGCGACGCAACATTTCCATGCGAATAGAGGTCGTCGTGCTGGCGTATAGCTTTTGGATGATGGTGTTGCCAATATAATCCGACGACAGCTAAGAACAACCCAGACGCTACCGGTGAGTCATGTCTCGCGAGACAATGACAACTCAACAACAACTCACCACGACGCAGTCCTCCATAAGATCCTGGGCAACCTGGTCGACCTCCTCGGGAGCGCAATAGCCTCCATCGAGTCTCCTTCGAATGTCTTTGAGAGCCACAGTATCAAACTTGCGGTAATGCGAACGATCGGGAACAACCGGGATATAGCTGTAATACAGCGCCGACTTTTCAGAGTGTTCTATGGAATCGGAGCATCAGTGATAACCCTTGACAAAATGGTCTCATCTGACTCACTGCCCACCGCCTGAACGTCAGCAGCGAGGTTGGCGTCCCCGTGGCTCAATACGGTCATCAGCATTTGTTGCTCATTGACATCACCTTCGGCAGCGACATCAGCCGGAGGGTGCGGAGGTGGCGTTTGCGCCGGTGGGGCGACGTCTCGGTTAGGATTGGGTGATCCCTTGTTGATCAAGTCGCGGACCAGATCGTTGCCGTAGCTCTCGATATGAGAGACGTTTTCCTGGGTCATCGGAGCGGTTCCAGCGGGCCTGTGCGTAGCAGGGTCTTCCGACTTTTGCGATTGGAAGACGGAAGGGAAGTTGTTGGGCGAGGGCGATCCATCCTGACCATGCTGACCCGACGAAGGCGCTCGGGCGTACCCGACCCTGACAGGACCGATGTCTGCACCCAAGAATTCGCGACCGTTGAGCGCGTTCCGAGCAGACGTGGCCGCATCCAAGCTTTCAAAATTGACTGCCATAGGGAACGTGACTTTAGCAGGGTCATGACATATAGAGCGGAGGATGTCTCAATCGACCTACCGAATCCACACTGCTTGGCGGGCAACATCCTGGCACTCTCGATGTTTCCAAAAGCCGAAAAGATGCTGACGAGCGTGTTCGACGTGATATACGAAGGGATGCTCCCGATCCAGAGCGCGCGTGTGGGCGAGTTGCTCTCGTTGATCCTAGAGGATTCCATGTTATCCCCAGCAACCGAGTCGGCGTCCGATTCGACATCGCTCTGACTGGCCAAGCTGGAAGCGCTCGAATTGCTCAATGAGTATTGTTGAGTTGAGGCCGACGGCTGCGCGGTAGGTACCGAGTCGATCTTTCCGAACCCGATCCGAATGGGCGTGTCGGAGAGCGTAGGGATAAGGTTGTGCATACGGAGTTGAACGTCTTCCTTGGCGCGGATGGCGTCGTTTCGATCGATGAAGTTGACGAACGCGCAAGACTGGACGAGCAAGGGTCAGATACATCAGTAGCAGATCGACCTCCCTTTTTCGGTTGCAGGACACGACTCACCTTCTCTGGCAACAGCCTCAAGCTCTCGATGTCTCCATAACCCTGAAAGACTTGCAAGAGGTCCTGAGCGGTCGTCATGACGTCCAAGTTGCCCAACCAGATACTCCTGGTAGGCGTCTGGCCAGCGGCCATCCCATCACCCGCAGCACCCCCTGGTCCGGTTCGGGCGCCTTCGCCCCGGTCCCGCCTTCTCGCTTGATCATCGTTACCGAGCGCACTCCGTCTTCCTCCTTGATTGGCCGAGATCAACCCCGAGCCCATTCCCATTGGGGGAGGCGTAGGAGCTGACGGCGCGATCAGGCTGTCCATCAATTCCGAACCGTGCATGCCGACATTCCCCAACCTCGCCGACGGCTGGTCTAGCATGCTGATCGTGGTCGCCCGGGGTCTCGCTAAGCCGGTAAGCCCATCATCTTTGTACCCTCGAAGTTGAGCGCTCGAGCCCATCCCAAAGTGAGGGGCCGAAGAGCCGTAAGGATCCCGGTTGCCGCTGTTGCCTCCTGACTCGAGATATTCCATCCCCTCGATACCAGCTCGCAAATTGGCCGCCGAGTTTCGCTGAGCGCCATCGAACAAGCCGACTGGCCGGGTAGGGTCCCTGTCGAGTCCGAGATTGGCGGCAGAAATGAGGTCTTGGAAGGAGGCGCTGGACTTGGGTTGGACCGAGACAGTGCTCGCCCTGTTCCTCGCTACCATCGTCGCTGCCGTCGGGGTCATCTGCAAGTCTTGAGCAGAGCCACCTGCGGCACCTCGAGGCAGACCCAAGCCGGATGATCCGTTGTTAGGCACGGGAGGCGCAGGTCCAGATTGGAACCCAAACGTGGCCGCTCGGGGAGTTTCCATATTATCGGCCAATCCGAGGTAGTCGACCGTGGACTGAGAGATCTGATAGTTGTCTTCCCCGCCGCCGCTCGAGTTACCGGAGCTGAAACTGCTCTCGCGGGAAGTGACCTGGTGTAACGCGCCACCCCTTCCGGAAGCCCCACCTCGAGCTGTGGTGACCTGGTTCATCGAGCTCCGCCCAGCCGGGTTTTGCAACCACGTATTACTGAAACCTGAACCGAACGCGTCCGAGACGGTCCCGACCGCCTTGTTGGGCCGGGTCAAGCTCCCACTCCTCAATCGTCCCTGAGCGTCCGAAGGAAATCCGTCGTCCAACAGCCCCGGGGCGCCTTGAAGCGAATCCTGCTGCCCGCCCAAGCTCAACGATCCCGACCCGGTCAATGCCGCCGCGGAAGAGTTCGAGTGCCTCAATCCGGGTCGAGCGTATTGAAATTGTCGTTGACGTTCAAGAGGTTCGATCGGCGTCGTACCCCCGGACCGGGTGATGAGGTCGGAAGGACCCAAAGACAGGTCTCGTTGATGAGTCGGGGCGGTGGGAGTGGTTGCGTTGGTCAACCCGTAACGATCGCCGGAGAAAGGCGCATCGAGGGTGGATGGCAAGGTACTGCGTCGAAGAGCCATCACATCGCACGTATGAGCATCGCTCGTCAACGGTGTTCAATCAATCAATCACTCTCGGACTCACCCTGCCCTGGCCCTTCTGTACCCAGCACTAAACCCGCTCCCCAACGCACTCCCGACCTCGCCTTCGTCTCCACTAGCATCGCTCAACTCTTCCAACGATCTCGTCGGCAAGTGCCCCTGCGTCCGTAATGCCGGCGGTCGGTAAGCCTTTCTCGGCGTCTCGCCCGTCATCGAAGAGGAAGGGGGAATGTTATTGGATGTGGGGAACATTGGGTTGAGGGGGAAAGGATGGTTGTGCATTTGTTGCTGTTGCTGATGATGATATTGGTGAAGTGGGTCGGACATGACGAGGCGATTGTCGAGTGAACGATTTGACGAGACGTTAGATGCTAGATGAGCTGATACAGGGAGAGCAGCGGACAACTCATGAGCACGGTGGACGACCTTTCTATCGGTCCAAACCTGACTCACTGTTGGCACCCGAAAGCTTGTTGACCGCCTCGATTTTTCGTCGCAAAAGCTGCTCTTCTCAGATTATAGATCTTTCCTCTGGCAGGAAACTAGCTGATCAACGAATAGCTGTCCGATCAGACCCTCAGAGATATCTTGTTCAGTTTTATGCGTGCAACCTTGAGATTATCGTCGGATACCTGATTATCGTCCTCGTCCTCGTCGTGGTGAGTCGTCGTTGTCGTTCGTAACGTGGTGGATGATGGAGTATCAGGCTATCAGGTCGATGATGATGATGATGTTGTTGAATTCTCGAGTCTGATCGTGAGAAAATGGGTGGAGGCCCAGGTGTGTACACCGCAGCAGCCAGCCAGCGAGACAGCGAGGATGGGGCGATGGGATCAAATCCAAAACAAGTTCGATCCACTCGTGCGCTCGTGCGAGATATTGGGGCAGAAAGAAAGAACTTGATTCTCTCTCCAAAGGAGGGGTCAAGGGGGGTCCTTTGGGCGTCCTCGGCTATGTTCCAGATCTCAGATCTTCTTTCCAAAGCCGTCGGCAGTCGATGGAGGGAGTGTCCTTTCGACGTCACTTTCTAGCGTCAATTATCCCGGGGAAAGAGATTTGGCGTTTCGTCGTCCTCAGAGTCGTACCAGAGATCTGAAACTTGTCGAGTTGTTAATTCGTCGACGGTTCCGAGCTGTAGAGTACGACGTGCTATGGTTGTGCGTCGTTACAAGTACCGTTCTTGATCTGATCGAGATATCGGCCAAACAAGTCGAAGGGGTCGTTACAGGTTATTATAATAAGCGTAACGAGTAGGAAGATAGCTGAGACCGAGCAAATGAGCAGATTCGTCGGGTGGAATGATCGAAATTGCGGAGATCAGAGATCAGAGAGGCATCGATGATGAGCTACGCATGGCATAGGGGAAGGGGGAAGGTGACGACACCGATGGGCGACGCGCATCAAAGAGAAGCGGATGGACAGCCAGTGGTGACGGAAAGCCACGCGGCGATCATTTCAACCAGAGGTCAAGTTTCACGTCAAGCAGGTCTATCCTGTCATTCTCGTATATTGTTTGTTCTTACTAGCGGAAATCTTAAGTAGACTGGTCACCCAAAGACGACTGTAGTTGCGTAGCTGAGAACCTGTTGAAATACAAGACATCGCATCTGCACAGCAGCCGAAATCCGCAGTCTACTCTGGCGTTCACCCCTGTTCCTAGACCATCGGTCGGGAATGCGCGTCGCCCCTCTTTGGCTTCCGGTTGATTATGTAATCACGGTGTTGCAAAGGCAAAAGTTGACGGATCAGCCCGTTTTGCCGCTCGTCGCTCGTCGAATAGACGATCGAACATATACAACAACGAGCCATCGCCATCGATTCAGATACCTTCTACCACAACCTGCTAGTTCTATTTGAACACCGCATAATCTCGATACATCATGGGCCAGACTACATCTACCCCTTCAGCATCGACGCCGGCACCGGCACCGGCGGCTCGACCCGCTTCGCATCCCACCTCGGGCACTCCTCCGCCTGAATGTCCTATGCACGCTGCGAACACCTCGACGTCCAAGTACGTTCCCACAGACGACACCCCGGTAGCTTCATCCTTCAAGGCAGCAGCCGCCGCTGCTGTTGTCAATCAGCCCGCCCAGTGCCCCATTCAACACGATGACAACAATGGCGCCCTCAACCCGCTCAACCAGATGCCCAACCTGTCACACGATCGAGCGCCCAACCAGCGTATCGACCTTCCTACCACTCGGACGGCGAGCACCATCCCTCGCCCACCGCCAGCGTCATCCTTGTCGAATCCCATCCCTTCTTCCTCTACTGCTACCACGGGACCTTATATGGACCCGTCGAACCCGTACAACACCTCGCCTCATCGGGACGATACCAAGGTCTGGGAATATCCTTCCCCTCAACAGTTTTACAATGCGCTCGTCAGAAAGGGGTGGGAGACGCCAGAGGAACACGTGGAGACGATGGTGGAGATTCACAACTTTTTGAACGAGCAGGCCTGGGAAGAGGTCCTCGATTGGGAAAAGACGCAGCGAGGGTGAGTTGATGGGCCAGTTGGAAGGATGTCTCAGGAGTCCCCGGTAGTAGTGCTGACGCTGATACCATTTGCATCATGTGCAGAGGGTCACAATCGCGTCTGGCCAAGTTCCAGGGTCATCCTGGTAAACGATCACCAAAGGCCAGGATCCACCTCATGCTCGGATCCGTCTTTCCTTCCAAGTTCAAGTCAGTCCCCCCTCGCCTTTCGCTTCTCGTCGAAGACGAAATCGTATATAGCTAACCTCCTGATCGACACAGCACCGAACCTCCTTTCGACCGTCACGACTGGGTCGTGCACCGACCCGTCCCCTCAGACCCGACCGGACCGGCCACCGAGATCCGATACGTCATCGATTATTACTCGGCCCCGCCTGACGAGGATGGCAACCCGGTGTTCTACCTCGACGTTAGGCCCGCGCTCGATAGCGTCGGTGCGTGGGGGATGAGGATGGGAGGCATGTTCTCGGGCTTGTTTGGACGATGAGCCTAGAGAGGCAGGAGCTAGATGTTGTAGCATGCGGATCTTTACGTGGTTTACGAGCATAGATTAGACTTCACAAGAGTTTATGAACAAGCAACCTCTATTCACCACACTCATTTACTCTCGAAATCCGGAACTTTCGATCAGAAGGTCACCTTGGAAACGTCTTCCCACGTCTGGCGCATGATCTTTCTTAGTCGCCTGTCCTTGTTCAGGTGGACGCAACGGTGATGCCGCAAGTCTTCCTCGAGCACGGTCCGAACGGTCTCCCACTTGTCCCCCTTTTCGCGCATGATCCGCGCAAAGGCGTGTTTGGCGATCCTGAATCGGGAGTCTTTAAGCGTTGGATGTTGTAGCGGCAAGACATACAAGAGATACTCACCAGACAAAGGTATTGTTGGGGACGTCGCACCGAGCAGCTTGCAAAGTACCAACATATGACTTGATATGGGCCCGATTAGCATTCGCCGTGTGCGACACGGCAGCATCGATGGCGTCTAGCAGGCCAAAACGGACGGTGTAAGCCTCGTTACAGCCAGAATCCACGTTCACCGTGAGCGACTTGCTGTAGATGAACTGGTCGTTGACGCCTAGCCCATGGTCTAGCTCTCCGAGATAGTGAACGGTTTTCATGGCGGTCAACAAAAAGTTGGTGTAGATGTTGCTGCAGACGGACTCGAAGGACGATAGACCAGTGTCGTTCTGCGTGGCGCTCGATGACGATCAGTGTATCAGTCTGCGACACCCGGATCGAGCAACTCACGTAAATCATGTGATTGTGGTTTTCGAGCATCCTGCAAGGGGCATGTAGTCAGCTGCAGTTCTATAGCGAAAGAACCTTGTTTCGGCGTACCGTTTGATCCACGCAAAAAAACTGGCGCCTTGTGCCCGTGTCCACTTCACCGAGAGGATCTCGCGGACATCTTCCGTGTCGAAGTCAGTCAGGATCAGGGCAACCAACACAGCCTCTTCCGACTCACGGATCCCATAACTTCGCTTGATATCTATCCGCAGATCGAGACTCCTTGTATCGATCAGGGTGCCGCAGTAGGGAAAGGCTGTGGAACGTTTATCTGAGGTCATGGTGTTCACATGTCAAAATTGGTCGCTGAAGACTCACGCTGATCCTCGGTCGTCATAGGGATTGGCAACCTGTGTTGCGAAGCAAAGTTGCACAGTGACTTCTCCAGCGATACGTGACAGCCGTATTCATCCGAGCCTAGGTCGAAAAAGCGTATTTTAGCACATATCTCCCTCTCGACCAGTGTTGCCCACACCTTCGTTCATTGTGTGCAAGAAGAGCTCCGCTTGGTCTTTGCGTGGGGTGATGAAGATGAAATCGTCGATGATCCGCATGAGAAGCTATTCGCCGGTATGTAAGCGGTAGACTACGGATTGTGCGACATCCCATGACCCACACAGTCTTCTGCGGCCGCAAATTTCAACAGCTGGCTCTCCATATGACCGTAAAAGTAAGAGCACAAAAGACTGCTGACTTTGGAGCCCTGCGGGATCCCCGTGTCTTGCTTGTAATAGTCTTTTCCAAACTGCGATGCCATATTGGTTCAGCCAAGCACTCGATTCGACCCTCATTGGACGAACCCTTATGTGTGTATGTCTAACGTGATTGAAAAGGTCGCGGAAGATATCATGCTTGACCTGCAACGCTGAATCGGCCTGATCTATGAACACTGCATTCTGCAATTTTTGAGAAAAATCGTGCGACTCTTCCGAGAATCCCTTCAGCAATGCTATTTGCGTCAGCCCGGTGCAGATCAGCTTTTGGTTGCAAGGGGTTCTACTCCTTCGACCTACATTCCGGACATGCGTGCTTTTTCCAGAGCAGAGGTGCCCGACCGGACAAAGGTAGCATCTGCACGTGTTTCCTGGCCACGTAATCCCCATCCTATACAAGAGTTAAATTTGAGCTATAATCTCTGACAGAAGCGGGTATACGGACTTACCCGTCGTAGTACCTCTGCTGCCACCACGAGAAGTTTTTCCTGATTGAGCGTATCGAAAGCCGCCCTAATGTCGGTCTTGACAAAGTACAGGGGTGGGCTGAACAGATGTTGTGAGCTTTCTTTGTAAGCGCGCTGCCATCTAAGAATCCACTTACATTTCGCCGTAAGCTTCAGTCAGAGTAGCTTTGTACACCTTTAACTTCCCGTAGATGTCGTAGAGACCGAAAAGTGATGAAGAAAGCAGCTGAGATTGATGTCGCTGAAAATGCAATGACATCGTTAGGAATGTGCGAGACTTTCAAGTTGTCGCACGCACCTTTTCAAAGGTCAAGGCGTGATGGGCATCCGCGAGGTTATCATTGATACTATACTTCGTTTGAACCGAGCCAGCCGTTGTGACCTATCACGAGCCGCGTCAACCTCGAGCAAGGGTATCCATCTTGACTGGACTCACGACTCGCTGTTTCTTCCCAAGGTTGCAAATGGGTCGCATCCCATTCGGCTTCGGTATGAGCCTTATCGTAGCATGTGCCGGCTTGTGTTTTCGAAGGTACCGTTGGCGGCTCTGGCATGACAAGTTGTTTGTTAGCCATGTAATCGGCCTACTCGAATCTATACTCTGCAAGAAATCTTACTTCGGGCATCCGATAGTAGACTGTAGACGTCAAATGTTGGATCATGGGCTGACACAGGGTATCCCAATCATCCTGGCGGAAGTAACTGGTCCGGTATTTGGTAGTCGCTGTTTCGGTGATGTAAAACGTCGTCTAGCAGAGGTCCGCTTTAACCGTCTGCCAGTGCTTGTCGCGCTTCACAGCTTCGTATAACTCACCTTGAGAAGGGGTACCAAGAAACTGTCAAAGAACCAGTAGACCAACTCCTGCGTCAGATCCATGCGTTTTCTTGCCTCGTCTACTGACACCTTTCCACCATTCGGTCCAGCACCCAGCCAGGAACAATCGTTGCATTTGTATCCTTGTAGTAGCTGATGAACCGAGAATGTCTCGTAACGTCGAGCTCTGACGAAGCCGACCACGTCTGAAAGGTGAATCGTGGCGTTCAACCCCTGGGACCATATTTCTGACACTGTACGTACTCACGGTTGCGCATATGCCGAGCATTATCCGTGCTACCCCAAAACGCCTCGGGAAAGATGAAACGGCAAACTGCTAGCGCGAAACGGCCAACCTGAAACGCGACTTCAGCTATGAGTATTAAGGACAGATAAGAGAAAGTGCCGCTACAGACTTACCTGACCGGAAGATATGGCGCAGGCGGCTGCTCCTTGAGTATCGGCAGACTATGATACGAAAACATGCACTTAGATGTGAATGGTTGTTGACTTTCATCCCCGGATCTGCTGCACTTACCAGCTCGCGGTTTTTGGCCTGCATATCATCAACTGCCATCAGCTCAGTGAACCAAGAGTACCGCGATGCCAGTTCTACTGACTTTCGAAGGGCAATATGCATCTCGGATACGACGATAGTCACATCTCTTGTGCCGAGCGATGATCTGTTTCATCATGCCGAGCATCTCCCCCTTCATCCGACGAGGCGTCTTGGCGCTCTTTACAGCGATCGCGGCCTGTGCAAATCAGGGAGACTAAAAACGATCAGTACGTTTTGGCTGTGACATAAAGCTGGATCTTGTTGACTTGCTTCGATTTCGTCCTTTCTGTCCTCGTAGCTTCGATAAGCAGCTTTCCCCGGCTCGACCTTCCAATTCCCATAATGATCCTTCGGCTCATTTCCTGTTGTTTTGTCTTCCGGCGGCGGCGAGGTAAAGACATTGTGCAGACCGTGCTCTCGCGGAAAGATATATCTCAACAGAGTCCTAGGCGCCCAGTCCGGATCATGATGTCCCTTGGGGATCTGCGAGCGTTCTTCAGCCGAGGAGGGAAGTGTCCGGATCTTGACAGGTGGCGTCAGGTTGTTCAATATGTCTGCCAAATAAAAATCATCAGACTGCCCATTCATCTCGCCGGTGAAGCAGGAAGCTGTTTTTTCTCACGGTTCACCGGTAGTCCCACTCCTGGCAGTCTTTTATCTCCCCTCCAACCCCATTTCCCGTAAAACATCCTATTCCGAACGATCTCGACCATGACAGGCGGTCTAGCAAACTGCTTCTCTTGTTCAAGCACGAACTTCTCCGCCTCTGTCCTGATCGTGTCTTCCTGCGGTACAGTTAAAGATCCCGTTTCCGTTGTTTTGACCGAGGAGCCATCCATCTCTCCAACCGCGGCTTTCCTCTTCTTCCGCTTATGTCTAGTCAGCTGTTTAGCCATCTCCCTCTCCACGCGACGCTTTCGTTTCAACGCCCTCTCCTCGACCTTGCATATCGGCTCGATCATGTAGAGCGGGCGACCGCATAGCTGGGTAAAGCAGTTGTTTTGCAGGGGGAGGAAGATGGCGAGGCGTGGATGGGTGAAAAGGTGTTCCATGAAGCTTGTGCCGAGCCTGCAGGCCAAGGATCGCAAGATTGCATTATTATAAGCTACTTGCGGACTCGTGCACGTGGAGCGCCCCATTTACCTTTCATGAAGCAACGACCATTCAGGCCCGTTCAGAATGAGCGCTACTTGACTGTTCGCCTGTTGACTGTCTAGCCCCAATCTCTGCACATTCGGTGCGAGCCCTCCCAGAGTATCCGCTCGCTGGGGGCGGAGAGATTACGCTTACGATCAGTCATCTAATGCATGCATGTATTAGCAAGATGCCTGCACCTACGCGGAAACCAGCCGTGAGTACGTTGAGCTCGTTAAGCTTTCCTGGCCGCCGTGCAATGTGAACGAGCGATCTGTCGACAAGCTGTAAATCAGGCCGTCAGATGATGGTTTTTCAATGTTCAGCCTCGGAACTCACCTCTTGTTGAGTCAGATAGACCTCTCCTAGCTGCTGCTTGCGCTCAGAGAAAATATCTTCCAAGCCCTGTGTTTCCAACGCGACCAGTGTTCCGCTCAGAAATTCTCCCAATGCCGTCGGTCCAGGTACTGCCTCAAGTTGATGCCATTCTTCTAGATCGATATGGTGCTTTATATAGTCCTCTAGCTTGATGATGAGAGGAAAGTAGGAGGACAGCGTGGGATGGTATATCCCCGGCAGGTCAACGGTCGAGGTCGTCATGATTCGAGTGCTCGCCCTGTCCTGTCAGCTTGATCGGATCGGTCTCGCGAAGGGAATTCCTGTCCCAAAGCGATTCATCTACATCAGCCAGGCTTCTTGGTAACCAAGCTGGTCGCTGTTGGGGGCCAGGGAAGTATACGGGATCGTTTATTGAAGTCCCGAGTTGAGAGGTAGGTAGGTATGTGCCCCTCTCTCGGCGATCAAGGTGCAACAGGCAACAGGTAGGGTGTGTTGACAAAGTGGAAAAGTGGAGGTCGACCGGCCTTTCTTGGTAAAGCCGCCGCGCTGATAATCAGATACGCCAGACTCGTACAGTCGACCCGCTCGTCTTCGTCGTCAACTCGCAACTCGTCACCACATTCAACCCTGACATGGTTCCCTTTACCATTCATTCGAACACAAGGCCGTACGCCTCAACATCAGCCGACATCCCTCAAAGATAGACTGGTCATATATTGTCGTCAAGTCCCAACACAAAAGGGAGATCCTGCTCGCGCAGAGACAGCGGTGGATTGACGTCCTTTGGTTCTGGCGAAAGCGAAAGGGAAGGAATCCGGACTATACCGCAGCAACCCGTAGACATGAACAAGAAAGGAATTGAGGCGAAACTTTCCCTTCGATCAAAACACAGATTCGCCTGGCTATAGCGGTCCGGACGCAAGAACAGGATCGAAATGCAAGGATACCGGGACGATCCAGGACCGTCAGGCATTTACACAGGATCAGGCTCGACAGGCATGAACCAGTCTACTACCCGAAACACCACTACGTAAGTGGTATATTTCACCTTAATGGGATCGAAGCGATCGCTCATGGGTAACCTGTTCATCGGGTGCCACAGAACGCAGAGGAGAACTTGGAGGGCGTGCGAGATTTGTAGGAAGAGAAAGATCAAGTGTGATGGAGAGTTTCCGTGTTCCTTTTGCGAACTCAATGACAAGGCGTGCGATTGTGAGTGCCTTTCCCCGAATGGGAAGCAGTTTCTAGCTGATCACCGTTACCTGCTCATGCTCAGACAAGGTGGTGAACGACAATGCCGCTTCACATCGTGCTCAAACTGCCGCGGTAGCAGAGCGATTGGAGAGGATGGAAGAGATGCTAGAACGTCTCATGCCCCTAGTCGACTTGGTTCAAGCTATGCAACCAAACCCTTCCTCTACCAGGGACGAGCAGGCCGGGACTGGTACATCATACGCTCCTACAAGCGGATCGACCAGCGGACCGCCTCGACAACATATTCACGAACTCGCAGGCAATCAAAAGATCGGACAACCGGGACAAGTTGGGGCTCTACAGGCCCTCGAAAAATTTTCTCGTCGACCTTTGCCTCACTCCTCAATGTCACAGTCGATAATCAAACCAATGAGATCAGTGACACAGCCGGTCACAATGCGGGATAGTACGCCGCAGTCAGTGCATTCGTATCATACGGGCTTGTCGAGCAGGATCGTGAGTATCGCCTATCTTAATGAAGGCCACTGCTTGGTTTGCCGCTTACGACTTTAGTCGATGACTCGCAGGATGGCTTGCCGGCTCCCGTTCCTGGTACAACACTCACCGGCTATGTGACTTCAGATACTCGCTCAGGGATAAGATCGCTGCGACAAGTTGACTTGCCGAGTTGGAAACAGAGCCAGTCTCTTCAGCTGGATCAAGGTTATCCATTGGGATCGAATGACATTTTTTCCCCTCTCGTCGGAGGCGTTCAAGGACCTGGTCCAGTAACAACAAGTAACATGTCTGTTGACGCCATTCATGGTGAAGTTGAGGGATACAATCGGGACATATCGCCTAGCCGGTATGGACCAAGGGAATCGCAGTCGGCGGCACAAGAGAAGGATAAAGACTTGCCTGCGACTTGGCAAGAGAGATTAGCCGGAAGGATGGGCAAGGATAACAGCGGTCACATGAGGTCAGCGTCGCAATCATAATGCTAGGCTATTGACATCCTTTCTGACAGAGGTGACTGACATGTTTGAAAACTCGTGATCAGGTTTCAAGGAGGTCCAGCGACGTTTTTGTTCAGTGATGCCGTTGCAGCTTTACGAAGTCCGATCGAAAGGCGCGTGGATCCAGATGCCCGGACAGTCGGTTCGAACGATGCGATATCTGATGGGACGATAGATCTGGACGAATTGTATTTCAAGCCATGGGTGAGTTCCACTCTGGTGATCTCACTCGGTAAATAAGTCCTAAATATTCTGGAGTTGCGTTTTCCAGGCACAATTTCGAAGTCTGCGAGGCTTGTCAGTTGCATTTCCGACAACCGCTGGTTTCAGTCCGTGAGTATCGGTTGTACTGACACAGCACACGGTGGCTACTAGGCCCCCGCCGGAACAGGCAAGATTTCCGCATAGCAGGATTTGCGATTTCCTGGTCCAGACCTATTTTGAGCGATTACACCCACTGTATGCCTTATTGGTCTGCAGCTTGCGGTACTGTCCAGCGCTAATACATTTTGCCCCAGGTTTCCTATCATCGATAGACCTACTTTTCTGCTGAAGTACAACGAGACGTGAGTGAGGACTTTCGGCCTCGTGACTTTAACAGTGTACGTGCTGAACTCCTCGTAATCGCAGGATGACAATGCGGGCCAATGGCGCCTTTGTAGCAGACAGCACCTTTCTGTGTCTCCTGTTCGCTGTCTTCACCGCCACTGCTCAAGTCGTGAGGGATCACATGTCAGTCGAATTTCGCAAAAGAAGCGGAAAGACCACACTGAACATGACCCGGGTCATATATGTTATTCACTTACCTCCTTATCGTCCGCGGTATCGTCGGCAGGAGAGAGAAGGAAGGCCTGAATTGGTCTCGTAAGTCCCATTGGACATCGCGCCTGGAGGTTCATTTCAAGCTAACCCGAATCAACGTAGTACAAACTGTCGGGTTGGAGGTCTACGAACAGACTCTGTACTTGCTTTGGTATCACACGGGGGAGTTGACAATAGAGCAGTTAGTGGTGACTTGGCAGGCGCTGAGGAGAACACGCAGAGCTAAACGATACCCTGACTTGTAGCGTCAGTTCGTATGCGCTCTTGGCATCGACCATGGCCGGATGGAACTGTGGGTGCTCCTCAGGTATTTGTGTGATGTGCGTGGCTAACACACGACTCTCCAGCTCTATCTCAAGCTTGGATCTTTGCCGGCCAAGCCTGTCGCGCGGCACAAGATCTAGGGTTACACGTGAGTACACCAGTGAGTCGCCTGCGAGCCAAAGGATATACGCTGACTGTATTCTTCTGCAGAGGAGTCCAGAAAGGCTACGGCTATCGAGCCAAGCCAAGGATCATCGCAGACTCGTCTGGTGGTGTGTATATGGCCTTGATCGCGCACTTTCGATTTCGATGGGTCGTCCTATGGCTTGCTATGATGCGGATTCGTAAGTCATTCGGGCCGTGGGTTTCCGGAGGACTGCGCCTGATCAAGCTACTATGCCGCAGCGATGTGGAATATCGTATGTGTCCGATTGACGCTTTACATGGAACCATAACCGTGGAGACTGATATCTAATCTCTCATCAGCTCGACAATCGTCCAAAGAGCCGACGGTGTGGGATGACCCCTCTCTTACCGAGGACTCCGATCTAGTCACAGCCTTCATTGAGCTCACTCGCGTGCACGCTCTAGCGGGCGAGATAGAGAGAGACGCGCATTCCCTCCAGTCGTTACGTGGGTATGATGATCCTAGTCAATCCCAGAGGCTACATGGTGTCGTCTCCAAGCTTGACGCCGACATGGACGCTTGGGTCAGGCGTCTACCTGACTGTGTCCGCCTTGCCGAGAATGTCCCCGCATCGAGGGGCGTTTTCCTCTTGGCCATGCTCGGTCGCATTACCCTCTTCGCCGCGACAATCAATCTGCGTGAGTAAACTCAATAGTTGAGTTGATAAGAGATACTGAGCTCCTCTACTCCCTGCTCTAGACCGCCCCTTTATACCCGAGCAGATTGGGCAGAACCAGGACACAACATCCTTGATGAAGTGCATCAGCGCAGCAAAAGGATGCATCTATGCAGGCGGTCAAATCAAACAGATCATTCCGGCCTCCCACCACTGTCAATTCCTTGTGCACTATCTCACTATTAGTGCCGCCATTCTCCTTCGGTGCACTAGCTGGTTGACCGACGTAGACCTCGCCACCGACATGATCAAGGAGGCAGACTCGTGCTACAATATTTTGCTCGAGCTAGAGACCACATGGCGAGGAGCAGGTGAGTATTCTTATCCCTCAATCGACCATCTGGACCCCAATTTTGTGTTCTGACATCGCGATGTTTATACTCGTCCTGCTTGATATCAAAGAAAAAAGTGCTTACATCGTTCACAAGTTGATCCGACTCTGCAAGGCACGCTTGGCAGAGCAACACCGGGGCCAGCCGTGAGTCTCTGCTGAAGGTCTGAGGTCATGCTGGGTTTGCTGACTTTAATTTATCTCATTCAGCTCGCGTAGCGTAACACCACACAAGAGGAATAGATACGACAGCGATCTCGACACAGATCACGTTCAAAAGCGCTCGAGACATTCTCCACCCGTTGAGGGTCTGCCTATCCCCATCTTTGAATCCATTCCAGGAGGCAATGATCTCAACGCACCGCCTGGGCCGCTAGAACCGACCGATAACATGTCGAACCCGCAGGTAGCTGCCATGTCATATTTCCCTCCCGCGATGGACCTTGGCTACAACCCGTCCACAGGAACACAAAACCTTTCCGGACTGCTCGACGTGTTCCTTGCCGACAGTACAAACGGAAGACCTCCACCGGGTTACAATCCTCTCAACATACCTCCGGGACCAATCGTCCAACCGGACCCTACAATATTACAGCATCAACAGCCAGCATTCAGAAAAGCTTTATACGACGACTCGTTCCTGTACGAATTTCACGACACAACGCAACGACATCTGTAATGATTAGATCCGGGCGATACGCGGAGCCCTGTCGTAGCCATGTCACACACGTTTCCTTAGAATATGGTGGACGAGAAGGTCGCAGATCTCACATGTGTACCTCAGTGGTCAGTAACCTGTTTTCACAGCCTCGACCTGATCGACGGGCGATTTCTCGCGTTTCATGTTCTCGGTAGGATGACGCGGCCGGATCTCGCGGAAGCTGTCACGTGTCTTGTGTTGCTGGCGATCGGCTTGTCCCGCTTGTTGTTTGTTCTCCGTTCTCACCAAGTTCATCATCCTCTAAGGGCAGCAACTCCCGAGCTTGGTCAAGCATGCTTCTGTTTTTACATCCTTGACCTGTTCTGCATCTGTTCACTTCGTCATCATTTCCAAACAACCGATCTGCTCGCTGCACTAGGTGCACAAGCACATTATAACAACACAAGCACGGCAACAGGGCGAGCGCAATGGCTTTGGCATTCTTGTTCCCGCACGTGAGGATCACTCGCTTACCGCCCACTACCAACGTAAGCTGATCCATAGAGAGTCACTCTTTCAGCCCACGTTGGTTGCACCAGAGTACGATCCCAAAGACGGCTCGTACAGCTATTTCGGAGGAGATTTCAAGACCTGGAACATACCCAACGACAAGCCTGGTAAATTTACCAGTCGACAGCTTTTCAAGGCGGGTAGCCCTCATACTGTGAGTCTGCTCAGGGAAACGAGATAATCACGATACTCTCAATTGATTGAATATCGTCCGATAGGGTCAAGGTCAGCAGTCTATACGACACCGCCGTATCACTATCATTACTACCAAGTCGAGCGATTCGAGGTCCTCTCCGGAACACTCTGCTACAAGATCGAGGGTGTCGAGGGCAAGCTCCAGGCGGGAGAAGTCAGGACGATCCCGACTTACCAGCGCCATACTTTCTGGAGCGATCCGTCTGACGGTAATGACTTGGAGGTTCTGATAACGGTCTCGGGGGGTGATAACGAGGGATTTTCCGATGACTTCGTTCACAACTTTTACGGCTACCTGTCGTGTGAGTGGCGGCACATGGGGTGTCTGGAAACAAATAGCTTAGACTGACTTTCAGCTTTCATATAGCCATGACTATCCAAGGGAAGAAGCCAAACCCGTTCCAGATGCTCAGCTTCTTGCACTCGGCTGATGTAGCCCTAGCGGACGTGCCGTTTTGCTTCTACCTCGCTCCGGCCGTCAACTTCATCTTCGGTCAGTCGCATCTGTGCCTGATATTGGTCAACTTTGAACATTGACTTGGCTCTCTTGTTGTTTTGGATGGCAATTCAGGCAAGGTGATCGGACAGTATATAGCTGGGTACCAGACTAGCTACAAGGTCTTTTCGCAAGTAGCTCAATGAATGGGGCGTGTAGCTATTCGTCCGAACTCATTGAGCAGTCCGAAGTTCAGCTGTACCATGCGAGTATCGCGTGGCCAAGGAAAGAATAGATAATACAGCGAAGATGTTTCAAGCTTGACTCGACATAGTCTTACCTCAGCCTTCGGTACAGGTAGATCTGGTGATCTGGTAGAGCTACGGCACAATGTCCGAACCGGCCGACAAGATCGGACGAAAAGTTTGCTTCCGCGCGACCTAGGTCACCGATCAAAAGGCTTCGACATCCAAAATATTCCTAATCTCATCACGTTGCGTTCTACTGAATCGATTCGTTGTGATCGAGTTCGACACATCTCAGACTCAAACCGAACAGTAGCAGCAGATAAAGATAGCACTCCCGACAGAATGAAGGCCGATACGATTACCGGAGGTGACGATCTCGAGGATGACTTGAATCTGCAGCCAGACTTCATGGCAGCTTCGGATGCCGAAGACGACGACGAGGGGGATGCCATTATGAGCAACGGGGATGAGGAGGACCTGCCGAATCCAGCGGAAGGAGGAGATGCTGCCGATTTCTTATCGGATGACGACGAGGATAGCGGAGTACCCAATGAAGCCGTCGGGAAGAAGAGAAAGGCAGAAGAGGAAAGGCCTTCGAACGCCGGATCGAGCGGGGGTCCTTCGACAGCATTATCTGACGCCGACAAGAAGAAGAAGAGAAAGCTGAAAGAGAAGGAACGCAAGGAGAAGGTAGGTCAGTTGAAATAACGTTTCGGCCTCTTTCGCTCCCCGTCACCGACGCTAACGTCCTCCCGTTCAATCGGTAGCGGAAAATCAGGGAACAGGAGGCTACTCAACCTTATGAAATGACGACCGAAGAGCTGGACAATTTCTTTTACGATAGCTTGAAGGCAACGTATTCGAAAGCCTCGGATATGGAATTGAATGATTTGAGGATCCCAGGTGAGTCTTTAGCCGTCTTCGAAGCGATGATCTCAGTGGTGCTGACATCGTGCCGAATTTCCTTCTTAGCGAACGTGCTTCAATCGACATCGGCATTTACGGAACCCAGGGAGCTCGCATCGCTTCCTGCCTTTGTGAATAGTCGTGAGTGTAATCCATCTGTTCGACAAGCTCTAAATGGCTGCACGATGTCTGACGACAATCCGATCCGACCTCGTAGAAATACCCTCCCTGCCCAAGCGACTCAAGAGAGCTGGTACCCCATCCCTCATCGTCTTGTCACCGTCAGGCATCCGAGCGGCGGATGTAGTGCGAGCCCTGAAGTCAGTACGAGTACCCGAGGGAGAGGATGGCGCCGAAACGGGAAAACCGCCAGGCGAGGTTGGCAAGGCGAGTTTCACGTCCTAAGCCCAAGTCAGACAGGAACATCACGCTGACATAACGGTACACTGCAGCTGTTCGCCAAGCACTTCAAGGCGTCGGAACAGATTGAATACCTCAATTCAACCAAGATCTGGGCTGCTGCCGGAACACCCGGACGAATTGGCAAGATCTTGTCTGATAGCGGTATGTTTCGAACAAGGACGAGCGAGCCCGTGCTCAGATCAGCTGACGACGTTGCTCGCTGCCAATCTCAGATGCACTGACGATTCGACAGCAAACTGTAATCCTGCTCGATCTTTCTTACCGTGACACCAGTACGTGGTTCTATTGCTTCTGACCTGTCTATGAGGAGTCAACACTCATGGACCTCCGTTCTTCAAACAGAAAATCGGACACTCCTCACCATTCCCGAGATCAGGGACGAATTCTGGAAGGTCCTGTTTGGCGACAAGAAGGTGCGGGAAAAGCTGTTGGCGACGGGAGTCAAGATTGCCGTCTTCTAGTTGAGGTCGGCAACGGTATCGGTACGGACGCATATACGACGGGCTCGAGGTGAAGGGAAGCGAATGCATGCAACGAGATGACAAGGAGCCGGATATGACTGTCGACGGTGCGAGCGATTTGCTCGTGTTTATACGTTTATCAAGCTGCATGCAATTCGATTGCCACTCCATTACGTCTTCAGGCTAATCTTCCCGGTACATGACATCTGCTCAACTCCCAGGGTGGAGTGAGGATTGACATTACTGAGGCCATACATGCACTTGAGGTTTTGAAGGATGCGGTTGACATCAAGAGGTGGCAAGCCCTGGGCATGTCCTGCACCTGTCAAGTCATACAAGACGGATTCTCCTACTTCCCCTACATCTCTGAAGGCGGTGATCCTCATCTGCAGGACAAAGTTTGGAACAAGGAGGTCATTACCATCACGTTGTTTGCTACAACTTCAGTGGGGGAAGGTGGGCCAGAAGGAGACGATAAACCCTGATTAAGCAGGGAGCTCTCTCGTGGCGGTTTTTTGCAAGTACAGAAATATGCGGGGCTCGACATTGGAAGTTCGGACCTGTCTGCAGACGCCATTGTACCTCTGGCCATGCGCGCCCATATATTCCGATTGACCCCCTTCCTTCTGTGAGCCGCCCATCTCCTCTGGAAGCTCTCGTCCGTCTTTCCAGTATAATCACGGCGCTGCTTTTCACCATCGCCATTGAGACCACCACGATGGAGAAAAACGGGTGGGTAGATTCCGTGTGGTTGTTTCTGTCTTGCTGGGCAATGAGGCCTGCGTGACATGCCTACAAGGACCACACACGGCCATCGGGAAATTGCGGTCGGAGTGGCAGCAAGGGTCGTGAATGAATAACGATGTGACTTGTTTACAACCCATGCAGCCTACGACTGCTCCCGATCTCCCGATGCAGATCTTCCGTCACCGTCGGCAACTTTAATCTCGAGAATCTGGAACGGTCGAATGTCGACGGGTCACACGATCACACAAGGTCACGATTTTGCGTCAATGGCGTGGAACGTGGAATATCGTTCTCAGGCTCGCACAGAATCTGCGGGGTTTATGGTTTCCGATCGACCTCGGCGATTGGGGTCATCGACGTTTCGAGTTTGTTTGTCAACAAACAGGATCGCCTATCCCTCGGATGATAAGCCGATTCGATGAAGAGGTCGAGTGACGAGAGCGGGAGTGACTTCAAATTCGATATGGCCAGTATTACACTCTGGCCTCTGGTGTGCCTCGAGCGCGACTTTAGGTATCCGTGCGGACGTTGTCGATTGTTGTCCATGTACCATGTTGAATGTTCTTTGTTCTTGGTGTGATACGAGGTGACGACGATCCTCCCTGGACCTCCTGGCTTTCATCTATCGATCGGGATCAATTACGTTACACCGCATCTCGGTTCCTTGCCCTCCTTCCCCTCGCACCCTTCCGCTCGGTCGCCACCGACGACGATGATCGCTTTAGCGTCGCGCGGTCGCGTGGTTCCATGCTTCCCAGGCGGGAATCACGGCGGGGAGCATCGGAGGGGGGGAAAGGAGTGGAAAGTCGATCAACCAAAACAACACAGCATGCGGCGCTGAGCCTCGAGGTAGAGTCGTGGTCGGTCGTCAGCAAAAGGTCTCACCTTTGACATTCCCATCATCTTCCATCGACGCTCGACGTTTCATCTTCATTTCATCATTCCATCGTCGTTCCATCAATTCGATCGTTCCGTCTTTGGATATTCAGGATAGAGACGCACTCTCTCACACGTCACACTCTCTTTTCTTAACGACACGCTCGCTTGCTTTCCGACTCTTGTTTACCTACATCGCATCCCACGACCTGCACAACAACAAACAAACATACGCTCGCTTCTTTTCTCTCTGCAACATTCTACATCGCAACCATCGACATTCGCTTGACCAATCTACAACGACTTTCCACCCTCGCCTGGTCTACATCGGGCTTACTACATTGACCAGCCAGCTACCCGCACTGCCACGATCGAAACCCTGGTTTGATGTCCAACTTCTAAGGAGTATTGACAGGATCTTAAAAACGTAGAGGCAGGTGCTACCGTCCGTCTCTACCTCCACAATCACCTTCGGTTCCACCAACTACCAGGAATGACGACCGTCAACCCGCTTCAAAACATCTACGTCGATCGTTCGGCCAACATCACCCCCCGACCGCATTCTCGAAATAGACAATCTTCTTACCAACAACAACAACACCAATATCAAACTCAACAGCCCTCTTCGCAGCCCCTTTCTCATACTACACCACTACGGAACACCGTCAAGACCTCTTCTGCCGCTCAACCTGGATCCTCCACGCCACTACAATCATACACCAACAGTCCCCTTCTCGATGGCTCCTTTATCGCACCGTCCATCACCCCGGCACGACCGACTCTCGATCCTACCTCGCCCTTCGTCGTACCCTCGACCGTCAAGAATGCGGCCTTCTTCATGCAAGAACCTGCTAGCGTACAAAAGGGAATGAGGGCCAAGCTGTTCGGCCAGGGGGTCGAGGGAGGATACTTGGTCTCGCCCCAGGGAGCCACTCCGTGGAAGACTTCCGGAGTCAAGTCGGGAATGGGTGGGGGGATGTCGATGGAGGTTCATGGTGGGATCAACTTCACGCCGATGAGCGGGAGTGACCTTCATCATCATCTGGCAGGCGGGACAGACCCTTTCCTTGTAGGTCCCGAGGATACCGCGACGATCGCCAACTGGGATGGTTCGCTCTCTGGAGATGGGTCATACGCGGGCGTGAGCGGGATGGACTTGAACACCGACTTGGACGTTAGCATGGGCTTGCACCAGATGGGCGATGGGGCACGGTTCGGTTTGGGATTCGATTACCTAGACCATCACCCAACGAGTGGGAGTAGCGGAGGGAGCGGTGTTTCCAACGCCTTTGTCTCGACGCCATCTGGGAAATACCCTTCCACCCTGGGCCTGGGTTCGGGTTACGCGCCGAGCTCGAGAAAGCCGATCAACAGGTTGGTTTCCGGCTCTTCTATGCGTCCTAACGGACCCGTGTTGTCTATCCAGCCGGCGAGTTCTCCTCTGCCCAGCTTTGTACCGGGGTCGAGCACGCCTTCGAGTTCGCTTGGAAGCAATGGACCGGTGGGATTGCCAGGACCAGCGAGTAGGAGGATGATGCAGCAGATGAACCAGTCCGGGTCAGCAGCGGATAATGTGAACAACAACCAGAACATGTCGGCTCGGTCGGTCTCGTCGACGTATGAAGGTATGGCGCCTCGGCCAGGGTTGACTATGAACCGATCAGCTTCGACGTCGGCCTTGACAATGGGAGGACAAGCGAGCGCCTTTACATCGAGACCTCTGGCGAGGATGGGCGGGTTCAGGCCCGTGTCCTCTAGCGGTGTCGCCGACGATGGAGAAATGCCCATCTCGCCGCATCTGTTCCCGGCCTCCTCAATGACCCCGACGTTGAGCGAAGGTACCTCGCCAGCCTTTACATACCAATTCCAGCCCTACATCGGGACGCATCATCGGCATATCAGCGCTCTGAGCGGGACGACGATCGACACGCCCGCACTCGAATCTTCGATCCCCAGTCCAGACTTTTCGACGCATCACCATTCTCCCTTGGTCACCCCGCTCGTCGGACCGTCCTCGGCTGGGTTGTTGCCCAACAATGCACAATACTTCCCGGCACCGAATCCAGCAGAGTATCAGTTCCAGCAAAAGCTCAATGGTCTGGCTATCCAAGTCGAAGGGACAGAGAGAATGTGGGATTCGGGGCCGATGTCGAGCGTAACAACCATTAGTATGGCGGATACGATACATTCAGCTCAAGGACTGTCGCAAGATCAGACGGGCGTCCCGAACGGCTTTGTCGAACTGACAAATGACATGCGCTCGCCCCACACCCCCATTGACGGTCAGATGGGTCAACTACAAGCAGCGCAAGCGGCTGCATTCCAGGTGTACCAAACGACCGGGGATTTCAGTTCGATGCCCTTGCAAGCATACGAGATGTCCTCGAACGCTTCTCTTGAGGTACCTTCTACTGCGCACTCGACGATGTCGGATCAACAGCAATGGGCAACAGGGGAGCAGATCAGCTATCAGATGCCTTTGCAACTCTCTGCGCCTCCCACTGCGAGTCGATCGATCGTTCAATCCCAGATGCGACACGTCTCGTCGCCATACGACATTTATCCTACGGGAGCACAATTACAGCTGCAACCTCCGTTGCCTATGCCCCGGTCAGTCTCGGCTGGCTACGTTCCCGTGATGAATACTGGCTTGGGTCAGGATGCCTATGCTTCCAGTAGCCAAGGTCAGACCCGAGAGGAAGTCAGCTTCCCGGTAAACGCGAGTCTCGAAGCCACCATCAAGGGAGGAGCTTTCGGAGCGGCGGCAGCGTACCAGTCGACGCCGGGGTCCAGTATGGGCCTCATGGCTGCCGTCCTTGAAGGTGGGGACGACCGAGCTGCCAAACGTCAGCGAGTGAAATACCCGCCCGTCGGGAAACGACTCCGACCTGGACCTAAGCCTAAACCAAAGACGCCGAAATCGAAGCGGAGGGAGGGATCGAGCGCTCGAACGGTCTCCAATCCGGAGTCCCTACCATACGATCCGTTCGTGCAGATCGCGCGTACAGGGACGATCGAGATGAACTCGCAGCTGCCCAAACAACAGTTTCCCGTCCACGTCGAGCCTCAGGAACCGACTTTCCTACCCGAGGCTTCTCAGCAGGATCGCAGGTCCGAGACTCCGGCAGACATGACAGCTGCCGTCAAGTCGACCGCGAAAGCAGAAGATAGCCAGGCGGATTCGCAGGCGCCCGACTCGCAATCCAACGTCACTCGATCCTATTTGGAAAGCTGCTACATCATGTTCATGCAAGCCGACAAGGAAAGCGGTGGGGCCCCAGTCAAGCGGTACCGATGCAACATCGACGACTGCGAGCGCGTCTTTCCTCGAAAGAGCGCCATTCACAGTCATATCCAGACGCATCTTGAGGACAAGCCTTTTGTCTGTACCGCTCCGGACTGGTAAGTAGTCGATTGCGAATCCGTAATTGGCGCTTGTCTAACGATTTCCTGTCGTTTCATACTCGCAGCAACGCCGCATTCGTACGGCAACACGACTTGAGACGTCATGTTCGGATACATTCTGGGACCAAGCCTTTCCCCTGCCCATGGTGAGCATCTTACGCGGCTCCCGGCGTCATTTTGAATCGCAAAGTGACCCTCCTCTTCGGTGGTGCTGTAGTGGAAAGGGTTTCGCTCGAGGAGACGCCCTCATGCGACATCGCCAGCGAGGAATCTGCGCAGGTAGTGTCGTTCCCCTAAAATCGCTCAAGCGCAAGGCTTCGGTGGATAGCAGCTCATGAAGGGAGATGACTAGGAAGACAACATCACATTCACCCCTGTATCGATAAATTCGCTTGCGTTGCTTTCCGATCCACGTATTTCATCAGAGGGACATGTGTCGTATACCATTATACAATGGCTCAAAAAGGAATTTATCATCAGCTATTAGCGTGTAGATCGAATGTCAGGCTAGAATCGCCCCGCCCTTGACTTTGATAGGGGTTATCGATCGCAGAGGAGAACTTGCAAAACGACCGCTGGTGGCGGTCCGGTCGTCCATGTGTATCGGCAATGGCGGTGTGGTTTGATGTGTCGGTTCGGTGCGCGCGCATGTCATCTTCAGCCGTCTATGTGTCAATGTCGCTTCCGTCTGCCTTTTCCTTCCACTGGTAATGAGTATGGTTGAGCCAACACTCTGTTTTTTGGTCTCCAGGCAGCGAGATCGGCACACTACGCTGCAATAGATTTGCAAACGATTTCTGGCCTTCCTTTGTGAGGGTGGACAGGGACGGATATTGCTCAGGACCATGTTCATTGATGAAGATGGCAAGAGGTTTGCTGCCACCTTTAGCGCCGTGAGGAGCTCTATCAGGACTTTGGAATTCCGGTCGGGCTGCCGTGAGGCTAACAAAGATGTTGAGATCATGATCTGGTATCTTCGCCTTTACGCCGTCGTTGTGATCTCGGATCCAGTCTTTCTGTTTAGGTCTGTATCCCTTCCTGTCTTTGACCTGAAACACCATAGCGTCGAAAGTATCCGGATTGATGGTTGCAGATAATTCGAAGTCTTTGCTCCGATAAGCGGGAACCAGCAGATCCCAGGATGGCTGTGTAACTATGCCAATCACTGCTGCTTGGCGCGTGAAGGCTTCCATCAGTAGCAGTTTGGAAGCCGGCGATGATTCCGCGGTGACTTGATTACCAAGCGGTGGGAGAAAATGCGTGAAGTTGATCCAGTGGCATTCAGCCCAAGCGACCACATCCTTTGAAAGCTGGCGAGAGCCAAACAATTGGCGCAGGAAGATCAAGGCGTTGATGGGCATGAGGTGTTGAGGCAATGTCCCAAGCCCACGCGGCGTCCGTTTCAGTGAAGACCCCCTCCTAAGCGCTACATCCATCGAAAGAGTGAGGAGAATTTGGAAACACTCTTCGGCAGTGTCACCAGGATGCAGCGTCTTCGAATCGACGAGATTGGAGATGGCTTGGATCGCTTTTGACCACCATTCATGTGGACTGTCCTTCCGCACGCAATCCGCAACGCTTAGACTGTGGGCCTTCGTGTGAGCTCAGGCTGGGATTCATTCTGCGAATGGATCGAGTCACATACCTCAGGATCGGTTCCGATTTGCTAGCCGTCACGATACGGTCCTCGGTCACTGACAGGACGGTACGTAAGTGAAAAGCGACCTGGCCCTCGAGAAAATTGATCTCGGTTTTCGGACCTATCAAAACCAAAGGGATAAGCGGCGATGCAGAGCATACTAAAACGCCAACATACCCTGATATCCCGTAAACCTAAGAGGTAGTCGTTGAGCCACAGCGGCAATGATACCACTGTGTCTCATTCCTGATGGATTCTCGTCGATCGACAGCTTGCGATAGATGAAAGAGAGATCGCGCCCTGCGATCTGTGTAGCTGAGGATTCCCCACGAATCGACTGAAGATGCGAATCGTTCCAGACCGGTCGACCCATCTGGAAAAGATAGGATAGCAGATCCTCGTAGCTCGCTGGCTTCACGCCATTCAGCACGGATCCGTAGTCCTCCTCTGTAAGAAAGACATCATGCGGAGTTGTTGTAAAAGGCTGTATAGTGAGGTTCGCGCATAGACGGAACACTTTGTTAGCGATTTGCTGCTAGGCGCGAGTTCCGTTCGAGTGTGGCCGTACCTGTAGGAGGGGCTTTACGCCGTCAACCAGACGTGGCGACGCTTTCTTTGCCTTGGCACCGGCCAATTCGCTGATGTTATTGTTTGTATCAAGCAAGATAATCCAGAAGGAGGGTCCCTTTCGCAAATGATTCATGAGGCGACGGAGATGAACTATACGTTCATGACCCATCGAAGATGCTTCATCTATGGCGAGGAAAATGAAAGTTCCAGGCGTCCGCCTCGAAATCGGCTTGGTCTTCCCCTTCTTGGCTGCCTTCGTCGAAGGGGCGGTCCCCGCAGTCATCGAATCCCAGCGGTCTAAGATCGTTTGCATCTTATGAAAACTTTCGTCTAGAAACGCAGCCCAAGATGCTTCAAGTGGAGTGGATACAGCTCTGTCCTTTTCTGCTTCTCTGTATTGCGAAGCACGGTTCTTGATTTTGGTGAAGAAATCTTTCCTAAGGTTCTGTGACTCTATGCCAGCCGTATCAACTCGCTCGAATAGGCCGCTATTCAGCTTCGTGTCGATGATTCCGGGTAGATCAAAGTTCGGGCCCGCCTGCTCGAACTGCTCCAGACAAAGATCGTAGAGCGTCTCTACCAGCGCTTTGAGCCAGGTAGCCACCCTCGCGATGCTTTCGTGCTGTGCTGTGAGGGTTTCAGGCTGGAACGACCTTCCGGCAGCGAGGACCTCAAAGACAGACGAGTCCTGGGCTGGAGCAGAGACCGCCTGGTTTATATCATCGGTCTCACTGCTCTCGCGTATACATGTGTATACGCCAATTTCGCGCTTACATAGCTCCAGTACACTCCTCGTTTTGCCGGAACCAGAGGACTGAATGAAAGGTAGCACGTTTGCGTAGACGCTTGAGGACCCAGAGCAGTCAAGATTCCGTATATGGGCATGGAGATGTTCAACACCATGACCAACATATTCTTGTCCTAGATCTTCTAGGACCTTTTCCTGCACTGCCCTGAGTCTCTGTCTTTTGCTGCCATACTTCCTAATCAATAAGAACAGTCCAGTCCAGCTGCTGGGTCGTTCTGGCTGTGCTGTAGCGATCGCGTCGAAGTCTAGCTCATCCATCGATACCGGAAGAAGAAGTTTATGGATCTCCGGGAATTCTTCGCGATGCTTCTTGAAATATTCTTGCGAGAACAGGCCCATGATTGGTTTCCTTAGTTGCTTGAAGTATAGCTCGAGGAGCTCACTCGCGTACGACTCCTTCCAACTTTCTTGCCAATCAAGTTGGAGCATCATCGAGATATACATCTCGATCGACTTCAAATTCTTTATCATTTCTCGATCATCGGTACTACCCAGTTCCTTCAGCTTGGTCTTGATGAATTCTTGCAAGCAATCACCTTGTCCTCGATTGTAGATCGACTCGGATGAGCTCTCAGAAGGCAACGACCCACTCATGCCGTGTCGAGCGTGATCGAGTCGTCTCGAAGTATTGTATGGCACCGGACGGCAGGGTGAACGAGTACTGTCGGGGGCGTCAAAAGGACGATCCTTGGGGTCACAATGTCCAAAGAACGTGCAGATCTGTGTGGCAACCTCAATATCGCGAGAATAAGATGATGCTATTCGACCCTCCACCGCTCAAGGATACTCACCGTCTATCAGCGTTGCTGACGAACGCTGCACGTTGCTTGTTGGATGGCCTGGATGGATATCGATGGATGGCGATGGCATGGTTGGATGATTCAACCTCCTGCGCCTGAGCCCTCGTCGGCACGTGGTTCGGTGATGACGTAACCAATTACGGCAGAACCTTTCAACCGGCTGTCCTCGTACCCCACCAACGTAACACGCTGTGCACGCTATCAACCTATGCAACCTATGCAACCTACCCGTTATGTCAGAGAGCTATCACCAACATAATCCATTGTAGACACACTCGAGACACTTCGTCTAGCTTTCAGCTATGCTCCGACCCATCCTCGCCCTCACTCCCCTACTCGTCATCGCGGGGGCCATTCCCACACCGCTCGAACCTCGAGTCCTCCTGATCACTCGCGAACAACCTCAGCTCTCCGACCTACCTAGCTGCCTTCACTCGCTCGGTAGCTACGGATCTGTATCAGGGTCGGACCAGGTATTCCTAGCTTCCAAGTCGTGTGTGGATGTAGAGTTTGAAAACCTGGCGTCTGGGCTGGTGGAAGGGTCGATGATCCCGCTCGACATGGATCAATCGGGATCCGCTGCGTCGACCGAGTCCGAGTCGTCCTCGAGGCGTCTCTTTTGGCTCGGCGAGGCCGGGGTCCAAGGCAAAGTCCATGTCGAGGGTATGGACTCTCCATTACTCGGCGTATTTGAGGACGTTCAGAACAAGGCCGACTCGCTCGCCGGCCGATCAGGTCTCGTTCAGACCGCAGCTCAAAGGATCCTCGACGTCTTTGCTGGTCGAGCTCCCGTCCAGACCTCGCAAGTCGAACGGCTGTACGAAACTTCCCACTCGGTCATCTTCTCTGCCAGTGACCGCTTGGTGCCCATCCTCGACACCCTCATCCCTTCGCACCTCAGCCTCGTCGCCCTCCCCGATCTCAACAACCTGGACTCGGGCCTCACCAACGCCTTTACAGGCTCTGTTCGCAAAGACCTCGTCGACAACCTCGCAAATCTGACCTCCCAACTGAAATTCTCCCCCAAGATCGACCGCATCCTCAACGAAGGTCTCGACGACCACCAACTCGTCCGGGATGTCAGGTACCTGACCGGAGAATCTAGCGATCTTGTCTCCCGTCACAGCTTCACCGGCGGAGCCCGACAAGCCGCCCACTGGATCAGGGATATCGTTCAACATACCGGAGCGGAATGCTTGCTCGAACCTTTCCTCCCCGGTTTCGCTCCGAACGTCATCTGCACTTACCCTTCCCTCATCCAGAACGCTACGGGGATGACGATCATGTCGGCGCATTACGATTCCCGAGGATCGTTCGGCAAGACCCGGGCTCCCGGTGGAGATGACGATGGTTCTGGTTCTGGCCACTTGTTGGGCATCGCTAGGGCTATCGGGAAACAGGGTGTCAGGTTCGAGAAGCCTGTCGTGTTGGCGTTCTTTGCGGGAGAGGAACAGGGCTTGTTGGGAAGTCACGCATATGCCAGTGAGTGCCGCAGACATCGTTCTTGCCTTTGTTGCCGCTCGGATTGTTGATCAAGTAACGATGTCGCCTGCCGTCGATCAGGACAACTCTCGAGCGAGAACGCGACCGTACTCCTACAAGTCCAGGCGGACATGTTGGGATATCGAGTCGTGCGTCTTTCCCTCCTTGAATTTGTCTCGACTATCTCGTGCTGATGTCAAGTGAGCCGTGTACAGGCCAACGAGCCCCGTCAACTTGGGTTGCCCGCAACGTGAGCATCAACCAGATATGTATTACCGGAACAACAAGGGTCCATACTGATGCGCTTACTGATTTTGCATACAGTATCGAGACCCCCGAGGCTAGTTGGCTGATCGGTAACTTGTCTCAAATGTGAGTTCCATCAATGGCATGATGACACCATGATTGCTAATGGTTGCCGATCTGCACATCTTGATAGCTACTCCCCGGAACTTGTCGTTGGGAGGACGGCCGCTTGTTGCAGCGACCATCAGAGCTTCCGTGAGTCTAGATCAGGACAGAGGCTCGAACGCCCTATAGTGCACTGCTGACTCTCGAACCATCGATTGCAGTGGGCTACAATTTCCCGGCTACCCAGGTCTTTGAAAGGAACGACTGGATCGCCGACCCCGAATACCACAGCTCGGGAGATCTTAGCATGAGGTAAGGACATTCGGAATCCAACTTGGTACCTACTCGGCTGACACGATGAATGATCGAGCATTACAGGGACAACTACGACTTTGACCAGATCTCTGCGATCTCTCGAGTCGTGTTCGCCGCTCTCTTGACGGTAGCAGGATTCCGAACCGAGTAAGGGGATCTAGATGGGCTCGTCATCTAGATCTGTATGAAAGCTTCTTTCACGCCCGGACGTAGTGCTTCGTGTATTCTATGCTGTAGAGGCCTGAGTACAAGGCTGTGATGATATTTGCTGACTGTAATTCCATATTGTACATGCATGCGATTTCGTGATCGTGGCGATGGAATGAGGGGTATCGGGTATGACCTCGGAGTCCTGGCAAATGATACGGAACGATGACTACGCGAACGAGTGAAGATCAAGGATGCAGAGCTTGCACGACCACGAGAGCTGCCGACACCGTGAGACTGATCAGAGGGGTGGCGATGTGGCTGACGAGCAAGGTCTGAGCGACGACCGAGGCCGTCTCTTCGCTCGCATCCGACATGGAGACGATGGCGGCCAGCGAGAGTGCAGAAGGTCCAGTTGGTGCAAGGATCAACATAAAGTCCTGCAGAGAGGGGAAGACGGAGAGATCAATACTTGTACCGGGTATCCGCGTACAAACGTCCTACTCACAAGAATAGGATCTTTCTTGATGTAGTCTCCCAACAGCTTGCGGGACGCGACTACTAAACCACACGACACGCCGGTAACAATGAAGAACCGGTAGAGGAACAAGTACGCTACGGCTCCGACGGGTGGTCGATGTCCAGCCTTGCTGTACAGCTGGCTACCCAGGATCAACGTCTGTAACGAAGTATACAGGTCTCCCAAGTTTTCCACCGATTGTTCAAAGGCCGAGAGCACGCCCGAATCGTCGAACAACGAGTGTCGTAACCACGGAATCAGGCCAGAGATGATTGCGAGCACTCCACCCCACATCGGAGGATTCATGAATGACGTAGCCTTCTTGGCCAGGACGACTGCGGCCCGGAAGACGCCCTTGGACACCGCCTTGGCCTTGTTCTTGTTCAACAACGGCGAGGTCTCGTTGTTCTCGACCGAAGGGTATGGCTGGACGTTGGGATAGTCGGGCTGGGGGTTGGACGGTCCGTGCGTGTGATCGTCCCATTCTGGGAGCTCGGGCATGCTCTTGGGGATCTCGGAGATGGTGGATTCGAGCCAGAGTTGCGGGTTAAACGGTTCGCCATTGTCTTCCTTGGCCTCGAGCATGTCTGTCGGGATGTAGACCAGGCAGTCAGCGATGCTGTTCGAGCGAGACTGGATGTGTGGTGGATTACTCGCAAGGACCGATTGCAAATCTATCCGTCCATCATCGAGTTTACCGAAATCAGCTCGTTGAACCCTTATTGATTGTGCCGATACAGGCATTCGTACTGACCTGACCAGGTTCGACACCAAGGCATTGATCAATAGGTAAACCTAAGCAAGCCCAGCCGAGCTACCGTGTCAGCCTATCTTCTGACAATCCCCTGTCTTTCTTCCCTCCTTACACCGCGACGCTGCACTCACCTTGCCTCGAGCTAAAACCTCGCTCATCTCCTCTCCCTCTCCTACAAGACTCTTGAGCGTCCCGATCTTCCCTAGCGCTTGGAGGAGCAACAGCGGCAACGATGTAGCATTGTTGAAGATCATGCACGGTACGATCCATTGTGGGAAACCAAAGAGCTTGACCCCGATGAAGCCGAACAGCCAGGAGATGAGTTGGTAGGCCAACGAGAGGACGACGACGATCCAGTCTGTCGAGGGGTATGGAGTAGCGGTTGGCAGAAGGAGTCAGCTGACCTGGAACATGACGATTGGAAGCTAGAAGAGAATGAGAGTGGAGACTCACACGATTCGAGGTTCTTGGGCGTGGCCAGAGGTCCGATTTGGGAGAAGAGCAGGCATGGGAGAAAGATCTTGACGCAGAGCTTGCTCACTCCCTGCAGAAAGGCGGGCGTAGAACGAACGAGGGTCAGGGTTTGCTCTAGCTCTCGGATTCATGCACCGATGAAGGTCGAAGCTCACATTTTCCGTTTTCCGATCCACAAAGTCCGAGCGTCTCAAGTAATATCCATATCCGAGGATCAAGAGCACAGTCACCGAGGCCTACAATCAAAACAGGGAGGGTCAGGATGATTGTACCCTCGAAGTCGGTGAGGGAATACCTCCGTTGACCGATCACCTCGATGGCATACGAATGCCAAATGAGCAGCGGACTCACCTGGAGGGCGGACAAGGTAGTTGTCCCGAACTGTTTCACGTCGACGCCCATGGTTGATAAGGCTCGTATGGCTGCGGATCAGGTTGTGCACGCACGATGATGGAGGTGTGAAAGCTGCGCAACTCGTCGACCCTTTCCACTTCATATACCCGTATCGCTATCCTCGATCAGCTGGACGAATGGAAAGATACGCGGGGGACGGGACGAGCGAGCGAGCGAGGGAATCTGACGAATCTCGATGACCTCATCGCCAAAACACACTGGAAACAACCCCTTCGCCCTTCGTTTCCCTCTGCCCAGCTTTTCATAGACGACAAGCTTGGCGGAGATCCGAACCTTGGTCCCTTTGGCCGCCCTTCTGACACATCTGATCATATCCACCGGCAGCCGTGAAACCCAGATCGACGGGGTCTCACTTGGCATGCACAGAGTCTGCCAACGCCGAAGAGCCCAACGCGCAGGGCAAAAATCTAGAAAAGGTGGCTACATGGCTTGTGTCCAAGGCATATGGGCATCAGTCAGCACTAATCACCTCGTTCGACGTCTTGCGAGTGTGCGGGCGGCGAGTACTCCTGACCGTTGGGGATCAAGTTAGCATCCAGGCCACAGAGAACGTAGATTATCACACAGGTGTCGGAAGCCACGGGCCCGTCCACACAGAGATTACGTTGCGGTATTTGATAGGGGGGAACAGATGATGGATTCCTGTTTTTGCAGTTTCGAGATGTTGCGTTTTTTTTTTTCCTTTTTCTGCGCGACGTGGCTGTTTCAAAGGTCGAGCCCTTAGCAAACCTGAAACATGGTGATGGCATGATTGTACATAGCTTGTACAACTTCAAAAAGGCGGTACAAAGTTGTGATGTGAAGCGCATCGAGACGTACCCAATTCTCGCACATCTGATCTAACATCTCAGAACGCAAATGGTGATTAATTGACTGGTTGATCCTGCGTGGGGACATAAGTTGATGATGAATGACCAAACAACACACCATGGACGACGGATTTCATCTCCTGGAATGCTTCCCGGTGACATCTCCTTCACTCAAACAGAAAGATAGAGCTATTATCCTTTGTCGACGGCGCATCGTAACTGGTGCGTCGTTAGAGCTGGAGTGAGTCGCGAATGTGCATGTTCGGGGGTAAAGATTTCCATGGCGACGACTGGAGAAGCGAGGAGACACGCCTGTAATTTTTTGCACACCTCTTTGCTTATCCCTTTTGCAAGCCAAAACGCTGCAGATGTCTTCAGAGAGGTGTGAGGGAATTCATCGAGCCGTCCCGTTCACCTGGATGCATTACCAGTGTCAGCGCATACAACTTCTGTGACTATATTTCAGAATTGCGATCGAGCCAGTCCTCATCGCCTCGATATCGCAAGATTTGAGGCTAGACCGGCGGGACGACGGAGCTGAGCCACCACGATTATAGCCTGATTTGGACAGGTCAAGAAAAGAACGATATACCAATCTCTCTGACAGGAACAAAAGAAACCCTCGGAATTGTGGTACAACCGGTGGATCCAAATGTAAGATCGTAAAACTCGCATTCGAGTCACACATCGTTGCTGTTACTGCAAAGTCAACCTTTCCTGAAAGATCGCATGGTACTTGCTTGGCACACGGAATTCGTTGCATACAGTATGGTATGTCTTCGCTGCATTACATTCGCGCAGACTCTATGTCAGGCGCGGTTGAGATTTCTCGTAAGAAACAAACGCGGATTTCGTGCTCGATACACGGTGGTCGAGAAACCACCCTGACCTTGCCGTCGCCCCGCACAGGCCCTAATCCCTCATCCGGGCGGGAACGAAGCGACGAATAGTCACTTCCCTGACGCTGTATCGTCCGAGCAGATTGACCGGGTTCTCCAAATCCTTTGCCGTCACCGTGTCGTTCGAGTGTATCGTCACGTAGCACAAAATCAGGGTCTGCAAGATGATGGGCGTGAGTTCGGATTGTGGGAACGTAGATATCTGACAAATGAATAAGCCAACCTTTTTCACTTGCGTATTGACTCGATTGACCGTGTTCAACCATTGCCAAGTCATCGCGCCGTCGTTGGGCAGTGCAAAGGGACTTTTTGACGCCTCAACCTGATCTGCATAGTGCGGCATGACCAGTACAGCGAATCTATGTCTTGAATAACTTAGTCGCTTGTCCTCGGCTTCCCTGTGCTGCCAACAGCTCGACTCACTCGGCATGGCTGAATACCAGACCTCTTTTGTATAGCAGCCAGTCGACGCAGAATTTGATACCAGTCTTGACGACCCAACCTAGTGACCGATAGTGATGATATGCGACATAAGACACCAAGAACGGGTTGTCGGGACGCATAGCGATTTCGTCGGCTGCAGACCTGGCAGGACCGAGGTTCCTTAAAGGGTACGGTAGCTCGAGAGCCGTCCGCAACAGGTCACGGGGAGGAATCACGGCACCCTGTCATCCACAATGGCCTGATCAGCTCGGCGTCCACTTTTGAGTACGAAATGAAATGGCACGCTTACAGTCTTTGGATGAACCACGTGGAGACATCCTATAGCCCAGGACAAGAAGAAAGCCTCTTCGAGATTGAGCTGCAAGTGCTCAAAGTCTTGCACTTCGATGGGTGGGAGCGGTTCTCGAGCGGGCTTCTCGTCTGCCTTTTCGACGTGTGCTATCGGCTGGCCGGTAGCAGCAGACTGTTCGCCCACAACCGTCTGATCGACTGGGGCGGCAGCCGGTGTCCTCTTCTTCCCGACTCGCTGATCTGGTCTGGTCGGTCGCACCAGAAATGTCTGAGGGGTCAGACGAGTCTCTCCTTCAGGCAGAACATGTGCGTATTCATCCACGGTCGGGATAAAGGTCGAATTGACCGTCGTCATCACATTCGCTCGCGGTCCCGCCTTCGGTGTTGATGCCGACGTCGACTGGACCGAAGGGGTGGTCGAATCAACCCGGTGAAGAGATTCCCCAGCCTGATCTGTATGATTGTCATTGACAGCAGAAGTGCTTGCCAAGGTCTTCCCCGTCAAGATTGCTTCTGCTGCTAGTGACGCATCTAACATCGCCTGAGCTCGGTCTCTCTTGAACTGTTTTCGCTCTTTTCTTCGTAGTGCTGTCACCTCCTCCGATGTCAACCCTGCAAGACAGTGTTGTCAGTCAAGCTGGTCCCGAGAATCGAAACCATGACACCAACCTCGTCCGTCGCGCTCTCCTTCCAAAGCCTTGGCCCGTCTGATCGCCCAACTTAGATCGCTACGACTCAAGTTTCCTTTGCCAAAGAACCCCCTCTCGAACAAGATCTCACGGTCCGCTTTATTGGTGACCCATACCGACCGAGTCAGAGGATCGTATGTTCCGGTGCACTGCGGTCGAATGGGTCCGGTCGAGTACAGGTACGACTTCAAAAGGTAGGTCAAGCCGTGAGACACTGACGAACTCGTCTCTGCAGGACCGCCAAAGTCTCTTGAAGGCGGCTCGATGTAGTCGGGATGGAGAGGCGAGGTCGGCAAAAGGATCGGCAAGGGAGTACCGAACTTCTGGTTGTTGGCCTTGAAGCGACCATAACCACCCCCCTTTCCGCCTCGAGGTGCCCGATTCGTGCTGGCTGGCGGTGCGCTCATAAGTCGAATGGCCTTCGGGACGGAGGTATCAGTTGTCGTGATGTGAAAATCGCAAAGGTCTACCTAAGTATGGTCGGGATGAAGTCGATGCGATTGACTGCCTCGACATGCTCGCTCCCCGAAATATGTCCTCTCAAGGCAGCGCGGAAGCTATTTTAGGAGAAGTTGATTCGATTCATCTAAGTTCGAGGGCGAACGGGACGCTACATGTCTTCGTTAAAGTCCTACAGTACATTGATCGATCAAGAAGGATGTTGGAGAAGAAATATAGTCGATACTGCTACAACGATTACCGAAGGTGAGAAATTCGAAGAGAAAAGCTGGGAAACAAAAGCTCGTCGTGACGGTTCGTGACTGTTTTTTTGGGCGGCAATGTCCTGCCCGGTGGATGCCTTGTATTTTGCTGCTTGATGGATTCGTTGTTGTTACGGTCCTACTGCTTGACTTCCAACTCTACTTCCCGCCTGACGCCCTTCATGAAGGGCTCGAACAAGGTCTGAACATCGTCCGAGCTGTTTAGCAAGAGCCGATCGTCGTCTTCGTCCCGGTAGTAGCACTTGAGGACGCCGGTGACAGTGCCGCCGACACATGTATTCACTTTGCGGGCGACTTTGGTCTTGAGATCTTCGCAGCTGATGTCAGGCGAGACGGCGAGCGTGAAGACGGCCTGAATCAGACGAAGTGGATTAGCACGAGCCAACTGCATATACACTGCATGCCATTCAGCTACTCACGTTCGGGGACAAGACCTTGATGATCACATTCTGCTTGGAGTAATGTGATACATCCGTGCTTGAGCCAGTGAAAGTACCCGAGGCGATCTTGGCGGAGTCGGGCACCTGCCCATCGAACGGCGTCTTCGGGGAATGTGACGAGGCGTCCGAGCCTTCGGTAGATCCACTACCTCTATTGCTCGACTTGAATCTAGGGTCGCTCCCTCGATGACCGTCATTGGCGTATTGCGCAGCAGGATCACCATAGTCGTGAGGCGTCACGGTTCGCGAATCGTAAATCCCAAGAGGCGAAGCGCTGTGCATTGGCGACGTCTGTGGGTTATGTCCATCGCCTCCGATCTTGGGCAACTGGTAGACGTTGGGACTGGAAGCGCTTCTCATCCTCAGCGAAGGCGACTGCGATGCCGAAGGGTAGACCCCGTGCATCGGTCTGGCCCCGGCCGCGCCATTCGTGTAGCGCGACCCATTTGTTTCTCCCCCGTTGGAGCGCAGTATCTCTTGACCGGCTTCGTACGTTTCTGGAGTAGCTGCCAGAGCAGGTCCGTGGCTGTCGTCAGACATGACACGAGCAATCCTTGTAGGTAATCCCCCACGACCCAGACTGGATCTTGGCAAGCTCGATGGGTTTCCGAAAGACGCTTCAGTCGCGACCGAAGCTTCCGACGAGTTCCTTATGGGTATCGGAGGCATGGGAGCCGCGCTTTGCTGCGATCGCCACTGAGCCATAAGCAAGCCGTTGGGATCGTCGTTCGAAGACCTCGCACTCATGTTCGAATAACGATCTGGAGGCCGAGGTACGCCTGACTGGCTCAGCGTGCGTCGCGACAAATACGGTGTACTGCTCGCGCTGGTGCTGGGTGTGCCGCCGTCGTCGTCCCATCCTGCAGAGCCCAGATCGCGCTCGAAGTAGCTGCCATTCAGGGGCCCGGTCGATGGACCTTCAGAAGCCGGAGTGGCAGCAAAGTTGGTAGCGGCCGAGATGTGTCGGCGACTGGTGCCCAAAGAATGCCGGTCCTTGTCCCGCATTTCACGCCTCTTTTGATCAGCGGCCATGAGTTTGGTGAGGGCGGCCTCCCATTGGTTATATTGCTCGGCGTTCTTGACGTGCAGGACGAAACTCTCGAACTCGTTCGGGTTCTCTTGCTGCCGCCAATACACTGAAAGGGCATATTCTCCTGAAAAAATGCCAAGGCGTCCGATTTAGCATCAGGTCCGAACCAAGGTCAACAATATCGCATCTTACCCTCGGCAGTTCCTTTCTGAAGGTGAGTCAGGTTGTTGACATAGATCCGACCCTTGAGCGAGAGTGGATTCTTCTTGGGTGGGCCCGATATATGCTTGTCGGCGTGCTGCTTCTTGAGAAGACTGCCGCTTTTGCCGCTCCGCTTGTCCTTCTTGTCTGGCAAGATCTCCTTGCAGCAGAGGATCATCTTCTCAAAAAGATATACCTCATAGTCTCGATTGAGGTCCCCCTTAGTGACCACGAACCGACCTTCCAGGAGGAGGTTTCCAAACTCCGAAATGTGGTGACCTTTCCAATCCTTCACACGGAATTGTAGCTCCGCTACGATGCTGATATTCGAGTTCTGACGAATAGTTTCGTTGACGCTCTCTGCGATCCGTTTTGTAACCTCGTGTCCGCTGGTTAACTCGGCCATGTAGGGGTAGTCCTTGTCGGAAGCCCCCTTGATCAATGCCTGTATACGAATATCGGCACTGAGCACCCCGCCAACAAGCGGTCAATACGGCGGGTCTGGCTCACGTCTAGCAAGATCGGATACCGACATATCCGCTGGATAGGTATGATAAGGTAGGCGTTCAGCTCTGCTACCGTCAACGGTAGGACGTCTCGCTAGATGTCGCGATTATTCACTTCAGCAACTGCACTCGCTTCATTTGATGGTCGAGTTTGCTGACCTGTAAGTTAGGGGTCTCCTTTTCGACCAATTCTAAGGCATTCATGTAGTTTGCGCAATAAGGTTCGTACACCTCGAAGTCTTTCTCCTACGAGTTGGGCGCGCGTATGGTGTTTTAGCGCTATGATCGAAGACTTGTGTTGGTGGAGCAAATACTCACAAAGAGGGCGAAAGGGTATCCCCAGTTCCCTTCAAGCCAGGCACTGCCACCCTTCTCCACCATGGGCTCGAATTCAGTCTCGAGGCACGTCAAGAAACGTCGCTGTCCAGAAAGTCACAACGGTCGGCAAACGGAATCGATGAAAGAGCGATGCGTTGTGCTTACCTGGATGTCAATGAGCTTGCCAAGATTGGAAAACATCATATGCACCGTATCTGGCGCGACGATAGAATGCTGTAACAGAGCTTGGGCATATGCCTAGCAGGGTAAGAGAATCAGCTCGATTCGCTTCCTAACATATATCCAATAGCGATGCTAAATCAACTCACCTGCAAGACCTCGAGATCCGAGACGTATTTCTTCTCGGTTCGCAGAATTTCGGCTACTGCCATTGCACCGCCATCCATCGGTCCTGGCCCCATCCCCGTCATCGGTCCGGGTCCGGCGCTCATATGACTCCGCGGAAAGTTCTTGCCGTCGAACGACGTATTGATCGACAACGGCTGTCGAGGCATGCCGCTGCCCGAGCTGGTATTTGGAAACTGAGAGCTCATCGACATGTTAGAAGGCATCTCTCTCAGCGTCGAGGCGGACGACGGCGAACGTCCCATCGGTTGCGATTCCGAATAATGCCGGCCGTGACCGGAGGGCAGGGGAGGCGCGTTGGCAAACGATTCGTGGCCGTTCTGATCCCCGGTATGCGGCGTCGTTGTGCTGTACGGCGTGGCGGGCGAATTGACATCATCCTGCACCCAAGCCGATTCGGGTAACCGGTCGAGTAGGTTGATCACGGTGTGAAGTACCCGCTTGAGCCCGCCGGTGTCCTCGCCAAAGAGCTCCATGACGGACCACAACGGATCCTCCTCGGGCCAACGTCCGCTCTTCTTCAACTCGGTCATCCGCATGATAAAGTTGGCCGCTCCCTTTTTGCACTTTTTCAGGTTGTCCTTTTCCCTTGCCCACGCGTAGACTCCCCTTCCTTCGGGTCCTTCAAAATCAAAGTCGGGAAACTCGATGGAGATGGGCATAGGCGCGTCGTAGCTAAAGTTGGGAAGGAGCATATTGAAGAGGTGACAGAGTGACGTCCCTAGTCGGAACGACTGCCATACGTGCTGCATCACGTCCATCTTGGGGGCACCCGAAGGCAGTTCTACAGTCGAGGCAGAGCACAAAGGCAGGTTTTCATGTCGGGTTGAGCGATGTGTACGAGACGGCCCGAAAGGATAAGATGGAGAGAGAGATCAAGGAGAAAAGAGCTCACCGATGAACCGATCATACCCGTTGACCCGTCTCAATCGACGCCTAGTCTCGGAACACATCTCGAACATGGTCTGCGGCCCTGCCATACTGGCTGTCTTGGCCGCCAGCGTGTTGGTGCTACACATCATACCCGAAACCGTCAGTCCCCCTTTCGCAGACTGTTCACGACACGCCCACTTCACAAAACTTACGTCGGTCCCATCTGGATATCGACTACCGTCGTCCCGCTCAGACTGACATTGCTAGACATGCCCAAATGATTCGCTCCGATTCCTGGTGTAGTCAACCCCGGGCTCGGGGACCCGATGGTCATGCCCGAAAAGTCGGCCGTGGGGAGCAAGATGTTGGACGGAGCATGCGAGATGGACCCGCCTTTTCGACGGGGGATAGACATTCTAAATGATGCCGAAAAGGTGTTGGTAGTAGTGGTGGTGGCGGTGGAGATGGATTGAGAGAAGGAAGTCTTTGATGACGAGTCGTGGAAGAGCGTCGTCGGGACAAAGGTTTGTGCAGTCTCCATTCGAGGGCGGAGGATAGCCGTCGGATTGATCGACAGAGCTCGAGTCGAGAGACTCGTTCCTGACTATCCGGATCGAGAGTCTGAACAATGCCTCTGTCGACTAGATGGTCGAATCCACACGGTATCTAGACGTTCTCTCGCCGCAAAGATGCCCCTTGTATGATCAATCAATCAAGTCCCGTGCTGGCTCTTGAATATCCGTGCCGCTCGATCAAACTCTCTTTTCGGCAGTTTCACCCTTCTACGGTACGGTGGACGACCTGCCGAGAGCGTCAAAGCTTGGGTAAGCTGACAGAACGATCGAGAAAGGGAGTCTCTTCTGGGAACCGAGTGTGATGCCGGGGGATGGGGATGAGCTCGTGCGGGTCTTCGAGAAAATGATGGTGTGAGGATGTCGGTCCGTAGGCCAGGAGAGGCGTGCCCGTATGATCGACGTCCAAAGGGATACCAGGTAAGAGGAAGATCCGGCTGATTGACAGAGGTTGTCAGAGGGAGAGCAGAGAAAGGGATGGTGAGGGTGATCCTGTCACCCTAGAAAAAGGCCCGTATGGTTCGATCGAAAGGTAGGTAGAGGGCGGGATGAATGACCTGGTGCCGAGTAGGAGTGATCAACGGATGGTGCGTCTATCGCGGTGCATGTGCTCGTCTGGGATATCCTGATGATGCATCAAATAATGTGTGCTGGGGAAACCACGGGTTGACCGATTGATCGTCGAGCAGAAGAAATTGATGATGTCGAAGCCGCGAAGTAGATGATGAGGAGTAGCTTGAATCGGGGCCGAGCCGAGTGATCCTGCTATGATGAAGGCAGTCGAGTGGTCGAGTGACCTTGGAAAAGAGAGGTCGACTGGTGTTTGATGGGATTCGGCGGGGAAACCGGAGAATGATCTTCCAGAAATCGCTTTCGTCCCTAAGACTTGCGTGCGTGCGTGTAGCGTGCGACCACGGTCTATTTTTCCGAGGAGGTGGTGTTTGACTGCAGTCCCTCTATGATCTATCCCGATATCGTCCTCTCGCCTCTCGAGTGAGCGGACGGTCAAAGCCAAAGTCGCAGGTAGTTGATCGTATTCAGCTGATTATTCCTGAAAGCTGGAAGTTGGTCGGGGGCTCGGTCGGTCTCTTGCTGGGCCTTAGCGAAGGGCGGGCAGCGGCAGCAGCAGCGGGAGGACAAGCGATCGATAGCGCGTGCAAGGAGGTCGAGGTGGTGGTGACCGACGATACTCTGCCACTACTACTGACCACGATCGATTGATATTTTTTGTTCCCACACCCGGTTATCGTCAAATGTCCAAAGGCGCACAAATAGCAACCGAAGCCTCTGCAAGGTCTTGCACTTTTTGGAACGCTTGTGAGAAGTGGTAGCAAAACTAGTGTGTCTCGTGAATCCTCTCAACCGTCGGCTGGGATTGGAGAACAGTTCAAGGTCCGGGGCGCATCGAATCCGTGATCTGTGATACAAGCAACACCCATCCATACTTTTTCGAAGCGACAACAAGCAAGAGGCGATTCCCATCAATGAAAGCTCAGAAGCGAAACGCTTGTCGTCCGTGCGGTGCGCCCTGTCATCGTGAACCGCGAACTCGTCCGATCAGGGAGGTCCCAACAAAGGGAACAAAGGGGAAAACACGGGGTGCACTCGTATTATTATGTACATGTCCCTGTCTTTTGTGATTCCTGATATTCCACTACATTCCCTGTGTTATGCCTGTCGGCTTGCGACCTGCTTCGCCGAAAGTGCCGGACGCGATCAACCTAGTCGATGCTCGCCGTCAACGAGATCCCCTTTGCCCTGCTGAATATGTACTGTACGGTACGTAGGCACCGTCACAAAACCACGGACAATAATTGCAGGACCTCTCGATGGGTCAGACGCGCAGACGACCACCACAAAGTCGAGGTCGACGGTCCTGGCCTGGTCCGCATGGTGCACAAAAGCACGCAAGCCCTCCTCGTCCTCAATCCTCGGCCCTCGGGGACGGCGGCGCGACGGCGGGGGGAATGACGAGAGTGAGAAACGCCATCCGTACCTGCCGGTCGATCTCTCTTTCTCTCCTCTCTGCTCTCCTGTCCGTTTCTGATCCACCTCCTTGTTCTCGTTCCTATCGAAAGGTCTGAACCTGAAGATCATAGATCGCAGATCGCAGATCGCTCTTGCATGGCCGCAATTTCAGGGAACAGGGATCAATCAATAATGATTCAAAGCTCGAGGGCGCCGAAAGAGCCGGTGGGTGGATCGTCCACCCAGCTCGGAACGACACATGTAAACAATTCATATGCGATGTGCGCCGTGAGAACCACGACCTCGTGAATGCAATGTCTTCGAAACCCCATGTGTCCGCGACTGCATAGCAATACCGCACCGCCGCAGGTGACGAATCTCAAGTGCGAGTGCGTGCATGTGTGTGTGTGTGGGATCTTGGGACGACGGCGAGTCGCAATTCCCTCCGAACGCCTTTGAACCCCGGAAGAAGATGGTCGGACGCCGGGAGTAGAAACGGGGGAGTACGAACGATAAGATTGTGACCGGGGCTGTTCATATCGCATGAAACAGTCGAGCATCAGAGCGATCTCTTTCGAAAGGTGGCAGGTTAAACATGAACTCTGAATTATAGGGTAAAGGACGGGCCGAAAGCCGGTCGACATAGGGTCCGTTGTATTTCGCCGCTGTACACTACACGATCCGAATCGAATACAAATCCCATCACAACGCCCGTAATCTGATAACCAGTGCCTGTGCGAGCCCCCTCCCTCCATCAACTCGCGCTGAGGACGTCTTGCAGCTTGCCCAACTCGTCCGCATCCGCCACGACCTGGACTTCGCCCTTCATTCGATCCAGCTCCGCCTTCTCCCTAGATGCCTTGTCTGTCTCACCCACCCCATCCGTACTCGGCCCAGACCCAGACCCAGCACCTCCAGAAGCGGCCCAGTTGAGGTACGCCGCTCGACCTTGTTCCCAGATCTTGTGCTCGGGACCGCCCGGCGGCGCGTTCGAATCCGGGAGAGTCTGGACGGGTCGGGGAGTAGGTACGGTGTCTCCAAAAGGTTCGAGCTTGGTAGCGAGGGTGTTCAAGATGTTCTCCAGTGCATCTGCGGCTTGAGGAAGAGGAGCGACTGGAATACACGGTAGAGTGTCTCGTCAGCTCCAGATGGCACTATGCGATATCGAACAACACTCACGACCGCTCTCTTCGGCTAGCTCGAGGACGAAACCGGCAGCTTGTTTCTCCAGCTCCAGCCCCTTGACCTGCTTGTCCAGCTTCTTATTGGCCAAATCCAGTTGATGTTTGAGTTTCCGCATCTAATCGCAGCATGTTTAGGTCACCGGCGTCAGCATGGGCGCGGTGCATCGACGTCGCGACTATGACTGACCTCTACCACCTGAGCTCGCAAGTCGTCGATCTTCTCCTGCACATCAGCTTCCCCGCTAGGCAACGCGGCTACATAGCTCGCTCGATCAAAGTCGAGATCCTTATGCCATGGCTACAACAAATCGGTTCGAATCGTCAATCGTCTGCTCCCAGAGAACTCTGCTTGAATCGTTCTGAGAGACTCACTAGGACCAACCTCAGGTCGTCCGGGATGTGGAAAGGGTTTCGCAAACACCATGCGATAAACCTATCGAAAGCCGGATCCATGTGCGATTCGAGCAGTGTCTCTAGCTTGTACGGTCCTTGTTCCTGTATGCGCTGAAAACGCATCAGCCTTGACCGCAACCTGAGCTTTGGGTTTGATAGGACCGCGACTCACCGCATCGGCTGCCTCCTCCGCAGTCTCCTTGAACCCGTTACTATCAACCCAGTTGCTGATCGTGCTGGTTATGCTGTAGATCTCCTTCCTACACGCTTCGCTGATATCTTCCACCACCGTTCGAGGATGGAATCCCATGAGCTACAGGCAGAGGCACTCCCGATCAGTTTCGATCATCATCAAACGTGAAGAATAATGCACCGGTCCAACGATCTACCTCTTGCAACAGCCTGTTCTTATCATCCGCACTCAATCCAACCAACGGCTGTCTCTCCCCCTCCACCGCCTTGTCCTTGCCCTTCAACGTCCGTCTCCTCAGATCCGTCGGTCCGGCCTTGCTGCTTGATGATGATGATGATGCCTCCGGGATGGATGGGGGTCCAGGCGGGACGAAGTAGGGCGTGCAGGTCAGGGGGATCATGTCTTCGATTGTCTTGGTCTTTTTCGCTGGAGATTGTCGTCGAGCGACATGGTTGACGGTTTGGGCCGTCGTAGGGGCTTTTGTCCCGGAGGATCTCCGTGTGGCAGGCATTCTCAAGAGATAGCTGACGTATCCGATAGCTTTGGAAGGGAGATGTATGTGATTGTGTCTGTTCGTTCACTTTCGACGAGATCTGAATTCATGTGAACCGATGTTGACGTTTGGTTTGTTTACAAGGTGCCTCCCCCCCCCCTCGCCCCATCTGAGCGTAGACTCTGGGTCAACCTACTCTCGAGCGAGTGATATCATCCGGGGGAAGATCTGCTTCCGTGAGGCAGGGGGGGGGGAGCCGTGAAGTTCAGATGGACACCGGTTCTCATATTCTTTGGTGATGCAAACTAACTAGCTAACTACCATATTCTTATTCTCCGCTTCTATGCCCAGATCACGATAGAACATTCAGAAACAAACTTGGTATCTCCAAACTCCGTATCTAGAGTGCCGTGTTACTGGAACACCTGCGGAAAGCGAACAAACCGGGCTCATCGGGCAGAAGGAAGCGGTCAAGATGAGAGTGACGAAACCAGCATGGGTTACCCATTCAGGCGAGTCCTCTTGCTTGTCCTAACTCTGATCTATATAGCTGGACTGACTCAGGTATAGGAAACAGATAGCAAGAAGCAAAGAAACTCCCTCTTTGGCCTGCATGTCCACCCGGATTGTTCAAGACTAGCTACCGGAGGCATAGGTCAGTCGAACAAAGTTGACACAGATCGTATACCAGCTTGCCATACTGAAAATGGGAATACTGACGATACTTCACACAACAGATGCCAAGATTAGAATCTGGTCAACACTCCCAATCCTATCCAAACAAGCCGAAGACAATGTAGCGAATCCCAAGCTGCTATGCACCTTGAGCAATCATAACGGTGAGCAATCTCCATCGGGCATGCAAGCTGCAACGTAAAGCTCACTCTAAGAGTCCCCTTGAACGTTCCCAGGCCCTGTTCTCTGTGTACGTTGGGCACACCACGGGAGATTTCTAGCCAGTGGCTCGGATGATGGAATCGTCCTCATCTGGAACCTCGACCTGTAAGCTCGTGCCCCTGGCATTTGCCCTCTTGCCATGCGCTGAATCTGAACCGCTTGCACGACGAGTCTAGTTACGGCGCGGGTAAAGTTTTCGGTTCCGATGAGGTCAACGTAGAAGCATGGAAACCTCTGAAACGGCTCGTAGGGCATCAATCCGGTATGTTTGGAGCGGCTTTAGGGTTCGAGAACCATGTCGACTGAAAGGCCTCTGGCTACTGGTTTTCCGTAGATGTGGTAGATATCGCTTGGAACAGGGACGACTCCATGATCGCTTCGGTCGGTCTGGACAGCACGATTTTCATCTGGGATGGGTATACTTTCGGTGCGTACGATAAGATCTCCCTCCAACAAATGGTAACCTGAACGAGACCCTGCGGCTTTGACAGAACTTATCAGAAAGATCGAAGGGCATCAAGGGTTCGTCAAAGGGGTCTGTTGGGATCCCGTCGGGCAGTATCTGGCTACACAAGTGAGTCATTTCTTCAGATCAACTTTGCTGATCGGTCTGGCTGACCCTTCGTCTACTGCAATGTAGAGCGACGACAAGACGGTCAAGATCTGGAGTACGCAGGATTGGTCATGCGTGGAGACTGTATCCAAACCCTTCAAGAACTCGCCAGGAAGCACCTTCTTCCGACGATTGAGGTGAGTCCGACCGACATCGAACGGAGTTTGTGGGTATCGCTTAACCTCTACCCATTCTCTGCAGCTGGTCGCCAGACGGAGAGTTCATTGCTGCATCGAACGCTATGAACGGACCTATCTTTGTCGGAGCAGTCATTGAGCGGCGAGGGTGGGGAAGCGAGATCTCGTTTGTTGGGCACGAAAACACGATCCAGGTGGCGGTATGTACATAGACCTCGCCCATCCCCGGACGTCACTGACGAAAAATGACCAATCGCAACAGGCGTTCAATCCGCTCGTTTGTTTTCCCAAGGGGAAGAAGAGGGAGGCTTCGTCGGCATCCTCGATGGTAGCATTGGGAGCAGATGACAATTCGATATCGATCTGGAGAAATACAAACAACGTGCCCACGTTTGTGGCAAAGGATGTCTTCGACAGGCAGATCCTGGACCTCTGTTGGTAAGGAAGGACCTAAGGATCATCAAGCTTTCGGATGCAAATCGCGAGACCGCTGATCAATCCACTTGCCCGTTTCTGTTCTACAGGTCTGCTGACGGATTGGTAGTGTACGGATGTTCTTCCGATGGGACGATCATCGCGATCCAGTTCGATGCATCTGAGCTTCCCGATCTCGGTACAGCGGAGGATACGACGAAGCTTCTCGAAGCGAACGAATGGAAGCCTACAAAGGTCAACAGGAGCGGAGCAATGCACCAGCAACAAGTATCTGCCAGGCAGACCTCTTCGCAAGCGTCGAGTCTATTATCGCTCGCTACTCCGTCGAAGGGCGGTATCAACTATTTGCAGCCTCGTAAAGGTGCGCAGAAGATGACACGTTTGCCGGACGGAAAGAGGAGGATTCAACCCGGCTCGGCTCTGGGTAGTGCGAATCCGATCGTATCGCGCCCACTCCCTCAACAACCGATCGCTAGCACCAGTAACCCAGGAGGTGCCATCGACGTATTTGCAGCAGCAGCCGATCAGCCGCTCGAGAGTCAATCGAACGTGATCCAATCGAGGGACGACCTGATCCAGAACGCTCCTTCCGCATTTGAAGACGAAAACATGCAACGAGGGGAGAAGAGGAAATATTCGATCGGAGAGTATGACCCTCCGAGTCGACAAGTCAAGACGAGGACGTTGGGCGGAGGCGAGCGTCCCAAAGAGACGTGGCCTGTCCGTGAACTGAGACCAGCGATGCAGGGGATCAAGAACATGAGCTCAATCTCGGCCAGCCGTCTCAAGTTACCGCTTCCCATGATACAGAACAGGATCAGAGTCAGGTCGGAGGACGATGAACACTTGGTCGCCGAGGCGGAAAACTCTGATAATGGCAAGTCGATGGCGACGCCGTCTTTTCTAGACTGACTGGCTGATACACAGTGGCATCTATCAGAACAACCGCATCGAGTCACTTTCTTGCAGAAGGGGGCGGTGCAATGGCTGGACTTTCCCGCCAAAGCCGTCGTCGCTCTTGCTGTCAGTGCGTATGGTCTCGTCTGTGCAACAGAGGGCGGAACCGTTGTCGTTTACAGTCCAGCAGGCGTCAGGTCAGTTCCAGCTTCTGATGACCATGTCAAGGTTGATAACTGATGTCCAACATGTGATAGACTCATCTCGGAGCACAAGGTCGATTGTCCAGTCTCCTACGTGTCTGCTTCTGGTAAATATGGAATGGTCGTCACCTCGAGCGGCAAGATCTATGGCTGGTAAGCAGGAAGTGAGGACAACTTGTCCTGCGACTTCGAGACTATTCAGACCATCCCTTTCGCGCCATTTGCCAGGAACATGCTTTCCCGAAAAGCTGCTTTCGCACCAACCGACATGGTACACCTTCTCGACAAGGAGACTGAAATTCATTCGGCGACCATCCGACCCAACGGGACCCCGTTGATTCAACTTACAAACGGGGAAGCCTACGCGTACAACATCGAGTCGCAGGTATTCGAGAACGTATGCTCGCTGTGGTATGCGGAACGGTCGTCTTACTGGACGCGGACGAGGGCTTCAAGTTCAAACCCCAAGAATATCGTCGCCTACCTGGAGACCAGCCTCAACACCCTCCGTCCCGACGTTGTCGCCGCAGCGGAAGCGGCTGGTGCGAAGGTCAAACCTAGGTGGTTTGACGATGCGATCCCATTAGGACACCTCGAGACGAGACTACAGGCCTGTGCGCTGCTCAACTCGCCGAACGAGTACAAGACGTTCTTGACATCGTATGCCAAGAAGATTGCCGACGAGGGGTACAGGAACAAGGCGGAACAGCTGGCCAAAGACCTTTACGGGCCAATATCGTTGTGAGCAGGATAGCGGAACACATTGATTCTTGCGGTGGAGACTGACAAAGCAGCTTCGATCGTATCAGTGGCACGGCAAATCACAGCGAGTACAAGGCGACGGTGTGCGGACTGAACAAAAAGGATCTCTTGAAGGACGTACTCAATATATTCGGTGGGTCTCGAGACGTGTTTAGCGCCATTCCTACGTCGTATTGTACCATGTACTGACCACCCTTTGCATCGCTTTACCCTCGCACCGCAGGCAAGACGCATAGTCTGAGTGAAGTATCGACCGTCTGGCAGGAACGGCTCCGATTAGCCGCTAGTGAAGCCTGAAACGGGGTAGATGGGGGCTGACGAGCCTAGCGCGCGCCCAAGTGATCTTTCGAGATGACAATACGAGAGTTTAGAACAAGTGGGATCTCGAAATGTAGCAAGTTGTAGCTATACGAAGCGTTCGATGTCGATTCCTAGATCCAAGTCATACAGATCGATCCGAACCCACGAGACCCCCCCTCGTGATTTGGATCCGTCCGCTTGTGCGCGCGTATGTTTCGAATCTCTTTTGTTCGCCGAAAGAGGTCCTCCTTTTGTGAACCTTCGCTCGCCTAAGCGAGAGCCAACGATACCCACGGTCCGCAGGTTTTGTCGAGACGGTCGTTTTACTGTGAGACTTTTACGGGAAGACGTTGGTGAAATCGAGGACGGGACAAGATCGAGATCGATGTGAATCCGTTCTGCTGTGCCCTCTGAGCGCGAGACGAAAGCCTGAAACGCGAGCTCCTGACCCGTCCCATTGACCCCGGACCGAACGAACAAAAGGGAAACCCTTTCACGAGCGAGGGACTATCCAACGAACAAGTCACCGTCCCCCGGATCCTACCGACAAGTTCCGCTCTTGTGCTTCCTGCCCTCGTCCTGGCCCTCTACCCCTTGTTGCCCTGGACCTATTTCGCTCGCCTTTTTTTATTGTGGACAGCTGGGGAGGAGCTAGTCCCCGCACTAAATTCGGAAGTGTCGACGTCAGGTCGTTTCGCTGTTCCTAGAACCTTGCTTTGTTGGCTAGCAGGGCGGAGGCGATAGCCCTCTTCCCCCTTTCAGGTATGCTCCCGGTCTTCGAGAGTGCGAGTGACCAGCTCAGGTCGATTCGGTCTGGTTGATATACCTTTGAATGGCCATATCGCCATTTCGAACACGCCTTCATTTCCGCCTAGAAACCTCTCTTTTAGTGTACCAAACCACCTCTTTTCGAGCTTACAGTGCTCACACCTTTCAAAGCCGAGTGCAACTTTTACCCCCTAGTCACCTCAGAACAACCCCGTTCTTTCGGACCAAAGAGCGAATCCTCATTCTCTGCTTTTCGTGAGTTTCAAACCCGGCGACGATCCGATCTTCCCATCTCCGTGCTCGGGCAAATTGAAAGACCGGTGGCCGAAAGGAAAAAGAACATCTGTCTCGAAAGGTTTCGACGATCCGGCTGAGAGAGCTTCAAAGGATCAGAGGGGAACGGCGACGAGAAGAAAGGCAAGGTTTCACCTCCGTCTCAAGGTTCGAGGAGAGGGAGTGATGGATGGCTGGGTGGATCGTGGCCGTCGTCATCAGATTCCTTCGCTTATAGCCAAGTCAAAGGGAGCTGCGATCTGCGAGGGAGGACGGAGATGTTTGATCATCGTTTGAAAGTGTATAGAAACGCTGATCCCGGTGCTTTTCCCCCTCTCCCCCTTTGCCCTCCTCTTTCTGCCTTGTCGCACTGTCACTGTCCTTTTGGGTTCTGCCGATCCTCGCATGGTATTCGCTTGTTGCTCACGGCACAGCAACCACATCAGCATCAGATCAATCGGCCGCTCGACTCGACCTCGCACCGAGACATTCAATCGCAGTCAAACAAATCGCCAATCGACGAACCGACACGTTTTATTGAACCTTTCCTCCGAGATATAACAATCACAAGATCACAAGTCGTCAGACTCGTTACGCCAGCACAATCCGCTCTGGGAGTAAACGATCGACTCAACCTCTTACGACACATACGGACGACCGCCCAGATCGGACCGACTAGCTACTAGATCTTGCCGCCATCAATCACCTCGTGTTCCTTTGTTCAAACTCTTCGACATAAAATAGTAACATCCTACTTGACATAGAAGGATCAAGATGGGCTGCACCACCTCGCAACATGAAGACCCCGCCGCCAAGGCTCGTGCGTAGCTCAACCTGCTTGAGATTGTGAGGAACTGAAAGAGTCGATGCTGACGGCTGTTTACGTCTACGGATCTGATCAGGTAACGAAGCTATCGAATCTCAACTCAAGAGGGATCGACAGGTGCTCCAGAATGAAGTCAAGGTTAGTACAAGATCGATCGGGTGTGCCATGAGGCAGCTATCTGACTGAAGAGGCGAATGCTCATGACGACAGATGCTACTGCTTGGAGCTGGAGAGAGTGGGAAATCGACCGTTCTCAAGCAGATGAGACTGATTCACAACAAGTGAGTCGGCATCATCCGGACCCGTGCAATAATTCTTCGATACTCATGCTTGTGCGATTTTATGACCTGGCTTCAGACCGTACGACATGGACGAACGAGAGTCGTACAAGGAGATCATCTTTAGCAACACCGTTCAGTCCATGCGCGTCCTCCTCGAAGGGGTCGGGAACATGGGCATCCAGCTCGACCCGAGCAACCGAGGGCGGTACGACCTGATCATGTCGAGTCCATCTCAGATCGAGGGGGATATCATGCCACCTGCTCTGGCGGACGCTGTGTACGGGTTGTGGAACGATGCTGGGGTCAGGAAGGCGTACCGCAGACGGAACGAATTGCAGATCAACGACAGCGCACCTTAGTGAGTTCCGGCGTTTCTTCTTGTTGTCACCCGCCATTACTAGACCTTCGAGACTTACGACCGAGCCACCTATCTTTCTCGCCTCAGCTACTTCAATTCGATCGGACGGATTGGGGCGACCAACTTTACACCGACCGACCAGGACATTTTGCGCGCACGGGTCAAGACGACGGGGATCAGCGAGACGACCTTTGTCATCGGGGACCTGACGTACAAGCTGTTTGATGTCGGTGGGCAGAGGAGTGAGAGGAAGAAGTGTGAGTTTGGCCGTCTCGCCCGCAAAAATGAGAGGGAATACGGATGCTGACTTCAAGGGAGTCTGATCGTGAATGTAGGGATTCACTGTTTCGAGAGCTGTAATGCAATCGTCTTCCTGGTCGCCATATCCGAATGTGAGTCTGGCAGAAAGCCTTATGACAATGACATTAGCTGATTCTCTCACCTGACATAATCAGATGACCAGAAGCTGTACGAGGACGAGAGCGTCAACCGAATGAGCGAGGCCTTGACGCTGTTCGATTCGATCTGCAACTCGAGGTGGTTCATCCGCACATCGATCGTAAGTCGTTCGCTATACCATTTCCGTTCTTGTAACATGAACACCTAACTCGCATCCCTGCAATAGATCCTGTTTTTGAACAAGATCGACATCTTCCGGGAAAAGCTACCAGTCTCGCCAATGTCGCATTACTTCCCCGAGTTCCGAGGAGACGATCAATCGTATGATCAGACGAGCGCCTTTTTGCTCGACAAGTTTGTCGGCCTCAACCAGAACTTGGACAAGAGCATCTATGCTGTGAGTCCCGCATGAATTCATTCGTGTCTGAAGTTGGGGAACGTGGCTGATAGGGTCTCTGGATACTGCTTGCAGCACTACACATGCGCAACGGACACCAAGGCACTGAGTTTTGTGTTATCCGCTGTCAACGACGTGATAATCCAGTCGAACCTGCGAGACTGTAAGTTTACAGACGGTCAAATCCTTCTCAATGGCATCAAATTTTCTGACCACGTGATATTCCTATCGATCCAGGCGGTCTCATCTAGTGTTCTCTGTCCGGTTTCCCTCTCGCCGTTGCACTGTACTCATAATTCTTGTCCCCCCTTACGCTCTCTTTACGGGTCCTTTTTCCGGCATGTTTCCTGTTTGTACATCATTCTTTTGTTCGTGCATTCGTTGTTTTATATCATCTAGTGCCGCGGCTGCCGACATTGCGGCCCGTGCTGTGTAAAACCCGCCTTTACGAACAAAAGGAGACCCCCGTTCAAGGATGAAACGTCAAATGTCGATAACGTATAATCGTTCTCTCCGTTGGGAACCTCGCTCTCGCGTTTCCCCGAGGGCCGAGGAGGGTGATCCAACTCGATTTCTATTGTTCTTTGAGAGAGGAGGGGGGTCAGTCAGTCCTGATGATATACCCGGAGAGTCTTATATCTAGAAGACGGATGGTCACACTCGACGATGTAATCTCAGCCTGATCCAGGTTCAAAGCAAACCTCGTACCGGATATCCTTACGCACGCTCGTCATGTTTCCATTCGTCCGACGAACCGGGAACTCGGTCCGCCCAGCCAGGTCGATCAGCATCGTCCAGGTGCATATGCGGAATTTCAGTCCATCAGCAGCTAGGCTCGCCGGAGAGTTCGTCGCTACCCGAGGGAATATGCAGCTACACCGGATCAAGGAGATGTTGGAGAGGATCGACAGGACGAATCGGCCGAGCGAAAAGATCGAGGTGGTCAAGCAGTACGAGGACGTTCGTCCCGTTCTCGAGCTGTGAGTCCTGATCACGGATTGAAGAGCCGGTCGCAGGAGAGCGAAGCCAATGATGGATTTCGGTATGCGATAGTACCTATGACCCCCATGTCAAGTATTATGTCAAATCCAGCTCGGTCATCAAGCACTTGGCCAGGTTCCCGGAAGACATCGAACGAAGCTCTTCTCGCCCAGTCTCGTCCATCTTTGTTCCCGGAGATGAAGAGGTTTCAAACCACCCGACGCTGGAGAGTCTACTCGAAGCTCTCCGGAAAAAGGAGGCCAACATCTTTGACATCATTTCGTTCATGCAAAAGAACGGGGTCTTTGCTACCGCACGGACGGTGGAGGACGTGCAGCGGGCGAACGAGGTCAGGGGGGCTCAGGGGTTGTCGGCACTGTCAGTTTTCTTGAGGGTGATCGACAAGGATCTGAACGTAGGTTTCGGGCCCAAGCTGTTCGAGCACGTCGGCTGGACGCTACAGAAAGAGTGAGTACGCATGGCCGCATGCGAGTCGAGCGAGTCGCGAAACTTCGCTGACCGTCTCGATTTCATCTTGGTCAGTGCGGAACGGAGTCTCATTGCACATGCCAAGCGTAACGGAGTCGAACTGTCCGACCCGCCCAAGGAGGAGCCCGTTTTCGATATGGCTATGCCCGATACGATGCGTCTGGAACCTGCACTCGGCAAGACGGTCCTAGCAGAAGACGTTCCGAAGCTGTTTGCGGACCCCAACGGTGCACAGTGGTACGGAAGCCGAAAGCTGGACGGCGTACGGTGCCTCGTCGTCGTCGACGTCGAGATCGAGGAGAGCGAATACTTTGAATCGAGCAACATCAAGGTCACCCGGGCCAAGTGTTATTCCCGTACGGGCAAGGCATTTCACGTGCTCCAACCTCTACTGGATGACATCGAAAAGCTCTGCACCAACTGGACCGACCTCATCCGGATACTCGAGAGTGAGCCGAGTCTCAGCGAGAACACGTACAAATACAAGTACTTGAGCGGGATCTTTTCAGAGAACAAACGGTTCGTCCTGGACGGAGAACTCTGCGTGTTGAAAGAGTCCAAGGACGAGGAAGGGGTTCTGGTCGAGGATTTCAAAGAGGTCGTCGGCAAGGTCAGGCGAAAGACGGGGTCAGCGGACGATATCCGGATGTTCATTCTGGACATGATCCCTTGGAGCAACTTTGACCGCCATGCCAACAAGGGAACTGCGGATATGCCGGCTCAACAGAAGTCGTTTAGTCAACGACAGGAAGACGTTATCGCGGTGTTGCAGCGGATGGACGATATCACCATTGAGGGCGAGGATCACAGCCTGCTTTGGCTGTTGCAAGAACCCATGAACAGTCCCGAAGAGGTCGAGGGCCTGATAGCTACGGCTTCGGAGGAGGGCTGGGAGGGTATCGTCCTGCGGAGGGATGTACGATACGAGGGCAAACGGACGTACGTGTACGACGTGTATTTGGCACCGCTTCTCTCGCTGACGATCGTGTCCCGTCTTGTAGAGCGAACATCCGGAAATACAAAGCCTGGCTAGATGCAGAGTATGAGGTTAAGGATATCGAGATCAATACTATGCGTCTGCCGGTCGATGGTATCTACGAAGACCGACCAGCGCTGGCTAGCCTGATAATCGAGCACAAAGGTGAGAGGCCGTGTCAAGGCAGTCACCGTGATGTACGACTTATTCAGCATTGCGTACCAGGCGTGCCCGTCAATGTCGGGAGTGGGTTCACGAACTCACAACGGATCGAGTTTGCCAAAGACCCTAGCCTGATCGTGAGTTCTTTAACGATGCTAGAGTTGCAACATCCTATTGACGGGAACATCTTTCTCAGATTGGCAAGCAGGTCACGGTCGAATACTTTGGCGAGTCTACGAGCGATGCTAGGGACAAGAAGGGTGGTGGCTTGAGCCTACGCTTTCCTCGGATAAAGCATATTTGGGAGGGCGAGAAACGAGACGTGTAAGCGGGAAGCGCGACTAAGATGGCTCATGTCGGCCTCGCCTGTAAATTGAGGAAGCTTGTGTAACACCATGACACCCCATTGATCAATAATAATAGCATAGCGACGGAAGACTGCTGTGAAGTCTGCTCGTAATAATGGTGTAAACTGGCACAGAACAACAAGCCAGGCGGGTTCGGCAAGCGCGAGGCCGATGGTGCCGATCGGTGTCCTAGCCGTCGGAAAGTACTACGTATCAGATGCCAGGGAGGTTACCATCCTATAGGCGTGGGATATGCTCATTTTCATCATGCACAACAAGGGGGATCACAAAGATTGGAAATTATAAAGACCATGTGCTGAAGAGAAAAAGAAAAAGGAAGACGGTTGAAGTTCCGGGGAGAGCCGGCAGAGAACGGGTAGAATTGGTAGGTGGTCCGGGGCATTATACAACGACGAGGTGCAATGTCGGCAATGCGGAGCGTCGAGTCGGACGGTAAGCGTGGCGCGAATGTCGTGAGTCGTAGCGGGCTGATCTATTTCCAATGCCCAGAAGCTTGATTACCGGGAGATCGAGGGTATCTGAAGGCTGCGTGATCAATAAGTCGATTTTCGGGATAGCTTGCATGAACTTTTGCCGTGGATGACCTACAAGAATCGTTCCAAGGCCATGCATATCCTGCCGTTATCAATGCATTCGACAGCAGAGGATGTCGAGGAACTTGTTGCGTCGCGGTTCCTCAAACTCGCCATTGCCGTTACCGACGCCTATTGCCTGCTGTCCGCCGTTCGAGTTGGAGAACTGCATCGGCTGCTGCTGAGACATCCTACTGTCCATCGGCATCGTTGGCGTGCCTGTCCGTTGGGTACCGTTCACGGGCGAGATCGGGTTGATACCAGCTTGTGATGGTACGGCCTGAGCCGATGGGTCGTATTCGTTGTTATGGCGAGGGTAGACGGGTTCCATGCGGCTGTCCGATGGTGGTTGGCTACGGAGAGCAATAAGAGTACGATGAGTAGAACAAAGGCACAGGTAGTGTAGTGCGTCGTAAGAGGGCGAGGCGAAGTTGAAAGCGACGAAGGACGAAAGACGACGCATGGACAGGAACACAAGGAAAGGGAGGGTAGGGTAGGAAGGTAGGAAGCAAGGAGTGGATGAGAAGATGCGTTTGCGATGGCATATACAGCGTGTGAAACAAGCGGAAGCAAGACAGTGATCAGATTTGCCGTTCCCTTCCCGTGATGAGCCAAACTCCGAATCGCAGAAAGTCGGTCGAGGCAAGAGGACTTCTGTCGCATTTTTTCTGTTTTTTCCTTCAAGACCTAACGAGGCGAGTCTCAAGCCATTCCCAAGATCCCAGGCAAGACGTACCCTCCAGATGCAGCAAACGGATGTCCCTGGTGCGCGGATTGCCTGCGCGATGGCGGAGCAGCGCTGGTCGCCGCGTTGACACCGACGATGGCCTGGTTGCTGGCGTTGTTCTGGCTCTGGGTCTGGAGCGCGGCCGTAACGGACTTGCGGTTCTTGCTGCAGAGTCAAGAGTGATACCTGTCAGTCGAAGATCATCTCACATCATCAAAGACACGCGTTGACTTACGCTGCGGGGGACGGGGGAATGATGTTTCCGCCCGAAGGTCCGGCACCTCGCAACTTTTCGGCCCTGTCCCTCTCGCGTTCACGTTCACCCCTCGATCGGTGCTGACGAGATGCGGGTGGAGGCGGCAGCTGTGACGCATTAGTAAAATCCATTCGAGCGATCGAGACCCGAGCCGAAACGAGGAGGAACGAGGAAGAAGGCGGAGGACGATTCGGCGATGCGATGTAAGAGGAAAGGAAGGGAAAGTGGCAAGTGAAGGGTGAGTGGGACGAAAGGGGAAGGGGAAAGTCTGCCTCGCGGCAACCGGTGTAAGAACGGCCGACTCACGCTAGTGTGTTGCCATCCCTTGCCTTGGTTCAACAACATCCAATCGTACACGCCATCCTCAGTCTCGCCGGTAGTGCGAAGAGCCTTGGTGAACAGGTCTCGCAAGAAGTTGTAGTCGGGAGTCTCGGTGAATCCGAGCTTCCTGACGTAGTTGAGGTAGATAGCAAACTCCTCTGTGGCGTCGAAGCGAGATCACGCACTCGGATCAGCGGCCATATTGAGAAAAGGACAACAGGACGGAGAGAATGAGACTGACGAGGGTAGTTCTCGACCAATTCAGGGATCGGCGTGGTCTGCTTCTTTTCACCAATCTTTTCATACTTCTGCTTGTTCGTGGCAGCCTTGAGACCTTGCCAAGGAAGTGCTCCTCGCAAAAAGTAGAAGAAGACGTGTCCGAGACACTCGAGATCGTCTCGTCGGGATTGCTCTGCCCAGGGGAACGTGATATCAGCGTGGGTAGGTTTGGGCCTCAACTGAATCCCTGTCGCCCAACTCACCTCGACCCAGATGAGTGTTGATACTCATGTATCGGGCGGTTCCGCTCAAACTCTTCCTCTCTCGATAAGGAATGTGTTGCTTGCTGCAGAAACAGAAAAATGAAAAGGGTCAGCCTTCAGATCACTCGGTGTCGAACCACACACGATCACGCGACATACGTCTTGGGATCCCTGTACTGCTTGGCCATTCCGAAATCGACGACATGGATGACATTCTCCCCCTTGGTGGTAGGACGTCCGATCAAGAAGTTGTCGGGCTTAATATCACGGTAGATCAAGTTCTTCTCATGGATGGTCTCGACCCGGGTGATCTGAGCAGCATGACGTCGTCGGCGACGATGATGATCAGTCTTTGTCCGATTGGGATGCCACACCGCGACCCCGAAGCTATCGACACGAGACTCACCATCTGCTTGGCAACCATACAACAGGTCTTGACAGAGAACTTGCGTCCGCACATGTCGAACAGGTCTTCCATCGAGGGTCCCAAGAGGTCGATGACAAGGATGTTGTGCAGACCTTCTTGGCCAAAGTAGTAGACCTGAGGAATACCGGCTGCGGCGGGGCAAGGCATGTTTCAAGTAGTATCAGGACAAAGGACGTTCTAGCTAGAGAGTAAAGTGAAGAGACGTACGACATCCGGACAAGATCTTGTACGATCGGTACTCGTCCCTGAGCTGAGGAGCATCCGACTTTCGAGGTTCCTACGGTGATCCAGATGATGAAGTGTGAGCTATCGATTGCGCGGAAGATGTTCCGAACTTCAGTCCAGGGAAGACGTACGAATTTGATGGCTACGGTCTGCGAGTTCAAGAGGTTCGTTCCTGCAAGCCAAACAATCCTCTTAATCAGCTTTCCCGGTCCTAGATCTCCCCCACCCTCATCCTCAATACCACCACCACCGACACCCCACTCTAGCCGCGAAACTCACCCTCAAAGATGACTCCGAAACTTCCCTCTCCAATCTTCTTCCCAACCTTGTAGTGAACGCCGACGACGTTGCTAGAGCTCCCCGCGGTCGGGGTACCGGGTGCGGTCTGAGCGTTGGACATGTTGTTCGAGGTCGAGATGATATGAGTGGTTGCCATGTATCCCGCGATCAGGCGGGTGTTTGTGTGTGGTTTGAAGGTGTTTGAGGGGTTGCAAGGGTAGGTAGGTCTAGGACGTTTGGGTCTAGACCGGTTGCTGAGGCTGTCCTTGATAAATGGACAGGAAGATCTTCACGAGTTGGGCCCTCACGAATCAACTGCCCGACGAGAGAGGAAGAGCGTATGTACGGGACGTTTGTTTTCTTGGTATTGATCGGAATTGCTTTGAATCAGGCCGAAAGCTCCGGGGGTTGATTTCGTTCTCGGGTTCTGGGTGGCTTGTTGATTCGTCGAACTGATCGGCGGGTTGCGTAACTCCTCGAAGGGATGATCTCTTTGTCGGAGAGGTAATCGACAGGAGAAAGATGAAGAGGGAAAGGGTGAGCGGGCGATGAATGTCCTTGGGCTATATAGTCGACGAGGAGAGTCGTTTGATGCCCCGTGAGGTGACGAGGGGTTGGAACGCGGACCCTGGAATGAGGTGATAGCTCGCCAGTCCTGGCCAAGGGGTCGCGAGCGGAGTCGATCGTCAAAGGAAGGACCGTGAGACCAGGGGGAGTTGGGGGAAGGGAGAGAAAGAGGTCGAGAGCCGTGTCAACGAGTGTATGAAGTGGTGTGTGTGTGAGTAGAATCGACTTGGAATGACGATTGAGCTGCAACAGCCAGCCAGCCAGGGTGTTGGGTGATCGTCTCTCCTTTGTGATGCCAACCTCGTCCGCGTGGGTCCACACCAGAGGCTAGTGGTTGCCTAGGAGTATCAGGTCAAGTTGCTGCTGATATAGCTGCGTGCTAGTCCCTCTTATCAGAGGCATCCTCTACGAGTCTGTCAAGCGCATGCAACAAGTTTCATTCATTGGCCGGGCTCCACTTGGACATACAAAGCCGTTAGGCCCTTCGAAGGTGTGTGGCATGTGTGGCATCGTTACGTGTATCGCGAGACGGTAGGTCATGATTGAACATTCGGGTGATTATCCCTGAAACGCGTGACGACACCCCGATGCACCGCGGGTCTTTCTCCGCAGCCATCTATCCCCTCGACACAGGTTGAAACCTCTTGTACATTTTGACATGATATATATGATACGGTCTGGCGGCCCGGTCTACAGAGATATACAACAGCACTTCCAGTGTGCACAAGACAACAAGAGAAACAAATGCGGCGTAAAGTAAAATTTGAGCCACAACGCACAGCGTAGATGATAACGTAAAAGCGTAAAGTGGGAAAGCAAACCGTGATCCCGTAAATCCTCACCCCCTGTATCCTCCGCCACTGCCTTTCTTCTTCTTCTTCTCCTCTCTATCTAGAGTCTCTCCTGTCCGTCGTATCTCGCTCCACTGCCTATCATCACAGCCATGACATCTACCCACGTCTCGTCTGACCACCGAAGTGCATATCCTTCATCAACGGTTCGAGCCATTCGGCCTTCAATGTCTTTTTACCGACGAATTTGCCATGCTTGCACGTGTACCTAAAGTTGTCCGCGATGAGGGTCACATCCGAATCAGCTCTCCATTATTGGAAAACAACAAGAAAAGGCGGGGACTGACCTGATCATCGCCGATGCCGAGGGAAACATCAACCGTCTCAACGGCTCGTATACGTACTCCATCTCTTCTTCCCCCAAGACGGCCCCTGCACCTCGTCGACGTCGCAGATCGGTGAGCCTCTGGTTGACCTCGGGTCGGACCTCGAACCAGTCGCTCAGGTTGATATGCGCACCAGCTTTGAGCAGCCGGAGACAGGCGGTCTTGGACGTCGGGACGAGAGGGAGGACGGGTCGGGGAGTTGAGCTACGGGATAGATCGGCGGCTTGGGCGGTCCGGTCGGATGCCGTGGAGGTGGTACGGACGCTGCTAGTGCTGCTGGTGGTCGAGTAGGCACGACGACGTTTCGAGGTGGTGCTGCGGATGACGTGTTCCTCTTCAGAGGTTTCAAAGTAGGTTCGACTGCTGGAGCCGTGTTGCTTCCCCACAGTCATATTGGTGGGCAAAGCTAATCCGAGCTGAAACGACAAGGGTACTTGATCAGTTCTGAAGATCGTTGCCATCTTCGACAAGGCCTTACTCACCTCGACACAGAGCCCTTGCCAAAAGACCAGCTGGTTCTTTGGATCCGCCAAGAATTCTGGATCTTGATCGAGATACGCACGGACGCTCGAGTGCGCCTCTTCATAGGACGTAATGCTGTGCGCATCGTCCGTGTCGTCTGGAGCGTAGCGTTCGTGAGGATGGGCCGAGGGCCTCGTAGATGCGGAGCCGAGAGTGTTGGAGACGGAATGAGGTCGCGGCGGGGCAACGGGAGTGAAACCTTTTTGTTTGGGCTGCTGGATCGATTTCACTTGTCCACCCTGTTTCCCAGCCGGTCCTGCCGATTGATCTCGTCGGGCGTTCAGGTCGAGTCGTTCAAGACCGATGATCACAGTCGTCGTGGGAGCGTCCCTTTCTCGACCGGCACTGTGATCGAAACTTCCACGTCGGGAGATGGAATGGTGCGGCGCGACGCTCTCGTTCGAATTGGAGATTGTTCCGAAAGTTCTGCTTGATCCCGCGGAAGGAGGTTCGACGACTAGATACCCGCTGTAGAGAGGATCGGCTGACGATTTCGTGTGCATATACATAGCAGAGGACGAACCTCCTCCTCCAGTGGCTCGGGAAGAGCTCGCGGTAGTCTGTTTGATTCCTCTCGTTTCGTTCCTGTTCATCGACCCGTCCGAAAGTAATACGCCGGAATCCGTAGGGGTCCCGGACGTCCCTCTGGAGGTATCAGAGGTCCCCCTGACCAGGCGAAAACTCTGGGCGGGGGCGGCAGAGTCGGCTCGAAAATTATCCTCATTTCCACTTCTCAAGTCCGATCGACCTTGTCCTCCAGTCGACCCGGACGCAACACGATCGCCTCGGTCGTAATCGCCTGTCACCGCTTGGCATTCAGCTTGTTTCCGGGCAGCGGCTCGATTACGCTTCTCTCGCTGAGCGGTCCTTCGCTTCTCTCGTCGTCGAATTTCTTCGTCCTCCTCTGCTCCGCCCCGTGAAGATTCTTGGTCTGGCGCTCCGCCTCGTCGAGCTCTAGCCTTGGCCTGCATGACCATCTCGGTCACCGTTAGATCCTGTCCCGCATCCATCATCCCCGCAGCCTGGCTTCTAGCTTCGCTTTCATTCCGCCCGTTCTCGCTCTGACGACCGGACCTCCTGTTTCGTTGCTTGTTGTCCCTTTTATGTTGGCTCGACATCTCAGCAATGGACATCTCCGCGACCGAAATTCCGGCGGCAGACGACAAGGCTGGCTGGCTCTGAACTTCGGACCAGAGCTCGAGGGCCGTCGGTGCGGAAGAGGGAGTGACCACGCTAGCGTTGTCCGAAAGAGCTGGCTCTGGAGCAACGATGTCACCAGCGTTGGCTCGCGCGTTCTTGCCCTTGCGAGATCTTCTAGGTTTTCTGTTGTGGTCTGCCGGGCTATTGTTGATTGGTTGGGCTGATACTGAAGATGAGGGAACGGCGACGTGGACGATTGACGACGAAGCTGTAGTTGATTCGGGCTGGGCAGGTTGGACCTTTTCGACCACCTCGGCTTTGGGTCTCGTGTCCCGTTGCTTCTCCAACGCCTTGTCCTCCCTGTGCGTCCTTTCCTTCTTTGCCCTCTCACTCTTTTCTTTCGTTCCCGAAATCGAACCCTTCTCCTTCTTTTCTTCCTTTAACGCTCGACGCTCCTCCTTGTCCTTCTTCGCTTTGGATCCCGACAGGATACTCTTGCTAGCCAAGGTTCCCCACGCAGAGCTTCCCGAGTCGACTGACCCGCCGCTGACGTTTCGAATTTGGTGGCCCTGAGGCAAGGGTTGACAGGAATTGCCTAGAGATACTTTGGCGAGCCTCTCAGTAATGGTCTCGGTGGGCCCTTTGGTGGCAGCTGAGCGCGATGCGATGGGAAAGGTGGGAGATGTCGGTGAGGTGGGAAAGGCTACGGCGGAGGGAGAGGAGTTGGGGTCGTCTCTAGACAAGACTTCCCAAGCAGAAGAAGAAGCCTCAGATTGAGGCATGTTGTCGATCGCTAGGTTTCGCTAAGACAGCCGTGTGAGGAGGATTCGATCAGGAACTCCGAGCTTCGCCACCGAGCACAATGACGATTCGCGAGTCGTTTGGGCGTCGCTGCCCCTCGGCAAAGCGGTGCAAGGGGGCGAACGACCGTGTTGTGGGCTTTATCTATCGTCTTTCTTGGTGTACCTCTCGATGTCTGGAACTGATCGTGTAGAGTGGCAGAGGTGTGGTGTCGATGGAGATGGAATCGATGAAGATGTGAAGATGAATCAACCACCATCTTGATTGCGACAGACCAGATCAGATCAAGTCAACCTCTTCAGATCCGGATCCGCTTTCGTCAGCGGAGGCAAATTCAAGACTCGGTGATTGAGGCCGCGCGCCCCGAGCCACAGCGGTTGACCCACTTGGTTTCGTCATCTCGAAACTTCAACGAGGACGCAAACGAGTTCCATTACAGCACTACTGGCTAGTTGCCGATAGTCAGCCTGGCCTATTGAGATTATGCCTATATAGTTGAGCTTTCTGTCTCTCGACTGTGCCGCTGCCAGTCGAGCGTTGAAACTCTGAGCCGAACGATGCAAGGGACAATTGACCTTTCCGGCGAGGCGCATCAACCCTTCTTGACCGAACGGCAGACCATACACCATAGGGCTTGTCTACATCTCCAAAAAGTCGTGGAAAACCTGGTGTTCCTATACTGCCCTTTTGAGGCAGAAACCGTAATCGCCAGTCCGTTAGGCTATCGACGAGATCACGCGCTCCCGTTCTCGGTGTTGAGGCGTTCGACGCCGATTTGTATTGCCCCACCTCATACGGTACGAGCTGGGATGTATACATCTGTGCAGCATCAATGATATCATAACATCAGGACATTACTGTTTGTCTTACTTCAGAGCCAGGATACATTGACACACAGCATGGATTAAAAGCACAGATTCAAGCTGTTCATAACATATGGGACGCATTGAGTCGGTAACACGATAACCCTGAATGTCAGGGGCTCAGACAGAAGAAGACTTGGTGGGTGATCCAGTGAAGCAGCCAACATATACTTGTCGCTGATTCACCTGATCGACGTGAACGACGTGATCGTCCAATGCGCGTTCGGCGGGATTTGGTATCGTACTTCAACGTCACGCTCAATTTCGCATTCCAGCAGTTGCTGAACTGTGACCTAATCTCATATCGTTCTGCATTTGCGAATGAGCTTCAAATATTGGTCTTTATCACTCATTCAAAGATCTTCCATTCAAACCCCGAATATAAGATCGGTTGGTTGGACAATTGCAACAAAGCTTGATACATGTCGGGGTTGCAATAAGGTAGAATTGTAATAAGGTAGTATCGTAATGTTATTGTGAATACACCAGCACATACGTTGTCGGTATGCCAATCTGCGTCGCACCATAATTAAAACAGACGCAGCTCTTAAGCGAGCGCCGAGATAATGAGGAGGGCAGTTGGTCATCTATATGACAGCGGATACGAACCAGACCATACTTAACAAGTAGTGATTGCGAGCTTTCACGACATGAGGTATCACGTCGATGAATCCTTGTTGCATGCAACGATTCCGCCTATAACAAGTAGACGTAGCTTTGAGCAGCTAGATATCAGCACCTAGCTGTGCGCGATAAACAACGTCTTGGTTTCAGTGGCGTGACGAAGTGCACCCTGCCGGCTCGTCGTCAGATTGGCCCAATGCAGGTTGAATGGACTTTGCCATTGAGCGCTTCCACCGGTATTAGGATCGTGTACCTTAAGCAACACTATCTGAGAAGAGTATCCTGGTCGTGAGAAGACCATTGGGTGGGCCCGACTTGTTATGCACTCCATTTGTGTGGTAATCTCATCCAGCAAGTTGTTTTGCAGATCGACTGTTCAAAGTCGATAGACGCCTCCTGTAAAGGTAAACGACCAGCGTGTTCCTACGTCACCTCAATTGGCGTGCTCAATGAGATGTCGAGAACGCATGTGCACCCGTTCTCGTTACATATCCTATCGCCGTCGACCCGCATTCGCCTTGCGCTGCTGGAATCCGGATGCTCCCTCAGGATTAGCACTCCCTTGACCTCGACTTGTTTCCAAGCTTGACTGACACGGGATGCATCGAGTAATTCAGGCTATACGGACCGACCTGAGAAAAACCGTCCCGTACTGAGCAGTAGCGGGAACATCAGGCAGGAAGGGTAGGTTGTCGGGTCTTCAAGGCCATGCTCTACACATATACGAGACTTCATCCAGAGAATGACCAGGTGTGGTCATGGTGGAAACGAGCTGCGACTCACGACTACCCCGCTGCTCGACTTGTGTCTTGTGGTAGGGTCATTCAATCGATTTTCAAGCCGGTCCGTCGCGTCTTCGCGTTTCCGATGCAGCGAACGACGTGCCCGAGCTGCAGTCGACGAGAGCTATCATGCCGACTTTCGAGCGTATGGATGATGGTGCTTCCAAGGCTGATACTACGGCTGGAGTTTTCGAGAGTGCTGCAAGATACGAGCCTGGAGAAGGGCGAGTAACGAGATCCACCGGTCCTCAGAATGAGGGAAGCCTGGTCAAAACTGCGATATCGGGTTGCCAGGATACCCGGCCTTCATCGACTCCAACCATTTCAAAGGGTTCGAATCTCAGCTCCACCGTCGTCATGCTTAGCACAGCAGAAGCAGGGTACTGCTAATCCCGCCAAATTGACGAGCCATCTAACCTCTACGGTATCGCCCTTCATTTCGTTCCTCGCAATGATTACGATGTGAACCGAAATGACGAACGGTTCAAGTAGAATCTAGGCCCGCCAGGAGGTAAACATGCCGAGAAGGTTCAAGTAGAATCTAGGTCACACGGATGGGTTGATGACGAAGTGAGTTCAAGTAGCATCTAGGACACCGGAAAGTGCGGCAGCCGAACGTTGACGATGTCATGTGCTGTGATGAAAAGGGGACGTGTAACCGTGTGATCCCGAGAGAGATCGTCGATGACCGCCATGACCGCCATGACCGTTTGCATGCGACTCGGTTCGTGTAGATGTGAATGACAGAACCAGGACGTCTCTCGGGGAAGGCGTTTCATCGCTGGGGGGTCGTTCATTCAACATCTACCTTTCGCTTGCGCGAATAACAACAAGGAGATGACGGCGTCGGACGGGCAGGATGACGACAAAAGAGACGTTTGAACTTGTTTTCATGGCGAGACAAGGCTCTCAAATCCCGGACGTACAATCGGAATCGAGGTGGACATCGAGTGTTTCATGTCGAAACCGCATTGTCCTTGAGGGCAGCGGGGAGGAAGCATTTCTCTCTTTTGTTTCGGACAATGTAGAAAGTAGGTTGACCGACGATCTACCAGAATATCCCCCGAGCCCGATCGATTCTCGCTTGTCCCCCACGCGGGATTCCCGGATCCAGCCGTTTGGTCAGTACCCCAGAAATCGCCTCTTAGCGCACCCTCTATTTTTCCCCGCGCGACATGGAATCGTACGCAGAGAGAAAGGTATTTCCGGTAGGCCGGTCAATCGTCGAGGACGTCGTAGGTCGAGCAAGAACGAATACGTCCATGACCCTTGAACTGTAAACAACCTGGGTCCGTCTTCGGACGAGGATGAGGGTACGACCCCGATCGGCCAGGGAAGTGGAGGGGAAGGGACGATCGGGATGACAAGAAGAATCGCGAACGAGACCCCCCTTTGCGCTGGTTGTTGGACGGACATGTTCGTGGTTGTAGTAGCTGGCAAACGATGTGGAGCGCTCCAACTTGCGAAAAAGACGGTTCCGGCTGTAGATTCCATGAGAGGCACGAGGACCCATCTGCATGCGATACAGGGCGAAAGCAGCTGATTCCGAACCTTGCGCGGGTAGATCTTGCCTGGACAAATCTAAAATCGTTTCGAGGGTTTGACCCGAGACTTGAAGCTGACCTTGCGGGCGGTGGTAATGCGCGGCAGCCACTTACGATTGTTACGTTGTTGACAAAGTCGAGGGCAGGAGCAGGGGAGGAACGACAAAGAAAACATTCCGATCGAATCCGCCGACACCGTGCCCTCGGTCATCACCCTCGAAATTTGGGGTTCAAAGCGGTTTTGAAGCCCGACCCGAGCGACTCGAGTCGACAACCCCTTCTCGGTCCTTGTTCCGTTCGGGGTATGGATCAGCTTCGGGGTAGCTACCCCAATGTCTCTGAAGCTTGAATTCCCCTCGATATTGGGATCAGACTCCTCGCATTTTTTTTTTATGGCGACAGCGGCTTTGTTCAACGTGTGTCTGCGTGCGCGTCCGTGCCCAGTGACCCCCGATCGTCCGTCCGTGCCCTGAGTTTCAAACTTGCATCCACCTCCATCCCCTTATTGTCGGTCGGGGTCGGTTCGAGTGCAGCCTCGGCTCGGGTCTCGTAGAGATTGACTGCGCATGGGCTTTTTTACATCATCACCCTCGATTGTTCGTCCACCCCGACCCGCCTTTTTTCATTCGACCTTCTTTGTGGAGGAGGGGGAGAGGTAGCAACGTCGAAATGTATAAGTACAGGCCTCGACATGATCGATTCTTTCCCTTTTCGTTGTGCACAAATCCCTTCTCCTCTCTTCACCAACATTCTCTCGGACTTTCAGCTTCGACAACCACCAACCTCGACACAACCTCACCACCCACTCTACGGGACTCACGGCTCTAAACGTCACACACGACGCCATCAACAAAAACTTAGACTTAGCTCTTAGCTCGACACTTCCCCACCACCAACTAACCAACAAAACAAAAATCACCAACAAAATGTTCTCCAAGACCGCTGTTGTTGCCTTCGCCGCCTTGGCCGGTTCCGTCTCGGCCGCTCCCATCGAGATCAGCGCCAACGTCGCCGACCCCGCTTCGATCGACGTCGCTGCCCCCGCCGGTTGGGCTTCGGGTTACCTCGAGGACTACGAGACCTTCCGAGTCCGATACATCGCCGTTGGCTGTGACTACCACGTCGGTCAGCCCGCTGGTTCCAGCAAGGCCGAGTACTACGAGACTTGCTGCCACCCCATCTTGGCCAACCAGACCTTGGCCGAGGTCAGGCCCGCCTACTGTCTCCCCTCGGACTCTGTCAGTGCCGAGATCGAGTCGATCGTCGCTACCGCCACTTGGGTCAAGGAGGCCGCCGTCACCGTGAGTCTCCCGAGCTCGCGTTTCATGTCGACGCGCGCAAGATCTTGATTTACTGAAACGCGTTGCTTCTCGTAGGAGTTCGTCGGTGCCGCTTCCTCGGTCGCTGCTGGTGTTGCCAACATCACCTCGGCTGCTGGCGAGAACTTGAGCTCGGTCACCTACACCGACGCCAAGGAGACCGCCACCTTGGCCGTTCTCACCGGTTCCAACGCCCCTGCTGCCACCGCTGCCCCTGCCGCCGCCTCGAGCTCTACGCAGGAGGCCGTCGCTTCGTCCTCTTCCACCGAGGAGGCCGCTTCCTCGACCTACGAGGCTCCCGCTTCGACTTCGTCCACCTACGAGGCCCCCACCTCGACCTCGGTCTACGTCGCTCCTACCCCTACTTCCACCTACGTTGCTCCCACCACCTCCGAGGCCCCTGCTCCTGCTGCCACCACCGCCGAGACCCAGAACACTGCCTCGACCGGAGGTGACGTTCACTACGGCCAGGCTACTTTCTTCTATCAAAATGGAGTTTCTGGCGCCTGCGGACAGGTGAACTCGGACAGCACTCCTCTCGTCGCTCTTCCCGCACAATATTGGTCTTGGAACGGAGGGGCCAGCCCCAGTAAATATTGTGGGCAATACATTCAGGTCACCCGAGGAGACAGGAGCGTCAACGCTTTGGTTGCTGGTGAGTTGCGCTCGAGACAAAAACAACGCGCCATAACAATTCACTAACCGCGCAAACATCCACCCCTTAGATCTCTGCCCCAGCTGCGTCGGTGCCGACTCCATCGACCTCTCCTCCGGTGCCTTCAACCAGATCGCTTCTCCCGATGAAGGCTCGGTCTCCATCTCCTGGAAGTTCATCTAAGCCATTCGACACCTCCCACCGAATGCAACTCTTCCCCCCCTCAAAAGGCAACTCTTAACGACCCTTGACGATGCTGGCATCACCACGCTCTTTCAATCCTATCATCTTTCATAAATACTTTTTGGGTCTCTAGGGGTTTTGCTGTATCCATACGAAAATATCCTCATAAATCATGCGCAACGACTTAAGAGTGAAAGTTCATCGTTTCCTGTTGTGCCTTCAATAAACTGACAAAAGGTAACGGCGTTCGATGACGCTCGTTCGTGACATGCCGGGCTGACAATGTGCCCCTCGACTACTTCCAACAAATCCCCACGTCCAAAAAAAAAAAACCAATCGACTTATTTAGCGGAGCCCGTCACCTCCGCCTCCGATAGGATTTTGGGAAGGTTCGGGAGCACTCGCGAGCCGTCCTTGTAAAAACAGTCGATAATTCCCTTCTCGAAATCAGCGCCGATGACGGCGAGGTTGGCCTTGTTGAGAGTGACAAGTTTTCTTCCCGCTCGCTTTCGTGCATCTCTTTGAGTAGATATGATCCCCGTCTCAAAGCCGGAAGGCCATCGCAGGCTGATGCCATGATCTTCGATCTGGCGAAATCGATCGTAGTTCCAAATTGAGGTGTCGTAGCCATCGCGCAAGAGGTTCAAACGACGCATGATCTCGGATCCACGATGTGCGAGCGATTTCTTCACGATATCCCTCAGCGTGTCGTTCGTGAACAAGTCGTATTTCCGGTCGATAGGATCTTTCAAATCAAGAGCTCGTAGACCGTCTTGAGGTGGCTGCGAAGACGATCCACTCAACGAAGAAGAACCATTGGACGTATAGTAGTGATTCTCACCTTCCTGAGCGACCTCAGACGTTCGTTTTCCCTCGCCGCGTAAACGTCCAGATCGTTCGCCTTGCGTTTCATCTTGGTCTTCACCATTGCCATGTTTCGCACCTTCGCTACCTGTCGAAGCGGCGTGTACGTCGATGTCGCAGCAACGTTTATTATGCGGTTACCCCTCTTACCGTCAGTCCCTTGTGCTCCCCGTCCTCGATGATCCTCCCTAAAGCGACCGATGTCTTCTCTCCCGCCACCTGGTATATACTCCTCCCGTCGGGGTATACTGTACAGTGCGAAGGCACTCGTTGTCAACGATCCGCTAGGGCCGCATTGCGTTGACCGAAACTTACAGGTCGTCCTCTTGGTAACAATTGCAAGTTGTGCATCTTCGATCGCTTCATCGTTTCTCCTTTATAGGTGACAGTTTCCGCCCAGTAAGCCGCGATCATGGTCTGAACGATCGTTCGGCTGCCGTCAATCGAGGTCTCGTGTGGCAAAGGCCGATGGGGAAGACGACCTAGTTCCAGCGCTTGATCGATCACAGCCGTCATCTGATCACATCGTAGTGCCTCGCCCGTCTCCATCTCGCGCTGCCTCAAAACGTTCAATTGATAACCGGTCAAGCCGACCGGCATTGAACCTTTTCGCGGGACGACCTTTTGAAGATAGAGGTTTGGTTGAGGTACTCCGCGCGTGTATCCTCCGGTTGCCAATCGATATACCAAGTCCATCACCGCACACTGTATCTGTAGCATGACGCAATGAGTGTTTGTTGATGCTGCGCTTCATACCAAACCGTCATTCACGGGTCACATGTCACGGTCAACTCACTTGTGCGTTTGCCCAATCCTTCGGTGTCGTCTGTATGCGTTTCGTCTCCTTCAATCTCCCGACGCAGCAGTGTGTCATCGGAATGATTATTTGAATAAGTTTACCCTTGTCGGCCGCGGATCCCCCGTAAACGAGATAAAAGGCTATAAAGGCGCTGGAGGGGGGAAAATCACCATCCGAATTCTGAATACCGTCGATGTCCATCTTGGCGACCAGCTTCTCCACCCGTCGAGTTGTACCTTCAACTTCTTCCAACGCGCTCAAGGTCTTCGCTTTGACATGGCTACCAACGAGCACGGTTAAGCTAGGTGCATTCTCTCGCATTCCTCTCTCGAACAGGCGGTAGCAGACCTCCTGCGCAGCGATTGCTTCCATCAAGCTGACGGAGCTATCTTGGGCGCCGGCGATGCTGGTTTTGTTGTGGGCGGTATTGTCGGCGCTGGCATCGTAGAGGAAACGATCTCGTGGTTGAGACGGGCAAGCGTAAGGAATGGGTGTTTCAATCGGCATCATGTCGCGGACACATAATCCGGCCAGGGCTGTTCCCAACTGTGTTCGCAAGCTTGTAGCGGTGTAGGTGTTGCCATCTAGAAGACGTCGATTTGGTACGAAGCTCTTCGAGGGAGGTGGGTTGTGAGCAATGATGTGAACACGAGCAGAAAGATCCCCGCTGTGGAGCTGAACCTTCTTGGCGATGTCCGGATGAAGCGCCGCGCAGAGAGCTGAATGTACTCGGTCAGGGCGTGCGTTGGGAGCGGGAGGGAGGGTCAGGAGATCGAGCAGTTCTTCTCTCTCCTGTGGGTCGAGAACGCTTGTGATAGCCTCGAGCAGGGCGAAACCGTTGCGAGCGCGAGGTGTTTCCTGATATGTCGGTATGTAATGCTTCTCGTGCTCCATAGCTCGCTTGATGCCTTCGCTTGTCATGCGTTCGCCAGGGATGTTGTCTTTGCTCCCGGCATCGCAGGTGCTGTCGTCGCTCCCCGCATCACAGGAGATATCGTGCAGGATTCTTTTCTCTAGACGGTCCGCTATCCGATTCGCTTCCGGGAGGACTGCGTAGCATTTCTCTCTAATCTCTCTGCGTCGCTTCATCCGTTCCCTCCTCTTAATCTCGGCTGCTATGTCATCCTCAGCATCGGGCTCGGCGGACGTACCGATGTCCTCATCCACCTTGAATTCTTCGTCCTCGTCTTCTTCATTGTCAGTTAGTAATAAATATTCATCACTTTAGAGGTACCATCATAAGGATCGATCGTTTCAGCTGGAGGGTAAAGCGGATCCTAGCAGATGGCAGAAGCAACTTACTCGTCCACTAAAAGCCTGGAACTTGAACCCTCGCCCTCGCCTCTCGACGGCTGAACAACCTGCTTCCATGTCTCGCTGTTGTTGTTGTCAAAAAAGAGAGGTGCCAGAGCCGCTGGGTCTCATCTGCCAAGATCGAGTAACGCATTCTCCGCTTGGTTAAGATTGGCGTTTGGTGGAGCAGTTTGAGGTGCGCAAGGGGAAGTACGAGAGGATCGAGAGGAAGCGGCGAGAGTCAAGGACACTTTCACGAACGAAGATGCGGCGGCGTTGGTCGCAGGCCGGAGGCGAAGGGAATAATAATGGAGACGCGGCGAGGTTGGTCGGGGATCGGAGAACTGCCTGACGCCTAATTGCGGGCGGATGCAAAAGAGTCCCGCGATCACCTATCGATAATATCGCTCAACCCATACCGATCTACCTGTGCTTGTCTCTGTCTTGTAAAATAGCTCGCACTGTCATCTTGACTGGCGGGTCTCTATCTGATGTCACAATCGGTAAGCAGGCATTGAGCTTGTGTCCTCGTAACTTCGCTGACCGCGCATCGGTTGTACAGTCGTCGCCTTTGGGTACATCGCCATCGCGTACTGGAAGAATGTCGCAATATGATTCAACACCTCCCACTTCTTCCGACTTTCCTCTGGTGTCTGCACCATGTGGTGACACGAAAGCCAGCGAAGGGAAAAGGGCACTCGTAAACTCCATCACGGGGCCACAGCTGGTCAATCCCATCAAGACCAAGCTAATTCAAGGCTTTACCGTCGATTCCATCTCGACCTGGCCTCCGATCATCTGGGAAATCATAATGAAGGTTCCCGAAGAGACGAGGAAGAGAGCCTTTCGGCATTCAACGATCGATCGGATCGATAACTACGAAAAATTGGAGTGGATAGGAGACAAATTCATCAGTGCGGCTGTGTCTCACGTGATACAGGAAAATCACGCCGACAAGCACCTGGCGTTCCAGAACGTCGTCTTCGACTTTTGCAAATGCCATTCTACGATGAATGCGATTTGTCGCAGCTTAGGAATTGACCAAGTCATCGACATCGATAGACGAGGCGGATTGTCAGACAGGGTATGTGAGGACGTATTCGAGGCGATTGCCGGGGCAATCTTTCTGGAACTGGGGTATGAGACGCTGATGGTCTACGTGGAAGCGATCTATAAACCGGTGCTCGCAGTCCTGCGTCGACAGTTGGAAGGTGAGGGACGAAATCAACCAGTCAGGAGTGTCCAAGACTGAAGCGTCATCCAATCTTTCAGTTTCCGGATGGGAGGAGGCGTCTCTGTTGAGTCATGCAGGGCGTCGGGGTTACGCAACGCCAGCCTCAATGGATTTCTTAAGGAAGCTCAGAGAGCTCTGCTCCAGGCACAAGTGGACGGTCGAGATCATCGACCCGAACGAGTTGGAGAACCCCAATCCCAATGAAGAATGCTGGGCTCAGCATATTGTGGTCAACGGGCACGAGAAGGCTACCGGTCGAGCCCGTAACAAGCGCATGGCCCGCAACGATGCCGCTCAGCAACTGTATGAGAGACTCAAAGACTCCAAGCTCAGCAGTGAGGACGTTGAGGATCCGCCCACAGGACGGCCGTGAGTATAAACCTGATTATGATGATTAAAAGTCCACTAATCGCATCGTCCACCAGCTCCGAAGCGTCATTGACTCCCAAAGCTGTCGGAATCGATGCCTTGGACCCCCACGTCAATGATCACAGCAAAGATGTCGCTACCAAGCGTTGCCTGACTACTGGAGCGCGGGAGGATTCTCAAGAACGGCCCTCCAAGCATGCCCGTTTGGACATTGACAGAGGCCTTGTCCGGCTTTCTTGAACTCAACCTACAATCTATATTTGATCTTGAATCACTATCAATAGAAGCAGCATCGGCTTAACGACATAGACACGCTACCGGGAATCCCAACGAGCCTATCAACGAAATTACGAGTTTAGTTCATGTCTCACCTTTGTACATATATATTTCACGACATTCACGATCGGGATCCTGATAAACGAAGATACGATACCATCACGGTACCGAATTTGCGGGGATTTGACCAGTCTTGCGGCGACTTGCCCATCTTCTTCATCAAGTCGCAAGTCGACCCGCCTTTGTGCACTCGCGCATTTGTTCTCTTGATCTCTTGCAGCTCTTCTGAGGACGAAAAGCGTTGAGGCGGGGACCAGCAATACAGAATACAAAGTACAATAATCCCGTCACACGGACGTCCAAAATAGTCTCCCGATGTCCGCGCGTCACCCTCGCTCTCCCAACGCATCCTTGGCCTGTATTGAGCCTTTCATTGACAATCGATTACATCCAGCCTGACACCGATCCATACTTTGCAAAGCCTGGAGCAAAGTAACATACAAATCAGGATGTACAGATCAAGAGCTGCCGTAACGGGGACCAACGAGGTGAGTTCAGCCCAGCTCAACGGTATTTCAAGGCGACCATAATTGATAATCATTCCATACTCTGTGGATGACAGACCCCCTTGCCCAACCGACGATGGGGACCTGTTCAGGATGATTCGCAGCCTCCTCCTCCTCCTCCACCATCAGGAGGTGGCTACGGTTACGACTACTCGGGTGGAGCACCAGACAGGGGTCGAGATCAGCAGCCGCGAGGAGAAGAGCCAGGTAAGTCCAAGTTGTGTCGAAATCGCCACATACAGTTGAAGTCTGACGGAATGTCTTCTCGCCCAATCTCAGCCCCCGGCGAACCTCGAAAACGTCGATCTCGATGGGGTGACGCTACAGAAAAGGTCAACATGCCCGGTCTCCCTACGGCCGTGACGGGCAACGTCTCCCAGACCGAGCTGGACAACTATGCCATTCACATCCGTCTTGAAGAGATCAACCGCAAGCTCAACACCGGCGACATCGTACCTCCCGAAAGGATGCGATCTCCCTCGCCACCTCCCATGTACGACTCGCAAGGTCGAAGGACCAATACGCGGGACGTGAGGTACAGGAAAAAGCTCGAGGACGAACGGGTCCGTCTGGTGGACAAGGCCATCAAGGCCGACCCCAACTTCAAACCCCCTGCCGAGTACACGTTCCACAAGCGAAACAACCGACCTCAGGAAAAGGTCTACATCCCGGCCAAAGAGTTCCCCGAGATCAACTTTTTCGGTCTGCTCGTCGGACCCCGTGGGAACAGTTTGAAGGGGATGGAGAACGCTTCGGGTGCTAAGATCAGCATTCGAGGTAAGGGGAGTGTCAAGCCGGGAAAGGAGAGGAACGACCAGTTTGCGAGCGACGAGCACGACGAGCTGCATTGTCTGGTCATGGGAGACACGCAGGAAAAGGTCGACAAGTGTGTCAAGCTGATCAACACCGTCATTGAGACCGTGAGTCGCAGGTGTTCCGATTCGGTTGTATGCGACACTGACATGTACATGTTCCTGAACCCACGCTTCTGCAGGCCGCCTCGACCCCAGAAGGCCAGAACGACCACAAGCGAAACCAGTTGCGAGAACTCGCCTCGCTGAACGGTACTTTGCGAGACGACGAGAACCAGCTGTGTCAGAACTGTGGTGAAAAGGGTCACCGAAAATACGAATGTCCCCAGGCGAGGTCGTTTACCGCCAACATTATCTGTCGAGCGTGTGGAAACGGTGAGCCACCATCGTTGCCGGTATTTCATTACCGTACCGTTCTGAATCATCCGATTGTTTTCTTCGTTGCACAGCCGGTCACATGGCACGGGATTGTTTCCAGCGAAACGGACCTCCAGGCAACCAATTCGGCGGACCTCCCGGAATCGGAGGTGCACCCGGGGCGCCCAAGTCTGCTTTCGACAGCGAATATGCCAACTTGATGGCCGAGCTCGGAGAAGGTGGTGCGGTCTCGTCGTCAGGTCCTGCCGTTGGTATGATCACCAACGGTGCGGCTGCCGATGGAGCACCTGCGGCGCCCAAGGTGCCTCCCTGGAGGGTTCCGGAGAACTGGTTCAGTAACAGTGAGTTTCGAATCACCTCGGAAGGATATAGAACGAGTATCATATGCTGAAGTCCGATCCGAATTCATTTGCGTTAGACCCCAACCGAGGTCCGCATATGGGCGGTGGTGGTGGATACGGTGGCCACATGGGAGGAGGCTTCCAAGGTGGTTACCAGCAACATCAGCAGGGCGGTTACGGTGGTGGCGGCTACCAGCAGCAGCAACAAGCCGGTGGATACCCGCAAGGACAGGCTGCTGCGGGATACGGCGCCGCTGCTCCGGCAGGATACGACGCCAACGCCGCTGCAGCTGCTTATGGTGCTCAGGGCTACGATGCGAACGCTGCTGCGGCATGGGCTGCGCAGGGTTACGGGTCATATGGTCAACAATCATCTGGAATGGATCCCAACGCATATGCGGCGTGAGTCTTGAGGCACGCCAAGTAGAGTTGCATGAGACCAGAAATTGACCGCCGTATCATCTCTGCAGGTACTACGCTTCTCTTCAACAGCAACAACAGCAGCAACCGCCTGCCGTCTGAGGTGGCGCTGGGCATACTGACATATCGGGATTCGACTAACGGCTGACCTCGCTCGTGTCGTCTGGACTAACGCCAAGACTAACTGGAAACAACTCACCCTCTCTATTCGACATGCAGCAAGACCCGATCCGGCGACCCCTCAACTATTCTTTCGCTCTCAGACATAGCCTTTCCAAGGTTTCTGGGCCAACAAGAAGGCCGTTATCCCTAACCATCCTTGTACAACCAAAAATTCGCGTTTCTTACCTTTTCCCGCGCGGTGTCCCTGATTAACATTCTGATCCCTGACTGCTTGTCGTTGTGTATGGGCAACGCTGATTCTCTTGTTCTTTCTACTGACTCTACGGAGGAGGGGAATTGGAAGGGGAGAGCGGCGTGCGATGTAGCTGCTGGTTATCGTTATCGGATGTTGTATCTCGTACGATTGAGCTCATCGATCGATCGTACCACTCGACCTTCCTCGCGCGAGGACTGCAACCCTTACCTCGACGAAAACAAAAGCGAGATACAAACTTTCAGTGATCACCTTGGACTTTGACCGCTTTCGAGCTTTTACCTTCTACCGTTGACACCGTTAGCACTCTTGAACGTCTCGCCGGAGATGATTGCTCGCCAGCCCGTAATGAGCGTCCTCGATACGCCGCCCCAGGACGAGGTCGTCACGACCATCACCGCGACCACCCATGTGGAACTGCCACTCCACCCCAAGAAACCGACTTATGATGAGCTCAACCCCAAGTCTTCCCCTACCGAGTTCTTGGGACCTTGGGGAACCTTGGCAGTGACTCTGCTCACGCCGCTATTCTGTAACCTGCTCTTCATCGGGTGTAACGAACGGACAGGATGTCCTCCTTCCTGGAACCGCGCAGAGGGGAGGCTCGAATTCAGTCGATACGACTTTAGCCTGATGGTCGACAAGTTGTTCGACAGCAAGGCCTTCTTGGTCTACATAGGATGGTACACGTACATGGTCCTCTGTTGGGCTTACATTCCTGGTGACTGGGTCGAGGGGACCTTGATGCGGAACGGAAAGAAGCAAATGTACAAGATTAACGGTGAGTTCAAGAAGGCATCAGGCTTGTCTGATCATATACGAATAGTAGCGATATGCGGCTGATCTCTCTTTGTATATTGACCATCAGCCTTTTCAACTTTGCTGCTCACTGCCGGCTTCATGGTCATCCCCATGTCCACGTCGAAAGGCCAGGAAGGTCTCTCTTGGCTGTACGATCACTGGCTCGGTCTCGTCAACGCCTCGATCTTGATGGCAGTCTTCCAGTCTGTCTGGGTGTACTCTTGGAGCTTCCAATCTGGAGAACTGCTCGCCAAGGGCGGAAACAGTGGAGTCTTCATCTACGATGTAGGTGCTGGATTCACCTTGATGCGAGAGAGACATCTCGAGTCTGATACTGCGCGATGGCGAACAGTTCTTCATGGGTCGACCGCTCAATCCTACTCCTCCCGGCTACCCCGAGTTCGACATCAAGCAATTCAACGAGCTCCGACCCGGTCTCATCCTCTGGCTCGTACTCAATGTCGCTTGTTTGTGCGAGCAGAGCATCAGGCTCGGAGGACTCGCCAACGTCACCGCTAGCATGTGGTTGGTCTTTGTCATGCAATCCCTCTATGTTGTCGATGCCGTTTACAACGAAGTACGTTTGATGTCATTTTCGGCACTCTCATGCCTCGCTCAAGTTATCTCGCTCTCAACCCAGACCTCGGTATTGACCACGATGGACATCACGACGGACGGGTTCGGGTTCATGCTCGCCATCGGTGACCTCGCCTGGGTTCCGTTCACCTACACCTTGCAAGCTCGTTATCTGGCTTTCAACCCGGTCCGATTGTCTGCATTGAGCGTGATCGGAATCATCGCCACCGAGGCTACCGGGTATTACATTTTCAGGTCTAGTAACTGGGAGAAGGACGCTTTTAGAAGCGGGAGAAACCCGAGGAGTGAGTGATGGCTGGGGTTGGCGCAGTCAGGCCGTGAGAATGGAAAAGTTGATCTAGGGTGGATGGTATAGATCTCGATTTCATTGCCACCAAGAGAGGAACCAAGCTCTTGACCTCGGGTTGGTGGGGACGATCCCGACACCCTGTAAGCCTGACGCAGACCTCTCGAGGCAGAGACACGGTCAAGCTTATCTAACATGATGTTTCTTCTTCATGATCGCTCAGAACTACTTCGGCGACTGGCTCATGGCGTAAGTGTCGCCAAGCACAAATCGCCCTTTTCCCTGACATTCCCGCTAATGTTGAACCATTCGTTGCATCCTCAGCCTGGCCTGGTGTCTGCCTACCGGCCTTAACACCCCGATCACCTACTTTTACCTCGTGTTCTTCGTCATCCTCCTCTTGCACCGTCAGATCCGGGACGACGAGGCGTGCAAGGAAAAGTACGGGTCGGATTGGGATAGGTATTGCGAGAAGGTGCCTTATAGGATCATCCCTTATGTGGTGAGTTCGCGTTCGGTGTAGTCGAATCGTGGGAAACTAGGCTGATTGTTCACGTTGTTTTCTGCGTATCAGTACTGAGCTGGTCGACGGGGAGAAAGATAGTATGACGAACGAGGATAGGATCGCTTGGTGCGAGCCAGCAAGGTGGTCAGGAGAAGTGAATCTCGGCCAGGTAGACGAAGACGCGAAGACAGGACGTGATGCGCCTGACAGCGTATATGAACATAATATGAAAGTCTAATCTGTCTTGATTCCCCACGTTGCACTTTTTGCGGCACATCAGTCCGAGGACGACGAGCAAGATTCCAGTCGGCCTCCGCTCCGTGCCTTTGATTCGATTCTGATCTGTTTACAGTGTGTTAGAACGTCGATGTTGTTGTTGTGACCGGATGAAAAGTTTCCTTCCGCCAAAAGAAGTTTGGGGTTGTCACTCTGATTGTCGTAAATTGCGAGAAAGTCCCCTATCGACTAGCACAGTTTGATCTTGAAGACTCTAGCTTTGCCTGCCAGTGTGCTCTCCGGAGGTCATGCTAATCGGAAGCTTGTCGCTCGTTGTTACCCTATCGGTCGATCAATACGAAAGAGGGTTATTGATGTTTGATGAGGCAAGCGCGCTATCCTTGTTTGTTAGAGATCTAGGGAAGAGCAGCCAGAGAGCAGATCTGTCTTAACTATCTACCTCATACCCTGACCGTATTCTCGAACACAGCATCGTCTTACTACTATCAATCTCCTCTTCTACACATCTAGAGCCTGGTGCTCAACATACAAGGGAAACGCAGTCCCGACCTGGTGCACGGACCCTCTTCCTTTCTTTCCCCATCGAGGACGCACAGACGAGACGCGATCCTTCCTGCTCTTCTCCCCTTGATCAGATCTCAGACGGTCAAAGGGGTACGAGCACATCAGCAAGAACATAGCACAGCATCATCGTCAATCGAACGATACTTTTAGCCCCCAACCACGGAGGAGAGACGGCAGTAGCAGTATAAGCCTTCAGCGATCAATATCGCCTACCAGTCATCGACAGACCGGCGGACACCAACTTTGACCATCAAGGCTCGCTCCGGCCTGTACATGCTATCGCCTTGACGATGTCTGGCTACAGACCTTCCCCACCGCCCGTCAGGACACACAATCTCAATCCACCTCCCAAACGATCTCGCACAAAGGACAATGCCTCGCCGACGACCTACAGCTTCAACCCTTCCCCCGTCAAATCCCATCACACGCACCAGTATGCCGGTCAGATCATGTACGATATCCCCGTTCCTGTGTCTCCTTTACCGGAATCGAGCGGGGTCATGGAGAACACGAGCGTCGACGTCGGAGCTATAGGAAGCGTCTCTGCACACCCGTTGATCGTTTCGTCACTAGCAACGGGGACAGAAAGGACGAGGAGCACTTATACCGCTTCGGTCGGGAGCTCAGAGAGGAAGACGGGCAACGCTTTAGCCTATACGCAATCCCGTTCGAACGGTGCTCCGAGGCGACCACCGAGGTCTAGACGGGGGAGTAGGGAGACGGTCGAACGAGCCACGTTGAGCAGGAACGAATCGTATGTCACTACAGCCGGGACCGGAAGCGGTTCTGGAGCAGGGACGTATGGGTCGGGCGGCAGAGAGACCTTGTCAGCAAGTACGAGCGGGAGTACGTTGGGCGGAGGATCCAGTCCGATCAAGTCGGCGTACGACCATCGTCAGAGATCGAACACGACCACGCCTACCCCGTCAGGATTGGGCCAGCCCAGGAGGTCGGCGGACATGTCACCGAGTCCGTACTATGATAACCTGCCCGTCCGATCCAAGACTGGACCGACGCCTCCACCACGGTTGCACTCATCGCAAGCTCCGTCCCGGTTGGGCTCGCCCTCACCGAACAGGCAGGGCGAGATGTTCGCCTCGGGAGGTGCGGGGAGCGTAATGAGGGAAGCTCGGGAGGGGTCTTTGTACACGGTCGGGCAGCAGAGCGTGGCGGGGAGTTATGTCCGGAGAGAAGGTGGGGGTGTAGGAAGTCCGAGTCCAGGAGTAAGTGTCGTACCAAACTTGGGCTAAATGTGCAACAGCCAGAGCTGACGTAGAGGACCCCGCATCGACGCAGGACCTTCATACTTTCGCCCATCACTGCCACCTGTTTTACTTCACCTCGAACGCACCAAGCTCGTCCCAAGCTTATATCGATACCACCCTCGCCTCCCTCCCGCCATCACACCGAGCCGCCTACACACGCATACAAAATTCTCTCCGAGCGCAAGCACACTCTCACAACGCCCGACTCCGGCTCTTGGCCTTTCACGTCCTCATTTCGTCCACATCCGTTAACGGTGGGCTGAGCCCGCTGGTGAGACAGGAGATCAGGTCGAAACGCGCGCGAGCTGAGAGAAAGGCCAAGCTCGCCGAGTTTGTGACGAGGTGGTGCACCAAGAGCGCCGTGGGGGTCGAACCGTTCTACAAGGCGTTGTACGTCTGCTTGTTGTTGCAGGGCAAAGGAGAGCGCGGAGTAGGCGGAGCTGGGGGTAAGAGAGTGGTCTGGGAGGTAGATGATGCCGTATTCATCGAGGCTGGGTGAGTTGCAAATGCAACAACCGAATCTAAATGAGATTCGCTGACGGGTCATCTTGACACCATACCATCCTACAGCGGCAAGGACTTTATGAACGAGGCAGTCGCACTTGTTAAGGGTGTCCTCGGTTTCGACGACATCGCCCTGTCCACGCCACCTCGATTGAGGCGTCCAACATTGCCCATGCTACAACCTCGACCGTCTTTTGCCACCAATGCGACTCCACGTTCGTCGTTTTCTGAACAGCCAAGAGGTCACGAAATCGAGAGCCTTTTGCCGCTTGCTTCCGGTGACTCGACCACGTCTGCTACTACGGGTAACCGGACTCGAGCTCCTGCCGACCCTTTTCTCGATCCTTCGAAATCTCCAGACAAGCGATTCGCAGCCCCGGTCATTAAACAAGCTGGCAAGCGTGGCCCAGCACCGCCTGTACCAACACACGGCCGATCGGCTTCGATGAAAGGGCCCGCACCTCCACCGCCGACATCGAGGAATCTGCAAGCGCCTACGCCTCGAATGTTACAAAGTCGAACACCGTCCACAGATACATCGGACGGGCTCTCATCCAATCCATTGAGCCCTACGGTCGAATCGCCTCTCTTGACAGGTCGCTCTGGCGGCGATTCCGACTCGATCGTAACAGGGTTAGAGGAAGCCGCCGAGCGGGAAGATACCCTCGCCAGTCTTGGCAGAGCTAGTAGGGACAAGTTTGCGCTTGCTCGACCCGAGAGGCCGACCAGCGATGCTCGATCATTGTCGACGTCCGAGATTCGCGGGCTGCTAGATGGTACCTCCACGCTGGATCTCAATGCCGAGGTCGCCCTCGATACTGAAGAATTCAACGAGGATGAAGAGGAAGAGGATCTCGCAGCGCCTCGTTTACGGCTCTGGACCTTCCCCGCTCACATCACCGACGGGGAAATCGACGGTCTGCTCAGCGTCTTTCCCAAACATATCACAAAGGCTCAAGGAATGCGCAACATGAGGTTCCCCTTACCCCGTCCGACATCGCTCAAGGCGCTGAAAGCGCACGATGCCGAGATGGGATTGGGTGCAGATAACGATGAGGGCGAAGCCTCTTGGCCATCCGTCATGAATGTCAAGGTCCCACCTGAAGACGCGCATGGGATCGTGGCGCCTGGAACAGGTCGATTATGGCTCGGCGCTTTGCCTCGAGATGCACCATGGCAGAGAGGCTTTTTTGAGAGGTTGTCCAGATGGTTCAAGGGGCTATTCGGAGGTTGACGAACCAGGGCGATTTGAGGACCCTCGCTCACATTAACGCATTTGTATAACGACAAACATTACGATCCGGCCGCATGCTAGTCACACTGTATCATTCGTATCATCTTTTACGATGTTGCGTCCGTTTGGCGTTACTTGTAATCTTCGAAAGCGTCCACTATGCGTTGCATTAGGTCGCCCTCACGCTGGAACCATTCTTTTTCCACTTCTGCTCGGATCGCGGCATAACCTGATGGGTCGATCGATTTGGCCGTAAGCTTGAAGGCCGCCGAGATTGGCCTGTGATCCGATACGGTGGGCTCGTATCGTCGATAGTGTAGGCATTCTACCCGCTCATCTTGCCTAGATTTCCAAAGGATCCTGTCGCACCTGATCGGTCAAGGTCAACAGGGCGGGACAATCAGTAACAAGGCAAGTCTTATCACACTGCTGTTCCACCTACCAGGCAGGGATTCGTTTCTTTTCAGACTGATCGTATTCGGTAGAATTAGGCGTGTACTTATACGTTGGCGCGAATGCTATCGGTGCTTCGTGGAACGATCGTAGTCGGAACGACGTGTTTCCTTTGATCTCTTTGCGCAGTTGATCGTGTTCGAGTAGAAACTCCAGATCGCCGGCATTTACGGTCGAAATGACGTTGTCCCGTCGTTGATCAATCCGGTAATTGAGATCTCCGTTCAGAAAGACGGTCTCGTGATCCAAAATTGCCGAGCCATCGCCTCCATTGACGTAACCTTTGCCCGTGTCCGAGGTTGAGAATACTGCTTTCTCCTCCAGAATTCCCGCGACATCGGCATTTCGAGCTGCCTTGTGGCTCTGCCCTGCGGCCAAGTGCACGTTGATGAAGCAGACCGAACTGTCATCTATTGTCATCCTGGCCACCACGGCCCCCTGGAGTACACACAAGCACGATGAGCTCCATTGGTCGGTTCGTCGCATCCGATCCATACTCACCTTGTTGCCGTACACTCCGCCTATTCCTCTGTTTTCGGGACGGTCAAAAGCATCGAAGACGAGTCAAAACCGCACCGCAAACGACATCAGACGTGGTCCACCGAGACCCACCTCTTAATCGTAGTGATGGCCACGTCTCGCAAGGAGTCCCTCAACGACGATTTCACAAAGACGACCGTCATCAACCCCACCATAGATTCGGCATCAAGCATGGTGTATGCACAATCTGGAGGAGTGTTCATGCGAACGGCCATCTGTAGCTTGTCTTGCCAATCCCGATAAGCTCGCGAGACGCCATCGGTATTACCACGTCCGTCCTGTTTGCTCTTGCTGCCAAACAGCATGGTCTCTGCAATGTTACGCCAAAGAGAGGGATATGAGTAACCTCGACCGACGGCTTGCGCGAAGGCCGAGTACGTACTGGCTGTCAGTTTCCTGTTGTTGAGGTCGATGACCTCTTGCCATCCAAAGACAATGACATCTGGCGTTTCGACCGAAGTAAGGCATTGCTGCAGGAAACTCTGGTTCTCAGGGGAACCTGACAGGTCGCCTGGCTTTGAGCTGTCGATATTCCAAGACGAGATGAGCACTGTCAGGTCTCGGAAACGACAGTATTCCGCTTCACGCTCTTGCATGGCCGTCTCTGTATGATGTGGAAAGTATTGTCAATCGGTCGAAAGTGGCGAGCAGACGGATGATCCAGGCCGTACCGATCCAGTCCACACTAAGTAGACCGTCCCATGCGTGAAGCCCATCTCGCGCCCATGACCAAACAGCATACTTGCCAGACTACAGCGGGGTCAAGTAATCAGCGTGATATCGTAGATCTCTGATAATTATGAAACTCACCTGATCGATCGAATACGGGTCGGCATAGATCCGTTGTATAGGCAACTCACTGCATCAGGTTGAATCAGAGGTTCTAGATTAGAAAGTGGTTTCACCGCACGTGAATGTGACTTAAGAACTACTTACGGATGCGCAACCCATGTGTTAATGGTCGTCCACGGGCTAGTCCTCGTATCATATACGTTTATCGTCCCACCTCTTGTCCCCGCCCAGAGGTAGTCTCCGACATACTCCAGCCCGAGAATGTCGGTCGGCGAAATCTTGAGCACTTGTCGGCAGACCAACGAGTCTCGATCGAAGATGGAAACGTATCCGCCTTCGTGAGCGAGATACACGGACCGCTTGTCAAACGGGTCGACAGTCGCGGCCGTCACAGCGCCGGTCCACTCTGAGGTAAAGGTCGTTTTGCCCGCCGTGTTTCCTGACGTTACACCCGAAGGGTCGTACACTCGCAATGTCGGGCCTCGCAGGGCGCTGTTGGTCGTAGACCTCGCGGCGGGCCCTGAAGCGGTCCACAACTGACCGCCCAACATGGTTGCAAAATTCTGCCTGTCCGCCGTTCTCAAGGTCCGGCAGGGCGCATTCGTCTGTCTTCGCGAGACCTCTTCTCCGCCCGCAAACGGCCCAAAAACGTGCGCCTTGCCGAGTTCGTCGAGGGTGACCATCCACTCGTCGTGCCTGAACACATGCGTGACAGAAGCTGCATGTAGACCTGCTTTGACGTCCGTGATCTCGCCCGTCAAGGTATCGAGCTCGCATATGTGTCCCACATTGGTCCCACACCATAGGTACCTGCCCTCATCGTCTGAAGACGCTGGAGACCGAAACGACATGGCCGTCATCTTGATGTCCTTGCCCTTGCTTTCTATACCAATATGCCTGGGCTCTACTACCAAGATCGGCTTCCCATCTCCCAAAGTCAGGTCAAATACCTTTATCGTGCTACCGCCCGTACATAGTTTGTGCCCCGAGACGGCGAAACAATGCGCATGATGGTGTCCCCCAAGCGAGACGCGCTGGCGGGGTACGAAATCCGGTGCCCGTCGGTTCACCCGGGTTGAGTCTGGATATTCTGCAAGCGCCCGGTTGGCCGAGGATTTCAAGTTCGCGATCCCCCTGCCACCTCCTTGCAGTGCGGCCGAAGCAGCCGGATCGGGCTCGACTACGCCGTCCTCGTCTTCCTCATCCATGAAGTCGTCTTCCGAATCGTATCGATCCAGCGACCGACTCGGTTTCGGCACGACCACCCATGAGGATGCTGCTGAACCCGATGACGCACCTCTTACAGGCGGAGGGGGCGGTACCCACACATCATCGTTCACCCCACTGTCCTGCTCTCGATCGACGTCTGGCGGTGGGGGCTGCATTGCATGTCTGTCTAGCCGATGACCATGTCCAGGTCCGTGCCTCAGGACCGTACTTGACCTCTTGACCATATCCTTGAGCGCGTCCGATCTGCTCACGTACCCTGCTTGTCCTTCTCCCGAGCGTCCAGGGGTGTACGAACGACCTACCGCGAGCGAAGCCGAGCGACTCAGCCCGCTCTTGTAAGGTTGATCGGGAGTGTTGTTCCGATCGGGCAAGGCGGGTGGTGCGCCGGGTGTACGGGGAGGAAGAGCCGGTGCAGGAGATGATGCGGGTATAGGTATAGGGGTAACTGTCGAGGTGGGACCCCCAGAAGTTTGTCTGGGAGGCAAGACGGGTGGAACGCTCAACGACCCGGATAGACCGCTCTCGTCTCGACTCGTCTCGGTAGATGATGTCGAGGCCGAGGTCGAAGACGCTTTGGGAGGCCCTGGAGGCGGAAGGCTATTCCTCCCGTTTCTTCTAGTTTCAAGGTGCGAAGCAAGCGGCTCGGGCGACCGACTGTATAACACTCCCATACCTCCAGATGCCTCCCTCTCGCTATTATCGTCACTCGTTCTGTCCGCTTCAGGACCTTTCCTCCTCATCGGAGGAGGAGGTGGAGGTACAGACAACCCGCCGCTTCTCCCAGTCTTGCCCGTGCCGATGTCTATACCCATATTGATCTTTTCGTTCGCTTTGGAATCTGAAATCAAACCCGAATTCAATCTGTCTTCACGAACTGAAGCGCCTATAGTCGTGTCCTCTTCAAGCACTTGTGCAGGCGTCGGGGAGGATATGGGCATAGTCACTTTCGGTCGGGAATGCAGTGGCGGAGGTGGAGGCGGCGGGGACTTTGCTCGTACACTTGTTCGAGGTGGTTCCAGCGACGATCCAGAGTCCTCTCCGATTTTGACCTCTCGGTTCCCGAATAGTCCTTCTGCTGGGCGGCTTTGCATCAAAACAGGTTCGACAGGTCGCGTTTCTACGTTGATAGAGATAGACGAGTTCGCTCGGGAAGGGGCCAGGCTCGGTCGCGGTGTCACCGTAGTCGAGTTTGATTGCGAATTTGACGTCGACATGGAGGCGGGAGTGGTTGTCGGTCGGTCGAACATGTTTCTCAGAGAGGAGACGTTCTTGACAACCTCTACCCCTGTTTCTGCCTCTGGTCCTGTCCCGGCTGCCAAGATCGAATTTGATGTTCCTGCGTTGGATACCGGTGCTTCCATCCCTTCCGCACGCTCATCTTTTACAGGCATATCGTTGAAAGCGGATTTGAGAGGAAATGATGGTCGATCGCTTTCCCGCTCCGGTTCTGTGTCGGTGGAGCGCCGTCGATCACGAGTAATTGAGCTGGATACCGCTGACGTTGCTGTGGTATTGTCAACATCGGTTGTTGCTCTCATGGAAGATCGTGGCACGGATGAGGGGGGTGGGATCGATGTCGAGGTCGCCGAGCTAGAAGCAGCCAGACCGGGATCAGGACTCGATGCGGGTGCAGATCCTGCTGCAGGGACGCCAGTAGCAGCAGTCGAATTGATGGTAGTTGGATTACTGAGAAGCTGAGTAGCTGATCCGAGAGCCCGGGGAACGGGCGGGGCGGGTTTCTTCTTGACTATCGTCTGAGCAGATGTAGTTGTGCTTGCACCTAGACCTCCGTCTGAACTCGCACCTGTAGCCGTTGTCGTAGCTAGAGCTGCAAACGTGCTCGAACCGTCCGTAATTCCTCTGCGTGCAACGCTTGCTTCTGGAGAAGGAGGTTGTTGGGTTGTCCTAGGTGGATTCCAGGTCGAAGCCATCCTCGGCTCAGGAGTTCGAGGTCGAGATACCGAAGGTGACGGTTTGGCAGGCGCCGCCTTGCCATCGAGTATCGCCGATTTTAAACTCCCTCTCGTATCATCCTGCTGTTTCGTCTGTGCCACCTTGACTGGTCGGGCGGATCCGGGAGCTAGCGACGACGATGCCTCGAAACGAGACCTCAGGGAGGAGATGGACCCTATCGACTTGACGTCGACCCGTTCGTTCCCGTCGTCCGGGTCATCCGTACCGAGCCTCTCCCGTGAGGCCGCCATATCTCTCGGGAATGTGTGTCGCAGCAATGGTATTTCGAGTACAAGTATGTCGACAAGCGGATGTCCGAGACTGTTGCAGAGTTGTATACCCTTGGGAGACGAACACACAGTCGTTGAAGGGGGGTGACGTCTTATTCCACAGCCTCAAAATATGCTTCCGATCCGGATGTATAAGCGCACGCGAAATGACGTTATCATGCCGTAGCACTCGCCTGCCTGGTTGGGTCGCGGCAATCTCGCCCGGGGCTTGAAACAGCTCTCGGACCAAGGTGTCGCCAGCCTGGCTAGAGTCGCCTTCATCAAGCAAGAAGAACACCTTGTCGATGCAAGCTTCGAGATTCGCGTACCAGATCAGTATGACCGGCACTGGCTTCTCAAACTAGAAGCCGTCGCCGCAGACCCGGCGTAAGATAGCTGCCTGTGGGCGCGACCTACGCCGAGTCGACGCAGCCGGCGTTCATTGGAGACGAGGCATTTCCACTCAGAAGCGCGCATATCGAGTAGGCGCGCCTGAGGTCTCACTTGGGATCGAAGTGGCTGATTGAGCGAGTTGGATGATGAAGGATGGTGGTCTGGTTCATTTATTATAATAACGACAAACAACCTAACTCTACACAAAGACTCATACTTATATAATAGCGACTCCGCGAGCACCGCTTATACGGTCCCTCATCCCAAGGCACAACGACCCTTGTCACGTCACTTGCAACGAGCAAAGCTACACCCCACAACCATGTCCTCCGAGCCCATGGCAGTCGAGGCTCCTTCCCTCACCTCGGCCCCGGCCGATCAGGCTCACGTTCCCCACCAGCCCGTGGAGAGCAGCAGCAATTCGGGAGGGAATGCGAATGGCAGGAAACGTCCGGCTAGTCCGACTGGGAAGGAGGGTGCTGTGAGTAGCATCGACGGGCCGTCGAGGAACGAGACGAGCTGGAATCATGGAGCGTTTTGGAGAGCTGATTCGACCTTTGGACTATTTCCCTTTGACGCGTCCATACCCTCCTCTTTCTTGTGTCGTAACCTATACCTATACGGACCTCGCAGGCTAAACGTCCCAAACCCAGTACATCCGCCCCGGTTCAGAGTAGCAAACGAAGAAACTTGGTCGTCAGCAGTGACGAGGATGAGGATGACGACGGCGCTGCTGGAAAGAACGGGAATGCAAACGGGAGCCGAGATGTGCACATGAAGGACGCTGAAGAGAAGGTGAGCTTCCTCATCGTTGCTGATCAGGAAAGTTTAGCCTGAACGCATTACTCAATCCAAACTATCATCCCCCATGCTGCCATAGTCATCGAGCCCAATCGCCCAAGCTCCTCGACCTATCAACCCCGACGCGTCAGGCCATGTTCATATCGACAAACCCTCATCCGCACGTGGCAAGGCGCAAGACCCTCATCCGCATGGGATCCCACCTGCTATCGATCAGGAAGGGGTGTCTTCCTCGGACGACGATGAGGTGCCGCTCAGCAAGAAAGGGAAACCTACCTCGAAATCGTCGAAACCGGCTTCGACATCGAAACCCAGTAGTTCCAAGGCCAAGCCGCCGTCATCAAACAGTCGTCGCAGGCCTCCTCCTGGTGCGATGGCAGGAGGGGCCAGCTCGAGCGAGGACGAGAGGCCGTTGAGCAAGACGGTCGCCGGTCAGGGTCGAGCGAACGGCGAGTCGTCGAAAAAGCCAGCATCGAAGCAAACGAAGAACGGAGATGCCAAGGCGAATGGCAAGGAGAAGAAGGGGAAATCGGCAGCGCCAGCGCCGGGATCGTCGGATCTGAGCGAGGAGGAGGAGAAATCGGCAGCGTCGTCCTCGTCGGAAGACGAGAAACCTCTAGCAAAAGTCGTCCCGAAGAAGAAACAACCCGCGGCTTCGGGCTCAAAATCCAAGGCCGCCGTTGTAAAGAAGGCTGGGAAGAAGGGAGCCAAGAGCGAGAGCGAGGGTGAGGAAGAGGACGTGAAGCCGAAGGTTGGAAAGAACGGCAAGGCCACAACGACGGCGAAACGGGGAAAGAAGGCGAAAGATGAGGACGAGGAGGATGTGAAACCGGATGTCAAGGCAAAGGGCAAGGGACGGGCTAAGAAGGAGGAAGAGGGTGACGAGGACGAGTTGGTGAGTGCGACGAGCGAGCCAGGACTGACCTTTGACTCGGGAACGCTAGTGGCTGAGGCGTCTCTTCCGGGAGTAGTTCAAATGGTGGGAAGCCGAGAACAACGACGGGTCTGTCAAGTGGACGACATTGGAGCACAACGGGGTCATGTTCCCGCCTGCCTATGTGAGGTTACCAAGTAACATCAAGATGAAGTATGACGGTGAGCTTCTAGCCCGGGTCGTGGTGAAAGTGACCGTCGTGTGTCTGATAGGGTTTCGGTTTCCCTTCGCTGCGATCAGGCACACCATTGACGCTCGATCCAGAGCCGGAAGAAGTGGCTGGTTTCTTTGCCGCCTTGCTCGAAACGGAACATGCCGCCGACAAGACCTTCCAAGCCAACTTTTTCCGCGACTGGTTGAAACTCCTCAAAGATCACCCGCCCGCTGAGGGGATCAAGGTCAAGGATTTCAACAAGTGCGATTTCAGGCCAATGTTCGAGTACTTTGAGCTGCAAAAGGAAAAGAAGAAGCAAATGACCGCGGCAGAGAAGAAACAGGCGAAAGCCGAGCGGGAGGAGATAGAGAAGCCTTACTTGATTGCAACTATCGACGGACGCAAGGAAAAGGTCGGGAATTTCCGGGTCGAACCCCCCGGTCTGTTCAGGGGTCGAGGAGAGCACCCGAAAAAAGGAACATTTAAGTATCGATTGAACCCCGAGGATATCGTTATCAACATCGCCGAGTCGGCTCCTGTGCCCGTACCCAACATCCCGGGATCGTGGAAAGAGGTCGTCCACGACAATACCGTGACCTGGTTGGCGCACTGGAAGGAAAACGTCAATGGGAATTCGAAATACGTCTTCCTGTCGGCGGGAAGTACATGGAAGGGTCAGAGCGATAGGCAAAAGTTTGAAAAGGCCAAGAAGCTCCAGGTCAGTCGGCGTCTACATCGCATCGCGATACTGCTGTTCCTTTAATTGAACCGCTGGTGTTTACCATCATATAATCTAGCAATACGTCGATGTCATCCGAAAAGACTATACGGCCGAGTTGAAGAGCAAGATCATGGCCGACCGACAACGAGCGACGGCCATGTACCTGATCGACCGTCTGGCGCTCCGAGCGGGAAACGAGAAGGGAGAGGAGGAAGCCGATACCGTCGGTTGTTGTTCCCTGCGACTAGAACACGTCACCTTGATTCCGCCCTGCACCATCGAGCTGCGATTCTTGGGTAAAGATAGTATTATGTACGAGCAGGAAGTCGAGGTCGACCCGCAGGTCTTCAAGAATATCAAGATCTTCAAGGCCGACCCCAAGACGCCCGAGGATGACTTGTTCGACCGCTTGACCGTGAGTTAGCGTGTCGAGGCATGGACACGGTAGCTGTGACCTTATTCACGAGATATCTGCCTTGGCTTGTAGACGTCCGGGCTGAACAAACACTTGGGCAGCTACATGGAGGGCTTGACGGCCAAGGTCTTCCGTACCTACAACGCCTCGTACACCTTCCAGGACCAGCTCAATCAGTTGACGCCCGCCAAGGGGACCGTCGCTGAAAAAATTGCTGCTTACAACAAGGCGAACAAGGAGGTTGCCATTCTGTGTAACCATCAAAAGACAGTTAGCAGGACCCATGGCGATTCTATGGCCAAGTTGGGTGACAAGGTGAGCCCTGGGGAAGCAGACGGTTCCGCGTACGCCTGGCTCATCGCTGCCGATCGACTCGCTAGCTTCTCGCCATCAAATATCAACGAATGCGGCTGCGGTACACGCTCTTCAACGTGGATCCCAAGATGAAAAAGAAGCACCCTGAGCTGGTCGATCTCGAATCAGATCTCGAGGACGACTTTTTCCAGCGTCACGAAACGAGCCTGCTCGAGACCAACATCGACAAGGCCAAGAAGAAGTTCGAAAAGGAAAACGCCAAATTACAGGAAGAAGGACAGAAGCCTCAAAAGGAAAGTGTCCTGAACGAGCGAATTGACAAGATCAAGGAGGAAAATGCCGAGATGATCAAGGAAAGAAAGGCAAAGAAGGTAGAAGCGCCAGCTCGAGGGGCCGATGCCGACAAGATCCTCGCCAACATCAAGAAGCTTGATGATCGTATCGAGACGTCAAAGGTGTCGATCGAAGACCGAGAGAGCAACAAGACTGTCGCTCTGAGTACTTCGAAGTGAGTCGAAGGCGAACGTTCGGTGCTTACCGAGTCAGCGCTGACAGTCCGCTTACCTCTTGCCTTTAGGATCAACTATATCGTACGTGACATCCTCTCTCGCTCACTTGCCTCTCGAAACTGACGATTCTGTCATTCACAGGACCCCCGTTTGACTGTCGCTTGGGCCAAGAAGTATGAGGTACCGCTCGAGAAGCTATTCTCCAAGGTAAGCTGCATCGCAATCGCCGGCTGATCGGGCTCATCGCTAACAGGAATCATCTCTCACAGACTCTTATCCAGAAGTTCCCTTGGGCTATCGCCGAGATCGAGTCGGACCCCGACTGGAAGTTCTGATTCACCTGTTGCCCCTCGATGTATTCCGCATTGCAATGAATGGTCTCGGCGTCGCGCGCAGTGCGCTTGACCCGTACCCCCCTGTAGTCTTTACCAGATTGTAGCTTATTATGTCAGCAAGCCCACTCGTGGCACCAAGATGCAACGCACCATGCATACCGTCCCGTCCCATTAGGTCGGCGAAGACAATCACGGTTATCCTTGCGACGCTTGACAGGGCTTTGTTTTGCTTAACACGATCAAATGGCACTGCTCATCTTTTTTAACGACCCTTTGGTCTGGGTATACGGGTACACTAAGAGACTATCGAAAACCTGCTCGACTTCCAACTCCCTCGACAAGTTCGGTCCACGCTCTACTCATCGTCCTTTTCCTTGTCACAGTTGCCTTCCCAGTCAGAGTACTGCTCCAGCCTGTCGTCGATCCACTCCTTCCACTCCTCCCAAGCACAGCTCTGAGCGGGACCCGACTCGCATCCGTGCATGTTGGCCTGTTGTCCGTTGACCATGGCACGGACGAACGAGGGCTCCTCGTCCTCGTCGTCTCCGGTACGCATCGAGATAGGAACACCCTCGGAGCCGGGGGCACAGGAGAATCGCTCGAGAGCGATGTGGCTAAGGTACGAGACCATCTCGCTGGTCCGCCATTGGCGGGGTTCGGGGCGGTGATCCGTAGGGGGAGGCAAGAACGCCGAGGGTCCGAGAGCCTCGTCGGTAGAGTTGTACAGGTTAAGGACGGTAGACGAGAAAGCGGGAGACTCCCGGTGAGTAAAGAAGGCGTGCAGCCTAAAAGATATGTGGAGCGAGGACGAGTTCAGTTTACGTGTATCGTCCACCGGAGTTTCGCAGCGTCGACTTACAATTGCGAGTGGGTTCCGTTAGGAGGCTGAGTAGGCTCGGGCAGACCATCACCAGGCTTCTTCTCCTTCTTGCCCTTCTTGTTCTTCTTCTTCTTCATGGCGCTCGACATGTGATCGGCAGAGTGCCCCTTTCGGTCGTCTTCGACCTCGCCGGCCATCAAGTGTCGCGCAGTCTTGATCCAGGGAGCACCGAGGATGGAAGATAGCTCGTTACCGTATCCCATCATGTAGTGGAATCGAACCTGGAAGGCGGGTGTATCTAGGTCAGCCTACACGATGATGCCGATGGCGGGCGTCTCGAGACTCACGTCAAAGTAATACTCGGCGTCCCTGAATTCCTCTTCAGTAAACACACCACACCAACCAGACCAACCCTGGTCGATCGACTCGTAAGCGCAGAGCATGAACATGCTCAACACGTCCTCGTCGCTGATCCTCTCGACGACCTTGGGTACGACACCCTGCAATCGGTCCTTGATCCTGGGCGCAAAGACGTGCAACCACTCGGCAGCCTTTTCCAACGAGGGCTTCTTGTCAAACGCCTCGCAAGCCTTGTGCGGGGTCAAGGATCGTTTCCAACCTTTGCCGAGCTTGTTGGGGACCTTGACGAGCTGGACGTGGTAACCGTCACCTTCGCCCTCTTTACCGGTTTGGTTGCGAGGGAAAGCGCCTTTGATCCACGAGGTGGCGGTCTCGATATCCCGCTCGCTCGAGGCCGTCCAGATCTTGTAAGGCGGGGAGGGCTTCTTGTGCTTGGGATCCTTGGAGGGTCGCTTCTTCTTGTGGCCATCATCATCGTGGTGGTGCTTGTGCTTTCGGTGATGCTTGTCCTTCTTGTGGTGACCGTGGTGGTGCTTGGGCTCGAAAAGCTCGTCGAATTCGGAGGTTTCGAGCATGTCGATCAACTCGATGGGCTTCTTTCCCTTGTGGGGCTTGCCAGTGTGAGGCGCCGGGAACAAGTGAGAGTAGGACGATCGGACGGCTTGTCCAAAGGCCTGCGAGACGAACAGCAGTGACAGCAACGCACGGGTGATCAGTAACCACAAATATGATTAGCTCGACCAGAGCCCGCGTAAATGACTCACGAAAGCGTCCTCCTTGCCTCGGTCGCTGAGCTTTTCGTCAATCTCCTCCTCGATCGGAGTCTTCCACTGGGACAGGAACCACCATTTCCTCTCTCCGACATCCCCATCAAACGTGCCCTCTCGCTTCCACCTCTTGATCTCGTCCGTCATGTTCCACTCGGCCGGAGGCTGGGGGAAGACGTCGGTCTCCCATTCGGCCACCTTGTCGATGAACGGTTGCATGAACTCTTCGCGATCGTCATCGTTCGACATGATGGCCGAGTGACGGATGAGGATGGAGGTGGTCGTCACGTTGCAGGTCGGGTTGGGCAACGGGGTGACTATCGGTGGGGGAACGATGTGAGTTCGTGAATTTGTTTTCAGCTTGATCGGGATCACTCACTCTCTTTCGATGGCACATAGTAAGGAGACAAGGCCGACAGGTCTGCTCATCATCCCAAAGGTACATCTTGATCAGCGAGAATAATGAGCCGCAGATTACGCCTGTTTGAGTCTCACGGTGCAACGGGTTGAACATGCCAGTGTCAGGTTTCTGAGGGATAGGATGCGAAGGCGGTTCTTGGTCCCCCGCACCGCCTTTGACGCCAAAGACGGTCTGACCGTCAAAGGTCGGGGCAGCCCATGTCGACCCGAGCAGGGCGATCGCGGCGATCGACGTCGATTGTCTCATCGTGGTTGTCGTCGTATCAACAGACAGGCAATCAACTATCGAGTTGAAAGATAATAGTGTCGATGTTGAAGTGTTACGGTTGTGCGAAGTGATCGATCGTCTCTCTCTCTCTCTCCTTATATTCATCATCCTCGCCGGATCGAGAGCGAGAACCGACGTCATTTTGTCGATTGGGTGCGGATGCAAACCGATCACAAGTGCTTCGGAGGCACCAAACTTTACATGGCGGAGGGGACTCTGGGGTAATTGGTAATCTCCCGTTTGGCGTCGTCATGCGTTTCAGAATGGTAGTGTAAAACGCCAGTCGCGATGACAGAGACCGCCTCAGCATGCGGCCTGATGTATCAACAACTAGGGAACTAAGACACCGCAAGCGTCAGGTCTTCATCTTTGGACACCCGATGAGAATACTCGATATGGGGATGCTCAATACGGTGATGCAAACGAGGAGGGTCTCTCCTCAAGAAGAGGATACAAAGACAGTTTGGGGTGGGGGCATCGAGATGAGGAGGAGCGCGACAGCAAATGACCTTGTCATCGTGAGTGCATTTCTGAGATCATCACCATAATTCGGTATGAGTGCTGAGACTTATCGACAAATCAAGTTGAACGCTGTCCGACATTGGAGACTCAACGACAAATCAGGTTGAAACCTGTCCGTTATCGCTGTCATTCTTGCTGGCATTGTTTTTGTCGATCTCACTCCAGCTTCAGGTTGGAATCTAACTCTTATGACGTGGTGGAATGCAAGACAGAATGAGAATATCAATGATCAATGATCGAGCGGCCAGCGCTCAACCATCCCCTGAGGCGTATCTCGTACAACGCACTTCTTCAGACTCCCTCCTGCCTGATGAGTCGTTCAGAAGATCACGCCCGAGGTGTTCAGGCCGATTGAAATGGAAGACATACGATCCTGCTGCAACGGCTCTGGACCACCTCTCCCTTTGACAAACCGGTTTTTGGAATGCCCTGCAAGCTTTGGTCACCAGGGTTGACGACATGAGGGCCAAAGCCCAGTATTTAGGAGACGATCTATTTGATCATCACGGTCGACTAGACGGCCTGAACAATCAGTGTAAGCTCGATCAGATCCGGGGACGGCAAACGCGTAGCTCACACAGCGCCAACAAGCCATCACTATCGCATCCTGAGGGCCATGCCTGTGAGGCGCGCCATCCATCCGAAAGTTTGCGTAGGATCCACTCGCCTTGATGCTTGTACCGAGTCTTACGTTCTGTGCTTAGCGTATCGAGACCCCGTCGCGGAACGTGATGAAGCGATGTTATACGATTATGGCTCTGATAAAGATTTCGAAGCCTCTGAATGCGGCGAATATCGTTCAAGATTTAACTTCGCTCTTTGCTTGTCCCGAACTCTTGGCTTGCACCTTGAACTGCAATCACGGCAACAGAGCATCACGCCACAAACTCTTGGTAGTCCTCCTCGTCAATTCCCACTTTCTTTCCTCCCGTTCCAGCTGTGCTTCAACTTTCTTACGCCCTCGATATGTCTTTTAAGTCTGTTCATGCTCGATTGCGAGCTCGACCTACTTCCTGGGTCCCGGGGTGAACTTGGCCGTAGTTGACGCTTCGCCGCCTGAGCGAAGGTTGGTAAGGGTCTTTGGCGCTTCCGGATTCATGGGGTTCCGCTGCTCCTCTTCCCAGTCACACAGCGCTACAGGAAAATGGAAAAAAAGGTTGCAAATTTTGCTGTGCGAGGTGTGAGAAGAGTGAAGTCACAACGACTGCGGGTCGGAGGGCCGATGCCAGGTCTGCATCGCCGGAGATTCAAGGTTGACCATGCAGTTTGCGGTGGAGGGCGCATATCGCCTGGAAAAACTTGAAGTGAGTGAGAGACAGATCCGAATGGATGTATAGCTTCTCGCCTCACTTATGAGGCGCCGGCTTTGTAGGCAGGACACAAGGAGCTATGTCGAGGATCAGGGCACTATTCATGATAGTCAGAGCGTATGGAAAGTAACCGTCAGGCCAGGCCGATGTTTGATCGTAGACTATGCTTCCCCTTTCAGCCCGCTACGCAGATCAACATGCTTGGATATTGTGAGGCGAGTCCGCCATTCACGAGGTTTTCGACTTCATAGCGGACCCAATTCAATCCTCGTTCGTGCTACGAAACTCGTGGCTCGCATGCATGGAGGAAACTCCAGGGTTGCCATGATTCTTCAACGATCTACGCATCACTTTTACTCGCCAACAAATCCTCCATAAGACAGGCTCACACATTCACAGGGACTCGATGAACAGAGGGCTCAAGAGGAGACATCAAATGAGCTGTTGTAACGAACAGTTGTCAAGAAGATGAAGAGGTTTGAGCAGGCTCGCCGCTTCGCTTGATCCCAAGCCTGTCCTTCAGCCTGCTCCCGAGCCTTTGCTTAGGGTTAGGTGATCTCGTGCGATGTGAAATCCCAAAGGTACAGTGGTCCCAAATACGAAGACATGTGCAATAGCGAGGACAACACGGACAATCCCATACCGACCCCTTTACGAGAATGTAGCATATCCCTTCAACGTCGCCGTACGGGAAACGGCACAATCTTGCCCAAATCTTTGTGGCAGCTCCAACCGATCTCGAAAAAGTCGGGCTCGTTCTCGACCGTGATCATGCCGTGCCGAATGAGAAAGTCAACGATGATCAGACCGCAGTTTGGTTTGAAAGCTGTCGGATCGTTCTGCAAGGTGTCTATCACCTCACGGACAGGCAGGAGCTGCAAAGGGCACAGTATCCGGCGTGAGGGACTAGTATCTGGGTGCGTTCGAATCTGTACATACCTGGAAAGAGTCGACCTCGTCGTCAAATGGTTTGAGCGACTGGTATTCCGGAGACTCTCGTGCAGGCATCTTCAGATCGTACACATATCTGTAAAGGCAGGAAAAGGAAATTCGTTAAGGCTTCCGCTTCGAGGTTGCTTCTCCTGAACCTGTTTTCCTCACTCGTATTCTGTGCGAACGGTGAACGCATTGATCAGCATATGATCCAGGTGTAGAACCCCTAACGTTGGCTCACCTGGTTGAAACCAGCCCTCTTCCGTCACGTGAAAGTACGACACGAAGCCTGCAGGTCTATTTTTGAGGCGAGGCGGAGACGGGCTAAGCCTAAGACGACATCGAGCGATCTCTGATGTGCCACTTACCTGACAAGCTTCCTAGTCAGACTCTCTGGTAAAGAGGCTTCCTCTTCGCACTCCTTGATCATCGATTCGAAGGGGACCATCCCAGCAGGGATTCCACCTGCCACGGACTATCGAACGTATCGACAATCTTCAGTCTTTTTACGAGGCGTAAACTAGGGTGGTACCGTGTCACACTCACGTTGTCGAGCTTGCTAGGCCATCTACGTTGACTCAAATACGCCTTCAGCTCAGGCTTGAGCGAACCTTGCCCAGATCGAGATATACTCACGTAGCCTTGGTAGCGCTCCTCTTCGGTACCCATATCTTCATCTCTTCACCCTCACCCTCGTAAGCTATATTCCTCACGAACAAAACCCAAATGTATCAGCTCCTTTCGTCTCGCTTAACGACAGGGAAGTTGGGGTTTCGTATGTACGCACCGGTCATGTGCACTCCGAACGTCGCTAGTCCGAATACTGCACATGCAGCTCGTTCAAAGTCGAACGCACGATTCCTATGGGCAAAGAAGGAAGTCACGATACGAGCCAAATACGTGAGCTTGTTTGGAGAGGAAGAACAGTAGTTTTTGAAGGAAATTATCAGCGCGTACGTGGCTCCTGAAGAAGATACGCCGGATCCGCCAGACGCAAAGTAGCTGGATTTTGGGCTGGCAAAGATCTCGTAATGTTCGTCTCTCCAGCCTGTATTGCAGCAGTATATATATAATGTCTGAGTCGAAGACGTCTTTTCGCTGTGCATGTGAACAAGCAGTGGTTTCCGGACTGACCGTCGAGACACTCGCTATACATCCCCTTGTCCTTCATGTACCTCGCCAACCGGTTCATCTCCCTCGTCAATCCTTCATACCCCTGATCCAACAACCGCTGGGAGACGAAAGCGAATTCAGGTCCGTCCTGATGACAGTTCCCCACCGTCCCCTCTTTCGCCAGCTCCCGGCAAATCCCAAACTCGATCATCGGCTCTCCCAAGTCTCCTTCGGGCCAGTGGTATTCGAGAAAGGCCCTCACGGCGGGTCTTAGCCACCCGATCGGGGTCAGGCCGGCTTGCATGTCGGCTCGTGCGAGGTGAAGAGGAATGGACCACGGTCGGAGCGAGGTGGGGCCGGTCTGGTCAGAGGGCGATTGCAGTACATTCGAGACTAGGTCGGTCGTCGGGACTTGGAGGTTGTCGGCCCTTCGAACGGCCTGGAGGAAAGGCGAAGCTGACATTGTCTCGTAGGTCTACCGTCTGATCTGTTGACAGGATTGGGTTCGACTCTGGGCGAGTCGATTGGAGTCCTGAATTTCGGTTGTGGTAACTAGATCTGAAGTCAGGAAATGCTTGAGCCTGTCAGGCCTGTCGGACATGACCGCGCTCTAGGGGGGATTCATTTATGCGTTTCGAAGGATGATCATGCCGTTTATGCGCGTGTTATGCGTTATGATCGACCAGTCTTAATGTGGGGTCGTCGTCTCCAACTTTATTCGAGTCAATCGTCACTTTCATAGCCCCCGATCAACTGTACAACTGTCATGTATTCATCAAGTCGACACATCAACTCAAACACGGATCAGTACACACGAGATCACAACAAAACAGACCCGCAATCATGTCGGTCCCACCCGAAGACATCCCTCAAAATCACACCGTCCCCACCTCGGAAAAGGTCATCCCCCAGACCGACGTCGAATCCGAACAGGAACCGACGCTATGCCTGATGATCGACAATTACGACTCGTTCACCTTCAACCTCTACCAATACTTTTGTCAGCTTGGGGCCGAGATGTTGGTCAAGAGGAACGACGAGATTACGATTCCCGAGGTCGAGGTGAGCCCGCAAGACCGTTGTGGCGAGTCGGGACCGTCTCATAGAAAGTTGGCTCATGATCCGCTCCAACCTGTCTCTATAGGAGATGTACAAGGCCAGACGGTTACGATCAATTGTCATCTCTCCCGGACCTGGACACCCACGGACCGACTCGGGGATCTGTAGAGATATCATCACCTGGGCGATGGGCAAGGTACCCGTGCTCGGTGTGTGTATGGGTCTCGAGTGCATTGTCGATCTGCTCGGAGGAGATGTGAGTGGTCAAGGGGCCCTTTGCGCTCTTACAATCGTACCCAGACTCCCTTTCTGACACGGCCTGCATCTTTGCACTCTTGTAGATCGCACACGCCGGAGAGATCCTTCACGGCAAGACCTCTCTCGTCAAGCACGACGCCAAAGGGTGCTTCCACGGCATCCCCCAAAACATCCCTTCGACCCGTTATCACTCTCTCGCCGCCAACATCAAGACCATTCCTTCTTGCTTAACCATCACCTCGACGACGAGCGAGTCCGGTGTCGTCATGGGCGTCAGGCACAAGGAGTTTACCATCGAGGCCGTGCAGTATCATCCGGAATCGGTGATGAGCGAGGGCGGGCGAGAGTTGATGGGCAACTTTTTGAAGTTGGAGGGCGGCAAGTGGGGTGGGAAGAACGCTTGGTGTGGTGTCGAAGCCGTGCACGAGGACAAGGTCGAGACCTTGCCCGTCACCGAGGGACTCGTCCAGGCAGAGGTGCAAGGAGCGACTAGCTCGAACGGGTCCAAGGCCAAGTCGGACCCTGCGGCCGTACCGACCATTCTCAACAGGATCCACCAGCAACGTCTACAAGATGTCGAATCGGCCGCTGCTAGACCTTCCACCTCGGCCTCGATCCTCAAGACCTCGATAGCACTGCACGCAGCTCCTCCCGTCGTCCCCCTCGTGGCCCGGATCAGCCAGACGCTGCCTGCTCACCCGGCCGTGATGGCCGAGATCAAGCGAGCGTCGCCCAGTAAAGGAGACATTGCCATCGACGCCAATGCCCCCTCGCAGGCCATCAAGTACGCCCTAGCTGGAGCGTCGGTCATCTCGGTCCTCACCGAGCCTACCTGGTTCAAGGGAGCCCTCTCAGACTTGTTGAGCGTGAGACAAGCCCTGGACTCGTTACCCAACCGGCCGGCCCTCTTGCGCAAGGACTTCATCGTCGACAAGTACCAGGTCGACGAGGCCAGGATGCACGGGGCGGATACGATCTTGCTCATCGTGGCCATGCTCAGCGTCACCGAGCTGCGTGACCTGTATGACTATTCAGTCTCTCTCGGGATGGAACCTCTGGTCGAGGTCAACAACGCCGAAGAGCTCAACATCGCGCTCGACCTTGGCGCCAAGGTCGTGGGTGTCAACAACCGGAACCTGCACGACTTCAAGGTTGACATGCAGACGACGAGTAGGTTAGCGGACGTGCTTCGTGAACGCGGAAGGGAGGATGTCATCCTCTGTGCTCTGAGCGGGATCACCGGGAGGAGCGATGTCGAACGATATATCAGCGAGGGGGTCAAGGCCGTCCTCATCGGAGAATCCCTTATGCGAGCCGAAGACCCCAAGAAGTTCATCCACGATCTCTTGGCCGTGCCCACCCCGAAGCCGATTGTGCCTACCGCACCACTCGTCAAGATCTGCGGAGTGCAGACCTTTGAGGACGCCAAGGTCGCTGCGGATGCTGGGGCCGATTTTATCGGGATCATCTTTGCGCCTACACGGAGAAAGATCGCCTTACCCGTCGCCAAAAAGATCTCGGCCCACCTCCGTTCAATCCGTTACCCCGAAGACGAGGAAGACTTTGATGCCCAGGCTGCGGTCGATGACCCTCTCGCGCCCTTGCCTTGGTTTACCAGCCGAGCACAGATGTTGGGCAATTCTCGAAAACCTCTGCTCGTCGGAGTGTTCCAGAATCAACCTCTGTCGTATATCCTGTCGGCGGTCCAGTCGACACCGCTGGATGTCGTCCAGCTGCACGGAGACGAACCGCAAGAGTGGGCACGACAGATCCCGGTACCCGTCATCAAGGCTTTCCGGGTGACGGATGAGAACGTCATCCGTGGTGGTCAAGTGGATCGACCCGGCTGCAACGCCTTGATCCTGCTCGATGCGGCTGGCAAGTCGGGTTCTGCGGGAGGTGGCGAGGGTGTCAAATTCGACTGGTCGGTCGCTGCAGAGACGGTGACCAAGGGCGAAGTCGGGACCGGCGGGGCGTTCCGGCTACCGATCGTGCTGGCGGGCGGATTGACACCCGAGTCGGTCGCAGAAGCTGTTCAGGCCGTCAAGCCTTGGTGTGTCGACGTGAGCAGTGGGACGGAACGATCAGATGGGCAGGGCAAGGATGCGCAAAAGATCGCAGACTTTATCAAGCGGGCCAAGCAGGGTACCGCATAGATGTCTCGCGCACGTATTGTAAATAGTGGCAAAAATAACATGCAGCGATGCTGCTTACGATACAACTGGGATTCTTTGCCGAGCGTCTTGGATCTACGAGAATTTCCACCTAGGAAGTGCGGGATATCAGTTGAACTATTTCAGTGAAAGACTAACAAAACTGAAACTGACTTGTTGCTGCAATTGATGCATCTGAAGAAAGCATAGGCATTGCGTCAGTAGGTTGAGCGCGTTCGACATGATTGCTCGCAAGACGTACGTTACGAATGTCTGCGAGAGTGTAGGGCGTCAGCCGAGGCACTTTCTTGCATGCTTGCAATATGCTCACGGTCATAGGCTCATCGGCACTTCTAGTCTGCATCTGGTAGTATCTTGTTCGGTTTTGACCACACTTGCCGCACTTGAAGGCAAACGTCTCGGCCTGCATCACAAGATGACGTGGGCTTCAGCGCTCTATGGTATGAATCTTGCTAGGTCACGAGAACTACGCACCTCAGTCTCTCCTGCACCCTGAGCGGCGAACAAGTTGGCCTTTTCAATCGCAGCAGTCTCAGCCTTGATTGTTTCGTTAGCAAGTTCCTGCCGCACAGAACGAGATGCTATTAATTCGAATTAGGCTCCGCTCGAGAGCCTAAAATCCTCACATCTCGGGAAAGGTTGATCACGTCCTTTGCCTGTATCGTTTCTCCTCTGACGATCGCATCACGCAACGCGGCATTTGCTTCGCGGAGGTGCAGGTACATCTCTCGTAATCCTGTTGATCGACTTCTTAGCATCGCGCTGGTAATCCGTAGGTCATTCGAGACGCACGAGATCGATAGTCATTGCCCGTTGTTCGATCGACTTTTTCATAGATGGAATATTCGATGGCGATGGCCCGAGATACGATCAAGGTGGATTCTGGATACGCCAAGCATATCAATATGGGGTTTACAAAGAGGAGAGGAGAGCGGGCTGACGTTTCGGAACTTACCAGACAGATTGTCAAACGCCAAGGCGTCATAACACATCGTGACACCCTTCTCTCGAATGGGACGCTCCCTATCCGGCATATTCTCGATACCCAGAGGTTCCAAACCTTTAGGAGCGTCCTTTTCCGCACTCCTGTCTTTGGCGCCATGTTCGTCGATGGTAGAATACTTTCGCTCTCGCTTTGCGGGTCGCTCCGGTGCCGGCGATGGACGAGCGGAGCCAGCTATGATACCAGCTCAGCCTGAGTTCAAGCTTCAAACAATTTACGAGGTTCTGACTCACCCGCTGACTCGGCCTTGACCTTAGATGAAGCTCCTTCCTTTCGCTCGGTCTTGACGCCCTCAGTCTTGACCTTTTTCTCTGGCGTTGGCTCAGCCGCATCCTCTGCCGGTCGCTTCTTCTTCTTCTCTTGATCTACGGCAGCTTTCCATTTTGCGATAATCTCGTTGGCCAGGTTCTGAATCTCTTTCGACTTGTTCTTCTTCAACCTGTTGATGGTTGCCCCAGCTTTCGTTTCCTGTTCAGACAGTCAGTCTACCTTGCAGCTGAATCGCGACCGGCGGCAGAGCAGAAATTGACGTACTCTGAGTACGCCTTCCGAGGGAGAAGGGCCCTCATTGACCTCTTTCAGCTTGGCGATTATATCCTGCACAATTCACAGCGCATATTCCAGTTGTGGCCTTGCTCATTTCGAACGTTACGATTTACCTCATCTTTGCTTGCAGTGACTGCGGCATTGATAACGGCGACGGCCGCTTTCAGTTGTTCCGAATCCATCTCACCACAGGGTATATGTCACTTGGGTGTCTAGTTGACTCTATAATCTCAATGTGTATGTGCTAATGACATCTCGAAAGCCAGATAGGTTAGTACATGCTCGAGATTGACCATATCGAACGGCGAGGACGACGAGTTTAGCGGGTCGATCCGGAGGGCGACGCGCACGAAATGTAACCCTCTCAGACGGCGCCCAACTCCACTAATCCCCTCCTGAAACGATGTATCTAGAACGCTAGGGCTTAGAAGTCTTTGCGTAATTTATCATGCAGTATGGACGGATCGTCAAGTCCTTGTATGAACGGTATCAAGTACGTGCCCGCTTGTTTATGAACTTTCGCGCTTTCTTCGCTGGTCTTGAATCGACGTCCTCGAACGCCTTCGCTGTCGAAGCCCCCAGCATGACAGGGTGGTCTGCAGGAGGAAACGCACGGTCAGCTTGTCAGAAACAAACTTGGATGGCTTCAATCCGGCTCACTATCGTCTCGCAACAGATCGTCAATGACTGTCCTGCTGCCTGAGGTGGGATACTTTGCCGAAACACCTCTTGCCATCAGGGGTTGACGTAATAGCTCGTTCAGCTCGCCCTTCAGGTTGAAGAGCTTGGTGTCGGAGGGCCTCTTGTTCTTGGCCGAAGACCTCGAGTCTGCCTCGTTCTCCTCGAGATCAGAGCTACGTTGGTGGGGACCACGAGGTCAATCACTACTGCACCTTATCACCACCGCAAAAACCCAGGCTTACAGCATATCTGCGTCGATATCTACGTCCATAGCCTCGGCGACCTCTTTCAACCAGCTCTTGTCGTGATTCTCCTTCTTGATCTGATGTTGAGCTTTCTCAATCTCTCGAGCGATCCGAATCCTTTCCTTCAGCTTGGGCAAGAACCCAGGTTCAATGGCGAGTTCCGGCAGTTCGGGAGCTTTGCACAGACGGATTCGATCAGTCACCCATCTGAACTGACGTTGATTATAGAGCGCGGTACTCACTCCTGCCAAGACTCTTCATCAAGGCTTTCTGTACTCCTCGCTCCTCTGGGCTGACCATTTGCAGACTGAAACCGTCCTGCTTCGCTCGTGCAGTTCGACCACTTCGATGAATATAAGCATCGGCCGTTCGCGGCAACTGGAAATGAATGACGTGATCAACGGAGGGGATATCGAGACCTCTTGCGGCAACGTCCGTTGCTATCAGGATCCCGTTCGGTGACGAAGCAAAGCTTTCGTGGGAGAATGGTCAGATTCACTGCAGATCACGACCTTCCGACGAGCCTGCTCACCGGTCCAAGTTCTTTAGACGCTGTTTCTGCTGCAGCTGCGAATGCAGAGGGTAGACGGGCATCTTGAGCATCTCAAAGAGCGGGATCAGCCGCCGGATCCCGTCGATACTGCCAACAAAGACGAGCGATCGCCCAGGGTATCGAAGGAGGAAATAGTACAGGTAGAGGTCCTGTATGTAAGCAAGATGGGCTCAGCTAGAGCGCATCTCCAGAACTGAACCAAGGAAGAAACTCACCTTTTCGAGGGTCATGCACTCTACCATACTTTCTCTCAAGGTAGCAACCAAGCGGCCTTCAGGAGAGATATCAATGACCTCGGGTTTAGGATCTCTGAAGTCCAGCTTCGTGATCAGGTCATCCAGGGTGTTGCCGGAGTTGCCCGCTTTTTTGCTTTTTCGCCAGCTACCTCTCTTCAGATTCCCTTGCAGGTCTTTGGACAGAGTGGCCGAGAACACAAATGTCTTGATGTCTGCCCGCACTGCGGTAGTGTCTGCCTTCGTATTGGTACGAGCGAAAGTAGGATCGTCCTCCGACGCATTCGTCGTCTGCCTGTTGAGAGAAAGAACTCAAAGATGAGTTCGATTCTGCGTACACGACGATTGTTCACACGCACATCTCCTTCGTCCTGACAGTCAGGCCGACAATGTTTTCCAGCTCAGCAAAGTGACCGGTCTCGATCATTCGATCAGCCTCATCGATGACGAGGAATTTGATCCTCTTGATTTGGCTGGCGAACGAATCGTCCTGGAAGTTGAGGGTCTGTCAATATTCTATGCTGCATGATCGCGGTCTGTAGACACAAGGGTATCATTCACCTCTTCGCAAAGATCCCAAAGACGACCAGGCGTAGCGACAAGGATATCGCAGCCCCTTGCCACTAGTCGCTTCTGTTTGACCGAAGACAAGCCTCCTACGACCGTTGCCACCGAAACGATGGGAGGCGGTCTGGGACCCGCCGGAGCAGGCTTGACCACCTTCTTTACCGGCTGTTCCGCTTTCTTGTTGGCACCTTTCTTGCCCTTCCCTTTCTTCTTCCACCTCGCTTCTGCCTCTTCTTCCTTGGCCAAAGCTTCTGCTTCATCGTCGGTTTCCTCCTTGACCTCGTCGATGGCGTTCATACCAGCCTCGACCACGCCACCGATGACCTTGCCCACTTGCAAAGCCAATTCTCGTGTGGGACATAAAATCAGGGCAGAGAGCTCTCGCTTGCCCGACTTTGCGCTTGACTCAGCGATCGACTCTGGTCGAGACAATGATTCTAGCAGTGTGTTCAGGATGGGCAATGAGTATGCTAGCGTTTTACCAGAACCCTACAGTCCGCATTCATCTTAGCTGGCGAGCGCTGCAAAACTATTCGCGGAGTGACTCACGGTCTCGGCAACACCGACTACATCTCGTCCCTCCTGCAGACCGATTGGCACAGCTTTTGCCTGGATGTCGCTTGGCCGCGAGAATCCGAGCGCGAAGAGCGACTTTTTAAGCAAGGGGTGTAAAGGCTGATCCTTCCATCCTGGCAGGAGATCAGGGTCGAACTTGATGTCCTTGATGCGATCCTGAAGGGAAGGTGGCTGTACGACTGCATCTGCGGTCGACGCCTTGGCTTTCTTCGTCGAGGTGGCCTCGAGCTCTGCCTTGACGTCTGGCTCGATCGAGTCGCCTTCGTCTTCTTCTTGCTTTACCTCGACATCGGAATCTGTCATACCCGCCTCCACATCCTCGTCATCCGAAGGCGGAAATGCAGATTGGAAAGCTGGACCGGTGGCATCTATCGTGACTTGCTCGTCGTCATCTTCCAAATCATCGCCACTTTCGCTCTCGGAGGGTCCCTCCCGTATGATGTCCTCTTCAGCTCGCTTCCTCTTTTGAGCTTGACGCTTACTTAAAGGAGCTGCCTTGTTCGACTAAGGACGAGCGCTGTTAGCGATTATGGTATACTTTCACGATACATCCTGCCAGGGACATACCATCAAGACGGCCTTTTTCCTTCCTGCCTCGTCCTCCTCCCACTGAACGTCTACGCCATCCACCTCTTCCAAGAGCAGCATGCCGCCCTCATCTCCGTCGAAAGTTCCACCCTCGTAGCTATCGGTAGAGAGTTTCTTCCAGTCAAGCTCCTCCGCTCGAACCTTGCTTGGTTTAGCTTGCGGTTTAGATCTAGAAGCCTTGGCTTTGCTTCCCGAGGCACCGGGTGTCTTCAAGCTCGATTTCAGCGGTTTCTTTTGCTTGCGCTGGGCGATCAGAGAGGACAGTACGAAGGACTTGGAAGACCCCGACATTTTCGTGGATACTGTGTCTATGTCGTCTAGGAAAAGCAGCAGCGAGCTCAATCAGGACAGGCTGACCAGCTGCTGTATCTGCGATATCTGCTATAGATGCAGCAACGCAAATCATGTGGAATCACCCCGAGAAACGCTGAACTTTGGAATCGAAAGCGTCCCGGAAGCAAATACAACGCAGATCACGTGACCTCGGCGTCTCAGCTCGTGACGTAACCTTCGTTGGGAAGCGTTCACGGAGGCAGATCGGTCCGATATGAGTTGTGTTGGAGGGGACCCATGTCATTCACATGCTAGCTCGATCACGACCTGTTCTGCCTGGTTGACCTTCCAAATGAGCTGCAAAAAAAGCTAGGATACGCATTGAGCATCACATCACTTGAGCTCAAGAAAGGACATTCAAAGCGGGCCGACGATAGCTGAAAGGGACTCCCGAGTTACCACCAGAACCGAGCAACGCCCCCGAAAGGTAGTCCGTTCTCCGCTCCTGCCTTTGTGTAGACTTCCCGTTGACAGCTGCGGAATACAAAGGATAGGGACAAAGGGGTCGATCCTATCTACACCAAAATCGTATAAAGTGTCATCTGGAAGAATTTGACAGCGACAAGAGTCACACACACCTCGGCTACAGCGAGCACGCTTAAGCGACACAGCAATTGCACAGCACGGACCATTCGCAAGCCATCGACTGGTATCAACGGTCCTGACCACCGTCACTCGCAACACCCCGGCCGGTATATATCCTTACGCCGCTTCAGAACTAAGGCAGAAAGACCTATCGCTAGCTTGTGTCCGTTAACGACATCTTGACACCTCCATTACGAACCCCCATTGACTGCGAAAGCGACTATATAACATGGACAACGCTCCTCGACACTCCTTTCAGGCTCTGAACAATGTCTAGTACGTGCAAAGCGAGTGTTCTAGCGTTTTGCAGGAATAAAAAAACTGACAACAGTATGCCAACATTGCAGCACCATTGCTCAACCATACTCATTCGTTAAAGAGCTGGGTCAAGGGGCTTATGGATGCGTGATTTCAGCTCGACATGAAGCGACGGGCGAGATGTGTGCCGTCAAAAAGGTGCGCTTAAAGCTGTTTCCCATGCTTCTAACGACTTCTTTACTGATCGCTTCCTCCTTTCCGATAAAGATCACGAACATCTTCAGCAAGAAGATCTTGGCAAAGAGGTGTTTGAGGGAGATCAAGTTGTTGCGGCATTTCCGTGGTCACAAGAACGTCAGTCGACCGGTTTTGCAAACCCACCGCCCGGAAAAGCAAGCTAACACGCGGCATCGCTTGTGCAGATCACTTGTCTATATGATATGGATATCGTTCCCGATCCTCCAGGCACTTGGACCTTCAATGAGGTCTACCTTTATGAAGAGCTCATGGAGGCAGACTTACACGCTATTGTGAGAGATTCTTGTGCGCTTCGTTGCGGCTGCAGTCGCTGATTGACCTTTGTCTGGTGCGTCTGCCTGTTTCCCTCAGATCCGTTCCGGCCAGCCTCTCTCAGACGCCCATTTCCAGTCCTTCCTGTATCAGACTCTTTGTGGTCTCAAGGTCAGTCAGGTCGCTTTCGCAATTACCTTGAAGGTATTGATCACTCCTGTTTGAATCCTCACAGTACATCCATTCTTCCAACGTCTTGCACCGGGACTTGAAGCCCGGTAACCTGCTTGTCAACGCTGACTGCGAGCTGAAGGCAAGTTGAGCCTTGTGATTCCTGAGAAGAAGTCGTGACCTAATACGAGCGCTGCACCTGCAGATCTGTGATTTCGGTCTCGCAAGAGGTTTCCAGGCAGGAGGAAGCGCCGAGACGGGTCAAGCGGGATTGATGACCGAATACGTCGCCACGAGGTGGTACCGAGCTCCCGAGATCATGTTGAGTTTCGCCAACTATACCGCGAGCATCGACATGTGGTCCGTAGGATGCATCTTGGCCGAGCTCTTGGGAGGACGTCCTATCTTCAAAGGTCGAGACTATGTCGATCAGCTGAACCAAATCCTCAACTTGTTGGGAACGCCGACGGAAGACACCCTCAGGCGGGTAGGAAGCCCTCGAGCACAAGAGTGAGTATCGCCTCTCCTTGATCGATCGTGTACAACATGCTGATCGACTCGACTGGATACCAGCTACATTCGGTCGCTGCCTATTAAGCCGAGAATCCCTTTCAAGCAGTTGTTCCCCCAGGCAAACCCGCTAGCGCTGGACCTGCTAGGGAAGCTGTTGGCCTTCGATCCTTCCAAGCGGATCAGCTGCGAAGAGGCTTTAGAGCACCCTTAGTGAGTCGTCCTGGCGTCGGTGGCTTTTCAAAGATTCATCCTATTCAAGCTCTACTTCACATGGGCAGCCTGAGTGTATGGCACGATCCTCAGGATGAGCCGGTCTGCGCCGAGGTAAGTGAAACTTGTCTCGCTGGAGCTAGTATATATCTAATCCCGGTGTATGCATCCTGTTGTAGACGTTCGATTTCGCCTTTGAAGCTGAAGAATCGACGGAAGGCATGAAGAAGATGATCATCCAGGAGGTCGCCGCTTTCAGGAATCAGGTCCGTCAGGAAGCTGCCGTCCACTACCAGCAAAAGCAGGAGCAGGCCAAGCCTCAGCCTCCTCGGAAAGACTCGTAAATGACCCAGACTCTGCCGCAAGATGTGGATCGGAACTGATATTCCCGTTCTTGCTCTTCAGTATGCCTCCTGCCCCTGCTGCCGCTGTCACAGGTGGGGTTGAAGCGGGAGTTGGACCTGGATTTGACACGTCTGCTCAAGGCCAGCAGAATGACGCCCCGGACAGGGAGGAGGACCCCGCTTCTGCGCTCGAGCGAGAGTTGGCGGGTTCAAAGTGGTAGAAGGGCGGTACCGATCGCATGGCAATAATTGTATACCTTCTCCTCATGTTATCCCTGTCCCTGTACGATGTCATTGCGATAAATCGACTTCCGACCTTGATCAGGATTCCAGCACGCGCTGACGCGACGCGAAACAAATGAAATCGCGTCGAATCGCTACCTCGATCCCGAGTACTGAAGGTATCTACCAAAACACAACAAAACGTTGTAGCTACTGCTACTCATAATCGTTAAGCCTGGGAGCTCTACATATTCACACTGGGACTGTCTCCGCCTGATCACTAGCCCGCTCCAGGAATCTAGCGAGACGATACCGTCAAGATGCCGCTTCGACGTTTGGAACTCTGCGACTTCAAGTCGTATCGAGGTGAACAAGTGATCGATTTCGGCACCCATGAGTTCGCTTGTATCATCGGCCCCAATGGATCCGGCAAATCGAACCTGATGGACGCCATCTCATTCGTTCTGGGAGTCAAGTCCGCCCAGCTGAGGAGCACCATGCTGAAAGACCTCATCTATCGAGGCAGGAAAGCGGCGGCTGGACCTGGAGAGGATGACGATGGTGAAGCTCCTCCTGCCGGGCCTTCTAATCCCAAGGGGAAAGGCAAGGGGAAGCGGGCGGCTACGAAAGGCAAGGGCAAAAGAAAAGTCAAGAAGACTACTCTTGGAAAGAGAAAGAAGAGGGACGACGATTCGGACGCTTCAGAAGAGGATGAAGAAGAGGACGAGGACGAGGAAGATGAGGAGGGTACTGATGAAGAGGACGAGGCCACCGAAATCGTCACACGAGGGAAGGATGATGCCTCTTCAGCATGGGTGATGGCAGTGTACGAAGATCAAGATGGCAAAGAGTACAAATACAAGCGATCGTACGTCTTTACGATGTCAGATAGTGGTGACGAAGATGTCGCTCATATCGACGTTGCTGCCATCTAGAATCGCCTCGAACGGCCAATCGACATACTCTCTGAATGGTAAAAGCGTGACGTATCTACTCTACAATCAGTCGCTGGAGAAACACAACATCTTGGTCAAGGCCAAGAACTTTTTGGTCTTTCAAGGAGACGTCGAAGCTGTAGCCTCCCAGAGTCCCAAAGAGCTCTCCAAACTGATTGACCAAATCAGCGGGTAAGCCGAAGCAGACAGGAGACCTTACCGAATGGACTCTTCTCACTCGATTGCGATTCACATCGCATGTAGTTCGCTTGATCTCGCTGCAGAGTATGAACGGGCCAAGGTGGCATCAGAGAAGGCTACCGAGACTTCAACCGTTAATTATACCAAGAAGCGGAGTATCGCCGGAGAAGTGAAACATTACCGAGAACAGAAGGACGAGATTGAACGTTGGGAGCAGATGAAGGAAGAGCACGTGAGTCAGTATACGTTTAGCGACGGGGACACAAGACCGACCCAGTTTTGGCTGCGCAGGAAAATCTTGTGGCCGAATACATGTTATGGAGGTTGTTCCACATCAACTCCGAGATCGAGAGCTGCGAAACCAATATCGAAGAAGCCGAGGCCAAGTTCAACGACTCGAAGGCTGCTCAGGTAAGAGGTTGATCAGGGCGCTCAACAGCCTCAACCACTGACTCGCTGGTGTGCCTACAGACTGCAGAGGAGAAGAAGGTAAAGAAGGCCAAAGATGTTCAAGCCAAGGCCAATCTGGCTGTCAAGAAACAAGAGGCAGTAGTCAAAGCGTCTGAGAAAGCTCTTGACGACAAGGTAAGCGATCGGTAGCAAAATTCTCGCTTGAGATGTAGACGGCTCAACGCTGCTTTCACAGAAACCTGGGCTGCTCACTTTGGAGACCCAGATTGAACATGCCAACCGAAAGATCCAGTCAACAGAGAAATTAATTGCCAGTGTCGACAAGGACGAAAAGAGGCAGGCTACCACTGTCACCAACCTTAAGCGAGACTTGAAGGATGCCGAGGAGGCTGCCGAAGCTGCTGCTGGCAAGTGTTTCTCCACCCATCCTACCAGTCGGCTATGCTTACTCTCCTACATCCACAGAGAGGCAGCGAACTGCGGCGGCGGCGAGAGGAACAGCCTTCACTCCTGCCGATCTTGAAGAGTACCGGAAGCTGTGAGTCCAAGGGAAACGCAAAATCAAGATCGCAACTGACTCTGGTGGTGTTGTGATCAGCCGCGTCACTGCGAATGCCAATGCGACAGATGAGCGAAAGGAATTGGATGCCAAGAAGAGGGAAGCACGTGGCCTGCGTGATGTGCTCACCACTGGCGAAGAGAAACTGGCAGGCTTGACAGCCAAGAAGGAAAAGTTGACCCAAGAAGCGGCTGTCCTCCAGGAGCGAGTCGACTCGGTGAGTCCAGCGTAGATGGCAGGAGTCATCGTGAGGATTTTCTCTCAGAAACAGTATTAACAAGGACCTGCAATCGCCAGGCCCAAGCGAATGTTGCAGACCTGGAGACTCAAGTCAACGCCAAGAAGGGCGAATCGGATCAGCTTGCAAGCGAGACGCGACGTATTTCGTGAGTGGTCACAACTATGTCCCGAAAGACCAACGAGTTCACCCTTCTTCTCCAGTCAACTCGAAACGGAGATGAACGAGAAGCTCCACGACACACTCCAGCAACTCCTGCAGTTCCGAGCGACCAAGTCGGAATCTGATCGCGCTCTGCGACTCAAAGACAACATTGCCAAGCTCAAGAAGGTCTTCAGTGGTATGCCCAGATCGTCTTACTCTCACGTTCACTACGCTATGCTGATTGGGAGCGGTCAGGCGTACACGGTCGAGTATACGACCTCTGCAGACCCTCTGAGCGCCGATACAATACCGCTGTGAAAATCGTTTTGGGTCGCAATACCGACTCGATTGTGGTAGACCACCAGCAGACCGCCATTCGATGTATCGAAGTAAGTCAAATGTGGCAGTGTATTATCGGTTTGCCCTTCTAACATACTATTTCTCTGTTGATACAGTACCTGCGACAGAACCGGAGCGGTCAGGCGACTTTCATCCCGCTAGATACTATTCAGGTCAAGCAGGTACAGGATCGTTTGCGGAGCTTACGCGGAGCGAGGCTCGCTATAGATGTCATTCAGTATGATCCGTTGGTTGAGCGAGCCATGCAACATGCGTGCGGTAGTGCTTTGGTGTGCGACACTATGGAAGTAGCACGCGATATCTGCTACAACAAGGGCATCGAGGTCAAAGGTGAGCTAAGCTGTCGAGAGCCGGTGCCAGTATGGCAGCTAGCTGACGTGTTCTAAAAAGCGGTCACGATCGATGGGACTATCCTCCACAAGAGTGGTCTCATTACTGGTGGAGGCGTTGAGCAAGCTGAAGATCAGCAGTGGGATGAACGCAAAGTTCGAGGTGATTTCGACTCTTCCTCTCGATCATCGGCGTGCAGCCCGCTGACGGTGCTCTTGGTCAGATCTCGAGCAAGCGAGAGACGCGTACCACAAGTCTCTTAGCAACCTCGTCAAGAGCAAGCCCAACAAAGACACTATGGATCAGGTCGCGCGGGATCTTCAGGCATTGGAGACCGCATTACGCATCGCTCGGGAAGACTTGGTGAGTCTGGTCACCAGACCACCTGAGCGCTTGTGCTGATCACCACCAGCTCAACCACTAGACCGGTGCCAACCACCGTCTGCAAGGGACGAAGGCGGAGCTCAAGCAGACAGATCAAGATATCAAAAAGCAGAGGGCAGAACACAAAAAGGTCAGCCAGCAGGCATACCGTTAAAAGTGATCCGATTCGTAAACGTTTGCAAATCTGTCTACAGGCCGAGAAGAACGTGCAACAGCATGAACAACAGATGCAAGCCCTGGAAACCGCTGTCAACGCTGCCGACGATGAAGTGTTTGGCGAATTCTGCCAGCGACTCTCCATCGACAGCGTCAGGGATTATGAGACTGTGCAACTCCGCGCAGCCGAAGAGGAATCTGAAGCGAGAGCTCGTTTCGACGCACAAATAGCTCGCCTCAACCACCAGTATGTTGATTACTTTTCCATAAGACTAGCACTTCTGTTCAAACGCCATCTTCCTTTATCCAAAACAGGATCAAGTTTGAGGAATCTCAACTCACAGGGACTCGTGATAGGCTCACCAAACTGCGAGCTACCATCGAAAGGGAGACCACCAACATCTCGGACACTCTCGAGACCGAGTTGGCCGCTCTACGCGAAGAGATTGAAGAAGCAGAGGAAGGCATTCGGGAACAGCGAGAAAAGCTGGACACGCTGAAAACAGCTCTAGAAAATGCAAGTGCGGCTTCGGACGCTGCGAAGAAACAACAGTTGAAGGCGACCAGGGCATTGGATGACCTCCAAAAGGAGATCAACGAATGGGCAAGTCTGTTCTGTTTCCAGGCTTCGAGCCAAAATCCCTAACTTCTACATGGATCACGAACAGAACGATGAAATCCGTAGGCAATCGTCCGAGCGCTTCTCAATTTACCGTCGGTGCAAGGTGGAAGATATTGAGCTACCGCTGGAATCTGGTTCGCTCAAGAATGTGCCTCTCGAAGAGGTCAGTTGCTGTTGATGGTCATCAACTCGTCAGAATCCGATCGAAATTCTCACACCTGTCTGACCTCACCGAACAGAATCTACAAGACGACGAGGTGAACGACTATGAAGTTGTGGTAGATTTCGAGTCACTCGAGGATGATGATCGTGAGGTAGGTGATCGCTTCATCCCAAGCTCCTCTTGCCAGACTCTGACAGCCAAATGCTTCCTGCAGAATGGAAATCCGGAACGTGGACACGATTTCGAACAACGCATTGCTGCGCTCGCCTCTGACATCGAAAAGATGGCCCCGAACCTCAAGGCTATTGAGAAGTGCGTCCGAATCTGGGCAATACAAGTACAAGTCGAGCTCATATCTTCTTGTACACAGGCTGACCGACGTGGAGGCAAAGCTGAAAGATACGGAAAAAGACAATGAAGAAGCGAAAAAGGAGCAGAAGCGGGCGCGAGACGCGTTTGTTGCGCTGAAGAAGAAACGGTAAGCGTCCGATCAGATCCGCTCCTTGCTGAAGCTTACTGACTCTCCATCAAACCCGCAGATGTGACCTCTTCAATAAAGCCTTCAACCATATTGCAGAGAAGATCGACACCGTCTACAAAGAGCTGACGACAGGGAACAACGCTCCTTCTGGAGGTGTAGCCTATCTTTCGTTGGAGGACAGTGAGGTAAGCTGAGTGGTCGTGATTGTTTTTCTTGCAAAGGGGACCTGAGGCTCACACGCTTTGTGACCTCAGGAACCTTACCTTAGCGGTATCAAGTACCACGCCATGCCTCCTATGAAACGTTTCAGGGACATGGAGCAACTGTCTGGGGGAGAGAAGACCATGGCGGCCTTGGCCTTGCTTTTCGCCATCCATACCTACCAACCGTCACCCTTCTTCGTTCTGGACGAGGTGGATGCTGCCCTTGACAACACCAACGTCGGAAGGATTGCCGATTACATCAGGAAGAACTCGTCACCGACATTCCAATTCATCGTCATTAGCTTGAAAGGGTCTCTGTGAGTATTCCTGCAGTCGAGGCGCCGGAGTTTGCTTTGCTCATTGTATCACTGGGTCCAGGTACGAACGCTCGCAAGCTCTTGTCGGTATCTACCGAGATCAGGATGTCAACAGCTCTCGAAGTCTCACGTTGGATCTAGAAAAGGTAAGTTCCGCTTTGCTGAATCGTCATGGCCATCCTAGCTAGAGACGCTAATGGTTCCAAATGTTTGTCACAGTACGAGGATTAGGTTTACCATGCACGACAGTATTTCGTTTCGCTCGAGTCGGATGTACAAACTATGCTAGGCCATATTGTAATGCAGTATTCTGTTTTATGCGAAAGAGATCAAGTGGTTCTCGATTGAAACTTGGCGTCGACATCATCTTTGGTCCGCATATGTGCGTATCGCAACAGGAAATGTACAAGGTGAAATCGATAGGCGAAAACAAAGCCGCCCGTCCGTCCCACTCGATAATCGTAAAAAGGTCGTCAATGGTCTCCATTACTTGCTACTACTAACGTCACCCCCGCTTCTCCAGCTCCTGCTCCACAATCTCAACTCTCATTCCAGGTCGGGGTCTGAGTATTCTTCTGTCTCTTCATAGGCACTTCTTCTTGAACCGCCCTAACCGGGAATGGGGAAGAGAGAATGTGTTCCGAGAGTCCGATGAAAACGCACGAAAGGGGAACATGATCAGCTCGGTCGGCACGTCGCAAAGCCTTTTCTCTTTTCCAAGCGCTGTCATGGATACTGACTTTCTTCCTTTCTGACTGCCTGGATCGTCGCCCATGTCAGTCATCGTCTCAAACTCGCTAGCCCGAGGGGGTTGAGCAAAAGAAGGGTTGAATCCCGACCCCCATTGAGTCCGGTTGGTCGTCACAAAACTGGACGTCCCGCCGCCAACTCGATCCTGCTGACGATCTTGAAGACTGGCGAGCTTCGTGTTGTAAGCTTTGTCGCGTACATCGAGATATTCGGCGTTCACTTGGCGGTTTCGAGAGGATTCGGCTTTTGCGTTGGCGATCTGTCGATCGATCGAGTTGAGGATTCCTTGCGCATTGTCGCACCTGCAGTATAACAGAACAGTTGAGTCGATATTTGTCTGGAACGCTGCAAAGTGATTGTCAGCAGCGACTAACCATGCCGCCAACTTGCGCTGAACCTCCTCCATCCCGCCTCCGACCCTCGATATATCCCTCCCGATCACCCAGTCCACACTCAAGGTCCCGCGCTCCTGATTCAGCTTTCCGCCGAGAACGTTGCTGTACATCGCATCGATGATCAGATCCTCCAGATCTCGCACGGAAGCGATCTCGAGGGTACGCAGGAGGTGGTCGTAAGGTAATGTCTGAACCAGGTAGATGTAAGCTTGGTTTAGGCGTGTGATACCGCAAGGGGACGTGCTCACTCGGGAATCAAGACATAGAGAGACGAGAGTGAGATGTTTGAGCTTGTTGATATGAGATTCGTTCAGTGCAGGAAATCCCGATTGGTTGGCTACGAAAACGATGCGTCACAAGAAGGCCATTCAGCTCGAGCACATATACATGCGCTGACAGGCTGGAGCCGTAAACGGACCTTTGTAGTCCGCTAGGTTCCCGTAAGCAAACAGCTCGAGCAGTTTATAGCTGGAAGAGTGTTCAGGAGATTCTTGAAGCTATCACGAGGGGCGTCAGCCTCGGTTTAGTGTGCTCGAGACCGGTCAAGTGCAGATCCTCCTAGTCACCTGTTTGATATTGGGAACATCGAGCAGCTCTCCAAACCCGTATACACCAGGCTTCGCAGTGATAACTCATAAGCTCCGGCGGGTAACAGATGAGGATATGGATCGAGACACTCACGGCTGCCGTAGCGGTCTGAACGATCTTTGCAGCAGCCGCTCCTTTGGTGGAACGAGCCATGAGCAGGAACGGCTCGAGTCGATCGGCAGTTTCGGCCATTTTCGTATAAGAGGTATCGGATTTGCTACGTACTTCCTGATCGATGCAAGGAGCTATCAGAGTCCTTGTTCGATCGAGTTCAAGGGTAGTAGGTCGATGCGCGCTCTTACTTGTACATCGGATCATCACGATGTGCTCGAGAGTCTGAAGCTCTGAAGGCGGGGTTCGTCATCTTTCGGTCAACTCCCCGATGATGTTGGGTCATCGACAAGTCCAAGCCCAAAATATGTCACCCACCCCTGCTGTTCTGGGTTGAACAGTGTGTTGGGTTGCAAGGGATGTTGACCTTTTGCAATCATTGCTCTATACCCAGGCGTCGTTGGCGATACAGTAAATTCAAGCACCATGGCTGTTGGAAAGACACCTCTGTCGGTCGAGGACATTCTCGCCAAACAAAAGGCCGAGAAGGAAGAGGCGTCAAAGGCAAGTCTGACTCGAGCTCGTTTCGTCTCATCAACCTATAAACTAACCATCCTTGCACTTCTAGCCCAAGTTCCTGACGAAAGCACAGAGAGCTCAGATCGCTCTCGAGAAACGGCAACAAGAGATCGCCGCTTCTCAAGACAAGCAGGCTGCCGAACGAGCGGAACGAGAAAAGTTGGAACAATCCGTCGAGGAGGAGCGGAGGCGGAACGATTCATACCGATACGGAGGACCTGGAGGAAATGGGCAATACGGTGGACCGCAAGGTGGAAGATACGGTCAACAATCGTATCAAGCTGGAAACCGAGGTGCTCATCCCAATCAGCGGGCTTATGATCGAGGACTAGGTGCGCCTAGTGGACCTAGAAGCAATGGCGGTCCGCCACCTTCGGGACCTCGAGGTGGAGGTTATGTGCCATCACCATTGAGCGGTGCTGGTGGAGGGTCGAGTTCAAGGAATGGAGACAACTACCAGTCGACACCGATCCCCACCGGGCCTCGGAATGGCACCAACTCTATGCCAGGCCCGCCTAACCAGGACAACCCTACCGTTACCGCCTCGCCTTCTCGAACGTTTGACAACCCGACCGATGGAATGCCTTCGATCGGGTCGTCAGCTGCACCTCCCACTGATGCCGAGCTAGCCATCATCCGTCAACGATATCTCGGAGCGGCTCCTCCAGGTGAAGCTGGACCGGCCGCCAAGAAACCTCGCGCGAGAAAGCTGCAGGACAAGAAGTTTGTCTTCGATTGGGATGCGAGCGAAGACACCTCCTCGGCAGAAGTCGGTACATGGCGAGACGAAATGGCTAATGGGAATCGAGCCGTGGGCGTCGGGGTCGGGACCATGTTCGGAGGTCGACTAGCGGGCTATGACGAAGGTGGCCGAAGCAAGGCGACGAGTCGAGCTCTGGAAGATCACCACGCTGATGCTCTCGAGCGACGTCGGGCGGCCAAGCATGGGCACGATGATCGACACTGGACCGAGAAACCTCTTGTCGAGATGAAGGACCGAGATTGGCGAATTTTCCGGGAAGACTTTTCCATCTCGGCAAGGGGAGGAAATATTCCTCATCCCATGCGAAACTGGCGAGAGTCGGGTATCCCGGAAGCGATTCTGAACATCATCGACGAGATTGGGTACAAGGAGCCTAGTCCTATTCAGCGACAAGCCATCCCGATCGGTCTGAAGAATCGAGATCTCATCGGTATCGCCCAGACCGGTTCCGGTAAGACGGCCAGTTTCGTCATTCCCATGCTGGAATACATCTCGCATCTGGCCCCACTCACTGAAGAGAATATGCACCTCGGTCCTTATGCGCTCATCATGGCACCGACTCGTGAGTTGGCTCAACAGATCGAGAGCGAGACCAAGAGATTCGCCGGTCCCATGGGATACAAGACGGTTTCCATTGTCGGTGGAAAGGCTGTCGAAGAGCAACAGTTCAACCTGAGAGAAGGAGCCGAGATCGTCATTGCCACACCCGGTCGTCTCAAGGATATCATCGACCGTAACATCATGGTGCTAAGCCAGTGTCGATACGTCGTCATGGACGAAGCCGATCGAATGGTCGATCTCGGTTTCGAAGAGGAGTTGAACTATATCCTGGGTTCGATGCCTGCGGATTACGCTAAACCGGAAGACATGGACGTCGATGATTACGTCGACCCTAACCCGGAGCTCGACAAGAACGGCGGACCACAGACGGGGTGGAAGGGTCTCCGGGTGACGACGCTGTTCTCGGCTACAATGCCTCCGATCGTCGAAAGGCTCGCCCGGAAATACCTCAGAAAGCCAGCGACAGTCGTTATCGGAAACGCCGGAGAGGCCGTCGAGACGGTCGAGCAGAGGGTCGAGTTTATCCAGGGAGACGAGAAGCGAAAGCTCAAGCTGCAAGAGATCTTGAGGACCATCGGATTGCCACCCCCCATGATCGTATTTGTCAACCAAAAGAAGACTGCCGACATGGTCGTCAAATACGTCCAACAGGCTGGGGTATGTACAGTCGTCTCGACTTTTTCTGTACGTCTCGTACTCACCTTGCCTGTATGCCTTTTCTTGCAGCGTCGTGGTGTCACACTGCATTCCGGCAAGAACCAGGAACAGCGAGAGGCTGCATTGCAATCTTTGCGAGATGGTGACGTGGAGGTGCTGGTCGCTACCGATCTGGTGAGCAACGTATGAGGCTCTCTATCGTGTCTACGTAGCTGACAGAAACGTCGATATCCCCTCGTAGGCCGGACGTGGTATCGATGTACCCGACGTCACTTGCGTCATCAATTGGCAGATGGCATCGACCATCGAGAAGTATGTGCATCGTATCGGTCGAACTGGTCGTGCTGGTAAGACCGGTATCGCCATCACTTTCCTGGGCAACGAGGACGAAGAGACCATGTATGATCTCAAGCAAGGTGTGTAGCATGGCTCGAGAATCTTGAACTTCAGATGCTCATTGAGCCTTGCTATGCTCTTCGCAGAAATCTCGAAGAGTCCTATTTCGACGCTCTCACAGGAACTCGCTCATCATCCTGCGGCTAGGCAACGTATCACGAGAGAGATGAAGGTGCGTGACCAGAATCAAAACTTGCCTTCGTCCAGCTTTCTTACCAATCTGTTTTCCATCCCGTCCATGCAGCGGAAGAGAGACGACGAAGACTGATCGTTCCTGGCACTAAGGGAGACATTGTAGTTCGAGGCCTTTCTGATATCATTATTTGAGTGGCTGAATTTGAAAGTACAACGGTGCTAGGCTTGAAAGATACAAATTGGGACGCTCGCTAGCTTTCTTTATATATTCTCAATGGCAAAAGGCTATACTTTGTAGTGCAAAACTACACTTCGATTCCAACTAACACCCAGCTCCTCTCGTCAAACCCTCCGAAATCCCCTTTGACGCGACGGAGGACACCGCCCCCGATATATGCGAGGGCATGGAGAAGATCTCGCAGCTCCTCGTCATGCCACTCGTTCCGCTTCAGGACTAGGACGAGCTCGCTCGCTTCAAGAGACTCTGAGACAAGGTCAAGCAGCGAGGTCAAGTGATCCCTGATGTCCACGTTGTGATGTGTGCCTTGGTCTCCCAGTTGAGCATGCTCAGCGTGTGAAGCGGGATGTAGAGGTGGAAGATGTAGATAGACTGTTCGACCAGCCTCGAACTTGGGTCTATTGCCACGAGTAGGAACCGGGGTCGGAGGGAGGTCGATCATGGCTCCCGCGATGAGCGGGGCATGGGGGATCACGATCTCGAGGAGGTGGGCTAGCGAAAGAGCTCGAGTGGCTTGGTACGGGAAAAGCGCCGAGATGAAATCGACGAGCTGTTGCGGATGGCTTCCGCTGTTGGTTGTGTGGGAGGTAGTGTTGGGTGCAGAGACAGCGAGATGGGTGCTCGCCATCATGGCCGCGAGTGATGGATGGGCGTGATCAGGTTTGTTACTATGGGCTGATCCGTAAGACGTAAACGATCCGGGGGACGCAGCGAGATTGTTCGGACGGCTTGTGGGACTGGTGGCCACGTTGATCCTCGCTGCGCCATACGACCCGTTCGAGGACTGAGACGCTTCATGTTGAGTGGAAGCAAAGGATGAGGTAGATGCATAGGATGATCCAGAGAGGCTGATGGGAGGTGTGGAGAGGGCAGGCGAGAGGGAGGAATGGAGATGATGGGGGAAGGGGGGATACTGCGCCAGCGCGTTTGTCACCCACGCTGACGACCTCCCGACAATGTCCTGGAGACGCCGATGAACGGGACAAGCGTGGAGGGATCAGCGAATGATGGCGCAAGACAGAGGTGAAGCTAGACCAGATCGTATCGACGTACAGGAGGCATTTTATCCTTGCCGACCTCAAAACCACTGCCGATGTGAGGCCGTCAGGAAAGCAGCCGATGTGTGGTCTTGTGCTCCCGAGTAAGCGTCCTTGTAGACCCAAACGTGTCCTCCATGTCCTCCGAGTCTAGCCAACGCCAAGACGTCCTGGTCTTCGCCGTTGGAGCGTTCTTTCTGATCTTGCTCAGCGACGGCGATCCGAGCCAGATCGAAGAGAGAAACCGAGTTGTCGTTGAGCCCTGCGGCCTGCCTAGATCCTGCCGAAGCAGAAGAAGAGCCGGTCGCAGGGTAAAGATTATTGCGCGAGGCGGTGGAATTGATGGATTGATGGCTCATTGTCGATCAACGTGGGAGTCGTAGCGGTTTGGGTGGGTTCGAGTAGGAGGTTGAGGAATGTGTGGAACGGTTTCGGAGTGTTGGTTGATGTCGTTCGTGTCGAGGTGTTGGTTGAATTGGTTGAGAGAGTTGTTCAACCATTGTGACCCTCGCTTTCGGGTCGATTCGCCATCACCTGATCAAGAGATAAGGAGACGAGATCCACCTCCCTCGGGTGGAACTTGCTAGGCGCATCACGCAATCACGACGCGCTTCTACATGGCAGGAAACAGCCAGTACCGCCCCAACCGTTTCACATCATCCTAGTCAATGCTTCCCATGGTAAGGCAATCTCGTCGCCGGTACAGTGAAGGACGATCACGACCTCCTGCATGATGATACAATTCTATATGGATATATGCCCTGATACGGAAAAAGACAAATGCGGTAAAAGGCTAGCGTAAATGTATTGAACCCCCTGAATGAAAACCCCTAATTCCCCATCTATATGATCTATTGCTCCCTCTCTACCCGAGCGGCCCGCTTCTGTCCCCTAGGAGCGACGACCGGTTCCTCCTCGATCCCATCACCGATGAATTCGGTCCCAAAGCTCCATGCATCTCGGTCTTCGGCCATCAGCCGGGTGTACTCCAACAAGAGTCGGTAGGTCTGCAAGGATGCCACGATCAGCATGAGCCTCGCCGATTTGAAAAGGATTCGAGCGGCAGTGGTAAACTCACGTATGCCTGCATGTCTTCCCACCTCCAATGTTCCATCGCAAACTTTCGTCCCTGCTCGGCGATCTGTTGGGCCAAGTCATCGCGACCCTTGACCCGGCCTTCTGGTGAACCGATGAAAAAGGCCGCAATGTCGTACAGGTCCGAATAGTCGACTTGCATAGGCTATAGACGGAGGGCAAGATCAGCTTGGCCGAAGCGACGTCTCTTTGGCTCGGATTGCGGGACTCACGATAAAGTGCACCCAGGGAGTCATCCAATCCTATACAGGCCCGCGCACCATGGTCAGCGTCTTTCCCCAGGTCGGACAGATAGCGAACCAATATTCTGTGACAACTTACGTGATGCCATTCCGGGAAGATGGTATGCTTGATGACGACACTCCCCGAGGTCATCAATCGATGCAGACGGGAACTCCAGCCGTTACCGTCAACTGCAAAGGCGACAGTCCCTTTAGTTCACAGAAAAGACTTGCGTGCAAACAGAGGTGACATGGTACTGACCATCGAGGACATATTTGTACTGGGCGGCTTGCTCCGGTGCAACCCGGTCGGCAAATTTGATCTCGGCTGCCATCTCGTCACAAGTCCCGTCCGCTTGGTTGCACTGCAGGTCAAATCGTCACCTCGCTGTCAGTCTTGCTCCTTCTCTTGGCGAGACGCCTGAACTCACCTGGTGAGGCTTTCCCGTAAGACCGACATCGAGATAATGCTCGTTCAACTTTTTCACGGCCCAGTTTTCCGGGATCCACTCTCGACCTCGGTGCAACCAGACGTCCTTGGTTCCCTCTTCCTGCTGGGCCATCAGATGCAACCTGGGTCGATGTTGTCGCCTCCAATCATAATCCGGGTCGCTCTTTCGCTTGGAATAACTGTCACCCGTCGATGTCCCCCTCCAAAAGATCTTGTTGACCGTCTTTTCCGACCAAGGCTTGTACTTTTTCAAAGCCGTGGCGTCGGTAGCGTTCTCGTAGGCTTCCATAGGCGGGAAGAGGAACTCGTTGTTTCGCATGTGTTTCGAGAGGACAAAGATGGGACGCATGACGGTGTCTCGAGGGAAATCGAAAGACATGGTTCCGTGGAGCTTTTGAGTAGCTGGGTTTTGGCACCAGTCGAACCCGGGTCGCACGTCCTTGACAAAGGCCGGCGCTAAGCGCGAAATTCGATTTAGCAGTTGTCAGCTCAGAACCGAAGGATCCCTCGACTTTTGAGTTACGCACTGGCAGGCTCAGGAAGAGGTGGGAGACCGTCGAGTTCTCGAAGTCGATTCTCCATGGCTCGATCCTTTCCTCGAGCTGGTGAGTCCTCGTCACATGCCGACTGAACGTGGAGGGTATTCCGGAACACATTCAGGGGTCATTCAGACATCCCGGCTTTCTACATCACGCTTGTACTCACGAACCAACCACGATGCTCGTTTCTGTTCTTGCTCTCCAGCCTCTTCAACTCGGCACCAGCCAGATACTTGACATTGTTCAACCCGGTTCCATCCTTTTTCATGACCGACTGAATCCTCATCAACGCCAACCCCCTCTGATCAGATCCGAGGATCCAAGACCCGAGATCGTGATCAGAGACGTGGATGGGGATGTTCCGAGGCAAGTCGGGTCCGAGCGGGGAGACCAGGTTGAGGAACTGTTTGGCACGGGTCGCTCCGGATCGTTCGCCAGAGATCGCTGGTTCGGTTTCGGGTCCGATGCTGACGTGGCTGATAAGAAGATGACATTGGGTAGCTAGCGTCAGCGTCGATCTCCGGGTTTTCACACGCTACCTGACGGGCTGCTTACTAGGTGAAGGGAGCTACGGCGAGATCATTGACACGGTCATTGAACATGGTGGGCGAGAGTGCAAGGAAAGGCTCGACATCGTGGTTGATTTGGTCGTACTTTCGGTACGAGCGAAAAGGAAGTCGAATCAGCCGGAAAGCTCATCAGACAACCACGACGGGGCCACTCCTATTTCTCCACTCACATCGTCGATGATCTTGACATTGTTGTCCACACAGTACTTGTACCATTTGTCGAACCCCTTTGGTGGCAACCTGCCATACCTCCGCTTGTACTCCTTTACGGCCTGCTCGAGACTCTTGCTCTGTCGCTTCAAGAGGTCCTCCCACCTCTGCTTGTTGTCCCTCATGAGTTCCTCGATCGGGTGCGTCAGACGTTTCCCCACGTTCTTCTTGCTCCTCCCCTCTAGTGTCCACCCACGGACAAGGCCGTCACCCGAGGTATAGTTGACGTACCCGTCCTGAGAGTGGTGTTCGCCAATCTCGTCCATCCCCGGTCCGATCGGCTTGGCTAGAGCAGAAGCCGCCTTCTTCCCGTCCGAGTGAGCCGCATGGTCTTGATGATCTCCAGCCCTCGCAGCACCGGGATACTTGTGCCATTCATACAGGTGCGGGTCGTAGTAGTCTTCCTCGGTATACAACCCCAGGGCGTCAAAGATGTCGAAATTCGTCGGGTCCGAGAGGTATCGATAAAACGCCCAACCGGAGAAGAGGAAGAGGAGGATGATAGGGATACGAGAGAGTCGGAACTTGAGGAACCTGGGCAAGGCTGCCTGTAGCCTGGCGAGTTTGGGGTTGAGGAGTGGCATAGTGGGTCGTCGCCGTGTCCTCGATGAGATCGTCGTAGCCAAGATTTTCGACGGCTGTTCAAGCTCTTCCCGCAGAGATTAGGAGTGCCGACGAGCTCTTTTGTTCTTGTTCCGATCTGGTCTGCCTGGCTATTTCGTGTGATTGTGGTGGTACGAGTAGTGTAGTTGCAATTGCAAGATGGCTAGTGACCTAGTGAGCTAGTCGAGCTAGTCGCTACTAGTTGCATGAGGTTGTGAGCTAGGAAGGGATCTCTCTTTGTGACGTCGAGCTGCCTTTGCCACGCGAGGAGACGACAATCGATATTTTCGGTCAGCACAGAGCTCACAGCGCACAGGGGCATGCAGCTTCGGCTTCGACTTCAGCTTCAGCCACCTCGACCACGCAACACGACCACCCACCCCCAGCCCCTGTGTGTGTGCCTTTCTGAGCGAAATTATTAGGTTTGCCATGTCTCGAACCCTCCGACCTCTCCACGTCGTGGTTGTGCCCTCGCGTAAGCACGCGGCTCGCGACTCGGCTGCTTCCGGAACCTGAGCACGATTCACGACCCACGAGTCGCTTCGGAGATCTGGAACAGGTACCGCAACGCGCATCTCCTGCCTCGTTGATCCTTTTCGTCGTATCCACGGTTCCAGACGGGCCCAGACGAAGACGGGCTCAGATCTGGCAAGCGTCGATCCGGTTTCGTGTTCACGAAAGAAACTTCCGGAGGGATCTAGCGCATGTGTGCCTCCGAAACGGATTCGGCAAGGACCAGCGTCTATCTTCTATCCGCTTCATCTTTGCGATGTTTTAACGAGACGCCCTCTTCTTGACCTGCCTTCATATTGACGGCTCCGAGAGACTGCTCTCGGTTGGGCATCGGGATAGCGCGATAGCTGTTTCAATATGGCAAAGGGGTCATCTCGAGCGCACTGCGCCTCTACTGACAACCTGGTCTTTTATTACGCCCGCTTAAACAAGGTGGGATCCGGATTCTACAGGACAAGGTCCAGACACGAGCTGGAGTAGCAGAAACTCTCTTTCTGTTCGCGTTTCATCAAAAAGCGGAAAATAAGACGTCCCCTATCCCAGAGCTTTCCGTCTCAGCGCAGCCAGGAGTCGATGGCGAGTGGGCTCGCCTCCTTCTTTCTCAAAAATCTTCAGGTGGCTCGCTATACTACACGAGTTTGGACTTCTTGGACATTGGTATCGTCGAAGCATAAATCTGGTTCGGTCACTTCGCTTCATCGTAATATGGCTAGCGAAGACCGCATACACGACACGATCAGTTGAGCCTTCCGCTCAGTCCTCCTCTGAGTATCTACCATGAATGATGTAAATATCTCAGGAGAAATACGCCGTCTGTTTTGGAGGGAGCATTCCCGAGACATAAGTATGCGATGGAACTCATAAATCGATGGGAAGCTGTTGGATACCTGTTCAACGAGAGCACATGACCCGTGTTCCTGAATAACAGATTTGCTATGCCACCCTTCTCTGCACAAATTTTAAACATCGTACCTCTACAGCTGATACACTTCGGAGGTAAAGTGGCTGCAGAGTTCCTGGTCGGTAGAAGTCAATATTGCTTCTCCCGCCGTGGCTTACTGGTGTATATAGTCATCATCCACTGCGAGGTCTCTAGAGATGGCTATGCAATATCGTCTCCCTTTCATCGGGTGAGGTTTTCTCCGAGTGTACAGTATGTAATGTTCACGCCCACCTGGCTCGATACTGCTGATCATGTACCCGCGCCCGTCGCGACGCGACGCTCAGTTTCATACGATAAAAAACATCATCAAAAGGACTCATGTCGACAAAAGTATCGCGCCGGCGACCCGCGGCGGGCTTGCGAGACATTCCGATCACCCATTACTGATCACCAGTTCGAAGGGCGAAGCAAGAACGACGAAATCCATGGTTGGTGGAATCATGTCAGGGGCTTGACTCCTCCCCGCAGCACAATCAGGCTTTGGATAGCAGGCATAGCCTTGGAAGCCTTTGGCCCTGGGGATTTATCAGTAAGTCAGCTTAGCAGGACCTGTGAAAACTGATGATTAGTACGACATATAGAAAACTGATCTATATCGCGCTTCGTGTTTTCAGGACTACGTGGTTGATGTATAGCATAAGGAAGAACTGAACTGTATAGACTCGTACAAGATGAATCGACAAGGCTTGATGGAGCAAAGAAGGTCGAACGCAACGAGACACGATCCCAACCAAGATATATAACCGTACATACGGCAGCTCACGCGGCCGGGATCTCAAGTCCTGGTCGTCGATCGCTCTCGAACACGCCCGCGAGATGTTTGACAGCGACCGCGTGTGCGTACCTCACGGCCTCGTATCTCGTATCTATGTGCAAAGTGTTCAGAACCCATATCAGCTCGCCCGTCTCGTACACAATGCACTACCACTAGCTGCGCCTCACTCTTCCAGTCCTTGACGATCGTCTTGATTTCGCCGACTGGAGCCACGCCCATCAACGCGTTCAACCTCGTCTGCCTTTCTTTCGTATCATCAGAATCGTTCTCGGCCCCATCATCGCCGTCCTTTTGACCGGCTTTTACCAAGGGCGATTCGTCCAGAGTCGAGTAGACTCGTCCCGCAATATCTGTGTGAGGCGTAAAGCCGACCGTCAGCACAGCTATTGCGCTACTCGACTGCCTTGACGGATGGCAACTTACCAAAGATATCGCACATCACCTCACTGTGAGGCTCGTTGACTTGCCTGTACACCAGTCCCTTGGGCGCCGCGGGAAGATGATTGAAATGCTCGGTATCGTCTGCGGTTGCAGCGTCCGCTTGGCCGTTTGCAGCCCCGGCAGCCGAGCTTTCAGCTTGCGGTTGCGGGTCGTTCTGAGCGATCCACTCGGGTTCAGCCAGTTCGAACAGGTCCCCATGGACCATACAATGGAAAGTGCTCGACGTCTCTCGCTTCATCTGTTGCACCGAGATCTGACTACCCAACCGCGAGTGAGCAGAGAGGTACGAGCTGTGAGAACAGGTCAGGCCGCCTGCTGGCCCCAGGCGCACTCACGTGATTCTCAGGAAAGCGGCATGCTGGTCCGCTCCAGGTGCGAACGCCTTGAGCCTAGCATCCTGCACCAGACTCGATCTCGACCTGACCAGCCTGATCAAGTCGCCCAGCCAGATTCGTTCGGCTCCCCACCACAAGCCCTGATCATCATCAAGTCATTGTGCGTCAGCGAGGTCATTGTGTACCCGCGTGGTTCGTGCAGAGAACAACAAAGACGTACCTGAAAGTACGACTTGTCAGCCAGGAAGTCATGTTTGAAGGGGATATTATCCATATGCGAATACGGATCCGTCTGTGACCACAGCATCGACATCTCGTTCGCAAGAACCAGCGCTTCGGTGTAGATTGTGACCATCCTCTCCCAGTTATCCGGCTTGATCGCTTCTGCAATGGGCCAAGCTCGCTGGATCGTCTCGCGCCTCCAACTCTTCACCCGCTTTTCCTCGGCAGACTCGCCGTTGTTCAGCGTAATCGAAGCCTCCGCCACGCTCAGAGCGTATTTTTTGGCAACGGCGCCGAGTTCCGGTCTCGTCGGGGAGTACATGTGCCATGGTAGGATCTCCGTCTCGTTCAACGTCGCCGTCGTCTTGTGCGGCCCCTCACCCGAAACCTGATCGAGACGACCGCAGTAACGCAAGCTATACTGAGTCGATTGCATGATCGCCCCTGGTTCGCCCGCGTCAGCATGGACCTTGAGTACCGGCTCCGTGACGATTGCAGGCCAATAGTCAATCTCTTGGATTCCTACGGCGATGGTAGACCCTGGTCCCGGACGGATGGTAGGGATCTTGGCCCATACAAGTTCTCCCTTTCCTATAACAGTTACCTCGCGTTCAACATCCAGACCACGGCGTATCACATCGCCGGTCTCAAAAGGTACTCACGGAACCACCTGTCACTCTTCACCTCGTCCTGCCTGACATGGATCGCAGCTTCCTGCTTCTTCTTGTATGTTATCAATTCCTCTTCGTCCGAAGTCTTGACCTTTTTCTGAGGACCCTTTGCGGCTTGCGGAGCGGCCTTTCGTTTGGCTTCGGCACCAGGACCGGCGGTGATGGTATAGTTGCCAGAGTATTTGCAGGTGCACTAGTGTTCAGAGCGGGATGAGGAGGATCGGACACCATCAGGTCTATACTTGAAAAGGAGAAGGAGGCGTTGACCGACCTTGCCGTGATCTTTAATATCTCCTTTCTGCAACCATTCTGCAAGGCGAGTCGGTCGAACAGCACCGAAGTATCGTCATTATCGTCATTACGACTGTCACAAGAAGCAAATATGGCCGTAGCTTTTCAAGCTCACCAGCGTGACCAAAAAACTCGGCGGGGCTTCGGAACTTGAGAACGTTTTTCGATCCCTGATACGAAAACGTAACAGTCAGCGCCCCGCCTATTGCAATCATGTTATCGAGGCAGGAAGGAAACACTGACAAACATGTAAATATCCGTTCGGTCTTCACCACTCTTCTGTAGCTTGTGATGGAGGAAGAGAGCATATCCTGACGGAAGGTCACTGAGCTCGTAATTCACAGCTGATGTGAGAATCAGGAGAGAGTCGCGGGAATAGGAACGATATAGAACGGTCGTCAGCGTACTGAGAAAATGTCGTAGTAGATTTGATCTGAGGGCAGACTCACGATTCGAAAGACCTCCGACCGTGGCCAGGTGTTGTCCGATTTTTTGGCAGAACAAGATGTATTTCGCATGTCCCCTTTGAAGGACGAGGCAGCGACATGGCCAGGATCAGTGAACTATACGACGAGATGACTGAGAAAGTGCTTCCGGCCATGTCTCACGGTTTGACCTTTTCGTGATAGTTTTCGTTCGAGCTGATAGGAACAGCATGGTCCAGCCAACCTGCAGGCCAGTTCCCCTTGTCGCCGTCAGAGGTCTCGATGGTAATTTTCGGCATGGTGATCGAGGTGGAGTTTGTCCAGAACGATCTGGTCACGCTCTGAACTAGGTAGAGATGGGAAGGAGGGTGTCGAGTGATCAAGATTACACGGAAAGGAAGAAGCAAGTTGCAAATCGAGGTTAGTTAGAGTACTAGAGTAGTCAGGACTTCGCCGAGAGCGAGGGTCGAACCCCGAGATCGCGAGCGAGCGAAAGACGCGACGAAGACGCGACCGGGGCCACTGCTGCTGCTGCTCAACGTTCCCAGACCTCGACTTTATAGAACTCCTCTAGCTTGTATACTCTTCCTCCTGCACCTGCTGCCGCAGCGATCAACCTCGGACCTACGTATACAGTAGTCATTCGAGTCTTCACATTAACGCGCAATCATCGACATGGCTGCGCCCGTAGCCTCTGGAAGTCAAGCACCCAATAGGGAGGACGAGCATAAGCAGATCCTCAACCCAGATATACTCGTACGTCATCAGCTAGGACTATCTCACTTTGACCCGCCCGTTTACATATCGGACTGTTATTGAGATTGACAATCGATATGCTCCGTTCATCTTGTGCAGAAAGACTTTCTCCCGTCGCGAGTCTTTCCAGATGTCGCCTCGGAGAAAGACAGCGGAATGGTTGCAGGCGGGAAGAAGCAGATCATATCGCTCTGTTTCGAGGATACAGGACGAACGTGCGTGACCGCCGGAGAAGACGAGATGATCACCTACTGGGATGTACTGGGCGGGAAGTGAGTCGTCGTACGTGCGCTGCGTCTCATTTGATGATGAGCGCTTACTCGGAAATCCATCGACAATCCATGAATATCAGGAAGGTGAAAGGTTATCCCTCTGCCAAGTACGGCGTGGATCACTTGACACCGACACACCAAAAGGGACACTTGTTACATAGCTCTACGAAAGGGGATGAAGACGATGTGAGGTTATTCGTGGCGGATCGAGGGTCGTACTTGAAATATTATAAAGGTCATACAAAAAGGTCAGTCTCGGTCCTGACAAAACTAGAACATAGATCGTCACGGAGGCTCAAACTGACGCCTGGTCTATTTTCCGCTCAGAGTGGGATCGATTAGCATGAATCCCGCGCAGAACACATTCTTGACCGGATCGCATGACGGAACTGTGATACTCTGGGATCAAAGAGCGGATAAAGCGCAAGTAAGACAAATGCCAGAATCGATCATCTAGGCATGCATGCTGATCGTGAGCGATGTGCGACCTCGACAGGGAATGTTGAACCAGATGGAAGGACCGTGTCTCGTAGACTGGGACCCTACCGGAATAGTATTCGCAGTAGCGATGCCTGACATCCATTATGTCTGTCTCTACAGCAACAATCAGCTAGATAAGGTAAGTTTGTCCCAGGCCGTTTGCAGATGCTATCAATCCAACTCATGCCGCACTTCTTGTCTCCACAGGCACCGTTCAAGTATGAAACGATCAATGACCCAGAGCTCGACAAGATCTCTGTGCCACGTCGGAATCCGTATATCACCTCGATCAAGTTTTCGAACAACGGGAAATACCTGCTCGTCGGGACTTCGGGCGTCTTCCACTACGTGATGGATTCGTACGACCTCTCGGTATTGGCCAGGTTGGAAGGACACGAAGGGCTCGAAAAGGATAAGCGCGGAAACATGAGCATAAAGTCAGGAAAGGGTTTGAGCGGGGCAGAGGTCTGCTGGACGCCAGATTCCTGCTTTGTCATGTCGGGTAAGCGTCATCTCGCGCCTGGTCCCGTGTATTCTTTCCGTTGCCGACGCTCATCCAACCGATTGCCACGTATCACGCTCTTTCAGGATCATGGGACGGCCGAATCTGCATGTGGGATCTATCACCACCGCCTGGAGAAACGAGAATACCCAAGCCCGTACCTCTGATGCCGCACATGCTCCCAGCTATCCCGACGATCACGCCCATCTCGTCGCTAAACGAGGAAAAGTCGGGTGGACCGTGCAGAGCTTTAGCGTTCAATCCAAAGTACATGGTCTTTGCTTCTGCGGGCGAGGCGATGGTTAGTTACAAACGGCGCGGATTGTTGAACTGGCATGGAAGAGCTAAGACGACGTTTACTGGTTGTCACAGGCATTTTGGTTACCGGCGAAGAAGGGAGCTGGGGAGGACGATGGCGATCAGATGGATATCAAGATGGAAGCTTAGATTAGACAAATGACACTATGGAAACGGCCCGGTGATCGCCGTGACATGGTTATATGCTGACATGTAACAATACACCGTACTTAACTACAGGTAGTCTATACACAGATAGACGGGACCATGCATAGAGTAGATATATATACCATCAGGCTTATTTACGCGTCGCCTCCTTCTCCTTTGACGAATCTAGTGGGATATCGGTGGAATCCGGCGTCCTGGCGACGACGACTACGACAATATCCACACTGCCATATGCCATACGAGACTCTTCATCTCGCTATATCTCGTTGAACCAAGTCGTCATTATCTCGAGTCGTTCACGGCCTTGCTTCAGCTCGAGCGACATCAACCAACCAACCGCTGAAAGCTTCAGACCGCTCGAACGGGTCTACCTCCCGAGACTTTGATGCCCACGACGTCCGACTCTTCTTCGTCCCCCCACAGCAACCCTCGAGGTTGTGTGAATTCTAGATCGTCTGCTACACCCGAGGAAATAGCTCAACCTCCGCTCTACACCTTCCCCACCGGACGATCTCGTACTAGCAGTCGAGCATCTTCTAGAAGGCGCGATCAACCCCCTCCTTACGCATCAACGATGGCCGAAGGCGACAACCTATTAGGACTCGTAGGAACCGGGGCTCCAAGACATGGGAGATCTACCCGTAGACCTCGAGCGCACACCGCTTCCGCTGCGGACAAGAGGACGAGGACATCGTCAGATGCTTCATCGAGAAACGGCGATCGTGAAGCTGCATGGGCTGCACCGCCTTCATTGAACAGGATGAGCACGGAATTCGCTCAATCGAGGAACAACCTCTTGTCGGCCGATGAGAGGACTCCACTGATCGGTGGTGATCGTATCGAGAACGGCCGCTCGCCCGGTAATCGATCTCACCGATCCATCTCGGTGACCGCGACTTCCTACGATCCGGAAGCCCTCGTCACGCCTCGACGTCCGAGACCGTCTTCCTGGAAAAACATGCTCCGAGCACCGTCCCAGATGAATACGCCGACGCTGCGAGTCATCGATACGCCGAATGGGGAAGCGATCGTGGTAACCAGGCCAAAGAAGAAGAAGCATCCGGTCGTGCGATACCTATCGCCGTTATGGAGCGCTACACACTGGATGGCGTTGTTTCACTTGATCTTTATCAACCTGCCTCTGGTGAGTCTCAGCAATATCGCGGTGATTCTTCGTTGGGTAGCTGAGTAGCGCCTCGACTACAGATGCTGGTTCTCTGGCCCATCTTGATCGCCGGAACGCTAGTGGGAACGGTCCTCCTCATCACCTTACCTCTCGGAGCCATGGTCTGGTTCCTCGTCCTGATTCTGGCTCGATCAGCTTGTCGAGCAGAGGTAGGTCTCGTCATGACCTCCGATGACTGCTTTCGAGTCGATGCTGAACATTCTCGATTGCTTGAAAAATAGATCGCTATGCAGCTCTACTTCCATTCGCCCCTGCGCAGCAACATCCCCAAGCCCGTCTACTTTACCATCTTTAAGCGGGTCAAGGTCGTCGCCCAGGGACCTAATGGTGTGCCTCGACCGGTAGTCGAAGTCCACGACGGGAGCCACGGCGAGGTAGCCCATCCTGTCTGGGAGAGGAACTTCCTCAAGAACGGTTGGGCCATGTTTTCGGGTGAGCCATGTAATCGCCGTGGTTCGCATCCATCGCGTTATCGCTGATACACCTTGTCCAACAGATCCACTCAGCTATCAGTGCTTGTACCATTTGCTTGTCACCAAAGCCTTCGTCACGGTGCTCTCCTCGCTCATCATCATTGTACTTTTCCCCATCTCGGTCGGGACGATCGTCCTCTTGCCAGCCATGCTGGAGATGATCAGGAGGTTTGGGAGATGGCAAGCCGGGTTGTCCGTAGAGTCTTTACAATGAGCCGCTGCGCATGAGTATATGCGATGGTGAAAGGTTCGTCTTCTTCGATGTACTGTGATGATCAATTTGTATTGTCTACCGGTTTGTCCTCGAGTGATCAAACCAAATGATGTCGCCATGGAAGACATTCGCACACCAGTATTCCTGCAAAGATGGTGAAGTTGGCCCGCTTAGTGGGGAAAAAATGATATATTTGTGCATCAAGATTAGCAGATGGGAGCCGGAAATTGGTTTAGTGGCAGATTCATTGAGTTTACCAGACTAACAACGTACGAAGCATTTTTTTCCTTCTGCGGAAAGGGGTTCAATTCCCGGTCGGGGCCTCGATTTTTACCTTATTCGGCACGGCACATCTTTCTCTACCCCGATCAATCATGAATCAGAGCCATATGGCAAGCGAGCTTGCGGCTGTCACTCGAGCGTGCTCGAGGTAGTTACAGCCAAACTGAGGATCCGATCTCAATTCACGTCCACTTCGATCTACCACGCCCCACTCGGCGACTCAATTGCAGCGTCCAGTCTTTCGGAGGCAGCTGTCAATATGGCCTTGAGGGCGCGGAGATATTGAAGTAAGTCCTTTCGGAAGGCGCCGGCGCCTAGTCAAGTCACCAACACAGGGTAGCGTCTTTGCGATACGGGTACAGCATGTTTTCAACAAGACGCTCGATGACGACGACCTGGGCGACGATCTCGATGACGACCTGGATCTAGGGTCCGACGATGACTCCGATGACATTGCGGCAGGCAACCAGGCAAGCGACCCCCCAGTCGTCGATTGAAAAGGAAAGTCTCGTGTTCCTGCGGCCTCCTCATCCTCTATGGAGAGGATCAGCCAGCCTTCTGCCACAAGCGTATCTGCCGCTGCGAGCATGTCTGCGATCGCAAGCACCTCTGCCGCAGCCAGCACTTCTGCTATCGGGCCACTTGGACGGCCTGATCCATCCCCCGGTTTGAATGCACGTGCAAGAGCGAAAGCGGAGAGGACGTCCGTGATTCAGCTCGGTGGCAAGACCACCCAGGATTACAGCGAGTAGCGATGCTGTCAAGTATCCGAGTATAAAGGATAGTCAGACCAATATCATTCGCTCAAATATCGACTCGCGTGATTTATCTGATCCTCGATCTGGTTTTACCGTATACAACATCATTTTCGTACCAGAGACTGATCGCGTTGAACCCCATTCTATGCTATACTGTATGTTTGTGCTGGTCAGTCGGTTAGATCCACTTCATGTAGAAAGCGACTCGAGGATGACCCGAGCGCCATCGACAATGATCTCGTGTTCCACCTGTTCAGACACGCAACCCAGAGCATCAGCTACCGGTAACGCAGACTGGCTGATGAAGGAGAACAGAGGCTTTATGCTACTTACTCCATGCATCCTCGCCTCTAGGTCGTCTAGCGAATCGCCCTCCCTGATTTCTACTTCCCGGATGACGAGCGGCTTCCCAGCGTCCACCTCGGCGACGACCTTGTGCACCATCACCCCCGTCCTCGTAATCTTTCCGTCTTGGAAAGCTTGGTAGGCTCGGCCGATTGCGTTAGCCCCATCGAATTCGCCTGGGAGAGCCGGGTGGAGGTTGATGATAGGGATAGGGAAGCGAGTGGCGGCCGAGGGCAGCGGCGAAGGGTTTGTGACGCTGGTCTGAAGCTGGGCTGGGGCTGAAGGTGCCGGGTCGGTACCCTCGAGGATGGCGAGAAAGGCTGGACTGAGAATGTGCATCCATCCGGCGAGTACCACCAGGTCGGGCTTCGTCTCCACTACCCGTCTAGCCACTTCCTTGTCATAGTCTTCCCTTGACGATCCAGGGACCTTGTTGAGGAACGTCTTTAGTGCACAGACTTGTGTTGGGATAGGAGGTTCGTGCGTGGAAGCCCTCTCAAGTCCCTTTACAGCGGATCGCGAAGAGATGACATGGGTGATCTGAGCGTTGGGAAGACGGGATGATCCGGCGGCATCCATCAAGGCTTGTAGGTTTGTACCTGTGATGTGTTTTACTGTTTAGCGTGGAATTCGTTTTCTGCAACCCAAAGGCATGCTTACCTGAGCCCGAGATGAGTACGGTGATGCGTTTTGGGGAGGACATTTTCGAGGGGAGAAGCAAGTCGAGGTAATAGCTGTATATAATACGAGTGATGGCCTCGAAGTGAAAGGTGAAGAGCGACTTCGAGACGATAATGTCACAAGTTGCAAGTTGCGAATGAAATATCGAGCTTTGATCAACCTTTTGATGCTCGGTTTCGCCCGACTTCGGGGAAGCAAAGCGGTCACGTGATTGGTATCGACCACCGGATGCTTTCGACAAGTATTACGTCAGCTCTATCTACTTCCGATCGGCGACTTTGTTCAAGTGATTCGAAACTGATTTCTAGCTTCGATAACACTTGATTATGCTGTTCAACAAAACATTGTTCAGCCACAACACTCTCCCAAGTAACACGCTAAATCAACGGCAGAGTCTTGGAAATGTCGAGTTGCAGTTTCCTGGCACACCGGATACCTGGACCCAAAGGATACGTCCGGTCGGTCTTCTCTCACGCTCGAGGTCCAGCCGAGGTACATTACTATCCTCCTCGAAGCGGCAAGTTGCCTAAAGACGTCCTTATCTTCGTGCCAGGTAAGAGAATCTGGAGAGCTGATCGGAAGGTGAGATGATGTATGCTGATGGCCTTTGATGCTACCGCCTATTTCAGGTAATCCAGGACTGGTCGACTACTACATTCCCTTCCTCCTCAAATTGCAATCTCACATAGCCCCACATTTCGCCCTCCTAGCTCATTCCCACATCGGACACTCGCCGTCGCTTGTTCATCCGTCCATCCCGCTAAACCTGAATGAACAAATCGAAGCCAAGGTCGAGTTCGTCCGATGCTTACAGGCAGAGCTGAATGAAGCAAGGCGGGCAGAAGAGACCGAAGCCCGACCTGTGAGGCTTGGGTTCATCGGCCACTCGGTCGGATCAGAGATTATTGTGCAGACTATGCGGCACCTGGAGCGATCAAATCGAGATGTTAAGGAACTCTCCGGTTCCGCCGCCGTGTCCGATACCAGCTTCGACATCACTGCGAGCTTCCTCTTGTTCCCCACGGTCTCGCATATCGCCGAAACGCCTAATGCTCGAACCCTTCGACCCATCTTCAATCCTCCCCTGATTCAGCTCCTCCCCCTCCTCTGCATCATAATTCAACCTCTCATCTGGACGCTCCGGACCGTTCTCTCCATCTTGCCTTCGACTATGAGCTTTCCCGGGCTTGAATCGATCTACGTTCCCAACGCTACCACGTTATCGTTCCTCTCTTCCCCGCAGACCGTGAAGAGCGTGCTTCATCTAGCCAGATCGGAGATGAGTACGATCAAGGCGCCCGACTTGGACTGGTACAGACAGCAGAGGAAACGGATTTGGAGTTATTGGGGAGAGCCGGACGGGTGGGTGGGAATGCAGGGGGATGTGGTGAAGAGGGTTTTACGGGGAGGAAAGGGAGAAGGGGAGCGGGTCGAAGGAGAACACGAGGAACACGCAGAACAGTTGGGACAAGTTATCGATTGCGTGGACAACATTCCTCATGCATTCTGTCTCGGTAGGTTCTGCTAGGTGAACCGCGCGTCTGTGCTATGTCGGCTGACATCGACGGCCGGCATGGCTTGTGTAGCTCATAGTGACGCGATAGCGGACAAGGTAGCGGGCTGGATCTCCAACGCCTTTGCGGACCGTTCGTAAGATTTGCGACGTCGTTGGACTGTGTTCTCATCGCCTGGTGAAACTTAGATGCCTGTATCATGAAATGCTAGAGCATCGCTCAGTTGTATGCAAGAGCCGGGTGGCGGTCCGGTTGCTTTAGTCTATATGACAAGTACTGCCTCCAGGTACACTTTCAGCTTGGAAAGCATATGCAAATGTATCGTCATCGTATCTGACCCGAAGACCGCCGTCGACTTTTTAGAACGTTCTTTTCACGACCCGAGGCCCACTATGCCCCTCCGTACCCCGTCCCATTGCCATCGCCTGCGCTTCGCTTCCTGGCCTGCCGCGGGCTATACGGGGTATTCATGTATGATCCGTATTGAGGCGAATTGGGCGCAGTTGCAAACGGGTTCTGCTGGCTGACCGAACCCGAGGCTTTATGATACCCAGCCGCATTTGCCTGCAGCGGTGTATACATCATGGCCATGGCGTCTCCTCGCGGGTCGTACGAATCAAAGGCGGATGCGGCAGGAGGAGGAAAGGCTGGTAGGTAAGCGCTGTTCGAACCTGAACCTCCGGCACCTCCATAGGTCCGTGGAGAAGAGGCGCTCGTCGAGCTCGGCGGTTCCATCATTCCAAAATCGGTCGACAGGCCTGATCGATGTTGCGAGGGCCGGCCAGATGCTTCCAGGACTGGGGGTGGGGGTTGCATACGATAGGCTTGCATCGCTGCACTATTGCCATATTGACTCTGCCATGCCTGTCCCATCATTTCAGCCTGTTCCTGCAGGAAATCCAGTTGGGGGTTGCCGACAGCGATCGACGCTCGCTTGGCGTGTCCCAGCTGCGCCGTGTTGCGCCGTTCCCACTCCCTGATGGCGTCGTCTCGATTCAGGACCGGCGTCAAGGCCGACCTTGTACCAGCCGGATCGGCGGCGCCCAAGTGGGTCAGCCTGGCGAGTGCAGGCGGTATGACATCCATACGATTGATCGTGTTGGCTCGACTGCGAGTAGCTGCTTGTGGGTAGTACGAGCTGGGAGGAGGGTTAGACACGTTGATACTGAGATGTCCATCACCCTGTGTTTGTCGCTGTCCATAGTTTCCGGCAGACATGCTTGCCGTCATGCCGTGACCGTTCGAGGGAATACGGGGTTGCGCCTGGTGTGCTCGAATTTGGTTCTGGCTAAGACTTTGAGGTTGCGAAGGCATACGAGGCGCCGATTGAGATGAAGATTGGTAGGGTGAGGTTTGGCTTGGAGGGGCATTGAGAGCAGAGGTGATGGCATCGTAGGTGAAGTAGGGTTTCCGATTCGCGGCAGCAGCGTTCTTGGCCTCCTGTTGCTGTTGTTGTTGTTGCTGCTGCTGCTGCTGTTGCTGTTGCCGATCTCGCTGTTGCTGTTGAGTTGTGTATTGTTGCTGCTGCACGGCTTGTCTGAAGACGGCGCGAGACAAGTCAGCCCCCACTCTCGGGAATGACCATGCATTTCTACGTACTGATTGTATGCATTGGCATCGGCGTAACCTCGGGTAGCCCTCGAGCTGTCTGTGTCGCCCGTGTTAGCGTATTTGCTTTGTTGAGATCGACTCTCCGTAGAAGCCGATTGCCGGGCGCTATTAGCAGAGGTCGTTGTGCTCTTTTGGGTAGGCTGTCGATGTCGCGAGTCAGTTTTATCTCGTCGACCTCGACCCGGGAGCGAGCTCACCTCCCAGTGTCCAGTGAATCGCTCTCCCGTAATGAACGGGTGCAACTTGGCCTGCTGCGGCGACCATCGCTTGATAGGATCCATATTGAGCAGTCCTTGTACGAAGTCTATGAAGACGGTTCTTATGTACATCTCTGCAGGAGACGAACGTTCAAATGTCAATGCGGGCCCTTCAGCGAGAACCAACACCGATCGACTCACCCTTGTCAACTTCGCTCTGAGTCGTGATCTTTTTTGGTAGCGTGTAAGTCTTGATGATATCGGGCAGTTTCGTGGCCTTGAAGTATTGCTTGCTAGGCTGCTCATCCGTCTGATGTTCCCGAGCATATTGCTCCATAGGCTTGAGTGCATACTTTTTCCGGCCCATGTCATCAGATCCAACGACGTTGAAGAACTCGTTGACCTGCTTGCCGACTTCGAGGAGATGCATAGGAGGATTGCTGGAAGTCGCATGTCAGTCAGCCTATCTACTCCGCAAGCCATCGTACAGAGAGACCTTTCTACTAACCCGAGCATGTCTGTAATTCGTGACACCTGGTTGAACTCGCTCGTCCCCGGGAAGATGGGTAGACCCAAGAACAGTTCGACAACGATACATCCGAGCGACCACATGTCGATAGCGGCCGAGTATGGTAGCCCTAGCAGAACTTCTGGCGACCGGTAGAAACGTGACTGGATGTAGGTGTAGACCGTCTGTCTTTCGTGACAGGCTGAACCAAAGTCAATGACCTTGATCTGAGGGGAGTTCAAACTGACCGTGACGTGTCAGTGTACCAGGATCGCCTGCATCCAGAGGGAAGGGAACTCACCTCTTCAAAAGGATATTTTCAGGTTTCAGGTCACAATGAATCAAGCGCGCCTCTTTCAAAACGGTCAAGGCATCCAGCAATTGCGTAGTAAACATCTTGACGAGCTGCAAACTAAGTCCGCGGAACTGGTTGTGCTTGATGAGTTCGTACAAGTTGGACGACAGGCATTCAAACACGATGCACAAGTGCTTGTGATGGATGAACTGGTCCCGCATACGAAGAATGTGATGCTCGTCTTTCGGATCGGCTTCGCTGTTGAGCTGGGGGCGCGTGATCAGGTTGGAAGCGTGACATATGGCGGCGAGTCGTCTTGCAATGAACTCACGAGCTGAAGTATCGCGACTTCCATCGTACTCTGATTGAAATAGGCGGGCTTGTTCTTGACGACCTTGACGGCGACAATCTCGTGTGTCCTGATGTTCTGACACTTGGCGACCTGACCAAAAGTCCCTTGACCGAGGACATCGAGGATGAGATACCTATCATGCAACGTCAGGTCAGCTCGAACAGACGAAAGCCTGAAATCGGCCACCCACTTGTCACCTGTCCCGTTGTCGGCCGTCAAGACATCATTGACGTAGAGGATGTAATCATAGTCCTGGTTGTCTGACCCGTTGTTATGACAAGGTTGACTGGGCTTGGTTAAGACCCGTCGAGGGTTATGAGTGGCTTCGTACCGGAACGAAGGGTCACAGATGCTATACGTCTGGGCCAACTGCGTCGTCAAACATTTTAAAGGCTGTAATGGGTTTGCAGGGGCGGGCTGTCAGCTCGTCACGATCAGCACTCAAGCTTTGGGGCAACATGGCTCACGCTCAAAAACGCCCCTGGCACATCGGGATCCGCTCGTCTCTCTCCAGGCTGGCTATCCAGCGAAGGTCGCAGATCCGTAGCAGGATCGATGACCTTTCTCAGTCCTACCCGCTTGTCGTTCTCCGCATATCCCGTAGACGTGCTCGCCCTCGAAATCCCCGTCATCTCATACTCGGCCTCTCTCGCCCTGGCCAAGCTACGAGGAGGTTCAGAAATCCCGGGAGCGGAGACGATCCCCGCAGCCGGACCCATGGCTGATGATTGGAGTGGCAACCCTCCCGCCCCACCTGAAGCACGAGACGAGTTGAGTTGTTGACTGGACCTGGACCTGTTCGCCAGAGCCTGTCGAGGGCCTCCAAGAGCTGCGGGCGGCGGATGAGTCGATGTAGGTACACTCGCCGGCTGAGACAACAACGGCGACGTCGAAAACTGCCCGATGGGCGAATGCTGACTCTCGATACCCGTCATGCTCATACCCATTGCAGACGACCCTGCGCCAGCGCTCGATCCTGAAGAGTTCCGTTCGCGTTTAGCAGGAACGTTCGAGCTGGGGAACCCAAACCCTTGACCACCGTTCGAAGAGTCGTTCGAGGAGGACGTGCGGTTCAGCAGAGGTTTACGAGGTTGACCGAATCCACCTCCCGCGTGTTGTTGCTGGTGTTGCTGTACGTGATCAAAAGGTCCTCCTCCAGGTGCCAAGCTGTGGTAAGGCGGTTCGTCCAGGCCCATCTGCGATCCTTGCATGTAAGGCGAGTTGGCCAGAGAAGATGACATGCCGCCGGGCGAATATCCCGGTCTTGAGCCTTGGCCATACGACGAGGATGAGGAAGATGTCGGTTGCTGGTGTTGTTGATACTGCTGTTGTTGTTGCAACTGCTGCTGATGCTGGCCACCCCCGATATTCCCGTACTGGCTCCTACCCCCAGCACTCGGTGGTGGGATCATTCCACTTGTCGGCGACGTTGGGCTCGCAAACGAAGCTCGGTTGAACGATGTCCTCCGCGCCGTCTGTCCTTCGAGCCCTAATTGCGGCGCATCCCCCATATAAGGCATGTTCGTCGACGCTCCTGATCCCGTTCCGTACGGATCATAAGCCGACTGGGAAGCTCGGTGGGTGGAAGCCGAGCCGTACCCCGGATGAGCGGTCGAAGGTACAGCGGCAGACGTCTTGCCAAACCCCCAACGAGAACCCTGCTGTTGCGGCATCCCGAACCCGTCCCCATCTCCATTCTCGACATCGTGCTCAGGACCTAAGCCACCTCCAAGTCCTCCGGACCCTCCACCCGATGCTCCTGCTGAACCGAACGCCATCCCGGCCTCGATATCGTCGGCTCCACCGCCTTTTCTTCTTGTGCCCAAGGAAGCCGAACGTGCGAGCGCTGAAGTGAACGGTTCGAGGAAATGTTGACTCGAGGTCGACCCGCCCGTACCAGCTATCTGCCTATTCGACGTCGGTTGGCCCTGTCCGTACGCTCCTGCTCCGGTTGATTGTTGATGTGAATGATGCACAGGAGCGCCGTACTGCCGTTGTTGCTGTTGCTGACTCTGATCGTACTCCCCGCCTGCACTCGAGCCCAAGGCGAACCTTCCTCGTGCATCCGTCAAGCTTCCGGGGTTGACGTTGGCAAACGCCTGGTCAATGGAATACGCCGGCATGCTCCCGTGAACCGAATGTCGTTGTTGTTGATTCGACGGTGGTGGTGGTAGTGCTTGTGCCGGTGATGCTTGTTGTTGAGCTTGATTGGAGTGACCAAAGGAAGGAGGTGCTCCGGGCCCTGATGGACTATACGGAGATTGCCTGACCTGCTGTTGCTGCTGCTGGTGATGGTCGTGATATTGCTGATGTTGATACCCGCCTGGCAAGTTGATCTGCGGGGTCACTGTCGTCTGGTACAACGGGAGCGAGGGTGAGGAACGTGATGAATGGGGATCGTAGCCGTATTCCGGGTTCATGATCTGTGCATGCGACGAGCGGTCCGTGAGCGCCTGACGAAGTTGCGTGAGCTGAATTCGGAATGAGTGGGTGAATGGCGACTGTGATGGTCAGAGGCAGACCAGCAGGTCGAGATTGGTCGTCGTTTCGATCGGGAGCACAGCAAGGGTTGGTCCGTTCCGCCGAAACACGAGCCTATCGCTGAGGACCGATCGTCTCCGAGCTAGGTACCGTCCAACGAGCTCGTTCCCGAACGTTCAACGACTGAGACTCGTCGAAGGCAGCGATATCCTTTGATAGCTGTGTGTCTATCGTTCGTGCAAGGGAGTGACGACGACGACGTACGATGACAACGGAATGTGAGCTGTCCTTCTCTCTCTTGCGCAGCCGAGCGACGCTAGCGAGTAAAGCTGGTCCAGCGGAATGGGACCGGGGTTGACCGGTGACGGATGACGAGGTTGTCAACAACGGACTGTTAGCCGTAAAGTCCAGAATTTCTTGGACTTGGAAGCTCTTTGGTGAGATCAGGCAGAGAGGACGTCTAGAGTGAGAATGGCAGAGGTTATTGGTTGCCGAGGGGATGCTCTGGAATAGACGATGTGTTGATGTGTTGATGAGCTGGGTGATGATGACGCGGGAACGTGCGGCCGGGGGACAGGGGCCGCCAAGCGGGGGGAGGGGCAGTAGGTGGATCGAATCAGGACAGTCGGGTCGAGTGATCGTCGAGTGTAGATCGACAACGAGTAACAGAGACCGGCAGATAGGTCCTCTCTTGGCTCAGACTCTGGCCACATTCACTTGCTGCCATCACCGTGGGCTCTGTCGATCTCAGGTGATCAACCCGCACGCACACACACACCCCTGTTTCTTGGTTTCTTGGGCCGGTCATCCGCAACTCGCGCTAATTAACTAGATGGCTTGGGAACGATCGGGCGAAACCATGTCGCCGAACGCAAGTATCAATTGAGGATTTAGCGTCGCATCGTTTCGTATCCTGGAAGAATCGGTGCTGCATCGCTCAGCATTCTTGCTGAACGTTCGACTATGTTCATTCGTCTTGCGTATTGCATTATGGAAGGACGCTGACATTGTCGCCAGCCTGATCTGAATTGTACAACCTTTGTTTGTATACGTAAAGCAGAGACCTCTCCGCAATCAGTCGACCCTCCTCTTGAACCCTTATCCCATCTCCATGTCCTCCATCTCCATCTGCTGCCCTTGCTCCTGTTCCACCATCTGCCCGTCATCCACCTCCATCCCACCCTCCATCGTTACATCATCCCTCCCGACCCCGTCATCGTCGTCCTGTACGAGCTCGAATCGCGAACCCATATCTCCCTCCTCCCCCAGCCCCGCTCCAGTCGACCGCACAGAATAGCCTCCTCCGACAGCGCCCGGGTTAGTTCCCGGTAAAGCCTTGTACAGTACCAGTCCCCGTCCGTTTCCCTTCCCTCCAGCTCCGGGCCTTAGACTATCGTCCCACCCGCCACGCCCCAGCCCCAAACCCATACTCAGTTCAGCACGTTGACGTTCATTGAGCTGATTCAGCCGGGAGAGCAGGGAGGGGGAGATGGTGAACCCCTTGACTCCCGGTTGGGTGAATTTGCCCGTAGCGAGTCCAGCAGCGAGGTCGTCCTCGACCTTGACTGCATTTTTGGCATTATCGTAAGGGTACGCCGCTCGGCTTAGGAGGCCTCCATCCTGATCTCGATCGGGGCTGTCAGCGCGTCGATGGGTGATATCGATGATGTCGGCCTCGTCATCCAGATCGATCAATCCGTCCGACCGGACTTTACCGTGGTCAGACCTCGACCTCTGCCCATAGGCCGCCTCGTTGTCGTCATCGTCGTCCTCCGAGTCGGATAGGGAGGTGACAACGATCCGGTCTTTCTCGGGCTCGTACCATGTCTTTTGGCGTTTACGTCGGGTGCCCCGAATGTCGTTGTTGTCGTTATCATCGTTCACTTCGTTCTGGTCCATCATCATGCTGTCGTCCTCATCGTGCCCTTCGTCCCGGCTTTGAACTCGTTCTCGTGGAGGTATGGACGCAGATGAAGCCTCGCCCCAGGAGGAAGTCTCTTCCAGTGGGCTCTCGATCGTGGTAGGATAAGCCACCCTGCCGAGATCCTCGTACGGGATTCGGTCTCGAGCGCTCGTCTCCCGCAGGTTAAGACCAGAATCATCCAACGTTGCCGTAGGCTGTACCCAGGGCCCGTTTTCCTGTGTGGGCAAGTTCCATCCCGTCGTGACAGACGAAGGAAACGCCTGGGGCTCAGAGATCGGCTCCTCGTTGACCAGCCCCATCTTCTCCATCTTGTTCCTCAACACCCCTCTCCTCCGTTTCCTCGCCGGGCCTTCCCCCGTCCAGTGCCCAGTTCCATGTCCAGCAGATAAGTATTCTCCATCGCTCGTATCCAAATCGGTAGTGTCATCAGCACGAGATGGAGATAACGTCGGTTCTCTTGTCGAATACCCCCCGTTCGCGTGAGGGTGGGGTCGTCGGAAGCGGTCGAGTTCGTCGGAAGAGGTCGATGGGGATCGATGGCGTTTACGAGCGTTGATCATGGTCGTGAAACAGTGTCAGATCCAGATCTCAGAAGCGACTCGGGTTTGTGTGCTGTTGGACATCACGATCTGATCGAGGTGAAGGGGGGGGGGACATGGAGGATGATTCGAGGTTGTTTGCTGGTCTTTGTATTGCGGGCAGAGATCCGATCTGACGAATCCGCTAGAAAGATTTGATTCCGGTCGCGTCGGACGAAAGTGAAAAAGGTTCCGGAATGACCCCGAAAGATCGACCGAAGGCCTGCGAAACGAAGGTCGACATTCGATCTCATGCTTGTTCTCAACTTGCCGCCTATCTATCTAGAGTTTGCAATTATGGAGGATAGGAGCCATTTTTCCAGACACATTGGATCCAGGGTATGGAATTACCAGGGTATGGGGATGTTAGGCGATCTTCTGTGCGCGAAAATTTACGCATCGCTTGAAATGGTACGTCTCATCATCAAAAGCTCAACAGCGACAAATGGGAACTGGGGAAGATTTTGCTCGAAGGAGGTGCATATAGCAGTAATGATCTTCCTAGTATCAATGATGGTACAGAACATGGTCGCGGGAGTTTGCGCTCATTGCGCCAGGTGCAGCTCTGCATGCGTCTCTGTAGTACTGTCGAGGGAGTACATTCAATGGTTTATTTTCTTGATACTCGATTGACCCCTCATTGAAGATCCCTGAGTCGCCACATACATACTCTTTGGAGACACCCCCTGAAACATCGATAAAACTCCAAGCGCAACCAGTTTGAGGCTTTATCCGGTCATAATGCATTGAGACTGGTCACGCAATGCCTGTCTATATCATCAGCGTTGTGCTGAAGAGCCTTCCTCTATTCAGTCTTCAGATGGAACCGAGTACAGGCCTCTTCTCACGTCGTTTGACAGACTTGGAAACTGGGCAACGCATTCGTTGCCGTGAATCACAGAAAGATGACCACCAAAACAGCTGTACTAGTTGTGTTGAATCGTGCACTCAAAATGGGGGTGGAAGTACTAATCTCTTTCCCCGCTCTTATAAGCGACTTCTACCATGAAAATTGGGAAGAATCCTCCTGTTACGGGCCCACCTGAGATCTTCATCGCGTCTGTTAAATTCGACGAAAGCCGGGTCGATGTCTGTCGGTGTGGAACGAGATCATCCCGCCTCACACCGTATTATCTCGGCCACTCAACCACTGGCCATTGAGCGATGAAGATATCCACAGATCCAACGAAGTCGCATATCCCTTCAAGTCTACGATACATCAAAGTGACATTCGCCAACCAAGCGAACCCTGCGCCGGTTTGGTTGTTGAGCTCGAAGGGAAATTACTTTAAGGTTGGACGAAGAGCTTCGCACACGACGCCTCACGCGATCCTACCGAGACCGGGCGAAATTCTCCAAGGCAAAGGTATTACACATAACGCCAACATGGAGCTTTAAAACTGCAACCTACATCACTGATATCACTGAGGTCATAACGTTCTGCTATGCGCTGCGGACGATCCGTTTCCGACCACAGCGGGGTTCGAGGGAGGCGCCTTTCTCGCGTAGGCGATATGTGACGTAAGCGATTCTCCGGAGCCGGAATGCCGAGCGAGAGCCAAGTAAGAGCTCGCGAGCTCCCATCAATACCGACGACAACGACCTGCTAGTTGCTAGGCCTGTAGCCTGTAGCCTGCTCCTCCCTGCCAGCCTCATTCATCTGTCGACAACGACCGAGCCTTATCAACGGTTCTTCGAAGCATTGCTATCTGGATCATCGCCTCGGAACAACTTTGAATCGGTCAACCTCGTCAACATCCCAGCCTCGAGCACAATGGCTTCAGGATTCGGGTATACCCACTATACGATTCGGGCGCTGGCCAACAACTGCCTGACGAGCTTTTTCCGGGAGATCACCGTCTTGGGTAGTGAGAATGTTCCTCGGGATGGTCCCATCATCTTGTAAGTCGCACTTTCCGCTCGAAGTCGTACTGAAGTGCCATGATATCGGACGTCAATCACGCGAAGCACTGATGGGTGTTTCCTGGCTCAATCCATCTGCTCAGGGCTTGTTCCCACACCAACATGGCTGTCGACGTATGTTCACCATCTGTGCTGACTGAATCTCCGCTCATCACATTCTCCTCGACTCCGTGCATATAGCCGGCCGTGTTGAGCTGCACGATGCCGCACGACCATCCCCTTCACTACTGGGTGAGCTCAAGCTAAACTTCTGCCACGATACTGCCCTCATGTGTTTGTCTCTTTCGTCTTCGGCCCCGAATCCGAAATATTTGTGCAGGTCAAGGACGCCCTCTTCGCGAACCCTCTGGCCGGGGCGATCATGCGTGCTGCAGGCAACATTCCGGTGGACAGGAAGAACAAGAACAACCAGAGCTTGTTTGCCGGTAGCTTCGAAGGCGAGTTGTCTTGCACCCTCTTTTCTCATCTCTTAACGCTTCTTCTCTCATGGCCTGGCTAATCTGTAAGTGTCTCGTTTCGCCCAACAGCCATGGTGAGGGGAGAATGCATCGCCGTCTTTCCCGAAGGGACCTCGCACACCTCGCCCCAGCTCTTGCCCTTTAAAGACGGCATCTCGTGGTTGGCGCTGGAGTACCTCAAGTACCTTTATGAAATGCCCGACGGAGTACCTAAAAAGAATGCCAGGAAGGCCGTCATCGTTCCCGTTGGGTTGAGCTATCTGGATAAGAGCAAGTATAGGAGCCGGATCGTGGTCACGTGAGTCAAGCGTCCCTACGTGATGCCCGGTTACAAAGTCAGATGTCATGACTCTAACTGCGTCGCATATGCAGGTACGGCGAACCGATCAGGATGGAAGGATACGAAGAGGACTTCTTGAGTAAAGAAGAGGGATCATCTCGGTCGGCGGTCAAACGGATGACAAGAAAGCTCGAGCTGGAGATGATGAAGCTCACGATCAATGCGCCCGACTGGTGGGTACCACAGAATCACGAGCAGTGTGTATGTTGTCTGACTGATAGTTCACAAATCATAACCATAGGGATGCAGTGATTGCCGCCAAGATGGCGAGGGAGCTGCTGTTCGAGCGGAAGCACTCATTGGCACCGGAGAACTTTGTTGACGTTTCTCAAACGTAAGTGCTGGTATAGCCACGTCAGTATCATTAAATATCGACCGATCGTTTCCTCTCTTGCTTGCAGCCTGGTCGACCTGTTCACACAACCATTCCCCTCGCCCGAGGTCGAAAAAGTCAAGACAATCCTTACCGAATACAACAACCTCCTCTTGACCGCCAAGTTGACCAATCAGACGCTGTCTGATCTGCCGGTACCGACCGATCTGGACCCTTCCAAACCGATCCCTCTGCCGAGTCGATTCTCCACCCTCATCCTCCTCATCCGGGATACCATATCGGTCCTCGTGCGCGTGCCGTTCTTCCTGATGCCCATGCTCATCCACCTGCCGATGTACTATGTCGCCAAGCTGGGCGAAAACATTGTCAGGGAGGAACTGGAAACTCAAGCTCAGATGAAGATCGTCTTTGGGATGCTCTTCTCCCTGCTGGTCTACCCAGTCGTCTTCCTTGTCATGTGGCTCATGCTCGGCTTTACCTCTGTCGGTGCCATCGTTGCTGCAGGAGGCGTTTACCTGTTCAACATGTCTCACAAGACGCTCGTTGACGAGAACTATGACAGGTCAGTATCCGGTCTCAGTCAGGGATCGAGCGCCGAGAATCGTGTGGCTAACATTAACAATCTCGCAAAATCTAGAATGACACGTCTTGTCGCGGCCTGGAGGGTTATTGTCGGTATCTGGACACCCAAAGCTAGGGAGAGACCGATGGACTACCTGAAGACATTCATACCCGAGTCGGCTACCCCGGTCGGAGCCACACCCCCAGACGCTGTCAAGGCTTGGCAGAAGGGCGGCCCACCCGTCTCTGTGGCTATCAAGGCGAACAAGCGCAAGGAGAAGCAGGCCAAGAAGCGCCTGCCCACACGTCGGCTCATCAAGCACGTCCTTCGGAGCCGGGTCAAGGCAGCTCAGGCTCTCGAAGCCTTCTTGTCAGAGCTGGAGAGATCTGAGATCAGGATCAACGCCAAGCCCTGGTTGGCACGGGCTGCTGCGTTCGGCGGCGAGGTCGACGAGGATGTCGATGCTATCAACGAGACGGCGGATACGGGCGACATTGTCGATCGGGTCCCAATGGGTAGTCGGGCCGGAGCCGAGGTCGTCGAGTATCTGCGAAAGAACGGGGCTGTCATTTACCACGGACACGGTGAACTGAACGCCTGGGCTGCCGCTCAGAGCGAGTTTGAGGGGGTCAAGAGCGATGACGAGTGAGATTTTCGTTGAGAAGGCTGTCCGGTTTTAGATTTTGTAGCTCCAGGCTTTCAGAGAGTAGTCATTTTCGTTTTATCCCTCTCCAGGTTTTACCGGATTGTCGGTCATATCAGCGGGTAATTTGACGCAGCTCGCTCCCTCGCCGTCACAAGTTGTCGCTCACTAGTGGATCACTAACGAGGTGATGCGTTGTCATGCGGATCTTATTATACAGGATGTCACGGATTCCAAAGTTAATGGTATGACTCGCCGTCTTAACGGCGTTGTCTTTGCACCCTGTGCCCCTGAACAACTTTATGAATTTATGAACAGCTCATCAAGTTTGCTGCTGGTATGATGGTATCTGATCTAATTCAGCCGAGAGCGCGATTAGGCGACTGATAGAACGCGTTCATGTCCAGTCGGATCGTGTGCGTAACGTCGGCGTCGCAGCGATATCTTCCGGTGCCATCGGAAATGTTACTATGATCCATGAGTCCGTCTCGTACAAATGACTGGATCATAGCGCATGCCCGGTCTGCTGCTCATCGCCTTCAAGAGCCTCTATCTTTTCCTTTCTACGCTTCTTCTTGACCTCCTTCGTATCGACGGCATCCTCTCCTGCGGCAGACCGCTTCCGCTTTTTCTCCTTGACACCATCGGGACCTTCCTCGATACCGTTCGTACCGACTGCTCCAGCTTCCATCTTCTCCGCCCGTCTCTTCTCCTTTTCAGCTCGTTTCGCTTCCTTCTCCGCTCGTCTTGTCTCCTTCTCTGCCCTCCTGGCGCGTTTAGCCGCCTTCTCCAGAGCTTTTTCTGCCTTCCGGTCAGATTTCGATGACATTGTCGTTGGTGCTGGTACAGGAGAAGGGGTTGTGGACGTCGAGGCAGAAGGTACCGGCTGAACATTCCACAGCTGTGATTTCATGATCTTGTGTTGGTGCATCGGAGTGGCTGAACCTTTGGGCGAAGCTACTCCACTCCCAAGACTTGCCGCTGATACCGATGATTGAGGATCCGACGGTTTAAACTCGATGACTTCCCCCCGAACAAAGCTGGCGTATAGCTTGAGGCGAGCGAATTCCTTCTTTGAACGCGCCATCACGCTCATGCTGCTCGGTCCTCCTGACTGAGTCGCAATCGGGGTGGAGGCGCCTGAGCCTAATGGTGTTGATGTACCGGAGGCGATACTTTGAGCTGCAGAGGCGAAGATGCTGGATACAATAACCTCTATAAGCAACTCGATTGACCGCTTTGCATGATCCAACTCGACGTACTTGTCCCAAAACGGTACAGCTTCATCCCGATCCTTGCCAACCCCTGACATGGTCTTCTTCTGTACAACAGCAATCGGTCGACTCAGATGACCCTGCTTCAACGCTACGAGGTGTAAAACCTGAAATCTCAGCAGTCATCACGGTTATCAAACCACAACGAGCACTCACCCGTTCCCTTCCCCTTCCATCCTCGACTCGTAAGGTATTCCGTCGTATCCAGCGGCATCTCGTGGGAATGCGCGAATCAGTCGGGGTTTTCAAGATGGACGCAGTGTAGGGGTTGAGAGACAGTCCAAGATTAATGCTTTGTCCGGTGTCTGGTTGGTGCGTATGAAGATGTAGTATGAGATGGTCTTTTCCTGTTTACCGTTTCGCTCAAACTAGCGGTTTGATCAGGAAATCGAGCGAGGCCCAAGGTCGAACTTTTAGCATCCGCAGGCCGAGCTAAATACTTCCGAAGTCCGTTTGCTTCCGGCACATATAATCGTCACTCTGTCAGAGGGTCGTTGCTGAATTGCCGAGCGACTTGTAGCTTCTTGCCCTTCGGTCCAATCGATTTCCTCACCCTATAACCGTCAAACGCAACCGGGGCCCATTCGTTGAGACTAGACTGAAATTCGGTCGTAACAAGGTTCAGACAGAAGACCGGGAACCGATGCAGCCGCACGCCATATCGTCATAAGCCTTTCCAGCAATGTCCCCATCTGTGGGAGACGCTCCGGCCCCTGGGTTCCCTGCCGTATCTCAGTCCGCACCATCTCCCAGTCAGGGATCTGTAGCAGGAGGTAGCGGAATACCGGCGGCGAATGTCAGTTTAGGAAAACCCAAGGACGTAACGTTTGCGAAGTTATGTGATCTCAAGTTTCCGCTCGAGGTCAAGATGTGAGCCTTGTCTCTAAGTTTGTATTCCGTCAGAGTGGCACCTCACTATCAATTGCGTGGCTGCTTCAGCGGTTATCTGGAGGGCAGAGTACCTCGAAGACCTTACAGCGAAATCCTAGCGAAGCCCGAGACCCGTCATGCATATGCTCAGATAGAGTAAGTGGTAGATCAACCCGTATGTTTCTCTCTTGTTCTAACGCTTCATCGTTCTTATAGCGGAATCTCAGACTTCTACGTGACAATACAGCTCTTTACGAGAAAAGGCCGTGCACTGACTTTGCCCATACGGACATCAAGCAAAGTCTTCAAGAAGGATAGATATGTGCAAGTCGAGCTATGGGGCACTCACAGCGAGCGAGGTTGTATGCTGAAGCGGTTCTCGCTCGCAATACAGCTGGAATATGCCCCTTACCTTACCCATCAACTACCCCTCATTACCCATGGATGCTCGACTTGCGATTACTCTTTGGGACATCGAAAAGGCAGGGAAAGGCGTACCTGTTGGAGGATCTTGTTTGTTCCTCTTCTCGGATAAAGGGCAGGTTGCTGCAATCCGTCCGCAGCGAGGTTGGTCTAGCTGAGTCGTTTCGCCGTCTTTCAGGACTTTGAAACGGGGGCAACAACGATGTTACCTACATCCCGACGTCGAGGGTGATCCGTCGGACCACAATTCTACGCCTAGTGACGTTCACCAAGAAGACGAGTTGGGCCGCCTGTTGAAGCTCGTCAAGGATTACGAGCAGGGGGACATGCCGCGTCTAGACTGGTTGGACGTTGTCACTTTTAGACAGATTGAGAAGGTGCAAGCGGTTAGTTACGGGGTTCATTCGTCGTAGAGCCTGAATCTTTGGCTGATTTGAAGAGAATGACGTGTTGCGAAGCGAGAAATGGAGAAATCGAACAAGCTGTTCCTATACGTGGATTTGCCCCGATTTGACTTCCCGGTCGTCTTCGCTGAGCAGGTCAGTTCCATGCGAGCCTACATTTCCTGTCTCTGATATTCAAACTACGCACTCTTCCTCCAGGAAGCGACTCTACCTCTGCCTCCCCGCCCTATCCCTAATCCCACACTAGCCACAGCTGCGCCATCACCATTGCCACCAAACTTCCTTTCTTCAGATCCTCATCTATGGCGTATATACGACCCAGAATCGATCAGGATTATGGCGGATGTGAACGGGGAGGGAAATCCGGTCGAAGCAAAGTATAGGCGGCTGGCGAGAAGTCATCGCACAGGAAGAGGGGATCGGGAGTTGAAGCCTGGGCCGGATATGCGGGACTTGTTGAATGTGAGTGCAAACGCATTTCGATATGAATTTGTAGGCACTGAACGGCCGCTTGACGCGACACAGGACCTGTTCCGCCAACCACCGACCTACGTCTTGTCGCCTGAGGACAAAGACTTGATCTGGCGCTACAGGTTCTCCTTAAACACCTTCAAGCGCTCATTGACCAAGTTCTTGAAATCAGTCACATGGTCCGACGATGCGGAAGCTAGACAAGCGGTCGAAGTGCTTTTACCGCTGTGGACGGAAGTGGGAATAGATGATGCGCTAGAACTTCTCGGTCCAGGGTCTGAAGACGGTCGGGTGAGGGCTTTTGCAGTGAAACAGATGGCCAGAGCAGATGACGAGGTGAGCATATCATCAACTCACGGGGACTCCAACCTCATCAATACGACACCGATGCTGACGAGGTACCGCTTTACATCCGCAGGAGCTGCAATTGTACCTGTTACAACTGGTCCAAGCGCTCAAATTCGAGGTGAAGCCGTCTTCCTCCAACGGAGATGCTTCTACATCAAGTGCTCGACAACGGCGATCGCGACATGCTTCTTCCAGCAAATCTCCATCGCGATCTCCGGCTGAGACGGACAGTGGATTGGCGGACTTTCTCATCTCTAGAGCCGTGCAGAATCCGGTTCTAGGTACCGCTCTGCATTGGTATCTGATGGTCGAAACCGAGGATCGCATCGTAGGGAAGATGTTTGCGAGGGTCGCGTTCCAGTTCCAGACAAAACTCATGGAAGTAAGTCAAGTCATCTCATGCGTCTATCTGTGACCCGACGGCGCATGTTGATCGCGTTATGCTTATAGCGGGAAGATGGAGCGGCACGGCGTGAAATGCTCCGCAGGCAGGGGGAATTGGTCGCCGTTCTTTCAGCCAGGGCGAAAGAATTGCGAGCTACAAAAGATCCGAGACCAAAGAAGATCGACAAGCTTCGACACTACATCGCTGATGCCAAACATGGGCTTTCACCCTTGCCCTCTCCGCTCACGATCCCGCTTGACCCTCGGGTCGACGTCGTCAATTTGGTAGCAGAAAACTCTACGGTATTTAAATCGAACCTGTTCCCAATGCTTCTCTGGTTCGAGACAGAAGCGGGGGAATATCCGATCATGTTCAAGAACGGAGATGATCTACGGCAAGACCAGCTCGTTATCCAGCTGTTCACCCTGATGGATCGTCTCTTGCGGAAAGAGAACCTGGACCTCAAACTCAGTCCCTATGCGGTCTTGGCGACCGGCTCCACCGAAGGCATGATTCAGTTCGTCCGGAGCAAGAGTCTAGCTGCGATCATGGGAGAATATGGAAGCCTTCTGAATTACCTCAAGGTCGATCATGCCAACGAAGGCGCTATCGGAACCTTTGGCGTAGAGCCGAGCGTATTGGATACTTTTGTGAGAAGCTGTGGTGAGTACATGATTACCTACTCCGGAGACCCTCTATGAGTGCTGATTGCTCCGTTTGGATCAGCTGGGTACTCGGTTGTGACCTATATCTTGGGAGTGGGCGATAGACACCTGGATAATCTCATGCTGGCACCCGATGGTAAGTCAGCAACGTCTCAATCGCTCGCCACCCAGAGCATCGAGCTGATAGATGCGATATGTCTACAGGTCATTTCTTCCATGGTGAGTTGAGGCTTCCGCGTCTACCTGATAAGAACCCATGTACTGATTTCGTAAACACTTAGTCGACTTTGGGTACATACTGGGACGGGACCCAAAACCATTCCCTCCACCAGTCAAAGTCTGCCGCGAAATGGTCGACGCGATGGGCGGACCGAATTCACCTCACTACAACCGCTTCAAGAGTCTATGCTATACGGCCTTTATAGGACTCCGCAAAAATGCCAATTTGATCTTGAACCTGATCGCCCTGATGGTGGATGCGAGCATTCAAGATATCCGTCTCGAGCCGGACAAGGCGGTATTAAAGGTTAGTGAAGGGCTTTTTCACGATTGCGATGGAAGCCTCAAACTGACAGACCTTTTTCTCACAGGTACAAGAGAAATTCATGCTGGATATACCGGAAGAGGATGCGATCAAGCATCTCGAGGCCCTCCTCAATGATACGTCATACCTCACCCTCATGTTCGACAAGGTTCACACGCTCGCTCAATATCTCAGGGAGTAGCAGAACGCCCTTCTGGCCGTCAGCACCGCGACAAGGAACGTGACAGCCATACGTCAAGGGAGCAGGGAACATGTACAAAGATCGTTGTATCATTGTCGAGATATACCGAGAGATAGTTGGTGCCAGAAACAAAAGGGACATCGAGATTTGCTTCCGTTCGTTCGGTTGGAGCCGAGCAGCTGAGAAGCAGCAGTGATCAGTGATCATTAGTGATCGATCTGGCTTGTTTAGCTTCTCTCTCGGTGTGCTCGATCATCACCTTTCCCGTCATATCTGTACTTTTGGTCAGACATTTAGAATCATTCCGTCGACCTGGCGAACGTTCAAATCCGATCATTCACTCCTTCGCTATCGCACACGATCGAGGACTGTCGGCTTTGCCACCACCGTGACGTTAGTCATCAACCTCATACCTCGCTAGTCCTTGCAAGGGGTCGCCTTCACCTGAAGGGTAACCCGCTCAACACGTCTCAACCTGGCTTCCTCAACCCGTACCTTACGTTCCCGAGCCATCAAGAGACCGCTGTCGCCCTCGCCATCGTTATCGAGCGAGAGCACACGACCAAACAAGCAAGCCAAGAAGAATACGGAGCGAGAATTTTCGCCTGCTCCGTTTGAAGAAGCGTCAGACAGTCCACCGGGCCCGAAGGTCACTTTACCACAAACTCCAGATCCAGAACCGGAAGAGGGAGCAGATATAATCAGAGAGAAGGATCAGAACAAGATGTCTTCCGACGGCGATGAGATGGATTACGACGATTTCGAGTTCGAGGACGATGAAGGGATCGAAGATGGTATGTGCTATGTTTGCAGCTTCTCTGGCCTTTGCAACCTGCTTACATCGCGGTCAACATAGATAACGGTTCGCAGACCTCGATCGGTGAAGCGTACGATGCTTTCGATGACGGAGTGGCAGGTCAGTATATCGGAATACAGGACGGTGCTCGAAGAATATTAGCTCAAATTATTCATGGGTCGTATCTCTTTCGCAGGAAAACCCGTGAAGAAGGACCCTTGGGACATCAGCTACCAGCCCAAGAGTGTCGAAGAGCTTCAAGAAGAGCAAAAGGTTTTGGTCGACCGAGTGTGTGGGTTGATCGACAGCGATGTAAGTGGATCGCGTCCATTCCCCCTAGCAACCGCGAAGAACGTCCCGTCTGACCAGCTGTTGTCTCCTCGCAGCCATCCACGGCAGCCACGTTGTTACGTCATTACCACTGGAACCCGGAAAAGCTGAGCGACAAGTTCTGGGAAGAACCGGCCAAGACCTTGCATGCTGCCGGTCTCTCTCCGCCCTCGTCCCCGTCATCCAGCACCAAACCTCTTCCCGCCTCCAACAACGCCAAAGCCTCTTCCTCTAGGTCTCGACTTGAGCCGGTACCCACGGAATCGTTCGAATGTCCCATCTGTTGCCTGGAATTCGAGCCTGAAGAGATCGCTAGCCAGACACTCAGCCTTGGATGCGAACATCGATTCTGCAAGGGCTGTTGGACTGAATATTTGGAACGCAAGATTTTGGATGAACAAGAGAGTGGTCGAGTGCAATGCATGGAAGATGGTTGCGGAAGGGTAGTGGGGGAAAGGACTGTGATAGCATTGGTCAATGACAAGGCCAAAGACAGGTGAGTCCAAGCGGTCTACGGGAAGAAAGTGAGGTTCAGGACCCGACACAAACCGTCTTCCTGCTTGGAAATACACAGGTACCGAGTGTTGCTGGATCGTACCTACGTCGATGATAGCCCGCAGCTCAAATGGTGCCCACACCCCGGATGCGAGTATGCCGTCTTTTGCAAGGAATCCCCCGCTCGCAAGTTGGATCAGATCATCCCCATCGTGCACTGTGCTTGTGGCAACGACTTTTGTTTTGGGTGAGACTCGAATATGGATCTCGTCGCCGCGCCTTACTCATCAGGTTTTTGAACTACCTTGTGCAATACAGCTGCGGGTTTGCCAACAATCACCAACCCCTCACCTGCCGTTATGTCAAGCTCTGGCAGAAAAAGTGTGCGGACGATTCCGAGACAGGTAATTGGTTGATGGCCAACACCAAGGAGTGCACGAAGTGTAACGCTACGATCGAGAAGAATGGCGGATGCAAGTGAGTCTGCTGCTATTTGACGCAAACAGTCACAGAGCTTGCGACTGATCAGATTATTTTTCTTAGCCACATGACGTGCAAGAAGTGTCGATGTGCGTATGACTTATATTCGCGTGAGCTGGAACCCGAAGTCGTGATAACTAACACCTTTCTCTTTGCATTCGCAGACGAATTTTGTTGGGTCTGTCAAGGCGATTGGCAATCTCACGGGACGAGCTGGTACAATTGTAACCGATTCGACGAGAAGACTGGACAAGATGCGCGTGACAGTCAAGCAAAGAGTCGAGCCAGTCTTCAACGATACTTGCATGTGAGTGTGACGAGTCCTCATCTGCTCGCCACAGAAACCTAACGCCAATGAGACATTGCTTCGCAGTACTTCAACCGATGGGCTAATCACGAGCAATCTGCCAAGCTCGATCATCAGCTCTACCAGAAAACCGAGCGCAAGATGGAAGAGATGCAGAACGGGAGCGATCTGACCTGGATCGAGGTCCAGTTCGTCAAGCGTGCCGCGGACGTCTTGTTGGAAGCGAGAATGTCGTTGAAGTGGACGTACGCCATGGCGTTCTAGTGAGTCGCCCACGTCGACGATCTCTTGATCGATTTCCAGCTGACCCCCGCTCCTTTTTCTTTCAGCATGAAAAAGGACCTTTCGACCGAGATTTTCGAGGACAACCAGGCCAACTTGGAACAAGCCGTCGAAGCCTTGTCCGAGATGCTGGAAAAGCCGATCGACGCGACGACCATTATGCAACTCAAATCGGACATGGTGAACAAGACCAACTATGTGAAGAAACGGGCGGAGATCATTCTAGATGATACCCTGAAGGGGCACTACGAGGTGGGTCGCTTCAGCGTCTAGTCGATATTCAAGGTTGATCATAGAACGCTGATGTCTTGTGTGATTTTGGGGTCTTCATCAGTCTCGATGGAAGTTTACCGATCGCGATTGAACGAGGTCGACGCGATGACACTAGTCAGACGGATAGAAAGTAGACTTAGCAAGGTATAGCAAGTGGTATCACGATTGGACATGTCTTTCCCCGTGTGATCTCGTCAGCATTTGTATCACGATGATCTCAGACATCATCCCATCGCTCCGTTCCTTTCCGCCGACGACGAGCTTCGGGAAAGGTACGAATGGGTTTGATGCCAAGGCGCGTCTGGCATCTCCGCCGTTGATGCCGGCGCGGGCGCTTGTGACGAAGGCTGGTGGGTATGGGTGCCTCTCGTGTTGCCCTCGGCGATGGATGGATGGGTGCGCGCTAAGACTCGAGTTGCCCCGGTTACCCCTGGCTTTTCTCGGGTGAACCCTCTTCGACGACGACGACGACGACATTTCATCGATCATCGATCATCAATCCTCCCAATCCATCAACAATCGTCAGTGAATCCAACGACAACGACGATATACACAAGTGTCGATCGCCTCTCATCATGGTATAATAGCGACACAGACATCGAAACCAGCTAGCCGTGACACTTACCCTCCTGGTCACGAACCGCGTCAGCCGTCTCTGGATCACGGTCGGGCATCATGACGCTTGTCTCTACGAAAACACGAGCCAAACGACGACGATTCGAATCTCGAACATCGTCCGGAATCGCTCCGGCAAACAAGAGGCAGAACCCTGTCGAGGTCAACACTTCCAAGATCGGGTGGCAATTTCCTGCACCGACGTCGACCACGGGGATCAGGAGGGACGATGGGGACGGGTCGGGCAAATCACGTACACCCCCGAGCTTGTACTTGATCATCGTGAGTCGTGCGACCCGACTCGCATACATGGCATATCGACTGACATTCCGATACGTATCGTTACTCGCTTTCTGCAGTTCCTTACCCTCTTATGCGTTCTCGTCTGCTCCTCGTCTTTTATCATCATCAGAGGATGGCTTCAACGTCGTCGGATCCGTGTCGAGATCCAACAAGCCGTCGACCGGGGCGAGATCACCGCGAGGCGTGGGGAACAGCTCAACGTCCGTTTGGATACGATGACGTGGAGTATGGGTCGGTGGTCGGCCTCTTGGTTGACGCTGTTGAGTGACGATCTGGCGGAGAGGTCCAACCCGATGTACGGGAGGACGGGAGGGAGGAGGAGGAGAAAGGCGAGGGATTTAGGACCGGTACCGAAGCTGTACGAGTTTGAGATGAAGGAAGAGAAGGAGAATCGGGATGGGAGAGCGTCGGTATACTCGAACGAGCTACCGGCCTATCAGGTGAGTTACCTGCCGTACTGCCAGTGATCACAGTATCCGACGGCTGATCACGCGACGCCCCAGCCATTCTCGGTGTTTCACCCGACCTCGACACCGATTGTCCCTTTACCTTCTACCACGATCGATAACGAACCCCGTCGTTTGGTCAATTACAACATCAACGTCCCTCGTAACGTCCGTACAGCGGAGCGATACACCCGCCATCCTGCCGCTCGACAGCAATGGCAGAACACCTTGTTCAGCTCGTCCGACAACACCTCGCCTCCACCCGACTTTCGAATATCGATGGGGTATCCGTCGCCCGTACCACCACCATCGACAGATACCGATCCTCCGAACAGTCCGGGTCCGACTGGGGATACCACAGCCGACGAGCTGGAGAAATGCCGAGGCAACCTCTGGATCGAACGCGTCACGCACTCAAAGGACGATAGCGCTCTACCCGTGGAAGCGAGTTTTCTCATCAAGATGCCCGAATCCGAAGCTACGGCTCGATATAGGCGTCGGATCAGACAGGAGGAAGGCGAAGAGATGTTGCATCCTCCGACGGAGATTGCGATTTGGAAAGGTATCTTGCAGAGATGAAGCAGGCAGAGACAGACTCAGAGGGAGAGGGAGATCTTACGCGCATATAATCAACTTGTCGTTCTAGGCACAGAATGTTTCTCCGGGGTCGTATCATCGACGGATTGGCTGCTTTGTACACGACCGAAGGAGTCGAATATCGAGTATACGAGTATATCACCACTGTATTATAGATTACATACGCATACGAAGATCGAACACGAGGTAGCAGCTCTGTCTAGTACTTGCAATGTCCCTTCCAACGGGGGAAAGCGACGACGTCTCGTACGTTGCCGATCCCCGTAAGCCAGCACATGAACCTGTCGAATCCCATGCCCCAACCGCCGTGCTTGACGGACCCGAATCGTCGCATGTCGAGGTACCATTCGTAGTCCTCCCGCTTCATGTTTGCCTTGTCGATCGATTCGATCAGGCGGTCGAGACGTTCTTCACGGAGCGATCCACCAGCCAGTTCACCAATCCCTGGAACGAGGAGGTCAAAACATGCCACCGTTTCCCTATCGAGATGATCTTTGGGGTTGAGGCGCATATAAAACGGTTTGAGACTTCGAGGATAGTTGGTGACAAACACCGGTCCTCGGTAAACCTGTCCAGCTAGGTACTTTTCGTGCTCTGATTGAAGCCCTGCGCCCCAGGTGGGTGGGAAATCGAATGGCGTCTGTACGTGCTTCTCTTTGAGGATCTCGACGGCTTCGGTATATGTGACTCTGCCGAAAGGTTCGCTACCCGATATCCTTCCGAACATGTCTGACCGTTCGACTGGATCGGTTTCCTCGTCCGCTGACGGCGTCTCTGCCTTGTCCTCCATCAAGCTCTTTGCAATAACCTCTTGATCTCGCCTCGCCCTCGTCATCCTTCGGCCCCCCAAGACGTCCTTGATTGCCGTCTCCAAGGTATCCATCAGGTCATCCAGCGTTTCAACAAACGCCAACTCGGCCTCGAGCATGTAGAATTCGGCGAGGTGCCGTGATGTGGCAGAAGGTTCAGCCCGGAAAGTCGGCGAGAGGGTGTACGTCCGGGAAAGTGCGTGTGTCGGGGCCTCGAGGTGGAGTTGGGAGGATACAGTGAGGTAAGCGGGGGACGGGAAGAAAGGGTCGTGTTTTTGTGTTGAAGGTGCAGAGGGAGGGGTAATAGGATCCGTAGTGATTCGGAAAGCTTCTCCAGCACCTTCACAGTCAGAACTGGTCATGATCGGAGTGTGGATATGAACGTATTCTTGTTTCTGTTCGGATCGACAGGGTATAAGCTTCTACAGCGATCTCCAAGCAAGCATGTTCCGGCTCACCTCAAAATGATCATGCCACTCTCTCATGGCTGCGTCTCGTAATCGTGCCAAAGCACCGTTCTTCGCGGTCCGAAACCGTAGGTGGGCATGATCGCGTAGGACGTCTGGTGGTACGTATTTCTTCTGGATAGGATATGCCTACAGGTAGATACTTTGACGTATAAGCTTCCTCTACCTCGGCCAGGTTTCGCACTAAACTCACCGCTGATGACTGTCCCGTAACTTCGATGGACTTCACGGACAACTCATGAGGCTGATCTCCACGACTCTCTTTCATTTCTCCCTTCAAAATCAGGCTGCTTCCCAGTGCAAGACTGCTCAGAAAAGGCTAGAAGATATCAGTACTCGAGCAGGACTTGGCATGAAGAGAGCAGCTCACCTACCCCTCGAGGTCTTTCATTGGCGACCCCTTCACCACAGCCTGCAGGTTTCTGGAAGAGCTCCCATCCGATATTTCTAGGAAAGATACGTTCTTGTGTGCCCGTATCGACCTGAGCCATCCGTGAACGGTAGTAGTTGACGAAGAAGGTTCGTCTAGAACCGCTCGGATCGTCCTCGGAATGCCAAGTCTCGTCGACCGAGAGATGGTGGCCTGCATCTCACTGGTTTCACGCTCAGATGTAGTATTATGTTTCGCTATCGTCTAGAGCAAATATGAGCCGTTGCTGTTGATCTGAGGAGTCCCTACGAGATACCGATACGACTAGACGAAAGTCCGAGTCGAGCTGGGGGTTGACCATGATTTTTGGGCGCGCCTTTCTGCTGTTTGTTGACAAATTCGAAAGTCCCATCGACCTTCAAGATCATCGACATTCCCCTAGCATTTTACATCGTTGACTACATTCCGCCCTCCTACACTTGCTGTGAAACTGCCACAGTCTTGCCACTCGAAAGTGAAGATTCCTCGACATGTCCTCTAAATCATTCTCGATCCTCGGAAAGAACATCAAGGCGCAATCTCGAGCCGACCTCGAGCCTTACATCTCGGAGCTCGAAAAGTTCGAGGATGTCGAAGAGGTTCATTTTGGAGGCAACTCGCTCGGTGTTGAAGCTTGTCAGGCTATCGCCGAGGTCTTGAAAACCAAGAAGAGTCTCAAGGTGAGTCTCGAGATATGCGAAATGAGATGACAAGCGGATCACGAATAGCTGATGTGTTTCGATCCGCACCACAGGTCGCCGACTTTGCTGATGTCTTCACCGGGCGTTTGATTAGCGAGATCCCTACTGCTCTGTCTGCCATCTGTGATGCTCTTCAGTCTCACACTTCCTTGGTCGAGTTGGACCTCTCGGACAATGCCTTTGGAGGGCGATGTGCGGACGCCATGGTTCCCTTTCTCGAGAACAACCGCCACCTCCAGGTCTTCAAGCTGAACAACAACGGGCTTGGTATCTGGGGAGGTACCGTCGTCGCCAAGGCTCTCCTTGAGAATGCAAAGAAGTCAAAGGCTGCTGGAGAGGAATCCAACTTGAAGACCGTCGTATGCGGAAGGAACAGGCTGGAAAACGGCTCGGCGCCTTACTTTGCCGAAGCCTTTGCTGCCCATGGCAACCTGATCGAGGTCCGCCTTCCTCAGAATGGGATCCGGATGGAGGGCATCCACGCGCTAGCTCAGGGGTTGAGCAAGTGCCCCAAGCTCGAATCGCTCGATTTGCAGGACAACACCTGTACCGAGTCCGGTACCCGTTCGATCTCGGCTTCGCTACCATCATGGCCGGAACTCCGCACTCTCAACCTCTCTGACTGCCTCTTGAGCCCGAAGGGGGGTGTCTCCCTCGCCACCGCTCTCGAGAAGGGTGCCAATCCCAAAGTCGAGACGCTCAAGCTGCAGTACGGAGAGATGGACGCCCGAGCGATCCACATCCTCGCCAAGGCGATTCAGGAGCACCTCTCGTCGCTGACCACCCTCGAGCTGAACGGAAATCGGGCCGATCCTGAGGACGAGTGTATCGAGAGGATCAAGGATGCTTTGGCCAGTCACGGACATGAGGACGCCTTGGATGAGCGTGAGTATGGTCATGAGACGTTCCCTTCGAAACACCGCGCTGAACCGTCACTCCACCTCGAACAGTCGACGACATGGAGGAGCCAGAGGATGACGAGGATGAGGCTTCCGAAGACGAGAAGGAATCCTCGGACGAGAAGGCCGACGAGGTTGTTGAGCCAGTGTCGAAGCCTATTGATTCCGCCGATCAGTAAGTAATCACTCGTTTTGCTTGCGAACTCCTCAATCTGACCGCAATGCTTTTCGAAACACAGACTGGCTGGCATGCTCGGAGAAGTATCGATCACCCAGCAGTGATCGTTTCCGACACGATTTCCGCTTGCATTCCGCGGCCCAGCATTACGACTCTTTCCTTGACGTATCAATCACGAAGACAGCTTCTTCCCTTGCGTTTGGCCGAATGACCGAATAACCATCTCTATCATACCAGGTTTCATTGAAGCGGCCGTTTTTACAAATAGTTCGGTTCGAAATGGATACATTCGCCTACGTTCAGGGCGCTTTTGGTTTATATCTGAGTCAGAAACTCGTTGTTGCCTGGCCGCTTTTCAACTAATTGTTCTTGCTTGTCGCTTTCCTCATCCGAAGACTTCGAGTCTTTCCATCAACCTCGTTGATCCCCGTAACCTTCAGACTGTCATCGCTCTCGTCTTCATTACCGCGCTCACCCCCATCTTCTACCCTGATCTTTTCCCTCTCCTTTTTTGCCCTCGCCTCGACGCTACCCGGATGAAAGTGGAAATGGATCGCTTTCGATCGTTTATCCCCACTACGCTTGGACGATAGGGAGGAAGACCCTGTTCGGTCCCTTTCGCTCTTCCCACTCGCTCGAGTGGGGGATTCCTGTTGCGAGCCCGAACTCGAGCTCTCGCTGCCGGTCGAGCCGGAAGTGACGGACAGGGAAGGGTCGATGAGGTCGACTTGCTTGGCAATATCTGATCTTGACAAGCCGGTACGATGTTGTCGGGATGTCCGCTTGCCTGTCAAGATGGATTCTGGGTCCAACTCGCTCTCGCTCTCGGACGGGGAAGACAGCTGGACATCGTCCGGGTCGTACTTGGATCGTCCACCTCGTCTAGCTGACGAAGTAATGTAAACGCGCCGGGATGATTCCGATTTGCGCCTCGAGCCGTGTGGGAGATACTGTTGTGCGACGGCTTGTTGTGGATGCGGAAAGAATGGCGTCGGGACGAAAGGGTATGGGATTCCGTTTCCAGGATAGAGATGCGCAGGATAGACATGGGCAGGAACCGACTGGACGGGGTAAGTGTAGACTGGATGAGTGTAACCGTGCCCTTGAGGCGATGAAACAGGCACGGGGACCACGGGTACCATGGGGTATGAAGACATAGGGTGTCCGTAAACGTCGCCTGCATTCCCATCCTGTCCGCTCGACTCGGCTCCAAAGATCTTGCCCACCCAAGAGTCGGCAAACTTCCCTCTGACGGCATCTCGAAGAGATCCCACTCTCCCTTTGAAGAAGCTCTCGATGTGATGCCCGATCCAAGCGAGACCGGCGCCCAGGCCGAGGCCTGTCAGGACGAACCCGCCTATCCACTTGCCGACGGGTTCCCATATCCAGTTGACCGCGCTCCATGTGATGTTGAAGGGGGAGAGGAGGATGTCGCTTAGTGTATAGAAGACAGTACTGAGAGGAGCAGCAAGGTAGTAGGCGAGAGAGAGAACGAGGAGGAGGGTGCTATTCAGCGAACGGTAGATAAAGGAGACCACCGTATATAATCCATTGCCGATACCGCCGAGTATCCGCATAACAAGTGAGCCGGATCGTTTCTCGGACGATGTTTTCTGATCCTTCGAGTTGTATATGTTCCCGTGATGCAGCAAGTTGCTGCCCATACCCGCAATCTGATGCCCTAGACCGTAAGGGTCTGGGAAACTCGCGTGACCTCCTCCTCCATGCCCAGCGCCCCCGGTATTTGCCCACGCATTCGGCCGGTGCGTATCGAGGTTGAGATGGGGGATATGTAGATTGGTCGTGGATATATCGTCGTCTTCCCTGGTCAGGATTTGGTAAGAGAGGTAGACCATAAAGGTCGAGAGTACGACCCGGACGGTCGAGGTCGGTTCGGTCTTTGGCTTGCGACGTTTGCGGCCGGAACTCGAGGCGGTCGAGTCCCGGCGAGATCGTACAGCCGAAGGCTTTGCACCTTCCGTCCCCGAGGCGGCCATGATGATGAAGGGTCGAGTTCAGTCCCAGGTTAGGTTGGTATCCCTGGTTTCCAATGGCGAAAACATGGAATATGCTGTTGACGCTTCCCGCAGATTCGCACTTGATCTCAGCTGTCGTCAGCTACTCGATCGATTTGCTTCCGTGATCCCCGGCTGCCGTAAATGCTTCCGGGCACGATCCTGACGTGAGGACCACGAGGCAGTCCACACAAGGTCAACCGAGGGTAAGGTCGAGTAACGAGCTGTATGTCGCCAGAGGTTGCTGTTGAGCTATCGGTTGCAGCTTCAATCAGCACGCTTGTAACAACACTCAAACACCTGCAAACATGGCCTCGTCAATGCGGGGGCTGACCCAGGTGAGAGCATCCTGTTACGACGCATAGCTGTCGAGTTATTGACGTTTCTTTGTCTTGGCTTGTGTAGTACATCAGTGATCTGCGAGCATGCAGGCAACGGGACCTAGAGTGAGTGTGAGGCGAGATGCAGCGATCTAGAAGCCGAACTGATGTGACGTTTCGTTCTGATCAGAGTACAGCGGGTCAACCGGGAGATGGCACACATCCGGCAAAAGTTCAAAGGCAAGCCACACCGTCGTTTCTCTAGCCACAGAAACACCGCCCGTCTACAGCTATTGACCTGGTTCTAGTACTTCTCATCCTTTGATAGACGGCAGCCTGGATGGCTATCAAAAGAAGAAGTACCTCGCCAAGGTCATCTTCACCTATATCCTCGGGTACAAGGTGGATACCGGTCATATGGAAGCGGTCAACCTGATCTCGAGCAACAAGTACAGCGAGAAACAGATCGTACGTCAGTCTACTCTATGCCCACCTCGTCTTTTCTGCTAATTCAACTTTGCCTTCCACTTCTGCAGGGGTACCTCGCAATCACCCTTCTCCTGCACGAAAACTCAGACCTGATCAGGCTCGTGATCAACTCTATCCGTAAAGACCTGGACGACAGGGACGAGATCAACAATTGTCTCGCCCTACATGCGATTGCGAACATCGGAGGCAAGGAGATGGCAGAGTCTTTAGCGGAGGATGTACATCGGTTGTTGTTGAGCGCGTGAGTGTGGGCCGTCTGCAAGCACGTTCGATGGGAGCAGACCTGACGGACCTCATGACACGGTTGAGCCACGCAGCACGTCGAGCACTTTTGTGCGAAAGAAGGCCGCTTTGACGTTACTCCGTCTCTATCGAAAGCATCCTACAGTTCTTCCTGTAGCGGATTGGGCAGAGAGGATCATCAGCCTGATGGACGACCGAGATCCCGTTAGTCTGCTTGCCGCCACCTGCTCTCAAGAGTTGACGATTAGCTGACGGATCGAGCGAACGGATGTAGGGTGTCGCGTTATGTGTGACAAACCTCGTCTCGGCCATGGCTCAAGACAACCTGGACGATTTCGCAATGTGCTACCAGAAGGCCGTGGAGAGGCTGACCAGGGTAGGTCAAGATGTCTGTCCGGGTGAAAAACACCTTTTTGAGGTTGATGTTGGCACTTGATTATTCTCCTTGTAGTTGATCTTCGACCGAGAATTCCCGTCAGACTACATCTATTACAAGGTAGAGATGTTTTTCGGTCCAAGTGCTGCACTTCGTGTTTGCGCTGATCCTTCCTGCTCCTTTGCAATAGGTCCCAATACCTTGGCTTCAGGTCAAGCTTTTGCGGTTGCTTCAATACTATCCTGCCCCAGGTGAGAAGATTATGCGTTGACACAAATCTTTTGGCGCTACTAAAGAGGTTGTTTAATAGAAAACAAGAAGATCAAGAACGTGTTGCAAAACTGTCTGATGACGATCATTGAGAACTCGCAAGAGACGCCAAAGGTGGGACAGTATGCACCAACGGAGTTTCGCTTTCGTAAACTGAATATGTGCACCTGTCGATACTCAGAACGTGCAACACAACAACGCTCAGAATGCAGTCCTCTTTGAAGCGATCAACCTGGCCATCCACGTTGATCCCGAGTCGCAAGTGGTCGCTGCCGCCTCGAAGTTGCTTGGGCGGTTCATTCTCGCCAAAGAGACCAACGTCCGATACCTCGGTCTCGATGCCATGGCACATCTCGCCGCGGTATCCGAATCGATCTCCCCAATCAAGAAACACCAGGATATCATCATCGCCTCTCTGAAGGACCGGGACATCAGTGTCAGAAGACGAGGTCTAGACCTCTTGTACTCGATGTGCGATACTTCCAACTCGAAGGTCATCGTTGGGGAGCTATTGAGGTACCTCCAGGTGGCCGACTACAATCTCAGGGAAGAAATGGTCTTGAAGATCGCGATCCTGACAGAGCGTTTTGCCACCGAGGTATGTCGCCTTTCGTCTACTTACAGTCTGCGTCAGTCATGCTGATATTGTCGGGTCGACTATAGTACGAGTGGTATGTAGACACCATCCTCCAGCTCATTTCTACGGCTGGAGACCACGTCGGTCCAGAAGTCTGGTATCGGGTGGTACAGCTAGTGACCAACAATGAGGATCTGCAGCCGTATGCGTCTCGGGCGGTGTTTGAGCACTTGAAGGCATCTTCGGTACACGAGACATTGATCAAGGTCGCGGGATATATTCTGGGAGAATTTGGTCATCTGATCGCAAACGACGATGGGTGCAGCCCGATCGAACAGTTCCAAGCGGTGCATTCGAAAATAAATCTATGTTCAGCCACTACTCGAGCGCTTTTGTTGACGACTTACATCAAGGTGAGTAGCCACTCGCAATGACCCGATGACGTTCAAACTGATCAAGTTTTTCTATGGTGATAGTGGGTCAATCTGTTCCCCGAGATCAAGCCTCAGCTAGTCAATATTTTCGAACGATATCGATACGTCCTAGACGCCGAGCTTCAGCAACGTGCATGCGAGTACCTGGCTCTCACTCAGCGGAACGACGAGGACGAGCTTCTTCAAGTGGTTTGCGAGGAGATGCCCCCGTTCCCTGAACGAGAATCGGCTCTGGTCAGCCGGTTGCACAGTAAGGCCGACTCTACCCAGGACAAGCGCACTTGGGTCATCGGTGGCAAGGACGAAAACAAGGGTCGAGAGGCCGCTCGATTCCGGTCGTTCTCGAATGTACCGTCGACTGATAGGCCGGAAACGGGTAGCGCAGCCGCTTCTACCCCTGCAGCTGCAGAGGTTCAGAGTCCTATAGAGATGGAGCGGGATCAAGTGGGCGTCTACGATATGATGGGCGCCGACCAATCGGCCGCCACAGACGACGTGATGACCTCGTTAGCTGGCTTGGACATGGGAGGTCCAGCTATACAGGAGGCGCCGTTGCTTCCCGCTGTTGCACAACCTGCACAGGCACCCGTTACGACGTACGTACCGGAAGCACCAGCTGCTACAACGCACATCTCGACGGCGGCAGCACTGGCAGCGATGTCACTTACCAAGGGTCCTGGCATAGAAAAGGTCGGTACTGTCCATACGTTCTTTTGTCATAACCTCACAGCTGACATTTTCGACTCGTGTCACAGTGGCTCGAGAGATTGATCTACAACTCCGAGGGTGTACTTTACGAAGATGAACAGCTGCAGATCGGAGTCAAGGCCGAATATCATGGAAATTTGGGCCGCCTGGCGATCTACATCGGTAACAAGATTCCCCAGCCGTTCACCTCCTTTTCGGCGACGATCGAAACTGCGGAGCCAGATGCACTAGAGGTCGACTTCTACAAGCCTCCTGCGACCGAGATTGCGGGATTGGCGCAGGTTCAATACCTCTTGCAAATCGAATGCAAGTCTGCCTTTTCGACTCTGCCCATCTTAAAGATGTCTTTTATCGCGGGCACAGTACGAAATCTCGTGCTCAAACTGCCAGTGTTCCTGTCAAAATTCGTGGAACCCGTAGAGTTGGACAGCGCTGCATTCTTCAGTCGTTGGAAAGCTATCGGAGGTGAGATCTGAGAGGCCTGATTTACGCAACCGAGAACTCCACTAACATATTATTGGTAACAGGTCCGCCTCGAGAATCCCAAAAGATCTTCCCTATTCATCTGGCCGCAGACGGATCGGTCGACACTGCACGACATGGCAAGATTATTGGGGGTCAGAAGTTTGCCCTTCTGGACAAGGTTGACCCAAATCCCAGCAACGTAAGCGAGCTCGTGAACGTTGATACATACTAGTGCTGATTTATGGTACCCATGACAGCACGTTGCCGCCGGCGTTCTACATACTGCGGATGGCAAGATGTAAGTCGGAATGGTTTGCTCTGCGTGCAGGACTTGAGACTCATCAATCGCCTTTCTCTCAACAGCGGAATTTTGATCAGATTCGAGCCAAACCGTGACGCTTCTCTGGCAAGAGCTACTGTCCGTAGCACGAGCAACGTCGTATCGGCCGAGATCCTAGAGATTCTCTGCAAGCCCCTTAACCGTGATACGATGGCGAGCGCTGCCTAAGTCCTAATGATGTCTGTCACGAATCGATCACGCTCCCCCTTTCAGAACGTCTTGTACACCTTTCCATATCTTTTCGAAATGCAGGTCATGTATCTATAGTTCATGTCATACAAGCATAATGGTATGGCCTGTTAGCATCTATGACGAAGTCGCTCTACTTGAAATAGTCGGGAAGAATGTAGCTAAGCTTCTTCTTGCTCTCCTGAGGCCAAGCCTCGGGCTGCAAAACAGAGATAGTCAGTATTAGGACCCTCTTCTGAGCAAAGGTGGTGTGGAACCGACCTTGGTGATGATAGAGTACTGCATGCCGCCCTTGGCAGCGGAAGTGATCTTGCCCTTGGCAACGGCGTGGTGTACGGCATCGAGGCATTCGACGGTGATCAACTTGGAAATGTTGGCGTTCTTGGTCAGGGTCTTGACGACCTCGCTATATTTTAGTAGAGAAAGTGTGAATTGGCTTGTGAAAAAAGAGCAAGCGCGCAACATGCGACACTCACGCAACGGTGACGGGCTCCTCGGAAACCCTCCAGGCATCGTAGTCGGTCGAAGTGCAGATAAGGGCGTAGCTGGGAAACCATTTCGATCAGGACACAGTCTGTTAAAAAGGTTTCATACATGACTCACCTCAATTCGGCCTCCCTAGCGAGCTTGGCCTCGGGAATAGTAGACATGTTGATGATGTCTCCCTGTCACACGTCAAACCCGGTCAGCCCCAAGCATCGGAACCTCGACTTGAAATATAAGCTCACGCCGATCTGCCTGTACATCAAGCTCTCAGCTCGGGTCGAGAAAGCCGGACCCTCCATGACAACGACAGTCTTCTTCTCGTGCAACTTGACGCTGCCCTCGGGGTGAGCTTCCAACACTTGTCTGACCTGCAAATTATCGAGAAGGTTAGTCGTTCTGCTGTGATGAATGATCACGTGCAATTGCTCACCTTCGGGGCCAAGAACTCGGACAGGTTGTTATCGAAAGCGTCACCGAACATTGCGTGAGCGACGATGCCGACCTTTTCGAAGTAAGACGCGGGTCGGATACCCTTGGTCCTGTCGATGATTCTGGTTGCCAGGAATGTGAAATCGTTAACCAACGCAATAACCAGAAATTAAGAGGTGTGGGAGCTCACCCGGAAGGAATAACAAAGTCACCAGGAGCAATCTCTTCCTGAAGAGACCCGACAGCCGAGAAGGCAACAATGGCCTGAACACCGATGTGCTTCAACGCAGCGATGTTGGCTTGAGCCGGGACCTCGGAAGGTGCATGTTGGTGAAATTCTCCGTGTCGAGCGAGGAAAGCGATTCTGATACCGGACGGCAGTTCCGCAATCTGGATCGGAGATGAGGGGAAGCCCCAGGGAGTCTCGGGGTTGACAGTGTCGCTGCCAATAGGGTTGTCAGTCCAGGTGATGGCATTGACGGTAACTTCTCTCCATCGGCTCACATGAAGTTCAGGTTGTCGAGCTTGTAAAGCCCCGACCCGCCAATCACACCAACAAGGATAGGTTGTTCAGACATTTTTTGTTGAGACAGGTTGCAGATACAAGATGTAGTACAATGATCAATCTCCAACCATTTGTATGATCCATCTACTCTGCTGCTTCGAACTCGCTCGCTATGTCGACGTTCCGACTGAATTGACCGAAATGTCCAATTTTGGTCCCGTCAATCTCCGGTCACGCCATACTTTCGAGGTGGTGACGATGGCGATAGCACCCAAGCGTTTCGACTGCTCCAGCCAACATATCGAACAGGATTATAATGCATGGGTAGAGTAACAGATCAACAGAGCAGCATTCACACATGTAATATGTACACCAAAGGACGAAAAGGAGGAGAATTGGCTAGGCTACAGATCCTGTTGAAATCGAGGACGCCGTTGCCGACGAAGGGCAATAGTAAACGTACAATGAGCGAAAAGCGAAAAAAACGGTCGAGTTTTCATGGCGGTTGCGAAGGGCGTGTGTGTATGTGTGCGATTTGAAGCGAGTCATAGAGTTGAAAAGCGACTCGAAGGGGAAGGGGCGTCCGATTCCAGGACAAGTGAAGGACCGTTTACATGGCCATGCCGTTCTGATGCGCGACAAAGGCGTTCGAGTCGGTAAAATGATTCGGGTCGAACCCTTGTGATCCACCCATCCCGTGATGTACGCCGGAGAGGTATTGCGGCGGAGCATGGGTAGGTGGTGTGGGGTATGAAAAGTTGGGCTGCATGTTCATCATCGGCTGACCGTGATGTGGCTGTGGAGAGTGGTAATAGCCGCCCTGATGATTTATCTGAGCTCGGCTTGGCGACATGTGATATGGCGACCCGGTGAGTGAAGGATGAAGCGACGCAGTCGAAAATGTTGCAGAGACTGGCGTTGTCTGCATGTGCATATGCTGGCCGTTATGTTGAGGCTGCTGTTGAGGCTGATGCTGCAGAGGTTGCGGTGGCATATGTTGCTGATGCGAATGCTGCTGCTGCTGTTGCTGTTGCTGTGCCGCCTGCATGTCTAGACCGCTACCTGCCGATGATATATGGTGTCCCATGTGCATGTTATGTTCCGGGACCTCGATCGTCTGCGTATCGCTCTCGCTTGTTGGATTGTTGCCTTCACTCAAAGGGTTCCCCTGTCCGTCGGTCTGGGCGTCCTTGAGCGCCTGCTGTTCCTTCTTGCTCGGCCGACGATTTTTGCCGCTAGGCAACCGTTTCCGAGGTCGAGGCGTCGTATCCTCGGGAATGGGCGGTACAGGAATCGCCGAGGCGGCAGAGGCGGCCAGCTTGCCAGTCTCTTCGGCATTCAGCTTGAGCGGTCGAATGGCAAGGGGTCGTTCTTTCCTCGATGGCGCGCTCGAAGTCGAGGCAGACTGTCCGCCATGTTCCTCATCCTCAGCGCCAGGGGCGTTCAAGCAGGCCTACAATGTGAACGTTGGAGTCAGCTACAGAACAGTCAGCAACAAGTTGCGAACACGCCGAGACCTACCTGGATCAGATTTTTCCCTTCCGACTGTGTCACGAGCGGTTGCAGCTTGGCCGTCGTGAAGGTATAGACAAGTCCGGTCTCGCTGACGACGAGGAGCAGAACCTGGGTCCCGGTAAGTGTCGATAGCTCGTACGCCTTACGAAGAAGAGGTCAAGCAAAGCATAATAGTTCAGCATTGCCATCTTCGCAGAGCCATACATGCCGGACCTACCTTTTTCATGATCCCAGCTTTCCGCTTGCTAAACGTGATATGCCGCCTGCTCTTGTCGGTGATGTACTCGATCCTGATCTTTCTCCTCATCGAATCTCCATCCTTGTCGACGAGCTCGAATCCACCCGGTTGTCCATCGGTAGGGTTGATTCCCACTCCATTACTGGGCATCTTCTTCTTGCCCTTGCTGGCTGACCGGCCACCGCTACCACCCGGCTCGTCATCCCCCTCGTCATCATCGTCATCTTCGACGTCGCTAGCTCCAAACGCGTTCTTGAAGATCATCCCCTGTTTGCGCAGAGCGTCTGGCTCGTGAGGTATCGAGCCGTGACCGGGATGAACGCCCTGGCCGCTGGGTGGCGTTTCGTCGTCCGACGCCGAAGGGTTCGAAGCCGACCGGTCTTCATCTGTTTGCACGCAGAAACAATTGTTAGTGCCTCGAGCTCAAACGTTTTCTGTCAGACTCTGAAACTCACCATCCCTCGCGCGTTTCCTGCCCGACATCGACGTTGCCTTTCTCGGCGTCTTGGGTCCCGAAGGACCCGATCCGCCCGAAATCCCCAGACTCCTCTGTACCGCAGCTTTGCTCCCGACCTCGGGGCTAGAGGTATTGACGTGGTTGACATGGTTGAGATTGTTGACGGGGTTCATATTCCGTCCGGGCGTGCTAGGTGCGCCAATGACGTGCCTCGACCCATTCTTCATCCTTGGGGTTGAGGGAACGTCCATCGTGGTGGCATTTAGAGGGCTAGGTAGAGCGTCCTCAACCTTGACGTTTGCATTGGCATATTGTATAGGTAGAGGTGGTACAGGTGGCTGACCCGAAGATGAGGATGCGGCATCTTGATCCCGTTTCCTACGCTTGTTCGAGACCGACCGCGTCCTCGCCGTTCTCGGGGTCTGCCCATTATCGTTCTCGTTGTTGTCACCTGTGTCCACGACTCCCCGCGAGACGGTACGCGAGGACGAGACGAACTCGACGTCGTTCTCATCATCGGCACCACCCTCGTTCGATTTACCTCGCTTCACGCCTTGGCCCGACCGATCGGCGTTCTCATCCTGTTCCCCTGAACTGCCCCGACTCTGCTGCTGGTTCGCTTGATGTTGACACAAGGCGGCCGCATAAGCCTGTTTATCCATCTTGAAACCCGAGGCACCGAACAGGCTTTGCATCTGCGCGTGGGTAGGTATCGAGCTGATGTCAATGTTGTTGACATTGACGTTGGCTGTCGAGGAACTCGGCGTCCCACCAGATTGAGCGCTGTTGGGGCCGGAAGAATGATTAAGATTGTCGGCGGATGAACGTCCGTCCATCTGATTATCGTTCATTGTCGTTGACATTGACGTGGACGTCAGGGGCATGATAGCTGGATCCACCTGATGTTGTTGATGATTCAATAGCGGCAGTTGTGGGGATGGTGATGAACCCGAACCCGACGATGGTCTAGCCTGTCCACCCGCCGTATTTGTTGTCCCTCCACCAAGTTCGATTCCGTGTGCATCTCCAAATATCCCAGACGGACTGCTCATCCCCATCTCGATCCCCATCATCTCGAGCGTATCCATCCCGATCTCTCCCATACCCCCCATACCCCCCATAAAGTCGTCAACGTCGCCCGGGTCACCACCTCCTGATCCGTCCCGGCCGGGAGAGCCGAGGAAACCGTTGTTATCCAGCGAATAAGGATCGTAAGATGAGTGGTGGGAATGGTGAGAGGATGAGGGTGGAGAGGAGAGTTCGATAGGTCCTGGTGATTGTGCCATCTTGAGTTATATCTCAAGTCGGGCGAGGAACGATGTACCCGATGCGATTCAGAATATGTAGCCGTATAGCCGCAAGTGTTTACCAAGTGGCTCGACTCTAGGATAGGTGCGGCTGCGCAAGGTGATAGGTCGATGTCGTTATCGATTCGGTCTGAACGATTGTTTATGTCCTGAAGCGATCCGGGCCGGATGATCCGTCAACAACCGACGCTCGACACAACCGCACACGCGATTCAGACTCACTTCTGCTACTATAATCTATCAGGGTGAAGGAGGCGGGACCTGTGGTGTGTCGTAGAGGGTCGAAGGTGTTGTCGACCGGCTGTGTGTCGTGGTGGTCTGGGTGTGTTGTGATACCGGGGGCGGTGCGGTGCGCGTGACGAATGATCGGCGGGATCAGACTGGAGAGGAGGCGAGGTGTTATTTGTACAGGTCCATAAGAGATAAAAGATTAGGTGTGGTGTATCTGGGAGTATGGGTTTAGAGGTCGAGTTGCTGCAAGGTAGATGTTGGTTGTTGATTGTTGTCGATGTCAGAGTGGGCGAGGTGGGATGGTCCCGGTGTGTGTGAGTGGGGGTGGGTTTGGGCTTTCGACCGCGCGAAACCGCGCGGTTCGGTGGCGGGCAACACGCAGATTGACGCGACGAGAGGGCAGGCAGGCGAAACACGCAGAAACACGCAGGCAAGGCAGGCGATGTCAACGATCGATCTAGGTACTATTGACCGCTACCTTGACGAATAACAGACATACAAGGAGGAACGTCACAGGTATATAGTGATGGCCAGACGTACAGGCTCGAAGCTAGGACGTACGTCGCAGTCGCTTCGGCGTATTACGTGATCCCCTTCTCACTTGAATCACGCTTTCTCACGCGTTTCCCCCTTGAGCTCTGCCTTACGTCATCCAATTTCGCGTTGAGCCGAAAGGTTGAAAGGGATTCTATTCCTCTTTCTCGCGGATCATCATCAATCCTTAGATCCTCATCGAATCTGTTTATTCATCCTTTCTCCGACACCGTCAACAAGCTAGCAATCTGTGGCCTGATCAGGTTTATACCTTTCCTCTGCGGCACGCTGGAAAGATGACCTCAACCTCCCACTGGCTGATGAAGGCCGAGCCCGAAAGTCGGCTCGAAAAGGGCGTCGACGTCAAGGTCAGCTTCACAACCTTCTTCACACTGCATCCATCTCTATTCAACTGCCCAGGGTCTAGCAACGTCACCTCTGACCTTGTTTAATGGACACGACATGTGATACTTGCCTGTCTCGTAGTTCTCGATCGATGACCTGAAAGAGATGGGCGTCTCCCCCTGGGATGGCGTACGGAACCACGAAGCCAAGAACTTCATGAAGAGCCGGATGAAGCTCGGGGACAAGGCAAGTTCCAGAGTCGATTCGGTCGTACTGCAACTTCCCTGATACCAATTCTTCTCCATCTCCTGGTGCTTATCTGCATCGAAACAGGTCTTGTTCTATCATTCAAACTGCAAAACCCCCGGCGTGTACGGAACGGCGACAATAGAGAAAGAAGGTTATCCAGATCGTAAGCGTAATCTTTTCCTCTCTTCCTATCTGCTGTTATATGTGCTGACCTCCAGAATCGAGATGATCAGATACAGCATGGGACGAGTGAGCCGCCTATTTCAACTCCTCTAGTCCGACCGATCGTTGCTGCATCGAGCGAAACGAGAGGATGCGCATGGTTACTCGACAGCCAACATCGGTCTTTTCATCCCCTCGTTCCCCACCTCTTCCTCCTCTCGATCAATCTGCTACGTAATCAGAAAACACCCGTATTTCGATAAAAAGTCGAAAGAGAGCAATCCTACGTGGTACATGGCAAGTCCTTCCTTGTCTGATCTGAAAGCAGCCGGTCTGATCATCAGGCGTTAGCACAATCCGCACAAGCTGACCTTTCTTGACCGGACAATTGCTTCTCATGTGGGACGGACTGATAGGTTGATGTCAAGTACGAATCTCACCTCGACCACCCGGTCACGCTATCGCTCTTCAAGACGCTCGCTACGAGCACGAATTTACCGGATTGTGTAGGATATATCGGCGAGGAAGGTTTGAAGGCGGTCAAGGGGATGCCTCTGGTCAATCGAGGTAGACTGAGTGAGCGCCCGAGTGAGACTCTGATGCTGACAGCAGCAGGCTGACGGGTCATGCGGATGTGACAGGCGTCCAATCGGTCAGCGAGGAAGCGTACAGGACGGTCTTGCTCCTCGGTGAAAGGGGAGGATGGGAATCCCTCGAACCCAAGAAACGCAAGAGTTCCTTGAAACGACCTCCCGATGCCCCGCAGGAGGAGGAGGACAATATCGGCAAGGCAGGGGCGAAAGATAAAGAAAAGGCTGATGGAAGCAGTAATAGGAAGCCGTCGACGAGATCGGGAAGGAAACGAGTGAGGATCAGCGAGGAAGAGAGCGAGCTGTCGGATTTGCCAGAAGACCGAATACCGAAGTCTGCATCGTCACCCGAACCCAAGGTTGGGTCTTCACACGTTAAAGGCGGGGCAAAGACCACAAGTTCGACGAACGAAAGGACAAGGAAAAGCTCGAAGAAGCAATAAAACGCCCTCCTTTGACCTATAGATATTTCGATTTTGCCGTGTTCCCCTTATGCCGACTCTCACACCGCAATGCTCAATTGCACTTCATAATCGTTGTATATGCTCCGTCGTGAAATGTCATACACCCACGTCCCCTATGTCGCTGGTACTCGATCGTCGGTCTGACTAGTGTCCCTATTGCCCGATCTCTGACTGACCTCGGTCTTCGCCGCGTCTCGAGACATTTTCGCGACGCGTATCGACCGTTTGATTGATCTGGAGATGCTCGAGATTCTTCTTCTTCTTGCATGTTGTTCGTACAATACACTTTGCGATCTCTACAGACTCGTTATACAAGAAACATTCCTCCTACTTAGAGCTGCTGCGACCCGAGCCGGGGCTAGGTGATCTACGGACCATGGAGAGCGAAGAAGAAAACGGTGCTGGGTCTGGGGATGAGATCGTCAACGGCCGTGATGGAGGGTGAGTAGCTTGATCATCACGCTCTCTACATGCATAGGCTAAGAACCTGCCTCTACAACAACCAAAGCTCGGAAAGAATGCCGCGAGAGTCACAGTATACTGAGCCTGAAGCCAAGGAGAAGATGAGAGGCTTGCGGGCGGAGCTTGAAGGTGTGTTGAGAGTGGAGAACCTACGGCAGGTCCGACGAGGCTGATCCTGATCATGCTTGCGCACGGAAGAGGACAACAGGGATCCTTCCAAGTTGACGATGAAAAAGGTCGTACAACAGCTGGATCTGCAACAAGAATACTATGCGGCAGGTATGCTTAAGAATCTGGAAAAAGGACTCGTCCCTCTACACTGCTGACAAGGAGCTATTCCTCGCAATCAGGCAAGAACACTGAAAGCCGGATCATGGATGCGGGCAACCTGCTACTTGTATCAGAAAACCTACATCGACTGAGCAAGAAAGAGAGGGCCAATGCCAACGCCTATGATATCAACGAATTCCTCGAGCCGTATGTGACATCCTTTCGCCTGTGCGTTTACATCTATGCATATGCATCAAGCTGATCTGCCACCATACGTCCCGCTTGCAGACTCCGATCGAAACTCGGTTTTGATCTGCCCACAGTCGAGGAAGAGGGTGAGGACAACTTGCGAGGTATACGCAAGAATGGGGAACTTGGAGATTGGGAGAGGATCGGATGGATGGCTACGAAACGCATGAGAACGGTCATGGGACTCGAGAGCATGTGAGTCGGATTGCTCGTCCGTTGTCCCTCAACTGTCCAGTCTTAACTTGCGCAAACATCGACATAGTAATGGGATGATGGCTGTCGAGCACAAGAAGCGCGTCGTCAAGAAGCGAGCCAAACAAGCCGCTCTCGGGGCAGAAGTGAGACCTACCGAATTGAGGGAACAAGACATGGCGGCAAGCAAGAACGAGACGACGGAAAACGTCAAGAGCGTGAGTCTATCTGTGTTGTAGATCGCGCTCATGCCAATTCGCAAGGCTGAAGACGCTGATCGCAGGTGTACAAGCGGCTACGAGATTTCGAAGCAAACGACCTGCCGGTAGAAGGGGAGTATGGCGGAGTCAACTTTTACGAATGGATCATCAACCCCGAAAGCTTTTCAGAGACCGTGGAGAATCTCTTCTATACGTCATTTCTGGTTCGGGAAGGCAAGCTCGTCATTGATATCGATGATGAGGGGATTCCTAGGCTATGTGCGTGGCTATGCGGCGGACGGGTCTGAGCGAATTGATCTTATTTTTCGGTGCTGGGCAGATGACGCTTTGGCCCCGCTGGAAGACGGGACGGAACCCGACCCGATTCCGAATACGGCACCAAAGATTCAAGAGGTTCTGCAGTTCGATATGGACACTTGGAAGGTAAGGGCTGAGCGATCAGATCTTCGTTCCGCAGAAAAATGTGCTAACAATTGGGCATGTACAACTTCCATGCAGGAGGCGATAAGATTGTTCAACATCACAAAACCCATGATTCCGGCACGCGGTCCCGTCAACACGCAGAAGGATTCGTGGGCAGTGTAATTTGGCCATGTTCACGGAACATCAGCATACGCAGCCTCTGCGATTGTAGCACAAGGACGTGTATGTATTCTTCTATTGTATCGATACGACCTTAAAGAGTCGATCCCGCCGTTCGAACGTATTTCACGACAAGGTGGTGATGCATATGAGTTGTACAAGGTAGATTAGCTTCTCTACAACCGTAGTGATATTTCGATACAACCGATTTCATAATTTGTCCTGTTCTATATCATGCAAGGCGAAAATTCTAGCCTGTCGCTCTCTTCGGTTCCTCTTCTTCATGTGTTGAGCCGGGAGCCGGTGCACCACGATGCTCTGCTGTACTTGGTCGGTCATTAAGTGTTCCTGTATTCTTCTTCTTGGTTGCGGGCTTGGTACGGTCTGTGACCGAGGGCTTGGCAGGCTGCTTTCTGCCTTTCGGTATCGTCTTCGCTTTGACTTCGGCATACACTGCGTTCAAATCGACGCCAGGGTGACGCTCTGTCCAATCGTCCCGGTCATGATCCCTCCTGATGGACAGATTGTTCTTCGATGCCAGGTAAGCCAGAGCTCCGCTCGTGCCCCTAGAAGCCTGGGCTTCCAAATATGCCAGATGATCTTTCGAGCTCAAATCGCCAAAGAAGTTGGTTTGCTCTGCGCTTGGGGCGCCGGGATGCTCAAGATTGATCGCCTTTTCCTTGCCCAATTTGCCTTTAGTTAGGTCGAGCAGGTTCATAATGTCTATCGACTCGCCCGGCGGAAGAGGCTCGGACTGAGAAGGTGTGACGCAGGTCATATCGACCTCTTTGCGGAAAACGTTGTCGATATCGACTAGTGAAAAGAAGGCGACTCCTTGCGGCAGATCGTTGATGCCTAGGTTGTAGCAGAACAGTGCTCTTGTCCAGATGTTGGCGATTTGCAAAGCGAGCGCCGCGCGGTACTTGTCATCCTCCTTGACCATGTACCTGAGTTCATCGTGCACCGAGATCATGTAACGAGCGTTGATGGAGTATCTCCGAATCAAGTAATCCATCGATACGATGAGCAGGTGAAGGTAATCAACACCCGACGACTGTACTACCCAGTTAATCCGTGAAGGCAAATAGTCCCCTTGACCCGAACGGCCTTCTGACAAGTACTTTTTCCGCAGGGCGTCCGTTACACCGCAGCCGAGTGCGGGTGTCCTAGGAGTGGGACTGCTGGCGATGCTCTCGAGCATATTGAACAGATAGCTCTCAGAGCCTCCATGCCAGATTGACCGAGGGCCAGTGAGTTTCCTGGCTCTTTTGTTGTAGGCATTCTGCGCGAACGTCTTCACGCCCTTTGTAGACTGGTACAACGCCTGAGCGAGCTCTTCAGCTTGTAGCGAGTTCAACGTCGGATCATTCTGCAGAAGAAGCTGGACGGCGTGCTTCATCCCTGCACCGTAGATACGGGAGTAGTTGAAGACTTTCGCATTGTCACGCTTGGTTTTGAGGATTTTGGCGGTCTTTGAATGCAGATCTGTACCGGCAGACTTGGTTCCTTCCAGAGTCATCCATCCGATGGCGGAAGCACCATGCATCGCGAATTGAGCGTCACCCATCACACTGGCGATCCACAATTCTTCCGAATCGACGTCCGCGCCAACGATCGCATAGCCAGGTGGAGCCCGAATCATCGCTTTGACTTCCGATCCAACTCGATTCTTCTTGGCGTTCGAGGCGGTCAACCAGGTCGACTCCATGGCTCTTCGAGTCACCGTCCCCATGGTGAGCACTTGAGGCAAGATCATGCCCAGATCTTCGGCCTTTTCCTGTTCCACGGGTAAACCCAATCCGCCGACATCTTGATGATACACATCCATTTGTGCCATGATCCTCTCGCGTGCACTGATCCAATAGCTGCATTGAGCATTCATGCTGACGGCGTCGGCAGCGGCACTGGCGATCTGATCGTCTCCCGGTCGAGTCGCGACGGAAGAGGCCAGATCCCCGCTTTCGACGTAGCGCATAAAGTTCTTGGACAAGGGGTTGCCAACATTGGCCTCATCGCCCGAGGCGTGCGGCAGCTTGCAGTAGACGCCATCGAGGTCGTTCTGGAATTTTGGATCAGTAACCTCTGTCTTTATCAAATGGCGGTTCTTCTCGACTTCAGATTTAGGGACGCGAAACACCCATCCGGTGCTGGGTGCGTGATATAGCGGGAAACCCTTCCAGGATAACCGCAAGAGCGTAGGAACGACCCTCTTCTTGACGGTCAAGTCGAGTTCGCCGACAGGCAACCCTTTGCTTGGAAGCGGCGCCAAATCATGGAACCACTTTGGCCACATGGTCGATTGGTCTATCATCTTCTTTGTGGATGTGGACTTGTTGGGACGAGCAGGTTTGGGACTTGGCGGTGAAGGCCTGGATCCCGACGGGGATATGGCCAAGGCCGTACGAGCAGGACGATCGACCAGATCCCACGCCAAGCTCCGAGCCCAAGTGGTATCTCTGCCGGTCTCCACGAAGTCCTCGACAGCTTTTTGGATCTCGGCTTGGAGATGTATCCGATCGACAGATCTACTCAACTCACTTGTCAGCTCCGGATGCGCCGACGCCAGGACGCCCGATGTCCAAAGCTTCTTTATCCGTTTTGAGTAGACAGAGCTCACGCGAGGAGACCCGGAAGGCCCCAGCTTGAAAAAGTCGTAATCTTCCGATTGCTCAACCAGGATCTTGTCTTCCTTCGGCCGAGAGAGCGTGAGCGGCCCCTCTAATTTGTGCTCGGCGAGATTGTGAGATTCGGTCTTGGGCACTTGAACCACCCAACGATGTTCAGCCGATTCGATCACCGGGAATCCATGAAACCTGACTCGCGTAATCAGCGGTAGGGGATCCCAAAGGGCGTTGGTAGGCAGGACCTTGAGCATAGTCTCCGATTCTTTGAGCCACCGAGGTATACGTTCGTGTCCAGGGAGGAACCGGAAAGACTCGTCATCTGACGCAATCTCGTTCTCGACAAGCGACTCGGATTTGCTCGATACAACAGGCCGTACCAACGCAGCACTTGATGTCGGAGGCTCTGATGATGAAGTGACCTCCTTGACGTGCTCTGCCTCAAAAGTTTTCGGCTCAACAGGCATTGGCGGGGTTATGTGGCCTTCCTCTGCTTTCGGCGTCGCAGGTGCTTCCGCAGCTCTTTCGATTGACTCGCCTCCCGGTGCAGAATCGGCGGGACTCGCCTGGGCCCCGCCCTTTCCTTCCTCCTTCATGTAAGACCCTCTGACCTCATCATCGTTCCACCGAGGGGCCTTTAATGTCCAATCCAACTGTTCACTCCAGGGATCCCCGGGTACATGACCCCGTTCCTTCAATCTGTACGCCAGCTCCCACAAGATCCCCTTGATCCCACCTTCGAGCTGCCTGTATTTCATCTCTGCCCTCTCAATGTACTCTTTCCAAGCCTTGTTGATGGGCAAGAACGGGTTCCCCATCCCCAGCGCTCCGGCAAACGAAGCCGGATGAGGGCAGGAGGCGAGAAAAAGAGGCAGTGTCTTTTGCAGTACGGCATGTGTGACCCGGACGTCTTCCGCGCAGTACTCTAGCAAGGTTTGTAATTCCGGTCTCAACTGACTGGCGGATCTGATCGATTCGTCGCCGAACCGGGATCGGACCGTCTTGTCCATCTTGCCACCATAATGCAACCTATAGACCTCGGCCAGGGAATTAGACGAGGTGACGTCTTCCCAACGTTTCTGCTCGGCCACCTCGGGTTCGGCATCGATCACGGCCGAAGGTGAATCCCCACTCTCCCTGATCAGATGCTCCGTCTCCTCTCCGATCTCCTTTTCCTGCTTCAACTCTTTCTTCCTCTTCATCCAGACCGGTCGTTGAGTCGACGTGATCCCCTTCGTGGCCACGTGCAAGCTCAACGTGTCCAGCCATCGGTTGTTGGTGAGCTCGACATGATACTCGTCCTTGACCCTAGCTCGGTCGAACCCGACGTTGTGCCCGACGATCAGGGCGGGTTGGGAACTCTGACTCTTGGTGAACGGGATCAAGTCTCTGGGGATGTCCTTACGTGGCTCTTGCTGCGGTGACCCTATTTCGGCTGATGTAGGTTCCTCGGCAGAACGATCCGCTTCAAAGATGGACGGGCTCAACCAGGAATACCAGTGCCTCGGGGTCGCCGCGGTAGCCATGACGGGGAAAGGCGAGATCTTATAGAGCACCTCGACGTCGAAACAGATCATCTCCTCCCCTCCTAGATCCTCAACGGGGGTGATACTCCCATCGAGATTATACCGTATCCATCCTGGTCCATCCGCATTCCACGTGGTCGGCATGTCCGGGATCGGATTCTCTGCAAACTCCCTAGCCAACCCAAGGTAAGGCTGAGCGGCCTCTTCCCCCAACTTGTAAAAGTGATCCCGGATGTTATTTCCCTGGAGCGGGGGTAGGTCAAAGTCGATCTCGGGGAGTACGGCCGCACCTTCCGGGTAGAGCTCGTTGTCCGCCAAGTGTTTCAGGGAGATGTCGATCACGGACTGCGGAGGGCCGGGAGGGGGTTCGCCGGGAAATATCTGGGATTGGAGGTGGGGTGAGAGGAGCTGGACGCCGGCGGCGTTTCGTCGTAGGTGAGGCGGTTTGGAGGATGATGGTGGTGGTAGTGGTGATACTTCTGCGGGCTCGTCACTCGAACGGGAAGAAGGGGGCGGCGGTTGAGAAGCATTGCTGAATAGCTCGAAACGGTCGCGATCAGCTACCACATCTTGCCAGGGCTCCTCTTTATCGTCGTGACTTACACCGTAGCCGAATCTGCGGAACCTTCATGCTCAACGCCATCCTTCTGGACTAACTTTGCGTCTCCCACCTCGACTTTCTTTGTCAACCCTGCCTGGGCCTTCTCAACTTCCTGCTTCCTGCCCTTCTCGTCGACCGTCACGCTGCTCGCAACCGCCGAGTCGGCTTTCGATGCCAGCTTGGGCTTCTTCACCCGCCGTTTGAACGAAGAAGGGTCGTTGAGATCTGGAAGCTTGATCTTCCTCCCTTGACCATCCAAACCCGCCCGGATTCAACATCAGTCCATCTTTCCCGGCTGATCAAGTTACTGTCCAATCGAGCTCACCTTGTCCATTCCCGGCTGATTCCATAGCATCCAACCCATCCTGAAACTCTTTCCGGATCTTCTCCCGAGGTTCTAGCTGCATGATCAGGGCTTCATCGTAATCCCTCCTCTCGCCCAGCCGACCTCTATCGCCAGTCGTCCTCTTGGCTTTAGGTTTATCTCCCTTCAGAGGCGCATTTGATAGCTTGTCGACTCTGGCATATACCTTCTTGTAGCTTCGCCCGCCTGCCGTGTGTATCGGTGAGCACGGCGAGTAGGTCGAGCTGATCAGGCGTTGTCGAACGAGAAGCGTCCGGACCGAGCATGTTCCTCCCAGGTGTGTAGGTCTCGGTCGGAGAGACCTCGTGACCAGCATCTGAGGGGAAGTCGCCGCCCAAAGGTGGTTGTTCCTGATTCACTGTGACGAGGATCTCAATGACCGATATGTTGGTGGCGAGTGGTTGACATCGCATGTCGATTTGATTTTTATGGTTTCAAGTCGAGCTCACGAGACAAAGAAGCAGCCATCATGATATCATGGTGACGAATTCCTGCCGTCGATCGATCGGGAGCCCAGGTTAAGGTGGTACTTTCGAGATGCGCGAGATAAACTGAGCTTCAACCATTTCTTGACGCGTTAGGGGAGGGTTTGTTAGTCGGTCGCGTCAGCTTTCCAAAAGGTTTGGGTGAGTCCCATTAGCAAAACTGGATAAGGGCAAGGGTAAGGTCGACCCCCCATGCTACTACTACTACTCAACACAAGTTCAGGTTGAACATCTACTCTTCTTAATAGATAGACACCCAGTCGCCGACAAAGCTTCCAACTTGAACATCATGCCACCTAAAGCAAAGCCCGCCGGACCGGTCAACCCGACATGGGAGGAGATGGAAGAGAAGAGGAAAGAGGTCGGTCGACCTTGTCACCACCACGAAACATAGCAACACTGATCTCGATCGACCTTTAACTTTTTATCGACCTGCCTTCACTCTCTCCACTTGCATGACGCGTCACGCGCTCGACATGCTCTGACGATCACCACACCGACTCGTCATACTCATGGCCGTACAGATGGTCGCATCCCTTCAAGCCCTATCCGAGGCCATGAAGACCTGCGCCCATATCCTCGAAGATTACGTCTCTCACTCTCCCGAAAACATCCTCGACACCCACGAGAAGAAGCGCAAGGCCGACGAGGACGCCGAGGGGACCGGCAAGGGCAAAAGGGCCAAGAAGGAGAAGAAGATCAAGGATCCCAACGAGCCTAAACGACCGCCCTCGGCCTACCTGGCCTACCAGAATGCCGTCAGGGAAGAGGTGAAAAAGTCCCAACCGGACATTTCGTACAATGCGTTGATCGGGATGATCGGAGAGAAATGGAAGGCGATGACGGATGAGGAGAAGAAGGTGAGTTCCGAGCAGGCGTTCATGCGGGGTGAGGTGGCCATCGTCGATGTTGATCCTGACTCTTGGTCGTCGCAGCCTTACCAAGACCGATACGAGGAGCTTGCGGGTGAATGGAAGGCGAAGCAACGGGTGTATACCGATGTGAGTGCTGGGGTTCGACCAGTTGCTACGATGGAATCAGCTCGATTGACAAGCTCGGTGCTGCCACTTGATCCTCTCGCTTCGTAGGGCAAAGCCGCTGCTACCGTGAGTCCAGTCCCGGCCGGTTAGAGGTCGACAGAGCGGATCTCCTTAGCTTAGCTGACATCGATGTCCCCCACCGCTCTGCCAGGCCGCCGACAAAGCCGCCGCTGCCAAACCCCTCGAGACCGCCTCGACCGTAGCCGGATCCGACTCGAGCGACTCTGACGACTCTGAATCCGAAAAGACCGATAACGACGATGATGACGATTCCGACGATTCCGAGGCCGACTCGAACGACGAGATCGCTGTGCCCGCGCCTGCTCCTCCCCCTGCCCCCGTTGCTCCCGCGGCGAAGAAGGGCAAGAAGGATACCGCCGCGGCTGCCCCTGCTGTTGCGCCGTCGACCCCTAGCAAGGCGGCTCCCGTCAAGGAGAAGAAGACCAAGGAGAAGAAGGCCAAGGCCAGCCCGGAAAAGGCGAAGAAGCCCAAGTCGAAGAAGACGGCTTGATCGGGCAAACATACCGAAAATCAACGACTGGCTACACGAACGAGAACCCACATTCCCCTCAACTTTCTGCGACCTTATTCCTTTTCGTCTTCCTTGCACCGATACCGACTTTCGGGATGAGGAAGACACCAATGCTCTTTCGTTTTCTCGTCCTCGACACCTTCACGATCCCAATTCGTTTACTTTTCGCTCTGATGTCGACCACGACCTTGTGTGCCTCTACCGCCCTAAGTGGAATTAGTACGAGATGATTTATTTCCGCCCGTCTGCTCGCTCAATTGGCAAGCTGTCCATCTTGCTGTGGGTCGACGCAGATTCGACCTTATGGGATGATGTATCATGCATAATGTGTCGGTTGATTTCTACTGTTTCTAGACTCGGGCTCTTGACATGCGATTTTGCGAGCTACAGGTTCCCTACAGCTCTCCTCTACTAACGTCCTTCTTTCATGATCACGACCAATCTATTCCTACTTCTTGCTGTCCCCATTGGTGGCAACCGAATCATCCTCCTTGGCCCAAGCTTCACGCCTAGAGGCGATCTCGGACAACTCCTTGAAGTCAAACCCGAGCGGGAGGTTCTTCCTCACAGCCGAAAGGAAGGCCGACCTAGCTTCATCCGAGCTCTTCAATGGAGAGACGTAGAACGCCAGGGCTTGCTTGTAGACGGCGAGATCGGGCTGGACGTCAGGCGAGACGATCTGCATGAGCGTCTCCTCTACCTGACGCTTGTCATCGCCGGACAACTCCGACTGTCCCTCTCCGAGCTGATTCGAAAGGATGAGGTAGAGGGACCTGGCGGCGGCCAAGATATGCCCGGCGTCTTGATGTTGCTGAAGGTAGTCGGAGTTGGTTCGCAAGGCGCTGGCGTCCTGCGGGATGAATTTTTCGATTTCGGCCAGTGCGACCTCGTTGATCTCTTTTTGCCCCTCGGCAAGTGCCTTCACACCGGCTTCGCTGCGGCCTAAGCAGGTGCATTATAGTGGTTGTCAGTTCGAGCAATGGGTGGTGCAATGGGTGAAGAATGTAGCTGATGGCGGCAAACTCACAAAAGATAGCCAAAGCGATGCACTTCTCGTGGACCTTAGGATGATCAGGAGCTAAGTCGTGGGCGTGGGACATTGCCAATCGCATTCGCATGAATTGTTCTGCAATGGATCCCAATCGTGAGCGTTCAATAAGGAATGCCAGAGAGGAAAGGAACGGGACTCACTCTTTCTCATGGCGAGCTCAAACTCTACAAGCCATGACTCGAGAGTAGGTGTCCTTCGCATAGCTTGCACCAAACGTTCCATCGCCTCCAAAGGATCCACTTCTTTTAGATAGTCCGCACCGGCCGGGTCAGAGTCAGGCAAAGAGGGTTCTTCCTTCTCTTTCTTCGGATCCGTAGGGGCAGAAGCAGCGGCTGGACAACGAAGCAAAGTTCAGAGAAAAAACCCCATATTTCCCGAAGTCGCAACCCACCTTTCTTTGCTTTGCTTCCCGCCTTTTGTGCCTTTTTAGCCGCCTTCTTTCGCTCGGCTTCCTCCTCGGGACCTATGAGCACGACAGTCGCTGTCAGGATACATCAAAAGGGCTTTCATAGAGGCTAAAACCTACTCAATCTGATTTCACGCAGAGACGGATCGTCGTGAATCAAGGCGTAAACCTCACACGCTGAAGCAGCAGCCCGCGTAAACCAGCGATCCGAGCGCAACTCTCTATCAAACTTCATCATCCTGTTGAATCGGAATCAGTATCATCTGAACAGTAATCAAGGCTCTACGTATACTCACTGCTGGTACGCGTCCAGAGTCAGCTTCCGCAGAGAATAGGTATGGAAGTCGTATTCGTCGTCCTCCAACTCTTGGTAGATCTATAGCGGCTCTTGCGTTGTCAACCGAGGTCGGACCGTCCTGGCCAGAGGTGATGACTCACTGCAATGACCTGCTCGTATCGCTTGACAGCGAGAGGCAGGTTACCGGCCCGGCGATATGCGTCTCCTTCCTCAATCAGGTACCAGCTACATTGCATGTCTTTGAGATCGGCTCCAGGTGTCGGTGCGTCTTTCTGTAAATACCCACATTCCCTTGTCAGCGGGAAGCCAAGATACCTCTAGCAACTCGGGACTGACCTTCGTGAACAACCCAAAGACCTGTCCAGCTTTCTCGATCTGACCTGCTCGCAACCAGTACTTCCCCGCTTTCCCATTGAGGAATCGATCGCTCTTGTCCAACAACCTCGCCTGCTCCAAAGCCCTCGCTGCACCCTCCAAATCACCAGCCCGTTTGAGCACGTGTCCGCGAGCAAACAGCACCTCGGGCACGGTAGGGTGTCTCTTCCCCGCGATATCAAGTAGTTCTAGAGCCCTGGCATAGTCCTTCTGAGGGCAAGTCCTATGCGAGATGCTTGATGCGATAAAGTAATATGTCCAGAGAAGGGCTTCCGAGTCTACGATAGACAGGGTCAGAAGTTTGGGACCCCATGATGAGAAATGCACATGGCTCACTTTCGTCCTTCGCTTCGTAATGCTCCCTGAACTCTTCAGCAGCTTCCTGGATGATCTTCTGCTTTTCTTCCGCCCGACACAATTCCTTCAAATCGGAGAATAACGAGGGAACCCCCTTTTCGAAAGCCTTCTGCATGTACGCTTTCACCCTAGACCGGAATTCATCGCCTATCAGTTCAAAGAGCATGATGATTAGCGTTCAGTAATCCATCTGAATCGAAGGAAGCCAGTCAATTCACCGTTGACGATATCCAGGATAAGACGTTTCGGTGCTGAAGCCCTCGGATAGCTTTCGGCGAACCCGTCCATGATTGTCAATGTCTTCGGCAGCAGGTCCTCAGATATTGTTGAGTCTGTATGAAAGTGATTTAGCAGAGCGATTGATAACCCGGCCTTGAATAATTTTTCCTGGTCCAGACTCACCGAAATCGATTCCTTTGAGGAACATCAAATTGCCATAGTAGCTCAAGTTGTCTGGGTTGAGCTCGATCAACTTTCGGTACTGCTCTTCAGCTTTCTCCTTCTGGCCCAGCTTCTCGTAGATTGTTGCTGTGCAGTGCGTGAACCGCATTAGCACGGTCGATCTTTATGACACGGTATATGTGCCAAGTGTTGCTCACCTTCAAGCGTCATGACGTCGCAAATTGGTGGAAGGGTTTTGTCGTCGACAGACTTGCGCAACAACTCGAGGGCGTCCTGATACCGGCCAACTTCCACCATCAGCCTGATCGTATGGATACACAGCTCTGCTTTCTCCACCGAATCATAGCCGGTGTCCTGTGTCAGGCAGGCCAAATGATTTCAGCTGGAATCGGCAGGTTTGTACATGTCGGGCCTGGCTGACCTTCAAGGCCTTTCCCAACTGATCATAAACGTTCAACGCATTTTGAGGCTCGCCGCACAGCTCATATCCGATAGCTACTGTCACCCAGTTCGCCTTCATGTTCGGCCGAAGGGTATGATACTTGATTCTGGCTTGCTGTGCTTCATCGTAATGCTTGAGCTGGGTGTAGAGCGAGATACTGTCCCTGATCAAGGGGATGTTCTCCGGGTCGATTTCACGAGCTTTACGCAGAGCATCTGCAGCTCCAGCAAAGTCCTTGTCGGCCCGAAGGATGATCGAGTGAACGTGATGGGTGATATGGGAATAGGGATCTTTGCGCAGAGCGGTGTCGATCAGGCGGTTAGCCTCCTCCCCCTTGGGTTGTGAGGTAGCCGTGGGGTGATTGTGAGGCAGAGATGAGTGGATGACCAGAGCCTTGATTGCCAGAGTTTCTGATCATAATTTTAGCGGACAGGAGAGGAGCGGTCAGCTCTGAAGTTGTCGGTGATTCGAAGGCATGACTTACCACCGTGATTTGGGAACTTTTTGAGGATCTGATCAGCAGCCTTGATTCCTTGCTTGTGCTGCTTCGCCTCGTAGTGTTGCTGTGAATCGACAAGTTATATGTAAGTCGTCGCCGAAGACTGATCTTGCCCGCGATGTTTGAGCCTTGACCTACCAGTAGCTGCCTAAAGAGACCCGACTCTTTAGTTGGCAGAGCTCGGTCCTTGATAGCTTTCGCCCGAGCGGCACTGTCAGCTTTTGAAGCCATTTTGAGGAGGCGTAATCGTCGTTTAGCCTTGAATGGCTGTCTAGTATATATGTAAGAGCTGGGAGCTTTGAGAAAGTTTGGCAGACTTGGAACAGAGGTTATCATCTACTTATTGACATTCCAAGCACTTCGACGTCGAGGTCGATCGAAGCAATCGGTCCCGAGCGGTATGCAGTCCGCGCTTGTTCGACGCGCTTCAAACCTCGGCGATTCAGCGACATCCTTGTTCATGGTTCACTGAAACGTGTAGCCATCGCGGGGTTAGAGCTTATAATAAGGCCCTGATCTATATACAAGCTAAGCATATCACGTACACCTATGTTCGCGAGAAAGCTGTGAAGAATCTGACATGCTAGAGCTACCTAAGCTCCGAGGACCCCAGCTTCGCCTCATCGTCGTCATCAGTCCTGTCGGCCGGCATGTCATCATTAGAGGGTCTGCCTTGGAGTAGCTCATAACCCTCCTCGCCTTTTGATTCTCCCTTCGCGTTCCCATGAACCACGGCAAACCACAGAGTGAACAGCGCAAGGCTAATCGCGGCGATCCAAACGGCAAGACGTCGTAGCGCCCCTCCTGAGGCAGAGTAGGAAAACAAGGCGCTATCGAAACGAGGCATGGAATGAGCTCAGATCGTCTGGCATAGCCGATAGTGACACTTTACCCTATAAGAATCGGAGGGAAACCTCGACCGAAGCCCTATACAAATGACGTCAAATTTCGACAAAACGTCAGCATGGATGGGTGATTCCGCGTAAGCTATCCATCCGCAAATCGCCGCTTACCGCGATTGAGAACACCATTGTGTGAGCATAGGTAATTTGAGCATGGTATTGAACGCAGTCCGGAACGGAAGCCTCAATAAACCTTTAAAGCAATCCGGCCATCATGAACTCAAGTCCTAGCGATCAAAGACGTCGCGATACCGATCCGACTCACGTCACGCCCAGATCAGCGTATCGCTTGCAAAGGTTGGAAAGAATGATCCAGAACCAGATCACAACTGCACTTGGTCCCTCTTGTCCTTCTTCCACGTTCGATAACCAGCTGACTATTCCCAGCGTGAGAAAGGTGATCGTCCACGCAGTGCAGGTCGAGCTCAAGATCACCGATCGAGACAGGTTCCTCTCCATCCAAGGGAAAAGTGTGATCGCACCGAGACCGGAGGCGATCGCTCCTACTAGCAAGACGTTGCCGATCTCGGGGGGCATCAAGCCCGGCCCAATGGGGCGCGGAGAGGCACACACGACGATGAAACTGACGTCCCAACTGAAACCGACTGCACAAGTCACTGCGGCGCGTCGAGAAGAAACTTCATTTCCATGTTGTGGCGCGGAGACATAGGGACTTACGGAATTCTAGGATCAGCATGTTGCGACAAGGCCTATAATGCCAGAGCTTGATCCACTCTTCCTTCATACTCGTCTCTTTCGGCCCCGTCGTCTGTTTGCTGCCCCATGTCTTGCGCTTCTCTTTCGGGAGTGTCTGATAATGCTTGTCGTCAGCGAATTGAGGTGTATTTGATGGCGGCCGAGCCGCTTACCTCAGGCAGATAGATAAAGACGATTGTCGCGATGATTAGAATACTATTAAACACAGGATATATCGGTCGATTTTTGGCGCTTCGTGACTGTGGTATATTCTGATTATTTGCTGCTTACCATAGTCCAACCACAAGGCTCGGAGGCAAGTATGGATACCGGTTCAACACGCCGATGTCGGACAGCGCCTCGAAGCGGTTGAGCTTGACCATGTGTCCTCCAACCCAAGGCTTCGCAAACCATATTTGTTGTTCGATCAGTACTGTTGAGTGTCACGATGAGGAGATTACTTACTCCAACGACATATCCTACCGCAAACGCCAAGAACATGATTCCGAACGCTACCATGCTCAAAGAGCGGTGTTTAGTGGACGAGCGCAAACCCGAACGATGGAGCTCTCTCTCCTCACCTCTTCCACGGTTAGAGTGATCAGTCACCTCTGCCATGATGGCTTTAGTCAGAATTGCATAGACCGAGCAGAAGCCCTGCATCGTTCTCCAAAAGAATACGCCAAAGAGGCTAGTGCTGAAGCCGATGGGGATGAGCACCCATCCGTACAGCAACATCGACAAGATGAAGATCGGCTTTCTCCCCGTGTAGTCCGAGATGTAGCACAGGATCGGGGCGAATATCTCGGCGAGCTGAAGGCAGGATTCGATGATCCCCACCCAGAATCCGAGCGAGGCCGCCGGGACGCCGAACGAGGCTACTTGATCGCTGACATATGGGTGGATGACGGTCCAGCTAATACCCAAGGCGAATCGACAGAGGATAAGGGGGATGAGGAACCGGTGCGGAATGGGCGCCATCGTTGCACAACACATTCGGATGCCTAAAGAGCATGTGACAGACCGATACCTCCTCCGACTTCGCTCCGTCGCCGCCCTTTTTACCATTATCGCTCCATACTATATGCATCTGAGATCTACGAGTGCCGACCGTAGAGATGATAAGAGAGATCTAGGGGGTTCAAGGACTCAAAGGGAGATCTGCGCCTGCTGCTGCGTTGTTCTTGCTTGGATCCCTTTGAACTGATTGTGCCATCGCCGTTTCAGGGATGCTGTCTTGCCCCCCACCAAGCCCCCATGACGGCATCGTCAATATCCGCGTCGCCCTCAAAGCCCAGAGGTCAAGCTGATGATGACGACTAGCTACGAATCAGACTAGCAGACTCGACATCCTCGACCTTCGACAACCCAAGATCATATACTCCCCGAAACTCTGCCTCAGGCCTCAGTGCTATCCTTCTCTACCTTTGTGATGTCTACTGACGGAGACTTTTACGCGGAAGCCAATGCCGCAGCATCCAGTATCGCTCGTCGACTGAAAGACCTCCGGAACTATCAACTTCCCCGGCTCAAGGATTGTCGAGATGCTTCGTTGCAAGGAGAGATAGCCGCCGAGATGAGGGACGACCTGGAACTGACGATGCGTACCATCGAGGTTAGCTACGGCTCGAGAATAGAAATTTGGGTCAGATTGAGCTGAAAATGAAGGCCTTGATCTAGAATTTTACGGAACTGGCGCATGATCAAGATACACCGGCAGACAGAGAAGGATTCTTGGCTCGAGCTGAAGCCTTCAAACAGGAGACAAACGAGTATGTAGGCCCAAATCTGCTCCTGGTGAGTATCGCTACTGATAATGGCTTCTCTGATAGTATCCGGTTACTCTACCGAAAGGCTCTCTTGTTCTCTGCGCAGGAGATCAAGAAGGACACACGGACGAACCTCCTTCAACCTCGCGCTGTCGAGCCAACAATAGCGGAAACACCAGCAGCTCGCAGGTGAGTGTTGATCAGGATCAAGTACGGTCGGAAACTGGCTGATTCGATGTGATGGTTCCCTCGCTCTCGCTCTTCCCGCAGAGACGATGATGATCCTTTGCAAGCCAAGACGAACGAGGTGACGGACGCCCTGAGGAGGACGGTCGGGACCATGAAAGAAGAGCTGGAGAGGAGTGTCATGGTCACGCAGATGTTTGGTATGCCTCATTTCTGCCCTTCCCTTTTGTGAGGTAGCCTTATTAGAATGCTTACATTACGCTCCGGATCCCGACAGACGAATCCACCCAGACTCTCCGCTCGACCAGCAGCCTGTACGACCGTTCGGCCAACCTCCTGAAATCCTCCTCTCACCTCGTCCAGCACCTGGAAAAAGCCGACTGGTACGACCGGATGATCATCTTCCTTGCCCTGGGCTTCTTCTTCCTCGTCATCGCCTTCATCCTCAAGCGACGGGTCCTCGACAAGGTTGCCGGCGGGGTATGGTGGTGGGTCGGAGGGACGTTCAAGATCTTGACGGGGCGGGGGCGATCGAAAAGCAAATTACGGGCAAAGGATTTGAGCAAGGCGGTCGACCAAGCGGGTCGGGCGGGGAGCACAATCAAGGGAGCGGTCAAGAGTCTAGCAGAGAGCGTCAAGGAGGGCGAGACAGTCAGGACAATGACTCTGACCGAGACGAAGGTGTTGACAAGTACGGCTGCCGTTGGGACACGGCATATAGAACTTTGAGTCGGAGACAGTGTCATCATGGATCGTGAATCGGCGTTGTACAATGTCAGGGAGACCCGTAGCATGACCAGAGCCATGCAATGAGAGGTCGCTCACCTGAGTTAAGACCAAAACTACCAACCAACGATATCTCCACATCGAGAGCCGGGCTGAGACCAGACTTCAGCGACTTGAGCACATTTTTCAGTATACGATACCTCTTGTCTCTCAACATTCGATACCTCTTGTCTCGACAACTGATACCTCTTTTACATTGCTCATCATGATCAGATACCGTAACCCTCAAACAGCTCTCCCATCTACGGGCGCAACGACCTGCGGTATGCCCTGCGGTCGACTTGCCGCAATCCTTCCCATCAGCTTGGAGGAAAAGAACGCAGTCTTTGTGAGGCGCGAGGCCTTGTGAGACCTCGCTCAGTTAAACTTGGCAGTCTTGGGCTGTCGCAAGCTTCAATTGACACCGTCACCGAAGTCATGTCTTTGTTACCAAAAGACAACGGTGTGCCATGTCCGGGTGTGCCATGTCCGGTGTCTTGACTGATGGCTGATTGACCAGCTGAAGTTCCGTGTGAGATTGAGATTTGATGTTACAGAGCCGACCCTGATACATTCTAGGCCAGCTTCAGTTTCGTTACACGTACATGCACCGGCTCGACCAGTCTCCCCGAGCATTCCCTTCATCGCCTCTCTCTCCTCAAGCCTCGCTTTGGATCCCCATCTTCTCCAAGACCTTCTGTTCCCTCTCCTCTTCCTTCCTGCGCCTTTCCTGCTTTTCAAACCCTTCCGTGCCCATGCTCTTTTCGGCCAGCTCGACCTGCTTCAAGATCTCGCTCTCCTGTTGTTCCGGTGCTACTGCTCCTGCGACGACCGTCGAGGGTGTTACGAGAGCCGAACCACGGGAATGGATCTGAGTGAGGTAGAATGATTTTCGTTTCGATTGAGGTTTGCCGAGTTGGATCGTTACCCGGTCGTCCAGTCTTGCCTCTGCGATCGGAAAGTTGACAGACGGTTAGACGCACCATCTGGTAAACCCGTCTGACACCGTTCGACTCACGCTCGTGCTCATCGTGCACCAGGAATTTCTTATGTCGCTTCATCTCCTTCAACAATATCGGATGTACCACCTTGCGTGATACCTGTTGGTGCGGTTAGGAACAGCCTTGTTCAGCTCTTCATCGTCCAGATCAACGAGCTGCGTTATGATTGATTCCCGACGCACCGTCACCGTTACCGTCTTGCCCATCACGCCAGCTTTTGTTACGATTCCTTCTAGTACCGTCATGATGTGCTAGCTTCGAGATTATGATTGTCGAGAGTTGCCGAGGTAGAACACACAATGCACGACCTCGCAGCGGAAATGAACGATATCTCGACGTTGGAACCTTCAGCCAGAGATTTCGGAGCGTCAATCCGAAATGTCAGGCTCAATGGCTGAGGCCAGCCTGACATCTAATCAGTCGTCACGGCGGTCGACGATCACAACCTAAACATGCGTCTGATGCTCCGACCTTCTTGGTTACAAAAGCACTTTGATCACCATCTTTTGGTTCGATCAGGTTCGAAAGCTATCGATTTAAATATTCTGCACGCACGATTCGGAATTGAACACTGCCGTCTATTGTCCTTGCGAATCGACAGCGGTCAACACAGCGCAAGGCGGATCACCCGGAATTCACCTGCTCAAGTGATTGTTTACAAATTGGCGAGATGTTCGTCCTAAAGTCATGTGAGTCCTTTCGCTCGCTGATGAAGGCGAAAGATTGTTCTTGCTGAATGGTTCCCTTCTTTCTTCTTGTCTATCAGTGTTTGGTCAGATGTGGGGTGAGCCAGGCTTCTCTGTCATCAGCGACATTTCGCGAATCTGTTGTTTATCATGTGCCTTTGGCTTCTCAGGTAACCCCTCCAACCCCGAGATCATACAAATCCCGGCTGGACAGCTCTATTTGGTCAGACCTGACAGTATCAAGGGATCGAGAGAATGCATGTGAGTTGTTTCAGTTGATGGGAATCCCTTCTACGTTGCTCGTATAGCAGCTAACGTTTTGCTATGGTTGATTTGATCAATAGCTTCAAAGATGCAGTGGCGACCATCAGGAGGACCTCTATCGAGCATCAATTCCAGCTGGTCATCACTCGTGCATACGAAGAGGGAGAAGAGCAGTTGCTTGATGAGGACGCCGAGTGTGAGTCAATCTGGGATGATAGGGGTCATTTCTAGTTGAGCTAATCTGCTTCCTTCAACTCGGTATTTGGGAATGGTAGCCGAGGATGAGCGTTTGTTCCTACTAGACGAAGCACTATCGTTCCGTTCAGGGATCCTCGATGGCGATATTACCTTTTCGTGGCGGGACCTTTCGGGAGATCCTGGTGACATGTGGGAGTTTGTCTGTAACACTAAGGCTGTTCCCAAGGCGACGAGTGGGGTTTTCGAGGTTACAGTCTTGCATTGCATGTACGAGAGGGTAAGTGAAGTAGTAGATGACAGAGATGGGCAAGTCGAAATGTTGACATCGAAGGCAATCTGGCTTGAGCAGAAATTCCAGCGGAGCCATGAACAGGCGACACAGGCGGATCTAGAAGCTCTAAAATGGCAGTGAGTGGAGTCAGGCTTTCCAAGCAATTCGCAAGTCGCAGAAGCCTTGATGAAACATCATTTTTCCAGGCCGAAGTCTAGGCGATCTGAGAACCCAGCCAGTCGAATCAGTCGCGGAACCGCCACCTCGAGCTCGCCCGAGCAACTCGACCTACAATCACTGTCCCTCAAGGATGACGTCGAGCAACCTCAACCGGGACCGTCTACACCTCCCTCGCGCTCTCAAGTCATCCCGGAAGAAGAGGAAGAGGAAGAGGAATACCAAGACCCCTTCGAGCAAGCGCCGCTTCTGCACAGCGAGGCTGGGGAGTGCTACCTCTTCGACGTGGACGTAGAGACCTTTGTGGTCCAAGATGCCTCGGTTATCGCCGAAATCCGGTCTGGCGGTGTTTTCGACTATTGGCTCGTCATTCGGGACCACAAGAAGATAGCGTTCATCTCGGTCCCCCTAGATTCCGAGATGGTCCCCCGCTTGCACGAGGCCGAGCGTGCCTTCATGTTCTCCTTCAACTCTGCAGAGAGCGGGACAAGCTCGACCTGGTGTGTCAAGTTTGCCGAGCAGGAGCAATTCGTCAGCTGGAAGGCTGCCTTTACCCAGTACATGTGGGAAGGCAGGAACAAGATGAGCTGGGCGAAAGCCAAGGCGGATGAACAGCGATATATCGGGTCCCAGTACGAGGATGTCGAGATGGAAGATGTCGAAGGGCGAGAAGCTGGCGATTCCGAGGAGGAAGAGGTCGAGGATGAGAGCGATGTCGGAACCAGCTCATATGACGAGGACGAGTCGGAGAGCGATAGCGAGACCTTTAACAGGGTGGCCAAGGGCAAGAACGAAAAGCTCACGGTCGGATACAAGAATGACCGTTCGTTTGTCGTTCGAGGCGACATGATCGGAGTCTTCAAGCATACCGATGATAACAAAGTCAAGTGGCAGACCTCGATCAACCGGGTCTCTGACTTGAAGGGCAAGGCTTTTACCCCCAAGAAGGTCAGTCTTGCAGTGGAAGTAGCTTAACCAGACCTCGTGACTAATGGTTATGTGTACATCGCGTAGATCATGCTTCACAACCAAGACTCGGACATGTTGGTCATGGACCCTAATAACAAGAACTCGGTGTACAGGATGGACCTGGAGCGAGGCAAGATCGTCGACGAATGGAAGGTGTCGGACAGTATCAATGTGGACAACATTATTCCCGAGTGAGTGTCATGCGCCCAAGTAGGAGATCAACCGAGGATGGAATCTGACTAAAAGCTGGATGTAGGTCGAAATATGCTCAAATGAACCCGACCCAGACCCTGATCGGACACTGTAAGTTCGTACCTCGAGCTCACCAGTATAGAACACTGATAGGATATCCGCTACAACAGCCCACAATGGTCTCTTCCGAATCGATCCCCGTGTAGAGGGCAACAAGCTGGTCGAGTCTCAATTCAAGCAGTATGCAACCAAGAATGACTTTTCCGCCGCCACTACCACCGAGTCCGGTCGTGTTGCAGTCGCTAGTAACAAGGGTGACATTCGTCTGTTCGACTCGATCGGCAAGAATGCCAAGGTGAGTTTGAATAGCGGGTAATCTGCTCGACCTCCACAGCCATTAACGGTTCGAGCATCGTTCAGACCGCACTTCCGGCTCTCGGAGATCCTATCATTGGCGTCGATGTGTCCGCCGATGGACGATGGATCATCGCCACCTGCAAGACTTACCTCTTGCTCATTGATACCTTGATTGGTGATGGCCGATACGCAGGATCACTCGGTTTCGACAGGAGCTTCCCGGCCGACTCAAAGCCGATCCCTCGAAGGTTGCAGCTCAAGCCCGAACATTTGGCGTACATGGCTACGGAGATCTCGTTCACGCCTGCCCGATTCAACACTGGTGAGGGGCAACAGGAGAACAATATTGTCACCTCTACTGGTCCATTCGTCATCACATGTAAGTCAGATGCCTTGCAACGACCCGGTTGCACCCAATAGATAGGGTTCTTGACGAGTCTTCTTTCGCAACGCAGGGGACTTCAAGCGCGTCAAGCAAGGGAAGCTCGATCAGTACAACATCAAGAAGTATCAGTCGAACGTTGTCGCAGACGAGTTCAAGTACGGATCGGACAAGAACGTCGTCGTCGCCCTCGAGCACAATGTGCTCATGGTCAACAAGAAGGACTTGCTCAAGGTAAACGAGGCTAGTTGCGCGAGGCCAGGTATGCTACGGCTGACCCGGCGTGTCTTTCCTCTTGCAGCCAACGCGTGCTTCGCTCTCGACCCCTATGAAGCAGCTTCGATCGAAGAACCAGTTCGTCAATTCGCCATACTGAGCTCGCGCTTTGAGCATTCCAGGCTATACATCTGCCGTCAAACATAATGTGTACTGTAGTGATTCTGTACTCTTGCATGTATCTGTACGTTATCGGAAGGTCGCTCGCTCTGCCGGCATACAAAGGACGTCAGCTGGCCTCGGTTTCCCCCCCCCACCTCGACATCAGCGGAAGCAGATCGCTCTGTCTACCTTTGGTTCTGAGAGGGGTATATATATCAGCACCGAACCTCGACCATCTCAGCGTTCTTTCTTGCCCGGAAATTGTATCTTTCTTCCTCATCACATCATCTTCCTAGTAATGAAAGAACAAGCAAGCACATCCTACTTTCAACTATCTCCTCGCCACTTGCCCTCATTCTCGATATGCTCCGCGCTACACGACACCGCCAGGACAAACGTCCTATCGATCGAATGTCCGAATCCGAAGTCAAGTCCAAGCTATTACTTTCGGACAAGACGATTGCCGAGCTAGATCATGCGTGAGTCCCCGTTCGACCTATTTGTACCTACGGTTGCGGTCCGTCAGAATCCTGGCTGACACGACGCGATTCGGCAGATTCAAGACCGGTGCCCCTACCCTCTTTACCCAACAAGACTACGATAAGCTCAAGGAAGCCAACGCCAAGATGAGAAAGCGTTTGGACGACATTGCGGCCTCTCGATTGACGAGTTCGCTCGCGGGCATGTCTGTCAGACCGGTGGTCAATGGAACAGCGAACGGATCCACTAAGCCAAGCTCGGATCAGAGGAGAGCGAGCGGAGATTCCGCGCAGCTCTTGAGTACCAGCAACTCTGCTAGACCAGCTTTCATTCAACCTCCAAGTGCTCCCAGAGTTCAGATGCTGTGGGTGTTCTGTTTTATATGACCTTGCCTCGGTCAATGCTGATCTCATTTACGATCAACAGAGACGCCACGCAGTCCATTCAGATTCAGAACGCTTCGAACGAGGCCGACAGATTGGCCAGAGAAGCAGGCCTTTCTCACCTTTCCAAGTCGAAGCCTCAGAGGACAACACAACGAAGTCGACCCTCACAGCCTAGCATGAACGCCTACTTGTATGTCCTTAACCGCCCTGCTACGATGGTAAAACCCCTGCTGACCGCTTGATCCCGAAATCATAGACCTACCGGAGCTTTCGATGTCGAATCGGACGCTGACGACTGGATGTATGAGGATGAAGACTCCGAATTCGAGATAGAACTTCCCGAGCTGCTCAGAAAGCAACAACGAGAGGCTGAGGCTAGAGAATCCGACACCTATTCCGAGGCCGGAAGCGAGGGGGAATACGGGGACCTGAACCACATCATCAGGGTGGACATGGAGAAGATGACGGACTTGCAAGGCAGGGATATGGAACGCGCATCCGACAGCATGCAGACGTCTTAATGGGCCCGGGGACTTGTGTTCCCGAGCCTGCGGGCCGCTGCAGACCGAACCTTTACGCCGACACGACCTCTCTTTAACGACAACCGACTTGTGACGACAACGTTGTATATGGCGTATAAGATAGCATTGTAACAAGTATGGAACCGAAGTCTCTGAACCCGGAACGAGCTTATAATGATGTACATCATTCAAGAAACCCCCAAATCAATCGGTCAAGGCCGCGGACGATGACCATGCGCAGGTTTACCAATGCAGCAAATGGAAAAACAGCTGGACGACAGAAGCGGGCAAGCTCCATCATTGTGATCTCATGCAAGTACAACTGCCAATGCTGCGGCTTCGTGTAGGGGCAATGTCTCCCTCCGGGTGGATCGCTCAATCCCTTCAACTTGTGTAATAGCTCAAATCGGCCTCTTTCAACCAATCGACCAACGAAGTGGGTTTCCTCGCGAGATATTGCTCGGTCCATTGGTGATCCTGACCTCCCCAGTCTGATTAGAGTCAGCATCAAGCCACCGTCGTCAGCCGTCGACGTTAGTCAACCTCAAGTGCAGCAACTTGATACTCACACCCGGTCTCCAGGTGGAATCGATACTGGTCCACGATAGCGTCGAGGATGAAGGGAGGAGTGCCGGCCGGCCAAGATTGGACGTAGTCTGCAACAGAGAGGGCTCGTAGCTTGAAGGTCTGGCCCGTCGCTGCATGACAGCACGGAAAATTTCGGACAAGTCCAAATCCAGGTCAGCCAGCAGCCCGGATCATCCGCGCTTGCTTCAAGGCTACCTCTGGTATCCCGAGAGTATCACTGACCTTGAGCGAAAGCCTCGCGTAACTGATCGACAGTCACTGCGTCGCTCTGAGCAAGCACAGGCCTCGAATCTTTCCTGACGTCTTCATGCTCGATCACCGCTCTCACGTAAAGCCCAAGATCTCGAGGGGTATCGGTAAAGGGAAGAGCAATCTTGTTGGCATCTTCCTCGGATACCGGAAGAGTGATGTAGAACGCGCCATCATCGCCTCGCTGGAACATCTTGAGTTGTTCGGCGCCCGAGAGGACGCTGTAGTAATAGGCCGCCTGGACAGTGCGATAGTTCAAGGTTCCGGAAGCCCTGGATCGACCATAGTCATCAATGGTAGCCTTGGAATCGACTGTCGGAGCGAAACAAGGGTATCAGTCGCATGTACGCAAGTATATGTAGCGTCCAATCGACAGCTAGGCGGTTCATTTCCTATACTGACAATGCAAGACCTTGGAGAATTTGCCGTTCGATAGTTTGTTGGGACCGGGGAGGCCGGCAAAAATGAACAAACCCACGCCAGCTTCGATGGCAGCATCAATCATCGCTTTGCCTTCAGCGACCTCTTTCGAGGCATCGAAATGCTCCCAGAAGTTGGTGACACCCTAGGAAAAGGATACGAGAGCGTCAGTCCGGAAGCCGACCCATAGGCGGAGATCTCGAACAGGTACTCACGAAAACAATGTCAGCTCCGGCAAACGCCTTGACGATCCCGTCTTTGTTGTCGGCTCGGATATCGACCTCGAAGACTTCGGCGCCGGTCTCTTTGATCTTCTGCGAGGAGGGTTTGCTGCCATCTCGAGACAGAGCTCGGATGCGGTAATCCTTGTCCGACTCGACGAGGTTGCGCAAGACGCTTCCGCCCTGATTCCCTGTAGCGCCGACGATAACGACGAGAGGGGCAGTTTCAGACTGAGTGACGGTCATGGCTTTCGATGTTTGTTCGATGTGCCGTGAGATATTGTGATGGTTCCTTGAGTGACAGTACGACCAAAGCATCCATCTTGGACTCGACGATTCGTCTGGAGCATCGATGCTTATGTATCGATATAAGCATGTCTGAGAACGATAAGGACAGGTCGAGGGTTTTGGTAAGCAGTCGGGCATCGATTACGAAGCATTAACAATCCAACAACGAGATCACGATATCACCATGAGGTTGAAGAAGCGACCAGATGCAAAAACAGAGGGGCGCAGGTGAAACCTTGATTGTCAAGAAACCATTGTGTGATCGCCGCTGACACGCGATCGACGCGCGGGCAATTCGATGTGCGGGAGATCCGACGGTTGCTGCCTCCGCCGGATTTAGGAGATAGGGGCGGAAGAGATGGTGGTCGTGCAATCTTTCGTTGCCCAATCATAGCTTCCCGGCAGCCGGCGCTCTGCTGTTATTTGCACAATCCAAACTCTGGGAATAGGCGGCGCAGGGGACGGGCGGCCAAATGTCGTGATTTGCATTCGCTTTGTCGAAGGACGGGAGACCAGCCTGGCCAACGAACAGATCCATTGATCAGCAGAATCTGTCTTCAGCATCGCTCCGGATCATGTTGGAATTACAATCGTGTACGCTGGCCGCATAGACTGCTATGGCGAGCTTCGAGCGATTACCAGAACACGTGAAGAAGAATACAGGAAAAGCCGTTGACACAGCGATCGAAATTTTGAGATTGGGTCTTCACATTGGGATCGCTCATTTACTACCCCCATGATTCCACGCTTCGGAGATTCTGCCCTCCTTCCATCAGCTAATGCAGACGCTGTCCATGTACACGCATAGCTAGCTAGATTCCTCGGACTTGAACTTTATTTTATGCCCTTAGACAGTAGCTTTTTCGACGTCGATCGCGTTCCCTCGCCTTGTCAAACAGGATGCATGTTCTGCTACGTGGAGGAAGGTACATCCGGGAAAAACAAGGCACATCCTCTCTGAAGAGCAGCAAGAGGACCAGTACCGTCTTCTCCGAGCGCGTTGATCGCTTCCCAGGTGTGGGTTTGATAGGCCGGGCGAAGCAGTGTTGTCGAGAAACGATCTTGTTGCACAAGGAGATACTTTGTTGAGCTCTTTCAGTCCGATGGAGACGACGCCTATTTGCCAAGCATTGTCCATACGGGAACCTGCTCTTGATTGCATCGAGTCCAATTTCATGAGTGGCCCCCCCCCCAATGCTTCAGAAAGCTTAGAGGCAGACATCTTCCCCCCCGCGCTGCGTGACATCTAGCCAGGTGTCCCGAACTTACTTGAGAGATTATTAGGCAAAGGTGGTCTCGGGAGAGCAATACATGCGGGATTTGGACGTCCCTCAAGGGCAAGGTATTTAGTTCATAAGCATGGATCGAGGAAGCACTCTGCCGACGTCCCGAGTCAATGCGCGGAGCGGCTGATCTAGCGGAATTGAAACCGGTAGCTCACATACATGCCTGGGCCGCTTTGGGTGTTTCGACTCGTATGAAGATCGTGCTGCGAGGTCAATTCTATATACAGTATCAAGATAGAAGCTGTTTACAACCCCTTTCAACCCACGCAAACCCCAAATAATGCATATATCATGTCCGAAACCCCTTAAGGTGTCAACATGACATAATATGCTACCTCTTGAAGATACCTTGCAAATCTCAGGATGCAACGTTCGAGCTCGGGCTGTCATGGGCCACTTCACGTATCGAACAGGTCACGACCCACTCTTACTATGGAAAGTCAACATCAGCACAGAAAGCTTGTGAAAGAAGTGCGAAACAGATGCTGGTCTGTCAATTCGCGATGCTTCGGATCTTTTAACAGTCCCCGAGCTTCCAAAGGCCAGCCTGATGGCCTCTTTACAAATCAACTGATAACGGTAGATCATGACCAGCAATTTCTAACGTGAAACTTGAAGGAGATAGCGGAATGAGAGGCTGGATGACGGCAGACCGGGTATCGAAGGGATTGTGAATTCGGACGGCCGCAATCTTTGCGGTCTTGCGATAGGGGTTGTGATAGTGTCATAGTCAATATCCCAGCAGCACAGTGTTCAGATAATTCCTCGTGATCACCCAAGAATCTTCCTTTGCGATCCTAGAAGCTTGTTGTCTACGGCCAGCTGTCGGATCGGCGGGAGTTTGTCTGCTTAAAAGAGAGCAAAGATTGGCGGATCCGCTCAAGCCTCGAGAACGTCAGACAAAGCGAAGCGTCTCTTGAATATGCTTCCTGAGGTAGAACTCCTCGGTACATGTCGGATGATCACCCGTTTGACAACGTCGTCGAGTCCGCCGCCAGGGGCTAGAGGTTGATGTTCTGCTACCAACTGCTGAGTAGAGGAGCATCTGATCGCCGATCGTTTCAAGTTGCTATTCGCGGGTCAAACGATCTTCAAAGAAGATCAGGTCCGCGCGAGTCCCGGGCATCGAGGAGCGAACCATCTGATCACCAGATTTTTCGTGTCTCATGTTCACGATCGTTTCAGACGAGGTGAGCGAGAGTTTGGCACTGGTCACCCTGAAAATGCAATTGATCGCTAAAAATCGCTAAGTTACCACTGATCAAGGGTTGTCCCCGAGCCTGCGGAAGGAAATATGAAACGAGGGGATCAGAATCAGAAACCCGGATCGGATCTCGCCTGCTCGCCAACCGTCGCGGAGTCTGAACCCGAAACGACAACGTCGTACGAAACGGACGAAAGAAAGTGGCTTACTAGCTTACTAGCCCCTGGTCAGAAGCCCGGTGGTTTCTCGATTTCTAGCGCCAAGTATCGATCACGGGGTCAGATCGCAAAACGCCGGATGCGTCGCGTTTCGGGGGTAATGACCTCGAGAAGCAGGAAGGCGGGGGAGGCGGGTTTGACCGAATCGGTTTGTCGTTTCGATCGTCATCGTTCGTTGCGCTCGTTGCACGTTGAAACTCATCCAGGATCCTGGATCCAGGGAGGGTGGATCGTTGAGAGAAACGACAAACAAACAGGAGTCTCAGGAGTTCTGGACGACAGGACGAGGGACGAGCCTTCGAGATCCACGCCAGCTCGCAGCCTCCCTCCCTCGCCCTCCTAGGCCCTTGGACCTGGTAAGCCAGAGCTAGTGCTAGCGTGTATCAGCAAAGTTATATAAACTCCGGGACCTGAACCTTCGCTTTGGAATTTCCCTGCCCCGTCCTTGTTCATTTCCGATTCATCCGCTTCTACTCGCTTTCCTAGCAACAACATCGACATTCCCTTGGCTTGACCTTTCCGACTTTCAGCTGTTTGACTACAAGTACTCGCACCTCATTCAAGCCTTGACGGCGAAAGTGCAGAATCTCGCCACCGACACTATCGTTACAATACACTCGCTCCAGGACTTTATACAGGCATCTTAGCATCGCTAGCATCGGTTATCATCCTTGAAGGACCCCCTCGTACAACAAACACAACAACGTAAAACACACTCGGAACGATGCTCTTCACCACCCCTCTCGTTGCCCTCCTTTCGGTCCTGCCCTTCTTGGCCTCGGCCACCGCCGAGCCGCAACTCGGGTTGAACATAAAAAAGGTCGATATGGCTCGAAAAAGGCAGGCTACTGGTGGAAATTACGTCTCGGATTACAACCAGTGTACGCAAGTTTGCGTGAGTTACAATCCGGTTCGGGTGTCCGCATAGATAACTTGACCGTTGTAAGCTGACGTACGACGAGTCGATCTTGGTCATTCAACGCAGGACGGCTACTTTGGCAAGCCCACCACTACCGTTGCTGGTAACAACGCTGTGGTCTCTCCTACCACCCGAACCACCAGCACCAGCATCCCTCGATCCACCAGCGTCAGCACCGTTCGACCGACCACCACTTCAACTCGTGCCAGCTCTTCTACCACCCCCAAGCCCTCGACCACGACCGCGGCTACCACTCGAGCTAGCTCTGGTGTCATATCCTCGGCTACCAGCGTCAAGCCTACCACCTCGCAGCCGGCTGCTACGGGTTCTACCAGCGTTGGAGGCGCCACGGCCGCTCAGCAAAAGCTGATCCTCGACCTTCACAACGCCGAGAGGAAGGACTATGGTGGGTCTCTCTTGTGCCATACATCTCGTCTTCTGGTCCCGGACCACGTCTGACCTTTGACCTTCACTCACCTGATGTGATCAGGCGCCAGCCCTCTGACCTGGAACAGCCAGCTCGAAAAGTACGCTCTCGACTATGCCAAGGGTTGCGCTTGGAAGCACTCTGGCGGACCGTACGGTGAGAACTTGGCCGCCTCTTACGGATACCCAGATGCGATCTCGCAAGGTATCAACGGGTGGAACAATGAGAGGTCGGACTACAACCCGGCTAGCCCGATGTATTCCCACTGGACCCAAGTGGTAAGTACCCTGGCATGGTCGTGGTTGGTTGGCAGAAGCATCAGGCTAACGGCTGTTTACTTGCTCCGATCAGGTCTGGAAGGGCACCTCGGAGGTGGGATGTGCACTCGTCAAGTGCCCTGCTGGTAGCATTCAACCTGGTTGGGTGAGTTTACCGGTCTTCGTGCACTGTCGATACGATATAGCGTCCATGTACTCACCCAACTGTTGTCAATCTCGCCTCTATTCAGGGAGAGACTCAATACCTGGTCTGCGAGTACCAAAAGCCTGGCAACTACGCCGGTCAATACGGCACGAATGTCGGCACTCGAGTTGCCGCTTGAACGCACGAGGTCGAGATGGTGATGGCAAGCTAGTCTTCGTCGATCGATCACAAGAGAAAGAGGGGAACTGGTCATACTCTCTTTACAAATCCTCCTGCTGAGCGGGAAAGGAAAGCATGTGTTCCATGTAGGAGACTTTCGTTTGGGTTCCTTAGCATACGCATTGAAATGGTTCAGAAGGCGAGATCCGTGTTCCGCCCGTCTGTCGGTATTGCTCGCTCGGCGAGGGTCCCGCTTGCGGCGATCGGATGTAATTAGCGGAAACGACGGTCACCGAATTCAGTTCCGTGATCGGGATCAGATCGTGGTTCATAAGCCGATCTCTCTATGCGGGGACACACTCATGGCCTCGACCAGCGATCCAGCGACTACCTCATTTCAGGACATCGACTTCAGTGAAGATGAGAACGTCAATCTTGAGACTACTTGTAGCAAGAACGATCGCCACACGTACACCCTTCTTGCGCAACATGAGCAAACACGCACCTTTTGCTGGTGAGCAGGAAGTCAGGAAGAATTGCGGTATTCGGACGTTGTGACTGAGCCACTGTCTGCGATAGAGGTACAGGCCTCTCGACCGGACTATGATGCAAAGGATGTGTAAGCACCACGACCATCGGAGACCCCCAAGGCAAGCTATCTAACCTGGACTTTGACTCCGTCGGCCACAGCTTCAGTATGACAAAGTCTCCCAATCCTGATTGGAAGCCTGGTCAGAAGCAGGACGCTATTGTAAGCCCTGTCAGTTACCTTGACAGTCCTTTCATGACACTAACATAAGAATGCTACTTCGCATGTTGGTAGCTCGAAAACGAAGGTTTCACTGCCGATAGCCCTTTCAGAGAGGTCGAGCCAGGCAAGGACCTCGACAACGCCGCGATGTACAAGATGATGACATGGGGAATCACGCCCCGGCCAGTGGCTTTCGTCTCGACCATGGACAAGCAGGGAAGGACCAACGTGCGTATCAGATCGAGCCTGGTATGATACCAAAATTTAAGGTGATGACCGAGCCGCTGATCGATGGCTTTACAGCTGGCCCCTATTTCCTGGTTCAACCACGTCGCTGCCGATCCTCCATCGATCATGATCTCCATCGTCAAGGGGAACCGGCCGTCGGGACGCAAGGACACTTCGGACAACATCCTCGAGCTCAAAGAGTTTTGTGTGTCGCTGATATCCGAGCCGTTCGTCGAGGCGGCCAATTACGCTGCGATCGATGCGCCCGAGGGACAGTCAGAGTGGCCCTTGACGGGGTTGACCCAGCGGGAGTCTCGGTGAGTCTTGGCTCGCAGCCCACCCCTCGTTCAGCTCGCTGGCCACTGATACCGCTTAGATTGCAACGCGCGCACGTAGCCACGTCAAGGTCCCTCACGTAGCCGAGTCCGCATTCTCGATGGAGTGTCAGCTCATGCACCACCAGCCGATCCAGAACGACGCTGGCGATACGACGCAAAGCGTATTCATCGCCAGGGTCCGCAAGTTCCACATCAAGGAGCACGTGATCGACCCGGATGATACGGACATCAAGATTATGCCGGAAAAATTCAAGGTTGTCGCCAGGTTGGGAGGCTGGACGTACGGTCGCGTCACAAGGTATGTCGAGCGCTATGAACGGGAGACGAGGTTTCTATTTGACTGACAGTCTGTCTCTATCGCAGTGGTTACGAGGTTCCGCGGCCGGTCTGGGCAAGAGAGAAGGATGATTTGGAACGACGCGGGTTAGTCAAAGAGGAATAGAGTGTCTCGATTACCAGTCGGAAGAGTTCTCAATGCTGGACTTGTAGAATGAATGGCCAGCAGTCGCCAGGTTCCAAGCTCTCAAGGCAGCCCACCCGCATCATGTTTGTAGCAATCCTCCATATCTACCAGGGACTTTCTTCCCTTCAAATGCGCCCTGAGTTCTGTGCCGACTCGGTCCGAATGCCCCATATATCTTCAATGATCAATGAACCGCGTTTCGACTACCAAGTCCTTGGTCAAGACCTCGAAGTCGTTGCTGCTATTTTGAAAGCCTCCGACGTCTGCAATCCCCCGAGACCGACCAATTGACCGGCGCTAAACTGGGATGGAACACCGAATCAGTACATCGCTCTGCATCTTTCGGATCACCTGCCATTGATCCCTGGTCTAGTCTGACCAGCTTGTCGGGTCGTCATGTCGAATCCGGACCGGACCAGTGATGAGGAACCGGACCTTCGTTGAATCTGTCGAGCTATAAAGATGGTCCCGAAAGATGCGCAATGCCGTTTCGACGATGTAGATGTTCAAGACTGCAGGAACATCTGGGGCGAAGCGGACCGACCATGAAGCTTTCTTCTCTCTTCATCTTCTGCTCGTCTCTGAGCACCATACTAGCATTGCCAACCCACAATGGAGTTGCCACCTCTCTTGAAGCGCGAAACAACGACAATGGAGGCCGGATCGACTCGCGCTCGAACTGGGTAGGCTCCTGGACGGCCATGCCCCAGCTGTGCGAACCCGCCAACCTCCCGCCTGCCCCCTTCAACGCGTCTTCAGAATCGGATGCAGTCTTTGTGGATACGACCCTGAGACAGACCATCAAGCTCACCCTGGGCGGACGGGGGTTCAGGCTGAGATTCAGTAATGCGTTTGGCGGGACGGTCTTGCCCATCTCGTCCGTCTCGGTCGCCTGTACCTCGAGCTTCAACGAATCAGACACTGGAGTGAGCACGATCGACCAGACCACCATCCACCCAGTCACGTTCAACGGTGGCGAAGAGGGATACACGATCCCCACCGGATCTCTGGCCGTCAGCGATCCCATCGAATGGGCCGTTCAGGATGGCGCTCTCTTGTCGATCAGCATGTACTTGCAAGACGGACAGAACGGATCGGCCATTACGGCGCATCCGGGAAGTCGGACGACCTCATACTTGATCAGTGGGAACCATACTGTCGATGCGGATTTGCAAGGAGCCACCACGGTCGATCACTGGTACGTCGGCTTTCTACTTGTTCCTCACGCAAAGTCTCGGACTAATGGCATAATACTATCGCCCATGTGAAACAGGTACTTTATCAGCGGAGTCGAGGTGGTCGCCGAACAAGATGATGCGGCGGCGATCGTCGTTGTCGGCGATAGCATCACCGATGGTCGAGGAAGTGATACCAACGAGAACAATCGGTAAGTGCAAAGGGCTTTTAGGCAATCCCCTTTCTGGCACGTCTCTGACAGTTCAACCCGACTTCTGATCGCAGGTGGACCGACGACTTTGCCACTCGTATTCAACAAGCCAACCTGCCCCTATCCGTCCTCAATCAGGGAGCCGGTGGGAACAGGATCCTCGCCGACGGACTCGGTCCGAACGCCCTGTCCCGAATCGATCGGGACGTCCTCGCCCAGACCCGGGTCAAGTACGCGATCATCTTTGAAGGGGTCAACGATATCGGCACGGCGGCGAACACTTCTGCCGCTCAGGCCGACGTCGTCGAGCAATTGAAAGAAGCGTACAGACAGATGGTAGAGAGGTTGCATGCGCAAAAGATCGTGGTGTATGCGGGGACGATCACGCCGTTCGGGAACAACTCGTACGACGACCCTGCCGGCTTACGGGCTGCTTCCCGGGTCGAGATCAACGGCTGGCTTCGAGCCAATTCAAACTCGGATAGGTCCGGCCTCTTTGACGGTCTGTTGGATTTCGATGCGGCCGTCAGGGACGATTCGAATGGAGGCAAGACGTTGAAGCCAGAGTACGACGTGGGCGGTCTGTCTGGGGATGGGTTACACCCGAACCCCAAAGGTTATCACGCGATGGCGGACTCGATCCCACTCGAGCTGTTCCAGTGATCAAAGAGGCGGAATTGTTCTCTATACCAGGTTGTTGCAAGGGTAAAGACGAGGTTGACAGAAGCCAGCGATTAGTAGCAGGTATCAGGCGATCATAGTTTAGAGAAGGATGTGCGATCTGTCAGCGAAGAAACAAATGTACAACAACGAAGCAAAGAAAGTTGGATGTATAAATGCCGTCAGAATCGACCGATCCGGGCTTGTCGTTTCGCACATTCGGGATTGATGGGATTGATGGAATTGATGGAATTGATGGGCTTGGTGGGTGTGAAACGTTCTTGTGAAACCGTGGGGTCTCCGAGGCTGTTCTAACGCGACGCGTGTGAAAATGCGAGAGAAGGAGTCGTCGAATTTGCAAACGCGACCCCCCCGTTGTTGACCCGAATCGGGTGAAGGGCGGGGCGAATGAGCTGCTTCGAACTGATTGCCAACGACACGACGACGGTTATTGCAATACTCGACTCGCCAGCACTAGCCCCAACTTGCAACTCGAGTTTATACCAAAACACATCCAGTCCAAGCACGACCAACGTTATCACTTTCACGCAATCGATTAGCAACTTTCGGAGAGGCATCACGTATCCCCCCGCCGGGTCAATCGTCAGTAGTACGTCCACCCAAGGCCCCCGGTGCTCCAGGGCTTCTATTCCAGAATCATCACCAGGATCTCACATTTGTCGAGGTCTTCGCCCGGCAGACGTCCTCTTCGTTGGCCGTTTCACATTTCCGTCTCGAATGCCCTCGGGCTTTGTGCGTCCGAGCTAGAGAGTAGAGGAGGAGGATCACGACAACGACCGAAGCGTCAACTGAAAGAGGTGATCGTCATCCGAGAACCTTGACCGGAATGGACGATGGAGAGTATGACCCTCGCGAGGTCGACCCGTCGATCTTGAGCGGGACCGCCCACGTCAACGGTGCAGGTGGAAGTGTGGACGAGAGGGATGATCAGAAGGATCGTTTGCGTCATTACGAGCAGCAGAATCATGAACACCACCAGCGACTCGTCGAGCGTCACGGGGACGTACAGGACGAGCGTCTCAAACACGAGAGCAAGCACGGTCTCGAACATGGTCAAGATTCGCATGCGACCGATCACGACCTCGACCTAGACACGAGCCGGGATCACTACCACGAAGACGACGAGCTGGAACACGAGGAACTCGACCACGCCCATGCCAACTATGACCATGCCGATTCGACGACCGGAGGTGGTCCGTCCATGTCGACCCCGACCTCTAGTAACAAGGGTAACAAACAAGGTGGTGGAATAAAGAGGAAGAAGAAGGACAAGGAGGATGAGATCATTGTCGATCCAGAGGCTGGGATCGTGAGTTGACCAGAATCTCAATCGCGGGGGGCCAGGGGTCGCAATATCGCGGCGGAATCACGCCATTCGGCGCTGACCGAGGTTGTTTGATATTCTGTTTTTGGTTTGATCGTGCTCGCTGGCAACACACCACACCACACCCTGCTCTACCCCTACCATACCGACCATACCGTACCACACGATACGACGACCAACGCGCACCAGCCGCTTCGAGGTGAATCGAGAGGTCGGAAGAAGGACGATACGTTACCTCCCAGTCGTGAGTATCCGAATCCGTCGCTAGAGATTCATAGTCATCTGCGATACGACTGCCACCGCGAAGGACTGGGGTTCCAGCGGGGAGATCATGTCGTACGACCCTTCGACGAACAACGACACTGATCCGGCATCGTTTCTGTCTTTTCTTCTTCCTCCCGTTCCCATCATATCGGCCGGACATGGACATGAATATGCATTTGATCCTGGACCCGACCCTGAACCTCGACCCGGACCTTCGGTCTCGTCATCGACCGCGACCACTCCCGGCACTTCGACATCGACTGCGACACCCACCTCGACGGCGACAGGCGCGCGGGATGTTCAACGAGCCTTTCGTGCGCGCCGAGCGGCTCACTTGGCCAAACTCGAAGACCGGATCCTTGAGCTCGAAGTTGAGAACAATCGGTTGCGCGCCCTCATGGCCCTTCCAACCATAGGGCGGGACGAGCTCGGCTCCGGCCCTACGGGTCGAGGCAAATCGCTCAAGGAGGGTGGAGTACCCATGGCCGAACGGGTCAAGGCGAAAAAGGAACGCGATCGACTTCGAGCGCAACAGGCCGCCCGGTTAAAGGGTATCCAGCCGCCTTCGAACGAAGAGGTCGACAAGGCTCATGGACACGAGTTGGTCGGCGATTTCGGCAGTCAGACGCCGGACGATTCGAGCAGCCGACGAGACCTCACGAGGACGCCGGACAGTGCAGCGGGAGGCGGCTCGATGAGGTTGGGAAGGAGTCCGTCGTTTGGCATGCTGACGACCCCGGGAACCAACGTCTCGTTGATCGGGACCCCTCATCTCGGGGTGACACCGGGCGTGCAAGATCATTCGGTGGGGTCGTTGCTGGGATTGCATCATCAGTTGCCTTTCGGATCCGGTGCCAATACCCCTGGTTCCAACGGGAACCACGCCGCTAACAAGAGTCAGAACGCTGCGAATAACAATCAGGTCCAAGCCGAATTGCAGCGGTTATACCAGCAAGCGTTGTTGGCCACGCAACTGTCGGCGCCGAATGGGTTGCCGGGACAGAACGGTGGGTGGGGTAATCCCGATATCGGGATGAACCACCAAGGCGGCGGAAGTATCGGGGGCTCGTCGGGCTACTCGAACGTGCCTACCGGCCATAATCTTGGGGGTTCGGGATCGACCCCGCCGGCCAATCTGCCGGACTTGATCGCCTTGTTGACGGGGATCACAAACCAGCAATCCCAACAGCAGCAGCAGATCCAGCAGCAACAACAGCAGCAGCAGCAACAACAACAACAACAACAGCAACAACAACAGCAGCATCAGCGGTCTTTGCCCAATGGTCAGCAGCAACAGAACGGGTTTTCCGATCATATGGGCCCACCTGGAGGCATGTCCAACCTGTCCTTGCCCATGCCCTTCCCCGCTTCCAATGCTCCCTCGTTCCCCTCGGCACCCTCAACGAGCAACAACGCGCAAGGCTACGGTGGACCCGGCGGCCAAGGGTATCAGAACGGGGCTGGGCCGAGCAACGGGAACAGCAATGACAACAATAATAATCCGAATCACAACGCGTTTGGCAACTTTTCCTTCAACCCGCCCAACTCTGCTCCCCCGCAATTTCCCAACTTTTCCATCCAAGCCTCGCCACCGCCTCCGTCACATTCGAACCCTCACATCCCACCGAGTCATCAGAACAACAACCCGCATCATATGCAGAATATCGGGAGGAGCGGACCGAACATGGGCCTGCGAACGCCTTCGTTTGGCAACGCGTCCGGCATGGGGTCCAGGTCGCCGGGAGACATGAGACCACCACCGCCTCCGGGTGAGAATATGCCACCTCGACCTCATACGTCCACGGGACACAACGCGCTTGGTTTGGACTCTGAAAAGCCGAGGACAAGGTCCGAAAGCGTGGGCAAGCCGCAGCAACAGCAGCAACAGCAGCCGCCGCAGCAGACCAGCGCAGACATGTCGACTCAAGACGAAGGTGAACGAGCCGAACCGGATCTCTTGCATCGACTACGACACTGTTGCCACCTGACCGATCATCACGTCGCGACGGATCCCGGTTTGCTGCTCTTCGCCAGCCGTCTGTGTCTCGCTGTCGGATGTCCCTTTACGGGCAACCACTCGGACATGGACGACCGACCGGAAGATGGAGGTGGCAAGCGACGTAGGATGGACCTGAGCGGGCAAGATGACGACAGCGAGAATCCCGAGGGGTACATGAAACTCGAGGCGGCTTGGTCGGCGCTCCGTTCGCATCTGGATCCTTCATCGTCGGAACAGAACCCCTTGTTGGGGATCCCGGGTTTGGGTGGTGAACGGGACGGACAGAACGCTATTGCGACCGGGAGACTCGCTGCCGAGATGATCCTCCGCGGAGCCAGGAGCAAGATGCAAGCGTCGGCTCAAGGCGGGCAAGGTGGATCGCAGGATCCCGAGGCGACTCAACTGGCATTCTGGATCGGTTGCCGACGACGTAGCGGGCTCGTTATCGAGCGAAGTCTGGTCGAGGTCATCACCATGACCTTTTGAAGAGAGTACGGTTAAGAGACTAGAAGGGGATAGATGAGGAGAGGAAAAAGGCCTTTATAATGCGAGCATAGCGACCGACAGACCACAAAGATCCGACAAGAGGACAAGCATAGTTTCAACACGTTGTAAACAGACTGACGACAATCCGAATCTCATTCCATCATGCGGCACAATCTCAAGAAGTTGTTGATAGATGTCGATAATCTCTCGGTTCATGCGCGTCGCCTTCGTCGCTCTCGGCGATCTCGGAAGCTGAAAAAGTTGCTGCTAGTTGCTAGGCTACCTTGAAGGTGGAGGGGAGACATCTCATGCACCTAGTGGATTCCTGGCCAAGTCGGTGGAAAGAGGTAGCCAGGCTCATTAATCGAGTCCTCGCCATAGATACAGCCTCTGATACTGGCCGTTGCTGTAGCTACGATGCCCAAGACCCGTACCTCGCGAGGTATCAACCTCTTGCAGAACCTGCCTCAATTGCAAAACCTGATCAAACGAGACGCCGCCTCCTACCAAGCCGAGTTTCAGAACCAGTACAACCATTACCTCTCCCTCCTTCGGATCTTGCAACAGTCTCCTCTCGCTTTCGCCAACTCGACGTCAGGGTACGATGCTGCTGGAGCTTCGAGCTCGAACGGGGCAGGGCAGGGTAACGGTAGCAACAACAACACGGCCGGACAGTCGTTTCGCGAGCTGGTGACCTTTGTCGCCCAGGTCGCGCAATGTTACCCGGAAGAGACCAAGACGTTTCCGCAGGACCTGAGCGCTTTGATTTTGGAGGATGGTAGGGGAGCTAGGGGATTGGGAAATGATACGAGAAAGACGATCGTACAAAACTTGGTCATGTTACGAAACAAGGACGTGATCTCGTCTATCGAGTGAGTGGTCAGACGCTGGGATTGACGTGCAAATAGTCCTTACTGATGTGGTTGGGCGACTTCGACAGACTCCTACAGACCCTTTTCCCTCTCCTGCCTATGACGACCTCGCCAACCCTTCGATCGTTCATTCGGAAACAGATTCTCACGGACATCAAGACGGCCAACACCCCTTCCAAGAATCACAAGCTCAACCGGGTCGTCCAGACCCTCTTGTTCGGCATGGTAGAAAAAGGAATGGGAGCCGATATCGTCGGTAACAAGGGTCGATTTGCCGCTGGATCCGCTGCCGCTCAAGCTCAAGCGAAAGGTGGAGAGGCGCTGTGGGCGGTGACCCTGATCAAAGAGCTCTGGAGGAAGAACATCTGGAACGACGCCAAGACGGTCTCGATCGTCGTCAGGGCGTGTCAACATCCGAACGTCAAGGTGCAATCAGCCGCTGTGCATTTCTTCTTGGGTGACGAGGATGGTGAAGGGGCGCACGATTCGGACGAGGATAGTGATGATGAAGGGCCGGATTTGAAGAAATTGGCGCATCAGCGGACGATCAAGAAGAAGACCAAGGCGGATGGCAGGAGGATGGATCGAGCGAGGACGGTCGTCAACAGGGTGGGCCACCGGTCATAGCGGCGGTATCAGTGCCCGATCTGTCCCATGCGATGTTTGGCTGATTTGACAGTTGCTCTTTGTTTATCGGCGAATCTGTAGAAACGCAAGGAAAAGGCTGCAGGATTGAACAACAAGGTCAACTTTCCCGCTCTCGAATTGCTTCACGACGCCCAGAGGTTTGGAGAGGACTTGTACGAAAACATGCAGAAGCACGGTGAGTAATTCGCGGTGTGACGGCGACAAGGGCTCGAGGCTGAAGATGACCATGCTCCATGCAATCGCAGACAAGATGTACACGCTCGAACACAAGATCACGATCATGCAACTCTTGTCCCGTGTCATGGGCGCGCACAAGCTGTGTGTCCTCGGTTTCTACACCTACATCATCAAGTACCTCACCTACCATCAGCTTCAGGTCACCCAGATCCTCGTCTCGCTCGCTCAATCCGTACACGACCTCACCCCTCCGGACGTGCTCGTACCCATCATTCACAAGCTCGCCCACGAATTCGTTCACCCCGGTGTCGGTGCCGAGGTCATTGCGGCCGGTATCAACTCGATCCGAGAGGTCTCGAGACGACAACCCTGGTGTATGGAGGGCGAGGAAGACTTGTTGAGCGATCTGATCGAGTATAGGAAGAGCAAGGACAAGGGGGTCACCACAGCCGCTCGAGGACTATTGCAGCTGTTCCGAGAGGTCAATCCGGGATTGTTGAAACGACGAGAGCGGGGCAAGGCCGCGACGCTGGGCTTGCTGGACGGGCAAGTCCCTGCGTTCGGTCACGGACAAGATGCTGCTGACGGGATCGACGGGTTGGAGCTTTTGGACGAACACTTCGCTCAGTCGCGGGCCGAACAGGGGCTGGATCCCGATGCACCTGTGGATGAGCGGGAGCAAGAAGCCGAGGATGCGGCGGCTTGGCAAAAGTGGGAAGAGGACGAAGAGGAGGGCGATAGCGATTCGGACAGTTCTGGGTGGGAGGTCGTCTCGTCGGATAGCGACAATGACATCTCGTTCAGCGATAGCGACGACGATGAGGAGGAAAAGGCAAGGAGGAACGAGAAGCAGCGGGACAAGAAGAACGGCAAGGGCAAGAACAAGGCCAAGGGGGACGAAGACGAGGAGATGGACGAGGCAGAGGAGGTTGGCGGAGATGATTCCAAATCGGTGGTGTCGGAGGCAGCACCTTCAGTCGCCGGAACCGAAGCCGAGCTCAAAAAGATGTCTCTGCTCGCCCAACAGAAGGTGCGTCGGATAATCGTCCTGAAAGACCTGGAAAACCCAGGGAGCTGATAACGACACGTTTCCGTTGCAGATCTTGACCCCGGCCGATTTCGCGCTTCTGAACGACCTCCGGATCAAGGCCGCCACCAAGGCCGTGGAAGCCGGTGGTGGTACCGCCGTCAAACGTAAACTCGCCGCGCTCGAGGCCGAAAAGAAGTCGCGCAACAACGTGACGACCACCCCGGAAGACGCCTTCCTCACGGAAAACGAGATCTTGGGACCGAGGAAAAAGGCCAAGATGGACTATGAGGAACGTATGGCCCACATCCAAAAGGGACGGGAGGGTCGAGAGAAATTCGGAAGCAAGAAGGGCAAGAAGGACAAGGAGGCTCCGAGCAGTTCGACCAACCGGGAAAAGGCGAGGAACAAGCCGATCATGATGGCTGTGCATTCGAACAAGGTCATGCAGAAGAAGAAGGCTTCGTTGAGGGACGTTCAGGTGAGTGTGCACCGGCTGGTGTGATAATAAACATTCTGAGACTGATCCTGCGTATACGCTCTGCTCGTCTAGATGAAACTGCGTGCCGCCGCGGACAAGCAGAAGAAGAGGAAACGCTAGTGGTTTCGGAAGGGGGTTCGGGTGTCTTCGTTGGATCGTTGCATAGAGACTGCATCGCATGCTCGGTATATATTTATCGTTGTTTGGCTGGTCACCTGTTGTATGTACATGTATATACTATCGTGATGCGATGTACTCTCCTTGTCCCGATCGTGGTTATCCGCGGATATACTTCCGTAGTAAAAGTAGCGGACGAGTCAGAACGCGACGATCCACTTGCTCCCCTCCTTTCCCAAAATTTGCATCCGAACCGCTGCACTTTCGGGTCAATCGGGGCAGGCAGGGCAAGGGGGCAAGGGGCGATTTTCCAATTTCTTCCAACTCGGCCAGAACTCATGCTCATGCACCATGCACCTTGGCAGGTCGATCGTTACAAAAGTTGTTCAACTTCAAACCAATCTTCTTCACCTCAATCCTTGCCACCTTATCGTCCTCCAGCTCTTTCATCACGAAAGTTCCCTGGACACTCAAACCATCCCGTGAGTAGCCTCGTCCCAGATCGAGCTTGTTTTCCTCTCGAATCGCCCTGGTGATCCAGCATACCGAGCTGTACAATGTGCTCGAGCGGGGTTCGGGAAGAGGTGCGAGGTGGTCACACTGGCGATGATGGCGGCGGTGGTGTTGGAAATCAGAGTCATTTCAGTGCAGGACGGCTGACGAGTGATTGTTTTCCACCTTTCATTTCTCGACTCGCTCAACCATATATCTGCTGGCTCCTCTCGCATGGCCCGTTCTGCAAATTCGCTACTCTTCATTTGCATCAACTCCCCCCACCTTTCGCGCATACAAATCCTAAACTCTCGACGACATAACGACTTGCACTTCCTTTGGACGGCCGATCTTGACCCACATTTCACTCTCTCAATACTTCGGACGCCTCACCAGCCGCTCAATGCCCTCTGTCCTTCGATCCTTGATCCCCACCGTTCGATCCAGTACCACCGCTGCTCTCCGTCAGACCGCCCGACTCGCCCCTACCTTTACCGTCGCTCAGCAACAACAACAACGCAGGATGGCTTCTTCTTCCGTTCCCGTCCCCACGGACTTTAACAAGTACCTCTACACCACCCTCGCCGAGGCCGACCCCGAGGTCGCCAAGATCGTCGAGGATGAGACTTGGAGGCAGTTTTCCGGACTCGAGTTGATCGCTTCCGAGGTGAGTTCCCGGCGGTCAGCATGAACGAGTGCGAACGACGTCGGGCTGACCTTTCCGACTCCTATCCAGAACTTGACCTCGTTGGCCGTTATGGAGGCCAACGGATCGATGCTCACCAACAAGTACTCGGAAGGTCTCCCCGGTGCCCGATACTACGGAGGAAACGAGCACATCGACATCCTCGAGAACTTGTGCCGAGAGCGTGCCCTCAAGGCCTTCAACCTCGATCCCAAGCTCTGGGGTGTCAATGTCCAGCCCTACTCTGGATCCACCGCCAACTTTGCCGCTTTCACCGCCCTGATCAACCCTCAGGACAGGATCATGGGTCTCGGTCTGCCCGACGGTGGTCACTTGACTCACGGTTACTACACCGCCAAGAAGAAGATCACCGCGTCTTCGATCTACTTCCAGTCGTTCCCTTACCGTGTCGACCCCAAGACCGGTCTGATCGACTACGAGCAGTTGCAAGTCAACGCCGGATTGTACAAGCCCAGACTCGTCATCTGTGGAGCTTCGGCTTACCCCCGAGACTGGGACTATGCCAGGCTCAGGAAGATTGCCGATGCCAACGGTTCCTACTTGATGAGCGACATGGCTCACATCTCTGGTCTCGTCGCTGCGGGCGAGAACAGCTCGCCGTTCGACTTCTGTGACGTCGTCACCACGACGACGCACAAGACCCTGCGTGGACCCAGGGCCGGTTTGATCTTTTTCCGAAAGGACAAGGAGGCCGACATCGAGCAGAGGGTCAACCAGGCCGTCTTCCCCGCTTGTCAGGGAGGTCCTCACAACAACGTCAGTCGCGGCGTGGAGTGGTGGAGATCGAAAATCATTAGCAGGTGCTGATAGTCGTATTATTTTTCTTGCCGCAGACCATCGCTGGTATCGCCGTCGCCTTGAAGCAGGCCGCTGACCCCGCTTTCAAGACGTACGCCAAGCAGGTCGTCACCAACGCCCGGGCCATCGCCAAGGTCCTCTCGAGCCACGACTACAAGCTCCAGACCGACGGTACCGACAACCACTTGGTCCTCTGGGACCTCCGACCCCTCGGCCTGACCGGATCCAAGGTCGAGAAGATCTGCGACGAGTGCCACATCACCGTCAACAAGAACGCCGTCTCTGGTGACACTTCGGCCCAGGTTCCCGGTGGTGTCCGAGTCGGTCTGGCCGCATTGACCAGCCGATCGATGACCGAGGAGCACATGGACATTGTCGCCGACTTTTTGCACCGAGCCGTCCAGATCGCACTCCAGGCTCAAAAGGAGGCCGGGACCAAGTTGTTGAAGGACTTTGTCACCGCCTACTCTGGAAACGGAGAGGCTTCGCAACAGTTGGCCGCCCTGAAGAAGGACGTCGTCGAGTTTGCCACCAAGTTCCCTCTGCCCGGTGTGCCCGACACCGTGAGTCTCGAGAGCCTGACCTAGATGCTCCCGGACATGTCGATAGAGCTGACACCGTTTTTGAATCGTTTCTTCTTGCAGTCCGCCATCAAGCGACCCGCCGGATACTAAGCGGAACGCTTTACGCCCTCCTTCCCCGTACCTTTTCTTTCTCTCCCCCTTCAACGAGGCTTCAAGTGCTGAACCTTTGAACCGAACTTGTCGGTTCACCCATCTATCCCACCCCCTCCCCTTACACAAAAAATGTACCATCACGACCACCTCCCCCTCGCTGTTGATACGCAAAATCGAATAGGCACGTTATAGTCGTCGCCAGGCTTGTTGTTACGATTTCAACACGATCGCTCTTCTTGTTCCGTACACATACACATGACACATCATTGGGATTCATTTGACGAGATGCGAGATGATGCATGACGACGAGGATCGCAGTTTTTGATGGGATTCTGCTTCCGAAGCAATGGCCGGCAATCTGGGCTTTGTTGACGATTTCGGTCTGAACCGATCGCGGACGACGTACGAGCAAGTTACGCTGTGGGATGTGCTACTTGATTACCAATGTACTAGTCTGTAGGCAGGTAGGCATCAAGCATCAAGCTATTGTGACCATCTGTTGAAAAGGTTCTAGCGAGGACAATCAGATATGCGGCATGCACCGACGACGGCCCGCGACGATTACTGAGGTCGGAATCGAAAACGTCACCGACATCCGTGATCACTATTGAGGACCTTTTCTGCAAGCCGAAAGGATCAGCTTGTCGTCCGTACCATCTCATCGCTTGTCAATCAGCTTCGTACGGAACCTTTCAATATGCTGCCAAGAGATCGGCTTTTGAATTCAAGTACTGCACTCGGGGAGCGATACGTGCACAAATCGCTGCCGACACAGCGACACATCCTCCCTGGCAACTGGAACTGGGAATCCACTGCCACAGCCGACTACCTAGTCAGGGAAACAACCTGGCTGACAAGTATGACCGGCGGTACTTCTCCAAAGTACGTGCTGGCTTACCGTTATCAACTGGAGGACGAGTACCTCGGAGGCGAAAAGGTTAGCATTGTTCTTCCAAGTTCATCTCTACGCCCCGAAGTACTATCAGGCGCTGATTCTCGCATCATATCGCTGGCAGAAACCCGCTCGCTACTCGACAATTTTTCGTTGGGAGCTGATTCTAATATGGGAATACCTGCGTCAGGTCACCATCAATCGCGTACATATCATGAAAGCTGTGCAAGCATCAAGTGCATTCGACAACGATCCAGATAGTGTCGACCTTTACCGGCTGGAGCGCTGGTGGAACACTGTGAGTCTGAAGGATTGACATCGTGCCGATGGTCCTCGCTGATACCAATTGTCAATTCTACCTCCAACCGGCCGTGGGGCTATCATAGGTTTATGAAGAATTCGGTGAGGCCTATTTTTGCGTATTGCTTCGCCTTTAAGCGCTCGGTTGTCTCTGATTCTGTTCGCCTTTCCCAGTATGTTTCGGCATACGTCTGAATGAGCTAGAACGATTCGAATCTCTTGGTCAAATCCCCCGTACTTGGAAAGACGGCCACTACCGTATCGCGAGACTGGAGATGGGTTTTCCACTCGATTGCGAAGGTTTCGAGGTCGGCTTCTTTGCCAGGTCCAGGAAGCTTCTGGATGGATATGCTCTGGACGGCCCCTCTGGATATCCTCTCGAACAAACCCGGATGTATCTCCAAGAAGACGTCGCGGTCAGACACCGATTCCTCAACCCGAACAAGCTACTCGAAGCGGTCACGCGGTGGGATGACTGGATCCACAACGACGTGAGCGTGCGCAAGTGCATCGACCGATCCGAGAGGATCCAGGATTACACTGCAGAGATGACAAGTTCTTCTTCCGGCGGAACAATGTTATCGGGACCTAGCTTTTCAGAGATCAACGCCCGATTGGCGCTCGAGGAGGACAAGCTGAACCAAGATCAGGAACCCTTGCTGCTTCCAGACTTCCCCACAGCATATGCGGAGAAACCAGCATCGTCCAAGCTGATTTTTTTGTATGAAGTAGTGAGTCGCCCTGGATTCTGTACAAGCATAAACAATCGCGTCCTTAGGCCCCCAAATCGTTCGATAGGAACGCTCGACCTGGAACTTTTCACCCGAATTCTGGGGACGACATAGACTCATTTGCCAACATCGATCAAGTTTGGATACCCCGTTAAGATTGGCTTCCGAGAGGTATGAACGGCGTGAGATGAAAGGGAAGGAGGCTCTCGAGCAAGAATGGAGAAAGTGCCTGAAATCAAACAGTTGGGATGCCTGGGAGGTTTGAATGGACAATCACCTTGGAGGCCCATATATCGCGTATAACATTCGACGTAGTGTGCAGCAAGAGCCAGGGAGGATGCGGAAAGCAAATCGGATGCGAAAGACGTCGTCGATCACAGGATCCGACAGCTCAGACCCCTCTTGATCTCGCACGAGATTGTGTCACATGCGGAGACAGTCTGGCACATCTTTTCTCGCGCGAAAATCCGGAAGACAGTGGTAACAGGAAAGACTTACGGAAACCTTTGCTCGAGCGGCGGAACCATGAATGAGAGTCGAGAAAGAAGCGAAGCCGGCTTGTGATAGGAGCGCTCAGAAAGAGGATGGGATGTAGAGCTCTTGACTGTACGATGACGCTGTAGAGAGAGAGAGATCGATCGATCATTTGCTTCCGATGAGAAGGGTGTGGGTGGGTGTGTTGACAAAGTGCAGGCAGTTGCAGCAGACATACATGGATCAACTCTTTTCATATACCAAAAGTCACCTTGGCGTTTACTTCGATCAGCCCAGTCAGCCTGGGACAGGTCGACCTGAATGGACAAGCCATGGTCCTCACAAACCTGAATCCAGTCCGTAACTGGATTCGTAGGGAGTATCCTCGGCCAGAAATCAATCCGGTAAGTTCTCATATCGTTGCAACACGGCTTGGTGCTCATGTTCTTCCCCTTCACCTCGATATAGGAATGGCTTCAAGGATGTTGTACTGCACTGCAAGAGAACGACCCAAATATCAATACTCGTGATCTCATTCACGCGGTCAACCTTCAACTTCTCCTTTCCTCGCTGTCCGACTCATGCCTCCCGCAAACCGGGCTTCCTGCCCCAGAACTTCTCGAAGATCTTCACGGCGAGATGCTCTTCCAAAAGGATTACTGCCTGGTCATGGTCATGAGCATCATGGAAATCGGTCACAGCGCCTTTCAACTACAGACGACGATGGAGAACAGGAAAGAAGCCTTGTCCGGCGTGAGGAGGATCAGACGGATCCGTAATCCCCAGGCAGACGGGGATGGGGCAGACGAGGAGGAAGCAGAGGATGATGACGATGACGAAGCGATCCCGCCTTATCCGAGAGGGATGTTGAGGCTCGAAGTGAGCGATGGATTTCATACCTTGAAAGCGATGGAGTATCAGCGGATCGATGGGTTGACGTTGGGGGAGACGGCATTGGGTAGCAAGGTGAGTCGGAGTGATGGGGTATTCGTATAGATTGTTCCCCTCAACTCTCGTGATACGACGCAGATCCTACTCAAAGGGGTCCAAATGCGTCGAGGAATATGTGGGTGGTCCTCGATTCTTATCGGATGACCACGTCGAGCTGACTTACTGGGATAACTCTGCTCAGTAATGCTCACCCCAGCAAACACGGTACTTAAGGGGCAAATGGTGGAGGAGATCGAGATGCATCAAGGTCGCCTTTTCCAGAACGCTCTATTACGAGCCTTGGGGTACGTGCGGTGTTGGTCGTATCATTCTACATCGCTAACGTCGTGATCTCGGTCTAGTAAACCTGAATTGCCGTTAGAAGACGAGATGTTAGAGCAAGGCCCGCCCATGGTCGAAGCTGATCGGCAGCCTGCTCAGCCAGCCATCGGGTTCGATGACGATCGTTTCTCCGAATATGAGGGCGATATGGAGTATGACATGATCGCTAGCGGGATCGACCTGTCCGCACCTGGTCCTTCGAAAACAAACCCGGCTCGATCTGCACTCCCTCAGCCGGCTCGAAGGGAGGAAGAGGAGGAGGAGGATTTCTATCCGGGCGACGATGATCTCGAGGCTTTGATGGTCATACAAGAACGAGCTCAAGCCAAAGCACAAGCACCTGCCCGTCCGATAACGACGAGACCTGCTGCGGTCGAAAAGCGAGATCCACCAGAGGAAGAGGAAGAGTGGGAGGTCCTAGCGGCCATGGAAGCCGAGGCTGCCGAAAGCAATACTAGAAACCCGTTGCGAAATGACGCTGGCCCCAAACCTCCCGCTCGACTGACCTTGGGACTACCGTTCCAGAAAGCTGAGGCTTCTTCGTCACGGGCTGCGTCGTCTCTCGCAGACGAGGAGGATACGACGACTCGATCTCGATTCTTTGGCAAGAAGAGCGATCAGAAACAGCCGGACAAGCAGCCTGCACAGGCCAAGTTGAAGAAGGGACCCATCACCTATGCGGATGATGAAGAGGACGAATTGTTTCCGCCCACAGAATACGTCTACAATCAGGAAAGCGAGGACGAGGATTACGTTCCAGATAATACGAGCCCGCTACGCAAGCGCAAGTCCAAGACCAAGGGAGCAACATCGCAGTCCAAGGCGCAAACCTCTCGTTCGCGCTCCGGTCAAAGGGGAGCGTCGGGAGGGGTAATGGAGATTGATGATGACGATGACGACCATGATGACGACCTCGAGGATTCTCAAAAGGAAAATCGACCGGCACTAGCGAAAAGGAAAGTAAAAGGATCAGCTGCCCGAGATTCGGTGCCGAGGGGAAAGAGTAAAACGAAGAAGCACGATCCGGACGATGACGAGGTGATCGAGATCTCGGACTGAGACTCGAGGGGAAAAAGAAGAGCAAGCTCCGCGGCAGGGTGAACCTTGCCCCTCGTTTTAGCGCGTCTATTTGTTATTTGTTTACGGGGTCGCGCGTTTCAGAGAAGAAAGGGGGTTCGCCCGAGGGGTCCTTTTTCGAAAGGATGCGCTGAAGACGTGTTTCGAGGTGATCAAAGGATGCCTTTGCCCGTTTGTACCGTTCTTCATATATATAGCGTGACGTCTGGAGGAGGAGGCACCTTATTCCCAGAGACGCCTCGGTCCTCATGTCTTGGCAATTGAACAAATACCCTGCATGACTGCCATGGTACCCGAGGGTAAGACCTCGCATACATCGCTCGGACCATCTTGCCCACTGACACTCCGTCTGTCATTCGTTGGTAGTCTCGATGATACAACCAATGAGGACCGACTCTCCGCCAATCGATGTGGTATCGAAAAAACTCCTTCACATTCTAGGGGTCGAGGCAGAGACTAAAGGTACGCGTCAGGGCAGCGTTGTAAACATCTGCCCAAGCTGACCCAGGATTCAATCAATCCGATAGCCTACGCCGAGATCGCATTGCAACAAGCTGAGAAGCTGCTGGCTACCCTTGGAGACGAACGTCAGCCCTCCGCCGAGCGGGAAGGCGAAACCACATTCTCAATGGAAGACCTAAGAGCGACGATCGCTTACTGGCACGACCAGCTGGCAAGACCACAGACTTAGGAAAGAGCGAGAACAGTTCTTGAGGGGTATGATCGATTGTTGGCATAAAGAGACTCGCTCAACTTGGCTCCTATGAATTATATGTTGTAAAACTTCTCTCCGCGGGTAGATCAAGACCGTGAAGTGGCCAGTGCTTCGGCGTTCTTGTAGTCGGAGATCTTTCCTTCGCACCACTCCATCATCTCCTCTGCCATGTGATGTACTTCGCTCGTCGGCTTGTTGTACATCATCGCATTGCTGTCACGCAGAGCATATCAGCCGAAATGCTTAACACAAGGCAATAATCGTCGAGCTCACCAGAACATGAGGTAGAGATCACGCTGAAAATCGTCGATGGTACGGATGGTGCCGTTCTTGATGTTTGCCTTGATCTTTTTGAGATCCATCGGCCTTTTCACAACATCATAGTAACCTGGCGCATCGGACTATTGGCAGATCGAATTCAGCAGCTGATTCGATCCCGGATTAAAGAGCCCTACTCACAGCCCTGACGGCAGCGTTGAAGATGGGCCCATGCTTGTGGCCCAAGACTTCTTGATGAAGCTGATTCATCTTGTTCTTGAATTGTCTGGTGGTCGTTTCGGTCATAGTGGCGTTCGTAGCGGATCGTGTCTTTCGTGAAGCCGTGGTCTCCGGCATGGCCGGTTCGTCATGAGGTGGCTGGTCCCCGTCTGCGGGACAACAGGGTAAACGGGGTCAAACGACAGTAGGGGACGTGAGGACTGAATGCAGCGAGACCCACCTTTTGCTGCTTCTTCCGCTCCTGCTGGCCTGACACTCGGTCCAGGCGAAGGCGGCGTTTGCGCCGTTGCGTCGACGTCTATGGCATCCCCTTTGTTTGTCGAATCCGGCACCTCGTCATTCTCAGCGGCCCTTGGTCTTCTCGACGCTGATCTAGGCAAGACGTATGCCAAACAAACAGATTTCAAGAGAAAATAATCGCAATGAGCCGATGCACCGATGGGAGACGTTCTCGTCAAACCTACCATCCTTCTTATTCGGCTCGTCTTTGGTTGCCTTCTTGTTCCCCGCCTTGTCCTTGTCTCTTTGTCGCCGATCGCTCGGACGGGTCCGCTTGTCTGAATCAATCGTCGCCGCAGGACTGTCTGCCTCCTCTTCAGCACTGTCGGCCTCGTCGTCTTCTTCCTCTTCGTCATCATCCTCGTCTTGTTCCCGAAGATCCGGCATAGTCCTGGCATGCCGACCGCTGCGACGCACGACGGCAGGTTCTTCCGGCTTGTCATCTTCATCGACCTCGTCCTCAGGCTCTTCTGTCTCGTCCTTGTCTTTCGACGCCCTCGTGCGGCCACCTCGGGTCCTGGTCTGCCTCTCCGGGGTCGGACGGGAACTCCTCTTGGTCGTCACGCTCGGTGGAGGGGAACTCATGTCGTGCTTGTTGGCATTAGCGTTCCGAGTGCTAGGCCGCTTGGTAGTTTCCTGTCGCCTCGTCCTCCTTGCACCCTGATCTTGTCCCTCGTCTTCGCTCTTTTTGGCGGCAGCAGGGTCCTCGGTCACTCGCACCTTGGGTTGGCCTCGTATCCGTTTGGGCTTGCTCGTCATCTCCATCTCGCTCTGAGTCTCCTCCTCCGCTTCTGAGACTTTCGCATCGGTCTTTTGACGCTTCGTCACAGGTGTGCTTGGGACGGGGGACAGTTCATCTCCACTACCGTTACTGGCTGCTCTTTTTCTTGAATTCACTGACGCGTCCCTCGCTTCTTTCGCCTGACCTCGTCGTGTCGAAGGTGCGGCAGATGTCTTGCGGGCCTTTTCCTCCCTGTCTCGTCTTCGAGGTGGTGTAGAGTCGGGCTCGGGAACGGGCGCGTCATTCTCCACCGGAGGTAGGTTGGGTGACATCGGAGGTGGGGTAAGATCGTCCTCGGACGATTGATCCGAGACGAGCTTCTTGGGCTCGACTTCGTCCGCTTCCGTGACGAGGCGATTATCATCTCCAGCCGTGGACGAGGGGACCACATCGGCATCTCCATCCACCTCCATTGGACGAACCGGTTCGTGCTTGCTCTCAGCTTCTTCATGTATCCGCTTGCTGTCCTGGTCCTCTGCCTTCCTTTTCTTTGAATCTGAAACGACTCGTCCGTTCTTGTTTCTTTCCCTCAACGTGTCAGGTTCAGCTTGAGCAGGAGATGTGGCAACCGGCGTCTCTTGACTGTCAGGCACCCGATCATCCGCAGAATTCTCTTCTGCAGGTGGGGTGGTAGCTTTCCGAGCCGTCCTGCGTTTTCTCGGGACAGGCCGACTGGAAGCGGCTTTCAATTCCGTCGCTGTTATCGCCGTCTCCTTAACAGGGTTAGGAGCAGGGGTTGTAACGACTGCAGCCGGAACAGCAACAGGCGTAGGAGCAGGCGGTACGGTCCTGGTGACAGGCGGCAACACTGGCTGAACCGGCATGATAACCGGAGGAAGGGGCGAGATCCGGGCAGGCGGTGGTCCCTGCGCCTGTAACGGGGCGTCCTCCCTGATGATCTCGATGGAGACTGCTCTGCCATTCTGCAGCCGGGTTTGAGGTTGAGGCGTCGAGCGTATCGAGTTGCCCAGACCGGGCACGGGGGTTGAGCGTTTAGACGGTCCCGCCGAGGCGGGTTGTGAAGAGGGCACGGGGCCATCCATATCCACGTCGATCGACAGAGGTGGCTCAGGGGTGAGCTTTCTGATCGGCGCTTGAGCTTGGATCGGGGCGTCTTCTTTCGCAAACTCGATCTTGTTGCTCGTGGCCGTGGTCGGGGTCAAAGTCGAGGTCGCGGTCGAAGGAATGGAATCGACAGGTATCGAGACGGGGACTTGAGTCGGTGGAAGCGGTCTACGTTGACCGGGAGGGAGTGTCCCCCCAGCGGCTAGGCGAAGATCTTCCTCGGTCATCCTCCATACTACCTCTTCCTTTTCCTTAAACAGGGCCATCCCGCCCGTCCGTTTTCCGTTCTCTCCCATCTCGCCGACCTTCATCTCGACCTCCATCTCTGTATCCCGCTTCGCCCGGTCGTCCTCGTCAGTGACAGTAGCACCGCCCTCGACATCGACGTCCATGTTCTCATCACCCTTATTCTTGTTCTCGTTCTTAGCGGCACGCCGACGATCGAGCAAGATATCTCTGAGACGCAGCATGATGCCCGGATTGTAGATGGCTTCACCAGATTTGATAGCGTTGATCTCGACCGCCAACGAGCTAATGGCACCGAGTGTGCGGCACGGCCGGAAGGGGAGGCGGGAAGCGTCGTCAGGGTGCAATGCAAGTACGTACAAGGCGTCGTATATATCGACGACATATCAAGTATTAGAAGTCAAGAAATCGCAGTATACAGAACAAGAGGGAAGAAGGGATGGAATAGGGGTAAGCTTTCGAGCCCTGCTAACAGCATCGTGGTCGGTGAAAAGGTGCGAGACGCACCGAAACTTTTCCTCCTTGTCCTCGATCTCTGCTCGGATCTCTTGCATCCTGAGTTCATAGTAGTGTTGAGCGAGGTAGAGGTGTGCTTCGGCTGTGGTCCGGCAAGAATTATCGCGCAGCTCAGTGGAAGTGCGCAGAAAGCCTTTATATGAAAGACACTGATTTACCGTGTGGTTGAGACTGTTGAGCCGGTACGAGCAGCCTACAGACAACAGCAGAGAACATAGGATTTCAGCAAGCAAAATTACTGAATATACACGATGACCTCAGAGCCCGATTTCACCAGTCGACCCATGACTCACTTGTCAAACCCGGTCTCTTCCATGAGCGCGTCATAGATTCCTCGACAAGCGACGTCTGACCAGTAGTCCTCCGGACGATCGACCACCGGGCATGCCCTGAGCAGATCCCCGACTTGAGTCCATCTCGACTCGCCTGCTCCGACTTTGTGGACGGCTTGCGAGAAGAGTAGCTTTTCGCGGATCGTCAAGGTCGAGGTCGGCGCGGTGAGCGAGGGACCGGACGATGCGGTCGTCATCGCGAAACGCCGGGTGAGGATGGAAGTGACGATGTGTGTCGAATTTTGCGCAGGTTGGAGGGTTGTATGCAGGTCTAATGGTGAGGGTGTTGTGCGTCAGAATCGTTGGTTCAGACTCTTGAATTTGGGCCAGATCTTTCTCAAGAAGGTGACTGCTGCTGCAAGTCCACGATTAATTGATAAGGTTGACTTTGATACCGACGAGATGACGTGGCTTATTGATCTCTGATTTACGTCACCCTACACGCTAACACTAACAATTCCCCCGGATGATGCGGGGGTGAACCAGCACTTGCAAGCTAGTAGCTAGTAGCACATCGCACACTGCGGCACTTGCAATGCATATTCCGGGTTTGTGACAGGTCTACTCCCTTGGGAATCCAGCCAGATAATCAGCCAAGGCAACGACTTGCCAACTGCCGAGAGAATAGCAAGAAGGGACACGAAAAACGAGACGGACGATCGACCTCAACGAGCACTCGAGAGATCAAACTCTAAAACGAACGACGAGCGGTGAACAAGCACATTTCCGATACCCAAAAACCGCGTTTACGATCAACTATCAACTTTGCATACATATACATACAACGCCTTTCCCCCCGTCGAACCTGACTCGACTCAGATGAGGGACAGGCTCTCACTATGAATACCTCCTCTTCCTCTTCATCCTTCTTCCATCCTTCCTCCTCGAACGCCAGATCCGCCAAATCGTCAGACCCTGCACAGAACAGCTCGACCAGGGCTCGTCAACCTGACTCGCAACATCATGCCGCTTCGAGTTCGACTCTCAGACAGACCTCGTCGGTTATAGGAACTTCGGCCCTCGAACTGCCTCTGATCCCGACAGGCAGTTTCTTTGACAGTTTCTCCAGCTCGACGGCATCGGACGGTCTCGACCTACCCTTGATCCCCGCGCAGGGCGACTCGTCTCCAGCACGACGAGTTCAGCCCGCTCAACAACAACTACGAAGATCGGACTATGGGTCTCATCAGCGAGTCGGTACCGAACCCGTCGAGCCTATCTACCGGGCAAAGGTGAGAGACCGGGAGAGGGAGATGAGCGAGCCGGAACTCAGGGCGTCGAGGTCGTACGCTATGAAGCCCGATACCTCCTTTGACCAGATCCAGAAGGACGACCAGGACGTAGAAGGGAAGCTGGTTGCTTCTTCTTCCTCTTCGTCGGCCTTTTCGTTCACCGATCGAGCCGACAAGGACAGGCAGCAGATGGGTATGGCCACGGCGTCCCCCGACAGACTACCTGTCGCAAGGGGGATGGCCCAGCACCGGGCGTCTCCCCGTCCACAGCCTCGTCCTCAACCTCAGCCTCAATCTTCCCCAGGCAACCCGGATCGTCCGGATCTACGCGTTGCGACTGGTTCACAAGCCACCTCTGCAATGTCATCGACGATGACGGCAGGAGCAAGACGTGCACCGCCAGAGAGGTTGGATCTGGCTAGTCCGGGAAAGGATCGGTACAAGGGTTTGGAGAGGGAAGAGGCAGCGCGAGAGACTAGGAGGAGGGTCGTCACCGAGCCAGCTCAGGGGGTAAGCACAGCCTTCTGCTTACTCGCTCCAACAGTCCGCTAGTTGCAGTCCGCTGACCCTCTCGATTTCTCGCGCTATTAGCAACCCACGGGAGACTTCCGGAAACCGTACTCCCCGCAGATGGTAGACCCATACTCGAACACCTCGAGCCCGACCACATCCTCCACAAGCGCTATGGGCTACTCCAGCTTGTCCTTTGACCGAGAGCGCGGACCGTCCCGCTTGCCGATCTCGCCCTCGTTACCCCTCTCGGCATTTGGGTTCGGGAACCTCGAGATGGGAGGACGAGGGGATGGCATTGCGAGTGGAGAGGCGGAGGATACGGGATTGCCGCCCATTCCGAGGAGTCTGAGTATGGGATTGGCAGGAGAAAATGGGTTGGGGGAGAGCAAGAGGCAGAGTTTGATCAGGCAGGAGGAAGCGGATACGAGAGGCTCGTGAGTTTAGACAAGCTGTGAATGAGCATTGGATGCTGGAGTATTGACAATCTCACCCATAGGCTGGATTCGTATTATACGAGAAACTCGCCGCCACGTCGACTGGCGCCTTCCGGATCATACGCTCACTTGCGTACCCCTTCCGCCAAGTATTCGTCGACGATGAACCCCCATAGCTACCTACAATCTCCCTCGACACCTGGACCGACAGACCCAGCCACTTTAAACCGGGATGACCTGATCGGGGTTGGGGAACTCTCGACGCCGAGGTGGAAGTCGCCGATGACGATGTACCAGAGTCCGACGGGTGCTTATGGCCAAGACGTCCGTTCTGCCATCCCAGAGACCGTCTCCAGGAAATCCGCTGCACAACGACAACTCGGGCTACCTTCGAGACGTACCAAGTCGATTGCAAATTCTGAAAGCTACCCGAGCTTGATGATGAAGGGGGAACATCAGGAGCCGGTACCTGATCTTCCCAGCAGCGTGACCATGCCGCCGACGGCGACGATGGGAGGCACTCTGGGAAGACATGGAAGCGGACGGGTTCAGGGGCCTCGTCTGAGAATCCCGAGTGGTCCAGCTTCGAGGGCCGCCTCGGGCACAAGATCGGCGGTGAGCTCGACCTATGAACCGCAAGTGGACGCCGTGACCGAAACCAAGCGGGCCAACCTGCCTTCCCAAGTCGGCTTGGGCGTCAGGCTCGGAGGAGATCATGCACTGGATGCGATGTTTGTCAAGGACGAAGCCGCCACGCCTGATCAGCGACGAGACCAAGCGAATTCCGAGCGAAATGTCACGCCTCCGCCTCGATCGGCTCTGCTGCAGGTCGATCAGGAAGCTTCGCCATCGAGCCTTCGAGGTACACGGCGATACTCTAACAGGGTCGCTGCCGATCTGCAAGCGCTCAAGATCAAGGAAGCCAATCAATTCGCACGGACGGCCATGCAAGAAGGAGACGAGAGGGGCTCGTCGGTCATGTTGCCCTTGCCCGATACTGGCAGCGCACCGGGTTCCAACTATTCGTCGCCGAGAAAGGGAAATTACGCCACTGATCAAGCTGGTCGACCGAGGTTGCTCTCCGAGGCGTCTCTGGACAGAAACGGGTTTCCCTCGCGTCCGAGCAAAAGCGACCTGCGCAAGACGCCTCCGTCGGGATACAAGCGGGAGACGAGGTTGTCCTCCAGCCAAGCGAAATCTCCTAACGAATACCCTCATCCTCAGACCATCCTCAAACAGCTCGGATCGCACCGAGATTTCTCACATCTGCCTCCAAGCCCTTCTTCGGCCTCGATCAACAAGTTCATGATGCGCGAGTCGGCTTCGGTCACTTCGTTTTCGCCAACAACAACGCCCGCTGACAAGGACGGAGGCCATCCTGCCTACCCGTTCCCCGAGGTGGCGCAAGACGTAGCCTCAGACTTGCATGCTCGGTCATCCAAGCGTAGGCGAGATGTGCAAGGGGAAGCGGATCGAACATTGGACAAGGAGACGGCCGAGGCGTTGCGAAAACTGGATGGGCTCGGCAAAGCCAGCTCGAACAGTCTCAAGAGCAAGGCCAGGCAAGACCCGGCTAGTCACAGACAGGATGAGCGAGAAATGCCACACTCGCGAGAGGGTACGGCGATGGGAGAGAGACCCACCGGGACGGATGCTGCACGCGGCCGACCCGCCGCGAGTACGCCATCTTCACCCGAAACTGCAAAGTCAAAGTCGAGGGGCACGTCGATTAGTGTTTCCCTCGACCAGCAGGCAAGTAGCTCTCGAAACGGCAACCGCTCGAGCTTTGGTAGCTCGACCGGTACCGACGATGCAGGTCCCGCATTGGACGGGGTTGCAGTTCAAGTACCGCCAGTTCCTCCCTTGCCGAATGATTACCAGGCCAAGCCTGTCCTCGGTATGGTCAAATCGCCGACTCTCGACCGACTACCACAACCAAGCGAATATGCGCGTGTCAGGGACCATTCCGGCCAAACTTTGCTCGAACCAGACAAGGGAATGAGCCATTCTGTTTCCTCGCCGGTCTTGAGCTCGGACGCATCGTATCACTCGGCCGACAGTAAGAGCCCGGCGATGTCCTCATTCTCGGCTCTCGAGTCTGCAGGGACGGACGGGAAAGCCCCTCGCATGAGCAAAAAGTGGTCATTTTCCTCGGCTCTCAATCTCGGTTCGTATGGTCACAAGAACAAGGTAGAACCCACTTCGGCGAGAACCTCCTTTACGGATGCTTCCGGCTATGTTGACGACTTCGGGGCGGTGTCTGCAGGAGACGGCATGGGATACGGTGGTTTGAAGATATCGAACGTCGCCACCAGAGAATCTATGGACCAGAGAAGTCCAGGCCTGGCGAAAAAGCCACTTCCTCTTGCCGACGGCGATGGCAGTTTGATGGTACCTTCAGACTCTCGCTTGAGCGGACATGGCAAGCGATCGACATCATCGGGCATTCCGTTCTTCAGGAGGTCGTCGTCTTCGTCTTCAAACGCCATGGCTATGGCGGCGGTCTCCAAGGGAGGTCACGGCCAGCAAGGTAAAGAAGCTGCAATAACAACAACGACATCAGCGTCATCGGCGAATCCACAGACACAAAACAACCGAAAGACCATTCTTGGGGTGGGGATGTCGCTTCTCAAGGGAAGTAGTTCGCGGCGAAACCTGCAGCGTCAACCCAGCCAAGAGCAGATGCAAGCTTCCGCAGGACTCTTCAGTGCCACTGACCGACCGAAACATGAGAGGAAGGGTAGTCTTGGCTGGAGTAGAAAAAGAAGCAAGGTGATTAGATAGCCGGCTTTCGCTTGCCATCATGCTTGGATCACTGATCAAGAACCATTTGCTATTTAATACAGGACCCGGAAGAGGCAAGAACCGGATTACCTGTGCAATCAGACCTCGATCCGGCGCCTCGTGACTCGGGCACATTATCGCGCACGTCGAGCATACAGCGACGTCCCAGCAAGGACTCTATCAACACCTCGTCTTTCAAACCGACCACTCCAACCCAACATCGCTCTGGTTTGCCTCGTGCTGGACCGGCCGCTACCATGCATACGAGTAGAAGCGGTCTCTTGCCTTCGATAGCTGGATCTCCAGCTACTCAAAACAAGACAAAAGCCGCATCGCCATCTCCTTCCACTACTCAGACACATGCCCGCACGATCCTTTCGAGTACTCCCACCAAGATCCCGAGAATGGCAAGCCGTACGTCTCTCGTCAACTCGGTCGGCGTATCAGGTCAGGCTCCCCCTTTGCCCGTCAAATCGGCTATCAACCATAGTCTGCCTGTCACGCGCGAGCGTACAGTCACCGGGCCAGCCGCCGTGTCATCCTCCATGCTATCCGAGTTTGGCTATGGTCAACCAGACAAAAGTCGAGTGGGCTCACGACTCTACGCCAAAAATGGAACAGCCGAGCTGCCCCGTGCAGACCAGTCGCCGACCAGCATCTCTAGTCAAGGCACTATCTTGGCCAGCCGAGGATCCGTAGATACTGGTGCCAGCTCTTCGAAAAGGAACCTGCCCATGCTCCCGGATGGTTCAGATCCGAACAAGACCTTGAAGGCCAAAGTGTTACCACGTGACCTTTCCGGCGGCTCCCTGAGACGGACCTCGTTGACGAGCCAATCCAACGGGCCCACGGCCAGCCCTATCGCAACGCCTAGCAAAATGGACAAGGTTCCAAATCGTTTGGCCGTGCCAAGCTATGCTAGGATACCTCATTCTTCATCGACTTCGAACATGTCCGGTCGATCCTCTCGGTCGCAATCTCCGCAGACCAGCACTGTAGACGAGGACGAGCACAAGGGCAACGAGGAAATGGCTCAGTTCTTCAAACGTCAGCGGTCAAAGCAAGCCCGAGGCGAGATCAAGAGTCCCGAGATTGAGGCAATGCTGAACTTTCCCGACGATATGGAACCCGGCAAGGAACTGTCTCCCCATGGTAAGACATCAACCGATGATCACAGAACGGAGCAAAGAGAAAGACTAATGACTATCACGGGTGATTCGGTATGTAGCTTTCATCAAGTCTCACTTCGAGTCCTTGTCACTTCTCGAACGTCGGGAAATTTTGGACTATCAATCGATCTGGTATTCTGGACAAAAAGGCAAGAAAAATCAGGCTACACCCGAATCTACAGCCAACAATCACGGCTATGACGACGAAAGGGGCGACTACATTCACATCCAGGGCGATCATCTGGCCTATCGATACGAGATCATGTGCCTGCTCGGAAAAGGTTCCTTTGGTCAGGTGCTCCAGTGCCGAGATCACAAGACGGGACAATGCGTCGCAATCAAGATCATTCGGAACAAGAAACGGTTCCATTCTCAGGCGCTCGTTGAAGTGAAGATCTTAGAAAACCTGGTCAAATGGGTGAGTATCCACAGTCTGCGCTCGCCGCATCACGCTAGACTGACCTGGGTAACATTGCAGGACCCCGAGGATAAGCACAACTTGATCAAGATAAATCAGCACTTCTACTTCCGCGGCCATCTCTGTATCGTGACCGAGCTCCTTAGCATCAACCTTTACGAAATGGTCAAAGCCAACAGCTTCGTCGGGTTCTCGACGACCTTGATCCGCCGGTTCACGGTCCAACTCCTGTCCTCTCTCCAGGTCATGCGAAACAACCGGGTCATCCACTGCGATCTCAAGCCAGAGGTGAGGTGAAGCGCGTTATCACTCTTGTCGAGTGACCACTAATCCCGTGTATATCCTTGCTGCAGAATATTCTCCTGCGACACCCGGCCAAGAGCGGTCTCAAAGTCATCGATTTCGGGAGCAGCTGCTTCGAACACGAGAAAGGTAGGATTACTACCGCGTCCCGAAGTTTGCCTAGCTGGACGTCCACTGACAAGTAAACAATATGATCGCATCAGTCTACACCTACATACAAAGCCGATTCTACCGATCCCCTGAAATCATCCTTGGATGTTCTTACCATACCGCCATCGACATGTGGAGTCTAGGCTGCATCATCGCCGAGCTCTACACAGGATATCCAATCTTCCCCGGAGAGAACGAGCAAGAGCAGCTGGCTTGCATCATGGAGGTGTTGGGTGCCCCTGATCGCAGTACGGTCGAAAAGTCGACCCGAAAGAAGAACTTTTTCGGTCAGTCTTTCTCGTCCATACCTGGTAGTGGTAATGCTGATGGTCTCGGACACAAACAGACTCCCTGGGTCAACCTAAAATCGTAGCCAACTCCAAAGGCAAACGCCGAAGGCCCGGCTCCAAAACACTACAGCAGGTCTTGAAAGCCGACGACGACCAATTCATCGACTTCATTGCGAAATGTCTGACCTGGGACCCGGAGCGTCGCCTGAAACCAGCTGCGGCGATGCGACACCCTTGGATCATTGGTGCTCGCAAGGTGCCGGCCTCTAATGCGCCTCCCGCTTCGGCGATACATTCTCGTCTGTCGAGCATCACCGCGACTCCTTCCCGAAGATCCAATGGCAGCGAAAACGGCAAACCCAGGATTTCTGAACCCTCACCCTTGACGGCTCGCAAAACGCTTTCCGGTTTGCCCGCCTCGTCCAGCGGCAACTTTGCCAGTCAGAGCAGTCGGATCGCTCGACCGACCCAGTTCAACTCGTCTCGATCGATAGCACAGGTGAGTTGCTGGCTGACTCATCTTTCTATTCTGCTCAGAAATGTCTGATCTCCCCCTTTGGTGACGTCAAAGCAGACTGCTGGACGGTAACGCCATGACCTTTTATGAAACCTTCACGAACGATCCTCATGATTTCAGGACAGTCACACCCCGGCCGAGTTGCCAATACCACTTGATGTAACGTCAACCACCGGGTTCCACTTTTTGCATGGCATGTAATAATCTGCTAGACAACCTTCACGATCCTCCTTCATGACAATGAACGATTCTGCAAAGTAGCAGTGTTCGCATCTCGAAACGCTGGACCAGGTCTGGCTCCGGTCTGGCTCTCTGCATGCAAATGTGAAGGCCTTGATTGTGGTATACAATGTCACGTCTATCATTCCCACTAAGTTGTATTCCCAATCGATAGTTCCGTGTGCACAGAGATCCGCGTAGGTCCTATATAGTTATCGCCCGGAGGTTGGGTGTTCAGAATCAGGGGGAAGCTTACAGTTCCCGTCGTCGTCGTCGTCGTGAGCGCCAAGCGTTTTCAAAGACGGAATGGACCAAAACGAGAGGAATCACGTTCCGAGGGGCCATGTCGATACAGGCATCGAGGTCTGTACACAGTACTGCCCAGGGTCTCTTCAGGCTTTATCTCCGTACAGCAATCGGCTGAAGATCAATCTCAAGACACACCGAGGTCAGGCCTACCATCGCTGTGCTGCAGCTCGAAGGTATCCGATAAATCGCCGCTTGGCGGTCCCAAAAATATAGCAGGAGAGGCGCTTCGTGAGCTGATGATGGGCGAATCCTGTGATCGCCCCATACTGGCCTATATACCCATCCCAGTCAAGCCAGATTATCAAAGAATTCGGTTGCCCTCCGCTACGACACCGATCAGCCGAAGAGTTCGGTTGTAAAGTTCGGATACACCTCGCCAGATATTTGGACTATGTGGAACTCCTAAAGACTGCGACGTTCCGACTCGCAAGGCGCACCCCGGCACAGCGTTTCCTCTCTTCCGTGTCCCATTCCTTCTCCTTCTGCAGCGCCTGAATCCTTTTAATCTTGAAGGCCATATCCACATTTTGGACCCATTGTCCGGGACTGATAGGTGGCGACCTTGTCAGCTTGGGATGAGGCAATAAGGGACCCAAAGAGACAAGGGAGTCGCGCCTTGATGCTGTATCATCTATCAGAGCATGTTGACGTTCCCATGAACTACTGGGACATGGTCAACACTATCTGTCTGGCTTCGCCCTTCCGGGGCCAGAAAGATGGACCAAGCTCATTCCTGATGCTGGGCGTATGTCCTCCTTTCGCAACGGCAAGATTCAAATGGATTATAGATACTCAAACCATTCTCATCCATACAGTATCTTTTCCCATCTTCCTGTGATTTGTAGCGCCAGAATCCGTTCAACTCGACCCTGCCTGACGGATGTTCGCTAAAATAGGCGTTGTATGAAAGGTCTAGGGTGAAGTTAGATTCCTGAGGTAAAGGGTGGCGACGCAGAATCAGAGCGTAGACCTGGAAGAAACGTATTCCTTGTACTAGTATGAGAGATAAGGATACATGTAGCTTGACAGTCACGTGTGATACTTTTCACCACCTTCATCCCTCGATGGAAGTTCAACAGAAGGTCTAATATGCGCCTGCATCTCGGACCCCGGTTGATTCAGGTGAGCAGGTGAGCAGGTCAATGAAACGGTTCACAGCAAGTCCCGCGCGTGCTGCCGGCCCTGGGCAAACGCGTCCAATCGCGTCAACGGGAGGCTCTCGATCGTCAAAAGTCTCTAACACTTAACGAGTAGCGACGACACTCACTTTAGCAGCTATGATTGTCTTCAAATCGTCTTTATCAATCTGGCGACACCACTTATGAAAGGACCTGATCGATAGTACCATGTCCCTAGAAGAGGATTCCGACGCAATCCATGGAGTGGAACAAGCCGCGGAAGATGAGGCGGCTATGCAGGTCGACGATGTTCGTAAGTGATCTCCCGCATGGGGTTACCTCTTGTCAATATGCATGACCGAGCGTCTAACCTCGCCTGAGCAGCTTCTGTCAAAACCGCTGGTAAGACGAATCCGAGGAAGACGGTCCAGCTTCCCGATGGTCAGCCTGGAATCACGACGCTACCAGTCGCGAGAGTTCAGCGGATAGTCAAGGCGGACAAGGAGATCCAGATGGTCAACAAGGAGGCCATCTTTGCGTTGTCTGTAGTAACAGTACGTCCGACCTTAATCCGAAAAGGCTGACGCACTGAAGTTGATGCTTACTGTCTTCTTGGTCTCCCTTGCAGGAACACTTTATCAAACGGCTGACGGACAAGGCGTATGAACAAGCGAGGATGGACCAGCGAAAGAACGTGACGTTAAAGGATATGTGTGAGTTGATATCTTGTAACCGCCATCCGCGGCAGCAACGGATACTCAAGGGATTCGACGTTTCTTGTGTTCATCAGCGACCGCTATCCGAAATTACCCAGAATTCGAGTTTTTCAACGGTAAGCACGCACTTCCTGCATCCTTCATCTCCCTTCGTCGTGCAATTCGACGTCCTTGACCGCGATGCCGCCACTCGTCATCGAAGACGAAGAGCGCGGCAAGGACGGAACACCCCGGTGGACGCAGACGAGCGAAATGATGAGATCAAACGTATCATATACATCATCCTTATACCCAGATCAAGGCACTCCCCGGTTCTGAGCATCTTCCTGGCCTTTCCGCACGGGCATCCAAACCTCAAGTGGGTAGTGGGAACGTGTCCGAGAGGGTGGGAAGGAGTCTGGGACTGGGGAGTCGCGCTCGATCGATGAAGGAGAAACGTTCAAGGGAAAATCTTCTCTCTGATCGCTCAGTCGTTCGCCATGGGGGCCTTTTCGCTAGCGTCGGAATCGCTACAAGGACGAGCCTAAAGTGCTTGCTACGGGACACAAGGCTGAGTGTGCTGATTTGCTTCATTTGCAACGTGGTAGGTATCGTGCCAGAGACGGTGCCGCTATCGGTAGCACTCGCTGCTCGAGCCAAGAAAGGTTCGTTCATCAGACTCGGTAACTAAACCATATCAACCGACTTACCTAATCGATCTCTGCTATCCACCTGATCAACCAAAAGCTGTGGAAGACGCCGAAGGACCGACAGACGAATCGACGACCAAGCTGGCCGACGTCTTCCCCAAAGTACCTCTTGTACCGAGTACGGACCCTGAGCACCCAGACTATTTGGTGAAAAAGGCAGCGGGAGGGCAAGCGAAGAAGACCAAAGGCGCCGCGGTCAGCGGTGTCAACGGGGGAGAAAAGGACAAGGGGAAGAGCAAGGAGACGACACCGGTCGTAAGTGACGCATTCGCCTTGGAGCTCTACCTCGACTCGCCGCTAATTCCTTTCGGTATGAACGCTAGAATCCCAACGGAAGAGCCCGACCGAGGAGATCTCGGGGTGCAGCCAACGAGACGGAGGAAGAGGCCGAACTCGAGGCCGAGCAAGACGCAGAGGCAGAAGGTGGACCGTCGTCTGACGTGCCCGAGTGAACAAGTTGCCGCATGTGGCATACTGCAACAACATTGAGAGCGAATTTATATGACGAACAAGGACGAGTTTTGTCCTTTGTATTATCACCTGTTGCATTGTAGCTTATGAGAGAATAATGTGCGCACCGCGGACGCCGATCCAAATCGCACCCTCGATTGACTCGCGCGGGAGACCTTGGTTCAGGGCCAAACCTTTACGGGGTCAGTTTCTGAGCTAGAGGCTCGCTAGGTCGCGTACGAGGTTCTGACGAGTCTCGAATGACTTGTGGAGAACCGAGGTCTGGTACATCGACTTTCAAAGAAGGCTTCATGTCGGATGTCGACTTTGTTGCATCAATGCCGATGTCATGCTCTCTGCGTTGTCGCCTGATCTGAACTCCGCTCCCGGATCCGTCGGCCGCAGGGGGGGAAGCTAGAGAGGGGCAGCTTGGGCGCTAACGGGCTCGCCGGTCCCCTCAGAGTCCATGGTCTGATCGTCGGTTCGAAGTGAAAACAGATATCCACCTTGCAACCTCGGCTGGTCCAGTATTCCTGCACAAAACCTTGTAGCGATTGCGTGTCTATCTCGACAGATAGCCTCGTTTCAGGTCGACCTTCTCCGTTTTCTCTAGTCTCTCATAGTCTTTGTTCATCTCGTAGTCGGTCACGAGAGGAAACGAGCGAGAGGGGTCCACATCAGGTTACACTTTACACGGCGCCTCGACCACGACCTCGTTCGCCATCCGTCGCTCTCTACGGGAAAACATCGTGTCCCCTTCCAACCATTCGTCCCGTAACCCGGCCAAACCGGCTCAGGTCGGCGTCTCTTCTCTGCAGCACGAGAGCCGACCCGCTCTGTCAAACCGGACCGACGACTCGACAGTGCTCGACGTCGAGGGTTCGTCAGGTCAAGGCCCTTTGAGCGGAGCAGGTGTAGGCTCAGGTGGACAAGTAGGAACAGGAGCAGGAGTAGTAGGGAGTCAAGACCTAGGATCCAGGACGAAACGGCAATCCGCTCGTTCAGGCCCTCCACAGGTCTCGAATTCCGACCAACCTTCTGCTACCTCGACGACTCATACCGACACCCGCGGGAGTACGACCACCCCGCTGGGTTTTCTTGCGTGGTCACTCTCTGGAATCATGGCTTCTCTCTTCGCTTACGGATGGGGTGGCTCGTTCTGGGGCTCGTCTGTGCCGCCCGTCACCGGGGACCAGCAGTTGGACGACTACATGGCCTCGCCCGAAGGGTCGTTGGTATGGGCGGGCAATCCAAAGGCCTCGGGGCTGTTCTACGGTTGGGACGTCAAACGGTTGTTATTCTGGTCACTCGTGTTCATCGTCTTTTGCGTCATCGGTAAGTTTCCCAGGACACAAGGTTGATTCTGAGAACCGTTCGAATCTCGACGATCTGACGACGCGTTCCTTTTCATCCGTTCTCGTTTGTGACAGCCTGGGTTTTCAACCCGAACGAGACGTCGTTCCGGACGTACCTGAACGAACAGTCTTTTCGAAAACATCTGCAAGGTCTGCATCGTCAAGAGACGGGATCGGCATCTGTACCGGGAAATGATACGGGGCATGTACCGGAAATTTCAGGCAAGAGCAAACAAACTGGATCGAACGGCGCGTCGATTCCAGCACAGGCATCGTCAACACCTTCAGCAGCAACAATATCAACAGCATCAGTACCAACATCATCATTAACGTCATCGTCACGACAGCTTACCAATGTCGTCACGCCCACCCCGTTCAGATTCTCGAATCACATCGCCGTCTCCCTCCGCACGCCGCAGTATCACTTCCTGCACTCGTATCTCTTTTCCGTTGTCTGGATCTTGCCCGGGTCTGCTTATACGGGCAACCACAAGAAATCTCACCATGCTTTTAAATCGACGAATTCATCATCGACAGCGTCGTCCTCAGCGGGAACTTCCAAGTCGGCTTCTTCGACCGCGTTTGGGATAGACGGTGAGGATCACGGGGAAGGCTTTGATCCGACTTTGCAAGGGGTTTGGTATTTCGGGGCTTTTGGGAGGTGGTGGAACATGGGCAGGATTATGGAGGATCCAGCGCTCAGGCCGTGGAGCAGGAAAAAGATGGAGGTTGCCACTGCGGCGGGAGAGTCTGGGAAGAGGGAGCCAGGGTTGATCAGCGTCGTGGCTCTGCCCAAGGACGATCGGTTACCTGAACGTGAGCCTTGAATGGCATGTCAGATATGCGAAAGGGAGAGGTTGGTGTAGCTGAAAGTTCTTGTGTCGATTCGCTCCTACAGCCAGGACCGCGCCTGCGACACCGTTGCGACGTTCGCCTGCCAATACGCCTACGTCACGCGCCGAATCTCCACCGCCGTTACGTGCAGACGCATCGTTACCACTGCATTCCCGGACGCTGGTGGATTCGACGTACCCTGCCAAGACGACTCACACCTCTTCTCAACATCTCACTGTACCACTTCTCAAGGATTCGGCAAACGATGCCACGACCGTGACCCTCTCTTCCTCTAATTCCTCTTCTGCTCATTTGAAATCGGCCGAGGCGGCCAAGAAGGACTCGCCCATGCTAGCGGAGTTGAACTCCACCTTGACCGCAATGCAAGCTTCTTTAGCGAGTATGCAGGAATCGTTGAATTTGTTCGACACAAACGTGGCTCATCAACAAGCACAGTTGCAAGCCACCGTCGACGAGCTACGGAACAAGAAAAAGACCGAGGATGCGGATCGGGCGGATTTGAAGGTCAAGATGAAAACTCTGGAGGAGAACAAACGACAAGCCGAGAGTGCGCGGAGAGAGGCGGAAAAGAAGCTCAAGACGGCAGTCACGATGCGTGATGCCGTATTGGAGCGATGCGAGACTATGCAGCGTGAGATGACGAGGATGCGAGACGAAATGCAAGGGTATGAAGAGGCGATCAAGGAGAGCAAGGTCAATACCGAGTCGCATGCCAAGACGACCGGAGAGGCCATCGAGCAGAAAGAGGTCGACTTGACGAGTCTGGACGAGGAACTGGCCAACGAGGTTGCGGAGAACGCCGATCTGGCCGCCAAGGTCTTACAGGCGGCTGAGACGCTTCAGGCGTTGATCGACAGCAGTCCTCAACCCGTTCCGGATTACGCCAATGTGCCCGCTCCGTCCCCTGGGGAGCAGAATGGCAATCAGCCAGCGGGGGTGGGCGGTCACCAGACGCCTTACTCGGCTTCGAATCGCGTGTACAACAATTCTTCCTTTTCCTTTCCCGATCCTTACCAGTCCCTCGGAGCTGGTCACCCTGCACAGCATCATCAGCATCCCGGCCACCACAACAACGCACAAGGACCAGACTTTCGATCGTATTCTAGCTCTGGCAATGTCTTTCGTCGGACTGCCAGCGGGAATGTTACGACGACAGCGACGGGCATGTCGGAACCGTTTCGTCAGAGCTCGCCCTTTCGGGATATCTCTGGGTACGAAGGTTTCGGACCGTTGGGAGCGCCGGTCCAAGGATTCTCGGAAAGTCATCATGCGAGCTTTCTCGAGCCCGAAGAACCTGGCTCGCCCAACGTCATGTCCTCGTCGTTCACCGCCAACCTGCTCCCTCAAGGCTTGTTTCGGTCTCTTGAAGGCGATCAGACGCCTCAGGATGTCAAGACTGAGCTGGACGACCCGATGGACATTCTCGACCTGGACCCTGCCAACCTGGAGCTACCGAAGTCTCCCGAAAAGAGCGAAGAACACTCCGGTCAGACTCCCAAGCCTGCGTCTTCCGACCCTGTTTCCCACGACGTCGGCTCGAACGGCGGTCAGGGAAGCAAGGAATCGGACGAGGACCCGGCGTCTTTGCAAGTCTCGCTCGACGAGGCTTCGCGCAAGCTGGCCGAGTATCACGACGAGACCGATGGACCTCGGCCTCGTCGTTGGTTCTCTTCCTCCAAGCTCAAGGGACCTACTGATGCCGTCTTGGAGAACGGATCCGGCGGACACCTCAACGACCTATTTGGTATGCCGCTGGCTCAGACCATCTCGAACGAGAGCCTGCTCGTTCCTGGAGGCGGCTTCGACAACAACCCGTTCGCACCCTCGGCTGCCGAGAAACGAGCGCTCCGATGGGGCTCGATCGGCAAGTGGGCTGGAGGTGCGAGGCAGACGTCTGCACCTCACGAAGTCGGTGGGCCGTACAAGCAGCATCTCGGGTCGTTGCCTAATTCGGCTCGGGCCAGCTCTGTCGACCTGAATGGGAACGGCGCACGTCAGGCTTGGGAACATGCCGCCGCGGGTCCGTCCACGATCTCGAGCGTGATCGGTGCGGTGCCGCAAGAGAAACGGTCCTTCAAGCTATGGTCGTTGGGGAAAAAGTCGGCAAAGGAGGAGCCGGGTTCGGGGTCGAGCATCTGGAATTAAAACAGGGGTTTCAAAGACGGGTTGGCTGCTGGAAGTACCTGGAGGGTTCTGGGGGACATGTTCTTTGTGTCGTTCGCCTCGAGCCTGGGTCTGGGTAGGATCTCCTTGTCAACTTGTGTCGCTTCATGTCTCTTGATTTATCCGTGTACTTTCGGTGTGTGCTGGTCATCTACGCTGTGTTGGTGTGCATCGGGAAGCTCGAGATTGGTCCATCGATCAATATCACATGGTCTTCTTTCGCGGCGGCAGCCGAGGTCGTGACGCAAGCCAAAAGTCGGAGGACGAGGGAGGACATTGCACGTTGAAAATGAGATTTCGATATGGACAGGTTCGACTAGTTGTACCATCTACATGCACACATAGAGAACAGACAATACATCGTTACCCAGACTATTGGAACCCTCGCCATGAGCCTCGCAGCATCTCGGTCGATCCGCCCGGCCATGTCCATCAGGCGACTACAACTGCAGTCGTCCTTGTCGACCGGTTTCCAGCTTTCGATCGCAAATACAGCCTTTATCCGGCAGTCACCATTCGCTCGCCCGCTTGCCTCGCATGCCTTTGCATCTGCCATCGAGTTGCCCTCGAAGTTGTCCCCGACGTCGGAGCAATCTTATGCCAACAAGATTGAGCCGTTTTCATCGAGGACCCTTCCCGAAACAAAAGCTCTGCTCCTCATCGCCGTACCTACTCCACCTAAACAGTGGGGCTGCGTCATAGAGAAAGAAGATCTGATCGTGGGAGCTGCCAACCTGGACAAGAACCTTCGGAACGCCGAGGTCAGGATTTTGGCGACATACGAAGGAGGGACGACGTATTCTGCCCGACTGTTCCGTCCGGACGGTACCGTTGCCCACATTCAGAATTTTAGCGAAGCCACACTTGCTTCGGAAAGCTTCAAGAGCCTGGTTGATGGCAAGTCGTCGGAATTTAAGCCGGTAGAGAGAGCCGAGGTGGTCGTATGCACTCATGGTGCAAGGGACTGTCGATGCGGAGACATCGGTGGGGACCTGGTGTTCTCGTTGAGAAAGGAGGCCGAGAACACGCAAAAGCAAACGAAAGTTTCGGAATGCAGCCATGTGGGAGGTCACAAGTAAGCGATTTGGACATCCGGCTATCGTTTGCCTATCGTTGGTTGATATTGATGCACGCTTCAATCCTTTCAGATTCGCTGCCAATGCCATCCTTCTGCCTTCCATGCACATGCTTGGCAACTTGAGACCAGAAGATGCATCGCCGCTTTTGAAGCATGTCGATAGCTTGGAAGGAAAGGGTGACGGCCCAGTCGATCGAAACATGTGGGAACATTTCCGAGGCGCTTTCGGGAGGACGACCGGCGAGCAGGTCAGCATGTACGACTGGAACACGGGAAAGCGGGGAGAGGCCGAGGTTGATGATCGGCAGACGGCTTGTAAGTGAAAATCTAACTCGCGCAGACTCGCCCCTTGTCATTGACACCTTTTCTCTTCTCATCTTCTCGCTCTAAAAAGCTTTTTCGCCTGCGCCCCGAAGACGAGTACAACAGAGTCGAGCGTATTCGACCTCGTCACCTGCGCGGCTCGAACTCCGGAAAAGTCGATCGAATGGAGAGTCCTCACGTCGTTCGTACTCGACAGGTCCCGAGAGCGAGACCGCAGGAGAGGATGGCAAGGCCAAGGGTGTCGGGAACAAGCTGAAAGACTTGATGAAAAAGTACGGACGGCATGCCCTTGGAGTTTACCTGTTCCTCTCGGCCATCGATTTCGGGATCGCCTTCCTCGGTGTGCACTTGGTCGGAGCCGAACGGCTAGAAGCTGTCAAGGATATGGTGATGGAGCAATGGCGTAAATTCCGACCCGCTCTCGAGACGGACAACGAGTTGATTGACAGTACCACGGACAAGGCTGGAGAGGTCGCCGTAGACGTGATGGAAAGGGCGCAGGAAGGCAAGGAGGCTAGCGAGTCGGGTGCTCCCGCTCAGAAGAAGCGCAGCCGTACTGCGATGTTATGGGCAGAGGCTGCTTTGGCTTACACCATCCACAAGACGTTGTTTTTGCCCGTTCGTGTTGGTCTTACGGCCGCATGGACACCCAAGCTCGTCAAGTGGCTGACGCTCAGAGGTTGGATCGGCAAGGTAAGCCTGTCATCCGCCGTCATCTCGCATTCGAAGCCTTTGCTGATGCTGTACTTGACCTTTCAGGGAGGCATGGGTCGGGCTGCAGCGCGTGCCCAAGAGAAAGTCAAGGACGCCCAGGCCAAGGTGAAGGAGGCAAGGACGAGGCTTTCCAACAAGAACGATTGACGACATAGACTTCACGAAATGTACAAACGGAAATATAGCTCGAGGTGTCCGCCTATTCCATAGGGTTTCCTCGTGAACCTGCTAGGCTGATTTCCAAATTCATCGGGACCCTACACCGTCGCGCATTGGTGTGGTTCTTATCCGGCTCATCTACCAGGATCATCATATACGGATCACATACTGTATACTGTACAACGTCAGGCCTGAGGGTAGACTGCCTGTGATGCCAGATGGTGAACAGCCTGGTTGACTCGCAACGTTTGTGGAAACGTGAACGAAGAGCCAACATCATCGGTCGAAGCCGAGATATCGATCGGGCCCGAGCTGCTGAGCGATCTGTAGTGTATTTGACAAACGACAAGAATTGCAACGATCACCCAGATCGTACCAATCTGCCGAAGCCCGTCCCACATTAATCAATGCTGCGAGCATCCCTCACACGTAGTAGCTCCAACTCCGCGTTGCTAAGAAGAACCATGTCTACCATTCAAGCTAAACCATTCAAGCTCGCGCTCGTGCAACTTGGCGGGTTGAGCGAAGACAAGACGAAGAACCTCGAGATCGCTGCGGCTGGTGTCAAGGAGGCGGTTTCAAAAGGCAGAGCCGACCTGGTCGTCCTGCCAGTAAGCTTGTTTGCGTCTACCTGAGATCTGTAAGTCAAGCTAACGCGATTCCTTAAAACAGGAAATCTTCAATTCTCCTTATGCGGTCACAGCATTTCGCAAATATTCTGAGTCTATACCGAATGGTCTGCCGGTTCGGGCTGGCTCCCTGAAATCAGAGAGTACCAAGGCTCTCAGTCAGATGGCGAAAGAAAACAAGATCTGGCTGATAGGTGGTAGGTTACGTGTATACTAGTGATCATGCCAGGAGCTGTTACTGAGGCTCCCATTACAGGCTCCGTTCCGGAGATTGAGAGCGACACTGATCACATCTACAACACTTGCACGGTATACAACCCTGATGGTGATCTCGTGGTGAAGCATCGCAAGGTCCACCTGTTCGACATCGATATTCCCGGAAAACAGACTTTCAAGGTGAGTACAAGGTCGTGACTTAATCGCGACGATTGCTAGTATACTAATACTATTTCTCCTGGCCTCTGACCGTAGGAAAGCGAAACTCTGACGGGCGGAGACACCTTGAACACTTTCGAGACTCCGTTCGGGAAGATCGGTCTTGGGATCTGCTATGATATCGTAAGGCATGAAGTCATTCAAGATCTGAGCATCGCTGCGTCGTTAGCTTATACAATCGCATCGCCGAATATAGCGTTTCCCTGAAATGGCAATGATCGCCGCTCGTCAGGGTGTCGTGGCCATGATCTACCCATCAGCTTTCAAGTGAGCTGAGCGTGTAGCGGAACCAAGATTATGAGGCAACTTTGCTGACGGTCTGTTGCAGCACTACAACCGGACCCATTTACTGGACTCTTCTTCAACGAGCAAGGTATATCGCATACGTCTAATGTCTATCCGTCGTGATGCCACGACTGACTTGACTTCGATCTTACAGAGCCGTCGACAATCAGATCTTTGTAGCCATGTGCTCACCTGCAAGGCATCCCGGCGCATCTTACCAGGCTGTAAGCACTACGATTGCATATAACCGAGAATTCTCTGGGGAGCTAACCATGCTGAGCATCCCTCCGCAGTACGGGCACTCCTCCGTCGTCGCGCCCAACGGAGACGTTTTGGCTGAAGCTGACGAGCATCCCACAATCGTCTATGCTGACATCGGTGAGTACACTCATTGCAACACCAGGAGGATATTGGAGTCCAATATTTGCACCTGCGAAACAGATACTCAGCTGTTGGCTAGCACTCGTTCCGGACTTCCTGTCACTGTCCAGCGACGTTTCGACGTATACCCCAATGTCGCTGATGGCAACTGATCAATGTAATCTAAATCTGACTTTACGATACTACCATCATTTCGGTGGGATAGGAGGAATGGGAAACTCACACACGCAACCAAGAGGTGTTTGTAGTGGATTTCTATCGGATATGTCATCCTCGTACAACCTCATGACCCCGTGCAGATACTCACCTTGACCGCGATACATGAAGTGTCAAGGTAGAACTACATTCTCGAATCAAGATCATATGCCGTTACGGTATTCCGCAATCGTAAAAGAATCAAGTAGAGTGACTGGCGCACCTCCAAAAACCAGAGTCGAGTTCTGCCGGAATCTCGCTCAAATTGTCATTTCTCCCGTCGGCAATCCGGCAGTATAGGCAGCGGATTCGAACGCCAACAATCGCCAGATGTCGTTGACAACCTGGCTAGCATCCTCTTCCAGGACCTGTAGTGATTACCATGACTTCAGCACTTGTCAAGGCATCCATAAGCCAACGCAGAGCTCACCGGCTCAAGGGTCTCCAGTAGCACTCCTGGTCCAGCCTGTTCTTTGATATGCTGGATGACCGCATTGGACAGGTCTTCTTCCTGGAGGCCCAGCGCTGTGTCGATGGTCTGGCGTACAAAGGGCGCAATCTTGTTGTCCATTTGCGACTGTTCAGGTATGGTATGAAGTCCTCAGTGACTGAATCAGTGAAGAGTGCAGGATTGATGCGCTCACAGTGATAGCCACGCCCCACTTGATCTTGGTAGCCCACAAAGTCGCCTGGTCTTTGGGAATAGCATCCCTGATGGTCCGTAACTTTTCAGCGTTGCGCTCGTCTCGCTGCGACGGTGTGAGGCCCTCTGTATCATCTAGCATGATCAAAGTCCTCTTCTTCTTCCCAGCGTCGTCATCGTCATCTCCGTTGAATGCAATATTCGTCTTTTGCTTAGAGGCGGTAGGCGCAGTATTTCCACCAATGGCAACCTTGATATGTGCAGAGTCGTCGAACAAGTATCCTGCAGCTCGCTGTTTGGCCTCGAGGTCTGCCATCTCCTGCATTTGCTTCTGAAGCAATTCTTCGGTTTGCTTCTCGAGCTCGACCATCTCCACTTCTTCTGTTTGACGATCTCGGACATCGTCCTGGTACTCCCTTCTTCGGACCGCCTGACGCATACTTCTCCATTTCACTCTGTCAAGGAGACAATTAGCCTTAGACTTTTCACTCGCGCTTGTCGTTGACACTCACCGGTCGGCATAGAAGACATCCCTTCCGCTAGCCTCTTCTCTATCGTCATCGTAATCTCGGAGCATCCGTCTCGCTCGTTCTCGTGCATCCCTCTCGTAATCTTCCTGCCGTTTAAGATCCTCGTTCTCCTTCTCCAGGGTTCTCATCACCCTCGACTCGCGGCTTTCGACGCGGCGTTCGAGCTGTTCCGATACCGCGAAGGTGTCAGCTTTCGGGCTGCAATGGATCTACTGCGTTGTTCGACATACGCTTCTAAAGTCCTCCTCCAGTCGACGCTGCTTTTCTTCTTTTCGCATTTGTTCTACCTCGGCATCACTCCTCTCACCTCCTTGTCTGCCCTCCATGGTCTCGGCTTTTACGAATCCGACAGGCTGGTTGTAACCCTGAGGCCCGTCACCTATCGGCCGAACACCCTGTTCACCCCTTCCACCCCACTGTCGCATCTGATTCCCACCCTGACCCGGGCCTGCATTATTATAAGACCCAGAGCCGCCTGAACGAGAGTTAAGCATCTCGTCTTTCCTCTTTCGTTCTTCTTCCTTCTTTTGCGCTTGCACTCGGAAGGAGGCGATCTGATCCAACACAACTCCACGCTGATCCTCAGGCAATTCTTCCGCGTCCAGATCTTTCAGGTGGTCAGGAACCATAGGTCCGTTGTCTTTGGCCGCCTCGCTGACATTGGGCGCCGCTGAAGCTGGGATAATCGAGTTCAGATCGGCATTCGGGTCTTTCATCGCCTGGACGATGGTCTGAATACGCTTCCTAGCATGTTCATCTAGTTCGTCATCATGCTGTAATGATCAAAGCGACAAGTCCGTTACTGAAAGCACCAGGATCACGGCGTCGCCAACGGCTTACGTCTGTACGGATGTTCAACTCCTCAAATTCGTTCAAGAAAGCTTTCGTCTTGTCGTCCGCTTTTACCTGTGATGTCATGAGGAGATCAGGTCTATGCCGGTCTATCACTACCAGAGTCGGCCTCACCACTAGAGCCTTTGTGACACCTTCTCTTCGCCCAGCAGATGTCATATCGGGGAGCTCGGTACCGTTGAGGCATTTGAGACATCGCAAGACGACCTCGGGATCTTCAAACTCGGCGAAACCAAATCCCGCAAGATTGCCCGAAGCTGTCGTCACCCGGCTGAGACTGTGCAATGGACCACACGTCTATCCAACACCGAACATTTGATGAGCCAAAGTTTCCGGCAGTGCATATCAGCTACCTCAGCAGCCACACTACTCACATGAATCAATCCCGTCAGGATGGCATCCGTAACCCCCGCTGCGATGCTTCCGATGAAGACTTTTGTCGTCTTGACTGCTCTGACAAAGTTGGGGTTCTGCGATCCACCAGGAATATGAGGAGGTCTGGGTAGTCCTGCGTTGTTCGGGTCGAAACCGGGTGTTCCCGAACCAGGAACTCCATGAGGCGAAAAGCCTGGTCGAATTGGCAAACCCATTCCGGGAGGCGGCATCTGTCCGGGACTGAAAGGAGGCATACTTCCTGGGGAGGGTGCTCCTAGGCCTTGAGATCCTGGAGTACCCGGGAAGCCTGGCATAGGAGGTCTCGTAGGCGGAAAGTTGGGCAGGGTTCCAGGAATGGGAGGTCGGAAGCCGCCTTGACCGGGTGGAAATGGTGGCAAGCTACCAGGCATCGGACTCAATGTTGGGGGCGGCATTCCTGGAAGAGTCGGAGGTGGCATTCCTGCGAGAGGTGGTCGGAAACCACCACCTGGCGGGCCCGGCGGCATGTAAGGGGGATACCCATTCTGAGGAGGAGCTGCCGGCACACAACTTCGACATCAAAAACATGCTGGGAACCCCGGTTGATCAGGCGTCACTCACGATGACCGTTATACATCCTGGTAGTGTTCCGTATACAGTCTTCAAGGATTCTATCTTGTAGCCTGATCTTGTCTGTTGATAGGAGATCGGAAGGACGACGATAGATCTCTACTATTCTGTAACTTGGGCACGAGCTAAGCAGTTGCGTGAGCAAGCGCGGCCGCGCTTCTACAGAGAACACAAGATCGCATGGATGAGTTTCCGAGCCAAATAGCCATTCATAACTTTATATTGGTATATTCCAGTGATCCTTCTTGACACAAGTCCGTTACAACAGTTACTACCGTGTCAGGGTCAAGGAACGGGTTGGGTATTTTTGGGGTTCTATCCTAATTATCTAGAGAATCCTACTTGAAACCGACCAGTGTTGAGACGAGGTGACAGGCGCACACAATGAGAAAAGGAAATCAGTAAAAACGAGAAGACGTCTAATGTTGAAGGCGTCGGGAGACAGAGAGCTCGTGTTATAGGTCGGTGCGTTGGTAGTCCTTGCCTTCCCGGTCGTCCGAGACGACTTTCTGGTCTTCGTAAGGCGACACCTCGACGGGCGCGACATGCTCGTCCACATTGGATTGAGGCCCGTGGTAATGCTTGTGAGCGCCGGCGATGTACCACAGACCAGAGAGAACCATGACTCCCACGGTGATCACACTCGAGTAGTTCATCGTCAAGGCAGTAATCGGCTTGACCGCAGGGAAGGCGAGAATGATGACCTCGAAAGCTGATTCGTCGGGTTCAGAATCAGTGACAGACTCCGGCGCGAGGTCAATGAAGATGACTTACCGGTCCACAGCACCATGACAATGTTAACAGGCAGTCCCCATTTGCCCATGTAGAAAGGACCGGGCTTGAAGTTGACATCGGGACGGTGCTAGTAATCACCGTATCGGTCAACAACGTCGTCAGGTAGTTAAGCGCAGATTGTGACAACTCACTTCGAACAACCGACGACCGATGACCGGGATAGTATAAGACAAGTCCAAGGCCAACGCACACATACTGAAGATGGCTTGAGAGGCGATAGTGCTCGCCCAGTCGAGACAGCCCATGAGGATGGCGATGCCGACCACAAGCCAGACAGACCAGATGGGAGTTTTGGTGTACCTGTTGACCCGCCCAAAGAGACCACGGTCGGGAAGACCACCATCTCGGCTGAACGCGTAGAACGTTCGAGCGTTGGCCTGCAGAGCGGTCTGGACGGTAAAGAAGCTTTATTCGAGCAAGATAGCAGGAGATTGAACCGGGACCGTTAGTGACGAGTAAAACCGACTCCTCACACCCGTACCCTAGTTGAACTTACGCGACCAAGCAGACAAAAGGCCAGATGACCAAGGCGCCGGTTTTGCCCATCCTGTTGGCCATGATCTGCAGGAAAGCAGAACCGCTAGGACCGGGAAGGTCGGCCAGGTCTCCAGAACAGAGAACCATAACCACGTTGAGAACCCAACCGAGCATCCCAGTGCCGATGACAGCCACGAAGATCGCCACAGGAGCGGCGATAGACGCCTTCTTGACTTCCTCGCTGATGTGTGCCGCGGCATCATAATCAGTCATCTATCATGTTTTATCCAGGTAAGGTGGTCATCAGCTTCCAGGTAACTACGTAGCTTATCCTTGTAAGTCTAGAGCCTTACAGTCCACTGAACGGAAAGGAAACCAAGCATAAAGGCCAAGCCATCACTTTCCCAACCAGATTCTGATCAGGTCGCGAAAAATTCGTTAGCTCGACTCCGAATACTGGCAACGTTCCCAGAGCGCTTACGGTTAACAACATTCCCGAATACGTAGCTGGCGGGGTGCATGTTAGCCCGCCCAGTCGTAGCCAAGAGTACGATGATGATGATCAAGGTGGCCTGGTTTCAAGTCAATCAGAATATGTTTGCCGTTTTATCGCGCGAGTCCCTGCTTACTCCGACGTTGACAAAAACGAAGCCTGAAGTCAAGAAGGCTAGGTCCCTGGTCTTGAGCGAGCTGTTTCGAAGAAATCGTGTCAGGTTGCATCAAATCGACTAGATAGTTGTGAAGAGCCATCTTACTTGAGGAAACCATGCACGATGAGCAGGCCGACAAAGAGACCGAATTGCATTCCGGTGGACACTTCGAAGTCACCGTCATAGCCAACATTGCATCCAGCCCCTGGCAAAAAGAAATCCGATGCTTTCCGATCAGTACGTCTATAATCCGTCTATAGTTATTCACTTCTAACGCACAGATCATCCTGGCAAGACCTGAAGATTGGTCCTCGAAGCGCTTAGCTTTTCAATCTAGCTTGTGAAGCGTAGCCGAAAGAGTGCTTACCATACTCTGTCGAAGCGACTCCTGCACATTGACCCAGGAGGTTGAGCCAACCGACGATCCACCCGGTGCTGTGTGAACAACAACTGTTCAGCCTTGAGAAAGCGACCCACAGACGAGAATACGCACATTGCGCGCCACCTAGCCGGGACTAAGCTGGCAGAAGCAGTGTACAACCCTCCGTTGGTAGGGTAAGCGGATACAATCTCAGCAATCGAAGCTCCGAGCGAGATGTTCACTGTGTTGCACCCGGTTCATCAGCACCACAAGTCCGTATGGGTATTGCGGAACCGGTCGTTGCACTGACAGATAGCCCCTATCAGCCAGCACCAGACGACCGAGGCGGGCCCGCCAGACAAAAGAGGAGTATTGAAGGTAGTAGCGACTGAAGTTCGAAAACAAGTGGCTTGATTGAGAGAAGGTTTCTTATTACGCTCGATAAGGACTACGTACTGGAAGAGCACATCCCCATGATCGAAAAGGCGAAGGAGAAAGTCGACAAGCTAGAGGCCGGAATTTGCAGGCCGCGACGGTAAGCGAGAGGCTTGACCTTCTGAAACACGAGAATGGGGAACTCACTTGCCGAACTCTCGCAACATTTCGGATTTGTACTACAAGACAGTTAAAACGGAATTGGCATGCTCAGTATTGTGAGACGATCGCTGAATCATCGATGGTCGAGCTTGTCGTCGGACGATGCGTGGTCACGCAAACGCTTGTACGCCTCCGCGAGGTCCCCGATGAAACGTTCCAAGCTCGAATACAATTCCGTTCACTCACCCCAAGACGGGCTAGTTCGGCGTCATCTGAATCCAAGTTGGTGTCACCGATACTAGGGCTCCTGGATGAAGACTGGTCCTCGACGGCCGAGGGTGAAACGTCGGCCATCCTGTCGTGAGTGGCAGCGGCTGAGGTCCTTCGTTGCCGGGTCTCTGAAGCGTAGAGATGAGGTGTCGACATCCTGTCTGATCAACGCTCTGCTTGGATACGAGATCGAAGCGGAAAGTTCCGCAAGATTGATGATGGCGGTCAAAGAATCGATTACAAGCAAAAGAGTACCAACTATGCCCGATACGAGCAAGAGGAGATGATGCAGCGAGGTAGTTTGATGGATGTTACAGCGACTGAGAGCGAGCCAGGATGGTGTGAGGGCATCACGGATGCGAATTCGACCCGGAAATGGGCGTATTGACCCCCTCGCAACGGCTCGACTTTTTTATGACGGAGAGTTCTGTACTCGACCTTCGCGGATGCGTAACTTACCCGAGCACAAGCCCCGCCCGCGTGGGGAATGACCGAATGATGAAGCAGGCACGGCCAGAGCCGCAACGCTACTCCGCGTTATCAGATCGCTTGCAAGGCTGGGAAACGAGGAGCTAGGAGCCGAGTCTAGGGGACTCGAACGTTTATGAGGATCGAGTTCTTGCAAAGACGTAATCCTCGTAGATCGAGAAAGCAACAGCGCACATCCCTGTTTGCTGCGATTTGTTTTGCCGGGACCAACTCCCTCAACAACGATCAACAAGTCCCGCTAGGGCAAGATAAGGAGCGACCGATATTTCCGACCACCGATTGGGCCTGGCGACACCTTGATCTGCAAAATAGCATGGGCTCCACATGCCGGAGGGTCGAGCGCGTGGGGTAAGAAAAGCCACCTCAACCGGACATGAATAATGCTCACCAGTCCGCGTTTGTCATCACCATCAACCAAATAAAGGCGCATCACTGCGCTTGGTAAAACTTGCTCACAACACAAAGTGCTCTGAGACGACTACAAAAAAACGGGTGACGAGAGAATTCGCATCAACATCACATGCCCAAACTGGTTTTGATTTCTCTTCATTCCGAAACGAACGAAATTGTGAGTACTCACTGTGACCGTGTTCTGCTCCGAAACCACTTCTCCTCTACGTCCAGCGACACTGTCGACACCTTCAACACTACCTTCCTGCGTGTCTTGATGACATCGTGTAATACATTTCAAACTAGAGTCTGGTAGTCGGGGACATCGCCCAAGTGCGGAACTCTCGACTATGCTCCATAAACGCACAACTCTGAACGCCGATTCAACGTGTTCTCATTCGGAAGACCGACCAGCGGGACAGAGTGTCGTCATCGCGAGAATGCTGACTCTTTTAACTTGTCCTCGCTTGATCAGAATGACAACGAAAGCCTCTGTGCAATTTCAACGACGACTGATAGATAACTGTGAGTATCTATCAACTCTATCTTCTATCAGTCGCCTCTTTCTCCCACCATCCCACTCCTCTACCTCGAATGATGTCCCTTAATGGGGAATTACCGCCTGAACAAGCCGATCACGAACCACGGCCTGCGAACACCTTTCGGGGAGTGACCGGGTACGGGTGGACGTTCGGAATACCTGTCGACGAAACATGGCTGTTTTATTTTTTCTGACTCTATCTCCCTGTCGTCATACCTCTGCGTATGATGACGCTTCCGGCCGTGTGGATAAAGTGTGATTCTTGTTTAGCGGGACGAGGTCGCTTATGCTTTACTTCCCATGCGATAGATACCTCTTCTGTATCTTTTCACGACCTATCGCTCTCTACCCGCCACGGTTATTCCCTGATTTGTGAGTGTCACGACCTCGTCTGCTTCATCACTTGCATGCCCTCCTTTCCCACTCCGCTCTCAATATCGCCTATATGCGAAGGATGATCCAATCACGACGGTCTACTGAAATAATAAAACACCAAGTTGAAAAGGCCCGAACCCATTTTTACGGGCACCCCATCTGAACCTCTCTTCTCCATGTTGTTGCTCCCGTCATTTCGCACAAGACTGTAGCAGGCAAGCTGACATCGCTTTCGTCTGTTTTCGCCTTCGTCATAAGATACCTAGCCTTGTTATACGAACCTGTCCCTTCCCATGTCCAGCTCGTCTTCCCCTCACGTTTCTGCCTCGGGCGCTCGCTTGCTGTTCGATCCGGCTCTTGTGCCGAGCTCGATCGGCGGTCGACTCCCGTCGCACATTGTCGTGCGTACAGCGCTCGCCTATACCATACGCTCGTCTGTAATCGAGCCTGTCCGACTCGTTGTTCTGACGATCATCGCTATCGTATCCTGCCGCGACCTGTTGTATAGGTTAGACCGCTCGCCCGTGATGACCATGCCAACGCACATATTCAACTTCTCTCCACCTTGACTGTCGCCCCCGACCTCTCGCCCGAGACGTACGAGGCCCGCTTCGACGCAATGCTCGCCTCGCCGGAGACGTACTTTGTCCTCGTCTTTGCGCACAAGGAGACTGGCAAGATCCTCGCCTCGGCCAGTTTGATGGTCGAGCTCAAGTTTCTCCGAGACGCCGGCAAGGTCGGTCACATCGAAGACGTCGTCGTCGACCCGGAATGCAAGGGACAAAGTCTGGGCAAGATCATGATCCAGGGGTTGAGCGAGTTGGGCATGCAGAGGGGCTGTTACAAGGTCATCCTCGATTGCGATGCCAAGAATGCCGGTGAGTTCCGATCACTCTTTTCTTTACCAAGCTCGATTGGCGCAGTGACTGATCACGATTCGAGACGGATTTGTTGTCAGGCTTCTACGAAAAGTGCGGGTACCGCAACGTCGGCGTCGAGATGGCCATTTACAAGCAATAGACACGTTATCCTGCACATCGTCGATTACCCGGGCGGTCGGGATTGCGAGTGCAGTGGAAGCTGCACACGGCGGAATGAACAATTGTCTTTGAGATGGCCTTTTGTCTTTGTTTGTTGTCTACATATTTACAGAATCTAGTCTGTATTACGCTAGTTACGTTTGACCTCGATGACGATTGCTGGTTGCTGGAAGAGCGATCATCACAAGTCCACCTTGTGAACATGAGGCTCATCGCGCTGCGCTACCAGTTCCTATCCACCCTTCGCAAGGGGGTCGTGTTGCGTGTCGATCGACATCCCCGGCGGGTTTGATCCCGTGTCTCTCCCTGCTCCTGCCCCCTGCCTGAGCCTGTGCGGGGCCTCGTGGGATGCGACGAATGGTACCGGAAGTAAATTTCACTTCCGGCCATATCATCACGAGCGTACACGAGCGGCGATCCCGGCCGTGTGACCTGCGCCAGCTCGATCGCCTACAACTTGCTACTGGCTAGACTACTAGGTACTAGGTACTACTAGCTACTAGACTGCTGGTCAGTCTGATCTAGTCTGACCACATTTATATTGTATCTGCTCCATACCCTTGCCCTCCCACGTTGATCTCACAGGATCTCACACAGCTGTCACACACGCAACCACAGGACAACAGGACAGCAGGAACCAACAGCATCCGTTCCTCGTAATCAGGCTTGGCATCGCATAGAACCCTGGGGGCAGCTGAGCCAGGCCATCCGGTTACTCTCCCTGTCTCTCTCTCTCTCTCTCTCTCTCTCTCTCTCTCTCTCTCTCTCTCTCTCTCTCTCTCTCTCTCTCTCTCTCTCTCTCTCTCTCTCTCTCTCTCTCTCTCTCTTTGGACGCCGCATCACCATCATCATCGCCGCCTCCAACCTCGGTCCACTCGCCTCTCGCCATCTAGGGTGCTCCATCGTCCACCTTCCTGCGAATTTGGGCTGGGCGAGTTCGAGTGCTAATTCGGAGCACACCGTACGAACACCCTGCTCGCTGCTCGAGAGCTGCGCAGCTTTGCCTCTTCGCTGTTCAGTTGAACGAGTTTGATTTCCACATCATCGAGAGCCATCCGCTAGCTGCTGCTAGCTAGCTGCTAGCCCGCCATACCAATACGAAAAACCGGTGGACGGTTCATCAAACGAAAGGATCTCAGGGTACCCCTATCCACTACGACCAGTATCTTTTGTGGCGAGTCGACTCCCAGCTCGTGAGTAGGACGAATAACCTCGCTTCGGTCCCCCCAGACTGACCCGGTTCACCCATCTCTGCAGTAACAAACCTAGATACCATATCCCATATACCCTTCCCAGTGGACCACACTCGAACATACTTCAATGACCAGCTTGCTAGGCGTGAACACCTCCTCCTTTGGACTCCGTCGTCCATCCAACTCGGACCCCCCATCATCGCCCTACGCACCCGCCTCGCCCGTTTCATCGTCGAGGTCCACGTTCCCTAGTTCTGGGAACAACAATACCATCGGCGGGTCTTCTTTGCTTTTCCCCATCAACCCGGCATTCACCGACTCGTCGCCCGCTGGCGGGATCTTGCTGAACAAACGCAGACCGTCGGATACGCCCGAGTATGTCGTTGACCCGAATCAGGCCCAGGCGCAAGCGCAAGGACAAGCCTATTCGCCAAAGCTCGACGGGTCCTCCATCCCGGTCGATGGATTGCCTACGGGGCATGGATATCCGGGAAGTCCCAGTCCGGTCGCGTTCAAGGTGACCAACTTGCCTATGAGCCCCGCTTTGAGTTCGGATGGAAAGACGATGACGTACGAAACCGGTCAGAGGTCGTCCAGCCCCGAGTCGGTCTCAGCCGGTCTTCCCAGCGCCGTCACCGCCACGACCGGTACGCCGATTCGACCGTCTCATGGGAGGATGCCATCGTCTACCAAGATCAGGTTCGCACCCCTCCCCACGCCGAATAGGAAGAGGTCCCTCTCGACGGGCAGGAACATAGTCACCAAAGCCAAGCTCGAGCCGGATGGGACGAGGACGCTGCAGAGGTTCAGCAAGCAGGACGGAAACGACCCCTGGGTAAGCGATGATGATCGCGCCGGTCCTCAAAATGGTGAAGGTGATAACGGGATCTCGAGCTCGGCCGTGGAGGATGAAGACGAAGATGATGACGATGACGACGAGGACGATCGCAAGAAACCTTCGTCCTCCTTGACATCGAGCAGCTGGATGACCATGGGCATGGGCAAGAAAAGGACGGGTTCGATCACCTCGTCTTCTTACACCTATACCAAGAAGCTCTTGAAACCGTTCTCCGGGTCTGATTCGAACGCTGCAAATTCGTCATCGGCGGATACTGGGGATTCGTCCTTGACCTTTGGCATGCCGCTGCGAAAGACCATCTCGACGGGAGGCTTGATGGGCTCTTCCCCCTTTCGATCTTCGCACGAGCAGGAGCGAAGACGATCGTTCCTCAGTACAGGCTCTTCCAAGGATAAGGAGAACAAGCGTCATCTACGTAACGGATCGACCTCGGAGACGCCCGACTTTTCGTCATTGTCGAGCAGTCTCGGATACAAGGCTCAGACGGATTTCGCGCCCTCCGCTGCGGACATGCCCAAGAGCGATCGCAGGCCGGTGAAGATGCTCAACGGGCGAGTTTACGGGGCCAAAAAAGGTCAAGCTGGCTCTGCGGGGTCATCAAAGGCGCAGGACCCCGAGTTTTCAGAATGGGGCGGGTTGATGGGTGCCAAAGGCGGAGGGATGGGTTCGAACGCTCCTTCCGCCACCACCGCCACCCGGCCGGACGCTCCGCCAGAACGTCGAAGCGGGTTCTTGGACGACGAAGACGATGGCAGCGGGATGGGATGGGTCAAGAGGCGACGTGAACAAAAGGAACGTGAGCGACGGGCCAGCGAGTTGGCCACGCCGGACAAGGGGCTGTCAAAGGGGGATGTCGTCGTCGGTTCGGTCCCCGCGCTCAAGGTCACCCCGCCCCACTGGCCTGAATCCTTTTCACCTGGTGGGGAATCTGAACGATCCCTGGGTGGAGGTGCGCCCGATTTCATCTCGACGAGACCGAGCGAAGCGACGATCATAGAAGAATCGAGCGTTCCGGGGACGCCTCATGAAGAAGGCACAGGTGCAGTGGCCATCAAGGTGCCTCGGGGCGTCGCTGGCGGTAGCGGTCTGGGACCTGCGCTGGGTGGGGCAGGCGAGAGAGGCTCGGCCGTCGAGGATAATAGCGGGTCCGAGGATAGCGAGGGTGAAGAGGACGATGATAATGATTTCGAGAGCGATGATGAAGACGAGGTCGAGCTCGACATGGAAGGATTGGGCGCGAATTCGAGGTCAGTTGTGACGGTACTTGAAGTGGCTGGGATGCAACGCTGATCGACGTGATCCGCTTGCAATAGATCTACCTCGAGCGCGGCTGGCGTCGAAGTTATGATCCGTCATAAAGACTAGGCTCAAGGCCGTCAACACCCGTCTTTGCAAGACGTTCCTAATCCCCTAAACCCTAGGCGCCAAGAATTTTACTGCCGCTATACTATACCTGCTCAGACTCGTATGAAACACCGTGAAGAACAGGACAAGAAGAATCGCCGTGGACACTGGAAAGTTCACCCCTTATACCCGTCTGTGTGCCCGCAAGAACGACGAAAAACCCGTCTCGCCTAACGCGCATTGTTGTGCTATCAAGAATGAACCCTTATACCCGCCCGGACTTGTCGAAAGGAAAATCAGAAGGAACCCGAAGGAAATCTTGTAGAAATCTCCGCTTTATCGTTGTTGTGAAACCCTATTTTGGTTGTAATGTCTGACCTGTAATATCATCATGGCAGACGAACTATCGGTCTCTATATCGACCTGCTGATGTGCGTGTCCACTAGTGATGACTGGCATGTGTATTTGGACGTCATCGTGGTGTAGCGTGTCAATCCTTGTCGACCCATGTGATCATGATGATGGTTCTCAGGGCGGGGAGCGCGTTTTGTGTCTTCCCTTGCTCCCGGTCCCGCGGCTGGGTGGTTCGGAAGAAACAAGCGAGCAATTGCAAGCAAGGGCTGTGTGTGAGTGTGTGAACATCGACATCGATACTTTTCCCCCTCCGGACCACAACGACCTGGGCCACCTCCTTCTCTCGTCTACTTGGAAAACAGTCTGCAGGACGGACAGATCGACCGACAACGACGGGTCTTCAACGATCGGGATAGCGATACGCGATTAGAAGCCAGCATCGAAGGAGGCTTTGGAGGTGATTCCGAACAGGTGACTCCCTCGGATACGAAATCAAAACTCTCCTTGCACCTTGTCTGCAGTCTGTGAGACGTAGAAATCGTTTGTCGCCGGACAGATCGACAGAGATCGCCAAATCGAGATAGAACCCACCAGCAGTATATTCTTCAACTTAGATTTGCTCTTGAACGTATCGCTCGTCGCAGGTCAATCTGGACCGCGACTACAATCTTGAACAGCTACTCGGACGCAACACCTCGAATCGACCCTAGCGTCTCCTATCGCCCACGATGATTCACTCTGGATTCGCCAGCCTGGCCTCGACGCCATTGACCCGGAGAGAACTCTTGCTCGTCATCAGCATGACGGTCCTCTTCACCCTGATCATCCAGTTCGATTTCGCCCGTACCTCGGCCGATGGGACCCGATCGATCATGGGACATGCTCCTTGGTCCATCGGTTCGAGCACGGGGGAAGGAGGTTCTCGATCGGGATACAAGCACGACCAGTTGAGCTTGGATGGGATGGATGCCGAGGGTGTAGTCGAGGAGATTAGCAAGTCGGATGCGTTCTTGGGCAAGCTGGTCGGGGTGAACGAGCTCGGGAGCCATGGGAACGTAGGGAGGTGGAGAGAGATGACCATGAACGATAGTCTGGTCAGATGGGACGACGAGGCAGGGGCACCACGGACAGAGATCATCGCTCATGCACCAGGTCAGTCTCCGGACTCATGATGAGCCCATAAATATCTCTAGGCAGTCCGTCAATTCAGTTCTCGCGACTAACGGTCGAAATCTCGTAAATTCGCTTCACTCGCAGGATGGACGATCCTTCGAAACCTCTACCTGTTCAACGGGACGTGGTATATTGTGACGGACGAACCGTCAGACTTCCCATTGCTCAGGATGATGACGAGTACGGGTGCCGAGATTTGGAACGATGAGGAGAGTATCAAGAACCGGTGAGTCCGCATGCGTTGTATGTCGATACCAGAAGATTGACAGCGTGAGCTCACGATTCCGGCATCGATGTTCGTCTGCTGCAGAGAACCTACGGACAAGGATCTGAAGATCATCTTCCCCTCCGAAGCCAAGCGGACAATAGGGCACCAGGCGAGCAAAGTCGAGGGTACGACGTGGACGATAAACGATCCTCCTCAGTTCCTGGATCATTATTACCAGTGAGTGTGACGTGTTGAATCGAGCGGGATAGATCTTAGGCTCGATAATTGATTTCTCCTCCGACCCTTTGACAGCTTTGCAGCGGAAGCCCTGTTTGGATTCTGGAGGACGTATTCGACTCTGGACAGGACCATCACCTCGGAAGGCCGCACGACACTACCGGCTCCCCGTCGTTTGATGTTCACGCACACAGACGATCAGAAATGGCGAGATTACTCCAAAATGAACACCTTCTTGTGCAAGAGCGTCTTCCCTTCGATGTCTTACGAGTTTTCCGGCGAATTTGCCGATCGGGTGGATTCTGGTCGAGCCTACCTTTACGACCGGGTCGTCTTTACCGACCGGGCGGCGGCGCTGCGGGGAGCTCAGTTTGCGGTTACGTGGAGGACGGCGGCAGAGGCGTTCACGCTGGAAGGAAGTCCATACTGGTGGAGTCCCGTCAGGCGAAACCTCCTGGAATTCGTAGGAGGCACTTCCGAGGCCGTGTTGAGCCCTCACGACCTGGAACGACCGGTCATCACCTATGTCAGCAGGCAGGATTGGGGAAGGAGAATGTTGATCAAGGAGGATCACGAGGTCTTGGTCAAGGAGCTGGAGCGACTGCGCGACGAACACGGCTACGAGGTAGGTCTAGCGAAAAATACGGCTGTGTATTTGCTCGTCGGCCTAATGCGGAACTTCCGGTTCGTCAGGTCAACATCGTTTCGATGGACAAGCTGTCCCGAGACGAACAGATCAGGTTGGCTGCTAGAACGACGGTGAGTTGTGCTATCTCCGGACCGGACAAACCTGGAAACCGCCTCATGCTTCGCTCCTCCGCAAAATAGGTGATGTTGGGTGTCCACGGCAACGGGTGAGTCGTATCGACTGCGACTCAAGCCACATCAGTCGCTTACTACTTTTCCTTTGCTAGTCTTACTCATTTACTGTGGATGAAACCTACACCTCGAGCAACCGTCATTGAATTCTTCTTCCCCAAGGGATTCGCTCACGATTACGAGTTTACCGTGAGTCGCTTCGGCGCTCCTGGCCTGCTGGCGTCGAGTCTCATCTCTGCTTCTTTCTGATGTCGCAGTCAAGAGCCCTCGGTATCATGCACTATGGTTTCTGGGGGAACGAGTACTTTACCGCACCGGATACGCCCGAGGTTGCCTATCCAGAGGGTTTCCAAGGCAACGAAATTCCCATCGGTAAGCTTTGTCCGAAGACGGCTTTGACATCACCTCATTGATGACTCAACCGCAATGCTTATTCTTGTAGACGGCAAGATCGTGGCCCAATTGATCCACGCTCGATTATCGATCGAGGTGACCGCAGAAGCAGAAGGAGAGGTTCACGACCTGATACACCTCGACGACGGCGAGGAAGAAAAGGTCGACGGACTGGACGACGAGACGGATCCCGAGTTCATGGACGTTGAGGAGGAGGTTTAAGGGACGTGATCTGTATCATATTACTTGCAACATGCTTTACATTGCCATAGATTCTTCACGAACGTGCCTGGTGTTTGGACGTCCTTTCGTTAAAAGTGTCGTGCTTGGCGTTACTACTTGTCGTTCAAGCCTTCGGCTTTTTCTTCGATTTCTCATCCTGGTCCATTGTGTCAGTCTCGCTTGGCTGTTCTTTCTGTTTCACAGCAGAGTCCCAGATGAAGCTGCGGTAAACCTTATCGTTAGTGATCGATCCATGGTAGGTCAAGCCTAATATACTGACAAATCGCATCGGAACTGATGATTAACCTCGTTCCGGGGCCGTTTGGATCTCCCGTTGTCCCATCCTTCGCCAACAGGCCTGTTTAAAGACTTTTTTTAGCTAGAGCTTTGTGCTGCGCGCAATCTCGTCCACTCACTTGGAACACAGCCAGAACTTCTTGCCTTTGCTTCCCGTGACTTTTGATACTGCGGAACCGGGCGCAACATGAATGGCTCGCTCAAGTCAACTCGAATCCCGACGGCATAACCTACTAAACGATTTGCACGGGACGTCGTGGACAATACATCTCGGAGGAACTTTTTTTGCGAATATACTTCCCCAACTCTTGACCGCTTCAGCTTGCTCCTGCTCGGTGAGCACCTTGTTTTCCCCACTGCCGTTCATAGACGCCTCTTCCTCTCGAGCCATGGACATGGCAAGTGCTTCGTCATCGAGCTCGATCGCAGTCTTCGAGGCCGATCCATTGGCGACATGCGCGATCTCCAGATCATCATCGATCTCTATCAGTTCGTGTTCGGCTTTGACCCCGGTCGACGAGCGCGAGTCGGTCCGTTTGTGCGACTTGCGTGTGGGTTTCGATGTCGAGCTTGAGGGCGAAGCGGAAGGTTGTCGGAAGAAGCTAGAAAGCTTGGTCTGGCTCGCCGGTTCAATTTCCTTTTGTTTGCTTTTGCTCGCCTTGTTGCCTTGACTCCCTTTGTAACTCTGTGTTGCGACAGGTGACGTCTTCATCTTCTTGTATACCGGACTAGCCTCGATCGGGCTGGATCCGATTTCGATCGGTTCTTCGTCTGTCGTAGACTGGATTATCGGTTTGGCCGGCGACATCGTGACCTCTTCCGCATCGGAATCGATCGTCAACGGTATGGCACTTGAAGACGGTATCATGATGGGCGGTAATAATCCAGGTTTTGACTCTTTGTCTTCCACGATGATTGATGGCGTGCCCGGGGGTCGTGCCGTGTCAGTAGCGGAGACCGACCTTTCCCTCTTTCTCGAATCAGTCTTCTTCGTCGGGACGGCCGTCGAGGCCGACGATGAAGTCGAAGCTACGGGCCCATCAGCCTTTTTCCCAAAGAAGCTCATCAAACTCCTCTGTTTGCCCGAAAACTCATCCCACCACTTGGTAGCAAACGGAGGTGGTTCGGGCGCTTCTCTGGACTCGTCCTTCAGCGTTTCGAGTGAGGCGGGTAGGGGTATTCGTTCGCCGGCGTTCATCAAGTCACGTAGGTGTAACGTCTCGCCCTCAGAATCAACGATGGTCTCATGCAGGTCGACGTACACCGGGCAATGATCCGAGCCGAAAACGTCTGCTTGGATGTCAGAGTGTTTGATCCAGGGCATAAGACCTTCGGAGACGAGGATATAGTCGATTCGGGCACCGTAGTTTGATGGTCTGATGTGATCACGCGGTCAGCGCCGTGTGTCCCGCGACGATGATACACCTTCCACCAACTCACCTGGCATCGAGTTTCGTGTTCCAGCCTATAGAACAGGTCACGCGCGCATCAGTACCGACAGCAACTCAAAATGGGCTCCTCGACCCGAGACATACATGTAAACATCCCCTTCCTCTCCGGCCAAGCTTCCCTCGTGACGTCATGCATGATCCCATTTGGCGCTACCCACCGATCAAACCACTTTCTAGCCGGATGATTGAAGTGCTCCTCTGCGTTCCTCTGAATCCCACCTTCCCCGTTGTCGAGCGGTCGATGGCAGACGTTGATGTCGCCGAGGACGATCACGTTGCGCCCCTGCCGCAGGAGGGCAGTGACGCGGGCTTCGAGGTGATGCAAGAAGTTGAGCTTGTAAGGGAGTCGGGTGTCGTTGGTCTCGTTCGGGCAGTAGAGGTTGAAGATCACAAAGAAGCTGGTTGTAGATCAAGGATATCAATATATCTCAGCTCTCTATCCCTTGGACAGTATGGGACCACTCAACTCACCCAAAGTCGAGAACGACGGCTCTGCCCTCCATATCCAACCTCTTCACGTCGAAGACCGTCCCATCCGTATTATCCCTCACCTCGACCTCGTCCTCCCCGACATACGCCCCAATCATCTCCCTATCCTCGTAGACCAGCTTGCTCAACGCCGAGTTCCCACCGGGCGTCTTGAGGAGCTTTCCAGTGATCCCTTCTTCTGCTTTCAGGGGGACGGCGTAGGACGATTTGACGTAGGTGCAGGTACCGCTATACCCGCCCTTGCCGTGCGGGAAGGAGAAGAAGGCGTCAAAATGTGGAGGCACGGCGGTGGGTTTGTCCATGTTATCTCGTCTGCCCTTGTGCTCTGAGCCATTTGAAGTCGAAACAAGCCGTGAGCGTGTGTAGCAGCAAGAGGAGGGAACGTGAACCCAGGTCGGCTCACCTTGAAAACAGATGATCTCTGCGTCCATGGCATCCAACATCCCCCCGATCGACTTGTTCGTGAGCTCCGTCCATCTGTACGACCAATACGATTCAGCTCGCAGATATCAGATCGATCTGTTGTCGTCAGTATCTGCTTGTGACTCACGGATGATACGGTAGGACCGTTCGGAGCGCATTCTGTCGTGTTTGACCGTGACGAATCCGATGTCAGACGCAGCGTCCGCTCGTGCCAGCTGAGTGGTAGGGACTCACGACGTTCCATGTGATTATCCTCATGCTCTATCCTAGCTACCCATGCTGGTTTATGTGATATTCTTCGGAGCGTTGTGGGAGTTCAGCCGTAGAGTTTGTCTCGATTACAACCTCTCGTCGAACCCTCCGAGTAGCTGAGTTTACCTGCTCTCGATCGCCGGAGATCGCAGGTGGAGGTCGTCAAGATGGTCAGAATTATGATGTCAGGCTCACAATCGTTGCTTTCGGGTGACCCCCGTTGCACACGGCCCATCCCCAAGTACCTTGGTTCAAGCCAGTCAGAAATGGTGAACAGTCCTTTTAGAACAAATCACAGGCATGATTTGCATATCAGAGCAGGGTATATGCCCATCGACTTGACTAGCGGACATATTTGATCTCAACTGGGCCTCCAATATTCTGGCCGGTCGATTTAACACCAACTAGCAAACGCCAAGACACAAAATCCACTGTAGACAACCGCCATTCTTGAATTACTCGAACGATATCGCATCCAGTCTTACCTCTGTAGCGCTGTAACTCTGTATAGCATATAGCGTATATCTGTACTTCTATACCTTGCAGTTCAGGTGTACCCCAAGTGCAACCTGTCGTGCTGACGTAAGACTGATGCCGGTACTACTGTTCCCATATTTTGCATCCGAGCATCGACCGGGTCACCTCGGCCGAACGCCGGTTACTTGATGGTTGCTGCATCACAACCTAGCAACTTCATCACATGACATCCTACTAGCTACCGTGTCCAACAGCACGCAGCACGTCATATATCATAACCCACACTCGCCCACGCAATCCCAACACTCTCCCCCTCTCAACGACGACTTCTTCTGCCTCTGCAACTATGCTCGCCCGCTCATCCGCCCAGTTACGACCCGTCATCACGTCGGCCAATCGTCTAGACCTCGCCCGCTTCATGTCTTCGACCGCCAACGGTGCCAACCCTGCCGACCAGCTCGTCCTTGTCGACCGGCAAGGTCCCGTGACAGTGCTCACGTTGAACAGACCCAAGGCTCTGAACGCGCTTTCTTCGCCCTTGTTCGTCCAGCTCAACAACGAGTTGGACAAGGCGGCTCAGGACGATCAGGTGAAATGTATCGTCTTGACCGGAGGTGAAAAGGTGTTTGCCGGTGAGCCCCGCCGGAGAGTCGGAAAAAGTTCAACACACATATGTGGTATTATGACTAAACCTCGGGTGTGTATGTCTTCTGCAGCCGGCGCGGACATCAAGGAGATGAAGGACAAGAACTTTGCCGAAGTCTACCGATCCAACTTTTTGGGCTCTTGGGCCAGGGTGACCTCGTTCAGGAAACCCATCGTTGGTGCCGTCAGCGGTTATGCTGTGGGTCTCCCCTTCACTTTTCTGCTCATTCTCGATGACCTACCTTCTGACCTGATCGAATTGCCTGCGCTTCGACGTAGCTCGGTGGAGGTTGCGAACTCGCGATGATGTGCGACATCCTCCTCGCATCTCCCACAGCCATCTTTGGGCAACCCGAGATCACCCTCGGTATCATCCCCGGCGCGGGAGGTACCCAGAGGTTGACCAAGATCGTCGGGAAACCGATCGCCATGGACATGGTCCTTACCGGCCGCAAGATCGACGCCAAAGAGGCCGAGAGGATGGGTCTCGTCAGCAGGGTCGTCTGGGAGGAAGGCAAGAGCGTGGTACAAGAGGCCGTGGCGCTGGCCAAGAAGATTGGAGGGTTCGGGGCCGTCGCTGTCCAGGCTGGTAAAGAGGCCGTCGATGCGGGTTAGCGTCGAGCGTCTTTCCTACCGATCAAATATCCACCGTGTTGGTCCCATATGCTGATCCATGATTGCTATTTCAATCTACAGCCAACGAGCTCCCCTTGAGCGAAGGACTTCGTCTCGAAAGACGTCTCTTCCAACAGTTGTTCGCCACGGCCGATCAAAAGGAGGGCATGGCCGCCTTTGCCGAAAAGCGAAAGCCCGCCTTCAAGGACGAGTAGACAACAACGTGACATGCGAGTCTTATCAGGCCTCGAAACGGCCCAACATGAAAACGGATGAGGTTGTATGGAAACGAAAAGTACAAATGCGAATTGAATTCCGTGAGCGCTCGACGTGGAAGTCGGCCATGTGGGCACATGACCGGGGGTGGAACGAGGGGATCAGGTAACGTTGGGCAATGATGGGGATTGGGGTTTTCATGCAATGCAAATAGTTTACAGGTTGTCTCTACATACAATCGCTTTCGAGTACGGTTCCAAGGGGTGAATATCGAGCCTCAAAGGTCCGATGGACCTCTGTGATTGGAACGATGAAGTCGTAGCAGTCTTACTCTACTCAGTCGCGGCAGTAGACTTAGAACGTTGAGAGCTTCGATCATCATCATCATCGTCGTCGTCAGGTTGCGGAGCGAATTGATTTGAGCCTGAGGGCGTGGTGGATGCACCGGCAAGGGCCCCGGCGGTCGAGGTGCCTTGCGAAAACCCATCGCGTGCCGAAGCTGTAGGTGGGCTTGCCCGCTGGTACTCTGTTTGCAGTGTTTGACGAGTATCGTTCTGCGCGAGCCATCCCGTGAGCCCTTCTGAAGAGGCGAAACAGGTCGAGGCGACTCTCGCTACATGATAATCGCCTATGTACAGAGACGGTTTTGGCCAGTCGACTGTGATGGCCTGACAGGAGGGATCGAAGGGCTCGGACTCCTGACGAATGAAGATGAGTGCGATTTTTGCCCCCTGCTTGATGCCCCACTGCATGGAAACATGATATAGTTCCACATTAATGTAGCCGTGCGTTCCGTGCGTGCTGAAATCATCGAACGGGTGTTGATGGGTGGAAGCAGACATCGTAGGCCGTGGATATCAGGAAGCGTGGAGTAGTGATCGTGGATGGGAAGATGGCTTTATTGGTGTCCAAATTCGAAATATGGCAAGCCGAGGGGACTCGGTCTTATATACTTTGTGTATGTACCGATAAAAGGCATACCAAGTAAAATCGATGCATAGCTTGTGGTGATCCTTTCATGACGTCAATGAAGGGTCGATGCTGGCTTGCTTACCCCTCCCATCAACTTAAAGGTGGTCCGACTATCGACACAGTCCCTTGGCATACCTTCAGCGGATCCCCCCCTAAAGCCGTGCCACTCTAGAACCAGCGCCACCTCCATCGGCTGATGCAGAGTGATCTGCGTTTCTGACTCCTTACGGCTCTACAGTCATATATCCCTGAAGAAGCTACATACAAGCTTCCTTTAACAGAATTCCGCAGCAAAGGCCAGTTCCGCGTCTCTTGCCTCGTCGTGTTCAACCGAGAAGTCTAGTGTGGTTGTGATATGCATTACTTTTCGATACCTGTACGCTAGTATCTTCTCTCTGACAATAACAATGAGTCGCATGATACGAATTGGTAGAACGGCCTTGCTCCTTCTCAAAGCGCAAGGCCCGCTGACTCAAACCGTCGAGTACAAGGCAACACGACGCCAGTGTGTCCAGGCGCTAAATATGTGGCTTGTGCTGAAACGAACAGGCTTCGGCTGAGCCTCGTCTGGCACTTTCATGATTTAGACGAACGGTCGCCTATGTCATCCCGGTGAAGGACCCTACGTGCGAAACCATCGTGAATTCAATTGTTACGAGTTGCGATGAGGATGAAGCAAAAGGGGGAAGAAACGACGGTTCAGTCTCCACTGGGACACCGATCACGTTCCTCCATGTAGGGACTGTCTTTGGCATTCTTGAAGTTGAGATGAAAGACTTCGCGAAGGTATAGCTGCATACCAGAAGTGGTTCAAGCGATACCAATGTCATGGGCTGGTTCTCAAAAAGAAGTACATGTACTGAGCAGAACATAAACACAGGGAATGTGCAAAGATAGACGGATGTTGCGAAACGTAAAAACCCCTCAAAGCCTGCTTTTCACATCAGGTCGGTAACCCTTGACCGATTCCCTGAAGGAGGATTGGTCAAATGGTCTGAGGCCAGTCGAGCTGCCAGATGTCTGGCTGGACCAGTCGGAGGTGTAGTCCGTTTGAGAAGCATGAGTGACGGTCTTATGGGTTTCGGTCGATACGTCCCCACTGGTTGTCGAGCCAGGCACCGTATTGTCCATCGAAGCCGATACGTCTTTTCCTATCACCAGAGTTGTGACGGTCCCACGTTCGCCGCCCTCTCGGATGTGTCGACGGAGTAGCGCTTGGGCGACCGATGATCTCAGCCAACTATCCATATGCTGGTGTTGCGGATGGATCGTCGATCTGTATGACCTGATCATATAGCCTTCGATGTTGCGCGAGGTCCCGTCGATCTTGAGACCTTCCATCACGAGCGCCTTCTGGCAAGTTTCTTGTTCTTCCTCGGGCTTCGTCGAGATGTCGAGCACTTTCTGTCTGAGAGAGGGGTCCCATCCCCATCGCATGGCGATTACGTGGCCCGAGAAAGCGAACTGACATTCCTTGGACTGTTCAAGATCACCCTCTGCGAATTCTGGGTCGATCGGGCCATACCTTGGCTTGGTGACCAGCAGTTGATTCGGATCATACCTACTACTGTCATACGAAGACCCTGGTGGAGGTGGCGGAGGTGGTGGAGGTGGTGGAGGTGGTGGAGGGATGCCGTATCCGGTCCCAGCAGTACTGCAAGGAACCCTGATGGAACTGACATCATCGTCAGAATGCTCAAATATGCGATGCCACATAGTCAGGTCTTTAATGGCATCATCAATTTCACCATCCTCTCCAACCCTGCCGGAACCAGATACGCCGCTGAAATCCAAACCTCCGATCGGGATTGCCTCATCAGACAAGAACTGCGAGACATCCAAGGCACCCTTCTCCATATTTTCGTAAATCTGAACACAAGGCTCGAGCACGGCTCTCGAGGTCAACTTCGACAGCTGCCGAGAGATCGAAACAACCTCACCGGGTTCATCTTGGTGAGATGACATTCCGATCCCGAGCCAGATACAAAGCTCGTTCTTTCCATAAGCAATTTTCCCGATACGCACCACTTGCAGTTCCTCGCCGTCGACCTGATCGACATCGCGGGCCTGGTACACAATCATGATAAAGTTGTGAGTTGCATCGGTCCCGTCTTCACCTTTTCCATCCGTCTCCGCATACTGGACAAAGAGCTGAAGAGAACCCGCTTTGCGCTCGACGCACATAGACAAATCTGGCTTTTCGGGTCCATCCTTACGGATCGAAGATGGAAATGGCTTTGCAAGCGGCATTGAGGAAGATTTGAGTCAAGCTGAGTGAGGATACAGGTTCGGCTGGAATGATAGGCAGATAATGAGATCAATACTATCGCGCTATCTGGTTAGCAGAAACCGGCAACAAGGTAGCAGGTATATATGCATATTCCGCTGGCGAGATCGGCCAGAGAGCACCTCGGTCCGCCGATCGTACTTAGAAGAACGTTCCTTTGTCAGATCTCTTTGGGGTATATCAGAGGCAAGAGGCAAGAGGCAAGAGGTAGCCTGTTTGGCTTTCGGCCAATGCTATGCCCGAGGAAGTATGGACATTCCTTTAACGTCAACTTCGTCACATGTTCCGTTGGACCAGCGTCGTCAGCTACAACATGTTTGTTTGGGGAAAGGACTCTCGCTAGCATTACTCTCACAGCATGGCGGCTGGTCAGCCGAGGTCATGTCTGAGTTCTTCGTAAGACAAGGGCCTGGAAGGAGCAGTCCAAGAATGCGGATACTTTCATAATACCGTTACTGCGGCTTGAAGCATACAAGGTAGCAAGCAACATCATCTGACCTCGAGACGTGATCACATGCTTAGGGGACATTACCGCTTATCGGGGCTGTCGCTAATGGCGGACGGTCTCATGTATATGTCGGGTTATGCGGTTATCACAAGTTCCTTGTATGGCATTCATGTCTCATCCGCTCGATCTAGGTTAATTTACATTCGGCTGCTAGCTGGTAACATTCAAGGCTGAAAGGGGCAAGCCACGTTTCACTTTCACGCGCGCGAGATCAAGCTGTCTGGACTGAATGGACTGAATGGGTCGAGGGCCGCAAACTGTCGTTCTCCTCGCTCGTATCGTCTAGGCCGCTACGGGGGAGACAGCTGTCACACGCGCCGCTCATCTTCGATCCAGCGTAATCCGTCACCGACGGCAAGCTACCCCTCGACAACAAGCTGGGAGCCATACGCTCTGGCCGGGAAAACACCTTTTCGACTTCGGGAATGTTGTCGGCGATTTTCGCTTTGACCGTCTCCTCGCAAAAGATGTTTTCAAGCCGCTGCTTCAATTTGGGCATTTCCGCGTACTTGGCGACGAGCTCGAAAGTTGGACCTTTCGGCACGCGAACCATTACCCTGCACGAATCTGAAGGTATCGGGCCGTTGTAGCTCCTCACCTCACCTTGGGCGAGATTTTCGATCTCACGAACTAGTAAGTTGCCGATTCGATGTTCGGGTCGACCTCGGGTGGCAATTCTCGTTTGACAATTGTACAAGTGGCCTTCGTGCTTGCCATCCCCGAGATCAAACCATGAGCTACTTTGCGTTGACATATTTGCTTTCCTTGGTGAAGTTTGGGCGTGTTCTCGCAATCTACTTGTTCATCGATAAGTCACCAAATACGCCCGCCCAGTCTGTGAGATCATATTATATACTCAAAGCGAAGTTGGTTTGGCTCGAAGAAGCGAGTCCATATGCTTCTTCGATATACACAATCGAGCTCCGCCCTGGCTTTCGCAGTTGAGCCTGCTCCAAGCGCGACTCTCGCAGATGCAGCAGTGCGACCATCCGATTGGGATTCGTGAAAGCCTTCTATCCAGCTCATTGATCGTTCAACCAATATGAACCTTCTCGGAACCAGCTGGTCACATTCAACTAGCAGTCTCGGACAAGAAATGCTTCCTTCGTCAGGCTTCCGCAACGTATCGCGATCGCGCGCCAGACCATCCGCTAAGCATCTTCCACTAGCGCTGGAAATAAGACCTGCTTCTTCCCCTTGACTTGCATGGCCGAGTTGACGCTCTCGACGACGCGCCTGAGAGCGGCTTCTTCATCCCAGACGAGGTTCTCCCATGTCCTCTTGTCCGGCGACACGTGCAGACTACCGAGAAGCTCGGCCGTCTTGCTCGGCATGATCGGAGTCAACGCGATGCCGAGCAGTCGTAGTGATTCGTGAGCGAAAACCATGGCGTTGATCACGTCGGTATCGCTCGTATCGGATTTCCATGGTTCGAGCGCTGTAAACAGGCGGTTGGCCTGCATCCGCACGCAATCCCAGGAGCCTTCCTTTCAGTTGGCCGGGTAGATTCTTCGTCTAGTCGTCCACTCACCTCGAAAACCATCTCCATAGCTTCTTCCAGCCCACGACTGATTTCCAAGGTATCCAGTCGTTCCTCCAGCACATCCCGGCATCGAAGGAAGACCTTTCGTAGCTCCTGTACCTCGGGATGAACGAGCGAGGTGGCATCCGGATGCGTGGAAGCGGCTTTAAGGAACCGTTTCTGCAACTTGGGCGAAGCGATTCGGGAGGCGAGGTTACCGACTTGCGAGGCTAGGAGTTTGTAGTGTTTCTCCATCTCGCCTGCCGAGTAGTCTGCGATCGAGGTGGAACGGCCAAATCGGTCAGCTGCAATGTACACCCAACATTCCGTCTGCCCCCTTTGCGTCTCACCTGCATCCCCCGAAAGACTACCCCCGACCCGCATCAAATACCACCTGACCGCATCCACACCGTACCTCTCCATAGCCTCGAAGGGATCGGCCACGTTGCCCTTGGATTTGGACATCTTCGATTTGTTCATCGTCCAGTGTGCATGGGCGATAACTTGTTTAGGCGGAGAGAGGCCGGCGGCGATTAACATCGCTGGCCAGTAGATCGCGTGAAATCTGCAAATCTCTCAGGTATCAATGAGTCTCAAGGCGGGTGCAGGAGACTATAAGTGAGCTGGTGACTTACCGGACAATATCCTTCCCGACAACATGCGCATCCACTGGCCACCCATGCCTCCCCTCTACACCCAAAGTCTCTCCCCCTTCCTCCCCCTTCCAAGGATACCCGAGCACCGTCAGGTAATTCGTCAACGCGTCCACCCAAACGTAGATTGTATGCTCGGGATCATTGGGTACGGGGACACCCCATGAAAGTCGCGAAGCGGGACGGGAGATGGACAAGTCTTGCAATGGTTCGGACTGAAGGGTTTTTAAGAGGTGTGTTTGGGTCGAGGGAGGATGTACCGCTGCAAACGGATAACGATCCGGTTCAGCTGCATGCTCTCGAAGCTGAAGATCGCGTCCGATACTGGTACTGACAATCAGGGCTGGCTTCTAACCAATCGATCAAGCTCTGCTTGAACGAGCTCAGCCTGAACTTGTAATTCTCTTCTTCCGTCCATTCTACCGTCGACCCACTCTCCAGTGCGACCTGCAAGCACTCAGATTAGCTCTGATGATGGCTCGCCTACCCTGCGCTGGCCTCGTAAAGGCGGATGCCGGCATGCCGCACCTTCTTAATCTCCCCTGAAACGGGATCCACAACGTCTCCAATCTGAGCTTCGGTATAGAAGCATTCGTCCGAAACGGCATACCAGCCAGAATGAGATCCTTTATAGATATGTCCGTTCTTTTCTAGTTCTTTCTATAAGAGGCTGAGAGAGTCAGCTTGAGCAGTTGGTTGAGGGATCGTCAAAAATGAGATGAGAAGGGGGGCTCACCCAGAGGTGTTGCACGGCGAGCTTGTGGGCTGGGTCGGTCGTTCGAATGAAGTTGGTATTCGAAGCGTTGGCTGCTTTGGCTAATGCCTATCATCCAAAGAAGCCACCGTAAGGTGCCGACGTCAGCCTTTACATCAATGCTTGCTGGGTGTCTCTATCCGAGCAACGGTCTCACATGGTACTCACCCTAAACCGCTCGCTAATCTCGTCACACAGATCCCCCGGCTCTCGCCCTAACCCCTTAGCTACCTGCTGGATCTTCAATCCATGTTCGTCCGTACCCGTTGCGAATCTAACTTCTCGATTCGGATCTCGTAAGCGGGCGTACCGAGCTAGGACGTCTGTGAGCAGGAGAGAATGGAGGTGGCCGACGTGAGGAGCTATGACGTTGGGATAAGCAGATGAATTCGATTTAGCGTTTTCACACGCCTAGGATTACAGGAGGATACTTGCTCACCAGCATTAACGTAGAAGATGGGAGTGGTCACGTAGTACGGCTTGGCCTCTGGTCTGACTGGTGTCCCTACAGCAATATCATCTATCCTCGTCGGTCGGGTCGTGGAGAATCCTCGGCATGTCCAGCGGCTTTTCCATAAACGCGGACCACACAAGCGTTCGACCCTGACTATACGCAAGGACATGATTTATCTGGTGGTGATGCTTGCTGCGAGGATAGCAAGACTACTTTAGCTACTTTCAAGTGCAGAAGTTGTACATCTTGTCGACCTCTGACATCGAGGAGTTGGTCGATCGCCGAACCTAGGTCACGTGAGAAGAACCATGACATGCGGGGGGGCCCGGGGGGTACATCCACTTGGCAACCATCTTTCTGTCAATCTCATACACTGCCGCTGCGGTATCACATCATTGTCTCATCTCTCACCATGTCCTAGGAGAATACGAATCATCTACACCCTCCCATGTCGAACCCGCTGCTCACCCGGACGCTAGGTCGATTCGTTTCAACTTTCTTGCTCGGCTACTTCTGGTCAGTTCCGCCGTGTCTTCGCCTAGAATCACGAGAACGACAAGAGCGAACGCGAGAGGCTGATCGGATATGTATGCTCTTAGTGTAGCCTGGTACGTATGTTGTTATGAGATCGGGTACGATATCATCTGGAAGGCGCAAGGGAGGAAACTCTACGCAGGCAAGTGCAGTCATCGCAGTCAAACTACGATCCTTTCGCAGTCGCATCGATATCTGAGCTGACAATTGAGCTCTTGATTGGCACAGGCGGATACATCGTCCTCACGACTCTTATAGTCGCCAGTATCGTCCGGACATTCATTTACCTCCTGTTACTCCCCTCCTCGCACTGCTCTCCGCTCGCGGAACCGCTCCCTCGGAGCATAACTCACAGGTCCATCCCGCTCGCATGTTCCCCTGCGCAACCTCTCGGCCCCGTCTCCTCAGAAGAATCTCTGGAGCTGGATCGATGTCATAAAGGCCTGTGTAAAGGGGGTTGGAAGACGGGGAGGACGAGGCATTGCAGTGTCTGTAAGCGGTGTAGGGTGGGATTTGACCATCATTGTCCTTGGGTGAGTCTGCCGTCCTTATTCCATCGGTTCAAAGTGTTCTCAAGGCTGATTGAGGCTTGTGTTTGCTAGTTCAACAACTGCCTGACACTCCCGCACATGAAGGCTTTCCTCCTCCTCACCTCCCTGACCCCCGTTGGTATCCTCATCATAGCCATACCTGCTACCACCCTCGTCTTGCAAGACCTCCGCACCGTCCTCGCCTGGTCTTACAAGTCCGAGCTGATGAGGGAGATCTGGTGGGGGAGGTGGTACGCCTGGGTACCCGGTCCGATCGGGAGGTGGGCCGTGGGGATCGTTTGGAGTTATAAGCGGTTCGCGCACCAATACGTACCGGGGATGAAGGTGGGGAGAGAACCGAGTTTGTTCTATCTGGCATTGCTGGGGATGGCCGTGGTGTTCTCTGCGGTCTGCTTGGTGAGTCTACCGCACCTCCTGAGAAGGAGATAATGTTGACGAAAGCTAAACTGCTGTGAAACATTGCAGGCGCTGACGGTTTCCACGACCTTGATGCTAAGCAAAGGGGAACTCTCTGTCGACCGAGCCCGTCGCAAGTCGTATAAGAAGATGCTATCGGCCCACCCCACGCCCGACCAAGCTCAGCGGGACAAGATGGAAGCGATGAAACCGATGGTCAAGCTGTTCATGCCCGACCTACAAGGACAGGTAACGAACGACGAGGGGGTACACGCTGGGTCGGTCGTGCTCGCGCCAGCGACTTGGCGAGCAGACAAGGAGGACGGATCGTTGCTACAAGAGGTATGGAGAGGCCCATTATTCCCGAATTCAAGCGAGTGTGGGCGATGGGACGAGGAGAAAGTGGGACGGACGGTCAAGATGCAGGGTTATCTTTGAGAGAGTTGTACCGGATAGCTAGTGTGATTCGTCACCCAGGGGGCGACGCGTATCTGACGATCGTTGTCGGTTATTGAGGACGATTGTCCCGGGGACAGAAGGTCTATCAGCTCCTCGTCTAATATGACAAGCATCCCCATTACTTGTACGCTTGTACCTCATCATACATCCGTCGAAGTCACAATCAAACATGCTTGGCAAGATCAAGGACGCCTATGAGGATGCACTTCTTGAGAGCTCGTCGACGTTGACCACGGTCGAGAGCACGCTTAGGCAGTTGACCTGGTTCTTGCCCGGAAGATTCGAGGATGCTGAAATTGCGAGTGAAGGGTGTGAGTAGAGCGTCAGGGCGAGTCAACCTATTGTTACCTTCTGGAGCTCATGTGCTGGAAGTCTTCTAGTGTACTCGGCGTTGTCAATCATCGGGATCTACCACGACTCGTTGATCGCTAAACGGCTCGATCAGATACCTTCATTACCTCCATCCCCCTTCCCAGTCGTTCACACCTACACTTCTCCTCCCATCGAGTCAAATCCATCGGACAGACTTATCTCTGGATCTTCTTCCACCTCATCCGCTGAAGCATGGTCCGCCCGTCAGAAGATCCCTCGCCCGTCCGATCATTCGAGGTACACACGGCATTTCTGTCAGACGTCACCGACTTACAACCGGGCGAGCAGGATCCTCGTATTCATTCAATACGTACAACTTTTGACGGAGATGGTCGTCAGGAAGAAGCGAGGCGACAAGAAGCGGTGGCAGGTCCTCTTGTGGTTGGAGGGGATCAAGTGAGTTGTGGGCGGAATGCGACGAGCGGGTATTATGTAGCCTGGCTGACCAAAAGCTGCTTCTGTCTCTCATAGATCATCGTTACGTCTAGTCATGCTAGGAGTGACAAGACGACCACTCTTAAACTCGCCCATCCCGGGACGGGAAGTCGACCCATCCTTACTCCCCTCAAAAACACCTCGCCCGGACCCTCTCGCCGCCGACCTGGAAGAATCCCTCCCGGATCTACCTAACATCCCCGCCCTCCCTCCAGCTCCTCTGCATTCCCACGTCTTGCCTCTGAGTGACGCCTTGCCAGAATCACTGCAATCACCCGCACAGGACCTCTTGCCCCGGCTCCACGGAACCAAGGAATGGATCGGGGAGACGATGCATGCGACCGAGGGTTTGGTCTGCGTCTTGACCTACATCTGGGTCGCTCATCGTCACCAACGCCAAGGGCTACGACCAGGCCGGGGAGCCATCTCCCCAACGGTCCCCGCCTCGTGGAGTCTATTCAATCTCGCCCAATCGACCACGACGACCAGCTTGGTCCCTCTCATCTACATCCTCATCTCCCGGTTACTCCGCCGGAAACCCACGCGGGGGGACGAAGGCATGACCTCCCTGCTCGCTGACACGTACGCTGAGAGGGATAACAACCTCGTCTGGTACCTCGTCCGGGGGTCCATCTGGCAGCGATTCACAAGGCCCAAGGCGATGGGGTTGTTGAACGCGCTAGACAAGGTGTGGGGCTTGAACCTGATCGCGACGTTGGTCAGGGATCATGTCGACCTGGTGGACGACTTGTATTATTGTGAGCCGTGGGAAGCTTTTGAGGTGATGAGTACTAAGCGTTGGCTGACCTCGATTCTTCTGGTGCTAATCCGGTATAGATACGGCGAGTTGAACCTGGATGTAATCGGTGTAGTCTATACCCTGCGAGAATTCCTACGCATATCCATGATTGCCGTTGCTGTTTGCGTCAGGACGAAACCTCTCAGAACTGTTCTTGTTACGAAGCGAATTGGGAAGTAGCCCGGCCATTGTGACCAAAAATGGTTCTGGATAAGCAAAAACAAATACTCCCGCTGAGGCTTGAACTCAGGACCTTATGCGCTTTACAAGTTAAGGCTTGTTAAGCATACGCGCTACCAACTGCGCCACAAGAGCAATTGATGATGAGTTTTTCTGACGTGTAATATAATCTGTGAATCTAGCAACCATTTCTAAATCAAAGCAACAAAAATAGAACATCTGCTCACTGAAAGCTGAAATCAACTGAGATCCTTGCCATATTCGCAACGGTCTCGCTAAGGTTTGATGCTCTGATCTCTAATTTGTCCTCATCGTAAAAAGGTCTCATGATACACCGTAGGATTTCGTCTCGTTTTGTGATACAAAGGGGAGAATTTCGAACAACCATGAACCCGTAGAAGCTATACCTTGACTTCGACATCTCTACGTTCCCAAACCTAGAGATTGCGACGCGAATGTCAATACACTGTCCCACCGATAGATCTGAAAGACACGACCCAACTCACCTGTACGACAGTCTCTCCCAGGAACACCATCTCTTTCCGGACCTCGGACACGTCCAGATCTTGCAGCGCAAACCACTTTTCCGCATCGCCTCCACCCGCACCCGCTCGGACATGCACCTTCCACACGGTGTCGCCTTCTTCCCGGTCGTTCTTTTTAGAAGAAGAGGCTCCGGAGCCTCCGGCATTGGTTGACGCACTCGTCGTTTCGTGGGGGATGTTGGCGATCAGGTCATACACGCTTGCCATTGGGGAGGAGGGTTTTGGGTCGACGTCTGCAATGCGATGAGCACGACAAGTTGCCAAAATCAGATCAAGGACTCGAAGACTCGTCGTAACCCAGCCAAACTCACGATCCCTCAAGTCGATACCCCGAAGCGGAAAGTTGATAATGGTCGGATTACGTTCCTTGACAAAGTTGTTACTTGTGAACCGCTTGATGAATAGGATCAAGTACGGTGGCAGCCTCGTCAATTGATGTCGTTTCAGCGTATTGCCCATTTCCTACGAAGATATCGCCAACACCACAATTTTGCGATCAGCATATTGCTTTCTGTTCATCCGAATGAGACCACGACCATACTAACCTGTGTCGTGACCCCATCGTATTTGGCCAAGATCTCTCCTAAAGGCACCTGCGGGATGATCCGATTTTCGTTGAGATCCTGGAAGATCGGCGCTGGCGGGAGGTCGAGCGCAAGGAACAAGAAGGGCGACTTGATCGTCTTGATGTCTCGACTGATATCAAACACTGGACGCGAGGCTCGTTTGTCGACAATGACCTCTTGCGTCTGAATCCGGACTTCTCCTTGGAATGTCTTGTATATCACGCCTATCGACAAGCAAGAACATCGTTAGTACAGGGTTGCTGCGTTTAAACAAGTAGGTGGACAGCGACAACGCACTGGAATTGCTCTTCTTGCTACCACCCAGATCCCGATGCAGAGTGTTCAATAACCATCCCAAGAAGGCCACCGGATCCCCCTGTTCGGTCATCCCAAACTTGCCCTCACTGCGTTTCGTCACTTCTTGCAGAAACTCGTGCGGCGAAACCTGAGCTTTGAACAGCTTCGGGTTCCAAACTCGTCTCGCTAGACTCGCGAATCGCCTGACGAGCTCGGTCGGTCGAGCTTCCATCTGCAGCTGTGGGGTTGAGGGGGAGAGGAAGTAGTCTCGGACCGGTGGGATGTGGAGCAAGAGGTGGACGATGACATTGGAATAGTCGTTGGCGCGGATGTTGTTAAGACCGATGTACCCAGGGACGTAGGGTTGAGCGTTGAGCGTATATGAGGATTTCGACGGCAACAGGGAGAGCGAGGGAAGCTGAGCCGGGTTGAAGCGCGGGTTGAGAACCGAGATGATGTCCTGCAATGAAGGATCCGAGACTTGGTAGCCTTCCGGCAACACGTAGAACTGCGCAAGCGGTGTCAGGATTGATCGTCAACGATTCAAATCCTCTCGCGATCATAAATCCGCAGCCGACTACCTACCTTCTCAGTTCCCAAGTTCAACCACACCCGATGGTTCTCGCCGACGGCATGCCGATATGCCCAACTACCCCTGCCTCTCCCTTGGAAGTACTTTCCGCACACCAGACAACAGTATACGTTGATATTGGTCATCGATTTCGAGCAGAGACGTTCGAAATCAAATTCGAGGTTTTGACGGGCAACCTGCGGGAAGGCCACGAACAAGCAGCTCGGTGAGACGAGGGAAAGCGCTCGCGCGGCAAGTATGAAAGTACGTACGGTGTCAAGATACATGTCCCCGTGGCTTGTGTCCATCTCTTCTTTCTCAGGTTCCGGAAGCTCTTCGACCTCTTCATCGTCGCTCTCTTCTTTCTCGTCCTGCTGCTTGAGCTGCGTCTCGCTCGTCCCCGTTGTTGCGGATCCGCTGTTTGAACCATCCACACCGACCTCCTTTGATCCGAGCAGAACATCATCGGTATCGACTCGAGCTGACGACGAGGAGCCGTTCGACAGATCGATCCCATCAGCGCCATTGACTTTGGTCACCCCTGCGCCATTGGGTTGTGCGGTCCCGAGCGCTTGTGCGGCAGGTTCGTCCTCGACTGCGCCTGTTGTCGATGTCGACGATGGAAAGGTAACCGGTAGTGAGGTGGAGGATGTGGAAGGGAATGACATCGCAGCTGGAGGCGGTGGTGGTTGATGAGCGGTCCTACTAGATGAAGCCGATGAAGGACCCGCTTGATCCGAGAGCTTTTGTCGTTTAGGTGAAGGTGCCGCTGTGGACGGTGATGGTGAGCGTGTGAGACCACGCGGGTTGACAGACATGGCGAGAGCTCTTGAAAAAGGATCGAACGAGCAGAATGAGGATGAATCCTGAGGGAGCTCGATGCGATGTAGTGTCAAGGGGTGTGCGAGGATGAAGACGAGAGTAGTCCTCGTCTAAGCTCCGATGACCTCTGTCCCAACGACCCCTTGGCCCTTGGCGGATGGTAAAGGTCGAAGCTCAATAACGTATACTCGTTATATAGGTCTAGCTTATCACGTGATGCAATGCCTTTCTGCCGTAACATGCATGACGTTACCCGGACTTGAGACAATAACCGGAGCGAAGGGATCAGCAAGAGGAATTGAGAAATGCTAATGGTCCCAACCAAATGTACACTTTACGACGTTCAATCTATAGATTACGATTCATCTACCATACATCTTCCTCTTCTGAACCCTCGAATCGACTATACGAGAAAAGTTGACCCTCAGCGCTTCTACACCCACCATGTCCGACGCCTACCATAAAGCTTCCTCGAGGAAACCTTCGTCTGCGCTCATCAAACACCTCCTCTTCCCTTCGACCTCCCCGCGTCTGACACCGTCAAACCTGGCGACCTTTCTCTCTACCACCTCGGGACTCGACAAGACGCTCATGCTCATCCAGTACCCCGCGAGGATCATCGTCCCGCTGTTATTGGTCCTGGCAAGAAGGAGCAGGAACAAGGACGGGAGACGGCTGTTGAGCAGGTTCGCACAGGATCTGACCAACCTGAGCGGGTCCGTATCGGATGCGAGGACGATGATGAGGCTGTTAGGTGAGTTCCACTATCTACTTTCTCAGATCTAAACGACAGCTGAAAAGTACCTCAATCTCGCTCGGGCCGACTCATCAGGCATCATTGCCATGCTCCCTTCAATCCCCACACTGTTTCATCCGACGACCTCTCTTTTGAGTTCGCTTCAGAACCTCGCCTTGATCATCTACTATCCTCTAGAGAACCTCTCATTCTTATCAAGCAAGGGAGTCTTCCCCCTTTCTCCCGCTAAAGAGCTGAGATGGAGCGTATGGAGCTGTAGAGCCTGGATGGCCTACGTCGCATTGGAATTCGTTGCCCTGTGGGAACGACGCAACGGCTTGATCGTGCGGCAGAAGGCTCTCGAGGTGCAACATCGTCAAAGTCTACAGATGGAGGTCAAACCCGCCGACGGACCTTCAATGTCGACAACGACACCGACTTCGGAGTTGGAACTGCAGAAGGACTGGGTGGGCTGGTACGAAGACGCCGTGTCCAACCTCGGGTACGCACCCTTGACGATTCATTGGTCACTATACCAAGGCGCGTGGACGAACCAGGCTTGGACGGGGTTGTTCGGGACCGTAGCTTGCGTAGCGGGACTGAGGTCCAAGTGGAGAGCGATGGGAGCTGGTGTATAGGCTGCGAAGGAGAGCGTTTGTGCATGAGGCGGTGTGAGCGTGTGTATGTGCATGTGCATGTTTGTTCTTGTTGCATTGTCATATTTGTCGTAATATTTTATCATGTAGAAATGATCATAGAGCTGGTCTTCGCCTGCTATGTCAGCCATCCAGCTCGCCGTTCAACCCTCCCTCGGCTTCAGCTCATCCCTCAAGCCCTTGATTTCTTCGAACCCGTTCTTGCAGCAGCCCCCAACCAATACTCCACCGCCCCAAACCCGTGCCGTCTTTTCCTCCTTGCCACCGGCAGGGCTCGTCGTCCGTGTGGCTTCCCCGACCTCGCGAGCGACTATCGCCACATTCCTCGCCCAGCTCCCGTTACCCTCTCCTCCAGCAGTTGCCACGCCAGTGGGGACAGACCAAGATCGTGTGGTGGTATTGTAGATCAGGCCTCCGTCGGGGTACAGCACGAATCCGATGTCTCCCTCTGCTGCGTCTAGGTGGCCTGAGAAGAGGATCTCTTCAACAGACTGAGTGAAATCCCGTGAGAGCTGACGGATATGCGCAGGAGAGGTACAATTGATTCCGATCGCTTGCGGGACGGGGAGTCGGTCCTGGAACAGTTCGGTGATGCTGGACGTCTCGTCCCCGTTGTCGAAGCCGAGGTCCTTGGTTGACAGGCCCAATTCCTGAGCGGCCCACGGTCGAGGCAAGACGCTGGCGGCAACGACCTGTTTGACGGTCGACCCGTCCGGGAACTTGCCCGAGGGAAAGACATAGGCCATCCACCACTTCTTCCTTCCCCCATCCGATCCATACATCTCATCTAGCTTCCCTTCAAGATCCCTCATAGCCAGCCTGATAGCCAGAGCTTCCCTAAGCAGCGGAATCGTCTCGAAACAGACCCAGTCCAGGGAATCCCACGTGGCCTGGTCTTGAGCGTAGGTGAGGAGGCGGGAGAGGTGAAATTCTCGCAGAGCGGTCAGGGAAGAAGTGTAGGATGATACGGTTGAGCAGGTCGTGCTGGATGAGGAGGGACCGCAGGGCGGTGGGTAGAGACCAGAGTATCTGGAGATGAAATGGAAGAGTCAGTCGTTAGCTACCGAAGAGTCGGGTGCGAGAGCCGAAATTTCGCCCTGTACTGACTCTTGTCCCGGCTGCAAGGTCGCCCCGAAGGGTCCTAGACACAATCCCACCTTCCCCCTCCCTACATCACTCATTCGACCCTGGCTCGCCTGCCTCGCAGCCTCTTCCGCAACGCCCACCTGACTGAGCATGAGCTCGTGAGCTCGGTCAGATGACATGGCGCCATCCTGCGTGTAGAGAGTTTCGCAGGCTTGATACCTATGGCACAGCGACACAGCACAACGATCAGCGACGATCCTCATCCGATCGCGATTTACAAAAAGTCACAGCTCGCGCTCACGTAGCCGTCCCGATCATCTCGGCCCCAGCGTCCAGAAATCCAGCATGCACATCCCTCACGGCGCTCCTCAGTGCCGGGTCGGACGACCAGAGGTTGGAAGAAACGTTGTGGCCCGAATCTTCGAGGGTCGTGCCCATGCCTCCGTCGAGGATGGTATAGCGGACAGGTGGGAGTGACATTACAGCAAACGTTTTGGTATTAAACTATGGTATCTGTGGTATGGTGAGGGCAGTGCGAGGAGGTCGGCTGTGGTCGAGACATGGTCGTGGACAAGTAAGCCGAAATATGGTCCATAACGTCGAGATCCGAATGATGTCGGCCGCTCGCGTGCTCTCGGCTGCAAAATTATCAGATTACTTCCGGTTGATCAGACCTCGAGCGGGAGCAAATTGACGGACGCCGGATCACGAAGATCATTTTGATCTGACAAGCGCACGGGCGATGAGCGATCTAGCGAGGCGCAATCGTGGAAGGGTGGAAGGGATGTCGACGGTCGCAACGGGTGATCGAGAGACAAATTGATGAAAGAAGTGCTTGATCCATCGGGTGGATGAAAATGCGCTGGCAGAATGTCCTGCGAACCGGATCAGACGGGCCGCATCCGAAAAGACGGGCAGAAGGAGGGAAGAAACTCCGCGCGTTTCAGATGTGGAAAAGTTAAAGGCCGTGATGATCCATCAAAGGGGGCCTGGTAGCCGCGTCACAAGGTGTCGACATGAAACGTTATCGGCCAGTTGACTGATCGTCATCTTTCCTCTGACTGTAGCCTTAATCGAGACCGTATCCGGAAGAAGTTCTGCTCGAATAATGTGTCGGCGACGGATGATGACCGTGTGAAACCGACGAACGTGACGAAAGCCGTCGCACGGAGCCGGTGACCGACGCAGATCGCCGTGGTTGGAGATCGTCGCGATCGTCTTACTATCGGGCTGTCGGCGTCATTGGATAGCTGGGTAGAGCCCAGTCATCGACCTCGTCATCACACTGGAAGCTGATCAAGCTGACAAAGGGAGAGTCGAAACATCGGGCGGAGCAACCCGAGTCGAAGTTGGAGGAGGATGACCACCTTGAAAGGATGTACAAAGGGTTTTGAAACCTCACACTCCGTAACACTCCCCTCCCCCGCCCCAAGCCCCCAACGGTCCCTCGCTCTCCGCCCCCTCTCCTCTTGGTGAGTTTTCCTGTCATATCGATCAAAGGCTAGCCTAGACACCCCTGGTTCTCCGTCACCCATCGAGCTCCTCTTCTGCTATTGATTCTCAATCATCAATTACACTCTCGTTCATACGGATTCGACATCCGATTCTGATTAAACAACGGCATCGCGAGCCTCGACCAAGTGTTCCGCACACAGCACAGCTCACAACACGACGAATCTGACCTTCACCTCTTTTGCAACAACTCTCTACGTCGCCTGGTAGCGATCCGACCTAGTCCCTTTGTCTTCACCTCGCCTTTCTCTCGTTGAATTCGATCGCCTCATCATCTTCGTCAAGACATCGAATCGCAGCTGCACGACCCACCCACACCAGAATCTACCAGGTAACACCGAGCTGAAGATCGAGTCGGCAAGATGAGCGTGAACATCACTCTGGACGACACATCTCCCATGATCTCTTGGGGACAAGGATGGAACATCGGAAGCCTAGCCGCCGGTAAGTTGGTTTCTGTTCTACCCAATCGCGCAGGTCGCTTACTCAGAACCCTGCCGGAACTCATCACAGACCCTTTCACCCCTCGGTATTTCGGTTCCACCTTCCGCTGCACCCAAACTGATAACGCCTCGGGCTCATTGAAGTTCAAAGGGACCGGCGTCTGGGTCTTTGGCGCGAAGCGGGACAACCACGGGATGTTCGAGGTAGATCTGGATGGGCAAGTAACCACGTCGGACGGGTACGGGGCGAACAAGGCGCAGGAACTGCTATTCGGGCAAGGAGGATTGGATCCCGATGTGGAACATACGGTAGTGAGTCGCCTTGGGGGATCACGTGTCGTCTTTTATCTCTACAATTTTACAAGAATGCGACTGACATTCGCAACTTATGCGCGCGATGAACTAGAAATTCACAAACACGCCTTCCAAGAATCAAGGTACGGGGGATAAACGACCGTGGTTCGACATCGATTATTTCATCGTGAGTCACCCCTTTTCCGTTTGACTCGTTATCCAGCGGCCGGGAAGATCTCGAAGTTAAATTATCTCTACGTTGTTGACGGATTTACAAGATCGAAACGAAGCTCGGAGATGCCAAGTGAGCCCTGAATCTTTTGCTGGAGCAAACAGAGCGCTCGGATCACGGTCACTGACGACCGTCTTGCCCTGTTACTATTTCAGTGCCCTGACCGCGACGACCAGGATCGACGATGCTAGCCCTCGGTTCACTTACGACGGGGGTTCGATCACGACGGACTTCTCGGCTACCAAGCAGTATTACGCCGAGACCGGGCAGTAAGTCTCATGTGGCTTCAGTATGATGGGACTAGGACAGGCTTTGACTGAATACCTATTCTGTTTAGCCTGCTCAATACCGCCGGAGAGACGGTCAAAGTCGAGTGAGCCCAGGCTAAAAACACGAGACATTGAGAGATCATATTAACTAACCGTGTGCGCAATGTATCGCGTTGTCTAGCTTTATTGGACAGACCTTGGCGGTATTTGGAGGTGTCAATTTCAACCATGGGGACTACTCCGCCAGTTTGGATGGAGGTCCAGAACAGGTGTAAGCGCAAGGCAGGATATGGGATACTTTCATACCCTGCTGACGACGGATTGAACCACATAGATACTCTGGATCTTACGATGACCTCAAAGCGGGAGCGGTTCGTGAGTCTAAACAACAGGTCATGATCCCAGTCAACTCGCGATTGAGATTTCCTTCTACCCGTTTGTGTCACGTCTCACGTCAGTCTACATGGCAACGGGTCTCCAAAACACGACACATTCGCTCGTACTGAAAAACCTCGGTACTGGTACGAAGAACAACTTTGACATCGATTACATCGAGTACAACTATACGCTGGCGTAGGTCAAGCCAATTCGATCCATCATGTAGCTAAGGCTGATGAGTTGCTTCTTAGGGACTCGGCCGAATCTGTGACGTCTGTGACAACGATCGCTGGAGTGGCAAGCACGATCAGTGCGACCGCCTCGAGCTCCGCCTCCGCTTCATCCAACTCTGTAACCACTACGGGAGGTACAAGCACCTCTTCATCTTCTATGGACCTCGTCATGGCGAGTACTACACCCGGCACTAGTGACCCTGACTTTGGTCCGGTCGCCCCGGCGACGACCAATACTGTCGTTCCTCCGAGTTCGGGTGCCATAAATGGCGCGACATCGAGCGAAGAAAAGAGGTTAGCATTGGTACTGAAGGCCTAGGCCTGAGTCGCGAACTGATCTGAATCATGTATAGCGGAACGAGTCCCGGCCTAATTGCAGGCGGTGCTGTCGGCGGGGCCATCGCGCTCCTCTTGCTTGGCGCCATCCTGTTCTTGCTGAAACGCAAAAAGCGTCGTGGCGAAGAACCCGATCAATGGCAAGACAAACATATCGTCGATCTCACCGGTGATGACGGTTCCAAATACCCCTATGGTGGCAACGGTGTCAGCCCCTTTAGCGACCACGCCTCTGCCACTCCTTGGGATTCCGGCATGCAGCCTGTCCAACATGCCAACAGTTCTCCTTACGGGAACTCCGGCTCGCCGTACATGTCTTACATTCCGCCTGCACCTCCTTCGCAGAACCCGTCATACTACCCGCACTCCGTCGAACCGTCTTCTGAACACGGACGTAGTCCGATAGATGAAGGACAAGCAGAGTATATGTATGGCGCAGCAAGGTCCGGATCTCGCACGAACGGCGCATATGGAGGCATTCAGCAACAGCGATCGGGACCCTCCACTGGTTCGCAAGGTAGCGTCGGCGAGATTGGGCGAGCCTTGCTGGTCCCTGTCGACCAGATCTATCAACCTCACTCTGGAAGATCTCTCTTTCCTCCAGGCGAAGCGGGTTATCAGCCACCGGAAGCGATCTTTGGCTCTGAATTCTCTTATGGGCCTCCTGGCACCGCGACTGTGATGGGCTCTCCTCAGACCCGCGCAGTGACAGCCTTGCGCAACAAGGGAAACATGTTCAGCGCCGCTCTGCCAGCCACGAGTGTTGCGCCGTCTTCTGCCGTATCACCGGACGACATTAACAGTCGCACGCGGATTTACGGCAGAGCTGTCGACGCGGGACCACTGCCAGCCTCTCCGTCGGTCAGTGGTAGACACGAATTACCTCCAAATTACTTCCAGGTGAGAGAGAATGGTATGTGGGCAGGAGATTACGCCCGCTGATTCTTGCTCGACGTACAGGCCACCGAACCCTTGCCTTCGCAGCTCTCCCCAGAAACGCAATCTCGAAGGCCTAATATGATCTAGGTTGCAACTGCTTGTTTCGTATATCGCTGTGCATAGGGTGTTGTCAATTCGTTTACCCGTAATTCGTCATTATACCATACATTCGTTATTCTCTCCGGGTTACTGATCTTGTTCGTGACAATTGCGCAAACGGGTATCTTGCGCGAGATGGAGTGGAGTTTGTTGTCGGTCAAGGGTATCAGCTCAGAAGAACTTGGTAAAGAGGCCTTGATTTCGAGACGACCGGGGTTCAGTTTCTTGTCGAAGGTTGACCAGAGACTGCAGCGACCGCATGACCTGAGCAGGATGCAGCAAATGTCAGCATAAGGCTCGCATCAACTTTGTAGGCTAGCGCTGAAGAACGACCTACCTGCTCAAGCTTGTCTTTCCTGTCCTGTAGGTCAAGGTGTTTGCGAATGACCGGATTCTCTCGCGCAAACCGCAATATCTCTTCTCGCTATGTAGTGACGATGCGTAAGCGAGTGTACAGGCGGAATCACAGGCTTACTACTTACGTCGAGATTATAAAGGATACGCGAATCGATCTCGCGAGGAAACTAGTGATGGGCAGGCAATATCAGGTTGCAGAACTGTGACGGTAACGGAGCAGGGCTCACCTGGTAAAAGAACTGCTCCAGCAACTCGATGTTGATGAACATGGTAGAGGTATAGGCGAGCTTTTCTGCGACTACGCTCAAGAAAGCTTCCGGACAAAATGCCTTTTGTTCAGGGCCCATCTTGCACCGACGCGATTTGAGAGCGGCTTGTCGCAACTTTAGCACAGCCAGTCGATCAGAAAACAGCGCGGCGATTTTCCCTGCTCCAAGCCCATGATCAGCTTGCCGAACACTTTCAGAAGTTAAGAACGGGTTACATACCGTCAGCCAGCTGAGCTGCACTGTATTTGTAGCTGTCTGGATGAGGCTCATCTAGGGGTTCATACTGGTCTGTGCTATCACTCGTCTCGGGATTATTGACCGCGGCGAACCGACGCCTGGCTCTCTCGGTCTCTTTTTGTTCAAGGTCGCTGACGTATCCGAGCAAGCCTTTCATACGCCAAGCTCCACCGACCTTCTTCTTGATCTCGGCCAGTTTCGACTCGCACCTCGCAACCTCTAGGTCAAAGGCCTGCTCTGCCCGAGCCCGGCCGCTATCCCATTCACGGTCCTCGATCTCCACCTCATACTTGTATGGTTTGATACAGTTCTCGACCTGGTCCGCCGTCAGGTTGAGTCGCTCACGCAGCAAGGCATGCGAAAACTCGACAATCCTCTCCGCTGCTCCGGGATGATATGTGAAAGGCTCTCCCATGGCGATAGAGTCGATCAGAGATCTCAACCCCTCAGCGACCAGTTGCGTCGAATCACGACCCACACCCGACTTGGTAAGGAGTGAGCTAGCTGTGTCGAGCTTGTAGCGCCAATAAGAAGCGAGCTCCTCAGGCTTCAGTTTCCGGTCGTCCGCGAGCTTGGATAACTCCTCGGTTCGTTTGTCGACCCAGTACAGCTGTTCCAGGATGTCCATGACCTTGTCGTCAAGCATCGCTCGTAGCTTTGCTCGAACGTGCGGTTTGGTGAACTGAGTAGTGTATTCCTTGAATTTAGCTTTGAGCGCGTCGATCGTTTCTGCGACGTATGATTCTGCCGTTATCCTACGATCGTTGTATTGCACCTGTAAGGGTTGAGAACTTGGGCAATTAGACGTGTAGTATCAGGGGGCTGCAACATAAACTCACCTTGAACTGGTAGTTGGCCTCTTCCATCTCGAGTTGTACCGCATTAGTGATTCCGTTCAGGCTGCCAGACATGCTGGTTTCCAGCACGTCCATCAGACGGCGACGTAGCGTGTCTGTTCCTACCATAACCTTGCCTTGCAAGCTCTGTCCGCTCCCTAGGCCACGCCGGGACGATTCGGGCGGGTAGAAGTAGCGAGCATTCTCTCCTCCGAAAAAGTCTTCTTCCCGTCTCATGATCGCGCCCGTGATGTTCGGGGCTTCACCGCCGTGTCGGATCTTATCGCTACCCGGGCCTTTCGGCGCCTTGCTCACGACACCGACGTAACCGAGGTGTAGCGGGTACCGATTTCCTTTCAAGATCGAAGCGCCAAGCTCTGGAGGTACCAGATCCATCTTGGTAACGACCCCGATCGTCCGCAGTCCCATAGGATCAACTCGTCTACTCGCTCGCAAAGCAGCCGAGTTGGCGAGATCTACGTCGGCCGAGCATACAGCGAGGATGATGTTCGGCTCCTGGATGTATCGGTCGCACAGCGAGGAGATCTTGTCTTTGAGCTCTTCTGGCTGGTCCATCGACGAGATCTGGATGTAACCAGGTAGGTCAACCAATGTGAGGTCTGGTACATGGGGCGAATGGATGCGCAGGTGTATAGGGTCGGATGAGACGGCAATCGAGGATGGGACCGCGACGTTGAGTTCCGTCAAGGTCCTCTGGATTGAGGGGAACGAGGTGACTTTTTGTCCACCCAGACCAGGGAAGACACCGTATTCTCGAGGGCCTCCCGAACCATCGTCCGGGGTATGTACAAGCGTGAGCTCGATCGGGCGCCGGGTCACCATATTGTCACCTCTATGAATAGTAGGCAGATATATTAGCACATACGCAGCAAAGCGCAAAGACAAACGTGTTACTGACTTTGGCAAGAATTCGTGACCCACGATCGCCTCGAGCACGCTACTCTTCCCGCTACTCTGACTGCCGATGACAACGATACTCGGCAGCTTCAAAGCGTCACTCTGATCAATGGACATGAGGACCTGTCGGATCTCGATCAACTTTCTGGTGAGCTGTAACAGCTCTTGAGGTTGAGCCGGTTCCGCTTCATCTTTGTTTTCCTCCCGGTTCATATAAGCTGATGTTAAAGCAGCGAGAGCTGCAGCGCCTCCAGCTAAAGGACCGTCATCCTCTGGGCCCTTTCCGTTCTGGTTCCCGCTGCTCTCGTTCGATGCCGGTCGAGTTGCAGGAGGGGGAGGAATACTAGCCGCCGGCGCTGTAGAGGACCTTTCCTGAGATGGCGTCGAGCCAGAACCAAACTTGACTCCACCCCACCACTCATTGAACCCGTTCACGAACCCACTCGTATTCTCCTTGACTCCGTCCGCTAGAGTTCCCAATTCGCCTCCGATGCTGCCTGCAGCAGACGACAGAGTGCTCGACACGCCTGATAGCAATGAGCTGGCCTGGTCGTATCCGTCGTGCACTGTCGAGGATATCGAGTCGAGCATGTCGTTCGTCGCCGTACGAACGCCTGTGCAGCACTTTTGAGTCAGCTTGAGGGCCTGACTATGTCATGAAAGCCGGCTCACCTTCTAGCTTGTAGTTTGCATATGTCAGAGCTCCTGCGCCGACCCCTGCACCGTACATCGGTACCCTAAAAGCCCTAGCGACAATCCGAGGGATGGTTCCGAACGAGATGGCCCGGACGTGCATATTTCTGACCGCTCTCAGCCTAGAAGCGCTAGCCATTCCTTGATCCGAGCCAGTGAGGTGTAATGTGGGGTTCCGGCTTGCGAGATGAAGACTCCTGGTATTCCTGACGAGCGACTGCCTGGCAACGCTCGACCGAGCAATCGATGTCGCCTGTCTGAACATCCTGATGGACTAGAGGAAGCCGAAGCCTGGCTGTCTGATCTTCCGGACAGAAACTTGACCTTGATGGTGGTGGGTGCGAGCTGAATGACGGTGTTAATATTTATTGTCAGGACGAGTCGACGACGAGATATGACCGTCGATCGCCTCTCGGAAGCTCAGAAGTTGGCTCGTGCTTTGAAGAATTCATCTGGTGGCGGTAACTTTTACTACTATGGCGGCAATCGACTTTACATTTCAAATAGCTCGGGAGTATGTGACAATGGCTTTACGCCAAGGTACTGTTCAAGGGATTATCGCATCACTGTGTTCCGTTGGAGTCGTTCGGTGAATTAGTTTGCTCAAAGTTGTTCCGGTATCAATTGCATAAGACGATCGCATAGAAGTAGATTTACAAAACAAGAACATTGCGTATTATAAATAAGAAGACTTCAACGAAACAAACCAATTAATCGAAAGCACTCATAACCCCATCGCAAACAACCCGTTCATGAGCTATCTCGCCGTCTTCCAACTCGTCACCATCCCATCCGTGGCAGACCTCGTTCTTGAGCGCGTCGAGACCGTATTGGGCGATCCTAATGCGATCGGGCTTCTGCATTTGCCCGTGGTCCCGAATGATGGTGAAGGCCCGGATAGCTCTCTTGATGGGATGGACCCCGGCGTCGTTCAATCGGATTGCCGTACTGGCATCGACCTCCTTGCACATTTCCCCGGTCACCCGACACGGCCCACAACTCGGCAACATCCCCTTGCCCTTCGCAACCCCGATGCAACCACGGCAAAGAATAAAAGGACCGTATTCGATGAGTCGGATCCTTGTAGCGTAGTTGACGTTCAGGTTCGCAGCAATCATCGCTTGCTGAGTGAAGACTTGGCCGGGGCCGGTGTAGGGGACGGGGATATAAAGCCCGAGGCAGCTGTCGCAGGCGAGTCTCCATCCTCCTTGGTATTTGGCCTAAGAAAATGATATCGTACGACGCGTCAGTTCATTGAAATCGCCCAATAAACTCGATCAACGCAACTCACCAAGGCAGCGTCGATACCGGGAGTATCCTTTCTTCCGGAAGCCATGGGAGCGTTCATGGCAATGAGATGGGCGGGGGGAGCGACGGGGAGAACGGGGAGGGACAATTCATCGACGAGATCCGCGTGAACTAAACAAAGAACATATGCAATGAAGTCGATCAGCGATCTAAAGCAATGTAGTCGAACAATGAAAGATATCGATGTGAACTTACTCCTTTTGTCGTCCTTTTCAATACCTCCTTTGTCCAACCTCGAAATATATGCTCCAGTGGTGCAGCGATAAGCTTTATCCGCCACGCGAAGCTTAGGGGGATCGACCGCTTTGGCCTTCCCCTTGTTGGTCTTCTTCTTCTTCGGAGTCGATGGAGTCCTTCGTTGAGGAGCTCCCGGGCCATCGTCGGGGCGAGATTCGTCGACGCAACCGTTCCAGGCGTCGGTCCAATGTTGATGATTCTGAAAAATACCGGGCCAGAGATTGAGATTGGGGATGGGCAATGTAGGGTCGAGGGTAAGGATATTGGGGATGTCGAACGCGGAATAAAGAGGACTAAACGCATACAATGAATCAATTAGTTGGTCGATCTCGATGGAAAGAATATCTGGAACGATTCAAAGGAAAGAAACATGTACTCACGTTCCGTCCATTCCGTCCATTGGGTTAGGTGACTGTACGATATCGATGGTGCTTGCGATAGAGGGTGAGACGGGCATAGGGCTATTGCGGGAAGGAAATCTATTCGTTGTAGAGTAAAGAGAAGAGTAGAGAGACGATGTTATCGATCAGTAAGGTGTTCTCTTGCGAAAGGTATAAGTACTCATCGAGATGTATGTCTCCAAATCGTATTTTTATTGTTCTTGAGCGTTGTAAACGTGAACAATAGTTGTTTCGAGGTGATCTTCCATTGCAGTTGATATGTCGATCGATTACTTTTGTCCAAACAAGAGGAAAACGTCATTAGTTTCACTCCGAGGATCGTTTTGGTCGAGATAGGTCCTTGTTCCAGTCCATTGCAGCGTTTCAAAATAGGTATTTCATTGTCTGAAAGCATCGAACAAGACGTATGTTTAAACACCCTGCGTCGATCCTAAAAACGAGTTCGAAATTGTATTGTTCTCCGTAGTTGTCGATGTCGCCCTCCACAGCGCTGTTTCAATCGCCTTCTCCTTGTTCTTGTCGCACTTGCTGCTGTTACTACGGTGACCAAATTGCCAACATCCGTGGCATTGCTGCTCTGCAGCTGGTACGACTTTGCGTTTCTTGAGAACAGTCTCCCCGCCCGATTGGGTGCGACCGCTAGAAGCAACTGGTACGATGATGTCGCCCGGTGGAATGTAGCCAGACAAAAATTCACTGGTCGTTTGCGATGGAATAGACGCGTGCGAGGGCGCCGCGTATGTACGAGTTGGACCTGCTTCCGCGCGCGCGACAGGCCAATCCATTGCCACGTCATTGATAAGGGTGGCAGCCTCCGCGCGCGAGGGCGCTGTTTGCTTCCGCCCTACGCGTACCCGCCGAACAGGTGGCAGGATCGTCGCCGATAGGTCGTTCAGTAGTAAATCCCCTGGGAGTCGACGTTCGATGTAGGTGTTCTGAATGCCTCCCAATGGAATAGGTACAGGGATGTTTGCATTGTCAAGACCCCTGAGAAGAGCTCGAGGGACCTCTATACCCATTTGTACCGCTGTTTCTTTGAGTTGTGCGCGATGAACGATATGCCAATGAACATGAATTTCGTGGAGTTGTAAAGGATGTCGTCGAGTGCCATTCAAGAACGCCGCAAAGTCATGTTTGCATGGGAGACCAGTGGATTTTTGCCATGCACCAGTGCAAGGGTCTAATTGACCGTTGCTAGCCTTTACAGCTTTCGCAAAGAGGTATCCCCGTTGATGCATGAGGTCGATCGCGTACGTTGAAACCTTTCCATGGAGCTATTGTTTGAAACATGTCAATAGATCGACTCTAACGGAACACCACATGGTCACACCTCAACTCACTTGGACAAAGCATTCGGGCAAGCTAATGTTCCTTCGAACAGGTCCATTGGCATGAATATCAAAGATTTTCAACTGCGTACTCTCCATGTGATTCAATACCGCGTTGGTCGCTGCAAAGAGATCGCCACTGCCTTTGATTTGCCTTTTGACAGCGCGATGGAACGATTCACCGGTCGATGTAGCTAGATAGTTCAGATGGAACGCTTGCCCGGTAGCGTAGAAGGCAAAGCGTTCCGCCTCTTCGAATCCAATGATCAAGTACCCCACCATTTGTTGGGTGTTCGATCCATTTTGACCAAATCGATGGATCAGATCGACTTTTGCGTTCTTGAACTTCGCTTCCGTTGGTTGTCTTACAACACCCCACCAGGCTCGAAGCACTTCAATGAACGTGTCGTTTGGGATGCCTTTCTTGCAATTCTTCACGATGTTCTGTTGTATATGCCAAAGGCATAGGATGTGTTTCCAACGAGGAAATTCTTGCTCGATCGCATTGCGCAAGGCCATTTCGGCGTCGGTCATAACCGTTTCCACTGGAGTATTCCCTAGGAATCGTTTGAAGCACTTCATTGCCCAGATGTAATCCTTCTCCCTTTCCCGAGACATGAATGCAAAGGCCACAGTAAATGTAGTATTGCTCGCGGTCGCTGCAACGATGTGAAGCATCGGCATGTTGTATTTGTTTGTTTTATAGGTGCAATCGATAAATAACAGTTGCCCGTAATGTCGAGCAAGGGTCATGGCCATTGGTTCAGTTACAAACAAGTGTGTTAACACATTGGCTGCACCGAAACAAGGTTCGAAGGGTATTCCAGCGGAGTCGAGTTGTTTGATCAATGCATCGGTACGTGTTTTTCCAGTCGCTGCATTGGAAAAGAACTTTTGACGAGCGTTGTAGATCTCTTTAATTGAGACCAATGTTTCTCTTCCCTCCTGTGCTGCTTTGTGTCGTAGTTCTGCTAGGGTCGCAGAAGGTAAATGATTTGCCTTGCAACCTGCTTCTACAATCGCTGCTTCGGCTGGAGTCATCTTTCGATTTTGGCGAAATACTCCAGGGGTTTCGGCCGGTGCATGATTGTGGATTAAACACCGCGGTGAGACAGACCATTGGCCAGCTTTATCGCAGCTCACATAGATTTTGAATCCACAGCCACATCGCTGTGTAGTTGTCTTTTTGTTTCGGGCAAGTCCCGTTTTTTTAATGTAGTCGTGAGAAGGAGTGTATTCCCCCTCGCGAGTGCATTTCAAGTTAAAACTGCGAACGACTCCTTGGTATTTGCTGACGTTTGACTTCCTTATAGCATACCCATGGGCTTGACCATGGAGATTGATCTCTGCAACGATTGCATCCATGTCGAGCGTGGGTCCGAACTCAGGGAGTTCAACAGAGAATGAATCCCCTGGAATCGATTGTTGAGCGATAATAAGGGGGGAGGGCGGGGGAGAAGCTAATTGGACTTCTTCTTCGGCGTCTTTCTCTGCTTCATCCCTTATAAAGAGGTCGACTAGGTCCTCCTCCATCCCAGTGTATTGGTTAAGAATGTCGGGGAGTTGATCAATGTCGATTGCCTGGGAAGAGTTCATTGTGATAACGTATTGATATTGAATACTAGTGCGATTGCGAGGGCAAGTTTCTGAGTGATAAATCAATGTGTAGTTCGATAGGTAAAGCTACAAGGCGATCGTACAACGAAGAGACCCAGTGGAAAGTTGTAAGGAAAGATTGTAAGGTTCTTGACGATCAACGCTGATCGTTGAGACGTTCCAATAGGGGTAACAAAGAGGTTTATTCCCCGAGAATGTTTTCACCGAAACGGATGCAATGGAGAGGTGCCATGGAGTATTTCAAGGGACTAGTGCGTGTGGCTGTTCCTTGGCGTCAAGCCATAGGCAGAGGTGGTAGGTATTTGAAATGTAAAGTCGATTGCCGCCAGGGTAGTAAAAGTTACCGCCACCAGATGAATTCTTCGTGCTTTGCCGCGATGACGTACTCGCTCACCGCCGAAATTGCACGACCTCGCACCCATACCCTCAAAGTAAGATTCGCAAGAAGCAAGAAGCAAGGAAGGCAAGCAAGCACACACAACAGCCTTTTCAATGGATCAATTCATGCGAGCACAAAGTTGATACAGGGGCAACGGACAGATAATTACGAAGCACGATTTCACACAGACGATCAAATTCTCAACCACACTCTTGAACAGTGAAAAACAATCGGTACCCTTTCCCTACATCCTCCTTCCGTAATCCCACCCATCCAGCCAGATGCGTGTTTTGAGAGAGCTTGTCGAGATCGAGCGCGAGTCGGGGAAACTTCAATCATGAAAACGTGGCGACGAGATTACTGCTGCTGACCGCCGTAAGGAGCCTGCTGACCGTATCCGCCGGCACCCTGCTGTTGGTATCCACCCTGGGGAGCGTAGCCGGATTGACCCTGGCCACCGTATCCACCCTGACCACCGGCAGCGTAACCGGACTGGCCCTGAGCGGCGTATCCACCCTGGAAGCCTGTGTGTCGTGACGATGAGACAGAGTTTAGCGATCGAGCTCAGCCCGTTCGATGACAATTCGAGGACTGACCACCAGCGGCCTGCTGACCACCGTAACCGCCACCGTATCCACCGCCTGGAGACGCAGAAGATATATACGATTCAGCAAAAAGGGAATGCAAGTGAATTAGAGTTTAGCTTGATAATCACCTTGACCTCCGAATCCTCCCTGAGAGAATCCGCCCTGACCACCGTAGCCGCCAGACTGACCGCCGTAACCACCACCGTATCCACCCTGGCCGCCGTAGCCGCCCTGGCCACCGCCGTATCCGCCACCACCCTGGTATCCGGACTGGCCACCGTCTGGGAGAGCGCGTGTAACGTTTGAGCAAGGACAAGATTCATCAATAGGTAAGTTCACGAGAGTAGAGGGTACTAACAACCTCCACCGGTACGTTGGTTAGCGAGGTTGACTCGGACCTGACGTCCGTCCAAGTTCTGTCCGTCCATGGCGGCGATGGCGTTGTTGGCCTCCTCGGCGGATCCGTAGGTCTAAATGACAAGAGAGGAAGGAGTTTTAAAAGATTGGACATCGCTGCCAGAACGCGTCAAGGGTAACATACGACGAATCCGAATCCCCTGGATCGGCCAGTCTCTCGGTCCTTCATGACGATTCCCTATTGATTCGCAAAGACCGGGCAGAATTCGAGATGCCGTGCAACGAAACGAACGCGTTCATGCCAACAGGACAAGCCGGATCGAGCCCGCAGTTTTCAAAGAGATCCATAGCAGACGTTCACGTCGAGCCCAGTCCCAAAGTAGCCATCACCACATTTGCAAGTAGCATGCAGCCATAGATAGCAGCAGGGAACGACGACGTCGAGTTTGCAAAAGAAAGCAGCCCGAAAATTTTCGATCCCCAAGACGCGTGCGTGCCCAAGACGAAACGCCAATTCCCAGAAAAAAAGCCCAGGCCAAGCGTAGAGACAAGTGCGACGAAGCAACGAGCATACGGGAGAGCGACGAGTCGTAGAGAGGTGACGATGACCATGTTGCAAGACGAAGGACCAGCGAAAGGGCAAGAGGTGTGCACCATATATGATATCGGAAAGTAGAATAATCAGAATCGAGCACAATCGAGCGAGAGAGCGCGACTTGACCGTGCGAGCGGCCAGAGTCGAGAGAAATGCCACGAACGTCAAGGACAGGCCCGTACTGGGTGAAAGTCTGCATGAGAATCTCATCCGTGGTGTTCCACGACAAGTTACCTGCAAGGGGAAGAAGAGGATAAAAGAACGCTTCGTCAGTCTCTCGAGAAGCCGAAAAAAAACGACTCGATCGAGCCCGCGTTTGCCAAGTACTCACCGACGTAAATCTTGGACATTATTGAGATAGTTGCTTTAGATGTTGTTTGAATCTACAGAAACTGTGAAGAGAGAAGAGAGATGCTCGAGAATCAAACTGAAGTAGAGTTGGGAGTTTTAGTTGTATGTCGAGGGATCTGCTGGCTGCTGGCATGGGAGAGAGAGCGAGAGAGTGGGGTGACACCCCCCAACGCTGAGGAGGAGGCGGGAGGGTGACCAGGCACGCAAAGAGGGGGTTGCCCGAAAAATGACGAAATCCTTCCAAATCGCTTTCTCACGCGTCTCATTCACCTCGCCTGCCACCTGCGCTTCCAGGCAGCAAGCGTGAAACAGTGAGAAAGCCAAATCGCTCTGATTACAACGGAAAAAAGAAGAAAAGTTGGGCAATCTAAATCTACTACATATCAACAGGGTCATAAGATCGTATATCATGCCGCATGGTCCTTTACAGACACAGCTCCTTCAGGTCGCTGGGAACAATCCTCCTTTGAATTGCTTTCCTAGAACAAGCACACGCTGTAATCGGAACAGAAGAGGCGTTAGTCATCGAGCACTCAGCGAACGATTCAGTTTCTACACGCACAAATTGCTCGGGAAATCGGTCCTCCCATGTTGTCGACGAGCCTCGTCGAGAAGTTCTCCTGATGGACCGGGAGAAGTCAGCTCACTCGTCACGAGGTCGTGGCGCGATCGACTTACCACTCCACCAGCCGTCCGGGGGCGTGTGCGTCACAGCGATAATGTCGCCTACCTGGAAATCGAATTCCGAATCTGTTCCGCATATCAATGCTTGATTAGTGAATGACATTTGCCTTCTATGCCGCGCTATCTAAACTTACCGCTTTGAGCCTGATAATCGTACAAAGCCTTGACTGTTGTGCATGCGTGTGTGTAAAGTGGTCAGTAAAATGAGGACAACTGTTTGAGCTAAGCAAACCTGCGCACCATCTGCGACAAGAGGTACACTCGTCAGCATAGCTCATTTGGCGCCATAGATATCGCAAACTCACAGAACAAAACGGGCTCCCCCGTTGTCGAGTATTGTCCAGTAGGTGGGGTGTCTGCGGGTGGAGCCGGCGGTACAGGGCTGGGTGACCTATTGATCTGCTGGGGTGCTGGACTAGGCCCTCGTGCGAACTGGCTGCCTCCGTATGGCGGGTGCTGCGGTTGCTGCTGCTGCTGCTGCTGTTGTTGTTGCTGTTGAGGAGCCTGCTGAGGCTGACCATACCCGCCATATCCGGGCTGCTGGTATTGCGGCTGAGACTGCGCGAGAGGAGCCGGACTCGCTGATCTTTGGTATTGATTCAGCTGCGAGCCAGATCCTGGCTGGACGCTTCCGGGCCGATAACGCGGGTCCTGATTGGGCGGCATGTTGTTGTATTGACCGCCCGATGGAGCATTAGGAGTACCATAGCTTTGATACTGTGTTTGAGCAGCAGGTGGCGACGTGACCGGGCCTTGCTGATACCCTTGGTATCGTGGGTCTCCATGTCCCGTCGAGGACGCCGAATGCGGAAGGTAGGGGTGCTGTACCGGTACCTGGCCCCCATTCTGGTTGCCAGGTTGACTGCTATCGCGCTGCTGATAATGTTGCGGAGGCTGGGATAAGGAGGTAACTGATCCAAACTGGTTGAGACCGCTAGCGGAACCATAAGATTGGTGATGTACAGGAGATGTCATCGGTTGACCAGCGACTGAACCTGGACGACCGGGATACTGTCCGCCGTAACCAGGATTTGCTGGATGGGGCGAAGTCGGGGAGGTGATTCCTGGCTGGGATCCCATAGGCGGTGCCATGCTCGAGTAAGACTGACCGCGTCGATGAACATCCGGTTGAGGCGATGGAGACCGCATATTCGGCTGGGGGGACGGCGCCCGCATGTTGGGTTGAGGTGAAGGAGCACGCATGTTGGGCTGAGGTGAAGGAGCACGCATGTTCGGTTGCGGAGACGGCGCTCTCATGTTCGGTTGATGCATAGATTGAAATTGCTGGGGTTGCGGACTGGGACTTCTTCCTGCCCCAATCCCAACAAAGCCTTCTCTTGGAGCGGGACTCGGCGAACGAGCGTGTGTTTGGGCCGGCGGCTGCCCCGGTGCCGCATTGTATGACTGCTGGCGAGAGTGCGTGGAGACAAATGACCCGGCGCGGGATCGGCTGCGCTCGCCCGGGAACGCCTGGTGGTACTGACCAAGCACTTCATCCACAGGCGAAGGTGCCATGGCTGGAGGTTGCATAAAGGCAGGAGACGGCGCCCGTGGTGCGGTGGTCGGTTGAGCCGAAGGAGAAGCAGGACGCGACGCAGGGTGTGAACCCACAACATTGGCAGCTGCAGAATGATAATCCTGTCCAGGTGCTGGGGAGAAAGCTCGGCTCGCTCGTTGATCGTGTTCTGCTCGCGATCTAGCCAGATCTGCAGCGGTGTGCCCAGCCATTGGAGGAATGAGACCCGTGTCCATCGAGGGCCTGCCCGCCGCGTGTCCTTGGTAGGACTGCCTGTTTCCATTGTGACTCATGCTCGAAGCAGGTCCGGGAGATCTAGGTGGTTGCTGATATGACTGCCTTGAAGCAGGATGCGTCGATACGACAGACTCTGGCCTGCGCTGCGAATGGCCTCGCCTGATGCTCCCGGCTGGAGGTGGGTCTCGCCGAAGCTCAGCCAGCGACCGAGCGATAGGGTCGTCCTCCTCCGTCATGCTTGGAGAAGGTCGAATGGCGTTCGGCCCAGTAGGAGGTGGAGCATGCTGACCGAACGCAGACGTCGGCCTGCCGAAAACCGAAGGAGGTCTGACTGGCTTCTCAGCGGGCGGTGGCGGGGCAGACATGGGTGCGGGTGAAGCGGTCCTTGCGGCCCCAGCCCCGTCCGCCATGCCAGGCATGGCAACACCGCCGAAGGACGATCTCGGTTGCGAAGACGCCACTGAAGCAAGGGAACCGTTCGTAAGGCTCCCTCCTCCAGCGGGCTTCTGCGGCTGCAAGTCTTCCAGAGTGTGGCGTTCTTCCTGCTTCTCAAGTGATGGTTGCGGAAGCGTCGTTTCATATTCGTTCTGGTTATCAAGAGGCGGCTGACTTGATAGAGCGGATCGGTTGGTCATCCGAGAAAAGTGAGCCATCCTTGCAGTCTCGTTCGTTCGGTGATACGCCTCTCCTTTCGAATAATCGATAAACAGTGGAGGGTCTGGATATGACTATTGTTAGCGGGGCATATGCCGAAAATCTAAGTGAGATCTGACTTGCCTGGTATCTGTGGTCCGGTTCCAAAGTTCTTGACAAAGGCCTCGACTTCGGTCACAGCCTCGAAGCCTTCAAGAGCCACACGCACGCGCTCGCAGGACTGAGCAAGATGTCAGATCATGCCTATGGCAACTCCTCCAACCGAAGACGGTCATGGCTCACCTCGTCATCCGTCACACAAACGCTTGACACCGCATTGGCATACACCCAGATATTATCCTTGATAAAATCAAGCCTCTCCTCCTCCAGATCCTGCACATGATCGCAGAACCCTTTCCACTCGAGCTCCCATTTCCGTGTGGTTTCCTCTAACATCCTGACCAGAGCTTGATACTCCCTCTCGTTGCCCCCGACAGAGGAGTTGACCTTGTCCAGTTGCTTCTGCAGCTTTTCCAGCTCGCGGCCCTGCACGATAGAGGCATTGGCGGTGAACGAGTTGATCCGCAGGCAGTCTTGCTCGTACTTCTCTCGAGCCTATTCGAATTTCGGATAGTATCTTTAAGTCAGTACCGGTTGCCGAGCTGTCAAAAGTAAGCAGGCTGACCTTGGCGACGTTCATCTCCTGCATCTGCTTCGTCTTGAACGACTTTTCGACATTGGCTTGATACTATATTGCATCATATTATACGATTAGGCTTGCCGCACAGCCACAAAGCACGCCTTGCGAATCTTACCGTCTTCTTCAAGTTAGACAATCGTCCAGAAAATTCACTCGCAGGTGCCTAATGTAACGTCCTCTCAGTACCCATCTCTGCTCTCCTTCACCCCCGACTACGAACCTCGATGTCCCGTTTGATTTCGGCCACCAGCCTTTGGCGAGCATGAGCTTGCTTCTCCGTCTCGGAACGGAGGGAATCCAGTGCTGATTTGGCGTTCCTAATTGTACCAAAGGATGCTCATCAGTTGTGCTTTATTCGATCTGACACAATCGAACAACGCTATCTTACCCAACTTCATCCTTGCCCAGCGTTGACTTTGCGAGCTTTGCTAATCTCTTCGCGTAGTCCTCTTCGATAGCGGCCCTGAGTAGGATACTGGTCTGATCAGCCCGGCAGTGTAGATATGGGTAGACCGAAAGCCGTACCTCTCCTTCCAAAACGTCTTCAAATCATCAACAGTCCTGTTTGATGCCCGAAGTCGAGCACTGATGACCTCGTAACCGGCATCACCTTCGCCCCAGAAAGCGTTACAGAAATCAAGCTCTCCGTCGTGATTCGATAAGGACGGATTGATGTTGCTATTGTTCTCCTTGTAAAACTGTGCCAGGCTTGTAGTCGAGTTGGATCGTCGAGCGATGAAGTTGGCTGCGCCCGACATCCCGGTGTCTACAGTTGAGCTCGAAGTGCGGCCGTAGCTGTACTTGTTTCTGTATCTCGTTATATACCGTTCAAGAGTTCACCAAGAGTCAATCTATCGTTTGTCCAAGAACTGACCACTAATTGTTCGAACACAAAAGTCCAGTCCAGGCATACTTGATGAGAACTCGATAGTTGAACGTGAGGAGGTTGATCGTTACAGCCTCTCGGGAGCATAGCATGACGATTTCGCGTGTTGCCGCCGTTACGTAAGCGGGGTTCAGCCACGAGGGAGGGAGGGAGAGATCGTGCTTGAACATTGTTGGATTCGCAGGCGAGTTCGTGCTGCCAGTCTAAGCGTTCGGACGGACACTCGGAGAAGCAGGACGCTTTCCGAATCAATTAGAGGAGACTGGACATTATCGTTATTCAACATCGCAAACCTGAACATTGGCAGTATACATATCGCAAGGGCTGATCATCCGACCCGCACATTGCCGATTGGGACACCGGTACACCGGCCTAATGAACAGGTACGCGCAAACCTGATATCTTACTGAATTTGATAGCGAATGATTGCCAGTTCCAGACTGGGAGAAGCCAACCCATATCGATGCCTTCTGCTTCACGGGTGTTCAACTGGGGAGCTTCGGCTATTGTAGAGGCCTGGCGATCGACTTTTCGAGAGAGCACGGGGGTTCAGTCCCCAAGCATATGATAGCGCACTTATCCGTAATCTCTGGTCACTCATACGATCACACAGAAGACTAAGCTTCAGCTAACCCGATGCTACAGACCCACAGGCCAGAGATTGCTCTTAAAATATTGCAGATGTCGTACAGATCGGGATCAAGGCATGTCGTAGCCCCAGGCGCGAACACTTTTCGTTATCCCGGACGTCAATTCGCCTGCGATGGCACCTAGCCCAGCTCCGTCGCAGTACGGAGTACACCTACTCTAATGTTGGGGGATCCGGGAAGATAGACATTTCCTGACTTGCATCCCACACAGCAAATGGCTACAACTGATATAGAGGGTGCGCACCCGACAGGCATCGAAGGCGAAGCAACCCGGAGGAGCAGCCGGAGCAGACAATCAGCGCCGAACCAGCAAAATCCTTTCCGCATTGGAATTCCAGACTCGCACTGCCGTTGTTGAGGCTATCCATGCCTTCTTCCCGTGGCCCCTCAGAAAGAGTCTGATTTCCGACTGCACCTGATTGCACAGGATGATGCGGAGCGGGCGCAACAAAAGAGGAGTTGGGTCCGGCTCATTCCAGCACTTTCCCCTGGGAAGGTACTTGTCGTGAAACCGGAGGGCGAAAAGGGTTTCATAGCCATCTTCGAAATAGTATTGAACCATCTGGCAGCCTCCCGGAACGTTTTGTTGTCCAGCGATGACTTCCTGTCGCAGCCATGCTAGAAGATCTTGCCATGGCTTTAAGAAATCGGATCGTCAAGCCGGAAGAAATCTACCTCTCGGCGACGTTTTTGACTGTGTGATGATGGACCGGCTTGTCCGATCTGAATATGTACTCCTTTACGGACGCGGGTGTACTCGGCCCTCAGTCTGGCCTACATTTCCAAGACAGGATTCGATTCAACCGATCATATCGCGGCGGTATCGGCTAGGCTGTTGAAGGCCTCCAAGAAACGCTACTACGTCGTGTCGGGCCCATGCAATCTCGTCGCCCATCTCTGTTTTAAACACTAGGGGATGTACATTTTGCAGGAGCAATGGCTGCGTCCGTCCAAGGAGAACAACAGGGTCAATGCTGAGAGGTTCGACGTCTCGAGAACAGTAGGATGATGGTGCGGCACCGAGGAGGAGGCCTCTTCGCTGTCTGAGGTCCGAGTTTCGTCCTAACCCGAATTAGGCAGAACAACTTTGAATGGGCGAGTTGCGCAAGAAGCGAGTATAGTTCCGATGCATATCCCACGACTTTGGCCTCGAATTACATCAGCGCGATCACGCCCGGACGCTGCCGACCTTGATCGTCTTTCCAGCAGCAAGGATGTCCTTGGCATCCCTTACATCCACGAACCATCCCCACTTCTTGCCACCTCTCCCTGTACGAGCTTCTTCCGCAACTCTGACAGTGTTCGCTTGGGTTGGTTCTGATTGTGGCGGGTTGGCAAGATAGGACGGTCCCCTGCGAGTATTCCGATATTTTACGTAAGCCCAACGGTGGGTCAGGGGCAGGGACAGTGCGTGCAGGTGAATATGATGGACGGATGAAAATGGCGGTATATGAAAGCCGAGACTACCATCGAGGACATGGTTTCAGATTAGACTTGTCCTGTTACATCGAAACAAATTTGAACTCACCGTCGGCCAGATTCGCTCACACCCAGATCGTTCAAGATCCTATGGCCAAAGCTTTCCATTTCCGTTACTGAAAATGCATGAATCAATATGAATCGGAACTCGCAGCGGTAGGTTTGAAAATTGCACTTACGAAGCGGTATGTGGTGCTCCCTTAGATCTTTTACTGTTGCTATTAACCGTCAATCACCATGATCAACTCGGTTCACTATGTACGAGAGCATGTATAACGTCTTCTCACAAATGTGATGACAAGGTATCACCAGTATGTGAGTTTGAGCGCCAGGGGATCTACTTGATCACATCTTCAGTTGAACGCATCGTATATATAGACCGTCTCGACTTACCGATCATGGAATGCGATCAATTTTTCCGTAGAATCGTGAACCCTAAAACCCCTTTCAACCGTGACATCGCAAAAGATACATCCGGCTTTCGTTATAGGCTCATCGTTGTCAGTCATGTCGCCGGAGAGTAAAGGTAAGGTCGCTTGATTCCGGGTCGAGGGGGTCGTAAAGATGTTCGTGAAAATGCCAAAGCATGCAGAGTTCATCACCGTCGTTGTGGTCACTTGTATTTACGGGCGGGCTTCGAGCATCGAAGGAGCGGGAGGTTTCCCTCAGATCCCTATTGACACTATATAGTCGAAGGCCGAGCTGCAGAGCTGACACCCAATGTCGTTTCAGTCGATCCAGTACACGCCAGTATCCCGTAAGAGTATCAAGGTATACGCTCGCAATCCCGAGGGGTCAGAGTCCCGTTTGTTGATTTTGTGTGAGCGAGCATGCATGTGCTCGGATTTTCCGATCGACCGGAGCCGAGAAGGGTGAAAGAGCTCGATGCCTCGGTCGATCTTCTAGCTATTCCCGGTGTGATACAAAGACCGCACTCCTGTCATCTTCCCTTTTCGCACAAGTCGATAGGACAAGTCGTCTCAACCAAGATGCACGCCCCGTTGAACGTCCCGCTGAGGGAAGCCTGTCAGTTCCGCTCGCCTCCCGAAATTCAGCTGATCGTGCTCATCACCCCTTCGCTCATTGCTATCAGCCTGTCTCAAGGAGATCCAAGCCATCAACGAGTGTCATGCAAGAGGCTTCTTGGCACGACTAAAAGGAGACTGTAACGCCGCTCGGGAGGCACTGAATCTGTGTCTACGAAAAGAGGTCCGTCGATCGAAGCACGTCGCAGAGTCTCGGAAGCTTAGTAGAGCTCACTCCTCATGTATCCACCGGCAGAGACTGGATCGAACGGCAAGGAACTCGGAGAACGCCAAGTTGAGAAACGAGAAGAAGAAGCAGGCGTGGGAATCGCTCGACAAGGAAGTCTAGATGGGTCCATCGCACTCACAGACTGGCCGCTGTATCTCTACTGTATACCACAAATCACCATCACAAGCAGCAAATATCTTCTCGAGGTTGATCTCCTCCACACATGAGCACGTATATCAACAATATCAATCACTGGCAGCAAGTCGGTCTCATCACCATGAAATGCCATGTTCCCTCTCGGCTTAAAAGGGAAACTCGTTTGCATCGAGATGGCGTGCACTGCATACCATCGATGTCCTTGCAGATCATGATCCTGCCATTTGTTGCATGGAGCCGAGAATAGGATAGCGAAGAGGACAGCTATGTAGTAAGTGTACTAACTCATAGGGCGTTTGAGCTACATCACAGGAGGATACTGCACTGCCGAGCGCCGATCGCCCTGGTCGGATCTAGGAACTGAACGAGTGGATCCTAATGCTATGGGCAGAACGTGAACACTCATGCGATATCACCACAAACAGAATCCCACAAGAACTTTGGCTACATTTAGTACTCTTTTGTCGTCAAACCCGGCTGTCTCAGCCATGCTGCTCTATCATCTAACGCCCTTCCCATATCAAACCCGTTTCTCGATCGCTCGATCGACACGGTGGAATCTTGCAACTCGATAGGTGAGGTAAAGGAAATCCCTCTAGTGACCGATGTGGCCGATACGTCCGATCCTCGATCGGCGGTGTTCCTTGGCAGCTTTTCGTCGCGTGACGAGCTTCTGGCCAGGGTGAAGGCTTCGAGCTTCCGGGCTGGCGCTTCGCTTCTTGATTCGGCAGACTCGGCCAGTGGTCTATCAACAGGATGGTGAGATATAAGTTGAGGTATGCGCGCAAGACCCGGATTGATCAATGTTACTCACGCTGGCGGGGTCGGCACTCGAGCTCGGCATCGAGGCAGTCGGGATGGGGACAGTCGCTGAGGTCGACGTTGCGGCCTCGGTCGACGAAGCAGCAGCGGACGACGAAGCGGCGTAGGTCGAGGTGGCAGAGTACTCCTCATCGGAGAAAGTCGAAGACGAAGCGGACGGCTCGGTCGAGATCGCAGCCATGGTCGAGGAGGTGGCAACGGTGCTAGTAGGAGTAGCTTGGATCGAGGTGGTCTCGTCTTCGTCATCATCGTCATCGGTCGAACCGGATCCCGAGCCGGAGCCAGATCCTGAACCGCTCGAAGCTCCAGGAGCGACACAGTTGGATCCAGTAAACCCGGCCGCTGAGGTAGGTCGGCTCGAAGCGTAAGATCCTCCATAAGAGACCGAGTCACCAGGGTTACTACGAAAGGTCAGAAAAGCATGCAGTCCGGTTAGCTTCCTGTTGACATTGCGCGTCGACAAGTAGGACAATCTAGCAACTCACGGGAAGACGGTGTCGATACCCTCAATAGTAGCACACTGGTTGACACCGGCATTGGCGACGAAAGGAGCAGGTCCGTTCAACCCGGATCCACCGCCCTGGACGGTGACGACGGCGCAGTTCATGTACATCTCTCGGTTTCCTGTTGGTGCGCGAAGAACAGCAAGTGGTCAGAGACACGAACGTCGATCGACCGATTGACAAGGACCCTTTCGATCTCTCTTTTCGTTCCATCCCGCTTGGACCTGCCTTTGAAGGCATGGATTATACCGGTCCGGCACGGGTGGGATGAAGAAGGAAGGATCGAAAGGGTCTGTGCGAGAGATGATCTTACCTGCATGGTTGAACCAGGTCCACCCGAACAAGGCCTCGCCGGAAGGAGCCGAGCTAGGGATAGGCACGTCGATGTTGACAGAATCCGTCATGCATCCTCCCATTTGCGTGTGGACGACTAAGCAGTCACAAGAAGAGCAGTCAGTGATCCGGTCTGACTCGTGCCCGTCCCAGCCAACTTTTTCTCAATCGCGACTCACCGTTCCAGGTAGCTCCCATGTCGTAACTCATACTCCACTGACAACTTCCTCCGAGATGGCTCGCCGTCCCGGCAAACTTGGTCGACAAGGTCGATCCGGCCTGGATGGTGGTGACGCTGTCCATCAAGGGCGACCCAGCAGGGTTGTTGATGTACCCTTTGCAAGGGAACCCACCGCCGCCCTGGGGCAAGGGAGCGGTCTGGCTATAGTCCTTGTTGGCTTCCGGGGTGGCAGGGTTGAAGGTCCTGCGAATGACGGGATAGAAGCGCGATATGGTTCAGTTTCCAATGACGATCATAGAAGACGTAAAAAGTCTTGAATTCTGGATCGGTTTCGGATCGACTCACGAGTGCAAGGGGTAAGGCCATGACATTTGCATGTGGGCCGAAGCCGACGAGACGAGGGCGAGAGCGAGGACGAGCTTGGAGAACATGTCGGATGTCTTGGGATGTGATCGTCGAGGTTGATGGAGGAAAGGGCGGGCTTGGATACAGTTGAGCGAGTCGAGGGTGGAGCGATGGTGTCCGAGAGAGTTGATGGGGGGAAAGAGGTCTGACCAGGTATCGATCCTGCGATACTTATAGGTAGACTTGCGGGGTGAATCAACCGAGGTTGCACGATGTCACGGTCGAGTAAAAAATTCTTGATGGCTGATGTCCAGTGACGTTTGTTCGAGTACGGAGGTCTTTCGACAGCGTATTCCGTTAGCGTTGTTGTGTTTGTGTTGGTGGCGCAGCCGAGTTAGATGTTCTTCTTCTTCAGACAATAAGTGGTAGTGAACGTGATGGTCGACGTCGATGATGATGACAAGTCCGGGGTGAGGGTGTGGGGAGAGCTAGTAAGACCTGTTACTGCTGCTGCTCGTACGGAGAGGGATTCGATGCTGTTCTCTTTAGACAATCAATGTCGTAGGGAAAAGTCGGAGTGGGGAGGCGGAGATGGTGGTGATGATGATGAGGACAAGAGGCGAGATGGTTGATGAACACTACTACACGGGTCTTTGTATCTCGACGACCTGCCTTTGAATCGATTGTCCACTCTCTTTTGAAACCTGATCAACACCTTCCAACCCGCGATCCCGCGAATGTTCCATTTACCCCTTGCTTGCTGCCCCTCGCTGTGTCTGTGCGCGCGCGCGTCACGCGGAAGGAAATGAGGGGATAGATGCGGACGGGTCTCTTCTTGTTGTTTTGTTGTTTCGGCTGGCCCATGCCGCGTTTGAGAGAGTCACACAACGCCACCGAGGCACCCTGCCAAAAATACTGGAACCACAGCGTGCAAGCGTCCTCAAACAGGGATACGACGACCCTTGCCGGAATCTTCAATCTCCGAAGCTAACGAGAATCCTCGATCCGGAGCGAATATTCCTGCAGATCGCCATCTCATCGGTCGTCCAAGACAGCCAAGAGCAATTCATTTCCTGAACGAGCCCGGACCCGACCGCGGCGGGTGCAAAGGCCGCGTCGTTCGGCGATCGTCGTCGTGGTTCGTCGTAGATGGCTTGCAGAGACGATGAGTGGACAAGCCATCTATCTTCTGGGCCATCTAAAAGGGTCAGACCGCCTTGTTCATGAGAGCGTCACTCGCATCGTCGATCATCGAGCTGGCCTGTCGCTATCGGCCGGTAGATTTTGCTCAAACCCCGCCAAAAGCCCAAATCCGTCTATTTCGAGCGACCCGTCAGGGCCGAAAACGCGTATCAAACACGACGTTTTGCGTGTCACATCGGCACAAAACTCGCTGGTCCGACAGGTCATGTCAAACGCGAAACACGCTCTTGCGGTTTCACCTCTCGCCCGTTGCCCACTGATCAGCCGAGAGTGTCGCACGCTCCTGCCGAACAGTGTGGCCAGATTAGATCAGAAAATATCCCATCCATCGGCTTGTCGGTTGCTATCGCATTAGGCACACACTACTGCGTACAACAAATAACAAGAACCAAGGCCTGATTCACGCACACCACGAGACGTTTCAAAACCCCCTCTTCAAAATGTCGTTTCTAAGCAGAGTTGGTGTTGGTCATCGTCTCTTCAACGCTCGCAGCCTCTTCACCCTGGGCGACCGAGACCGCGGCTTGCGCGACGATCCCTTCCTCCTCCTCCTCCTTCATCGGTTCGGTCACGTCGATCTTGACGGAAGCGTCCGCCTGTCGCTTTTCCTTGTTAAGTCCGGTCCAGTTGCAAATGTCCTTTCCGAACGTTCGGTTCGAGAGCGTTCTGAAGAGACGCCGCAAGTTAGTCATGAAGTCTGGATTTCCGGAAAGGCGCAAGGTTCAAGCTGGCGACTTACCCTTTTTCCTTCTTGTCGACCAACAGAGAGAGCGATCCGACACCCTTCCAGAGAGGCAACGTCAGAGGGAGATGCAGTCTATGAGAAAGGGATCATAAAGACACCAAGATTAGCCAAAGAATCAGACAGATGAGCTGGTCAGTGTGAACTCACGCTCCACGACCGTCCTTTCCGTCGTTGGCGGCAAAGGTAACAATGTGACATCCTTGAGCTCTGTCGCGTATGGAACCCTTCAGTCCGGTGTCTTCCTCCTTGATCTACGGCCATGACGTGCAAGTCGATCGCACTGGCGATATCAGTCTCTGCCCTACCATCGCAAATCGTCATCCTCTTGGAAACTCACGAGCGGGTACTGTTCTTCGAGCAACATCCTCAAATCGTCCACATCGGCATGGAGCATCGCGTTAGGGTCGAGGTAGGGCAACATGGTGGACAAGCCGTCCGACGGGATCCTCCACTTGCAATACGTGTCGGCGGGGTTCGTTCGGCTGTCTTGTCGCGTAAAGATCTTGATACCAGCCGAGAGCAAGTGGGCGTGACTGTAGTCGTTGCCTTGGATCATGGACTGTCATGCACAGCGACGCAGAGCTTCCTTAACAAGGGCATGCGGGTGAAAGGTAATCGTAAATTGGGCTCACCTTGAGGGACTGGTTGGCAATGTACATGGTCCTCGAGACCTCTCCAGTTCCGTTTCGGACAAAGACACGGTCTCTCGGGAACTCGGGACCCAGCTTGAAGAACTCGCTAGTTGGTTTGCGAATCACCAGGTCGACTTAACAATCTGGACGACTGAAATGGACCCTTTTTGTAGACTCACATGCACGACTGAAGCTCGGGGTCTTGCGGGTTGATGAAGAAGAACGCATCCTCCTTGAACTGAGGATCAGCTCGACCCTGCTTCAACTCTCCCTTGGGAGCGGGCAAGTTGATCTCCTCGTCTCCAATTTTGATTCGCTCTTCTGGTGCAGGCGAATTTGACGCCTCTTCAATCTTGGCCTTTTTGCTCGACTCGCCGCCATCGGTAGCGGACGGCGAGATGGCCCGCTTGATGCCGCTTGCCGAAGCCAATCCTTCCTCCTTGTTATTACTGCCCTTCGGAATCCTCTCCAGGACACAAACGAAGAAGCCGCCGGTGTCTTGATCGTGAGGAAGCAAGCGAAGGCTGTGCAGGCCAATGTGTCAACTCCTGGATCCTGTGCGATTCGCAAGAACTGGAAGAAACACTCACGCATGCTCCAAACCCAACGAGTCGGCGTTCTTAGGTGCAAAGACCGTCTCGGCCCATCGCTTGGGCTTCATAGCACCTCCAGAAGCCTTGAAAGCAGCACCAGCCTCCTTTCCGGCGGCGTACTCCGGATCCGCCTTGACGGCATCGTTGGCACCTTCGTCACTGTTTGCAACACCGTTCACAAAGCCCAAGTGTTGGGCGTACGACTCGTGCCAGTTCAACTCTGCACCCGACGTCTGAGTGGCCACCTTCCAGCTTGTCAGACCCGCCCGACGTTTGAGGCCTTGCAATCGTTCCGATACGGGAACAATACGGAACTGGCCAGGGAAGATGTTCATTGCCGCAGCGACGACCGACTCGTTCTCAGCGGGGTTGAAACTGCAGGTGGAGTAGACGAGCCGTCCAGCGTTTCGCAGGAGCTGCATTGCTCGGGTGAGGATACGGAGTTGAACACTGCGAGCCACACTGATATCAGCTTTGGGCGCTTGCAAACCCGAACAGAAGCGAAACTCACCCGTGCAGCTGCGTTCCGTTGGCGACAGTCCATGTCTTCCAGATATCAGGGTTCTTCCTCATCGTACCGTCTCCAGAGCAACTGTCAAACGGATGTCAGACTGATCAGATCGTTATGCGCAGTACAGTTCGGTGATGCTCACGGTACATCAGCCAAGATCCTGTCAAAAGTCAGGTTGTTCCTCCTGCTCTCATCCGACCTGAGCGAAGGGAATCCGGCTTTTGCATCGAGGATAGCGCAAGTCAGTCCGAATGACATCAGGTCAACATCTGGCGGCTTTTTTACGCACCGGCATCGTTGCATGTGACTCCCAATCCGATACTGGGCATTCGACCGGTTTGGTGGACCAACATGTGACATCGCTTTGCGTCAGCGTCGTTGGCGATCAATAGACCGGTAGTGGGGGCGGTGTGAGGGTTGAGGGCCTCCATAATTTGAGCAGTCTGCGATGTGACGAGATGTGTGAGAGGAACATCCCATCGAACGGATACAGCAAACGACCCACCTTGGAACCAGGAGCGGCACACATATCCAGGCACTGAAAAGGTCGCGTTGTCAGCCTCGTGATCGGACCACCTTGCCTCTCCTCGCCAATTTACGAAGTGATGGGGCTCAACGTCCAGCAAGAGGGGAGGGATCATGGATACCGCTTCCTGTCTTGAGATGTTTCCCTATCACGACGCAAGAGTCCTGCGCGTGAGCGACCACTCGTGTTGTACCAAGATTCAAAGCAATAGTCTCTCACAATCTCGGTCTCTCCTACCAAAAAGCTCTGGAACACCTTGTATTCGGGACTCTTCCTGATCGTCCTCTTGGGCACGTTTAATTGCCAAGCCAGGAGGTCGGGGTACCATTCGAGCTGTTTAGGTGCCGGTTGGGTCTCCCCGTCCAGGACGACGTTCTGTAGCATGGGGGCGAAGTTGGTAGTGATGTGTTCATTGATGGTCTGAGCGTGGCTGTACAAGAACAACAAGGGTTGATTTGAGCGGAGAGATCGGTGGAGCATGGGGTATGATAGGCCGGGACTGACGCTCGAGATCCCGTGACCCTGAACGTAGTCGGCAACTCCCGTTTGAGAGCACCCATAAAGTCGTCCCATTCACCCTCGGGGATGAAGCCTTGCTCCTGTGGGACAAGACCGACCGATCCATGATCAGCGAACATGACGCTAGACTCTACCCCTTTCGAATCTTTTCAAGGACTCGAGACCGACCTTGTAGTAGGCCTCAAAAGCGGGGTTCCCGTCAGCTCGCTTGGCAAACGTCTGCTCCATGGTCATGCTTCCATTCGGTCCATCTCTTGACTTGGCAGGACCCTTTGCCGCTCCGTTCGCCTTGCCTCCTCGCTGTGTGACGGAATATGGAGCGTTAGTTGACGTTCCGGTCGTGCAAACGCTATCGGAGTTTCGAAACACTTGCGCCTTTTCCTGCTTTGCTTCGGCCCATTGTGTGGTATGACTAGTGTATAAGAATGCTTGTACGGAGTCAAGATAGTGGACGATACAGTTACCCTACCCTAGAACCGTATCGACTGCACAGGATCGTGTTCAGCTTGACCTTCGATCGGAATCGCGACCGGGGGTCTCTCTCTGAATTATCTCATCAAAGTCACGTGACATCAAAGGGCTGACCGTTGTTTACGATTTCGATTGCCTGCTACAGTATGATACCGCCCACTCGCACTTGAACGTGCATGGCTGATCACCGGATGCTACATATATCTCCATGATCCCGATAGACGTCTCTCACTATCATACGGTCTCACTTGCCCAGCCCTTCTTCCCGATCCAACACGCTCCGATCCAGCTTGATCAGCACCACCGTGCGCCGCGGGAACTGGTCGGTTGGTACGGTATGCGCCGTCACTCTTGCAGGCTGCCGCGCACGTCGAGAGAGAATCGGTGTAAGCCCGTGCTTCAAGTATCGTTCTGTCCACAGGGCGACGAGGAAAGAGAAAACGGGCAAGTCGAGACTTACCATGTCCAAGCCTTCCAACACCCCCTCGACAATTCCGGCCGAGAACGCCTCGCAGCTCAATTGTGAGAGATCCTTTGGTATCGAGATATGTTGCGTCAACGGCGGGTTATTCAAGGTCAGCATGTCTGTAGGATGTCGACACGTATATAGCATGTCAAGTATGAAGATCAGCTTCTCACTCGTTTTGGACGTCACAAACAAGGTGTGTTCGCAGAAACGACCGACTCACACTCGTCGTCCCCCTCGACGCTCTTTTCCAACCCGTCCGCGGCCTTTCCGAAACAATATCGATACACCTGGGTGTGTATGAACTGTAATGCTGGGATCAACCGGTATTCCTTTTTCGGATCCTATTCCGGGTCGATATTATGGTCACGGGCACGTCCGAACGGAGGGAAGGTGCAGGTCAGTATCGCGCCGATCCGTGCTGGACGAACATCATGTTGGAGGGTAAATGAGCAAGGGGATATCATACCTTGTTGTTACTTGTCTGTGCTGCTCGCAGGAGGTGAAGAGATATGATCCGGATGCCAGCTTCTCTTCCTAATGTCGATAGTCTGACGCCATGAGAATATACTTCTAGGATCAGCATCCAGCCATATCCGGGTATCACTATCCAAGCTCAAGAGCGCGGAGACGCCTCGAGGCTGTCCGACTGACCTCTTTTCCAGGTCTGCTACGCTGTCCACCCTCGTCTGACTATAACTGACAATCTCGCTGAACAGGAACGCCCACGCCGGTAACCCCACTTCGAACCCCCGACTCTTGTTGATCGGTCGATCGAGGATGTTCATCTCCCCACCTCTCCCTGCTGGGCTAGCCAGATCGTTATTGGAAGAAGAGGAACCGATGCCTGAGATGGAGAGGTTGGTGAACCCGGTAGAGAGGTAAGAAGAGGAACGTTTCGTCTGATTGGCATTGGGTGGAGGGCTAGGTGCGGATGCTGGCAACGAGTATCGCGAGGACGACGCCGAGTTGGATTGCAGGTTGAACATGATGGTGTTGAAAGCCTATATGCTTGATGTAATATGCTAGTGTATCGGGGTTCAAGGATTGTCCGACGCAGCAATGTCCTGATCAATTGAATCAACCGAGCAACCGATGTGTTCGTCATGTCGAGGTTAGCATCATCATCATCAACAAGGCTCTTGGGCGGACATTGCGATATTATCTTTGATGTCCGTTTTTAGCTTCCGGTGCCTTCCCTTTGGGTCCCCGGGCGTCCCAGCCACGAGCGAATGACCAGCTATGACGCAGACCTCCGACGACATCGACACCCTCTCCCACCTCAGATAACTAACCTATATCCTTCTCCTTTTTGGAGCCTCTGCATCGGGCGCATCGAATAGCTGCCTCTCATCGCGCGATCATAATCATCTCGGATCTTGTAATCGTGAATCGTCGCAACCGTCCGAGCTGCTCTGATTCTACCCGCTCCAATCGATCGCGTACCGATCAACAAGACTCGTAACCACTACCTGATCCACCCGCCATCCACGCAGCAAGATGCAAGTCCTCCCACCAAAGGCCGGCCTCGTGATCATCGCGCTCACCTTTGCATTTCGCTTGACAGGTTCGGCAGAGGAAGAGGAGACGCTGATATGGACGACGAGGACTATGGTCGTCGTCGAGCGGCAGCCATGTCGAACCACCAGCCGACCCGACCCGTCGACAAGGACAAGAACGAGGCCGAGTTGGGCGTGAGCATCAAGAAGGCCGTCACACCGGAGGAAACTGCCCCGAGTGAGTGCAAGACGTACTTGCACATACAGTGTTCGGGTGGGCTGATCGAGACGGCTGGCTTCTACCTTGCAGAACAGAAACACGTCCGAAGTAAGCATCAAGCCTTGCGCTGTACACCCGTAGAAACGTCCTCACGGCGCTCGTTCCTCGCCCATCTCGCTCAGAAATGATCGTCTACACGTGGGACTACCACTCGTCCTTGCCTGTCTGGAATGGACTTCGAACGTTGCCCATTCTGGCCGACGAGGTCCAGACCTTTAAAGCCCTGATTGTCGTACACAAGCTCTTACAAGAGGGTCATCCTGTCGTGAGTGAAGGCAATGGTTGCCGTCATTCATTCCGATTTGTGGTTATGACACCGTTGCTGATCAGAGCGGTCGGTGTACCGGGAGAGTAGACCTTGAAGGAAGCTCATAGTCAGACCGGGTGGTTGGAGACGTGCGGCAGGACGGTCGCGGCCGATGCTACAAAAGGTGAGCCGGCCGCATGCACGATTTTGGGTTCCGGATCAAGCAAGTCCGGCACTGAACATAGTCTACGATATCGACGTCTCAGGCTACGCTCCTCTCATCCGCGCCTACGTCTCTTTCACCCTGTCTAAACTGCGGTTCCACCGACACCACCCCGAATTCAACGGTCTTTTCGAGTACGAGGAGTATATCAGTTTGAAGAACATCGACGATCCCAACGAAGGGTGAGCCGGCGTCTGGGCTCTCCTATCACCCACATAAAGCTGATGTTTGGGAGATGTTGCAGATACGAGACCATCGGCGACCTCATGACCCTCCAGGATCAAATCGAGACTTTCCAGAAACTCATCTTTGTTCACTTTAGGGGAAGCAATAACAACGAGTGCAAGATCTCGGCCTTGGTACCGCTCGTCAAGGAGAGTTACGGTATCTACCGATTCATCACCAGCATGATGAGGGCTATGCACAGAAGTGAGTCCAAGTACGGCTAGACAGATCGGTAAAGATTCGTCGCTAATCGCGGCGAATGGTAGAGCTCGAGGATGTCGGCATCTTGGACCCGTTGAGGGCTAGGTACAACGCCCAGCACTTCAATCTGAGGAAGTTCTACTACGAGTGTTCCAACCTGAAATACCTGACCGGATTGATCAACGTTCCGAAGCTTGGTCAAGAACCGCCCAATCTCTTGGAGACGGGCGAACCCACCCCTTCTCTCCCTCAACGACCCAAGAATGGAGGATCATCCGCCCCTCCTCCCCGAAACGCTACCCCTGCCAATGGCTCGGGCGAGCCGAGCGCTACAGCGGACGAGATTGAGGAGCAACGCCGGATGCTCGAGCAGTACGAGCGGAAACAGGCTTCACTCGTCGCCCAGCGAGATAGCGAAAAGAAGAGGCAGGAAGAGGAAAAGGCCAGGCAGGAACGAGAGTTTGCGGAACAGCAACGTGCTCAGGTCGAGAGGGAACGTCAGGCGCAAGAACAGTTGATGCGGGATCAGATGGCCATGCAGGCCAACCAGCAGAGTCAACAGCAGTTTGATCAGACGGCTCAGATGGCCCAGCAGATGGAGAGGGAGATGTTGGCCATGCGTGGACAGTACGAGCGAGATCAAATGTTGCTCGAACAGTATGACCGCGTAAGTGACGGCTCCGCTGGCGTCAGGCGATCGGGGTGAGCACGCGCCAGAAACTGACATTCTGCATGCTATACAGCGAGTCAAGGCTCTCGAGGGAGAGTTGGGAATGATTGGGGCCAACGTAGGAGCTCAGATGGGAGCCAAAGATGAGCTCATCATGCAGTTGCAAAACCAGATCGAGGTCTGGAAGAACAAGTACGATGCGCTCGCCAAACTCTACTCTCAACTCCGAGGAGAGCATCTCGACTTGCTCAACAAGACCAAAGGGTTCCAGCTCAAGGCTAGCTCTGCTCAGGAGGCCATCGACAAGATGGAGAGGATGGAGCGGGATGTCAAGGCTAAGAACTTGGAATTGGCGGACATGATCAGGGAGCGTGACAGGGCGAGGTACGATGTTGATCGTCTCAAGTCGGTAAGTGCACAGGGATGTTTGCGAGAAATGGCTACCAGCTAACCGTGTTTGTTCGCCTGCCTCTTGCACAGAGCCACCGAGAGGAAGTCGACAGGATCAAGCGCGATCTGTCGTTCGCCAACGAACGAGCAGAGGATGCTACTCGAAACAAGAGTTCCGAGGTCTCGGGCATGCTTGGCAAGTACAACCGTCAGCTCACGGAACTTGAGGACTCCCTCAGGGTAAGTTCGGTCGTGCGCCAGTTCTGTCGACTCAGCGCATCGCTTGTGGTAGTTGCTAACAGCCGCCGCGGAAACTGTAGAGCAAACAAATGCAAATCGACGATCTGCTCCGCAAACTCGACGCCAAGGAGGGCGAGGTCAGCCGAATGATGGAGGAGAAGGACCAAGAGCTTGCAATCCTGCAAGAGGGTATGGATTCGACTCTTCAGCAGATGAACGAACTTCGACTCGTAAGTATGAGGGCAGATAGTTTCTTAGTCCCCTATCTGGTATTGATATGCTCGTTCAATTTGACAGACCCACGGCGAGAACGACAACGCTTTCACCGCACAGGTTGACACACTGATTCTCGATCAGCAAAAGGAACTTAACGAGATCATCGGTATGCGGCCAGTTCGACGCTATATTATGGTTTCTTTGCTGATTATCTCATCCTTCTACTATTATCAGACTCGATCTTCCAAGCTTGTGTCCAGAAGGTCGATGATGCGATCTACGAGCTCGAGGCACCGATGTCTACGGGAAACACCACTGCAACCCCGGAATACACCCTTTCCATCATCGAAAAGGCAATGACGAACGCTACCGAGTTTGCGTCCATCTTCAACCTCTACGCTACCAAGAAGAAGGGCGGCGGTCAGGTTGATGTTATCAAGGCGTCCAACGAGCTGGCCCAGTCGCTGTCCGAGACGCTCTTGAGCGCCAAGGGAATTACCCGGCTCGCAAGCAATGATGAAGCTGCGGACAAGCTGGTCCGGGTTGCCAAGATGGCTGGTGACGTGGGGATGAGGTTCTTCCTCAACCTGCAATCATATCGCCTGCAGCTGGTCGGGCCATCCCAGAAGGAGGAGATTGCTTTGCGAAGCAATGCAGAATGCCGAGGCTCGCTTACCAAGCTGTCGGAAGCCGTCGAGACGTTAATCCCCAAAGCGACCGCTCAGTCGATCGCAAAGGCCAGCGGCGACATCGGCGATATCGTATCGCAAGAGATGCAGAATGCTTCGAGGGCTATCGAAGCGGCCACCGAGCGATTGCGAGCCATGATGTCCCGGCCGAAGGACAACTCCAAGTATAGCGTCTTGGACGTACAGGTCCACGATGCCATCCTCGAGGCCGCCATGGTCATTACCGGTGCCATCGGTCGCTTGATCCAAGCTGCTACGGTATCGCAGGAGGAGATTGTCGCTCAAGGCAAGGGGTCCAGCAGTACTCAGCAATTCTACAAGCGAAACAACCGATGGACAGAAGGTCTCATCTCGGCGGCCAAGGCCGTCGCCTTTGCCACTAAATTGCTGATCGACAGCGCCGATGGCGTTATCAGCGGGACGCATTCTCTAGAACAACTCATCGTTGCATCGAACGAGGTGTCGGGAGCCACCGCTCAGCTCGTCGCCGCGTCTCGAGTGAAGGCCTCATTGATGTCCAAGACACAACAGAACTTGGAGCTGGCGGCCAAGGCCGTAACAGACGCATGCAAGGGTCTTGTCAAACAGGTCAAAACGATCTCTTCACAACCTACCGAAGACGATTTGGTCGATTACAAGTCTATGGCCACCCACGAATTCAAGGTGCGCGAGATGGAGCAACAGGTGGAGATTCTCAAGTTGGAGAAGGATTTGGGCGCCGCCCGGAGACGACTGGGAGAGATGAGGCGAGCCGGGTAAGTCTCGTTTCGAATGCGCTGCTGTTCGAGCAGTCAAACTGACTTGAGATACTTCTCCTCGTCTGTACAGATATCACGCCGAGGCTGATTAGTAGATATGCTTGCAATGGAAAGTATGATCGTTATCGTTTGTATTGTAAAAGGTGTTCGTGCGGTCATGAAAGAGTCGTGAATGTTTACAATGGAAGCAGTCTTGACGAAATCCTCCGAATCTTGTACAACAACCATCCGCCTCAATCTTCGACAAAGAAGTACAAGAGGAAAAAACTCCAGATTGCCAGGAGTAAAATTGTTCGAATGACCCATCCGCCCAAGATGTAACGCCCCACCTCGATCAAAGATGTGACGATTGCCCATACCCAACGGAAAGCCACCATGACGATCTGTTGGATTAGGTAGGCGATCCAAAGAATAATGCGTTTGATGTAGACTCCGATCCGGAACACAGCGAGAGAGGCATTGACGAGATACCTGAGGAGTTCGTAATACCAATGGTCGATCGATCGCTCAGTAGGCATGCGCATGGATTGCAGGTGAGCGCGCTGGCGCCGAATCTGTGACGGGATCATGTGATGATCAGCCAACGGATTCGTATCTTGCAAAGCGAAGTCAGGGCGGACTAACCTTGCCGTTACCTTCAGCGTCCAGCTTCACTCGCAGCTGCTCGGCTCGAGTTGTCATGAGAGACACCTTGTCCTGCAGATCATCTTGTTGCTGCGCTAGCGCGATCGCCTGCGGTAAAGCCGCATCGAATTGTGTTGAAAGGCTGTTCACGGTTTGCTCGAGCGCTGCTACAGGGTCCGCCGAACGACCGCCTGTGACTGTCACGCTTCTGCGGGAACGAATCTCTTGCAGGCCCGGAAGGACATCCGTCGCTGACTGAATCGATCCGCGTGTCGAAAGAGTGCGACTACCCATCGGTTTCCCAGACTGTGAGGTAGGTTGGGTGGGTACAAAGAAGTCGGCTTTGCCTCTGGCAACAAGTTCACCAGGCATTTCTGGAGCATCCACGTGTAATCCGGCAGCTCGGTTGATATGCACGATCCCTTGTTGAAACACCTCCAGCGTCTGACTGAACGTGATGGGCACAGGTGCCAGATCCACGAACAGTTTGGCCAGCAGAGTATCAGTGTTGCGAATCAGCCTACAGCGAGAAAGGGTGTCAGCGGGCACGGTCCCAGGTCAGAGATCGTAAGCTATCATGCTTACGCTTCGTGCTTGGTATATTCTTCATCGCGCTGGGCATCAGACTCTGGTTTATTGTCCAGCTCTCTGACGAGACTGTTCTCTTCGGCAGTACCCTCGATATGTGACCATCCGAGCTTCTTGTCCATAAAGTCGCCACCACCAGGCGGATCGGTTTGTCCACCCAGCGATTCGGCGATCGGCGCTATACTGCTCTGTCTCGATGACACGGCCGCATCGTGCGCGAGGTCTTCTGCCTGACTAGTGGCTGCGTCGAGGGATCCACGTCCGTTTTGGTACCGATCAGGATGAGCAAGCTTGCGCAGACGACCGTGCCTATTGTGAGAGGATCGGTCACGGTTATGGAGGTCCCGTTCGCTGTCAGACTCGATATCGCTTTCGTGATGAAGGACACGCCGCCTGATGGCATCAATCGGGCTCTTGAGTACGTGCGCGAGTCTTTCACCGTGGTCAGATTCCTTCGAGGTGTTGCTTTGATGTCTAGATAGATGCGTGCTGGCCCACATTCTCCTCGTGACAGACTTGCGCTTGTGCACGCCGTCTTCAGTTTGATCCTGAATAGACAGTCTCTTGATTGGTCAATAAGGCGTTGGCAGAGCGCCCACTTCGATGCCGACTTACATGTTCTAGGGTCTCCGAGTCGAAAGAGACTGTACTGATGTTACCTTGGGAACTTCCATAGCTACCAGGGGACAAGCCTTGTTGTACGGGAAACGCGGATTTGGTCGCCCTCGAGAGAGGCAAGCCATCGCTCTGCGGGTAAGAGGCACTCGCCATAGCCGTTCGCAGTACATCCTGCGCCTTGTCCGTTGCCGGCACAAAGTAGTCTACGTTGCCTCGACAATCGATAAATGCCAGAATCTCGCTGGGCAAGACCAGCCATTCTTTGAACGTAGCTGATTTGCGTAGTGCCATTGCGGCCTGAGGGTCACTCGCTAGGGCGCGGCTCAGGGCAGTTGCCGATCGCAGCGGTGGAGAGATAACTTTGCTCATCTGCTGCAACCTGCTGCCTGCCCTTCCAATAGATTCAGGCATCTGACTTTCCCAGCCATCGCGAGGTATACCGTCGTCCTCGGTACTCTGGACGAGCCTGTGGTGAGACTTGATCTGCTCGTTGACGCTGGCGTCCCAATTTTGTCTGCGCTTCTCCTCGGCCAAAACCTGTTTCCGCCAGCGGATCACGCGAAGGGGGTTCCACCGAAGATACGGCTGCCCGGGTCTTTCTGCAGCATCTTCGAGGGACCGAATCATGAGTCCGTAGTAGGCCTGGAAGTGCGAGCGCGCTTGGTAGGCCAGCGCCTCACAACGCGGATGGGACGGCAACGACAATAGCACACTTTGCACCTTGGCTGTAAGCGGCATGGGACGATTAGCTTGTGGTCGATGATGGGTCAGATTCCGAGCTTTGTTTACCTTCATGCTCGGCAGCGTCTCTCTCGGCTGCTTCCCGAGCCGCAGAGTCTCTTACGGGGTCAATCTTATCCTTGGCCTTTGGATCGCTTCGCCATTTACTGCTGCTGCTACTGCGGCTATGCCGCAGGTGAAAGAGTCCGCTGAGGCGTTTTCTTTTCGTCGATTCTGGTGTGGCGTTGACAGACTTTTCCACAGGCTTGCTTTCCGTCCGTGATTCAGGGGTGATGGGCCGAAACGCTTGAGAAACGGAACCATTGCTATGCGGTTCCGAGCGATTGGAAGCGTCGTCTCGAACAGTACCTTCGTATCCACCGTGTCCAATCGAGCTCGAGACCCGGTCGAGGTCTTCTTCGTCGGAAGAGATCGCTCGTCCGTGGTCCCCTGATTGAGCCGTAGCGGTCCTTGACAAATCCCCGGCTTCGGGACGTACAAAGTCGCGCTCGATCATGGTACCTCTCCGGCTTCGAATTTTGGCCCTGCCGTCGAACAATGCCTTTTCCCGGGAATGGTCTAGCCCGTCGGCCTTGAGAGATTCCTCGATCATGACAGAGACCTTGTTCTTTTTCTGACCCGCTCGGTCGATAAGCTTGTTCTTGGCCTTCACAGCTTCCGTATCGTGCAGTCGATTGTCCTCCCCACCGACATAAGCCGGAGAAGCCGTCACCGAGGGTGGAGCCTTGGCCACGAACACTTCTGGAGGACGACCTTTCGAGGTGCCGATGCGACCACTATTCCCGTTCTTGTAAGGGGTCATCGGTGTAAACCCCGTCGTAAGCGACTTTTCAGCAGCCAAACCTGTTCCCATACCAGGCAAGACAGCTTGACGGCCGCCCGGAATGAGTGTGGTCTGCGATATCAAACGGAGGGCATTGTTTATGTCGACCGACGCTAGCAAGGTCTGCAGCGGATCTGTCAAGAAGAGCCGAGTTGTTCAGCTTCGCGTCAATCTGGAGGGCAGATATGACTACCGCCCGCCTTACCTGCATCATCACCATGACCTGACCGTTCCGTCTCAAAGACCTGTTCGAGCCCGTTCCTATACCGATCTCGGTCCCTCGCCCTTTCCTTGCCCTTTTTCGACCTGACCGCACGTGACCTTTCGTCATCACTAGACTCGTCGCTTGGCTTCGATCGGGTACGCCGTCGCTTGCCTTCACGCTCCGTATCGGATCCAACAAGCCCAGCAAGAGAGCTGTTATCGTCAGAGGTCGAGCGTGCTGTCGAAGTCTCCCTCCGTCTCGACCCTTTGGAAGTAAGCTCGTTCGAAAGACCGTTGAATCGTTCATCGAGATCCTTGGTCCCCGTCTCGACCATGAATTGATGCTGCACCCCGTCTTCCATCGGTGTCGGAGGGAAATGCACCGTAGCACCCCTCCTGCGACCCTGTCTAGCTTCACCATCCTCAACCTCGCGCTGCCTTTCACGTTTCAGATCAGAGATCGTCCTGACCCTCGCCGCACTGCTCCTCTTTCTCGTACCCATCTCTACTCTCCGCGAAGAAGCACCTCTGCCGCCTTCGCGATCGTCCGGTCGAGAGGAAGCCGGGCTCATCAAGCTCTTGGCGCGCCGCCTCGCAGCCACTGCACCTTCATTCAGCCCGCTCGGTCTCGTTCCTCCTGAAAACCCACTCAATCCCGGGGTGATCGGGGTCGCAGTCGGCGTACTACTCCCCGAAGCGCCTTGATCCGTCATCCGTCGTCTCGGGATCGACCTCAAACTGCTCGTCCGCGACCGATTCTGCCTGCCCAAGATGGGCGGAGAGGCCGAACCCGAACTCGCCCAAGCGTCCTGATCGGCATCGTCGACAATGGCCCGCAACCTGGCTCCTGCCTTGGCTATACCAAGGGCTGGACCGATCCCTACGCTTCCGTTGGGCAGAACAGGAGAGTGGGGTGTCGAACCGTGTCTGCTGTTGGACGGGGATCGAGAGGAAGAGGTGGTACGGCGCGTCCGTACGGGAGGACGGGAGGCGAGGTCGACGTCGATCGAAAGATCCAGGGGTGGTCTCCGGGACGGGTCTGTCCGGGGACTCGGGGAGGGCAAGGATGACGTTGTCGGATTCGATGCCATTGTAGGGAACGGTACTCCAGCAGATCCGTGCGAGCTTGGCGACTCGATCGTCCCGCCCTGCGGATGCACATACCCATGACTCAAACCTGAATGATGCCCATTTGCATGCCCATGACCATGGCCGTGCCCAGGTCCATCCGCCAGAGCCCGCCTGACCAATTCTTGTCTCCCCGTCATTCCGATTACCTTGCCCGACCCGGCCGAGATCGTCCTCACATGTCCTCCTGCCCCCGTATTCGTCCCTACCGCTTCTCCAGCACCTATACCGGAACCCGGAACCGACAGGGGAGTTGCCGTCGATGTCGAAGTCGACGCCGACGTTGAGTCGATAGGGGTAACACCATTCCTCAACCCTTGTTTTTCACCTCCTTCCGGTCTCCCTAGACCTCGATCCTGGTCCCGATCTTGCTCCAGCGACCGGTTTGTCAACCTAGAACTAGGTCGGGAATCCGAGACGGGCGAATCGACGAAGTCCCCGTCATGCTGGTGATTATGAGATGTGAGATGATGCGGTTTTGAAGTAGGGGACGCCGACCCGTGCGATCTTGATCGCGATTGCGCTCCTTCGTCTTGGTCATTATACTGTTCCACTTGGATTTTAAGCGGTTCGAGGATCGGTCTGGATTTAGACTTGGGACTGGGTCTCGGTCGCATATGTTCGATCGACGTTCCACCTGCTACCCCTCCTGTACTCTCCGGGCGATTTCCGGCTCCGGTCGAAGGTGAATGCGGACGGCGAGTTCTGTTCCTCTTATTAGATCGGAAGTCTGACAAGGAGGATGACGATGAAGTGGAGAATGATCGTTTCATGGTATCGGGCTTGTCCCGATCCCGCTCCTTCTCATCTTGCTCTTCATCGCTCAATAGTCCCATCTTCTCCTTTCCACCCAGTCCGACAGGTCCGGGAGTAGGAGGCTGCAAGACTGCATCTTTGGGTTCAGATATCTTCTCCGTCCAATCCGTTTGAGGTCCAGCGAGCCGATGGTGTTCTGGAATATCTCGGAGCGAAGGAGGGTTAGGCTCTGCCCAGAGATGGGCCATCCTCGGCGTATGTGGCGATGGGGTCCGTCGGATCAGGCAGGAAGAGCGGTCGTGCTTGGTCGTTCGTCACGAGACATCTTCTTCAACCTTGAGAGAACATTTCAGATCCTGGTTGATATCGACTGCGACTTGATGTTGCTCGTTGTTCGATGATCTATGGCCTTATTTCTCGCATCTAGAGTTCCGGATGCGTACCGTAGCTCGTAGTGAATGTGCGGGGTATACCTCGGCTGCGGCGTGCGACCCTTGGCTCAGACGAGCTCGCGATTCCCGTGAAAAGAGGTCGACAAGACGATCCAAAACGCATCCACTGTCTGACCCTGGATATTGTTGTTCAAGTGGTTGTGTTATCTGTACGACATTCCCCCGACAACCATGCATAAAGTACAAAGCACAAAGTTGACCATATATTCAATCCGTCGCTGGTACTTCGACTGCGTGCGTCACTCGCGGGGGCATGTCACGTGACAAGGGGGAGTCGACCGGAAGCTATTCTTCGAGTCTCGGAAGTAAATTTCCCTCTGATAAAACTCTCGCATCGATTGAGAAGGACAAGTTTGACCAAAACCTCGGGTCGGACTTCGAGTCGAATACATTAAACTTGGATACCCAATCACTCGAACAAGGATGCCCAAAGAATTTCAGAAACGAGGTCGTGGCGGACGTCAGAACAAGAAGAAGGACAAGGACGAGCCTCTGGTAGCGGACGCCGTCGTCGTCGGATCGGTAGGCGATGCGTTCACTTCGAACGCCGATTTCATCAGCTTGGACGATACCCCCACCACCTCGAACACCGCTGGACCTAGCAACGGCCGACCTGCAGGAGCAAACCAAGCCGGGAACGACGGTCAGGCGAATGGTGGGTTCGTACCAGGTCCTACCAAGGCCCAGGTCGAGATCGACCTCGCCGCCCCGTTCGGTTTCGTCGACCCGGACGTCAAGGCGTACTTTCGCAGCGTAGACGAAAAGCTCGTTGAATTCGCCTCTCTCGGCCTGGTCCGATCTTCCAATGGGCAAGACAACGACGAAGACCTCGGTTCAGAGCTGGAAGACCGGACGAATTTCCTCCACTCGGCTCTGAACGAGGTGAGAGGGTTGGAACTCCAGCTGGCGACAGATGGGGACACGGCATTGGTGCTCGAACGTCTCATTCACAGCATGGGGGACTGGGGAAGGCGCGTTCTCATGGACAGCTTCAGTGGGAAATGGAGACCCCTGATCGAACATCGGTTCGGGTCGCACGTCTGTCAGACGTTGATCGGTCTGGCAGGGGAGACGATCGACCGAGAGGCCAAGGGGGTATTTCCGCGTCAACATCGAGAACAGGTCGAAGCCGCCGCCAGTAAGGGCAATGAAGCTACCGGTCAATTGAGGACGGCCACTCAGCTCCTGCAAGACCTCGTCCACGAACTCCTCCCATCTATCCCCCAACTCCTCACCTCCCCCTTTGCTTCCCCACCCATCCGGCTCCTCTTGATCGTGCTGTCTCCGGGCAAGATCATCCCAAGCAGTACCGGTGCCGACGTTCAAGAATCCTCCAGCAGCACACACCACGATGCTGCTAGCAAGGTTCGGAGCAAAAAGTCTCAGCGGTTCCGAGCTGGGCAGACCGAGGGTGGCAAGATGAGATCCATCGTCGATGAAGCCGACGCTGCGTCATCCTCAACACGAACATCAGCGGTGGAAGCGGGGGAGAGGATCGTGCCAGATGCGCTGAGAGAGATGAGGAGGGTGATCAGAAAGGATCTAGAGACGAGACTGAGCGGGGCAGAATGGAGAGCGATGGGTGTGGAGAATGCTGGCGGGCCCGTCATCCAGGTGAGCGCCCGTTTTCCAAGTTAATAAGAGACCGTCGACCGCGAACTGACACTGCGACGGGATGGGTTGCGGTAGATGCTTGTTGAGATCGAGGCCGAGGATGAGGACGCCTTAAGAGAGGGGAGTATCCTGGATCATCTGACGTCCGGTCTTGTAGCAGAACAAGGTGAGCCTAGCGGTGAAATACGTTACGCACTATAGACCCCGTTTCTGACCGATACATGATCTTCTTGATGCCTCTACCACCAACAGTCCAACCCACTCCACCTGAACCTACATCACACGATTTCCTGCCTTCACTCTTGAGAGACACGACCGGCTCTCATCTCTTGCAAACCATCCTCCTTTACGCGCCCGAGGTCATCCTCTCGGCCATCTGGCAGACCTACTTTGTCGGCAAGGTAGGAAAACTCGCCAGTCATCCGATCGGGAACTACGTCGTTTCGAGCGGGATCAAGCGGTTGGAAGGGGAAAAGTTGCAAGCGGTCATGCTCGAGCTGGAAGCTGTGGGAGTGTCGAACCTGATCCGTGAGTCTCGACTCGTGCTAGACTCGCAGAGATATCGAATGCTGACTGATGGCTAACTATCGATATGTGCGAACCAAAAAAGGTACCGCCCGAACGTCAGTGCTAAAGGCTTTGGTCGACCGGACTGCAGAGCTGGGGCAGTTGCAGCTCGAAGTTGTGGCCGTATGTTCACAGCTCCCTCCAATCGGGTCAGGATTTTAACTTATAACCTCCGTTTACGTCACGATACAGTGCATCTGTAAAGCTTTCGAACTGGAGACTTTCCCCGAGAAGAAATTGCTCGTGCCGTGCGCTTTGACATTGAATGTTTTGAAGGTGAGTCCTGGTATTGGCAACAGGCCTTGAAAACGCAACCTGACGCCGAATTCGGATGTAGTCGTACAAGGCGGCGACTTCTGGGGAAGAAGACGCCGACGTAAAAGCGGAAGCCCCTCCTGCAGACGCTGCTCAGAGACACGGGTGGAAGCCGAGGCAGCCAAAGAAGGAGAGGGCACCCATGGAGCCTACAATGCAGGGAGCCATCTTAATACAGGCCATGTTCGGGCTCGACGCTCCGGCCGTCGAGACGATAATCAACAGGTGATTCAAGAGGGACACAGCAGGATTTAGCTTCCACGGAATACTGACTCGAAACTCTTTATCTGCCCTCTTCAGTCTTCTGGGACAGAGCGTCGACGACTTGATCCGAATGGCACATCACGCCATCAGCTCGCACGTCCTCGACGCCTTTCTCATCTCGACCAAGGTCGCCGCCAAGTGGAAACGAAAGCTGCTACTCGCGCTCGACGGGCGGTACCTCGATCTCGTCAACGACAAGTTTGGTAGTCGAGTAGGTGACACGATCTGGGATCGTGCTGCTGATGGTTTCATGAAGGCAAGTAGCACAGTGCTCCGGGCGAGTGCGAGTTAGGGGCGCTAATCTCACAATTCGTATGGCGACACTTGCAGGAAAAGATCGCCAAATCGTTGTTACCGCATGCCATCGCGTTGAGCAATAATCAATACGGTCGATTCTTCTACAAGCGATTGAACCTGCCTCTATACGAAAGCCGACCGAAGGAATGGCGAGAGGTACAGCTCAAGGTAGTACATCACTTTTACGGACCCAAGACAGCGGTGGGTGAGGCTGCCGTGCGAGCAACTCGAACGGAGACGGCCGCTGTGGCCACATCGACAGTGGATGATGCCAAGGTAGAGCAGGCAACATCACCCGTCGTGGCTGAGGATGGCGAAGTCAAACCCGTCAAGAAGGAAAAGAAGAGCAAGAAGCGGGCGCGTGATTCAGAGGATGAGATTGACGATCTCTTTGCGGAAGTGATCAGCGACAAGAAGAAGAAGAAAAAGAAGAAGAGCAAGCAGGTCTGAGAAGGCTCATGATAGGTGGAAGCGATGCGGGGCTGTTTACAGGAGATGTAGAATTGTAGCTATCAGCATATCGGTATATCATGGAGGTCTTCATACTTTGCGGCGTTACGCCTGGTTTCCTTGCTATTTTCAGAGTTTTGAGCACTAAAATCGGGCTACCGATTTGTGGCTCTGGCTCGTGTGGCTCTGGCTCGTGTGGCTCTGGCTCGTGTGGCTCTGGCTCGTGTGGCTCTGGCTCGTGTGGCTCTGGCTCGTGTGGCTCTGGCTCGTGTGGCTCTGGCTCGTGTGGCTCTGGCTCGTGTGGCTCTGGCTCGTGTGGCTCTGGCTCGAACAAAGCGAGGGACGGAATTGCCATGAAAGACCGCCTCCGAAAGTGCCTAAGTGCCAAAACGCTTCATGTGCGAGATGGATGACGATCTCGATAGATACATAGGTCATGGCAAGTCTGATCGACAGCGAAGGCCTGTGATACAGGTTGCATAACCTAACAACATCACCGGCTGGAATCACTGTAGCGAATTTGTTTGGCTGAGATCGGCTACGAGCCTGTGCAGGGACATCGAAACTCTCGGCAAAGTAGCGCAACCTTGAAACGGCGGGGTAGACGATGCCACCTGATTAACGCCGGTGTCCTGCTTGTGTTTGGGCCCCTCAAGAGTCAGCGAGTTGACACCAGTTACCAGTAGCTGAACTAGCCCCATCCTTCCCCTCGGTTTCAGGTGCTTCCTTTGTGACCCCTGTGGGTGTATGTAGAGGTTTGAAGACAAATCATCCGTTGGCCGGGGCTATAAATGCCGAGAGCGAGAAGGGTATTGTAGAGATTGACTACAGACGATCGAGATACTCTCAAACCACCAGTGCTCTCGCGCCTTTCCCATTCCACCTTCCCCTTCGAAGCCTAGCTCAGCCAAACCTTTACGAACCACCAACAAAACCCTTTTCCACGTCACCATGCCCGATATCGCTCAGATCCTCCGTGACACCGTCAGCAAGGGAAACAACAGTACCGACAAGGCTGTCAAGGCCGCCGTCGCACCTGCTACCCCTGTACCGACCCCGGCCACTCCTCAGGAGATCCCCGCTACGAAGCCTTCTGGCATCGAGCGACTTTTCAACGCCATCCCGCACCCGAAGTTCGGAGGCTCGCCTGTCGAAAAGTGCTCTGGATTCGCCGACTACCCTGCAGAGGAGTATCACACTTCCCTCAACAGCGTTGCGTTCATCTTTGCCAAGAACATGCTCGAGAGTTTCGAGCACATCCACGACGAGGAATGGCAGACCTACTTGGCCCGGGTGGAGACGGCGATGAAGGAGATGTACCCTCTCTTGCTTCCCGTCCTCGACGTCTTGTACGAGGCTTCTCGTTGCGCGAGGGAGGAAGTCACCAAAGTGCTAGTCCGAAGCGACCTCGGTATGCTCTATGCATACGAGGACAGCCTGATTGATCACGTCGAAGCCGTGCAGTTCCGCAAGTGGGATGAGAAGGACTTTATCGACGGCGAGGACCTGAACACGCGGTTTGTTCAGCGTACGCTTCGATCGCTTCGAAAGATCGTCGAGCGACGACGAAAAGAGTGCGAAGGGCAGCAGGAGCAGGCCTTGCCGACGATTCAGGAGGACGTACATATGGTTTCGGCCGCTGCCTGAGATCCTGTTTCATGTAGCACGCGCGAGTTGTAGCTTTCAATGGTATGAGAAATACGAAAAAGGACACATGTCAGACCACAGCTTGTGCTTGATCTCGCGCTCCTGTCCCACTACTCTCGGATGCTCAGATGCACTTTCGTCACTCTGTTGTCTGATATCATATCTTTCTCGGGACGACTTGATACACGACTATAGCTGGTCCTTATACAGCGTGGCGAATCGACTCGCTTTGGCTGCCAAGCAGAAGCGCGACCCTCTTTAGCGCAAAGGGTCCAGTTCAGACCTCTCTTGATCACAAAGTTGGGACTGATGTCGACATGTCAGAGGTGATAGATACCGTCATTCTCGAATGCTGCATCATCTCATATAAGAGCTTACACAATTAGTAGAAGATTTGAAGCTGCTATCAAGATGGCGTCCTCGTCGAGATCTGTGACAGTTTGTGAGTGGGAGTCGCGGTGACTTCTTTATGCCCGCAATCGACTGACCCTCATTGATCTTCATGCAGCGTGCTTGACTGCACTACGTGCCCTGAGCATCCGACCGATGGCTCCAGTCGCTCCCAACACGTTGAACACCTTCAGCACCTTGGCCACGTCGACAGCCTCGACATCGGCATCCACTCTGCCTCCTCTTCTGCCTCCGGCATCGGCTGCCGAACGACTATCATCCCTTCCCCAAGACACCCCAGCTGCAGTCTCTCTCATCACCTCGTCATCCACACCATCACACGGACGATATGTCCTCGCACGATTACACTCCCGAACTTATCTCCTCCATCCCAAAGACATCCTCACCGTCCCGCACCTCAAGGGATCTCCGCCGCCGGGAACACTGCTCGGCCTGAATCGAATAATGGAGGTCGGATCGAGAGAGTACATCCTGCGAGCGCCCAAAGCTGTCAAGGACAAGACGCATGCGGGCGCTGGAGGTGCGGCTTTGGAGGGGGAACGACCGGTCTTGCCGAGTGACCTGGTCAGATGCAACTTGACGGTGCTGGAGCATACCAAAAGCCCGTTGGAGAGGAAGCTTCTGAAGAAGAGGAGAAAGGGGTACAAGAAGACCATTCAGCACAAGCAAGGATGGACGCGGTTGAGAGTGGGGGATATCGTATTGGACAAGGAAATCGTCAGTGTATGAGTTTAGTCGGTGAACGACAAGAGTGTCGGTCTCATCTGTGTAAAGACCTGGTTGGCACGGATCTCGTACGTATGGGCGAAAAGTGGACGTCATGTTCATCAAGCGTTCGTAAAAATGTCATGTACACCCTGTCTCTCTCGACCTGGCGTTCAACCTTGCCATGGCTCCACCCATTCAGTGTGTTCCCATACGTTTGCATCGAGACCTGAGGTTTCTGGCCATGGGTGACATCGCACCTTTTCGGGAGGGCTGAGTCGAGCCGACAAATTCGGTCAGCAGACATGTGCCGATCGATGACAGCGAGCCCACTCACGAATTACGCCAGTATGGTTTCAATGGCTGTCTAAACTTGACCGGCGGAACTCCGGCTTTCCAACCCAGTCCCTTGCGACTCTCTTGCATCTTCTTCTCAGTCTCTATTGCGACGTCCCGTTCATAAGCCAGCTGAGGAGGGGAGGGGTTATCGGTTTCTGACATCAGTAACGAGCAAGAACCACGGATAAACACCGCTACACGATGGACCGGGCGCTCACCTGAACGGCGGGTACGACCTGGATCCTCCCGGCACCCTCTTTCCAATAATCCCCGCAGATCAACGTACACTCGCTGGCCGCACACTCTCCCTTGGCCCGATCGCTCCGTCTGAACCTGACCCCTTGCTTCACCAAGGGGGTCGGGTCGAGCACGGCCAGCCCGTTCCAAGCCGAGTAGACGGGGAACGGTTCGAGAGCCTCGAACGCCCGTTTCGATTCCGCCGAAGTGGGGAACAATCGATCAGAAGGCGACCACCACGAGTTGTCGATCGGGTAAAACAGATCTCCGGAATCCACCGTCCTCCCGACCCAGATGTCGTAATAGTAACCGGGTTCACGTTTCCACCAGTCCCAAGCGGTCGTCATCCCGGCTCCGTTGACCTGGTGCCAGTAGAGCACCTCGAGGAAATGTTCCGCCTTGAGGTAGACGTCGTTGAACATGACGACGGCTTTCACGTTGTCCCCGACCTGTCCCTTGCCCCGTTCGTTCCACAGAGGAGCCAATGCCTGATTCCGCAAGTCGGCGAGGAGTTCGATCCGGTTGCCAGCGGAGAAATCGATCTTGGGAGAGTGGGTGACGATATGGATCCTAAATTCTGGTACGTTGAGAGAGATGAGAAAGGGATAGAGGACGTCGTCGAATACGGAGGGGGTGAGGTCGGAGGAAGGACCTTCGAGGAACGAGAACGAGACTCTTGTAGCCCCGAGAGTGTTGACCACGACGAGGATGGCAGCGAGGAGGTCAGGGAGTTGATCCTGAATCTGCCTGGTAATCGTGGTGAACATGTACACCCCTGTCCCCTCTGTCAATAACGAATATCGATCCTGTTGCGCCTGCGTCAAGGCATGATAAGGGTACACCCGTTCTGGGACCACCTGCCCCTTTTCCCCGAAATGCTCTTCCAACCTCCTGTCCAGGTCCTTCAACCTCCCCTCGAGCTTGGGCGACGAAGCAGGCTCGGGAAGTAACGGGAGGTAGTCTTGCGGGGCGAGCTTGTGATGTATCCGTGGGTTCCAGTAGACGAGGAGTAGAAAGAAAAAGACGACGATGGCCGCGATCGAACGGGGTCGATTGCGGGTCGTCGTCAGATACAACGAGTTTGCCAGGCTCGTCAGGCGAAGTCGAATAGACATGTCGAAGCTGCGTGAAGACACACAATCTCTGTCTTGATATGTGTATATGTGTACGTGTCGAGTTTGTTCGAGAAGTCTAGGAGCATACTCATGTCATCCGGGGGGGAGGAGGACGAGGCCGAGGTCGCCCGCCCGCCAAGGATGCGAGCGCGAGCGAGCGAGAAATCCACCGGGCCACCGATCGACCCCAAATTCGTCATGAAGAAGCCAACTGAGAAGAGATAACAACCACTTCTCCTACTGTACACAGCCATAAACATCGCCGCCACCCTTACCACAATGCCATTCGATCCCATAGAAGCAGACAAGAACGATCCCTTAAGTTGGACGAGGGACGAGTTCGAAGTCCCTCTGAGAGCAGAGAGCGGAGGCCAAGGTGAGCACTGGCGGCGGGATAATGATCGAGATCTTGCACCTGACTCGTTTCCAATTGTTGTCGCATTCGATTGTGAATTGCAGGCGAAGGGGACTTGATCTACCTGTGTGGAAACTCGCTCGGCTTGTTACCCAAACGAGGCCGACAGATCGTCAATGAAGAGCTCGACGTATGGAGCAAACGGTGCGTTCCCGTTATCACATAGAATCCTTCAACGACTTTCGATTGCTGACCATATCCATCCGATCTGGGACACTTCGCTATCACTACTCGGTGCATATAGAGCGGTCTATGGTCACTTTGCTCATCCCCATGACCGACCTTGGAAGGATATCGACCAATGCGTACTCCCAGGTCTAGCCCGGCTGGTCGGCAAGTCAACCAACCTTGCCTTTTCCGCGCACGAGCTCGTAACTCATCGCAAATCTTCCCCTTATCATGAATGTTTGCCGCGGTGAAGGAGCCAAAGAGTCCGAAGTCGCTCACACCTCGACGTTGACGTCCAACATACACAGCCTGTTCATCTCGTTCTACCGACCGACGCCGAAACGATGGAAGATTGTCATCGAAAAGGGCGCTTTTCCTTCGGACTGGGTGAGTGCCAGTTCCCTCCTCATTCAATTGTTTCTTCCGGGAAGACTTTGTGCTGATCAAGACTTGTTCGGTATCTCGCAGTATGCCATCCACTCTCATCCAGCACTCCACTCGGCCGTTCTCTCGCCTGAACAGATCGAGAACGCCATCGTCCCCCTCTCTCCGCGTGCGGGTGAGGATCATCTGCGGACAGAAGACGTCGTCAGCAAGCTCGCCGAGATCGGGGACGAGGTCGCCGTCGTCTGGATCGGATGTGTACAGTATTACACGGGACAGTTCTTCGAGGTCGAGCCGATCGCCAGGAAGACGCATGAGATTGTCAGTCTATCAGGCTTCGCCTCGTTGTTGACACGTTGCGAGAACGCTGACAGCAGAACTGTATGGCGAATGGGATCGTACAGGGCGCTTACTTTGGGCTGGACTTGGCACATGCGATCGGGAACGTCCCGGTCAAGCTGAACGACTGGGGGGTCGATTTCGCCGCTTGGTGTACTTACAAGTGGGTGCTTGTGCCGACAGAGGTATGCCATTCCTCCGAGTAACTCTCTACTGATCACAATATGGTTGTGACTGGCAGATACCTGTGTGGAGGACCCGGTTCGGTCGCGGGGTATTACATCAAGGACGGACTGGATGATGGCGGTCGAAGGTGGGTTTCGTCGAGTGTATCCTCCAAAGTGCGAGACGTCGAGCTCATCATGACGACTTCCCGCGCGTCAGACTGGCAGGATGGTGGGGCCACAACCGACAGACCCGGTTCCACATGTCGCCCGAGTTCGATCCCATTCCCGGTGCGGGCGGTTACCAACACTCGAACCCGCCCGTATTCTCCTCTTTGCCGTTGATAGCCACCTTGGAGATCATCGACAAGGCCGGTGGGATCGACGTCTTGAGGGAAAAGAGCGAACGGTTGACGGGATACTTTTGGGACCTGTTGACGAGTTCAAAGTGGTACCGCGGCATCGCCTCTCCCGATCCGCAAGAACGACACGAGCAGCAAGTCGCTCAAGCCACCTCGTCCGGACTGCCGGTGGACGAGCGATCCAAGGGGTTCAAGATCTTGACCCCTTCGGATCCGGCGCAGAGGGGGTGTCAGCTCTCGCTCCTCGTCTTGCCCCAAGGGTCGGGCAACATGGACAAGGTCTTCCAGGCCATGGTGGAGAGGGGGGTGGTAGGGGACGAGAGGCGACCGGACGTGATGCGTTTGAGCGCGGTACCGTTGTACAACCGGTTCGTCGATGTCAAGCGGGCGGCCGAGGAGCTGGAACGCGCGTTCGAGGGGTTGTAATGTGTAGCCCGCTTTGCACTTTGAGGTTTCGTGCGGTTGTAAATCACTCATATATCGTTTGACAAGGGCGTAGCCACGGGACTTTGAGGGTAGGTTTCACATGGCGTCCGACGACGAGAGCCCGGTGAAACAAGATCGGTCGATGTTTTTCGGGTATAAGATGAGTTCCCGGCCCGCTTGAAATTGCTGTGTCGTTGTTTTGATCGCCCTTGATGAACCCCCAAATCCCCTGCGCTAGACCGCCGCGCAAAGACCCCACCACGGGAAGGGCACGAGAATATAGAATAGGGGTAGTAGAGGTCGAGAACCTGGTGAATGGCATCTAATTTACGCTTTTGCGCTTCCAGGTCTTTGAGATGGACTGTTCTGTTCGTCGATGTCTACATCTGATGGAATTGAGGAGATTCAAGTGTGATCATCCGGAGCCGGGGGTCGGGACGCCACGCATCGCATTTATTCCATGCGGGATGGCGTCCATGCCGAGCGAGAAGGGCGTTGGTGAATCACGAGGGGGCGGCCGTAATTGCTGTGCTTGCGCGGGGGGGAAAGGGGAAGGGTAAGCAGGGGAGATTTCTTTGTTGTCGAATCAAATCTTGATCGAAAACACACCACACTCTCAAGGTCATGCTCATTCCACCACCAGCCACCAGCTACACCCCGCCGATACCTCCTCTCTTCATACCATCAAGAACGACTCACACAGATCATAACTCACCGGATCCCACGATCACCCACATAGACCGTCCTTTGTGCGAGTTTCGATAACCGCCGCCGCACACGTTCACGAACCGCTCGACCTAGCTACACTCCGATCAAGACCACGATCAAAACGACACAAAACACAAGACAATATACCTCACGCACACACGCTACCGTCTTTCCACACAACGGAAACCTCATTCGCTCAATCTCCTCTACAAGATCTATACGCAAGATGCTCTCTCTAGCGACCCTCGGATCCCTGGCGGTCTGTTCCCTCGCAGGCCTGGCACAGGCGTACGACAACGATGCTATGCGTAGCAAGGCCGTCTATCAGGTCAGTCTCTGTCCGTGCCTCGTGACAAACTCGGAGCGACCGAGACGGCGAATTGATATGGGTTCATCTGTGTCGACACTACTGTATAGGTCTTGACGGATAGGTTCGCAACCAGCGACGGGTCCACGACCCAGCCTTGTGATGTCTCTGCCATGTGAGTGGACCCCATGCCGCGTCGATTCGTACGGTCTGGCTCATCTTCATGACTGACTCTCCAAATCTCGTCTCTCGCAGGAGTTACTGTGGAGGCACCTACAAGGGACTCGCCGGCAAGCTGGATTACATCAAGGGCATGGGATTCGACGTCGTGAGTCTCCGAACGAGTCCGCCGCCACCTTTTCGTCGCGGAGACAGAGCTTAATCGACTTTGACCTTCGAATCGCTTCTCGGCCATCGTAGATCTGGATCTCGCCCATTGTCTCGGTGAGTGGCCTACCCCTATTTCTCTCGACCTTGGATCTCGTTCAGTATCAGGAGCTGATAGGAAGACCGAAATTGCCCTCTTTGCTAGAACATCGGAGGGAACACATCTCTTGGGGAATCGTATCACGGTTACTGGACCCAGGTGAGTCGCCCTGTCGGCGTCGTCGAGCAGGATGCTCCGAATCCACGTGAGAGTCTCACGCACAGCGCTGATACTTGGCGATATGGTTGACCCTTTTCGCAGGACATCTACAGCCTCAATGAAGCGTTCGGAAGCGAAGCCGATCTGAAGGACCTGATCAGTCAGGCCAAAGCCAAGGATATGGGGATCATGGTCGACGTCGTCAGTACAGACCATACTCGAGGAGAAACAGATTCCTGAGGACACGTTGGCTGATTAGTAATGCCTCGCCCTGCAACCAGGTCGTCAACCACGTCGCGGCGACGGCCTCGGGCAACTTTATCCCGAACGATTCCTACGGTCCTTTCAACAGCACCGCGCAGTACCATCCCTTCTGCTGGGTCGATGGTGAGTCGGACAAGATTGCGTTCTCGACGTGTCGCGTGAATCTTCTCGTCTGACATTCGCAACGCCCCTCGACTCTAGACTACAACAACCAAACGAACGTAGAGCAGTGTTCCCTCGGCAACACTGACGTTACGCTCCAGGATCTCGACACGGAGGATCCCAATGTCGTTCAGATTTTCAACTCGTGGATCAAGGGTCTGATCGCCGATTACGGGTTCGAGGCCATCAGGATCGACACCGTCAAGCACGTTCGAAAGGTGAGCTTCGGATCCGCGATTAGGACGATGACGTCCGTGAGCCGTGAGACTAATAGCGTCTTCGCTTCTTCAGGACTTCTGGCCCGCTTTCGTCGACGCTGCCGGGGTCTACGCCGTCGGCGAGGTCCTCGATGGCTACCCTCCCTACGTCGCCGCGTACCAAAAGCAGTCCATGGACAGCGTGTTCAACTATCCCGTCTACTTTCCCCTCAAGGCCGCCTTCAACTCGACGAGCGGAAACATGAGCGCGTTGTCAGAAATGGTCACTACGCTCACCACGACGTTTGACGACACGACCATGTTGGGAAACTTTTTGGACAACCACGACAATTCCCGGTTCGAAGCCACCGTGAACGACAAAATGTTGATCATGAACGCGGCTACGTTCCCCTTTGTCAGCGATGGAATCCCCTACGTCTACTACGGACAAGAGCAGGTGAGTCGCCCGAGTGTCGGTCGTGTGCCTCGGGTCTCAGCGCTGAGCATGCGTCACTGTGGACAGGGCTTTACCGGTGGCGAGATTGATTACGAAAACAGGGAGGCCATGTGGCTCAGCAACTTTAACACGGAGACCGACATGTACAAGCATTTCGGCAAGCTCAACACGGCTCGATCGGTCATGGGCCAGGCTCAACCTTCATTCTACACCACCAAAGCTTCGATCGCCGACTCGACCGACAGCGAGATTGCTATCTCCAAGCCTCCCATGCTCTCGGTTCTGTCCAACCGGGGTGCCGGGTCGGGTAGCAACACGATGAAGCTGAACAATCTCGCTTACGACGCCAACACGCAGCTGTTGGACGTCATCGGTTGCAAGACTTACAGCACCAACGGCGACAAGTCGCTCGATGTCACCGTCCAGGACGGCGCGCCTCAGGTCTTTGTGCCGGCCTCGCTCAACCAGGACAACAAGATTTGCTCGAGCACGGCGACTGGATCCAGCAGTGGAGGAGACAGCAAGAGCGCCGGATTCGTCGATGCCAAGATCCCGGTGGTCGCTGGTGCGATGACCGTCCTCGCCGGACTATTCTTGACCATGTTCTAGAGCCGGTCTGAAACGAGATGGACCTTTTGACGAGCCTGAAAATAATGACCACCAAAGTAGAATAGAGAACCTCATATACACACCCTCGTTTGACGAATAGCTACTTGACCCCTCATGGACGATTGAAACGATATAGAAAGCAGATGTGCCGGTCGGCTGATTGAACTTGTCGAGCTTGGGATGATCCGTCGGAAGGGGACCCGAGAAGGGCAATCCCCCACGCGGCGGGGCCCGTACGTGGTGACGTATTTCGCTCAAACGACCTCGACCTCGAGATTCAACTCTAACGCTCAACAGAGTACGACAAGGCTGCTACGACACTGCAGTAGCTGCAGGAATCATTCGAACGATCTCGTGGACCATCAGCTATGTCTCCGCCTACTACGCTGACGACCGAAGACAAGAGTCGAGTGAAAAAGTGTTTGAGCGGCAGCAACAAGATTATCGATGCGACCGTAGCCAGGGTCTATCAAGCACACGATGGAGAGTCTTCGTGAGTGCCCGGATTCGATGTAGTGGTGTATGTAGTGTTTCTGGGTGACCGTTGACCATCGTTGCCATACAGATGGGCGTATACTGGTATCCAGGGAGCCCTCACGTTCTGTCAAGACAAGGTGAAAGGGGGTCTTTGGTTCAGGGTGGTCGATCTCATCGTGGGTAGTCTCGGTCTTGGAAGAAAGGCCGGTCGGGTGACTACCAGGCTAACGTTATCTCGTACAGAGTACAAGAGGTGTAGTATGGGAGCATGAACTGCCGCTCGAGATCGAGTATAACCAGGATCGAGGGTTCTTCCACTCGTTCGGCGGAGACGTAGGGCACAGCACAGTTCCTCTCAGCCGAGATTCGTCCCTGCTGATCTCCTTCATGACTTCCCAGAACTCACAAGTCGCCTTTGTCTTCGCTTCAGAGGTCGAAGCGAACGATTTCTACAAGAAGGTCAGCAAGCGAGGGAAATACCTGAGGGGTGAGTTTAGGTCTTGTCGATTAGCGTCTAACATCCGACTGATTTCAATATGATCGTTTGTAGCTGCTGCGAAACCGGCAGAAAAGGCAGCAGCTGCTAAATCTCCCGAGAAGAAGAAGAGGAGCAGGTTCAACAACCTGTTCAAGATTGACAAATCGGCCATTTCCGCACCGGTTCGTCGGCAAGCGAGGCACACAGAAGAAAAGAAAACGGAACTGATCTTGCTTTCTCGCCGGTACTGCAGAAAAGCGAATCGTTCCAGCATGTCGCTCATATGGGATATGATAATGAAAAGGGCTTCACGTCGGTTGGCGTCGACCCTAGTTGGCAAAACTTGTTGGACCAATTGGGCATGCAGGGTGTCAGGTAGGTCTCTGCGGTCAAGATGCCTGGCTTTTGGTGATTGATAATGTCTCCCACACAGCGCTGAACAGATCCAGGAGAACGAGCAGTTCATCAAGGACTTTGTTGCGCAACAAGGTGGTATAGAAAAGGTAGGGTTTGCTCTCTTCTGCGCGCTGCAAGTTCTTCACTTACCGTTTGACCTTGATTCAGGCCGCCGTAAAGAAACCGGCAGCTCCGACAACCAAGAGAAAGGCCCCACCCCCACCTCCTGCATCCCGTAGTGCGGCTAGACAAGACGTCTACGACGATGCACCTCCCCCTCCCCCGCCTCCTCCACCACCACCTGGCCTTCCTGGTCGATCGGCTCCTTCTCGTAACTCTGTGCCCCCGCCGCCGCCGGCTCCGCCTCTTCCTCCTGGTAGAGGGGCTATGCCACCTCCGCCGCCACCTATGCCAGGTCGTGGGTCTGCAGCGCCACCTCCCCCGCCTCCTCCACCTCCACCTCCTATGGGCGGTGGTATGGGTGCACCTCCAGCTCCACCGCCACCCCCACCTCCATCAGGTGGCAGAGCACCGCTTGCTCCGCCTGTGCCAGCCGCTGGGGGTGACGGTAGGTCAGCCCTACTGGCGAGTATCCAGGGCAAAGGTGTTCACGTCCTCAAAAAGGTGAGTTTTCCCCCACGCGATCTTGAAGATAGAGTCAATCGCTAAGACAGCCCGGCGATTCGTAGACTGGAGGACCCGACTCGCCAGCTCCGCAGGCCAGTAGCAGTCGAGCAGGTGCGGGTGCGGCGGCTGCAGTGGGTGGAGCAGCAGTCGGAGGTGCTGCCGGAGCTGCAATGGCTTCGGATGACGGTAAGCCTGTGTTCCTCATGGTCGCGCCGCAAAGTCAATAGCTGACTCGAAGCGCATCTGTCTCGCAGGTCCAGATCTTGCTTCCTCGCTCGCGGCTGCTTTAGCACAGCGCAAGGGAGACATGGGAGACAGCGATGAAGAGGAAAGCGACGACGAGTGGGATTAGGACGTTCATGACATAAGGTGCTTCCACAACGAAGTTGTAGTCTGGTCGTTATTTGATAATACAGTGTGCAATGTTCAGCAACCCTCAATCGCTCTTATGCAGATGCTGTAGCACGGCCTCGCCTAAGGTGCTGGATCGTGCAATCGCTGCTCCAAACGTGTTCCCTACGGATGCTTTCAAAGCATCCTCATCGATGTCAACGGCGATATCATCAGGCTCAGACTTGGATTGAAGTCTAGTCAGGGCATCCTGCAGAGATGACATGTCAGCATGGATGCCTTTGATCTTTCGTCGCCCCGAAGATACCCACGACTGCAGTGGAAATCACTCCCTCTCGTTCAGTTTCAGCCAACTTGTCCACCTCTCCTCCTAGGATGCGAAGCCGCTCCCCGCCATTGCCCAGCAATGCATGTATCACCGTCTGCTTGCCCATCGCGCCGAGCCCGAGCAAGGCTCCTTCGTAACGCCCAGCCGCAGAAATCATCTCTTGCTTGCCAAGCAGGCCGGTTGGAACAGGCGCTTTGATACTGGCTGGAGAAGCCAAAGCTCGAGTCAATGTGCGAGCGACACCTGCGACGTTGATCGTCAGTGTGGCCGTCAGTGTCTGGATCGCATATCGTGCCGACTTGTCTCGACTCACGGGGCATGAGCGTCTCGTAATCCGCGGAAAATGAGGAGATGAGCGAACCAAGCAGTTCAGCTGCTTTTGTGCGGACGGATTTAGCGGTAACTTTTTCTTTGGTGGCGCTGTTGCTTCGACCGAGTGGAATGGAGAGCAAGATGGAGAGTATCGGGGGCAGGAGTTGATGCAGCTGTAGAAGCGATTTCTCGCGAAGATCAGTTTGATGCTCATAATTGGTGTGTGACGACCTGGACTAGACTCACATATGGTTCGATGAACAACGCCGGATTCTTGACCAGAGCGACGAGCGCATCCACCAAATACCCTAATTCTACCGTAGATCGACCTTCCTTTCCTGCCGAGACGCTCGAGCTGATGTTCTCGCTCAGCCATCGGACCAGGTAGGGAACCAGGTCCGACAACGAAGGGTCCAGGGACAAGGTTGCGAGCGATGCGCTGCGGATCCTCTCTGATTCCGATAACGTGACTTGATTCTGGCTTCCAGCAGCTGAGGGTCGTGAAGGTCCAGCGGATGGTGGAGGGATTTCCGTGCTCGGCGTTGACGGGATAGCGGATACCGTGGCGAGCGCTGGGTCTGGTACCAGGCCTTCTGTAAGTCGACGGAAGAGCAATTGAAATTCTTGAGAGAGATGCGATCTGGCCAACGACTCGACTCCCGTAGCTGTTGGTCGCGCGGCGGACGATTGCTTGGATGCGGCCTGAGCCGCGACGGACGAGTTGTCTGCGAGGCGAGTGAAATGAGTACGATGACCATACATTCGAAGCTGTTCCGGCGTCAAACTTACTGATCTGAGAGATAGGGTTCTCCTTGGTCAACGGCTGTATCCCCTCCACCGCCAGCCAATGGGCCTTCCACCTCACACCCGCCTCTCCTCCTACGGTCGCTCTCGCCGGTGTCGTATGTGCGTTTTTGAGAAAGGTAGCTAGGTCGATCTCTTCGTCTTTCAGGTAATACAGTTGAGGATTTGAAGCGGTGATTGCGGTCTCGGGAGGATAGACTGGCTGGAAAGCCGGCTTGTAGAGCGGTTTGGGAGGATGGAGGATGGGCTATCATACAGTCATACATGATGATCAGATGTCGGCGACTCGTTTGTAGTCCCTCTCGACACTCACCTGCACGTTCAGAGCTTGCAACGCATAGTCGATATCCTCTGGCATCATAGTCGTCCTCTTTGCATGACGCATAAACTTGTGGGCTTCTTGGATGATCAGGTTGAGCCTATACTCGACGTCCCCAGCGATAGCCTGGCATGTCTCTTCCGATATCTTGTCTATGGCCAGAGATTCCGCTGCGTCCTGTCTCGTCGCACGGAGAAGTTCAGCCCCTAGATGCTTGACAAGAGAGCGCTCGAGCAAGACTGACCCTGACAGACGTCGTTGGAAAGATCCCGACAGCCGGCTGATACGATCCCGACATCGTTGTAAATGTTGCTGTCTGACCCTACTCAGCACGAGAGGATGGGTGATGTGTTTACTTGTGGGTTGTTGCGTTGGCGAAGCAGAGAACCGGATCGACTTGTCGAATCTCTGCGAAGGTCAGGGTCTACTTCATGTGCCGAGGTCGGCCTCGACCGCCGGGGAAGGGAGGGAGGAGGAGGGAGGCGACGCGCTTCCTAGTCAGAGGCAGATGATGATGCTGCTGGCCTACTACTGTATCATAGCTATGACGCTCAGGACACCCACTGACATTACAGACATTATTATTATTGACTGCACAAGACATATACATGGCTAGATTACGATACATCGACCTCGTACTGGGGAATTATGGCGATGGGAGACAAGTTCTGCGATTCGCAACGTCCAATCCGAGACGATTCCATCGAAAGATGTAGACGTTTAAAGTCTCTCGATTTAGACGTCAACCAACACACTCGGTCCACCGACTTCCTCGACAGGAGGCATGCCTTCATAACGTAGGAAAGGCGACGTGCAACAGTCTTATGCCCGCAAAGGCGGCTGTCAGGCAATCTCATCAATACCGGTTCGGCCTATCGATACATGAGCATTCTTATCAATGCGTGGCTGCCAGAGCCTCTCAAGGACCCTCTTTAGTCCCTACGGTCGTTCCAGATCAAACTCTTCTCCAAACTAACCACCGCCTTGTGCTTGGACTCCTTTGCGCTCTGCAACGTAGAGCCTACCAGGATCTCAAACTCTCCCTTTTCGGCGACCCACCAGTCCCGCCTCTCGTCAAAGAACTTCAAGGCGTGCTTGTCGAGCTTGACAGATGCGGTCTTGGTCTGACCAGGCTCGAGGCTGAGCTTGCTGTAGCCCTTCAACTCGAGCGCGGGTCGGACCGAGGAAGAGACCAAGTCCTTGACGTACACCTGGACGACTTCCTTGCCGGCCAGGTCACCCGTGTTCTTGACGTCGATTGTAACCTCGAACTCGCCTTCGGAAGAGATGGGCGAGACTTTGAGGTTCGAGTGCTCGAAGGTGGTGTACGACAATCCATGGCCAAAGGAAAAGGCGACGGGAACGTCGAACGACTCGTAGTATCGGTATCCAACCTGTGTGACACGATTCTGTTAGCGCGGATTCGGTCACCCCAAAATCGCCCCGCCTGGATACATACGTGAACACCTTCGTTATAAATGACTCGTCCGGGGTTGGCAGTCTGGTTTCCAAAGCCGAGCGTGGCGGGAACGTCGATGAGTCGTTTGCTATATCGAGAACCAAGTCAGCGCGTAGTCCGGAGCAAATCATTGCCTGTCCCAGCGACTTACGGGAATGTCACTGGCAAACGTCCAGACGGGTTGACCTTGCCGAACAAGACATCGGCAATACCGTTGCCGACTTCGTTACCACCGTGAAAGGACTGAACGAGAGTGTGCGCTTGATCGAGCCAAGGCATAGCGACGGGCATGCCGGTCTGGGTAACCACTATCGTGTTCGGGTTGGCGGCGAGGACGGCTTTCACCAAGTCGTCTTGCGCTCCCGGAAGGCTATGTACGGTAGAGGCCTGGTCAGAAACAAAATACGTATACGTGCTCACGATTCGATTCGCACTCACTCCAAAGTCTTTCGGTCGAATCCTTCGGTCTCGAACTCTCCCGTAACCCCCACGATGACGATCGCGAGATCACTAGCAGAGGCCAACTTGGCAGAAGCGCGAATCATGTCTTGCGGGTCGACGATCTTCTGGGCGCCAAGTTGGACTCCAAAGGGCAATTGCATGAAACCTAGACCGTACTTGAATTTGCCTCGCACTTCGATGGGGTAGGCCTGGCCCTTTACGAGGTCCTTGACCACGACCCGCCTCTCTTCGGATCCCATGGTGAAGAAGAGTTCACCCTGTTTGTAGTTTTCGTTGTTCTCGATGAGCAATTTGCCGTCAAAGTAAAGGTTGGCGTTCCCGCAGGTAGCCATGCCGATGTCCCAGTCGCCGGACTCGTCGGGGACGAAGGTAGTCGTGTACTAGGTCATGAGATCACCAAGTGAGCAAGACGGCCTCACGTACCGTGAACAAATTACAGGAACACTCACGCGGTGACATTGATCGGCGACAGCCATCTGCATGAAATCGCCATCGAGAAGCATGAGGAAGGAATCGTCTTGTCCAGACGTGTGATCGGGTGCCGAAGATGGAGCTACATTGGCAGCATCGCTGAGCCAATCATCTCCAGGGCTGTTGGGAGGCAGCCAAAACTCCAAGGTCGCCCGCTGGCCACCTGCTTCTTTCGGTTGGAAGTACTTCTTGGCGGGGGGAAGATGCAAGTGAACGCCCGCACCGAGGTTGTACTCGACCTCGGCTCCGATCTCCTTGGCAGCCTGAGTGATGGCGTCCAAGGGACTGACGACGTAGGCCGACTTCACCGTGGCGGAGCCACCACCAGTCGCCACCGGCTGAGAGGCGTTTTGGCCAAACACGGCGATCTTCTTCGGGCCTTGCTGGATGGGCAGCAGGTTGTTCTCGTTCTTTAGGAGGACCTGGGCCTCGCCGGCAGCCCGGCGCATGAACGCCTTGACGTCATCGCCGTCGACAGAGGTCTCGCCAGTCTCGAATGATCGGCCAGATTCGACGGCGAATTTCGCGAGCTTGAGGACCTGTGGGGAGAAGAGCCCTTTAGCGTGTGACCTTGCCTAGGACAAGCGTTGCGTCTGGCACTCACGCTCTTGACGCATAGGTCCAGGTCGTACTCTGCCAACTTGCCAGCGCTCATCTGGCGACGGATCTGATCGCCTCGAAACACACCCGGGCCAGGCATCTCTAGGTCCATTCCAGCCTTGATGCTGATGTCGGTACTATAGACGCCAGTCCTAGTGAGGTTCGCGCGTAGACGATACGCTTCGTTAGCGATTTGCTGGGCCTCGCGTTCCCGATCCGGGCCTACCAGTCGCTCATCACACAGCCGTCGAAGCCCCACTCTTCCCTGAGCACTTGAGTCAAGAGCCAGTGATTTTCCGAGACGTGGAGCCCGTTTAGACGGTTATATCCCGTCATGTAGGCTCGAGGGTTCCCAATCTTTTGCATGATTCGGAAGGGCTCGAGGTAGATTTCGCGGACGGCGCGCATCGGGACGATACCTGAAACCCACGTTCAGAGTTAATGGCAGGTGACGGACCAGGCGATTCGACCAAACACTTACTGTCACTCGACTGCCTCTCAAACTCCTGGTCGTTACAGACAAAGTGCTTGGGAGTAGCCGCGGCTCCATTGGCTTGCATACCCTTCACGTATGCCCCCGCGACTTGTCCGCACAATACTGGATCTTCGGAGAACGCCTCGAAACCCCTACCTCCCAAAGGAGATCGCTGCATGTTGAGTGTAGGACCCAAGACGACGTGCACATTCTTGGCCTTGGCTTCGTCCGCGAGATAGTGTCCTATTTCGGCTGCGTGTTTGTCGTCCCAGGCCGAGGCGATACCCAGCGCGCAAGGGTAAGCGTTGGAGGGAGTACCGTTCGTGAACCTGCGAACGAGAGCAGAGGATGAGCTGAAATCGTCCGATGTGGATAAACTGCTCACAACTCACAAAGTCCCTCGCACCCCGTTCGGTCCGTCAGAGAGACGGACTGAGGGCACTCCCTTGGCGGGGAATCCCGCCGTATGCCACATGTCAGCGCCAGCGAGCAAGGCGATCTTCTCCGACTATTGAAGATGGCAGAGGCAATCGATTCATGAGGACATGGACAAGATCTTGAAGACTAGGGAGCACTACATACCACGTTCAACTTTTCAAGGACCGCATCGACATCAAAAGTCTTTCCCTGCTTCTTCGCGTTGCCGTTCAAGAGTTCGGTAGAGATGGTCATATTTAGAGTGTAGATTCGGCCACGGCGATGAGGTTCGGTTTGCCAAAGGAAGTCAACTGTTCACGACAGATCAATGGACCTCTGTCATTTGACGACACCTTATATCCCAATCTGGTTGCGAGCGAGACGGGATACAATGCTGGATAAAGATCAGTAATGATCAGTCATGTTGTCCGAAGCCCTCGGGGACCGTCGAACCAATCTCCGTAGGCTTCGGTGTTCATCCCAGCGATGACCGCGCCAAGCGCGGGGCGACATCAGGTCGGAGCCTTCGAAGCTGTGTCCAAATGCTGATACAACACGGGGTTTCAAGTGAGGACAACATCTGAATCTCCGATCAAGTTTCGCAGACGCTATTACGAATTGGCAGCTCGGTCCAGCGGTCGAGCAATCACTCAGACGGTGTGAGACCGCCCGTCTGTCGCCCGCGCGACCTCCGCCCGGCCCGATCGCACTGACGGGCAGATTTGGTCCCACGTGAACTACCGAAACCTTAACGGGGTCCTGCAATCGATGGATTGCGCGTGATCGACAGCGGGTCTCCAACCCCGGACAGCCGGTGCCCCAAGAGCAACACGGACGTTGACGGATGTTGCGTTTGACATGGGAGAAATGGTGCATCCAGGACGAGTACATAGATGAAGGCAAGAGACTCGCCAAAGTTGGAACGACACTCGAGAGAAGAGGTCATTTGCAACATCAGTCCAGCAGACACTTCAGAAGCGCTTCAGTAACTGGTAATCTCAACATGGCTCCTGTAGCTGCCGTCAGCAGCGGAACTCACATGGATGTATCCAAGATTCCTAACAATGCCCACCCCAAGTGGTGGAAAGATCCCGGTATGCGCAAGTTGGCGGGCGCTATGGCTATGGGGTGAGCGAGCAGACGAGTGTACATGCGCTGTGGCGGGCGAATCTTGTCTGACAAGCGTGCTGGTTCACCTTGCGTTAGATACTGCGCGACTATAAATTCAGGTTACGACGGCTCGCTCGTCGGAGGCTTGTTCGCGCTCCCTCGTTTCCTCGCCATGTTGGCTGAGGACCGGGATGGACCGCTCGAGTCCAGCATCATCGGTCTTGTTGGAGCTTCGCTCTTGCTTGGTACCTTTGGATCATTTCTCATCGGTCCTCTCATTGCCGATAGGTCAGTGCAGGTGGCGGGACTGACAAGCAACGTGAAGCCTTGCGCTAAAGGCATCTCAACGATCGTTTTAGATACGGCCGTCGTGTTCCTATTCTGATCGGGGGTACCATCGTAATCGCCGGCGCGTTCATGCAGACTTTTGTCAGGGGTTCCGCCAAGTTCATTGGAGGCCGTGTCGTCATGGGGTTCGGATCAGGTCTGCAACAGGTATCCGGGTAAGCATACATTCCCGAAAAAGCACATCACCATACGGACAACAGCTCATTGATGACTTCGGCTGAACAGTACCACCTATGTCACCGAGGTCGCCCATCCGCGTTTCCGAGCGCAAGCCACCAGTCTCGCCACCACGACGTACGTGGACTGCTCGACGCTTCAGACGAGCCTGCAGCCTGATGACCTCTACCACCTGACAACAGCTACTTTGTCGGTTCCATCATCGCCGCTTGGGTGAGCTATTCACAGATATCCAAAGAAGCGAGATCTACAAACTCACCGCATGTTTTGTCGACTTTTCCGCGTCGTTCAGTTCACCTTTGGTACTCTGAACATCAACGGCGACTGGTCGTTCAAGCTTCCCGTCCTCATGCAAGCTGTTCCATGCTCGGTTCAAATCATCCTGCTGTTGATCTTTTGTCACGATGATTCGCCGAGGTGGCTTGTGTCGAGAGGCAGGCATGAAGATGCTGTGCGAGTGCTCGCCAAATTCCATGCCAACGGCAAAGAGGATGACGAGTTGGTTCAGTACGTTTCCGCGTTTGATCGTTGTGCATCGCCTGGCATCTCGGCTGAACAAGTTTTGTGACAGGTACGAGTTCCTGGAGATGAAGATGGCCATCGAAGCAGAAGCGGCCGCAACTGCGGGGACATCTTACCTGTCCTTCTTCCGGACCCCGGGAAACAGAAAGGTGATAGTTATCGTGCCTTAATTCGAAGCTCCGCTCTGACTGTGTTATCAATGGCCTATACAGCGTCTCTACCTGCTGTTATGTATCGGTTTCTCTTCGCAGTGGGTGGGAAACGGAGTTATCTCGTTCGTATCTCGATCGGTGGCGTATTCCGATTGGTGGATGATCCCCCAGGCTGACGACGTAGATCGGGTTCGTTAGCTATTACCTCCCTCAGATTTTGAGCACTATCGGTATCACCACGGCTTCAGCGCAGACCGGCGTAAATGGCGGATTGTGAGTGGTCAATCATAACAATATCGTTGTCTGGAAGCTTACGAAGCGTGGGTACGATAGGTCTATCTGGTCCTGGTTTGCCGGTGAGTCGAGAGGCAGCGAAAAATGTTCGTTTGAAGCGAAGGGATATGTGTCTGACGAAAACGAACCGCCACACAGCGATCTTTGGTGCAATGATGTCCGAGAGATTGGGTCGTCGGACACTCTGGCTCGCATCCTCTTGCGGATGCCTCGCCTGTTACGTTCTCATCACCACTTGCTCGGCCTTGTTTGCTGAGAAAGGGGCCAATGCTGCGGGAAGGGCCACAATCGCGTTCATCTACATGGTGAGCGGAGATCGTCGGAACCTTTCGTATCATGCCAAGGGTCGTATAGGCTGATCACAAGTGCGACTCGTCCCTGCATGCTGTAGTTCAACGGATTCTACGCCATCGGGTTCACCGCCATCGGAAACGGTTTGTACCCGCTCGAGATTCTGCCTTACGGTTTGCGAACCAAAGGTTTCGCTATTACCGGAGGTACCAGTCTTGCCGCTGCGTTTTTCAACATTTACGTTAATCCGATCGCCTTGGAAGCGATGTGAGTGGTCAACGTCGTTTGCAGTACTTGGACGGCTTTATTTAACAGGTTTTTTTCCTCGCCTACATACAGTGCGTGGAAGTACTACTTTGTTTTCATTGTCGTGCTCGTGGCTACCATTGCCAACATCTGGTTCTTCTACCCGGAGACGGCCGGGAGATCCCTCGAGACGATCCAGGTGCGCATACTTATTACGAAACAAAGAACGGGAAAGCTGACGAGTGTTCCGCGATCTCATTCTACAGGAATTGTTCGACGGTCCCGGAGCCGTCACCGACCTTGTCAACCAAGAGCTCGAGGTCCACCCCGAGGCTTTGGTGCACGATAAGAAGGGGGATGCGGACGAGGAGCAGCTCGAGTACTCTAAGCAATAGGGAGCGGGAGCCTAATACTCAGATCCGTCGGATGATACGGTGCTGGAGGTTGGAGATGAGGAGCGAGATAGGGGGGTCATGATTGACAAATCATCCGGCATTGAGCGGCACGACAAGGTCTTGGCCTGTGTAAGGATCGAGCGATTGAAACGGTTTTGTAGCTGTAGTAGCGTAGTAGCGTAGTAGTTCTCCCGTCATGGTTTTCATTGGATCAATCGATAACTTGGATATGATCATGTGACATGTGATCGGCGACTATCGCATTGTGAAACCTTCGCGGAAAGTCTCACCTCTGGAAAGAACACGGGATGCCAATAGCCCCCGAGCGCTAGATCATCATGCCCGACGGTGACTAATCTCTCGAAGCTTCATGGCGGCCGTCTGGCTCGCTCTTGGCCGTCGATATCCGTCGATCGAGTCTCACCCGAACCCCAGGACTCACACACACATGGCACCGTATCACTTGTTGGTATCATTTGCTCACTTGCTTCATAATCTGTGATGATCATCACGATCTACAGCTCCTCGCCGACTCACGATCCGCCCAAATACATACGGCTACGTATTGCTGGGGATCATTCAGCGATGGCAGCGGAACCGAGCTCGAGCTCGTTATACAAGGAAGCGCACAACGACACATTCGTGGTCAGGCAGTTAGCGTGAGCATTCCTATTAGCTTATGAAAGAAGCACCCGATAAATGTACATTAACGACCGTCGGACCTGTGACCAGTTGCGTCTCTTGTAGAGCTGCCAAGGTCAAGTGCAAGCCTTTGCAGGATGATCCGCAGCGAAACAGCGGCGATCCCTGCATGCGATGCGTGAAACATGGCCTGCGATGCCGATACCCAGCCCGTAAGAAGAGAGGAGAAAGAGCCGAGTGAGCCGCAGAGCATTCGAGAGCCATCGAACTGGGGGATTCCTTGATCTAAATCCCTCTCGGATGTTTACGCAGTGTCAGTGCTGAACGGCAAGCCTTGAGTGACAGGCAAGAATCGTCGTCGAACTCGAATGTTCCCCTACCATCGGCCAGTCCAGGACCAAGTCACTTTCCCGGCCAGTCGGGGTTTGGACCTCTCACCTCGAACCATCCATTGTTAGGGCAGTACAGCTTTCCTAACCCCAACAATGAGGCATCCTCGTCCCTTCAGACTCCCCCCCTACATGATCTCTTCTCCATGTTCGATCCACGCAATCTCAACTCCAATACCGTCAACAACAATGCTCATCCGCGAGCATTGACCGCGGCCCATCAACCGTCTTTCCTGCCCGTTCGACCTTCCTCTTCACCAGGCTCAGACTCGCTCGGACAGATGGGCAACTTGGCTTCCGGGAGCTCCCATACACCATCTGTTAGACCCCGATCGCGACCTCGAGCGACGATGAGCTTTCAGCAAGAGGTGCAAGAGATCAAGGACGATCTGGGGATCCCGCCGACAAGAGACGTGTCGAGAAACGCGTCACCCGAGCGGGAAGACGGGATACGGTACACACTATCGCCGCCATCTCCAGGCCTTGGGACCAGTCGGGACGAAGCTTTGCAAATGTTTTGGCAGGATGGGCAGGTGTCACAGGCGATGCCACTACCTATCATCCCCGGACCGGATTTGCCAGGCTTATTGACGGCAGAGGAAGTAGCCTATCTGTTTGAAAGGTGGGTGTGACATCAGCGACCGATTATTCGCGCACGGTGGCTGACGTATCAATCACGATGTACCGCAAAGATTCTTTGAATATCACAACGGTTGCATCGGACTTCTAGATCCGGCCCTTCACACGCCGGCCTTTTGTTCTTCTACATCTCCTCTCCTCTTTCATGCCATCCTCGCCGTAACCGCCGGTACATTCCGATTGGATAAATACGTAGAATTATGGGAACGGACCAAATCCATGATAAGTCTGGCCTTTGGGGCGGCAGAAGAGTCGGTAGAGTTATGCCAGGCGATCAGCCTGGTCAACAATTGGAACGATGTCGAAGATAAGAGCGGGTCTCTGAGGTATGGCTTTGCAGTCAGGTGAGGGGTATCCGTGTGGCATGTTGCGCGTGGACGAGGTCAAGATGGGTTGATTTGAGCTTGTTTTTGAAATTGCAGAATCGCATACCAGCTCGGGCTGAACAGACCTCCCGTGCGACCCCTTCCATCCGACGAGATGGAGGCGAGGCTAGAACTCGTGAGTGGCAGACATACAGGCATCACGATTGTCTGCGAACTCAATTTGCCTTCGTTCGGACTACCAGAATAGGGAAAGAACATGGATGCATCTAAGCCTCTTCGAGTGCTTGTGAGTGAAGATTTCTCCACTCTGCTAGCCTTGGTACAATTCACAATCCCGCTGTATCGACAGAGTGAATGGCATGTACGGAGGAATGCCTTCTATGATCCAACCGGAATCAGCTGCCAAGATTGAGGCTTGGCATATGGACCACCCGCAGTACCAATGTCCATCCGATGTTGTTCTCATTGCCAGTGCCGGCTTAGTACCGGTCTTAGGCGATGTCCTTTCGCTACAAGGGGAAGCGAAACCCGACTGGTTGCAGCGCAAGGAGAGGTTAGAGAAGGCGCGACCGTTGCGGTACGAGTGGTCGATGATCTGGCTCGGGCGAAAGCGTGAGTCAAATCGTAATATCTCCGTAGGATTGGCTCGAGGCTAATTCGCAACTTGAGACTTACTTAGCCCTCGGTACTTCGCTGCTCCATGCGACTCGCTCCTTCATGAGCTGGGCGGAAAAGGCTATCGCCCGTGATATTACCAATGTCGCTCGACTCACCGCCAACGACGAGGAAGGAGTGGAAACATTGTGGAACGATATCTTTGCGGCGATAGACTCCATCCGACAGATTGCGATTGACACGTCACCGCAAGGGTTACTCTTCTGGGGCATGAATTCTGTGCCTCTCCATGTATCCAAATGTGGATTGCTCTTGACAAAGGTGAGTCGATGAATCACAATCTTTTCGAAGAGAATCTGACTAGGATTCGCTCGGACAGCACATCGCTTCTTTGACTCCAGCAACTGCCAAAGGTGTCATGGCCATTTTCGAGGATATTTATCAGGCTTCGTCGATCGGCGCAACGGCGGGAAGTCGACGACTGTATCTCAAGAAACTATTTGGAAGCTTGCTCAGGATTTGTACAAGGCGATTGGCAGCAGCCAGGGCGGTTTGCGAGGGCGGTGAGGGCGACAATGGCGTCATGGTGGACCCAGTGATCATAGCTGCATACAATCAGCTCCTCCCTTGGTCAGACGACGGGACGTCTATGGAATTGCAGTCTGCTCAGGGATCAGAGGACCAAAGGCAACTGGAGGCGTTCATCGATGACTATGTGATGCAGTGAGTGAGACAAGCTTTACTCGAGTCGCATTCGAGCTGATTATCATCTAGCAGATTCTCTAACGAGCACAAGGGCTCATTCTACTCGGGGACCAGCGTCAGTCGAGCTGATACGCTACAGGGTGGATCGTTCTCGCATCAGCATCAGTATCAGCATCAATGAAAGATGAAAACGCTCGACATTATACACTGGACGTGCAGCTGGTCGAAGGCGCGTTACAATTTGGGATATCTTCTGGGGAAGGTCCTATCATCATCTGTATGTCTATCGGTGACAAGACTGTCAGAAGCGAGGTAGTGCTAGCCAAGCTTGAAAGCTACTATATATCGCATGCAATTACGTGGAATATCGATCGTAGCCGAATAGATGTCCGATTTGCCAGGTAATCAATCTGACCTGAGATTCTTCGCGGACGCATAAGGCGATGCATCATCACGCAGATCACGCACGAGGTCTTGTAATGCTCTGGTATATTCGACCTGTAACGTGATGCGACCTCTCAAACCACGGCAAACCGGTTTCTAAAAGAATCTCATACGTAGTACATTCACAAGCAAAGGAGATTAAGAAGCACGACCAATCTCAGATAGAGCTCGACTTTTGTGCCCTTTGCGGAACTTGGCAAGTCGGCGCTGCCTTTAATCTGCTCTACTTCGCATTGCTCGCTGACTCCTGCTCGAGTGCGGACGACAACCTTCCAGTATCGTTTGAGACCACTCATCACCCCCCATATGATTACCGATACCACCTTGACAAACCTGGCCAACGGGCTCGGAGTTACTGCCATGCTCCTCGTCGTTGCATATCACTTCATCGCCGTGAACGCCGACCGAGCATTGGACTAGAGGGGCCGGATGGACGGTCGACCATGGGGAAGAGGTTACAGTGAGTTTCTAGACTGCTGATGCGCCTGGTACTTAGCTGAAGAGTCGTCATTGTTGCTACTTGCAGGAACGAGCCTGGCGAGAACGGAATTGACTGTCTGGGCCAAAGGGACAAAGGGGAATTTTGGCTCAGCTGGCCCGCTTGCATCGACACCTTGACACAAGACACAAGCGTTGTATATACCCGACTCAAATATCCTACACATCCGAGAACAAGATTCATTACAACTAGACGGAGTCTTTACAACCTTTCTACAGCGGGTATCGATGTTCAACCTTGATCTTACACCCCTGCATGATTGCCCTGCAGCGATCGTCCGGCGGCCCGCGCCCGCCGCAAGACTGTCATCCAGAATTGCAAGAGCGCTCTCCGACCTCCTCTTCCCCTTCCACGAATCCCGGCTACAACGGCAACGAACAAGCTCATCAGGACGAGCACGAAACTGGCGTCGACTATTGTCCTCCGGACCGTGCCCAGTAACCGCACGACGACACGGGTTACCAGTCCGCTTCGCTGAACTGGATGTCCACGTAACTGATACGGGTTCTGGTAATGCGGTTCCCATCGCTGATCCGTCCCGCTCGATGAACCCACGCCCAATATCCGAAGCAAGACCGTCCATGGATTGGCAGGCTGGCGAAGGACCATCGTCTGAGCATATTCTATCGAGTCGATCCGCTCGTGCAAAGCCGTCAGCGACGTCTGAATACGCTCAAGGACGACCGGAAGCTCAGCCACCGTTGCGGGCGGTAGTTGAGCCGGTGTGGCTTGGCCTGCCAGCGTGCTGAGCGGTGCGAGGCGAGACTGCATCGGCGGTTGGACCCGTGTCGCCAATCCAGCGTAAGGCGAGGCAAAGACGTGCGGAGAGCGCCAGTGATCCACAGGAGCGGGCGAAAACGCTGTTCGTAGGTGACTCTGAGGTGTGGCACGTAACGAGTGGATATGGTCATAGTAATGCTGGTGGTGTGCAGGGCGAAACGGATGAAAGGAAGTTTCCGAAATCGGCCGTTGCAGGTGAGAGGGTCCTGCTGCAGGAAGCGCACCGCCGCGAGAAGCAGGAACCCCTTCCCAAGGCGATGCGATGGGCCATTCCGTACGACCCATATCTGTATGCGCACCTTGGGTGACTCCACCTCCTTGACCGCTCGAGCCGATCGGATAACCTGTTCCGTCCTGTGTGCGACTGAAGTGTTGCCCCGACCCATCGTTCCTCCCGCCCGTCGTCCGAGCTCTCTTTTGACTCTGTGCGACAGAGGGTGCCCTTGACGGTTTGTGCGACTGCGCATCGCCACCGAGCGAGATGCTAGAGTCGCTCCCTCTTCTCGTTAGGTACGCTGGAGAGTCCGCCAACCGATGGGACTCGGCTAGTTGCCCCTGCTCCGCCTGGCGAGAGTCATAGCGCCGATCGGGAGACTCTAACAATGGCGGCAAGCCGGACTGCTGCAGATGAATAGGCCCAGGAGGACAGACGGCCAAGAAAGGCTCTTGAGCCAGGGGTCCTGTGGAGAGCCCAGCTTGTCCCGCAGGGTTCGGTCTCGACGCTTGGTTCGCATCATCGCCAAGTTCCGATTGACGCGATGACAAGAATGAATCGTTCGACGACGAGCTTGCGTCGGCTAAAAGCCGGAACAATACGCATTCTCAGCTTTCCTAGCGGTCCGGCTCGTGGTAATCAAGCCGAGCTCACAGTTTCTTCTCGATTTCCGCCTTCTCTCGGACCTGGTGACGCTTCCCAAAGCAGCTAGCTCTTCAATGTACCGTTGAGTTACGGATTCGTTTGGGTATCTGTACAAGAGCTAAAGATCACCACTTCTCGGGAGTGAGCAAGCGAGATCCAGATGACTCTGATGCGATGCGTACCTTGATCAAGACGTCGACGTAGGCAGCCTGCGGCGGGTATTGTAACAAACCGGTCAATTTGTCTCCCGTCACGCCTCCTTTGCTCAACACCTACCATAGCGTCCTGCTTGGACGATCCCCTCTGCTTGTTCCACGCATCCCTATGACAGGCAATCACGATTCGACTACCGATTCAAAACTCGATCGCTGAGTCTGAAAAGTCCTGCGCTTACCATTTCGCTCGTCCAAGCACGTCAAATAGTCCTGGACGACCCCCTGGTCGGTCTCCCTCGGTTGCTTGTTTAAAGAGGCTAGATGAGTTTCGAAAGGCGGTTAGGATTCTGTAAGGTGTCGACCCGGACGAGGGGTAAGATCCTTTACCTGTAGATGGCTAGCTTGTCGTCATAGGATGACTGGATGGGTCCATTCTTCGGCAAACTAGTCGGCGCAGGGAGCTTGGGTTACTATCCTGTTCATATACACCCAGCATTGTGCTGGCTTGTACGGACCTTTGGACGATGTCGACCGCTCGAAAGAACTGACTGTAGAGGATGGATGCACACCGTATTTCACGCTTGAAATCTAGCTAATCCGCTCGACAGCGCCAACTATTCGGCTTACCGTTCAATGGTTCCTTCATCCATCGTACCACAAGTCTTGTCTCGAAGAGATGTATATAGGTCAGAGGGGTTCCCCATTTCCCCGAACGATAGCAGTCAGAGGTCGCAAAGGTTGGATCGGAGATGATCGTCCGATATGCAACCGGCCGGATGAGAGCGATTTTATGCGTTATCAACCTATTATTCATGCGAAGATTTATGCGTTTTTGCTGGTGGAGATCCTAGATCAAGGGGCAGTACAGTACACTTGGAACTACGTCGAACTACTCTGTTACTGTTACTCATGTGCGTGGTATCGTTCTCATATCGAACCGAACAGTACCCTTCCGCCAAGACTATTATCGTCACTCAGAATTCCGAACCATCTTCCAAAATGGGCAAGAGAAAATCCTCAAGTGTGAGCATCTTTGCTTTCCCTGGTCGTAGTCGTCAAGACAGCTCACCAAGACGATCTCGACCTCTTTCGATCAAACGCTCGTAGAAACCAATGGCCAAGAAAGGTCAGCATTGAACCACACCGGTTATAAGCCTCATCGACTAGTCGCTGACCGTACACGAGACGTGTATAGGGCCCGGAAAGATCGGTCAGTGATCGCTCGCGACCGGACTCGCACACGTCGTGTGGAGTTTCCAGGCTGAACCCGGTCTGCCTCCTATTGGAACACATGAATAGGCCAATCTTTCGACTGTGTCTACTGTGCTACAGACAAGTCGGTCAACATGACCTTGTAAGTCTCTCTCCTCTGAACGTGACCGAATCGACGTGTTCGGCGATCGACCCGAGCTCAGACTTTATCGCGGTTCTTGCTCGATTCCAAAAACAGCTCGAAACCTAATAACCGATGGCACCTCCTGTGTGGAGCCTGTGACGCTACGTGGGATATGGACTGTGGACCAGGTGAGTATCAATACCCCTACTGCTACTCGGGTTAGGTTGTGACGGTGGTACCAGGTACTGATGGGCGTCGGCATCGGGTTATGACAGGTCAAAAGCTAGAACCTATTGATGTGGTGAGTCTCAGGTCTCAAATACTCTTAGGAAATGCAGCAGCTTACCATGCTATGATTGGACTACCTGATAGTACTATGAGTGAGCGAGGACTGTTGGCGACGCCGTCGATCGCGCTCGGACGTCCTGATAGCTGATTTGCCTTATTCGACCGTGATACTGCCATCAGGTGGATTGACGCTGCGGAAGAAGTCAGGCAAGAAGAAGAAAAGCGAGTCCTCCCCCATCCTATACTATCCTCCTTTGCTGCAGCGTCTGATTTGCTCCATCCTTTTTGCTTTCCAGAGCCAGGCAGGCTCAGGCTGCACGACGCACGACCCAGAAAAAGACGACCGCAACGACCAGGACGCGATCAGCCTCGCCCGATCGGAATCGGACACAACGAGGCCGATCCAGGAGCGAAGAGAGGGAGAGGGAGCGGGAGGCTGCGCAGCGATTACAGCGGGATTTCGACGACGATGATGACGATGATGACGCCGAGGGCGAGGACGATGATGCTTATTAGGATTTGGCGTTTGACGCGGCCCGTGGTCGCTGTATGAGCTTTGCCTTGGTTCCAAATCTGTATACTACCAAGAGCGCGGACCTCTGTGTCGATCATCGTGTCGCATACTGTTGAATGGCATGAATGACGATGATATGTGTTGGCTGCTCACGTGACTTGGCCGGCCCCCTTCCCGAAGAGAGCGGGGTTGTTGAGACGATTGATTTAATAACGGAGTTACCGGAGTAGATGTAAACAAAGTACAAGTGGAAAATTCTAGATAACTGCCAGCGAGGCATACCGAGCGTTACCGGGGGAAATAACGGAGTACCGCTTATTTCCACCGCTAACATCCGACACTCCCTCTTGCTGAGCTGGCGGATTTTTCACCGCTAACCACTGGTAACTATATACCTACTCCCTGTACCAGTAAAAGCCCATCAATGGCTCCTAGACTAGCTACAGCACCACCTCTGCTATCCCACCCAGTAGACTGGACCTATATTAGAGATCACAAGGTCTCCATCATGGATGAGCTAGCCACAGACTCCGCCACCAGCCCGCCAGAGACCGGTAGCGTCCCGCCAACCGCCAGTCCCAGGAGCAGGAACTTCTCTCCTGCTGAGAAGATCAACCCTGCACTTCAGGCAGTTGAGGAGATGATCAAGGATAAAGAAAAGAGGACCAAGGGATTGGTGAGTGGAGTTGCCAAAAGGAAGCGGTCCGGTAGCGTTTGGCAGTGTCCGCTTCGGCTCCGGTAGTGTCCGCTGCGACTCCGGGATTGTACGATAGCGACCGCTAACATGTCGATGTAGTCCTACCAGGATAAATTCACCAAAAGGCTCTTCCTTCAGGAGGAAGATGCCAAGCCCGACTACCCAGAGGATGGGGTCTGCAAGGAATGCAGGACCTTGGAGAAGGGAAGGAAATACTGTGTTATCGGAGGTGGCGGTACTGCCGGAAAGAGGTGTGCCAGATGCCTTCTTGGCGGAAAGCAATGCAGCTTTGATCCCATGAGGAAGAGGAAAGCTACAAAGGCCTCTAAGGAAGCTGGTCCCTCCAAACTTCCCAAGTTGGACAAAGGAAAGGGAAGAGCCAGGCCTATCGTCATAGCGGACACCGATAGCGGTTCCGGTAGCGACTCCGCCGACTCCGGTAGCGACTACGACCGCTCCGCTAACACCAATGGAGGAAAGTTGGATCAGATCTTGGAGTTGTTGAAGGAGCAGAATGGAAGGTTGAAAAGGTTGGAAAGGAAGATGGACAACTTGTAGTAGAGTAGAAAGTTTCATGCCGCTATTGATATGATTGTCGGTCCGGTAGCGGTCTTGAGCGTCCGATAGCGGAGTGTGCCGGTCCGACAGTGGGAGTCAATGCTCCAAGCGTACCAAGGCACAGTTCTGGTCATGTTTGACTGTCTTCAGAGCCTTAGTGAGCATGTCAGCAGCTTGGTCATTTGTCCCAATATGCTGTAACATGATCAAGCCGTTATCGACGGTTTCCCGGACATAGTGATACCGGATGTCGATGTGCTTGGTTCGCTTGTGCTTCCCAGGATTATCAGCAAGTGCCAGAGCACCCTGATTATCACAGTAGAGCTGTGTAGCTCCACAGTAGTCCTTGTCAAGCTCCATCAGGATCCGGCGGAGCCATATCGCTTCCTTAACGGCTTCCGTTAAGGCCATGTACTCCGCTTCACAGGTGGAGGTAGCCACTGTGGCTTGCCTGGTGGAACCCCAGGCTATAACCGAGTTTCTGTACTTGAAAACAAACCCAGTAGTACTTCTCCTGGTTTCCAAGTCTCCGGCATAGTCCGAGTCGCAGTATCCGATAAGTCGTCCCTTACCGGAACCGGTACCGCCAAGCGTCAAGACAAGCTCAGATGTCTTCCTGATATAAGCAAGCGCCCTCTTGGCAGCTTGCAGGTGTTGTTCCGATGGGTTACTGTTGAATCTGCTGAGGTAACCAACAGTAAATGCCATATCGGGTCTGGCGGACATGGCGCACCACATGAGAGATCCGACAATGCTCTGGTAAAGGCTCCGCCTAGCGTTATCGACCGGGATGGAGTCATCCTGCTTGTGCAGCCTTGCATCTTCCAAGGGAGTGCTAACAGGCCTTGCATGCTGCATACCAAACTTCTCTAGCATCCTCTCAAGGTAGGCTGACTGACTGAGCCGGAGGGTCCTTGCCGGGCGGTGCCGGTCTATCTTGAGTCCGAGAATGTAGCCGGCTTCTCCGATATCAGACCACTTCCACTGGGCAGTCAGTGCTTCTCTGACACTGTCAATAGCCTTACCAGTACGCGAAGCGATAAGCACATCATCCACATAGAGTAGGAGATAGGTGTTATCAGTCTTCCGGTAGTACAGGCCCCAGTCCGCTTCCAGCCGCGTGAATCCGATAGTCGCCAGATAACTGCTGATGAGTTTCCACCAGACTCTAGGCGATTGCTTGAGTCCATAAAGAGACCTGATGAGCTTCAGGCCAGTTGCCGATGTTGCCGGAACGTATCCGGGCGGAAACTTCATGTAAATATCCTCCGCCAAGGTTCCGTTAAGGAATGCGGTATCGGCATCCATCTGGTAAAGTTCCAGATCATCTGTTGCTACTATGGTGAGCAACAGGCGCAGCGATGTGAGCCTAGCAACAGGACTGAAGGTGTCATCAAAGTCGATGCCTTCAACTTGAGTAAATCCTTGGGCAACTACCCGGGCCTTGAACTTAACGATCTCGTTATCGGAGTTCATCTTGGTTTTGAAAACCCACTTGGAACCAACCAAGTTAGCTCCATTGGGAACATTCACCTCCTTCCAGGTGCCCGTCTTGGCCACTGAAGCAAGCTCCCTCTGGATTGCTTCTTCCCATTGAGGGGCATTGGTGCTGTCCATTGCCTGGCGGTACGTTAGCGGATCATGCTCCGCCGCTATCGCTTCCGCCACCATGACAGCTGAAAATTCAGGATCTTCACCTGCAAGCCTGGGAGAGTGGCGTCTGAGAACTGGAGGTTCAGGTGCAGCTTGTGGAGCAACAGCTCCCTCTGGCTCCTGTGGTCCTTGAACACGGATTTCCGGTATGGCCGGTATCCTTGCCGGTTCCGCTTGATCCGCGTCAGGCTGTTCTTGAGGGTTCCTGTCATCTGCAGGAGGGTCAGGCAAACGGCCTTCTCCATCTTGAGGAATCAATCCAGTAACTCTGGCAATCTCAGTGTCCGGATTGTTTACCGGAGCTGCCGGCGCTCCGCCGCTTCTGGTAACGGGCCCGGTAGGGTTCCGGATGGGCGCTGCTTCAGGGCGCTTGAAAACAACATCCCTGCTTCGTATAACCTTGCTTGTATGGCCATCGAGCAGTATAGAGTATCCACTGCCAGCTAGATCTATGGATAAAAGCTTACCGCTAAGCGCTTTGGTTACGGTAAGGTCCGCCTTGCTCCGGGTTTCGTCCGGTACCTTCGCCCAGCATTCAGTGCCAAAGGCATGAATCTTGCTGTAGCCAGAGCGGTGTTTGAAGACCTTCTCCATGAGACTGATATCCTCAAACTTCTTGCCCATGTTTATGAGGCAGGTAGCATGATTGAGAGCATTTGGCCACCATTTCATGCCAAGTCCGCTATCGATTAGCATAGCGCCAACCATCTCCTTGAGGGTCCGGTTAGCCCGCTCCGCCCTTCCGTTGAGCTGGGGAGTGTAAGGCGTAGTAACTTGATGCACAATACCTTGTTTCAAAAGGTAGGCGCCCATAACGGACTGATATTCCGTTCCGCCATCAGACCGGAAAGCCTGTATCTTTCCGGCAAAGGTCCGTTCCACCAGATTCTTGTAGAGAGTGAATGCTGACAGTACCTCTGCTGAGGTCTTTGTCTTGAGAGATCTAGCAATGGTAAGGCCAGTGTAATCATCAATAAAAGTGATGTAATAGAGATACCCATCTACTGATGCCGCTAACGGTCCGGCAAGGTCCGAGTGAATTATCTCCAGAGGGCCCTTGGCCTTCACTGAGATGTCACCAAAAGTGAGTCTTGTAGCCTTGGCTTTAGCACAGACATCACAGTCTTCCATCTTGAAAGTAGAGTCGTTCTTATCGGTGATGTCGATCTCATGCCGGTCCGCCAATTTCTTCAAAGTGCTGACACCCATGTGGGCCAACCTTTTGTGCCATCCTTGGAGGGTATCCTTGTCCAGGACAGTCATGAACAGACTGCCACCTTCTGGTTGCTTGATGAGATTGACCTTGATATCCGGTATCTTCGCTAACGGAAGTACTAACGCTCGAAGCCGGCCTTTGGGTCCGGCAGGCTTTAGCGGTAACTTCAGTCCTTGTTTGGACATGAATCCACCTTGTTTGGTGGCTGTAATGGTCCAACCTCGCTCCATCAGGAGTCCTTGAGACAAGAGATTGGCTGGGGACTTGGCCAAGTAGAAGACATCTTCAAAGATGACATGCCGGTTCCGTTCCCGGTCCGCTAAGAGACTGATTGTTCCGGTAGAGGTGGCAGCTGCCTGACCTCCAGCAGTCTCAAATCTGGTGTTGATGTCCATCCTTTGGATAGAGCTGAATGCTTGAATGTCATTGCAAATATGCTCAGTGGCACCAAGATCCATAATGAAAACGAAGTTACCGGGCTTTACCGGTCCTGCCGCTACCAAGGCAGATGCTTCCTGAGCATCAGGCATATCCCCCTGGGTAATCTCCTCGATGCAAGCACCAAGAACACTAGACTTTCCCAGCAGAGCAGCCATTTCATTAGCGGAAGGTCCACCTCCGCCGGCTCCGCCAAACCGGTTACCGGGCTTGTCGGACTTCTTGAAAGGCTTGCCTCCTCCATTAAACCTTGGTTTGTAGGTCTCACCGTTGCCAATCGTAGCCCCACGGCATTCAGTATTTTTGTGGCCAGACTTGCCACAGTTCCAACAGACAGATGGCTTGCCCGGACGTTTGCCGGGCTTCACTCCGCCACTGCCGTTCCGTGCCGGAGCGAACTTCTTGTTGCCAAAGGTAACCAGAGCTGTAGATTCCCGCTCCTGTTCCCTCTTGATATCAGCAACATGAAGGTTGAATAGTTCCCTGAGGTCCCTGAACTTCAGAGGAGTAAGGGAATTCTTAGCTTGAGTCCGCCACTCGGTCTTGACGCTCCGGTAAGATGCCGGTAGCGCTCTGATGAAGTAACTGCATATTTCATCATCAGTCAAGGCAAGCGATGCTGTCTTGGCCTTGAGGAGCAGGGTGTTAAACCTCTCCAGGAACTTATCGGTGTCGTCTCCGTCCGATAAGATAATGTTGGTAAGCTCCGCCTTGATATCGGAGCGGTAATCCTCCGAGTCCAGCTTAAAGAGTCCGGTAAGTTGTTGCCAGAGCTCCTTAGCGGTGGCGGAACCATCAACTTCCATCCTTAACCCTTCAGTCATGTGTAACTGAATAAGCCCTCTGGCTTTACTGTCTTTCTCCCTGAAATCCTTGTACTCCCTTTGTTCTTCCAGGTAAAGGCTAATCTCCCCACTGGTAGGACCAGTCTTGTTGTCTCCCTCTCCGATATAAACCGGCTTCACCGGTGCGACCGGGAAGGCTTCCGTAAGGACATGCTGAGCACCAATGGCCAGCAAAGCATCTAAAATGCAGTGTCTCCATGAGAAGAAGTTGTCCTGTCCCACAAGCTTGGGGATCTTAGCAGAGGAGGCTGAAGTGACTGAGTCCATGATTGGCGGAGGTCCGATAAGCCGGGAAGAGCGATAGAGGGGCCGGAGTTGCCGGAAAAGGGTTTCAGAGTTGACAGGGGTGATGAAGGTGACTTGATAGACTTGTAGTGGATCACAAGTCTGGGCTCATAACCTGTTGAGACGATTGATTTAATAACGGAGTTACCGGAGTAGATGTAAACAAAGTACAAGTGGAAAATTCTAGATAACTGCCAGCGAGGCATACCGAGCGTTACCGGGGGAAATAACGGAGTACCGCTTATTTCCACCGCTAACATCCGACAGGGGTCGACGTTGCGAGCGGGGACAGGGGCCGCGGCGGGGGGGAGAGCGAAGGGGAGATTGTCACGATCAACTGCTGCTAACAACGACACCAGTGTACGCAGTAACTGACTCCTACGGCCTCACCACATACACATCGCCAGCCTTCACTCAGTTTAATCTTCGGAGAAACGGTACGACCGATGCCCCACCTCATCGCAAAGGCTCGGCGTTCGACAAAGTAGATCTCGTCGAACAAGGTGGACCGCGACAGGTAGAAGTGCCCCGCCCTGCAGAGTACCTCGTGTCTCGACGCAGCGTCGCGAAGTGGAACCATCGGACCCGCAAGTTCCTCATTCGTCAAACTATGGAGACAGACAGTCCCACCGGATATGGCCGTACGAGAAGCGACGACGGTATAGGAGGTCTTGCGCAGGACAAGGTCGGCGACGGCTCACCCGAACAGACGGGCAAGCTGCCAAAGGCCGTCATCAACGCTGGGGTCTACAAACACAAGTGTTCGTTTTGCGATTCCACGTTTCAAAAGACGGAACACCTTCGAAGGCATGAACGCAGTCACACGAAAGAACGACCGTACGAGTGTCCGGAATGCGGCAAGAAGTTTACGCGTGCGGATAGCTTGGTGCGGCATGGCAGACTGCACGAGTTGAACGGAGGAGGGGTCTCCATCGACGATGTAGAGCGACAACGTGCTAGCGGGTCGGGAGAGGCATCTCGAGGTTTTGCGAGGCCGTCAGAGGGGTCGAGACAGGAAGGGGAAGTCGATCGCAAGGGCAGCCTGATGATGCCTCAAGAGTCACGGGCTTGGTCGAGTTCGAGTCGGTCCATCAGGCTGCCTGGAGACGATGCGCAAGTCGAACCGCCATCGAAACGCAGGAAGCCAAATGATGAGCCGTCGACCTCACACACTCGACAAGCTCTAGGCCGAAACAACTCCGAGACATCGAATATGGGCGCGAGAATGCCTGGATCGAGCTCAAGCGCCTCGTTTCATTCGCAAGAACCATCCCAGCTGTTGGAAGCCAACCCGACAGCGCTGCTGCGTGCATCAGCCGTCATGGATGGGATGCCAATGTATTCCACTCCAGGCGCATTCGATTCGCCCAACTCCAACTTTTCTCACGCCTACGGACCGAACGGGACGATCGATCGTCTTTCCAACCCGGATCCGACCAATCGTCATCTCGGTGCCCCCACCTCCGCATTGATGTTTGCTAGAAACCTCGACCCACACCTCTCGGGACACTTGCTCGACCACATCAGGAACCCTCAGGATAATTACGCGACGTCGTACCGTACGCCTCAATCGGATGGGGATTGCAACTCGACGCCAACGTCGCTCATGGATCACTTGGGTCAATTTGCGGATCGCGCCAATAGTATGGGAGATTCCCAAGGGCCGACCTTGGGACTACACGTCGAGACCCCATATCCGGGTGGTCCACCTTTCAATGCCGATTCGGTCATAGAACCTCTGACTATGAATGCTCAGGAAAACATCCTAGGCATACCGACGTCGAGAGATGGCGCCGCCGGACTCGATATAGATAGCAGTTTCAATTTCGAGAGCAACGCGTATGGTTTGCCGATGGGTTTCGGGATCGAGGAGACTTCGGACCTGGACCTCTTGCAGTTCTTGGCGTCAGATACGTCGATCGCGTTTGCACATACGTTAGTTCTGGTTGAACATCATCGTTCGTATCGGTCGTTGTCACTAGAGGATCGCTAAATCGGCACTTGGATTTTCCCTACAGCCTCATACCCGAATACACGACGTATACAAGGCACAATTCACCCGGTCCCTCCAATCCCACCGTTCGACGCACTTCACCCCTCAGTCCTATGCGCTTCCCTGCGGACCCTCTCATCGATCCATCAATCACCTCGTTCTCATCGGTAGGCGGTAACGATCCGATGCAGACGGATTATCCACAGCACGTGTCGCTGTCGCCAAAGATGGCTGCGTTGTGGAAGAACTTGATCACGACTGGTGTCGCCGAATCGCAGGACCAGTTGCGGATACCTACAGATACAGTCAGAGGTATTTCGCGCAGTGCTACTCCTCCTGCTACTCGGACGGCTCAGTTAGATGGATCACAAGCGAACGCACGAGATGAAGGTGGGCAGGGCGCTAGCGTCACGAGCGAGTCCCACATCGCTGGTGAAAGGGGTCGTCCACAGGACGCCATTACAGAAGCGAAGCATCTGATATCCGACCTGGTGAGCTTCACCACCTGTTGACCATGACATACTCCCTCACTAATTCATGGCTGTCAATGCAGTCTTTCCACTTGTCGGCATCCACGTCTCCGCTTTCCTCGGCGTTTCTGGATAAAGGCCTGAAACTCTTCTTTACGAGGTTCTTGCCTACCTTTCAGGTGATCCATCAACCGACGTGGTCCCTCAAGTCGGCTTCCGCGTCGCTATCGATCAACCTCATAGCCCTTGGGACACTATACATGACCGAGGACGGGGATAGAGCTAAGGTACGCAAATATGAGAGCCTTGTCATGACGCGATTGTCGTCGACCTTCGCTCATCTGGGGGTTTTCCCTGTTCTACAGGGCGAGGCTCTCTGGAGGCTGGTCTACAAAGGCTGTTGCATTTCGGTGAGGCCCATCTATCACTCCAAATGTAGGGCAAAACTCTGAACAAAGTTACATGTCTTCCAGTGGGAGCGTTTGATAGAATTGCGAGCTGGACCCGGAGACCCTACACGTGGCACTACGCTTTGCCAGACTATCCTTTTGGGTCAGATTTACGCTGCCCTAGCCGAAGTGAGTCTTGCGACATGTACAGCTCGTCAAAGCGACAGCGTTAACGAAGCAGCGGTCATGGGACAGCGCAACAGTATGAGAGCGTCCCCGTACACCTTCCAGGGATTTGGTTTGAGAATCGCTCGGTAAGCGACAATTGGTGAAATGGTTTCGGTACATCCGCGGCTTACGGTAGCATTGCCGACGATAGACTCGCTGGGATCTTCCGGATACCAAAGGCGGCCGCGGATGACTTCTTGCCGAACGACGGGGACTGCTCGCAGATCGAACTGGAAAACGCCTTCCGCTCCTGGGCCTCTTACGAGTCCCAGCTTAGGGCCGTACTGGGGCTTTACATCGTGGAGGGACAATTTGTGCAGCTCTATCGCGTCCCGCCAACATCGTCACACCTATCGAACCCTTTCGTGAGCGCTTGTGATGATCAACTGTTTTGCGCGCCCAACGCTCGAGCATGGAAGGCCATACTGCTAAAAAGGCAACGGGACCAAGACCGACGTCGTGAAAATACGTTCTCCGCCATCTACCGCCACCTATTCAATGAGCAGTATCCGAACGCTCGGTTTGAGCTCGGTCTCGACCTTCCCTCCATCTCGAAAAACGTTCTCTTGACAGGTTTGCACACGGTCATCGCGCAATTGCGTGAGAGTAAAGCGCAAGGCCTGCTAGACGATCATCGGTCTCCAATCAACCTTCATCTTGGCTTCAAACGCCTGTATGGCGTTTTGCTATCCAACCCTCAAAGTGCCTCCATGGAGGCGAGCAGTCTACGTATGGGCTGGCACTCTGCCTACATCGAGTTGCTGCTCGTGGAAGCGCTGTCACCACAGGATCTCCTCACGGCTGCCAATATACCGCTCGGAATGCCGGACATATGCCCCGTCGCAGACGAGAAGATGCGGTATACTCGGACCGCTCTCGGGCGGCGGATTTTGGTACATGCAAACGCCATCCGGTTAACGGCCATGAATATCCCCTTCTCCACCATGAGGTTCCCCTCCGTCTTTGTGTCTGCCTATATTTATCGCGCAGGATTGGCTATGCTTGCCTACGTGCTGGGCAAAGCCAACGAGGCTTTCAATGAGAATGCAGAAGCTTTTGAACTATCTACACAGATGGACTTTGACAGCATGGATATCAACAATCACCCAGCCATGTCGTCCATGGCTCACAACGCATACGAATACACTTCGGATAGCGCCGCAAAACGCTTCATCACCGAAGGAGGTCCTGTCACCCTGAATCACAACCCCTTACAACTAGACGATATCGCATGTTTCGTCAGCTGGCTCCGACCCTTTGGGGAGGTCTTTGGAGTCGCTAATACCATGGCTGATGACTTGGAGTCGCGCATACAGGACGCGGCCTGAAACATCGCTAGATATTCTATCGACCGTAATGAGATTAGACGTTGTAAATTATGCACCACATCGTTAATAGGAATATGTCTCCGTGCCATCATGTCGGCCTGCCGTACAGAGCGGACTTCGATAAATTGTAGGGCGTTCAGTAAATCTTATGACGCCAGTAGCCACACGTCGACGTTGGAAAATGGAGCCCGCTTGCGTTTCGGCGTCATTGATTCCTGGCCTGCCCGTTGACAGAGCTGGGCTACCGCCGGTTTTCACCGTCACTTGTCTGTAGACTCGCCCACCTCAGGGGCGAAAGGAGACCGATGCTCATTGCATATCCACGCTTGTGTATTTGACGCAAGGTTTTGGATGGCAATCGTCCTGGATGATAACGCAGTAGGTGCTGGAGATTCTGAGGCAGGAGATCTGGAGAGCCAGAACCGACCGCACTCAGAAGCGTCGGAACGGGTCTCTCTCCAGACCCCGTCCCCCACGAGGCAGCAAGCCAAGAACGGCTCGGAGCGGGATTGCAGCTCGTTCGCCTTCTTTTAGGCTGGGTCAGCCCATTTGATCATTGAGCAAACAGTACCCCCGGCTTGTGTGAAAAGGGGATTATGGCAGGACATCCGTGAGGTCTTTAACATTCAGATTGATTCTGTAAGATTGAGTGCGATCACAACAAAGCCTTGATCCTCCTGCCCCCTGTAGCTGAGCGTCGACTACAGTCATTTTAGCGTTGGTACGAAAGCTCCGTCTATCAGGTGAGAATCGTTCATGTACATCGTAGCGACCGCACCCTGATCGGTGACAGAACAAGCTCTCCTGGTTGTATGGATTAAAACTCAACAGAGAGGCATCGTTCAATCAGCTGCCCCTGGGTCTAGGTTTTCCAATCAGGTGGAGTTATCAGGCAGATATCAGTCTTCCTTTCTGCTGGCATGTTGTGCGATAATCGATGCGCTTGCTTTTAGTGGGCGATTTCACAAGTAACATGAAACGCAAGGATTTGGGCGCTGCTCCGGCTCTCGCAGGGCGTTTGTTGAAGCCTGGATGTGCAACTCTAAGATACATAGCGGTACTTTCTGCAGAGCTGCAGATGCCAACGGCACTGCCCCGTACCAGCGGGGCGCACCCGTTACAGGTAGCAGCGGAACCGTTCGAGATGAAACGCCCAAAAAGGTCAAATCGATCAAAAAGAAAAAAAAGATACAATAGCCCGGAATCGAACCGAGTGCTAGCCGATGGCAACGGCTAATGTTACCACTACACCACTATTGTCGGTGATACAAAGCAAACTTTGATAACAATATACTAACTTACGTCCCTGCTGCGTCCTTTCTGCTGATAATCACTATACCGATCCCACCCTCGACACGCAGCATAGATACCGTTTGCCTATCGTGTATCTCATAAACGATAATTACATCACAGTGTCTACTCCCTTTCATCTCATGACGCCCACAACCACATCACCACTTCCCCTTTTCGAATCCGTCTTCCCTTCCGCCTGCCCCGCCGGCGTTGCGTTCCTTCTCCATCAACATCTCGAATTCTCGCTTCTCTTTAGCCCTCTCCCTATCTCGCTCCTCGACAGCTCCCCCTAGCCCGTAAATCTCCCCTCGACTGCCGAGATCGCCCTTTTTGGAACCGAGGGTATCGATCTTGATATCAAGATCGCGCGTCGAGAGATTGCTAGGTCGACCGAATCCCTCACGGGCGCTGGGAGAAGCCGCAGAGTCGGACATGGGCGCGTTAACACCCGAGCTACTGACGAAAGGCTTGCGGCCGGGTCGAGCAGAAGGGTCGGAGGGACGATCAGGAGATCCGACCGAAGGGGCTTCGCCAGCCCTGATCCTCTCCCAAGTAGAACTCGTTGCCTGGCCGATGGCTAGGGAAATGCCGTTCGCTAAGTACGCCGTGCATGCTTCATCGCCAAGGCAGAAAGGTACTCACGACCACTCTGACCGTATTGTCGCTCCCTCTCGTACTCTTGTCGTTGCTCATCCACCTCGGGATCGAAAGCACTCCCCGACCTCTGATTGTAGTCGGTCATCGAGACTCCCTGTAAGTCTTCGTCCATCCGGGAACCCGACGAGTCCGACCCAGCAGGTCCATCGTAAATGCCCGCTGGACCTGCGTTGCCTATATCTCGAGGGTTTCGGGCGATACCCGTTCGTCGCTGCTCGTCCGCCATCCGCTTCGATTGCACCATGATATCCTCAAAGACCTTCATCTTCCTGATTCGCCAGATCGCCAAGTGTATCAGCAAGCTTATCGATCGGTCGCCACCAAGGTCGAATATAGACTGACCTCTGACTATCCGCCATGTGATTATTCACCTCCAGAGCTGCAGCTGCTCCCCCGATCGTGAACCCGAGGAAACTTCCGGTCGAACCGACGAACCAGGCAGCGGCCAACCTGACTCCGAGCGAGATGGGAGGCTTTCGTCGCCTCATGCTATACCAGACCGGGATACCGGCCGCGGTACCCAGAGCCGCCGAGACAATCATCCATCTGTACCCCTTCTTTAAGATATCGACGTCGTGTTGACTGATCTCGCCACGGCGGATGCGCTGATACGACGCACAATGTAGTCAGTCGTTTGTTACCCATGTCTCGTATCGAGTCTACTGATGTACTTCTTGAACCAACGCTTGAGTGGATGGTATATCTAGCGGACCTCCTGGTAAGATCGAACCGCTCATGTCGTAGGTTGTATGTCCAAGCGAGGTTTGGTTCGATAAAGTCGGATGGATGGAGGTAAATTGGTGTACTTCGCTGGTATTCGATGCTGTCGATTAAACATTAAACAGATGTCCTCTACAAGCAGGCTGAACATCTTAGTTACCGCCCGCTTGGTGACGTATCGATCGATCGACCGGTTGAACGGGGTCTTGAATAAGCGCAAACATTGCCGTAACAGGACCAGGTGCGCTTCCACATGGCAAATTGATAAGATAGGAGACTGTTTTTGACGCCCTCGACGACTACAAAATCACTTGACAACCATTTAACTATCCTATTACAACCGAGAAAGAAACCTCGAACAAGACACCCTCGAATATTGAAAGCGATCATGAGGATCGCGAGACACAGGTGGAAAGGGAGCGACGGGGAAACAGGGAGAGCGTGTGCTATTATGTCATATGAAGGGTGTCGAGTACTTTTTTTCTGCTTCTATCCACTAGTGCGCGTCTACTGGTCTCCGAGAAGACCTGAAAAGAGTTGGAAGGTGTTTAGTAATTGTGTGACCAGGTGCCGAGTCGAGGGCTAAGACTCACCGGCAATACAAGCGGTGGACAGAGTGGCAACGATACCGGTGACCAAGGCTCGAGGAGCCAAACGGACAATGTCGACCATTCGGTTGGGAGCCAATGCGGCCAGGATACCGATCGAGATACCTCCAGAAGCGAGGTTACCGAATCCACAAAGAGCGTACGAAGCGATGAGCTGAGCACGTCCGCTGATCCAGGTAGGGTCGTTCTTGGTCTGGGTGGCGAGCGATTCGAACGCAACGAATTCTGATGAGGAATCAAAAATAGCTGATCAGCGTGGGCAGTCATAGCCAAGCAGGCCTAATCGGAGCTTACCGTTGGCAATGATCTTGGTAGCGATCAACTTGGAGACTTGAAGAACGTCGGCAGGGGGGACTCCAAGCATGAAGGTCAAGGGGTACAAGATGTAACCAAAGATGAGCTCGAGGGATAGCGAGTTGGGTCCGCTTCGAGCGATTCCCCAGAATTGACCGATCCAGGCCAAGAGACCGTTGAAAGCGTAAAGGGCCGAGACGACACACAACACGTTGGCAAAGATCAACCCGGCGACTCGGAGACCCAACCAGGCACCGTTGGAGAACGAGTGCAACAAGTTGTAGCTGTCGTCCTCGTCGTCTCCCTTGTTGATCTCGATGTTACCGAACGTCTTGGGTGACTCGGTCTCGGGAACGGCGATCTTGGACAGGGCGATGGCGGCAGGAATCGACATCAACGACGAGGTCAAGAGATCCTTGGCTGGAATCCCGAGCGTAACGTAGGCGATGAACACACTCCCGGCAATGGTGGCGAAACCAGAAGTCAAGGCTTGGTGCAACTCAGAGACTGTCATGTCCTTGACGTAGGGTTTGACTGTAGACGAGTGGTTCATCGTTAGTACGTTTCTCCATAGGTCCTGCGCCCACAGCAGCTCACCCAAGATACAGTTTTCACCCTGACCGATGAAAGGCGAAGCGGCGGCAACGATCGATTCGGCTCCCGAGAGACCGAACGACTTGTAAAACAGCCAGCCGAACTTCTTGAGGACCCAGGACATGACTCCACTGTAGTAAAGAGCGGTGGCGAAGGCGACAAAGAAGATGATACTGGACAAGGTGTTGGTAGCAAAGTCACCATTGTCGATAATGCTCCTCCAGAAAAAGGTTCCTCCTCCGAGAGCACCTTGTCGCAAAAAGTCGGCACAAGCCAGCGCGACCCAGGTGAAAAGGTCTAGACCGGCATCCGTCTTGAAGACGAACAGACCGAGGATCATCTGGAAACCGAGACCGAGGATGGTGGTTCGGGCCTTGACGGCGGACCTATTGGTGCTGGTCAGGTAGATACCTCCGTACAAGAGGACCATACCGCAAAGACCGACGGCACGCCACTTGTAAGGTGACTTTTCGGTCGGGGGGATACCGAAAGCGCTACCGAGGTAGAGCGCGAGGAGGGCGACCCAGCTGACGATCAGTTTGACCTTGTGCGACATCATGTTCCAGGGCTTCTCAAAGACCAAGCCCCAGGTAGACTCGATGATGCGGATGAACGGCTTTTGCGAGATGTACTTGTTGTTGTGGAACAAGATCAAGAGGATGAAGAACCAGGTCTAAGATAAAGTGCTGATATTAGCCTCTGTGAAGCCTTTCCGAGGATAGGGGTCTCTGAGCAGAGAAGAGACGGGACTCACGAAAACGGTCGTGATGATCCAGTAATGCCTGGTTTCCTCCCGGATGATACCTGAGAATTAAGACAGACAGAGTGAGACCTGTCCCCCGCCAAGCATGCACGGTCTGACGCCGGCTTACCAGGGATCCACCATCCGAGCTACAGTCGACGTGCGCGCAACGCGAAAATTTGTAACGTGCAAAGAGTCAAACGTCTGATTACGACTGTAGCGTCAAATGACCCTCGAGCTCACCAAGAGGGCGATCCAAGCGAAATCCCATATGACGCGGGCAGCCCGAGAACGTCGGAAAGACTTGAACCGGTTCATCAGGCTACCACCGCTGTCCTGGTCCTTGTCCTGCTCTTCTGAGGGGGACCGCGAGGCCTCGAGGTCCGTGACATAGGCCTCGTTATTGTAAGGATGCTTTTCGTCCTCGGATCGCAGGGAACCCGAAGCGAGTGCTTTGCCCTCTTGGTTACCGACATCGGTAGTCTCGACCAGTGGTGTCGGCACCGAAATGGGGAGGTCGTGTGACTGGGCTTGATGTGCTCGCTCCATCTCGAATTTTCTCAATTGCAAGTCGCCAGTTGCAAGTTGCAAGGTCGGGTTCGTGGGGTAAGAAGAGTGACGAATGAGAGCTTTCGCTTTGCCAAGGTCGCTTTTCACGACGTCGAAGGGCTCTGAGAGTGTGGGGTGGAAGGTTATATCCTTTGAAGTCGGAGCAATCGCATGAGAGCTCACCGCCAGGGTTGGCCAGATAAGCCCGGGTATGGCCATCGAGAGGGCACAAGGGAAAAAAGCGCAAAATCTTGCTCTTCCTTCTCCCGTGCCAGCTGCCAGCCCGCCAAGCTCCGCGCGGTTCGTCGGAGGGGACAAGGCAAAGGACTGACCCGCGCTGCTGCCTGCCTGCCTCAAACGCCCCGACCCATGTGGCTCACATTTCAACTGGATCTCGTTTATCCCCTCCTCCATCTGCCATTGATCGCGGGCCGGCGCAAATCACATGTGTGCCTGATGCATGCGTCTGCTGCCAGTCTCGCCACGTCTCGGCCTTCCGCGATCAGGTTGTCACATGGTGCCATCTCTCTTACCCCACAGCTGCCGAGATCGACGCAGCCCGGCCACCCTTCGCTGAGGGCCTGATCCGACATGCGACATCGATACCCCGCAATACCTTGGGCGATTATGAGACGATAAACGAAAGCTTGATAACGAGACGCTCGTACGCTCGAATCAACGCACTCCTATCTTGTCGGGATCTGCACTGATACGCAAAGACGATTGCGGGGAAGACGATAGTGAAACATGAGATTGCAGAATTTTGGACGGAGAGATAATCAATCCTGCGTGGCCGAGGCTCGTTCTCCTTCCGACGGGCTTTCGAAGATCGGCGCCACCTCTGCGTCTTTCGAAACCGTGCCATGCGGTCGAGATCAGGCATACCACCAACTCGGCCGGTCGGTCGGTCAGGTTGGCATTCCTGGGATAACCGTGAACGGGCAGATACTCTGACCGATCTGACCAGCTGGTCATCTGGTCAGATGACCAAAAACCAGCAAGGATACGTGAACATCGTCAAGACCCGATATCCACGGATCTCGGAGATCACGCGACCTTACTGAGCACTGATCACTGTAATCATCATCGTTGATGTCGTCGCTGACATCTGCTCGATTACGGCCCACTCGATGATCGGTTGGTCATACCCGCCCATTTCAGAGCTCGACAATCAGTAAGACCTCGCCAGTCAAGTCGAACCATGCCTACCAGAGATACCATTCATAACGCACTCGTCGTCTGCTTTACAAAAGGATGAAAGAATAAACAAGGGCAGAGCCAAAAAGTCGAAGTAGAAGAAGGTAGATAAAAAACAAATCATTATAATGGGCGATTTGGGGTGTGTATGGACTGTGCGCGAGGCGAACAGAAAGGAGGAGTAGTCAAAGTCAAAAGGTGTAATCTCGCCAGACCAGCCGGGTCGGCGTTTCGCGCGAAGTTCTGACGTTATCGGAAGTCGAAGAGAAAGTGGTGTCTGTCTCGAGAATGACCGTCTTGAAGTAGAGATCACGTTGCGGACGAGGGAGAAGGTCCCCGAGATACTGCACGTTCCCGTCGAGGTGTAGAAGAACCCAACCTGCCAATCTTGCGTGGCGTTATACCCATTCCAGAGCCTGGCCGACGAGGCGTCATTGAGCCCGACGCTGATGATGTCGGATTCGAACCCGCTCTTGTCGAACCGGGGTTGGCCGGTCGCCTTACGCTCGGCGGGACAGGAGGTAGGCTGTCCAACAACCTCATCATTTCTGCGCCTTTTGAGGGATCGTCGTTGGCAGACAGCGATTTCAAGATGTCCAGGCCGGACGATGTATGTGAAGACGATTCCGCCTGGGTGCTCTTGAGGAACCCGGCGATAGAGGGCGGCGCACCAACCTCGCGATCCGCACCATGGGAATCCAGGGTCGTTCGTGCGCCCGACTGATCTCGATTCCGCACGTCCTGTGCAAGAGAGGCAAAGATGCCGTCCAGGAAGCGTTTCGCTGTCGCCGAGTATTGCAGTGCGGCGTGTGACGCTTGATGCAGTACGTCCACCTGTACAATGTCATTTAGATCGCGTTAGCATAAGAAGCTCACGGTCTGCCTAGAGCAATCATCGACGCACGTGATATTCAACGTCGTCCAATGGCATAGCCTCGATATCGTCCCCACCAGACAAGACCTCTTGAGCCATTTCTGCCCAGGTGTGGAGACGCTCGATTCCGGGTTCTCTACCCGTAAAGGATGGTATATCGTCCGTCCCTTGTGATTCGGGGTGTGCTTGTTTCGTCACTAGATCCTTTTGCTCTTGTAGTACCTGGTGCCGATGTTCATTCACTCGACCGAAGATGGAAACCCATTGAGCTTCTTCCGCCTTGTCCCTGATTGCAAGATTGACATATTGTCAACAGGCCACCCAGTCCTGAGCTGCAACGTGACCGTCGACTTACCTAGCGATGTCTCTGTTGAATAGAACCTCGGTTTGGCGATTCTTGACATTTCGAGGGTTGGGTGACAATTTGACAATAGATGCGTTGTCTTCCGGGGTAACCTACGTCCGCATATCCAGCACAAATGTTAGTATATCTGCGTTTTTTTCAGGAGCGATGTGCGATCCGGTCACTCACCGTCGAAGCGAAGATATTTGCCTCAAGCTCACCCTTGGTTTGGGCACGGAATATGTCTTGCATGATCAAGGCTACCATTTCGTCCCCCTCGGCCGTCATTTCTATACTTGGTTGTGGCTTTGATGACCTGTCCGTTTCTTTTTTGGACGACTTGCCCTCTTTTCCACGCTTTTTCGGTGGCTCTGTCTCGTCCGCCATGGCTCGCTTGAGACACCACATCAACAGGTACCGGGCGCGGACGGGCTGCGTAAGAGTTTGCGAGATGTGCGAGTGGTATTCTTCGGGATTGACACCAGCATGGGGTTCAGCTGTGAAATGTCAGTGGGTTCAGCCATGCGCTCGCTTTGCTGCAGCCCAATTTTGCATTCGTACTCACAGCTTGTGGCATCGTCCTTATGAGCGTCACTCATCCTTGAACCCCGTCTGGAAGAAGCACGCTCCCTAAGTGCTATATTCTTCCTCTGCATGGGCGTCTCGCTGAGCGCTATGGGCTCGACCGTATCGATGGTGATGATTTTTGTACGACGACTCGCCCGTGGTGTTTGAAAGTGTGAAGCATTCGGGGCGGCCCTTGGCGGCGAGATTGGTCGAGCTCCAGTAGGTTCTAGTTCTTCAGATGGGTTAAATACTAGACCGGTCTACGTATGACCCAACCAAAGTACTGGTCAGCGGTGGCGTCGCTGAGACAGTAATGCTTAAAGTACAGTACAGGACACCTACCGAATGTCCGACTGTCGATCGTATCCGATCGGCCTCATCTTCCCACTCTTTCCGCTGAGCAGCCACCTCGGTTTCTATCGAACCTTTGGCACCCAACCCTTCCGAATCCGACTGTTCCGCCGAGGCCGATGCAATCGTGTTCCCGTTAGCAGGCTTGACCGCTAATTTGCCCTTGTTCGTCTTGGTCACATCGGACTGCACGGCAGATGAGGCTGCACCTCTTCTCGGTTGACTTGTTGTCGTCGAGGTAATAGGGACTGCAGGAGGGGAAGGGGGGCTTTCGTCCATCCGGCTCGCGGACGGTCGCTGTCGAGCTATGCGTCTCGTTGATTGAGGCGGTGCGGGTGGTCGTCCATTGGAAATTATTTCTTCCTCGGCAGTTTCGAGTGAAGATACCGGAACGGGTTTGAAGGGCATGGCTAAGAGGAGTAAGGGTTTACAATCTGACCTTAGCTTGAAGGCTCTGGTCGGCCAGTTTCGACGAGCATGCCCTTACTTGTTTTGGTCTTCCGCGTTCCAACCGGCTTCTATTCGATTGTAAACTTATCAGGAGTGTTCATCTAGACCCTTACAATCCCTTCCTTGCGACCTACATCTGCCGTCCTTTGACGTTTCCGCGTTCCATCGTTCGCGTCTTGCTTTTCCGACACTGCTGCATCATTTCCCAAGATGGTCCCGTTCGCCGAGTTCCTCTTCTTGCGAGTGATATTACCCAGTAGCTCTACTGCTAGCGGTGTACCCTGATCATCGTTGACTGATCCCCCCGACAGACGGGCTGACGTCCGGCGCGTCGGAATGGCCATCTGGTATGTCCAGGTCGTTGCGGTTCGTCCGAAGGAGGGTTTACGTTGTACGCTATTTCTCGTACGTGAACGATCTCTAGACGCCTCTTGAGCACTTGGTACCGTGACTCGATGGTTGATATGTCGATATGAATTACCGGGATCGGCTCATATCGATAGCTCCTGCACTTGTTGGTAGAAGTTGGAACCTCTCTCGAGGTTCCGACCGAGCGAGGACGTGACGAGTTTGTTTTGATTCTCGAACCCAAGTCTCCGACGATCAGAGGTGAGACTCGAGGGGAACCGCGCATCTCATATTCGAACTACCAACTTGCCATTTCTTTAGGCTGAGCAGTAGTGGTAGTAGCAGTAACGTCGACTCCGGTGCTCCTTGTCATAGATACAACGTTCTGACTGAGTCGAAGTCGCAGCATCTGACGCTTCGTCACAAGGCGAGTCGAGACGAAATGTCCTTTCGACTTGGGACATTGGAGTATCGACTATCACGACACATCACACGGCTCGGTGTCGGGACGAGGTTTTCAGTCTACAATCTAGACGTGTGAATCTGCGACTATGCTTCTTTCTCTCAGATTGATCTGTCTATCGTTATTATATGTGGCTGTACGACCATGACCACTCCAACTTTCCAGGGTGCTACTGGTCTGATTTCTGTTACAACGCGAGCACCGCCTCGGCACGAAATATGTTCAAGCAGAGTCTATTCTTCTTTCCCCGCGGAATTCTTATCGCCCGGCACCTCTGGCAGCCTCTCTTCGCATACGCCTACCGACAATAAGCAGCACGCGGGTATGGCAATCGTCAGTTGCTATTGACACAAAGACTCGTCGACAATATCCACTGACCTGGCTTCTCGACTCCTGCCTTCCTCTGAAGCCTGCATCATCTCGGCCGTCAGCGGGATCATCACCGGGCCAAACTCGTCCCGATCCCAATAATCCCTCCAGACGCCCCTCAGTCTCTTTGGCGCGTCATCTCTCGAATCATACTGGACCGCACCGGGACCATAGAGACCGGATTCGTACGCGTCCTTTTTGTGTTTGAGGATCTCTTCGTGGATGGCGTGGGCGATGATGGGTTTCGCTTCGCCTGTCAGACCGAGCTCGGTGCAGTAGGATGCGGTGAAAGCTTCTGGGGTCATGGTAGACGAGAGGTCCCACTCGATTCGGTCTCGAAGATTGAAGGTTGATATCTGTACATCGAGCTAAGAATCGAAAAAGCAACGGGGATGAGATCTTGTTCGCGAGGTACCAGCCGCTCGCCGAACAGCTTACGTTTACGATCACCCTGCAATCGCTCTCCTCGGCCTCGCTCTCCTTCGGTGCCGCTCCCGCTTCCTTGATCTCGCCGTTGGCGTCCTTGACGACATCGACATCTCCAGGTCGATTGAACCTGACCCGCTTATGCACACGGTCGAGGTCGAAGCCCGCACCGCTTCGCTTTCCTGCAACAACAGCAGGACTGTTCGCTCGACTGCTCGATTCGCCAGGCAGGGGGGTATTGGCTCCCGTTAACGGTGTTCCCAACCCTGGGGTACTGGCCCCTGCGCTCGTGCCTCTGCTCCGCAGACCGTTTCCGACATGTTTCTCAGCGGTACCATCGGCCTCCTCTCCTTCTTCTACCGGGTTGTTTTCGATATCCGCATCATCCAGGATGTCAATGTTCAAGAGCTCGGCGTATTCCTCGCATTGTCCCACGATCATCGTAGCGATGGGATCGGCATATTGTGAGCCGTTGATGTTCAAGTCTCGACAGAGAACCATGGCAAATTCGTAAGGGGTGATGAGGCGCTCTGTGTGGTGCAGAACTGATCAGCTGGGTTGAGAAGTACGAGTAATATCTCGAAGGGGACCTACCGTTGACATTCCACGTAAAGTAATCTCGTATTCTATGTGTATCGGTGTCCAACTCGATCCGTATTGGTGCTAGAAGCACAGGCTTGTAGGCTTCCCGATCCAGTTCATCTTCACCACTCGATCTGGCATGGAGGAGGAAGAGCAAAATCAGTTGTCCACCTTCCTCCGTGTACCATGAAAGCCAAGGATGCGACTCACGCGCAAGACAGAACCATGGGCTGAGCTTGCTTCGAAACCACCCTATCTGATGGTGCCCGGTCGCCAAGCCATGACCATCCAGCTTGAATGTCCCCATTGGAGGCGTTGTCTGCTCTTCTCGATTGTTGAGCCATTCTGCGGCTATACCTGGTCCCACCCGCATCCCCGCCATCATCATCCTCCAACCCCTCGTACGCTTCATCCTCGGCATAGTTCACTCGTGTCGTCCGTCGTCTGCCTTCCGAAGCTACCGGTGTACTCGCACCGCCACCGGTACTTGGCATTTGAGAAAAGGCCGGGTTGGGGCCTCCAGTGATGTTGATGGGTTGAATCAAGGTTGTCACCCCGGTCTTCACTCGGCTCTCATAGGTCGTCCACTTGGCCTGTGATACAGGTCGACGGGCGAGGATACCCCTCGTGACTGATCCAGGTGGGACAGCTGCAAGGGGATAGCTACCACCAGCATAAGAGACTGGAGGAATGACGGTATTCTGCTGCTGGTAGGCAGGTTGAGGTGCATGCTGTTGTGCAGAATAGGACGGAGCGGGAGATCCATAAGGAGATTGGTTGTTTGCTCCTGGTCGTAATCGAGATGGCACGGCCGGCGTGTACGTTTTCAATGGAGCTTGAGTGAAAGTGGCAGGTGCTATGAAATACAACAATCAGAACGTATCAGCGATCATAGCAGAATCATACACGCCAGCTGAACCTCGAACTCACCGTTTACTACATGCGTTTGTCGATAGTCTACCGGTTTTGAAGGAGGTGCCAGAGCCGCTCGGGTGACCCTGCCGGGCGCTGGACTGCCGCGATCCGACATCGCTCTTCACAACTGAGGCAGATTTTTTCCTGTTCAAGTCCAGTCGCAAGTGATGACGGGATGCTAGATGTATTCGATGTCAGAGATACTTGTGTAAAGCAGGTAGGTAACGAGTCGAATATCGATCTTGAGAACCCCTTTTCGCGTGCTCTCGCTCGGCGACGCAGCGCGCGCCGGAGAGAGAGCCGCGCACCTTTCTTGAACAAAGAACCCGCAGATGTGCTACAGTCAACCATCCATCTTCATCACAAGATCACAATGCTTCTTCTCGATGCGATATCCAGCATCGGCTGGCGAACGTCATCATAGACTCGAGCCAGGTCTCCGTTCGACCGTCTGCCTTGTGAAAGCTCTGGCGCTGTCTAGGCCTGGATGACGATTGAAGAGGACCTGTTGCAACTATTAAAGAGCATAGACGAGGCCGTCCTCGAAAATGATGCAAGCAAGGCTTCGCCAACCACCACGATGAAGACTATCTCTGGTTCTGGCAACGGGCTGGCTAGTGCAAGCCAAGATCTTCCCAAGATGAAACAAAACCAGGGAGCGATAGGCACTGGAGGTAGTCATTCGGTACATCCCGAAAGAAACGTCTTGGACAAGTTTGTGAGTAAAGCATTGCCCACATTCGTCATCCGTGTCGAGGGAGCTCCTACCGATTGTGTCTATATGTGCACATCGAAGGCAACGGCATATATCCCGAATTGGCTACATACGATCCCACCAGCCTTGTACGACGTCCCCTTACCGCCTCTTCCTCTAGCGGTCGATCCGGGTCAAGCGGCAGAGGTCTTTCCCCTACCTTTACTTCGAGACATGTATCCTCCAGCGTGCGGACTATGCGGATTGGACGCGATCACGTCTCCCGCCATCGACGCAAACGTTCCAGCGCTACGAGACGATGCAGCCTCTTATCTGGATCACTTTACTGCATTGCTGGCGATGGAACAAGAGGAGTTGCGACAGGCGGCGGGGCGTCAAGTCATCTACGGCGTACCGATCACCAGACAATCCGTCACTTCCAGCGGACCACAGTCGAACCCAGTCATGTGGCAGATCCGAATCCCAGGGACGAGGGAAGACTCGCCACGTCTCTTCATCGACGACCGACTGCGTATTCGAGGCCTCTATCGTCCGCTACAGACCGCTACCGAAGCAGCGGTACAAGCCAGGATCACCGGTACCATCAAACGGGAGGGGCTGGTGTTTTTCGAATGCCCCTCCCTCTCAGAAATGGATACTCATCTGCGGCATCATCCTTCAGGAGGCAGTCCCGAGTACACGACCGCTTTCCCAGCTCTTCAGCCCGCGCTTCAGCAGCGGAATCATGCTCCTAGAGGAGGTCCGGAATATATGGTCGAATTCTACCCTTCGACGGATGCGCTAATTTCGATGCACAGTGCAGTCAGTCATATTTCTGTCGCGTCTCTGATCATGTCCGGCTTGCAGCGCACTTATGCGCATCTTGTATATCTTCTTTCCCAACTACCGCATGACAATGTCTGTCGGCATCTCTGCTTTAATGAATACATGATACGCAGCTACGACGGGTGGCTTCGTGCCTCGTCACGCAGACAGACAGTGCATTTCGTACTCCTACAACTAAGTGGCTCTTCCCTCGAATCGAGGACATCAAGGAGACCATGTCTCGTACCGACTTTGAGCTCAAGCCGTTTGCGAGGAGGAATGACGTGCAGTCTCTCAGCCAACCTCCGCTCAATGAACAACAAAAGTTGGCAATCAAGCGGATCGTTGGGTCGCATAGGACCGTACCCTACCTGATAGCAGGACCACCTGGCACCGGCAAGTGTTTGGTTTCCTCATCTATATAGCTCAAACCTCTGTGCTGAAATATACCCTCACACCCTTTTGCGGCCAGGCAAAACGAAGACGATGGTCGAGCTGGTGCTCCAGATCCTAATGCATCACGAAGACGCTCACATCCTGCTCACAGCTCCGTCAAATCCCGCTGCGGATACCCTCGCCTTACGCCTCGCTCCGTTCCTCGACAACAAGAGCTTGTTGAGGCTTCAGAGCTCGACGAGGACGTTTGCCGAGACACCGAACGAGGTGTTGACCTATTCGTGTATCAAGAACAATAGCTTTGTCGGTGAGTCCGAGCGTATAGCAGATTAACTTTGAAACGCTAACTGAGTCATGGATTTGCATAGTCCCTGCATGGGCCGAGCTTTTGCGATACCGGGTAGTCGTCGTCGACTGCTTGGATGCGGAACTTCTCACGATAGCAAAGGCGACGAACGCAGAGATGCTGAGGCTCGAACACCGAATGTTGCGAGCGATTGGCCGTAAAAAGGCGAAGATGTCTTTACAGGTGCACTGGACTCATCTTCTCGTTGACGAGGCGAGTTCAGGAACAGAGTTTGCAACGGTACTACATTCTGACCGAGCTTCTTGACCAGGCGGGGCAAGCTTCGGAACCGGAAATCCTGATACCACTTGCTGCGGTCATGATCGGGCCCGAGGAAGCCGACATGTTGCAAGGTCGAGAACCCCAAGTGGTGATCTGCGGAGACATCAAGCAGCTACCTGCGATCGTCACCTCTAGTCGTGCTCGAGGCCATGGGCTGGATGTCTCTCTCATGGAGAGGCTGCAGGAGCGTACGATATACGATCTGAAGGCCAACGTACAGACCGAATCCGTCAACATCATTCGCTTGGTCAACAATTACCGCAGCCACCCTGGTATCCTGTTGCTGCCAAGCACAATCTTCTACGACGATTCGTTGGAACCGGTCGCCAAAGTGACTCTCTCGCAATGGTCGGACCTCCCAAACAAGCGTCTGCCTATGCTGATCAAGGGCATCGAAGCGAACGAAGACTGGATAGACGAGGTAAGTTGGAGAACCATTCCGCCGTGGCTAGAGATGGCTAATGAATGCTGCTATCCAGGGCGCGAGCTTTTTCAATGTATGTGATTGAGCGATTCATTGCTGTTCACTTGGCTGAACGATGTCGCCTCGCCCTGTGGCAGATGAGCGAAATTGCAGAAGTAGTCAGGACGGTCAAGAGCCTTGCAACGGGTCGTGCCGACGGATACCGTCAGAGCGAAATTGGCGTAATCACACCGTGGAGAGAACAGGTCTGGCGGATACGGTTGAAACTACGAGAAGCGGGCTACCACGATATCAACGTCGGGAACGTGGAGGTGAGCAACAGACCAACCTTGCGTACCGACTTGGGATGCTGAAGCCGGGCTTGTATTGTCAGGCGTATCAAGGTGCCGAGTACCGCTGCGTCATTCTGTCATGCGTTCGCTCCCGCGACAGGTTCCTCCAGTCTGACCAGGATAACGGGATGGGACTCATCAACGAGCCGAAACGGCAAGTCTCGACTTTACCGAAAGCAAGCGTGGCCCAAGCATGGCCGATTTCCTGCTGATTCTTAGCTCGATTGGCGTTCTCAGGTTTAATGTTGCCATCACGCGAGCGAAAGAGCTGATGGTTATCATCGGCAGCATGAACTGCCACAAGGTACTAGTCATACAAGCCAGAGAGGCGTAGCTTAACTGACGTCAGCATTTTGTGCCCGCAGGCCGATTCGCATTGGGCGGCACTATTGCAGATCGCTTCTCGCCACCAATTGTGAGCTGAAAGATGACTGTTATCTGTGATACCCTTCTTCAAAACTATCTTTACACTTTTCCAGCTATATCGGCCCCCAATTGAAAGATTTCGAGGTCACTGGCGAGTACATCTCGCGCTTAGAGTACGTCGGCGCATTCTATCAGGGGCCAACCTCCAAGTCTTTACTCATCTTGCCATTTCGCATTATAGGTCCCGCATATATCCCGAGATGATGGACGGGCCCAACGACGAGTCCATGCAAGGACTGCTGATCTCTGGCTCAGTGGCGCGTGAAGCCTTAATGGAGGATTGATCACAGGTGTACGAACATGGTCGCCAGAAACGCAGCGGCGGGTGACGATTACAAGGGCTGCGAGAACGAGCCATCCTTATGCTACAGTGTCCTAGCCCGGTATACCGGTGATTCTGGACGCCATGATTACGATATATGTAGCCCGCTTAACGCTCAAACTTGGCAGCAGGTCCTTTTGTACGAGAAGATGCCATTGACGAGACTGTCGGCCCCAGAATATATGTAAGACGCGTAATTAATACGTGGCCCTGTAGCATAATCGTTTCGCAACGGAACTCACCACCCGATCGCTTGCCCGAGGTCTTGCCATCCGCCTGGAGACCGCTCCTCTGCATGGCTCCCTTGGTGAACTTTTCGGAGACGGACTTTGCATTCACCTGCGCCCTCGCTCGGACGATTGGGGGCATTCCACCTGCACTCAGGCTTGTAGGTAAGAGATGAATGGTTGTCTTGTCGCTGCAAGATCGTCCGGATTAGCCAGCCAGTCTAAATCCATGGTGGTATGGGGAGCAGATGGTGCTCACTTGACCTTGCGTTGTTTCGGTTCGACCTGCGCCCGCTTGGTCTTCCGTCGAGCCCGCCTAGCCTCTTCCGCCCTCGCCAACTCTGCCTTTCTGGCCATCAACTTTTTCTTTCTCGCCTCGTTCGCCGCCGCAGCGGACAAGACCGAGGCGGGCAGCATCATCGGTCCCATGTCATATTCGCTAGAGTCATCCAGGACCGCCGGTGTGGGTGCCTGCGATGTGGAGGTCTTTTTCGACGATTTGGACGTGGAAGGTTTGGAAGTGGAGGAAGAGGGTTTGGAGGAAGCTCTGGTCTCGGCGGCTTCCATGGCGGCTTGCATTCGGGCGTGTAGACGTTTCGTCTCTGGATCCTCGTTCATCATGCTCAAATCCTCATCCTCGTCCTCGTCCTCGTCACTCTCGTCGTCCAGATCGGCGTCCAGATCCTCATCCTGGTCATCGTCAGAATGAAACGATTCCATGTCCGACCCATCCATATCCACATCGGCATCTTCCTCGTCCTGGCTTTCCTCCTCCTGCTGCATGGCGACCGCCTTCTTCCCCTTGCCCTTTTTCGCAGCCTTTGCCGCAGCTTTGCTCGCCTCGTCTTCCCTCTCTGCGGCCTTTTGAGCTTCTCGGACTGCTTGCACCTTGGCAGACTTTTCCGCCCGGGCCTTCTTCTTGGCTTGTAACGATCTGCATCGTGTCGAGAAATATGCAAGGGATCACCAAGAGGAGACGCATGGGTGAGGGAAAGAAAGGGATCGTCAGTTAACTTTGAACGATTTGTATAGCAGTAGATAGCGAGACGCGAAGGAGAACGTACGCTAATCGCTCTTCCTCTTCCAGCCTAGCCGCATCCTTTCCCACTGCCAATCCAACTGCCTCGGGCGCGTCGTCATCGTCGTCGTCGTCATCGTCCTCCTCGCTGTCCTCGCTTTCCTGATTCACTTTGGCAGAGACATCGTAGACATCCTCATCCTCGTCCTGGTCGTCGTCTCCAAAGACCTTTTTCTTGCCGGACGAGACGGGAAGGATGGCGGCGGATTGTTTTGGGTTGGACGGCTGTTTTCGGGGCATCTTTGCCAGGTATAGATCTGTTTGTGATACGAGGCTACCAGCCGAGGGTATTATTGGGGAAGCAGCTAGGTCTGCAGGTGAAGATCGCAAAAGTACCGGTGAAGTGTGTGGACACAGAAACCGACCATGTGCTTGTTGATGGATCATAGATCGATGGATCATAGATCATAGGATCATAGGGCATTTGGCAGCTCGGCCGTCAATAATCTCAAGCCAGGGTTGACGCTACGAGTCACGTGATACATCTGCCGTCAGGATGCCGTAACGTCACGTAAGCAGGTCACGACGCAGTTCCTGGATTCTGCCTTGTTGCCCGTTGACCATGCAGCGAACAGGAGACTTGCGCTTCATGCCATGATGCATGATGCGACCATTCCTCCATGTCCCTCTTGCCCCTGGTCCATGTCGCAAGAAGTACAATGTGAAACGGGGTCGTTCCTCGCTGGGGCACGCGCAACAATCGACTCAAAGGAGGCATGCGAGGGGGTGTTGGGTGGATTCGTGTTACAGCCGCTGGAGATACCAGGATTATGATGGCGACAAGGGGGGGAGGTCTCGATCCGGATACACTTGCAAATTGTAACTCGAATGCCAATTATCCAGAACACCAACGACCCAATAGCGAGAACCGTTCGCCCCTACTCAAAGTAAACACTCGCTTTCACCCGGAAGATTAAAGACGGATCTGCTCCCGCTTCGCAGCCAAGCCCATCCCCTCCCCTCTTCACGCTAAGGGCAACCGCAATCACAGTGATCACTCGATCACTCAGAATCGCCTTTTCTTGATCGAACACTCACTCCCTCAGCCGACACTGAACGACGACACCTTACAACGCAACCATATTCATTACCCAGATCCACTATTCACTACCCTACACACATCCTACGACACGTCCTCTCCCCGAGCTGGCTCTGGATACGACCATCGTCAACGCAGTAGACACACGATCAACAACACAACACAACAACAAAAACCAACTCGCGACCGACTACGACAAGACTCGACGTGTGACGATCGCACCAACCGGTACCTCACCTCTCGACCTTTTACGATAGTCTGCTAGTCTGGACCATATAGACCTTCTGGATTCTCGGCTGTCCTCTCCGACCTGCTCGCTTTCAAGACTCTCGCACAGATCTCCAGGTCTGGCCATAACGACCTTAGCGCGAATCAGACGCAGACATCAAGACGAGGATCCTCGATCCCTCTTCCCTTGCTCTCATAGCAAACCTCGTCCTAGTCCCAATTCTTAGGGCTCGTCCTAGTCCCAATCTTCAGGGTTCAATCTTCCAAACCCTTCAAACGCACGCCTCACCGACACAAAGGAGCCTGAAACCTCCATTCCCCTCCCGAATACATCTTCCACAATGAAGCTCTCTACCTCCCAATTCTCCATCCTCCTCACCGCTTTTCTCCTCGCCCCACCTTCGGTCGTATCGGCCCTTCAATCTTCCCACCACCACGTTCAACAAGGAAGACATGTGAGGGGCCATGATGGGGTCTTGGCGAGACGGGCTGGCCGAGGTCTGAACCAGATGGGAGAGAGGGAACAGGGTTGGGTGAGGGAGAGGCAGTTGATCCAGATTGGCGGGGACGATGATGCGGATGAGGACGCCACGAGTGTGAGTGCAAAGAGGCTGTCTTCTTCTACACTGGGCAAGTTTGCTGATGTCTAGATCGTTTGGACTCCGCTCGCCGCTGCTTCCTCTTCGCTAGGCCACTCGTCAACCTACCTCTTCTGCCGCGGTGGTCAGCACTACTTCGGCCGCAGCCATCACACCTCCTACGACCTCTTCGGCCGCAGCTATCACGCCTACTACATCAGCTGCCATCCGTACCACCTCGGCAGCGGCCGTCACCCCTAGTACGACCAGCCTCAACACTCCAGCAGTCACACCTACTACATCGAGCACGCCTTCCTCTACCTCGGTGGTCGTCGTCAGCGAGACCGATCCGACCACGCAGGAACAGGCCGTCAGCTCGACCGTTGGTGTAGCCAGCTCTGCGGGGGCTAGCACGGCACTGGGTGTAAGCCCTACTGGTAAGTAGGCTTGGAAGGTGGACGATATCGACAAGAGAGTAAGAGGTGCTGACGATCGTATATATTCGTCGATCAGGCACTTTAACGGCTCCGGCAGGGATGAGCAGCTCGACCGTAGTGGTCTCCGCGACGTACGTATCACAGCGTTCTTCTATTCTTCTCGTCGATTCTGGTTTGGGTCTCTTTCCCCTGGCGTGTCCTCTTCCCTTTTTTTACCTTCCACCCTTCCTATCCTGACCCCTCTTTCCTCTCTGCCTTCATCTCGCTTCCCCTCCCTTCGTCTCTTGACCTGGTCGTGGCTCTCTGGTTTCTCGATTTGGACGTGTCTTCTGGTCTATCGCCGTGGCCCGCTGGTCTTGTTCGTTGTACTCGAACGGAAATCGGACTGGTGCTTCGTCCCCTCAAATAATCCACTCTGGAACGTCTTCTGTTCCCTCGCTAAACAAAAGTCGGCCAAACATGGCTTCCCAGACAAATGCATTGACGACGACGACGGATCCGAGCTTGACCAGTCTGGTCACGTCGACTTCGAGCCGGATACCTCCCCTCACACCCGTGATCGATGAAGAGGCCCTTACGAGGTTCATCTCTTTCTCCCGATTCCTCTCGGATCTCGAATCCCCTTGCGTGGCTGCGGGATCTAGGCTGACATTGTGCTTTCCTCATTTCGATTTCGCAGTCGCGTTTCGACCGACGCTCAAGGTTCTGTCATCTACGTCACCGAAGTCCAAACACTCTCCCGAAGCTCTCAAACCGGAGCTGTCGATCCGCAAACCGCCACCGTGCTCGAGACCATGTCGGCAGGAAATGCCAACGGCACGTCCAGCGCCAAAAACGAAGACGAAGATTCGGGCGGGCTGGGAACCGGTGCGATTGTCGGGATCAGCGTCGTTGCTGGTGTTGTTGTGCTTGGACTGGTTTTATTCCTCGTCTGGAAGCTCAAACAGAAGAGATTCGCCAGCTTTGACGATGACGACGGTGAGTCGAGAGGTTCACGTACGGAGTTGCGTCTGATACTGATTACAATACCATTACCTGAAATTGTAGCCGACGGTATCAAGTGGTAGGTAATAAGATAGCTGTCGCAACAACAACAGCCTCCTCATAAGACTGATCTTGTTGTCATCGCAGGCCTGAACTCAACCGTCACGGAGATTCGTCTATGAACCTGCCTCTCCCCGCTAAGCCTACCGGTGGACACGGTTTCGAGACCAACGCCTTTGTGAGTGTTTGGCGCGATATTCTAGTAATACAGCACAGCAAACAATACTGACACGCAACGGGTTATCCGTCTGCTAGGAACGAGGCCGGACTGACCTCGATGGCAACCTGATCGACGACGACTATGATGCCTATTCTCATGGGGATCATCACCCAGTATCGCTCGCCGGGTCCATGCACGACAACTCGCCGTATTACCACGACCCGTCGCCACCTCTTCCGGGCACAAGCATGTCGTATGCGGATACTGGCGTCTATGGAGCTGGTGGAGCTGGAGTGACTCGGAACCCTTCGACGGGGGCTGCGACATTCTTGTCGGGTCATTCAGACGACGGCGGAATGGCGCGTGGGCTCGGTGGGTCAAGGGCGTTTGACTCTCGACCTGATAGCGAAATGATGGAGATGACCGAGACTAGGAATGGCGGACTGGGTCGAAGCGGGTCAGGCAGACTGCTCTAAACGGGTGGACACCTCTTGACTGCGCGCGCTGGCCGTCTGCTCCTTTCCCCGTCCATCTCTCATACTGTCTGTAGATCTATAGGGCGTCCGTGCGTCACCTTCATACTCGCGGACAGCTAACAATAACGTTTTTCCTCGGATCCAACGATTCGCATGTATCGTCCTCGATTGTACGCCAGTGATTCAGACTGCCCCCTCATATCCCATCGGCATATCAATTGTTCACAAGATCGACTTGCGCCTATCTGTCGGTTCCTCGGCCGCGCCGCGTGTTCATGGCGCACTCGGGGCATATTTCTGGGAGGGAGGTCTTGCTAATGTGACGATAGCCTCACCCATACCCAACTTCTCTCTCACTTACAGCCCCTCGTCTCGTAGATCTACTTTCACATCAGCTTCTTGGCAGATCTGACCGGAACCATGCTTACGGACCGACTACGCTCCCAATTCATCAGCGTGCTGCTGGTCCTACTCCTCTTGCCAGCCGTCTTGGCTTTCGACTGCCGTCTCGACCTGCCATCATCAAACGGCAAAAAGGGCAAGGACGTGCACTTCGATCTAGGACCTCTGGATGGCGAACATTCGGCTAGCAAAACTACCCAGACACCCCCTACCACGAATGAAGCCAAAGTCAGGTTGAGATTATGCGGGGATGAGGGGTTGAAGCGTGACACTGAGATGGCCGACGAGGACCAGGTGCGTAGCAGCTTCAGCATGCTCCTAGGAGATCAGCTAGCTTCAAATCTGATCATGATTCTTGAAACAGTGTCCGGATGGGACGAAAGTCTGCTTGACCCTCCTCAACCACAAATCGTCGTCGTCGGAAGGAGCTCGAGTAACGGCGGTGATACCGATCTGGTCGACGGGCACGGGCGAGGATGATATCAAGGTGTCGACTAGGGAGAACGATCAGGGTCTCGACGTCAGTGTGAACGGAGCAGAATATGCAGGGTGAGTCGCGCTGAAGCTTCGTTGAGGTGGGATACCGAAGCTTACGGACGCTGAACGTGAACGTCTCTTCTGTTCAGCGGACAACAACGGCTCAAGCTACACCTCGTCTGTTCATCCGACTCGGACGACAACAAGCTGGCCTTCGACTCGTATTCGGACGGCACATTGACGATGACATGGTCGACTCCTGATGCCTGTCCCAAAGCGGCGGACGGGAGTGAAGACGTCCCGACCCCTGAAGAAAAGGCTGCCTCGAGTGGGAGCGGTGTAGGCAAATTCTTCAAGTTTGTATTCTGGATGCTTTTCTCCGGTCTGTTCTTCTACTTTGTGATCGGTACGTTCTCCCTTGGTTACGCTTGATGCCCTCGGTCACACGACCATCGTCAAGCTGACAATGGTCTACCTTAACCATGCAGGGATGTATTACAACTACACCACGTACGGCTCGAGAGGCTTGGACCTGTTACCGCACAAGGACTTTTGGATAGATCTGCCGACAATGATGAGCGATCTCTTTTCGCACATCGCTTCCAACGTCCGAGGCGGCAGTTCTTCTGGGACGAGCCGACGATCGGGTTATACTTCTTTGGGTTAAAGGGCGGACGCAATGCGATGGGATGGATTCGAACGTGATACAGTGGAATTAGATGTCTGGTAGTTTCGGCGCACGCTCGCTTGAGCGAGGTCAGACCTTGGTAGCTCGTCATGATGCGCATCATGAATTATAGATGATACAGGTTGGCGTATAATGGCTACAGCGGGTAGAGAACTGTTCAAGGAATCAATATGTTTGGACGGTGGAACCAACGCTATGCCTTGTGACCGCCCGACCCGATCCCGATGTCCAACAGCAAGTGTTCCTTGTCGATCTTTTTCAGGTAGTCTACGGCCTCCCCGACCTTGTTCAGCTCTTCCCATTTCCCCTTGCGTCCCTCCCACTCAGAACGGCTCGCCTTCTCGTCCGCTTCGAGGACACGTAGTCGGAGGGCTAACCATTGCCAGCTCTTCACCTGCGCGTCGACAGGAATATCTCGATCCAGCTTCAGCTTCGAAGCGCTTTGAGCTTTATTGGATACGATGGTTCGGCGGCTCACCTCGCGGGAAAACTCTTCCAGGTCGTCGACATCGCCCTCTGCGAATATAATGCCAGGGTAGCCGACCTTGCCGAACCCGACGAGACCGAGTTGGGACGAAAGGGCCACCAGGTTTTTGCGCTTGGACGGGGCCAGGAGGTGGTGAGAGGAGAAGAGGACATGTCCCGGTCTATACGTCGTCCGTTTCGGCGGCTGGCCTTCTCGTGCAGGTTTGGGTTGAACGTTCGGTTCTGGCTGGGTCGTGAGGCTTTGTAAAAGGGGCAAGAAGTGCTCGATAATCATCGTCGAGAGGGGGTAACCCGTCTGTTCCGCCTCGTCCCCGTGATCCCGGATGACCTCTTCCACCCACTGCTGCCACCCGAGCGCCTCTTCCCGGTTCATCTCGGTCGACCTGATCTGGAATCGAAACTTGTTCAGGGTGGTCTCCTTTGCATCGGAATGGTCCTGTTCGAGCACATGAATGCTGTAGGTGCTATCCTTGCTCAGGATCTCAAAGGTCAACTTTGAGGTCGGGGTCTCGTCCGAGGTGAGGATGAGCTGTTCGGCGGGGAGGAGGGATGCCTCTATCAGGTGGATTTGTTCCGAGATTGCCTGTCTTTCCGACATTTTCGAGAGATCTGTCGCACAAGGTGTACGTGTACAGGAGTGCTCCACCTACGGGTCTCTGAGGTTGGAACGAGATGGGCGAAATGGGTTCAAGTCATGTCTCGCATGTCATCATCATCGTCCTCGCTCGGGATATACCTCCGGCCGACTCTCTCTCTCTCTCTCTCGGCATCTCTCTCGGCATCGAGGGGGGAACCGGGGTGGTTGGTCACTCAACCATGCTCTCGATGTCAATACCTATTCCACCATTCATTGTCGATCGCAAAAGCTCTTGCAGGACATCTCTTTAGCCTCTCTTGCCATCTCATCGAGAAGGCCATGTCAAGACACCCCGTCCGTCTTTGATCCGACAGCCACTCTACGCTCCTTCAAGCCATTCCTCAACAGTCGTTTCATCCGGGCCGGCCGTTCAAGGGAGACTTCGATCAAAACCTACCAGGAAGTTCTCTATACAATCAAGACTCCGGTATATCTGGGTAAACATCATTCTCAATCCAAGAGGAGAATCTTCAAGAGTTCAAAGTCGAAAAGCATGGGTCTCCTCTCTTGTTGCGGCGTCAACAAGCTCGCGGAAGAAGCTCGACTCCTCAACGATTGTTACCCTCCATCAAAACAACTCGTCCCCGTGGCCAACGACGACCTCAAGGCATCACAAGATTCGTACAAACCGTTATCACAAGAGCTGTCCAGGTTGACCTATTATGCGAGCAATAAACCGGGGAAACTTCATCGGTTGGGGAAAGAGCTCGAGGTCCGTGCGGCGGGTGAGGCTAGGAAAGCTTCGACGGGGAATGTCAAGAGCAGGATGTGAGTCGCAAATTCTTGCAAATGGATGCGATTGTTGCGACAATCACAACAACCAACTCAACTTGAACTTGATCTACAGTTCATTCATGATCTCCCTGGCCATCTTGAGATCGCTATTGTCCGAATGCAAACGCGACGTCGGACTATTCGCGACCAGCGTGGTCAACATCCTGGAAAGAGCGCTTGATCTCGCCAGCAAACCCGTGGCTGGAGGAGGACTTGATCTCGATATCGCCATCCGAGCCGTTGGTGTGGTAAGCAGACATATCCTGTCAACTTTTGATCTCTTGTCCCCGCACCGACACTGATGTACGCGATGTCCATTCCGCATCACTTGCAGTTCACCTCGTTCGCGACCTATGTAGACGGTGCAGCATTCGCAGCGGACGACTCGACGCTTACCTCTTACTTGGCTGTCTTGAAGAGATTGGCGGCTCTCGCAGTACAGCCAGATTCGGTCAACGCGCCCGTCACGAACGAAAAGGGTACCCGAGATTTCGAGACTAGGAACAGGTGGGCCGAACTATATGCTCGAGTTCGACCTAGGAGACAAAGCTAATACCATCGGTTCACTTGGATTCCTCACAGAACCCGTCTGATCGGCCTTGCCGCGCTCTCTGCGGCGGTGCAGTCGGACGTCTTTCATACGAGCCTGTCCGACTTCAGGCAACAGGCCGAGATTGTCTTGCCGGCTCTGATGCAGAATCTCTGGCTCGGGGATATGGATGATCTCAAGCTTCAGTAGGTCCACTCTCAGAAGCTATAAGATGTACCGCGTATTGAAATCGCCATCTTCGTCAGGACTGCTCGGGTACAGATGGACTTTTCTCCTTCACCTTACTTTTCCGAGTTCTCGGCCCGTCGGCCTGCCGCTCAGCGGCGTGCCCCTTCTCTGCACACACATATCGTCGGTCAGAAAGGTCCCACCACCGCCGATGTCATGGGTGCAGCTCTGGGCACGCTTCGAGAACTGCTGTCCGATTGCCATTCGTCGCAGTTGGCAGACGCACTGGATGTCTCCCTCTCTTGCATCGATCGAGGGTTCCCAGAGTCTGGATCTTCGGCATGGGCGGACGAGGAGAGGTGTTGTTGGCTAGCCGAGAACATGACGAGGTTCACCATGCTGCCATACCGGTATGCCATGTCGTCGACCTTGCTCGAGAGGTTCATGGTCGATATCCAGCGGGTCCCGGTCATGCGGCATCAAATGACCCTCCTCAAGATGCTCGAAACCATCTGGAGCGCGGAAAAACTCTCGCTCACCGGGTTTTCGCCTTCGGAAGCCCTGTCTGTGCTCTTGTCAGCCATCATCGCTAGGCTCAAGCTGGAGAACCAGGATACTCTGCTGGTTCCGCTCGTCAACTGCATATCCTCCTTGTCGACTCACGCATACTACGTGGGTCAGGCGGACGACATGATCGAAGAGGTCATAACCAGGATCTCGGAGCTTCAGATGGCGGGACCTAGGCTGAAACGCGCTCGAAGCCGGAAAGAGAGCACTGCGAGTGGAGCTTCCACTCCCGCGGTCGTGGGGTCTTCTCCTGTCAACCCCGCCGATGCCGAGACAATTCGGATTCTCGTCACCTGTCTTGCCAACATTCTCCTGGGCAATTCGGACGTCGACTTCGAGCCCGGACACGAAGTTCATAACGATACTAGCAGTAGCATCCACGTGGACAAGGGGAAAGGTCCAGCGCGCGTTGAATCGAGAGCGTCTGTGAGAAAGGGTCGAAGGAACCCCGTCTCACCGGAAGTTTGGCAAGAGACCCTGCCGCTGCTGTGCGAGAGCAAATTTGCCATCCGGGCCGAGTATGCCAAAGCCCTCTTGCTATACCTTCGTCAAGAACTACCTGCATACCAGACTTCTGACCTAAGGTCCGAGATACAACCTCCGATGATTCGATTCTTGCACGCTCTTACTGCTACGCTCTATTCCCTGGCAATCACGTCGCGCCTCGGATTCGCTGGTCCTGCTCTTGCCCTCGATGGCTTTATGGACAAACAAGATGTGGTGAGCGACTTGCCGACTCCTAGGGTGCAGGTCGAAGCGCCTACGCCAGGTCTATCTACTCCGCACGAATCGAACCCTATGGAAGATGGTCCCAAGATGACACGTCGGACGTCAAAGCTGGTCTCGCTCCCTTTCAACAGGAATCATTCCGGGTCTGGCACGAATCTGCCCGTGATAGGTCAGATATCTGAAGACACTGCAGGGCCTCTGGATTACCTCATTATACAGGAGATCATGTCTACCGTATTGGAGTATTCGCCTCGAGCCGGTCTGCTTGTCATGGCACCGATGCTTCTAGCGCTCGACCGTGATGCGGGGACTATTCTGGTCCGAAAGACGCACGACTCTAGGGAAAACATCTTTATAACGGAACGAAGGCGCGCCTGTCGAGAGCTCGTCTGCTTCATGTGGCTAGAGTTAGCAGAACAGGGCCAATTGGACGGGCTAGCCCAAGCTATGCGAGAGGTGAGCATTACATTCGGGCCAAAGACTAGAACATTCGCCTGACTTGATACACAGACCCGACGCAACATGCCAGAGCCATCTATGATTCCGCAAGGCTCTATGCCCAAAGCGGCATTCGGTCTCTTTGCCCCCAGCGAGATGTTGACCTTCCCGCCACTCTCAGCCCGAGGAGAGGGCTCCACCGCGTCACGGCCCATCGCGCATCCCGAACTGATTGTTACACAAATCTCGGAAAGCACCGCGATGCAGAATCGACTACGGCTGGACCGAAACGAATTGTCGGACCATCTGGCAGTCCCATGGACCTTAGAATCTGCGCTTGCCAACTCCATCGAGTTGCCTATCGCCAACCTGCTAAGGTCCACGAGCAAACGATCTCTGAATATGAGTCCCATGAAGGGGTCGAACTATTCCGTCGACAGCCATGATGGGCCTGGCACGTGGGGAGTGGACGTTGAAGGTCTGCGTGAAGCCTTAGGTGAGCACTTTAGCCGACTGTTGGTCCAATCAACATGTGCACTAATAGTTGTTGGTCGCAGGCGCCGGAAATCGACCACGATCGAAGTCCCAATCGAGATCAGCGACTGCGTCCGTGGATGGTTCGGCACATGGCCAGGAAGTTCGCAAGATGCATCCCGACGATGCCAAGGTCAGTGGTTTCCTAGCGGTCTGAAGCCGAAGCCTACGGCAAAGCTGAAATCAACCGCTCCATTGTGAACAGGAAATCCTGAAGGACATCTTCAGAGACCGAAAAGCAAGGGCGTCACATGTCTCTGTGCAAGCATGATTCTCATCATCGCAGATCATGCATTACACCTTTCGTCTCGCCTCCTCCTCTCTTGTCCGGAAAAACGATAATTCCGTCTGAAGCCGAGGGTGGCTAGTCCGCCCGGGACCCGTCGTCAAGCCTCGAATAATATCGTCGTATATACCGACTAAAAACGAAGCTTGCTGTGGTGGACTTTTGATCTTTTGGCTTTGAGTGATTGCTAGTCGGCTTAGTTCTGTCCGCAGGCGGTTCATACTGCACAATCGGAATTGAACATTATAATCAGTACCCCTGCGGTGCGGTGTACTTCTGAAGATACCATCCATAGCATACCTTGTAAAGACCATGGCTTCGTCCTCATCGCTGCTGAGCGCAACGATATAGGAGAAGAAGTCTGCATATCTCTCGCAGACTTGCCTGACTGTCGAGTCTTTCGGCCCCTTGTTCAACATGGCTCCAAATCCGCCTCCAGCAGCAGCGTCCGCAAGCTTTTTGACGCTATCAATCTGCGCAGTCATCTCCTTCTGGAAGATCGGCCACATCGAGAGTTTGAGTCCCATGCATATACCTTCCATGGGAATACACCCTCGTTGATTCGCTTCTTCCATGGCTGCGTCATTCAGCCGGATCATGGTGAGTAGCGGTATTGCAGGCGGTGGTGCTAAGGGCTCGGCGATGCTATCGAAAAGCGCCTACAGTACCCTCTGATCAGATCTTCAAGGTCCCGTCTTGCGGCCGTGGTTCTGCTCACCTTGCAATATTCGACTGCCGTTTCCATGACCTGCTTCCAAATGACCTCTAGCAACCGCAAAGTCTCTCTGGACGGTTCTGACGTTCCCTTCCGACTAGATTCTGCCGGGGGAGTAGCCGTTCCGGTGTCCGACTCGGCATCACCATCTCGCATGTTCATGCCCAACCCGTCTGATGCCCCAGATCCGCCCTGGGCACTCGAAGCCATGCTAATAGCGCTATCTTTACGTGTCAAGGCAACGGAGCGAAGCGAAGGACTGGCGAGCCCAATGCTGACGACCGAATTCGATCGCGGAACGGCAGGGCCTTTACTAGGCCGGTCTAGCGTCGCAGCAAAGAACCTGACCAGGAACGTGAACTCGGATGAGGCGTTGTCGAGGAGCACCAAGAGTAGCGACCGAAAGACCGCTTCTACAGGTTGTATCTGTGGGAGCCGGGCGACATGAGCTATGATCCGGGATATCCGGTTCCGTCCAAAGTCGACCTCACAAATGCTTTGTTCTCCGCTTGAAATCCCAATATCACCGGTTCCTCGTCAATCTTGGCAAACTTCAGCCGATCAAGCTTTTCTTCAGCCTTCATCGCTGGTGTTTTGAGCTCGGCCCCGTTGGTAGATGGATCTGTGCGTCCGGGTAGACGACCCGACAGCAGCGTTTGTGCAGCGTCCGATATTGTTGGTGCTCCAATCAGATCTCTCATTTCTGTCGAGCGCGCCTGTGATGCGCTGACCGTCAGCCTTCTACAAGGCTTCCCCGCAAGCGTTATTCCAGAGCTCACCTTGACCAAACCCAGACTTCTTGCGTAACGTCTGAAACATGTTTCGTAGTACGCCCTGGCGCTCACTACGTATGCCCGCTGTACCTCTTCCGCTACTTTCGGTGCGTGTCGATGCAGAAACTGAAAGAGCGGCCGATATTTCAATAGTATGGTGGTCTGGACGACTTGTATGTTGGTCTGCACGGAAGCTCTTAGAGGCCGTATCAGGCCCAGCATATGTTGTCGTATTGACACAATGGCCTACGTGCAAGAGATCGTGAGTCTTTATTGATAGACGATGTACGCCTTGCCTACCTCCTACGACTCACCTTTGCCTTCAGGCCCTCGACGACCATAGCAACCTCATGGCTCGCCCGTACTTTCCCTCTTGCTCTAACCGCCCATATCTTCTGCTCCAATTGAGCGATCGCTGGTATCCATTCGGTATTAGGTACAGTGTCTCGGATCAGGTAGATGAGTTCTGGCGGGATGACCAGCGATTTGATGAGGGAATTGAGAGGTTGCGCAATGGCCTGCAAGGTAGATTTGAGGGATTATCGATGAGCAGGGTCCTGACGCAATCTGAACGCAACTATATCTCACCCTTCTGCCTTCTAGTTGACGATCGATCGCTTTGCTCTTGCCTTGAAGCTCTGAGATCTGCCCAGACACCTCTGACAGGTCGCTTTGGAATGTCGTAAGGAATGACGAAAGATTGTTGAGAAGCTCCTTGCTGGACTGTCAAAAGTCACTAATCTTAGCCCGAAAGAAAAAGTTGTCTTGCTTCACGGAAGGCTCACGGCTATCGAATGATGTAGCTTAAGGTAGTCGTCTATCCGCTTCTCGGCTGTAGTTGGCATCTGATATTCAGTTACGTGCACACTGGCAGGATCACATCCAGAAGGCTCACATTGCTCGAGCGCTGCTCGGTCCTGCTCCAACTCTTCCTCTGTCTCCTCGAGTATGGAGTGATCATCCTGATCTGTCTCATTTCCTTTCAAGTCGTCATGTTCAGGCTCGGCTGGTAGCTTGGATGAGGAAGCAACCGGTTGCTATAGGAAGACAGGAGGTGCACTTTAGTGTTGATGCGAATCGCGGGCTTGTGAGGCCGGACTTGCGCGCTGTTCTTCCATGATGCCTCCAGCGACCACCAATCCCACGCAGTATGCTTATCTGTGTTAAGACCGACACAATAATGTAAGAGGGGTGACGAGTCTTTGGATGTAAAGGTTGCCGAGGTTGTCGACTCCCCATGAATGCATGATGCTCGGTCAGATCTAGGTCCCGCTGGTGAGCGGTCACCAGCGGTGTTACGTAATCTCATCATGACACCCGTTTATATCCACCCTGGACAGCGTCGACCTCACTCTGGGTACCTGCTCTATGCTCTCATCCCTACTCATATATCCATCTGCTTGCTGCTCGCACTTGATGTCGAGATCGAGTAGACTCATAGCCCATATTGTAGAGTCTGCGGACCACCAGCTCATCGATCATAATCTTGCACAATGGCGGACATGGAAGTCGACGAGCCTATCGTTGAACGAGACGAGGAAGATGTCGAGGGCGACGAGGGCGACGAGGTCGAGGGTCTCGACGTCGGTGAGGCCGATGATGCCGTCAAGTTCGTGGAGGACGAGGAGTTCAATTCCCGGACTGTCGATGCCGATGTGGCTTGGTTACTCAAAGTAGGGAATCTTCGTCCGCAAACTGAATCTCGGAATGCAACTGATCATGTTCCGTCTCGCCGACCCCTAGATACCCAATGACCTGTATGAGCGACTAGCTCCTATCAAGGTTACCGATGAAGCCAAAGAGGTCGCTAAACTGCGGTATTACTCAGAGTGAGTAGAGATTCACGAACGACTACCACAAGCTGGTCCCTTAGACGCGCTGGTTTTAATGCTGATCACGATGATGCTCTGTTCTTTTTCTTCTCAGCGGTACTTTCGCCTTCATCCTGCCCAACGAGGAAGCACGCGAACAACCCGTAGCCTCATCCAGCAAAAATCCTGCTTCTCAGACCGCTTCGGGCACCGAACAGGAGGAAAAGGAGATTACATACGATTTTAGGGAGAATGTCATCCCCGCCAAGTCGTCCAAATGGATGTACTACGAGGACGAGCGGAAACATCGGTACAGCGGCCGAACGACCGAGCGCGGTAAGCCGCTATAACGCAGTACGGTAAGGTTTTTTTCAGGGGCGCTGATGGATGATTCGTGACAGCTCGACCTCGGCTCGTAAGTAAAGTCGGCAGGGAGTTCACTCTGGCTAGGAAGATGAGCGCAGCGGCATCGACGAGAGCATTGAAGGAGGCCAACCTGAGAGAGCTGCAGAAGAAGAAGTGAGTAGTAAGACGGTTTCCTAGTGGATTCCACCTGTACTGATTGGAGGAACTCGTCCTCATCTCAGGCGAACACAGTTGATCGGTGATACGAATCTGACCAAAGCTCAGCAAAACATCCTGGCAGGAGGAGGGCAACTCGAAAGCGGAATTGTACGCCCATATTGTCAACTGATCAAGACTCTTGTTCCATGCTGACCTCCGCTCATCGACCTATCACAGATGCGTAAAGCAACGGAGAAGAAGCTGGAAAAGAAACCGGTCAAAGAAAGGGCTTACCGTATCCTGGCTCAGAACCTGCAAGACATCTTGTACGAAGAGTTCAATCGGTACAAGTACTGGAAGATGAACACCCTGCAGGAGCGATTGCAACAGCCTACTTCGTGGATCAGGCAGAACCTCAAAGCTATCGCTGTGCGAGAAGAGACGGGGCCTTACCAGAGTAAGCTGTGGCGCGTCTCAATTTGTAACGATCTGCTTATTGATTTATCCGTACCCAATATCAGACTACTGGAGGCTGCAAGACAAATTCAGCGCTGCGCAGGGAGAAGCAGAAGATGTCGGCGGGGCACCCGAGAACCAGGATTATTCGGATGCAGCCCTCATGGCGATCAAAAACGAGCAGGTCGACGAAGCCGACGGAGATGGCGACATGGACGAAGAGGACGAAGATCGGAAACCCATCATCGGGCAGGATGGGCAGGCGCGGTCCGCATCCCAGATCGACATCGCAGAGTTGAGCGATGCGGAAGATGACGGCGATGAGGATAGTGATATGGAAGAGGTAGATACGTGATCGGCTATAGCGATTGGTGGCTTTGAGAATCGCAAACACATCTATATCCTCGTCATGACAAAATGCAATATACACCCTATGCTCCAGCTATCGCTGATCAGGAGCCAGCTCATACTCCTCCGCCGCTGTTCTGGTATCATCGTTCGGTCTGGTCCAGGTCCCTGCTCGATTGCGATTAAAGATCCGGTCCAAAAGGTTATGCACGCCTTCCGTGGCGAGTTTGACCCGGGACAGGGCTTCTTCGAGTACCACCTCCAGCCCTGCGGCGTTCTCATCCAGGTTCCAGATGCCGTCTCGCCAGTCCGGCGCAACGACCTGGGCTTGGCGATTCTTGTGTGCATGTTCCACTGCAGCTTCATGTCTCAGAACATCCTTGACAGTGACTAGCCCCAAGAGTTGTCCCTCTTGAGCAACCAGAATCACCCGAGGACTGGTCAGGCAAATTCGCATCAGCGACTGTCCAATCAAACTTTCTCTTGAATTCAGGACTCACCCCATTCGTCGGAACATTTGCATTACAATCTCAAGCGGAAGCTGAGGAGACACGTTCAAAGAGGTCTGGAAGCGTTTTCTAATCAGCAAACGGAACGTCGCTCGCGCGTCAGGTGAACCCTTACTTGATCGACATGCCGTCCCAAGTCGACGTGATCCGCACGCGTTTCAGTGGCTGAGCTACTGCCGGGCCGAATGTCATTCGACGAGCTCTGCCGGAAGGTACAGATGACATCTGCAGACGATCCTCTTGTCATGCGAATCTTGTCTGTAGGAACATCGAGACCATGAGCTACTCGCGCAGTTTTCACTAATTTGAACAGACTTACCCAATGCATATCCCAACTCGGATTTTCGGATGAAGCCCAGAATGGTATTATCCCGTACTCCTTTGACAACAGGAAATCCTCGATAGCTAGTAGTTTGCAAGATTTCCTCTGAAAACCCGTTCTAGTCAGCTGGCTGTATCTTGCATGAAGTGACTGCAGGAAAGCTTACCGATTTCCTGCGTTTTCATCCCGTCTGCTCTCATAACGACTATGTCCCGCTTCATCACGTTGACGACTATCGAAGGACGATTTCAGCAGCTGTTACAGGGTAGACAAGAGGCGCCTGCACGTACTCGGCTCGAGGTAAGAAGCGTCGCCAGCTTCCTTGTCCTCTTTCTCAAGAAAAGGAAAGCCGTTGAACTTGATCATTTGGTCCGACATCCCTCCACCACCAAAGAAGTCGCTAACTGCCTTGGTGAAAAGCAGGACGATCTGTAGAGCAGAGTCGGAAGTGAGCTCTTGTTACGGCACAAAAAGCTGGATCCTCGCTCACCATGGTGGGCAGAATGTAGGTCAAGGCACCCGTCAACTCGAACATGATGACGACGACGGTAACTGTGATTCGGGTGATACCGCTGCACATCGAAAAAAAAAAGATGTAAGAGTCAGTCTGCAAGCAAATGTCTGGTTGAATGATTTATACGAACCCTAGAGCAGCAGCCGCCCCCAAAAACGCATATGTCCCTGGGGTAATGCAAGGCTGATCTGGTGCGCAGCTGGCAAAGTAACTAGCTTCCGGGTTGGCACTGTTCCGGAGAGAGTACCGTTCAGCACATGATGGGTGACGAGCAGAGCAGATCTAGACTTACAGATACATAGCCTTGACGATGATCCCAACCATCCGGCCAAAGACAGCTCCCACAGCCATTGACGGTACAAAGATACCTGCCGGTACCTTGCATCCATAAGACAATACGATCAAGAAGGTCCGGATGATCGTAGCGAGCAGGAGAGAATTGACCATCCGCCATTGTGAAGACGACCTGATTGTGTCCTCTTGGGTAAGGCGGGGATCCCGATCATTGAATACCTTCATCAAACTCACTGGCACAATCCTGAATAATCACCACCACCTTCACACTCCTTGAAGAGGATTTCGAGACTTTCCGTCATGTCAATCCTCAGGAACCGATTAAAGTATCCGATCATGGCGGAGAGCACGGCCAAAAAGACCGCTTCGTAGATTCCGTGTGTGGCTAGATTCCGACGTCGGAACGCAGCGACTTGGAGGTTGAATTTGATGACGAAAGCGCCATACAGTCCCTACAGACAGAGTCGGGCACACTGGAGCTTGTCAACCACAAAATATCACGGAAAATTCGCGGAATCTACTCACTCCGAACACTCCGATCAAGATATAAAAGGGAATCTCGAAATAGTGCCAGTCCCGATCGTACGATACTTGAAACAAGACGAGCTTGCCCGTCCGGAAAGGGTTCATGATCTGAGATTACCGTCCTGAATTTTAGCCGTGCCCATCCTATCACCTTCCGATTGCGAAACGACTCACGGACAAGGTAAACGTCGCCACCAAGGCGCATACGAAACTCTTCCACATGGTCTTATTGGTAAAGTTGTGACTCATCTCTTCGATCGCAAACAAGACTCCGCCGATGGGCGAACCGAAGGCTACGGCGACTCCTGCAGCACTGGCCGCCGTCAAGATCTCCCTCATCTTGGCTGTGATCGTTCATGTCAAAGCTGATCAGCGATTGCATGCGGATCGAGCGCTAGCTGGCGATAACTTGCCGTGACTAGCCCTGTATTTGGCAAACATCCCTCCGACGACGCTACCCACGCAGCACGCGACGTGTACCGAGGGACCTTCTTTCCCCACCGACAACCCCGATCCGATCGCAAGAGGCTACATGGCGAGTGTTCCCGGCTCAGTATCCGAGCGCTTCAGCACTTGCAGAAGAATTACTCACCAGAGTCAGACTCTTGATGGCCAGTGTCCAGATGCTGAGGAACCCGTTGATGATGAATCCACCTAGGATACACTTGATCTCGGATATACCCGACCCGGCTGCATAGGGAGCGAACGATTTGACGAGCTTGCCCGCTGAATAAGAGAACAGGGCCTGTAGTGGATGCGACATTGACGTTTTTCAGATAAGCAAGCATCCTCCCCATCAGGAGCTGAACGAGACAAGACGCTGCACTCACCGCGAACAAGACGTAGGCGATATACTGGAACGGCTCGATCCCGCCCCACGACCTCCATTCTTCACAAGCAGCCCCTTCGGCCGAGATCTCTGCGCAACAGAACTTTTGGGACAGCCACCATCCCGTGGAGCAGTATCCCAGTTTCATGTCCGATAGCCAGGCGGTGACGATGGAGATCAGGGCGGCGTTGAGTCCGATCAAGATGCCTGCGAGGATGGACGGGAAAGGGTTAGAGGAAAGTTCAGTCAGCCTCCCTGATCTGTTTAGACTGTTCGGAAATAGACTACGTACCGACCAGGGTGACGACGACCCAACCTTCCCCCTCTTCCCCCAATTGGGCCAACGCCCTGTAGAGGTACCCGACGATCCCGGGGACATTGCTCATCCGCCCAGAGAAGGAATTCGGATCCTTGGGCAGGTTCTTGGATCGGAGATCTCTTTCGTGGAGTGAATCCTCGATCCAGTCTGAGGAATTGTTATATCGCAGCTGATTAGCTATTGCCGTGTGAGGTTAAGGGATAATATTCTATGGTCATTGGACTTGCCCACGGTACTAAAGTCCTCGTACCGTCTGCGAGGAGATGGTTAACAGCATCGTTTCAGCGAATTCATCACGACTCCAACAGAAGCGTCAGACTAGGAACATGCTACCTACCTAATCTCCTCGATCTGCGAGGCATCCTCCCTCTTGTTCGCTGGGAGATGCAAGGGCGAGCTCGTCCGTCTGATAATGGTCGGGGGTTCGCCGAGGTGGCTCACATCGCGGGACATGGCGGTAATCCACGAAGAGAAGCTGGAACGGCAGCCGTGTCCTCCTCGCCGCGAACTGTGTAAGGTCGTCAGGTGATCAAGAGATCAAGAGACTCGATAGCTGGTTGCTGTCGTGTGCACCCTGTGTGGGCAGATGTGACTGGCGAGGTCGTGCTTGTCCCCCGAACTCTTGTCCCGGAAGAAAAGGGTCCGAAGGAAGTGATTGTCGGAACAAATTCGCTTCCGATCAGGGCAATAAGGATGCATGATGATCGTCTTCAACTAAGTTACTGTACACACACAAGCTACGACAACATCGCATCGCATCCACACTCGATCTCGTCTCGTCGACAGACTTACACAAGTCATCATTCCTATAGACTTGAAGAGAGATACGGGAGATCGAGCTTGCCACGATTCGATACCACGGCGACCATGGCGTCGTCCATCTACAATCACCACAAGTTTGCCCGTGCCATCCTCAAAAAGTCAAGAAAGTCGGAACCCAGTCTGACCATCGAGCTCTTTACCGATCATTGGAAGTTTAAGAATTCGGCAAGTAGTCGAGAGACGGGCGAATTTCAGTCCCACCACAAGGCTAACCTTTATGAATTGGCTCGCTCTCATAGGACTCGATGCTCGCATACGATGGACCGATGAGGGTCAGCTACGATCTTCCGTCCACTTCCCCCTTGTCCGACCCAAGCTAAATTGTCATTCTGACACCTCACATCGCAGCCATTCTTAGTAGCTCTTCGAGCGCAGACAATCCCGGCGTTCCTGGTCCCCTTGATCCTCGAACAGGAACCCCCTATCACCATCTCGGACGGCTGCCTCATCGTCGAGATTCACGACTATCGGCCGCCGACCAAGAACCAGGGGGACGAGGTCGACCGGCGAAAGATGGGGACCAACGTCTTTTCCAAGAATCCCTTTCGGAATTCGAGATCGGCGCTCAACGGAGCTGGGCTGGGTACCAGTGCCACGATGGCTAGTATCGCCGCCGTGAGTTCTGGGACAACGACACCCCTCGGACTACCAGGTTCGTCAGGGATGATCAGCAACCCCCAGGCTTCCGGCTCTGCTTCGGGATCCGGACCAAGTGGCGCGTTGGGCGAGAACCCGGGCGAACCGTCTTGCATCCGTAATCGAGTGATCATGAAACCCGATTCCGAGAGCCTGTACGAGACCTTGTTGTCGATGCATCAGACGTGGAATCGGACGGCCGCAAGGGAGAATCAACCTCCGCTGGATTGGGACGATGCGTCCATTCTCGAGTTGGAAGCGCGCATATTGGCGAGTCGCACGTCGTTTAGCATTACTCGACTTGCTTCCTAACCTTGTAACCCTGTCTGCAGGCCGCAATTGCACCTCCCCTCTGTCTCGATACCTCCTTTCTCACTGCCCGAGTCGCCAATCTAGCCTCTATCCTGACCGTACCTAACCTTCCTCACATCGCCTCTGACGGATCCTTCATCTCTCGATCCAAGCGCCGGGAATGGATGTACGGTACCGTGGCCGACAAGGACGACGAATCCGAGGTCGAGGACGAGGTCGTGACGGCTGCAAACGCCAAGGACAATGCCACTGCTGCGCAAGAAGCCGAGGAGAATGCGCGCAAGGCGTCGGCTCTGAGCAGCGCGGCGGTGGTGGAAAAGTTGGGGATCGGCAAGAAGGATTGGAACATGTTGGTTTTTGGTACCAAGAAGAATACGGCGACGAGTCTCGAAGAGTGAGTCCCGCCGCATTGCGGTCCCCGAATATCTCTGAGCCGCCAAGGTGATGTCAACTGGACTAACTATGATGTTGTTGCGACGTAGTGCCGAGCGGAAACCATTCGACGACGAGTTCTTCTATCGACGTCAGTCGCGGACCCGGGTGGATCCTCAACAGGGTCGACAGGGAGATGCTCCCTCTGCTGCAGCAACGCCTGGGCCTCCCGAGCGCGATGTACACATGAGGGATGCTGGCGGGCCAGGGCAGACTAGGAATGGAGATGAATTCCCACCCGGTAGGAACAGTATTGATCACGGGGACGGCGGTGGTCCCGGTGGCGGACCCGGTGGAAATGGTGGAAAGAGGCCCAAACCTCGAACCAAGAACAAGAAGAAGAATGCCGAGGCCGAGATCCCGGAACCTATCGATGTGGACCAACCGGCCAACGTAATACCACCACCACCGACAGGTGAGACTGATGCTAGCGGCAAGAGTAAAGCCAAACCGAAGCCGAAAGCAGGAGGAGGAAAGGCCAAGAAGAGGACGGCCGAGGAGATGAACCAGGAGAACGAAGGGACCGTCGCCGGATCGCCCATGACGGTAGACGGGTCCGTCGCGCCCACCCCTACAACGGCTAATCGACCCAAGCCAAAGAAGCCTACGAAGAAACAGCAGGAGGCTCTGGCCAAACAACAACAACAGGCGGCGGAAGATGCGGCTGCAGCGGCGGCAGCAGCAGCTAGTCAGGCCGAGCCCCCGAAGAAGAAGACGAAAAAGGCGCAAAATCAGGCCCAGGGGGGGAATGTACAGGGACCTCCTCTACAAGCTGGTCATCTCGCAGGACCCCCGTCTCATCAAGGGCCAGGATTTGTACCTCCCGCCGGGTTCCCCAATGGAGGTCCCGGTCTGGCCCAATTCAACGGTATGCCCATGGGTCTCAACATGGGCAACATGAACGTGCCGAATGGGATCTCCGAGGACGACTTTCTCGCCGCGGCCGAAGCGTTTGGTGCGGGGGGTCTCGATCCATCGATGGGCATGGCTCCGATGGACCAGGCTCAGGCTCCACCGATCAACATGCCCCTGCAGTTTCAGCCTCAACAAGGGTTCGGCGGGTTGACCGAGCACATGCAACAACAGCTGGCGATGATGCAAAACGGTCAGAACATGTCTCGCCAACCTGGTGGAGGGCTTGGACCTGGAGCTGGAGGGGGTCAGTCGAGAGCTCCAGGGCAGTGATCATGCAGCAACCATGGCTTTGACGCAGAAGCGACTGGGTGGTCTGTACTACAGCGCCCTCCCATTGCTCTTTTTACGAGTTCGAGTTTACGACATGCGATTGTATCGATTCCTTACGCAAATGACTATGTACAACACGAGAAAACATTCTTTCTGCTTGAATTAGGTTGAGCGGCAGCCTAGTCACCAGTTGGATTGTACTGTATGCAAGCCGCTCAGTGATACGGTAAAGGCTGAACGCCAGGACGAGAAAGCAATCGAGAGATGACCGAAGGGCGCATGGAGGATAGAATCCACGGAAGGTGCAGGTATATAGCAAGCTGAAGTGGTGAAGGCGCTGAGATGTGAGGCAGTCTACATGGCCATCTCGGCCTGCAGCGCTCGAAGTTGCGCCTCTTCGTCGTCTTCCTCTTCTTGCCGTTGAGCCTCTGTATGCACGGTTGTGCACAGCAATGTCAGAAACAGTCAGTTAAGCCATATCCAGGGTCACCCAGGTCGAATCGAACAGCTCATCCGGCTTACCTTGCTGATGTGAGACTCTCGATGGACCCGCACTGACGGGAGCGTGCACCGGTGCCCTCTCTGCACCAACCAAACGCTCGTTCAGCTGTTCCTGCTCTAATTCCTCTAGCTCGTTCTTCAATTCGTCCTGCAATGAATGGTAGAGCACAGACTATTAGCTCAAACTTGACGTGACGTGTACAACTAGTGGGACCGCCTGTAACGATCTCTCTTCGCAACTGGAAATCGAAACTCACGTCGTCCACCTCGATGCCCATATTGACAGGGTTGCTGATAGCGTCCGAGATCTCGTTCGAGAGATCCATCTGTTCCCGGATGGATTCCATGGTCGCATCGACCTTGTTGATGTTGCTGCGAAATCACCAGGTAGAAAGGGAGTAACCGGACGGTCAGTCTCGCTGCTCGAGCGGTCAAGATACGTCGCTGTCTCGTCGCGTGTTTGGCGATAGCCAGACCAAAGAGCGATGTAACTCTACACGAGCAAACGTGTACGTACAGACTCCCATGGATCCCCTTGAGCGCATCAGCTCCCTTCTTCATGGCGACCATGGTCTCGGCGTTCAAGTTGGCCGTCTCGATCGCATTCACCTGGGCTTCCAGCGTCAGTCGGGTCCCGGCGATCCGGTTGAGTTCGCCTTCGTAAGCTTGTTTCTGCCGGAGTGCGGCGAGTGCCACTGAGGGTTGACAGTAGGAAATGATCGGAGGAAGAGGAGGACGATATAAGAAAGGGGTCAGCGCGGGGTTTCAAGCAGACACAGTCTGATAAGCCCGGTCGATTGTGCGAGTAGCAGGCCTCTAATCAAGTACTCACATCGCTTGTTGGCAGTCGCATTCGTCTTGGCCTTCTTTAGCTCCTCTTCGATCTTTTTCTGCAAGAACTCTTCCCGCTTATCAAGAACGAGGAGTTGTGACCGGAGACCGACGATGCTATCGCGAGCGGATTGACGGCTATCCTTGGGCTTGCCGGTAAAGTATGACATCCATCCAGACATGATGGGCGTGAGGTATGGTTCAAAGCGACTTGGGAACGAGGCAGTTTCTAGGCGTGAGACGATGTAGCTGTCGGCGGTGGCAGTGAGATGGTCAAGGTCGCCAAGTCTAGTTGGCTTGTCGACCTGCAAGTTGCACTTGATCGGGGTCCTCTCCATCATCATCATCATCATCGCTCGTCGTTCGCCTCCGAGGAGCCCATGGCCCTGGCCAAATGCATCCGAAGGGGAGGGTCAGCTTCGGAAGCAAATGATGCGAGTAGCTGATGGCTGATGGGGTGGGTGGCTATGCAATTCCGATGGACCGAGTGTATTTCAACAGTCTGATACGAGCACATTCATCGCCCTGTCGAATCCGAACATTCTTCAATCCCACATCCTGGCAACATGTCCAGACAATACTCTCAGTACTCCCAGCCGGCGTATCAACCGGCCTCGCCGGGCGGGTACCAGGACGATCATCCCACCTCGCCGCCCCCTCATCAACAACATTATCAACAACAACATCAATACCATTCAGATCAAACAAAGAGGTCCAGCCGTTACGACCCTGACCCTCAGGAATATGACAACCCGTTCTACTCGTCAGAACGTCGGTACGAGGAGGATTTGGACGCGAACCGAGGTTATACGGACGATCAGTTCAACGTGGCCTCGGATTTCAACAACCAAGGGCCAAGGTATGGCGAGCTTTACGGTGGACAGAGTCGGCAGGAGATGGCACAACTTGCGGCTGGAGCTAGACCAATGACTTCGTGAGCCCAATAAGGTTCGCTTCTCTTTCTCGTTTGGTCCTTATCAACCCATGCCTCCTACGAACAGGTACGACCCGCTCGCTCGACCGAACTCTCACATGGACGAACAGAGTCTCTACTCGACCTCGAAAGCGGGCGGAGGCATGAAGAAGCCTCTTTTGGGGGAAGGAAACGTCGGAGGGACAGGTGAGAATGTGGAACTCGTCACTGTACCTGCACTCGGAGCCGAGTGAGTTCCTTCTCCTCAACTCGATCACGACGGGCGGCGAACTGCCCCGTTCGTCACTGTTCGCCCCCCTTTCATCCTTTCATCCCGCTCAGTCATCCCTGATTGCAACCTGTTCTTGCTCCTCCCGAACAGATGGTCAAAGAACGAACTCTACTCGCAAACTCGGAGGGCGAAACAAGAGGCTCGAAGGGAGAAACGAGGCAAAATGTGGAGGGAATGGAATCGGGATCAACGGGGCTGTTGCGGTGTCGGATGGATGACCAAGAGGATGTTGGTCGTCGTCACATTTGCCTTCCTCGCTGCGTGAGTCATGACCAGGCTTGCCTGACCCGTCTTGTACAAGGAATAGCTTACTGATGGATTCTCTGCGTTTTGTGGGATGGGGTCAACGCCATTAGACTCGGCGTAACATTGTACTTTGTCATCCCGAGAGCTCCCAACTTTAGCTTCCCGTCCGATACCGTCTTCCTGGCCGACGAATCGACCGTCGGATTTTCGAGGACTCCGGCTAATTTCTCGTTTACTGGTGATATCCGTATGATTGGTGAGTACTGCTTCTATGCTACGCAAAACCCGTTCTCCCGGTGGCTGAGCTCCCCCCTGCATTGCTTTTACCCAGCCGACGCTTCCACTTCGTGGTTACCCGTACATTTCAACCACCTCGAAATCACCGTGCTCGACATGAATACCAACAAGAAGATCGGCACGGGGGATTGGAAGGACAAAACGATCGGACGCAAAGGTCTACACTACTTGAGTTTACCGGTCGATTTCAGTTACTCGGCTGTCAACGCGACCGACTCGACCTGTGAGTCATTTCCGATGGCGCGATCGAGCGACAAATGGGCTAAATTTCGGTCTCATGTAGGGTCTGGCATGTACAATGCTTGTGGACATCGGTGGACAGGTACAGAAAGGCCCGGTAAGCCGGTGTGGCGTTGAAACAGGTAGCTGCCCCAATCGTTCGTCACGGCTGATCGTCGATTCCCCAATTATCCTGCGTTGCAGATCTCTCCTTCCGCGTGACGCTGAAGATGAATATCCGGGGACTTGTTGGAAAGCCAACGGTCTCGCGGCTGGCGACTGATCTGGAATGTCCTTTCGAGCTGCCTTCGAACAGCGTCTGAGGTGTCGGGCGAGATGTCATTTATTGTCGATCGGAGTCTTGGTCATTATACTGCATCTCGTACTGGTAGAATCATGATGGGCCAGCGTGGTTTCGTTAATTGCGTTGCGGTTGGTTTTGGTATTGGTTAAATCTCGGTTTTCTCGTATTCGGACCGTTCCCCCGAGAGCGCTTGCTGCTTCGCTTCTGCTATCCATGTCTTGAGCGTATTGTGGTACTTCTCGAAACATTCATCCTCCAACTCGGTCATGCAAGCAGGTAGATCCTCTTGTGACAGTATCTGCTTCTCTAAAGCAGTACGAGTGCTTTGAACGATTGCAGCTAAACGTTGAATTATCCGAGCGAAACCGTTGGGTGCGTCTATGGGACAAACCAACTACCAGGCCAATGTAGGTAAGTGTTGGTCCTTTGATCGCTTGCTCTTGTGAAATCAAAAGCATACTTACCTTGAATAGCAAATTTTCCCAAGCCACCATCTTCAAGCTGGGATCTCGTAGGGTAGTTTGCAGGGTCTGCAAATCAGCTTGAGTCATCCGTGATGGGTGTGCAGCCTGTAGAAAGAATGAGTGAGAGGTCGCCGGCAGTAAGACGATTTGAGGTAAGCTCACTTGGTAGATGAACACGTATAGGTCAGACTCGAGGTCGTCAATGAAACGATGCCGCTTCTGTTTAAGTTTGACTTCGCATTGTGCGCGTTTATCCAGCAGGAGTAGGCGCTCTAACTCGTCATCCGGATTATCCGATAGACCTTGTAGTAGTGATTCGGTCTCGTTGTATTGGTTCAGATTTCGATCCGTCTCGAGTACGGCGGTACATAAGAAGTCTGGGGTTCCAGAACGTAGGTCATCTGCGCACAGCCCTTCCCAAGGGCCGGCGAGGCACGGGTTACGCCTCTCGTTCTGGAACCTTGCGTTTCCATAATCGATGAGAAATCCGACTATTTTCCCTCTGGTCTTCGTGTTGTTGTTCCCCTCAACTCTCCTATAGACGACGTTGCCTGGGCTGGTATCCCGGAAGTGTACATCTCTAGTAGCATTGTACCAGTGCTGGGTGGATGTCCCGAGATGTACCTCGCTGAGCTCGATGATGGTAAGAAGCTCTCGATCAACCATTTCGCCGATCGGCCCATGCATCCCTAGAACGACAAGCTCGAGGTGCTCCAACGGCGGAGCAAAGGCGTTCTGACTGCCATGCAGCTCCGGAGGTATCTGACTAGTTTTCATATCGGCGTCGAGTAGACCAATCGAGGTCGGTAGATGTTCGTAAACTTCTCGCTTGGTGTCTTCGTCGAGCTTAGCAAATCGGCTGCTCGGCTTGAACGCCTGCTTCGGATCGAGATGATCAAGCATTTTGTGCTCGTGCCATCGAAGGCCCGGTGGGAGCCAGGCGCCCTTGATGACAGTTTCGAACGGGTCGCAGTCCGGTTGGCCCGGACTTTTGTCTGCGCAAGTCATACCTGTCCAAACCGCAGTCCGACGACCGAAAAGCTCTGCGTCCCGAAAGATTTGGTTGAACCCTCCGACCCAAAACCATCGTCGCTCTGAGAAGCTTTGTGTACCTTCCTGCAGGACGTGTGACGCTTCTTCGTCGCCCGTATCGCTCGTATCCAGCACCTCGAGGGTCTCGGCACCTGGAGATTTCGACGTCTTGGTTGACATCGTCTCTGTCCTTTCACCTTCGAGTACTCCCTTTGAGCTGGTCTCAACCGCCGTATCCGATATCCGGGTAGAGAATGACTTGACATCCGGTTGCCAGCTTTGTAAGACGTTCTGTGATGGGCCGATAAGGAAGGCCACGAGTTTGACGATATCATAGAGATGATCCTCGTTAGCGATGTTGTACAGCCGGGTAGTCGAAAAGGAGAACGATTCAGTAAAGTATAGGCGAATGTAGGTCCCTGTGATGGTGGCCGTTGTGACACGACCAGCTATGGCGTTGTTCCGTATCAACTCGTACTGATCGAATATGATGAGCATCTTTGCCATCCAGAGGTCCGATCATAAACTTACACTGTAACGTAGCGTTCGAGGCACGACCTTGTCCATGCCATTATTGGCATATACCTTCATCTCCAACGTTGGCCTCTTTTTCATCTCCAGCAACATCAGGGCTTGTGCATGAGTCAGCTTAGACAATTTGGGCGGTTGGGCCGATTTGGCTAGCTTGATCTTCTTGTTGGGGATCGATACAGCCTTATCATCATCGTCTTCCAGGACTGTGACCAAGCATCCAATGATCCATCAATGCGCATCCATGTTAAATAGACTCAGAACGACTGACGTTTGCGTTTCTTGGTATTGCCCGAGGTGACCGGGTTCACAACTTCGCAATGACGTTTCTCATCGTCCGCTGGGACCAAGCGGAATGGCCGCTTGAGTACCATGTCTGGCTTGTGCGACTGCCTTTTTGAAATGGAGTCCTGCGGAGTGTCCTCTTTATGGGGCAAAGGTACTTTGCCGCAGTCGCTCCAACGAGGTTGCTCATCGGACGTAATCGTTTCGCCCATTCTTGATCTGAGCTCCACGGTGATCTCCTCTAGCATGTTACAGGCGCTTTTCGAAATTTCATCCTCATGAAAGCTACTTTGGCGTTTTGGGGCGTTCATAGCCAGGAACTTTTCCCTACTAGAACCTTTCCCTCGCTTCAGCCATTCTGTAGTATTGAAGATCGCCTCCGATAAGGCAATATCTTCTGGCGCGATAACGAGGTCCTGGAAAGCGGGATTGAATCTCGATAGAGCGGTTGTGATCAAATTGTCTTCGATCTTCGAGGATATGTGTGAACGAGGGCCACTCGAACCCGGACCCAGTCCTTTAGGGGGCGTCTCCTTCGCTCCGTATCCGCCTGAGCGTATACCAGGCATACTCGCTGACTGCATGTACTGGCCGTCCGGGTCGTAGCTATGCCTAAATCCTATCTTCTGCCAGGACCGGTAACGCTCGACCAAGAGAGGGTATTCGGGCGGTATTTTTTGCAACTCGATCTTTGCCTGGCCCCGATCCTGTTGAAAATCCTCCTCTTTAGCTGGAGATGCGTTCAAACGTATCCAGTAGGGATGACTCCCTCCTTCATCTTGCAGCGCTTGTCTGGAGACAGTCTATGTGGCCTTATGGATATCAGGTAAGGTAGAAAGATTGTAAATGGGCCAGGAGAACGTACTTGGTTTAACGATACGATACGTTCGGCTGCCCTTTCCACATTCTCTCCTTTTGATTCTCCTTCTACGGCATGCAACGCGGCCGCGGTCGCAGGCAGACTTCGCCCGGTCTTAGTAGGTGTCTGGTGTGCAGAGCTCATCTCACTGATTTGCGGTTGCGGCAGAAAAGACATGGAACGTGCTGTGAGGGGCGAAAGGTTCATACTTGATGAAAGTAGCTCGTCATAATTTCATCTAAGAAGCGACTAATGATAGCAAAGCGACTCACACTCGATCGGTTCTGCTCTACTTTTGCTCAATCTTGCGGGGTGAGAGCCTCGCGCGACGAGGTTGCGAGCAATGTCGGGTTTCGCTTCCAGATATCGTATCTCGTCGTATTCCTGGGAGTAACTATTCGTACGTCGACGGCAAGGGATACAGAATAAGTCATGTATCGACAGGGACCGACGTACAACCCAAAGGTAGTAAAGGACAAGGCCGAGATCACTGATCCAACAATGAGCGGGCGACTCGCATCGCGATATCTGTAATCACGTGACCTCTCACTACTAAACTACTAAGCTGCTAAATGCTACCATCTTGCTTTCAACCTGAATAATCGCTCCAAATGACAAATCCCGGAAAACTCCTATCCTCGATCTCCTCCCGACATTCCGCGGTCTGTTCAGAGACGCTCGATCCGTCGATCCGTTCTTCAACCTCTGTTCTCCGCTGGTCCGGCGATCCGGAGCTTTCGATTGTCTCCTGCACCCTAACAGAACCCTCTCGCGATTGCGTCTTGTCGATATTCCCCAGAGATTCGTCTTCAAAGGAAACGATTGTATCCGTCTCTTCCCTCATTCCCTCGTTCGCGTCGTCCATGTTGGAAAAAGTGGAGAGTCCGGGGTGAAATGCTGGCCGAATTGCGGATAGTGGCTTTGATTCGTCTTGAGGACCGGTGTTGGTTGATTCGTGTCGGGTTTTGTGACGTTGTTTAGGCTTAGGTCGGTGATGCGCTACATTAACAGACGACTGCGTAGGTACGTCAGGAAAATCAGGCTACAATGCCCAAACAATGTCAATCCCGCTGTTCAATACAAAGGAGGACGCCGATCAGAGAAGAAGGCCTACCTTGTCCGGTCTTGTCAAAGTCAACGTAGCGCGGTCTTTCGGTTGATTCTTGCCTCTTCCATCCGGTTCCGGTCTGACCTTGAGAGTGGTGTCGTTCAGAGTGAGAGAAGATTCCGCAGGACATCCCAGCGACAATCCCCCTGCATCGAGCTCCGTCGAAGGCGATCGGGCGGCTGCTTCCAGAGCGTCGATATCGATGCCCATCGACGCCTTGGGCGCAAAGATGGGTAACGAAACGACCGATTCTTGAGAGGGTCGGAGGTTCTCATCGTGACTGGCTGTCGATTGGGACGAGACGATGTCGGTGGCACGATGCGCTTGCCACATGAGTTTGGGCGCGGGAGGATTGTAGACAGGCATTTCCGAGAGTGGGGCATAGGTCTGCGTTTCGGGCGACATGGCTCTGTCTTCGGTGTGGTAGTCATGGTGATTGAAGTTGTAGGACGGCGTACGTATCGGAAGAGGAGGAGAGAAAACGTCATTGGCGGGGATCGGGCTTTCTTCTTGAATGATAGGCATCGTTGGCTGGAACGACATTGCAGGAGCCTTGCGCGCATAGTCGGGAAACGTCTGGGTTCGAACATGGGGTCGACCGTATGGCAAGCGAGCCGCTGTGGAACTCTTGCTAAGCGGCACTTGGAAGGGCAGGTGTGGATGAGAGGTGAAAGGCGGATGGTTGTGCTCCAAGGAATACGTTGGTCCAGGATTCTTGAAGAACGCCGGCGAGGCTGACGGTTTGAAATGAGCAGAGGGATAAGGCGAGATGGAGGGCTTTCGCGTCCAAGCTTGTCGTTGGACGGTGTGGGCAGTTTTCAAAGGTTTCGACATGATCAGAGGTGAGCTGTATCGGAACGGTATCGGGGATCCAGAAAGATTGGTATAGTTGAAGCCTCCCGCCCGCGCCTGCGGAGCGGTTTGGTACGCGCTCGAAGGAGAACGGTAATACGGTCCAGTGTCGACCTTTCCAAATTGGGCTTGATAACGATGCTCTCTCGACGGAGGTCTGATCGTCGGTCTCGGTTGCATCGGAGTAGAATAAGGGTCGGGGCTGTATAGGTCAGGCGATTCGTAGCGAGCTCTTTTGTGTTGTTGGGGCTGTGGTACGTGTATAGGAGGAGGCGTTTCGAATTCTGAAGATCTGGGTCGTTTGACACCGGTCATAGGCACAGTAGCGACATTGAATGGGTGATCGGCGTATCGCTGTTACGATACAGACGTCAGTCTGACCAGACTCTGGACATACTTCATATTGAAGACTTACAGTAGGGGTCGTCGTCACAGGATGTACCTCGACTCCATTCGATAATTCTTCTTGATCATACGTCACTTCAGGTTGTTTGCGTTGATATCCCCTCGCATCCCGATCTCGACCTTTATAGATCTTCGGTTTATGCCGGCTAGCCATGGTCTTGTACCTCTTTCCTCGAGAAACGTCTACACGATCGAGTCCAGCCAAGCCGTCGAGGGTGGATTTGTTGCTTGAACCGGCCGCGTCATGATAGACTTCTCCACGTTTGCGGCTGTGTTACATCGCAGTTGAAAGCAGTTCGAAATCAGAGATTCTGGTGAGAGCTGGCCGGTTCGCGACGTCATCACACACTCACGCTTTCGCCTGAGCGTTCGCAGCAGACAGGCTGTACTTGGCCGGTCTCGCAGTTGCGGTCCGGCCGGAATACCTCATCCTATCGACCTCGTTATAGACGGCCTCCTCCCCTACACGGACAAGGCCGAAACGTCTAGTTTGATGCCGAGGCAGAGCCAAACTCGTTGCTAGTATACGGGTCGCCTGATGGAGACCTGAGAGGCAGTGCGAACCCGACCGGATATCGAGAGAAGAGATGACTCCCGGTGGGCAGTAAGTATGTGAGGTATCGACTTTGGTAGCTGGTAGCTGGTAGTGAGAGTGAAACTTGGAGCTCATCAGAGAGATCAGAGAGAGAGGAATCGATCGTTTGATCGGATGAAATTTGCTTCCGCACATGCCACACAGACAGGGGGAAGAGGGGACCCCACGAGTTATTTCCAGATCGAGGCCTGACCCCTCTCATAACTGTTTGCACAATCGCACTCCAGGTGAACATGAACATCTCTCGTCCGCTCGTCCCTATTCACCGGCCCTGTCTCGTCCATAGGTTCTAGCTGGACAGCGACATCATGGCCTATTGACCGGTCAAGAACGGACGAAGACGACCACCGCGGTCCAGATTCGAAGCCTCGCAAGGCCCGACCGGGACGTTCGACCTCGTTTCCTCTGCTCTGAACCACCTTGCAACGGCCTCAACAGGGAGAGGACCGAAGGACCTCAATGGCAGGCAAGGTTCTCACCACGCTGACCGAGTATGCTGTACTCGTCCCTGCCTCGATGTTCGGGGTCTTGGCGCGGTTAGGCCTGGTAGCCGTCTCACAGTGTCAGTAGCTTGTACTCGCCAGTATCCATATCGGGGCGATCTCGAGACTGATTCTCGCTGCTTGGACAGATCCGGGAAGCGCCGTCTTTCCACTCGCATGGGCTCAAGGTGTCGGATGTGCCATCATGGGCACGGTCATGGTATGGAAGTCGTCGATATCAAACATGTCAGTCCATATAGCCGTACTTCTGCGATTTGGACCGTGACACATTGGCTGACATCTGCATGGGTTGCCTCTTAGTTATCCTCTACTATACCTCGCACTAGCAACAGGTAAGCTGTGGATCCAGCAGCTACAATTCACCGTTTCGAGCTCATACTGAGAAGAACACTCGTTTCCCGATTAGGCCTGGCTGGATCGATCACCACCTTCTCCTCCTGGATGCTGGAGGGCTATGAAGCCTTTGCCGACCTAGACGGTACCGGGCGCAGCAGGCTCCATAATGTGTGTCCGCATTCGCGTTCCCTTGGTTCGAGCCCGTTTATCCGCTGAGACTAGTTGATATCGGCAGACCGTCGATGGGTTGGCCTATAACATCGTGACCGCTTCGATCGCTCTGGGGGCCTTGCATCTCGGGAGTCACTGTGCCCGTACCCTCAGCAAATTATCTCGCAAAGTACACTCTGGATCAGGCTCGAAAGAGGAGTCGTCCGAGACCTTGGGCAAAGCATCAGAGTCGAGCTCGCAAGAGGGACGACATTTCGAACTCTTCCACAAGCTAAGCATCGTCATCGGAGCGCTCTTCTACGTAGGGGTGTTGCTCCTCTACTTTCTAGGACCGCATTCTTGGCGACATCCGGTCACCTTTTCGCTCCTCCTCGGGCCTCCTGGTACGATGCTTCGTTACGCCCTAAGCAAGCTGAACACCGGTACCAGGCTCGAGGGCAAGTTTCCCATCGGAACCTTCTTGGCCAACATGCTTGCCACAGCCGTCCTCGCTGCCGTGTACGTCGGTCAACGAGCGCCGGGCAAAGACGGTCAGACGCCACATCTCACTAGTGTGGGATGTGATGCCTTGTACGCGTTGGAAGAAGGGTTCTGTGGATGTCTGAGTACGGTCAGCACCTTTGCCTCCGAATGGACCAGTATCAAACGGACGAGGTGGAAATGGTGTTATGTTGGCGTCAGCGTTGTGCTGGGACATCTCATCATCATGGCGATAGTCGGCGGTGTGAGCTGGTCTTCAGCGGGACTTGGACCGCAATGTATAGGTACATAGGCGAGTGTTTTACAATGCAACTATAGCAGGCGAGACAAGATCTCGACAGTATATCCCAAGATATTTCGCCAAGGGCATATTTCCAGGTGAACGCAGCATTCTTGGCGTCCTGTATCGAGAAGCCTTACCGGGATGAACCGATCGTTCGTATACCGCCCAACGTCACTAGCCCGAAGCTCATGTTCCCTGAGAAATGTCGGTCATTCACATATAAGAATACAACTTTTGAGATTCAATACAACCCCTGACCCGGATCTATTCCATCGTCCGCGACCGAGAACCAGAGATTTCTCGGCGGTCTCGATCGGCTCTGCTGGGGCGTCGAGACGTTCCGAGGCCGCAACTCGATCGAAGCTTCCGACTCTGCATCGATGCTCGTTCTGCTTACGGGCCGAGAATCCCAGCCGAGATCCAAGGATGGTCGGGAAGAGCTCGTGCTGACCCTAGCCTCGGGGCCGGCCGATCGGTTGAGGTGGTTTATGGACGTACTTCGGCGCACTGCGGGCCTGGTCGATTCGGCACTCTTTCTCGGTATGGTCTGCTTGCTACCAGCTTGAAGCGAGGTAGGCAAGACCCTCTTTATGAAGACGATCTCGCCAGGAGGATGATCAGGCGGCGGAGGGTCCGAGTCTAAGCGTATCAAAGGAGGCGCAGTGGCCCGGTCTTTCTGACGATAATGACCTCGCGGTACTATGGTCGCCTGGCCAGCTTCTGGTCCTCGAATGACATTGCCTCGAAGGCAAGCGTCAAGGGGGACGAGTAGTTCCGTCCGTAGGTGTATTGGATCTGATGACCACAGTTTATTGGCTTTTCGTAAGGTGCCGACCTAGCAAAGTGCGAGGTTCAGACGTGAGCTGGATCCTGAAACGGAGCGATTTCAGCACGGTCCCACCTCGATGCCATATTTCAAAGCTACAGCCATGACCGAGTCTGTCGAAGTGACCTGTAGTATATCAAGTTATACATGAGCTCGTATTCGTCTGGACTGATATCGGTCATGGTGCCGAACTCACCTTGTGCACGATGACCTCGATCATGTCGATCGCCCTTCCTTTCCCTTTGACGTCCTGATTCGTCGGTCCATCCGCAAGCGGACTGCCTCTGTGAGAAGCCGCAGCTTCTGCCACCTCCTTCTCTACGACATCGGTCAACCGACTGAGACTCGGTCGGCTTTGCGTCTGATAGGTAGGTCGTGGTCCCAAGACCCCTCCACTTCGAGCCCGGCTGGACGACGGATCCAGAGGATGCTCAGCGGGTATCGCATCAAACATGCTCGACCAGCCGTTCATTTTCTCGTCGGTCTCCTCGGTCTCAGAGATCTGCTAGTGTCCGTTTCGGAGCCATGGGATGATTGCACTACGGCTGGAGCGTCCGGGCCCTTTGACCAGGGCTATGGTCAAAAGAAAACGCCGTCTTTCCAACCTTTGAAGGGGTGCGGGATGAGTACGGTGATATCAGTCGGTGCTGATCAGTCTCGCTACAGTCTGTTGTATGCGATGGTGTATATGTGAGCTCTCTTGTGATACAGAATGGGAGCTTCGAGTTTGGGTGAGCACAAGATCGGAGCCTAGCTAGCTTGCTCGGCGGATGTGACCGTTGACGTAGAAGAGCATATTCGCTTTCGAGTCTCACGCGTTTCCCCTCGAAGCGTTACAGATCGGACACTCTGATACGCTAAAGACCACGGAGTGATAGCGTGCTCCCTGGACCAACGGGGTGTTTCAAGGCAAGGATATACATATAAACCCACTCAGCAATCGCCCATCATTTGCTCCGAACATACATCGCTTAGCATCACAGGAGACTATAATACAAACACAAACCCTCACAGAGCTCACACAGCACACACGCTCGTTACCAAACTCACCTCGCGCCCCTTATCGATCCTACATTACCTCATCGATCATGCCAGATCGAATCAGCCGATTCGTCGAACACCTTCCCGAGCCAGGGGACGAATCGGACTCCGAATCCATGTACCAAGCTCATCAGCCGACGCAGGCCTTACCCAAAGTTATGCCTAGGCTAGCAGACAGCGCGTCTCGCACCTCGTCCTCAACATCCACGAGCAGTATACGCTCGTACGCTATCCGGTTGGGACGATCAGCCAGGAGGCGGTTCTTCAAGATCTTCCCCTCGAGCTCGGTTTAAGCGCTCTGAGCAGGGTTTATTGTCTCCAGGCAAATCCTCCCTCCGCCTGCCCCGTAGCAAAGTCTCGATGTACACGATGTCCATGTTCTCCCGCACAACCGTCGTCACAAAACTTTTGTACAATTGTCGTTAATGTTCGCTCGTTCTATCCTTTGCAATCAAACCCTTGACGTGACCCGTCTTGACATAGAACAGCCGTACGGCCTGCCACAAGTCCGGCGTCATCTCCCTCTCTAGCATGACGGTGACCAAAGGGTAAAGCTGAGGTAGGTATCGCTCAAACTGCCAGGAAGAGTCAGCTTTGAGTTATCGGTTGAACAACGATGCAGTTGTGACTCACGCTTTCATCCTCAAAGTCACGGCAACCTTGTAAGATCTCGGCGACTACCGGTGTCCAGGCGACGATGTTTCTGGGCTGAGCCACGGGGTCAATCCCGTTGAAATCCCTCATTATCCGAATCCCCAGACTGAGCACCAGATATTTAGCTATGCCGACGAGTATGGGAAATAGAAAGCTCGCTTGACTTACGGGATGAACTGCTCCAACACCCCTTGTCGACTAGCTTGGTGATCAGGTCGAGGATCACGGTACATTCGCAACAAGACGTTGACGAGGGTAGCGGCACTGCTGGACTCTTGCTTGAGCAGGTTTGGCAATTGCTTCATAAAACCTGTCACGAGCATAATGGGATAAGCGTGCCTTGCGCTGTCTGAGACATTCATGACTCTACGTACCGACTTTCCAGAGAGCCATTCGGAGATCTTTGTCGGCGTTGAACCTTCGTGCAAATTCATAGCTGTCGTCAAGAGCCGTCATGAAGCGCAAAAGATGCTTGGCAGGGATCGTGTTGTAAACGTCGTCATTCTGGAGAAGCTCGTGAGTCGTCTCGATGAGAAGCAGTTGCAGTACGCATTTGACAATGATTTGCTGAAAGATCCGTCTTCGAGCGGAAGCCGTAAGCGGGCCGAGCTTTTCCGGCGCATCGCTGAAAGTGGCCAACGAGACTACAAGGATAGAGTCTGGTCAGTTGAGAATACATGGCTAGTCTTGAAAGATACCGACCTTGCGCAGCAGCCTCGCCGCCATCCTCGGGTAGTGTCGTCTCTGCTCGAAGCGTCTCGTCGAAGAGTTGACGGGCGGTCGTGGTAGAGAACAGCTGTATGAAGGTTCCAACAACCAGCTCCCATTTCTCCGGACTGAGCTTTTTCACATTGTCCTCCAAAAGCTGCTGGAAACAAGCAGTACCGATCCGCGCAAGGGTATCGTTTTCTGTGATCGATTGCCCGCTTCAGTCGATTTTCGTATTTCACAAATAGAACCGCGAGGTCTCTCACCTTGACAAATACATGCGCAAAGCAGGTCGAGCAGCCCTCCCAGGAACGCCTGTAATGTCTCGAAGTAGACCGTAAATAGCTCAATAAGGCTCCGAAGCGCTGAAATGAGCGTCGTCGATAGCCACACGCTCATGGCTTCCTGCGAAGCGAAGCGCGATATGTCTTGCTTTGACCGCAGGACTCCAAAGATGGGGAACAACACTTCGTCACAGATCCGCTTCCAGAATTCGATCTTGAAGTTTCCTCCATGCTGTTTTAGCACTCCGAAGAGCGAGTCCAAGGCCCTGTTGGGTACGAGGAATGAGCGCGGATCGAGGCATAACATGCATCCGAAGACTTACATGCGTCGAACTTCGAGATCTTCGCCCGTCATGATGATGTCACAAAAGCTCAACAACACCGGTAACCAGTATTGTGGCGTAGGATCCTCCGATTCCGTCAAATCTTGATCGGCGTCCTTCGACGATTTTGACGGCGATTCGCTGAGCAATTTCGGTACCAGACCTTGCACCATGTGGATGGCTTGCAAGCTGACTTTTTGGAACTTTGTGACCTTGCTGAAGTCGGTCAGGCAGGTTGTAAAGTCGCTGATCGAGCCATATCGCAGAACCAGCTCGAATTGGTCGCGATATATTGATGTCACCAGCTCGAATGCATAAGTTACCACGCGTTCTGTTCCCCATAGTGTCAGTCTCGACTGCAACGGCGCCAGCTACTTTCGTCTGCTTACCTGTCAAAACGCGCGAGGCGGCAGAATATACTCGGAACATGGTCTGCCAACCAGATCGCAGGTTGTTTACCCGAGCTTGCAGCATTTGTTGCAGACATTGCAAGACCTGTCACCGGGAAGATCGCATGAGCATTAGGCCATCACGAATGCGCACCGGCCAGGGTCCACTTACCATCTCGCGAGCATCAGCGTTCTGGTTCATCGTCATGGTGTACTCGAACGGTCTCAAGAAGTCCTTTTGAAAGCGGAAATGCGCCAGCTCTTCCTTCTCCAAAAAGCGCATCGACAGCTGTCTCAGAGCGTCCAGGCCAAAGAAGCTAACGTTGGGGTTGTTGTGACAACAAACCTGATTCGGCGACCCGGAAGCAGGCGCACGTCAGCGAGACATATTGCCAACCTTAGGTATTCAGCACTTGCCTGATTGAAATGAACCCCTAAAATAGCCCAGATACCTGACCACTCGAGACGAATTCGGTCCATATTGTAGTAGGCGATGTCGACCAGCTTTTGAAGCGAGAATAGTCGTGGCTGAGCAGCTGAGCTAGAAGACTGAATCTCCTCCCATGAAACCTCGCTCAAACCTTTGACAAAGTCCACAATGGCAGGCTGAACGCACAGAGCTAATCAGGGATCCATATGACCGCTTCCCCAAATCTTACGGCACTCACCCCTGATAATTTCCTGCTCAGAGAGAACACCATGTCCGCAGCGACGGTCACCTGTGTCGAGCGACCTTCTTCCGCAACATCACCCGTGGGACCCTTCCTTTTGGGCATTGCTGATTTGGTAGATTGCGTCGAACTGGTGTAAGGAGTTTAGCGCGATCCTTAACGCTGAATACGCTTCGTCTAACGGCTTACCTTCGACGATTCAGTTCCGGAACATCGATCCCACTCGAGATGAGCTGCATCCGCTCGAGTTGACTGACACAAGTCAACACATCCCGCCAAGATCCCTTGAGGCGATCTCCGTCCGAGATGGCTATATCAAGAAGCGCTTTCATTGCCTCGATGTGTTTTGGCTTCATCTCTGCGAGATTATTGAGCAGGGTAAACTTGGACAAGGTCGAGACGAAAGCGTTCCGCTCCAGTTCTAGGTCGAAAATCCCGGCCACCTTGATTGCCTGTTTGAACCCGTCGAGACAGATGACCACCACGTTCATGTCGTCGCTTTCTTGCATGGGGGCTGAAATGGCCGCCAAGAAAGGCATCCAGGCGACCTCGAACATTGGTTTCACATGTTCGAGGTGCGATGCGCTGTAAAACAGGTCGCCTCCCTTTGCGCCTCGTCGTTGTTGCTTGACGAGTGACTTGAAAAGTGCTTCCGTCTTGTTTACCATGCCCTCGGATTGCAACACATAGGCCTCACGCTGAAGGTCCCGGCCAACGTTCGCTATCGTCGATGCGAGTCCTGTAGCTTGAGGTGGCGGTGCCAACTCGATCTCGTCCTTCATCTTGATCTCATTCTTCTGTATCTCATCGTAGATTTCCGCGAGTAGCTCTTCGGGCAAGTCCTGACCGTCGTTGATCCCTCTATTGTTTTTGACGAACTCGGCCTTTGTCATCCGCTTGGACTTTAGGTTCGGGTTATGGGCATCCGTGTTGAGCATGATGACGGAGAAGGCAAGAATGTAGGCGGTGTCTGCATTGGCAAACACCGTCGACGGGTTGTTTGCGATGTATCGTTCGGCAAATTTTAGCACGAAGCGATCGATCTTTTGCGCCTCGCCTGGCAATCTAAAGGTTTGCAGGTACTGCCGTACTGCATCCGTGAATTTCGCCCCGGTGAAGTCGATCATGTCGACGAAGGCATGCATGACTGCGATATTACCGGGATCACTAAGAGAAGCAGCATATATAGATCAGCCAAAAGATCGAGATGTAGCTTGAAGGTGACGCACCCATCTCCCAAGTATTCTCCAATCTGAGCCTTGCTTAGACCTTCGGTGTGCAGTAAGAACTGTGCTATGCTCTCGGGCCTCTCATCTGTAATGAATCCATGCTGCAGCATATATTGGATACCCTAAAGTGATACGACGCGTGTAAGTTTCGAAGGGACTGGTGTAAGAACCCCATCAATCCGGCTCACCCTTTTCGGTTTGAAGTTGAAGTCACGAATCCCTTCCATGAGCGAAGTTTTTTGCTGACGAGCCGACGCGAATCGCTCGGGATCATCCCGGATCTGCGATTCTGTCGTGCCAAACCCTCCGACCGAAGCGACGCTCAGACGGTGGTCCGAGTGAGAAGGCCGTGTCGTCCTTTCGCCAGCATCGATACTCTCGTCGGCCTGAGGAGGACGCATGATATTTGTCCACTCGACCAGCGATCGCAAGATGGTGATGACCCCGTCGAGAGCTTGTCTGCGGATGCGCTGCTCTGAACCAAATCCGGCATACTTGGCTGTAATCTTCGAGTCTCCTACGGGCGATATGGACGACAGTTGCGCGGTTTGTGCGGCCATGAAGGTAGCCAGCTTGGAGTCCGTCGAACCTTCTTCTGCTTTTGATTGCAGCGGGAAATGAGCCTGTCCGAGCCTACCGATGACGTTGATGAGCCTTTCGTAAATGTTTTCCACCGAAGAACGGTCGCAATCGTAATTGATATAGATGTCCACCAGCGCTTGCGGATCTTGACACAAACGAAGGTAGGTGGAGAGCAAAGACGACTTTTGACGAAGGGTCGCATGACGCATTTCCAAGATGGGGATATAGATCTCGTTGAACAGGACCTCGATCTCTTTCTGCAAGGTCGGCAAGATTACATCAGTGAAAAGCGTCGTCAGGAATGATTTCCGATCCCAATCCCTTACCTTGAGTTGCGCTCTAAGACTCTTCAACATACACCAAAAGATCTCGGTACTCAGATCAAATACTTGATTGACGGAAGACAGCGCGTTCCTGCTGATTCCGAGACAAAGGTACTGCTTGGTGGCCAATAGGAACGGCGTATCCTCTGAAGAGGAAGACGACGGGACCACCACGGTGGGATCGGCGAATACGTCCGAGTGGGATTGCAGGATGGCCAAGACCAGATGCAATGAGAGCAATTTAGATCTCATATCATGCGACCGGGGATCCTTTTCACTGTCGAGTTTGGAGAGAGGGGTAGCTTCGAGATCAGTATATCTGTTCATATTTTGCTTCTTGGCTTTTTCGAGAAACGTACCTTTCACTCAACAACGGCTTCATAGTTAATTTGCAGAGCGCCCTGAGGACCAGGAAAGCATCTTTCACATAGAGCTGCTCGAGCGTCAGATCCCTTGCCTGCGCATCCTCGTGCATCTGTAGGTCGGGGTTCAGCTCCTGACTCGCTTGAGGTAATCCGTTCGTGATAGGTTCAGGGCCGTCAGCAGTAGCTTCTAGCGGAATATCGTCATTCGGGTTGGGCGCCGAGAAAGAGTCTCTGCAAGAGGGTCGCGCGAGGATTCCTATTTCAGTCACGATCGTGATTGTATATCAAACCCAGTTCAATACTCACAACGTCAAGTTCTTCTTCTCCTCAGCTGGAGTCTCGTTTTCTCTGGCGTCGCCCCTTTCCGACCGTTCCTCCGTCTCGCGCTCTCTCCCATTGCCATTCCCGTTCAGCCCTGGGGTCACGCTTCCACTCCTCCCGTGTGCCGTCAACGGCGTCCCGACCGCCGACTTGTCGTTCCTCCTTATTCTGCCGAAAATATGGTGGATCATCTGCGTCAAACTGCCCTGGGCTACCAACTGCGTCGTCGCATCCGAGCTCAAGAGGTAGACGTTGTACACGGTCCTGACAGCTTTCAGCAAGCTCGACTGATGTACCGTCAACGTGTTCGAGAGGACGAGCGCCAAGAGGGATTTGACCACCTGGACTGACACTGCTGGGGAAGATGATTCCGTAAACGAGGTGGTGATGATATGGGTCACAATATCGGCCAACGAAGGTCCGTCTCGAGAAGCGTCGGATTCATCGCTGAAGAAACCGTGCGAGACCAGCTTGGCGATGAGGTCGAGGGCTGGGGTGACGAGCCGGTCGACTTGAAGTTCACAAGCGAGTTTCAGGGGTTCAAGAATGTCCCTGGGGACGGCTGAGGAGCCTTCTTGTTGACATTGATCCAGGGCGCGTTGCGACGCCTGTAACAGCGCCGGAGAGCGTTTAGCTTCTTTCGACTGGGCGATGATCTCGAGACCGGGTTTAATGAGTGCGAGGGAGAGGTGCGGGACAGATGACAGGGACGTTCGGGAAGCCGTAGCCGGTGTTCCTGCCCGGTATATGCTGCCATCTCCCGGCGTCACGCTGATCGAAGGATGCGTTCGATGAGGGATGGTGTTGAGACTGCTGACAGAGGCCGAGGCATTGTGGTTTGGCATGTCGTTCTTGCTCGGAAGCGGTGGAGGTGGAGACGAGAGGGTTTCCGTAGCAGGGAGGGTGTCGTCCGAGCCTGTGCCGCCGTTTACCTTTGGCGCTGATTCCGATAGCTCGACGTCCTGCATCTCGGCGGTCGATGCATCTTCTGGAAGTGACGTTTCAGCCTCTAGAGCGTCGTCCGAGACGACCGGGACTGGCTGTTCGATGGTATCCTGCTCGACCTCGTCCCGCGCCGTTGGGCGTGCAGACTCGGGTTCCTCCGTACGTGTCACCTGACCGTCCTCGAGCGATACGTCCTCCATCATCTCATTATCGTTCATGTCCGACGTTTTGATACTAGTTCTCTCCGCTTGAACCCAGAAGCTTCTCTTGGATGTGGTGACAGGATCGTTCGAACCCTTATCTCATGCCTTTTGACGTCGCCAGCGTGTCGAACGCTGTGCTTGATTTGTTAGGAAAAGACCGTCGAAGCTCGCCGTTTTCCAGTTTTCCGTCCTCTGAGACGAGTGACTAATGTGTGAGCTGGCTTCTATATGGCCTGTTCAAGAAGGTGGCTGTGGAAAGCTTACTGTTAGATTGGTCGTCGGACGACCTGTAGGAAATGACCTGGAACCTTGTAATTGCTCATCCCCGGCGGCCACAGGTGGTTGTGATGAGTGTTGAACGTCAAAACGCATATTAAGAGATCGGGTGAGTGGGGGGGGGGATACATTTGTTTATGCGTTTCAATGATCGTCGTCGTCGATGTTATTGCCAGCAACCCCTCGCCCAAGTCGCAAGGTCATATCGTGTTCGGGTCATCCAATCCTCTACTCTGATCCTTGTCACACTCTGACAGCGTCTCGAGATACCCTCTGTCTCTCTCTCTCTCCCATACCATACTCTGAACATCCAAGTCTTGCCAACAGGTCCTGGTACTTCGACCCTATCCGATACCTCCCCAACGTCGGTCTAGCTCTTTCCCGCTCTTGTCACCGGTCTTTGCGCACCCCGCTACACCTATACGGAACACCTTCGTCACAACGTCGTTGTCAAACATAGCAAATATGGCCACACTCTCTGCAGCTGAACTTCAAAGGGTGAGTCTGAGCGATAGGGGTTATCGATCTCACCTGCTGGTAACTAATAAGCTATATCTGATCGAACTATCGCTAGAGACACGGTCTCGAGGGAGCTCCCGATCCGTTCCCCAGCATGGCCCCTCAGGCTGCTCCTGTCAAGAGCGCTGCCAAAGGGTCCGCCACTCCTGTCGATACCGAATCTGAGGAAGCTTTCCCAGCTCTCGGTGGTCCTGCCCCTGCTGCTTCGGCTGCTCCTAAGGCGTCTATGTGGTCCTCCGCTTCGTCCAAGATCAAGACTCGTGCTCCCGCTCAGTCGGCTCCGGGCGGTCTCGGTAGGACCGGCGGACCCAGCTCGTCAACTTTGCCGGCCTCCATCTCGTTCTCGCTGCCCATCGCTAGCATCACCTTGACCCCCAAGGCCTTTTCGGAACTCTCTAAAAAGGTCCAGGAGCAATACGGATGCACCATCGAGGCTTCCACCCAGATGCGAGCCGGGCTCAAGACCTTTTTCGTCCGAGGTCCCGACGATAGAAAGGTCTCGTCTGCCCGTAAATTGATCGAGCGTGGTGTCAGCAAGGTCGAGACCTCTACCCTCGACGTGCCCCTGTCCACCTTGGGAACGATCATCGGACCCAAGGGATCGACCTTGAAGACCGTCACCGATGCTACTGGCTGCAAGATCGACATTCCCCGTCGTGAGAACCTCCCCGCCGCTCCTGCTCGTGCCGCTGCCAATGACGACGATGAGGCCGATTCCGAGGACGACGAGGAACCCGAAGATCCTTCGGTTCCCATCTCGCTCACCGGTCCCACGCCTGCCATCGCCGAAGCCAAGTCCAAAATTCTCGCGCTCATTCACGACAAGGTTTCGCACACCTCGGTCAAGATCAAAGATATCCCCTCGGATTTTTACCCCTTCATCTCGGGACCTCAGGGTTCAAAGGCTAGGGAATTGGAGGACAGCGTCGGGGAAGGACAGGTCCAGATCCACGTTCCTCCTCCTGGCGTTTGGAGGTCGTTGGAAAAGCAAGCTGATGCTGCCGAGTTGAGCGGCGATGCCGACCAGACGATCAAGGAGAAGAAGCGCGACCTTAGTATTCGGGTTCAGGGTGACAGGGAAAAGGTCTCGGCCGTCGTCGAGGAGATCAGGAGACGGTACGCCGAGATCCAGGAGACCAGCCAGACCCTGTCCATCTCGATCCCCAAGAGACAGCACCGATTCCTGGTCGGGTACGCCGCCGACGAGATTCTCGAGCAGACCGGATGCATCGTCGACTTGCCCCCTATCGAGGACCCGGCTGACGAATGTATCATCCGAGGACCTGCCGAGAACCTCGCCCCGGCCTTGACCCTCGTCATCTCCAAAGCCAACGCCATCTCGGTCGGAACCGTTGACCTCGTCGCTCAGCACAGGAGCGCCACCTCGGATCCCTTGAGCCACGCCAAGACCGTCTTGCGATACCTGTTGAGGACGTCCAAGCTTCGCCAGATCGCCGATGCTCATTCCGGCGTCAAGGTCTACCCTCCCTTCCAGGCTGCGGTCGAGTCGGCCGGCACGGTCGTGATCGAGATTGTTGGTGCCGACAAGCAGGAGACCAACAAGGCCAAGGAAGAGGTCACCGCCGCCGTCAAGGCCATCACTCCTGCTCATGTCAAGCCGGTCGAGATCGACTTTGCCGTCCACAAATTTTTGATCGGAAAGAAGGGTGCCAAGTGAGTTTTCACGTAAAGGGGTTTCCGGAAAGTATCATACTGATCACGAGGCTGTTGTAACAGGATCGGACAGTTCGAGTCCGCTCACAACGTCCGAGCCGTCTTCCCTCCCGCTTCCGACGAGTCCTCTGCCGTCTTGCTCGTGTTTGAGGGCGACGAGACCAGCCTTCCCAAGGACAAGAAGCAGAAAGAAGCCAAGCTCGCCGAGTCGCTCAGCAAGGCTGCTTCCGCTATCACTGATTTGGCCAAGGAGGCCGCTGACGTCAAGACCGAAACTTTGAACATTGACCAAGTGTGTCTGGTGTCGTTACGTCAGGCGAGGTGGTATAAGAATAGGGTATTGATCCCATTTTGCGTCTTCAGAAATGGCACAGGCACATTATCGGACCGGGAGGCAGTGTTCTCCGAGCGCTTCTCGGGGAGGACCAGCTCGCTACGGTTACCGTGGGCAGCAAGGATTCTTCGGCTCCTCAGGACGTCGTCGTGGTCCGTGGCCCTAGCACCGAGGTCGACCGACTGGTTCCCGCCATCTTACAAGTTGTTGAGGACTCGAAGAACGACGACCTGATCAACGGGTTCAATCAGGAATTCACTGTGGACAAGCGACACGTTCCTCATCTGGTCGGGTCTTCGGGATCCGCTATCAACAAGCTGCGAGAATCTTTATCCGTCCGAATCAACTTTGACGATGACGAGTCTGCCTCTAAAAAGTCCAGCAAGAACGCCGTTGTTCATTGCAGGATTATCGGTCGAAAGGAAGCGGTCGAGGAGGCCAAGAAGCGATTGCTCGCACAGGTCGAGCGACTGGAAGATGAGACCACCGAGATCCTGAACATCAAGAAGGCTTTGCACCCTGCTTTGATCGGAGCTAGCGGCAAGTACGCTATCAGGCTCGAGGAGAAGTATGCCGTCAAGATCACCTTCCCTCGAGATGGCAAGGATGGCGAAGAGGCCAAGGCTGGTCTCAAGCCCGACGAGGTTCAGGTCCGCGGTGGAAAGAAGGGTGTCGCCGGTGCCAAAGCCGAGCTCTTGGAGGCTGCCGAATTCGAGAAGGAGTCCAACCAGTCTGCCACCTTCACCGTTCCGACCAGCGCCATCGCCCGTATCCTCGGAAAGGGTGGAAACACGATTAACAGTATCAAGGATGACACTGGCGCTCAGATTGACGTCGACAAGACTTCGGACGAGCAGACAACTGTCACCGTACGTGGAGATAAGAAGGCTATTGCTGCTGCCAAGTCGAGCATCCAGTCGATAGCTGCCGAGGTTGCCGATCGCGCTGATGAGTCGGTCACGATTGACCCTAAATACGTAAGTGCGAAGGATTCCTTGCTTGAAGCTGCTTGTATCTGACGTTGTGAATCTGCACATCTAGCACCGCAACTTGATTGGCCCTGGTGGTCAACGACTCCGAGATCTGGTTATGAAGGTCGGCGGTACCGAAGAACAGTCGCGACAGGCTGGTCTTATCAACTTCCCTCGAGCTGGCGATGCCTCTCCCGATGTTGTTAGACTTCGAGGGGACAAGGACCTCGTCGCGAAGCTCAAGGCCGAGCTGGAGCGCACCGTCGAGACTCTGCAGAACCAGGTTGTTCTCGGTGTTGCGGTCCCTGCGGCTCAGCACGCCATCAAGATTGGTCGAGGTGGTTCTGCTCTGCAGGATTTGCAAAAGAAGACTGGGGCAACGTGAGCATTACAAATGTACTCAACGATCAACTCGTACTGACTGACCCTCTTGCTAATCCGAACAGCATTCAATTCCCTGGCTCGCGGCAATACAACTCGGCCGGTGAGCCCGAGAACGCCAGCGAATTGTCAGAAGTCCCGCCCAACGAATTGGTCAAGGTCATTGGTACCCGTGAAGCCTGTCAGCAAGCTATCGAGGCCTTGTCCACTGCGTCCGAAACTCCTTCGCGGTCACGGACCCCTGTCGGAAGGAACAGTGGAGGAGCGTCTAGCTCTCGTGCGGTGTCGGTTCCGGCCAAGTTCTTCTACGCTCTGACCGACCAAGGCTTCTTGGCTCGACAGCTTCGTCAATCGGGAATCCAGCTCGACTTGCCTTCCAACGCTCCTGCCAAACCCGAAGCTCGTCGACCGGCTGTTCCTGCCAATGAGCCCGGTTCCAAGACTGCCCGTATCGATGAAGACCAAGAAGAGGCTGGCGATGGTGCCATTAACTACGCTTTCGAGGAGTACGACGCTTTCGAAGGCTTCCCCGAGGAGGACCTCGAGTTCAACCTGCGTGGACGAGAGGAGCTTCTGGAACGGGGCGAAAACAGTAAGCCTGATGTGTTCTTCCAGGTGCAGCGCTAGTTGGCTGATCCGTGGGGGTTTCTCTTCACCAATAGTCATCAAGCAGATGATTGAAAAGGTCTCTGCCGCCAACAAGGTAGGAGTCCTGGCCGGAATCCCTAGGAGCGCTTTCCCTCGTATCATCGGTTCAAAGTCAGTCGATTTCTCCATTGCCTGTCAAAGTATGGGAGCTCATTTCTGGTGGCGCTGTGGTGTTGGCAGGGGTGCTACTATTGCCCGACTTAGAGCCGAGACCGGAGCGGAGATTCAGGTCGGCAAGCAGGACGACTACATCACTCTGACCGGAGGTGAGCCACGAAAGCAAAATACGATACAAATGAGACATCGTAGATCTAATCGATCATTTTACAGACTCGGAAGCCGTCGGCTTTGCCAGGGACGCGATTATCAGCATTGCATCGCGACGGGGGCAGCGCTTCTGAACAGACAATCATAATGTAACTACACCCTTCTGACGTTGATTGTGAATGCAAAATATCCGCATGGTTCATCTCTGTATACCGGTACTGTTTTCCCACCCTCGCTCGAGCGCTTCAAATGAGCGACATGGGAGGGCTCATGGGTTCGGTGACCCAGTGGGACGATCCGATCGTGCGGGGCGTGTTGGACTCTTCCTCGAGATTGGGGAGCCAAACCGGATCCGAACTCGAGCCGATTCGAGAACCTGTGGTTGCCGGCTGTCCCTGGATCGCCAACGAATGCTGCGCTTGAGCAACGTTGAGAGCGATCCAGAGCGCAGACCCTTCGACGAGGACCTTGACGAGGCCAGCCCTCTCGGCCGCCATGACATAGTCCTTGTAGGTTCTGTATCCGGATCGACGGTAGTCGGCGCTGGACAATCTCTGGCCGACCTGACCGGCCTGGTGGTAACGATGCGCTCGGTATTCCTTGTTGAGGTCGACGAGGATCTTGTAGAGCGGCTGAAACTCGCGGAAGCCCCTATAGTGAATTAGAACCCGTGCTTGAGTGAGGTTCATTCTTAGCTCGACAGGGCTCAGTCGTGGTCGTCTACTCACCTGCTAAATCCAACACTGCCCACTTTTGGGGGCAAGGGGGAATCGCGGGGATGGGGCGGCTCAGGCAAAGGGATGTATTGAACGTGAGGGACGGAAGGTACAGCGGCAGAACCAGCAGCAGGAACGGACAACGCAGGTCCTATACGACTGGGAGTGACCGCCAGAGAGGGGGCGGGCCGAACGGGAAGAGCGGCATGTCCGACGAGTGTGGGAGGGCTGGTGGGCGTTTTATTGGTGACAGGCGGTTTCGCAATCTCGGATCCGACTTTGATTCTAGCCGTTTCTCCGATGATGTGCTTGACGAGATCTAAAATGACCTTTGAATGAGTTCGACTTGTCTTCATCAGAGGGGTATCGGTGACTCACCGTAAGCTGACCTGGGAGGAGCGAGAGATCGGCGAGGCATGTCTTGAGCCGAGTCGACTTTCTCCTCGAGCCTTTCCGGTACCCCTCCTTCGCCGTTATAAGGAGCCTCTGGCGATACCGTCCCGATGACCTCCAACGACTCTTCCTCCAATCCCTTTGGCATCAAGAGCTCTCCCGCATCGACTAGCTCGAACCCCGCTCGTCTCTTCCTCGTCTCTTCCCATTCCTCCAGATCGTCGATGTCCTCCGGGTCCGCCTCTTGCTGGGCGAGCAGCTTGAGGCGGGTCCGACTAGCCGAGTTGAAACATCCGTACGTCTTTTCGTCGCAGGAAGCGACGTAGCAGTATCGGGCGGGATTACGCTCGAACCAGTTCTGGGCGGTCACTGGAAGGATCAGAAGGACGCAGAAAGGTCATGAGAAACGAGTCTTGGACATCAACAGCGTACCCTGACGTCGATCACTCACCGGCCAACTTCCAAGCCAAGTTCGTCGTATTGTCGTCGTAAACACGTACGAGCTTGACATTGATAGCATCCGTGACCCCCTTGATGAACTCTTTCATCCTTTGTCCCTTGACGCTATCTCCCTCGGCGAACTTTTCGGAAACAAACAGTTCGAAGCAGGTCCAAATCTCTTTCGCATCGTCCGGTTTCTTCGTCTTGGCGTAGTCGGCTTCGATTTTGCGGGTGAGATTGTCAATGAACTTTTTGCCTCCTTCTCGTCCTTGTTGCACGAGTTCCGGAGCAAACTGCGTTCGGAAAGGCATCGATCGTACAATCGTTCAGCTTCTGCCGGGTCGTTCACGATCTCAAATTTCGAACTGGGCGCTCACAGTGACACTGGCACAGTCAATCAGGACGAGAGCGGGAGCTTGTTCCTCGACCTCTTCAGGTCCTTTCTCGCCGTCGGTCTTGGTAGGGCGAGACAAGGTGGAACGCTGGGCGATCGTCGCCAACTTTTGCAATTCCGAGAGCGCTTGCGCGTGTTTCTTGTGATAGCTCTGAAGCTGTTCGATGTGTTCGTGCAACTACGGATTAGAGAAGCGTGTGAGCTAGGCCTCGGATATCACACAGAGCATTGTGAGGAGGACTGCCACTTGCCTGCGTCATGTTCGGTGGGCTGAGAGCCCACTGAGGTATAAAGGCATTCGCGGAAGGCTGATCCAAAGGGATGAGAGCGGAGTTGGAGGTGTCCATGAGGTCGACGGAAGGAGGCATGAGGAGGATGTGAGCTGGGAGGTGGACTCAGGTTCTAGGAATTGAAGCTGGGTTGACTGTATTGAATTGACGATGACATAACACGTCGATTCGCACTGAGAACCGCGAAAATTGAGGTTTGTGAAGGTGATGTCACGATGAGCGACGATGGTGCAAAGGTCGAATCATCTCGATCGGACTGATCAACTCCTGTCGCCCCATCGGCCGAGATCCATCAGACACAGCCGAAAGTCTTGATGATCACACCCGAAAATTGTCGGGCGATTCCATGCCCGGTGCCTTGTCGTTGTCGCACGGACCCCAATTGTTTTGATTGATCGTCGTCGCCGCTGATCTGAATGATCTGAAACGCACGCGACGGAATGATCCGCGCGGTTTCCATACGACAAGCGAAATCTCACTCACGAGCTCACGTTTCCACGATCTCGATCAGAGGCCAGAGGATCGGAGGGCATTATTTCAGCCATCCATCTCACATCTTCTGTAGCCTGTGTTCCCGTTCAGACAAGACATATGGCAAGGGCTTGGTACCCACCAGCATCGAGAAGTCGTGAATTCGCGATATGCGGGAGCTGGAAGGCGTTAAGTCATGTAGATCAGTTCTTTCGCTAGATCACATTTCCGGATTAATTCAACGACATCCAACGAGAAATCTACTTACGGGAGACAGGGTTGCCATAGATGTAGATATCGTCCTGACTAAACATGACGACTCTTCTGAAAGTGCTATCGATGATAGAGGCTCTGCATACAAGAGAGTGGAGAAAGGAAATACCGATTGGGTGATGATCCACCCAAAGGGGTCGGCTATCCATTCTCAGACCCAAGTGCGATGGCGATAACATCTTGCACTCGTCCTCAGCTGTTCTGCTTCCCTTTGTACCTAATTTACTGCCAGCTCAGTCGTCGAGTACACACACACACACACACACACAAGAGATCCATTGATGATCACGATCGCGACAAGGCCATGTGTTCAATCCGTTTAGAGGCTCACGTCTCGCAAGGAGGTAGAAGCTAGAAGTCAACAATATACGATGCTCCAGCCAGGTTCGCTGCTCCATCTCATCAGATTCTGCATCCCGATCGTCTCGTCACTTGAAAAGACACGAAAGTGGCCAATCGAGTTGCCGATAATCTCTTCTGTCATTCATTGTATTTGACCGCGATTCTTCCGGCGTGATCGGGACCGGGCGTGTGATGTTTGGCTACAAAATGCTTACAACCTGACGGAGCAGGTGGATACTACGTGCTGATGGGGAATCTACAAGGTGGCGGCCTCTTCACCCGTGATGGTCCTGATGGCACCGGGGGTGGCGACCTTGCCGGTGAGGGCGCTGGTAGCGACCTCGACGGCCTGGCCGATCATGCTGTCCTTTTGGGCAAAGTATCGAATCTGGAAATGTCAAGCGAACAGGAGCGCTTCAGCCATACGATTCGTAACCGTCAACTCATATCCGATCCGGCTCACCTCGGCGGGCTTGACAATCAAGACGGTAACACGGGGATCGTTGGCGGTACCATCGTGGACGCCGTCGCCCAAGTCACCAAACCAAGCCTTGGTGGCAGGGTTAAAGTACTTCTTGACGGTCTCCCTGTCGGTGGTGGTGTTGGCCTTTCCGGCGATCGAGATCCAGTCTCCCTTGGTAGGCTCGAGGAAAGAGACGTTGACGTGAGAGTCCTTCTTGACCTCCTCGTCCTTGTGGCTCGAGTTGTCGTAGATGAAGACGGGCTGGAGCTTGTCGGTCGAAGCGGGTCGCATAGCTCGAGAGTGCTGTGAGAAGAAGACGAACACGTTAGAACGAGATGGTCGAGACGTCATCTTATCATCATGAGCTCACCAAAGATCCGTCGGTACCGACGGTGGTCAAGCTGCAGGTTCCGACCTTCTTGATGATGGCCTCGACCTCGGCGACACGGTCCTTCAACGCAGGAGTCTGGTCCTCGGACTTCTTGGAGTACCTAAGCGTTGTGGAAGGGGACAGGCGAGGTCAATCAGCCAACTCTTGGGACCTGTCAGTTTGTAACATGGCTGCGTACTGATCGTCGGCGGCCATTCTGATGGAAGTGGTGTTGATGAGTCGGAAAGAAGTGATACGGGTAGTGTTAATAGGTTTAGTCGAACGGAGTGCTGTCCTGATGAACATCGATTGTTTGCAATATGTTTGAGATTGAGAGGGATCCAAGGTCCCAAGTAGCTGAGGTTGATTCTAAAAGGACGAAAGGTGGAATGGGTTTTGAATCGATCCTGGCTGCTGGCAAAGCACGCACCGAAGCGATCCCCCCGATGACGAAAGCGCGGGTGATCGATGACGTCAAGCCGATTGCGGGGGGCGGGGGGCGAGGGGCGGGAGTGGACGGTTTCTTGTTTCCACCCGGGACTCGATTCGAGTTTCATCACTACTGCTCGTCAACGTGAGTCCCACCGCGATGTTCAGCAGTCAGCAGACGATGAGAAAGCCTCTCAGATGCGGTGAGATGTATCCGCGAGGTGTTCAGTAGTATGTACGTATCCACTTACATGACTTCGTTAGCTCGGTGATGCGTAAATGTCATTACCGAAAATGTTCATCGAAGATCACAGTAGAGCAGCTTAACGCCGCCTCGTTCGAGTGAAGAGCCTCCCTTCGAGGTGACGGTTAGGAGTCAGGCCGTCGTGGGAATACCACTGGAAAGAAGGGCTGTGCTTTGTGATGACGATAAGCTTGTGGAGAGTGTGTGTCGAAGGCGACCGGCGGAGAGCGTAGTGTCTGAATCGTGAATTGCCTGCCAGATTGGGGTCAAACAGGACCGGTCCTTAGGGGTCTGTGCGAGGATACTCGATTAATGTTGAGTTGCAGGGGATAGTTCACTCGTAACTTGTAGCATAGATCATTGAGCAGGCAGCTGCAGGAGCCTCGTAAGGTACTGCATATTCAGCAGCATCTGCGGTGTTCAAGAAAGGTGCTCGGAATACGGATTCGATTGAATATCTTGCAGGGCGGCTCAGGCTCATCACCCACGGCTTGAATAAGCTCGTCAAATAACTCATCTCCGGGCTCAGCATCTGACCCTTTGAAACTGTGATATGCGGATGGTTGTAAGACATTCACAATATAGTCAATGGAGCGAGCGCATTTCAGCAGACTGGTCCGTCATGTTGGCGGCCATCTTATGTTTGAGAGGGGCTGGTGGCAGAACATCCCGGCCGTCATCTGACTTCCTGTGTTGCTCCAGACATTTAAGACGGATTGTAACTGAACGGGACTGGTAGGGGTTTTCGAATTCACAGCCTGTAAGCATATTCATTGCCCAGTGTAATGATATGCTATCGATTATGCTCTCATCTCAAGCTCGTGATCACCCTTTGCCGCGAATCTACAACCGATCTATGGGAACCTGGACGTCCCGCGTATTGTCCCCTTCCCACCCTGACCTCCCCCTGAGCCGGACGACCCTCGTCGTCAAGCCCATCCGCTGCCAAAACAACATGCTCCCTTCGTCCTTTTCGCCCGTAGTTCTAGAACGTCTGATGATGCCTTCTGCTTTGAGCGCGATGGTGATGCTGATCGTGTCGTGTGTTTGATGATGCTGTGATTGTGACTGTTTGTCGTGATGATGATGATGATGGTGGTGGTGGTACTTGTACATGTTGTCAAAGTAGCCCGAGGGCGAATGCGATGCTGATGATGCTGATGATGCTGATGATGATAATGATGTTGATGACTGCGATGATGATAACAATGATGTTGGTGGTGATGTCGTCGTTGTGTTGAAGGGCAAACCCCATCCTCCCTTGCTCGCTGCTACCTCCCCTGCCTTGCCGATCGCCGTTCCAACTAGCATCTCAGCGATCCTTAGCCTCCTGTACTCTGGATCCACCGCAAGCGCCATGAAGTGCAGGACGGCTCGTGGTTTTCCCCTATGCAAGTCTGGAGTCGAGTCGAAGTCGCATTCAGGTTTCCGGACAGGCATGATCCTCACGATCAGACAACCTAGGATGGGTAAGCGATGATCCAGCGATTCATCCGTTCGGGTACCAGTGCTTGGTTCAAACCGCCGGCCCAGGGGGATACTCTCGTATGGAGGGGTCGAAGGTGGCGTGTCGTTCCAGAAGTCTTCCAAGATAGACCTCGTGCCGGGTTGTGTTGTCCATCCGCTTGCGGGCCGAGTGCGGGAAGGCTGAATGGCCCAGGCGTGGCAGTCGGCCGAGTTAAGGAGAACGGGGAATGAAACGCCAGGGTCAAACTCGGGGAGGTATTGATCCTGCAACCGATAGAACGATCAGTATCAGGCTAGTGCAGCGTTCCGGCTGTCTCGAGGGCAACTTACCAGGAAGTGTCCGACAACCCTGTAATCCCGAGCTCGGACCCGGTAAATATCTAGAGGCTCTGCGTGTTTCCCCACTAGAGCCCTCGGACCCGCCTGAGCAGTCGCACCGTAAACTCTTTCCTCCCTGACTTCTTGTGGAAGGGGTAGTAATGGTAGCCAAGCGTTCTGATTTGGCATTCCTCTCCTCTCGGTCCCCAAACTGGTCCAACCTTGTCGCTCCTGACTCCAAGTCCGAGTCGTCCGCCCGGCTTTCTGAGTAGGTTCGAACGGCCGGGAAGAGAAATTCCACCGAGCTGCGTAGCTGTAGCGGATGTCTTCTTCTTCACTATCGTCGGCTTCGAGGTCCATATCGAACATGGGGTTGTGTCCGTCGGAGGACCAAGACGAGTTGTGAGAGATGGTACGGGGGAAGACACGTTCCCGAAAGACGTGACCCATCCTGCTTTGTGATTATTTCAAGACGACTATCGTAGGAACGACCCGATTGAGAATGGTGTACTGTTGTTGATCGAAGGTTGATATGGTTCTCGACCAGCTTGCAGCTTGTGATCAGATGACGCTATCCATTCTTGGAGACGTCGCAGCAGGTCGTGTGACCTGGTGACGAGGGACGGTCCTATAATCCTTTGTCTCGACCGTTGAGATCCCCGGTTGGTTGAGTCTTGCGGAACGGAAGTTCAACCCTCGAGAGGATGATCACCTCATTTCCCGCAACTGCGGTCGTCTGCCATCCTTGCGTGATCGTAGTGGAAGCACTCCGAAACGAGCTGAAATCTCTGCTCCGGTCGCTGAACGCGGCTAACACAGGTTGGTTTAGCGCATCAAATCCGGTTCATCACGGTGTAACGGTTGGACCGAACCAAAGATAGGAAGTTACGTACGTCGGGCGAAATCGCAAATCGCCCTTTCGCGATTCGTTCCGACCAGGGTTTCCGGGTCCGTACAGGCGGCTCGAGGGTCCTGTGCGTCATATTTTCGAATATCTGTATTCCCGCAAGGCCCGGTCTGAAACGTTCCCGTCCGTGTTGCGGGGCGCGGAGGCCCGCAATTTGCGCGAGTCGGTGATTATGACATCGATTGTCCAAGTTGCGACCTGGATGAGATGCGATGAGTATCTAGGCCAAGCTGATGGGTTTCATTAGAATTGTGCTCAGAAAGTTGTGCTGGAGTTTCAACGTCTGTGTTGACATGCCTAATTCAATCCTGGTGCTCTTGTACATTCACTTTGCCTGGCGTGGGCTCGAAAGTTGACGATGTTGAGCGGGGGTATTCGGTTTCGCGGGATGTGGGGAAGGCGGGGACGCGCTCTCGACACATGACCAGCCGATCATCTCCGGACTTCATGGGGTCAGGCGATCCAGATCCTAACTTCATTTCGAATCGAGACAAGGACATCCGTCAGCCCGGCATTTCGATTAGAGGCCTGAGAGGAATATATAACCTACCGATAGGTCACGAGGATGGATAGGTCCTCCCGATCATGTCGACCTTTCGCTTCCAACACAAACACTTCTGCTTGCCCTTTACCGGTCTTCACTCCAACTCTACCTATACCCGGTCTCTCTCTACCTTGACAAGTCGACTCTGCTACCAATCCACTAGCTACTCCTCATCATCATGTTCAACAAGCAACACGGTCACCACAATGTCGAGGGCAACGATTGTGAGTGCACGGTGTGACCATGAGATATCGATGCCGAGGTCGTGTGACTGATCCACCCATTCTTCCCCTATCTTCTGTCCTGCTTCATTCATAGTCCTGGGCAAGGACATCCAGTACTTCTCCCAGGCCGGTTTCGACATGGACAAGATCCACATCAAGCGTAACGCTCCCGTCGCCGCCTTGTACGAGGACGCCATCATGAACGAAGGCGCCGTCCTCTCGTCTACCGGTGCCCTGATCAACTTTTCGGGAAAGAAGACGGGAAGGAGCCCCAAGGACAAGCGTATCGTCTACGAGGATGGTAGCAAGGATAACGTTTGGTGGGGTAGCGTCAACATTCCTATCGAGTGAGTTAATGGCAACGAGATTAGCGATTTCGGAATTAGCCGGAAGGTGCTCACGCCTTTTGATGTATCGATCAGCGAGCACACCTTCGAGATCAACCGTGAACGAGCCATCGACTACTTGAACACCCGAGACAACGTCTACGTCTTTGACGGCTTCGCCGGATGGGACCCCAAGTACAGGATCAAGGTCCGAGTCATCGCCTCGCGAGCCTACCACGCCTTGTTCATGGTGAGTCTAGCCGGTCCGTCTTGATCGACGCTTCATGCTGACGAAACCGTATACTCCGACTTGCGCGCACGCAGCACAACATGTTGATCCGACCTTCCCCGGAAGAGCTCGAAAACTTTGGCGAGCCCGATTTCATCATCTACAATGCCGGTCAATTCCCTGCCAACCGATTCACCACCGGTATGAGCTCTACCACCTCGGTCTCGATCAACTTTAGGCGAAACGAGATGGTCATCCTCGGTACCGAGTACGCCGGAGAGATGAAGAAGGGAATCTTTTCGGTCATGCACTACCTGCAGCCCGTCAAGTTTGGTCAGCTCTCTTTGCACTCGAGTGCCAACCAGGCTCGACCCGGTCCCGATGGACAGGAGGGTGAGGTCTCGTTGTTCTTTGGTCTCTCGGGAACCGGAAAGACGTGAGTCGCGAAGCCTCTGGTCGGGTATGACGAGTTGACACATCGAGCTGACCCTGCCGATTTCCCTCCCCGACAGCACCTTGTCTGCCGACCCCAACCGTCTGTTGATCGGTGACGACGAGCACGTCTGGTCCGACACTGGTGTCTTCAACATCGAGGGAGGATGTTATGCCAAGACCATCAACCTGTCCGCCGAGAGGGAGCCCGAGATCCACGGCGCCATCAAGTACGGTGCCATCCTCGAGAATGTCGTCTACAACCCTGCCGACCGAGTCCCCGACTACGACGACGTCTCGATCACCGAAAACACCCGATGCGCCTACCCTATCGAGTACATCCCCAACGCCAAGATCCCCTGCATCGCCAACAAGCAGCCCAACAACATCATCATGCTCTGTTGTGACGCTTTCGGAGTCTTGCCTCCCGTCTCCAAGTTGACCCCTGCCCAGGCCAACTACCACTTTATCGCCGGTTACACCTCCAAGACCCCCGGTACCGAGGATGGTGTCACCGAGCCTTCTCCCGTATTCTCGACCTGTTACGGAGCTCCCTTCTTGGTCCTCGACCCCACTCGATACGCTTCCATGCTCGAGGAGAAGATGACCCAGACCGGTGCCGACTGCTACCTGATCAACACCGGTTGGGTCGAGGGAGGCTTCTCTTCCGGCGGACGACGATGCCCCTTGAAGTACACCCGTGCCATCATCGACGCCATCCACAGCGGTGCGCTCAAAAAGGCCGAATACCAGACCCACCCCGTCTTCAACCTCGCCATCCCCAAGAAGGTCGAGGGCGTTCCTGATGACCTCCTCAACCCCGTCTGGAAGGACGCCGACGCCTACAACGACGCCCAGAGCAAGTTGGCCGGCATGTTCCAGACCGCCTTGAAGAAGTACGAGGCCACCATGTCCGACGCCGTCAAGCAGGCCGGTCCTCAGGTCGCCTGAGCGGGATAATCATGGACATTCTTTCTTTCTGATCCCTTTTTCCGAGTGTATTTTTAGCCACTCTATTATACCTTAGGAGAGTCCCTTTGGATTCCCGGTTCCTACATCATTTGGTTGTAACGATAATAGCAAAAGATTCTTAGCATGATTCTACTAGACATTCCCCCGAGGTCCCCTAGCTGGTCACTTTTGCTTCCGCGCTTCCCTTCGCCGATCTCCGTCCCTGCCGTCTGGCGAGGACGACCCCTTTGATCGCCCTCGACCTAATTCATGGCTACACGTAGTACAGAGTAGCTAGAGTAGTTGCTTGTTGAAGGATCAGAGCGATAGTAACCTCACACACAACTCTTCTGCTACCGCCACAAATTTGCCTTGGTGAAACTCGTCGCATACCCCGATCAGATCACCGCCATGGCCAAAGCAACCAAGGAAGTCGACATCGAGCGACTCATCGCTCAAGAGGCGAGCGACTTTATCAAGGAGCTCGAGGTGAGCAATCTGTGTGGATATTGGCACATCACGAGACCTAGTGAGCTGATACGGTGGCGATGATACGCTTGTGCAGGTGGAAAGGGTCTTGAAGTCGTTCAAGTTGAAGTAAGTAGGAGATGTGATGAGGAGATACGCCAGAAGCTGATCTGAATATTCCCCCTCCAAACACCCTGCTTCAGCCCATACGATATCCTCGACCTTGGTATCAACGCGACCGAAAATGAGATCAAGAAGCAATACAGGAAAAAGTCGCTCCTCATCCATCCTGACAAGTTCAAGCATCCTCGGGGAATAGAGGTACGTTTGGATACCTCTTAGCAGAATGACCTATAGGATGCAGGCTGACGCACGGGTCTACCCTTCATTTTTTATCAGGCGTTCGACCAACTCAAAAAGGTAAGTCGACTTGCCATCGTTGTGGTCCTCCTTTTCTGACCCTGCTCTCCGGCTGGTCCGGCCTCGTGGGACTACCAGTGACGGCAGCATATGAAAGGCTCAGCCTGTCCAGAACAACCTAGACCCTACCGAGATGTCCGAACTTCATGCTTATATTCCGATTACTTTGCGGTCTCTCCCAGGCTGAAGCAATGTTGGGGGATAAGGACAAGAGGGACGAGGTGGATGCCGTTATGCGACATGCCAGGGTCCAAGTCTTGAAACCGTGAGTGGGTCTGCCGAGCTGTTGCGTCAGAATCCCATGAACTTACGGATCACTATCTCAGACTCTTTCCTCCGGGCACCAACACGTCGGAGGTTCCGGATGACGATCCTCGGTTGACAGCGCTGGATCCTCCTCTCGATATGCAGGTCAAGAAGAAGGCCCGCGAGGTGTTTGTCGAAGAGGAACTTCTCAAGCGACGGTACGTGTTATAGCTATCCAACGAAACGCCTTTTTTTCCGCAGATCTGACAATCATCCTTCCTGCGCAAACAGCGCCCAAAAGATTGCCTATGCCAACGAAGGTGCGGAAGCGGCAAAGAAGGAGGCCGAAATCAACCAGAGAAAGCGAAAGCAGGAGGACGAAGCTACTTGGGAATCGCGACGAGACGAGCGGGTCAGCACATGGCGAGAGTTTGCCGGCACGAGCTCTTCTTCGCCAGCAGCGCCCAAGAAGACCAAGAAGAAGAAGCTCAATGTGTTGGGATGATCGTAACGTCGCGGAGCTCGTGTGACAGATTCGTTTGTATGCATTCGAGCGGAGAATAGTTGTGCATCACGATGACAATACAAAGACAAGCCAGGACCGAGTACTTTCAGCGAGATAGCAAAGTCGAAAATTATGAAAAGCGCCATGCGCGGAGGAAAAACAGCAAGCAAATGTTCAAGCCTGCCTGAAACCTTTTGGACTACAATCTAAGGCTGTTCCGCCTTGTGCCCGGCTAGAAAAGGCACAGAAGCTTAATAAGAGGCCGGAGACTAGAGCACAAGAGGTGACCTACCGGGTTGTTTTTTGGCGTGGAGGTAGAGGCACCACTCGTTCCTGCACTTGTGGTTGCTCTTGCAAGGCTGGCTGGCAATGTACTCTCGATACCTGCAGAGGAATTCGGGATCCATCTGGACCTCGCCGTGCAGGTAGCGACAGTGTCCTTGCCCGCGGCGCGTACATTGTCCGCGGAGATAAAAGCTGGTGCACGGGGTCGCCTTGAAGTGCCTCAACAGGGAGAGATCGTGCCAGTTGTGTATGACTGCAAGTTGGTGTGACAAGTAAGTTATGGTCGTTTAGTCTCCGATCGGGAAGGGCGCAGACTCGCCTGTGATCGGCAGGGCCTTCTGAGGCGCAGGCAGGGACATGGACACCGGGGCTGAGTATCTCGGATCAAGCGCCGACATCCACCTCTCGACGCTCAAGACGGCGAGGCCATGGTTGATCGCCGGATTACCTTCGTAGTAACACTCGTCCATGAAGGTCGCCAGGAGGACGGTCGGAGTGTGGTACGAGAAGAAAGGGAGCGGAACCACGGCTGACTTGGCGAGGTAGACGCGATCGATGGGACGGATACGATCGATCATGCAACGACTGATATCTATGTGGCGCCGAGAGAAACGTAAAGTGGCTTTAGTGGCTGTCGGTTGCGAGTGACAGATCTCAACCAACCTTCAATGGTAGGCAGGACGAGATGATCCGCGTCAGTCATCCCAGCGGCCACCTTGAGGCCACGAAGGAAGTCATTGACGAGCCCGAACCTGAAGTCGTAATTGTCGTAAAATTTGTAATCCTTCTTGCCACACAGTCGGAGGTGGAACTTGGTCGGCACGCTTTGAGGTCCTTGGTAGGTATGTTCGATCTCTTTGATGTACTCGGTCAATGTACTCCAGAACCGTTGGCCTCCTTGATAACCCCATCCGATGAGCTCGTCCGTCAACTGCGTGCGGGTAGGCAAGCAGGAACTACCGTCAGTGCCGAGATTCCTTTCTGGAAGACCGATATCTAGCTCATCTTACCTTGACAGAACCCAGGTCTACAACGATCATCGCTTCCAAAGGCGGAGCGGGGCCTTTGTACCCTTTCTTGCCCGACATGATCATCGGGATCGGCACCGGAAGACAAGTGAAGTCATAGGGTACGTGAACCATCTCTGTCCCCGCAATACGAGGGACGACGGTGGCCCTGTGCATGGGAGGGGTGTCCTGAGGCGTAACCGGGCCATGAATGGTCTCAGGCGAGGAAGAGTACCGGGTGGGGACCAGGTCGGGACACCATTCTACTCCTGGCTGAAAGGGGATAATAGGGTGCGAAACGGGGAGCGGTTGAGGCTGAGGAATCTCCATCTTGTGGACCCGGGCGAAGACGGGCTCGGGCTGAGTCTGAGCAGGGTGAGTCTGGCGTTAGGTTCGATGCTTTGGCACACATGGGAAGAGATGGCTCACGATCTCGTGCGCCTTCTCTAGCTGAAAAGCCCCGTCTTCAGTGACAAAAGACTCGATCTGACGTCTGTAGATAGGTTCGTGCATGTCGAAAAGATGGAAGATCCAGTAGGTCTGTGCTTGTACTTTTGTTGCTGGAATTGCTGGTCGATGACGATCAAGAAGCTCGTAGTATGCTCCTTTTTTGATGAATTTGGTGGGTACGTGTGGAAAGACGTATCTTCGAGATCCAGAGGCAGGAAGCTCAGCGCTCAGCTCAGATTTGACACCCTGGCATTATATACGCGATCCCCCCCGCTCTTGCTTGCAAGATCGCTTCCTCTGCCCGTGTGCAGGCAGACGGACAGGCAAGGTGGATACCGGCTCCATCACGTCCTGTGTATTTTCCGGCAGAAAGGGCAGGACGAGCGTCAGTCTTCTTTCCATGCACAGCGATCTCATGCCCCTCTGCATCCTCTACCGTCTGCTCCCCGATCCAGGTTTCAGATAGGTTGGCGTCAGCAAAGATCGAAAAATCGATCAGCACAGCACGGTTATCGAAGCGAGCACTGTTCATCAAAATCGAGAGATCGGCGTGGGTGGCATTTATGATGAATTTAGGCGTGGAAAGAGAGGTGGATGCCATATTAACCCCCGCGACCTCACTTGCCGAAATGATTGTCAGGGCCAAGGTGGATCTCATTAGTCTGGCGCCACCCAAAACGGGCTTGCAAATAGAAAAGGCTGAAACTCGACGACGGGTTGTCTCACTCGGTTCGGTGGTTGGCAGCATCATAAGAGGAATGGAAGACGACCGGGCGCTTGCCAGAATACATCTTGATCTCGCCTGCGTTTCAAAGGACCTGAACCCGGGGACAAGCGATTGTCCGAGAATCACACACCCTTCAAAGGGGGTTCAGTTCTAAGCGAGTGCTGTGCAGGGATAAAACTCCCCGACGCACAAATTTTGTTGTTGTCGACAACCGACGACCGATCTGCGCTTCCGACGACGCACGGACCTTCGAATCGGTCGTCATATCCACCACATTTCGATCCAGTCGGCGCCAAGGCGAAAGAGGGGTGAAACGCTGCGCCACTCACCCCTCTCTTCCGGGCTCCAGTCTTGTTGCCTTCTCGCGGAGCCTTTTCGATCGCCGATTCGGGTGAATCGGAAGCTTTGACACGCCCGAGCCCCCGGAATTTAGCGCAAAAAACGACTCGTGGGCATGCTGGCATCACGATAACCGGAGTGAGGTGCGAGGAAAGCTGGAATGTGCGTGCCCCCGGCAACTCGCATCGCACTCTCGCTCACGTCGTTGTGTCTCGCTCTGCCCGGCACACCTCAAATACACTCGTAGCTGTATAGCTCAAAGCATCCTTCAGCTTGCATCGACAAACAACTTGTTTCTCGATAGAGTCAAGACTCGATAGTCCATCTCGCATAACCTATACCTTCTCACTACGATCGCTACATCACACCACCTCAAAGACCCACAAACACCACGATGCCCGCCGATATCCTGATCCACCACCTCAACAAGTCCAGGTCCGAGCGTTTGTGTGAGTGTTGCCTCGATCGTTTCCTTACCCAGCCAGGCCCAGTCTGCCGGCCTTTATTCACACGACCAATCGTTGATCACTTGCTCGTTGTCTGCCGCTATCAGTCTGGGCTCTCGAAGTGAGTTTCCAAAGCCGTCAATCTGGTGACGATCTTCAACTGAATGCCTCGGGACCTCGTAGGAGCTCGGTCTCGACTACAAGGTCAAGGTCTGGCAACGTACCTCCGACTTCAAGGCTCCTCCTGACCTCAAGGCTATCCACCCTCTCGGCAAGGTAAGCTCGTCTGCTTGACCGTGATGATGATCGTGTCGTGTCTGTCAATCAGCAGGCTGATGGATCGTTATAACGGCGTGATGTAGAGCCCCATTGCCGTTGTCGATGGCAAGACCTTGAGGTGAGTGAGGACTTCGAAACAGCTCCCAGCTATCGGTCCGCATGCTAATCCAAACGCTCTTGTGTTGTTGGTGTTACAGCGAGAGTGCCTTTATCCTCAGTTCGTTATGTCTCTACGGCGCACTCTTTCGCTCAGCGATAATAACATGTTCACGGACATGTTCACACAGCCAAGTTCGTCCAGTCGCAACAAACTTCCCCGGCCCCGTTCGACGACGAGGACACTTTCTGGTCTCACTACGCCGAAGGAAGCTTCATGTTGTTCCTTCAGATGAGCCGAGTACGTATATCGGAGTGAGTGATCTGTCCATCCCGAATGCTAACCATCTTTGTTACCCAAATCAGGTCCTTCAGCAAGCCGCCAGTGTGACCCCATTCTACGCCAAGACCATCAGCACTGCGTTCGTTGGCGGGATTCATGTGAGCCTTGTAGATGAGCATGCACAAGGGGGAAGACACGAGAGCTGATGCCAATTCGGCCTCCTTTTACAGGACAAGTACCTCGATATTGAGATCCAGGTGAGTGTTTAGTTGGGAACGAGCGAGGATGATGAATCGAGATGCTGACTCTTTGAATATTTCAGAAACACTTTGACTTTGTAAGTCTTTCCGGATGGCAGTACACCGTCCTATATCTTGTTGACCCCCTCCTCATGAAAGGTCGAAGCGGGACTTGCGAAGAGTGCGACTCAATGGTTCGGAGGCAAGGATGAACCTTCGCTCGCCGACGTGAGTGATTACGACGTACTCAAACGGTAGTTGCTTCTAATATCCCTCCCCCTTCCACTGCGACGTCTGCAGTACATGATGCTGTACCCCATTCACGCCTGCATCTCTCAACCCGACCGAGTCAAGGCCACTATCGGTGAGAAGACCAGGGCCTGGTTGAAGGCGGTCGAGGCGAGGTAAGTGTAGACCACCGAGAATCGGTTCGTCTGGAAAACTGGATGCTGAGTTTGCGTCTGTACGTTCATTCAGGCCTGCTTACAAGAAGGGGCTCGAACGTCAAACCTCGGAGGAGAAGGCCAAGAAGTAGCGCTAGAGAGTGTCAGGAGCCGAGACGCAGCGCATCGCCATCGCCGTCCAGGTTCCATCACTTATCCCTTGCTGTCCAGCTCAGTCACTCCTCGAATCTCCAATCATCTGGTCTCTCGGTCTCTCCGATTTTCACGTCTTTCAGAGAAGCACCAGCGTGCACTCCAATGCTGTTTCCTATCATGAGCCAAAGAGCTATTTTCTGTCGTTTTTAAATATACATGGATTGAACTAGTCATCAAATCACCACCTACTACTCTATTGCGAGCAGCATAGTGTTCAAGTCGGCTCAATACCACCTTCTCGTACCCAAGGTCGACGGCTGATAGTATACGGCATGATCTCGCCCCCGGCCAATGACGTCACCACCACGCCCCTACGTGTTTCAGGTAACCCGACCCACTGTTCGGACGCCCGAAATCTACTGTTGCCTGTCGCATCGAATGCGATCCACCGATCCACCCGGTCTCGACTACTAACCCTTGCCCGAAATTTGATCGCCCGATGGAAAAGGCCTCGTTCTCGCCGGTCAGCCGGTCAGAGTCTCATCGATGACATTTGCTAGTTGCTAAATTGCTAGTTGTATTTAGCTTTTAAATCAGTTAGAGGTTTCCGTTTCGTTGGCTCTCGATACCACGATCACATGCACCACGTTGACATATCTCAAAGCTAGGCACCAGGAAACATCAGTTGGACGGAGCATTTCCGAAATGAGTTCGGCACTTCGCAAGGAGTGCGTATAAATGAGCCAAGTCGATAGAAGCGACTGCCAGCTGATCCGCCATTCGAGCATGGTCTCAGGGAATACATCCCTCTCCATCAATTATCGTCCGATCGCCTGATCACGTCTTTTCAACTTATAGCCCGCATCGCTAGAGACTACAATCACGGTCGTGTTCCGTATCCAGCCTCTCTCCTTATGGCGACCATTGACCATGCTTTAGCGGCGGACCCAGGCCTGCACGATGGAAGCTGGACGCGTGACTTCTTCTTTAGTCACGAGGAGGAGTGGCTATCCGGCGAACGCGCCCTTACCCTCTCAGACTTTCCTGAGGAGTATCTGACCGATCTTGCCAACGAGCAAGAAGTTCCACCGTCTTCCAATAGCAGGACGGTCGCTGGGAAATGGATGTCATACCAATGGCTAGCTGATCGATCGATGGAGTCCGAGGTCGATCACCATAGGTTTCCCATGGCCTTTGATATCGGAGCCCTTTCGATGGACTGGGCTTATCATGATAGTAAAGTCTTTCGTCTTCAAGGATTCGAAGGATTGAACGATACCGAACAGGAGGTGCTGATTGCCAAAGCCAAGGCTGATCTCGGTGCGTGCCGTCGACTAAGGACTCCGGCGATTTGTTTGCTAATTCATGAACACTTCAGATTCGGACGTAATTGACAGTATCGATTACACGTCGTTCAACCTCTATCTTGCCTCTCAGCATGGCGTCTATCTCGAAATATCCGAGTTCACCAACAGGAACAACTTTTACCGATTTCAACCGAAGTCCAATCACAAAAAAGGCTCGAAGAGCACGGCAGGGCAAGCGATTTCGGACCGCATTATAGAAGCGCTTCTATCCGAATCCCCTTTACCCCCCTTGAATCTTGCCTTTATCGGAGACAAAAGGGTCAGTACAATATCATACCCTGGTTGATCTCGAAAAATGATAGCGTAGACTGATCTCCACATCGGACAGGTTGCCTTTGCCTTTGCTGACAAGGCAGAGCTGAGCGAATCTCAAATTCAAAGCTTCTGCCGGCAGCACATCGACCCGTCAGAAAACTTTGGTCAAGAGCATGTCAATCAAGTCGGACAGTCCCAGGGTTGCGCTGTCGGCTGCTGCCGTTACAGGCACCCTGACCAAACGCGGCTGTCTCTCAAGACTTGGCACATTGATCCTCGCTCGACGAAGCAAGAGCTTTCCGCTTTCTGCCCGCTGCACTTCGAGATTTGGATGCTACTCGTAGACTACATGGGAAACACACCCCGTGAGTGTATACCGATCGATTCGGTCGACCTTGCCTGACGTTCATTGATGTCATCGATTTCAGGCTTCGCCGGGGTCCTGCTGGACGGATGGAGGAGTCACAGCGAGACGGAAAACTTTTTGGCCGAAAACAAGAACGATCCTCGGTCGCATCTCAGTCCCCACGCTTTGGCCGCCTTGCGTACATTCAGTCGCTGCGAGGTTTCTGGCTGCCTGAGAGGTTACTTTCCCATGAGCGCCCCTTACGCCGACCCACTAGAGTTACACCTAGGGGTCTGCGGCAAGTGCAAGCAACAGCGCGCCAAGGTTTGGCAGGAAGTTCAGTTAAAGCTAGAATCGGGAACCGACATCATCAATGTCGAAGCGATGATCGCCGCTCCAAAAGAGGAAGTGCGCGTGACTTGCGTCCGTTGCATTCAGCTATGCAATCTTGCAGGAGCGTGGAATCCGGTTGCGGCCACCACCGGGTACTGCGACCCAGACGGACAGACGATCTGTTCCCGTTGTTTCGTCCGAATCCGCGCAGATTCTGCTCCCACCCATGTTGTTGAGGTGAAACCGGTGAACGACCGGGAGGTGGATTGGTCAGCGGTCGAGAAGCTCTGTATGGAACTTGCGCCAATCCTCGCCAAAGGTAAGCTTTGTCTGTGCTGGACAGGTGATGAGGAAACCTGACGGCCCTGATTTCGAAGGTCTGACCGGGGAAATCTGGCGGGACTTTCTGCCCTACTGCTGGAAACTGGCTCGATATCAGTCGACCGATATTTACAAAGGAATGAGTTGCAGCGCATTGATATCGAAAGTAAGCATACGCTAGGGACTACTATATGGGACATTGATTCAATAATGCTGATACAGTTCAGACATAGATCGCCAAGGGTTTCAGGAGGCTCAGACGGAAGAAGGCTACAGAAATGTTACTCCAGTTCATCCAGGACCAAGATGTCTCTGGCGAGAGGTTCGGCCTCGCTGTTGCTGCGGAATAGACACCGGCTTTCCTGCTTCCATGACAACGGCACTGTGACGCATCGTATAGACCTTTCCACCATCAGCATTTTTACAACACGCCATCCGCAACATGCCATCTTCTCTCTCTTTGTCGCGCCAGTACGACAGATGCTCGTCACCTGTAACCCTAGATTCTTACGATACTACGACAATTATGCAAACGAACCACAAAGGCCACGCTTTGCAGGCCATCTCTGATGCTTGAATCAAAGCCGGCAGTTGGTGTGCTGACCATAGAGCTGTTCTCTCAGTCTCTTTCCAGCATTATGGTACACACCATAACTTCCCGTGATTTTCAACGACATATACTGTGGACATGTTTCAAGTCAGGACCAGTGCAACGATGATGTTTATGCTTGCTTTCTACGAATTACAACATGCTTCTACGGACAAGGCATTGAAGACTATATGCAAACAAGCCTAGTGATACGACACACGGCAACCCCATCCCGACTTACAAATACAACTGCAATCTGAGCCACCGGACCGGATTCTAGAGTCAACCTTTAAGCACAGCCGCTGCATAATCCAGCTTCTCTCGTTTGCTTTGCATCCGACCACCTTCGCCAGCCTTCTTCTTCCTCCTGACCTCCTCCTCGCGCATGGCTGCCAAACTCTCCTCGTCGAGAAAGATCAACTCGTCCTCCGAATCGTCCCCGGTGGATCCTCCTCGGGATCCTGGTTGATGATGTTGAGACGTCTCGATTCCCACCCAGGCGTCTGGGTCCAAGTGGACGAGATCCCAATCGTCAGAGTCATCGTCGTCGTCCTTGGGCTGCGAGTCGAGAGGGATAGGCGGGAAATCATACGCTCTAGGAGAGACTGTCGACGCGGTCTCCCCTGAACGTGATAAGCCGGGAAGAGAGCCGGGTGATGTGGGACTGGGTTCCAGCATGTGCTCGTCTTTCCCGCCGATCAGGTGGCCGCTCGGTGGTCTGAGTGGGTGTGATGATTGGGTCATTGGGGGTCCATCTTCCGGAACGAGGACATGCTGAGTGGGATTGGGGACGACGTCAAATCCCATTTGTTGAGCGATAGGTCCTGAAACAAGACGGAAACACAGTAATCGTGATGTCAGTCGAGGCATACGAAGTCACGCCCTCGTCGAACGAGCTCACCTCTTGGAGGTCGACCTTGACCTCGATACGACGCGATGAGCTCTCCCAAACCGATAGGACGCCGGGTCACGACCTTGTTCTTCCCCTCCACCGCCTGCTCGTCATGATCATCCGGTCCTGGATGCAAGGTGCTTCCATCCTGCTCGATATCCCCTTCCAAGACGCTCGACCGATCATCAAGGTCGGCAAGGGAAGAGGCGACAAAGTCCAAGGTCGTCTTTCTCGGAACGAGATGTCCCGGTTTGAGCCCCGTCGTTACGGTCATGCCTGTGCTAGGACGGGTGGCGGTGGCGATAGCGGTGGTCGCTTTCAAGCTCGAGCTCGACGCTGGAGAGGTGGATCCGCTAGAAGCGATCGGGCTGCCATGGAAGGTGGGTCGAGCCCGGGCACGGCGTTGTGGGAGAGGCATGTTGGCGGGATATGTCACTGATTACTGATAGTTATAATTATGTTGAAGTCGAAACCGAGTTGCAGTTGGTCGTTTGTTCAGACTAGTACGAGGTGATTGACGTGTTGTATATGTCTCTGCTGGTACTGTGAGGCGTGGACCGATAACGAGGAGGAACGTGTGCCGGGGGAGTTGATGATCAAAGGGAGGGACGAGTACCGGGGGAGAGAGAGGATTCGCGGTTCGGCGATCAGGGAGGAGAACAATGGAAATGACGGGAGTTGATGGGGTTTTGCCCCGTTGATACTGCGCACGGGCGTTCAAGAACGATTGTCGGCAGTCAGGAGCAGCCAACGATATCCATCACCGATGACCTCGATTCATCATGATGCAGCGGAATGGGTGAGAGGCGACACACGGAAGGTAGGCGTAGGATAGTCAAAGGAGATGACGCCATGCCACAACCGATCATGACCGAGGTAAACACTGTGCCCGGGTCATCAGGTGATTCGTAACCCGCGATAATCGCATTCCCGATAAGGAAGGAGCTCATCCGTCAAGAGTTACCACCACTAGCCAGACATGCCAGACAGTTATCCCGCCCCGCCGATTGTGATTAAATAGCCTAGACATAGAGTTGGGCCGACGACAACGACGATCCGGGAATGGACGACGTCCAACCGCTGCGACTTCGGCTTCGGGCTTTGTCGGGCTTGGCCGAGTTGCTGATAAGCCCACCGGTCCTGAGCGCCTTCAACAACACAACAATATGTTCTCAAGCTCAAATCCGCACACTAACTGAAGAACATTATAAATTCACATTTTCAAGTAGAACGCAACAATCTGCACAAACGATTCGAGATGAACACACACGGACACAAGGATGACGGAACAATATGATTGACACCTCAAGTCGGTGATCCTTCAGCAGTGAGGCCTAAGGTGCCTCCTACTTCTCTCGCTCTTCTCGGTCCTCGGATTCGTCAGCGGTGGTCTCTGCGATAGAGGTGCAGGAGATGGTAGGTCAGCGAAATGTTCACATGTAATCGATTTGTTTATTCGTCGACCGTCGATCGCGAAATGAAGTAGCATTGTTTGAATCGTAACCTTGCCCGTTTTCGGAGCAAGGGAACTGAAGACCCATGTCGATCCTGGAGCGTGCAGAACAGATGACGGCAACACCCGCGGTATTCACCTCTTCTCGTAGTGGACGCCGGGAAGAACGCCCCTACCGATCAGGCGAAAGTCTCGGTAAATTTGCTCTTCTCCTCCTTTCTGCCCTCGATGTCGTCCGTCTCGCTAACAGGTGCGGGCTGGACGAGGCCGTCCGTCGAAGATTCGGCCGAGTGTTCAACAGCAGTCGCGGAAGTAGCCTCACCTGTGCCATGAGCCTGCTCGCTAGCGGGTGCCTGGGTCACGGTCTCTCCGCCGTTGGTAGAGTGGACGTTGACATCCGAGGTGGCGGCCTCACCCATACCCTCGGTCTTGGGAGCGCCGAGCACGATGTTGTTGGTGGCGTGCTTGCCAGTGGTCGTCGACTGGGAGACGGTGCTCTCGTTGGCAGAGTCTCGCAGAGGAGCCTTCTCCTCACGTCGGCTCAAACCGGCGGCGGAACCTCCGTCAGGGATGATGGAACCGGCCTTGCCGTCGTCGAGCTTTTTCTCCAGCTATATACCACGGGCATGTGTCAAGTCAGCAATCCGAGCGTCGATTGGAAAACTGCTTTGACTGGACCACTCACAGCGTAACCGTTGGATCCGGTCTGGACGCCCGAACCGGCGGCCGGCTGAGTGTAAGCGGGAGCGAGGTCAAGAGCGGCGTTCGAGTTGGAGCCCAAGGCAGAACCCTGCTGGTGGTGGTGCTCCTCGAAGTGCTCCTCCTCGTCCTCCTCTTCGACCGACGAACCATCATCGTCTTCCTCCTCCTCGTCTTCCTCGTCCTCCGATCGGTATCTGCACGAAAAACGCAACAAGATCAGTTTCTGTCCTGACGGCGACAAATTCAGCCAACAAAGCCTGCTCACCCGACGGTTCGGACGGCTTGGGCGACGGGACCGTCCCTCTCCATCTGCTCGCTGGCGACCAAGTACCTGGCGACCAACATCCTGACGTCGTTCCACCATTCCATCATCTCGTCGTGGCTCCTGGCCCTGAAAGTGTAGGCAGTCTCGCTCTTGCCCATCTTGAACAAGCTTCCGGTGTGACTGGGAGTCTTGCCGTAAGCTGAAGTACCGTCCTTTCGTCCCTCGATGTGGAACTTGTGCGACTGGGTAGTGTTGGGGGAAGAGGGAGGTCCGAGGGTACAGGCAGGCAAGAAGAGCGACCAGACGGGGTGGGTGGCGTGCGAGGGGTCAGACGAGGCGTACTCGTGCAAGTAACCCGAGGGGGTGAGGACGTAGTAACCCTCCTTGTACGACTTGGTGAATCGCTTCTTGCGCTCGAGCAGACCGACGTGTACGGGCTGAACCGAAGGGTCGTTCTTGCCGGGGTAGTCGATCATCTGCACAAGAGGGGGGTTTGCGATGTCAGGCTTATTCCTCGCAAGCTCCATCTGCCGCTCCTGTACTCACGTCGGGGTTCCTCAAAGGAGTCTCGGGGTCCAACAAGTGGTCGCTTCGGGCGGCGAACGAGACCCACTCTCGTTCGGGAACGACCTGAGCCATGGTGACACCCATGTGCCTCCAAGTCTCCTGGACCGAGGTGGACATCCTAGACTGCCACTCGTCGAAAGTCTGCCAAGCCGACTGGATCGATCGGACGATACCCTCCTCGAAGTGAGCAGAGTTTTGCTGCATGATGATGACCGACTTTTGCAAGGCGTTCTCCTCGTTGACCTGCGAGTGCAAGAAAATATGGATTTATTAGACGGTGAAAGCGAAGGATCATCCGATACATCAGTACTGACCTGCTTCTGGAGCTGCCTGTGGACGGCCAAGTTGACGGCGAACGGGTCCTCCTTGGAAGAGACGCTCATGGGGGTGTTGGTAACGGCACCGATGGCCCTGGCCAAGTCGGCGATGGCCTTGGTGGACATCTCCCTCTCCTTGGCGACACCGGCAGCGAGCTTGCCAGTGTCGTTCTGGACGTTCTTGATGTGAGCCTTGATCTCGGTTCGGAGCTTCTGGAGGTGCTGAACGATCGACGAGTCGATGGTTCGGGCGAGGGACGAGTGGGACTCGGCGATGACGCGGGTCTTGTCACGGATGGTGTAGAAGACGTCCTGCAATTAGACAGAAAAGATGGCTTGCTCGTGTCAGCCGCGGGGAAAGCGTGTGGGGAAATGAGCAGACGCGTCATGCTTACCTGAACACCACCTTCACCCAAGAACTGGTTTCCATGCCTGAAAGGGACCTGAATGACGGCTCCCAACTTGGTCAACTCCTTGGAGGTGTTGGCCTCGATGTCGGCGACACCCTCAAAGTAGGCTGTTTCGCGAAAGTGGACATGTCAATACACATGTCCCAAAGCGGTAATCGCGCGGGCAGCCCAATCTGGGCTGACCCACGGCCGGTCAATGAACGTACAGATGAGCATCTTGACAATGTTCTTCCAGGCAGTGAATCGGTCGATCAAGATGTCTGACGGCTTGAGCTCGTGAGGAGCAGTGTTCTTCTTAATCTATTATGGATAGAGAGTCACCGATCGTCAGTCCTTGTCCAGCCTCACGTCCTTCTCGACGTCCTTCTCGTCGTCACCCTCAGAACGGGCTGAATCGAACATAGCTGCCGGAATTGAGACTCACCAAAGACTGGTTCTTCGACATGGTCGAACCCTGTCGCCTCGAGATCGAGGTAGTCCTCGACATGGCATCATCGTTGTTGTTGCCGTAGTGGGACATGGTGGAGAGTGTGGTTGTTTATGGGTTGCCTGATGTATTATATGCGGAGCTTGTTCGACCTTGTGTGTGCGTGCTTGTATTTGTTTGCGTACGGGTCCTAGTATGAAACGGTACGACTGTTGAGAAGGAAGAGGAGGCAAGATCTGATCGTCCAGGAGGATGTGAGGGCAGGTGACGATCTCTTCAAGCTTTGAAGTATATGAGAGCCGCAAGCGACGGGAGTGACGACGACGACGGCGACGACGACCCAACCCGGGTCCAAGCGAGGACACGCTCTCTCCCTCTCTCGCTCTCCTCCCGAAGGAGAAGGCGGCAGCAGCCAATGCGCGCGTGATGCCGTGTTCCCAAATCAATCCATCCAAAAAGAATGACGTCACTACGTCATCACGCCCAAAGGGGGAACAAGCGCGCGCGCGCAGCCAGACGATCAACAAAGCCCAACGCAGAAACCGCCGATGGAAGATGGCTTGCAGGACCCGCCGTCTGTTTCCCCCGTCTCCCCTGATCGACAAACCCGTTTCGGCAGGTCTCGAAGATCTCGAATCGCCCTGTTCCGAAAGGTTCCAGATCAATCGGGCAACATTCGTAAAGTGTATACGCGTTTCATCATATAGTCAATCAAGTAATTCAAGTAACGACGTTCCTCGGCAAATCTCGCCATCTTCTTGCGAACAAATGCGCGACACCAGATCGTCACCGCCTCCTAGTACGCCTCCACAGGCCTCATAGCCCTCGTAGCCTCTGTAGCGTCCGTCGCCCGGTGCGGCGCCATACTCTTCCAAGCGTCCTCGAACAACAATTTCTTGGAAGGGTTCAAAACGGGCGCCTTGCGGATCAGGTGGGGCAACATGGTTCCCGCCTTTTTCGCCGGGGTACCCATGATGATGCATTCCGAGACACCGTCGATGGCGTCCGTCTTGCCGTAAAGCGAGGCGTCGAACAGGTGGTCGGTGGATCGTTCGAATGACCTGCAAGGGGCAGAGGATGGCTTGGATCAGCAAGGGTTTGTTGCCGATCGTCGATGACCGGTGCTTACGAGTTCATCAATACCGAGTCCTTTGACTTTTGGATACCGAACCGAGTGATACCCAAGATTTGACCCTATCCGATCAACTAGTCGTTAGCACCGAAATCGAATCATGACACCCTCCTAAAACTCACCTTGCACGTCATCTGGTCCGCCAATAAGTAGACGTGTCGAGGATCGATATTCAATCCGTACAGCTTCATTACGTCTTGAATCTCGTTGTAGATCGTCTGTCGAGCGGCTTCGATTCCTAGCACTCGAGCCATCTCCATGATATTGTTCGATTTCGTCTTGACTCCGAGAACACCTAGAGGCCGCGGCGCGCGTGATGCAGTAATGAGCTTTCGTGTCAGTATCAAGGCACATTTGGCGGCCGTATTGCGACTCACCTGGCGTGTTCATGACTTCCAACAATGCGTGCCCTTCACAGAGCAGCTCTCTCTCCTTCGTTTTCTCGTCGAGCTTGATGATACCTCGGACGATCGGCGCGAGACCCTGAACACGGTCGCAAGCAGAGACCACGGTTCATTGACAAGTCAGCTTGGCGAGCTCGAATGAAGGGCAGCTCGAAGCCGGTTGGACTAACCTTGACGACGACGCTCGGCAATGCTCGTTTCAGACTCTTGAGCCTTCCAAACTTGTCTTCCTCTTCGATATAGATTCTCAATCGATTCTTCTGCGCGACAACGACCACCTGGTTGTGCTTGATGCCGAGCTTGGGCGCGGCGATGAGGGCCGTCTTTATATCGTCGAGCGTGAGTTCGAGCTAAGTACGCGATTGGAGTCAGATTGAAGATTTCCATCCACATCGCCGGCATGAGAGCTACTCACCTGTAGCTTTCGTATGGCGTCCATGTCGATGTGGATACCGATAAATACGGCCACTTTATCCCATGCTTCTTCAATGACCGAAGCGATCTGCGTATCGTTAGAGTGTCAGCAGTGTTACAATAACGGCTCTATTCAGTCCTGCTCACATCTCCCAAAGTTGTTCTCTCAATCCTTCCCTTGACGATTCGAGCTGCGACGTCGCTCTTTGGCTGGTCGAGGCAAGTCGTGATGATGGGAGTAGTGATATCTGCGACAGCGTTGATGACCTCCTTGATTCGAGGAACTCCCATGGTAACGTTCATCGAGGCGACACCAGCGAAATGGAATGTCTTCAGAGTCATCTGTGTTCCGGGTTCGCCGATAGACTGCCCTGCGACGGCCCCGACAGTCGAACCTATAGACGGATCGATATTGGATCAGCTCCGGAACGCCGAAGAACGATAGCTGCAGTACATACCAGGTTCGATCATCGCCCTGAGGTATTTGTCTCGACATTGTTCCAAGAAACACTGGATGTGACCTTCTGTCACCTTGAGAGCGTTCGAATACCACGCCACGAGATCGTCTGCAAATATCAAAACGGTAAGTCGAACAGCCGTGCTCGGATAGACCTCGCTACACACCTTCATCCAGCTCCAAGATCGCCTCGCGCCCAATCTCATCATCACGGGCGTCACTTGCCGGGAACATCCCCAGCTTGCTTCGCAGCGATGCCAACGCGTTGACGATATGCTGCTCGATGAAGTTCTCGGTCTCGTTCTTCATTGCAGTCGACACCGTGAACCAATGTAGGCTCCCCATGATGTCCTTGGCCAATTTTCTAACTTCGTACGGCAAGAGAGCGACACCTTCTCGACCAGTGATGGCCTGATGATACGGTACATCAGCATATTTTTAGACTCGGGCTCGACTGAACCATCTTTGCTCACCAAAGCGTGCGACCATGTTCGCGGGAATGCCACCGGTGCTGCTTCACCTTCGAGTTCGGCGGGATCCAATCGATCGTCACCGTACTCGAACTGTACAATCCCTCCTACAGAGTTTCGAACGGTGTAATCGTAGTGCGCTACGAGATCCTCCAAAGCCTGCACGTCACGACACAAGCGGGTCAGGTGGATCATCATCAAGACGAGGAGGATCAGTGGCAACTGACCTTCATCAAACGTCGAGCCATGTATCCAGTTTCGGCCGTCTTGACGGCGGTGTCGACCAATCCTTCACGACCAGAGATAGCGTGGAACAGGAACTCATAGGGGGCGAGACCGCTGAAGAAACTGTTTCTCACGAAACCCTTTGCAGCGGGTTTTCGGTTCTTCTTCTCGAAATGAGGAAGGGATCGGTCGTCGAAACCGTTGGGAACACGTTTACCAGCGATGATTTGTTGTCCGACCAACGCTACCATCTGAGCGACATTGATGACGGAACCTGTACGACCAAAGGGTCAGTCCATCGTGTTGACTGTCCACAAAGCATATGGACTCACCCTTGGAACCGCAAGTAGCCATGATCAGGGGAGCATTGTGTCGCGAGAGCTCTCTCATGCAGATATCTCCAACAGCGGCACGAACCGCACTGAGCGTTCCAGAGATTTTGGTTTCAAGTGTACCTTCTTGAGTTGAACCTGGCAAATTCTCTAGCTTTCCGAGCTTGGCCTGGTTGATGTAGTCGTCGCACACGTCATAGGCCTCTTGTACCATCCTTTCCTTGGTGTTCACCAACATCATGCTGGGCGTGACGTCGTTGATACCAATAGAGAAGCCAATGTTTGCCAGCCACCGAGCCGAGACTTTTGCCAGCCTGTTCATGGCCACTGCCGCGACCGTTGGACCGTAGTCTCGCAACATGACACCGAATACCGAGTTCTTCTTTCCGTCTCCGACCGTAGCCTTATCAAAGACTCCTGTCATGATCTCGCTGTTCCTGATGACCAAGTATCCGTCGTTGGGCGCCATGTCATCCAAGAATTGATCGGCGGGATTCGGCTTCTGAATGGTCTTGCACTTAGCTTCTAGATTGACGAAGATGTTTGTCTTCTTGTTCGGCCTCATCAGGATGTTGAAGACTTGCTTCCCGGTCCATAGTCGAATAGGCTTCTGGATTACGGGTGGAGGTATGTCGATCTCCAAACCCGCGTCATCAAAGTAAGTGCAGATCTGACAGAATTCCGCCCGATCCAGGAATCGGTCTTTAATCGATAGCAAATACGCGGCGGTGATGAAATCTTGCGTGGCAGCGATAATAGGCTCTCCGTTCTTCGGGGTCACCAAATTTGCCTTAACCGACATCAATTCAAGAGCTTCTGTTCTTGCTTCTTCAGTCTGCGGCACATCTATGAAGTGTATGATTTCCCATGTTAGCTATATCACCTGACTTTACTGCCGTTTGCCTGGCATACTTACGCAAATTCATCTCGTCTCCGTCGAAATCCGCATTATAAGGGGTACAGGCACATTCGTTAAGACGGAAAGTTTGCCAGGGTCGAATTTTCGCCTAAAAAGAGAATGAAAGTTTAAAGGCGGGAGATACTTCAATATAAGCGTTATGACTCACTCTGTGACACATGATAGATAGCCTGTGCAAACTGGGCTGTCGATTGAACAGTACCATGCTGGACGAGACCAAAATCAGCTAAAGATTTCGATTGGTAACACGGTATGCTTTATAACTCACTCTCCATCGTGCAAATGCCGTTCGACCGTGTCGCCTATGCGAAGGTTCCGTGCAACCTCCTTGATATCCGCAAACTTCAAAGCCTTCTTGAAACCGCGCTCCTTGTCAATGACATAGTTGGCTCCAGGATGCTTGTTGGTTCCATTCAAGATGGCTTTTCTGAGACGGTCGATATTGTGATCGGTGACTCGTTCCGGGTAGGTAAGTTTCCTCGCTACCTTGACAGGCACAGCGACCTGAAGGGAGCAGCGTTCATAAATTCAGGTCGAATACCATTATACGCAGGCCGAATGAGCGACTTACTTCGTCGATATTCAGATTGGGATCGGGACCGATAACGGTACGGCCTGAAAAGTCCACTCGTTTTCCCGACAAGTTACCACGGAAACGACCCTGCTTTCCCTTGAGACGTTGACAGAATCCTCGAATAGGTTTGGTGTTCTATGCGGGAGGGCGCAAGGAAGATCAGCTAGAGCTCTGGCTTGTACTCGTAGCGACCATAGCTTGCACCCACGGGCATAGCCGAACCTGTTGGTGTAGATGAATCTACATACATCGCCACCGACAGGGTCAAGAACTCCCATTGTTCCTGTCAAAAGTCAACTTGCGGTGCTTAGTCATGTTCGTCTATCGGAGCTCTGCACCGGAGCGTCAACCTACCATAATCAGGGAGATACCTTGACCAGTCTTTAGTGACGCCTCGATCAGACTGCAACAGTAGATAATCTCTGAAAGTTTCACTGAGAGATCATCTTCATTCGTTGCATCTTCTTGCTGGACGGTCGGTCGAATGCAGGTGGGCGGAACTGATATGTATTGCCAGAGGTAATCTTCTGGTCGCGCGATCGAGGGCTCCATCCCAAGCAGCTCGACATCCTGATCGATTCGAAAGACCATATCAGACTAAGGTACCTCACGAATTCGCCGACTTGGCACTCACCTCGTCCGACATCCCCTTGAACAGCTCCAGGCACATCTGAGCGGTCACATCGATCATCGGCTTGCCAATATATGGTCCCAGCTCCGGCTGATCTCGCAAGATCCCCTGGAACCCCCTCTTGTATTCATCCAGCTCTTCCTCTCCCTTCCAATTCCTGAACGGCTCGTGACTGATCTTAAGCGGACCACTCTTCTTGACGACACCGTTGACGGAATCACAAGACGGACAACGTCGGACGGCTCGGCAAAGGTTATTGACCTCTTTAGCCCGTGCTTGACGTGTCATGTTGTCCAAGCCTGGACGCCGGAAGATTCCTAGGTACTTTCGCCGCTGTGGAAAGTCTAGCATCACGCAGGAGCATTTCTAATCAAGGGTCAAGGCAAACGGTAGGCGATGTATCAGCCCCCCTATCGGAACAGTTTGCCAACTGTGGAAGTGGTGACAGGCTCACCTTGCAGATGTTCTGAAGGATTTTGATACAATGCCTGAAGTATCCGATGTGATAGACCGGTAAGGGTAGTTCGATGTAGGCGTAATGTCCCACGCAGTCCGTCAGCGGGAGATGACATGTTGAGCAAATCCCGGTTTTCGAGGACGTCCCCTGTTCGCCGCAGGATCATAACATCAGTATAGTTACTAAGTGAGCTGCGTTGCCTAGAGACCGGGAAGAGAGGATTCACCAGCCTCGTGTCCAATATTCCTCCGACCTTGGGCGTCTTGCCTGCGTCCCCGAGCTGATACATCTCATGGCTGATAGCTTGAAATTCAGATATCCGCACGATCTGCTGAGCCTTCATGGGCTGGAACTGAATCTCCTTGATCCGTTTCGGAGCATTGCTCGAGACGTATAGCTTATCATTTCCCTCATAGGGCGGCCGCCAACCCATTTTGAGAGAAACGAGGTGCGTTTGTTCCGGTCGAAAAGGGTTCGTAGCGACTTTGCTCGGGGTTTTCAGATTCGAGCGGACTTTGACGGCTGGCGAGTCGACTGTCGCTATGTCCAATACGACATGGATCCGCCTTCCAGATCTCTCCGTTAAGTACTGCCTATCGATGTATTTGCGATACCCGGTTGATAGGCGATGATCGAGAATCAGTCGGCAAAAGTTCAGGTCGAGACATGTCCATCGACCCCCCCGCCGGATGGCAAGGTTAAGGGCGAATCCATGTCACGTGATGACGAGTCGAGAAGCCATTCGTGTGTCGAGTGGTACAGGACATCGTAAACAAGAAGCGACACTTTGATGGGGAAGACTACTAGCTACTCGACCACCTTTGACATCCGTATCAACACAGGCTAGAACCCTCGAGCTTCTGTATATTTGTAACTCCATCCGATCGAGCTCGCAAGAATGGCAGAGAAGAAGCAGAGTATCTCAACGCGCATGCGAATGCCAGTAAGCCGGCTGCCTGCCTGCGTGGCCTGCATCCTTTGTCCTGATCAATCTCATCAATCAGTATCTCAACGAGGTATTATCGAGACGGACACGACCACCTCTTGATCTTTGGTGCTTTTATGTGAGGAGTCTGTATATATCCTATCGTTGCCAGACACTGAAGTCCGTACTTTGAACGCTTGCAGGTCTTTTTGGATCGATTGGGAAATGGAGAGCAAGACTTGTTGGACTTTTGGCTAGACGTACACCAGCACAAAGCTTTGTGCCGAGCATATTTCAAAGTCAGTCAGATAGGACTTCATAACCTTTCAAAATTTCACTAGAGGTCAGATTGAACCGCGTTCTGACCCGCTCTTACCCACAGGACCTTCATCGTACCGGTACGGCGGTCGAGCAGGAATGGCCGGACTTTTACAACTGGGCTCGTCAACACGGCTCGCACTATGCCGACGTTGCCGGTCTGCAGGGAGAGCCTCAGTTCAGTCACAACGAGACGCAGCTCCGGGAGGCTGAGAAGCGCGAGGCGGACAGGATGTTGGAAGATCGTGATTCGGGGCTTGGTAGCAACCTGTCGCACCGAGAACGGAGGGACACCGAATCACACGGCCCTAGACCCATGACTCCCACTTCTCCTGGATATGCCCACTCTACCTCGATTGATAATCGGATGGGACAAGCTACAGGTTCCCCCTTCTCTGCTTATCAGCAGGACCAAGCTCGTAACAGGGGAGGTGAAGAGGGGAGTGATCAAGGAGGAGCCAGGCGGGTCAGTGCGGGACCGACCGTCATCCGGAAGAACCAGGTCGTCACCCAGATGGTCCTGTTTACGAGCGCCGAACGGATCTTTGCGAGGTATCTGATGGATAATGCCGAGAAGCCGGTGTACTTCCCGTGAGTCTAGGTCGACTGTAGGACCGGACTACGACTGACGCGTCCATGGCACATACGTGTAGTGCCCACCTCCGCGTGCACGACTTTCCCAACCCTCCACGTGACCAGCACGCTTGCGACCCTAGAATTCCGGACTACTTTAACGCTCAACAAGATTACGTCTATAAGGAGCTGGAGCAACAGTACTATCCCGCTTTCCTGCGAGAAAAGGGATTCGGAAACTTGACCCGACCGGGCGTCTATGGATCTCTGATCGCCGGGCTTTTCTGCTTGTGGGCCGGGTTTGTAGTAGCATTCACTCTGGTATTCTACGACTACAAGCCGAAAGTCAGGCGGTTAGGCGTGAGTAGCGCCTGGTGTGAAACGGGTTTCAGCTTTGCTTTTAGGATGGCTTACTACTCATCCCTTCTCGTGGCGTCCAGCTCATCGTACCCTTCTTCTTCGCCTTCTACTTCCTCTTCTCTGCCTACTGGGCCCTTGCGCCGCACCTCGTCCTCTTGAGACGTTCCGAGGTCGGCTTCTTCAAGACGGTCAAGATCCGAGACAATTACATTCTTCGTCTCCATGCGGGCAGGGCTGCCATCCTGATGGCGTTCGTGATTGTCTGTACGGCGATCATGACTGTCATCTGGTGGGCCGTCCCCGGTCATCGGCTGTGATAGTTTGACCGATTCCTAGATAGATATTTTTCTTCGGCCTGGACGGGCGGGGACCGTTTCGTGTAGTGCTTTTACGACCTTTTTATGACTTTTGGATTGATCATACCGCTTGTGCCTGACATACTGCTGAGAAGCCATCATCTTCGTATGTCTGTTTGAACACCTTTCGAGCTGAGAGCAGCCAATTTGACCATTAGGGGTATGGAGCATGACGGAGGCGAAGCTATAAATCAAGCAGATACCCAAAGTCCGAGATTAATGTCGTTCGTCGCTGCAAAATTCCGGGAGGGAGAGGCAGGCACACCATCCCACAATTCCCGCCAGCCTATGCTGTGTGCGTCCTCGATAAGGCAGCATACTCGGTGGAAAGGTCCGATGGACGCCGTGTGCATCCTGCATCAGCGAGAATTCCAGCGACATGATCGTATCCCCGCTGTACTTTTCTCGGACAGGTCTGGGTGATGTCGCATCGCTCCCCCACCTCCTCAGGTTACTGGATCTCCAGCTGGCTGCTGTTCTGCATGTGCTCGGTCTGTTCCAAAATCAAGCTGGACGCGGCCGATCTCAAATCGTGCTGCTGCTCACCCATAACGATGTGTGCAAAAAGGTATGACACCACCTCTTTGGTAGACATGTCCACACACTTGTCATTGTCAAGGGACGCCCCCGCAACCTCAGAACATCGTTCGCCTGTGCCACACGAGCGGCTTTCTACTCCTTGTCGACCTTCTCGATGCGCAGGACGGACTGGTAGATTCGTTCAAGACGAACGGGGTCTAACCTCTCATTCCCCCGCAGTATGCCTAACCTCTCGGTCTCGGCACGTTTGTCTTTCTCGCACAAATTTCCATCCTGTCGTACGCTGCGTACCCAAACGTCAAAGTCTCCGTCGGCGACTTCAGCCAAGTCAGGTAAGCAAAAGTGTCGGCGAAGATTGGCAACGGGACTCTCTCTTTGAGGGAAGTATCGAACAATGGTACGATCTGCTCAGGCCTTCAGAGCAATTCAGTACCCCTAGTAAGTCCTGTCAACAGAGGAACGCAAGGGAATCTGCCGTTCTGATGGAAGCACTTTCGATGTGGATCGGTGTACCCGATTGTCACGGCTATCTGGTTTGAATCAAGTCGAGAACGAGACTGCGCAAGGTATTGTCTCACATATACGCTTCTGCCGTGTAGATCTTGTCGACTTCACACTTTCGTCCTTCCGTCCGGCACCCTTGTCACTGCGTGGAAGGTACTTTGCTGAAACGCTTACTGTAGATCAATTCGACCAGCTCCAGAATGATCAGCTGTGACAGACCCAACACTACACAGTGTTCAAAGGGAGCTCTGTATCCTGGCATCATTCATGAGCGGCCTTGTTTTGTGGCGTCCATTTCCTCGAGGCAACCGAATGAGACCATCATGTCGACTTCCCAGAGTTGATTTCGTGTTTCAGGTCGTCCGATCCTCGTTTCAGCGGTGGTAGCTGTCATCTTCAGCGCTTCCGCTGCTTTGATCCATTCACTTCAGCAGGATAACATATTCTTGGTCAGTCGGCCTTCACTTTCTCGCGAATGACCCTAGCGCTGTAGCAATCACGACCGTAAGCAGAACCTAACACCAGCCCTTGTAAGTCACGTTTATATCAAAGGCAAAGACTGCCTCGTGTAGTTGAACTGTATACCGATGACCATCCGTGACCAATCCATACAAAAGGCTAAACAAATCGCTGTGTCTATGGTATCGGTAACTGCAGGATCAAGCCTTTGCCTGCGTCATAGTAGCCAGAAAGTACAGGTTCGAGAATCGGGACAGATTTGTGGTTCAACGGGCTGAATCTTCTGCGTGGAGGCATGCCTTCGTACGAATACCAATTCTACGATCTATGGGCCTGATACTTTGCTTCGTTGAAAAGTCGAATTGTGATCTGATTCTTCCGGGATCCGCTGCGAGGCGATCGCTATCGCTGTACACAGCCACAGCAAACATGAAACCCGCTTGAATCCTGAAACCGTCGCTTCCGGGGCCCTTTCGGCGAAACTCTGGCGCGGAAGCAAGTAAATATGACGTAAGCTCGGCCATGCCACGCACGCGGAGGAATGCGGGCCGAACCCCGCACTTACTGCCAGCTGCTGTCTGTCGTCGTCGATGTCTGTTTGATGAATTTGATGAGGATTGGAATGATGATTCTCTATGATTCACCCTTTCACGACCTCTTACCTTTGACCATATCAAGAGCATTACGAGTCTTCCTCTCCTCCTCCATATTCGACTACGTCTTGCCTATCGTCCCGAACAAGCAACATGTCCTTCATCTCCACCCGAATCGCCAGGTCCAGCTTGCACCAGCTTGGAGCTCAAAGGCAGGTACTCCGAACCTCGCAGACAGCGGTTCGAATGCTCTCTAAGAGCGCTGTGGTCAGGGACGCCGAGTATGAGAAGCACAGAATTCAGGTGAGTGTCTTTGTGGCTTCTGGAAGCCTCGAATCGGACCTGTGACTGACGTGGCCTCATATTGATGATTAGGCCAACCCGCCTACCATGGGCACCACAAAGGACATGAGCCAGCCTATGCCCAAAGTCAGTATCGAACGTTTCAGAGCTGGCTCATAACTCTGTCCGTTTCGCTGATCGTAAGAGCTCGACAGACGGACTTGACCGAGCCCCAATCCAAGCCTAGTCAGAGCTTGCCTTTGTTCTCCATGGTAAGTTTGTGTCTGCGAGAGAGAACTAGCCACGCATCGTGGAGCCTCTAATATATGCATCAAAATCTAGGCCGGCAAGGTCTGCGTTGTCACGGGAGGAGCACGAGGAATTGGCCAAATGATCTGTCGAGCTTTCCTCGAGGCGTGAGTCCGAGCACAATCCCCATCATCTACCACCGTGTCACCCCGTTGATCAAGATCCCCCTCGCAGCGAATGCACCCAGCTCGCCATTCTCGATCTCAAGAAGGAGGACGCCGAGGCCACCGCTCGAGAGCTCGTCCAAGCTTTCGAAGAGCAAGGTCGACCCAAGGGTTCGATCCGAGCGATCGGATTGGGCGTCAATATTGCCGACGAGACGAGCGTTCAGGCAGGCTTCAAGAGCGTGATGGAAGAGTTCGGACAGGTGGATACCGTCGTTAACAGCGCGGTATGTTTGACATCCTGCTACACCACAAAAAGGCCAATGCACCCAAATTTCATCTAACTCATTCCTCTACCAACAGGGCATAGTGGAGAATTTCACTGCTGAAGCTTGTAAGTGGTTCGAGTGGCATGCGCTGGCCATCCCATAGTTTCTGGGCACTTACATATCGATTCTCGGACACCTACTTCTAAACCTTCAGACCCCACCGATCGACTGAAGATGGTAAGCTCAACGCCTTGTCCGAGTTGACGGATACTTTCATATCTAACATGGACGGATACATCCAGCTCTGTGACATCAACATCATGGGTTCCTTTTATGTCGCTCGGGAATCGGCCAAGGTCATGAAGCCCGGCTCATCCATCGTCATGATCGGATCGATGTCCGGGGTCGTCATCAACGTTCCCCAGCCCCAGACTCCTTACAACTTCTCCAAGGCAGCGGTCATCCACATGGTCAAGTCTTTAGCCGTCGAATGGGCTCCCAAGGGGATTCGAGTGAACGCAGTGTCGTGAGTCCGTTCCTAAAGCTCATAGTTCTAGGATCGTGAAGCTGATTCGTCCAACCGGATCGTTAGGCCCGGCTATGTGTTGACCAACCTCACGAAAGTGATTTTGGATAAACCAGAGAACCAAGCGCTCAAGGATGAGTGGATCAACAGGTATGTCGAATTTCGGCCGGAACCCGTACCTCGGCGGATGGCTTACAGTGTGTTCCATCTACGCGCGATTTTACTGTAGGATCCCAATGGTGAGCGAGACACGACTATGGCGCAAGTGGAAACGTGGCAAAGGCTGATGGATTCATGTTTTCCCTTGTGATCCAGGGTCGAATGGTGAGTATTGTCTGTATTTGCCTGATGTGGCTTCGCAAATACTAACGAGGCCCCTTTTTTACCTCAGGCTGATCCTAACGACCTGAAGGGACCTGTTCTGTTCCTAGCGAGCGACGCTGGTAGCTATACAACCGGCTCGAACATGATGTAAGTCAGGCTTGGATTAATGCTCGCGAGAAACACGCTGACTCTGGTCCTCATCAGCGTCGACGGAGGATACACTTGTATTTGATATAGAGGACAACGTCAGCAGCATGCGCGCGTCCGATGATTTGATACGATAGGAATGGAAAACATGGGAAGAAAGAGAGGATGAGACCATGATAGTAGCCTGCTCAGGTGTCAATTTGATCCCGAGCCATCATGCATGATCAACCGCTCGCCTCTTCTGAGTCGGCGGCCTGAACTGCGTAGGTGTCGCTTGCACGTTTCGTCTGATGTCCATGCCGAGCGTCATTCCTCTCTTCAGTGCGCGATCGGGATTGATAGTCCGGCGTAATGGCTGGCGATTGGTGCTCGATTTGATTGGGCTGGATTGTACATGCGCGGGTTTGAAGGTTGTGGGGCGTGCTTGAGGCGGTACGGCAGGGGAAGACATAAAGGAACTAGACGGCCATCCGGGAATTGGAGCTGTTCGATGGCGCCATCAGCATAGAATGGCAATTCCTCCACCACGATCATCCTCACCGTTCACGGTAAGGCTAGCCATCGGAGCCAACTTCCTCGTTCCAGCTTGTTTAGCCGTAGATGACTTCATACCTTTATAGTCTGGTTGAAGCGGGAGCAACATGGGTTTCCTCCTGATGCCTCGGGCGGGGGAACGATCTCCGATAGATCGAGAGGGAATCAGGACTGGTACAGCTAGCGGAGTGACGGTCTCTTCGGAAATTTGGGAAGAAGCGAGGGCGAGGGCTTCGTGGGCTCCAAGGCTTTCGGTGTGAGGGATTTGAGCTTGACAGAAAGGAGTTTGGATTTGAGAAGGGGTATCTTGTTGACGGGATTTTGATATCAACGGAGAAGACTCTGGTGCTCTTGCAGCTTGAGTGGCACTCGGACGCGAAGGAAGAGGAACTGGCCATACGTCCGACTTTGACCGAGGAAGTACTTCGAACACCCTCGTCATGGCTGAAACCATCGATTCTGGTGCGATCACCGCCTGTGATGTAGCTTGACCCTCTAAAGAAAGGCTCGGAGGTTGTTCGACCGGCTGAACGTCCGATTTCTTCTTCTTCTGTCGTAAGCGTTCCGCCGTCTTTTCTGCTTGTTCTCGGCGTCTCTCTCTCCTTCCCTTCGGTCTAGGTACGGTTGGGAGGGGCGTGGTAGTAGTATCGGTAAGACGGTCTTGCGGGCTGTCAGAATGGCTGGGTGTGATTTGATCCGGTTGGTTGCGATAAACGAGTAAAGAGCTCATGAAGCTTTCCATATTCTGAAGATCGGTTGCCGAGGCTTTCACCTGACCGCTAGCGGTGTCGAGCGAAGGATCCTCTCGATTTTGGGCAAGTGAGGTAGTGAGCGTTCTCGACGATAATCCTGGCCTCACCCGGCGCTGTTCCTTTTGCTGCTGTTGTTGCGGAGGTGCTTGTGAACGAGGTCCAAACACGTCGGACGGACCCTCGTCGATACGACTCTGACTCCTGCTCTCTCCACGTTCTCTATCGAATTCCTCCAATCCTGTCGTCCTCGATTTCCTTCCATCCTCCCGAACTTTCAATGGAGTCGACGAACGAGGTTCGGACGATCGTGTTCCTGCTTGCGGTACGAACGAGGGCTGAGCCGGCAGTCTTCCTTCAATCGTGCTTTCAATCCCGATCCCGATCCCGATTGCTGTGGTCCGAGTGCGAGGTGTTTCGTAATTCTGATTCTGATCATCTGACATGACCGGCACGGGCGGCTCCGTTCGTTTGAGTTTAAGTGCGGAAAGGGTAGGTCGGGTGTAAGGTGAAGTACGCATCCTGGTAGGCGTCTTGGTGGATCCTCTTTGGATATCGAGACGGGATTTCTTTCTAGTGCTAAATACAACGTGATTTCAGAACCACGAGCTTCGATTTTGCGATCCCAGATCTCACTCACCTAGGGAAAACAGTTCGCGTATCAGACAGATCCAATTGAGGATAACTCGACCTGGTTTCTTTACAAGGCGTAACCAGCTGGTTCTCATTTCCGTTCGAAGCTACTTGGAATCGATAATCGCGTAGAGAAGGCTGGACGCAGCTGATCTTCTTGAGGTCCTTTGGGTCGGGGGTTTGGAAAGCGGGGTTCACCCACGTAGATCCGGGTAAGCGGGACTTGGTACTGATGGATGGATAAGGATCAGGAGGGAGTGCTAAATAGGTCCCGGGGTGGAATTGAAGTTTGTTGCGTTTGGTGTGGATGATAGATCGTAAGGGAGAAGGTTCGTCGCGCTGGTGGCGTCCGGAATTTGATGGCATCTGTTTGGAGTTTCGAGTTGCGGGTTTTCGGCCAGGGGTCTGATCATTCGATCCTCTGGTGATTGCTTTTCCAAGTACTGGAGTAATTCCAATCTATGATAAAGGAGTTGTAAAGCCATGTAAGTCACGAGATCTATAGTCAAAATACACAATCGAACTCGCCTGGTCATCACGAGACGTTTCGGAACGCGGGATCACTTTGATCGTGCGAGTCTCTGGCACTGGCTGCTTGGCTTTGCCTCGAGTCGTCACCATATCGGGCTGCTTGTTTGACAGAAAGGCGTAGTCATTACCGTGAGCTGTGAATGACCAAGTTCTTCGACTCACAAGTGGTCAGTAATTGTGGCGAAAGATGTGTAAATCCCGCCATGACATGTGCGATTTCGATCAGAAAGAGTGAGACTCGAAACGTTACGAGTAGATACAGGTGGAGGTAATCCGGAAGCATTATCTCGGAGGCAAATTCCAAGGAATGATGAATCGTCGTTCTCGTCTTGCAAACTCAGCATCATCGAAATCATGACTTGCAAAGTTGCAACTCGACCCGTCAACCAACGCCCTTCAGCACGGAGACGACTTACTAACAGGAAACCAAATCATGGATCTCGTACCTTGTAGGTCATATGGTGCCTAAGGCAGCAGCCGACGCTGGAGATGAACGCTGATCATCGGGACACATCACTCAGTCATTTACCATGAGAAGCAGGACCGGGACGGGTCGATGCTGTGTGAGTCTCTGGCCTCGACAGCTCTGAGCGAGACAACATTGACGGAAAGCCTCCTTGATCAGGTGCTCAACACTGTCTGTGAGTTTCGCTCATGCAAATCAGCAGACAAGAAAACGAAGTCGAGCGAAGGTCTAACGGGTCATCTCGGTTCTCAAGAAACAACCTTCTGCAACAAGGCCTTTATTCGCCTGGCGATTTAGCAGACTTGGCAGCGGAGTCAGTCAGACTTTGACTTGATTAGCTTAAATGCCCGCTTTTACTGATCGAGGGTCCGGCTTGTCTTAACTCAGCCTTGATCAGCAGGAGAACGCCGAATTGAGTACCGCTCAGCAGAGCAGGGATAGCAACAACGCGGATGGGACCGGGTTCTTCTCGCTCGCCGTCTTGGAGAACGTGAGTGGGCGTGGTGTATAGACCCTGGGCTCGTGAACTGCATGCTCATCGCGTCCTCGTATCCTGTTCAGGCCTTGCGAGTGTTTGATCTCGAGTTGGTTAGGTGGCGAAGTGAAGAGATGAAGCCTTATCACGACAAGCCCGAGTGAGCTTAGATCTCAACGCGACCGACTGGCAACATCAATATTCCAAGAGCTGAATTCTTATCCTCCGTTCGGTGACACCAGGGAACAATCCGCCTTTATCATGAACCTCTCGCAACACTGGCTCCCTCTTCGCCGATTCGCCGGCCGTTCCGACAGGTGGTACAACCTCAACTCTCTCCTCGTCTCTCCCGAATGGCTCAGTAGCGAATATCTAAGCTTGGCCATCAATACTGCCGAGGATGAAGGACATTCGGTTTTTGTCGTACGGAGCAAGGACGCTCAAGAGCAGGAACAAGGGATCTCGGCTCTGCCGGAGTGTCAAGCGGATCTGATGGGATTGCAGTTAGGGTCGCCTTCCGCAGGCGGACATGCCGGGTTTTCGGATGGTTAGTCTCGACAATCAGGATAACCTACCGTTTACAGCCTACTAATACCATGAACTTCATCCCGCAGACGTTGTCTCTACGTCCACTCAACGATCTCAGGCTGAATTTGAGAGGTTCCAGCGCGAACAGATGCAAGCTTTCCAGGAACAACAATACAACAGCGGCGGGTTGAGGAACCGTACTGGAGCTGGAGGGCCTCAAGAAGGGACGTATGCCAGTGCTGCTCAAACCCAAACCCCGGCCACCTTGAACAGGTTCCAGCGAACCCGAATGGAGGAAGAAGAAGATCTGAGAAAGGCGATCGAGGCTTCGTTGGCCGAATCGGGAGCGGGGTCGACTTCCGGGGCGGAGGCGGAGAACCAAGGCACGTCGCTCGCAGCTTCCGGGTTGCGATCGGATGTGCGGACGAATGAGACGGTTCCTCTTGTTGCTTCTGATCAGCCGGTCGACGAGATGTTGACGACGACGACGACGACGACAAGCCTTGAAGCGTCTGAGAGCAAGGGTTTCGTAGATGGGCTGGTGTCGTCTGTATTCGAGGTATGTTCAGTCGGTTCTGGATGAGGGAAATGATCTTGACACCGAGTCTCTTTTGCATCGTTCAGCCCGGCGTCAACGTACCTCTTTTTCAAGGTGAGCTCACTATGAAGTTTATACGATCAAGCCGACTGCACATACTCATGCCGACCCCGTGGACCGACTTGATAGCGATGAATGCATCCTTCTTCTTCCTCATACTGTCACTCCTCTTTCTCGGGTACATGACAGACTGGAACAAGCACGTCTTGTTTTTGATGCTCGTCAGTACCGGTCTGTGGATGACAATGATTTGGTGCGTATCTTGGAGCAGGAACCTGAATGAGCGGCCGGCTGACGGCTTTCGCGTTCATTGGCAGGTTTGTGCAAGAAATCACTAGAGTACAGCAGTCCCAGCAGAATACACCACCTAGTGCAGAGATAACGACAGAACCAGAAAACGAGTCAGATCAGTCGAAGAAAGATTTGTAGTTGGCAACATCTGGTTTACATCCTAGACATACAAAATGGCAGCGAAGCTACAAATGGCTGGGAAAACAAAGTCTATGGATCGTGTCGTGGGAGCATGCAGATAAAGCTCGTGTGGTCGTTAGGTGTAAAGCACAAGGTACGGTGCCGTTGTTCATTGCAGGTCAGGGCCATGCCCAGGATGACGTTTGAGATTGACCTGAGGGCAGGCTATTTGGGCCGTTCCCGTCAAAGTTGCCGTTCGGCTGTGCAATGGGCTGCGACTGATCGCCGAGGACCTGACTCAGCATCGCCGCGAGACTCTGTGGTGAGAGATTGTCGAACCTGATCACAAAGATGTAGGTCGTCAATTTGGAATGAGCGTTCTCACGGTGCGAGACGACTCACATTTGCTGTAGCTCCTGCTGTTCTGGTGCATACTCAAAGGGCTGCTGCATCAAGCTGTTGAACGAGTTTCCATTGAACCCTGCCTGGCCAGGTAGGTCGAGCTGTGGATCCACTCCGAACATGGCTTGTCCGTCTGCCACACCTTGAAGATATCTCTGGAACACGGCGTCCAGCTGACTACCATCCTGCAAGCTATCGCTGGAGGTGTCCAGGTAGCTTGTAGGTATCGAGGTATTTCCAACCCCATTGCCCATGGTGGACGCAGCCGAAGTAGATGCAGAACCGGTTTCGGAGCTATACAGTCCATATTGCATGCCACTTTGGAGGTCAAAGTTGTTGTTTGCGAACATCGGCATCGAGAGATTGGCGGGAGGCACAATCTGCGCCGGGACATGACTGCTGGGGAGAGAAGGCATGTAGGAGTTCGGCAGCCGCGACTGTTGCTGCGCTTGCGGTTGCTGCTGATAGTCCGCAAGCTGCTGTTGCTGTTGTTGCATCATCAGAAATACTGCCGCGCGGGCCAGCTCGGGTGATGACAAGGCGGCCGGAATCTGACCAGATGTTGCGATGGGCGATGGCAACGGTACTGGCTGTCGAGGGGGAACGGTCGTGTTGCCCGTATATTGCTCATTGGGCTGCCCAGTCCACGGGTTGAATGGCAGCAGAGCGACGAGATCAAGCAGATTGGGAATTGCTTTCTTTGTACAACAATCCGCGTTTTCGGTCGGGGTGTCGGGCCGTGTTGAGCGGGCCTGAGATTGAGCGGGTCCAACATTGGACCCGGACGATTCGGCGGAGGTCCAGTCGAAAGGTGTAGCAGTGCCGCTTGGGGTTTGTGAAGAAGATGATGCTACGGAATTCTTGTCGGTTCGAGGTACCACAATGCTGTGATCTACTCCGCCAGAGGATCTGACTACTGCCACAGCTTCCTGCGTTTTGTTTGAAGCTGGTCGAGGCATGATCGGTCGAGGGTGAGACCCATGATGTCCCTTGCCAGGACCCTTGCCCACAGAAGTCGCTCTTGACAGCGTTGGCTTGTCCCGGGCAGCGTGATCAGATTTACCGCCATGATGATCGTAGGGATGGCCGTGTGACCCGCGCTTCGACGATGCCCCGGAATTGCTATGTGACGATCTGCCTTGTTCTGCCGATTCGGTCTTCTTGCTGCAGCAAGACTTCGACTCTGCCGATTCGACAGGCGTTGTACTGCCGGGGTGATCGAATGAGAATCCGGCCCAATCAGTCGATGGGGTCACGGTTCGACTCGCGTCTCTTTCAGTCCTGTCACCCGCCGAACTCTCATCCGAGATTTCGATGACTTCAGCAATGATGGGATTGCCCCCCTTGTTACCATTGCAGCAGCTGTCAGACGCCTTGGCTTTGTCCTCTGTAACGGTGTTGGACGACGCCTGGACAGTCTCATCACCAGCGCTCCCTGCGTTGTGTTCCCCATGATCGCCGTCAGGACCACAAGGGCAGACTGAACAGCATCCACAGCAGTCGTCCAAGCATTGACACATTCCCGCTTGACATTGGCAACGTCTGAGCAGAAGAAAAGTCTGATCAGCATTAGCCTTCCCCTTACATTCCGGTCATAACCTCACCCGTTACAGCATTCAAGCGGCTTCAACTTGACCAGTCCCATAGCAGTTGCTGCTTCGTCATTCCAAAGTGCCGTAGGTGGAAGCACGCCCATATGTAAGGGATCCAGCTCGAAGGCGCTGATCGGGCTACGTATACCGGAAGATGGCGAGGGCATGCTGTAAGGCGTTCTTAGCTGAGCTGGAGGTGGAATGGACGAGGCCGCGATATCGATCAGATGTTGTATCGATTGCACACCAGGTTGAACGTTGACGTGACTGCGGCAGTCGAAACAGGACGTGCAGGTGGAAGGACAGGTATGCAGGCCCTCCATCGTATGTTCATCGCCCTCCGGCTTGACCCTGTTTGCGTCGTTGTTTGGGTGGGTTGTGCAGCCAGGGCAGAGACATCCTTCACCACAGGTACAGCCATCCATGTCCCATGATTGTACCGTGGGGAAGATCGCCGGCAGTGTCAAATCAATCGCCTGTTCCGAGTCCGCTTCCCGGATCCGCGGCAGAGTGACGGGTACATCGTGATGTACGTGGGGCACTACGGGTGACGATCTCCCTGAGGCGGTTCTCGAGATGGATTTCCTTCGGTTCAGCGATGATTCGGCACCCTTTTGACCGTGATTGTTCTTGTACGGCGAGTATAGAGCCGTCTTGTGAACGTGTCGACTCGAATGAGGCGGGTGATGATGGGACGATGGCGTGATACCTTGGCGTCCAGGCAGATCGACTTGCAACGACGGCCGTCGATCATGCATGGGCGTCACGCTCATCTCTCTTTGTAGATGATCGGCGAGACCATCCAGATGATCGAGAACCGGCAAAACTCCACTCCCCTCGTTGCTGTTCGAGTTGTTACCCGAGCTTTCCGAACTGGCGCTTGTAGGGGCTACCGGCTGACAACATTTGCATTTGCCGCCACTTTGACATTGGCAAGGGTTGAGAAGAGCGTCGACTGCATCAACACCAGCACCATCAAGGACGATCAGCTTGCCCTACCCCTACTCAACGGCGATTGCTCATTCCGAAACTCACGCTTCCGCAACTTGTTGTCGGTCGGTCCACAACAGGACGAACCATTCTGCATCGCACTCAACGCGTCCGCCGCATCGTTCATCGCATGGACATCGCGAAGCCCGTTCGGAAACGCCGCGGATGGGGGTTCCTTTTGTGGCGGTTTCTTGGGTGCAGAGCTTGATCCTGCGCAATCACACTGAACGGAATGGCTTGCGATTCAGTAAGTACACCACGGGTCGATAATGAGCAAGCGTCTCACTTTGATATGCAATTGTTTCTCCGATCTCAATTTCCGACAGTGTTCGCATTGTGTGACCGGTCGACCTGTTCAAAGGCATCCCGAGCATGAGAATCATCCTCCATGATGAATCTTTCGACCGAACAACGCACCTTTCTTCTTGATCTCGAATAGCGGTCGGTCGGTATGAGTACAGCTGCCTGATCGGTGACCTTTCACACAAGTGGCACTGAAAGTAGTAGACATGCGTAATCAGTCAATCGATCTACGTCTCGAGAGTTACTGACCGGCTTACCAAGAATATTTCCTGGATTGTCGGTGCCGGCATTGATGTGTCAGTAGACGTCTTCGTGTACTTTCGGAAGGATAAGTTGAACATACTTGTCGTTGACGAGCTGATGATTAATGAACGTGCCGGTCGTAGTAAGTTGTTGTCTAATTTGATGCCTCTTGTTTGCGACTTACCACCATATTGTTCCAGATCAACAGCCAGACTCCAGTCCCGGTGATGGTTCAGCGGCGGGGATTTTTGGACTGGTGACTGTCTGCTTTATATCAACGCCCGGCCTCGTATATGAAGAAGGTGTGCTTTGTCGACTGCGGCCCGCTGGTGATCTGCTCTCCTTGTCTTGGCCGATACTGCCCTTTGCTATCGAGCCATATCGGTGATCCGTCTTTTCTCGTCGTCAAGCCGGACCGCAGGCCGGTAAAACACACCACGCCGAACTAGTGGAACTTTCTTGTACCGAGTGGATCTATTGTTTCTAAGGGCAAAGTTGGCACAATAGGTAGCAGTGTAAGGGTTCTAGAAGGAGTAGTAAGAAGGGAAACACGACGATCGATGATCAATCTTCCCCCTTTGCACACCTTGTGCTACATGCTGCTGCCCTCTTTCGCTCGCAAAACGCGGGATCGCGCGCGCGATCATCTCATCCTCATCTTCGGCGAAAGGCGCAATTAGCAAAGGGTGCATCGGGAAATTAACAGCGACGAATGAACTGCCTTCTAGACTACCAGACCTCAAGTTCTTGCAAGCAATCCCTCCAGACTACCACACCCAAGCTACAGCAGTCGAGCGTCCACATCCAGATCTGACGTGATGACCACGATGGGATGGCCATTTTCCAGCTGCACCGCTTTTCTTCGGTGCCGAAGAAGCTCACGCCGCGACCAAAGTAGCAAAAAGTCAACAAAGCTTGCTAGGCCGGATGGATGGCTCTAATTTGTCGGGCAAATCCAGCCTGAATCGAAGCGTCGCGCCTTTCGTGACCTCGTCGAATCCATGAAAGCTGTTGGTACATCAAGATGCCATCGTACAAGCTGAATATAACCTTGTATCAAAAACCGATCCGTTCTACGTCGTCCTTGTCCTCTATCGTTGATGTTATTCTTGTTGTTGATTGCTATTTCTATCGTGTCGTCGCCACCGTACTCGAGTCGACGGGATCAATGACTATGTCCGCCCAAGACGGCACTCAAGATCAAGGGCAAGATCATGCCTCCTACCAGGAGACTTAGTCGGACGCCTTTGCTGAGCTTTTCATCCTCGGGGTCATGGGTGTGTGCATGAGCGTGGGTATTGTGGCTATCCGAGTCTGAAAGAGGGGAAATCACGGTAGCCACATAGAGGAAGGTTCCTCCCTACAGAGACGGAAGTCAGTGGAAAGGATATCAGTGCCGGCGGAACCGCTACAAGTATCGATCCTGACACTCACGGAGAACAAAAGTACCGCTCCGGTCCACCATTGAATCCCATCGATATCGTGCTTGCCTACTTTGGCGTCAGAGCCTCCGAACAGCTTGACAAGGAAATATGTGAGGATGGCGCCTACCGGTGCCGAGGCCGAAAACAAGAGGAGTCGGGTCCGGATTTGAACTCGAGAGAGCTTTTGGGACAACAGGGTGGTGGTCAGACCAAGCGCCGTAGGGCCTAATGAAGCAGGAGAGCGATACACGACCGGGTCAGACTTAAAATCGTCAACTAAGTGGAAGTGTAGAGTGGGACACGGTCCAAACTCACCCTTATGCACGATAACAGCCAGAAACACCACAAAGCCAAGCCCGCCCTTTTCGCTCAACGAACTCGCTCCCAGAGCGATCCCATCCGCCATGGCGTGAATGACGAGTCCCAATGTCGCGTTCAGCCCTGCCAAACCTCCTTGTTCCTCCTCCTCATCATCATCATCATCATCGCCCGCCAGCGATATCTTGGATTCACGGCGTGACCGCCGAGTGTCGTATGAAGGTCTCGTCTTGGGAAACAAGGACGTACTCGAGTTCATCCGCTCGGCCGACATCCTAGAGTCGGTAGCCAGATCCGAGATGTGAGAATTCTGCGTGCGTAGAGGCAGCCGAGTATCGCTAGGGGGGAGACCATCGATAGATACAGGTGATCGAGAAGGAGAGTGGTAATGACCGTTCTCGGCTGACGCTTCGGCGTGTTCTTGCTCATGTTCGTCGCTTGGCGGGTGTGGCGTGAAAGATTCGACCCTGTAGAAAGCGTCATCAGATCTCGCCACGAGCCAAAGGCCATATGTCAATCGACTCACATCATCATAAGGGCGAATCCTGAGAGCAACGCGATCCCAATGACATGGCTAGGTGACGTTGTCTGATGGTTGTGGTCGTCATGGTCACCTTCCGGGAACGAGCTGTATAAGGTATCCACTCCCCTATGTACACATGAAAGAAATTAGTCCGTAGTCATCCTTAGGAAGAATACCTTGTCGCAGGAGCGTGTCAAACTTACTCTGGGATAATGATAGTCAAAGCCGCCCCTACGAGCAGACCCATCCCGAACACGCTGATAACGTTGAGCCGTTTGCCTGGTCAAGTCGATGCACAAACCCTTGACGAATGAGCGAGACATGGTTGTGCGTAGGACCTCTGCGAGCTTACCCGAGATCACATCGAACGCAAGAGGGAGATATCCCACTCCGAACGATGCAGCGAACGTGGCCACGGCTTGGCCCACGAGGGTCAAGAGCGGCATCGCTGAGTTGCCAGCGCCGATCTGTGGGAGAAGAGTTATCTATCTCTGGGTGCCTGCCGATGTGCAATTGGTACAAACACTGCTAGATAGCGGAGGTGTATGGTATGTGCGGTTCGAACGAGAGGTCTGTCTTTACCAAAGTCCCCTCCCCTTCACATCCCGAAATGACGAGGACTTGCAAACGTTCAGGTCATCCAGGGCAGCTGGGCCGCGCCGATCGCTCCAACCGAACTTTGGGCTTACGTCACTTTTCGGAATCAAAAAGCGACCCCTTGGAAGCTGAGCGATCAGTGATCAGCACGGGCGCAGAGGCAGAATGGGCACAGCACGATATGATTATAAGGCTGCGGTTTGGAAAGGGTATCTCATTCGTAACAAAAGCTCTCTAAAAATTTGTCACTCTGTCAGGTATTCGTGTATATCTAGCTAAAATCGCGCGGTTCCAGCTCAGCTTAGAGGAATGCTTCATCGCCCCGCCTGGATTGGCCAGGTTGCAGGATGACGCCCTCTTCCCCACTCCTCCTTCCTCCCTTCAGTCCGTCGAGTGGTACTTGCTCGGTAACCGTATCCTCCGTCCTGGTCCTAAGCCTGCCACCGGCCTGATCAGCCGGCCCAGGCTGTGCGTAAGATTGATATTGCTGCGGATGTTGGTGATGAGCAGGGGAGGCATAGCTCTCGATCGGAGGCTGGGGCAATCCAGCCTGCCTAGTCGAACCTTGGCCATAAACCAGCGGGGTCCTAGAGTCCGTCATGCTGACCCGGTTGTTGTACCCCTCGAACCGTCCACCGACTTGATCTTCCGGTCGATAGACGTCGGTATCGGGAACGCCACCGTGTTCGATATCCCTACCCGGACCGTCCTCGTCATCACGAGGGATACGGGGCGGGTACGGACGATGCGCACAAGGATCAGTCAGAGCCTGCAAAGATTCGGTTACCATGAGCCGTTTACGGGATCAGAGCGTGTCAAATCAACTTGACCTACGGGATAATACTGCCTGTAGCAATACCAGGCCACGAGGATTCCGATAACTCCACCAGCGATCACGTCACTGCACAAACCAAGAATAGCTTAGCGATGCAACATCCAGGTTTCTTACAGATCTTTTCCTTGAAGGAGCAACTCACGTCGCATGGTGCCGATAATCCATGGTCCTGCTAATGCTAATCAGAGCGGCAGCAGAGACGGGAATCAAGAGCAACCAGGATTTCAACGTATACCCTCTCCTATCCCAAATCCTCATCTCTATGATCGCATGAGGCCAGGATCAGGTCAATATCGCGCGCTGCCTGTTCCACCGAGCAAGTCACTCGGCTCGACTCACTGCCAGCAGCAAACAAGGCCAGGTACCACATTCCCGCCCAACCGAAACTACTGTGACCGGACGGGAAACTCCTGAACCCTTCTTGAAGCTCGTCGGTCCGGGTACAGATCGTCCAGCTTGTGAGCCCGAACAAGGGGTTCGAGGTGTAATCGAGCGGGGGCACGCATCGGGCGACGATATCGGGACGAGGTCGACCGACGGTGATCTGCAAGGGCGACGGACAATGGATCAGCATCGGAAAGGCGCCAATGTGAGAAAGCCGTTGCGGGATAAGTGAAAAGCTCGAGTTACGAGACGCTTACCTTGACGATATTGGTAAACGTCGAAGTCAAACCCAGACTCAAACCCAATCCCAGCGCGCCCACCTGGGCATCAAACCAGCTCTTCCTCCCCGCCCCCGCCCAGACGAGGATGACGAACAACGGGAAGATACCAGCGATGAGAGCGAGGGCCCAAACGGGAATCCGTTCGTGTTCTGCGTATGGATGGAGGAGAGAGGTATCGGTGATGGAGAAAAGTCGACGATAGCCGTTGACCTTGTCTAGCGCGTAGAAGACGGCCTGTTAAGAGGGTCCAGATGGAGCGAGATATACAACGAATGATATATCGGTCAGCGCGGCTAGTAATCAAGCAATAATGCTCGGCCAAGTCAGACCGATCGAGCAAACTTACCCAGACAATGATTGTTAACAACCAATCCAACCCGTAACTCTGCCACAGCCTCCTCCTCCTGCCCGGGGACATGGGTTTCCCCATTAACTTCTTGCTCGACGGCCCGCCAACGGTCCCATTACGTCCATAGGGATTGTCTTGTGTCTTGTGAGGCGGAATCGGGTACTCGTCAGGCAAGGTCGACGCCGGTCCTACGTTATTGTTGTTGCGTTTGGTACGGAAGAACGACATTCCGGGGTATTGCAAGTTCGGCGTTGTTGCCTCTCGATTTGCAGCAAGATAGTTGCGAGCAAGAGGTTTCGCAATCCCCTGACTATATGAAGCGAGGCCCAATTCGAAGAGGCGAGCTGTGTGCGGGGATCACACCAACGAATGTCAAAGGAAGACGTGACGATGGCGGTGCTGAAAGATTGAGATCAAACAGATATGACGTCTGGGGAGCCGGGGAAGATCAAAGCCAAGAGATCGTTGGCTCGTGTGACCACCCTCTCCGCGCCTCTCGGTTCTCGGTTGGAAGGGGAGGAAAGAGCTTCCGTAGATCAAAACACGGGGTCGCCAAGCCTCTCTGTCGGAAGTTTATCGTTGTACGTTGTTACAGCATGCACTTGCTGCAACCCGTTCAACCTCGCAACCCACTGTCACTGACCTTCAATAGTTGCGTCAATCCAGTGACGGGTGGGTGGTCAGTTCTTTGCAAACTAACGAGCCGACTCTTAAATAGACCTGCGATTGTGCTGATATACAAAGCATCCACCACGGCTCGTGTATCGGAGCGATCCTCGGCCCGGAACCTTTGAAACGGGTCCGAGATCTCACGTGACCTTGAGTTGCTTTGGGAAAAGCGCGTCGCTGCCGGCATTTCCTTACGTTATCAGCATCCTCAGCAGTGATCGGCATCGGGACGCGGACGAGCGGCAGTTGGGAGCGAGCAAAGTTTGTGAGGGGAACCCTGCAGGATTGCGAAATGCAAAGACCTCTCTTCACGTGGTATACTCGAAGGCCACAAGCACGACTACTCTGGCGTTCAATAGATCGACTAGGGCAGCTTAATCCCGCAATGAACGCTCAACCGGTATGCCCTAGCCTGACGAGGACGCTCCTCCGAGCTCGACAACGATCGACACCGTTGTCGTCATCCCCCTTCTTCACGCACCGCACCAGGGCATACCATCGCCCATCGCATCGAACCGATCGAGTGCAGTACTCTTCTACGGGATTAAGGTTGGTACTCAACAAAAGTTGTGGCTTGATCGGTCGAGCGGTATCTGAGGGTACACCGTGGGGGCAAACCGAGAGCTGTAGACGTTATTCTACCGATCGCGATGCGGATCGAGCTGGACGACCCGATTCCACCTCGACCGAAAATGGCGGCAGTCAAGTCAAATTGGAAAAGACTTATAACAGATCCGGCGCAAGTTCAGCTACGCTTGAGGAGCCGGTCGTTCCAGAAACATTATCGGACGGCCAACCTTACCTTCCTCCACTACCACACGCGCAGACAAACTACGCTCCCTTCATCCGTCGACTCCTCTCCCGCTTACCCCATCCTTCAAAATCACCTAATCCCGACCCTGGACTGAATGAAAATTCGAGCTCCCATAATCACAACCACGACCATCAGCACGGACCCCACCCACACTTCCGTCCGACGAAGGATCAGCTGTTAGCAGCCGCGACGTCGTTCTGGCAACGATTGCGGATCCGGTGGAAATGGTTCTCGATCCGAAGTTGGAGGAGGTTCAATATGGACGACTGGACGGCGTTTGGAAGTTGGGTCTTGGTCGGGAACAGTACGTCCGGGTTTGGTAGCACGAGTCATATATATAAACGATCTGGAAAATGCTGACATAACGTTATGTCACTTTGCTCTCGTAGCAATCTGGATCATTATCGGGACAACCACTTTCGTCTCTGCCCTCTTGGCGACCCTCAACTCGCTCTCCCTCCAGACTCAAGTTGCCAGGCTGTTGTCCGACTACCTGACCCGGAATACGGGCTTTACTGTCGTATTCGAGGAAGGCATGATCAAGCCTCGATGGGCTGACGGTCGATTACGTATGGGCGGTGTCTTTATCAGTCGTCGACCGATCGAGCGGAGCGAGGGAGCAGAGGATGAAGAAGAAGACGAAGCGGCGTGGAGGGCGAGGAATAATTACACGATGTTCGACTTGAACATCGAGGAGGTCGAGGTCACGCTTTCGTTGCCAAAGTGGTTTGACGGCAAGGGGCTCGTGAATGAGGCTAAGGTCAAAGGGGTCAGGGGAGTGATCGGTAAGTCGTTACACCGTTGAGGCAGTCCTTTCTATTTACTGATGCGTGCTCTGCCCCGAATCTGTCAGATCGACGGCACGTCCACTGGGACACTTCGAAACCTCTTGTCCCCGCCGACTTCCGGCATCCGAGCAAGACGGGCGACTTCGAGCTGGACAATCTGGAAATCGAGGATTTCCTCGTGACCGTCCATCAGCCCGGCGGTCAAAGGCCCTTCAACGTGTCCATCTTCAACGCTCAGATTGGCCCCTTCAGGAAACGGTGGATGTTCTACGACATGCTTTCCGCCGTGGGGATTACTGGGCAGTATGACAACTGTCTTTTCAGCTTGCATAAGCCGCAAAAATTGGGTACGAGCAGTATAGGGGAAAAGGACGAGCGGATCAAGCGACTAGTGAGCGGAGCTCTTATCTTGGATGGCTTCCACGTCTCCTGACGACTTCTGCTTGATCTACAGGCTCGATTCAGGATAGACGGTTTGCCCATCGAACACGCACAATATGCGACGGGATCCAAGGGACCCATGTCATGGATCACCTCTGGCAAGCTGGATGCCGTACTGGATATCAAGTTCCCCCGTCATCCTGATGAAGAGGTCGACCTGACGGCAATTCTCAACCACCTCGGCAAGAACGTTGCAGAAATTGCTAAAGAGGCCGGGGTCATCGGTGATGACAAGCAGACTGCCCAGTCTTCTGTCGACGCCAGAGGGTCTGCGGAAGCGGCTCAAAACGCTCTGGTAGCGAGTCGACAGGCACAGGCAGAGGCCGATATCATTCCTGGTCAACATCGTCTCGCTCGGCCAGCGTTGCGTGCGCCAGGGACCGAAACGACCTCGACCGGATCTTGGGATTGGACCGCTAACATGCAAAAGGACCTCGAGGAGCGTGAAGTCATGATCGACATCGACCTCCGGTTCCGTGATATCAAGGCTGCGGTGCCCCTCTACACTACGGACCTGAGCGTCAGCAACAATGCATTCATTCGACCCATCGTCGCTTTCATGAAGTGGGTCTGCAAGATTCGTATTGCGCGCCTGTATAGAGAGACACTGAATCGATTTCAATTGTCCCAGTGCCAACCGGACTCTTATCCCGATTCACTGCAGTGTCAAGGCCCCGCTCTCGGATTTCGATGGTGCTTGGACTGTAGGTTAAAGTTTTGTACTAGCAGGTGGGAAATTGCTGACTTTTCTTTGCATCGTTGCTTGACTTGAACGAACAGCTTTTCGAAAGTAAGCCTTGACTATCGGCTCTTACTGGCACCGCGGGATACTCATAATCGTGCTGTCTCACGAAATCAGGTGGTCTCACATTATCGACATCGCAGCAGGTAAGTCGCAACATCTGGGCTTTGCTCAGTTGTCATTCCGTACTAAAGCCACCTGCCTCGTCGTCATCCTCGCAGATCCACGCTGCCCTCATCCACCACGTTTCGTCTGTTCAGGCCAACAAGGAGCGTATCCGTACCGTCGGCGCCTGGGGCGTTCAGCGAGGAGCTGAAGCTGTCCTCGCCATGATTCGATCCGCTGTCGATCCTGTCCACGGACAAGCTGCTCTGGCCTCTCCAGCTTGAAGCGTATCAAGCGCGAGCATGTAGCTTGCCACCATAACGACCAATAACGAGGAATTGATACGAGATACAACGACGCCTCTCAATCTGCATGTGCATATGACATACCCCTTCAGTCTTCTTCGCTCTCGCTACCGTATCCGCCCAGCAGACCCATGCCGACCTTGGGAGCCGCCGGTTGCGCAGCCCGCTTGACCTCGGCGGCCTGCTTCTTAGCCAACTCGGCAAAGTACAACAAGTTGTCAAGCGCTTCCCCACCCAAGATTCCACCCTTTTTCGTAGCAGTCCCAGACTCGGCGTTTATTGCGCTGTTGTCACCGGACCCGTTGGTAGCCGAACCGTTCTCCAACCTCAACCTCTTGCTTGGTCGACCATCCTCTTCGCCTTGACCGTCTTCTAGAGCGATGGGGTAATAGTCTTCCTCCCGTCCTTCCTCGAGCGCTCCGATAGCCTGCACGGCCTCTACCATGTTGCCATCGATCTGACCAGCGATGGCGACCTTGCCCTGGTTCTCGATCCTACGCTTCTCTGCAATCTTTTGTACCGGGTTCGGGTCCTCAGTCGCCCATCTACACAGCATCCATCAGATCAGCTCCTGTATAACTCGTATCACAAGCACAAAAGACATCTGGGACATACCTAATATTCAAGATCTCGTCCCCATCGAGACTCTGGTTGGACATGGCTTCCTTTGCGAACTGAGCCTGTGCTTCGTTCGAATACGAGACGAATGCTACCCCTCGGTTGTAAAGGATGTTGACTGAAGATCAATTCATTAGGTATCAGTCGGTCTGGTGGGAGGTGCCAGCGATGCTCAGCGCAACTCACTCCGAGCGATGTCACCCCACTCGCTGAAATGTCTTCGTACCATCTCCTCGGTATCCTCTTTACTCCCCGCCTCGGTCATACGTCCAACATACAATCTGCGGCCCCATACAATTCAAATGTCAGCCGCTAAGTTCTGTAGAATACTTGCGCAAGACCCTCTTGCTCACGTTCGGTTCTGCCTTCCGAAACTACCGACACCACCCATGTCGTCCCGATAGTCGGCGTGTTTCTCTCTGGCGAAGCAATCGAGCGAGGTATCCGGAATCTGATGTGTCGGGAGAGGAAGACGATGGAGGTATTTGCATTCGTGTCTGTAACCAGCAAGTGTCGGAAAGGACAGATGGATGGTCAACTACGAGACCAGCGAGTGAGCGAAAGGAGAGCTGCAATTACCCAAGAGGACAACATCCTCGGGCAAAGAACAGGCAGCAGTACTTCGTCCCGTTGGCATCCGCTCGAGTATATCCAGCATCTCGTAAGATCACGCATCGAGATTGAGAGTGCGTCTTGCTATGTTGTCGATAAAAGGTAGACGGTGCTGTTAGAGGTCTATCCGCAGAGACGCTTCGCAAACGACATGAAGTCGAAGGTGTGTTACTGACTTTCCATAGCTGTCTTCACGATCTCCTCCTGCCCACTTGTTGTACCAGATATCTAAGGGACGGGAATGTATTCAGCTCAACCTCCAAGAGGGGACTATGCTCGGTTCACGTTGAGAGACCTACTGTACTCTTTCCCCGTCTGCACCTGCTCGGTCTTATCGATCTGATCAACGGCGACCTGTTTCCTGGCGGGCCGGATCTTCCGTTTGGGAGCGACTTTATTTTCAGACGTGGACATGATTGCCAGGTCCTTGCACAGTAAATGGTTGATCTGCACCAGGCTGCTTGGTGGTTGCGAGAGGAGTTCTTATGCAGGAGATGAGATCTAGGGGTCGTGACCTAGGGAGGTTTGAGCTGAGACTCGACGCGAACCCCTTTCTTGGACGATCACCCCCGCGTCCTCTCGAGCGTGGAAAGTCGATCGACCGTCCAAAGTATACGAGTCCATGTACATAGGAATGGATTGGTCGGAGTGATATAGTTCTAACCGCAATCGATCGTCGCTTCACCGGACTTGCGCCTCGAAGGTGTCAACAATATCAGCACCGCGAGAAAGAACAAGAATCGGCATGGGCTACGTGACGAGATACCCCAACGAGCCAGACGAGCCGTTCACCGAGTGGGACATTACGATCGACCAGGTCGAGGATGGCGAGCTGGACAAGCCCGTTGACAGCGTGCAGCTCGAAGTAAGCTCTCAACAAGCGCTCGAAACATCACCTCGACGTTACTCACTACATTGTTGGTCCTACAGCCATCTTCGGAACACGGCCTCCCTCCCTTGGTGCTGGGATGCGCTCCCTTCAGTTCGGTCTATGGAGATGCGAATCAAGCCTCGCTCTACCTCCGGATGACTCGTTTGGCTCTTCGGTACGGTATCACAGCGTTCGATACCGCACCTCACTATCATCCTTCGGAAATTATTCTCGGGAAATGCCTCTACGCGCTCAAAGACGAGTTCCCTAGGGACAAGTACAGCATCATTACCAAGTGCGGAAAGTATAGTCCGCGGAAGGAAGATCATGTACTGGATGAAGACTTGTTGAGGGCTTGTGTAGAGAGGAGTCTGAAGCGTTTCAAGACCAATTTCTTGGATGTCGTCTGTGAGTTGACGTCGTGTGTACGTCTCCTTAGTCAAGGCGATACTGAAGGCAATGAGGATTCACTTACACAGACATTCACGACGCCGAGTTCAACTCGTCTATCACCCCGCCTGCAGGTGATCCTACCCGAGCCTTGGATTCCAGCGCGAATTACGACGCAGAGTACGTTGTCGCCTGTGGTTTGGAGCCAGAGAAGCGGGGAGCGCCAAGAGGTGAAGGAGACGAAAAGATCATCAAGGCCGTCAAGGTGTTGAGGGATTTGCAAGCTCAAGGCAAGATCAGGAAGATTGGGATGAGCGGTAAGTCGGCTTTCTGCTTGTCAATATTACGAGGAAGTCATGTCTGACTATCGTGGTGTCGACCTGTTAGCGTACACGTTACCCACTCTCCTTCGTCTATCTATCATGGTCCTTGAACAGACGGGTCAACCGCTCGACATTATCCAGACCTACTCTCATGCCAACTTGCAGAACAACACCTTGCCAGCCTTTCTCCCGCATTTCGAAAACGTCGCCAAGGTTCCGATCGTCATGAACGCCTCTCCCCTCAATATGGGCTTGCTGACCACGGGGGGTGGACCCGAGTGGCATCCAGCGCCTCCGGGTATGAAGGAATGTACGCAAGGTTTGGCAAAGGAGACCCCAGGGCGAGCACAGGAACTGGGATTGGAGAACATCAAGATTGAGGACGTAGCGGTCTCTTTTGGAATGCGGGAGTTTGAAGTCAAGGATGGGACTGGTGAGAATGCCAAGACGTCCTTACCGGTTGTCGTCGGTGTCACTACCCTCGAACAGGTGAGCAGCCTCCCTTGACCAATCCATTCAGGCGAAGAGCCATATCTGACCCGAGCTCAACTATGCCGATTTGCAGATTCATACTGCCATCAAGTCGTTCCTTGCGGTAAGACAGCCGTCTGACCTGGGGCGAGATGAAAAGATGCGCAAGCTCGAGACCGAGGCAAGAGGCAAGATTCAAAGCGCCGGATGGGCTGATTGGAGCTGGGAGTCGTAAATTGACTAGATGATCGAATGTCATATAGAAGTAATCGAGTTGTAAGCAAATAGTTGCATGTTCCGGGTTATCAGTCTTGTCTTATGCGATCTTGAATCCGCTGGCCTGGTTGCGCCTCTCGCAAGCCGGCAGTCAATGATCAATGATCAGAGTTCCAAGAACGAGGCACTACTGTAGTCACATGACACCGACTTTTGCTTTGATGCGCGTCGCCTTCTTCCCCGCCACAAAGTAAATAGTCTCGGTCGGGGCGTGATGACGAAGATGGCAGATGTGGCACAAGGGATCGCTCTTTCGAAGTACTTACCGAACCCAGCAATTCGCTGCCCTCTTCAGCTGTATCGGTGCAGATAGGCCCGATTTCGTATGGTTCCATGATCCTATGGCCGGTGAACCACGCGACCTGTATGCGCAGGTGGTCGAGACGGCTCTAGATAGGATCAACAATGACTGTCGTAAGCCCAAGGACAGTAAAGCATCTTAATCATCCGCTCATGAGCAACGACTCGCTTGTCGGCACAGCTACCGATGATGACCTCTCAGCCCTGAGTTTCATATTCGGCCCGATGCTCATGCCGGCCCTGACATTAGTAGATCGCGGAGATGGTCTGTAGCCTGCGCAAACGATGGGCTCGACGCGGTATTAACGCTTGCTGATATCGGAACGCTGCCCAGTCAACAAGATCAGCCTGCCCAATGGTCGTCAGCTTTACAGGGTATGCCGTTTTCTGCTCTTGTGCTGTCTTTTGATTGCTGATTTGATAATATCCCTAGGTCACCGGCACCAAGGGGAAATCTTATACAGTCTATCCGGCGGACGTTCGACAAGCCAATGCATACTGCCCTTGTGCCGCATTCACCTATTCATGCCTCGTTGCGGAGCAACAGCTCATGGTCAGTCATATAGATACTCCCTCCAAGGTAGTTTCTCGCCTCTGATCTTGATGTGATGCTCTTCAACGCAGTGTAAACACGTCCTGGCCGTGAGAATAGCGGAAAAGACCGGACGATGTAAAGCAATCGTCTCAGGTAGAGACGGGGTGGCAGATCTCCTGCCCGGTTTCAGAGCCTAGATCGTTTACCCAACATCTCCCATACCAGCTTCGAAAACGGACTTGTCCCCCGTCGAACATGCTCATAGCTGCAGCTGATCTCGTCATGCATGTTCAAATACACCCAAGCACGACAAAGTATCGCCTGAGCTCCCGTTGATTGACCGCACCGGGGGAGGGTTGTCGCCAATCTCGTCGGGAAGCGCCCTCTTTACAGCTTCAATGTCGACGAAGATGCTTGCGTAAATATACGACACGATCTCTGCGGGTGTCAACTCGAAGCACACAGACATATGAAAGGGCCCTGGGTATTTGGCCAGCCGTTCACAAGCGACCTGCCGTTCTGTCTTCGCCGGTCTGTCCATGAGGTACCGATACATCCGTCGGGGGTGTATCGGCGTGTCCCTTGACTTTGCACGTTTTTGGGCCAGACCTTTGATGAGCTCCATCATCTGCTCCTGTGATATTCCCACGAGGACTCCCTGCACCCGATCATCAATCCATCTCCCAAAAGCATAACATAAGATGAATAACGGATACTCTACATCGTCATACTAGAACATTTTACAACTTGAAATTCGCTCGCGATCATACTGGCTACATATTCGCTACAGTGCTGATTGTTCTGTTGTTTCCGTCGAGAAGATCCGTCGGTTCTGGTGACTTTCATACAATCTGTCTCAGTTCGGTTGAAGATATCGCTTATTCAACATCCACTGCGATGTAAAAGAGGCGCATCAGTGAATCTAGATACAGAGTCGAGAGGGCATAGTTTCTGGATACTCACAATATCGCGGCACAAGACGGGCCATGTCCATCGGGATGTCAGCTTGAGGGGCTTGGTCGTTTCGCGATTCAAGTCACTCTCGAGGTGTAGAGCCTCGCGCAAGAAGAGTAAGGAAGGCTGAATGAGGACTATGGACGTACCGGTCGTCAGCTGTTGTCATTTATGAGACTCTACCATCCGGAGTCACATACCATTCAACCGTCTGGCACGGGTCATTAGATAGGCGTCCATCAAGGTCATTCCCCCATACATCATGAGGTACGCAATGACGATAGTAGCACTGCGAGAGACGCCGACGCGCTTCGGAGAGATGTATCTAGGTCAGTCGAGTGTCCAGCAGAGCAGAGACCGTGCAGAACAGCTTACACAATGTACCAACGTTTTGCCTCCACCTGACCTCGCTTCCTCGATGAAAGCGCAGGCGGCAGCGAATTTTGGCTGTTTACAAGGCGAAAGCCGGTTAATATCAAGTCTGTACAGCCTTGAAAGATAATGCCTGACCTGCAGATTATCTTGCCCGTCGTCCTTGACGTTCTGTATATCCATTCTACGAAGTTTCGGGGATCAGCAAGATGCATGAAATGATTGCCAAGCCAGACGACCCACATTCGAATCGCTTGATCTTCCTTGTCGAGCTTGCGCTGGGGTTTGCAGTGGCCACTCAATTCGCTGGAATCGACGTAGTGACCATGGATGAAGCACGTCTCGTTGGCGAGGGTCTCGCCAACCGACACTACATGCGTAATACCGAGCGCCTTGAGCATCCCACTGTTCAGAGCATGACCTCTATGGAAACATCACGCCAGAATCAGCAAGACTGTGACAAGTTCTTTGATTCGGTCGACTGATACTTGCAAGTTTCCGAGATACAAGTGATCGTCGATTCTGGATGGTAAAGACCCATCGAAACGTGAATGGGTCATCCAGGACTCGATTGGAGCGCTCGAGCCGTCCAACTTTTTCCTCTTCCCGATGACGCTCATCTTGCTCTCTTCTTTGCCTTCGTTCGAGGTGGGACTGCGCGGGAAAGAGAACGGGTTCCATTTGGCGATGGGTGATGTCGGTCTGATAGAAGCTCTCTTTGGTTTCCCAAGGACCTCGGTAATGCGATGCTCGATGGCTTTGAGGAACTGTAGATCGAAGGGATAGACGAAGAAAGAACGCCGAAGTTCCAGATGCAAGGTCGAGTAGGCGTCTATCACACTAATGTTCCGGGTGAACATGATATAAGCCAAGGCAAAGAGGCTTGTCTCAGTCTGAACAACGGGGCGGAAAAGAAAAAATCAGCAAAGATCCCGCCCAACCACGCTGGTTCTTGCATGCCTCACATAGCCGTCATCACAAAAGACAAGGACCGTCATGTTCTCCTTGCCATCCTTGCGCTTGTATCTGACGACCTTGCTGACACACTCGACCAACGATACGAGCCTTTCCGCCAGATCAGCATCGGAGTGACCGTTGCACCCACTGCTCCGGCTGGACGAGCCCACTTCCAGGTACACGGGACCGGTCTCGCTAGGTACCGGCTCCTGGTCCTTGTGCTTGCTGTGATGGGGCCGCGATTTGGCCCGGTTCGAAATGGTGGAGAGGACCGCCTCGATTGTATTCCCGCATGGCATGTCGGCGAGGTCATGAGCCTGTTACATGAAGAACAGTCAGTTCCTATCGCTCCGTCGTATATTATCTAGCTTTACTACTCACCTCAATGGCCAAGTCGACATTCAGCCAGGGTGACACCCTATCGGGTCGGAACGGATCGTCTCGTCCATTGCCGAGCTGCAACATTCAATCATTGAGACAAGCTCCGACGGACCAAGGAAACGTTTTTGCTTACCCAAACGCCTTCTGCGATCATCGACGCGCCTGCCAGCTTGGTCGATTCGGCAGCCTCCCTCAAAAACAAGTCGCGCTCTGGCCGGATAAGACCTTCCTTGGTGGCTTCGACCAACTGAGGCACCTGACATTCGATTTCGGAAAACGATTCGGTCACGATATAGACCCGGTATCGGATCGGCAGCCCAGCCCGATGATCTTGCTGCCACTGATCTCGTAATTTAGCTTGAACCAGGACGTCGGTATAGGTGACGGGCTCGACACCATCTTGTGGCGCATGCTCGATTACCATGTCGTCCCCCGGTTTATCGCTTGGAAAATGCTCATTCGCGCCTGACCCAGGTGTAACATCGTCCTCTTCCCCTCGCATGACTTCATCGCAGAAGAGGTCGTACCTTTCCCTATAAGTTGCCTCTTGCGCTTCGACAAACCTGATGGTGTGGTGCGTTAACATCATTTCAGTCAAGAGGTCATACCCACTCAGCTTGTCGACTCACTTTTTCGCTACATCAAGCAGAGGGGAGTTGCCGTTAGAATCCTTCTGCAGACCTTGTGGCGCGTAAATGATGAGATCCGAGATCGTGGCATACTTGTTCTCCTGAATCATCAAATTTCTCAACGAGACTTGACCTCCCAGATCGGGTGGCAAGAACCTTGTCTCGCCATCCCCGGCATGAGCATGACCGAGATCTATCAACGTCTCGGCACGAAGAGCGTTGACCAGCATACAACTCTTCTGCTCGAGCTCCGGGTGTTGGGCATTTTCTTGCAACCCGGGGGTTGGCAATCCATACCCCATGTCGTTTTCAGTAGGCAGATCGACCTCGACGTCGGAGTCGTCATCTTCAGGTATCGTCAGGTTACCCATGTCAGGGGTCCTCATAACCGGGCTGGGTACATTTGGCAGCATAGGAGGAGCGGGCGAGGAGGTCCTGGATATCCCTCGACCGGAGCTCGTCCTGAGCCCAGAGACCTGGTCGGCAGGATGAGGCGATACTGGCGTCTCTGGGGTCGAAATCGATCGGCGGATTGCTGGCGTGGACGTAGATCGTCTGGTGGAATCGCTCGTTCCAACATCTAATGTCGCCGGTTCTGAAGGCCGACGTTGAGTGGGATCGTGCGGATTAGATGCTCCCGGCCCCGAGGGAGACTCTAGTTTCGAAGCCGCCTTTTCTACTTCCACTTCGGACCCTGCATGTGCCGAAGCCTCGCTCGCACGCTTGGCCACCCTAGTAAAAGGCGCCTTCACGCACGTCGGATGCATACCCTCCGGCACAGCCTCTTCGCCCCTTGTCGAATCAAAGCTGGCCGCTAGGATGTCGGTGGCATGATCCGCACCTATCATCGTCTTGTCGTCGAGCTTCCAACCGCCTCCCCCTGGCGAACCATCTTCGGGGTATGAAGCCAGACTCCCTGTCCGCGTAGGGGGAGAGTATACGCCTGACTCGTATGAAGAATGGTTGTAAGACGATGCTCCCCACTCGGAAGGTCCGACCGAGTAGTAAGTCGAGGGAGAAGAGATCTGAGAAGAAATTGTGTCTCTCCTGCCACTGGAATCCTCCCGACCATGCTGACCGACAGAGATGGACCCGACGGTCGATCGGGTTTCGCCGTCATCCGTGCGCTCGGGTCCGGTAGGTGGGCCGGAATGGACTATGGGACCGGGTCGTGTGTTAAACAACGGCCCAGTTTCTTCTTCCTCGTTCGCCATTCCAGGGATGTAAGGAGCCCTGATCACACATAACCCCCGGTATCTAGGCGGATCCAATGGCGGATTCCTAAGCCAAACCGATCGGCAAGTTGTGATCCACGCTTGTCAGCCTCATGCGTACGACCTTTGATACTAGTCCGACCTTGACTCACCCGAAAAAAGTCTCCAGAGGTCCATATGCCCCGTCCGGTCCGTCCCCTATGCCGTGCAGCCACGGGAACAGAGCTTTCGTAGGGACCGACAGGTCGTGATAATGCTCCATCAACCGCTTTAACTGTGTTTCATCCCGTACGAAACGAATCCACAGTCAGGATACAACAAGTCGAGGGGATAGACATGGCCGAATGCAAATCAGCTCCTGCGTGGCCACTAAAAGACCTTCACTCACCTCGGGCAGAGAGACCACCTTGATGCCCGGCTCTATCTCGCGCTCGACCGACTCATAGAAATCAGGCATACCCCAGACCTTGTCCCGTTCATCTCCTATCGAATTCATCCTACCCTGTCCTGTCTGTGTTTGTGAGAATTTGGGCGAAATCTGGGTTCGAAGATGGTGAGGTCCAGGACGGCCGATCTCGGTATCGTTACTAGTGGTGCGGGAACGCGAGAGGAGGTCTTTCAAGGAAGTCCGGTTTGACGTAGTCTCCTCCTTTCCTGCATGTGCTGATAGTCCGGCGTCGAATGACGTTTGTGAAGAGTATCTCTGGTGGTGTCTTTGTCTTCGCTCTAGGGTACTATTGCTATCCTTTGGGAATGACAGACGGTCGTCGGTCTGGGAGACGTGGGAAGACGAGGTCGAGATGGACAGCGAGGATCGTCGACGTGGTTTGGCGATCCGGAACGACATGATGTCGTGTGATGTGGATGGAATGAGTTTGAGGTGTTCGTCTTGTTGAAAGTACGAGGTTGCCGAGGAGGTGGTCAGGAAGCTGTGCCAAGACGGGTCTTACCGGGCAAAAGGGGGGAGTCGGGCTTCTGCGGAATGTTGGTCGCCCCGTTGACGCCGGACGGTCCAACCGAATCGCTTTTGTTGAGAGGAAGGCGACCCTCAGTTGGCCGGACTGTATGTAAATCCTCGAAACCTAATGTACTGACCCGATACCGTTGTCCGTTGCTTTGAGAGGTCGTAGGGTCAAACGTTGCGACAAGGTTGTGAGCGAGCGATGAGATAGAGAGAGATGCGAGTGCCCGCTGACCCCACGGGGTTCGACGCTTGGCGCAATCTAAGATTACACGGTCTTGTCCGGCGTGTGGAGGAGGGTCAGTCTCGGTTATTTCGTATAGGGAAGGGAGATGTATATAGCTTGAAGTTGGGGAAGGAGACCTTGATACTTTAGTCAGTAGACGTTTGCGCTTTGGGACACATTCTGTCGTTAATCAATCATGATGACACCCTCCGTGTTGTCGCCCGCCCTTCGACTCTGGTATAGCTGGTATCGCTCGCTCGCTCGCTCGACATTTCGCATTGCGCGAGATGTCGAGAGTCGGTGATGTGATCAACACACACGACCCACACCCCAAAGGACCTTTCGCCACGCGCTACTGTCGTACTGCTTCCGCTTCTCTCTTCTTCCCCTGCGATGGGCTCCTGCCCTGCTGCCGTTCCTTTCTATTCCGATTCAGGAACAGATACCTCTTCCCTCGGCCGCTACGACCTTGCTTCCGCAATCAAGACCTCGCTGCAGCTGATCAGCGATAATCGCCTCGCCGCCGTCGCCAAAGGAACGTGAACAGGTGGCAACGACGACGAAACGCCATCCTGAGTGCGTTTCACTACTGCAGATCTGCGTGGATCATCATGATCAACAATGCAATTCACGTCATCCACTACAGTACTGTCGTCGAGACGGCGATCCCGACAGCTACTCAAAACGAAACGGGAGCATTTCGCTCCCCGAATGAATTCGTCACCTCACACGCACACGCCGCCGTTTATGCACGGCGCCCTTGATCATCCCACTACAACCGGGCCTTTCGTAGTCTGGTCCGCCAGGCTTGCGGCACAAAGAGGTCTATATGGGGACTGTCATGCTTGTTTGAAGAGATGACCGCAGTACAAACCTGCTGCGCCTGTCACCGATCGCTGAATATCCGTAGGTAATTGGTTTCATTTCATCTGAGACAATCTTGTCTGGATACAATTGGCACTTTCTTCTTGCTTTACATCTCGAAGCAACATGGACGTAATGGACTCGAACTTGTCCGGGATGACATGTCCTCCTCAAGCGTTCCCATCCGTCCTGACCTGCTCCTTGGCCTCCTCCGTCTTCGTGTTCCTCTGTCCATACGCCTTGGTCGCGTACTCTCCGTTCTCGACGATCAAGTTGGCCGGTTCCTGCTTTTCGCCGTTGAAGAATCTCTTCAAGATCTCCTGAGTTCCCTCGGCGTATCGTCGTTGAGCATCGAGGGTGGTTCCACTGTAGTGCGGGGTCATCCCGTTGCCTCCCTTCAAGTGGTTGCGCATGGATCGCCAAGGGTGGTCACCGGGTGCCGGTTGAGGGTACCAGACGTCACCTCCGTAAAAGTTGATCTGGCCCGATTCGAGAGCTTCGGCTACGTCTTCGGCCACGGCGAGGGCGCCTCGTGCGGTGTTGATGAGGAAGCAACCCTTCTTCAATTTGGATAAGAACTCCTTGTTGATCATTCCCTTGGCTACAGGATACGGGCCCGAGTTAGATAGTCGTTCAGGTGGCCACGCAGGCTCGTACTCACTCTCGGCGTGCAAGGGCGTGTTGACGGTAATCACATCACACCTCTTCAAGAATTCGTCTCGGTCCTCCACCCGCTTGCACCCGACGGCATCACTGGCCTCCTTGGGCAAAGGCGCGTAATCGTAGTAGAGCAACTCGGCACAGTCGAACGGCTTGAGTCGTTGCAAGACCCTGTAACCGATTCGACCGCACCCGAGGGTACCGACCACCTTGCCCTCGAGGTCAAAGGCGTTTCGGGCGATGGCGGCCACATCCCAGCCTCCATTCATCACCTGCTCGTGGGCTGCAGAGAAAAAACCCGAAAGAAGACGCATGTTCAGATCGAGAACTGTAGTGCGATACTATTGTAGCCCATCACGCCGTAGGACTCACCTGGGATAAAGTTACGGACGGCGGATAAGATCGTCATCACCACATGTTCAGCAACGGACACCACGTTGGATCCCGTCACCTCGGCTACGGTGATCTTGCGTTCGTTGGCCGCGTCCAGATCCTAAGACCAAGGGGCATGATAAGGGTCAAGTTGTTAAGCCGCGATGGACATGACATCGAGTCCACTGGCTGTACTCACGATATGGTCCGAACCGACTCCAGCGGTCACGGCAAGCTTCAATTGCTTGGCCGTGTCCATGACCTCCCTGGTCAAGTACCCGGGATGGAAAGGTGTAGTGATGAGAATGTCGGCATCGACGATGTGTTTCCTAAACTCGCTCCCGCTTCCCTCCTTGTCCGAGGTGGTGACGAGCTCGTGACCCTGGTCGGCGAGCCATTTGGAGATCCCGAGCTTGTTCTCGGTGGTCCCCAAGAGTCGAGGCTCTTCTTCGGCAGACTTGCCGCCGTCGTAGAGGACGAGGAGGATCTTCATACCTTTAGATGTCCTGTGTCGTCGTAAGAGGGAGCAGAGGCAATGAGCGACCGTTTGAAGCTTGGAAGTATAACCTCTGCTCACATCGTTGAGTGTTGTGTTTGTGTTGTGTCTTAGTTGGATAGGGGTACAGTTATAGATGTTTGAAGTGGATGATACTCTATCATGTCTTTGTGTGTAGCTAAATCTTTCGACGTGCCCGACCATCCTTATATAGTCCACCTCGTCCAGTCCAACTGCGACATCATCTCTCCCTTCGGACACTTCGTGCGAACCCAATTCTGGCTGGCCGAAGTGGACCGTATGCCGAACCTCGCGTTGCCTCGAGGGTGATCGGGATATTTCCCTTCGATCATTTGAGATCTTTCGACAGAGCGGGGTCGATTCCTGACCTGATCACCTGGCCAGCTGATCGACAGTCCCAACGCCGGGGGTCGTCCTCCTAGAGAGTGGGGTTTCATCCGCGCCTCCCGGCCTCCGCCGTTCCCACGCACGCTCTTTGAATCTCAAATCCGCCAGGGTGCAATCTCAAATGGCCCCGCCAAGTCGAGCTCAAACTCTCAAATACCCACGAAACTCTCAAACCTCGTTCGCGTGAGCGCATCAACTCTCAAATAGGGTGGGTCGGAATCTCAAAGATCTCTAGGTCGAGAAGGCGATGCCGGACGTGTCGACGTCGTCCGTACGTTTGCGTGCGTCCCACAATCTGTCGCACGGCCGGGACAAGGCCTCCACTTGTGATGCCTGACCTGAGCAGGACGTCATGCGATCGACCGACGTGCGAGGTGATTGTACTTGCCAGTCGCCTGAAAGGCCTCCACCACAAGTTACGAAACATATGCCTCACGTTCCTTTTTCCTCGAAACTGGTTGTTGAGCTACACTCCACGCCCCTACTGAATGAGGATATCGAGTGACTATTCGAACATATACTGATTGGACTCTGTCCCAAATAGCTCAAAATTGCAACGTCCTGACGCATCACCCAGCGATTCCCCACATGCACGTCATGTCTCGAACCGAGACGTTTCGTTGCAGAGACAACCATTTTTATATTTTCAGATTACGTTGACAAAAGAGTCAGGAGGTGGCGGCGGAAATATGCAGAGCCCACGGCCCGAATGAAACGACGGTGACGAATGCAAAACGAGCGTGATGCTCCTAGGTGGGTGGAAGGTTCAGGAGGGTAGGAGGGGAGAGACGTCTAGCTAGAGAGCTTCTCCTTGAGCAAGTCCTTGAGGGTCTTGCCGTCCTTGTCGAAACCGGCAATACCCTCGTGGAGCTTGTCGTAAGCCATCTTGTCGTTCTTGAGGTCGTCCAAGAACTTCTGCTCGTCGTCGACAAAGGAGACCTGCGAGGCGAATTTTGTAGGTCGAGGTAAGCACATCGCTCGCTTTCTACAAATGGGTCAGACGCCTGGACTCACCTTCTCCATGGTGTCTCGCCTGGCGGTCTCGGACTCGAGCTTCTTGGGAACGTCCTCGTTGGACTCGATGAGCTCTTGCAAGAGCTTAGGGGCTGCAAGGTCAAGTCGGGTTATTCGTCAGCGGGTCCATCGTTGTGTTCAACAAGAGCGTTCAAAGATAGCCAACTCACCGATGCTATGGATCCCAGATCACACAAGGGAACGAAATTCGTTTGGAACCAAAACCAAGCATAGTAAAGTCAGCCATCGCGTCTCCGCGACACTAACACCAGCCTCGACCGCGCCACTCACGTGAGGTAGTCACATCCGGCCAAAGCCTTGATCTCTCCAACGTTTCGGAACGAAGCACCCATGACGATGGTCTTGTAGTCGTGCTGCTTGTAGTAGCTGCGAAGAGGAACATGACAGGGTTCCGTCAGTCAATAACCAGGAAAGAGGCGAGAGGAAGAGAACGACGACTCACTTGAAAATCTTCTGGACGGACTGGACACCAGGGTCGGCCTCTCCGACAAAGCTGTCGGCCTTCTCGGGCTGGTTCTTCTTGTACCAGTCGACTGCGCCGGGTAAGCGCAAGTCAGCTTTCGTCCTTGTCTGCACAAAAGACGCTCCGCGAGGACTCACGGATTCGACCGACGAAGGGCGAGATCAAGGTGACGCCGGCCTCGGCACAGGCGACGGCCTGACCGAATCCGAACAAGAGGGTCAAGTTGCAGTGAATGTTGTGGTCCCGCTCCAACTCTCGGGCGGCCTGGATACCCTCCCAGGTCGAGGCGATCTTGATCAAGACCCTGTTCCTGTCAACACCCTCGGACTCGTAGAGAGCGATGAGCTGCTTGGCCTTGTCGACGGTGGCCTTCTTGTCAAACGAGAGGGCGGCGTCTACCTCGGTGGAGACTCGGCCAGGGACGATCTTGAGGATCTCCTTACCGAACTCGACGAGGAGACGGTCCATTGCGTTGTTGACCTGGTGGTCGAGCTCGCCGCCCTTGGACTTGGCCCATTCGACAGAGGTGTCGACGAGCTTGGCGTAGGCGGGCTTGTTGACGGCGGCGAGGATCAACGAGGGGTTGGTGGTGGCATCCTGGGGCTTGTAGACGGCGATAGCTGCGGGGGCGGAGAGGACGTCATGTTAGTCTCGTACTAGCCGAAAATGACGGAATTTCCGGTCCCAGAATTGCGAATTCCGTTTGCTTGACCAGGTCAACACGGATCGAAACCCCAAAATCCTCCACGTCCTCCACCCCATCTCCTCTTCCTGGGTCAGCTTGTCAAATCGACATCTTATCCATTTGTCACTACTGCTGCACTCCGGCAATAGCGAGAGGCGGCAGCAGCAAGAGTGACACAGACTAGGGGTGAAGAAAGAGAGGAGATTGCGGTCCCGAGAAAAGGATGTAGGGAAACGAGGTAACGGCCACGAGACAGGAAGAGGAGGCGAACACGACCAATAACAAGGTGTGTGGTATGACTCACTCTCAAAGTCGCCTGTTGCACCGCAAGCAAAACGTTCATTCCGCAGACGATTTCGGGGTAGAAAGATTTGCCGGGATACGGAGATTTGTACAGCGTCGAGGTCGCGAGCAACGACGTGCACATTCAGAGACGATCCAAAGAGACGAGTGAGGACGAGAAGGAGAACGAGACGACACGACTGTATTAGCAACCTCGCCTAAAAGGCATGATATTTTCTGTTGAGACTGACCAGAGTCGGAGACGACGACGGTGCCGGAAGCTTTCAATTGGTCCAAAGAGGTAGACATGGTAGTAGGTCGGGGTGATATGGTAGGAATAAGATAAAGGTAGGGTGAGGTTGTTTTTGTGTGTGATTTTTTTCTCTTGCTATCTAGCTCGGGGTGATGTTGTGATTGTGTGTGTGGGCAAGGGTCGAGGGTTGTTATATCAATTCGGGTTGTTGGTCGTCGTGGGGGGAACGGACCGAGAGAGGGAGCGGGAGCGTGGCGGTGTGAAGAGAGAGAAACGACGAGAGAGAGATTGCGTTTCCGCGGTCCGACCCACCACCCTAGCAGCACGCACGCCCCCCCGTTGGCTGGCTGGTGATTACGCGGATCCTCTCTCTCTCTCTCTCTGATCGCTGAGCCGAGAAACATCCGTCATAGGACATACAGCAGGGGATCCACCTACACCGTACCGAAAGGTGCAAAGGATCCATTCCATCCACTACCGAGATCCAGAAAGGAATGGTCGTCATCATCATCGTCGTTACATCATCATCACGTTCTCTAGGCGAAGGTGGCGGTGAAGAGATGGGTATGTCGCCCAGCTGCATTGTCTGGGAATCTCCAGCCTATCACCCCCCTTGCCCACGTCACCGCTAGCACCCTCGCCCTCCCTTTCGCCGGTCCGTAGCTCCGTGCCATTCCTCCGCGCGTCATATCTGCGTTCGGGGTGGAAATAACAGCAGAGAGCAAATGAGCAGCGAGTGGGTTTGTTTTGAAAGTCGACATCTACTCACCTCGATCACCTCTCTTGGGGACTCAACAAATGCTTTCGTGACCACCGCTCTCAGCGCTCACTCGACCACTTTCAAGACGACCAGATGTCCTCTCATACGTACGACCTGCCTCCGACATTGTCGACGGGGTACGACCTCCTCCCTCTCCCTTCACTCGAGCAGTTCGAATCGGACCGTAACCTGCCCGTGCCGACGAGGAGGATCACGGTGGATGAGCTCGTCAAGGTCGTTCACGGTGAAGAAGGGGAAGATGATGTGGAGGCAGGGGTCAGGAAGCTGGGGAAAGTGAGGTTATATGGGAGGGTAGTCCAGGTGAATAGATGGCTGAAAGAATAGCTTGATTGTAGATCAAGTAGGTGGAGGAGCTGATTATGTGTGCATTTCTCTCTCTTACAACTGTGTCTTTCGGGCAGTACCTGGAATCAGAAGGAGTCTTGATCATTGACGATCCGGATACTCCGACGATGAATTCTTCTTCTTTGTCCTTACCAAGAACACTGAATTCAACATCAAAGTCTCGACCCCGCCGAGCGAACGCCTTGCCCAAGATCGGCATAACGACCTCGATCCTCTCCTCACATCTGCACGCTGCCTCGGCCTCTTCTTTCCCTCAAAACGATTCCTTCTCGACAAGAAATGCGACGGACAGGACTAGCACTCATAATTTCCCTAGAGATCTCGACGCCGCGCATGAATACGCACTGGGTAGATATCCCGCCGGCTCGGGTCAGATCCAGGTCGGGGAGATTACGGGCAAGACACCGACGCAGAATTCGTCAACAGGCAAGGAGAAGGAGCAGAGGGTCTTGAGGCCGGTGAACTTGGAACCGGGGAGAGCGGTCTGCGTTGTTGGGTACCTCGAGCTCTTTACTCCAGCGCACGAAGAGGACAAGGACGCTACGGACAGGAAAGGCCAGAGTGAGGATGTAGATGATAACGAGGAGGAGAGCGCGAGCGCCAGCCAGAGAAGAAGAGCGTGGGAAGAAGTCAAGGGGAGAGGATGGGTTGTGAACGCTCTGCAGGTCATGAATGTCCCTGTCTACGAACCTGTCGAGAGCGTTGGGGGTTCGAGTATCAACTTGGATACGCTAAGTGGCAAGGAGGTGAACGAGAGGAAGGGACAGAAGGAGGTAAATGCAGAGGCATCTTGGGGCAGGAGAAGCGGGTTGGAACGGTATGACTAGACCTATGAGTGGAATAATGCGGAGTCGGGTTGGTAGTACGTGTATAATAATCTGATAATTTCTCACGATGGTTTGGTCGATGGTAGACGATCGACAAGTGTGATCCCGTGTGGCGTTGGCGGAACGAGGCGGGGGAGGGGGGAGGCGATTTATGGCCTGACCTCAGCGAAGGCTCATAGCACATTTCATTTGGCAGGTGGGACTATGCTCCATCCAGACAGGCGACTCGATATTTTCGCCGTGTCGTTGGCTTGAAAACAAGATAGAGCTCCGCCATTTCGGTCACAAAGGTCGGATCGAGAGGAATAAGCTCTCAGAGTATTGATGACTGATCGATCTGGTTGCAGTCAAGAGACGCTCTCTCATATCTGTCTCGGCAGAGCTTACAGGATTGGTCATCAGAGGTTCATTCAGTTGAGCTATCGCGCACCATATCGCGAAGCACCGTTGAGGAATGAGACTCGAATTACTTGAAGAAATCCCGTCGTCTGGTGATGCGATCATTGCGACTTTGGATCTTTCCTCGGCTTCATACGCATTTCCCGCGACGTCTCATACACGTACACGAGCGACATTGGATTCGGAATAGTCCTACTTTGATGCGAAACTGCAGTTAGGACAAGAGGAAATTTTAGATTCTAAACTCCCACCGTCCCCGTCAGCTGAAACCAAGTTATCATCGAAGATTTGTTTCTTTTGCTTTATTACACACGTGGTTTTCATTTGGGATACATTCGTTGATCGTGCATTACTTTTCCAGGGGAATTTTGATTAAATAATCTTGCAACTCTTCGTACCCTCTCTGTCGAGCATTTCAGCGAGATTCTGTACCTGGGCCATATGATGATCAGCTATGCGACCCGAGCAGCTGCTCAGCCCGACCCCACTCACAATGCCCCACCCGTTCAAGCGGTCTTGCCCAAGTCCCCCCTCTTATCCGCCCCGTTGCTATCAAACTCCTGCTGACCCACGCTCGCGCTCTTCTCTCCTTTGGCAGGATCGGGCGGGTTGATCGGCTCTCCCTTTCCCAACCCGAGATCGCCACCACCGGCAGCCTTCGGTCGAGGCCCAGAGTCGCCAGCGCTAGTCGAAGGGCTCTCCTCCCCCTTGCTCGCATTAGGAGCTTCAGAGGGGAAGCCAGAGGGGGGCGAGTTCGAGTTGGATACGCTGTCGGGCTTGTTCTCGGGGGTGTCCATGGTCGGCGTCGGGACCTTGTTGAACACGGTCGGGGTGGTGCTCAGCGCTCGGACGGCGGGGCGGGCAAAGAGGGTGCGTTGGGTTCGGAGGAAGATGGACATGGTGGTAAAGTTTTTACGGCGATGATGCTTTGGGTCAGTGAAGCGGTCGTGAAATGCAGTATAGACGTCCTTAAACTTGTGGTCAATGTGTAATTATATAGTCAGAGTCTGTAGCTGCCACTTTCTCACTTCGATCTGCTGTCGTCATCGAAGGGAAAGCGTAAACTCTCGAGTTTCACGTGATCGACGTCCGACCTCACTAATTCGGTCAAGTTGAAACAAGGGCTCATCCATTGGCCATCCGAGATCCGCCTGCAATTGCACACAGCATATCGCCATGCCCCTGGAAGACGACGCATAGACGTAACGCAGGCCGGTCCGTTGTCTATGCCAATAACGATGCGAATGTTGCCGATTTGATATGCACACCTGGTATGGAGACTCTTGTTTCCCTTCTTCATCTGACCGCGGCTGCCAACTCTCGAGTTCGCGACTTGCATGCAATGTGAGACCTCACTGGTACGGAATGTCGTATCGCACACCATGTTCTCTGTTGGACAGCTGACAGACGATAGCTGCGACCTGCTTGATCTATAGATCAGTGTGAATGGGTCAATCTACCTAAATCACGTGACCCGCCACATCGATCGCGTCGACCACCATTGCCCAATTCGGGAAAGGGCGCGTCTTCTTCCGTCGCTGGCCCATATCGTTGTTCATACCCTGACCTATACCTCGCATTCATACACCATACACACATAGACTCGTGTGCCTGTTCAAAGAAACTCCAAGTACCCGATCGTATACGGTAACAGTCGAGGAACGAGGTGAGTTCAGGTAGCTTGTCCGGTCTCGCCGGTATTCCCGTAGCTCAACGGTCTTTGCATTCCTGCAGTCATAATCCCGAATCTTGAACACTCTGCTCTACCTCTATACAAACTACAAACATCACAACACCTTTCCCTCCCTCTCGCAATGTCTGACACCGAGAACAAAGCACCCGTCGAGGACGTCCAGATGGACGCACCTGCCGCTCCTGAAGAGCAAGCTCCTGCCGCCGAGACCTCAGCCGAGGAGGTCAAGCCTGCCGAGGACGAGTCCAAGGCTGATCAGGACGAAAACAAGAAGGAGGCCAACGGGGACGGAGCTGAAGCAGACAAAGAAGCACCTGTAGTGGACGAGGAGAAGGACGACAACGTTGCTGCAAACGACGAGGATGTCGAGGCAGAGGCCAACGAGGACAATGAGAAGCCCGTCTCGAGCAAAAAGCCCAAGTCGTCGAAGAACAACGGCTCGGCCGCCCCGGCTTCTTCGCGACGCAAGAGCGCTGGTGGGAGCAAGGCCGCTGTCGAGGGGAACCATTCGTTCAAGAGTGGGGACATTGTCTTGACCAGGCTGAAGGGGTACCCGCCTTGGCGTAAGTCTGATCTGGAACGAGGGCGAGCTTGTTTAGATACGGGACGTGGGACGCTGATCGCGTTTTGGCTGGGTCTGGGTCATGATTTATTTGTTCCGGATCACAGCTTCGATCGTGAGTCATTCGTGCCGTATCAAGCCTTCTTTGCACAGAGACCGTCATGCTGACACGCCGAACCTACCTTCCTGCTCCCCGCTGTCAGATCGTCGAGGGCGATGAGATTCCTGCCAAAGTCCAGCGTGCCAAGCCTTCGGGCACCCGACAGATCGCTTCCATGTTCTTCCCCACTGGAGACTAGTAAGTTGATGTGTTCCAGCCTCCATCTTTGTCCTGTCCCGGTTTGGCGATCACGTAGCTGGTCATTCGCAGTGGAGCGGTGACGTGACGCGTGGCACCTGGGGGTTTGATGCTGACGACCCCCATCGATCTTTTTTCGCTTTCACGCGCGTTTTCCTCATCCGACCCGACTCGACCCGTCGTCTACCCTCGACTTACATGTCATTCTCTGTCTACTCTTTACCTTTCACCTCCACAGCGCATGGTCCCTACCCAAGGAATTGACCCCCCTCAAAAAGCACGAGATCACCGCCTACCTGCAAGCTCCTTCCAAGAAGAAGAAGGGTGACCTCTTCGCAGCCTACGAGATTGCCGAGGACCCGAAGGAATGGCTGGAAACCCGAGCTTCTGGTGCTGGTGGAGAGGACGAGGATATGGAAGTCGAAGACGAGGACGAACTGGCCGAGGAGGTCGACGAGGAGCCAGAGGAGAGCGCGGGCAAGAAGAGGAAGAGGGGTGGAGAGAAGAAGGCTTCGGGCGCGGCGGATAACAAGGCCAAAAAGGCAAAGCTCGAAAAGCTCGCCAAGTCGAAAAAGGTGAGTCTCGCAAGCAGGTCTCATGCAGCTGGGTTCGTACGCCTCTCCGGATAGAATTCGGTTGCTGACGGTTGATTTGAGCTGCTTGCAGAGCAAAGACACGGTCGAGGACGAGGACGAAGCTGAAGCTGTCGAAGAGCCCGTCTCCAAAAAGTCTGCGAAGCCCAAGGCGTCCAAGAAGAAGGCCGAAGAGCCCAAGGAAGCCGAGGCCGCCGAGGATGGCGAGGAGTGTGAGTCCGCGAATCACCGGTTCAGTGTGTGTTGAACAAAGGATTCGTAGCTGATTCTGCTCACTTCTTCAACAATCTTTCGCAACAGCGGATCCGTTCGCAAACGACCCAGAGGCCAAGAAGGTCAAGGACTGGCGACACAGGCTGCAACGTGGATTCCTGGGCAAGAGTATGCCTGCTACCGAGGTGCGTTGTGTTCATGACAATATTGAGAGGGTATGATGAAGCTAAAGAAAGGAATCATTTCATTGCCTTTGCTGGTACCAGGAGATGGAGGGTTATAACGACTTGTTTACTGCGATCGAGGATTATGGGGGTATGACCGTGGACTACCTGGCAGTGAGTCTGCCCCTGGAACAATAAAGGACGACCTGGCTGATATCTCCATTGCGAACATCTTGCAGTATTCCAAGATCGGCAAGGGTGAGACTGCAGCTCGACGGATAAACAAGGCTTTTACAGCGGTACTGATCTTTCCGGCGTTGTTTTTCCAGTCATGAAGAAGATCGCCGCCCTCAACGCCATCCCCGAGGACGGACAGTACAAGTTTACCGACCGAGCCACGACCATGATGTCCAAGGTCAGTACAACATTATGCCGGGTGACAATCGAGACTTCACACTGACATCAAACATCCCTAATCTCGTAACCTTGCAGTGGCAGACTCAGGTCGAGCAGAACCAGGCTGCTTAGACGCGCCCCATAGCAAATCCTGTCGTTTCCGCTCACACGGGTCGAGAGCGACATCAGTATACGACGCACCGATCGTCGTCCCCTTGGAGATCTCGTTTTCTTCTAGGGGCATTCCTTCTTCTCACCAACCGCGAGAAAGGCCTGAATCCAGTCTTCTCGCCATTTCATCGCGCCTCTTACTCTTTTCGATTTGTACAGTCTTCGGCTATGCGCACGTTATCATATAAGTTCTGTCCAGGGTTACAATCCTTCCTAACACCTCCAGTCCGATCATCTAGTTGATAGTAGTGTTTCATAGAGCGTGGTCCTACTGGTAATGTTACAATATTGCTTGTCGTAGCTTCGCTGAACGGCCGGCACAGCTCGTCGTAAAGAGAAAGAATATGCCTTCTCGCTGGCAAAGCAATGTATGATACGGTAGGTTACGAAGAGGTCAACTTGTAGAGGTGCAAAGGAGGCGCTTGGTACCGAGAGGGAGAAGAAGATGAGTGGGAAGAGGGGAGCACGGGGGTGCGTGTGGGTCTAGGCAGTGATGGCGGCTGATGGTGCTGGTGCAGCCTCGGGGAGGGGCAGTTGGGGTACGGGTTGAGCGAACATTCGGCCCATCAAGACACCGACACCTGTTTTGATTATCGAAATAAGTCACGAGCGCGGTGTTATGTCGAGCTTGGACCACAAACTTGCCTTCGAATACTCCCAACAGGATGGCACATCCCACTGCTCCTCCGAAAGCCGCCTTAGGACCCGCTGTGAAGCAAATTCCATCCGATCCATCAGTCCCGATCCGAGATTTGCGAATTCTTTCCCAAAGACTCACATCGGGCAGCCAGCGTTCCACCCGTAAAGAAACCAGCGATGATGGCGTTCCAAGGATCTTCCTTTTGCCTGTACCCCTTGACGGCACAGTCGAAACTCGAGAACAGTCCTCCCCAGATCCCAAAGTTCCCTCCCAATACCGGTGCTCGAGCCTTGATTGCGCTGAGGGAACCTGCTAGTCGTTCACCACGAGGAGATGCTCGAGATCCCTTGATACCGTGCCAGATCTACCGGGGTAGAGTAGGGAGGTAATGGAGAAAGTCTGAGATTTGGCTGCCGACAGTTTTTAAGTGTGGTTGAAAAGGACTTACACCTCCGCCACTATGTTGGTAAAAGTCGTCAGCAATCGAGCAATCAATGAAGGAGAGATCTTCTGCCGACTCACATCTATAAACCCAGAGCGATTCAAATCATGGGGAGACAAGAAGACGTCAAGTTCGGGTCAGGCAAGCGTTCAGGCGTCGCGACTTACAGCTCCCATAGCTACGCAAACGCTATTTTGTCAGCATCAAGAGCGGGTTAAACATTCAGCTACGGGAAGACTCACAAAAGGCAGACCCCGCATCGTTAATAATGACCCAAGGGCTATTGACGAAGAGGTACGAGACCGGGTTGTAAGCCGAACCAATTCGAACTTTTTTGTCCCTGTAATTTCGGTGACGAACCAAGGATCTCGGCTGTGGTCTCCGTGCGACATTTTCGTTAGCTACTGATCTGTATGATTTTCCTAGCTACTAGTGCGATTTGTGTGGCTCAAGATCTGTCCAAGATCTCGATCCATGACGATGGCAACTCGAAAGTCGATATCAAGAGAGACTTTGCTCAAGATTCAACCTCCAGACCTTGGACTGCACGCGGCTCAAAGGAACGGCGTACCACCTCGAGGTTTACCTGTTCATCTAAGATCTTGTTTGACGCTGGGGTGTTGGTACAGTCTTCTGGTCAGCGAGATTCTGGTTAAGCCAAACGAGTAGCCATAGGAGAATAAACATGAACTCGACATCTGCAGCGGAATCAACGACGGTCAAGGGAGGTACGTAACCTCACGATTGGGCCACTAACCTCGACATGCAGCTGATCGGTCGAGCTGTTCATCTATATCGACAGGCAAGAAAACCATATTTATCACTGGATTTGCGGACGATGTCAAGGAACAGGAGTTACTTCAAGCCTTTGTGACGTTTGGTGAGCCTGGCTGAGTTTCAATTCGACGGCATCGTCTCGGGCTAGCTGAACGCGGCATGCAATCTAGGTGATATCATTGAGATCTCGGTACCCACGGACCCTCGAGACCGTCAGTTCAAGCCGAAGAAGCCGCCTTTATAGGATAGGGACGTTGATGAGCGCTCTTGAATCCTTCTTGCAGAGTCAAAACATCGAGGGTTCGCGTTCATAACCTATTCATCATCGATGGACGCACAGGATGCGATTGACAATTACGACTTCAACGAACTACCGGGCCGTCAGGGGAGAGGGAAATACCTGAAGGTGAACATTGCTAAGCCGGACAACAAGGCGGCTGGAGCGGGTGGTATGCGCGGCGATCGAGCGGGTAAGTGGACCGTTTGGCATTGGTGAGCTGAATTGCCTCGAGCTGAACCTTTCCTAATTGCCGCTCGTCGGTTCTGCTTGTTCCCCTCCCCGACGTCACTACCGCATCGAAACTGTTTGCTCCATATACTGCGCCATCAGTCTGGGCGGCAGAGGAATGGCTAGTGGAACACGCAAAGCCTCTGGACGAATCGAGAGGACCGGACATGCAAGCACCGCTCCCTCCCGGTCTCAGGCGGGCCGAAGCCTCGAACAATCCCGTAGAGGAAGCTGGGGATGTCACGATGGAGTAGAGTCGAGCAGTTTTCAGTGTTTCCGGCGGACAGGATCTAGATGTTCATGTAAATGTCGCACAGCACAGCAACGCTTGTCAAAGGTTGCGCGGATTCACCTTGTTGTATATAGAACTCGATCAAAATAATAATCAGTCGCCTAGCCATTGGACCCTTTCACGAATCAAACAGCAAGATCGGGAACGCATATAGATCGATTCGGCTCGAAAACGGTAACGATACAGCTCGTAAAAGGTCATTCCTATGTCGTAAGGTGTGCGACTTCTTGAATCAAAATCGAAGCTTCGCAGACCTATGCCTGATCAGTCGAAAATGACATCCACATTAGCTCCTGGCATTACGCATCAAGTTTTCCGATAAGCCGACTTGCCTTGTCTTTCTTCTTCATAAGTGGCACCAAGCCCTCTGGCCCGCAAGCCTTGTTCAGGAACTCGTGCTAGAAACACCTATCGAAATCAGCACCGAGTGACGTACTACCGGGAGGGGGTAAACTAGCGGCTTACCGTCAGCAGTTCGGTGGTGGATGCTCGGCTCTTGACGTCGACACACAGGCATACGGAGAGGAAATGCTTGAGCTCTGCGCTTAGTCTTTCCGGCTTCTTCAAAGTTGGGGTCCCGTTTGTAGCGATCAGGTAGAGCGCTTTGAGCGGTTCCTCGTCGAGGTAAGGCGGTTCGTTTTCGATCATTTCGATCGCCATGATGCCCAACGACCAAACGTCGACTTTGGCGCCGTATTCCTTCTGCTTGACGACCTCTGGTGCCATCCAATAGGGCGTACCTACCATGGTCGCTCGTTTCGATTTCTGGTCAGTGAGCTTTGCACAGAAACCGAAATCGGCTGCGACAAGTTCAAGCAATGATTAGCGAGCCCATCCAGTAAACTCCTTGTAATCGGAGTATGAACCAAGTCTTGAAATGCTTACTGATCTTGACCTCGCCGTTTGTGTTCAAGAGGACATTGTCACTCTTAATGTCTCGATGGATGATCGACCGGTCGTGCAAGTGTCGCAGACCGCGACAAGTCTATCACAGCTCGCGCCTTAACAATGTGTCCTCACCGGGAATGAGATATTCGTCACTCACCTCGAGACAGATCGCAGCAATTTGTTCTTCTTCCATCTTGTTGGCCTCGATGACGTCCGTCAGAGCGCCTCCCTCCATGTATTCCATCACAACCCAGAGATCACTGCTTCGAATCAAGAACGACTCCAGGTAGTTGACGATGTTCGGGTGCCTCGATTCACCCATGACGATAATCTCGTTGACGATCAACTCTTTTCGGGGCTGTTGTGCGAGATCCATCTGCTTGATAGCGACGCGTACACCCGTGGCCAAGGTTTTCGCCACGTATACTGAGCCAGACGCTCTGGAAAAGCATGAGAAGGACTTCAGTATACACACCACACTGCCAGAGACGCTTTAACTCTGGACTCACCCTTGTCCGACCTTTTTGATTTTTGCATAAATCGTCGATGGATCTTTCGGACTGACGACCGACCTTAATTTCTCCATGATCTGAGGTTCGCTCATCGTACTGATCCGTTTCTCGCTAGGTTTCGTTACGGGTTTCTCGTCACCACGGGTAGCCGCTCCTGAGGAAGGCGCCGGTGGAGGGCCTTGCTGCAATTTCTTAGCCGGCTGCAGCGGCCGGACGGGGATGTTGACCTGACCATTCTGTGTTGGGTCGGCTTGTACAGCGTTCTGTCCCGCATCGGCGACCGACGGCGCGGTCTTCGCAGTCTGCAACGCCGGTCTCGACGGATCAGAAGGTTCTCGTTGGTGGTAACGAGTGGATTCTGCTGTCGGCTGTCGTGGTCGCGTGGAAACCTGGTCTTGGTGCTGAGAGGGTTTGGGCGGAGCAGGCGCCCGTCGCTCTGCCACAAGAGGCCGTTGCGCAGGAGGCGGCGACGGCGCTGATCGTTGATTCGAATCCTCCCTAAGCTGATGATTACTCGACGAGGCTTGTCTCGATGGGCTCGGTCGGCTTTCTTGCTGAGCATAAGGATGGGGAATTTGTGGTTGATGCGACTGCTGCTGGCCATAGCTGGGCTGCCGGCTCGCTCCTAGCCCTGGGCCAGGTGGTGCACTATCGGACCGCTGAACAGCCTGAGGTTTCTCCTGTGCGCTAGAGTACTGCCCTGCCAACCCCGTCCCAGCGTTGAATCTCGCCGTTTGCACGGGCGCTTGAGGCGCTCTGGCCCCTTGACCAGGACTACCGGTCCGCGAAGGGCTGTTCGAATGAACAGGAACGCCAAAGTCGTCGAGTTGCTGTTTTTGTATGTCGGTGTAGAATTCCAGCACGTCCAAGACGGCCTGAGGGTTCCGGACTTGATCCTCCTTGGTGATTGCCGAGGAAGTCAAGAGCCGTGTCCATTGTTCCGGAAGACCCTGATCGAGGTCAAGTAGCTGTTAGTACCGCAATGTTTGGGTAGTCGTGTGGATCGACATGCTTACGGTAAACGCTCCGCTGACAGCATCGAACCCGACATGGACTATATACAGCATTTATCAGCCATAGCGCATCGGCCATCCGTATGATTACATGTCGAACTCAAACTCACCTTGATGTACAAAATTGGTCGGCCCGCTTACACCCAAAAGCGGACACTTCGCGTAAATGTCATCTTGCCACTCGTAGAGTTCTGGGTCAGACTTGAGACCGATCCATAAACGCTGAAATAGAAATCACAGGCAGGGGTATGCGGTTCAGTGAGATGTAATAGGCCAGGCAAGGGGTGTGCCGTCGAACGAACCTTGTTGTTTGCCTGGATCTCGAGACAAAAGGGCTTGATATCCACCCGCTGAATGTCGGTAATGTCTTTCAGTTGCAGCATACTGGTAGGAGTCGGAGTTGTCTGAAACGGCAATTAGCAACAACAGTTACGAGAATCAGCATGCAGCACTATCTCAGGAGATCGCCGTTCACACCCGAACAGCTGACGGCTCACCTCGTTCTTGTGAAACGACAAGGTCTGTTCCTTCAACACCATCCACTTCTTGCTCCACAGAAAACTCCTGATCCCCTTTTCCTCGTTGACGGTGACCATGCCCTGTCTTATCGGGGTCATTCCTCCCATGCTCTCCCTCGACCCGACATTGTACAGCGACCCAGCCTGACCCGCCGGGATGCTGTGACCGTATCCCGAACTCGATAACGTGCTCGAGGCGGCACTTCCGTTCCGACCGAGGCTAAGTGGCGTGACGGTATTATTGTTCGTCCCGCCCATGCCGTTGTGGTGGAATGACGGTGCGTAAGAGGTGGATGATAACATGGGCGGTTTTCCTTGTCCTTGATATTGCAACGACGATGAAGAGCTGCTGTTCGAGCTCGAACCCGGTATGGGAGGCGCTCTTCTCGACGGTGTGAGGTTGCCTAGATCGTGATAAGACATGGTGTCAGGTAGCTCGTTGTTGATCTTGTTGATATCGATAGTGCTCGGAGCGTTATGGTATGATCGTTGTTGTCGTTTGATAGCCAGCCAGCGTCGAAGACTCGGCCCACGAGGCGAGTCGTTAATTCCCGTACCTGCCGGAAATATGGATTGCTTGTTAGGCAAAAGGTTGGTAATGCCCCTTGCTTGCGAATTTGCGTCTGATCAAAGGGATCAAGATGAGAGACGTTTCACAAACACACACACACGAACACGAGCACGTCCGGAGCGTGGGAGCGGCGAGCAGTGTGGAATGTGTTGATCCGTTGATGCCGCTTGATGAGGGATTTAGCGTTATAATGCGTCGTGCCGTTCAGGAATCTTGACGTCGAACGTTTGATGTTACGCAGCCAGTTGAGCGAGCTGAACAGGCTTGTCACTCTCAGAGTGAAATGTCGAAGGGGGGTGTGATCGTTGTACTGAGCTCCGAGTGGCCGGGTGGGCTGGGGGGGAACAAAGAAGGTACATGACACCCAAACTACCCACCCACCACGCACACCGAGCGAGGCAGCGCGGAAGCGAGATCGACTGGCGCGCGGCAACTTGATCACTCCTGAGGCCTTGAGGTGACTACATGCTACATGTTACATGACTTGTGTCCAGTATCACAACTCGACACTCTTGTACAGCCTACATCTCACCCTATCGAGCACGAGCTCTTGTCCCTGGTTGACAATCCCATCTCTGCTTTGCGATGGGGTGGCCTGGTCGTCATGCTCGTCGACGTCTTCCATCGAGATACCCGAGTCGAGCGTAGACTTCCACGATCCCAGATTCCATCGAGCGTACCCCCAACCATCTTTGATCTGACAAGTAGGATACAATGTCAGTACCGAGGGCCACAATCGGGAAGACGTGAAAGCCCTCACCTCCGGTTTCTTATGTGGGGCCACGACGGCCAGCCACTTTGCCCTCTGACTCAGCTCGTACAAGAGCGAAAACATCTCGGAGGCGTCCCCGACCAGGTGCAAGGCGAACGAGCAGATGACAAGGTCGAACGGCTTGCTGCTGTAGGTAGGTGTAGCTGCCGCTAGTTTGCCCTGGGCTATGTCTTGGAAGGATAGTTCGAGACAGGGTCTTCCTGTACGGGTTTCGTATGCTGGGACGGTGTACTGGAAGAGTCATGGCTCAGTTATCAGTGGGTTCTGTCGGTCAGTGAGTTGGTAGACTATTCCAGTACTTGACTCACGGGATCGGTAGCCATGATCACTAGCTTGGGCGGTCTCCCTGACTTCAAGCCCAAATTTGGTCGTGCAGGCTTCTGAGCTAGCACAGAACTTGTGGCTGTCGTCTCGGCCTGATTGCCTTTCTTTCCCGGCGGTACAAAGGCAGAACGTCCAACTACTGGTAGTCGGGACGAACCGATCCCTAGACTAGCCAGAGGATTCCGTAGACCTGGATTCGGTGATGCCGCAGGGGACAGAGGAGAATTCGACGTCTGAGTGGAGAAAGTGCTCGGTATAGCACTGGGGAAACGGGTATTGTACCATTCTTCTATGACAAGAGTGGCTTCCCCACTGAGACCGGGCCGGAGCAAGCAGACAAGTCAGCTCGGCCAGAAGCGACGATTAAGGCCATGTATTCTCTTACCTTCCCGCTGCCATGTCCAAGATCCGCAACTCCAGCTCGACCTCCGGCTCTGATGGTCCTCCACGTGATACTCCCTCCTCTTTCCACCATCGGTCCAGCAAGGCAAAGATTACCTGATCTTCACATGCGATCCCACAATCGTGGTTAGCTTGACGAGCGGGACAGAAGCTCTTCCTTCTGGACTCACCTTGCGTATGCCGGGGAAGAACGGGTTTCGGTATGAAGCGTTGACTTTACGATAGTACTGTATCGCCGGAATGAGGTCGTAGCGATGAATGAGATTGGGATGTCGCCAAATGATGCTAGGCTTGCTGATGGTTACGAGCTACGAGCTTACCTCGTCGACTCCGAACTCGTTGTAATTCGTTCGCATAGAGTGGTTGATGTTGCCCTGAGTGGGTGTGGTGTGCGACATCGCGCCGGCTACTTGTGGCTGTTGACAGAGAGAAGATTTATGGACGAGGGCTTGGGGTTGTAGGGCATGTAGATAACTATAGCAGCGCCGAAGTGAGATAGGGACGACTGAAACGAACCTCCTCCAGCTCCCCTCCCCTCACTTGTCTGGATTCCTTTCACGTGATCTCGTCTTTGGAACGGGCGACGAACTCGTCATCAAGCATCAGCGAGAGCGCGCCCGATCACCAGTTGCCCAGTTGCTCGATCTCCTCGACGAGAAGCTCAACCTTTGTAACTCGTACCCAAAGATCAGAAGAGCACTTCCTTTCTCTTATTTCAAGGTACATCGTCTTCGTACGAAGCCTTTTTTGATTCATCAACAGTTAATACCACCATGGACGCTCAAAGACTGCTCGGGATGTTGAACGGAGGGCCATCCGCGGCCGCAACGTCGTCGACCTCGCCTTCGCCAGCTCAGCACTCGCCCCAATTGTCGTCTCCTCCTGCGACTTTGCAGTCTCTTCTCTCCCAGTTACAGTCTCCTCAGCCTCCCAGTCCTCGGGAACCTCCTCCTCACATGATGTCGCCACCGATCTCGGATGCTGGGAACGCTGCCGAGCTCTTTAGGCGCGCGGGAATGTTGCCCAACATTCCGCCACCACCACCGTCTCATCCGGGAGCTGTACCTGGACCCAACCACCATCGAGTGCTTTCTCCCTCAGCTGGTAATGCCCAGAGCCTCTTGGCTACTTTGATGTCGGGGTAAGTCGCCATGGAGCCCTTTGTATGCTCGCGAAAATCTGACTCGAATACGCTTCTCAGCTCGAACCCTTCGTCAAATATGCCTTCTCCATCTCCTGGACTACCGTTCGGTATGAAGCAACCCGTCATCGACCATAACATGCTACAAGGACCCCAGGCTAGCGAGATTCCATTACCGATTTCCCCCGCACCTCCAGTATACGCTTCTCAACCGACTCCCCCTCACCTCGGACGTGTCCCCACGAATCAATCCGATCGATCGGTTCAAGAAAAGCCTCAGAAACCACAGACGGAGTCTCAGCAAACGACACAGCTATCGGAGTCGCACAAGGTCGAACAGGACATTCCCAAAGAGGACGAGAAGCTCGCTTCCCCTCAGGTCGAGGGTACTGCTAGCAAGGCGACCGCTCCTACGGCTTCCAAGTTTCATTTCATCTCGCCCTTTGACGTGTTCGACATGCCGGCTCCCACGCAGCCCGCTCAGCCGACTCCCAAAAAGGAACCGTCGGCGGTACCGTCCGTCAAGAGCCCGATGTCATCGAAAACTACCACTCCCAAGGTATCCAAGCAGGTACCCAAGCAAGTGCCATCCCCAAGCAAAAGCAAAGCAACCCCAGCGGTACCGGCCGCTTCTCAGTCGGCTGTTCCCACTCCGAGCCGATCAGAACAGGTGGCACAACCTTCTCAACCTTCGAAAAAGGCCGAAGTGCCCCCCATATCCTACGCGGTGAATGGCCAACCCGGTCGATTGTCCACCGTCGTCCCGATCGAGAGTGACCATTACACCTTCGATGTGTCCAACACGAATCACAGTGGGGTCGGAGCTATTGATCAAAAGTACCAAGAGGAGATTGCTACGGTCAAGACGAACGTGTTGACCGCCGGAATCCAGAAGGGCGCCAAGATCGCTGCGAGCAGGTCGTTCATCTCCTATGCTCTGAACAAGGGCAAGGTCAGGGTCATCGACTATACCACCGGAGTCAATACGGCGATCATGTTGGAGACGGAAAACGGCACCCCTGCTAAAGTCGCTGATATTGCCATTTGCGAAAATTGGCTCGCCGCCTTGGGTGAAGATAGGACATTGGGTCTGTGGAGGCTCAGTACCAAACGAGGAGCCGAGAACTCTGTCTCTGCCGTCAAAACCTGGTCGACGACGCCGACTCAAGGGTCAAGTCAGCCGGTCGCAAAGTCTCTAAAATGGCTTCGAGCGCGTGAAGGGGACAAGGACAGGTTGATCGTGGTCACGGACACGGAAGCGTTCTTGAAATCGCCCACGGCGATGTCCAAGTCTTTCGGTCAGGGTACTCGGGATTGGGCTGGTATCGGCGAGAGTATCGGCGCGCAGGCGAACGGATCGGTGAGCAATCAGATCAGGGGTCGTCCATTGCTGAGTACCTTCGGACTGACTTGAAGAACTGTATTTCTTACTGCAGCCTCTCATCGATGTAGCTGTTGCGCCCGAAGAGTCTGAATACGCGTTGTTGCACCAAAACAACAAGGTCATCGTCGGGTCTGTAACCGACAGCAGCGAGCGCGAGCTGCAGGTGCAAGCTCCGGCTGAAGGAGGATCATGGCGATCGATCGACCACACAGGTCACGCGTTGATATTGTGCTCGACTAGAAACGAATACGCTCTATTCCCTCTTGCGGGCAACGGCGAGTTGAGCCCCTCAAGCACGTTCTTCTTGCAGGATCCATCAAACGCAAAGGAAGTATCTGCCGTCCGATCGTCAACTGCTGTCTTTGATGCGCCCCGAAACACCTACTGGGTAGCCATTTGGGCTCGTGCATCCTTACTTGCGATCAAGATTACCGGGACCGATCGACAGGCTTTTGCTGCATACGCTGAGATCGCCAGTGGACCGACAAGCAACCTGGCTATCGATCAGAGCAGTCAGATCGCTGAAGCTTCGATCCTCTACCGTCGCCCGGCAGGCATCTCAATGCTTACCCTCCATCCCTCTGTTGCGAAAGAGCTTGAGGAGGTCGCCGATATGCATGCTTCGAGACGGCCTGTTACGGACGCGGATATCCTGACCAAGCAAGAAGAGGAGGTCGCTCCCGAAGTGGAAGAGGAACAGGTGCCCGAAGCGCCGGCACAAGAGGAGGTCGAGACTACGTCTGCTTCTCCTGACGCCAAGGAGGCCCCCGTTGCAAAGGATGTGACAGTCAACTTGCCTAAACCAGTCGCGAGTCCCGTTCAAGCGAACCTGTCTATGGCATCGGCTCCTGCGGAGGTCGATTACTCCAAGGTGAGATTGACCCTCCTGGACAGCTCGAAATCATACTGACCAGATCACATATTCCAGGTGGAGAGCATCTTTACGGCGGCCATCTCCAAATCTTTAGAGATTGAACTTCGCCAGGTATTGACTCAGCAAGGTCAGCTTGAACTATGCGTCACGCTCTTCTCATCTAGCTTCTGACCAGATGAAATTTTGCGCATGATAGGCGATATTCAGACGGCGATCGAAACCGCCTTCGCTAACCAGGAAGCGTCGATCGACGGTGTACTGAGCCGAATTGTGTCCGAAGGTATTCAGCGAGAGCTGAGCGGATTGCTACCCCGGATAGTCAAGGAGGAGATGGTCTCGGGGTTAGTTGCATCTTCGCTTCTTCGTATGGTTTATGATCCGCGTCTCAAACCTTCTCCTCTAGCGTCTTGCCTCAGCTGCAGGAAATTCTCCGGGAAGAGGTCGAGAAGCACGTCGGGGACAAACTTGCCAGTGCCATTTTGTTCTCGGTTGAGACGGTGAGTCTCGACTAATTTGAACGAGGTCGCGATTCTTGCTCATATTCCGCTCTACAGACCGTCATGAGCCAGGTTGAGAAAGCTCTGGTACCTCATCTGGGTCGAACGTTTACATCCATCCTCTCACCAGCGGTACGTGATAGATGTCATACAACATTGCGCGTGTTAGAGACTGAATATACCTTTCTTCAGGTGGACAAGAGCGTCCGAAGCCTTATCGATGAGAAGTTGCTGCCACAGTTCGTTGCTGCTGTCGAGCACGTCCCGGTCGAAGTGTCTCGTGCCATCCACCAAGAGATGCTAGAGTGAGTCTCGCTCAGGGCATATATATATAACTCTCGATTACTCATTGAAAGCTTGATATTTTAGTGTCCGCAAGGATGTCATGATCGAGCAATCGAGTCAAGCCACTGCAAGCGACGCGGCGATGCTTTCGATGTCGAAGTCCCTCGCTGCCTTGTCGGAACAAGTCCAATCGCTTACTCGCGAGATTGAGACCTTGCGGATGTCTTCGCAGGCGGCTGCTGCCATTGGGCAATATCCTCGCGTTCCACCCGGTCCGCCTGATTCTCTCGGTCCTTTCGGAGAAACTCCTCGCATGATGCCCCAACAAGCAAGTTATAACGGTGTCCCTCCAAATATCAATACTCCGACCGGCCTGCCCATGCCTCCGCCTCAGCAGAACCAGATCATCAGCCCCCAGCCTGTACTTGCTCCGAACGCTGGAGCGCTTCAGCAGCTGATTTCGGGGCCCGAGGACGCCGAGGATGCATTCCTCAAAGCGTTCTCGAGTTTGTCGGACGTTGATCTGGTGCAATTCGTCATGAGCCGAATGCCTAGGACCGCCGAATATTTGCCTGATCCTCGGGAACGACCTTCGCCCTTGTCACAGGCCGTATTGTTGACCATGGTCCATAGGGTAAGTTTCTGATGGTGAGGAGGAATTGTGAGCTGTTCAGTTTCGCTAAGTTCTTTCTTCTCCGTCAAATCCTCTACAGCTCTCGAAATGCCTGCAAAGGCATTCGACCGAGAGTAGGGAGTACCAAGCGGTCATGACGTGGATCTACCGCGCATCTCTCGTTATCGATCCTAGGGTGAGTGGAAATAACATGTCTCACAGAGCTGTGCGACTCGCTGAGACTATTTGATACGATTTACACAGGACGACACGATCCAGAGCTACTTGCCTGCTGTCAAGAAGACGCTCGAGGACACGTTTACGGCTTCCATGGACCACTTTACTCGATCGAGGGACAACTCGCCGGCCAGTCGAAGCGCTGGTCAGATGATGCTCAAGATCATCAGCAACCTCAACCGACCTCAGGCTTGAGCGGCACGCACTTTGGCATCTCGACGCATAAAGTCATGAAGAACGAAAATAGGTCAAGTCAGGGAAGGGGAAAAAGATCTCCTAAGCATCCCTCTAATTCGCAACCACTTGTACACGTAGAAGAAAGAACACATGTAACCTCTCTATGCATACATCTGATGACCAGCCTTTACCGAACTGCAGCCATCTCGTCGAGTCTGATTCACCACGAACGATACTCCCAGATCATTTGCCGGAGCGGAATGACCTTGTTGCATGTTGTCTCGTTTCACGGGGATCTCGCTTCGTTCGTCAGGGCTGCAGGGGTGACACGGTATGGCTTTTGTGGTGGCGAGGAATGGCGGGAAGGCGCTCCAAGAGGCGCAAGGGTTACCCCAGCCCCGCCGGCTGTTTCTTAGAATTCCGCTTTCGGCCGTTTTTCGAGGTTTACATCCATCGCCCAGGCCGAGCCAGAGCAGTGGGAAGGCTCCGGCTGGGCTTTGCGCCCCTGGCTCTCTCTTCCTCTCCTGCTGCTGCCCTGTAGGATGCGTAGGATGTGAATGGTTTCCACGAGTTTTCCGCGTGAAATCCTTGTCCACGAATCCACAGAGCTGGGATGCTGCTGGGGAGGTCGTTTCGGTATCAGAATCACGACGTCCACCAACGTCGAGGACGACGACGAGAACGAGAATCGAGCTAACGATATCGAGATAGCACTAGCTCGACCAAAACAAACCCGGCTGCGGCGGCGACCAGGGCAAGTGTTCAGCTGCCACCACTACCTGCGGGATCTATCGACAACAAGCAGAGAAACGAATCGGGTAGAAGGTAGACGACATATAGCGATTGTTCCTTCTGCAACATACCCGAGCAATTCGAGCAACGTACAAACGACCACAACCCTGGGCATTCACCAACAACGGTGGCTTAGGAAAGTCGTCGACCAAGGCTCAGCCGTAACAAGTCGCCCAGTCCGCATCTTGCCAACTCTTTACGCGTCCAAACACCGGGATAGAGATTGCTTCAACTCTGATCAGGAGATCAGGAGACCGCTTCCTTGATCAAATCTTTCCCCCATCAAACGTGAACTCTATCCCTCTGACTTTGCAACGTACCTCAGTCACTCGACTTTGATCGCACCGAGGTCGACATGTTGAATAACAATACCGAACGACAAGCCCGTCCGAACGGTGGTAGCAAGAAGTTTGTGTACGACCCTGCGTCGATGCTATTACCTCACGAGAAGTATGGAAGAGAACAAGCTCAGCTGGACAAGCTCAAGCATCTCGGACCGAAGAACGAGGTTCCGGCTCCTGTGCCTATCTTACGGACAGAGACGACCGATACTGCACCAGCTTCGACGACGTCTCCGAATCAGGATTCTGGTTCGCAGGCGTCCTTCGCCGAGTCTCATCCTCCACCATATTCTGAGGTCCCGGCTCAGGGCGATCCGTTGTTACATAACCGGCCTGGAAATGCACAGGCTCAAGCGGCTGGCTCGTCGTCTGGCCCCACTGAACGGGCTTGTCGGTTCGAACCAGAACCGACCGGTGCAAGACGGGGCAGTACGGTACCCTCTGCGGTGATGACGTACGAAGAGGAGCAAGAGTTGTCGAGGTTAAAGTCTCTGGAGATGGAAGCGGAGGCGGACGATGGGACGACGGAAAGTCCAGCGTTACTCAGCGATTGGGAGGTCGTCGAGACGCTCGGTGAGTCTAGTCATCGCCCAGACATTTGTCGTTCTTGAAGACCAGGACTGAACCCATGATACCGTGCATATCATCACTACCAGGTACGGGTACTTTCGGGAGAGTCCTTCTCGTCCGCCTCCGTCCACCCTACCGGTCCAGCTCGTATCACCCCATCTTCCCCAGCCTCAAATATGCCCCAGCGGAATCCGGAGAACCTACACCGGAACAGACTTCCTACGCCGACGCTCAACTACCACACTATGCAATGAAGGTCCTGGCGAAGAGCGAGATTGTCAGGCTGAAACAGGTGGAACACATCAATTCCGAACGAGCGATCTTGGAGAGGGTCCGGCATCCTTTCTTGGTCGAATTGTGAGCCTGGCTATGTGGTCGCGATTGCGTCCTGTTACAGGCGTGGTGGCTAAACACGGCTTTGTTGTTCGTCTTGGTCAGATACGGAACGTATCAGGATCACCTTAACGTATACATGTTGCTGTCGTACGTGCCAGGGGGTGAACTCTTCAGCCACCTTCGTCGAGCCGGTCGCTTTACGGCCGATGTAACGAGGTTCTACATCGCTTCGATCATCCTCGCCATCGACTACCTGCATGAACGGGATATCATCTACCGAGACCTGAAGCCGGAAAATCTGCTCTTGGATCGGGATGGGTATCTACGGATAGCAGATTTTGGATTTGCTAAAATCGTCGAGGATCGGACATTTACTCTGTGTGGCACTCCCGAGGTGAGTCGTCAATGCTCTCTTCTTCGAATGTGTACATGTGCATGAACCGACCGTATTGGTTTTCGTAGTACCTCGCTCCAGAGATTGTCCTGTCAAAAGGACATGGCAAGGCGGTCGATTGGTGGGCACTGGGTATCTTGGCATTCGAGATGTTGGCCGGCTATCCAGTAAGCTCGAGCCTGTGTCCAGTACAATGTACTGTGCTCTGACTATGTCGCTACCTGGACAGCCATTCTTTGATGACCATCCGATGGGTATATATGAAAAGGTAAGTAGTCACATGACCTCTTTTCTTGGCCAAACCGGCAGGATGCTCATCTTCACATCCCTTTCGATTTAGATTTTGGCCAACAAGATCGCTTTCCCGAGTCACATAGATCCTTATGCAAAGGATCTTATCAGACGGTTATTAACGGCGGACCGATCTAAGCGTCTCGGAAACTTGCGAGGAGGAGCGCGCGACGTCATGAGCCATCGCTGGTTTACCGGTGTGGACTGGAGCACGCTCGAGCGCAGAGCTATCGGTGCACCGATTATTCCGCATGTCGCCTCACTAGGTAGGTAGCTGTGGGATCGATTCAAACCGCAACCTTTGAAGCTGAGATTGTGCCATTCTCACACACTAGGCGACTCGCAAAACTTCCAACGGTATCCGCCGCCTAAGCCTGCGGATCTGCCAGGCATACTGGGCATACCGCAAGGTGCGGCGGACGACCCATACAAGCATCTGTTCAACGATTTCGTCTTTCCTCCGGCGGCCTCGTAGATTAGTCTGTCGAGAGTCCAACGAGAGCGGATCTTAGTACGGCTCCGTATGTCTTGCGTATTTGGAGCGAACGAAAAGATCAAGATATTGTATAGCATCTAGTCCAGGAGTTGTAAGAGTATAATGGGTATGTTTTCGCTGAATACAGATCGACTTCCGGTCGCGGATGGTTTGGTGTTCGAACCTTTCCCTCCGCTCTGCAGAGCCGAGAGCTCCGCGAATTGTTGCAAACAAATGCTAGAGCGTATGAATGATATATATCGTAAGTAGGTTAGGCGACATGAGTGGTACGAACATGTACAAGGTGGGCGTATATAGCGTCGTATCCGATGCAAGGAGGGGGGGGGGGGGTTGTCGATCGGAGAGATCTAGTGACCTGCCGCGATGACGGCGTCGACAACTTCGTAATCGATGTGGTGTACATAGTCCATCTGCCTTTGTCCACGCTTGGGACCTTCTTTCACATCCAGACGGAGAGAGCGGTATGGGGTTGACAGGTGACCTGGACGAGAGACGTCGCATCGTATGCTGATGCTCTTCAGACCAACTCGCAGCTGGAACATGTCGGAAAGGAAGCTTCGCATGTCCACGCTCATGCCGGAGTCTCCCTGTACCAAGTGAGATTTCGGGACCCGGGCACCATCATAATGCACGGAGGTAAGGCCCATGGAGTCGAGAACTGCTCTTGGGGACCTGTCCTTGTGGGATGGACCTACGAGAGCCTCGATCCAGTTCATCTTGATGACGAGGTGCTCGATTTTTGTAGCAGTTTCGAATAGCCATTGCAAGCATCCGTACTGTCAGTTCAGGTGAAGAGCGGCAACAAATCTCGATAAGCCATATTGCTCATGCTTGACCTCCGGTGATACTCACCCAGTGGGATTCGTATTTGCTGCCCTTTTCCACGGTACAAAATTGAGGGAGGGCAAGTTCTAGGATTGTGACGCTCGCCAAGATCTTAGGCAGCATATCCCGCATGAATAATGCTTGGGGAAGACGGTATTTCCTTTCGTACCCCAAAGGAGCGCAAAGACCTGGAGGATTCAGGTGGAGGGACTCCAGATGGGTGATCTCTCTGCACAGAGCTTTTACTTTATCTGGGTAGTGGGCCGATTCAAAGTTGCCATGGCTGCTCATGATGGTGTCAATGGGCGCAGCGATAGACAATTTAGTCAAGCCCGGAGCTTTGATCGGCATCGGAGTAGCCCGCAGTAGTGGACCTTCCTTCAGCTCCAGGGAGAGGGCGCGAACTGCTGGGGAGAAGGCGTGGTCCATGTAGGCAATCTCTTGATCCTCATCCATGATGCTTATCAGATTAGGGCAGGCATCGATAATTCTCTTCCGAAGCCGGTCCGCAGCCTCGGAGCCGCGAGGACTGTCAGTCCTCGAGAGCATGATCAGGCTGCGTACCGCAATGCAGGAATCAGTTCGCCGACAAAGTCGTCGTTCATTTCGTCACTGCTTGCTTACCAGATATAGCCAAGACTACTGGGTCGCAGGCTCGATAAAGTCGAAGCTATGTGCTCCGCGTCGTTGAGTACGACGGTGTTCAGGATCAATTTCTGAAGTACGACCTTCCTGGTAGCATGGTCGACGAGCGACATGGTTGCCAGTTCAGACGACATAGGAGTGAAGATGGGTCCGACACGCTTGGGAGTGAAAATGCACCCGGGGCCTTTCTGACAAGTATGAGACTTGATGGCATCTCTGGAGAGGTGTTTGATGACGATGTCGAGGATGGTTCCGGGGATGTGATCAAGTGGCCATGTGCTAGGTGGAACACAAGGACCGTAGGGGACGCCGGTGGGTGGTCTGATCATGATGGCGTCTATATGCTGCTGTGGGATGGCTATTTGAAGATGTAGTGAAGTGTGATCACGAAGGATCGAATTGTCGTACTTCGCTTCTAGTTGGATACTCTATATATATATACTTTGTGCTTCTCGCATCAATTTTTCCTTCTTCATCGTTGCTTCTCTCCTTTGGCAAGAGCGCTGATCCATATTCGGTTGTCGATCGTCGCGCCCCGAACACAAAAGGAGATGAAACGCGCAACAAGCTAGGGACCGCGACAAGTAGCATTTCTCTCACGCGTATGCTGGCATATGCTGGAGAAGAGCAACTCGGACGACATCGATCCCTCGGAAACATTGGTTCTGCATACTTCGTCGTAGCTCACACAATGGGTCCGTGTCAGTACGTGTAGCTTTGTCTTGCAAACCTCCGGTCCTCGAAGGCATCGCCAAGACTGACTTGGTCTCGCCGGCAGATGGAACAGCCTCTGTACCCTTTCCTTTTGAATCTCCCGGCCTGGATGTACCTGACGACGAGTCTAATCCCACCGCAGAAACAACTACCGGAAATCGAGAGCCCTCCGCCAGCATTGTTGCCATAGCCGAAAGCTTATAATCCAGCCGGACACCAGTTTTGGGACAGTATGAGCGATGAGCACTAAATGAACGTTGATTTGCGGTCTTCCGCCTCAGGCTGATGCACCAGCTTCGAGCGATATGCTCGATCTAGGCGCACAGCAGTACGGGAACCGGCGACCGATCGTCTTGATAGTCTCAAGCAGCACTATACACGGAATTTGATCGTTCCGAAAGACCTCTAAGCTAGTTACTTTGCCAACATCAACGATCTCCCAATTGGCACATCTATACGTCCTGACGGGCCGATGACGAATCAGCGCTGATGGTACGTAATTCCTCCGAAGTTCGTCCCGAAAGCTCCAAGTTCCCCAACTTCGCCAAACCAAAGATCAGGAGCCGCACATTGACTTGCACAGCAAAATCATATCACTTGCAGCGTAGGTGATCGATGCCAACAGACCAGGAAATCAGTTAGCTACACCAAGACCAGTCCACATGAAGTTCTGGGTGACTTCCTCCGCTGCCTTGTTGGCCCTCAACATCGTCGGCGCTCTCGACGCTCATGGATGGCGGCAGCAGTCGATCTACCAGCTCTTGACCGATCGGTTTGCGAGAGAGGATGACGTCGAAGCTCCATGTAACCTGATCGCTAGGCAGTATTGTGGAGGAACTTGGAAAGGCACAAGTGAGTCGATCCAATTGGTGAGTAAGGTTATGGATCCTGATCGTTTGCTTGTGGGATCAGTCGACAAGCTGGATTATATTCAGGTAAGCTCGCTGCGGAAGCGAACAGCCGGCGACATTCAGCTGACAGACTATTCATCTCCTAGGGTATGGGCTTCACAGCGATCTGGATCAGTCCTGTAAGGATGATGAGTCTAGCAAGAATATATCGAGCCGGTCTCTGACTCGGAATCCATTCCCCTATCTGTTTAGGTATCGGCGAACCTGCCAGAAGGCTATCATGGCTACTACACGACCGACTTTTACCAGATCAATCCCAGATTTGGTACGGCCCAAGACCTCAAAAACCTCTCGGCCGAGCTACATCGGAGGGGCATGTACCTCATGCTCGACGTCATCGCGAACCACGTAGCGGTGCCGCGTCGGAGCAAATTCCGACCTTCCGATGGTACGTGGGGGGTCTTCAATCAGGACGACGACTTTCATAAGCTTCAGTGGTGTCGGGACTGGGAAAACCAGCTGGAGGTCGAGCAGTGTTGGCTGGGTGAAAAGGGTGACATCGCATTGCCGGATCTGAATACGTGAGCCGCGCCGACGTGTCCAATCTCGTATCATACCCGCTCTAACCAGCCAGTTTCCATGACCCTGGCAGCGAAAATCCAAAGGTCGTCCTGGAGCTACAGAGAATAGTACACTGGCTGGTCCAGGAATTCTCTGTGGACGGCCTCAGAGTTGACACGCTCAAGCATATACGCAAGAGTTTTTGGCCCGATTACGAAAAGGCCGCTGGCGTCTGGTGTACGGGAGAAGTGCTGCATGGAGGTGAACAAACCTCCTTACAGCTCACTTACGGACGTACGGAAGCCGTGTGCTGATATCGCCCTACTAGATCCCGCATATACCCTACCGTATCAAGGTAGCGCGCTCAGCTCTGTCCTCAACTACCCCCTTTACTTTACCCTTAGGTAAGTAAAACTCGCTTGACATCCTGATGAAGCGCTAGCTGATGTCACTTTCCAGGCGTGCCTTTCAAAGTCCTGACGGTTTCATGATAGAATTGACCGACATGATATTACGTATCCAACACGAAGCTGTGGACCCTACGACCCTTACGACCTTCTTAGAGTGAGTCAGAACATACCCTCGTGGCAGGGCGCTTTATGTTGGGTCTGACGACGATGTCTCTCTATAGCAATCATGACCGTGCGTCATTCATCCTGCAACCAATTGTGTCTGGAGTTGACGTGTCGGATGTTCCACACAGTGCCACGATTCGCTCATGAAACCAGCGACGAAGCCGTGAGTATCATCTTCCCGTTCTCCACTACCACCAAGCATCGGGTTGATTGTGTTATATCTAGCTCCGTTTGAATGCATTAGCGTACCCATTCTTGGGGGATGGCATACCTATAACATACAGCGGTGCCGAGCAAGGGTATTCGGGAGGTAAGTGCGATGTGATGTGGAATAGTTAGGATGACGCTAATCTCTCATATTTCAGGCGAAGATCCGCTTAATCGAGAACCGATGTGGTTATCTAAATTTGACACCAGCTCAAGGCTGTACAGTTTCGTGGCCAGGCTCAACGCGGCTCGAGCTCTCGCGTAAGCTAGCTCGTTGGGCTCGCTTGACCAGCGATCCTAAAATTCTCACTTACGAGTATTGGAGATTCCTCACCGTAGTCTCCGTTACGTCCGAGACTACAGCACAGCCCTAGTGAGTACCGCGGTATGAAGTTAACGGGAGAACGGAGATTATTGAGATTTGTGGCATCAGACTATTCCCCTTGTCACGACCGATCACGATATAGTGCTCTATCGCTTCCCGCTCCTGTCTATCTTGACCAATCGAGGTAGCAATCAGCCGGATGACCGTACCATCGCGTTCACCGTCCCTGGCATGAAAGCTGGAGACGTATTGGTCAACATTGCGAAGCTAGGATCCCTCGATCATGCAGACAAATACCTCTCTGTAGGCATCGGTGGCTCAGTCAGGGCGACCATCCATAGAGGGCAGCCATCGGTAAAGCAGAGGTTCACGAAGGAAGGAAGCTGGGCGAGAGCTGATTCGTAAAGCGCGCAGGTGTATATACCCCAAGTCCTCCTCGACAAGTACATACTGATCCTGGCCTCTCAGTCAGAGGCCCGGATGCGACTCGAAGCCCGACTCCCGGCGCCGACAAAAGTCGTCTCTCCTACATTGGGTCCCCCCAGGCGAACAAGTGGGTTTTCCTCAACAGCAAACATGTTTGCATCGTGGGCAAGGGGTAAGAGAACAGCTGCGGGCAGCTCTTTCGTATGTTCGGCCTTGACGGGTTTGGCGAAAGAAGCAGCTCGGATACCCTAGGTTGGATGGAATGGGCAGGTGTACGAATCTTTTGCGGCAGACAGATCCTATTATTGTAGTGGCAGTAGCCCACCTACACTCTCCTGAGGTTGGGTATATCGACGGTCAACGATATTCGAGATCTCCTCAAACACCCGAAGACGCGCTCGCCATGTCTCCGTCTCTTCGAAGACGGTACTTCGGATGATCTGGGCGGTCAGGTGCTTGATATCGGTAGCGTCACTACCTGACACGTCGTGTAGGGGTCCCTTGAGGTAAGCTAGGGTCTCCATCGTGTCCGATGTTCCCACCATTTCCATGAACCTTCAATTGATTATTAGCGGAAAGTCAATCTGCTGAATGGCGCAACAAGCTTACCTTTGTCGGCGCAACGCTCGCAAAGCGGTCGTTCGGAATGTATCGTATCTGCAACGATCACACGCAAAGACATCAGACGCCGTGGAGACGACACGCAACTCTCAAGCTTGACATACCTTCCTAGACGGATTCGCTTGCAGTGTAGATGTAGTCTGTCTGATCCTTGCTGTACCCACAGCTTGTCTTTGCCGTAATCGTTTGGCGCGAAGTCCAAACTGACGCCGCGCACATCGAGGCTCTTCAAGCTGTCCGGGAGGAGTCTCTTCCGGTTCCAATCGAAGACATCCACGGTGATCGCAGAGTCAAAGCCGGAGCGGAAAACCAGCACATCGTTCGTTGCTCGATCCCGCGCGAAATGAACGTTATGATGCCTCAGCATGCTATCGTATTCCGGATAACCTGTCCGCAAGATATCTGCCGCCGCAATCATGTGGCGAAGAATCGCTTCCGCCGCGATATCGTCATCGTGAATCGAAACGTGACTTTGCTCTAGCTCTGACTTTTCAACCGAATCTCCCCTATGCAAAACGGAGAACTTGAGCCGGACGAAACCACTGGCGAGAACTGGTCAAATTCACCGAGAGTGTGATCGCCAATCTTGCAGTTGAAAATCCCATATGCTGGAGTGAAAGCCTCGCCTGGAGCAACAGTAATTGACAACTAATCCTCCTGCCGTAGCTAGCGTTGTTCGAATTAGTATCTGGACAGAGAACCAGTTTTGAAGCCGGCTCACACTTCATATCGAAAACTCTTGGTCGTGGAAGTCTGAGGCCCCCAGCACAAGGCATCGGCAGGTTGACCGCTTTCCATTTGCGTATTGTCGTCGAATATAGCCAGAGAGTAGTCTCTTCTGCCGAACCTTTTCTCTCTTCTTCGATATCGGTGACTAGATCGAGCATGTCCGGTGCAAGCATTCCGAAATCGGCGACTGGCGTGCTTTTCGACCCGTCCTCAGGTATCGCCTTTAGTTCTGACAAGCATCGTCCAGGCATTTGCTCCCCATAGGCGGCAGGGTACACCACCATTGCACTAGCGAATCGCAGTCGGTCTCAACTCCAACCTATTGCAGGCAAGGATAACTCACAGGTGTCCCTCAGCAACTACCATATACGGCTTTACGCCTGCCCTTGCCGAGGGAGGCCAGGGATCTTCCGGACTCTCCCTCAAGATCTGTATCCATTGTATCGTATCCTCTACGAGCTCGGCTCGCCAGAGATCATCCAGAATGTCGCCGTAGCGGACTGAAGCGAAGCAAACATACTTGACAAGCCAGTAAGACGCCAACGAACAGCCACTGACTCACAACCCCCGAAAAGATACAGCTCGTTCCCGTCATTGGCCAGAGCGAAGAATTGTCGCCAAGGTGGTTCCTCTGAGCCTGTCAACTCTATGGGCGTGATTTGTATACTGTCGAGGCCGCGCATATGTCTGGCGCCCAAATCCAGCTCGATGATGTTCTCGATATGTCGTTCGCTGGCATCAAAATCTCCTTTCTGCACCAGATCTTGAAACAGGCATGTTAGGGCTGGATGTTCCAGAGGGTGTTTCGGATATCCTGGATTCTCATTCAGCGCCGCAAGCAGAGCTGTGAACGCAGTATCATATCGTTTGGACCGCAATTCTTTGAGGACGATCCGATTTGCTTGTAACGCTTGAGACTGAAGTCGAATGCAGCAGATGTCAGCAAGGGTCGGGCTTCACATTCATGTCACGGTTTACCTCTTCCCACGACCTGCGAATTGATTCTACCTTCCTCTGGTCGTTTACCCCCCTCAATTCGATATGCCAGAGGCTTGTCTAGACGACAGTGTGTGCTCAGCATCGAGACCGCAACTGTTCGCAACGACTCGAATCTCACATTGAACCGGGGCTCATAAGCTCTAGAGAAAGGTAGGTGGGTCAGTAGCGACCGTATGACGGCATGATTTCGGGACTTACGGTCCAGGACATATCCTAGCGTAAATTAACGATCCTGTCAGCTACCCTAGACGACTGATAACCAGGATATGGAAGAAGCTTACTTCACGTAGCGTACTGCAAAAGGCAGCTGTATTAGAATGCCAATCAGTTAGGGAAAGCTGTGAAGCGATAAGCTACAATACACACCTCGCTATTTTCGATCTCTCTTGGATCGCGATCCATGTCTCCATGCCAGACAGCTCCCTTGCTCCGTAACGAAATGCTTTCCGCTACCGAGTCATTCCTGAGTGGAGAACCCCCCACTTCGTACAGATTCTTCGGTGTTGGCCCGGCGTATATCTTGACCCATTGAGCGTTACAGGGATGTGCTTTGATTGCCTTTCCGAATCTGCAGGAGTCTTAAGAACAAAAGGATCAACTTGTCAGCTCTGGCCAGAGAACGAAATCGCAGCTCGCAATGAACGCAAACGTACTTAGGACTGCCCATTGCTTCAGTTCCAGCAATACAAAAGCAGAATCTCGGGAGCCAACAAGATTCGTAGCCTCCGAGTGGCCTTGTACAGGTACTCCAGCTGACCAGCGGGAAGAGAGATCGGATGGCTTGTTGACCAGAAGATTCTGAGGCGAGTAGCCTGTGGACGAGGGTGAGCTGTCAAAGATGGTCTGCAGGGTATTGCAATAGTCTCAGTATGATATCCAGCATCTTACGGCGTCTCTCGAGATATGGTTGTCGTCTTACATATGGTAATATGGCAGGGGTAAAGAAATCGCTCCCAGCCGAAGGAATCGCTTGCATCGCGCGATCACTGCTGGCGCCCGAACGCTCGCTGGCACGGCTTGCTACAGTGGGCATGACTTCCTTGGCTATGGAACTATTCTCGATGAAGCTTTACTGACGAGAAGCCCGGCTATTGAAGCATCGAAAGGTCGAGATCAAGGATGCGAAGGAGCCTTTGGAGGAACTCGGTGATCGGGTATCGCACGACCAAGAGCTTTGTTTACTTTGTGATCGACCTGGGCTTGCGTCGACGCAGTCCGATTGCATATATCGTTTATTGCGGATGATTACCTAATTATAAATCAAGAGATGCAACAGCGTCGATCTGGCCATACATGGACTCATGCTCAGAATGACATGTCCACCTTGCCCACGTCCCACTCCCTTGTCGCCCCCGGCCGAGTATACACGTAACCCCCAAACTTCTTCTTGTCCTCTTCCTCCTCCTCCGCCCTTCTTCTCTCCTTGTCCTTCCTTCGTTTGCGTTTCCTCCTCTCCCTGGCCTCGCTGTCTTCAGAGCCATACCCAGAAGAAACAGACCCCGGTGATCGAGAGCGGTGCCGAGTGTGCCTCTTCGTCTTATCCTTATCTTTCGACTTGCGCTTGCCAGACCGTTCGCTGTCTCGATGCTTCTCGGACCGAGACGTGGTTCTGATGGGCGAGATGGATCTTTGTCGGCGGTGCGACGTGGTTGGCGGGGGTGAGGCAGAGAACCCAGGTGATGAAGCTCGTTTCTGCGGTCCGATCACGCGTCAGCGCGCAACTCGACCATGACGCAAGCTTTTCGTCTGAAATACCTTCTTGCCCTTCTCCTTCAGAACGGCCAGCATATTATCCCACCCGACATCGGGTACCAGACCAGCTGACGGGATCGGTAGCACACCAGTAAAGTCCAGTTGCGGATCGTAGGCTTCGTCGAAATAACGATCCATCTTGGATTGGATCGGCGGTGCCGGACGGTCGTCAACAACGGGCGCAAGAGAAGTACGACGATCATCTGATCGCTCCAAAGCCTCTGGTTTTCGCTCCGCCGGAGCAGCGGTGCCTTTTCGCACTGCGTGTGAACGTGACCGGCGGTCAGACGATGTGCGGTCCCGCCGTCTGAGGTGTCCGCGAACATCATCTCGACTGCTGGACCTTCTTCTCGCGCTCCTGTCGTCTCGAAATCTCGCTGAGGTGCGAGGGCGGCGCTCGTCCCTGTCCTCGCTATCATAGCGATCTACCCGATCACGATCCCGTCCAGACTTGTCGCGCTCCTCTTGACGGCTCCTTTGTCCTGAGCTACTTCCCTGCCTATAATCTCTTTCCCGCTCGACTTCAGACTGCCTGGTTTTCGAGGTACTGGCCGCCCCAAGAGCTCCCCCGAACAGGCGAGCCGCACCCGCCGGTCTCGCCGGGCGGGCTGAAGATGAACCCCTATCCTTGCCTCTGTCCCTCTCAAGATCCCGGCTGGAAGGAGGTAGGAGCTCTCGACTGGCTTCCTGTGCAGCCAGAGCCTGTTCTCGCAGCAAAGCGGTATTATGCCCATCTACCTGACGGATGACCGACGACAAGAAACGCTTGTTCGGTTTAGGCAAAGAGGATGCCGCTGAAGTCCTAGTCGATATCGTCCAGATGGATCAGCGTCATTCAGCCCCCTTCCGAAGCAGACGCTACTCACTCTTGTCTCACGGAATCCAGATAGACACCGATACCGAGCTCCTTGAACCTGGACTCCTTTTCCTTGGCCTCCTTGACGAGCAGATCTGCCACATGCTTGTCGAGCTCCGCGTCGGTGATGTCCTTCGGGATCGAGGCGGCAGCTCTGATCAGCTCGTTGACGATCGACTGACTCCCGGCCGGCATGGCAGATACACCGAGTACCCAGAGCGGGATCTGTTATCAAGACCGGTAGCGACCCGAGTGTTTATATCGTTCTAGGTTTCTCAAGATCTCAAGAGCTGTGGAGGAGGACGGAGGGAGATCTTCTGCTGCCCCCCCCTGCAAGCAGCCTAGCCAGCCTCCACCTTCGCGCGACTGGTGGGATCGGACATCAAGTCGTCATCTCGATGATCGATCATCGACCTACTACCCTCACCCATGACCTCGATGCCATCCACTTACTCAGAATTGACACAAGTATGAGAGGTAAAGGTTTATGTAAGTACCTGTGAACCAACAGGTAAACAGCGAGCACGAAGCTGGACTGACCGAGCAGCGCTTCGTCCTCTATAGCACTCAAAGACGCATCGGGGCTTCCTCAGGGTATTCTCGACAAGTTCAGTTCAGGCGCTCAAGGATGTATCAGGAAGCTACAGGCCCATCGTGCTGTTACCAACATCGAGTGAGTATGATCACGGTGCAAGCTCTATGCAGCCAACTGATAGCTTGTCTATCTCCAGCTGCGGTCATTTGCAAACTGCTGCAGTGCTCGTAGCGTTATATGAGACGGCTGAAAAGGATGGACTTCGTGTTTTGCTGACTACCCGGGCCACGACGCTGAGGTGTGTATCTCGTTGCGGAATCCTCAGATCCTACCACTGACCAGATTTGTAAACTAGGAGTCACCCAGGTCAGACAGTACGCCATGTTTCTGAATACGGTCATACCGTTATGACGCTTCTGCTGACGAATCTCGCGCTGCTTGTTTTAGGCTCTTCCCGGTGGTAAAGTCGACAAGACGGACGTCGACGCAGACTATGCAGCCGTAAGCTCGCTTCACTGTTCTTCACAGGGACCGCAATGTGTTGAAGAATCGCTGCTATTAGAGACGAGAAGCCTACGAAGAGGTCGGACTCCCGCTCGGCTATCATCCTGACCTGCACAAGATGACCGAGCTCGAACCTTTTCTCTCCAAATACAAACTCGTCGTGTTCCGTAAGTCATCTCATCTATCCCAAAGAATACCACATGCTGATCTCCATGACGATCTAGCCGTCGTCTACTTGATCTCGAACCCTGCTCTGCTGGAAAGCCTCGTGCCTAGTCCTGACGAGGTCGGGGCGATCTTTGACATTCCGCTCGAATACTGTCTGACGGCCGTATGGCCCGGCGATCGAAGCCTGCTCAGCAAAAAGGGAAGCGATGACTGGCCTTACGAAGATGATTATTACGTGAGTTGAGCATGCGGGTAAGCAAAGGATATGTCAGGAATCGTAGGCTCATACGCAGATTCTTCATGCTGATAGGCGCGGACTGATGTGAGCTGGATGATCGATGGGGAATATGAATACCGTATGAACCGATTACGGACATCTAAGACGCCTTTGGTTAGTCTCTCGCGCTCCAACAATTCGCTGACCAGAGCTAACAAGCACGCTCAACGTTCACAGAAAGGTCTGACCAGCGATGTCCTCATCTCGGTCGCCGAGATTGCCTTCGAAACTCCCAGCACGATCCCCCGGTTCGCACCCAAACAACTCCCGTTCAAAGAGGCCATTCAAATGGCTGTCGAAGAGAGTAAGAGGGGGTCGGTTGGCGGCAAACCGGAAAGTCTGACGAGAGAGCTGTCCAAGACCCCTGAACCCGTTTCGGCCGCCAAAGGAGGATCTGAACAAGTTCCAGAAGGCCCGGTGCCTGCCTTGTAGATCACGCTTCGAAATCATGCATAAAAGTGCTCCAAAGTTGTATGGTATATTCATCAGTGTCGTCAACGGTCTTCATCAGCTCAACAAGGCCTCGACCTGACGCCAGACCGATTGCGGCTTCTCGGGAGTCTCCGCGTCGAGCCCGTCCGCTGCACCTGCGTCTACCTCTTCACCGCCCAGAGCCCGTCGGATCTCCTCCTTTGTCAACCAGGCGTAATCAGAAAAAGATGATGATGATGTAGGGCTTGGTGCGCCAGCGAGGATGTGAGATTTGAAAATGAAAGTCTGCAAAAGATACGGTCGGATGGCCTTGATTAGCTTTGGATTCGATGTGCTGAAGGAAGAGGAAGAGCGGATCCTCGACTAACTTGGCCGGAACCCTCTGATATCAGCCCAACAGGCTTCCGTGTCACCAACCACAAGTCCATTTCCTGTCCGACTTGTGTTGCTACCGTTCGTGATGCCGCCTAAAGGTATCGATCGATGTCATGACGAGCGTGAGTCCAGCTCTTTATGTCCCGCTCCAGACGACGGTGCGCTCACCTCATGTAGAGCCTCTCCTCCTTGTAACCCGCCCGTAGGTAACGACCATTTCCCACTCTCCTTGTTCTTGACCAGTAGGTACAGGTTCCCATCCCCTTTCCTCTCCAGTTTCTTTGCTGATTCCGACGAGACATCGCTCACGTTCTCTTCGCTTTCCCGTACGTTCAGCTTGACTTCGTCTTCGGCCGGAAGCTCGCCAACGTCTGGCTGTTTCCCTGCGAGCTTTTCTCCGAACACTGCCTTTTCCCGCTGCCACTGTGCCCTAGAGAACCTTCTCTCTGTCAGAGAACCTTTCTTGAAGTAAAACTCGGTCGGGATGGGATTGGAAAGGGCAAGTCGGAGAGAGGATGAGTATTGATGATAGGCTTGATCGAAAGCTGAGGGGGTGGGCGTGAGGAGGGGAGCTCGATGGATCAACATGGCTGCCTTGATATTCGACTTTGAAGAAGAGCTCGACGAAGCCTGTGCATCGGTCGAGGCGGATCGAGCTAGAGCTACAGAAGAATAGGAGCGAAACGTCAGGACATTGGCAGATCGCCCGCGAATGAGACGACTCACCTCGAGCCTGTTTGACGGTCTGACCGACGCTTCTTTTGCTGACCCCTTGCATCTTAAGTTGTTTCCGGTTCCTATGAAGATCTGTGCTATGTTAACCGAGGTCTCAGGGTCTCTAACTTGTCGGGATGAATCATCGTCCGTAAATATAAACTATCCGTAACTGGCCTAGAAAAGCAACATTCAATCGATCATCAGCTCGCGCGCGGTGAATAGAAATTGTGCCAAAAGAAAGCGCCGGTTGATCAAGCGCACAATAACGTAATAGCTGAAACACGGGCAGTGCGAAGCAAGCTGTTTAGAACGCTGACAGCTGGAAATCTCAGCAGAGGCTGATTACTGTGCATCGTGAGGCGGCAAATTCAGGAAAGTAAGGGTGGGTCGGACTCGATCTCGGCAAACAAGGAACTCTATATGGCATGAACTATACTCAGAATTGCGTAAGCTGCGCCATCAGACCTTATAGGTCGTCCTACATACATCAATCGCCGGGAACGACTTCAACCTTTCCATAATAAAGATCCAGTAGCTTCTTTATGACCGCTTCCTAATGTCTCGTAAAACTCCTCCTGCACGGTTGCTTCGTCTCCTGGATGAACGGCCTGCAACTCCTCTAACGCTTCAACAGCATGCAGAACCAAAGCTCGCTGAATGAGTTGTGTGGTTTCAAGATCAGAAAGCTTGTCGATCTCCTTCAATTCGGCAACGATTTCAGAAAGCTCCAGAGCGGCTTGTATGACCTGTCTCTGTTTCTGTCCTGCCGAAGGTTCGCCTAAGTCCTCGCTTAGCTGATGATCTTGAACACCAGCAGCGTCAGGATCGTTCACGATTCTTGCCACTCTCCGTCCCACGAATTCCAGTCTTCGTTTCATCGCTTCCTCGTACGTCTCCCTGGACAAGGCAGGCTTGAGACTATCATGCAAGCTGAACTCGAATGGTTCAATGCCTGAGCCTGATAGCTGCTGTTCTGGTCTTTCCTTTTGAATCGCTTCTGGAACGTACAAAGGTACTTCTTGGCTCTTTCTATCCTGTTCCTGATTCTTGAGGTCCATGTCCGACCCAAGTCTTGGCCACTGAATTGATGTCTCCTCGCACCGTGCGTTATAAGCGCGAATTTCAACTCCAGATGAAGCTTGTGTTTCTTTGGTCATCTCGGTACTCGAAAGAGACACTGGTTGGCAATCAGTTTCATCTGGAGGGAGTTCCCAGCTGTATTTGTAGAACGACGGTCCTGTTAGGAGGGTCTTGCTGCTGTCTTGTTCCCTGCTAGGTAACGAGGACATCTTTTGTTGGCTGAAGTCAACGCGATTTCTCACAAGTCAAGTGTGGCGTGACGAGAATTGCTGATCGCGCCTGGTGAAGCAAGAATATCAGATGAGCCCACACTCCCTACGATATTCCGATTTATATATCGCGCTTGCTCCCACTATACTGTACACTAAAAGACAAACTAATCTAAGGCCTCAAAGGAAATGTTATTCGATATGCATGATGCCTCGATCGAAGACGTGCTTTCGAACGTGTAAGCGGAAGTTCAAAAGCACATATGATTCGCCTTTCAGGTGACCTTATTAGGAAATGACATCGACTCAGCATGGATATCCTCGGAGCCTTGGTTCACTATGGTTGCAGCAAACCAAAACCAAGTCGGATGACGACGATTACCGGGTCTTACATGCGCTATCACACACGTTTGTTGTCATCCATATGGCAATTTCCGCCCACGGGTTTCGGTTTCAGGCGCAGACTCCCCGTGCCTAATATGAGCGTTCCTGTTGCTGCCTTTCAACGACGGCTTTACCTTTGTCGTGTTGAATTGTATCTCAGCAAGTCCACGTTCGTGTCTACCGTGTGAACTCTCGGGATCCCTACAGTACGGAGCAGGTGGAATGCCCAGGTGTTCACCCCTGAGCGATCAAGTGGAACACGAAGGCCATCGAGATGTAGAGCTGCAAGAATAAACATCCGTCGGTAAGATTTGCAGCTATGATAGCCATTGGGGTGGAAACAAAGGAAGATACTTGCTGCGAGTCGGAGTCGAGCTCCGGAACCAGCTCATGACTGAGGACTTTGGGACATGGTTAAGTGTGAAAACTTGATGACATATTCGACCTCGACGTTGTGCTTAGTGAGGATCCGTGTAGGCCCCGTCCAATTCGAGCAGTGCTCATCACAAATCCTCATCAAGCCAGCATATAGCAAATTACAAACGGGTGATCGAGTTCCAACACAGGGCGAACTAAAATCAGCCATACCTCCCCCCCTGTTGAGCTCCTCATTCCGACTTGGATTGACACTGCCTCGGCAATATCGCTTCACTACGGTCGTATGGTCTTGCATGGGATCGCACGTTTTCTCGTTTCTTTGGTCGAGCAATGATTCGCGCCTCAGGCGACGATCATTCACACACGCGCGTCCCGTTGAGAGAGAACTCCCACCCAAGCGAGCTCCCGCGTTTCAGAAGATGTTCCACCCGAACCCGATCGGTCGATCAATCTCTTCCCCCAGAGGAGGAGGAAGAAGAAGAAGAAGGAAAAGAGGAAGGAGAAGAAGAAGGTGAAGAAGAAAAATGTATGATCTTCATACTTTCCGTGGCGGCAGCGCATACGTTGCCGTTTAAGTTTGATGTGTGATCGAAAGACAAGTCGGCCTCTCCCGGCTTCTCGCGAATCTTCGCACAGTGGATATGCGTGAAACGCGCAGCTATTTGCTATAGCTGCTATATCGTTCCGCTCCACGCCACTGTCTCACTGATCATCCGCACTAATGAAGATCATGTCCTTTTCGATCGGTCTCGGATCTCGGACGGACCTCGACCTACCTTTCGGGCGAATCCGCGTCATCAAACTCCATCAAAGGCAGATTACGAGTGAAGCAACCCAATGCGGTCTTCAGGTTCTGTTTCATCACATCATCGATGTCAGGAAAGGGTATATATGCATGAAGGACTCCGGCCATGATCCTTGCAGACACCATTGGACAGCTACACCCCTTCGGTTACACGACCTTTAACGATCTGATTAGCAATTTACCGACCACCATAATCTTACATCCAGAATGTCAACGGGATTACCGCCAATGTCGATTTTGGAACCGCTGATCAAATCGCGGCTCGAGCAGGATCCATGGATGAATCTGGGCGGATTTGTTCTAGGTTACGCTATCGACTCAATCTTCTTCGGGATGATGTGCGTCACGCTGGTAAATTGGTTACGCTACGGTGCTAAGGAGAGCTTGACGATCAAGCTGGTACTTGTGAGCCTACCACGTCTGGGATGAGACCGAGCAGCACTGATCCTCCCTCGCCTCGCCAATGTCGCTTTGCCAGGCCTACTCCATTATCGCCGGGGTGGTAGCTACGGGCTTCAACATGTACATCATGTAAGTTAGGCTTGACATCGATTCTAATATTAAAGAATCTTGGGAGATCTCACCAGAGACTGATAGGCGCTGCTTAATTGCGGGGAAACAGGATTTATCACTTCATGTATCACTTCGGAGACTATGCGCCGTTCTTTCTGGCTGCTAGTAAGCCAGGCCTCATACCTATTCCTGTTCTTAAGCTGACCTCTACCCCTTTTACCACTGTGCTATGGCGTAGAAACGGGAGGTTGGGCATTCATCGGAAGCCTGAGTGTGCCCCAAATCCAAGTGAGTCTCGCCCGGTGCTGTCACATCATGTTTGACTTGAAACGACCCGTATACCTTATCTAGGCGTTTTACGGTATGCGCGCCTTTCGCTTGAATGACAACAACTACATTCTCCTTGTCGTTATCGTCCTCGGGATTCTATGCCAATTCAGCGCTTCTATGGCTTGCGCCGTCATGACCTATTCCGTCAAGGCCGGCGAGCTCGGCAAGCGAAAAGATGTAAGTTGCCTCGATCTCTCACGTTGAAACAAGCCAACTCGTTCTGGGCTTACTTGGGCTTACCTCACGGCTGAAACACAGGCGGTCAAAGTACCGATTTACATTTGGGTCTCATCGACTCTGTATGCCGACGGTCTAATCACGGCGGCGATCATCTACGGATTAATGAGAAACAAGACGGGTTTCGTCGAGACGGAACGACTCATCAACAGATTGATCACGTAAGCCTCCTCATATGTCTCTAACCTTCGCCAGATCTGCTTCTACCATCTACCGCCCTTCCCCGATCCTCACCTGTATCCCATTTTTGTCGGCTGACGACTCCGACTCATCGTCTCTGTCTCATACAGTGTCGCACTCGAGGCCTCCTTACCCGCCACGCTCGTCTCCATCGCCTTCTTGACAACCTTCTGTATCACCGAGAACACCACCCTCTTCATCCTGTTCTGGGAAATGTTTCACCCCAAGGTCTATATCCTCCCGTTCATCGCGGTACTGAATTCGCGCGTAAAGTTCCAAAGAGACTTTGCGGGATTGGCCGGAGGTCATAGTTCGGTCAGTAACCGAAAGATCTGTCGTTGCAGGTGGCAGGGAAGGAAGGCCTTATCTTGCTTCTCGTCACTCCCTGCAGACGTTCATTTTTAATGATAAAGAAGGAACACGAATTCGAGCGAATACTGTATCGACCGTACAGGTGCGTTGGATAATCCAGCCTTATGCAGCCCCGAGTCACGTGGCCATCTGACACAGACTTCCCATACGACGTCTTGCCTATCGCCTTAGGACTACTCGCCCGGACCTGACAACGCCTCTCAGAGGCCCCTGGATGACAGGTCGACCGTTGGTGGCGAGAGTACTACCCACTTGACGACTCCGCCATTTGCCGTTTGTCGGACGTGAGTCCTTGAGCGGGCGATGACCCGCGACGGGACGAGCGATTCCGCTTGATCGTCGGATGATAATTGTGCTGCCTGGGAGCAGCGAGATGTATAAGAAGAACAATGACCACTGTGTATCAGGAGGGAGAGAAATGAGTCGTCCGGGTTTCAGATGGTGACGACGGACATGATGATCATGGAAATATCCGATGTCCGCTTCTTTGCGTGATAAATTTGCTTCCGTGATCAGATGTAGGAAGCATTTCCTTGAGCAGACAAAAGTTCGGTAAGATTCGGCTTTGATTTAGTTAATTAGTCACCTGAACCCACCATACTTCTCTGCATCACAACTTCGTCCCCAACCTGACAGCTCAATAAATTCGAGAAATATGGCCAGCAAACAAACGACGACAAGAGCGGACCGCATCGGATCCCTGCTCTTCTGCCCGGCTTGTGGGACCTTGTTGTCATTACCGGGGGATATGGATGAGATTGCCTGTGAACAATGTGGACGACGGGAACCGGCGAGTTGTGAGTCAGAGCTCAAATATTGTCGGGAGTGTAGAAGACCCGTTGGTAGAGGACGGTATCGGGGAATTGGTTGATGAGGGGAAGAGGAGGATATCATGGGATCTGGCCAGGGAGGGGTAGCAAGAAGAAGCTAGTTGAACGGACAGCTCGAAGACTACCGCAGCTACCCGAATCGACGGTCCCCTCCTCCATGATTCCTGTGTACAATCGCCCCATCCTTGCCACCTCGGATACTGAATATGCCGTCCTTGTGCAATCAGCGTATGAGAACCTGGACGTCAAGACCTACTCGCATCCCAACGCCTTTCCCTCATCATTACGTCAAAAGCGAGCGCTCGTCCAGGGCCACAAGGACGATGGGACTCGACAAAAGGACGACGATCCGGTCGTATGTCGACTTGACTCCACATGCATCTAGAGCGGGATGGTATAAAGGTAGCTGATACTTTTCTTCTCCATGAACGGTTCATCGCCACGCCGAATAGGTCCAGGAGAAGTGCGAAAAGTGCGGGCATATTGGATTATCCTACAAGACGATGCAGTTGAGGAGCGCGGATGAAGGAGCGACCGTCTTTTACAAGGTCAGTCGAGGCTTTTTTCCCCTCTTCTGGCATCCTATAAAGATTGCCGTTGTGCTGGTTGCGCTCGCGGAGTGGGGCTGGCAGAAGGGAATCAGGGTCAAAATCGATATATCGAGGCTGATCATCATCTGTTCGTCTATTACGTACGGCTAGTGTCTGAACTGTGGTGATCAAACTCGACTGAACAACTAGTTTGGGACTGCTTCTCCATCACCTCCGGGCATCATCTTGGCGTATCCTTCTAGCCCACGCCGGCCCCTCTCGATGACTATCGACCTTTTTTGTTGTTTGTATCCTGTACTTGACACGCATCCCTGTACTCCCGGGCATGATCATAATCTCTCGACTGACACCCGCCTATCGTCACGGTGCCGAGAAGGCCAGGTGTTTGCTGCGGGTGCGTGGTGGCTGTGCGGTTTGCTTTGTTGACGAAGTTCCGCTGCGCGCTCGGAATGCTTGAACCAAAACAATTCCAGGCGCCAGGCCTGGGGGTCATCTGATCCTTCCAGCTTCCAGACTAGTTTGACAAGCATGCACACATGAACCACCGTGACTCGTTTTAGCTACTAGCTTCTGGCCAAGGTATCAAGGCCCACACACCCCATCTTCTCGCTCCCTGTCAACTCGCCGTACCGCGATCTTCTCGTTCGCCTAGATCGATCGACACCAGGGTCCAGAACTCACTTGCACCTGACGCAGCAATCCCGCAGCGCCTAGTTTGCTTGAAACAAAGTCTGCCCTCTATGGTCCCGCCAGCTCAAAGCGGCACCACTTGTCTCCTCGGATTGATCCTGTTGACCACTGTCTCTGCGCATGAAGCACACCGAGGTCTCGTCGCCACCTCCCGGTTGATACCTAAACGAGGGAGGTCATCATCTCTGATCAAACGAACCGACCATGAACCTGCCAAACCGATGTTCAGGCTGGGTCTAGCTGAAGGGAAAGAGGTCGAGCTGTTCCATCGGAGCAAGCTGTCAGAGAGAAGTGCTGGTCACGACAAGCGGGCTGAAGGAGACGAGGTAGTCGGGGCCATTGAAGATTTGGATAGTCGATCAGGGTGAGGCTTTCAACCTGACGATCTGTTTGAGGGATACCGATAGACTGATCCCGTTCGATTCTACTATCACTACTCGCAGGATATATATCATGCCCTTGACCATCGGGAATCCACCCAAGAGCTACCCACTTCAAGTCGATATCGCCTCATCTGATATCTTCCTCTCATCAAAGGGATGTAGCTCTTCGTCCTGTCCGCAGGTCGACAAGCCTTACATCTCGGATAACTTTTACGACGAGTCGATCTCCCGATCGTTCACACCAATCGCCGACAACTCGAGCGCATTCAACTTGACGTTCTCGGACGGATCGTTCCTCTCGGGTTATATGGCGAGAGAAAGAATGAGCCTGGATGTCTCGTCTACGGGCAGGATGGACGAGATCGTGTTGCCCGATCAGGTGTTTGGCGTCGTAAACGGGACGAACATCGATATGGATGCCGAGGGGATCGTAGGTATTATGGGACTAGGATTCCCAAGGTTGTCGCAGTTGGCGAGGATCGGCTTGGGGGCAGGTCAGGTGGTGCAGCCGATCATCTCGTCGTCAACTTCGACTTCTGCTACGACCAGCCCAAGCTCCCAGTCGTCAGCGGCATCAGCGACTACATCGACTACGAGTGGCACAACCGCGACAACGACCTCGAGCACAGAGGCGACATCGTCTGGTGCAAATATATTCTTTTCCATCTTACCTATCGGTACCATCTCCTCCGCACCGTCTACGCAGACAGGATCGTTGAGCAAACGGGCAGAATCAGTGCCGGAATACTACCCGCCCTTCTTGGAGAGCCTGTTCAATCTGGACAGCAACAACCGATCGAATGGGACAGAGCTCCCCTCGTATCCCGTATTCGGACTGGCCTTGTCGAATTCGTCTCAGCCGTATTCAGAGAAGACGTCCGGGTCATCCATCACTTTTGGGGGCGTTTCTGGCGAATACGTCCTGCCGACCAACGCGACAACGGCGGGAAGCGGTAGGACGGTCGATGATATCGAATGGCACGACGTCGTGCCTTATGGTCAGGTCAACGGACTGAACACGTCGAGGGCAGGGGATGGTTTCTCGCGGGTGGATCTGGAATTAGAGCAATACCTATACTGGACGCTCGAGTTGGGTCAAGTCACCATGAATGGGACGCAGGTCGCCCTCGCCCCGACGTACAATTCGAGCCTGACCGGATTATCGGGGTCGACCGCCTTGCTCGATGTGGGGACCAACGGCATCTTTGCGCCTCAACAGGACGTCGACGAGCTGTTCTCGCACGTTCATGATTCGCGACAAGTTGCGGATGGGCGCTGGGCAGTTCCATGCGATACGAGGCAGACAATGACGTTCGCTTTTGGCGCGAATGGTGGCAGGGTGATCGAGTTGCAACCGAGCGAATGGATGTACGCTCGTGTATCGGGCAGCTCGATGTGTTTGGCTTGGCCTGTTGTCTCCCCTCCGAACTCGGACGCCGATTGGCAGCTCGGAACGCCGTTCTTGCGAAAGGTCTATACCGTCTTTGGATATGGAATCAGCGGTGTTCAGAGTCCTGTTGTTGGGTTCTTGCCATTGCCGAATGGGGAACGGCTCGGTTCCGCCGCGCGAAATTCTACCAATGGGACTGTCACGACTTCGGCTGTCACCAAGGCTCCTACGGATCCGACACCGACGACGGTACAGACCCTCTCCGAAGTGGAGTCTCTCTTGACAGCTGTCATCCCAACCGTTTTACCCAACGTGCTCCTGCCAAACCCATCGTACACTACGGCAGGATACAATTTCAACGCCTCTGCAGGCATTCCCGCTGTGGGAGCACTACAGACCGTGGGATTGGCCAATGCCTCTCACTACAGCGTCGGTCAGGTACCGATCGTGTCCAGCGTCATGCCGACAGGTTCGAGGACGGTCTCCTCGACGCCTGCACAGCAGACTCAAGACGATGGCGCGAGGAACTCCGGTCAGAGCGCGATACCATACAACAATGTTTGCCTGATCCTGGCGCTCCTCTCGTCGATCATCCCTCTCTTAACGAGCCATTTGTAGCCATAGTCGCCATGCACAAGTCTGTCAATATAATTTTCCTGGTCTGATCCTTGGCGGGAGTGAGGCGACAAAGAGGATGACACAGCGCGTTTTTCAGATTGGACAACGGTGGGTTACCAGACTGGCGCACCGCACTTTTGGGAAAGGCGATCAGATCACGGTAAGCCAGCCAGCCAGCCAGCCAGCCAGAAAAAGGAGGGCATGTCAGACGACTAGCGGAGTCGAAACCTCCCGGCTGGCTGTACTTTCCTTTTCGTTATCCGGCCGTGTTTCCATTGATCGGACCTCAGGGTGATAGGCTATCCTTTCTAACGATGACGAACTTGCTGCCAATCGACAGCATTACATAAAGGATACCTTCGCCGGTACTGACAAGGGAGTGATGTGACGGGAATGGTTGCAGCAGGATATAACATACGGAAAGTCAGGCCGGCTGAGTCCATCACCTAAACGATCACACCGCATACCAACTCTCACCCAAGTTCCGTACAACTTAAACATCCATCATGCCCGAACATTCCGATTCGACTTCTCAAAGCTCGCATGATGAAGCGAGTTCGATGGTCACAAACACTCCCACCATGTCCGGTTCTGTACAGACCGCCCCATCCCAGACTGGCGCCAATGCAGATCAGAACACTCTGACCACTTCGCTTGTCCAGGAAGTATTCAGTCTGCTCTCCATCCTCGAGACAGACGGAACCGATGCTGCAGCATTGCGCGCCATGATGAGCCGACAGGCGTCCAACCAGTACGACACGAACGAGCTCTTGAAGCACCTTGATCGTCTGAAAAGTCAGATTCAAGCTGAAGGCGAACAACATGGCTTACCCTCGGAGGAAACACAGCGACTGTTCGAAGAGGGAAGAAAGGATACCAAAGCATTTCCCGAGCTCGGCCCTAAGCCTGACAGAACGAAGGAAGAGCAAGGTCATCCTGTCACCGAGAGACCAGAGTCGCCCAAGACCGAGAGTGCTCCCTTGTTTTTCAATCCAGACGGTTGTTAGAGTATAGGCTAGGGTATTTGTTTAGATGAGAGGCATGTCACTGTCGAGCTCGTCCGCGGGAGATGCTTTCCGTCCTGGCCTGGTCGCTTTTCCCTCTCGTCGGAAGCAATGATCTTGCCGTTTCATGTCGCGATATACGAGAGGGCGCTCTGCGCCAGACCCACGAACGATGCAGGCGAAACTATGCTCACTGCTGTGCGGCAACCTTCCTTTCATTCGATCCCATCACGTAGTCCTGGTGAAGCTGTACTCACTCTTGCCTCAGGAATCTGCAGTGACCACGTGCCTGTTATGGCGTCTATAGTGATCATACTTTCGGTCGACGATCAGCTGACATGTAACATGACGCGACCTGTTGGTGGCCTGCAGCCATGGCTCAATTCGTCGTCAAGTACGGTGATGCTATGTCCTTTGCTTTCTTGAACCACAGCCAAATCATCTTTCTCCTGACTCTTGACGCCCTTGACGCGCCGTACGGTCGATATTACAGCGTTCCTTTCATTTGCCTGAAGAGAACGAATGCTCTCCCTGCTGTTGTCGCTCGTTATTCTAGAGGCTATAATGGCATCTAAGGATGACAGAGAGATAGAATGCTTATCAGAGTTCAACACCTTATCACCGCGGACCATTATGGCACCCGTCTTGTCGGTCGTGGAGCACGCTCAATTCGCGGATACCACTTCGAGACCTACTGTCAAAGCACAAGATCATGTCCGGCGCTTCGGATACTACACCCGACCTAGACTCGATCGCTGCGTCCATCGCCAAGAGCCTCTCGAGAAGAGCACCTGCGTACCTTTTTGAACACTCTCGGACGGGTATGTCGACATTTCGTACCCACCTAACAACGTCAGTCATTGATGCTAGCGTCTTTGCGGAAATCTACTGGGGGATATTACTAGATCATAGAACGGATTGAGATGGCCCTTCACTCGTCGAACTCGCCACGAAGGTGAAAGTCGAGTTGTCCAAAATCATCCACGCAACTCCGAGTCTCGTTGCAGCCGAAGAGTCGACGAGGATCTCGACTATCGCTCAGAATATACTGAGGAGACGATCTAAAGCTTATGACCCGATACATTGTTCCATCAACCGCGACACGATCGGGACTGAGCGTCAAGTTAGGTTGAAGCCCGACCCTGGAGTATACGACCGAATTTTCCTAGACGAGATAGCACACGCCATACAGGAGTATGGGCATGGTTCGGGCAAGGAACCCATCCACGACCTCGAGCAGAAGGTTCGCGACAAGATGGTCAGGATCACCACAGGACAAGACAAAATAGGAGAAGTGTTGCATTGGCCAGAATCTCTGTGTGGTTCCTAATCAGAGACGTACATATTGAATATGATCTTTATTCTCTGTTGTCCGCTCAGGCTCCGTTGCTACTCGTAAATCGAGTGTTCTTGAGCAAACTCCAGGTACTGCCGCCGCCAGTGGGAGGTGTCCTGCTGTGACATGCGAGAGCAGGTAGCGGGATTCGCTGATGCAGATTCGCGCGAGCTGGATCTACAGATCCTGTTTCGAATCGATCACAACTCAGTGAACTATCACCCTTTGACACCTCGTTTCTTGACTAGTCCGTGTCGCAGTATCATCTAAGTCTGTCACGATCAAGGTTCTGTGATATGTGCCGCGCGTCTGCCTCCAAAGAAGCAGGATGGACTGCACCAACTGGTTTAAATGATCCCCAGTCGAGGGTCCTGAAGCAGCGCAATGGCGAACGTCAAGCCCAGTGAGGAGCTATCGATTTCACAATCCCTGGACGGGTTCCTTTGCCTTCTGCGGACAGGTCTGACCGTGTGTGCATCACAGGTTGTGCATAGCTCAAGAGTATTGTTATGGGAGTGAGTTCCACAGATGAAACATGGTCTAGAGATGATCGGGGGTCACAAGGCGGATCAACGGATGATCCATCCGATGATCCTGAAGGTGAAACGAGTCCTGCTCTCGGCATCTTGCACGTTGCTTCTTTTGATCGGTCGATTAGCATCCGAAACCCTGTCGCTCCTGCTCCTTGCTGCCGCCCCGCCTCTCGCTCAATTTCAGGTCCGGAAGCGATTTCCTTCGCCCTCCCCTGCCTGCCCCGCGTTGCTACTTTCGCTCTTCGGAAACAAAACGCGCTAAGGTTGTCACGGCTGCTCCCCCTCCTCTCTCTCTCCAGCTTTGCAGAGGATCCCAAGCTCTCTGTCTTTCTTTTCTCGAGCAACCACACTCATCATCATCATGCATCCATCGTCGTTGAACGTGAGCAAGATCGATTGAGACCTACCCCACCACCTAGTGTCTTCCTCTTCCTCGAGACATTTGACCTCTCTCTCTCTCTTTACCCCTCACCCGGCACCTCGACTCCCGAAAACCCCACTCGGAACCAACGACTCTGGCAAAGATGGTCGACAACGATAAACAATCATCGATCCCCCTGCAATCCATGCAAAAGCCCGAGGATGTCGACGAGTTTAGCCCGAACGATACTCTCGAGATCAAGTCAGTGAGAGGTTCCCACGAGTTGCGAGGCGGCGGCGGTTTTGTCCTCCGTGGCTCGTTGCGAGCGAGAGACAGAAGGCTGATCGGGGTGTCATCCTCTCTCGCATCTCTTTTCACCCTATCCTTTGTACGTTCGCCAAATCAATTCGACTTCGCTATTCGTCACACTGTTGCGAAACCTCCTACTCGACCTGTACCGGACGCTGTGGACCCTGGACAGGCTGGAACCTTCCCGCACGTTCACCACCCCGGCTCAACCTAAAAAGATCAACATCCCCGCATGGCTCAGTGAGTCCGGCGGTGCTTCTCCTCTGTCCTCTGCCACGCTCTTTCGCAGAATGGCTGGAAAAGAGCTAGAGACGACAATGATCCGGATGAGAGAGAAGATACGGGAGCTGACAACATATTCCCACTTCTCGGTCCCTTTTCTCTTGCTTCCTCTCTCTTGCTGCAATGAAATTCGCTCTTCACCATCGCTACCAAACCTCCCTCCCGATAATATGATGCCGATGACATCTGGTTGCTGCCGAAACAGTCATTCCCATCTGGATGGTAAGCTCCGTCTCGAATGCCTTGAATAAGCCACGAATCTGATAACTTGACTTGCAACTCTTTCGGTCCCTATCAACTACCCATTCCTCGTCTGCCTTCGGCCTATTCGACCTCTTCTTCTTGAACTCCATTTCTTCCATATCGACAGGGATGTTCCGTTTCGGTGATCTTGTACAACAAGTACATCTTTTCCGAGCTCAGTTTCGAGTACCCGATCTTTTTGACCACCGTGAGTTGTCCGAATCGACCTGAACTCCGGAAGGTTTCGGTAGAGCTGATATGGTGCTCGTCACGGTCAATAGTGGCATTTGATCTTTTCGGTGCGTTCTCCCTCAAAATAGCAGGACGGTGAAGCAGAGTGGATAGGACTGACGAATGACGCGACTATAGGCCATCGGAACGAGGGTGTTGCAGAGGACGACCACGTTATTGGACGGTGTCAAGGATATCGACATGCCCGTGAGTCTATCTGAACAAGGCAGGCAGGCTTTGGCTTGGGTTCCGCCGAGATTGACGTGCTGAACCAATTTGGGGGCGATTCGCAGCGGGACAAATGGATGAGGTCGATCTTGCCCATCGGAGTGCTTTTCTCGGGAAGCTTGATTCTCTCCAACTATGCCTACCTCACGTGAGCACCCGTGTGTCCTCGGCATATCCTGCTGAGAACGTAGTATGTTGACATCGCTATCTGATCACAGCCTGAGCGTATCATTCATCCAGATGCTCAAGGCATTCAACCCCGTCGTCATCCTCTTGATCTCGTTCGCTTTCAGGCTGCAGGAGCCCAACCAGAGGCTTATCGGAGTCGTCGCTGTAAGTTTCGAATCCGGCGTGATGGTGTCGTTACGCGGGCCGGAGGGACTATGTGCTGAATATGGTTTTCGTGCCGTTTTGTCATAGATGATCTCGCTCGGATGTTGCACTGGTGAGCGGCCGCATCACGCTCGGTCACGTTTCACTCTCGTCGATGGCTGATGCTGTGATCCTTCACGATCTTGATAGCCGCCTACGGTGAACTGCACTTTGTCTTGACTGGTTTCATCTGTCAAGCCTTGGCCCTCTGTTTCGAGGCCTCGCGATTGGTCATGATCGAGATCTTGTTGCACGGCATGAAGGTGAGTCACTGCCCTTAGGACAACAGTCTCTGACAAAAGTGCTGATCGCCGTCTGATCGCCCTCAGATGGACCCTCTGGTCTCGCTCTACTACTACGCCCCCGTCTGCGCCGCTCTCAACTTTGTCATCATGCTCCTCGTCGAGGGTGTCGAGCCGTTCTACCACCTAGAGCGAGTCGGAGCTTTCGTCCTCTTTACCAACGCCGGGATCGCTTTCGCTTTGAACGTCGCGGCCGTCTTCTTGATCGCCGTTGGATCGGGATTGGTTTTGACCTTGGCTGGTGTGCTCAAGGATATCGTAAGTCGCGGTCTTCTGCCTTGTGTGAAACTCGAAATGATCGTCAAAGCTGACTGATTGGCTCGTCGTACTTTCTTACTGCACAGCTCCTCATCTCGGGTTCGGTCCTTGCCTTCGGATCGACCATCACCGCCATCCAGGTGTTTGGATACTCGGTCGCCCTCGCCGGTCTCGTCTTGTTCAAGACGGGCGGACAGAAGAAGTAGACGGCAATAGCGGAGCAAGATGCGTGCGGATCGATCGGTCTGGCAACAACGGACGTGAAGGTCGGGAGACGGGGAACCATAGGACAGGCTGCACGACGGATTTCTTTTCTCTCTTTCCGGTTCATACACCTACACAGGATACATACAGCTTCCACGTGGACGAGTTCAAGGCAGGGACGGCTAGGCTAAATGTCGTCTGTCGTTTCCCACTCGATCACCTTCTCTCTGATTCGCATGATGGGTTTCACTTCCACCTTTCGGTTTTTCCTTGTTCGAACATTGGTGTAGCTCTCTCGCACATGCCATTTCACTATAGATTTCCATGAGATGCTCGATGCGATGACGTCGTGGTTTCCAAAGTCTTTGGGCGCGCGCGCGCGTGGAACCGAGATTGATTGATGTCTTGAAGCGGAGAGGAGGGGGGGCCAAGGTTCCACAAAAACACGAAGAGTGGATTACGATATCGACACAACGTACAACCCTTATATCTTCCTCAAAACATACCTAAACAAGCACAAAGTATAGAGCAGAACCATCGCCCAAGATGAAGTGAGTGCTAACACGTCTTGTGCGACCGGCTCTGTCCTCGGGCTGACCTCCTCTTGTCACTTCAGCATGCTCCTCTCCCTCGTCGGGCCTTATCTGCCCCTTCCCGCCCAACAAGTCTTGCAAGCCTTTCAACCCTTGATCAACCTCCTCTCCAACCCTGCCTCGCTCGCCTATACGGCGTACAACAACCCCACTCAGATCCCCGGGATCCTCGTCCACACCCTGTCCAGCGTCTTTGGGCTGTTGAGGATGATCGACATTGGATCACTGACGGATGGCGTGACCGATCTGTTCACCGATCCGAGCAGCAAGAGCCTGAGTGATTGGTGGCCATTGCTCGTCAGCGGGCTGGCCATCTGGTTGTCCATGAGGACGGTGATGAGCACCCTGAGGGTGGCCACGGGACTCTTCAGCACGGTCTTCCGATACGGGAGCTTGTTTACCCTCGCTATCAGCTTGTTCGGCTGGGTTACCGGTGGAAGGAACGCTGGGGGGAACGCTCCTGCCAACGGCGGTGGAATCGGAGACATCTTTTCCACCCTGAACAACGCCGTCGGTGGGGGTCAACAGGCAGGATTCGCCAACATGGCCCGCGGATTTGCAGGCGAGATGGCCGACGCTTGGCAAAAGGGTCAACAGGAGAGCGCTGGCAAGGCCAAGCGATCCTCTTCGTCTAGATCGCGCAAGAGCAAGACCCCCAAGGCTCAGCCCGCTACCGACGCTGCGGGTGCCGGTGGAGACCTCGCCGATATGGCTCAGAAGTGGGTCAAGGAGGCGCTCTGGAAGGCTACCATGGGAGGTGGCGAGGGCGACAAGAAGACTGGCAAGACCAAGAAACGATAAAGCTCATTGCCGAGAGATGGGGACGCCTGTGCGTTAGGACGGACAGGATGGTTGAAACGGGGAAAAAGGGGACATGGTGAGGATCATAATGGGTTCCGGGAAAGACGAAACAATGTGTACAATAACAATGCGATTCATGCTAAAATCTTCCGATGAAACCAAACCAAGATCCGTGTCCCTTGATAGAAATCGTTTACTGTGCGCCCCTCGTGTTGTGACCGGGCGGCCGAGTCTTGTCTTCGTTGTCCTTTACGTGTATGCTATTGTTTTTTCTTCTTTGTCGACCCTTCTTCTACCACCCGCTCGTGTCCGTCATGACCACCTCCTTGGCCGCTGATGAAGACGAATCCACACCCCAATCTTCTCGTCTCCTCTTTTCCTCCTTTTCCTCGTCGACGAAGTCCCTCCATCGAATGCGGATCCCCCCGGGCGAGACCCTGCTCCAGACCAGTTCCCATTCCGGCTGATCCCCGACCAGGCCCGTCGAACCGGGACAATTGCCCAACCCCCCAAGCGCACGCACAAGCGTCCTCTTGCTCCCTACACAAGCTGACGAGACTGAATCGGTCGCCCAGACCTCTTCCAGCGTGACTTCGCCCTCTCTCCATCTTCTCAGCAGGTCCCGCACGATCCCTCGGATGGTCTCGTCCGACTCTGGCGAGGGGTCCCACGTCTTCTTGTACACCTCGCCTGCACCTCTCGGTTCGTGAACGTGCCGAACGGCCAACCTGTGAGCGTGATATTCTTCCCCACTGGCTGGCATGAACGGCAACCTGACCGATCGGACGGACCGGGGGGATCGATGAGGCGCTCCTCCGGTGTGTCGAAAGATGGCCGTATGGGTGGCGTAGATCGGTCGCGAGGGGTCATCGTCGTGGTAAGAAGGTTGGTTTGACAATCCGATCCCGCCCGTCTCGACGGTGTATCCCCATTCTATCTCGAGATCAAAGTGTAATCAGTCATCGTGATCTCCCCGGATGAGGTCCGCGGCGCGAGGTGTACCCACCTTCGGCCGACTCGCACCAATCCCTAAACTCTTGCTCGGTCATCTCGAGCTTGTGATCGGAATGCCTAAACACCCTCTCGGTCCTCCCCGTCGGGTCCAAGAACCCCTTGGAGGGGCCGTGACAACCGTCGGGCGTGTGCGATCGAGGGAACTTGCTGTTGAACTGTCGACGACGGAGACGCATGTCAGACGAGGTCCACTAGCACGAAAAGGTAAAGAGAAGAAGGGAAACTAACCTCGAAATTGGGCGTAGTGATGAGGACGACCTTGGGCCGAAACGTCCCAAAGATCATCTGAGGGAAGACGGCCAACGAGGGTCCGTTCAGGTGTTCGATACTATGGTCATCACCGCACGACCTGCATCAGTCTTTTTTGTTGCTTCTCATGACCTCTCGTCGCAGACTCACATTTCCAGCCCGGTGATCGCTTCGAACCCTTCCAACCGTTGATTATGCTTCTCCAATCCGCCTTGCCAGATCTCGACTTCGAGCCTCTGCCATCTCGGCGGTACGTTGCTAGCATCCGAATTGAGATTTGCGTCGTCATCGAGTGATGATGGCGATGTTGATGCAGCGGAGGCCTGTGTGCCGGAACATGAAGGTGGAGGAGCGGTGTTTCGAACGGCGATCGGGATGGTGGTCGCATCCACGTCGAGCCCTCCCAGGCGCTATGAATGACCAGTCCAAGAATAAAGCACCTTTGATCAGCCTCACCAGGTCTTTGTTCGATTCCGAGACATGGATCAGAGACTCACGTGGATAAACAGCTCCTTGACCGCTCCATCGCTACTATTATTGCCTGTATTGTGGGCTTCCGACTGTCGCGAGGAAGACGACGAGGACCGTCTCCGATCGCCTTCCCGTCCGTCCGAAGCGAAATCAGACGTCTCGGACCGCAACCTCTTCAAACCGCCCGCCGGTGGTCTTGAAGACGACGACGATGAGGTCAAGGTCGAGCCCGACGCTGCTGCTATTGCCGAAGAACCCCCCAGGTTCGCCGCCATGGACCCGTCTTGCCCTATTACGGGCTCGATCGGATCCTCCATCACGCAACTCGCCGGCCGACAGAGGATCTTCAACAACGCCCCCTCTCCACACCCGACGTCCAGGACGCTCCTCGCTTCTTCTTTACGCAAGACGTCGAGTGCCCAGCTGATCCGTTGTTCGGCCAACGAGGGGGTGAAGACGACCCCGACGTGGGAAGGGCCCTTTTCGATCATGCTGACCTCTCGGGTATGGGTGAGGGAGGTGGAAAGGTGGATGGCAGAGGGGGAGGTCAGGGTCGGGTCGTAGGCCGGGTCGTCGTGAAGGCCGGCGATGGTACCAGGGTTGTTGGCGGTATCGAGGTCGTTCGAGCCCGGGTCGCCTGGGGAGGAAGACGACTTGCCGCCGATCGAGGTCATCTTTTGGACGAGCGAGTCCAGGGAGGGGAGGAACGACATGGTCAAGACGATGTAGTGGGTCGATTAGACCGGGGTGAAATTGCGTGATTGAGAAGGAATGCTGGTGCCGATGTCGTGATGTATAACTCGTGTCCTTTGTCTCGTCGGCGCAGTCGCGTTTTTCGTTGACGATCTCGAGGAGTTCGAATCTTCGACGACGACGACGTTGAGAAGCGAGGTGGTCGAGTATCGATGGATAGGTTGATAGATGTGCAGACGTTTGCGTGGTTGCTTTCGACGTGGTCCGCTTCGAGTGGTGAGATGGTGAGTCACTTGGGTTAGACGAGCGAGAGCAGTGTGCAAGAGAGAGAAAGCGCTGGGATATCGCCGATGCAAATGTCGTTCCTCACGCCGTTATGAAGTATCAGACAGGGTCGTCGACAGGGCAATTGGAGTGAGTAGATGTAACGTCGGGGGATGTACGTATGCCAGGTCAGCAGAGTAATATGAGAAGAGATTGGTGAAAGTTGCTGCTGCGAAATCGGATATATCGGCGAGCGAGAGGTCATGAAGGTCACCGAGATTCAGGTAACCTCGTCGTATTATATACGACGATCCCCCCAACAAACGGTAGATCGTCGTCGTCGTCATCAATCATCTCTTGCAGCATGACCCCATCCATACCCGACCCGAAGCAACAAACCCATCTTGTGAACAAGGTCGAGGTCGCCATACGATGCTCGCCCCCCTCGGTCACCGGGTCACACCCTCGATCGATCTCTCTTTCCTTCCCGCGCCCGCCGCCCCAGCAGGCCCGGTCCCCAGCTCCCAGCTTGGGGGTCTCGGCCTCTCTCACCCCACTCCCCTCCCCCGCATTCCCCACTCATGCCACCCAAGACCTGGCTCGGTATTCCCGAGAGAGCGTGGGGCGTAGAAGGAATCTGTTTCCCTCTCTGGGTATCCCATGCAGCAGGCAGGCTATCAGCTGATCACCTGCCTCTCGGGAATATCTAGTCCAGCTCGCTCGATTCATCCATCCATTCGCGCGTAAGAGGCGGACATGCGGACATAGGGGCAGCGGGGGAAACTCAAATTCATAAATTCATAAATCATGCCAGCCACTACGATTCCCATTACGGGCTCATGTCTTGCATGTCGCCCTCATCTGCCACAATGGTAGGTACCTTAAAGGTGATTTCAATGTTTGCTACAGGGAGTGCTTTGCAAGAAAAGCATATCATCGCTCCCTTTCATGCTTCTCCTGTCTTGCAGGCTTCACCTGAACATCGTCACGTGCCTTCGCGCGCTTGCGGTGACGAGTGCATCAACCATCGTGTTTTGGCTGAAGCAGGGAAGAGTTTCGGCAAGTGGCCATGTCATCCCATTGATTCAGCGCAAGACCCCCCTCGAGCACTAAGAAAACTTCAAGATTGCCCTCCAGTAAACCAATGTTACAATCATCTGTCCATTCGTAAACGTAAGCGGTAATATCTTTGAATGCGATAAGGCACAAGGCTTATCCTTTCGGTTCCCTACCGTACGTCACATCGAGACCCTCCACTTCGTCTTTGAAGCCAATTCGCCAAAATAACAGTGTACAGTTAGACGCCTACTTCTGTGCTTAAAGGGCCTGCTCGACAAATCGAATCCCAAACATGGCATGAGAGTGAACCGCTTGTGATAGTCAAGATGTCACCAAAGACAGATCCATTCCATTGTGTTCTGCTTCTAGCCTGGCTGGATCATGCTTCGCCTTCCGGCAGCGTCCTATAGAATGAACGGAATGACTACGCGCAATGTATGACGGCTCACGAATCGGTCTACTGCTTTTCCAGGGTGATATCCTACTACTCAATCGTCCGTGCACAATCGACTTCACTAGTACATCAATGCTAAAACGTTATCGTACAGATTGTTTCTGATAGGCTCAACACATGGGGAAAAGCAAGAAGGGAGGCGCTCATCTCACTTCTCCTCCTTCTCCTCCTTCTCCTCCTTCTCCTTGGGATCTCCTGCGTGAATTTCATTCGCCTCTAAGAGATCCAGCAACTCTATGAAGACTTCCGGCGAGATTGAGGGCGAGATTGAGAGTTTCTCGTCGGGGACGCTCAGAATAGCCTCCATCAATCGATTTTTACACTTCTCGTCGTCCTCCAGCAAGTACCTTTCGAAGTATTCGGCGTATTGCCAAAGCTGAGCGGACAGTAAATTCAAACCGGCATTGGGTTCGAATATGGGCGGAGGCGGGGATTCAAGCCTGTAGGCATGGAAGATCCGTCGAGCCTTCAAGCGATAGTCCGCTTTAGCGTAGACTGTAAGAGGACCCGAGGTATCGACGGACCCTTCCTCAAGCTGTTTGTGACGAATTCCCTTGGTATAATTGTAATCGAACTTTCTGAATATTTCATTCAGTTCTTTATCTGTCGCGTCTTCCGAACTCGACATGTACGAGTACGTCGTCCATAGGTCTGTGGCTTCTTTGAGGAAATCTGCAGCCATACGGTCTTGAGGCCCGTAAGATCCAGATTGGCTCTGCGGCCTCTGTGTCCCACTTAGGGACGGCACAGTAGTCTTGATGGAGTCGTTCATTGAGCTGAATGAAGGTGGTCGATAAAGAAAAGGCGAATAACAAGGGCTTTCACTTTGCGGTTTGAGGAGTATTCGAGGACTCGAGTGAGGAAGGGAGATCGCTTCGCGGTCGCGTCCAGAGCAGGCGTCTTTATAGGTAACAAGAGAGCTGATGTTGCGAGAACCCTAGGGAGCTGTTTCATTGCTTCCTTTGATCCTTCTCCTCTCTAGGTGGTCTTGCCTGGCTGTCGTCACGTGTCTTTAGGCATCGCAAGAAGCAGAAAGGGCTAATCCATGATCAATACTATATCGGCGATAGGCAATCATATCAGTCCGCACGGTATGAGCGTCCGTTCCGATAGCCCTTCGTAAATTCAGTACAGATGTATGAAGCGCAACCATTCAAGCGCCAACTCCCGATTTTCATCACGGGGCGAATAGGTTGCAACAAGGGAGTTGCTGCGTCATCGCTTCCTTTCAGACTGAACCTGTCCTGGGTTTTCCCCTGTATGCTGTCACGTGGCCTTTAGACAGCCAGACGCAGTGCTTTAGGTTGATAGGCGGGTTGCTGCCGTACCTAGAAGAAGATTGCCGGATCGCCCAATGAGTGCTGCCGGATGTCCGTCAAGTACCCACCAATAAATAAGATGTTTCAGGTCTCAACTAGCGCCGAACTTCGCCTATGGCGAGAAATGGTGATATAACGGTAGAATTGGTACATGAATTCCACAATAAGAGTGAAGGACCTGTCTCTGATTGACTTGTGACCGATCGTCGCAATTTTGCGCCCTCGAGGGATCCGCCTGCAATGGATGGAATATTTCGAGCAGTGCTGAGTCGACCATGTGAAAAGTTTCAAGTTGGCGGAGAATATCTACACGTCGGCATGCTCCTTGAGATCGCTATTGAAATTCGTATTCTGCTTGGGTATAACGAGGTGTGGTACAGATCAGATTTATAGAAACCGGTCCCCCGGTGTTTGTCATCACCATCGTTGCTAGCGTCTACGGTGTGTTCTAGCCCTCCATCCCTCAAATCGACCAGACCCGAGTTCAAGCCCTGCGTCGAGAACTCAGGCTTCATCCCAGTTTATATGTGTCTTTCAAGCCGTCCTGCTTTGGTCTGCGTCTCACACAGGCTACTATGGCACGTTGATTCGGCGCATGTAGTCGAGGGCCGGAATGGGAAGGGCAATGGATACCGATGTACCGCTATCTACATCCCAAGTATCATCCCTCAGTCGAATCTGTCTTCGATTATCCTTCGAAGATCAGTTGCCCTGGCTAGACCGCCCTCGAGGCCTCGATGGCCAGCCTCAATTCGACGTCATCGCTCTCCTCGCCGATGGTCATCATGCTCCGATCGTCCATGGCAGCCGGTGCGGCAATACCGGCTACAGCGCCAGGATAGTGATTGTGCCGGTTGGACCCGGTATCGCTGCGGGTACTCGGAACAGGAGCACCGTGGGACGAGGTGTGTCGTTCGGCCGTGACTGTCGGTTCCAGTATGCGAAATATGGCACAGATCGATGAGGAGGCAAGCAGGAAAAGCAGGGAGACGTAGTGAAACCATCGGAGTCAGCCCAGATGTCGTGAACATGTTCGAGCCCATACAAGACAAGTCCCCCTGGATCTAATTCCGACGCCCTCATTCGATCAAGACCAGAATGCAGACAAGACTCACCCCAGGGTCTCCTATCCAAAGGACACTGTTCCTTACTGCTCGCCGTGTTCAACCATTTGAGAAGACAGTGCATGTGAAAAACATGCGTGCACTGACCCCACACTACGGTTCGCCAAAGGAGGATCGGTCGGACCGTACCAGTGGTCGGAAAGCAAGTGATTTATGGTTGGAGAGTCGAGTTGAGCATAAGGACAGTGTGCCGGGTGAACGAAACGTCGACATTGTCGAGCCCAGTCCATCGGATCGGGAGAAGGAGAAACACAAGAAACGCAAAGCATTAGCATCTCGATTCGACCTGATTCAGAGTCCCGCTCAACACCTGAAGATCTCGTCAGAACTCACTCAAAGGGCAATCATCCCCCGGAACTTTACATCCCGGACAACTGCTCTCGAATTCCAACTGACAGATCCCACAGACCTCGTCTTCTTCCTCGTCCTCATCATCTTCTTCCTCCTCACTACCACTATCCGCTTCGTCATCAATCTCAGGCTCCGTTTTGGTAGCTCCTTCGCCCTCGGCAGGGGGTTGGAGGTCCCACCGCCACGAGCCTACTGCGTGATAGGCGTTGTAGGTGATCTTCATGCTGAGCGCTGAGATCAATCTGATAATGATCTCGATCTTGATCTCTGGACGATTTCAGTTCGTCTCGTCGACTTTCAGGAACCTATCTATCCTTTGATGCTCTGCCTTTCGTCACCGTTACAGGCCTGAAGAATGCACGAAGGATATCAGCTAGTGGATCTTCTGATGACCATCGCAACCGCGGGAGGAAGTGGCAACTCACGTTTCGGTTCTCTGTCAGCTTCGGAAACTGTTTGTTTCTTCCTTCACGATGCCCTTTGCTCCAATGCCCTCTCGTTGTGGTCGTCTCTGGGATCTCGATCTTGATGCAGGAGACTTCGTAATGTCGACGACTTGTTTGTTTACGTTTCGTTTGTTCGGGTATACTCCGAGCGAGTTGGTGTGAGGAACGGGATCGTTAATGAGGTCGTGAATTGGTTCGTCGAGGTCGTAGCAGTTCTGGTTGGCGTGGATAGGTGGTTTGGATGTCACTGGAAGGGAATATGATTGCCATGTGTATTCTGCATATGACATGTCATGACGAAGCTGAGCTGCAGCATGGCCTAGGGCTCGGGTGGTGGAGGTCGTTGTTGATCTTTTGGGCGAAGCGGCGCTAAAAGCAAATGTCATCATGGACCTTGAAATTGAGCATTCAAGCATCAGATCATCAGATTGAGGACCATCCGATCATGCAAACACTACTGTTGTTGACTTCACGACCGAACAGAAGGACCTGGGAAGAATAAGAAACGAATCGCCGCCGCCGCCGTCCTGTCGTACCCATTGCGGGCCGCCGATCCTCATGTTCTCAAACCTGGGCCTCTTCTCAGGAGTACCCTGCCCGGACTCCCGATGCAATCGACGACCCTGTCTATTCTCTCATGATCGATCCATCACCGCCGAGATCATCGAGGGAGATGAGCTGGCCAAGAAGACGGCAGCCAAGTTACAGGCCAGACCGGCGGGATGGAAAGCTCCTCCAGCGAAACGCCAGGCAATCTCGCTCTCTGCGCCGACGCCGTACATGACGGTTCCATCCAGTTCGAATTCGGCTTCGAGCTCGAGGTTACCGTCGTCATCAGCCAATGCTGTCACAAACTCTCCCTCCTCATCTTCTTCACGACTACCTCCCAAGACTAGCCTGAACTTGAAGATTCCCGTACTCCAGATCAACTCCCGTCTCTCCCGTCAGCCCGTGATGGACCGCCGTAAAGGTCTTGAGAGATTATACGACGAATACAAACGGACCTACGCCCGGATCCTCCCTCTCAACACCGACTTGGCGGCCGATCATGCGTTGGCGGAAGAAATGGCGATATCGTTCAGCACGACCGTGGCTTCCTATTCGTCAGCCGTCAGGTCAGCTTGCATGTCGATCAAGACGAGAGAACCACCCAAGGATCTGGGGTCGAGGTTTTGTGGGACGATCGCCGACGTAAAGACCAAGATGAAGAAATGGGAGGAAGAACAAAAGTCCAGGTTGACGAGGGATAAAGTCAAGAAGTACGTCGCCACCCGTGCCCAGATGGAATTGTTCGGTTATCTTTACGCTTGTCCCCCTGGGGAGGGGAGCACGCATACGACCTGTCTAGGCGAACGCAAGATGTGCGACCGCTGCGGCGTCGACTTTACCGTCCGTGGCCCCTCCGAACAACGCGTCGACCCTCATCCTCCCTGTGTGTACCACTGGGGGAAAGCTACCATGGAACGCTTGGATGGGGTCAGGATGCAACGTTGGAGTTGTTGCGGATCCGATCGGACGCTCAACGAACCAGGGTGCGCCGTAGCCGAGTTTCACGTATTCAAAGATGGAAAGAGTTGGAAGTTTTCAGACCGACGAGGAGCTACGGACCTACAGGCCGAGAAGAGGGAGAAGGAGGAGGAGGTCGAGGTTTTGCACTCGAGGGAGGGGTTTAGGAGTACTTTGAAGGTCTTGCGTGAGATCAGAGACGAAGACAAGGTCGGAACGATGGGCAGAGGCGAGGGCGAGAATGTCATCGATGTCGATGCTGCACGGGGGGAAAAGAGGAAAAGAACACGAGAACCTCACGAAGTCGTCGCTATGGACTGCGAGATGATCTGTAAGCCGCGACCGCTGTCGGGACTCCAGTTCGCATTCGAAATTGACCGGTCGTTCCGACTGATGGGAAAAGACACGTCGAGCGGAATGTCGTTGGCTCGCGTGAGCGTGCTAGATGCCCAAGGAGATACGATCCTGGACGAGTTCGTTAAACAAACAGCTACCATACTGCAAGTCCAGTTTGCTTTGTTTGTGGCGAAGTGTGGCTATCAAGCTGAGCTTTATTCTTTTCTTGGCCGTTAGTGACGTGAATGAGAAGTTTTCCGGGTTGACCATGGAAGACATGAACAGCGCGACAAAAGACCTACCAGAAGTCAGGCGGGAGATGTGCCGGTTGATCGACGAGGATACGATCATTATCGGTCATGGGTACGTGTTCGATTTCTGTCAGCGTCAAGACGGCGCAAATTGACAACCGCTCTCGGACAGACTGGAAAACGACTTGAAATCCTTGCGGCTGGTTCATAGGCAGGTGATCGATACGGCCATCTTGTTTCCTCATCCCAAGGGCGCCCCTTTCAGACGTGCTCTCAGAGACCTGTGAGTGGATGGCCCAGCCTCGCGCTTCCGCTATAATCGAGCTAATTATACCACATGTCGGCAGTACGAGCGAAAAGCTTGGCGTCTTTATTCAGAACAACATCCTCGAAGAAGGTCACGATAGCGGTGCCGACGCCCGTGCAGCGCTCGACCTCGTCAAGTGGAAGGTGAGAAAGGACGATGCTGCCCCCGGAGACTTTAGCTATGCGTAGAAGCTCGTCATACGATAGATTGATATGTGGCTCGGCCCGGTTGTACAAAAGAGTGGCCGATTTGGTCCTCGACGTGTCTCTATACCTCGCCCAATTTCATCGCCCGTCGTTCGGTATTGATGGCGGCCTTGAATTTTTGCAAGACTGGTTGCGGATCAAAAGAATCCGTCTTTTTCCCGACCCTCATTCCGATCTGTTTCAGTCCACCCGATGGGTCGGCAACTGATAACGTAACACCGCTGGGACCAAGCGGCATGATGGTGTGAATCGATCGTAGCGAAAAGTTCTGTCAAGATACCAGTATTCAGGAATCAGTATAGCAACCGCAGTCTTACGAACTCAACACGCCGACTCACCTGATACACATGACCGGACGGATCCACACGCATCAACAATCTTCTCATCGGCTGACTATCCGCCTGTCCTGCCTTCTTGTTTTCCCGCTTGAGCTTGACTTTACACACGCGCCAATCGGTCCAGACCTTTTTACCCTCGTCGTTCGTCGTCAACGTCCCGATCTGAGCCTTGTTCTCCCACAACGTCTCCTCGTCCTCCTCGCCCTGACCTGTAGTCAGATTGGCAGACTGTGCGGCTGGGTCACTACCTTCAGCCTGTTCTGCACCTTCAGTCTCGGTTGATGTCACAGGTGCGGGTGAAGAGCTGCCACTAGCAGCTGCCGAAGCGCCAAAGGAGAAGACGGGAGGTTTCGGTGCGCTCGTGGCGGTCCCGCTAGCAGCAGGCGGCGCTCCAAAACTGAAACTGGGTACGGATTTGCTGGCACCGGCCCCGCCAGCTGCCGTCTCAGCGGGTTTTCCAAACGAAAAGCCAGAAGTTGCCGGCGCGCCAAACGAGAATGGGGCAGGTTTCGTGGCTGAGGAAGCGTCCCCAGCCGCGGCTGTAGGAGTTTGGCTATCGGCCTTTCCGAAGCTGAACCCAGCCGAGCTCTGCCTCGCTTTGGCCGGACTGAAGCTGAATCCAGAAGCCGCGGTAGTAGCAGGCGCAGGTGTCGAGGTCGAAGCTGACGGTGCAGTTGCCCCGCTCGATCCCATGTTGAACCCAGTGTTGCTAGCCTTGAAGATGAACGGCACCGGATTGGAACCTCCCGATGACGGCGGGATGACCATCGACGATGCATCTCCTCCAGTTGACTTTCTCACTTCGGGTTTGATGGCAAAGATGGCCGAGGAACGTTTGTTCAAGGTAGGAGGAGCGGGAGATGCAGTAGGAGTGGTGGATCCAAAGCTGAAAGAAGGCGTTTTGGAGCTAGGGGTCGCTGGCGGTTTGTCTGTCTTCTCGGTGACCGGAGCAGGCGGCTCGTCCAGCATTCCCTGTACCAGCGCAGCAGCGGCGGTAGTAGCCTGAGGTTTAGGGGCCGTCTTCTCCTCGACAGGTTTGGGCACGAACGGCGAGGCGGCCGGTGCGCCCTCCGAAGCAGGCTTTGCACCGACATCGATTGTCTTGCCACCGAAAGAGAATCCCATCACTGGCGCAGCCGGCTTGAATCCACCAGTCATTGCCGAAGCGGACGAGGTCGAGGCAGCAGGTGCAGGCAAGGTAAACGCGCCAACCTTGGGTGGCTGTACTACGGCGCTCGCGGGAGCGGCCGGTGCCGCCTTTCCGGTCACAGCTGGTACCTTGTCCACTTCCATACCCGTCTTCTCCGCTTGCTCAACCTCGAGGTCCACGGGCTTTCCAGCCTCCTTCTTGATCTCACTCAAATGCGTTCTATATTCTTTTTTCATCCTTTCCAAAGCTTCCCCTAGGTCAAGGAAAGGGTCTTGCTTCAATGCGACCTCGAGAGCGCGGATGACCGACGTATTGAGGCCCCGGATCGAGGTGAGGTATTTCTCTTCGGTGTCAATTGCCGAAGTTTCAGTCGGCTTCGAGACAGGGGCTGGAACAGGCGTCGGCGCCATTTCAGTCGGTTTAGCGACTGTCGTAGGCAGGGGAGCAGGTGCGCCGAACGAGAAAGATGGAGCAGAAGAAGAGGATGCAGACTGAGAAGCAGCAGGAGCCACCGTTGATGCAGACGCCGCCGGGGCTGCAGGCTTGGCAGTCGCACCTCCGAAAGAAAAGCCTGAGAATGGGGACGGTTTCTTGGTGGCATCTTCCTTTTGCACTACAGGAGCTGGAGCTGGGATCGAAGCTGGTGCCGCAGCCGCCGCCCCTGCTGGAGCGGTGGGTGCGACGGATGCAGGTGCGGGCTTCCCAAAGCTAAAGGTGGCGAAGGGCGATTTAGCCGGAGTCGCAGCAGGTGCGTGTGCGGCGGCTTCCGATGCAGCGGGTTGAGCCGATCCGAACGGTTTAGGCGTGGAAGTCGGTGGAGGAGCGCCAAAGGAGAATGCAGTGAAGGGTTTAGGTCCGGACGGAGCAGGAAAGGCCGAGGTGGTCGGTCCTGCACTCGAGCTGGTGTTGGTGCTACCAAACGAAAAGGTCGGAGCGTTCGAGGTCGACGAGGTGGGATTGGCAGCCGGAGCTCCGAAAGAGAAGGTTGCTGCGGTAGGCGTCTGCGCAATATAGATGTCGGTCAGGTGTCGATACTAGTTAGAAACAGCCGGCTGGACCGCCATACTGTACGACTCACGCTTCCTGTAGATCCGAACCCGGCCGACGAACCAGCAGTACTCGCTGTTGACGTCGTCTGTCCGACTGGAGCCTTTCTCTTGGGCATGCCTCGGATCCTGCGCAAACGGCAGGAATGAAACGTTCAATGCCGACGTTCTCTAGATGATGCGTGTCTATGCGCTCGACGTACTTTCTGCCGGCTAGTGCTTCCTGTGATGCATCTTTCCTGACCTCTTCGATCTAGATGACAGACAGTGGACAACAGGCAGCGATACCTGTCAGCGACAAACTCCAGGACGGGACTATACGACCTGTCGACCCACCTCGTCTCCATCCGAGTCCCTACCTCGCGAGCCCTCGACGTCGTCCTTGGTCAGTTGATCCTCTGCTCCTCGTTTCCCCATGGCTTCGGCGTTCGCTTGAGAATCAAATCGCTGGATAATCAGGTGGATGATGTCTGACTGGCACGGCTGAAGAGGTTTGGAGGATACTTACTTGTCCTGTTCGTTGGACCTTTGGGTCCCATCCATCTGAGCGGACATCAGCCTGTTTCCCTCCTTCCACTTTGATTGTACCTTGAATCGTGCCGATGTCCGCGAATTCATCATCATCACGATCATGATTGACGAGCTTTCAGGTCGTTTCAGGATGATTACGAATTCTCATCATTGGAAGTCTGTCCGCCCTCATCGAACACCGATATACCTGCGATACGAACCTAACATGTCGCTCCGATCGGTTCAGCTCGTGACACCCCGGCTGTTCACCCGGACCCGAATCGCAGCGTTCAGCACCTGCACCAGACGCTTCGAATCGCATTCCACATCCGACCCGCTTCGATTCTCAGTCGGTGTAGGATACTCTGGCAAAGACACCCCTCCGTTCGTCTCTCGCGAGAGAGCCAACGAGGCTGCGAAAAAGGGGTTTCAACCGGATTCCAAGATTGGGAGATGGAAACGCGAGATGATGGCCCTCGGTGGGGGTCGGGTGGAACTGTTCGATACGATGCAGGAGAGTAAAGAGGACGACTGGACCAGGGAGAACAGCGGGCTGGCGGATCGGAGACGATGGGGCAGCGGGGAGGATTCGTTCTTCGTCAACGAGTCGGTCAGTAGAGACTATGCTTCGGACCCGGAAGAGCTTGGATCTGACAGCCACCACATTTCCCTCCACAGGGCAACTTTGTATGGCTGGAATCCCTCGCAGTAAAACTCGAATGTTTCATCAAGCTAATCGCATCTCTCAATCTATCCTGTAGAAAACGTATCTAGCCGTCCAAGATGGCGTCGGAGGATGGTCAGATGCGGGAGTCGACCCCTCCCTCTTTTCCGAATCCCTCACTTACCACATGTACACCTCGACCCTCAAGAACCCGAGCGCGAAACCCGTCGACGTCCTCATCAAGGGCTACGCGGGCGTGTTAGCTGACGAGGGGGTCAAGTGTGGGAGTTCGACGAGTTGCGTCGTCTCCTTGGACAAGGGGAGAGGGCTTTTGGAAGCTGCCAAGTGAGTCGTCGTGGCTTTCTCGAGCGCGAGGCGATGGAGAGCTAACACGGAGTTGTGACACGGATGTTGGCACTCGGGGATAGTCTAGGAGATAGCGGATTTACCATCATTCGCAATGGTGCCGTGCATTTCGCCTCGACATCACAGACCGTGTATTTCAACTGTCCCGTGAGCCCAGCCTCGCAGCGCAAAAGCGCATTATTCCTCGTAGCCAGAAATTCGCACAGCTGACGTGACCATGGAGAAATCTTTCCGTCGTAGTGGCAACTGGCCAAGTTGGTGAACAAGACACCCGACGCCGCATCAAATCGTCCTGAACAAGCCGACCTGTATCATCAGGCCTTGAAACCGGGAGACATGATCGTCCTCTACGTGAGTAACGTCCTCTCTTCGACTTTGGTTCGGTCCTCCCATCTCGCTTATCGCTCGTCCGCGTCGTTATAAACGCCAGACGGACGGCTTCTCCGACAACGTCCACCCTCACCAACTCGTCGGTCTTCTGAAACACGTCGACAACACGCTGGCCTCGCCAGAAAACGCCTTCTTGGACCCGCTCGAACGAGAAGTCGAGCGTGCGAGGCTGTTGGCGGACGTTCTCGTCGCTTACGGGAGGATGGTCATGGGACGGGAAGACGTACAGACGCCATTCGAGTGTGAGTCGAGTCGTGTGCAGCAATCATGGAGGGTTATGAGGGAGTGGTGCTGTGTACCGGGCGAGGGCGCTGATCCGGAATTTACGGCAACGTCGATAGTGGAAGCGGCACAGAACAGGTTGAAGTGGCCAGGAGGCAAGTTGGACGAGTGAGTCTCGCTCTTACTCACCACGTCCGAGCATGATTGCTGACGATGAAATCCTATCCCTCGTTGCGCTCGTGTCCGCGTTCATGGCCAACGTTGACAGTATTACGGTGCTCACCGTACACGTCGGACAAGATTAGTAGGGTAGCGCAGGTCGCAAAAAAAAAGGATCAGGATCGCGCTCGACAGGTGTTGTATCGTCGCATCGCATGCATGCATGGGCAACCTAATCTCATGTACCACCGTTTCAGCCATTGTCGACGTCCACACGCAACATCGTTTCGAATGGCTGGCACGCCGATGAAAGAGACATGGTCGGCAGTCGTCAAGAGCTCAAGAGCCGGTTTCGTCGTTACGATCTCATGTTCATTATGACATTGCTTTTTCAAAGGATACAGTGAGGTTGATATGTATATAAGTCCTCAAGCATACTCTCCTCCCCACAAGTCCGCTTTTTACACGAGACTTCGCCTCCCAAAAGAGGGAGAAGGATGAAGGAGAGAATAAAGAAGACATCCCCCCGAGACCATCTTGTGGCGATTCGGGTGGGTTTGGATCGTTCTGGGCTTTCTTTTTGACCCGTCCGCTTGTGGAAAGTTTTGGAAAAGTGGATGGGCTTCGAAAGAGCCGGTCTAATTGGCTAGTTGGTGCGATGTGAAACGAACGATACGAGGTGAGGGAACTGCGAGGGGAGAGTCAGGAAGAAGGGTAGAGAAGACGATCAAGCAAGGTGGGAGATGGCCGGGCCCGATGGTGAATCGGTGCGATACATGTTCCTATCGAAATGCTGGATGCTCGATGATAGGAGATTGTAAAGCACCAACCCGGGTCGGGGCTTACGCAGCCATCTCTCCACGTATAGAGAATAGCAGGCTGGGTATGTTATAATCTAGTGTGCGAAAGAGCAGTAACGACAGGTCAGCTTGCAATTCATAAGACTGTGAACGGAGTCGCACAATCCCGCCCGCAAGATCTCCCATCGTCAACCCCGCATTCAACAACGGATCGACCCGAATGCGATGCGCACGCATATCATTCAGTTACCCCGTAGGGACTATTGACTATTTTTTACTCCAGTTACGAAGGCTGAAAGGTCCTCCCGGTCAGAGTCTAACATAAAATGAAAACATCACGGATATGCGTGCGCGGTCGTTTGTGGGTCGTTGCGTTGACGGCGCCATGATGATGGTTCAAGGGTCGTCGAGGCGGTGATTGCAGATTGCGAAAAGGGGCCGGAAAGGCGAACACAAAGAAACAGGGGAAGAAGATGCTTACGATTATAATCTAGTTACATGGCGAAGATGGTCGACGTTGCCGGCACGAGACGGAGTGGTTGTGAGTAATAAAGGACGAAACTGTGTTCCCCTGTTTATATAGGGACAGGGCGGAGGAGGGCGACGCGGAAATTTGATGATTAGGGTTAGAGCAATCACGTGAAAAGTGTCGATCTCGGATCCGCAGCACAGCCCACGGTACATGCACGCTGCTGAGCTGCTGTACAACTGACGATCGGATCTCCAACCTCGTGCATCCTGGCAAGTCACATTACTGATCCGGAAGTGAGAGAGGCCGTGCGAGCCTATCTGTGTTGTACTACTGTATCATTCGATCTGTGTCTGTGTGTATATTCCTGGCTGCCTGTCCCGGTGGCCGAGGGTCGACATTCCCCTAGGCCAACGGCGGTAATTGAGCTCTCGCGCCCTTGAAAGGGGGAAAGGATTCATCATCATCACGACCCGGATAACGGTAACTGTCAACCTCGTATCCCCTCGACATCACTTGCTGGATATCACCATCAGCAACGATTAGACTTGCCAGCACGAAGCTATAGAAGAATAAATACCATACAGCCACAGCAACCATAGAGCCGGGTCGTCTCCTCTTTGTACCGTCTGTTCGCACCAAGCCGGAGTTGCGCTCGCTCGTGTGCTAAGATCGATCAGCAGCTCAGCAGCTCGCCGACAAAATACGCAGTTGCTCGATCAACAGCTACTTCTCCACAAAGATATCATCGTCCCCAGACCACCAGATCAACCCGGAAGATAGTCAGCACGTCAAGGATCATCTCTGGACTGAGTTGGACCACTCGCTCTTGATTCTGGTCGACCTTACAGGCTGACGAGCTGCATCGTCAACTCGGTTCATCATCTTCTGACGTTCCTTTCAGTGCAAGAGCAGTCCACACCAGCTTCTGCGAGCCGCCTACCATAGAAACAAACAAGAGATAAAATATCCACATCAAAATGCCTCCCAACAATAACAATCCAAAAGAAGACCTCTTGACGACAGTGCTCGAAAAGACGCTAGACCCCGTTCACAACCCCGATCATCAACATCAAACTACTGGAGCACAGGGAGTTGACGCCAACAACTCTAGCAACAATGCGATGACTGAAAATGGAGGACAATCAGGAGCAGCAACTCCCACTCCTTCGGCTCCGAGCTCGAGCTCGAAACCCTCGTTCAGAAGACTAGCCTCTGCGGGTCTGAACAAGCCCTTCCAGATAGCCGGGTCTATCAAGAGAGGGTTCAGCTCGAACAGGGTCCCTTCCAGCTCCGCGGGTACGGGAGCTTCGACGCCGACCGGTTTGAGCACGATGGATGAGGACGGGAGTAGGGGCAGTCTGGATGGGCCAAGCGGGGAGGGAAGTGTACCTCCGCCCGCCATCGCTTCAGGCTCGACCACTGCCCAGATGAACAACTCGACCTCGATCGCGAATCCCAACCTCGGCACTTCTTCCACTGAGCTCACCCGTCTCAAACCTTCCCTCAAACCCTTGGAAAACGAACCTCCACTAGCTATCCTCCGCGTCCGGGTCCTTCGTGCAACTTCCCTCACCTCGAGGGACCGTAACGGCCTTTCCGATCCCTACCTCGTCCTTTCCCTCCCGCCAACCCCGAACAGACAGACACCTAGCGTGAAGAAATCCCTGAATCCGTCTTGGGAGGGTGAAAAGGAACGTGAGAAATCCACCTTTGATTTCCCCCTCTACGAATCGTTGGGAAAGGGAGCTGGGGTATACGAGGGCAGAGGAGTGGAGGTGGTTGTGTGGGATAGGGATTTCGGAGGGGTGAGGAAGGATTATATGGGAGAGGTTTGTGTCAGATTGGGAGAGTGGGAAGAGGGCGGATTGGTTTGGAAGGAGAATATGCAGGTGAGCAACCAAGGTTTCGTTTGCTCATGTCGACCGAGAAGAGCGCTGGGAGCTAAGACCCGGGGGTGATCCAAATATACGTCGCTTGAATCAGTCGACCGCACACGACCTCCATTCGACGAGACGGAGGGGGAAGCGGGAAGTACGAGTCTCGGGTACGGTCCATTTGCAACTCGGGATTCTGCCACCACCCGGCGAGACGATCGTCGGCTTGACAGAGGAATGGGCGAAAGAGGTCATCGGGAAGCTATCTAGGCGGTCTAGGGGCGAGGACGATGTCGAGTTGAAACGGCTGAAAGATAGTTTGTTGGCAGCGCCGGCGGTGAGTTCCTGAGCTCAACTCGAGGCAGACGTGCGATGAAAGGATCAGGCTGACAAGTAGTCACCCTGCAGTACGAAGGCGTGGGTACGGTCAAGATGCGACCGAGACGTCGGAAACGCGCCATTCCGAAGAACGCCTTGCAATCGGCTGCGCGGACCTTGTTTCACCGTAAAGACCGTCGTGGGCGCAATGACGGCGAGGGCGCAGAGACACCTACGCTTAGCGACGATCCGGACGAGGCGAGCGATTCCGAAGCGTCGTCTACCGGGTCAGACGAAGAAGTTCTGAGGGACGATGGGTTGAGCGATAGTGCGAGCGAGCTGGATCACGGGGACGTCTACTCGATGGGGTTCTTGGTCCCCGATCGAGCCAGGCGTGGCACCGCGAGCACGTTGAGCTCGATGACGGACAAGGATCGGGCCGGGTCGGTCAGCGGTGGTCAGGTCGCACCCATGCAGGGAAAGACGATCGAGGAGCACGAGACGGCGCAGTTTTCAAGCAGTCCCGATCTTGGGTTGACGAGGATCCAGACCGATCCCGCCGCGAATGCGCCTGTCATCGTCGAGGTCCCGCCGACCGCTGCCAAGGAGGTCGCACCCGGTTACTTTGACAAGATGCTACCCCGGACCGCTATTGGGGTGTCCAAATTGAACAAGCGACGGGCCAGCAAGGACACCCTGACCGCGGCGCACAACCAATACCAAAGCACATATTCGGAAAAGAGTACCGGGTCGGGTCTGTTGACGCCAAGCTCGAGCGTGCCGCCTGAAGGGAAGAGGTTCAAGAAGAGGTTCCGAGGGGTCAGGCGCAAGGATACTAGCGGGACCGAGTACAACCTTGGCGCGGGCAAGGATATCTTGGGGATCGTCATGCTGGAGATTTCAGGGGCGAAAGATCTGCCCAAGTTACGCAATTGTAAGTTCAAGGTGTGTCCAAGCCAGACTTGTCACAGAACCGAGCTGACTCTTCGCTGATCTTGCTTTAGCGCTCAAGTTTACTTTCGACATGGACCCCTTTGTGGTCATCAGTTTCGGAAAGAAGGTCTTTAGAACCCGAGTCATTCGTCACGAGTGAGTCGAAAACACATTGCCAGCGATCGTTTCGATGTTGACAACGCTGCGGATTCGCAGACTCAACCCTACCTGGGACGAAAAGATGTTATTCCATGTTCGTCGGTACGAGGACAACTACAACATCCAATTTGCGCTTCTCGATTGGGACAAGGTATCAGGTAACGATTTCATCGGCTCAAGCACTATTCCTCTGCAAGACTTGATCAAGGACGCGCCTCGACCCGACGAAGAGACGGGTTTGTATGGCTCTCGGGTTGATGGGAAGCACGAGATGAGAGAGTTTGCCGTAAGTCTGACAGATATGCGATCCGCCTGGTCCCCTGTACTGATCTTGCGCACGGTATCAATAGCTTCCCATCGCTACACCCAAGGAGTCTGGGTGGGAAAGCCGACACTCCCCCGTCTTGCATGTGAGGTGAGTATCTGGCTCGTGCTATACGAGCTGGGCATGAGGTCTAATAAAGAACCCTCGTTCAGAGCGAAATACGAACCGTATGATGCCCTTCGTCAGCGTTTCTGGCGACAATACCTGCTACAATTCGATTCCGACAATACCGGCTCGATCTCCTTCACCGAACTGACCACCATGCTGGACTCGCTCAACTCGACCTTGACCAATTCAACGCTCGAGGGCTATTTCACACGTTTCGGCAAGAACCCCGAGCAGGACGAACTCAGCTTCGACGAAATCATTCGATGTCTTGAAGACGAGATTAAAAAGTCCGCGACTGAGAAGAAGCACCTTCGATCGGAGCCGCCTTCTGGAGCTACTTCTCCCTCTGCCTATCCTTCCATGGCACCGTACCCTGCGAGCGATGGTCTTGATGAATCTGGACCTTCCGCGAGAGCTCCATCTGGCGTAGATGCCGACGAACTAGCCGCCCATATCAAGGCCAGCCGACCGACCTGCGATAACGACGACAGCCCGAACGGAGACGTCAACGTCAAGCCGATCCAGGTCGAACAATCCGGGGGTATTGATGCAGGGCAGCACCTTCAAGCCCATGACGCCTTGTCCTCAGGCTCTACTCCTGACGTCTCTGACTCGGAATCTGACATCGGCGTTCGCGGCGAGACGGAGAGGGTCGTCAACATAAAGTCGTGCCCCCTATGTCACCGACCTAGACTCAAGAAGAAGTCGGAGGCGGACATCTTGACTCATCTTGCCGTCTGTGCTTCGGCCGACTGGGACCGCGTCGATCGCATCGTTGTTGGAAACTATGTGACGGCGTCCCAAGCGCAGCGCAAGTTCTTCTCCAAAGTCCTGACCAAAGTCTCGGCCGGAGCCTACTCGCTTGGCGCCAATTCGGCCAACATTATCGTGCAGGATCGATTGACGGGCCAGTTGCAAGAAGAAAAGATGGCCGTCTACGTTAGGATCGGGATTCGAGTGCTTTACAAAGGCGCCAAGAAGGGTATGCAGGGAGATCGAGGTCAGTTGATATGTATCAAGGCATTTGGTCACTGGCAACGATTCTACTGACATATCCCTTCCCAGCACAACGGCTTTTGCGATCTATGAGCATTAAGCAGGGGCTCAAGTACAACTCTCCCGAATCCAAAGCGGACATTCCGACCTTTGTCGCCTATCATAAGCTCAATGTTGATGAAATCAAAGAGCCTCTCGATTCCTTCAGTGAGTGATCGAGACTGTAAGCTCGATACGTGGCACCCTGGCTGATATAGTTATCTGGTCCGCAGAAACCTTCAACGAATTCTTCTACCGACGGCTGAAGGCTGATGCAAGGCCGATCACAAACCCCCAGGATCCATCTACGCTCGTATCATGCGCAGATTGCCGGATGATGGCCTTCGAGAGCGTTAACGAAGCCACTAGATTGTGGATCAAGGGGAAAGAATTCAGTGTGGGGCGCTTGCTTGGAGACAGCTATAAAGGCGATTGGCAGAAGTACGAAGGGGGAGCACTGGGAATCTTCCGGTTAGTCGTGGTATACTCTTAGCGTCCAAAGCCAAGCTGACTGTCTTTCGGACTTCCGCGCTGCAGTCTCGCTCCGCAAGGTCAGTCTTACCAGTGACGACGTCAGGAAGGAATTCCCGCTGATATTAAATGTTTTGCCAGATTACCATCGATATCATAGTCCCGTCGACGGAATCATAGGCAAACCAACTCGGATCGAGGGTCAGTACTACACTGTCAATCCTCAAGCGATTCGTACGACATTGGACGTCTATGGCGAGAACGTTCGAGAGGTGTGGCCTATCCATTCCCCTCAATTTGGAACTGTGATGACGGTCTGGATCGGCGCGATGAGTAAGGGTCCCATCAGCTGGCCTTACTGTTAGACGCCATGCCGGAAGCTGAGACCTGTGTGCATTTTTCTAGTGGTTGGCAGTATCGGCGCCACCGTCAAGGAAGGGGACCATGTCAAGCGTGGAGACGAGTTGGGATGGTTCGCTTTTGGTGAGCAAAAGCTGCTGTCCTGTCATGATTATGACGTCAACTGACTACAGTCTCGACACAAAGGCGGCTCCACCATTGTCTGTCTATTTGAAAAGGGCAAGCTGCGATGGGACGAGGACATTCTGGACAACTCTTCCCAAGCTATCGAAACGCTAGTCAGGATGGGTATGGGTGTCGGCAAGGCGGTTGGTGACGATATGTGACCTGGATTTACGCTCATAATACATAACGACCTTAATGACATCGATTTCAGCATGATCTATATACCGTACAAAGAGGCGGGGTGAGAGCGCCATACGTTAGAAAGCTAGTATTCTGATTTGATCTTGAAACCAGACGTATCATAAAACACGGGATAATCCCGAACATCTGGAATCGGTCCCCTGAAAATGGGTGTCGAGCCGCGTTCGGCCAACTCGTATGGCAGCGAGAGCATCACTGGAAGAGGACGATCTCTATTGCGCAGGGTCGGATACCGGGAGTTCGGGCTGTTGGGTGCCTGCAGATACGCCACCGCGGTGACCTGACGCACTTCCGCCTCTTTGACGCTATCGGAGTCTGCATCTTCTTCGTCATCGGGGATCCAGGACGATGACAGCTGCGAAGGTTGCCTAGGGGGTCGCGGCCTGCAGTGCGCCGGCAAAGACACTGGATGAGTCAGGCTTCGACCGGTGAGGGCGGACGGAGCAGTCGATCGGAGTACAGTGGGAGCGACTGGGCTGGAGATGCTTTCTTTCGCAAACCCGGGACTCGGACATGAGCCAAGGTCGACAAGCGACTCATGGAAGTTTGTGCTGTCCCTCGTGGAGCTGTTACTGAGCTCTGAGGACGTTGCGCCACCTGGCTTCAAATCGGCGCTCAGGAGACCACTGTCATGGCGAACAGATTTGTAGCAAGCTGCCGTGAATTCCAGCTTGTGGACGGGCTCCGGAAAGCTAGGTAGAGCTTTGGTATAACGGTCTAGCCGAACAGTCGCAGCCACCCGCGACGGTTCTGCCATACTTGTTCGTTCCTGCGGAGCGCTTCTGAACGGGACCGATGGAACCTCACTCAAGGTGGTGACCGTTCGGTTCATGACCTGGAGTCCAGCCGGATGAAGCGTGAGATTCTTTGCCTCGATCACGGAGACATCGCTTCGTGATGCTTGTCGTCGGTCCTGGTATCCCAAAGTATGACCTGGCTTCTGGGTTTGCTGAACTTCCGTGCATTGGACAGAAGTACAGGTCACGCAAGTTGGCGAAGTCTCCAATTTGGTGTTGGCCTTGCGTAGCACCAGTCCCAGTGCGAGTGTTAGAAGCAGCAGACATACGATGACGCCCAACAGCGCAATGAAGACGGGAGAACGGATGATCGTCGACGTTGGTGCCGCCGATGTTGTATCCCCTCTCCGTAAAACCATAATATTGTGCCGACTTGACATATCGCTTGTGATAGACAGTGTGTAATCCGATAGGCAAGATGACCGGACGATTCGGGCGACGTCTGAGGGTGTCCGGAACGAAGTCCAGTAACTTGGCTATGGTAAGGATACTAAAAGCGGGTTGCAATGTTGTGTTGCCGAGGCTGAATCGCTCGGCGATGAAGTGCTGGCCTGGTATCGATTGAGGGCTGTGCATAATGAAAGAGGGCTATGAGCGCTATGTCATCCCTGTCGATCTCGTGAATACTGACTATAGAAACGAGAGGAGAAGCTTGAAGAGACCAGCTCTTCGTGGTGTAGCTACCTTTCCTGTTGAACTTGATGAAGCGACAGTCCGGGAGATGCTGAAAGTACAAAATGAAAACCCAATCTATGATACGAAGGTAAGATCCTTACATTGAAATGGGCGGCGCGGTGACAGGTTCCCTCCGACCGGATCGCAACAGCGGTATGCGGCGCGTAGAACATGAACCAACATTGCGGAATGGATCCGCCAACGGCAGACGTCGTGCGCTTCTAAGAGCAAAAGCGGAATCCACGTTCGCCCTGCATAACCTGCCAGCTGCCAGAGGCTATCTAGTGGGCGAGAAGACTCGGTATCAAAGAAGGATCACATTTCTAAGTTCATTCAGCACCATGAAGTAGAACTTCGAGGGGTCGCCGCCGGTAACACGTGAAGATAGATCAATTTGCACATCTTCCTTGCAGCTATTTTCTTGCATAGAATATCGATGAGATTGATTTATGGAATGCGGACGTTCAAAGTCAATGCTAGATAACCTTCGCGATACGCTGATCGACAAAAGCATCTACGTCCCACCCCTCGCTAGGTCGTTTCACCACGCCAGCCTGGCTCAATACCCTATCGTCGTGCCCATCATCAGCTCAATTTAGTGCATACGGACCGTAGGGAGACTTACTCAAGCGTATCAGTCACCACTTTGCGCTCTACAGCAAGCAGATCATGGTACCACGCGACCGTGCCGAGCCACTCTTTTACATCTTCTTCTCGTTGCCCGAAAGTCTTGGCGACATAACCGACGTTTTCAGAGTCTCGCTTGGACTTCGAGTCGAACTCGGTCGTGTACTCTCCCAGAGCGATCAGGAGCTGGGAGACCTGGTCAGCATCGGCTGCAGGGGAAGCAGCGATCATCCAGCAAGGCCAAGGCGCTGAGAGCGATCGAGGGAAACGGAATCAGCTGGCGATAGCTCTCATAGCAGCGACAACTGCACTTGCTGTAGACAGAGCCGATGAATCGGACTTCTCCCGAATCCGCATAAGGTTTGGTGGTGAACCACTCCCACAAGAAAACGCTAGCTGATGGTCGAATTCGGCGGCAGGTTAGATGGGCAGCTCGTGGTTCCGGACAAGCTTTGACCTCTTCTCTAACTCACTTTCCCCTGAGTTTACAGAGTCACGTAGCGGCTGGAAGCTCCCCTTGACTGAAAGCAATGTTTCAGCTTAGCGATCTGCTGTGATGGAGCGCAACGTCCTCACCCTCGAAGGTCGGCTGATCTGCTTGAGACCATTTTTCACGCAAAGCCATCACAGAAGCCATGACCTGGGAACCGCTGTTCACATCGACAGACATTAGATCTCCAGATAATGACAAGTTCAGAACCAATTCTGACCTTCCGAGCCTCGAAATCCCGAGCTTGGTGCCCTTCAAGTCGCTCACGTCCTGGTATTGGCTGTCTTTCCCGGTGATGATTGCCCTATACACAAGGTCCCTTGTCAGCTAGGTATTTGCAGGATGGCGCAAGTCTACATACCAACGGAGTGGAGTCGAGATGTAACGACCAACGATTTTATAGCTTGTCTGGCCATTGGCGATGCCGGCGATAAGAGCATCGGTAAGAGCTACAGGTAGGTTCAGGTCAGTAGAGCGGCTTCGGAGGTTTCCCGAGGCGACCCACTCACCGATACACACATCGATCTCTCCAGCTTTCAACTTTGCTTGCATATCCCCTGTTCCTCCAGGGCATTCAACGAGCTTCGAGCACAGCCTTGGCTTAGTAACGGCGATCATGCCGCTGAAGGAGCGAAGTACCGTATCTCACCTCGAAGCCCCCCTTGGCGGCGTGCAGCTGGAGCAATGGGGAGAGAAAGTGTTCTCTATGCCATCCAACTTTCAAGACCATCTTGATGACTGTAGTGATGTATCGCACTTGAACCTTAAGATCCCCTTGAGATACGTAGAAACCCGAATTGCGATCGATATCGAGGATCCAGCTCTTTCGCTCAAGGCCGGCACAAGCTACCACTAAGGCCTAACACCTTTTTCGCATTCGTCATCATGAATCGAAAAAGGTTCCCATATGAATCAATACAAAGCGGTGGATCGTTACTAATCGTTGCGTTCATCAAAGTAAGGAGCAGGTTCAGAAGCGAGGTGTTACTCGTTTAGCTGTTGTAGTCGGTCGGATATAGCCAGGCATGGTAGCCGTTAGAGGCGTCTGTCGGAGTGTCGAGGGGGATTGAGCCGGCACAGCCTTGAAACTTCGTATATATTCGATGGAAGGAATGCGGCTGGGGATTCACCGATATAAGCTACTGGAACGAGATAATGTTCTCCGTGAAGACGTGAAACTCACTTTGACTGAGAGTCCGTTGAGCCGTTCCCAGTCAGGGATTTCGTTCCAGCAGCACTAGTCGGCATCGTCCGTTTTGGGTAGACGCGCTTGGCTATGGTGACCGGCGGCGACTCCTCTATCGCGTCATTGTAGTCTTCGTCCGAGTCCCAATAGTCCTGACCGACAAATACATCTTTGACAGATGGGTTGCGCAAGACTGCTCCTTTCTTCTTCGCTGCTGCTGTCGCAGCTTTCGTTTTGGGTTTCGTCTTATTGGCTTTAGGGGTCTCGTCCCGGAAGTCCATGTTGAAACGCTTCTTTCCCTTCAAGTAAGGCTGATGATCTCGACCGAGCTGTCAACAAGATAGACCAGGTGAGCTCCGGGTTCACAGTCAGAGAGGATAACAATGCGACTTACGCAAACATAGGAATTTGTGTAACCGGCCCCGTTGGCTCTGTGAACCTCGCCAAAGAGGTTTTCGATCATCATCTTCTCGAACAACCGCTCGGCGTCGCCGAGTGACCAGTCTGATCCGATCCCGAAGAAGGGGTTTTCGGACCCTTTGGTGGTCTTTGTACCCCTGAACAAGGCTGTGGCTGCTTTAAGAGTTGTAGAATCGTCGACCTGTTGCACGAGCTTGAGAGCATTGACGACGTGCTCGGTGACGTCTCTTGATGTTCGGATTTCTTTGTCGAGCGACAAGCAGACGTCACAACCCTTATAACATTCGCACGCGGATTCGCCGAAAAAACCAAGGACCTGTGCTCGACGGCAATCAGTCCGGTTGATGCAATACCGTAGGACCGCTTGAACGGCCTCTTTATTCCTGTTCTTTTGCTCATGGTTGAGAGTGTCGTCTCGGTCGATCTGCCGGTGAACACTCCGTACATCCGAATAGGAATAGAACACGACGCATTGAGACGCCTTGCCGTCTCGTCCTGCTCGACCGGTCTCTTGATAATAGCCTTCTAACGAACGAGGGAGAGCCTGATGAATGACGTACCGGACATCGGCCTTGTCGATACCCATACCGAATGCCGTTGTCGCAACGATGACGTCGAACTTGTCTTGCTGCCAATCGGTTTGAGTCTGAATCCGATCCTGCTTTGACATGCCGGCGTGATAGTGATGTGCCCGCAGACCATGCGCGTTACGTAGATCGGCCGCCAACTTCTCGCACTGGTCACGAGAGTTAGCGTATACGATACCGGTCGATCCTGCCGGTTGCAGCTGGATATAATTGTACATGTCGGCGACGATGGATTTTGCGGTCTTGTTTCGGACTTCGTAGTAGAGATTGGGCCGATTGAAGGACTGCTTGAAGAACGCGCATCCCTCCAAGTGAAGGATGTTCCGGACGTCTTGTTGCACCTGGTTGTTCGCCGTCGCTGTCAATGCCATCAGAGGCACTCCAGGGTATTCCGCCTTGAGCTCGCCCAATGCCCGGTAATCGGGCCTGAAATCGTGACCCCACGAGCTCAAGCAGTGTGCTTCATCGATGACGAAACGAGCCAGCTTCTTTCGGTTATACAAACCTCGGAGGATGTCTTTTGTCACCGTGCTCGCTTTAAGCATTTCTGGCGTTATATAGACTACCTTGACCCACGGGTCCCTTTGACTAAGCTGCTCGTTGGCTGTCCGTTTGTCTGCAGCCGAGAGATCCCCAGTATAGGCGATAGCTGGGATATCGTTAGCCGCCAGATGTGCGCACTGATCGGTGATCAACGACAAGAGCGGGGATACGACGAAAGTCACTCCTTGTGTCTTGCCACCATCGCAAACAGCTGGTAGTTGATCTGTACAAGGATATAAATGACGCTCCTATAAGCGTTATGGCGACAGCGAAGTGGGCCGTTCTTGTTCAACATACAGCACAGACTCTTTCCTCCACCCGTGGGCATTAGCACAAAGACTGAACGCAAAATCAACGCGGTGATTAGCGCAAACGACCACACGCTTGAGAGGGACTCGGATAATCACCATCCTTTCCACTGAGGGTAGCGTCGATAGCCTCTCTCTGATTATGCCTAAACCCTGGCAGTTTGAACATTTTCTCCAATTTCTGATTGACCTCCTTGGTCCAGGGATGATTGACAACAACCCGACTAGGACTCGGAACACGCGGCCGCGGCTGTATTCGAGCAGTAATCGGCTCATCTTCGACGTCGATGATTTCGGCATGAGCGGGAACAGGTGTTCGGCTCCTCGATCTCCCTGTCGACATGGTCCGGGACACGGCAGCATTGGGCCGTGAGGGTCCAGGCGGTGACACAGGCTGTATGCTCCATTCCTCTTGCAATCGCCTCGCAGCAGCTTCGTCTGCTGCTATCTGAGCCTCCTCCGCTTGCGCGGCTTCGACCATCAACATGGCGTCCATATCGAAATCGTCTTCGAGTTCATCGTCAACCTCGATCGCTTCGGCAGGATATGTCTGGCGAGAGGTAGGGCGCTGAGGTGTAGATTGGGCGATGATCTTTTGTGTTTCCGCATGTCCGTTATGAGAAGGTCCAGCACGACGACTTGCTTGTAGCTCCTCGTTGCTAGGCATTCGACTGGGTGTCATGATCGGCAGCCTGCGTGACGTCGGTCCTTCGCCCGCGTTCCCGCTCCTTCCCGCTGCCACGCGCTCGGATGGGCTGGAGGTCTCTTCCACCTCGGAGGTGGTATCCGTGGGCTGAATTCCGGCAGCCCATTGCGTTATATCACCTGGCGCTGATGCCCGGTCAGACTTGAGTTGCTTGCTTGCCAGTGAAGGTGAGCTGATGACGGATGATGCCATGCTGGACGTCTGGCCGCGATTGTTGATCGCTTCGGTGAGCTCTTTGCAACGCTTCTCCAACATTGCACTGTGGTAATAGGCCAAACAGCAAAAAGAATGAGCTTTTTGTCTTGCACAGTTCGAAACATGGGTCGTGACTTGCGATTGCATCGCCACCATCTCCCGATCGACATCTTCGTTCATAAGCGTCTGCAACACGCGGATCATTTCGTCCTTGTTGTTCGCTAACATCGCTTGCAGCTTTTCGGTCGACAGCTGTGTGACAGTAGACAACCGGTCAGCTATACAAACGGCGAAAGAGGCGGGAAACAGCCATACCTGTGCAAGCTTATTGTTTCCTGATCCACCCGTTGAAGCTGCCGTCCCACCTTCTCGTCGAGTCTGACTCCCGTTCGTATTTGCCATCAAAACGTCTCTGGTGAGCTGGGTGACCTTGGTTTGGCTCTCTCTTCCTGAACTAGCCATAGGTGGCAGCCCGACAGTAGAGCCAGCCTCGTCGTCAATCACCCTGAGTCGTTGAGCTCTTGCGGCCCCGTCCTCGTGTTCCTCGGACTGTCGCTTCCGACCTCTACCTTCGGCAACTCTTGCAGATCGACTTGGTCCTTCGTGATCGCTTGTTAACAGCTCGATCTCGTCATCGCGAGGCATGTTGAATGTCGGTCTTGAAGGAGCTGGCGAGTTTCGGACAGACGACGCTGGAGGGTGGATTGCATACAAAGAGCTCTTGGGTTTGGGGATGACCGAAGCTGTCGAGGTTGAGATGGGTCGAGAAGCCTGAGAGGAAGGTCCGGGAGCTGCTAGTCTGAAACCTTTTGGGTTACCGGGAACGCTGGCTAGCTGGAAGGTACCCGTACTCTACAGATCGATGACGTCGAGGTTAGTGACTTGCAAAGACCGATCGCAAGAATCAAGGTGGACTTGCCTTGAGTTGCGAAGCCGGTGTTAAAGGTCCAGTCGGTCTGCTGGCCTTGTTTCCCGAACTCAACAGCTTGAGCTGATCTTTCAAGTTGTTTCTGGGTGCTGTCATCTCGCTGTCGGAGTCGGATACAACGAGCGAGGATCCTCGACGACAAGGTATGGTGACTGACACGACTCTAGGATGGGACTCGCAAATGCTCGACGGAGTTGACCGCTAAGCGTCCTTTCCAACAGTTGTTCCGATGAGCGCGGATCGTCGTCCGATCTGGGGGTTTCAAGATTTTCGGGCTGTCGATGCTTGTAGAGCTATAGTTCAAGGTCACCGGGGGTGTAGTCTATGCCGCCGATACCAAAGGCAGAGATAGTCCCGCAAACAAGAAACGATGGTACAAAATATCGACTTTGCCTCTTTCGTGAACTTCCACCAGGCTCCTTGTCGCCGAGGTTGATGATTATCTTTCGAGCAGAGGCTCTGCGCTCTACGCGACGCGTATCTAGGTCAGCGATAAGTCCAAGCCCAGATTCTCTGTTTACTTTGTGTGTGCGAGACCTCGATCCGAGTCGTCGATCAGCTCTGCATCTTGTAGAGCGATCGATCAGGTGCATCACCTGTCAGTCTGAACTTAGCCTCCAGCCAGATTACTACCGATCGAGCGATTCTTTCCAATCAGAGTCACTAGACGTGGGCTAAATCCTGCTGGAACGGACGGGATCGACCCGGTCTGCCGTCATGTATCCCCATTTCTCGAAAAAGTTCGTCTCACCCATGGCAAATCGCCCGGGAGCACCAGGACCTTCCACCACAGCTCGATCGCCCTACTTTACCCCGACGAGACCGTCGGTCACTTCAGCTAGATCTCGAAGACCGATAGACGACTGCGTGCCGGATAGTGATGAGGATGATGAACAAGCGCCGGCTTCTATCAAACCTGACGAACTCGACGATCTTTCTGTGCCTGAACCCGTAAGAGTGGTGAAGACGAGTATGAACAGCTTGTTACCCGGCGGGAAATCATACGGGTCGTCCATGGCTGGGCCCTCGAAACCTCTCCAGACGACGAGTAGGGCAAACGATTCTGACGAGAGCTACTGGATGGTGCAATGGTGAGCTTTTTCGGTCAGGGCAGTGGTGCCTGGAATGCTGCTCTTGAGCTAACCACTTGTCCTCCAATGCTCAGGCGGAAACCACAAGCGAGTAAGTACTATTTCGTATCAAATCGTTCCATCGTTCATCACTGATTTCCATCTCCGCTGCGGCCATTAGAAAAGGTATATTGTTTCAATTGCATATGCGGGCCTTTCATAACTGATCAGTGGCTACCAAACTATCAATCATTACTAACAGCATAGTAAGCCGTACGATGGGCTCGTTTGATATTCGCATGATATTTACAGTATATATGCAATCTACAGAAACGTGGGACGGCGATGGAGTACTGGTGATCAGGGGCAACAAGTGTTACATGAAGGATATGGACGGGAAAGAGTAAGCGCTTTCGTATCTATTGCTTTGCTACGGGATACCTTACCACCATCGCGATTTGTGTAGTATCGCGTCAGCTAGTTATACTGCAGGAAGACTGAGTTCAGGTGTCGAACTGAGAGTAGGAGGCAAAGAAGTAAACGTCTTTCGCTGCTTGTCACAGAAATTCATCAGCTGACGTATATCTGTTTTGCCACTTCCAAGGTGGAAGTGGATCACGAAATTCCGGCGCAACAGTGGGTGTCACCGATACTTGCGGATTCCTAGGATGTGAAACTAGACGAAACCTATCATTCTTCGCCGCGCAGATACCTCGATGGCACATGTTTCGGTTACGGTGCCGCTCCGCCACCCGCTCCACCCGTCCGCACATTAGGCAAACCGCCGAAACCCATCTTCAAGCAGCCTATCCCGGCGTCCAGCTTTTTCGCAGATCCGAAAAAGAGCGCGCATCTTATTCAGAAACCGAAAGTTGGCGAGCCAAAGTGAGTCCAGCCGGCTCGAGCTAGGAGGCAAAGGAATATGCCGCTGATTTCGAGATTCATGTTGGTAGGTTTGATCCGACTGCTGAAGGCGCGCTGGTAATGCGACGTCCGTCGAGGGATCATGCGGCAAAGTACAACAAATCGTAAGCGGTCTTTTTCCCTCTATGCCCACTCATGGACCGCGCTCACGACCATGCTTGACTATTTCCAGGAATGCCAGTATCGTAGATGTGGTGGTGGATCCACAGCTGAGTTCTCTACTCCGTCCGCATCAGCGAGACGGAATAAAGGTGCGCCCTGAGCCTGGTCATTTCGTTGTGAAAGTGGCTGAACCCCCTACCCGGCTGCAGTTCATGTACGAATGCATTATGGGAATGAAGAAGATGGAGGGAACCGGCTGTATCTTGGCAGACGAGATGGGTCTGGGGAAGACCCTGCAGACGATCAGTCTCATCTATACCTTGTTACGTGAGTCAATCAGCGTAGCTGTGTCCGTCGATCAGGCAACCACCCTGACAGACATTGTCATTCGACGAACCTTCAGAGCAAAATCCTTATGGAGGCCCTTCGGCAGGCGGAGTGTGAGTAGCGATCTCGTCGGAATCATATTAGAAAGTCGAAATGACCGGTCTATGGTTCCTTCAGTGTCGGAAAAGTACTGGTCGTCAGTCCAGTATCCCTCGTGCAGAATTGGAAGAAGGAATTCCACAAATGGTTCGTTTCTACAACGAAATCGTCGAAGCCATAACCTTGACCGACCTGCTCTTGTTCGCTGTAGGCTGGGAAGACATAGGATCGGAGTTTTCGTCGGCGATGGAGACAAGAACAAGATCCGCCAATTTGTGGGTAGCCATCTACCTTGGTCAAATTGTGATGACCTCCTCTGAATCGTATATTGCAGGCGAACAGCAAGGGGCATCAAGTTCTGCTGATTGGTTACGAGAAGGTTGGTCTGCCTCCGTCCGATTGTGAGATCATACACTAGGCTGACGTCTTCGCACCCTTGCTCAGCTCCGAACAGTAATGTAAGCTCGATTCATCGAGTTGCTTACGAAAGGTCCTGATGCGACTGAGACACCCCAGTGATTCCATCAAGACTTGTGTGCCTCCGATCGGCTTGATCGTATGCGACGAGGGTCACCGGTTGAAATCGAAGGATAACAAGACGACCAAGATGTTTGACAGCCTCAGCACAAAGCGCAGGATTAGTCAGTGAATCCGACGTCTGTATGCACGGTAGATTCGCTGACAGCTTGACCTTTCCAGTCTTGTCCGGTACCCCTCTACAGAACGATCTCCAGGAGTATTGGTCGATGGTGAGTTCATGCGGGTTCGCTAGCGCTCATATCTGCCTTTCTCCAACCTGTTTTATCCTTGTCGTCTCTCAGGCCGACTTCGCCTGCCCTGGGCTGCTCGACACATACTCCGCTTTCAGCAAGATTTACGAAAAACCGATCCTCAAATCCAGAGCTCCGAGGTGTTCGGCGAAAGATCAACAATTGGGTCAAGCTAGAGCTGAGAAGGTGAGGTTGGGCGTATGCTACAACAAACTGCTTGGTGACTGATACACTCGTTCCAGCTGGGGGAAATCACACGCGAGTTCGTCTTGCGAAGGACCGCAGACATCCTGTCAAACTATCTTCCCCCGAAGCGTTAGTCTCATTTGAAGCTTTGATTGAGCCGTTTCGCCAACGTGGTCTTGATCAATTTCTCGTCCGTGTAGATGAATACGTGGTCTATGTGGCTCCATCGTCATTGCAACTCCAGATCCTCAACAAGATTCTCACGCCAAAATTATTGCAAACATTCACACGTGGAGCAACAGCGCAATGTCTAGCCCTTAGTCAGTAAAATGCACTTCATCTGCGATCGTCCCGAGCTGAGTCAGCCTGTCCACCATAGTCACAATCCTGAGGAAGATATGCAATTCACCAGCGGTAAGTCTTGTCCCCACTGTCCTCTTGAGCAGTACAACGTGCCTGACTGGCATTCTTACGTCTCTGTAGCTACTAAAAGACAGGGAAGATGGGGAGCGAGAGCTAGAAGCTGATCTCAAGGAAGCTATCCAGCTCATCCCGTATCGTGCTTCACTGCATGATACCTCGCTGAGTGGTTAGCATAGGTCATCAACAGATATCGAGCGCGTACGGAGCGCTGATTCCTCATGTGGCAGGGAAAATGATGGCGCTCGAACGACTTCTAGCCTCACTCTACAGAAACAGCGACGAGAAAATCGTACTCGTCAGCAATTTTACGAGTACGCTGGATATGCTCGAGGAGCATTGCACGAAGTTGCGTTACAACTCCCTCCGACTGGATGGGAAGACAGCGCAGAAGAATCGTCAAGATCTCGTCGACTCGTTCAATAGAGGCTCCCAGCAGCAATCTTTCGTCTTCCTGCTCAGCAGCAAAGCGGGAGGCGTGGGTCTGAACTTGATTGGGTAGGCTTTCGCTGCCGAATATTGTATGAGACTACGCAAAGCTGACTTCTGGAGTCCTATGTGCAGCGGGTCAAGACTGGTGCTTTTTGACAGTGATTGGTAAGCATGTTTCCTGCTTCAAGCGAGAGGCCGAGCGAAAGCGATCTTAGACGCCGTCCATTCTTCTTCTCAGGAATCCGAGTACCGGTGCGTGCATCTGCACATCTCGTAGTCATGTTCATTAGACTTATCTGTTCGGGCTCTAGATCTACAAGCTCAAGCTCGTATACATCGCGACGGGCAAAAGCGCCCAGTTCATATCTATCGGTTCTTGACTACCGGTACAATTGAGGAGAAAATTTATCAGGCGAGTGTCCACGTTGATTATTGCTGAGCACACAACGCTTACGAAGCTCCACTTTTTAGCGTCAAGTCACGAAGACCGGCCTATCCGACCAGCTTATTGATCAGGCCCAGAACACGAAAGGGAACTCCGATGGTCAGTCCTGGATGACCAAACTCCAGAATCATCTTAGGCTGACGACTCGATAAACCAAAACTCTGCAAAAGCCTTCACCGCGGCAGAGTTGAAGGATCTGTTCACCGTACAGACGAGAACTAACGGATGTTTGACTCGTAAGCTATTTGCCGACGGCCTGTCTGTCCGCTCGCTTACTTGGTGATTGGCAGATGATCTCCTGGAATGCGAATGTCTGCAAGAGCAAGTCCGCAAATACAATTTGGACGAGGATTCCAAGGTCCCCTCGGAAGCTAGTGACGATGACGAGGACTTGCCTGATCTCAGGGACCTGAGCGCGAAGAAGGATACGGATGTAGGGAACGACAGCGGTAGCGTGAGCGATGAAGAGGAAGAGCCAGCGTTCGTGGCTGCTTCCCAGTATGAGGGTAAACCGGTAAGTCTGACCTGAATCTTCCTGCGCGTGCATGCCGGGACATTGACCAATTCCATGTTCTCCAGTCGAAGAAGCAAGCATTCAAAGTAAAACCCACCGAATCGCATCTATCAGCTAGTTATGATACTAACGTTGTGCCGATGTGTACAGGAGGCCAAAGACAAGCAGGCGAAACTAGCGGCGTTACACAAATGGACCCACATCGACCCAGAGATACCGGAATCGGTCAACCTGCTTCGGGATGACCTGCTCTCTGGGCTCATCGAAAAATCCAGATCGGCTCGCGGAAAAAAGATGCCGTCATCGTCGGCACCGCCTCTGTTTCAGGATGAGAACATCTCTGATTCGGATGACGAGGCAGATGTTTCGGTCGACACAAACAAAGTTGCAAGCACGGTAGGATCGGATGATGACGAGGTTGAAGAGATGGCGTCCGGGAAGTCTAGTCCATCCAGATTGGGTGCCAGCAAGAAGCGAGCGCCGGTGGCCTCGTCGCCTGATTGGGATGTAGGAGAGGACAGCGACGCGAATGAGGAGTCCGAAAGGCATGTCAAGAAGAAACGAAAGACCACTCAAATGGGCAAAGGCAAGAGTGCCCGAGGGCAACGTCGCGCCAAGGCGGATACGGACGAGACCTCACCCTTCAGCCTGGAGATGCCTAGCGCCAAATACGATCTCAATGCCATGGAAGGGGGACGCATCACATTCCTGTTTGAAAAGATTTCGGGAAGTAAACTGTAGCAATAGAAGTGCATATGTTATCCGTGTAATTCTTTCCAAACCCACAAAGCACGAGAAACTAGAGAAACTATCTGTATCATGCAGCGTATTTATTACAACCGGATGTCGACCACCTCGTTGTCACCAGATCCGTCGCCTTCGGGACATGGTAGGGTATCGTCCGGTAGACATACTCGAGACAAAGTGCGGTGTCCTGACATAGGGTTGTCGAATGTTGATGCTGTGAATTTATGGGACCGATAACCGATCGTTATCAGCTAGGAGCGAGGTCACATCATTTCAGTGAAGCTCTTACCTAGTGTAAGTCATAGGAGCATAAGACCCGCTCATTCCGATACCTGCATGTAGAAGGCTAAAGCTAAGCATAAAATCATGGGCCAAGATAGAAAGAAAAGACTCGCCTCTTCGCCGCTTTGAAGATCCGCAGCTCAGGCATCTCAACTTCTGATGGCCTAGCGGTAAGATTGGAACTCCTAAAATGTGATAGATCGAGCCCTTGTATACATGATGAATCACTATGGGGATGATTTGAGGTTCAGACGGTCTTCGTGACATGTCATCGGGTGGTTATAATGCTCACAGCCATCTGGACACCATTCGCACTTGGCGATAGGACCAGAGAGCACTTCACGCTGTAAGATATCGGGGTCCAGTGAGCACAAATGCCTGCGACATCGATCGCTCTTCGCACCTACGTGTTCATACTTTCCAACTGTCGGAAAAGTTGAAAAGAGGATGGTCCACAGATGCTCGTAAGAATTTTATACATAAGCGCGATAGAAGAGACGTCAGAACATACCCATATCGGTGACCAGCGATATCCGTTTGTATGGTGATTTAAGCTTTCAGCGCTAAGCCCAGGTTCCTGCGACGCCACCAAATCAAAAGGCAAGGACGATCATCGAGCCGCGTATATATACTCGTCGATCAGCGTTGATCCCCCTCGCCCCTCGGCTCCTCCCCCTAGCACGGAGAAGATGCAAACAAAGGAAGGTCGTTAGGGATCAGGGTATACACCCGACTATCACATTCGCGCTTTTTGACCACTGATACAACGGGAATGACAGGAATGATTACCTAAGCATACAACCAAGAAGAGACGCCTACACCGCAATATTTCTAGACGACGGTCATCCCAAAGACCCTATACATGACCACTGATCGATCGGGAAGAGAAGGGTGTTCCACTAGATAGCTCTCTATGCTCAGATCAATCTGATTTCTTGGGAAAACGTCGTCGACCTTGAAATCCCACAGGACATTCCGGATCTTGGCAGTAGCCTGGATGAACAAGGGGGTCAACGATTCCGCCGGCGACTTGATGCCCGGCAACCGATGTAGAATGTTTTGCTATCAAGGGAAAATGTCAGGTCTGAGGAGCGAACGCATTCCGATGTATCTCGCTTACTATGAACTGATGTTCCATCTGACAAGGCAACTTCGGACCATCGGGCTCATCCTGCAAGATCGCCCAGAATCGGTAGCGATATTCCGCGTTCAAGAGGTCTTTATCCTTGCATTTCGTGCAGTACTCATGTTTAAAACTGGCGAACATGGACGACTCGTCAGCTTCCGAGGAGACAACCCAATTGAGTCACCAGACAGACCTTCTACTACACACGAGACACCACTTTATAATCATGTCGCCCAAATTTTTCCCTATGGGCCTGATCGCGCTCGCACGAGCTTTGAGTCGGAATCGATTTGGCACAGACGGGTTATCCAGAATCTCGCGGATTGTTGAAGAAGGTTGGCCAGTATGCTCCGTGCGAATCGAGTGGTTCATGGTCTCTACAACGTGAGTAGGGTCAACGTGTGTCGGATCGACCTTTATGCACAACTTGAACCTACCATTCCAATCCGATTCCGCCGACGCGATGGCTGGTGCTTGGGTTGCTTCATTCTGCGTGGACGGTCTTGATGCTAGATCTTCCTTCCGACTGCGGATCGGAAGGCTAGTCTTCAGTGCGGAATATCGAGGGGCAAACCCAACCACACCCACCTCAATAGCTCGACCACCAACGGGTCTGTGATGTTCATCTTCTTCCAAGTCTGCCCCATCTCGATCGTAGCCCTGCTTCCCGTTCGGACATTGTCATGCAGGACCCCTTGTAAGGTCCCATGCTTGACCTTACAATGTAGATTGCGCAAGAAGACGAAATCGCCTTCTTTAAGTTCTTGCTTGTCTGCTTCTGCAGCGTTGCTGTCCCAAAAGGTGACCTCCATGATCATCTTTCTCAAATGTGGGTGATGCGCAAGAACTCTGTCGTCGTCTTCTATTTCCGAATTTGACGTATAGTCGGTCACATACACGGCCATAACTCCGGCATAACCTTTTGAGGTATACAACACCTGATCGATGGCGCAAATTCAAGACCGTTGACGCGAAAGCTCTGTCGGAAAGCAATTTGGCTTACCTCGGCAACAAGATCGTAAAAAGCAAAAGGCTTCATCTCGCCGACAGTCGCCCGCTTGGAAGTCTTTCCGTTGCTTCCGTAATGCGAGACCGTTTCGCCGACTGTTGAATCTCCTGACACACCCTGTGGCTTGGCCACATACACCCACCAGTCTTTCAATCTGGTCATCCTTTGACGCTCGGTCGGCCCAAGCTCGGGATACTTGACGGCTTTCCTGCCCGTTCCCACATGCTCGATGGTAGTCCCGTCCGGTTTCAACTCCAGACAAGCCCATTGGAAACCAGAATGGGACTGCGTTTTCCCGCTCATTCGCTGCCGTCCATTCGGTCCTCTTGTCACCTGAAAATCACGCAGCGTCAACGATAGCGGCTCCCAATTGGTCTGCTATCACCTGAGATTGATCTGACTTACCCATATATCCCTGATCAACAGAACACTGCCCCGCAACAATTGATTTGGTAATTCTAACCGGGTCGCAGAAAAGACGGTGAGGATGAAAAAATCGTCTGGATCCACCGAAGGATCTTGCAGTTGAAAGTTGTACCGGTTGTCATCTATCGTAACCGAGTCCAGGTCAGTCCCTGTCTGACAATCCCGCAAGATCCACGCCCGTCTTACTTCTGCCGTCAGAAGGGATGAAGGAGTAATCCCTGATGACCGCTATAGTATCGCCTCGTTCCCCTCCGGTCAACGGACGATCCGAATTGACCCAGTGATCGAGCATATGGTAAGTCAAACTCTTTCCTATCAAGTTGTACTTGTACTGACAGTGGGTAGACAGGCGTTCAGCTCATTCGCACGCTTCAGCAAGCTCAGGGGGACCAGAGCGGACCGCACTGACCTCGACCACTAAAGCGACAGCCTTCTCCAATCCGCGCTTATAGACCGTATCGATCTCCTCCCTGACTCTTTTCGCCCTCTCTTCCCGATCGACGATGGATTGACCGCTCAGCCCGGCCTGTTCGAGCGCGCGCGCTTGTCTTCGCTCGGCGATCTTTTGCGCTTTGAGACGCTTGGCGATATGTTTGTCCGGGTCGACTAGTGAAGAGATGGGTTGTGTGGGGACAGCTTTTGGTGCTGCTGCAGCAAGAGATTTTGAGGAAGAACCGATATCTGAACTTGTCACCGCACTAGCGGCGGTAGAAGTGTTTGCGACAGGCGCAGACTTCGAATTGCTGACCACAGGATCTCTCGATGCCTGAGCCGCCGTCGGGATGGGAATCAGAATGGGATCGGGAGATGCAGAGTGAACAGGAGCAGCCACCCGGGGGATAGCAGGAGGCGGCATAGACGTCGTATTGTTGGCCGAATGACTCCCGGATGTGTCGTTGGATCCAACAGGCCTCGGCGAGACCTCTCGTCGGCGTTTCTTCTGGACCGGCCTATCCCGGCCTTCCGTGGAGATCTCACGCTGTTCGGGGTCCTCGACCACCGAGTACCGTGGGGAATGCGCCAGGTTACGATCCAGGTTGGCAAACAGCTCCTCCACCCGAGCCCCGGTAGCCTGCGCTTGCACTCCTTTAGTTGACATTGCTTGAGCTTGCTTGCTGTTGTTCATCGGTCTGCCGGTAGTCGCTGTGCTCGGATGCTTGAAACTAGCAGCCTGTTTCTTTCCCCTCGACTGTTTATCAGTGCCCGACTTTCTGCTAGCGCTAGTGCCGGTCCCCGCTTGAGGTCCAGGTCGAGGTATGGGCAATTCCGTCAGAGGTACCGTGCCGTCCGGTCTCGGCGTAGGCTCGAAGGGAGCTGGTTGGGATTGAGAATCAGGAGGACTCGAGAACCAGTCTCTTTCGTTGACCGTCGATTCTACGTGTAGCCCGTCGCAAAACAAGCGGAAAGAAAGCAGGTCAGCTCTCGATGCGCGATGATTCGTCATACAGAGACGGGAAAAGGCTGTCGACTTGCCAGAGAAGAAATCGACCACCTCGCCGAGCTCTCCTGTAGGTCCGACCACCTGCAATTTCGAACCGTTTTCCAGCCTGAGGTCCGCCTCTCTTCGTTTCTTTTCCGGGTTGGCTACACAGCTCTGTACGCGGCACCCCTTGACATCCAGATGTAGGACCACCTTGTGATTATCTTTCATCGCCTGTCTCAAGGCCTCATGAGCCAGCTGGAGAAGCTCGGCATGGTTCCCACTATTCTTGAGACCGGTGGTGATCGTGACCACAGCTTTCTTGAATGGCCCCTTGTGAATCGGTTCGGCGGGTTCGTGAATGACGAGGTGGAACACGAGCGGACCGTCCCGCGAGAGGGTCCTGAGCGTCCCGATAGTACCCTTGATCGCCGATCCTGGAGGTAGGGAGAAATCGGGTTTGAGATCGTGAGGACCCACAAGCTTGAGGACCATCAAGAAAGTTAGCTATGGCATTGATACATAAATATAAAAGATAGCGAGACTGCATTTGGGTGTAGCGTCGAGTATACCACCACAAGTTGAAGAGACTCTAAGCAGAGGTCGAACGCGTCTCATCCTCGCGCGACTTAATCAACCAGAGCCCCAAGCGGACATCGAGCGTCTATTTATGATGTCCGTGTAATCATGTTCACCCCATCTCCCCGCTCACGATGACGATGAGGAGGACGACCTCAGAGTCATCCAATGAAGCGTAGACGAGGTGAATCCTAGTTATATACTTCGTTGCGAAGCCCCTGCAGTGGGCAAGACTCTTGACATAGCACAACCTCTGACCTCGATGCATCATCGATGAGCAACCAAAAGAGCTCACGTCGCCCCTTGAGCGACGCCCTGGAACCCATCGCGGCCACCTTGGCGAGCTCGAGCAATACGCTCAGCATCGTCAAGGAGGCGCTCATGACCCCGTTTCATGGCGAATCTCGGCGGGCAGAGGGTTTGAGCAAGCTTAACGATCGTACGTCTGCAGTCAGCTCCTGCTTTGTATCACCTGATCGATTGGACTGAGTCTGCTGCACGATCCGGACATCTCGAACTAGTCGTCCCGCATGTCATCTCCGCCCAATCCATGAAGACCTCCCAAGGCGCATCCCGAGCTCTCGGATACGGTCAAAACAACTCCCGGCTGGCTATCAAGGATAATGCCAGCTTCACCACTCGTCTAGGACATTATACCACCCATATCCCTTATAAACAGCCGGCAGAGACATCGACCTCGTTGGCCATCCTCGAGAACGTACCTGCGCTCTTGAACCTCTCGATCCCGGGAAGCAATTCCAACCCGAGTTCGTCGTCATCGGATAGCAGCCGTCTGCTGGAGAACAGAGCGGGAGAAGGAACGGAGAGCACGGTCTCCCTGATCAGGGGGTTCAAGGCGACCATTCCGACTTCGGAGCTCGCTAAACAACGGAGACGTCGAGTTCGTGGAGGCGTAGCGGACGACGACCTCTTGCTCCTCGATGCTCCTGGCAACAAGATCGGCTTGAAAAAGCTCGGCGATCGAGCCCGGGGTTTATTGACCAACGAGGGCGAAGAACAGACCGAGCTCGAGTTAGAAGAGGAGCGGTCGAGAGCGAGAAAGTCTAGGAGGAGACGGTTGAGGAAGGGCAGAGGAGGCAAGGGGGAGGGAGCGAGAGAGATGGGGATCATGGAAGGTTTGGGGCTGGACGAGCTCACGAGGCAGGTCAAGGAGATTGCGGTGGACAAGGACAACTTGACCGTGAGAAAGGTGAGCAATAGAGTCTTGTCCGAAGCTCGACAGAAGCATTATCAGGCCTGTTAAATTCTGATCGCCTGAATTTATGGGTTTCCTGTCGCTACAGAACCTGATCGCCGCCGAGATAGATAGCGTCACGGTAAAGATCGACGCTCTCGAGGTGATCCGACGTCGGCTAGAGGGCAGCATGATCAAGATGCAAGAGGAAGAACTCGAGCTCGAAGACGAACGTGAGTATCGCACTCCGAGATTCTCGACAACATCATACGTTCGTTATTTCTAACGAATCATTCACATCTGCTCGCAGTTGAGGGTGTCAAGGAGGCCATGACCAACCCAGCCATCGCTACGACTTCGTCGTCAACATCGGCACAGGACCACTCGAAACCTTCATCCGGCACTAATGCACAAAACTCATCCTCGCTACCTTCGCGAAGACGACGAGGACCGGCATTCTTGCCTTCGGAGCACGACGAGCTACCAAAGGACGTGGCATTCATGACCCTCTCTTCCCATCCGGGAGGGATAACATCGCTCGACTTTTCCGAACCGTATGGCGTGGCCGTGACTGCTGGTCAGGATGACACGGTTCGGGTCTGGGATCTCTGCGACGGAGAAGAGATGGGCCTGTTGAGGGGCCATGATGGACTCGTCAAGTGCGTCCAGGTTGAGGGAGCCGTGGCATTGACAGGCGGCAGCGATGGGGCCGTACGACTATGGGAATTGGGTCGGGTCGAAGAATGGGAAGAGTCTCGACGCGAGGCCGAGGAAAAGCGGAGAAGGGGGCTGGATGGCCTCTTGGACGCTAGTGCGGACCACAGACTACCCAACGTTCGAGCAGACATGATCGACGAGCACACCTCGAGGCAAGGTCGGGACGAGGACGAGGATCGCGAACTGGCGAACGTCGAAAAGGATAAACGGCTCGAAGGCGATCCTTGCCTCCGAGTGCTAGAGGGGCACAGCAAGAGCATCACCTCGCTATACTACGAAGACAACTGTCTGGTAACGGGTTCTAACGACAAGACGGTCCGACAGTGGGACGTCAATACAGGTCAATGTATCCTCACCATGGATATCCTGTGGGCCATCTCGAACCCTCCGGCCATGACGATTAACACGATCAACCCGGCTACGACGCCCGTCTCTTCACCTCGTCGACCGGGAATCTTGGGTAGAGGGTCGACGTATAGGAATTCGATCTCTTCCCCATATGCTGGCGGAGGGGATTATGATCCGTTTGACGATCCGTTCCTCGCCTCGCCTGGACCGGGGATGATGATGGGTATGCCAGGGTCCGGGGTTCTGAACGCGACGACGGGGCAGTTTGCCGTACCCACCCCACCGTTTGCCGATGGGAGCTGGGAAATGTACCAGGACTTTGTGGGAGGGGTGCAATTTTGGGGATATGCTTTGGCTACTGGAAGCGGGGATGGAGGGGTTAGGATGTGGGACAGTGAGTCGTGTATTGAAGGGAGTGAGGTGTGATATATCTTGCTGATGCCCATGGCGTACTCTTGCTCACCAGTGCGAACGGGTCAAGCGCACCGAACGCTCATAGGGCACATGGGCCCCGTCACGTGCTTGCAATTCGACGAGTCTTACATCATCAGCGGTAGCCTAGACAAGACCATACGGGTACGTCGAAGGGTCTCGATGTGGCATATTTCGTTGAGCGAGTCGTGGCTGAACCTTGTTTCGTGTTTTCAAACAGACATGGGACCTCCGCACGGGCAGCATCGTTGACACGCTCAAATACGACTTCCCTGTTACGGCCGTTCAATTCGACAGCCGCAAGATTGTCGCCTGTACGGGTGAGAACGGGGTCGAGGTCTACAACCGAACGTCGGGCGAGCACAAGAAGCTCGTCGTCAACGGACACGTCAAGCCGGTGGAGAGGATGAGGTTTTGGGACAAGTACCTCGTCAGCGGAGGCAAGGATGGCGAGATCAAGGTGTGGTCATTGTAGATGTGTATATGGGGCGACGAATGTGCAGAAATGATAGGCGCATCCTCCTTCTTCCCCGGATCAAGGACACGGTCGTGATGGGCCCCGTGCTGCCGCGCGCCGGTATCATCGTATTTGCATCCGCGAGAGAGCGAGTAGCCGGCAATTGAGCCGGTTACCTTGCCATTCCCCCCCGCTTGCCCTCCTCCTTCCCATTGTGCCCCCTCTCGACGTGTGACTACAAGTTGCAAGTTGATGGTCGTCGTCGTCGTTGCAAGCTGGACAACACATCGTCAGCTTGCAAGCTAGCAACCAGATAGCTCGAATACCAACCGCCTCGTATCTTGTGCAAAAGTCCGCGTCATGCCAGTCGTACCCTACCCAGAAGATCTCGACCTGACCCGTCAGGCAGTCGTAAGTGGATAGACGTTCATACCGAACAATGGCCGCGAGAGCTGACATTCCGGTTCTTGATACTTGAAGGAGGAACCTGGCACAGCGAAACAGGGCCAGTCCGGTGAGTTCTTTGAGCGTCTACCTTGCTATATTGCTCGCTCTGGCTGACCGGAGGCTGCATTGGAAAAGGCGTCTACACAACCCGTGAGTGCTGGTAGCTGGACTCACGGATTAAGCGTAAGAGCTGATCGTTGTTTTCGCACTATAGCTATCTTTCCCGTCTCGGCCTTGACCCAGAACCAGCCGCTCACGATCCACGAGCTTTTCGAGCAGTGTAAGCAATCTACATGAGGAGATCGCTCAGCTTTCGTATCCTAACGTCACACCGTATGCTTTGTCATAGCTGCCGACCGCAATACCACCAAGGACCTCTTCCGATGGAGACCCATCTTGGCGACAGCTACTCCTACCTCGCCTGCGGTCTTTTCCCCCGTGCTGACCGGGATGACCTACCTCACGGCCCGTGAACGCAGGCTGAACATCGGCCGTGCCATCGTCGCTCTCGAACAGGACGGTCGACTCGGCCCTCGAGGTTCGGGACCTTCTGGTCGACCGGAGCCTATCGATGAGATTTCGGGTTACGGAGTAGGGATCTGGAGCATGAATCGAGCGGAATGGCAGCTGGTCGATCTCGCTGGGCATGCGTTCTCCCTAGTCGGGATCCCCCTTTACGATACGCTCGGACCTAACGTCGTGGAATACGTCATCAACCATTCCCCCTTGAGCATCGTCTTTACCGCGTCGAGCCACATCCCTGCGCTGCTCAAGGTCGCTCCCAAGTGCCCGAGCTTGCGTGTGATCGTCAGCATGGACACGCTGATGGAGCGAGAAGGAGCCGTCCTCAAGGCTTGGGCCGAGACGACCGGGGTCGAGCTCTGGGAATTGCCCGACTTTGAGATCTGGGGTGCCAAGGAGGGACTCAAACGAAAGATTCAGGTCAGGCCGCCCCGACCTGAACAGACGGCGACGATCAGCTATACGAGCGGGACGACGGGCAACCCCAAGGGTGTCGTCTTAACCCATTCGGCCGTCACGCACGCGGTCATCGCTCAGTCTTTCGGTGCCGCCGCTGTTCCGGAATGGGAACAACCCGTCATGATCAGCTACTTGCCTCTTGCACACATGTGGGTCAGGGAGTTTTAGAGACTGACAAGATTGAATGAGTAGTTAAAACCTCGGCGTTTTTTCGCAACACAGTTTCGAGAGGTTTATGGAGCTGCTTGTGATCCACATCGACGGTGTCCTCGCTTATACCACTGGAGACCCCTTGCGATTGCTCGAGGACGCTCAGATCATCCAGCCGCACCTCTTCCCCTCGGTGCCTAGGGTACTAAACAGGTCAGTCCGCGTGCCACGTTCCCTATATCAGCCATGTCAGGCTGACCGCGGTCGAGGCGAGATAGAATCCACCAGGCGATCATGGCTCAAGTCAACGCCGGGGGTGTCAAGGGAGCTCTCTTGTCAAAGGCGATCAACGCCAAGATTCAGCATTACCGAAAGACCGGTGAGGTCAAGCATGCCATCTATGACGCTCTAGTCTTCCGCAAGGTAAGTCCACAAACGATCGTACGGCTTGAATCGTAATGATCGCTGAAGAAGGTAACGTCACGTATCACATGATAGGTCCGCAACCTGCTCGGAGGAAGGGTATTGTTTATCGCCAGCGGTAGTGCCCCTATCTCGGGCGAGGTATTGGAAGTCCTCAAAGCTTGTTTTAGTTGTGACGTAACCGAAGGGTACGGTCTAACCGAGACTGTGGGGACGTGTACCTCTGGGTGAGTCGTATCTTGCTACCGAGAGAGGATCGTTTCACTGAACCTGCTCGGTCACATGGGCCCGACTTTTATAGTATCGCGTGGGATGTCGGTCACTTGGGTACAACCGGATACCCTCGAGCCGGTATCAAGCTCAAGCTTGTTGACGTTGCAGAGCTCAACGTAAGTTCAGCCTTTGCCATGATCTGCCCAGCGGGGATTTTGGCATTAATTCGCAACCGCTCGTATGCACACAGTACACTGTCAATGACAAACCTTACCCTCGTGGAGAGTGAGTTCGCGAGGTCCAGCAAGCCGACGGCTCTGTATCCTGACGTGCTGTTTGTTGTTCGAAAGGTTGCTTATCGGCGGCCCGATGATCATCTCGCGGTACCACCGAGACCCCGAAAACACCAAGAAAGCCATCGACGAGGACGGATGGTTCCACACGGGAGATATTGCGGCCATCGATCATGTCGGACGGGTCAAGATCGTTGATCGAATCAAGAACGTAATGAAGCTATCACAAGGGTGAGTTTGTCGGTTGGCTTATTTGTCGGCTGCATGTATCTCACGAGTTTGTCGCTTGATCAGAGAATACGTCGCGCTCGAAAAGGTCGAAGGTGTCTACGCCCTCAACCCACTTTTCTCAACCTTGCTGGTTCATGGAGACGGCCTCCAATCCCATATCATCTTGATCGGAATCTGCGACCCCGTACAGTCGGCGGCCTTGATCCAGCGCGTGACCGGTGAAAAGGTCGATCCTACCGATCTGAACAAGATCAAGAGCCTCATCAACGATAAGCGAGTTCGAAGACAGGTGCTGCGAGACCTCAAGAAGCTTTCGCGAAAGGCAGGCTTGACAGGGTATGTCAAGGATATAGGTAGTAATGCTATAGCAGACGACGCTGACCATGATTCCGCTGCTTTAGGTTCGAGACGATCAAGGGTGTGCACCTGGAGGTCGACCCTTTCCCAGAGCATGTCCTCACGCCGACCCTGAAGGTCAAGAGGTGAGTCTCGTGAAAGGCAATTCATCCGATTCGATTCATGAGCCTAGCTGAGACTACCCCTTCCGATGTTAAACAGGCAAGCTGCTGCTCAGCATTACAAACAGGTCATCGACGCCGTTTATGCCGAGGGCGATTCTCTGTTCAAGGACGAAGCGATTTCTTCCAAGTTGTAATCGCTCGAATGTAGCCATATTGTAAAGTCTAGCCGAAGGAGAGAAATATATATCCAACTTTTTGTGAGGTGTTCGTCCAGGCCATAGCTGACAGTAATGCTATGCTGCTGAGGTTGTATGCAACTGGCCATCTTGTGTGATACAATTTCCCGAGTTTCTGATCGACTTTATGACTATGGCTCTGATCGCCGTTTTTCGCGCCTGACCCGCTGATCTTATCCTTTCAACCAGACCTCGTGCCGTTTCAATAGCTCGTCAATGATGAGTTCTTCGATCTCGGGCGTGCTGCCACTCGACGTCTTTCGGTTGGCTAGCTGCTCCAGTTTCAACCACGTCTCTGTGAACTCGCTGGTACTGTCTGCCTCTTGACCGGATCTGGGTGTCTTTTCCACTAGACAAACTTCATGCTTCCTCTTGTGCAGATCGTTGGCGACGACCGCTTGGTGACCGTATCGGGTGAGAGCCTTCTGCGCCTTGGGGATCAGCAGGGCTTGCTCCGTCTCGAGCTGAATAGACAACAGAGCAATGTGATCGAAATCAACTTCTGCTTTGTTGGACAGAGACGGCCGGAGTTATTATGACGTACCTTGAAGGAGACGATATATGCCTCGGGCAACCATTCCTGCACCAGAGGTCTAAGAACCTTCGGAACCTGATCCATCTCCAGCACAAGGTTACCTTTGACACTTTGGATTTTGTGCTCCGCCTGTCGCGCAAACAAGTCGTCAATCTCTGCACTCTGTGCTGCGATCTCCCTGAACACAACACTTACCATTCGGTCAAGAGGGAGGAAGAAATCGCTGACTGCAGCAGCTAGGTAAAACATGCCCCGTCTACCCAAGACTCCCATAACTCCGGCCATCTCCCTCAATATCCACAGGTAGTCGTTCACAGTGTTGAAATCCATCTGCAACAAAGTTCCCGCTGTTTGTGCTTCTTTGTACGCTTTGAGGACGGGCAGGAGGTGGTTGGCATCTTGGTTGGTGACTGATATGTCCTGTCGAGACGCTCCGGGCTCTGGCAAATTCAGTAGATCCAGGAATGGGTTAAGCGAGTGAGAGTAATGCCGGGAGAAGGGCTTGAGCGAGTGTTGGCGATGAAGAAAGATGACGGCGTAACCAGCGGAGAGAAGATATTCTGCGGATGTAGAACCTCTTGTTCCTAGAGTGCAAGACGTCTCTTTAGCACAGTAGGATGTAGACGTGTTGCAACAGAGGACTCACCCGCTGAGAAGTTGTCGAGGAATCTCACCCTGAATTTGATGCTCGTTTGAGCTCGATATCCTACTTTTCAGTTATTTCGAAAACGTACGTATTGGCTTCGAGCGGCACCGTCGTCCCTCCACTCTGTTCTCGGGATGGTATCAGCCTCAAAAGTTTTGTTTGTGATTGGAGTGGCCTAGCTTACCGTCACCACAACAACCTTCTTCCCCTCCACCCGGTTCCATCGCTCTACGAAATCTCGAGCTGGCTGTATGCGAGCGTCAAGATCTGGAGGTGGAGGTTGCGTTTCGAAGTATTGCTCGGTCGAGAAGCCTTCATGAGGTGTCGCTGTTCCGGAATTAGAAGGTCGGGTTGTCATAGTTGCACAGCAAGCGGTGTTTGACAGGTTTCGAGTTTTGGCTGTCCTCTTTCAGCTTGAAGTTATCCCGACAAGGTCGAGTAATTGAGTAAGTTCCCCAAAATGAGAGCTTTTAGTCGTCATGTGAATATGGGTAAGAAGCAGATGCCGGCGGTATCCCTTGGAGTCTCAGGTCAATCGGGGTCGAGGTCCTTCGGCAGAAGCCGAGATCGATCCCTTCTGGTCTATCGATGCGAGATTTGGGTACATGTTCACTCCTGTTTGATGTCTACTGGACGATCAGAGCGACGCACACTCACAATGCCTGTAACGGCTCGGAACACAAGAAAACAACGTTAGTCAGCCGGACATCGTTGTGGGTGTCGCTCAAACTGATCGACCTATACAGCCCGGAGGCAGGCTGCGGCTCTACCGACCGAAACATCGCGAGGCTCGAAAGACGATGCTTTGCTAGAGTTTCGGAATAGGAGAGTAGCGAGGCAGCTGGCAGAGCTCGAGGTGCGTACATCACTCTTGTCGCACAACTACGCGATTGGCACGAGCTTACAAAGGGGTAATTTCAGCGTACCAACGCCCAAGATGTCCCTGCCACTTCCTTTGCCTCACCCATCTCGCTACAGGAGACAATCAAACCCACAAAGGCTGCGCCGGCCGGTCTACCTGCTTCGCTCGCAATGATAGACGACACGAAGAAGAATAAAAAGAAGCAGACTACCAACGTCCGTAATCTCCTCATGTATAAGAAATCACTTGCGGAATACCTTGACGAGCTAGTGAGCATAGATCTCCGATTCCGTTCCTATAGCCTGGACACCCTTCTGACGACTGCTCTGCTCTTTCTTCCTAGCCGGAAGATCATCCTTATTTCAACGCGACGCCACCCGCATCTAAGGTGCCAGCGAGGAAGATCTGCAGCTCGTGCGGATATACAGGAGCCTATTCGTGTGGCCGATGCGGGGAATACAGCTGTTCACGTCCTTGTCTAGACGTACACGAAGCGGAAGGAGGTTGCGGGATCGGTCGATAATGCGACCTCTTGTGCTGGATTGGGGCCGTGTAACAACTTTGACGAAATTTGACGACAGCTCGGAGAAGACTAGGAGAGCAGACCATAAATTGATTCGCCATGGAAATAGATAATGCAAAAGGAACGAAATCAAAGGATTTGGTCGTGAAGCTGCAAGTCGCTATGACGAGCCAGCTCAAGCCTGTTGTTGCGGGCTTGTAGGTGGAAGAGGCAGAGGCGACTTGACCCTCGGCGTAGTTCCCGGTAATATCGGCTTCAACTTTTCGTTCACATGCAAACCCGCGACCAGTCTCAGATTCTCTCCTCTTTCCGAGTCAAGCTCAGCTTGAACTCACGCCCGCGCCATCCGATGCCTTGTTGGTCTTTGCCATGAGAGCAAAGTAGTCACTCAGTTGCAATTCGAGCGTCCGCTTCTGTTCCCGCATCTGGGTGAGCTCTTGCATGTTTCGGGAGACTTCCGTGTTGAGCATGTTCTTGAACTCTTCGATGTGGACTACGAGGCGAACATGAGAATGGAATCAGCGATTGAAACCTCCGGACTGGGAAAGGATATGAGTGATTGTTACTTACGGCTGACGTTCACGCTGGTTGCCTCCCGCATGGCCTCGACGAAACGCAGACGTTCTCCTCGGATTTCGCTCGTGAGATCTGCAGGCGATGTTGTCAGGTCGCAGGCGAGGTCATGTTTTTGATATGGAAATTCTTACCTGTTGCCATGGCGCGAAGAAGTTGTTCATTCTCTTGGCGGACGGTGTCGAGTGACGTTGTCCAGCCTGAAACAATATGGCACTTGAATCAGCATCGCCGACTTCGTGGGAGAAGCCGAGACAAGGTGACGACATACTGTTTCGATCCTCGACCATCTGATTGAGCAAGTTGTCGACCCTTTGAGCGGTCGAGGCGTCTTCATCGGTCCTTTGCTTCTGCTCAAGCATCAAGTCGTGAACCTGTGTGACCAGAGATGCGACACCTTGTCTGGCAGGAGCCGGCGGTTCGCCTCCGTCTGGCGCGGGAGTCGGTTCAGGCGCAAGCTCTTTCACGAGCCTGTCTAACCGTCCGGTCACGTTTTGCATCTCTTTCGTACTTCCGATTACGAACTGTTCCAGCCATCCGTTGAGCTGGCCAAGATCTACCAGGTCATCCAGCATGTTAGCCTCTCAAAAATCTCTCAGGCCAAAGAAGAAAAGGGATTCGTCTGCTTACATTTGGCCATGTCCGCGGTCTGCTGGGTCTGTGCTGCTCGGGCGGCCTGTATACCTTCGACTACAGAAAGAACCTCCTTCACCTGTAATATAAGAAGGTCTCGTAACTCAGCTTAGCCATCCCCCGATAATTTTGCGCTCCAAGCCTCTTACCTGATCTGCCAAGGCTGTCTGACCCTCCGCCATTTCCGTGATCGACGTTTTCAGCACTTCATCAGCTACAGCTGTAGCGATCGAGCTTGGTGCGTTCGCCTCCGCTGGAGTAGCCGCTGGGACAGGACCCGTCGTCGCTTTGTTCTCGCTGACCGGTTCCTCTGGACGAGATTCGGAAATAGCTTGTTTGCTCAAAGCTAGCGCTAGAGCATCTAGCTTGTCATGTATGGCATCAAGATCCAGTGGCGGCGTTTCAGCTTGTTTCAGAGCGCTGAGCGCCGCGATCTGCAGAGAATTTTGGATCTCCTTGATGTCCAGGTGAACCGAGTCAACTTTGGTGACCAGAGGAGACAGGGCACGGACAGCCTCGGCTTGCGTTCGAATCGCGTCAGTCTGTTCTTGTAAAAGCTTAGACTGAGAAAACGCGAATCGAGCTTCAGCCCGGACGGTCTCCAATTGCGCGTCTAGGTCGGTCTTGGTTGGTAGATCGACTTGTTCTTCCTCGGCAGGAACATCCGCTTCTTCCGACTCTTCTGCGTCTGGGTTGGCGGGCTGAGTAGGGGCACCTTCTTCACCATCAGCAGGGGGGTCAGTGGCTGTCGCGGCGATGTCAGCCGCTTGGGTGACCTCCGGTGCGGGGACCTCTCTCTCGACAGCCATCTCTAGTACGGGAAGCTCCACCTCAACAGGTGCTTCTGGTACAGGAACCACATCGTCGCCAGCGAGTTCTGGCATCTCGATATGACTCCCTTTGGTCGGTTCCTTGACTTCCTCGGTTTTCGCTGCTATATCGCCATGCGGCTGTTCCGTCTCATCGTGAACTTCTTCCGGTTGGGGTGGCAGATCCTTGTTCCTGGCTGTAAGCTCTTGCGGTGCTGAAGACTCTAGTTCGCTCTTGTTCCCCGTCTGAGCAGTATCCAGACCGACAGTTGGAGGTATTCCACGAGGACCAGGTCGAGGCCCTAGTAAACTGGGCATCTTCGGCTGCGGTAACGCTCGTCCAGGATAACGCGCACGAGTAGGAGCCGCTTGATGAGATTGTGGAACAAATTCTACCTCGGATCGCACAGGTCTAGCACATTGAGACGCCGACCGTGAAGGATTGAGGTCACTCTCGTCAAAGCTCGGGATCCCTTCCGATCCATCAGCAGCACTGGGTACCATCCCGGCAATGGAAGTCGATGTGCTCTTCCTCCTGGCGATTGACCGCGTCCGACTGAACAGCGATAATTCTCGTTCAGCCGGGATAGGGGTATGGGATCTGTAGAGACCGAGTTCGCCGGTGGGATCTTCCACGTTTTCTCCATTGAGATCCGCCAAAGTCCGTCCTTCGACGGGCGTTTCGAACATACCTTGGACGCTGTTTCTAAGCGCAGAAGCCATTCGCGGAGAGGCGCGTGGGGTGGAGTCGGAAGCCATTCTGAGCGTGCTGATGCTGGCAGGCGTAGCATCGCGATTTCGTATGGTCAAGGGACCGCTCGATTGTAGCCCCATCGCAAACGGCGTGTAGAATACGCTGTTTCCTTGTGTATGTCTGTCGCTCGTAGCTACACTGTCCGTTCTGCGCTGCGATGCCAGTATCGCATCCCATAAAGCGCTGACCCAGCCTAGGCGATTCGCGAGCCCCTCCACAGCTATATACCGTCGAGGAGAGTTCTCGCCGAAACTGAGTTCCAGGATATCGGCTTGATTGCCGTCTTCGGTAAAGACGGGCGGGATGCCTTGTTCTATGGCTTGTCTCGAGGAGAGCGACCTGATATCGGAGCATTCTTGTGTTTCGAAGTGCCAGGCATCTTGTTCAAAGGCTGGCTTGACACTCAACGCTCCGCTCGTCAACATCAGATCCGAGGGCATCCAGGAGCCGATCGTGTCGGTCGTAGAGCACGGCGGGGGTAGTAAGCAAAAGCCGGTCGATTGCCTGAGCACAGGCTACCGGGAAACAGGAGTCAGTTATAGAGCAGAGACCAGGCTGCTGAGTCGGCTTACCTGGGGCATCTCCTGTAGAGGCGCTTCAATCTGCATTTCCGCGTCTCCCATCCGATCTCGCACTAACGGAGCCGTTTGAGACGGCGTTACGCTGCTGCTGAGCACGCTGTGAGCGACACCGACGTCTGGTCCCAAGCCGTTCTCGGCTTCCTTCTCCGTGGGTTTGGGAGGGAGAGGGGACATGTTTCCAAACACATCTTCGACGGGATCAGTCCCTCCGCCAGCTCTATAAGCGGGTACGACCCATGACGGGGTCTTGTTGACTTTCTCGAGCGTTCCGGCCCGTCTTCGCCCCACTTCGCTCTTGACCTTGTTCCGCACGTCATGCAACCTGCCCATAAAGTCTTTGAGGGGACTCTTGCCTTTTTTGCCGATTCCCTTTAGCGGCGAATGGCCTGCATTCCAAGGAGACGAGCTCTTTCCGTTCACGCGCGGTGGTGATACGGGGATCACAACTTCCTCGCTCGTCCAAGTTCGTTCGGGCGGTCTCAAACCTGCGTCTCGCTGACTTTCGTACGGATAAATTGCTGGTAATGGCTTGTTGCGGTTATTGGCGTACGAGCCGGATAGTTCTCCCCGCATACCAGTCCTTCCGCTTGGGATTCGAGATTCCGTCTGGTTCCCTCTCACTGGTGGTGTCCCTAAACCTATCTGCCGAGCTGATCGCTTGATCGGTGTCGAAGGTAGAGATTTGGCTGCGCTTGCGAGACCATCATCGATTCCGGCTTGAGCCTCGAACCGGTCGATCATGGCTTTCGCATGACCTGCCGTCTCCAGTCCGATCGCATTTCCAGGGTCAATATTCTCGGTATCAGGGTCTGTGGTAGTCCCTTGTATCCACGCAGCGGTTCTGACTGTCTTCGTCGAAGGCGCCCGGAACACGCTTGTCGCAGCGGTTTTTGGCGTCAACTCTGGTGGAGGTACCCTGGCTCGTCTTCGCAAAGATTTGCTAGTGGAGAAATGAGACGGTGATACGGTCTTTGCGTCCTCTTCCCGAGGAGGTGTATGAGGTAGATCGTGCGCCTTATTCGTATCCGACAAGGTCGGCGTCAGCAGTTGGAATTGGCCCTGCTCTGTCGATCGAGTGCCCTGGTCGGATAATTCGGGTGTCATCACGTCAAATTCGCGGACGGTATTCAACCTGATTTTATCCTGTTCGCCTCGCCAATTCGCGCTGGCTATCGAGCTTGCTGGCCGATGAAGGTTGAGAGGAGCTACGTGAGGTAGGTTGATTAAGTTTCCGCTTGGAGTGATGAGCAGGCTGCCTGACCTGATGTCGCCCTCTCTCTCAACTAGGTCCCCCTTATCGGCATCCAACCGGGAACCTTCGCCGTAAAACGACTCGACGCCAAAGGATTCATACGTCTCGACAGGTGATTGGAGGTTTAGCGGGTCGGCAACACGATCGTCTTTCGCCAGGGTCATGTCTGAACCGGCTGACTCTTCACCTTCGATGAAATCAGCGAAAGACGATGCTCCTGCACGAGACTGGGTTGTAATCGTCGTTCGGCGTGACAACGATCTCTCGAGCAGTCTGGATGACCGTTGACTAGGGGACCGCAAGCTTGGTACAGGCGACTTTGGCACGTACGAAGCGGTCGTCGCGATGATTTGCCTTGGACCAGGCGTGATCCCGAACGCATCTGTTGGCGGGAGACCCTCGCTAGTCTGCTCGATCATACTGATCCGATTCTTGATTCCCCCCGTATTCCTTAGTGCCATAATGCTCGGAGAGGCCTTCATGCCCGAAGCAGGCGTCTCGGCATCCTGATCAGCAGTTCGGCTTTTGCTGATTGACTGGATCGTCGAGCTGACTCGCTTCGAAGGCTTCGACCGGGTAGGCGTCGTCGGGAGAGTTCCCTCGGAGCTAGAGGCAGCCTTTGATTCGAGCGCCTCGAGGGCTGCGGCGATATGACTCGTCCGACTCCCCCTTCTGGGCGATTCTCGTAGAGCTTGGCGATCGGGGAGAGGAGAAGAGGTCTCCGCGTCGACTGGCTTGTAGAACAGGGTCGATGCGGGTCGTGATCGGATAGACCCGCGAATAGACGGAGAGGTGGGATAACCGCTAGTCCAGGATGTCGTTCCCCCAAACAATGGTTTAGGGGGGGACGTCTCTGCCTTGGTCTTGCTCTCGCCTGTATCTTGACCGAAGGTTATCGTCACTTCCTCATCCGCTTCCGGGAAGTGCTTCATCCTCTCAGATCCCTCCAGGTCTTCTTCTACCACCGTATCTGCGTCATCCTCTGCGGCTTCCTCGACCTCTTCCAGCAGAGGTGCTTTGTCTTTCTTTTCCGGTGACTCGTCGGGTATGGTAATGTTCGTGCTGGCCCGCTTATAGAACGGTCTCGAGGAGGCCGAGGCGCCGTATCCGTAGTTGCGATGGGACCCGATCTGTGACGTCCTCCATCCTGCTTTACCGGGGGATCCTAGACTTGTAAGCCCATTGCCGTGATCCCAGATGTCTGTCATGACCGTCGATTGGCTTGAATCGGTCATGGCACTACTGTTGCTCATGTACGAATCCCGAGCGGGCGGGTACGGTCGGGCTGTGCGATTCATGTTGGCTGTGTTTGCGAGACTTTCGAAGTGTAATGAGTGATTATATGTTTGTGTTGGTCTTTCCGTTCTTTATAATGTAGAAAATGCCTCCTGATCGCATCGCCAGGTGGGTATGTGGTTAATAGGCGGAATTGTGTACGATATTATGGGCTGGGGCTAATTCGAACGGCTCCGAGGCGGTAGGCCGGATGGTCGATTGGCGTTGTTCAAAGTCCTGTCGTTGATGTATTATGAGTTGTTAAAGGTCCTGCTTTGCTGATGTCACGATGACCTAGTCGTCACGCATGTCGAGATGTAGCAGTCGCAGTCGATTGATCGACCTCGGATGTTTGTGTTGAGGGATATTCTATCCAGGCACCCATCTTCCGATTGTCACGGTGCGCGTCGCCCTCTCGGCTTCGGGGGATTTCCTTTTGGCGGAGTGAGGGGGTCATCATCCCTTGATGGCGTCAGATCAGTCAGAGCTTGGGCCATGGGCCATCAAACAATCCTGATCACAGATGTCCAACATGGTATTCGGATCTCGGAGAGGCGTTGAAAGCGGCACTGTCGCTGTCAACCTCGAAATCGAGTCACGCCTATCAGATCCGAACGGGCGGGGTCGGTCTATGCCGGGTCCCCCTCCCCAGCACTCGTCCTTCGGGTTTGACCGTGATCCTCGTCGACGGCCGCGACCGATGAGGCCCATATGGTATTCAGCGATTGCTATCGATCGCGCATTCGATCAACACGTTAAAAGCATCGAGCATCCTCAGCGAACAGCACTGGGCCTCTAATCAGACCACTTTGGTGTTCAAAGACTAAGACCGTTTGAACATCTCGCGCTTCTCGTCGATCTTCGACCAGCTCTGTCAACCCTCGAATCCCAACATGATGCGACAACGTGCCGCTGGACCGATCCACCTCTCGGGCGACCTCGAGAAGGACGTACTCCCGCATCATAGCCCAACTGAAACCGACAACGAAGACAAAGCTCGTCGAAGCAAGAATGGAAGGAAGATCAAATACGCTCTTCTGGGCGTCTTGGCCACGCTCGCCACTATGCATCTGTTGAGCTCTGGTCCATTCTTCCCTCTTCCGCGTCCTCAACCCAAGACAACCCCTGATTTCATCAAGGCCGGATTGGCTAGATGTGAGGAAGTTCGAACCATGCCTCCTGATACCTCGAACTTTGCCAAAGACCGGACGATGTCTGATCGTTTCGAGGTCGGGACGAAATCGGTCTTGCTCAGCAATGGAACCCTGTGGACCGGCGCTCAGAACGGCGAAGAGGTCATCTACGGAGGTTCTGTTCTCTTGAAGAATGGGGTAATCTTCAAGATAGGGAAACATAGCGATGTCATGGCAGATGTGCAAGCCCTCCTTGAAAAAGAAGAGGTGGAAACCATCGATCTTGAAGGGAAATGGGTCACTCCTGGAATCGTCGATACTCACTCGTAAGCAGATCTCGTTTGGGAAATCGTGATTAGATATTGATCTCGCCTTGTATAGCCATGCCATGGTCGATGCAGCCCCTAGTCTCGCTTCTTCGGAAGACACCAACTCTCTTCGGGCCAACATCCAGCCTTGGCTAGCCTCTTGGAACGGGTTCAACATCCACGGCCTCGAGTTGCCCTTGATCCGAGCTGGCGGTATCTCTACCATGTTGATCCTGCCTGGCAGTGCGAACAACATGGGTGGTCAGGCCTTCGTCGCCAAGTCTAGGATCACTAGCGAGGATACCCCCAGCAGCATGATCGTCGAATCGCCATTTGCCATCGTGCAGGATGGCAACTCGACGACCTACAAACGTACAGGTCACTATCGTCATATGAAGAGTGCGATGGGAGAAAACATCCTTCGAGTCCACGGTATGAATCGTTTGGACCAGGCTGCTGAGTTCAGGATGGCCTATCTCGAGGGCCAAAGATTGAAGGAATCGCAGGACAAGTGGTGCGCTGCAGGCAAAGAGAATACGGAGCCCTTCCCTGAAGACTACAAGTACGAAGTCTTGGCCGACGTTTTGAGGGGGAAGACGCTTGTCAACACCCATTCGTACACTTCGGCCGACTTTGACGCTTTCGCTCGTCTGACCAACGAGTTCAAATTCACCCCTGCTGCCATGCATCACGCTCACGAGTCCTACTTGTCCAACGGCTCATTGAGCAAAGTGTACGGGGGCAAGCCCGCTCTAGCGTTATTCATCAACAACGCAAACTATAAGCAGGAATCCTACCTCGGTTCCCCTTATGCGCCATACATCCTCGTCCAAAATGGCTACGAAGTCATGTTCAAGAGCGATCACCCCGTCCTTGATTCCCGATACCTTCCGTACGAAGCCCAGCAGTCCGTAGCGTTCGGCCTGAACGCCTCGACCGCTCTCAAGGCGATCACCGTCACGCCTGCCAACCGTCTAGGCCTCGGGCACCGGATCGGTCATCTACTCAAGGGTTACGATGCCGACGTTGTCGTTTGGGACTCGAACCCTCTCGCTCTCGGTGCCACACCTGTCCAGACTTACATCGATGGGATTGCTCAGATTGAGACCTCGTTCACGATCGTCAAGCCCGAGCACGCTCAGAAGATGCCCAAGACTCGAGATGTCAGCAAAGAAGCGGCCGAGACAATGAAGTACCGTGGAGATCCTCCTTTGGGAGCCAAGCATAGCGCCAAGAACATCGTTTTCCAAGGCGTCTCTGCAGTCTACCTCAAGCGAGGCGGAGAATCGGTCCAGGAGATCCGGTTGATCCCCGAGAATGATGCTGTTCAGTTGGCAGCCTCTCGCGTGATCGTGGAGGGTGGAGAGATCACTTGTGCCGGTACCGATTGCGTGACTCCCCTGTCGGGGGACTACGAGTCTGTCAATCTGGACGGCGGTGTGATCACCACCGGCTTGACCGCTTACGGATCTTACATGGGATTAATGGAGATTCGACAAGAGAGAGTCACGACCGATGGCAAGATCCCGGACACCTTGTCCGAGGGATCTAGCCTTCTCGATGGCATGGTTACTTTCGGCAAGGATGGAGCCCTGTTCGGAGGTAAAGACCAGAAAATCGCCTTTGCCAACGGAGTTACCAAGGGGGTCGTCCACCCGATCGAATCCGGCGTCTTCCAAGGCGTCTCGTATTCCTATGCGACGAACGGCAAGACCAGTCTAGATGGTCTGGTTGACGAAGTAGCTGCCGTACACGTCGGGCTGGGTCAGAGCTCCAAAATCTCGACCGCGACCCATATCGGAGTATTGCGGGCATTGCTCTCGGGCGAATACCCTGAAAAAACCGAATTGACGCGATTGTTCAAAAAGGTCGCCAAGGGAGACTTGGTTCTCGTCGTCGAAGTCGACAAGGCGGACATTATGGCGAACCTCGTCAGGTTGAAGAGCGAGTTTTCGGGTTTGAGGATGACCTTTGTTGGCGCTCACGAGGCATGGCTTGTGAGTCGCCTCGCAAACGTTATGCGCTGACGGATGTCATGAAGCTGATTTTTCTTCACTTCACGCTGTAGATCGCGGACGAAATTGCCAAAGCCGAGATCGGAGTGATCGTCTCGCCCGCCCGGTCCTACCCCGGATCCTGGGATTCTCGACGTATCCTCCCGGGACTTCCGCTGAGCGCCGAATCCCTCCCTGTTTATCTGCACAAACGGGGAATTGTCGTCGGGCTTGGTATCACCGAAGAGTGGATGGCGCGCAACGTTCGTCTCGATGCCGCTTGGACTTACATCAACGCCAACATCTCGTTGTCCAAGGCGCAAGCGATAGACATGGTTTCCACCAACCTGGACAGATTGTTGGGACTGAAGGGCAGCAAGGAGAACGCCGGTTGGGTTGCGTGGGAGGGCGAATTTTTCGGCATGTCCGGCGCTGTGAAAGCGGTCCGAGGCGAGGGCCAGGAGACTGTCGCTTTGTTCTGAAGAGTATGAACCGAAGGCTGGGAGTGCAGGGCCTGGGTTGTCCCGTCATTTCTACCTGTTGTTACGTGCATGTCATGGAACGTCAAGATTAATTGTGAAACGGAGAGCCTCGCTCTTGAATCACGTGACTCCCCCGTTGCCCATCGACCGGAAGCAGATTTCATACGATGGGATTGAGATTTCGAAAGGGTCGATCAAGGCAAAAACCGAAGGACTCGAGGATGTTCGTTTCATTTTCACTCGCAAAGCATCTTCAACAACCACCCCGCAGGACTCTGCAAACTAGATATAAGAAACCAGCGAGCTACCTCAATAGAACCGAGATGGCTGCTGGAGAAACGACCTCAACGGCTCCCGCAGTGGACTTTGAGACGGCCTTGCAGAACATCCGTCGGCTTTCCAACTCGGGTCTCGCTCATCAGAAGAAACCTGCTCAACTGCTCATTGCTCTCGAGGACACCTTGAAGTCCAGCTTACCTGATGTCAATGGACCTCCATTCTCGGGAACGGCCTATTTCGCATCTTTGGTACAATGTCTGGAGAAGGCGTGCACGCCCAAGTCGAAGGACGCCACAGACTATTCCGAGGGCGGACTGATCCCTGCAACCCTCTACTTGATGGCGACCGTGGTACCAGAAACTCCCAAGCAGGTCGTATCCAACCAGCTAAATACCCTACTCCCTATTCTCATCCCGCTCTTCGACCCATGCTTGTCACATCCCCCGGCGCTCCGATCGCTTGTTCAGATCTTCACGACAATCTTCCTCTTGGCTCCGGTCGGTCTCCTAAATTCTTCGCCTCTCCTCAAGCGAGCCTGGAACCATTTTCTCGAGCTCAACGTGGATCCCCGACCCAAGGTCCGACATCTCGCACAAGAGGGCGTCCGAAAGGTCCTTACTACCCCCATTCCTCCCAAGGTGGTAGCTGGGGACCACCCCTACCTGCATCGAGCTCGAGATTGGGCCATGGGGATCCTCGAGGAGGAGACCAAAGGAGGCCAGAGCAAGGTCAAGAAGGTTAAATTTGCCGGCGGCATGGTCATGGCCGGTGCCGAGGATGCCGAGGGCAAACGGGCGATCTGGGTGGTACAGGGTTTGCGAGGCTGGGTCTCGGTGATGGACGAGGAGGTGAGGCTGCCCATCAAGACTCGCCGCTCTCGATTCCATATACTCACGCTCAACTCTATCACATTTCACAGGACCTCTCATCACTATGTCCTCTGCTCCTCTCCCTTCCTCACATGCCTCACCTGACCCCTCAGATCTTTTCCTTGCTCGCCCACCTCCTCTCTCCCGCTCCTGAATACGCATCAGGGATCCCCAAGGATGAGCAAATGCCCATCAGGGAATTGAACAACCTGCCTGTGATCCTCAACGCTCTGCTCGAGTCACCCCCTCCCTCGTCCGCGCCTGCCGACCAGATCGAGTATATCCAAGCGCTCTCGTCTGGTATGCTCAAGCTGTCGATGCAGGACGCGTACATCACTTCGAAGGAATACTTTTCGAAGGCTTGGACCGTCCTCTGGAGCAACATCTTGACCCACCCGACCGCTACTCCCGAGGCACGGAGAAAGGCAGCTGAAGGTCTCGGTTCGCAAGGATTGATCCGATACTGCGTGTCGGCCGAGATGATCACCCAGGCGGTCCAGTACAAAAAGTTTGGAGGGGACCTCGAAGCGAAGCGACAGAAGATGAAGCCGCCTCTTCTGAGCAAGATCCTCAACCAGCTGGAGCGAGCCATGGCTACTCAGCCCTTATTGTTACCCTACCTGTTGCCCATTTTGACCGCTCTGGTCTCAAAGATGAGGTCTGGAGTCGTCGAGAACGAGGAAAAGACCGACAACTCGAAATCGAGCTCGCCCGCGCAGATCCTGCTCCTTGATGCCGTTAACTCCGTGGCAGATCTTCGAGCACAACCTGGATTCCAAGACAAGGAAAAGGTTGACGATGTCGTCGGAATGGCTTTCGAGGTTATGGGTGTCGAGGCTGTACTGAGGTCTTTGCCACTCAATATTGAGCCTGACGCGTGAGTCTCGCTCGACACCGATCGACATTGTCCGTAACAAAAGCTAAACCGCTTCTAATAGTTCTGGAAAAGTTCCCCAACCTGGACGAGCACATCTGCTTCCCCTCATGCGATCGAGAATCACCAACGACTCCTTGTCGTTCTTCACCAACAAGCTGGTACCTATGTCCGAGCGATCCTTTGAGAGAAAGGTCAAGGCCGAAGAAGGGGGCAGGGCGGGTGAAGCCAAGGTTTGGGAAGTTATCATTGGTCAAATTTGGGACTGCCTGCCTGGATTTGTTGATCTTGCCCGAGACCTTCGAGAGGTGAGTGCGATCGAATTGTTCGTGCCATCCGGTACCGAGGATGGCTGACATGCGCGCCACTCCAGGGCTTCACAACACAATTTGCGAGCCTTTTAGCGCAACTGCTGTACGGACAGCCTTTGCTCCGTGGTCCCATCCTTCGAGCGCTTTCGAACGTCATCACTTCCGTGCAAACCCTATCGCGTTCCGGCACGGACGCTGAAGAGCTCTTGAAGACCTTCGGTGTCGATCAGCAAGATGCCGCTCAGAATGTCGCGCATTTGAAGAAGATGGCAGGCGAGATGCTTGCGGTGCTCTTCAATGTGTTCAGCAGCGTCCCGCGGGAGCATAGAGGTCAGGTCGGTGACGTTATCGGGTTGTGGCTTGGCATCATGGACGAAAAGGTTAGCACCGGGTCCAATGTTACGTAGTCGGCGTGAAAAACGGGCTGATATCTAAGTCTGCTACAGGAGGTCACCGCTACTTACGAAAAGGTCACTTCACACTTGGCTAGCGCTCTGTCCCAGCCTTCCAGCTCTACTGGAGGTCTACCGCCCGTGTCTCATACAATGCTCGATCTTCTGATCATCCTCATCCCTCATCTGCCTTCGGCTCCTGCTACTGCGCTGTTTAATGCCGCGTCGACTGGCAACCTCATCGAGAACTCTGACGCTGCCATCCAGAAGAAGAGTTACAGGATCTTGACCCGTCTGATCGAGCTTAATAAAGCTAGCGTACTTCAGGGAGAAGGGTTCGACCAGTTTGTTCAGAAGCTGGTCGACGTGAGCGCCAGCATTGGACCGGGAGCTCAGCGAGTAAGTCGTTGTGGAAACAGTGATGACACCGAGCTACGACAACTGACATTTAGGGGCAAACCAGGATCGGATGCTTCTCCTCATCACCCTCGTGCCAATTTTGCCCAAGACTAGATTGCATTTGATTCCTACGCTCGTTACGGAAGCTGTGCTCGGAACTAAGGAGGTCAACGAGAAGGCTCGAAATGCTGCCTTCGATCTGCTTGTCGTGATGGCCAGGAAGATGTCCGAGGGAGGTGTAGTCGATCAGCAATTGCTGAAAGGGGATGGTGCAGATGCGGAAAAGGACGATGAGGCGATGGAAGGTGACGCGCCTGTTGGCAACGGTAAGTCTCGGTCGCACGTCCACCGCGGGTCGGCTGATTGACTGTACCGCTCTCTCGCCACAGCTGTTGCAAGTGTGCAGGAGTACACGACCATGGTGGCAGCTGGATTGGCTGCTAGCACACCTCATATGATCAGCGCTACCATCACGGCCTTGTCTCGTCTAATGTTCGAGTTCCAAGGTAAGATTTTGGGCCAGACCTGCATCGGGCCAATGTTTGGTTGCTGACAAGTCGGTTATCTCACAGACGACCTTCCCCGCGATATGCTCGACGAGATGGTTGCCACCATTGTCGTATTTGTCGCCTCGAAGAATCGAGAGATCGTCAAGTCGGCGCTCGGGTTTGTCAAGGTCGCTGTCGTCTCGCTGCCCGAAAGTACACTCCGACCGCAATTAGGCGCTCTGGTTCCCGCATTATTGGGCTGGGTGCACGACCACAAGAACCATTTCAAGACCAAGACCATTCATATCTTCGAGCGGATGATCAGGAAGTTCGGATACGATTCGGTCTACCGCAAGGCTGGAGAGGGTGACGAGAAAAAGGTTCTGGAGCACATCAAGAAGAAGAAGGACAGGGCTAAGCGTCAGAAGATCGCCAAAGCTCAGAACGGCGACGAAGAGGACGAAGAAGTGAGTTTTGAGAAAAGTATCGAAAGCAAATCGCTACAGCGCGACCTAACACAACGGCAATTCCATAGGCTGTTCAACGAAAGACTTCTGGTAATGCGTTCGATGATGCGCTGTATGGTAGTGCGAGCGAAGAGTCTGATGACGAAGAGGTGGAGAGGGCTGTAGCTGGCAAAAAGGCTCAACAGAAGATCAGGAAAGGAAAGGACACCGGTGCTTTCATTCGGGAGGATGACGATGCACCTATGGATCTGTTAGACAGGTCGATCGCCGGACGAGTCACTGGCCAGAATCCGAACGCAAACAAGCGTCGTCGACCTGGTCAAGATGCTGCCGACTTCAAGACGGACAAGGAGTCTGGCAGGATGATTATCGACGAAGATGGCTCCGATCAAGAACCGTCGGCTGGCGATGTTCTTGCCGGAAGCGCTTACCAGACTGCGATTACCTCGGTGGACGGTATGAGTCGAGATGCCCGGGGTCGACTAAAGTTGAATAAGGCCAACAAACGCGGTCGTGCCGTCGAGGCCGAGAACGATGTCGATATGTTGGAGGGGATCATGGACGACGACAGCGATCGCAAGAAGAAGGCCAGGCGAGTGCCAGAAAAGCTCGGGACGGAGTTCAGGTCCAAGGTAGGTCTGGTCAATCTTTGCCTGGTGCGGACTGTCGCTAATCGAACCTGTCATAGCGAGCGGGAGGAGACATCAAACCCGCCGGTCAGGATGTATCTCCGTATTCTTACGTGCCGCTCGGGAAAGCCACCAAGCAGAAAGGCCCAAACAAGGTCAATCTCACCAACAAGAAGCGTGGATCAAGACAGTAGCGTGCAATACTTGCGGATCAGATCGTTGTATTATAGATGGTTATGCTCTTTACGACCTGCCTATTCTGAATCTTACATGTACACCGGGTATCATCGTCATCTCGTCGTCAAGGTCATCAACGTACATTTGGGCCACGCTTGTTTGTGCCTTGTACAGTGGGAATCATTTACGTTCGGGATGTCGCCGTCTTCTTGGTTCTCTTTGCGACATAGACCTCGTTGAACGACAGGCGCACGGCCAAAAATTTGACTTCGTAGTTCGAATGGGATTCGAGACCTGTTATCAGATTGGTCATGCTTGACTTGAACTTCTTTGTTTGATCTTCGATTTGACGGTTGAGATCTTGCAGCTGTGCTGCAGCCTTTTCGCCGTTGTCGGTCAAAACTGATGCAGGAAGTACACCCTGATGATAGCAATATAGAGTCTCGGCCAACGATTCGATGCTGGCAGGTACCACACCTTACTCACCCGCTCCACCTCAGCCTTTTGGGTAAGACGTGTCTTTTCCGCTACAGAGAGATTATAAAGCGAGTCCTGCAAGTCCTGCTGTTAGTCTGTGTGCTATTAGGCTAATATCGCAGTCCTCACTAACCAATTGATGTCCGAATTGCATGATCTGATCTAGGATCTTGTTCACAGTGGCGTTGAGCGAGTTCTGATCTCGGGATGAGGGTCAGTACGTGCCTGTTTCCCTAAAGCGGGCTCGGACTCACATCTTTCGGGTCTTTTGGGTTGATCAAGAGTGCTTTTGACATGATGTTTTGTAGATATGTTCGATGTGCCAAGATCAACGCATCTAGGTCACCTTGTCGGGTGCGTTCAAACTCGAGCATGTCCTGCCACGCCAGTTCGATGGCTTCCAATTGGCAGAAGGCTTGAAGTTCCGCCACAAAATGTATCATCTGAGCTTGAAGTATATGACAACGGTGCCATGCACTTTTATAGCCTGATCATACGAACGAACGTCAACGAGAAGACACAGCTCTGAGCTTGTATGCTGTACTCACCCTTTAGACTCCGGAAATTCCGAGGCTCGAACGTGCTCCTAAGCCAGCGCTTGCGTTGTGATGCGGCTACACGTCGTACCCGCCAGAGATACATGAATATCCTGTCGTAGTCGCGAGTCGCTGCATCATCCAGCACAGCATTGATCGGTGCTTCGACCTTGTATTGCAAGGAGAAGCATTCCCACCCGAGGGCTCCCGGGGAAAATGTCAATATCTGGGCGTCCAGTCTGCGCAAGACGTCTTCTGGTTCGTGTCTGGCATTGCTGCCTTGAATCGCAGTCTCGATATCTGACGCGAGATGATGTCGTAGCAGCTTGGAAGCGTCTCGGTCTAGTCGTGGGCTATAGGCGCAATGAGATTAGCATATATCGCGTAGAAGATTCGCAATCTACTCACCTAAGCCCTTCTAACAATATGTCGGCGAAATCCCCCGCGCACAACAGGACGTATCGTCGCATCGCCTCGAGGTGCTCAAGGAGCTTGAAGCGGTCGAAGAAGATGTCCAACAACCGCTTGCTGGCCGAGGAATACGCTGCATCGATTGTTCTTTCCAGGTGAGCAATGTCACCGTAGCAAAGGACTAGCGGATCATAAGTCAAGATTCAGAACGCGTCGCGCGAAGGTCAACGCCTCCGAGACGCACCTGCATCTTCCTCTGTGGACTGTGCTTGAACGGAAGTCCAGTCGCTGTCTTGACAACTGAACCTGATAAAATTGATACTTTTCCCAGTAATGAAGATCTAAAAATGAATGCTAGTCAATTTTGTGTCGAGAGCAAAAGGCAGATCAGAAGACAGACAAACCTTGCGACCAAACTCTTCGTTCACAAAGATGGGAAGCATATCCTTGACGAATATATACCGCTTCTCCCAGATCATGTACGGATCATCTCCGCCGAATTCAGCATCCCCATTTCCGAAGCCATAGTCGCCGTGCGGTGTGTGGCGACCGTTGGAACGCTTCGCGATTTCTGCATCCTGTTGTATGAAAAACTCGTTGAAGGGATCATGAAGTTGCCCCGAGAAAATCCAACTTTGTAGTGATTTGAAAAAAGGTTTGGAGACCTGTTCGAGATTTAGGCTTGTCAGATGTGAGGTCGGGCTGCGATGCTGTGTAACTTGGCTAACCTCTTCGAGCACATCGTTCGCAAACTCCCGCACAGAAGGATCGCCATGCAAAGTATGAGCGTGAATGGCAGAAATCAGAGCTCCACCTCTAGCAGCTGACATCGAGAATTGGCTCGTCAATTACGGCTTGTGCTCAACTGAAATTTGCTAAAACTTACTGCTGGCTTCGCTGACTAGTGTGCTCATCATCCTCATCTTAAGATTCGACTCTTCTGTCCACAGCGAAAGGCGTTGAAATGTCATGCCTGAATTTTGTGCTGGGAAATCGTGATCCACGACCCGAGAAGAATCCCGAGACCCTTCGCTCTGAGGAGGCAATTCCGACTCTGTGCGCTTCATCTGATTCTCCAACAAGGTGAGAAGCTCATGATACCCAGATAATTCTCGTTGTAGCACAAAGCACAGGCTCTGCGGAGTTGCATTCAACATCCATGCGCTCTTCCTTGTCCCAGGATGAACTTACTTGAGCAGTCATCCCTCCCGCTCCGATAGACACGCCAGCAGTTGCCTGGGTCACCCTGACGAAATTATAGACCCCTCTGTATAACATGCCCAACTCGGCGAGCGATACGATTGTCGATTTGAGCGATTCGGAGGCCTCATAGGACTGTCTCGCGCAGAAGAGAGTCAGCAAGAAGCCAATGTCCCGCAGACGGCAGTGTCAACTCACTTGGCCCGACTCATTCACAAACGTGACCCCAGTAATGTCATCTTCCTCTACACCGCCTCCAAGCAGCAAGTCCCCTCGTGCTTTTCCCTTTCTCAGATCTCTGTCGAGCTGCGAACCTTCTCCTTTGCGGGTGAATTCGATGTTGCCCAGATACGGATTCACCTCTCGGCTCTTCTGAGCCTTTGTTTTGCGATCAAAGCGAACGTATTTACCATCGATACCTTGCAGAAGGTACAGCATGTCTCGGAGAAGCAGCGATGTATCTACCGCTTTGACACCTAATATCACACCATCAAGGCTCAGCATTCAAGCCGATCACATGTTCGAATTACCCAAATCTTACCAGTCTTCTGCTTCCAGGTATTCAAAATCTCTGCTCTCGTCTTGCCTTCGGTTTCTGAAGGGTCTAGAGTCGGCATCGGGGCTGGCGAATTGAGCGTGTTTCCGGTCCCTGGCTCTTTGAAACCTGGAGGCGGCACAGGCTCAAGGTCTGGCACGGATATAGGTCGAGGTACTCTCTTGGACCTCTCTGTTGTATCCGTTCTTGATGCTCTTCGACGGAGTTCAGGTTGTCTACCGTCGAGAAGCTGAGCTTCTCCACCACTGGAACGACAATCTCGATCAACTCACACGTCTACCTCTTTCTGACCTGACCGAGCGGTAGTTCTCGCGTATTCTCTCCGTTTGATCTCTCCTACATCAGTCTTTGAGGCCTTGTCCCCGACCGGTTCGCCAGCCGCTTGACTGCCTGAAGCTTCCCGCGTTCGAGATCTCGGCTCGATTCCTGTCGTTGCAGCCGGCTCGCTCGTTGGTTGCGAGAGGGGTGTCTGACGTCCAGACCTAGATTCCGGACGGCGGGTAGCTTCATTTGACATTTTTGCGACGTTCAGTCAGTAAGTGTTGTCGATCTCAATTCACCAAGACTATGATTCATGAGCTTGTGATGAATCGAAATGCTCGCAATCACTTGCGATCCTGCGATCTGACAAGTTGAGGGTCGGGGAAATGCGTGTTTGTTTACCTTGTCGACTTCTCTCTGAAATTACGGCATCGATTCCCCGGTCAAGCGCGCGTCTCTTGCGCTTCTCCATCCGCTTCGTGGTGTGTTTCAGCTTTCCCTCACCAACCGTTCGAAGTTGGATCGACCCCAGTATACCTCTTCCCCCCTTTTATCCGTGTTCGTCTTCCTTTGTGACCTATGGCGAGGAATATCTCGATGTTGATGCCATGCAAGGGCGGTATCGCCTATAAAGTCGCAGCGCAGCTGGAAGCTGAGCGATGAGTGATGTGCCTGAGATGTACAAGGTAAAGCAAACACGTTTCGACCTCCAAAGCCCCTGTATCACACCAAGCCAAAATCTCCAGCATGAACTTGCATGAGCCTACTCAAGACGACGACTTGGAGGTGAACGTCCAAATCACCACAGCCTCCTCGAGGGGATTCGCCTGCACTCGCGCCGTTCTTCACGCCGCCCTGGCCAGCCTTTCGTTGGCATACAGTGCGGTGCTTTGGCATGTACCCGACGGTGAGTGGGTGTCTAGTTGCTGGAAAGCACATGAACTCAAACGTCGTCTAGTAATCTCAGCCTTGTATAGACTTGGTTCTTTCGGTGCCTACTGGGGCACGGAAGAAGAATGGGACCAGATGATCAACGTTACTCGTTTTCTGTCTCAACTCGGCTTGGTTTACCTCTGCTTCGGATACCTAGAAGCGAGTTGTTGTCAAAACACGGACAAGTCTCCACTTCTACACAGAGTGGGGGTCTGTCTTGTCTTTGAGGGCTTGTTAGCCGCTCTCTGGATCGGTGGGTCAAAAGGCTGGCCGACTGTAGCGTTTGGAAGGCTGACGGCGAGGTCTTGAGCAGACGAGTTTTACATCCACGCGGACAAGATGGCTGCTCTGGCTCGTTACGACAACAGCTGGATTACCTACACCCTAGTTATCACTGCTCTTTCTATTTGCACCGCTTGGACCATCTCGACGGCTCACCTCCTGGTCCCCTTTGTACACCGGTTATCGTTACCTGACGAGATGCCCGTGCTAACCTTACTCGGCCGAGGCGTCGAGGATTACCCTTGGCCTGTAGAGAAAGCTCGAATCCGACTGATCGGCGATGAGTTAGAGATCACCTTTGGTGTGGAGGAAGAAGTTGTGGACCTCGATCGAACCGGTCCGATCATCACGGAAGAAAAAGGGGATCTCGTATCTTATGATCTTGTTTGAGGCCTTTGAGGAGAATCCCTCCCAAGAGCGCGAAGGAAGCGAACGAGAACAGATAGGCAGACGAGGCTTGTACCACATAGAAGTTTGAGATCTAGAGACCAAAGACGAGGACAGCGATCTTGTACATGATCTGATTGAGTGATCGGCCTACCCGACCAGTTAGCAAGATGAACAAAGAACGCAAAGGACGATTGACCATGGTCGACTACGTCGCTTAGCGCGGGTATACCCGTCCTCTTCTGCGCCAGAGCACAACTTGAAAGGATTCCGAGCGCCGATCATCGGGGATCGCTTGGTGGATTGTTCTCTCGGTGGGGATTGTTCCACAGCATATCACTCCGATGGATAGTGAGTCCATGGAAATTGAGGATCGTCGACGAGGTCGGGCCGCCTTTGAGCGTCATGTTGCATGTTGATGATGGTGAATACTGGACATGATGAGCCATTGTTCTCGCCACGGATTTGACAACAACTCGGCCTTTTCGGGTAATCATCAGTGAGCGCTGTACTCGATTGCTCTTGTTCTCGAGTCGTCATACTGCCGATCCCGTGATGAGGGGTTCCGATCACACAGCGGTCGTCTGAGAATCGAGAACCCCACCTTATATATAAATCGCCGGATGTCCTTTCGGAAACTTGAAGGGTCCCTGAACATCTGATCAATAGCTTGATATACAGGTGTCCACCCATATCGAATCCAGTGAGGCAGGAATACAACGTTCAACGCTCACCATTCGCCTCTGTTCTGACTGGCCTACTTTGCGTCCACAGCATAACACATCAGTTCCACCGGTCTCTCTCGCTACTTGGTGTCGGCTTCCTCGTCGAGTATTCTTCAAGGCAAGTTCCAGTCGTCAAGGTGGCAACAACAACCGCTCACTGTCTCGTCCAGACAGGCCTTCGGGAACTTCTTCATCGACGAGACGACCTTTATTACCGGGGACGCACACGCCACTCATTCGATGTCCTGGTCTTCCGGAAGTTCCGGACCCAGTCCCTTTGTGGAAGAACCCTATCTCACCGAAGCAGAGCGTGAGAGTATTGGACCCTTGTCGGAGTGGGTACTAAATATGGTCAGGACCGCGGACGGATCGGTGAGTCTTCCGAAAGGGAGAAAAAACGTCGACGCCATCCTCTCGCATCACTCGCTGACGTGCTGCACCTTATCAGTCCATGTATCTGGACGACCTCCTTTACGAACTTCGAGAGCAACACATCCGTGGTCCTCTTATGGACGAAGTCATCGTCCACATTCGCTTGCACCATCTGGTCGTCTGGCAAGACACTCCCTCGGGGACCCTTGTCCGGGTCAGCATGGAGTGATGCTCCAACTGATCCAGAGCGGTACCTCATTCGGGATGCTACGGTTTTGCTCAGCGTCACAAAGAAGACGACCCTGGCGTCAGGACGGTGCCGCGATCGACTCCTCAGACTACACGGAGAAAAGCCCAGTGGATTGTTCATTCGGGCCGGAGAGGCTGGGGAATTGGCCGCGGCACCATCCTTGTGCTTGGGCCATGCTCGTTTGATTTCTATCTCGTTGACCCTCCTCAGAAACGCCTTTTTCACTGCGTCTATATATATTTCGATAATCCTGCATCAGAGGTGAAATGGCGTTTCAAGATCTGATTTGATATAATACAACATTCTCACCATCGAGATCCTTGTCAAGACAGGAAATATGCTCGCACCCATATATGCTTGCTGATTAGGATTACGGATCGTTCTTGCCGACCAGATCTTCACGAGTCAAGATTGGCTCTCCTCTACGTGCCCTCCAAGCATTTGTGATCTCCAACACTTCCTTGTCCCAGAACCAGACGTTTTCCCTAAGCCACTTTTCGCTGACTTCGTAGCTATGATGATTCAGGGTATCCTCTGCAAGACAGAAAGGGTTCTCAGCGACCAAGGAGATTAGGGCCGGTAGACCCTTCACTCACCCCCTGGAATGGTGAACTCGTCAAACATGCCTCGGACAACCTCGATTACGTCGTATTTTCCTGCGGGAAGAGTTGCATGACGTCTTAGGCTCTGAACGCCCTGCGTGGCGTTGCTCGTATAAGATACTTACCCCGAAGCAAGATCAGCTTGTCTCGAAGGGAGGGGAAGATGACGCCGTCGATAATATGTTCTGTTTTACCGGCGAGAATCAGTACCTGATCCATTAATTCCATTTCAGATCAGGCTCACCATGCGCAAGGTTTCGTTGCAGAGGTGTCGGTCTCAGCGATGGAGGCAAGACGTAGGAATTGTTTTGGCGATAGCTAGTGAAACGTGCTGGTTAAAAGGGCTGGTAACGAGAATCGGGGGTATACGCATGGCCTACTTTGTAAGATGATATCCGATAAGCTGCATAGCTTCTTGTGCACGTCCTTCTGGAAGCATGAAAGCCTGTCCCGTATTCGCAAGGACGTTGGGACTTCGGCTCGGTGTGACTTCGCCCCGAGCTTGTGACATAGCAGAATGACCGTTCGATGCGCCTGCTCCATAACTCGCTTCGGGTTGACTCTGCGTCGAGATCGGATCTAGAGTTGGACGCCGTCCGCTGTCCTGCTCGGTCCCCCCGTTGTGCATGGGATATTCGTTGTATCGAGATAGACGAGAGCCGGCCTCTGGCTCATCCATCCGGGCCCTCTTCGAGGACTCTGGATCATAACTCGTGTCCGGCCCCGCCCGCTTTCGGCTAGACCCTTCGAAGGGACTAGCATCTCTCGTCCCAGTTCCCAAGATGTCATCGAAGTTGGACTCCTTCGCCGTCTTCGTACCCGTATTCTCTTCCTTCTGCCTGGCGACGCGAAGCAACTCCATCGCTTCATGTGCAGGAGCGGTTTCCGGGCGATTCACAAAGGCGTCGAGCTGTTCATGATTCAAACCAAGTCTAGGCAGGAACGTCGCCAAACCTGGAAGAATGCGATGGTAAATTCACACAAGTTCGGATACGCATGCAAGCATATGAAGCGACGGATCACCTTCTCCGATGAAACCCGAGAGGTCCTTGACCATCTTTCTGAGTTGAGCACTATAAGAGCAAGATGCGCGTGAGCCGACCATCAATGGCTCCATACTGATGCTGATGCACATACTTCTCTGTCAACAGGTTCTTGACCAGGAGCGATATCGCTTCTTGCCGTTCATCATGGTCGCCGGACAACAGTTCGACCCTGGCTTGCAAATCCTTGATCTGCAACGGACGGTAAGAGTCCAGCCTTGACAGATCCTATTCATCGATCCACACTCACTTGTTGCTGTCGGTAAGCACATCACATCAGCAAAACTATCCGACACTTCCCAGCTAGACTTGCGCCACGACACGTACTTGTTTTCGCAAACGGAACTCTCTCTGTGCGATCCGGTTCTGGTCTCGTCTAGCTGTTGTTAGGGACAAGTTGAACTCCATTTCAGTACCTGCCTACGTCCTTCGAGAGGTACACAGCCGTACCTTGCGCCGAACTGCAAGAAAGTCATTCATGTCAGTTCAATAGTACACGCTTTCCTTCAGCGATATCGGTTACACGCACACGCCTGTATTGTTGCTTGTCTTGCGAGCCTTTCCTCCCCGCGAAGTTTCTGGGCTCCCCTCGCCCTCTTCGTTCTCAGAACCTAGATCGTCATGATCAGAGAGGCGTCGACCATTCTATTGAAGCCAAGTTTCGAGGTTGCACACCAGACCAGCACGCACACGAACGCCGAAGAGAAGTCGGTAGATAGGGGGTTTGTCACGGAAGATCAGGTCAGCGAAATCACGTCGTTACGGAAGCGGTCGGCAAGTGACCTTGAACGTACAGGCATGGTAGCGGGATAAAGATTCACGGATATCAACGTATGAACGTTTCGACGAAGACGTCTCGATAGGGCTCTTTCTGGATGGATCGACGTTATGCCCAGACTTGGATGATTCAGTGAACTTCGAGTTGTACGGTCAAAGAGATTGTCCATCGGTGCCGCCGAGGACCGCCTGTCACGGCGAATGAGTCAGCCTCGTGCGGATCCAAATCCGGTCAGGCTGGCAAAGGATGGTATACGATGAGCAGAACAGATATACGACAGGCATCTACAACGAATCAAAGAATGACAGGTCCTGAGCGGACAGCGTGGCACGTTTGTCTTTCGTGGTCGTTGATGTGAAAGGCGTCGCAACTGAGTGATTGGGTGGCGTCGCAACAGCGGGCCGAGGAGGTCCCGACAACAACGTCGATGTATTCAGCTGCGAGGTATTAGGCGAATCTATCCTGGGGAAAAAGCTGTTCGAGCCAGGTGGGGGTGACAATGCATCAGGTACAGGCGAAGGGGGAGCTGGCCAGCGGCCGCGTCTTTCGGCAGCCTTTTGAACCAGGTTCTGTGTAGCAGCATGTGCTGTGGTGTCGGTAAACCCGAAATTCATCTCGGGGGGTCGCGTCGATCTGTTCGCTTGTGTGCTGTCGAAGAAGCTCAGGTCCATTGTGGACGATTGAGGACGTGGTTGAACGATCGCTGGCTGTGAAGTTTTGTTCGGTGCGGGAGCATCGAAACCACCGAAATCGCCAAAGTCATCAAAGCTGGCGTCGGTCTGATTGCCTTGAACCGGCGCCGAGACAAACGTCTGTCCAAAGTCGCCAAAGTCGTCGTCGTCCTCCGGGATCGGTGGTGGAGCAGCGTGAGCTACGAAGGTCGATACGGGCGGTGGTGCAGGCTTTGAGGAACCAGCAGCAGGTGGAATTCCAAAAAAGTCAAAGTCTTTCGGCAGGGCCGTAGGCTTGGCGCTTTGAGGAGTACTACTCCCACTCGCCATCAATTCGAAGAGACCGTTTGAAGCGGTCGTGGGTTTGGCAGCAGTAATGGGAGGGGATGGCGATGATAGATCCAGATCCCCAAACATGTCAACATGGGAGCTCGATCGGCTGCTAGGTCCGAGTTTCGGGATAGAGGCTGCCGAAGAGGTCCTTTTGGAGATAGGGGGCGGAGCCAATCGAGACGGCAGAGCGACAGGCTTTGAGCTGAGCATCGACTCGAGACTCGCCATCTGTTCGCTTCTTCCACCGGGGCCATTTATCGACAAGAGATCGCCAATGCCCGGTTCTTTAGGGGCAACGGGCGGAGCCGTCGGCACCTGATCGAGGAAGGAGAAATCGTCCTTTGTGAGCTCGAGATCCTGATTGCTGACATCAACCGAAGGAGTGGACGCTCTGGGTCTACGGAATCGCCCAAAGAATCTGCCCACCGCTCCAGGTGCGGGCTCGGCAGGCTGCTCCTGTGCAGCAAGAGGTGCGACAGAGCCAGGCAGCGAAGAGGTGGTAGTCACCGCAATCGGACTATTGATCGAGGGGGTCGCTCCAGTAGACATGGGCGAGGTGATTTGCTGCGTAACAGGTAGAGGCGTCTTTGACCCAGACTGCAGGCTGGCGTTTCCAGTATTGCTGGGTGAGAGGGCTTTGACCTCTAGTATTCCCCCTCCACTAGTCACTAGCGGTACCACCTGCGTGGATTGACGCCTACCCCAGAAACTCCATTTCGGACGAGCCTCTTCAGCATGAACATTAGCTTGTGCGTCTTTGATAGCTTGAGAATCGTCGACCCTGTTCCGACTCTGAAACTCCTTCTGCCACTCTGAAGACGACCTCCTCGCTGCCCTCGTAGCGGATTGCCTGCTGACGAGTGCCAGAACCGATGTCCTTGTATCCAGGTTTATTTGGGTCAAGGCGTCTTGATACCGCGCCCATGTCATGCTCATGGCGAGGTTGTGCTGGAAAGTGTCGATTTCTGGCGGCATCGAACCGAGTTCACGAGCGAGCCTGCACCGAACAGACATTCAGGGTGCGTCCGGTATGCACGACTCGGGGAACGAAAAAAGAACTCACTGATCCCGTGCATCGATAACATCTTGGCTCAAACCTGCATCCTCATCGCTGTGGTTCTGCTCTGCACTAGTACCCTTAGAGCCGTAGCATTCCCGGGCTATTTGTCTCCATTCTCTTTCCAATCTTGCGATGAGCTCTGTAGGCTAGCGACGGAAGAAAGCTCAGATCGCGGTGTCTCGACCTTATCGAAAAGGATGGTTAGTTATATCACTTACAGCAACAGCTTCCCTCCGTTCGATCGCTTTCCTCGCTCGATCCCATTCATCCTCCTGCTGATCTCTAGTCTGACCAACCGGTGTTACCCCCTCCTCTACCTCTCTTTCCTCACCCCAGGCATCCACCGCGACCCGACCAGATGCTCCCACTTGCAAGTCTGGAGAACAGAAATTTGGACTCCCCCAGCCATCATCGTCATCTTTATGTGCGGGTTCCCAAGCCGGCATCGGAGCAGGATCGTCCAACCCTCCAGAGAAGCCTCCGAATGCGTCATCCCCGAACGAAGGGGATTCAGGTATCGACGTGCGAAAGGTAGGTAAGGGAGACGGGGTGGCAGGAAAGGCGGGGATGTCGAGGTCCTCATCGTCGGCGGGGAAGTTCTTGAAGGGCGGCTCATCTGATTCGGCATATTCGGCGGGGGCTACGATAGGCGGTGAAGGCGATCGAAAGCCGTCCGAGTCCTGGTCGATGACGGGAAGCGCAGGTGTCGAGACTGACAGTCCTCCCTCCTGAACCTCGCTGTCGACAGGTCCCACTTGATCAGCATTGGGCTGAGCATACGATTTTGGCACTTCAAATCTAGCTCGATCCTGGTCGAGGGATGAGAAATGCACCACTTCATCCTTTTCGACGATAGGTGCGGGTGTTCCCCAACCTCCATCGTCCTCGGTATTCGCCGCCCAGCTGGCTGAAGGTAGAGGCAACCCTTCCGTCTCGCTCCCCGTCGTCTTCTCGCCCCGATTGTCATCATTCAGATTCGATCCGGCCTGTTCAGTGGCCCAAGGGTCCGCAGACGCAGAGGGACGTCGCTCGAGTATAAAATCCTTGGGGACGTTGAGAGGATCGTGTTTCGAGATGACGTCTTCCTCTTGAGCGTGTTTGGAAGTGGTCCAGGGGTCCACTGCCGTAGAACCCCAGGGATCGTCTTCCATGTTATAGTATGCAGCTTTGTAGCTACGAGTCCTAGCTGACCGGATGACTCGGAGTGGAATGGTACACGATGTCTATATAACCCCAGAGTTCCAGGTCGAGCTGCATGTGCAGGGGACGTTCAGGTGGAGGTCGTCGCGAGCGAGCGAGAGGTCCCCGAGATCATCCTTGTCCTACCTTGCTTGCTCTTACTCCCCACGAGTACTACCTGCTACTACAGGCAATGATCAGCTGGTTTACCTACAGTCCTGGATCCTAGTACGAACATACTCAAAGTGCACTCTACCTGTAGACCAGTCAAGTACAAAGTCCTAGACGCGAAGCCACACCATGTCGGACATCGACGATGAATTGCTCGACCTCGCTGGCGAGGGTACGGATACCGGCCGAAAACGCAAGACTAGTGGGAATGGCAGCAAGAAGTACAAGTCAGAGTGGGTTCCGTTCGTCCCCCGGTGTTCTCGTATCTAAAAGATCCTGAATATTTGTTGCTTCAAACTGGAAGGGATATCATAGATGACGATGAGACTGAAGACGACCTCCCGCAAGGTGGACGGGCAGCTGATGAGGAAGAGGACGACATGGACATCGATCTGGAGTCTGAGGATGGGTACGGCGAACGTGGACCTATCCATGAACCCTCTGCACCTACTACAGCGCAGACCAGCGCTCGAGTATCTCCAGAGCGGAGCAGCGAGGAACGGGAGAGCAAGCCGGCCCCGGTCAAGAAGAGCAAGCCCAAAGAGAAGAAGGCTCCTGTACCCAAGGGGAGAGCTGTTAAGAGGAAGGCTCCGGCCAGCAAACCATCGAAAGAGACCGCTACCGACCCTGAAGCCAGGAATCCATACCCCCTCGAAGGCAAATTCAAGGATGAGGACGATCGAGATTAGTGAGTCGGTTCAGTCCAGCCGATCTAGGATGGCTATTAAAACACATGTCTCTTCACCAGTCTGCTCGGACTGCCAGAGATCGAGAGAGAAGAGATCATCGCTTCCCGTCTGGAGGAGCACCAAAAGTTTGTGGACAGACAGCAACTCGCCGCCTTGTACAGCCGGACCAACCCGGGTGAAGCTCCAGCTCGAGACGAAGATGAAGAAGAAGATGCGGAGGGTGAAGAGGATATGGAGATGGACATGGATATCGATCAAGAGAGCGAGGAAGAGTTGGGACGAGGAGCCACCCGTAAGCGACAACGGTGGCCCCAAGTGTGAGTATGCCTTGAACGCTTAATTTCTGCGGTGATTGGAACAGGCACAAAGACTACCTCTGAACCTAAATCGCAAGCATTGGACAAGCTCGCCGAACAGCGGAGAGCTCGAACGGACAAGGCGAAAAACGGCGTGAGTGTGCACGGGTTTTAGGCCTCTCGACTTTGCTATTTTACTGAAATCGAACTTGCCATCCCCAGACATCGGCACCAAAGACTCGAAAAAGGGATGATGACAGTGATGCCGAGTCCTACAAGTCGGAAGGTTCAGAATACGGCGCCCGTCCTGGCAAAAAGAGTCGTCGCGGTCGATCCGTCGACATGTACTCGGATGAAGAGAGCGACTCTGACCGAGGTGATAGGAACCGAAGGGACAAGCCAAAGAAGGACGATCGGCCGGTCGATCTCGAGACTATCCATCGAGTACAATTGACGCGTGCAGACCTGGCGGAATATAAACATAGGGCCTTTTTTGAGACAATGATTAAAGGTGGGTGCAAAATTCACACGTCGGGTGGCTGTTTCTGACCCTTCCGTTCGAGCAAAGGAGCCTACGTGAGGTGCATTTCTGGCCAAGATGAGCGAAAACAGCCGAAGTACCGGCTCTTCCAGGTCGTTGGTGAGCTGGGCGGAGAATTCAATGTACCAGTGGTCGCTGACCCTACGGGGGATGATTGTTGCCTAGGTCTGACCGGCGAAGAGCGTAAGTACGAGATGGAAGATCGAGGCAGGAACATCATGGAGAATAGGCGTCTGCAATTGAGATACGGCAAGGTGACCCGGCCGTACAAAATGGCAGAAGTGTCCAACTCCAAGCTTAGCGAGGTTCGTTCTCGTCGACTTTGTCTACCAAAGATGACGAAGGTATTGAGTAGACCTCGATTCTTTGACGCTAGTCCGAATTTCGTCGATGGCAAGCGACCATGGATACCGACGATGTGACGATTCCTTTCCGCTCCGATGTGCAAGAGAAGGCCGTCAAGCTGGGAGAATTCAAGAATCGGAACGTTACAGATGTGTGTCCCAGACATCAGTTAGCGCCTCGAAATAGACCCGACTAATATTAGGATTTCTATACCTTTTTTGTCGACCGCAGGAAGAGATCCAGGCTCGTTTATCGGCGATGCAAAAAATGGGAGCAGGACCGGCCAACAACAGGGAGGAAGAGATCCTGAAGAGCGAGCTGAGTCTGGCTCAGCGACGACACGATACCGAGGGGGCCATAGCACTGCAAGCACAGCTTGTCGATCTGCAAAGTGTGCGGCTGGCTCAAGAGCAAGGCAACGTCTCGAACGACACGACGGCTGCGATGCTTGCAAAAGTCAACGAGAGGAGCAGAAGGATCGTACAAGACGCGCATAAACGGGCTTTCAAGATCGAGACGGAGAGGAAACGGCTGGCACTGGGAGACTTCAAGTCGCGCCGGTGAGTTGGCTCAAAAAGATTGGCGCTTAGCTAGTTCGGTGCTGATTCCCGCTCTGCTTCATGAAGGGCACTGGATACGCCATCGCCAAGGGGTAGTCCTGCACCCAACCAAGCGGGAACTTCGACTGCACCTGTTGATTTGACAAACAATGAGCAGGCAAAGGTCACAGAAACTAAGACCGGAGACGTGGCAGTCGAGTTGGATTTGGGAGACTTCTGAGCGCGCAAGTGTAAACAAAGTCCGGGCGCTGTTAGGGCTATGGATCGCCATGAACCACTCGATACGATTCCGAGTTGCCTCGCCCTATGAAATCGCTTGCGACGCGGCAGATTGGCCTGTCGCAACCTAAGACCATAGAGGGGTATGCAGTCTTGATGTAGTAAAAGAAGCACCCAGGTTGGGGCTTCAGGAAGGACCTTACACACTTCTTTGACCGTCAAACTCATGATGAATGACAACAATTGTTTTGGTTTGGAATGTTTCATAAGCATTGTAAGGTCAGATGTCAGAAGGCTTGTGATTGTCCTCCCACCTCTTCTTGCCCGGAACAAAAATCTTGGGAATAAGGAAAAAGCCTATATACAGAAGCAGCCATAGCTAGCTATCGGGCGACGAGCCTGCTGCTTTCCTCGTTGCGTCCATCGTCGGGTCCGCATCAACCCGGTGCACTTCGCTCGACCTGAATTCCGACTCGCCCGACTCGTTGCTACGAGGAGGAGGCACGAGCGAGAAGCCGGGCGGCCCAAGGCTTTTCTCGATCTGCTCCAAACGCAGAGCCTTGAACCGCGCGATCCAGTCGTCCTTGTCGATCGATGTTGGTCCCTTATGGATGACGCCAACATAAAACAAGATTTGGATGTTGCACATCCTGGGTACCCGGATCCACAACCGCTGGGCCAATTCCTCGGGCGTGATTCGGCATTCCCAGTCAATATGGACGACCAGATCGGTGAGGCAAGCAGCCCATTTGATGTCTTTGGTCTTTTTTGCGACCGACTTGATGTGGATGTGCAAGAGCCGCAAGCTGGGCAAGTCTCGATTCAATACGGCATCGAGACAGCCCAGCGTATTTGCTGATATCCACAACCGCAGCAGGTCTGAGCCATGGCTGTGCACCACATCCGGATATGGTGCACTGCCACCTGCGCTCAAGTCAATCCCCAGCTCCTGTAGCTTTGGGAAACATGACAGTATGTCATTGAGGCGACTTGATCCGATATCGTATATATCCAACCGAAGTGTTTTGATGACCCCATGCTTGTCATGAAACCCAATCGGCGCGAAACAGGCATCATGATCTCTGTAGAGTTGTCTACGAAGCCAGAATCGTTCATTACTTTGCTGAGGCTCGCCCAGGTGGATCTCTGGAGCGTGGTGCAGTACCTTCTGAAGAGTGTCGAAGCAGGACCCCAAGCTACTTTCATAGCTTGGTTTCACGAGCACGCTGAGCAGGCCACCGTCAGGCTTTTGGCACACTGAAGTTTTGATGTTTTGTGGGACACGTGCCCACCAAGGCAATTTGAGAGCCCATACGCGCTCCAGATTGGGTAGCAGAGTCTTGGCCACAGACAGATGCCCTTCGAGGTGAATCCTCATGGCCTCTTCTGCCCGTCCGCGGTATTTGTCGCTCCTGATACAGTCGAAATCGGCATCCCCAAGGGTCAAGACGCGCACGGCCTCGCCGTATGTCTTTGCTCGCTCGGTTTCCGCTTCTGATGATGATGCCGTCAGCTGCTGAAGCTGGGGCATGATATTATGTACCCGCCGGTAAACATGCTTGACAGCCAGACCGAACGTGTCCGAGAGCAGCAGGAAGGCTACTTGCTCCCGCCGTTCCGACCATGAGATGACAAGGTCCAGAATCTCTGTCGGCAAGATGGGTCGCTCTGCCATCTTTTCAGCTCTGTGTATAAAGAGGCTTGTAGAAAGCCGCTCGACCGTGACCGTCTCGAAAGGATGAAGGAGCAGGGTCCTTTGACACGCCCACGCCGAAATTGGTGACCGTTGCTGTCAACGATATACTAGTATAGTCGAACGAGAAGCCAGGTGGCTTGCGATTCTGAGGATCGATGGGTGGCAAGACGGAAGCTATAATAACTAAAGTAGCTAAAGGGTTACGACGGATGATGTTGAACTGTGATGGGGACGATGCCACGTCGATTCGACGAACAAAAGAGTACGGGAAGCCCCCCATCAATGCAACGGTAACGGCGAAACGATCAACTTGCTTCCGCTCCAGGCCGTTGCGGCGGGGGACGATGCGCGCTCTAGCCTCTCCAAGACAGCACGGATTGTTGAACAGCACTTCGTGTAATCACCGGTGCGAATCTTTGATTCGAAAACCTGATGGAGGAGCGGACTGCAGATGAGAAAGGTACTTGGCTGGGAGATTTCCAAGTGACCAACAGCGCCTGGATTCCATTTGTTCCACGTTAAACCATACTTGGTAGCTTTGTATTCGGCAGAAGAAGGGGTCCTTCGGTACAGGTGCATGCCCTCCATAATGACAGCACACTTGGAAGAACGGGATTCCTCCAAGAACATTTTCTGCCGCTGAATGATCTCGTCTGCCAAATATCCGAGACGAGGATTGAGAACAGGATCAAACATGATGATCGTAAGTCAGATCGATCGGCCGGTTGGTTCAAATGAGATTCCGAAATGAATAGCAGTTGCCTTTCTACATCTCCCACCTTTTTCACTCTCCAACAAGCAGTGACGACTATATGTGCGATGCGAGGGGTCACTGCAGATGACCTGCGGAGTCAATATTTGGCCAGATAACACTCTTCACTTGACCGAAAAACTGGATTGCACTTCCGAACATGTCGTAACGAATTATATCTGCTAGCGAGTCCCGTTCTACAACGTTCTGACGCTCCTTCCACCCTGCGCACCGTCCTCATCGTCATCCGGGCCTCCTGCTCCTCTAGACCGAGGTACTAACGACCCTGTTACCCGCTTCCAAGCCTTGTCTAGCACTTTTAACTCGTCTTCGTCCGTGAAGCCTAGCTTTGCTGAAGACCGTTGTACGTATTCCGGCTCTGACCCCAGATCTGGAATCTCAGGCAGCGAAACCGTGTATGAAGAAAGGTCCTCCTCTTTGTTTTTAACCTTGTCCTCCGCGGTGAACATGGGTTTGTCTGCCTGGCCGTTCGAGCGAACGCAATGCTCGGCAACGCCCCGCATCGACTGTATGATATCAGCCAATGCTCCATCTTCAGCCTCAGCTAGCCTAGAGGTCCAGCTAGTCAGAATGCCAAGTAGGGTTCTCTGGAATGGCCTCAGAAAGCCCCGATCGACGATAGCATACGATATCGCTACGAGAGCGTCTAGGTGTGTAGGTTTCGATAAGCTTGATGACATCTCACTTGACTCGGCAGCGAGCTCACCTCTAAAACGCCCGTCCAGTGCATAACATTGTGCCGCTAACTCCGCCATAGGACCGTTAGATCCTTGTGTCCACTACGACATGCTTATCGTGCTGTCAGCTTGATACATGGTGTATAAGTCTCAGTTGATTCACTCACCGTCCGTCTCATACCATCAGCCAACACTCGTCCCCATTCCTTCGTTTGCGTCCTTACAGCGACCCTCATCATCATATCGCCTATTTCTCTCGAAATCTTGTCCCATACTAATTCCATGCCTGGGTGATATGGTATAATATCTGCCGGGATCTGAGCCGCGGAGATGCCCGAGTACCTGCTCGGACAGAGTAGCCGTAGAGACAGGTTGAAAGCTCGTGCGAACTTGTGCTGGTAATATAGCTGTATGATATTCGACTCTAGACACACAAAGCATAAGAAGTCAGCGCAACACAGGCAGAACGATCAGATGCGGAAGGAGTGGAGTTACTCACCGACCACTCTAAGATCGACGACATCCACCCAATTTTCGCCCGTAACGTTGCGGTCCCGTTCGAAGTGATGAGGATGCCTGTCGAGCCCTAAAGACCACTACTGATCCGAGAATATCTTCTAACATCAGCCAAATCCAGTCTTTTCATCGGCATGATGGATAAGTGCGAGAACGACTCACCCATTGTTCCGTGATTCCATGCTCATACTTGTACTCCCTCTTGCTGATCTCGACAGCCTCATTCATCCGCTCTTCTCTGCTCTTCTTCTGCGGCTTGACCACCGAATCGAGTTCAGCATCGACATCGTCGTCGAGGAGAAGTTCGGCAAAGTAATCCTCCTCGAACGTAGATTCTTGTTGTACGGAGGGTACCGTCGGCTGCGGGATGGATGCCGAGCTCGTAGTCATGTTTTGGTAGCTGCTTCGCGTCTCGTCGGCTGAGCGAGATATAGGTTTTCGACTGTCTCCACGATGATCGATGGCACTGGAAGGAGATGTAGCGGCCTTTGCCTACCAGGTAGCTAGGTATCGATAGGTGGTCGATCGAGGTAGATGCAATTCAAAGATTTCGTATTCGAACCGATGCGGTCGCCGGTCTCTTGAACGGAAGCAGAACTCGAAATCGCAGAGAGCGGCAGCTGAAACAGTCATCATTTCATTTGTACATCACACAGTCCTGTACAGCCATAACAGGAACAGCCAGTTCTAGGATCGATCGCAGCCTTGACATAGCGCGAGCTTCGAAGAGATTCTCGAACCAGGCAGCGTAGACCAGCCCGACGGATCCCTCTGCGCTTGCCGGTTCCGTTTTTGCATACTATACAGGGTCACAGGCCGACCAGACCATATGCCCGAAGTCGAGAGAAGTATATCGAGAGTAAGAGTTCAGGAAAGAGAAGAAAGTGGCCAGAGAGGCATTGTCCAAGATTCGTGATCCGATGAATGTGAAGAGATGGGCGTGATTTGTTTGGCGGATCCTGCGATGCGCGATGTTGATGAGACAATGTGAGTGGGAACAGGGACGATGATGTCGATGGCTGAATTCTGTGATCGGTCGGAGATTCGTTTTGTAGAGTAGCAAGAGTGGAGGGGATACATTGGAAGACGTCGGTCGGACGGTTGAATGCGATCAGGTCAAGATGAGAGCGGGTTGACCGTTGACGGCAAGCAAGTAGGTGCGGCTGGCAAAAACAATGCGGATGATGGTGAGCTGACGCATCGCACAGAGCACAATCTCTCTGGGACTCACTTTTCCTCGACAATCCCCTCTCCATCCTCCTCGAGCGCCTTTTTGATCCTCTCGGCGACCCTTTCTTTTTCGTCCATCTCCTTCTTCTCCAACATGGCCGCCTTGCCGTCCCCGCTCCAGGAGGAAGACGTCGTCGGCAAGCTCCCTGCTACGGTCGACCTCCTCGTCTGGGCGTTTAACAACAAGCTCGAAGGTGTGACGGGCGAGAAGGAAGAGAGGGGTGAGGTGGGCGCCTTGTGGTAGGACGAGGACGCGGACGGGCCGAGCCTAGAGGACATGAATGGTGCGACGCGGATGCAACCCCATGCGCCCCCGTTGGCGGTCGAGTGGAGACGGTAGGTCGAGCGGATGCCTCGGAGGTGAAGCGAGTCGATGAGGTTGTGCAACGCCTTGAGGGTCTTGTCGCGGAGGGCTTGCATGGACGAGAGGTCTGCAACGATAACGAATCACAGGATGTCAGCCACATGTGCTCTAGGCTGGTTCGACCCGGTAACACTCCGACTCACCACTGTAGCAACCGGGCTCCCAACAGGGGACGTCGACCATTAATTGAAACCTCACGCTCTCCCTAGCGACCCCCTTTCTCCACCCTTTGCTCGGCTTCTCCCTGGGTCTCTGTGCGGCCATCAAGCTAGCCCGTCGCCCGCTCATGATCCCCACCGAGGGAGGAGAGACTGGCAGTTTGACCTCATCCCTCGCTTCGTCTTCGTCGTCGTCGTCCATCTCGAAAGCTCCCTCACCGGCATCTTCCCCCGAGTCGGAAGACGACTCGGACGACCCGACGTCCCCCATCAAGATCTCGTGCAACTCTTTCAACGCTTCGTGCACCGAGTCCATCCGTTTAGCGGGGTAGTTGGACCCTTCGGCTTCGTAGTCGAACGACCCGTACGTCGACATTGACTTGCTCACATGCGCGCCTGCTAGTCCCGACGGCGCTCCCAATGTGGAATACTGCCTTCCGAGCGCGGTCGGGTGACCACCAGTGCCCAGACCGGTCGTAGCGCTTTTCCCGGTCGTGCTCGGTTTGTCCGAAGCCAGGGTGAAAGGAGGTGGAGTCACCGGGTGGACGATGCCCCGGAACGAAGGTGAACCGTGAGGAGACAGTGCGAGTGGGGAGCCGATGACGTTGAGCTTGTGAGCCAGAGGTGAGGGGGAGACGCAAGAGCGGGGCGAAGGCGCTGCCGATGAGCTGGGCGAGATGTAGGAGAGCATGTCGAGGTTGATGATGTGGTTGTAGTGCTTGTCGTTCGTTTGATGCCGACGTAGACTAGCTTTTTAACACGGATTGCGAGATGCGACAAGTGGTATAAGCGGAATGAAACCGAATTACCGGTAGCTTGGTCGCCCGAGTCCTTGACCTACTTCTTCAATGGCGAGTCTTTCGAGATTTATATATACTTCGTAGCAAGTTTGGGAGATGTGATCTTTGGGTGTGCGATCGTGTGGCTCGCTCAGCTGACCTGGGACGAGAGATTCCTTTGATGGGATTGTGTGATGTGATGTGGTGGATGTTGTACCCTCGAATCTAAAGGTTACGCGCACGGGGCTCCGCGAGCAGAGGGGGATCAAAGGGGAAAGGGGGAGGGGGGCACCCTGGGGGAAGGGGGACTGGGTGGATCGGCGGTGGATCGACGACGACGATGGGTGTTACTGGTTGATAGCGGTCTGGTCAGATGACCTTTCGCAGCGTGGTAGTCAGGGCGAGCAAGGACTTGGATCCGTGTGATACTGTAGTCGATGGCGAGCTTGGGAACTAGCGAGTCTTGTCGAGATAAGCGGCGGATCTATTTGATCTAGCGGACGGCCGAGAGGGTTCGAGAGATCGAGAGACGTCAATCTCATACCGCCACACAGCTAGACCCAAATCTCCTCACCGCTGAGACTCACGTTATATACTAGTCGGTATGACCTTGTCAGCAAGCTAAAAGCCGAACGTTTTGAAGCTAGGGCTAGCGTACCTAGCGTAGCTAGCGTAGAGAGCGTGTGTGTGTTGTTTGCGTTGTCGAACAATCGATCGGGATCGAAAGGCTGCTAATCTTAGCGCGAGAAGAGGCTTCGCTGATGCAATACGAGCTCTTTGGGTAGATGATGCAATCTGCCAACAACCTTGCTTTTCTAGTGATCAAGCGATCCGAGCGGTGGCCAAGATATATCCCATTCAGTTCCCCTTGCCTGTTTACTTTTCCAAGGCTACGCAACGATCTCACGTTCGATATCCTCCGATCCGTCAGATCATTCCACCGAACGGATAAAGACGGATCAGCGATCAGCGAGAGACGGACCGGGCCGTCCCCTTGTCCCTCGCGCTACCCTCTGCCGAGCTCTTTCCCACGCGCTCTCATCCGTATGAACCTGGTCGAGGGAGGTCATACCTCGTCCTATTCCGTCCGAGCCCTTGATTTTTCGTCATCCCGTCCTACAAGCTACAAGAAAACACACTAGAGATACAAGATACAATATTACAGGCGAATGTAACGAAATCAAATCCTCCGACTGCCCTCTTGCGAAATCAGCCCCTTATTCCACTGACGCTCCCCGAATTTGTGCTCGTCTATAACGCATCTATCCTGAACCCTGCCCGCGCCCTGCCTGATCTAGGTATCGCTAGCTTCCTGACATCCTCATATATGGTCCTTCGATTCCTATCCCACGTCAATTGTCCTGGTGCAATTGTGATTGCCTCGCAAGCCGGTTTCTATTCTCATTCCTCCTCGGGTCTCGATTCGCGGGGTTTCCAGGTCCCCGCAAACTTGTGTTCCACCATCGCTTCACGGTCTAATTTCGAATACGAATAGTACGATCAGCATACACAGTTATCGTCGATGTTGACAAAGAAAGCACGTTGGGCTCACGTTTCCTAGACATGGCCCCGAAATTCCCTACGCCCGGGCTGAACCCAGTCACGGGCAATACCACAACCTCTCCGATTCTCACCGGTCTCGCCAATCTCCTCAGATCCGTCCACCTGACCCCATACTTGACCCGCAAGTATCGGAGCACCGAATCCGTCCATACGCCCGGTCCAGTCCATTCCATTACGCCTACGGGTCCGCCCGCGTTAGGTTCAGAGGTGATATCGGGTAGGGTCGTGTCCGAGTCTTGTGGTGACCGGGTGGTAGAGTCAATTTGGTGTTCACGTGCCCAGGTATAGGCTCGAGAGGTGGCACGGGTGATCCCAAGCAAAACGTCGAGGAGGATGGGATGACGAGGGGCTGACCCGATGGTCCATTGTACAATCTGAAGCTGCGAGCGTGGAGACAAGCGAATCGTCAGATTGCCTCGCGCAGTGATCCAGATACGGCGCCGACGTCGCACTCACCGGTCGAGGCCACCAATCATGCCAGTCTTCTCGACCGCCGACATCGCTCTCTACCCCGACAACAACGCTCGCTACGTCCAAAGACCGTTTCATCTTTTCCAGTTCTTCCGGCGTCGGCTCATGCTCCTGGTCTTCCGGGAACAACCAACCCCGGCCTTGTCGAAAGAGGTCTGGCTCACGGCCCCATTCGGACAGAGGTTTCAAGGGTCTGGTATCGAGATCGGTGTAGATCCCGCCATTCAGGTAGAGAAGGGTATACCTTAACATGTCCGAGTGCTGAAAGCGCAGGAAAGCAACGGATCGAGCTGAGTTCAGCGAGAACTGTCTTTGACAAATCGCAGCCGACTCACCATGATCCCTTTCGGCAGCGCATCCCAGACCTGTTTCAATCGACTCGACCCGAGGTTCCGATCGACAAACTTTTCCGCAGCCTGATCGTCTATGAAGATGACGTCCCACCCGTCCTTGTTCTCGACCCAGTCAGCGACATCGTCAGAGTTCATCCTTGAATCGTCCTTGTCGGTCATGTAGATCTTGCGAGAGATGCCCGTTCCTCCGAGTGCGGGCAAGGAGATAGCGGATTCATTATCTTTCGGCGTCCATGCGTTTAGGTACTGCTCAAGATCCTGTTTCAGACGGATCTGAGAGGCCGTCGGAAAGTGGTTCTCCAGGAAACTATCCAGGTGTTGCTTGTATTCGACCAGCGTTGTCGGACCCCATTGGTACGCGTACTCGGCTTCGAGACCGAGAGAAGAGCTTGGCCTCAGATCACCAGGATTGTCAATCGCTGCAGGTAAGCCGTATATCAACTGATCCGAATCAGGTCCTGTATAACCTGACAGGGTAGGTCGGGAGGCGTCGATGTCACTAGCCATGCCAGCTGAGGCTGTTCCGGTTCCTTTGGAAACACCGATACGATCTCCAGCCTGCTGTATCTCCTCGGCACCAGGCAGCCCTGCAAAGTCTCCCCATGTTCTCGTGATATAGATCAATCCCCATACAGCCAGTGCACCAATGGCTAGCTTGGTAAGTAGTCTGTGCCTGGCTATCGACGTCCGGATCGCAGGGACCGATGGAGAGGTAGGTCCAGCTTCGGGATCGTGCGTGAAGGACGGTTCGACCTTGTTCTCGGTCTTTTCCCAGATCATAATTGACAACGAGGCTCCCAGCGAGAGTTCTGTGAAGCGGTATTAGGTGCATCAGGCGTTGCGGTTGCTCAGCACGGAACAGCGGCGAGGTCGAGAAACAAGGGCTTACCGAGATCAGTACGTTTCCCAATCAACTTCAAATCACCAAGTCCAGAAAGGTCTTGTTTCACGGCGTACGATTCCTTGACATGTTCGATCGACTTGATGACAACAACTAGCTACACAGGCTCGTAGGCCATGCACAGGTTGCAGGCGTTGATCCCCTTTTGTATGTCTGCGAAACTCGACTCATCTTCGCAAGTGCCGAATCTGTGTGCCGACTCGGGCGATCAGTACGAACGCGGAAGCAAATGAGTTATAAAAAGGATTGCTGCCGAATGACTGCGCACATGGTCGAGATCTTCGTCCGTTCCAATCGCGACAATCTACATTTTCAATCCAATCCCGTACAAAGTCAAACAAGATGCTCCCTTTCTGATATTACAGGCCCGAGGCAACGACCCCTGTGGCATCCAGCCTAGTCCTTCTTGGCCACCTTCTTCTGCTTCTTCTTTGGTGTACCATCCTCGGTCGCGCTCTGCTTCTTGACTGCCCCACCAGCCTTTTTACCCTTCTTTGTCGCAGTCACAGACTCGTCAACGGTGCTGGCCACCTCGCTGAGCTTTCGCTTCTTGTCCGCCTGCTTCTGCTGCTTCTTGGCCGCCTGAGCCTCTTTTGCCTGGGGGTCGACGAGGAGCAAAAACTGGCCGAGCAGGGTAAAGACGGAACCGTTGTTGGCCAGTCGTTCGGTCTGTCGCAAGGTCAGGTCGATGTTCCGGAGATCTTCTACGGACCAGGCCTGGGCGAGCTTTTCTGGGGTGTCGAAGACAACTTGGGATAGTCGAGCCATCTGCAAACAGGCCTTGATGACCTCTTTGACACGGGGTGCGTTCCACGATCCAGCGGCGGAGCCCTTGGTTTCGAGCGCTTCGTACAGCACCTTTCGGCAGTCCTCTACGTACGCCTCGACGCTCCCCTTTTCACCGGCTTTGACCACGTTGCTGAACTGCTTGGCAACGGCACTCAACAGGTTCAGAGCACTGAGATAGTGGAAATCGTTGACGGCGTCTCCACGAGCATATCGAAGAATATCGTCCCGTAGCGCCCAAGCTTGAAGAGGTTGTCGCTCCAAGTAGGCTTGGAAGAAGGTGGGCGACAGCTTGCTCGTTTTTCTGCTCAAAAAGTCCTTCAACGAAGCCCGGTAGATCTCGGTGACGGCGCTCGCAGCGCCCTCGCTCTGAGATAGGTTGAACGCCTTGGCCATAAAGATGCTGACGTTGCTGCAAGCCTTTCCGACCTCTTTTGAAGAGGTCCTCCGAGCAGTGTTGTGAATGGCTTCCAGGGTCTTCTTGGCTGCCTCGACGTCCTCAATCACGGGGACTTCGACAGCGTTGCCGAATCGGCGGAGCAAGATGGCCTTGGCCTTCTCAGCCAGCGATTTCTCGGCAGGAGCGCTGCTCTGAGAGAGCGTCAAGAGGATGGGGATGAACGAAAGGACCAAGGGGTTGGTCTGTTGTTTCCGCAGATAGATCTCGACGAGATCGAGGACACGCTGCTTGAAATGCAGGGCTTCCACTGTGAGGCAATATAGGCCGAAATCAGCGCGACTGATCATAAGGATCATCCATATGCTTGTATCTTACCAGCGCTGTTTCCCTTCTTGCCTGTCCGCCTCTCTTTGAAGATCGAAGCCAGTTTTTCGTCCAATGCCAACATCTGGTCATCATCCATCGAGATGGACTCCTTGTCAGACTCGGAATCATCGTTGTCCTCGTCAACACCATCATCTTCGTCTTCGTCGTCCTCCATGGCATCGTCATCCTGATTTCCATTCATTTTATCGCCACCTGACATTCCGGCCACTTGCAAGGCTTCAGCCACCCGTCGGCGGAATTCGGCGTCAACCTCCATGTTGTCGTCTTCCTCCTCAACAGCGTCATCTTCAGACTCGCTTTCCTCTTCATCCTCTTCGACTTCGTCCTCGTCCTCGTCCTCAACTTCATCGTCGCTCTCGTTGCCATCTCCGGTCTGCTCCAATTGCTGTTGACAGGAATAGAACGAAAGCGTCAGCGCAAGCGATGACATGATGCGTATTCGGTCGTACGTACAGCGATCAGGTGCTCGATCGTTGAAGGTTGCACCTCTGAGGATAGTAGACCGAAGACCAGGCTCGCGAGCGATTTGAGATCACTGGAAGCCTTGTCGAGGTACGCAATGAGAACATCAACAAGCAAGTCGAGAGGTGGCAAGGGTGCTTCCGACTTGGATGATGACGCTGCCGGTTGCGACAGAATGGTGGCGCAAGAAACGATATCCTGGAAACGTTGATACCAGGTGAGCCTTCTCCTTGTCATCAATTGAAAGGTGCCAACTTGCCTCGAGGCTTTCGTAGGCCTTGACATCATCTCCGTAAGTCTGCAAAAGACCGAAAGATAAAAGAACTTCGACACCCTTTTTTACGTCCGAGGATAGCGCAGAAGCCTAAGAAGCGATCCAATATCAGCATGTATACTGGGGATTTGACAGGCAAGCGTAATCCGTACTTCTCGCACATCCTTCAAGGCCTTTGATGCTTTGGAGCGGTCCGCAATGATCTCGTCGTCGACGTCGATTGCCAACGAAACGTGCTTGTTGTCCTTCTCCAACTGCTGCAAAGTCTCCAGAGCTCGGGACAGCCACAATCGACCCTGCGAATCGCATCCCTGCAGCTTGGTGGCTCGGTCTTCTTCTGCACAACATCAGAAGGAGGTGAGTTCTCGGAAGACATGGCTTGTGGGTACGACAGAGCTGACCTTTGATTACCCTCGCTTGCGTTGTGAGCTCAATGATAGCAGAGAAGAATCGAGCTCGACAGACTGTGGCGCTGGCTTCAGAGATGGGTGGTTGAGGACGGGTGTGAAGCTTTCAGGTGACAACAGTCAAGTCAGCCGCAAATTCGTAGTCATTGCCATTGCAGTGACATACAACTTCGTGCTTGCTCTTCTTGTTGACCTTGTCCAGAATGAACAGTCCGTGAGCAAGCAGGAAATCGAGAACGGTAGAAACCCATGAATCCTCTTTCGGCAGAGTCGGGCTTCGAATCAAGGCGAAAAGCTGTTCGAACGCCCAGGCTCGCCTGGTCTCGATGCTGGAGCCGTCGACCCTACCATTTCAATCGATCAGCGGCCGTATGATCTCGGCCGAATCCTGTATGACTCACTCGTCATTCTCGGCCGTCTCTAGAACCAGCTTGGTCAAGAACTCGACGTATTGCTGGACTCCGTCCGTATTCAGGTTGCCCATAATGTTTTCCACCGTCTTGGTTCTGGTGACCTTGTCGAAGTTTCTGGAACCATTCTTGCCCAACAACTGAGACAGCAGGGCAAATCCGACCAGAGAGTTGCTCTTCGTGACGTCCTGTACTTGCTTGGCCTACGATAGATCGCGGGTTTGTTACTTCGGCCGCCAGATAAGCGGATTGCGAGAGATTGGCTTACAATACGCTGGGCAGCTTTGTGTAAGTAGCGATCCTCACCCGACAGGTGGTTCATCCAGCACTTCATGAAGTTTTGAGTGAAGATGAACGGCAGCATCTCGTCCGACAACAAAGGCAACGCCTTGGAAACGACCTCGAAACCCCAGTATTTCCTCTGGGGCGTAGAAGTTGGCGCGAAAAGGGTTTCTGCGGAACTTCTCGTAAGTATATACTCGTTTCCATCGTCCATCAATACGCTCACCATCGACGGTTATGCGGTAGAATTCCTGGAAAGCAGCTTTATCCTTGAGGCTGGCCTTCTTGGCATCTGCGCCGAGGTACATGTCGAGGATGATATCCCAAATGAAGTGAACCTTGGGTTTCCAAGATCCAGTAGTCAAGGTCGAGGCCACGGGAGCGCCTGATGGGGCTGCAGGCTCGATGGACTCGTTTGTCTCCTGCGAACAGGACAACCCAGATCCAAGTCAATAGCGTGCCAGTCGACCACGTCTCAAGAGCTGTACTCACCTTGAGAAGCTTGCCGAGAATGGGAAGATTCTGCCCTGAAAGAATGATACCATTCTTGAAGGTCGGGGCCAAAATCACCTTCCAATTCAACTCCTGTTTCAGAACAGATCAATTCAGTCCAAGCCGCACGAACAGTGCAAAAATCGTGCGGGACTTACAGGTCTGGCTTCTTGAAGGATCAGAGTTAATGCAGCCTTGTCCTGGGTCCACTCCATTCCCCTATGCTTCTTGCTAGACTCCTCTTGCTCGCCAGTGGTACCGTACATACGTTGCAATACCGCCTTGACGGCGTCTTCTCGCCAGTCAACCTCACTGTGCAACAAGCTTTTGACTCCAGTTAGGACGGTCCACCATGCTGACTCTCGGATCCAAGACTTTTTCTCTCCAAGAGCCATCAACTCTCCGATACACAGCTTGAAGTCCTGCATCGTCGCCTTCGATTGGAAGAGTATGCCGGATTCCACTACAGCCGTCAGACCGAATAGCCGAGCAAAGAGGTTATCCCGCTCCTCCGTGCCCTTCATCGCATTTGATGTCTGAGATCCTACTAAGATGAGGGAAATCACATGCTTCGGTGAGACGGTGTCGATGGTAGCCAGTAGCTGAAGCGGATTCAACGAGGCTGATCAATAAACCCGGTTCCCGTGCTAGCAGCGCCGGATCGTTATAACTAACCTCTGTCAGCACAACGGCAAACCCAAAACGACTGTTCTCTCGGGAACTCGCAAGACCTCTGATCAATCGCTTGATAGAGTATCTGACATCTTCGGAGTTGCGAGTTTCGAAGATACGATCCAGCTTGGCGATCTCGGCGTCCTCCTCATCCATCTCTCTCGTCCTTTTCGGCTTGTCATCCATGTCATCGTCCTCGTCCACCTCGACCCCAGATTCATCGTCCTCCTCGTCTCCATCGTCTTTTTCGTCCTCGTCGTCAGAGGCCTCCATCAGTTCATCCCCGGCAGAGGTACTCTGTTTCGCCTCATGCTGTTTTTGAAAAGTGTGCAAGGCTGTTACCAGCTCTTCTGACGCATCTAGTCGCGACTTTGTGTCGTTTGAGGATAATTGCCAGAACAAGGGCAATACATTGGAGGCCATGTTGAGTCTGCCTTGCTATTTCGACGGGCCTTTCGGTATGGTTACAACTTCGGTCGACCTTGTTACATGGTTCACATGCATGTCAAATCGATAGATCGCTCAAAGTGTACCCTCGCGTTCAGAAATTCCGGATGCCGGGAGTTGGATCACGTGACGACTCCATCAATGCGCGATCATCACGACATGCGAGGTAAAATGTTCTATCTACAAAGTGGGGGTACTTGTTCTTTTTACGCTTTAGCTTGAATGATCGGTTCTTCCTCGGGAACCGATTTTGTGGGCACGCTGTCGTGCAACTGTGCATTCCAAAGGTCGGCATACACTCCTGAATCGATTTCCATCAGTTCCGAATGAGTGCCCTGTTCAGCCACATATCCGTTCCTTAACACGATGATGAGATCTGATCAGAGCGATGCCCCAACGCATTAGTAATCGCGTTGGTTTTGCACGACGAAAGTAAGTAGCCATACCTGCATCTGCGATCGTGCGCAATCTTCCGGTTGCAAGAAAAGCCTGTCAGATCGAAAGTGGGAAAGCTTGGAAGTCACAACTTACCTATGAGCGATGAAGACGCTCGTCCTGGTTCCGTCAATCAAAGTCTCGTTAATGTTCCGCATCAACTCGGTCTCGGTGTACACGTCCAGAGCAGAGGTCTTTTGAACGTCGGTTGAGCGATAATCAGCATATGCGCAGCATACGGGATGAACTATGGGATGCCTGCCTACCGCTTCATCGAAGAACAAGATCGGGGGGTTCTTGAGCAAGAGCCTTGCCACTGCCATTCTCTGCTTCTCTCCACCGGATACCATGAGACCTCGCTCCCCGACCTTGGTCTGGTACTTTTCAGGCAGGTTCTGAATCGTCTGATCCACCTGAGCCCGCTTGGCAGCCGCGACGACTTCCTCCTCGGTCGCTTCGAGGTTACCATAACGGATGTTGTGTAGTATATCCGAATGGAATAGCGGGGTATCTTGTGGCACCACTCCGATAGCCTTGCGAAGAGATTCGAGCTTGATATCTTTGATGTCTTGCCCATCGATCAGGATCCGGCCGGAATGGGAATCCCAGAACCTGAAGAGGAGCCTGAACACGGTGGATTTTCCACAACCGCTTGGTCCCACGATGGCAACCTTTTTCCCAGCAGGTATCGTGAAGGACATGTCCTTGAAAATGGGTCGATCCGGGTGGTATCCGAAACTGACATTCTCGAACCGAATCTCACCACCCTTGTACTCGAGCGGTCGGGCTTCTGGTCGATCGGTGATGTTGGCCTGAGCGCCCTGCAGGTTGTACATGACCTCCATGTCGATCAGACTCTGACGAAGTTCTCGGTAGACGGTTCCCAAGAAATTCAGTGGCAGCGAGAGTTGGAACACCAGTTGATTCACTAGGACCAGGTCGCCGACCGTCATAGTCCCTGCAAGAGGAGTCGAGAGCCGAATACTAAGTCCGTATCCACACATAGGAATTGTTCATTAACACACCTTTGATAATGCCTTGGGCGGCCAAGAACATCATCATGGTGAGTGCAGACGAGAAGATGAGGTTTTGACCGGAGTTGAGCAAGGCAAGAGAGGTCGAAATTTTGACCGAGGCGTCCTCATAGTTCTTGAGCGTCTTGTCGAATTTAGTGATCTCGTGGCTTTCGTTATTGAAATGCTGCAAAAGTGCTCGATCGTCTCAGCGGCAAAAAGATAATGGTGGTCGTCCGGAGGCCACTGACCTTGACAGCCTCGTAATTGATAAGGGAATCAACAGCCACAGTCGCTCCCTTGTTGTCTGCAGCATTTGCTTGCTTGCGGAATTTTGTTCTATGATGACCAGAGAAATCGGACATCTGGTATGACATCTAGCAGAACAGGGATCACTTACCGCCAGGCCGTAGTCTTAATTGTGAACCACGCGTATGCTAACATGGTCACAGCAGTCACGGCGGCGAAATTCCAACCGAATTTCCAGCTCTGCAGTAAGTCGTCTTCCGATGAGCCACGGTCAGCCATGGAAGGCATACTCAAGTGCTTACCAAGATACCGCAGACCATCGAAACCTCTAAAGCTGTCGGTATGACATGAAAGACAATTGACGAAAGCAGAAAGCTGATACCTCTAAACTCGGAAGGTACCCAACAAGGTAAATCAGCCCGCGTCGAGCATGTCAATGTGGCTGTTGCAAGGGCAGACGTACTTGGTGCCTCGGTCGATTGCCCGCAAAAGACCACCCGTCTGCCGTGTCAGATGGAAACCCATGTCCATATGGAGGAGGTGGGCGAACGTGTTCCTTGCGACCTGGCGAATGGCTCTCTGGGATACGCTAGCGAATACGGCATTCCGAAGTTCCGAAAACAAGGTCGAGAAGATCCTGGCCAGTGCGTCTATGCGATACGGCGAGCTGTTGGCAAGCTACGCGGTGTCGAAACGAACAGGCGAGAAAGATCACTTACAACCAGTAATTGCGGTTCCTCCGATGACCCATACAGTGGTGTCCGCAGTGATTTCGACATTCAGGGCGTCGACGATATCCTTGAAGAAAAACGGCACTTGCACGTTCAGTATCTGATATGGCAGAACCGTAACAATTTCATCAGCAGATGTCTCAATTCCGATATGCCATGCATAGCTCACTTTGCCTGCAACCAATAGCCCCAGCGCCCCAACGACCCGGGCCTTGATCTCCCACTCTCCCTTCGGCCAGATGTTGCTTGCCAGACGCTTTATTATCTTCCAGTCCGTCAGGCTCTGTTGCTTGTCTGACACTTTCGAGGCGTCGTCTGTAACCAGCTCTTTTGCAAGGTCATTAGAGGACTTTGAAGGTGTTGGTACAGGCTTGACAACACTTGACTGTGTAGTTCTATCTTCCTGAGTCGAGAGTTGTCGGTAGTACCGTTTCTGTCCGAGACCATTACAGGCTTGAACTAAGGCTAGCCGGCTTTTCCGATATTCATCGTTAAGAGGAACGACCGATCGGAGAGACCATTGTGCTCTTGCGCGATCCGTATATGGTCTCAGTCCAGCATCGAGCAGTGAGGACCCTCCCGAGCTTCTTGATAGCCTACCGCAGGCCGTTGACCCGCTACAAGCTGACCAAAGAGGTGGTCTGCCCATGCAGGCCGCTAATCGGATGGTCATTGTAGACCCGTCTCTTCAGGCGGCGTTGCTGAACGATCTTGCTAGGACCTATGAGCAACGTTGCTGTCGACGTTCCCAGTTTGTTAAATGAGATCCGAGCCTAGTCAACAACGTCTCTAGATTTCTATGGTGATCCAAGGCCTATCGAGGGAATTGCGGTCTTGCGAGACTCTATACCCCTCGCTATATATATATACAGCAAGCGGGATTTGGGCCCCGGGATCTGGGAGGATCGACTGATTGAAATGACCGGAAGCAAAAGACAGGTAGTGACGTCTTGGCAGACAGCTGCATGCATGCTGGTCGGAAGACTTTGATATATCGACAACTTCATATCTCGACTTCGATACAAATCGGATTATCGGGATACAAGCAGTCGGACCGGTATCCATAGATAACAACACCTGGATTGACCTCGAACAGCCGGTCGAAGACTGAAAGTGGGCACGGCAGGCAGACGATCAAAGGTAGAAGAATCGCACCGAAAGACGCCGCAGGATCGAGCGGCACGAAAGACTATTTCCTCTCATAGGAATCTTGTTCTTGGTGTTGGAACATAGCTCTCAATGAGCTCTAGTAACTTCGGTAAGCAACACGTTGCCAAGACATGGCCTGTGTAGCAAATTGTCTGACAGGAGGCATAACCGACTTACACTCACAGCGAATGACTTGATGTCAGTTGATTGCTTGATATACGAAACCCACATGAGCTAACGAGACCGTGTCCACAGAGAGTACACCGCTCGAGTCAGGTGAGCGCCTCTTGCTATCATTTCTACTCAGAACGGATGCTGATCACATTCATATAGCGTTCTTTGCGATGTGACGACCCAGGCCGCCAGAACAGCTCGTCAACAGGCTTCCATCCGGAACTCACTACCTCAATCTACAGGTCAAGGCGGTGGCGGCTCCTCCAGTGATGCACTTAGCATACTAGGAAGTCTGAAGGATGCCGTTGGTATGGCCAATCAAAAGTCGAAGCCGAAGCTAGGGAAGGAAGTTCTGAAAGGATTAGAGTCTCGGTTAAGAGCAGTGGCAAAGGGGGAAGACCCAAAGTGAGTTATGTGGTCGAGCATTCTCTGGACATGATGGCGGCTTAGACCAAGGCTTCAGATATAATGGCGACGCTTTCCGCCGCACATCAGCCATCTTTTGGGGGAATTGGCACAATCCGGATTGGGTCAAAACGATGAGGGAGAGCCGAAGTCCAGAAGACTTCATCCTACCATTCGTGACGTGCACCGTCAAGACTGTCAAGAAGGCTCCCGACCTTCCGGAAAGCCGACATAACGCAGAAGTTAACGATCAGATCCGACAATTCGTGGAAATTATGCGGGCTACCGTGGCTCAGGCTGCGCCCCAGCTCACAGACGTCTTGCAACGACTCGACGGTTACCTGTCCAGTATGAAGCCGCAGCCTGAGGCGGAAGAGGTGTCGCTCTACGAACCTGGGGACCAGATACAGATGGCAGCGACCGCTTTGAGGGTTTTCGACATCCTGGACGAGTCGGAAGTCAAGGGGAAGAGTCGTGCTTTGAAGGGCTTGAGCAACGCAAAGGTGAGTTGCAACTCTAGAAGGACTGTCAAAGTCTAGATTATCTCATGTATCTGGGTTCCTCTGTAGAATGCTATCAGAGATATCCAAATACAGCTGGATCTACTGTCCGCGGGTCATGCTGCCTTTGCCGAAGCGAAAGACTTCATGTCGCCTGCTGGATACGACGCTTGGAGTTCACAAGAAAAGGCGGATCTCGAGGAGCGTAAAACGTATTATGTGGCCTTTCTGCAGAATCGACCTGAGTCCATCAGCGATGCAAGTCTCGCATCAAGCACAAATCTTACGTTCATCCCGGCAGAACCTCGCAAATATTATCTGGACCTCCTACGAAGATGTCTAGACGTTGATCTCGACGACATGGCCAATCTGTCCGATACGGATATGGTCTCGCTAGCAATCTTATCGGAGCCGCATATCGCCTTGTTGGACGAGGTTGCCGGACATTGGCGGATTTCGAAAGCGACCAAGCTCACCGCACACGCGAGTTTACTAGTCGACTTGCTCCGAGAGGATGGCGTACCGGTAGAGTGCGTCGCCGAAGCCTTGACTAAGCTTCGGCAATATGTCCAACAGGCGGACAGGGATCTTTGGCTCAGGCAAGATGTGAGTGCGACTTGCTTCAATCAGGAAAATAGGTCATCCCGTTGACGTGTCTCGTGCCAAATTCAGATAACACTGCTCTTCGACATGCTCGCCAAGGTCGCCGATCACGTAATCACCCTGCTCGGCGAGCTAATGCATCAATACGATCAAGCGCCCCCTGAGAGGGTCAACGAAATCTGCGATCTTCTGCTCATACTGGACGACCTAGAGGAAATCGACCCAAAAGGCGTGGCCGGAATCCGGGCTAGATTAGAAGGCAGGATATCGGCACTTAGCGGCCTAATCACGCAAGTCGCGAGACAACGGTACAGGCAGAAATGGGATAAGCGAGCAGACAGCCTGGGTTTGGCTCTGTTCGAGACCGCGAAATGGATTGAAAAGCACGCCAAAGCTCTAGACAAGCGGTATCCAGTCAGCATTCTAGAGTGAGGTCTCTTCATAGCTTGCTTGGAATCGGTGGTCGTTATCGGAACTGACATCCGACCGGCAGCCAACTCGACGTATTGCCTTTAGTGTTGAAGGCTCAAGTACCCACGTTTGCGAGAGATCTATATCTGTTGCGCCAGGCTCATATGGCGACCGGTAACAGCCAACCGGACAATAACGCCTTGGAGGCAGATGACGTGTTTCAATTATACAAGACCGTCAACAAGCTTGGCGACCTCTTCCGCGCCTTTGTTCCCGGGTAAGCAGACCTGTGCGATTCAACATGGTCGACCGATCATCTGACACCCTCTGCGAGCAGAGCAAGTCTGGGCGTAGACGTCAACCAACTGTTTGAGCCTTTAGTTCTGGCATGGCTTCGAAGAATGCACATGGAAGTGCGACAGTGGGTAGATAATGTATGTGACGACCTGCCTGTAGTGGATATACACACCGCTCACGCTCCATCTACCGACAGGCTATCAATCTAGATGACGTGAGTACCATTGTCTTAGACTGTAGACAGCAATTCCTCACCGCCTCATTCTTCTTGATAGTTCGCCTCTCGTCAAGAGGATGGATGCACCTCGTCTGTACTGGACGTATTTACATCGTTGCACAGCGTAGTCAAGGCGGTCAATGATCTGAAATGGTCTGATGAACGGCGCCATGCGGACTTTGTCGCTGAGGTTTCACTCGTCAGTATAGCAAAATCGGGGTATGCGTCTCAATCCACTAAACATTCGTTAACCCTACCAGATCGTGATGCTCGTTGTCACACGGTATGGCGAAGCCTTGAAACACAGGTTCATCTCGGAGATAGCGGAGGTGAAGGAACTGCCAGAAGCACCCACCAGCGAGATAGGATGGATGGCTATGGCCAATCGCGTAGCGAGGAGGGAGAAGCCGGTTATCAAGCCCTTTGACTTTTCGCCGTCTGTGAGCTGGATGCCCCATCCCTACAATCTGAGGCGATCTGCTGATGATCCTGCATGAACAGATCTGCTTGAAGCTAAATGACATCGAGAAGGCCATGACCGAGCTCGACCGACTGTATTGGGATTTGGAAATCGACCGCTACGTCGACGGACACTCTATCCACACGGCTGGCGGACATTCATCCTTATACAGCTTGCGCGTGATCAGAGCTGATTTGAGCGCCGGAAATTATGGAGACGAGGCCATGCTGAAGACACAGGTCGTATTGAGTGATGAGAAAGGTCAGACCGTTGCTGTTACGCGTATCGTTCCGGATACAGCCTATCCGCGATGTGAGTAGAACGCTAGAGCCTGAACCTTGAACTTGAGCAGAGATACTCACTCGGGACGTTGCGCACGATAGGGGAAGAGAGCTTTGATGTCAGTTGCGAAAGCCGGATGTGGTTGATGGCTAGTATACACAATCACGCCAACGACGACCCGCGGGCTGGGCGTGCATACGTCAAGCTCGATGAGAAGGCCTTCCCAGAAATGGTAGCTCGCGATCTTTGGCTTCCGCTTGATACTGGCGGCAGACTGCTCCTTCGTCTGAGCCGAGAACGGGAAAAGGATGATGCACAGTTTTACTTTGGCAAGGCTTTCCGGCGCCTCAAACTGATTGAGGGGGAGATGGTGCGCAACTGCGCTGACAAGGCAAGTCGGATGTGCTATAATGCCACCAAAGTCAGCTTGCTAATAGGATTCCTGTCTGTAGATGACACCTTTCATCCGGTCGTGCCTCTCGCGGAAAACGCTCAAAAGGCTGTTCCGAGGGTCTACTGGAGCGATGCCTACGACTACCAACGAAGCGCTGAACAAGATTACGGCGGCTTATCGATCGGCAATGTCGCAGTCCGAGAACCTCATTCCTGCCGTCAAGGAACGGAACCACTCGAAGATCAGCCAAAAACTGACGGATGTGCAGATAGAGAGTGCTATCGGCCCTTTGCTAGATTACTTTGACGACAACCTCCAGGTACTGAGCGGGTCACTGTCAGCCACAAATCTCAGGGCGGTGCTGCTACGGCTGTGGAAGGAGATCATCTTGGCCATAGAGGACATGATTGTCCCGCCGTTGTCTGATCGACCGTCCGATATGCGGCCTCTAACAGACGGGGAGCTAGACGTGGTTCTCAAGTGGTTGAAGGTACATCATCTCAGAGCTTTAAGCTAGACGCGATACTGAAAGTAGTACTATGTCGCAGTTCTTGAGGGACTACTTCTACGCATCAGGGGACAGCAACGGTATCCCTCTCGAGGAGTTGCAAGTGCAAGCATATCAAGAACTCCTACGGGTCAGGATCTTTTACGATTGGCCAACAGATGACTTGATGGAGGCAAGTCCGAGTCACTTCAAGTCGCCGTTCGAGCTCAAGCTGATTTCAGATCGGGACTTTAGGAATGCGTGCGTGACTTTCAGAAAACGCTCAAGACCACCTATGCCATCCGGGGCCGCTCGAAAACGATCAAGTCGCAACGAAACCTAGGCACCATGAAGCGAGACCGCGAAGAACGACGTCGCCAGCAGAGTGGAGCGGGAAGCAGCGAGATGATATTGAGGGTTTTGCGCATGAGGTATGTCTGTCTGCAATTGTACGGGTCGTCCTAGCTTTGCTGATCGTCCCATCACGATGATGGACAGATCTGGCACACAAGAATTCTTATCCGACCAACTTCGTACAATGTATCGTTCAGACTAATCATGACAGTGGCAGTGGAGCATCCAAGTAGATTGAACTACACAAGCATAATTGTAGCATGTCTCACAGGACTTTGTAATTATTTAGCTACCTGCTCTGAAACGGGGGCATGTAAATAGCTCATGTCCGCGTTGCGCGGGAGATCGACCTCCACATTGAACTCGCTGCTCGTTACGATATACGATACTCTTGAACTGTTTGGACTTCTACAACATGCCATCTGCTAATCAAAGGCTCACAGTACAGCAGCAGACATCATCTTTATCATGGTAAGTTGGCTAAATTTATATATAAATACATCGTAACCTCGCTCACCCTGCTAGGCTTCTCGATAGTCAGTAACGCTACACACCTCTCTGGGTGATATCAAGGTTAGTTGACGGCCGAGTTCGTATGCACGCTTCTGTCTCTATACTGATCCCTTACCATATCTGCAATCATAGATTGAAGTGTTCTGCGAAGCGGCACCGAAAGCGGCAGAGGTACGGTACTGCTAGATAGACATCGCTCAACGCCAGACTGATCTGCAAGTATCACACAGAACTTCCTAGCATTATGCGCTTCAGGAGCATACGATAATTGTCTCTTTCATCGGTAAGACCTGAGCCCCATATCTGGGTTATTTGAGCTGGTGATGCTTAACACGATGATGGCCTGACAGAAATATCAAAAACTTTATGATACAAACCGGAGATCCAACCGGTCAGTTTGACGCAGATCTGCATGTTTGACGCGATCAGTCTCTGATCAATAATTGGACGTTGTTAGGCACCGGCAAAGGAGGACAGTCGATCTGGGGCAGTCCCTTTGCAGATGAGATCCGGCCGACGCTCAAAGTCAGTTTCAACGTGGCTTACCTCGTGCTGTCCGGGTCTGATCGAGCCTTTATACATTTACAGTTCAATTCTCGTGGAGTAGTCGCCTGCGCAAACGCTGGCCCGGATACCAACAAATCGCAGGTGAGCGGCCTTCTCGATAGATTGCTTCTGAAGATTCACGCTGACAGCAAGACCTTAGTTTTTCATCACATATGCCAAGCAACCATCTCTCGACGGAAAATATACCATCTTTGGGCGGTATGTGTTGATCTGACGTCTGTGTCAAGTCTTAAGTACACTGCTGAAGCCCATTCCTTGCAATCCCATGTACACAGAGTAATAGACGGATCAGATTCCACCCTGGAAACCATGGAGAAGGTCCCAGTCAACCCAAAAAACAGGCCGCTGCATGAGATTAAACTCGAATCGGTGAGTCTCGTTGCGACTCGGTACACCCTCTATGTGCTTATGCTTCTTGTGGTCATTTCAGATCACAATCCACGCCAACCCGATCGCAGATGCCGCTCGATAGAAGAAAGCACGAAAGTATTGTCGTCATCTTGGTTGTATCTATTATCATGCTCAGCGCTGTCTATTCTATCGTTCCAATTTCCACGTTCCTCATACATCTCGTATTTTACCGTGACCCTCAGAAGTCGTGTTGTTATCCATATCGTTTCAGCACAGAGCAGCCAAGTCTGCTTTCCCATCGATCAGGCTTCGAAAATACGGCCAGTGCTGACGTTGAGCTGTGAGACGAGATGATCAATATCGTCAACCTCGAGATGGATCACCCGCTTGACTCACCCTAGTCCACTTTTTCCCCTGCCACCAACGGGTAGTCAACAAGTAAGGCCAAAAGACGTGCCACAATACCAAAAACGGAATCGGATCGTCAGCGATCAAGGTCGGATCGACCCTGAGCTGCATGACGCCCTCTTGCGGGAGGATTTTTTTCTTCTGGTCCCAGGTCAAGTGACAAGCCGGGAGGGAAGGATGGATCATTTCCAGGATCTCGGCGAAGGGCAAGACGTAGGGCAAGTAGCGCATGATGAGATCGTTGTAGATCCACGACCTCGGCACGGTACCGGGAAGAGGCTTCAACACCTTATCGACGTGGAAAGACTCGTGCGGGGCTGGGTACACCGAGGCCAGTTGAGAGAGGGGCAACAGGATGATGGCGGTATGGACCCTAGGATTGCACTCGATCGGGTACATCTCGCCGTTCCTCTCGGACAAGATGAAATCGAACGAAAAGTGACCGGTGAGACGACGCTTTTTGCCACTGGCGATGGGGTTCTTGGCGAGCCTGTCAAGGAAATCTCGGGTCCATTGTTCTGCCCGTTTTCCGATCTCTCGGTTGGTCCAGTCCTCATAGGTCATGAGCATGTCGTTACTAGGCGCAGTGACGAAAGCGGTGATCTGGCCATCCACGACCGAGGCGTGTGTACACCATTCTGTGGAATCATGCAAAGGATTCCACGTCAGTCACCATGTTTACCAAGGACTTGAAACGTGCCGACGCGACTGACCTTGACCGGGAATGTATTCCTGCAGGACGTAGGGATACTTTCGGCTCATCTTCAGCTTGAGTCCGTCAAAGTGTTTCCTAGTCTTGCTCATCTGAGCATCGTCCCCAGCAAAAGGGTACGTCGTCAAATCCCCCCTGTTCTCGTCGAGCTCGGTACATTTGATGATGAATCCAACACCCCGACCGTGCTCGTCCTTGGCTTCAGAGTAGAGGAAGTCCATGGCCTCGTCCACGGAATAGACGAGTTTACCACGAGGAACAGGGAACCCGAGCGAATCAACCAGGTTGATGAACTCGTCCTTGTCGTGCAGTTGAGAGATGGTCTCGGGGTCCTGGATGAAGGTCTTGCATCGGCCGCCCGTCTTGACCGACATGGTCTCGGCGGCTTTGGCATCCTCGACCTCGGAAGCGACTCCGCAGACGGGAAGGAAGAGATCGACGTGGTGTTCGATAGCTAGGGAGATGAGCGAGTTGGAGTATTGCGTGTAGTTTTTCGAGGCCGAAGGGAGAAGGTGAAACGAGTCGACCGAGGAAGAGTACTTCATCGGGCAGTATTCACCCCATCTGTGAATACATGAGAGGTGTCAAGGGTGAGACCAGGCATTGACGACATTTCGATCCCATTGAACTCGCCCAGCTTCCTCGACCCCGATAACCTTCCATCCGGCACGCTTGAAGGCCCGAGCGAGACTGATTTGAGCGAAGACCTGACGTGAGCGCTTCTCACAGAGTTCTCGCACGACCAACCGAAAACTCACGTCAGACTCTTGGTCATCTTGCCTCCACTAATCATGACGGTTCCCTTGCTCTTCCTCTCACTAGCACGCTTCGTAAGCACTCTGACCGACTCGTCTTCCCCGGAAAAGAGGTCCTTGAGGATACATCCTGCGACGGCCGATAAGGAGACTGGCAAGAGGGCGAGCGAAAGCACCGAGAGGAGGACGCTCGACGCAAAGTCCTGGGCGTCGGACGGGGTCTGCCTCATGTTGTCTAGAGGTGATGTGACGAGATGAAAAGTCGACGGGATGCAATCGTTCTTGTCTACAGGTTGCAGGTTGCTAGTTGAAAGGAGGTAGTTGTGTCGAAACCTTCTTGCCAACCTTTGGCGATATGACGTTCCATCGATGCCGCCGATAATTGCTTCCGCGATCAGAGATAACCTCCCGCTTACGTCACGATCGATTGTTTACTTTGTGTGTGCCAGCTCATCACCCCGATTCTCGACCTCGATCCTCCGATCTTCGTGCAAGACCCAGCTAACCGAAGCCAATCAAGCCACAATCGTCGCAAAGTTCGATCGAGTTCGATGATCGTTCTACTGCTGCGAAATTTCTCGAAGAACAGCCCATGCGGGTTCCCGCTTGACAACTGTAGGAGCTGGGTAGTCCAATAAATAACAGGACGAAATCGGTCGACCACATGAAGCGTTTGGACCGCAAGGAGGTGAAGCCAAAAACCAAGTTTGCAAGGAAAAGTATTCATTTGTATGCTCGATGCATTCACCCATTTACATTGTCATGATAGAAAAATAACCCTAGAAAACACCAACTTTGAGAGACCCCTCGAGAGAGAGAAACTCCCTTCTTTTGTGTTGCAGCGCACTTCCTTTCTTTGAGTGGGTAGTGTTACACAGTCCATTTCCCGGCGAGAAGAGGGTTCGCATCCCCTTCCCGCACGGGTCGTTATTCGTGTACGGTTTGTATTTGTCGATTCGCAGAAAAGAAAAGCCGAGATATTGAAGACCGATCCGTCGAGACCCGAGAACGCAGAGCCTCAGTCATGTTTGACTGAAGACCCTGTTCAGGCGGTTCCGTCCTGACCGTTGACGATCTGGCCGTTCGAGTTGACAGCGGCACCGGCGGCGACGGCGGCCTTGGCAGCCGAGCCGTCGACCTTCTTGAGCGAAGGAGCGGTTCCGTTGCCGTGCGAGTGGTCGCATCCACCGGAGAGGGTCTCTCCGCCGTTCTTCTTGTTCTCGATGTACTTCTCGACGTCCTCACCCAAGTCACTGAGAGGGAATGGAAAAGGTGATAGAATAAGTCGGTTGTCAAAGATGATGATGTGGAAGTACGAGACGAAACTCACCCAGAGTCAACGTAGGCGTCCTGTCCCTTGTAGTTGGGGAACCTGTCGGCAACAAACTTCTTGTGGGTCTCGAGGACCTTGGCGAGCTCCTCGTCCGAGACATCGTTCAAGAAGGTGCACTTTCCGAACTCGCCGTCGGGAACGGCGAACCTCTGCTTTCCGTTTCGGGTCTTCTCGATGGCTCGGGTAGAGAGCTGCAAGAGCTTGGCGTCGAACTGGGGGTGATCGATCGAGAGTCCGACCTGGGTGGCGAGGGTGAACCACTCGTCACGCATAGCGTCGGTGAGCATGCCTCGAGAGTGGGCGAGGGTGATGGAGTAGGCCATGTCGATCATGATAGCGTGTCCGTGCCCTGTGGTAAAGAGATGTAAATGAGTGACATGGTCTGATACGAATCGTCACATGGGACACTTACTGAGGGGAAGGGGCGAGGTTCCCAACTCGCAGGTAGGGGACCAAGAGTGACCGAAAGCGATGACACGGTCGAGCATCAACTCGTGCAAGTTACCAGACTCGAGCTGCGAGATGAAGGAAGAGGGACTGTCAGCGGCCGACCGTGACTGATGAAAGTGAAACGCTACCACATACCCTGAGCATCTCCTCGATTCCGCTCTTGCAGATGTCATCACCGATGGCCTTCAACTCCTTGTCGTCGTTCTTGAAACCGTATCCGGTCTCGACGAGCTGCTTTCCGTGCTTGACCAAGAGGTCCCAGATCCTCTTCTCGGAGACGGTGCAGATCTTGATGAGCTCGGCGGTTCCGTTTCGGACCTGACCCTCAGGCAAGGTCTTCAAGAAGGAAAAGTCGAGATAGGTGTCGACGGGGGCGAAGTAGGCACCTGGGGAGCGGAAGCAAACAGCGCATTACGTCAGCGTGACGTGTCGACGTTGACCGAGGTGACGATGCGACGCGATGAGAATGCGCTGGCAGGGGAACTCGAAAACTCACCGAGTCGGTTCTTGAGCTTCTTGTGGTTAAGACCGACCTTGATCGAGACGGAAGCGTCGATCAATCCGATCAAAGTGGTAGGTACTCGGATGAAGGGAGTCGATCGCCTGTAGCTGGCACAGACGTAACCGGCGACGTCGGTGACGAGACCACCTCCGACAACGAGGAGGGGCTCCTGTCGGACGAGTCCGGAAGCGTCGAGGAAGTCGACGATCTCCTCGAAGGTCTGTCGCCATGAGATGGGATTCGGCCGGGGATGAGCAAGAGAGTTCGCGCAGCAAGGTTTCATGTCCACCCTGTACTCACGTCCATGTTCTTGTTGAGCTCACCACCGTTGATGAGCTTGAAGTGGGCGGGGACCTTGTAGTGGGCAAAGTACTCCTCGATGGGCTTCTGGTAGATACCGGCGACGACTGCGCAGAGTGAGATACAACAGCCGTCAGTTCATGCTCAACTGAACATGCGCGCTCGACACGTCGGACTACGCCCAGAGCGAACACTAAACTCACTCTTGTCGAGGACGATGAGGACTCGGCCCCATGGCTTGTAGGTCTCGGCGAGCTTGGCGTGGCTGATGTCGAAGACGGGGGAGACGTAGTGGAAGTTGTAGTCGAGCTTCTCGCTACCGTTGACCTTGAGACCGGTGGGGGTCTTGACGACGTTGCCTGACATATCGGAAGACATTATGGAAGAGTTTTTATTTTCGTTGAAGTTGAGTTCAGGGGAGGGGTGAGGGATCAAGTGTTGAAGATGGAAGAAGCTCGTCGAGTTGAAGAAGAGTTCGTTGAGAGAAGGAAAAGAGGCAAGACTGAAGTTGTGCGACGAGACCTGAACGAACGTGTCGAGCCTGGGTGGTATATGTACAATTCGGGTCGAGCCCTGAACCCCGCTGCCACAGCATCATCGATAGACCCGATCGATCCGAAAGGTTCGCTGACGAGAGCAAGCCTGGGGGGTCCTACGATCCCCCTTCTCAATTGCCGTGGCACCCTATTCCTCCAGCTATACGCCCCGGTGGCAGCGGAATGACAGCGAGATGGGGGGTATGGTGGCTTGCCCGCCCGGGCCAGAGCGAGGGCAAGGACGATACCCGACGATTAAGAAAGCTTTCGCCTAGCTGAGGCGCTAATCCCTTAACAAACGCTGCGCTCGACTTCTGCCATGATCCATCCCCGATCGACGCATCGCCCGATCTAGCAATACTGGAAAGATCGATGACGAGAGGGGAGAATACTGCCGTCGGCACACACGGTCGTTGCGAGTCTACATGACACACACACACAAGCTCACCCGCACACACACAAGTCCCCAACCTTGCGCGATAGTTCCTGGAGGTTTGAGGCAGATTTGTGAGCTCCAGGAATGACTGGCAGCGCTGCCCCATGGCTTCTTTCCCCTTGTCGTTGCGCTCATTGCACCTGTAGTGCCGGCCTCTGTTGGAATCTCGATGAACAACATTCCGCGGAAGGAAATCCACACATCGACGATCTCGGGCCGGTTCCCATTGCCGCTATTCTCTCGCTGATCACGAATCCTTCCGCGGCTCTCACAAGAGCAATCGAGCTCGGGAAAACTCGAAAGGAGTTCGATCTCGATAGTATGACGGGGGATTCCGAAGGTTGGACTTGTGCAAGGAAATCCCAGCGATCACACCGATCACCGATCTGAACTGTGATACTGTGATGGTCCGAAGATGTCAAATCAAATCCTAGCATCTCCGCACTCGCCGACGTAATTGCAATTACGCAATTACCGTATCGTCAGACACTTCAGCCACCCGAAGCGTGGCGCCCGTAAGCAAGGTGTAATTCATCTCGGACATCGCATTCAAATACCATGTCCGAGAATCTAAACGAGCGATGATCCCCACATCCGCGGGTGGATAAGATAAACAAAAGAGGCGACGGGGGCGTCGGGTTCTGCTTCGCTGTTGTTTCCCTTGGCGACCAAAAGTAAGAAGGTTTCAAAGTGGGCGAGAGCGGTCTCTTTTCCTTGTCCCCCCGCATCTCGCATCTCGGTGAACATTGTCGAGTTTCATGTTATCAAACACTTCATCACACGTCTGGCTATGCTGGCTATTCTCGTTTGGTCTCTCGGCTTCGCCCTTGCCGGATGATGATGAGCGCGAGAGCACAAGGACGGTCAGATGCGTTACCTCGATTGTATTTGTTTTGTGTCCTAGGCCGCGGGCGAACGTGGCTGGCTCGACGCGACCGTGAGCTGTGCCAAGTTTCGCAAGGCGCGACAAGAAGAGGCACGAAGTCCGTCAAATATTCCGCGAGGTCGAAAGTCTTGGGTGGTCGTCGAGCCATCTCTCTCTGATGGGAGGGTAGCTCCATGATAAAATGATGTCGTATCGAATGTGATTGTCCGTGTTGCCTGTCTTACCAAACTCTCAGCATTTACTTCCCCCTGTCCACTACTACTGTTTGCCAGCGTGCCCGGTGCTCGCGTCATCCTAGATCCTCTTTCAACAAAGACCGACACGCTCTCTCTACCCTAGCTACACCCTCGAAACACTTGAAACGCACACCACGCTAGCTCTTTGTTGTGCTGTGCTCTTCCCTCGCTTGGCTCCCTCGTCGTCACCCTCCTTTCGCTCCTTTCTCGTCCTTTGGCCCCCCTTGGCCCTCCTTTTGATCTCGAACATCAAAACCGAGGAGTCGAACACGGATCAAACGCATCAAACAACAAACTACACCACCTCATCAATTCATCGATTCATCCACCTCCTTCACCCCACTCCCCACCCCCCGGACCCCCACTCCGACTCTCTTCTGGCAAGGACAACAAACAAACAGATTCGACACATCCACGTCGACCACCCACCTTCTCTTAGATCCCCAAACAATCGCTTTAGCTACCTGCTACCTCTTTGATCAGAGCCTCACTCGGACCCAAACAACAAACGAACAGATACACAGACTCGTACGTCGAGGTCACGAGAGCCAGACAAATAGTTCGCAGTCTCATCGTACCCCTCGAGGATCGTCTGTCCTTTCCAACAGGATCAACGCACCGTGCTCTTACTCTCTCTCTCTTACCTCGACCTTTCATCTCTCAATCCGGCAGTCCAGTCGTCTGTGCACCTTCACGAACGATAAGACAAGTCCTCGCTACATCAGTTCAGAAAAGGAACCGATAGATCATACACCTCTTTGTGAGTAGCCAAACCATCATCAACAACCTCTTCACTTTCGCAGGTCGACTTTCACATAGTACAGACTCGTTGATCGAGTTGCCCATCTCTTTTATCTTCTTCTACTACGTTCATTTCCACCATACACGTATACGACCTCGACGACTCGCCACAGCCCACTCCTTATATCCCTTTTCCGACACATCAGCTCAATATGCGTTCCTCCGGAATCCTTTCTCTCGCCTTGACCACCCTCGTCGGGATCTCGATGGTCTCGGCCGCTTCCCCTCACGGTAAATTCGACCGACGCAACCACAAGGCCATCATTGCCGACCGTCAGGCCAAGGAGGCCACCGTGAACGGTATTCCCGAGGCTGCCATCAGCAAGAGGACCGGCAAGGTCTCTCGAAAGTACAAGAAGAGGGGAGGCAAGATCTGTAGGGTCAAGGATGCTGCCGCCCCTTCCAGCTTGGCCTCGTCGTCCAGCTCGGCTGTCAGCAGTGCTTCCGCGACTGCTGTGAGTTCCGGGCTATTGTTCAGCGCTGCCATCCTTTTCCGACACTGACCCTCTCGCCTGCTTTTCCAGTCCTCTACCCAGAGTCAGAGCGAGTCCTGGGCTTCGTCCACCGCGGCTGCCACCCCTACCGTCGTCGCCGCCGTCTTGCAACCGGCCTCGACCACTTGGGCTTCGACCTCCTCGGATGCCCCTTGGGGAGGAAACTGGCACAACTCCCAGTCGTCTTCCTCGGCTTGGTCGTCTGACACCTGGGCCGCACCCACCTCGACTTCCAGCTCGTCCGCCGCTCCTTCGGCTACCCAGGCTCCTCCTTCCAACTCGGGGTTGCTCTACGCCGACGGACCGTGAGTGTCAAATTTGAAATCGCTGACGAAAGCCACCAGTCTTTGTGCTGACATGTACATTGCCCCGTCCTCGATAGCTGCGGTGCTAACCAGCCCTCGGCTGATCACCCTAACGGTGCCCCTTGGTGGCTCAACTGTGGGCTCGACAGCAGCGGTGGTTGGAACCCTCCCTCGATCAAGGCCAAGGATCTCATCTCCATCACTGACCCTTCGACCCACCCCGAGGTCTTTGGAGGGTGTTTGGAGTACCAGAGCATCTTTGCTGATGCTGCCGCCTCGTACAACAGTGAGTTTAGTCCGGTTTGACGCTTGCCGAGCTATTGGCCAACAACAACTGAGACGCCCGCTCGCCTCGTCCTCAGTGCCTACGGCCTTGTTGATGTCGATCGGTATGCAAGAGTCTGGATGCAAGCGCTCGGCCGTCGGTGCCCGTGGAGAACAGGGTATCATGCAAGTCGCCGGTAACGCCTGTGACAACCCGAGCGGGGACTGCCAGGAGCCTTGGTACAACATCCACAAGGGAGCCTCGATCTTGGTCGACAAGATGGGAGGTAACCCCGACGGGAACATCGTCTCGGCTTTGGGTCAATACAACGGATGGATGGTGAGTTTGCTGCGAGCGCTTCATCGCGGTATGAGCCTGTCTGATTTGTGTTCCTGTTACTGTTAACTCTGTAGCCCGGCATGGTGAGTCTCGAGATCCGCGTCACAGCAGGATTGCTTGACGCCCACTTATGCGTATTTTACTTCTTGTCATAGTACGCTGCCAACGGCGCTCAGTACGGTCCTCAGGGGCAGAAGGTCTCTTACCTTGACGAGTAAGCAATGACGTTGTCCTGTAGCCAATTGCTAGCCTTGCTGATAGCAACCGACTCTTTTACAGCATGCTCAACAAGTGGTTGCAAGGAAAGAGCAGCTACTAAAACTCCCGTTTTCTCTACTGTATCAAGCTCCAACAGGTCAGTCCGCGCTGTTGTTGTAAGCCGCCTGTCATACGATCACTGATTGTTTGCTTCATCTTTGATAGGCTGGTTACCCGAAAGAAAGCAGGGTTCCATACCGAGGCCGATCTCGTCTCCTTTTCCGCTCGCGACCATACCTGACCTTTTCCAAGACTCGCCCTCGATTCCCTTTCCTCTTTACATATGCGTCTGAGACGATACCCTGTTCCGCTCGTTCCCTGAAATGAAATGAACCATTTCCACAATCGTGTAGATTTTTGGCGTAGTCTCAAAGTCTGTGATCGTGCCCTTCGAGAGATGGGAGTTGTCTGCCACCCGTCATTGTCTCTGAATTGGCTGTTGTCTGCGCTCTAAGGAAAACCTGCCGGCCGAAACGGTGCATTGTCTTCTAGCGGCTAAAAACCTTGGCTGACATACCCAAAAGAATTTCATTGAGAGTGCAATTGTTTGTCCTCTTTCACTTCCACTTCCGCCCTTCCGTCTAAGAGGTCAAGATTGTAAAACGGACGAACAAGCCGAGTATGCGCGACGAGATGCCGCCATATGGGAAGATGAATATGGTATTTCCGCCATGCCTTGTCTCTTCATGTCTTGGTAGCGTCACCTAATTACCACCAGATCCACAACCGGCACCAAGCTGTCCGTATTCGCAAACCGTCTACAGGTCAATGGATCAGCTCTTTGAGAAGTGGCCATTGTATTCCACAGATCAAGGACAGCCGTTTAGCTGCCAGCGGGACCTCATCTGTGCATGATGTTCTTGTGCGCCGATCTTGAAGAGTGACATCTTTGAAGGGTCCGAGCGTACGACAGTGGCGGCCTCGATATTCCAGATTCTGGTCCCAGCTGTTGCTATACAAGCGCGGAGATATTCGAGTTTGCCCATTCAGACTCTGCGAAAGCTTCGGATGCGTCATGCGAGTTCCCATCGTGCACGTATGGACATCTACCTGTGCGCCCTGAGATTCTTTTCTCTTTGGCTTGCGGTCAGAATGTTCGCTCACTCCCATCGTTACTGCACAGCCGCCAGTGTCATCTTGGTGCCAATCGGAGAAAAGGCGCAGTCACTTGACCTTTCCTGGCCATCTCTGGCGCCACCATCGATATGAGCTTACATCCAAATGTATGTGTTGAATTGACTCCAAGCACTGATTTTACGGTGGACATAAAGTTATCTCGAGAGGTCCGGTCTAGGGCCAACAATGATGTTGCATCGGATCAGGTAATAGGCGCATGTACCATATGTCAAGAATGTCAAGGCGTCCAGGAAATACATACTGTTCCCATGAATCTCATACTACCAAGTCCACCACTCAACTCGGAACTTTCTTTCCTGGGTAGGCACAGACAGGACGTGTACACCTCTGGCTGTTTCTGCCGGAGCCTCTACTCATTGTTTGCCTTAAGTACGGTAAGTCGCTCCCTTATAGGTCCAAGACGGCCGAAGATTGCGTTATAAGATAAGCGAGAGGTAGCAGTGGAGGAAGTTATTCTCTGCAGATCCTGTTGTCTTCGACAGCGGCGCCACGCTCGCAGGTCGAACTTTCCAGCCGACCGTATCAGCTCGATTCCTCTTGTCGAATTTGCGCTTCATTCTACAGCAGGCTATGTCTCGATGGAAGCGCCTTCTTGAAGCCGTACCATCAGCCCATAGACTGAAGGTCTGCTTGCTTCGATTAATAGCGCTGAACCAAGCATCTTCACCCAACGGTCGTCGCAGAAAAGACATGACAGGTTCTGCCCAGATCAAGTTCGACATGCGACACTGGGAAGCACGACCCACTACTGGCCACTAACAAGAGATATGCACATCTGTTCAGAGAGATCCCCGCTTGTCTACAGGTGATTAGTAATCAGCTGATTGGCAACAGTATTTGTTTCGTTACCCAGTGTGTTACGCTTCACAGTGCGTCAGTGCCACACGTTGAAACGATGCTCGCCTGACGAAAAATTCAACTTACTCAAACCCTAATAGATGAAACCAGTTCCGCGGATACCAATTTAATCCACGAGCGATCGAAATACCGCTTGTCGTACTCGATCGCCGTCCATTTCTCGATTTCGGTCGACCGAGACTCCAGATCGAATACAAGCGATCGCCGGCTGGAACCGCTTCCGAGGATAATCGAACATTCCAACCGAAAAGCCACCGTCGAAAGAACCTTGATCGTGTCTAGCGCGCTATTACGTCAGAGTTTCGCATTCCGTCATCAACCTCGGAGATCGAGAGTTTTGCATCCGAAAGTCGATCCCCCCTCCGATCAACCCGCTGGCATGTCGAGAGCTAGAGGGGAATGGACCATGTCCTAGCCTAAAGACGACTTTGCAACTTGTAATCAGCCTTTCAATCCTATATCCACTCTACGTTACTTTGTTTTTTGATCCACAACATCCTCACACATCTCTCTCATCATGCCCGTCGACAAGCAGAACCCTCCCCAAAAGTACCACGGCAAGTCGTGTTTCTCGTGTGCTGCAGCTACTCGAGGGTACCTTTGGCTCACCTGTCAACTCTGCTTGTTGACCTCCTTTAGAGCCCGTACAGGGAACCGTTTTCCACGTACGTCTACGCTCCCCTTTGCCGTCATGCTCTCGCTCGTTGCTAATCTGGATCGCTTCGTTGACACTCTGCAGGGCGATGGTCGAGAAGAAGCCCTTCAAAAGGCCCTCCTGGCCGAACCTTCGTTGCAGAACAACCCGGGTACTCAGCCTGTCCTCGACTTCTTGTACGAGTTTGGTAAAAAGTTCTACTTGATGAACGTCGGTGGCACCAAGGGAGAGGGAGTCGAGAGGGTAATCAAGGAGAGGAAACCCAAGGTGGGTCCGTGGAGGGGTTCACGAGGTTGAAATCAGATGGCTGACTTGTGCGGTTTTGGTGGGATCATACGTAGCTGGTGCTAGAAGTCGGTTCTTACGTCGGATACTCGGCCATCACCTTCAGCCGAGTAAGTATTCCTCTCCTCGCCTTAAACCCTTTTCCACGCCGCTTACTTCGTTCATCTCGATAGTCCATGCGAGACGCCCACCCGAACAGCATCTACCCCAAAGACTGGTCCTCTGACACCACGGAAGACCGAGCCGGATACATTTCGCTCGAGAAGAGCCCCGTGTACGCTGCTACCGCTAGGACCGCCATCGAGATTGCCGGGTTGAAGGATGTCGTCAAGGTGAGTCGACGCGGCTTCCATCGTCGAGGGATGGAAGACGGCGATGACACCGAATGCTGATCTTCGATCACTTTTGTCATGTCTACAGATCGTCGAGGGCAGTTCGACCTCGTCGATCAAGAGCTTGAGGGAGACGCTCAACCTCCCCGCTCCGCTCAAGTTTGACCTCGTCTTTATCGACCACTTGAAGGTGAGCCCTACACTCGATGAGTGCAGCGATATCGGTCGGATGACGCTGACGTCTTGCCCCTGTCCCCATATCAGCCGTTGTACACCAACGACTTGAAGATGATGGAGGACGAGGGACTCGTTGGACCCGTGAGTGGCGGTCAAGGTTCAAGGTCTTTTTCCGTGGCGCACTATGCTAAGCGCGCTTGCTGCTCACCCCTCATAGGACACCTGCATCGTGGCCGACAACGTCGTCAAGCCCGGTAACCCCGCCTACCTCAGTTGGGTCCGAGCCACCCCCGCACTCAAACGGGCCTCGTTGGAGAAGCCTCGTCTCACCACCCAACCTCCCGCGACGACCAACCCGTCCACCAAGGAAGAGTGGACCAAGGCCTTCTTTGATGGACCGATCGATGAGACCCGTTGGACCCCGGACGAGAGCGAGGGCGTGACGGCCAAGGGGAACCCGAACTTGGTCTACTCGAGCGAGATGGTCTGGGGTTACGACGACTTGACCGCCGAGGTGGACGCTTGTGAGATCTCGGTCTGTCTCAGGGAGGAAAAGGAGTAAGGGAGCAGGCGTGTCCGCTCGATATAGATACATAGGTCGATCTGGACCAGGAAGGTACCAAATACGTCAGAAAAAGGGAATCTGGGAGTAATCAGTGAATTATACGACGATACAGCTAGAATACGTAGTGAACAAGGTATATATATGTGGTGACAGGATGACGACGATATGACGATGCATGCAGTGTTGCACGCACGGAACGACCGTTTCGAGGAATCGGAAGCAAATATCAACCGGTTCGCAAGAAAAGCATCCGTCATCCCACCCCGCATTGCACCGCCCCTGGCCCATGGGATCGAGGCGAAAACAAACAAAATAACAGGATCCTGAGATCTTTAGTACTGGAACCAGGTATCTAAACACTATAAATGTCAAGCCAACACACCCTCGACGCCGTAACATACCCCCCAAGGTCGGCTCGGCGGAGAAAGGCACGCATCCTTACTTCTTTCCATCAGAAGAACAAGGAGAGAGAGAGAGAGCGGTGGATCGTCATCACGACTTTCTGAAACGTTCGAAGGAACAATTGATCCAAAGGACGTTCGGCCGAGTCCGATAACCCGCCGCCTCCCTCCCTCGCTCGCGATCAATCCACATCACATCAAGTATCAAGCATCATCAACACTTTGATCAGATCAGTCGTCGTCGGTCGTCGTCGTTTCTTCCCCTATCCCGGCGGCAGGTCGTCTCGATATATAGAGTGCGAGTGGGCAATCGGCAGTCAATCGATCCTGCACGGCACGGCACATCAACTCGAGGGTCAACAATCGCCTCTCGCAGTCGACAACGATGAGCTATCCTACCCATCTCAGCGCGGATCGGGACAGACCCGCCCATTCGAGGCTGACCTCGTCCGCCTACTTGCTCGGATCACAACACGCCCGTCGAGGTTCAGACGTCTCGTACCACTCTAGCTTGGGGATCGGTCGACCAGGAGGTGGGGATGCGAAATCTCTAGCGGACGCGGCGGATGGGATGGCGGGCATTCGTGGAGATGACGAGGGCGAACCGTTGGTCGGGCAGGAGGCTATGAGATTAGGGACTAGTTTCTTCCTGTTTGGGATGCTGATAGGTGAGCACAGTACGAGGTTAGGGTTGAGGCATTCTATTTGACTGATGCTTTCTTGTTCCCTATGGTCTAGCCATGCAATTCAGCGTGGTCACCGCGGCTGCCGGAGAGTAGGTCTGCCTCGTCGTTTGCCTCGCTATGAACATCAACTGACTCGTTCTAGCTCTATGGCCTTTGCTCTTCTAGTCTCGTGGGCGACAAGGCACCCAAGTCCGCCGTCCTGACCGCCTACACTCTCCCCTCAGTTATGGTCCGCCTCCTCGTCCCCTTTGCATCTTTTCCCCCTCTGAAACCGACTCTGCGTCGGATCCCGCTCGTCCGCAAGTTGGTCCCCAAACGGAAAGCCAGGAGCGTGATCAAACAGGGTAAAGAGATCGAAGAGGAGGAAGTCAACTATCCGTGGAGGATCGGGGTCTGCTCGGTATGCTCGTTTCTCGGGTTGAACCTCCTGGCGTGGAGCGGGAACCTCTTTGTCAGGCTGGTCGGGATCGCGCTCGCTAGTTGCAGCTCGAACTTGGGCGATCTGTGAGTCGCATGTCGGCTTGTCAGGGATATCATCCACGGCCGAGTGGCTGACAAAAAGTTCTCTCAATGCTCGCCAACATAGCACTTTCTACCAAATGTCGACACGATTCAAGGATAATATCACTCAATCCGTGGGTCTGTACACCTCGGGAGGAGGTGCAGCTGGTCTTGCAGGTGCATTGACGTACACCGTCCTGACTCAACTGGGAGCCTCGCCGTCGGCTGTCATCTCCGGGACGGGTCTCGTCCCCCTGGTCATCCTGACGATTTACAACTTTTGGCTACCCGGTTTCCCCAAGCTGCCGCAGAAGGAGGAGAAGAAGCCGGGTGCGAGGAAGGAGGGCATGATCAAGGACTTGGGAACAAGGGCGAAACTGAGCATCGCTCGACCGATCGTAGCCAAGTACATGTTGCCGCTCTGTACCATCTTTTTGGTCGAACTCATCAACGTGCAGGTGAGCAACGGCTGGGTTGCGCACGCAAAAGCAAAAAAGTCGCAAATAGGCTGACGTCTGTCCCCGTCGGACTTTTGTCCCGATCAGGGCGTCTTGGCGACCGTCATCTTTTACCTGCCGTTCGCCGATAACCAATACGCACGACCTTCACTCCTGAACGACCTCTTCCCCGCTCGTCGATCGTTCTATCCGGTCTATCAGACCCTATATCAGTTCGCAGCCTTTATCGGTCGATCGACCATCACCGTCGTACGCCTACCCGGCGGCAAGCGTCAAGACCCTACGGCGCTGTGGGCCCTGGTCGGCGTCGAGGTCGTTATCCTACTCGCTCAGCTGAGGGAGAGTCTGAGTATGAATGGGCCGGACGACTCGAATACGCTCTATGGTCCTTGGATGGTCCTTACCCTGGTCATCGCAATGGGTATCTGCGGAGGTGCCGAACTCGGTAACACCTACTACCGGATGGGCCGACACGCTCTGCCCGATCCCGTCTTTACGGCGCTCGCCAAGGCCAGGAAACGCAAGAGGATCGAAGACTCCGCACGAGAGGCCCTTCTTGATTTCAGCGACGACGAGGACGAGATTGCCGCTGACGAGCGAGAGGGTGAAGAGGAACAAGAGATCCTAGAAGAAGTCGAACGCGGTCGAGGTCTCCCGCGTCCGACCCGATTGACCAGGAATCCGTCCGTCATGAGTCTCCAGATCCGAGAGGAACGTCGGGCGGAAGATGAGGCGGCGTTGAAGGAGTTTCTGTGGGTTGCTTCGTTGATTGCCGCGAATTCCTTCTTGTACTGACTGCATCAACCTGTTTGCTATCGTGCGAAAAACAGAGTATCCACGATAGGAAGCGCCGATAGTGAGCTTTAGCGACCGTTTCCCCATAACTGCGTTGTGACTAATACTCAACCAAACCGCTTCTAGCACTCGCCATCTTGCTCGCTTCCATCGTGGCGATGTTTGTCGAGCCCAAGTTGTGCGGTCGACAAAACGATACTGGCAGGTACATGTGCGGTAGCACGGCATGAGACGCCTTTGCCAAGAACAGGATAGGATAAGACAGGAGGTTGGCACACTATTTTCGCTTCGTGTAGCAACATTTCAGGCTGTATCTGGTTTCTCTCTATGACTCTTGCATGTTTTCGATTCCGTATATAATCATGACTCGGGCATCTACGTTGCTAGCATCTTTCATTATTAGAGCCCAATGGTTTGAATTACTACAAACCCTCGAGGTCAGCGGGCCCCCTTTCGGCCCAAGATCTGATGGCTGCCCTTGATTCTCCCCTTGGAGAACTGCTGATCGCGATCTCGATGTTGTCACACCTCTTTTGAAGTCCATCGTCTTAGCCTGCCAGCATGCGTTTGATGCGACCGATTACAGAGACGCTTAAACGAGACCACGGACTGAACTGAAACTCCTGCTCCCCCTCGTCATACGAATTTCCTTGCTTAGGCCGGAGATTCGTTGGCTCAGGCCTAACGGAAGAGCCCATGTGTACATAGTGCGAGTATCATCTGATCTAAGCCACTGGGGAAGAGGCGTGTTCTGGCATTCATACGTGAACAGTCGGTACCGACGGATATGAAACGCGACAGAAAGGTCCCGAACATGCGCATAATATAGCGAGCGTCATGAACGGAGTACAAAAAGCATCGTGGAGTGGATTCGTTCGTCAAGGCATCGTTTCGCGAAGAGCGCGAATCTACTCCTCGTCGTCGGAAGCCTGACCGGCCTTGTAGGCGGCGATCTTCTCCTCGACCCTGGCCTGCCTCTGCTCGTAGGTGAGCTTGGGGGACTTGTACTTCTTGGACTCGGCGGTCCACTTGGCGGTGTCCTTCTCGGTGGGCTTGAACTCGGGGTCCTCTCGGATGGCGGCGTAGGCGGCGGTGAAGACCTCCTCGATGTCCTCGGAACCGACACCGTCGGCAAGGTAGGTCGAGAACTGCTTCTTGAACCTAGAAATCGAGTGATCAGGGTGTTAGGTCCTGCGCAACAGCATTGTACCATAGCCCTTGAGCGTCATCTCACCTCTCGTCATCTTCCTCCTCGAGGGACTCCATGTACTCGGCGATGTGTCCACCGACGATGTACTTTTGCAAGGTCTCGGCGTCCAACTCCTTGGACTCGATGTCGTAACCGGGGAACCTCTTCTCGTTGTGGGGAACGTAGAGACCACCGTCCGAAGCACCCTTCAAGGCACCGAAGATTCGGTTACCGGTGGTGGTCCTCTTGAGACCGACGTCGAGGAAGACCTTGAAAGGCCTGGGCTCGTCGTCACCCTCCACTATAGTGATGTGCAAACCATGGCAAGCGGCTCATCAACACCTCGTCCCCTCTTCACATCTCATCGAGTCTCTGCCACACTTACAAGCCTCGGTGATGGTCATCTCACCATCGGGCTCGGTGATACCCTCGTACTTCTCGTCCAAGCCGAGCTTCTTGAGGGCACGACGGGCACAGAGGAGACCGGTGGCGTAAGCAGAGGTCCAGTTGGTAAGACCGTGCTTGACTCCGTATCGGGGGAGCTCCGAGGAGGAAGCAGCGCAGAAGACAAAGTCTCCCTGTTGTCGCGAAATTAAAGACGTTTCGTCAGTCTCGAATTGGTTCACTCGACGATTCGAGGCGGTGTGGGTGGGTCGTTTGATGCCGTGCAACGCTTCGACCGGCTCTCCAAGCAGAGGTGCGTTCACCCCTGATTGTCCGCGCATCCCTGCCTCGTCTCGTCTCCTACGACAAATTCGAATTCGACATCTCGCATTGCAAAACATTGACGACCCCCACATTCCGCCTCGACCTTGGTCCTTTGTGCTCGTGAACCCACCTGGAGCTTGGCGTAGACGATCTGAACGATGACCTGCTTGTTGGTGAACCTGACAACCAACCTGTACTTGGGCGAGTTGTACTTGTTCTTGGCCTGGGCGACCAATCGCTTCCTGGCGTAGTAGTCGGTCTTTCCCTCCCTTCTCCTCCTGGCCTATTTTCCCATCAAATACAGTTTCCAGCAAAATGAAAGAAGGTATTGTCGAATACGAAAGTGGGGTCAAGGAGGAAAAGAGTCATGTTGCACACGAAAACTTTCTTAGCACGCGAGTTCCTCCTCCATATCGTCTTTCCGCTGTGCCGACCTACCTTGACCTGGAACCTGGAGAAGTAGGCAGAGTTCTTCTGGAGCTTGACGAAAGGCATCTTGACGTCTTTTTTGTGGTGACCGACTATTACCGAAGATACGAACGGAGGAGGAGAGATCAAGATCGCTACAACTCGATCACTTCTCCCGTTTGCGACGAGGTCGACCTTGAGAATCGAGCGAGACAGAGCTAGAGAGGTTGGCCCTCGGAGGCAAAAGGTTGAGAGCCCCGCGCGCGCAAGACAAGACGCATCGATCAGCTGCCAAATGAAAGCGCAACTTGGTCCGCTTGGACTTATCGCCCTCGCGCTTATCGTTCAAATCCAATCTCCGACTCGTGAGAAAGACTTTGTCGACGATCATTTCGATCGCAAGGCGATTGTTGCCCTCTGGGTGTGAGACGAGAGGTCAGACAATGTGTGCTGTAGGCGGAGCAAGAGGAGTAGCCTGCAATGTGTAGAGTTTCGCACGATGTTCCTATTGTTCTTCCTGCGACTGGGCCGAGCAGTCGACACCCGAACCACTTGAATACATCGGGGACCCTTTCTCATGATCTTACGATTTTGTTCAGTACCAGCAGTACCTGGTACCTGATGCGGGTCCTTGCATATCAATCCACCAGACTTTCCTAGAGGTCTTCCGCGAAGGCATCGCGACCCATGATGACACGCGTACACGCGCGGTGTTTCAAAAGGCTAACCGTTTGGGTTGAACAATGGCTGGCCCGTTCTCCCAAGAGAAACACTTTCAGATATCGTTTCCTGCGGGATACAGAGGACTGCCTATATCGTGCTACTATCAAACCCAATTAGAACGTCGATTCGATGAGGAACGAGAATGGAACGAATTTCGAGTTGTGATTTCCCGCATCCAGCATAATCCCTTCGCGCTCTATTGCACGCTCCGATCATGAAGGTTCTCGTCCCATGCACAATTGTATGATTACTTACTCAGGACCTCAGATACAGGCAAACTCCGTCCCAGTCGGTATTTCCATAACGTACGACTCGACGCGCTTGTCAATTTCACGCTACAGCGATTTCGGATGAGCGATCTGCTCAAGTATCGAGTCAATCCCTCTCAATGCGAGCAGTCTTCCAAAACGTCCAATATTGAATTTGCGAAAGGTCGACTGGAGTACCAAGCTTCAAGAAGGGCGAGATGATGCTCCGATCCCTCAAGTTTGTTTTACTTTTGCGTGCGTGGTGATGCTTTTTAAGTTGCCCGGTTCGAAAGTCCGTCCCGATCGTTTTCTTTCCAAACAGAGGAAGCTCGAGCGAAGCATCAAGTGAAGATTCGATTCCAACCTCCTACACTATATCCATATACTTTTTCTTAGCAAGAGCGAAACGCTTCATGTGCGAGGGTGACAAGTTGATCGCCCAATGTGTAACCGAAATGACCACGATCGACGTCAAAACCGGCACTACATCAAAGCTAACATGAAGATCAGCGATCAACTTTACAGTTACCAAACATCTAGATACACTGGTACATCCGAGTTGGACCTGTCTGTAAAGGTACAGGGCGAGAGTGAGTATCAGTAGTAGAAAACGGATTGTGGTGCTTGGGAAGGGTCGTGGTTAGCGGCGATCCTGACCTTCGCTGCCGAACTTCGCTTGAATCTGTATTTACCTTGGAACAGCAACTCTTCGAAAATCTGCAGTTCCACATGACGGGACCCTTACGAATCGTTACTGTTAAACAACCGAGAGCGATACGCCCCGGGACGACTCGTAAGGTGATCTTGATTGCACTAAGCACAATCATAGTAGGGCCAATCATTTTTTATCTGGATTCGAAAGGCAGACAATATATTATCGCCGACTGCTCGGTGGTCACTGATACAGTCTCAACTTTGCGGCGATCCGGACTTTGAGCTCGGTAAGATACGGCTCAGCACGAGGATGATGTGTGATGTCGAGATTCGAGGTGAAACCCGTTCTCTTTCTTTCCGTCTGCGATGAGTCTCACCTCTCAAAGTGTGACCCGAGCGATCACAGGAGTTCACGCGCGGACCGTTTTACCCCCGTTGAGAGGAGTTCTAAACGGGCTAGTTTAGACGCGCCATTTGTTAGGGGATAAATCTCTAAACGGGGGGGTACACGCGGTCACTTTAACGCCCGTTCAATGCCTGTTCGCGTTGCTGTGCAGACCGGTCTCAACCGCACTCCAAACGGGCTTTGAACACGGTCTTATTGTTCTCGATTATTTGTATCCGCACCCCCGTACGCGTCGCCCCCCCCCCTCTCGTACTCGACCGAGAAGCTCGAATCGACTTACAACTTACTACATACTACTCGAAATCGTTATTTGTCTATAAAACATCAAACAAAGTCTTTACGAACCTCTTACTAGTCCATACGAACCCCCTTACGACCCCCTTAACGTTACTATCTTTTTTTACGACCTCTCAAGATGCCTGCCGCCGTAAGTTCTCGATGTTGTTGTTTTGGGCTTCTCGGAAGGTGTTATCGAGACTGAACAATCCCCGTTTGATGTTCGTTTCTGTCTATAGCCTAAGACTACCATCAAGGACCTCGTGAGCCTATGAGATCGTTCTGTTTGACTGCTTACTGATCGTGATTCACGGTCACACCCATCTTGACAGTTCAACACCCGTTCGACCCCCTACGAGAAGCCTGCCGACCTCGCTGCCGCCAAGACCCGGTTCGACAAGAGCCTAAGGTCTGTCAACAAGTTGGTGGAGAAGGTGTCTGATGCGGTCGGTTTGATGGCCGAAGGGAGGGAGGTTGAGAAGTTGCAGACGAAGGAGTTGGTGTCGACGCTGAAGCAGACGCTTCCTGTTCTTGGGGTCGTTGCGGCTGGGTTGGGGGAGATTCAGGGGACTTTGGTGGGCGTTCAGGCCCTGTTCGGTGAGCTCGACGAGCGCTACGAGGAGATCGAGAGGCTCCGCAAGCGAGTCGACGACTGCGAGGACAAGGCGGAATCGGCCGTCGAACAGGCCTCGAAGCCACTCGTTGGGGAGATGAACGCTGCTGGTGTCCTCCAGCTTCTTTACGGCAACCCTGAGTTCGCCAAACTCGTTCGGGACATCACCGGCAGCGCCCGCGCCTCGACCCCGACCAACGCCCAATCGGGGCCCGTTGGTGCTTCGTCGTCGTCGTCGCCGAAGAAGAAGGAGAAGGCCGGGAGGAACAAGGTTCTGGAAGTAAGCCTATTCTTGCTTGTGATGCATACGTTTAGACCCCGTTTAACCCTCGTTTTGCAGGCACACGCTCACCACACGGTGAAGCTTCTCGTCGGGATGAAGACGAAGTTAACCGGCACCCACCCGGAGTGGAAAAACGACGGTTTAGACCCCGCTGTCTTCCCCGTTCCTCGCGGCGACGGTCGACAGACCGTCAAGATCACTCGACCGGAAGGGAAGGTGACGTTTTGGCGCCCTGACTGGAAGAACGTGAAGAAGCCGTGAGTCCCTAAACGCACTCCAAACGGACTCAACTAACGTGTATCAAAACAGGGAATGGGCACCCTTCATCGACGCCTGCGTGGCCAACGTCAAGAACGATTGGGAGGAGTTCAACGGGGATCAACCGGTCCCTGGACGGGATACGATAGTCACCGCTATCTATAAGTACGCGGAGACGATTCGGACCAAGGCCGGTCGAGCCCCCCAGGACTCTGCGGCCGGTGGAGAGTCGAGGGTGACGTGGTCGGACCGTCAATCGTTGAAAGTCAGTCCCGTTTAACCCCTGTTTGATGCCCGTTTCTGTTTTCTAAGATCCTTCTCCATCTCCGTATAGACCTGCGCCGACCGAGAGAAGATGTGGGGGAAATCGATCCTCCATGACTGTCAAAAAAGGGCCGTTTATAGGTACTTAAGGCAGAGGTGCTTCGCACCGTCGTTCTACAAGGCCGACGAGCCAGGGCTCGACGCGAGGTACCCCGGGGTTCCCGACATGGAACGGCCCGCGAACGGGGATCAAGAGGCCGAGGATATCGGGGTCGACGCGTGGCAAACGTACCGGCGGATCGTACTCGGTAAGGAGAAGGCCGAGAAGGCTTGGGAGGTCGTTTGGCCGAGTTGGATGTCCGACGAGGTATGTTCCAGCCTGTTCAGACCCCGTTAAGATACCGATTGTGTTTGAGTACTTACTCGATAACATTATCTCTTCCTCTTCCTCTCGTTTGATACTCTGCCTCGTCAACCCCCATCAAACACACCATCAACTACCTGCATCAGGCTATCAAAGCGGCCAGTGTGATCGACCGGGAGTTCGCAGTAACTCAAGAGGGGAAGCAAGCGACCTGGCGCAACCGTTGGTGTGGTCCCCGACGCTTCTGGCCCATAACGGACCTCAAACGGGACGACTTGGCCCCCCCTTCGGCCAACGACTCGAACGTCCCCAACGAGAGCGACCCGAGGCTGTGGGTGATCTACCGGTCGATGATTCGCCAGGACGTTCGGACGAAGATCCAGACCCAGAAGCCCGAACTTTGGGCCCGTATATACCCCGATCCGATACCGTCTGCGAACGACGCCGCAATGAAGAGTCTCGACGAGTGGCTCGAGGAGGGCGCGAACGTCGCCATTCGGGACACGATCGGGGTCTATCAGAGCCCGGTTGGGGCCACTTTAAACTCGTTCGAGCTCAAGGCCGCCGCCATCCAATTCTACAAGGAGGATACCGGCGTCACCTGCACTTGAGGTTCGTGCGAGAAGTGGGGTCTGAACTGACACTAAACGGGCCGAGTCAGCGGCGATACGACGACGTGTTTTTTCTTGTGTTCGACTTACGTTACGGCCTTTTTTCACGACCAAGTATACGACGTCTTTTCTCACGACGATATGGGGGCCAACGCAGGCAATAGAGGCGGGTTTAGAGCCCGTTTTATAATGTTAACTTACGAGGTGCTGTATCTTTTTACGAGTTCTTTACGACATGTATCAATATCTGTTTGTAGCATATATAGAAGTCTTTGGGGTCCGATTAATGAGCGTTCCATGTCCGTTCAGACGTTTTGAGCACTCACCTGTGAAGCGATCACTTATCTGCTATAAGATACTAAGCTCGTAAGCGATTTCGAATCGATTTATCATGATTAACTAGAAGGCCTCAAACGGTACCCAAACGAACAACAAGACGGCCTGTTTGATGAGGAAGTCTTTTCACTGGCTCGATCAAGTCGGACCAAGTCAGACCCTAGTGCAAGGAATACTAGCCCATACTAAACGGGGGTCATTCAGGGTTGGATTGGCCCGCATCGATCGCAAGGTGACGGGTCTCAAGGCAGTGAGAGTGTGTGTATTCAGTTCCCAACAACAAGGCTCCTCTTCGAACTGGTTGGGTTCCCACATTTGTACACCCAGATTGGGGCTACATAAGAGGGTGGTTAACACGAAGCTGTGAGAGTGATTGGTCGATTGATACTGACTGATCTGAGTAGACGTGCTCGGTCTCTCCCCTGTAAGCAATGCTTCTACGGCCTAGAAGCAGTACAAACTCCCGCGATTGACCCCCGTTTGTGGCAGCCTTCACCGTAAGGATGTTATCCAGCAATATCAAGGATGGCGAGTCATAGGTACAGTAAAGTACGTTGCGAGAGGGCTGATAAATGGCCATTCGATCCCTGAACGACTCCAAGTTGGCAGTTGTAGGATCAGCCTTCAAATTCCACGTATTGAAGCCTTTGTAATGGGTGTCCAATCGGGCATGTTTCTTGACCATTCGTTGGATGAAATAGGTGTTGTCCAAGTCTGCCCCTTGAAGTACTTCAGCCCCTCGTTCACGGAAGGTGTAAGTAACATTCCCGTCATTTTGTTCACTGTTCATGAGAGTTTGGAGTACGATAGGACGCAGGTTGGGTTCAAGATAGGACAGCGGTGCTGGAGTAACCTTCAGTGGACCAAGAAGTCGGCCATTCAGGGACCGATAAACGCCAGCTTCTACTTGGGCTGCGTCGGCTTGCATCTCGGCATAGAGCTCTGAAGCAGATGACCCACGAGCCTGGTCGTTCTTTAGGAAACCTGACTGGAACGAGGCCAGTTTGAGTACCGCTTCTTGATCTTCTGGATGTTCTGTGTAGCGTGACAGGACTGATTGTATGAGACCGGCTGTACTGGCCTTTAAACGGGCATTGATTGCAGTAATTTCGAGGGTCTTTTTGTTGGTGTTGCCATTCTTGATGCACTTGCCGCATCGCTCGCCACACATACACCAGTGCGAGTAGATAGGCCCATGCGCCCTGATGTCGTCTATAATGTGTATTAACTGGTGTAGGTTACGGGTGGCTCTAAGGCCCGGTCGGATCTTAAGGGCCAGAGGTACCAAGCGCTTGATCAACTTCTCCGCTTCTTGCAGCTGTATCTCACTGATTTCGGGCCTGATTAAGACCAGATTGATGCCCGATAGTAGAAGCAGCATCTCGACCTCTTCTGGGGTGATCCGAGTATTTGACTTTCCCCTATTGGTGGTGTTTCGGGCCTCGTTCGAGCGGGATAAGAGGGCAATTTCGGGGAGAATCAATGGGACATAAAACTCCATGAAACACCGCCACTGAACGGCCGACATTGACCCCCCTTTGAGGTCCGAAAATGTCGATGGCAGACGTGGGAAGACAGATCGATTGCTAGGCGTAATCACCTGTGCAGATGTATTGAAACTCAGCATAAACGCACATTAAACGGTCCTTTAAAGCTCCACTCACAGTGCCGATTGTATCTTTGATCAAAGACAACTGATGGGCTGTCAGAGTCAATGGTTTATCACCGACTCGATCATCCAGTCGTAGGGTAGCAACGCGGGGGGGACGGGGCCCAAACAGGCCTTGCGAACCACGTGTAGAGCCCTCTCCATTTGACTCCACATCATCAGTCTCAGTTTCCGATGCCGATCGATTTCCAGACTCAACCGGGCCTTTGTCGGTCTTGTATTCGCCCTGAACAACGCATGATCGCCAAAGAGTCTTGTTCACGCCCAAGAGGATGTTGTGCATGGCATCGAAAACGCCAGCAACTGCAGTCGCCACGTAGGGGAGCAGATACAGGGCGCTCAAGTGGCCCGGTGAAGGCCTGTTTTGAGGTAGATTGGCTACACGTTGTGCAGCTAGCCTGCTGAAAGGCATGGGGCGATGAGCGGGGGGTATTCGGGCCCCTAACTCGCGCGGTTGAGACCTGTGTGTTTCCCGACCTGCGTCAAACAAGATTTGAAGATTTCTTTGGCGTTCTTCGTGCTCTAAACGGGCCTCTTCGACCGCCGCTGCGACTCGGGTTTCACTCTCTAGAAAATCACGAGCCTGTTTGACCGAATCTCTAGGCTCCCCAACTGGAACAGCCGTCAGCGATACATGTGAAACTGGAACGAGGATCAAACGCACCTTGATTGGCCGCAAAACCATCCTCAGTAAGGGTGCATCGCGTACAAATGTGATCCTTCGACATCTGTCCGGTAAACCCAGCGAGCGACGTGAAGGCTGGCCTATCACAACTGATTGTGGCCAGATAAATGCGACATAAGACCCCGTCTGGGTGCTTTGGCGTCCTGATCAAAACTGGCTTTTCCCAAGTCCGACGAAGTTGCATGATGATCGGAAGCATGAATTGCCAAAGGGTCATTTTACTGGGTTCTTTCGGGCCTGTTAAGAGTACGTTTAAACCCAATGTACACGAATGGCTAGCGATCAACAAAGCTTACCTGGAGTCAAACCGCAACACATAACCATGGCCTGAAGCCCCCTCATTGACTGCGGAAGATTGCCCATTTGGAGTAGGATTGGGCCGACAGAATATCCAGGTCCATGCGATGACGAGTTGATGTTGAGCCAGTCGAGAGACAGATTCACAAATATCTCTTTTACCCCTTCAAACGGGCCCTGATCCACCCTGTTCCCGTCAGGATCGAGCAGTGAATGTAAATATGAGCCATCCGTCTGGTCCCGGTAGATTTTCAGGTCGGGGTAATCATGTTTAGCCAGTTGGGTGTCGACCTCGTGCCTTTCACGCCAGTTAAAGGCCAGTTCTTCTACCCCTGGGTATGCTAGCAGTCTCTCAATCTCGCTGGTGAGGGGAAGTGTCGGAAATACTGCAGGGGTAGATGGTCCTCTAGTTGAGCCCGGTTGGGCCCAGTCTAGGCCGCACTTCGGGCACTTCTCTACCCCCTGCAAAGCCCCAGCGGCAGTCGACATCGTGGTAATTTCATACAGCACTGCTTGACAGTCCTTGTTTGGGCAAACAGGATGGGCGATTGTAGACAGATCGATGCCCATTCGCTTGCGGACTGTTTTGAGAGTTTGTGCGGGCGAGTCGTCGATGATCTGCTCGTTGGTGAAGTCTCTTCGGGCCTTTAACAGTGTCATATTGGCCACACAAATCATGGCTTTGAGGGCGTATTCTGTTTTATCCCTAGGTACGCCGACAGCCTCCAGCGTAAGCGATACCGTGTAGATGAACCTTTCGACAAAAGGCAAATCGGCCGTTTGTTGGTCGCTAATCAGACCTGATAAAGGCTGACTAAGGGGGCTGTCTTGCAAGCACTGAGGAATATCGTTCGGCCAGATGTCGATCATGTCATGTAGACCAGGAGCTGTGTGCAGTGCTGGGCCGGTTTGGTCCGTTCGATGGTCATTTGAGGACCGTTCCACATCAGGATTGATGTTCTCGGGGAAGTCATTGAAGGCCCGAAGATGATCACCCAGGGACATTTCTGCTGGTGCTTCAAACGGTGTATCAACACCCTCTGATTGGGGTGTAATAGGCCGCATTTCTGGCTCTTCTGGCTCAGGGGGAGCTGGAGGGGGGTGAGTCGCTGCGGCGAGTCGATCCAGATCTCTCTGCCTGGCAAATTCCCGGTTATCAATCAGGGTCCATTCGGCCACTGAATGGGCGTAATAAGTCCGTCCTAAAATAGCGACGCCGCCCGGTCCACATTTGGTACAGTAGCACTTGCCAAATTTTCGCTTTGGCTGATGCTGGCAATCAGTGGGGGTTCAGAGAGGCCCGTTTGACGACCATCTAGCGTACCACTCGTTTCAATATCTCGTCCAACCCAAGTGACAACGGGTACTGTTGATCCCACCTTGGAGCGTTGTGTCTAAAGCCGCTCATTGTTGTCAGTTTGAGGTGGGTTTAGAGTACCTTTGTAGGTCGATTACCAGGATTTGGTACGAGTGGTACAGTGAGAGATATGAACATATATAGTTGGTCTTACATGAATGTAGAACAGGTCGAATACATGCCCGGTTAGGCCCCAAACAAGGCTGACGTAAGCTGGACTTTTGGTTAACCCTAAACGGACCCCAAACGGGGTTTAGTTCGCGACATGAAAATTGCGGAAACTTGCGGAGAGAGCTGGAAAAAAGTCATTTCTAAACGGGCATCAAACGGACCGCGCGTAACGTCTAAACGGGCCCCTCGCCCCGCTGTGGATCGAGCGATAAGATACGGGGACCTTCAGAGCTAGGTCGACGTGAATTCGAACTCATATCGACACGGACCCACACTTCCTGCCATCTCGTCTCGACAGTAGCATCATGATCATATTCCCGCCCTTTGACGCCCCTGAAAAGTGGAGAGCGGTGGACGACAGGATCCGGGGAGGTAGCTCAACATCCCACTTGGAACCGATTCGTCATGGCAAAGATGAAAGCGGACCGGAAGGCGTGCGGTTCTTCGGAGAACTGGGTACGTTCACCGGTACCCAGTTGTAACACAAGAGGAAGAGCATCAGATGACTGATGATCACCCCTGTCAATGTCAGATTTCAAGACACTTGGCGGGGCTGGCTTTGCATCCCAGGCCTACGCTTTGAAAGAAGCTCTCAAACTGCCGGCTTCTGACTATACGGGCATGCGCCTTCGGTTACTGAGCAGCTCCAACACCAGCAATGCTGAGGTTCTCACGCAAGGAAGCGGAGAACGGACAACAGGCAAATCTCTAGATTACACCTTGGTTCTGAAGACGGGTGTCCCACCTCTCCGACCCGATGGCAGACGGGAATCCACGGTCAACTATGAATACACCTTCACGTATCCCGCTGCGACCTCGAGCATCAATGACGGGTTAGACCACTGGATCTCTTGGAAAGAGTTTGGAGTGACCTATCGAGGACGACGGATAGAAGAGGGTGACGAGAACTACCAACCTCTTGATCCGGGCCGGGGTATCACCGAGATCAGCTTCATGTGCCGGAGCGGATTCGGCGAGCAGGAAGGGTCGTTCGAGTTGCTCGTTGAGAGCTTGGAGTCCATCGAGGTACAGAAAAAAGAGTCCGCTGAAAAGGAAACCATCGAGGATCAGACGAAGGAATCAATTCTGTCAGAAAAGAAAGGACCGTTCGGTCAAGCCGAAGCGTACTATGTCCCCGTGGAAGAACAGTCTGAAGAAGACAAGACATGGATGCGGGTCGCGCTCGATATGGTGAGCATTCGCTTCGACCTCAGGAATCGTCCTTCCCCCCCAAGGTCTCAGATCTGAAGCTCACTCCGAGCTTAGTTCCGTTCTTCCTGTGTTATCGCATGATCTCGTTACTATGCACCATATATCGATCCAAACGAATAATCATATTGTCCTGGATTCCGTGACTGTGTTCCATCGTACCAGGCTGAGGAGGCGTTGCAAGCTGCAGAGGTTCCGGTTGGATGTGTTTTCGTTAGAAATGGCGAGGCAATAGCCAAAGCGAGAAACAGAACAAACGAGTGGCGCAATGTGAGTCGACCTATCGATCTTTGCTCTATATTCCCTTTGACAATTAGTGTCAAAACTCTTCACAGGCAACACTGCACGCCGAGCTGGTATCACTCGATCATATCATACAGACTCAGCAAATCCCCACACCATTATCCGATGTCACCCTCTACGTGACGGTCGAGCCTTGTGTGATGTGTGCCAGCGCTCTGCGTCAGATCGGAATCGGCAAGGTGTATTATGGTTGCGGAAACGAACGTTTCGGCGGTTGCGGCAGCGTTTTGGACGTCAACAGCACGTGAGTCTCGCCCTGGTCGGCTGGTCTGCCTGTCTACGTTGTCTGACCGTGTCGGTGATGTCTCTAGCGACATGATACCTACACAGAAAGGGTTCCCAGCATACGGAGGTTACTACCGTGAAGAGGCTATTCTGGCTTTACGGAGATTCTACATCACCTCTAATACGAACGGTAAGTCTGGCAGAACATGCGTGTTCCTGTCCTGGCATTAACGCTAATGACCCTTTACAGCGCCGAAGCCTCGAAACAAAGGCAAGCGGGTCTTGAAGACAGAGTTCTTGCCGATCAAGCCGGCAGGAGGGACGCCTCCTCCTGCTTTATAGACACCACAGTATTCGGAACGCGGCAGCCCACCTTCAGCTGCGTGGCCAGCAGATATGTATGCCTGGTCCAGTGAACATTTAGCAGGGTGTTTGCAAGAAGGTGGCTTTGGCATCGGGGAATGCCAGCCAATCGATGATTCATCAGGGTGCAGTGCATTGTACATGGGTCGTAACAAGGGTCGTCAAAGGCTGTTTAATCACAGCACTAATCATCACAATCAGAATCCTCGTGTAAAGCTGTTGTTTTGTGACGGAAAGCCGAGCATCAGCCACAATTTGGTCTATCATACCCATGCATTTCAACTGACTCTCGTAAAATCTGTCGGCGGTCGACATCGGTCATGTTCTCAACCTCTTCTGCATCTGGGGGCTTCGGTAAACTGTTGGACATACCGGAGACGCGTGAGGATTGCATAACCACGCCGTCTCGAACCGCCACAATGCTTACTAGTTCTTGAGCGACTGAATCTTCTGCCACCTTTGCCTCCAAGCAGTGAGATATTCAAGATTGCCCTTGGTGGAAGTGTGCAAGTGGAGTTGTGACAAGACGTTGGCGTAGTAACCGATTTGTCGCACCACTAGCGGCAAAGCCTTGACAGAGACCAACTTGAAATCGCCAATGGCAGCAAAGTCTGGAATGCCTGGTGCGCGCTGTATCGTAACCTGGTAGAAATTGTCCTCAAGTTGGTCCTTGAAGGTCCCGCTCAAGCCTGGTGTATGCTGAGAAATGACAATGTTGATGAACTGAAACTCGGACTTGATGGTGTCGAACGCATAGTCGAGTCCGGAATCGTTGAAGACAATCTTGACATAATCGTTACCGACCTCTCGCTTCTTTGTGAAATAGTTTGGCTTGGCTCCTGGTTCCGTCTCCGGGTTGGGCATGAGATGAGGTGCATGGTAGATGACCTGAATGAGATCGTCCCACCAAGCGTACGCGTATTCCCCGTCCCTGTCATCCTGGGTGTCGAGGCCGCCCGTGTAAACATCACGTTGTCCCTTAAGCTTGATGAGACGGCCTAATCCTGCCATGAATCGTAAGAAGCCGGGCGAACCGCTCGTGTTGGACAGGATCTCGTCTTCGGTCGTCTGGCCCGGACCAACGTAAAGCACAGCGATGGCCTGCGTGTCGATCACTGGAATACGATCGAGGTTCCGTAGCGTTCTTTCGACGGTCGAGTCTAGAGGCAGGAAACGCCCGCGCGGGGTTGAAGCGCTGATGTAGGGATATGCGGAGAGTTGAATCCCGATGAAGCTGGGGTCGATGACGACGTCCTTCCTGCGTTGCGACGGCGCGCTACCCGACCAGATGAAGTTGAATTGAGACTCGACTTCACGGTAAGGTGTCACAGATATCACGTGGTTGTCTGCAGCCTCCTCGGAAGATAATTCTTGCAACTGTGGGTGAAGAAGAGGGTTCGGATCATATGTTAGTCGATATCTCAGGAGGACAAATCAGTTGGGACTTGCCGCCTTGTTTTCATCATCCCCCGACGGCGAGACAGGATGGCTGTCTTGGTAGGTGGGCTTCTCCTCTGGACGATCTGCTCGCATCATTGCAGGCAAGACGTCAAGGTCCGCCCCGTCTTCCCCAAGAGTGATGGTAGGGACGTTCTCTATCTTGCACAAGATTCCTACAGTTCCTGATGCGCGTCGCATATTAAGCGTGGCCCACCCCGACCTGGGATGCGCGGTGATGCTGATGATGCTGTTTCCCAGAAGCCAGTACTTGGTACGGTCGTTTTCGGCAGCAAGGGGCGACTTTCCCGAATTGTGCATGGCAACACTACCGATGTGGGATGTCGCTGGTTTTGGATCGGCATTCCCGTAGGTGTAACGGGTGAGCCAGTCGAAGCATACTTCTGCCATCTCATCGAATTGCTTGGGAAAGCACAAGATGAGTTGCCGAAGGATGTGAGGATACATAATCACTCGCTTGGGGAGGGCGAGAGCGATGTACCACGTATAGATTACGAAGAAGGAGAGCTTCAGGACGTGTTGAGACAACGTGAAGTATTCAGGATCCTGCGTCTGAGCGGCATCGGCTAAGGCCTTGTTTTCTTCGTCGTGGTGTATCTCGATGTACTTCATGGCGACTTGAAATACGGCCTTGTACTGTATGTCGGTAAAGTTCCCGTAAAGGGCGGGAATCTGGCCGATGGAGCAAAGGAATTCCAGTATGTGCAAGCTGATTGAAGGCGTGCCCATGATCTGGCTGAGTTGCTCGAGCACACCAGGCAGATAGGTGACGAGATTGTCGGTCAACTCGTACGCGGCGATGGTCAAAGCTCTGACGCAAGGTTTGGTCGTGCTCCGATGAATGCCTGAAAGTCCTCGAGCGAGGGTTTCGACGATGCTGTTGCATTCTGACCGATCAAAGAGCGATTTGTAGCCAATCAATATCGTGAGTGTCTGATAGGCGACCCCCCTGATGTCGGCTTTTCGCAGGATGGAGGGTAGTTGCACGTTGTGAATGAGTCGGTCGCTGAGTAGACCGTCACAGAGAATCCGCCTGAGCCGCCTCACTACAGTCTTCGCTCGAGGTCCGCAGTAGAAATGTCGATTTGCCAATTGTAATGGAAGGAATACGAGGAGATAAGATACCATGTCCCAATCCGGGTCCGACTCGAGGATGTCGCACATGACGGATAGATATTCTGAAATCGGTAGCCATATTCCCATCGGACCAGTGACATCGCCGGTTCCACTGTCTGTCAGTCTGGGATCAAATGTCGTCATCCCCTCAGAGGGACGCTCATCCTTTGGACATTCGAAATTCAGGATATCCGGGATTGTCCAGAGCGGATTATACGGTGTGGTGCGCAAAGGTTGTCGGGAACGACTGCGAGAACGGCCGGTCCCATCCTGCATCGAGCGTTCCATGCGCCCGCGATCCCCAGCCACGGTCTCGGTCCGCGTCGTTCTACGCCTTGGGTCCGGTTCGTCCGCAAGCTTACCGACTTTGATGGCATCTGCCTGCACCTGCATGCGACTGAGAGTCGTTGCAGAACTGGTTGCTTCAGGATCCAAATTCTGTCGCATCCATATGCGATGCTCTTGAGTGGCTCGTAGACGCAGCGACCATTGCAAAATGGTCAATCTAGCTTTGGGACAGATGACGACATCCTTGAAGTCGGTATCCGACTCGGTCGTTGTCTTGGCATCTGCCGGTGAGGTCGCACGGTCTCGTTTGGGCCCACTTGCGGGGGGACTCATGAGGCGAACGAGATCCTTGAATATGATGATGCATCTTGCCGATGCCGGCAAACGACTAAGTCGAGCCGGTCCAGATGAGGATGGAAGCGAGAATGCCAAACGGTTGAAGATGGTGATCGCGGTGGCTATCGTCGCCGTGTGCTTGCAAGGACTCGGGTTCAATTCCTCGGGCGAAGACGTTTCCTGCCGAGAGCTGTCGGGTAGAGTTTCGTTGATGGATTCGGCCCGAGGTGAGTTGGTCTCGTCTGCATCACTCCGCGGGCTCATTGCCCCAGTCCTGCCCATAAGGGGTGGAAGCTCGCGATTGGTACTTGTAGGGGAAATGGCTTCCATGATACCCTTAAGGCTGATTCCCGCCGAGTTGGACCGCGAGTGATCCTCGTCGGCTTCACTCCTACCCTGCGCGGGGCGAGGCGCACGCTCGCGGACGTTCCGCTGGGCGGATTCCCGCCGCTCAGAATTGTTCCTGGTCAGACTGCCCGCATGCTGGTCGCAAGGCTGACTGAGGCATTGGAGCGATAGTAAGCGCAGTCGATCGAACGAGTCGCCTTCGACTAGCTCAGCTAGTGACAATACCGGCACCGGCTGGCCAGCTTGCTCTAGCTCGAGACGATGTGCCCGTCGTTGCTCATCCTTTTCGATGCTATCGGTAGAGACGAAATCAACCATGACTTGCCAAAACATCCTTTCAACAACAGGATCCGACTCGACGAGCAATGTTCTCTCTGCCAGGTCCAAGAAGACGTCCTGCACGAGCTGATTCCTCAGTGCACTGTCTTCTGCCACATATCCGTAGACGTGGTGGAACAATAGCTCTGCTGTGCGCCGCCTGACTGACATCGAGGGCCCCCTACCATTGGCAATTGTCTGAGCCCTCGGGCGAACGTAGAAAGCGTTCAAGATCCGGTTGAGGTTGCCTGTCCATTTTTGAGTTGGAGGCAGACAAACTCCTTCCCGCTCGTAATAATCCAAGAGGGCCAAGGCGTTCTCTTCAGTCAAATGGTCCGACATCTGGATTAGGATGTCCACATAATCGGGATGGAAGAAGCCGTTTCCAGACGAGGTCGTTTGCATTCGGCCCAACACCGCCGGCAGTTCCAGGAAGAGACGAATTAACCGATGGTTCGCGACGGGGAGTCCGTCCTGATCCACAAGCGATTCCGGCGTAAGCATGAGGCGAGAATCCCCAGAATCGCTAGAAGTGGGAGGTGGTATATCAGCGAGAAGGTACGTTTTATAGCGATATGTAGCGAACTCACCCTGTAGTCGTTATCCAACGTTTTGCTCTCTCCAGGAATTGGCAGACCAGCTCGCCTTCTGTCCATGCATCTTGGTGTTGCGAAGAAACGGCCTTTGTCTCTTGACCGCGCGAAATCCCTGGAGCACCTGACACGCCCTGGGGTGAAGGTATCGATCGTGCCGTCGCGACGTGATCCAGGTTTCGGAGATGATCGTCGACTATGCCAAGGATCTCGAGATCGATATCGTGCCAGGCATCGGCAAAATCTTGCGTGTGTGACGAAGTGCCAGAGTGAGAGAATCTCATGGCCGAGAGCAGCGAAGGAGAGAAGGAGGCGAGCTTGAAGTTCTCGGACAGAGGGGCAGATGCGGGATCGGCTCGAGTATGCGCGTGATGCGTGGATTTCAACAATTCCCGAATAAGGCTGATAACAGATTTTTGAACATCAAACAAGGGACGTGAATCTGGAGTCTCTCAGAATTGACGTACCATATGACCCCCAATAATCGATCCCTTCCCCGCAAGCCTTCATCTCGACCGACGTGATAAGTCGATTTTTCCCTTCCTCTCCCACGATCCATCCCTAATACACCTCGCAGAGCCTTCTCACCGCTCCTTCCAATCATCCGACTGACGATGATATCTCTGACAAGGGCCACGATGGCATCGCGGTCCCTCAGGTCGAGCGCATTGGTAATGAGCGCCCGATCTCCTCCATCGAGCCTGAAGGACGAGTGGGTTGAGATGGCCCTCCAACCGAGACACAAGGCGAAGAGCGACATGATGGCCGGCAAGTCTAAAGGAGATAAGCTTCGGGCCTTGAGAAGCATCCTGGTGAATTCGATAAGCGATGGGATCAATGTCGACCAGAACGGTTTCTCCTCGGGTAGGTCTGGTAAATCGACCAAGACGTCGCCTCCCGTAGAGATGGCCGTAGTAGCCAGTCCTTTGTCACCTTTGCTCCGCGTGCTCGGGTGCCGTGACAGGCTGGGAGGAAGCGAAGACGAAGAAGACCGGGTAGTGTCCCCCATCGAGATGGCAGAAGTTGGTGCTACCTTGGTCGGTTTTCTTAAACTGCTGAGCACCGAAGATGTCCTCTCATGGGCGGCCGCCAAAGGCTTTCCTCTGACGTCGGGCACGGAAGCTTCGGTACGTCCGTACCCTGCGAAGGACGGATTGTGAAGCGGGTGAGACCCTGGGGTATGTCGAATGCCTCGCTTGATCGTGTCCAGGTATAGATTAAGGATATGCGAGGTGTCATTAGGGGTAAACAGGGCGAGGTTGTTCTTCACAATGTTCAGCAGGAGCTCGGAAAGCAACGTCACGGTCTTGAGCGTGTATTCGGATGCCGCCAAGTCGTGGGCGCCCTGTGATACAGGATGTCAGCGGATAAGCAAAGAATGGCCCCATTGCACAGAACGAACCCACCTCGTCTTTCGGTGGAATTTCCTTTGCTGCTTGACTCGGTCGTCCACGCTCGATCTCCTCCTGCATCCCAGAGAAGCCTAATCCTAGTCCCGTGCCACTACCTGACAACTCTGCTGTCACCTTCTTCTCATCGCTCGCAATCCTCCTCTGCCCGGTCGAGCCCTTCGAACATGCCCTGACCCATTCGGCAGAGAGCAAGTTGAGCCAACGAACGATGACTTTGATCATGTCGAGGTTGATGGAAATGTCCTTTCCTTGATCCGTCAATTCGGAGAGGCAGGACACTCGTTCGTGGAGATCCAGTGTTTGCGATGAAGGAAGTTCGTGGGTCATGTTGTACCTGAACGACAGGTTCCGGGGTAGATCGACGGGAAGATCGAGGATCGTGTTGAGAATGACCCAGGGAGTGTGAGAGATGGAAACTGGGTCTTTGGCGGCTCGGGTCGAGTCTTCTAGCCTTAGCCCAGCGGCAAGTAGTTCGAAACCGACGGTCCTGATCCTCGGTGAGCCATGCGCGGCACACAGAGGCAAAGCAAGTTCCAAAACCTGCTCTCTAGACCCCAGCGTTCCTTGAATCGCCTGAGTGTCATCCTCCTTCGAAGCGTCACCATCACCGCGATCTTCCCTGATCGACGACCGAAGCTCCTTTTCGACTCTCGCCTGCTCCCTCGCCCTGTCTAGACGTCGAGCCAACAGCTTGACAGCCTCCACCTGGTCCAGCCCCGATACTTCGCCTGGAACGGAAGAGAGATGAGAGTCTCCCTTGACGAATCCGATGAGTTCCTCGAGTGAGATATCGGGTTCGGCTTCGATCTCTACTTGCGTCAACGAGCCCGGTCTGGTAATGTTGTTGTTAACTTCCTCTTGTTCCTGAACCGATCCTATCCCTCGACCTTCGGCGTCCTGTCCCGGCCTGTAATCCCGATCATAGTTTCCTCTGATGACCTCGGCGGAACCCAACGCACTCTTCCTCTTGTCTCTCCCGCCCACTGGTCCAATGACGGGGGAAGTAGCCGGTGATCCTGAATGCGACGAGGAGGATCCAGGACCTCTCGAGCTGCTAGCATCGCTGCGTGTCCGATGGAAGGGGATCGTATCGCTCGAACTCTGCCTCGAGGTCGATCCGGCCCTGCCTATCAACTTGGAGAAGAATCCACCTCCACCGCCCCCACCTCCGCTCCCACTCCCGCTATGCCCAGCACCGCTCGTCCCCGTCCCCGTCCCGGCAGCTGCAGCTTGAGAGCTCCCCGGATTGGTGACGATAGGGGCTAGCTGTTGATGGTCCCTATGAGTCGCCTGTCGATCTCGGTGTGATCGATCCGTCATCCTGGCCAGACGTGGATAACGAGAGCTACAAGCCGTCTATGTGAGAGGTAGGTCGGCACTCCAGCTATAGGTACAGCTATCGGGACCTGCGGGTGCCTCACTTGCGTCGTCTGAGCCTTGCAAAGTGACTACTCTCACGGACTAGGCGAGTATCGAGTATCGGAATACGTAGAGCCTGAGCTCTTCCGCAGAGGTCTCTCTACACAGGCCTCCCGTTTTTATGAGCCGGGAATAGATGCAACGAGAGATGCTTATCCGGACAGTCGTCTATCTCTTATCCTCCGACCGATCGTCCGAGTGCTCGTCCCTATCGACTGCCGACTCTGAATGAAAACAAGACTGGCGAGCGAGAATGACTGCTGAGCTACTGATAGATTCGGTGCACGATGTACGTCCTTTGACGAAACTGAGCAAAGAGAAAAAAGATGGGAGACATGGGCATGTGAATTCACAGGTCCAAGGGTTGACTCGCTGCTATTCTTCTTCCGCTCTGACCGGGCCTAGGGAACGAGGACCTTTAGTGAAATTTAGCGCGTACAGGGTCAGGTCGTCATTCCGGGGAGACGAGTGGATTGCTTTGTTTCGTTGCAACACCGTAGCTCGATAAACACTCTAACAAGGCAACACGTCGTCGCCCGTTGGAGTCGAATCATCTGCACTATATGGTCGGCCGTCGTCAAGTGAGGTCGAGTTGAGGGTTTGGGAGACAACGAACGTCGCCCGCCCCATGTTCTATCGCCTCAGGCACAACGCCGGACCTCCTCTTACGTTACCAACAAGCGAGTGACGGCCGATATGCCCGAGCAGCGAGCAGAGTGTTTCATGAATTTCGTGGCGTCCTTGCTGCCCATGTCACTCATCGCTCACGAGAAATTTGTAGCAGTTTTGCAACAACTGTCAAGAAATGACACCACACTACTGTTACGAAGTGGTTGGACGCAAGGCGAACCGTACTCTGTGCTCCAGGACATTGGTATCAATCCATACACATACAATGTGAGCCCGATTCGTCTTTGCATTCGAGTGCTAGCTTCAGATCGGAACAGCCGAAAACGGCCGGCCAAGATCGCTCGAGCGCATGACCTTTTGAGCGCGAAGCCGAATGTCAATACTTGTTACCGCACGTCGATCCATGCAAACATTGTCTCTCACCTAACGTCGGATTATCCGGCGAGTTGTTCCACCACCCTTCGTCCCAGATCCACTCCTTCTCATTTCCCTCGCCGACGGGTACGTCAAAGTAGTCCAGCAAGTTTTGGTACGCTTTCAGCGGATTTCGGTGGATACGCTGTCGCGAAGCCACGAACTGCCCAAACCACGTGATCTGACACGGATGAAAGAGGATACATCAGTAGACGCACGAAAGTTCTCAGAGGACCCTTTCGATTACCAACCGTGAAACCCGTCGATGGACACAAATCCTGTTGAAAGCTAGAGTATATCTGGGCTATGCGTGGATGTACCTGGTCTAGGACGTCGATCTCGCTACCGTCGGCAGGACAGCTCGCGTTCACGTATGTACTGAGGGACATGAAGCCAGTATTCGCGGTCATCGATTCCAGCCGCGGGAAAGCAGTGCCGGGCCAAGGGATGTGAGGTTGCAGGAATATCGTGTGCGTGGCCAGGGGTGAATCTGTAGAGGAATAGTGCCGGACGATATGTTGCTGAGATGGACGCATATCAGGTCGTAGTCCGCGTACGGCAACTCAGCAAGGACGTACCAAATACGTTTCCCCTTCTCTGCCGACGGTCTTCAAAGCCACGATCTCGTCTGCGTCAATTTTCTGGAGAAATTCAGACATTGCCGCGCGACTAGCCGAATTTGGTCCCTTTGCATAGACGATCGTCCTCGATGTCGTCTGGCTTGGTAACCGCTTTTTGACTTGCTCGATCGTATTCTGAATCGTTTCTAGGTCTTCGTTGTAGTAAGAGATCACGCTGGGTGATAACACGTAAGAAAAGTCAGACCTCGAAGTCAGGTGGCACGGATTCGCGACAAGGCTTACAGGTCGTAGTCTGAACGAGATTTCCAGGTTGGACTCCTTACGATACCCTCTGGGTCATCGTTCCTCATCGCGGTATTTTGGTGACCGAGGCGACGCAACTGAGCCGCTTGTTGGCCCAGCGCGATCACGATAGGCAGCGCAACGAGAGCGGTGATTCCCATACGTTTCCACGATGTTCGCGATGAGCCGCTTGAGCTTGCCCCAATGTCGACTCTGACATCACACCGGGCTTCACCGGAATCAATCGAGGACGATTTTCCGCTCTCCTTCAACGTGTCCAACTCGTCAACCCCGTCGATCTCGCTGTAATCCCGGGCATGATTATCGTCTGCACCGGAACCGGCTGTGGCCAAACCAAAAGTCAAGGCCAGGTGTGCCCAACGCCTGTCGATAGGATGACCGCGAGCAAGATATCCGATCGTGATAGCAAGGGCGATGAATGGCACGAACGACGGCCCCTGTGGTCGATCCTCTCCTCTTGCTGCCAATTCGGAAACCATCGAGGAAAGCGCAGAGAGTAAACTAGTTATAACAAGGAGCCCAATGCCCGACCACGTTGGTGTATGGATTTCAGACGATTGGATCAAGAGCAAGAAGATCGATGTCACAAGCGCGATCTTCCATGTTATTCACCGTTGTCAGTACAAGGCCATCCGTCTCTCCGCAGAAGAGCACAGGGCGACTCACCACTAATTCTTGCTCCGTACCCACGAACCCGGAGAACACGCTCAAACGAGACGTTTTGCCGTCTCGCTCTCCTCGCGCTTCATCTCCTCGAAGCTTCCGACCGAGGTAGACCGTTCCCAACGCAACGAAAGCGATGATCGATGTCGTTATGACGGTAGACCAATCTGGGAGAGGTTGTTGTCCAGCCAAGAGGATTGCACACGAGCAAAAGAAGAGAGAAAAAGGAGAGTTGATCTGGCTGATCATTGGGACCGAGAAACTCTGAATGCCAAGTTCCGAATGACAACAGAGGTCAGCGGCTACCAGACTCTAGACATGCAGCCCCACTTACCAGGATGGCAAGGATCCAGCAGGTATCCAATCTCGTGAGCCCGTACACGATAGTGCTCATCAATACGCCCTGTGCCACACCTGTCGGAGCCGACCGTCCCCAGCTTCGAACGTCATTCCAATGATGATCTCCCTGCTCGTGGTCCGAAGCATCCAGCACGGTCAACCCAGGAAACCTGATGGCTAGCTCAGGCTTCAGTTTCAAACCGAGCCTGAGCGACCGACGTTCTATCCAGGTGAAAGCGAGCTGCGACGGGACGATCCAAGGGTAGATTCGAGTAAAGCGTCGGTCGTCCAGGGTCGTCACGTAGATAATGAACGCAGGGACGGCGGTGTCGAGGACATCTCGAATTTGCAAGGCGGAGCGCATAGAGGCCTAGAGGAGCGGTTCTTGGGCGTGGGCGTTTGACGTTCGGGCTTCTGCGCAAGCGCATGGAAGGAAGAACCTTTCAGACACGTAACCTCTATCTCGTCCCATCGATATCAAAGCGAACATCTCATCAACATCAACGTATCATAGTACAGGTCCAGACACTCTCCCAATCTCGGCCTTCTGCATCTTTCTCTCACGTCAGACGCAGCCAGTCGAAGGACAATGTACACCTCGAATCACACACGACCCACGCAAAATCCGCCAAGACCCTGCCTCGGTACGAAGCACGCGAGGTCCTGGCCCCGAGCTTTGCGCGCCCCTCGGCCAGCATTCGACCACGAGCAGCGAAACGACATGATCGGTGAATTTGATTCGAGATTTCAGAATTTGGTTTCCAGTATTTGAGTTACGGCCGTGTCGTAGAGCCAGGCACATCATGTCGCATGTCGCACCGGAGGTCGTCGCCCTCGGTTGGCTCGCGGGTCGGCGGTGGCGCGAAACGGAGGCGAGTGAAGGGGGTTTTGGGAAAGTTTAAAAATCTGGGACGAGCCGAAGGACAGAATGGACGATGGTCGACCGACCTTGACTGGGGCGCGTCGTAGTGTCAAATCAACGACCCCGGATAGGAGGATTGGTACACCATGAGACGACCTATCCTGGCGTCTGTAGCTTGATGTTTAGGGTGTAGGATGTAGGGAGATGTTCTACGGATCAGGACGGGTCGCGGGTTCATAGCAGGTCCAGCCGTTCTACTTTTTAAGGTGGAAGGGAAGCAAGACAGGGGTTCAGCTTTGTTACCAGCCAGAATCTTACCGGTACAGTCATCATCTACTGCGTATAGCGCAAGTAGTATTCCAAAACGATACGATTGAGCCTTGAGCAATGCATCGATTTGTCTGCCTTACGGACAATGCGATGGGAAAAATGTCGTCGTGACGCGCTCGCCACATCATATAGCTGCAGTCGAAGCAGGTCTTTCTTGTACATCCGCGTTTCTACTTGCAGGTCGCAGGCAAGTTGAGCTGGAATAACTGTTCTTCCCCTACCGGCTACTGCATCATCAATTCCCTCCGCTCTTGTATCTTGCATACCTGATCGACGGTCTTCTACCTCGATCGTACTGGTACCCGCAGCTCGCAGCCTCTCTCTCTCGCGCGCGTGACCCCTCCCTTCCCTCGCGCTGGTCCCTGTGCCGTCGATAACCTCCCTCGCTGCTCTCTCCCTCCTCTACCCCGCAGAGACTAACCATCACCTCCCATCCCTTTGCCATCCTTCTCCACACCATCCACCACTACCCAGGGTAGAGGGTATACCCGGATCGGTTCTCACTCGACCGAATACCGAAACACCGAGATCATTACCATTCCCTGTACAGCGACAGATACAGAGGGCGGAGAAATAGAAGGCAGGCAGCTAGAGCAGACCTCTCTCTCCATCCAAGGTGGAGGAACGGGAATGTCGCCTTTGACCGAAAACAGGCCGTTACCCTCGATCTCACTCTCAATCTCATCGTCACCACCACCACCACCACCACCGCAATCCACCCTCGCACCACCCCCGATCGTCGAGGGTGAATACGTTTCACACTTGCGTCAGCCGCTACGCGATCGCCACGAGAGAGACCGGAACCGCGATTGCGATCAGCGACGAGCCGACGGGGAGAGGGAAAGGGACAAGGACAACAACAGGATCCCAGAAGGCAGGTTTGCCCGGTTGATGGACTCGTTTGGACGGCAGACGAACCAATCACCACAGCAGCAGCAGCAGCAACATTTCACTTCGAACAGAAGCCGAGGCGGTTTGAACGACCTCGTCACCACTTCCGGATCTGACCGGGCTTACCAGTCAACATCCACATCCACGTCTGTACGAATGGACCAAGGATACTCGCACTCGCATTCCCATCCTGGCCACAACGGGTACAACAACGGGAACGGGGTCAACCCTTCCAACCTCTCTACCACCGGGTACGGCGCTCACGGTCACAATGCTGGTAACGGGACGGGGTCGTTCTTGCCCGGGACGAACCCTTCATGGCCCGGTACCGGCTCGAGCACGGGTGTAGGGGGATCGTCGCACACAGGAAGAGATTACCAGAATCAAGGCCAGAACCAGGGGAACGGTTCCGTGGGGAGCAGGGGATCCGTCTATGGGGATTATTCGCCCAGCCATAACAACGTCGGAGCGGGAGGGACCACAGGGGAGATGGGATCGTCCTACGGGAGCATGCACTCTGGCGGGCTTCGAAATCCGGGTGGTCATTTCGGAGGAAGCGTAGGGGGTGGAGCGGGGCCTTCTTTCGGGTTCGACGTACAGCATCATCAACATCAACACCCATCACAACAGCAGCATCAACCACCACAGACGTTTAGGCGCAAGTTTGGGAACGGTTCAGGGATGGAAGATGATGAGATGCATTCGCATCAGTACTATGGAGGTGGTGGTGGTGGGAACGCCTCGTCCACCAACGGCAATGCTAGCGGGAACGGTGGCAGGAAACGCAAAGTCTCGATCAGGGACGAGGACGAAGACGACGAGGACGATGATGACGATAATGATCACGACCATGATGACGGAGGTTCCGGTACGGGTGGGGGAAATAACGGTTCATCCCAATCCCGAGGCAAACGCGCTCTACGTGGAATCTCTAGCGGCGTCGGAGGAGGCGGTGGCGGGAATGGAGGAGGTACCGGGGACAAGGACGACGAGACTCGGAAAAAGGGAAAGGAGCGACCCGGTCGTGGTAAAGGCATGAGACGGGGAGCTCGGGCATGTACCAACTGTCGCAGAGGGAAGAACCGGTGCGAGGGGGACCATCCTTGTAACCGGTGTGCGGCGCAAAACCTCGAATGCGTGTTTGCCAAGCCTCCGCCCAAGGTCGGTAATTCGAATTCCAACTCGCTGCAACAACAGTTGAATGGCAACGGGAACGGATCGCAGATGCAGCAGAACCAATCGGGACAGCTTCGGATGAACGGGATGGGTATGGGCATGGGAATCGGGATGAGCATCGGCGGGATGGGCACTGGGATGCAAGGTGGTTGGAACTCTGCAGGAGATCCTGAGGGGAGATTTATGCACATCGAGAGCTCGGTGAATCATCTGGCTGCGAGTCAGAATCAGATGCAGTCGACGGTGAGTGGTTTGCCGACAAGTACGAAAAACTCGGGCTGGTGTTCTATGACGCTGACCTGTTGAATATCGCCGATGATGCCGTCTTAGCTCTCTCAAATCCTCTCGGCACTCTCGCAGAACCAGATGAATAGTCAGCATGTACCGCAGCTGAATTATCCACAACATTCGCCATCGCAAAACGATGGTATGGGGACCTCGCAGAGTTCGCTCCCGATGCAGCATCACGCCTCGCGTAACATGTCCGGGGCAGACATGTTCAGCATGAACAACCTAGCACCTCCAGAAGCTCAGGACTCAACCCGTCTGGATCCGTTCTCGCCTGGGACCGTTGCCGCATTGACCGAGGTGGCTGTGGCCAACGGATATACGGGGAGTAGCGTCGGCCTCGTGCAGGATGGGAACGGGATAGATGTGACGTATTCGCCATCTGTCGGGACGAGTGCAGGAGGACTCAAGCATGGCAACGAGATGGATGGCAGCCATGCGGCGCCTCGAAGCGGGAGCGTCAATGGCAATCGGGCTCGCAGGGACGAAGATGGTTTCGCGTGGCCGGACCCTCCGGTACCCAAGGCGACAATCGCCAAGATGGAGGAGGACAACATGGAGGAAGACGTCAAACCGAAAGAGTTCCCAAAATTGCCCGGCTTCAAACCTCCTCCACATCGATACGCCAATTATGGCCTGGTTGTATCCTCAACCGCCGCCTCTTCTGACGACGAATCGGAAGACACGTTGCCCCGGTCCAGCTTGAACGCGCCGATCGAGGCGTTGCATCAACTGGCCAACGCTGCCGATCAGGCTGCCAAAGAGAATGCCAAGCTCGAGGCAGAGAACCGCCAGCAAGGATTCCTCAGCCCCCCACGGGTGCTGCAAAATCAGCTCAAGTTCAAGCGGATGAAGAAGCCAGATCCTGCACCGAGGAACGCCTTTCCCGATGTCGTTACGAAAGGGCTGGTGTCACCGGAAGAAGCGAGGGAGTTGTGGGACATGTAAGCCGCGCCAGTTGTTCCTCGTTGTGATGCAAACTGATGGCTTTGACCCGCTGCTCTCCCAGTTTCTTCTCCGGTTGTCACTACTTCATTCCCGTATTCGATCCGAGCTACGACGAGTTTGAGAGTTTCGTCCAGAGGACACCCTTTAGTTTCGACGGCATGCTGGCAGTAGCAGCCAAGATTCGTGCCGGTGCTGGTTAGTATAGAGGCTCTCAAATCGTTTGGTCGTAATCATGGACTGATGAGAATCAAACAGGTCCTCTTGGTCGTACACATACCCGATGTCTGGAGGAAGCGCAGGGAATCGCTCGATCGACGCTCTTTGGTCCGGTCGTGCGTAAAGAAGCGGTGATGGCTGTACTCATCCTCGCCTCTTGGTCGCAAGATCCATGGCTGCCAAGCGGACACGCCCTACGTATGGGGCTCGACATGAACCTGCACAAGGCTCTGGAAAAGCTTGGCGAGGATGTCGGCACGTTCGGAGGGGGCAAGGCCAGAACCGAAGCGGAAGAACGGGATCTGGGTAGGTCGTCCTTGTCCTATTCTTCGTAAGACCAGGTTTAGCTTATATTGCGCTCGTTCTCCCTGCAGTGGTCTCGGCACGGATCTGGCTGAATTGTTACCTAAACGACCATACGTATGTGCGAGGCCGCAGTAGTTGATGCACTTTTTCGCTCATCGTTATCTTGCATCTGCAGCGTCAGCTTGGGTACGGGGCGGCCTCTAATGCTGCGGGATGACGAGTCTGTTCGGAATGCTCGTCAACTTTTGTGAGTACATGTGATGTTACACTCTGCGAATGAAGCCTGACACAACGACATATTAGAACACATCCTATGGCGTCTGAAACCGATGTCCGTCTTGTCGCTTGCGTCGAATTGATGAGTCACAAAGGTAAGCTTCCAACCGGTCGGTCTGCACGAGCGCATGCTGAGTCAGCGTCTCTACAGTGCGGGTCTGGACACATCTTCATCCACTTCGCGGACGCATCGACACTACAACCATCGACTTTGTACGGCGAGTGTCAAACGATCTGCTCGCATGGCATGCAGAATGGAGGACACGGCATCTGCAGAAACATGAAGAAGAAAGCGTTCTAGTCAAGCTGCTTGACGCCGAGCTGTACTATGCTCAGCTATGGACCGCATGTGTCGCACTACGGGGATGTAATTGGGACAAGCTCAACTTGGATCAGCGAGAATTGGCTTTCGGCGCCAAGGATGCCGCTCTCAAGTGCTTGTCGGCTTACAAATCATCCAGTCTTCGGTATGTTGTGTATCATTGCTACTATTATCACTTTCTAATCGTTGCGAAACCCCTCTTAGGCATTACCTCAAATACGCTGTGCACGAGACGATGGTACAAGCTTCATTTGCTGCAGTCTTCCTCCTCAAAATCGCCATTCTATTCCCGACGCAGGTCACCGCCAAATTCATCAGCACCGAAGTCGCTGATCTGGCAAACTTGATGTCAGAATGCGCCGCCGAGCGTTACGCTCTTACACTCCGATTGATGCTCAGGTCTTTCCGTCGCAAGATGGGGGAAACGACCATGGCGCCAGGTACACCTCGTACCATGGCCAATGGACAGGTAGCGGGGCCAAGCGTCGACGGCATGATTCCAGGCCACCGTGGATTGGAGAGCTTACTGAGTATGGACGGCGACTCCGCTGTCGATTTCTCGATTTTGGACGATCTTGGACCCTTCAACTGGCCAGAAGACGGCTTCAGTCCATCCAACTTGCCACAATGGATTACTGAAGGGGTAAGGATACCTGTGTCGTGCGCTTCTCCGGAACATCTTACTAATGAGCTGCTATCGGACCCTGTTATAGAACGTTATGGATCTAGGATTGCCATACGACGGATCAGATTCAATCTTCCTGCCGCCCGAGTTGGCAAACATGTTCCTTCCCGCACCAACATCTTGGCAACTAGGAGATAGCGCAGAAACAGGTGCCGAAGCTTGGTAAACCGCAAAAAGTTCACGAAGAATGCGATTAGTGGAATTGTTGTATCACTACAAGCTACAAGATCTTGATACAAGTCACATGTGGTCGGGTTGCTCGGAGATGTACTCGTATACCGGTAGCAACGAAGTTCCTGGTCTCGGTCACGTGACTGGTACTTGGGATGAAGCGAGAGCCGAAAGTGCGCGATCATCATCATGGTTCATCGTTCATCTTGCATCTTGTACACGGAAACCTCCTGCTCTATTCAGCTTGAGATCGTCCACTTGCGCACGAGATCCCCTCAAACTCCTCAACATGGTCAGTTTTGACCGGTATGTCGTCTGAGGGGTGGAAAATCCTAACGAGAACCCGTATCCAGTCAAACATCCCACGTATCGCATGGGCGGCTACCCGAATTTTTGGTCGGGCGATGAGGGAAGCCGGACGGCAGGCAGTCGCTAGTGAGTTCATTCTTGAAGTCCACTTGCACGATGCTGTACTGAATCTTGGGACTCTATAGACGCACGGCATAAGCCAGAGGGCGTGGCTGATTCTGGGAAGGCGGGAGGCGGTAGCGGTAAAACGCAGAACCTCTCCTCATCACTTGGGATGTCGTTTGAAGAAGCTCAATTGATTCTGAATGTCAAGAAGGGCGACTCGATGGAGAAGATTCTCGAGGTGAGTAATTGATAGGCTCGTTCCTCATTACCAGATTGGACAAGCCGATCGATTTCCTCTTTCTACGTAGAACTACGAACGTATATTCAAGGCAAACGCCAAACCTGAACCTCCTGCCGCAACAGACCCTAAAGCCAAACCTACCGGACGAAAGGGCAAAGCACCAGCTGTTATCTACTCTCACTACCTTCAATCCAAGGTCTACCGAGCACTTGAGCGGATAAAGGCTGAGAAGGGCCCGGAAGCCGTTGCAGAGGGAGCAGCAGGAGAAACAATGGTTGCAGGAACAGTTGCTGAAGGAGGAGTCGCACCAGAATCGTTGGCCAAGGCTGCGGCGGAGGCTGAACCTTTTACCGGAGCTGGACCTGGTCAGGGACCTGTACCAGGTGAGGGACCTGCACAGGCCGCTGCTGGACAAGCTGGTGTAAACCCGGGATCAGCGGAGTTTGCCAACAAGACGGCAGAATCGAGTCCCGAGGGGTCGACCGAGGAACCGAAGAGAGAGCCAATCTACAACCCCGCTGTTGGTCGAGCTAAGCCCAAGGGAGATAAGGTTGCCGACGAAAACGAGCCGATCCAGCTATAATTGGCGATCGGAAAGGAAGATGCACGCGGGGAACGGATAGACGACATTGAACTTGTAGCAATACCCAATACAGATGACACTACTACCCAATCTGCTTCAAGGCGTTTTTTTTTTATCTTCGCAGAGTCCAAGGCTGGGGTGATAGTCTGGGCAAACCGGTCGATGTTCGACGGCTACGCTGAGATGATCCGGCACGGGACGTTTCACCTTATCGGCCACGAGAAATGCGGACAACGCATCGTGCGACTCGGATACAGGGTATATCGTATGCATATCGTGATCGGGCGAAGCTACCAAGCTAGCCTCAACTCTCGTTCAGGTATTTGTCCGCCCTGCCGAGTGCCCAAATGACAAACGAGAATTTATAGTCTAGCAAGGCCGCGCAGTTAGATGGAGCTACTGGAAACCACGGGCGTGACTACTACTTACTGGGATAGTCGATAGCGCAGTTCTTGTTGAAGATACCTTCGGTGTCCTCTTGAAGCCATCGTCCATCCTGTCAAGAGGATCTATTCAGCCTCATAGTCCACGTCACCTTCTGGCTCATGCCGAACTCACTCGAAGCTGTCTGCTCATGATCAGGTCGACTGCGCGGCGTATGACCTGCTTGTCGGTGTAACGACCGTAGACCAAGGAGAGTACAGCCCAGGCGGTCTGGACTACTTGACTTTGCTCATGCTGGCAGTACTCGGCGGTGACGCACGACTACGCAACAGGACGGGGGTTATTGCGACGTCCTGAGCTAAGAAGCATAAGCTCACCATATATGTCTCTCCCCAACCGCCATCCTTCATTTGCTTGCCCGCCAGGAACGCACAAGCTCGTCGTACGCTCTCAGAGTTTTCGCACGTCTCGCCTGCCATCGAGAGGGATTCGAGCGCAAACATGGTCGCATAGGTGAAACAGATCGCCCTATGAGGAATGGAGCGGTCATGAGTGATATTGACGATCCTTGCGCTAGGCGATAAGACTTACCACGCGCCATACCATGATCCGTCAGGCTTTTGCTTATCATGCACGTACTTGATGGCCTTGTCAACACACGAACTGTGAAGTTGACAGCCGGTCATGAGCGCGAATATCTAAGAGTCACGTTGCGGTCATGTACGCACTTGATCTCTCTACGACGGTAGTCAGGGCAAACATGGAGGAAGTGCAACAATGCTGAAATCGAGGACGTGGTGCATCTATTATTGCGCAGTGTCAGTCACATAAAGCTTTCCAGCAGAATCGAGGTTCGACTCACTCAGGGTATGTGTACTCGACCATAATATCTCCAAAGACTTCCGCGGTATTCAGCCATTCCATCTTCTTGTTTCCACGGATCAGCTCGTAACTGGCGAAACCGCCATCCGGATTCTGCATCGTCAACAGCACGTCGACGCAATCCTTCATCCGGTCTGGAGTTACTGGCGAAGGAGTGTAGCTAAAGCAGCAGGGTAGCGTTTAAGCCGTGTATGCGGCTCACGTTACCGGGATCGAACTCACCTCAGGCTCTGCAGGCCGATAACGGCTTTGAGACCTTCTCCGGCACAATCACTGACCTATACAGCCGAACAACGGATGTTGAGCTGATTTCACGCTTTCAGCAGCAGATCGATATATAGACTTGCTGTGTACCCCTGCTCTAGCGTTGAGAATGGCCAGGCTCCTTTCGTCGCATGCCGGTAGTCTTTGCCATACCACTTTGGATTCTCCCTCATCTGACACTTGTCTAGCCAGTCCAGCACGCCCTCTACGGCCTCTGTGTTTTGTTTCTCTTCTCCCAGACCCGTCTCTACCAGAGCTTGACTCATGAATGCCGCGTCCCATAGTTGCGAACCGTTCGTCCCCGTCATCATGAGCCCTTCACCCGACATCCAGAGGAAGTCGTCAATCTTGGCGCAATGCTGCTTGAAAGCCTCGGATTCTGGTCCGTCTCGGTGCCACCGACAGACCATATTGAACATCTTGGATACCGGGCCGATGGTCTGGTACCCTGTGTTTTCGTCCTCCATGACGACGAGTTCGTAAGCCCGGTCGACTCCCATCTTCCGCAGAGGGGACAATGGACATTGTTCGTAAACCGCCAAAATCTCGTTGAGACCGTCTAGGACCGGATGGTGAGGCTGGTAGATGTCCAGCTCACACACGTTGTTCCTATGCTTCGAAAAGTCTATCGAGTCGTAAGGGTCGATGTAGATTTCCTATGCGGAAGCGACATCAGAATGCGCTCTAGCTCTCGGGTCTACCCATTCAATATTGACTCACTTCTCTGATAGCTTCCACGAGCGGCGTAATTTCGCCGACAAAACGCACGCCGTAGAGATATCCTAGAGGAATATCTGGTTGCAGCCTCTGTCATTTCAGCGTGACCCGGTGAACCCTCGACGGCACAGCTACCTACAGACGTTTCTCGTATGAATCCACTGTTTTCACAACTGCTATAAGTATGCGCCTGTCAGGTCTGGGTCGCACGACGAACTCACCCAACGATGAGGATGGAAAGGTACCCAGTCTGGCAACAACCTATAGTACCGAAGTGATTAGCGTCGATCTGGGATAAAGACTTTGGCTAGCAAGCGGTAACGCACCACAGTTCGGGCGGGACGGGGTTGACGCCTTCCCACTCGTAGGCTCCCAAGATCGACAACCACGCCTTTGCCCAAGAAGGAACCCTGACTGCGCCTCCTGTAGTGCCCACATTCAACGGTTAGGCAGAAGCAGCATCGTTCTGAGGAGGTCAGCTACTTGCCTATCTTGTGGATAAGAGCCCTGATCTCGATCATCTCCGGTAGATCCTTGTCCGTACCCAGCAGACGAAGTGCTACGTAGACCATGACCGTCCCAAAGGCCGTCGGTGGTGCCGCCGTGTGCCTGCGAGCCAGATGATTCTCATGGTCAGGCCTGGCATCTTGAGGGCGACCGCTCTCGGGACTTACAATCCCCATCCTCCTTCAGGTCGACGTTTCGTAAACAAGTATCGTCTCATCTCCACGATCTGTTCAGGTCGTAACGATCTCCCCGTCACGTAGAGGCCGATGATCAGGCCTGAGAGTGTGAGAATCACGAGACAACGTCATGACGATCAGTACCGAGCTTTGGAACAATCACCGAGACGGTGAATTACGCACCAGGGATCAGAAACATCGGCCCTAAGAAGACAGATCGGCACCGAGCCATTTGGTCAGTTAGTCCGATCGATACCGAAGCAATATTACTCGATGAGGAAGAAAGACGCTAGCGATTTGCTCACCTCCGTAGGCTCCCGTCCAATGGCCGTCCTCGTCCTGGAGACGCTTGTAGAACTCGAACCCGTTCCTGGCAGCTTCCATCGGTGTCTTCGGCTCCGGTAACTCTGGAGCTCCCTGTAGGCAGTTTCAGAAAGCACTCAAGCTGGAATGAACGCTGGGAAGGCTTTCGTGATCAACTTGATGAACCTACCAGATTGAGATCCAACCAGTACTTGGCAGGCTGGCTTTGTTCCCATGTCTCTCGTCTCGGATCGTCCTGTCCGAGGTAGATCCACTTGTGCTGCCCATGCGAGTCTTCCGAGACGACCAATCTCCATCCTTCGAGGTCTGTACGGTCGTAAGGGTAGTCCTTGGCAGGTGTAGTGGAAGTCATGACAGCGATGGCTTTCCTATACGGTCGGTCGTCTTTAGCTTCGATTTTGACCTTGAACGGTACGAATCGGGTCGTTGATCGTCAGGAAAGGGTCCGGCTACTGCGATTGTATGAGGTTGATTGTATCCGTTGGCTGCGAGATTGAGACGAGTTTCTGTCGAAAGAGCAAGATGGACCTTGGGTAGGTGGTTTGCGTGGTCGTTTGAGCAAGTATTTGACCGATAATCTCGGAAGCGGGATCTTTACTTTCTCGTACGATCTCGGATCTCGGATGTTATTCGGATCAGTTATGACCTTGGACTTCGAGTGGACCTAGTGATGACGAGTGCCAGCCCGTTAGTCGCGTTTCCAGTATTCTAGCGCCCCGGGGATCGTCGCCGCCGTTCTGTGCGCTTCCCGCCTGTTTGTTGATTTTGTCGAGGTGATTTCGAGATTTTGATCGATTGATTAGGTTTAGACCTGATCGCTTAGAGAGAGAGAGAGCGAGCAGCGAGAGCAGGGTAACGGGTGCTTCGTCGATCAAAGAGATCACATGGAGGAGTTGACCGATTCAGCGAAACATATGTTCAGATTCAGACTAACCACTTCGTCCTCTCTAAACCCCGCCGCCCTGGATGTCATCAACATCGTCATAGCTACCTTCCCCCTGCTCTACCTGCTCACCTACTGTCCCTACTCACCGCATCTTCCTCCGGATACCACGCTCCTTGACATCATCGACCTGCGCTCCCTACGTCACAGATTCATAACATCAGCGAAATAATCGCACCGTAAGCGTCACCATCGCCATATATCAGGCCATATCACCAACGGTCCATATCCCTTCACCTATACTTCTCCTCTACATTCAGCATCCTCTCCCACCTCGCCTCGAGCAACCCCTACGCCTCGAGCAAGGCCATCTCCTCATACCCCGTTGTAACCCCTTCGCTCCTCAGTCCATTTCGCGAAATCATACCTCCTTTACCCCTATCTCTTGATCGCGAGTCTTGCTAAAGCGAAACCTTCATACCTCGAGGACGTGCCCATCATGGCCGTCCTGTGCTGTGATACCACTCTGGTACGTAGATACCTCGCTGACCCTGATTACGGAGACTGACGATCAATCACATCCTTTACCCCGTCCTGATGTTCATTTTTACCCCTATCCTTTATCCTTCCAGTTGATCAATCCAACCACCATCGTCCCGACTATCAGTCCGCGCCAGGCCGGATTCAGTAACCAACTTTCTCCGTTCGCCAGCGACGATCTCTGCGAACTCTCCGATGAGGACGAGGACGTCTACATGGACGACGAATCGTCCGACGACGAATCGTCCGACGACGAATCGTCCGACGACGAGGAGGTGAGGCGCGTACCGATTCCCGATACGATCTCGACTGGCGGCGCGCAACGCGATCCCGCCCAGCGTCTTCCGTCTTTGCCGCCCAGGCAGAGCATGATCACTCTCGAAGACTACGAAGACGTCAGGGTCAAGTCTCGACCCAATTATCGAGAGGAAGATTCCGGCGACGAGCTGGCTTCGGTTCAGGGAGAGTCGGACGATGAATCGGCCTCGGAACAGGATGACGCGAACATCGACGAAGACGAGGAGGACGAATACGAACAGCCCGGATCGTCTCGACCTCCTTTCAAAAGGCGTGTGGCTACCGACCACGTCAGAAAGGTCAAGGATAACAAGAAGGCCAAGGGCAGAAAGTCCCAGGCCAAGAAGACCCAGGCCAAGAAGCCCAAGGTCGAGAAGGACGAGGGCGACGCAAAGGAAGAGGGAGAAGAAAAGGAAGAGGGAGAAGAAAAGGAAGAGGGAGAAGAAAAAGAAATCAAAAATTCCCTGCCCATCGATCTTACCCTTCATCTCCCTCCCAAACAAGAAGACTTTACCCACGCTCTTCGAAAAGACGGGCAAATGACCGACTACCAATGCTCCGTCATCGTCTACGGATTCATCAGCAATATTTCCCCTCAAAAGCACTTCAAAGCGCTCATCAACCTCGAACTGGCGACTCATATCCGGGAAGCCCTCGAAAGGAATCCATACGATCCCTACTATCCTCCGACTTTCAGGAAGTGGAGTTACGAGCAATTCAAGCTCGCAGATGATCCCAAGGGCGATCAGATGGACGGGATGAACGGAAAATACTTGCTCCACGCGCACAGGAGGGTGGCGATCGTCGAACAGTTCTACGAATTGTTAACCGCCGCTCATACTGCGACCAGGCATGGAGGAAGGGACAAGTGCATGGCGATGGTAAGTCAGGACATGACGAGCTCATCACTTCATAACTACGGCTAACCACGATGATACTGTTTGACCACGGTTCAGATCCGAGACAAATTTTCGTACTCGTACCTCCCCAAAGATCTCGTTCAGAGGTATGCACTTGCTTGCCCCAAGTGCTACCCCGAGAGGTCGGCCGCGGCTTTTAGCTACTTGAACCAAAAGATGGCGATGGATAAGAGCATCCCAATCCCTGCGCAAAATAGGATCGACTACGCCGCATCAGCTCAATGGCAAGCTCAACAATCCAATAACACTCGATCGATCAAACCCAGGCCTACCCCCTTGCCACTTCCCGCTCGTGTCCCTTTCGGACGTCGAGGTTCGGACGAATCTCTTGTCTCGATCCCGCCTACGCCCATGGCTGTAGACGATTCGACCGGCGGATTGTCGAGCGTCTCGCCAGTCTCAGCCTGCCTGGACATCCCCGCCGGGAACGGTTCTGCCCTCATGACACCCTTGGACTCTCCCGCATTGCTCAACAATTCGATTCAGCCTACCGCCACTCGCCCTTCGATCGAGAGCATGCTCGATCCTTCCGATTCCGACGAAAGCGCTACCGAACTCGATCACCAAAATCTCAACGCAAACTCTGCGGCGTCAAAATCGGCCGCTTACAAGACTACACCCCGCTGGGCTCGCGCCTCGGCCACTCGACCCTCCGGGTCTGGCAAAGCGCACTACAACGCCCTTCAAGTCATGCTTGACGCCGTTACTGGCGAAGGCACTCGTCCCGGACAATAAATGACATCAAATCTTTGCATGCGGAGCAGACGCAGAACAACTTGCGAATATCAGATACTTCGCGCATCGCGTCATCGTGCGCCATACTGTAGCTCCAATCCCGTCGAATCATTTACAACCGTCTGTATGAACGTTCATCTCCCTTTTTTTTCGATCTCGATCTTTGTAATACATTATTGAGCCAAAAGGTGCTCCTTATAATGAACGATGTCCAGTCTTATTCGGCGTATGTGTCCTTGTCTCGGCAGCATCTCGCTATTCTTGGGTGTTTCAGGTCGAAACACCACATTCTCGGCTGTGCATAAACAACGGGGAGGCGGAGATCAAAGGAGGGGGCCATATCCTTTGCAAAGGACGCCTCAAACTGGTCGCAAGATCAAGGGGAGTTGCTATGGTCACCCGCAATGTCTCAGTTGTACCAACACCATATAAGCCAATGCCTACTGTGAAGCAGGTTGGTCTGGCAGGAAATTACATAGGCGGAATCATCATCACTCAAACGACGATATCGCTGTGCGGTACACCTCTTTCACGCTCGCTGTTTTTTAATTTCGCAATTTCGCAAACACAAACTCGTTATGCTTTTCAGAACCGCGCTACTTGTGGTCGCTCTGAAAGCTCTCCCAGCCTGGAGTCATTCTTTGCTTTATAACATCAATATCGGAGGGATAGACTACGGTGGTTGGTCAGACGAAACTATTAATAGTGAGTAACTCCCATTCCGTCCAATCGGTGTTATTTAGCCAGATCATGATGACGCTCACGACTCGTTCTGGAAACAGCCCAACCGACTGTCGGTACTCCAAGGGCACTCAACTCTATACAGTCAGTGGGCGACCCTCTAATCTCACCGGTTGGCTAAATTGAGTGTTTCTCCTTCAGACGCCCTATTCCCAACGATTCGCCGATCAGGTGGAATGCCCCGAACATCGCTACAGGTGAGACCCAGTCGTCAGCCCCCAAGACTGCTCCTGCCAACGCTGGAGATGAGGTTGTCGTCACCTGGTGGAGATGGTACGATATGCCGGACAACCATCAAGGTTTGTCGATTTTCAAGATCTATTTGCAATGGCAGCCTGACCGAATTTCCCACCCCGTATGAGTCCTCTCGAGGTATGTCTTACTTAAGATCAGTCGTCCTTACTGGTCTGAGAATGTGGCGTTTCAGGTATACATGGCAAAGTGTGCCGATGACTGCAACGGAGAGGCTGGGGCTGACATGGAGTGGTTCAAGACTCATGAGTGGGGATTTGATGGGGCGGCCGGTCAATGGCCAACTTTAGCGTTCGCCAGGACTGGAACGACTGACCCCACAGCTACCACTGAGACGATCAAGCCGTCTATGAGCTTTAAGCTTCCTACTAGCTTGCCAGGGGGCAGCTACCTCGTCCGCGTTAACATCATCGGTACGTTACACACCGCTGCCTCGCGATTGCTCAGGACTACAGCTCACTGAAAACATACCATCGAATAGCTTTGCATTCCAGTGTACGCCAACCATTGGTCTGAGGAATCTATATACTGCACTGAAACCGATTGCTACAATACGATAGGCTGGCCCGGAATACTACCCGAGAGCATTCCAGATCAAGCTAGCCAGTGCTGGCACCGATTTGCCTTCTCCCACTGGCAAATTCCCTGCCATCTATGCCGACACCTCCAGTCCAAGGAACAAGGATGTGAGCTCGTTCGAGATCTGGAACAATGCCTGCGATCCTCCCTCGTTGATGTATCAGATCCCCGGAGTAAGTCCACCGTCTTAACAAACCCTGCTAGCCTGACTGATAAAGTATTTGTTCAGCTCGACGTCATTGCCGGAGGCGTGAGGTCAGTATAGTCGTCCATCAATCCACACTTTCAGAGCTGACGGCGCTTCAACATGAACAGCGTGAATGCCAACAATGTCGCGCTTTGCCCTGCTGCTGAGGCCGGAGTAAAGGCCAGTGGCGACACTCCTGCGGGTGGAAACGCTCCAGCGGGTGGTCAAAACGCGACCGATGCCTCTTCTGCTAGTGTCAGCCCTTCCGGCACCTCGGCCTCTGCCCGGCCAGTGGATCCTACAGTCCCCGCATTTGAAGGCAACGCCAAAAACAATGACCCCTCGGCGACCTTGGACCCTGGTGCCAAGTTGCCCCAAACTTTAGCCAACTCCGATGGGACAACCGCAGCTTCGTTCAATACTGCGGCAGCGACATCAAGAACTGCCGCTGATGCTCCTGCATTACCTACAGGACAAGGCGCTCCCGCCGCTTCTGCTATTGGCGGGTGAGTCGATGTTGTATCGGTACGCGACTGTTACACAAGGAGATCTCATCGTTGACCTTTCTCTACTCAAAAGGCTGGACGAACAAGCCTGGGAGACATGCGGGAAGATCCGGGTAAATTTTGAGAGTTGCACTCATATGAGGTTCTAGGGCGTCACTGATGACAAGCCATTTCCACCCAGCAAACATGTCAAGAAGGCATCGCAAGCGGTCAAAGCGATGCCGCGGATTGTGACGCCAAGGCGAGTTGTCTGATAGCTCCATATAATGAACTAGCCACTCACTGATGAAAGGATTTGCAAACTCAGTGGAAGACTTGTTCCGATACGGCTTTGACTTCGCACCGTCGACGCAAGATCCGCAGGAACTTCTGAAAAGTCACCGCCAACATCGCTACATTGTCTCATCGATGATTTCTCTTTCTACCTTCTCAATCTTGCTTGCGCCTTCCGCATTTACCTTTGTATTTTATTATCCTCGAACCTATCTCCATCATATCAGTCCATCCCTTTCTCTTTTTCCAAGAGCAGGCCTTGACGATTCGTCGCGTTTCACGTCAACCCGACTACAACGAAGCGCAGGCCCCGCTTGCTGGCTTTTTGCTTCCGCGTTAGCCGGTCACTCGCCGGTTGCCGGAACGTCCGGCCGTCCGTGACCGAGCAACACCCTTGGACCAATAATGGCAAAAGTCGATTACAACTCCGATACATCTCCTTCTTTGCTTCTCTATCATCCCATTGCAGCACACTACATACAGCTCCCTACAAAAAGACTACATTACCTAGATCAGAGTATTCGCTATGGGCAAATTTCAAGCTAGAGCTGTCGGGAAAGGCGACTACGACGGCATCCGCAAGCAGATCGTCGAGGTGCTCGAACAGCCAGGTTATGATGATGGTGAGTGGCAAAGCAGTCCATCGACCTGAGAGGACACAGCTGACGGGTAGCTTTCCGGTATCAGGGTCGGCCGGACCTGTACTCGTGAGGTGAGCCTCGACTAGTGTTCCGTCCACCTGCCGCTCGACTACTAAATCACGTTACATTCAGGCTGGCATGGCATGCGAGCGGGACGTTCAGCCTGGTCGAACACAACGGAGGAAGTAACGGAGCGGGAATGAGATTCGGCAAAGAGCGAGACGATCCAGCCAACGCCGGTCTTGTTCACGCTATCGAGTTTATCATGCCGATCCAGGCTGCCAACCCATGGATCACCCACGCCGACCTTTGGACGCTAGCTGGGGTGACGGCACTCGAGGCGATGAAGGGTCCGAAGGTGCCGTGGAGACCGGGTCGGACCGACTATGATGATGAATCGCATGCGGATGACCATCGAGGGAACATTGGCGACCGCTTACCTGATGGGGCTTTGGGAGCCGATCACCTGCGACAGGTCTTTGGCAGGATGGGATACAGCGATCAAGAGATCGTGGCCCTGTCTGGAGCGCACAACCTCGGTCGATGTCACGCCGATCGTTCTGGCTTTGACGGCCCTTGGGTGGTGAATCCGACTCGGTAATTACCTTAGGCTTCGCTGTCTACTTTCATATATGCAAGCTGAATCTTGTCCCTTTGTCTAGCTTCTCGAACCAATACTTCAAGCTCCTGTCAACCCGGAAATGGACGCCTAGAAAGTGGGACGGTCCCTTTCAGTACGAGACGATAGTTGCCGGAGAGAGACTCATGATGCTGCCCACCGATGTGAGTACCATCTTGAACATCTATTCCGTCTGCTTCAACTGACACGGCCGTACTCCATGACACCGCAGATGGCACTCATGGAAGACCCCGAATTCAAGAAGTGGGTACTGATCTACGCCAAAGACCAGAAAAAGTTCTTCGAGGACTTTGCCTTGGCGTTCGGGAAGCTCATCGAGCTTGGAGTCGATCGGGATGATTCGGGGTTCTCACGTCTTGTCAACAAGGCGGCTCGGGAAGGAAAACCGCTCGACAAGGTTGGCGGTGGGTGTCCCTTTGCGTCTGCTATCAAGCAGGGGAAGACCGAGCTGGACAAGAACCCGAGGGAGAGCAAGCTATAAGTTTCCCGGAACTCTCTGCACGTCTTCGTATCATCGTCTTCGTTTCTTGTATGTTGTCCTGATTGTATAGCCAGACGATGGCATCTTACACGCCGCCTCATTCGTTCCAAGCCAACAAACCCATAACACCAAAACCGAACAGCATGAAGGCGTACTGCGGTGTCAGACGGGTTCCACACGTGACATGCGTTAAACGTTAATGATTGTCGTTTTCTCCTGTACCGATTGTCGACTAACCTCTTTGATGGTCTGCTTACCAGACCAACTCTCGGCCAGTAGTTCAGGAATGACCGAGACCGATGCGATGTACAAGAAACCTAAGGGACGATCAGGTTAACTAGCTGCTCTGCACGAAGCAACAACCATATGAGCACGCACCTCCAGCCGTTCCCGGGATGACCAAGTCAGCGGGCCTGACAGAAGTCCCCAAGAAACCTCCGGTCCGTCCAGCTAGAATGGCAGCGCCGTCTGAACTCGTCGATCCCCCGGCACCAGCGCTCTCAGCGATCCAGATACCTAGAAATGTTCCCACAAACGCTCCGATGGCGGTGATGAACTGTGAAGTCATCGCCTGTCGCTTGGTAAAACCCGATTTGATTAGAATGGAGTAGTCGGCGATCTGATTACATAGCGGCGTATCGTTAGCAGAAGGCCTTCATGACTTGCGGAGACTTCGAGACCCACCTCGTGAGGAATTTCATGGCAGAAGGTAGCAAAGGTCGAGATGGCTCCTAGTTGAGGACTAGCATAGAACGAAGCAGCCATCGCCTGTAACGCAACAAGTGATGAGCGAACGACCTCCTTGAAAGGAAGCTGTTTGCAAATCGACTCACCAGTCCGTCGGTGATATTGTGAGCTAGTATAGCGGGGGTTTGGCCATCAGCCGATTTCGCCGATTTCGCATCTCTCATGATACTCACTGAAGTCGCCAAAGAGGTTGAGATATGCCGACAACCGCAAGCTCGCGCTCACTTCTGTCTTCTTGTCCTCCACCGGTGCGATCACATTATCATCGCTAGCCTTCTCCTTGGTTCTCTGCTTCAATCCGTCTGAAGAAACGGTAGTCTCTACGGCAGTAGACTTGGCTTCGGCAGGTGCGTGGTGGTGGTGATGGTGATGAGAATGGCTCCCAGCGGAAGCTTCCCCACCAGGTGAAGAGTTGAGTACTCTCATTGTCTTGTCCAAAAAGTAGAATGCAAAGAATCCGCCAAAGATAGCGCCCTGAAAATCGATAACTACATATTCAGTAAAGCCTTTTCCATACATTTGTCGCAAGGAAATGCTGCTCACCCCGATGATAATGTTCCTCTTCTCCTCGACCAGAACATATCGTACCCCGTCGATCACGGTCCCAGCGCTGGTCTCGGATTCGCCCATGAACGAATGCGGTATGAGGTGCATGCAGACATCACCTAAAAGCCCTCCGGTCGCAAAGGCGATCATGGTGTTTAGTGACGCTGGGTCGAGCTCGGTGGGAACAAGAGCGAGGATAAAGTTGGGGAATCTGATCGAAGAAAGGAATGTCGGAATCGGTCAAGGGTCAACTGCCTTTGAAGTCGGTGTTCGGTTGACTTTGACTCACGATGATATGTAGAAGGTAGCCAGTACCGAATTCCACCTTGCACTGAACGGGAACAGCTTGGAAAACGCCCATTGCTGGAAACTGTCGTGCTGAATCTGACGTCCGTGATGTGCAGACTCTCCGTCCGATATCTTGCTATCGAGCTTCCCATGCTATAAGCGGTTATACAGCAGAAAATACTTCAGTTCCCTCAAGATGACGACGATAATATGTCATGATTTCCTCATCCGACTGACCGAATCTGCTCGATGGGCAAGGACAAGCGGGACAGCGATCAAAGTGATCGTAGCAATTAGAGCTAGCTTACGGTTGTTCGTAGAGATCATTGATGCATGTAGGATGATCGGAAGCGTCTAAGTCAGGGAGAGATCGATCTGTGATACTACTGCAAGGCAACACCGTCATGCTATCAAGAGCTCAAGTTGGACAAAGGTGCAGTAGTGGTGATCAAAGAGACTCAAGGTGCAGCAGCAGCTCGGTGACGAAACCTCGCGTGACCAAAATGATGACGTAAGCTTTACGTTTGGCGAGAAACTCTATCAACCATATACTGCATCCCTTTGTAGACCTAGTCTGGATCGTAAAGATGTGAATGAGATGACATGCTGATTGAGATGCTCATAGGATACATTGAAGTCGTGATATGCTGAGTGAGACGAAAATTATAACCGATCTAAGATGCAGTGCGACCCGATCAGGCGTGCGCCTTCTCTTTCTCTTCGATAGCGGTTGAGGGAGGGTACCCCTCGTTCTCCCTCCAGTCCGGTTCGCATCGTTTCTCGAGCGGTGCGTATCGATGCAAAGCGATCCTAGGCGAACCGATGGGGCTGTTCAAGGGAGAATCTTGCCAGAGGGAGATCTCGTACTTGGGAATGGACTCGACGTTGAAGAGTCGGGTGGTGGTCTGGCGCACGATGAGGTCCTAAGTGGGGATGAAACGGCCCGTGGGCGTCAGTTCCGGGCAGTTTGTTTTTAATGAATAGGTACAGAGATGCTTACCTTGTCCTTATGAGCGAGCTCGATCAAGGCTTGCATCTCGTTAGGCAAGATGCGAATGGTCATGCATCCATTATCGTCGGCCAAGAGGGGCTGAAAAGCGTCCCGAAAAGAGGTTAGCCCGAATCGTCCGGAAGAAGCCCCGATATAGAGCTGGAAAGGCTCACTCTGATCTTGTAAGCGACGATATCACCTCTCCAGGTAACAGTCCTTGTGGGAACAAAGGTAAAGGAAGTCAAGGTGTTCTGTAATCGAGACGACGAAGAGTCAGTCCGGGTCATGCACAGCGAAGAGCGAGCGAAACGCACCTTGTTGTGGAACAACAACGCCTTGAGCTCGTTGACCTGGTCGTAGAGTTGGAAAGTGTTGGCATTGGACATATCGACGAGATGGTAGTATTGAATAGTGAAGATGGGGTATCCAAGTGTGAAGTAGTGCGAGTATGTGGGGCAACGGAGAAGTCGATGATAATGCGGTCCAAACCAAAAGGTCGAAATTGAAGGGTTTATATATCTATTCGGGCCAGTTCGCGACGCAAGGGACCGCGTCAGTCGAGGTTGATCCCGCGCCAGTCTTCCTCAAAGGTAAGCGCAACCGGATCCGATTCACCCTACTCACCCTCTTGGTGGTCAGGAGTGTGTCGACGTAGTTCGCAAGCGATTCCCAGACCTGTGCTTCAACCAATCACCTCCGACGGCGCGTGATCGATACGGCAGACTTCTCGAATTGAAGGGATGATTGCTGAAGGGATATTGGGTTGGTTTCCACGGAGCAACGTCTGAGCAACTGTTTTTCGGCGAGTTCGGCGGAGGTTCAGGACAGCTGCAGCGTACGAGGAGAATAGTGGGATGACAAATGGCTGCAGACACAACACCTGAACTCCGCCATTCCTCTAACTTGCGACCTAGGTCTATATACTCACATCACGCGCCCGCCCATTCTGTTTTCCCTTTCAACCCGAACATCCACTCAAATCAAAGACAAAGACCGTGCTGCGTGATCCCGAGTCATCTCATCGGGTACCTACCAAACTCTCGCTTATCTTGACCGAGCCCATTGTGCACACACTCGAATCCCCATACCGGCCATGACTCAACCCCCTTGCCCCAGACGAGGGGCAACAGGTGCCCCTGACTAGCCCCGTATTCGTACTCCGTGGTTCCTTCTTTGTGCTGGGCGCCAAAAGAGAAAGGAAGCACCAGGCTGAAACGCGGAGAAAAGAAACGATGGGGCTCGGCCGGGAAGGTGAGACAAGACATGTTCCGGCCGAGACAGAACGTCGCCGGTTCTGATCCGTCCTGCAATCATAGCATGCCTTTCCCCGCCGACATCAGCCTGGCTCATGAACTCTGTGATTCTCAATCGCAGCTTCTAGAAATGGCCCTAACCGGCGGACAAGGGATCATATTACACAGAGACGTGGATGTCCGATTACAACTGTCTGAGACCGTAGACGAAACCACCGATTCCCGCGAGGTAAGACCCGATGATGGCTGAGACGAGTTGAAACCGAGAATGGCATCAGTAACCCAAGCAGACTCGTGTTGTCTGTACATCGAAGCGCGCTGCGACTCACGACCTTTCATCGAGGGGAAACTCTCGATCGCTCCCATAAGGTCTGGGAAACCCATGATATTGCAAAACACGTGGCTCGCAACCGCAGGCAAGACCGAATCTATGGAATTACGGAATAGAAACGAAAACCAAATACCTCATTGTCAGCTGCAGAATCCGATGTCAAGACCAGCGGTTTAAGAGGAAAAGAGAAATGCGTGTAGACTCACCGGTCTTGATGAACAAGTAAGCGGCGAACCAGCCAAACAAGGTCGTGTACGAGAACTGGAAGCCTGCCACCCATCGATCGGAAAGCAAGCTCACTAAGTCACTCTGCCTTGTTTCTACCTCACACTCGTCCAGGTCTCGCCCGACTTACCGGCCGAGATCGCCGCCCTCAATGCAGCCTCACCGGTCCTCCCGCCCTTCTTGTACACCTCCCAGGCGTGATGCAGATGGGCAAGTCCGAACCAGCATGGAGTGCCCAGCGTTAATGCCTTCCAAGAGGACTGTTTGTCGTAAGCGGCGAGCAGGTAGGTGGAGATGATACATGAGCGGAAGACGATCTCTTCCGTGATCGGGCCCTACGAGTTGCGAGTGAGATCACCACGCCGGGACGAGGGCAGGATTGGGTTTGAGATAGGTTAGTCGGATGAAGTGACGGTGTGATTGGCCTTCGTGGCGGTACTCACGACGATATAATTCCTCATCTCGACCCACCTCCTCCTCTCCACCGCCGGCGAAACCTCCACTCGCTCCCTCTTCTCCCCCTTCAACGCTCCCCAAGCATTCTTCACGAACCCAGGGATCACCAAAGATAGGCAATCCAACACCCCACCATCCTTCAGCGAGAACAACCTCCTCCCATAAGCCTGGCCCGGCCAAGTCTTCTCCATGGCGCCTGTGAGGATCGGTCCGGTGAACAAGATCGGGGCGAGCGCATAAGGGAGGAGCGGGCGGAGGGATTTAATTTGAATCTTGGAAGGGAGGGAGGTGAAGAGGTCGACGATCGTTGACGGGGAGGGGATGATATGGGAGAGGGTGGTTAACGAGGGAAGGGGGAAGTTGGGCAGGGGAGGGAGGGAGTTGGGAAGGCCTAGATATCGTAGGGTGACAGGTAACTGATAAAGACATCGGATGACATTTCAGCAAAAGGGAAACATCGATTTTCAGGAATTGAGACTTACTGTAGCCCTCAGGTCCTGGACATTGCCTCGGTAATAGATGATACCGCCTACCAGAGCACATCCACCCAGGGTAGCCACGCCGACCGCCTTGCACCTGCTCCTGATCACCCTCGGATCATCCCTGTCCAACTCGATGGGAGTATCCGCCTCGACCAAATCTCTCAATGGAGTCTCATCCTTCTTCTTGGAAGCATCCGAACCTGTCGCTTTGGGTTGGACGTTTTGGTGTGAAAGGGAGAGACGGGAGAGGTAGAGCCCGCCGACGTAAGCCGAGGTGAGGGAAAAGGCGACGAGATGAGCCTCGTTAGGAGACAAGAGAGGAGATGTGGCGAGTAGTGACGCCATGTTCTGAAGTGATACCGATCACCCCGGTGTATCGTCTGATCGAAGTTGTCACGGGACGTCGATGTATATCTTCGACCATCAGGGGTCAATTGCGAACGAGGACAATAAGAATCAGGACGAGGGTAGCAGCAAGTCGCGATCGATCGGACGTGACCGTAATGATGAAGAGCGGACATCGCCCTGTTTCCTCTCAGGGTTCGCATCTCGATGTCCGCTTCTCCCCCTTGCCGCCCCCTCGCTCCCGTCTTTGCCCGCGAGCTCGGTCCAATCGAATCAATCACAAAGTCAAGAAGCACCGCTACATCTTGCAAGCTATCAAGTCAGTCAGCATCTGTGCATCACTCGATCTCTCCTTGTCGTCCTCGCAGTAGAAGCCCGTCAAGATGAACTCTTCTCTCCGATTCAAGAACCCCGTCGTCAGTCTAGCCTCGCCTATCTCTCCACAAGCGAGACAAGGAGCGACAAGCAAGCTGACATCCGAATTACTATATCTTGCTCTCTACTCGTTTGGTCGTACCCTTGGCGGATGGCTGCGTCTCCAATCTGGATTGACTCGTTGACTGTTGGGACTACTAGCGATTGGGCCACATCACCCCGGAGTACGTCCTTTTTCCCGATCCTCGATTATGACCCGCAACACTCAAACAAGCAAGCTCACCTCTCTCTCTACCTTCATCGTGTTCTCCATATCCGATCGAGCTGATATAGGAAGATCCGCAAGTTCCAACCCACCTTGATGTACTGGGGAGCCGGTGCTGCCGGTGCCGTCGGTCTCTTCCTCTCCTCGATACCCATCTTCAAGGTGCGTTCAGTCGGGGTGGCCATATTTGCACCCTCTTCCATCTCCCGGTCTTCCTTTGTTCCTGTGCTGATCTCCTCGTCGTTATATGATTCAGCACGACATCCTGCACAAGGTCCCCATCATCAACCTCTACTTCAAGGGTGAGTCCCGCAGCCCGGACACGTTTCTCTTCCGGTTCTCTTTCTCGCCCCATACTCACCAAGACACAAAGCATCGTTCTAAATCTGACGTCCGATCTTCTCTCTACTTGCTAGACAACACCCCGGATTGCGACAAGCCCTTCTAAACGTATCTTGGAAGCGAAAAGAGAGAGAGCATACAGTACCATAGACGCGGAGCATTTGAGCGAGTCGGGCTGGGACTGAAATGGGGTCGGATGTATACCCGAGCTTGATCCACAAAACGAGCTTGGGGGGACGGGATGTACTTGGATATGAGAATACATAAAAATCAGGACAAAAGGGGGAAGGCCCTCGGTATGGGTCGGCTCGGTCTGGAAGTAGCGTTGCACGGGAACTTGGGGCGCTTTCGAAACAAACGATCCGCAACAGTCGGAGCGGCGAGTGCAGTCGGTCCTCGCCTTCCAAGGTTCAAGGATTCTTCGAATCAAGTCGTGAATAAGAGTGATACTATTTGTAATCTGCTCAGATCTTTCCCGAGCCCGCAACGTCTATTTCTTTGCGAGACCTGCATCTGGCCGACGAACCCAAGGTTAGCAAAAAGTAACTCGAAGAGAGTGACCATTCATAGGATGCCAGCAAGTTCTGCCTCCATGTAAGAACTTTCAGGAATGGGCCCTGAGCCCCACGGTCCGTACTCATGCATGGAAGGTGTTATAGTGGGGAATTGACCCATTAAACTACCTCAGGAAAACCATCGCTTATACTATACTACATGTGCTTACATGCCTTGGACACAAGCCATGTAGCCACCCTCTGAAAGCGAGTCGGAAGCAATGGCCTGTCGGAGGCACCCCTCGAAGACCGAAGACCTTTTTGCTAAGGGCCGCGGTAACCTCATTTCCCTGTCTCACACTGGTCATCGCGAGATGCTCATAATGAGTCTGTCAAGATGGCCATGTGTACATCCAGCTGTATCGCATCGATGGTCTATGAGGAGTCAAGATTGCGAGAGCGATTTGGACCGGGGGGGTACCAATCATTGCAGCCGTCAACTACTGAGACAATGCGTCTCTTAGATCAGCACCTGAAGAGTACGGCATGCAAAAGCACCTGAGAAAGCTGGTCGACGACGTCGTCTTGCGGGTTCAGACGAATAACATAAGGTTGCAAAAACAGACTCGAAACAAAAACAAAGGAATGACTGAAAAACGAGAGATCGTCCTCTCTAATCTCCCGTTCCAGGTCGACGTTACGCACAAAAGCGGCAAAAAAAGACAACACGCTACACCAAGGCTTCCACCCCTGACCTGGACACTCCGCTTAACAACATCCTCCAGCAGCCTTCTGCTCGACCTTCTCGCCGACCTTGAGGGCCGACTTTCCACCTGGTCCAGCGGCCATCGAGCTCGATCCCATTCTGCGATATACGTCGTCCGTTGAAGGATCTTGCATCAGCCCGTGCTCGCATTGGGCAGAAAGTGGTTGTCGACGGCCCAACTCACCGGTCCTTGATCTGCTTGGACATGGTCAAGAATGCCTGCTCGACGTTGGTAGCGTTCTTGGCCGAAGTCTCGAGGAAAGGAATTCCGAGCTGATCGGCAAACTCCTGCACGTCCCCACCGGTAACAACAGAATGCATCAACTATCCGCACCACATCGACCCGATTATATGGACCGCGTTCGGACTGACCTTGGCCACGGCGTGTTCTACGACCTTTTTGCTCGTCAGATCGCTCTTGTTACCGACGAGCAACTTGTTGACACCCTCAACGGCATAACGATCGATCTCCTGCAACCACTGCTTGACGTTGGTAAAGGTGTCTGTGGGTCGCCAACAATGATGGCCATACAGAGTGCATAGCGGGGTAACGAATCGGGCGTCAATACGAGGTTCTGATGAAATCGAAAGAGCCATAGGAAGAACTTGCCGTTGTCGGTAACGTCGTATACAACGATGATTCCGTGAGCGCCTCGGTAGTACGACGAAGTGATCGTCCTGAACCTCTCCTGACCCGCAGTATCCCACTAAAGCCAGCACGCAGCCCAAGGACGAAGTCGATCAGCCTTCCCTTCCACCCCATGCGCAAGGACCTTCGTCCACGACTTCACGACACTCACGATTTGCAACTTGACCGTCTTTCCCTCCAACTCGATCGTCCTAATCTTGAAATCCACACCGATGGTCGAGATGTACGATTCGGTGTACGTGTCGTCTGCGAATCGGAGCAAGAGACAGGACTTCCCTACACCGGAGTCTCCGATCAGGAGGAGCTGTAGGTGGAGCAAATTGAGGGGTTGAAGGTGAGTGAATCAGATCGAGGTAGGGAGGAGGGTCGAGGGGACGGACCTTGAAGAGGTAGTCGTATTCCGCTGCGTGAGACATGTTTGAATTATCGTTTGAGTTCTGATCGCCAAATAGACAGAATGAAAATGATCTTGTTAGCTTTCTTCTTCTTGCAGCAATGTCTATTGCGGAATCCCGTGATGTTGCAGACATGGATTAGGGATGAAGATCACGATCAGAGCAGAGGTCCGCGGCCAGGACGAAAATATGTTTCGAGCCGGGGTAGTTGTGAAAGTCCGCATTTGAGTTCAGATATTAGGCGATTGAGGATTATGTTCCGTTGCTATCCGTAGTCGAGCGTGGGTATAGCCGAGGAGCGTAATCGCACGGCGACAACCGAGTTTCGCTCGCTTGCTCCGAACGACCAAGCCCGATTGACGTCCTGATAATGCCATCCATTGACATCGCCTGACTTTTGTGAGAGTCAGATTCGCTGAGAGGCCAAGCCTGATGATTGTGGAACCCTTGGATATAACAGGTTCTTCCGGGGCGAAATGCGTTGCAGAGCAGGTTCTCGGTTCCTGAAGGATGTCCCGTTGCACCAAGTCCTTGACTATGCCACCTGATTGTTTCGATAGCATTATGATTCTCCCGCTACCAGCTCCCCCTTCTCAGCTTGTTGATCGGTCTCCCTACTTCGAGATTCGCCCGTCCTATGTCGTCCATAAGCCGCGCAACGTCTTGTTGTTGATACGGTGATGGTGATGAGGTGTCGTTGGCTGACCGCTGCCGTTTCTCGTTCTCGTTCCGTGACGATCTTATCCACGCTCGAGCCACCCGTTGCATCGATTGATACTTACACTGCGTTTGATGAATATAGGTACTAGCTGTCTAGACTCTAATGACGCTGTGTGGATGATCGGATGATGATACCTTGTTGCATGTTGCTGATATGATGATGATGGGTGGTGGTGAGGGGTGATGATGATGTGCTCCCGAAGCTGTGTGTGGCGCGAGGGGGACAATCAAATCGCTTTCTCACGCGTGACACACCAAGGGCCATCAGGGTTCCTCTCACAAAGTTCAAAGATTAGATAGCGAGATGATCCATCCCACTTGCAATCGATAGACAATCACCGCAAGACTGGAAGGTATCAGCACTCATCCAACCTAGCCATCATGGTGCGTCTCTCGTAGTGAAAACTAAATTCACTTCTCTGCCAACTCGACTGATCTATTGTGCTCACAGCCCAAAGCAGCCAAATCAGGCCGAGCGAGGTTACACGACAAGGCGGCCAAGCTCGCCAAAGTTCAAAAGGGCGGCGGGCAAGATGCTTCTATTCCGGACGTGATCAATCAAGGTAAGCTTTTCATTCGTGCTCAGGAGTCATGTAAGGCCTCACGGAGCTGATCGATCTGTGTTCGACCATGGTCGCTGCAGTAAACGAGGGGATGGCCATCGCCTCGAACTCGGACGTCAAGGGTAAAAAACGAGCCATCGAATCGAAAATCCCTTCCACCACCTCTGGTCCCTTCTCCGGCTCTGCTTCTCTATCATCATCGACGAACCACCCGTACAACCTCTCGAAGTCATCACGCAAACGGCTGAACAAGAAGACCCGCGAGAACCTCTCGTTGGGGTCAATGGCCGGGGTACAAGATGCTCTGGGGTCGATCTTGAACGACGAAGCCGGTCCGGGTGAAGACGACATGAACGATGGTATCGATGGTGAGGATAGTGACGATGAGGAAGAGGATGGGATGAGCGTAGATGGGACAGCATTGGGCAAGAAGAAACGCAGAAAAGGGAAAAAGAACAAGAAGTCGGCCACACAGGGGGCAGACGGAGGGAGACCCAAGATTGGGGAAGGGAGGGGGCGGACGTTGAAGGAGAAACAGAGGAAAGAACAAATGTGAGCTCTCCGGGTGTCGTGAAAGTCTTCGAGGCACCACTGCTAACGAGAACGTGCCGGCTCTGCAGCCTCTCTTCCCGAGCCCACGTCCAGGCGGTCCTCCAAAACCCGGCGTTCAAGGCGAACCCGTTTGCCGCCATCAGGGAACACGCGGGGAACAGTTTGATCATGATTGACAAGCAGGTCAAGGCGTGATGACGATCGTCGTCGAGTTTGATTGGCGTGTATCCAGGCGGTTACTGAGACACTAGTACATTTGAGCATATTGAGCGATACAATTCGGATCATACAATCGGCAACGCGAGTGCCACGAGCTGCTGGACCGGCATACTCAGGAATGCCCGATAATTTTGCGGACCGTGTATGCCGAACCGATCTTCTCCTTGTCCTCGTCCGACAAGACCACGTCCAAAGCCTTGACTGCGTCGTCCAAACTCCTGGCGTTCGAGATCCCAACGATGGGCGCGGCGACGACCGGGTTGGCCAGGGTCCACGCGATGGCCACTTGGGCCATGGTGATTCCCAGTCGATCAGCAACGCTCTTGATGGCTTCGTTGACGGCGATCTCGGTGTCCTCGCGGGGTATTTCCTTGTCACCTCGAGAGGTCATGCCGCGTTGTTGCGCGTGCGGTCGGGCGAGGAAACCTCCGGCCTAGGGTGCGGAGCGTCACAACACGGTCAGAATCAGGATATCGAGTTTTACCGTTTCCAAGCGCCTCCAGACACGAGGACTCACGATCGGGCTCCAGGGCAGACTCGAGATCCCCATCTTTTTTATGCAGGGCATCATCTCCCTCTCTTCCTCCCGGTAAGAGGCGCAGTAATAGTTCTGCATACTGATGAATTGGGGCCATCCGTTACGCTTGGCGATGGATTGGTACTCCATGAACTGCCACGCGAACATGCTGCTTGCACCAATATCTAACGGTCAAACGGCTTCGATCAGCTTTAATAGATTCGATTGTTCTTTCCGATACGACACGACTCACATCGGACCTTGCCGGACTGGATGATATCTTTCAAGGCACACATCGTCTCCTCGAAAGGCGTGTTCTCATCCGCCCGGTGAATCTGCAACAAGTCGATATACTCCAAGTCCAGCTCTTTCAGGGACCGTTCGACCGAGTCGAAGATGTGTTTACGGGAGAGACCTTGTTGGTTGGAATAGTGGCGACGCTCGCGTTCCTCGCGGGAAAGTTGGTCCAGACCCTGTGTTGAGATCAGGTACGGTGTGTCACATAAGGGCGGTAAGCGATCAGGTTCGACTACAACCTGTATAACGGCTCGGCTTCCCAGACCGACCTTTTCGAAATCCCTAGGGATGAGCGCAAACAGCTGCGAGTCGCGAGTCATGAAACCATTGATTTAGGTCGGCTACTATCGCTTCGTCAGATTCTAAAAATAGAGTCTAGGCTTACTTTTGTAGCGACGACGATATCCTCTCTGGGGAGATTATATTGCTTGATCGCTTTGGCCAAGACCTTGTGCGAATATCCTGCGAGACGCCCGTGCGTCTCAGTATACGAGCAACGATGGTGTACATGAGATTGTTTGAGAACAAAGACTTGCCGTTCGAGTAGATATCGGCGCTGGAGGAGAGTATACCAAGCATGATAAGCGACCTCTCTGGTGCAAGGGGTTGCTTCACAAGACGCTTACGTGTCAAAGAATTGGATACCGACGTCGTAGGCGGCCTTGATCAAGGGGAGCGCTTCGTCTTCTACTCGAGGCACGGTCATAAATCAGGTATGAACAAGAGTTGTTATGTCGGGACGTGGGGCGCCGCGGGGGGAGAGGGGGATAAGGTAGAGCAGACGTGACGTACCTTCCAATACCCAATCGAGCCATTTCTTACTCCCACTACTCCCCGTGCCCAGACAGGTATCAACGGATCAGCATGACTTGTCCTGATGAAACACACACCATAGCTGATTCATGACTGACTAGGACATCATACCCAACGATATCCTCGAGACTCGTAACCCCGACGGGCCGAGGTTGATGTAGCGCATCTTGCCCTGAGCGTCCTTGACGACGTCGTCGAGGTTGTAGGATTCTTTGGACATGACTCGCGTTCTTGTATCGTTTTGAAGACGTGCAGGGAAGAAAGATGGAAGAGAAGTGAAACTGAATATGACGATTGTATGGTCATGGTAGCCGCATGGGACGAGGTTTATATACCATGCGAGCTGCGAGCGACAGCGGTCTGGCTGACTGATTCCCGGTACTTCGGCGATGGGCGATGGGGCGATGGGCCACTTTCCCGTGCCAGTACCGCGCCAACGATCGCCCGAGGTCTGACCGAGATCCTCGTGAAACCGTGTTCGATTACGTCGAGTCATCGCGAAACTCGGTCACAAAGCTCTCGGGTCATATTGCGACGACAACAGACTGCTTGGGAGAAGCTTAGGACATCAACATGGCGAACCCAGTCGAGTCATGTATCGAGTACGGCGGGCGGCGTGTGATGCACCGTCGGGCCTTCTTCTTGTCGCGCGCCATATTACTCGGAGTTCAGGTGCTCACCAGGGCGCGTGAACCGCACTGTATGCTAGACATCCCTGCACTTGGTATATTGATACATTGGTGTGCTGGCTGTCCTACGACTGGATCTGCTTACAGGGAGATGTTGATGACGAGTCGGACAGACATGGTATTCGCTAGGATTGCGTTCCGTTTGAGCGTGAGCGGACCTGGAATCAAGATCTGGACGATTCAGGCCGTGTGAAACCAGTTGTATACGTTATGATCACGGACGAAGAAGATTCAAAGTCCGAGAGTCGTTGTATGGATATCCTTCATTCGGTAAAGGTTGTCGCAGCCCATTATCTCCGCTACAATGGTTGGAGGGAGACTAGGAACCCACTCACTCCCAATGGAATGCACGTCGTATACAACGATCATCCCGACGAATATTTCTATTAGGGCAACCCGGAAAGCGACATGGCCCGATTTGATGATACCGAGGGGGGACGTCAAAGCATCAGATCGGCCGCTGGCGAGTCCACCCTACTCGATCCATCGCCTGAACTGCCCGACAATCTATCGCTTCCGGAAGAACATCCCTCCGCGACAACGGTGCTTTGATCGCGGGATCTTCACCCTGTCATACGTTACGTGGGGGAAACTTCTCTTCCTTTGTTTCGCATCGGCTGATATGTATCTGATGTGAAGGGTCAACGCTGTTTGACTATGAAGGTAGACGAAACGATCAATCCCATTTGAAAAGCTCGCTCCCCTCCTCCAGCTTCGTTCGGCGAACCTAGATATGCATGTACTACGTACGGCCGCTCAAACAGGCATGATATTCGGTAGATTTGTTCTTCTCCGTTGCCCTGTATCTTCTGTCTTTAGGTACCCGTAGTATTTCTTTCTCACTATGAATATCGGCGAGGCCGGCGAATGAATCTTTAAGTCGATCTTCCGTATTTTTGTGTCATACTTTGGCTTAGCCGCCTGAGCAAGGGAGTTGGAGGCGGTTGATGCACGATTGATGTTGTAGGGCATTTCAGCCTGACTCGTCCGCCTGCTGTTTCAGAAGAAGCAAGATACGAGCCTGTTTCTCGACTGACTTCTAAACTCGAAGACATAGCTGAGTCGAGCCCGGATCGATTTGCTAGACACGGTCCTGCGACGGCCTCGCCTTCAATCAAAACCCATAACACAGCTTGCCGCCATCTACAGTCTGAATTACTAGCTCTCGACCGTCGATCACTTTACGCTTCCCTTAGAATTTGACCTGGATCGTGTCATACGAGCCTTCAAGATCGGCGGCTTCCCAGTTGTTCTGTTTGCCGTGTTACGTACCACAGAGACAACGCTAGGATCCTACTGTCGCTCGATCCACCTGAAACGATGATCTCACCCCTAAGCGCGATCCACCCGCTCAGACGCGTCGGGTGCAGTCGGAGTGAGACGATCGGCCGATCGCCGAGGTCCTTTGGGGATCTTGAGACCTTCGAATGAGCACTCATGCAACCGTACGACCTAGTGATCAGTGATCGGTATCGAGCATCTCGATTTGTGTGACGGCGATGACTTTTCCAATTTGAGGACCAGGCTGGCCTCTGGACATCTCGGCGCACAGTCCCAGTTTCACTCATCGTCAAAGATCCGTCTCCGAAGGATCCTCCGCCCGAATGAGGGTGCTCGCCTCCCTACAAGCTACAAGAAGCCTGATCTCGAAGGATAGCCGGATCATCGGTGGATCCAGACGCGCTAACTTGCGCCCGCTTTGCTTATCGTCGTCGGTTGGTTAGGAAGTGTCGGTCGATCGGTCGTTATGTTTCAGGGATCGAGAAGCAACAATCAATGCCTTTGTCCCTTTGGTTGACGATCTGATTATTCGGTCGCCTAGAAAGCTAGAACACTCTGGACTCGGACTTCCGCATCGGGCGATTTGATCGAAACAACTTATGGAGTTTGGGAATATACTTATATAAGGGGGTCATGCGATCCCGCTTCAATAAAAAGCTGACGCCCTTGTCTCTCGAGCAGCAAACGAAGAATACTTCTGCAGTGTACCTACGTTATCTCGATACCAGTAAGCTCCAACGGTCATTGTATACTTCAGACTCATTCGAGAGCCAAATCTTTTCCCCTTTGTACTACAGAACAAGCCATGTCTGATTGCAACCCTGTTCCAGTATCAGCTCAACGCTCGTATCGACCATCTCATGAGGTCACCAATCGTATTGCAGGACCGGTCATCATGATGATGCAATTTCGAAAATGGAGTGTGAGTTAATGAAGTGTGGCCAGACAGGCAAACGTCCGATATATGTTCTTTTGCAGGAAGCTGTAAACGGCACTGTCTATCTCAGTCACTCCTATGAATCTGTTCTTGACAAGGCCAAGAAGACCTTCTCCTACACATCAATCAAGATCTACGTTGACACGTATGATGATAAAACTAGTATCAACAACCTGCGCCGGTGCTTAGAAGTGGTCGATGACACCGCAATCATCTGGCCAAGCCAGGCATCGCATCCGTACGTGTCAGCAGAAAAGTTCCTCAGAGGTGAATGCTTCTCTCTTATACAATTGCATCTATCCATATGCTGATGATAAATGCCAGACGTTATAATGAAACAGGAGCCGGGTACGACCTTTGTCTTGGCCACCGATGAGAATCCGACAGCGCAAAAAACTCCAATCTGGCAGCAAGTGATCGAGAAGCATCATGGTACACCATGTCAGATCATTCGTTACACTCCTGGCGGAGTCTTTCTCAGATCTATTCTCAATGGATTCACTTCAGACGTACCCATTCAGAGGAGCGAGCCAATCCTCGACCCGCAGCCGCTGTCCAACGTTTACTCTTCCGGGGAACTCTCTTTACTTTCGGAACGGCCGATTCTTGATACAGACGCTCTCGTTGATCGCCAACAGGTACAGACTCAGAGCCTGATCGTCGAGGAACTTGGCTTACAAGCCAACGTGGTCGTTCCGACGGCCGATGAAATTCCGTCTCAGCAAAGTGTCGCTCAGAACGTACCGACCGAGCGGGCTGCTGCGCAGGCTAGCAGGGTCTTCCCCAAGGACGAAGACAAAGTCGAAACCTCGAATGTCGTGGTCACTGAGAAAGCCATCGGAAAGAAAGGTGACGATTTTCTCCACTTTCTCGAGCGCGCTTTGGCCCTCTATGAGAAGGCCTGAAGAGTAAGTCTCCTGTTAGTCTCTTCGGGCCTGAATTGCTATGATAACAGATCGTGCAAACACAGACAGAGCGCTTAGGTTTTGCAACGTCTCGCAAAAGCGAGAACTTACGGACTGATGGGTCGATAGAATGAAGCACAAACACGGGCAATTAGTTTAGATAGAGCCGACGTCTTTTTACGGTGTTCTTCTTACGATCTTGGTGGCATCTTCGCAATCTCGAATATATGACGATACGGTTCACGATCCAAGTCATACCGGTGAAATGACACCGATTTGCTTCCGTTCTTCTTGAAACATCCGTGTGAAAGCGCTAATCCCCAAAGGACCTCCTTTCAGATCCACTCGACCGGGGATAGCGATGTCCGTTGTCTTGTATCAGATCCACCGTGTGTTACGTTCAGTCCGGGAGGACGATCAGATTTTAGGGTCCTTGTCGACTCGACTTGGCTGTCGTCGCTAAGACGGCGCGATTGCCGAGAGCGGTCGTCCGAAAAGGTAACGGGGGACCATCTATATATCTAGGATGTAAATAGGCCACTGGTACAAGCTCACCCGACACATCTGCACCGGCCTCATAGGTACATATAGAGTACTTTGCTATTTTGACGATCGACCACAGCCGACGCTCTCATAGTACCGAGACGTGTATAATCAGCTCTCACGACAAAAGATATACAGGCATCGCCAAAAACGTCATGCCGGGAACGACGACCGGTATTTGCGAGAACAGTGAGCGCTCTTTAATTGCACTCATCGCGCCAGGAAGCGCTGACGCGCCCACATAAGCGGGATTCTCGAAAGCAAGCGTAGCCGATATTAACGATCAACTCAGAACCCTATCTTTGGCACCGCAAGTGAAAAACAAATTGCCTTCGAGCAACACGAAAGACTCTTTGGCTGTAATTCTCATCGATTTGGCTGCCTGGAGCTTCATCAGCCAAAGTGATTGTCAAGTGAGTACGGCTAAGATTTCGCTGCGTATACGAACACGTCCTTACCTGTACTTCCCTGTAAGCAGGATGTTCAGGCGATGAGCGAGAATTTTGCGACCTGGTATCAGCTAATAATGTATAATGCGATACGGCCCGTCGATGGAGGTGACGCCCATGGCAACAAGTACTCTTTCTCGTCTATTGCTGTCTATGTCCGCCTTGAGAACATCGGCAAATGGTATGCTGCCATCCATCCCAGACTTCGAGCGGTAGAAGCGGTCTGGGGGACACCCATCATCTCGGTCGATATCTCCGCGGAAATCACGGAAGCCAAGCTGCATCACGGTAAGGTTATGCCCTCGATCCAAGTAACAGATCAATCTGATATCTTGCTTTCCAGAATTTTCCGCTGGCAACCGGGAAATACAATACGTCTATGTGACCGATGCCCCTGAAAGTCATAAAACACCTTACTGGACATACGTACCATACCACAATCAGGTGATTAGCGCCATATTTCAACGTTATCAGTATCCGAACAGGAAGACGGCGTTCGAAAAAATCCTGACTGTCGCTTATCAGTGCGGTCTTATCGAGCATATCGATATCGTCCTGCCGCAATTCCGTCGATGGTGTAACCGTGAACGAAGCCGAGACCCGCTTCCACCCGCTTGCAATGCCGCTGAAGGACGGGAGCTTCGGAAAATTCGGGATGACGTCGACGTTGAAGCAGAAGATGCAACGTATGTTGGAAGGTAGCAGTTGAACCCAAAAAGGCAAAGTCTCTGACCAGACTTCGGGGATCCCAGGGCCGAAATGGACGATGTTGATCTGATGGACGACTGATTATAAGCGAGCGATACTTGAAATTATGGTGCACCTAACTAAGTAAGCCATGCAAGACACCGGGAAGGGGATCGCATTAATATTGATTCAGTCATTCAGGGGAGCATCGACAACGAGACCGTGTTTTCCGCCGAATATGCTTTTCCTATATAGACTTGTGATGAACAACCTTGGACCCTTAATAGTAGCCGCAATCATTACATACAGATCCTTGTTAGCGGCGATATGAACCTTGGAGTTATGCAACCGGAATCTTCTGCTGGCTGAGCTCTATACCATAAAAGCCCCGCCCAAGAATAAAACCAATTCAGAACAAAGGCATTTCGACAGACCGTCATTTCGTCTCTAGCATCCGAAGCGCTTCGATCTTTGGCCCTCCCTGCGATGAGTACTGTCGGAAAAAGACGAACCAGAGGGCCTTCTTCCATTTTTTGAAACGGGCTGTAAGCCTTTACCACGAATTTTGATGCTGGTATGATGCGATTTCGGACAGGTTTCACCTCTGGAATACACCGAGTAAGCCTTTTGCCCAAGATTTATAGATAGATAGATAGATAAGGCGCTAACCGGTTGTTAGCCATACGCTCATGTACAGGCGGCCGCCGTAATGCTAGGTTGACACCTTGTAGCTTGGGCTTCCTGTATCAACTCCCCGACACCTTTTTTCTTGCTTCGAATAGACGGAAACACGACATACGTGAAGAGGTTGAACGATACTCGATACTCTGTCCACTATGCGGTAATCTTAAATACGGCGAAGACGTGAGCCTTGTCATACATTGTTGCTTATTGCTCGTTGTCAAGATCCACCTGAAACCGGTAGTCTCACTTTGAGCGCGATCCACCCGCTCAAGTGCTTCGGGTGCTCTCGGAGTGAGGTGGATCGGCCCGATCGCCGAGGTCCTTTGGGACTCTTGGGGTCATCGAAGACGACGACGACGACGATCTGGACCAGTTGATTCAGACGACCGATGATTGAGGAAAATTGGAGCCGCAAGAGCAAGAAGCATATAAAAGACTCATTGTGCCACGTTGCTCTCGGTCTCGCTTCTATCAACCTCTGCGCATTTCAGCAACTCAGCCATATCTTAATATTGATTCATACTGAATATCATACGGTTTGACCAATTTGCTTCAATTACGTACTAGATGGTGAGTTGCTCTCATCGATCAGCCCGTGAATGCGATCTGATATCGACGACGAGAAATGCTGCGCCCCTCAAGATGACCGTAAAGAATCCTTTCCCTAAGCCGAACCACGATCCACCTCCAGAGATCGTCTGCGTGATCAACATGAAGGCATGGGAGGTAAGCGAAGTTGTTTCTGCCATGTTACACCTAACCCGATCTGTCACTAAAATCCAGCTATGGCAGGATGTGACGGACCACGAAGCCCTCATTCGCTGGGTTCGAGGTATCACAGACCTCGTTTACGATCGCGTCCCGAATCAAGGTCGCATTTATGATCACGTCGAGCATACATCGTCAACGACATCGACGACGACGATGAAATCCACACATATCCGGACGTTGAAGCCTGGGAATACGGTTCGGATCTCACGGAAGCCAAAAGGTTCTTCAAGAGTGAGCTTTTTCAGCCAGCGCGACCTCCTTTGCATTGCTGAATGTTGATCCCGAATTCCTTCCGTTTCTCCAGACCGTATGCAGAAAGACAACATGATCTACTTCTACATCAGCGATGACCAAGAATCCCTATCCCACCCTTACTGGACGGAAATCTTCCGGAACGACATTTTCAAAGCGGCTCATCATCTTCGCTACCGCTTTCCGACCATGGACATCCACGAAGAAGCAGTGAGACGAGAGATGGAGGTGATCTACGCGCAAGGACCTGTCGAACACTTTCACCTCGAACCTGTACCTCAGGTTGCGAAGTTCGCCGGTCTTCCTACGGCGGAACGATCCATCCACAGTTCGTCCGACGTTCAAACCGGAAACTCGCAGAACCACGACCAGAAGTTCGACTCCCAAACCGCGGGAGATCTGGTCGGCGGGAACGCTGAAGGATTCTTATCCTTCTTAGAAAGGGCTGTTCGTCTGTTCGAGAGGTTGTAATCATATTCTGTCGATAAGACACGGTCGTCGATTCTACCTTATGCGATACAAATCCTATATTCGCTTCTTCCAACAATACGGCATTGTGGCACTGTGGCCCTGCTTCACTCCAGACTGATGACACACCGTCCATTGTTAGGTGCCGAACCTTCCGACAAGCAATTCTGTTTGACTCACGTATGAACCGAGTGATTGGCACATCCAGTAGGGCAATGGTCGTGTCTCTCCGGGGTGACGATGGGAATAGGGTCAAAGTGATCAACCCTGGCAGCAGAGTCGGCACGTCGAGCGTTGTGCTCGCACATGGGAGGGTACCACATGTGGTACGACATCTTCACCCTGGGACCGGAGCAGAGAGCCTCGTATAGGGCATCTCTGTGAGGATGGGTGGGGTTGCTGTCCGTGATGTAGATAGGTACTATAGTCGAGAATCCAGGTGCTCGAAGGAAATCTACAGTCAGGTGTAAGTTCTTGGAGTTATTATTGATTCTCCGAACAGATCATTTAACCTCTTGGGCTCACCTTCAAGAATCCTGCGAGTCATCTGCGGCTCAACGCTCACTTGAACATCGCTGTCTTCCATCAACGTCTCCTTCGTCTTGGGTATCATGTTGTTCGCATGATCAATCACGACAAACATCATCTCTCCGACCCTGTGTTCTCCTCCCGTCAGCGTGAGGGATGCCTTTCGACTGATCTTGTAGAAGATCTTTCTAGCCTCTTTCGGTGCAAAGAAGCGGTTCTAGAAGGACCACAGACTTAGATTTCTTGTGATTTTGACGATAGTAGAACCGGAGTGACTCACCTGCCAGGTTTTCAAGTTGATTACAACAAAGCCACGGTGGTCGAATGCAAAGGGTTGAGGCATTCTTCGGTCTCACAGTTGGTTTTGCGGCTGGATGCATCGGCCATGGTGGTGTGTCGTATTCGTCGAATGGATATGGGGAAAGGGCGATATTGGGCGAGGGCGGAGGATCGATCTTCGAAAGTTGCGAGGTATTGCTATGCGGTTGACACGGGGATCACCGGACGGGTGGCCAGATGACTTTTTGATGGTTGACCTCTGTACCTCTGTTTTATACTCATATACTCACCCCGCGACGACGCGTCAGCTTGAATTCGGCCTGCACTCGGATCAAAACAAACGGACTGTTCCGAAAAGAAGAACAAAAAGGAATTGACTCCTCTTATCTGATGCGATCAATCCTGATCTCCTGATCATGAATCGTGACGCGATCGATTAATACTCGTTATTATTCCATCGCGGAAGCTGCGCGATATCGGTCTGCGATACACTTGAATGCTTGCGGAAGCGGACATCTTCGAATCCATATAGCGCTACAGTCACAGTACCTCGACCAGAGGCCAGAAGTCGGCTGGTCAACGTTCGCTTGCTTATTGATCGTGACATCAATCGGATCGGATGCAAATCGATCGCGCTTCATCACGGGGTTCACGCCATCGCGTTCTGAAACGCATGACATCGTGCGCGTCGCCCTGGACGTTCAGACTCAGCGAACATAGCCTTCCTTTGATTCCTGTCTCGTCACCAAGCTCCTAGGCGACCGTATAAAAGGCTGGTCGTTGAGAATCATGGGCAATCGTGTAGTGGACGAAGATTTGTGGTACTACGTTCTGCGCTGTCCAACCTTGTCCAATCTTACAAGCGATCACGCGCTTGAATCCACAGGCCACAGCACGATGTACACTCATATCACTATTGCAGGGGATCAAGCATCGGATCCGTTGTATGTGTTACCTGCGACCGCTTTCGTAGTCATCGATTTCGATGCATGGAAGGTTAGTTGTCGAATGCTTTTCTTCCACTCGACCTGCAGCTGATTCACATGCTGTTCAGGCTATCGATTTCAACGCCGAAGCCAACTACACTGAGTGGCAGCGGGAGATCGAACACAGGGCATGGAGATACATGATGGGAGCCGGTCATCACGTCGGGCGGATGACTACCCGCGTAGTGGTCGATCATCATTCTCCACGATGGCCCGGGCTTGATCAATGGGGGGTGAACACGAACTCTATCAATGAGTTGAACGACGAGCCCCTTGCGATGGTCGAAGACGTTTGCCAAGGTGTGTCATAAGGCGCTCTTGTGGCGAGTTGTTTGAATCTTACCTTTCTCTAGTAGATATTATGCAATTGGGACAGGTCGTCTACTTTTACTTCTCCGACAGTCCCCTCGGCACGTCCCAGCCTCTGTGGCACTTTCTCCACGCTCATCCAAACGTCGAAGCGGCCCATTATATTCAGTTTGATGGGATTGATCAGGAGCTCGTCACGTCTGGGCTTGTGGATAAGATGACCTCGATCTACAACCAGGCTCCCGCACAGTACTTTTACCACCAGAGAATCAACCCAGACCAAGTCGGGGTTGAACTTGTCGAGTCCGTCCCGACTGATTCCGTGATGTCTGTTTCGTCCTATTCTGCAGATACCACCTCGGAGGAAGCGTTCTATGAGAACCCCAGCAAGCCTGCCGGGGCTGTCGAGCCGACTAGTCAAGTGTCCCCCCAACTCGACGAAGGATTCCCTTCGTATCTGGAGAGGGCTCTCAAAGTGTACGACAAGAAACAACAGCCGTTGCACTTGTTCTTAAAGAGGGCGATCGCCGTGTACAAGAACAAAGAGAAGCTGACGAGTGAGTCGACTTTCCTTCCTTCTGCGTCGGCGCTTCCTGCTGAATGTTACTGTATCACTTCAATAGAGAAATGATCGAACGCATCTACCTCATGCATGCCGTTGACATCATGACTGTCTAGCTTGCCGATTTCGAGACCATGTAGCACGTCGAGAATATATGATCCGCTTCTACCGTCAGATTAGTCTCCGGGAAGGATCAGTTCTTGATCTTTGTTGGCAAGAGTTCTCTTGCCGCGGGCTGTAAACATGCGGACATTGAGACCAAAGGCTGCGAGCAGCGTTCTGCGGATTTATATCACCGAGGTTTCCATCGATTACAACCCGAAATTCCGAGTCATAAAGTTATGAATAGCAAAGTCGAATAGCTAGACGCAAACATGTTTCGCGATCATCTCGGCTGAGGCGGTGCAGGTGGTCGAGCATGCAACGATTGTTGTTGCTGTTAAGCGCGAGGATCCAGGTACGGCTGCCCTTGCTGCTGCATATAGCGTTGCGAATCGACCTGACTGGGTGCGTAGCCATTGTATATCGGTCGAGGGGGCACTGCTTGTCCATTCGGAGGCGGTCTTGTCGGTTGCTGGAAGTGTCCCGCTGCTCCCCCGTTAGGCAGCCCACTATAACGAAGATCCGAAGTCATGGGCGCTTGAGCAGGATAGTACGGCTGGCCTTGTACATAGCGAACCGCCCCTGGCGGCGATGCAACATACATCTGTTGAGGCGTGGGCGCAGCTTGTACAGGTCTGATTGCATGCTGGATAGGCGACTGAGACGGATGATTCCGTGCTGGTGTAGACGAATTGCCTTGATTTGCCAAGGGGATCTGCTGATATCCCGATTGAGAAGCTTGCACATGCCCCGGTTGGATCTGCTGACGATATACCGGTTGCCCTGATTGTAGATAGAGCTGGGGCGCATTGGGAGCAGGTGGTGAACGCATTGATGTGCCTTGCGGTGATGCAACATATGCGTTGCCTTGTCGAGGCGGGTATCCAGCGTGATAGATCACTGGAGATTGATTTTGACTGCCTTGATGTTGATATGCCGCAGGTCGGGCAGGAGCGGTACCATTGGCTCGCGGATCGCGCCCATAGTGTGGTGCTTCGGGTCGTGGACCAGATCGTTGCACAGGTGCTTGCCCTGCGTGACCGTTGGCCGCTTGAGGATGATGATGCCCATTAGACATGTGTCCTACTGGCGAGACGGAAGGACGAGTCTGCGACGCAGGGGCTAGAGTTGGCTGCGCGGCCATTTTCTGAGGCGAAAGGCGAGGTCGAGACCCGCTAGCTTGCGCTTGTGATGGATGTACCAAAGACGGGACTTGTCCGTTGTTTTGTGGTGTTGATCGCGGTTGAGACCGGTTGGCGGTAGGCGAAAATTGTTGGGGTATACTGAAACGGAGCGTTGGTGAGGCCTGCTCCGGACCGGCCTGAGCAGGAGAATTCTGAGCAGCTTTCCTGGCGGAATGTCGCTCTCTCGCCTTTCTTCGGCGGCAGTCACCGCAATAGAAGGTGACCCTGTTCCAGTTCCGCCGCTTGTTTCCCTTGTCTTCGTCATGTTTGTCGTGGCAGTCGGTATGTTGCCATCGACCGCAACTCTCACAACAACATATATTGCGTCCGTCATCCTGGGCGCGCTATTTCGTTAGTTGACTGAAACTTCAAGGGATGTGGGAATCAAACAGTACTCACAACGTTCCATCCATGCTGCTTGCAGATCTCACAAGCAAGCTCCCATGGCTCCTCGTCCTCCTCTTCCTCCTCGTCGTCGTTGTCGGCCTCTTCCGTAGCGAGCGCTTGCGGTTCGGTCTTTTTGCCTTTACCTTTGCTCGCTTTGCCTTCTGGAGTGCCTGATCTCGACTCCGTAGCGGCACTCTCACCGGCGAGTCTCTTTTGTGCCCTGATTTCCCTTGCGCGCTCGGCCTCCTCCTTGGCTCGAATCTCCTCGATCGCGCGCTGTGCGATGGCCTCTTCTCTCTGTTTCAGCCTTTCCTCCCGGTCTTTCAGGCGATCCTCCCGTTCTCGTTCTTTCGCCAGTCTGTCGGCTTCGGCCGCTGCCTCCTTGGCTTCCTCGTCCCGGACTTTCTGCATCCGCCTCTCCAGATCGCGACGAACCTCTTCCATCTTGGCAGCCTCTTCCTTCTCGAGCTCTCGCATGGCGATTCGAGAAGATCGCTTGCGGTTCCGGACGGCTTCTTCCTTGGCCCTTTGTATTTCCTTTTCCTATGATGAGAGCGTGGTCAGGAATAGACTAGGTGATTGCGACTCGCGAACAGGCACTTACTCTAAGATGTACCAGCACTGCGGGTCGGGTGTTTTCGACGAGATGAGCGTAAAAGGCTTTTTCGTCAGGATGTCTGCTTCCGGCAAACTGCTCGGGCCAATTCTCCCAGTCCCATCGCGTTGCGCAGACCTATTTGAAGAGCCGCGTGAGTTTTGATGACATGGGTTAGAAGGAATACCGGAGCGCTTACGCATTCCCATTCGAGAAACCCAGGATTGAGCGCCTTCCTCGCAGCGAGCATGACCTCGTCGGTGATTTCTTCCTCCTCTTCCTCGACCACTTCTTCTTTCATGGCCTCCGGCTCCGCCTCCTGCTCGGCGGCATTGACATCGTCAGGGATCAATCCGGTGCCAGCCTGGTCCTCCTTCTTCGAGGAACCTTCCGCTTCTCGATCGGTCTGCTTCAGAGGCTCTTCTTCCACCTGAGCAGGACCCTCTTGCGCGATCGCATCAGCTCCATCTGTCACATCGCCTTTCGGAGGCAGTGTCTTGTCACCTTCCGCTTGCTGCTGTCCCTCGCCAGACGATGCTGTCTCACCCGTCTCCGCGGTATTCATCGGTGCGGTGACGTCGACAGCATCACCAGCCTTCTCATCGACTTCCATCTTCTCGTCCGCCAGTTCATGTTCGTCTGTTTTTCCAGTTGGCGGTGCCATCTCGATCTCCGGGGACGCCACCTTCTCGCCTGTCGACTCATCACTGATTTTGATAGGTGTGACTGACCGTCTTGTCGACTGCTCAGCCTCAACACCTTCCATCGGCTCATCCGCTTGGCCCATGTCCTTAGGGGTCTCAGGCTTGTCCATGTTCTGCTCAGCCGGCCCATCCACCCTTGAACCACCTTCCGGCTCTGCTTCTGGCTCCGATAGCGGCGTGGACTGCCTCGAAGCCCCCTTATGCACACCCTCATCCTCCTGATCCGGATCAGGCGATAAGTCCGAGCTGGTAGCCCGGGTTGATATCGGTGCGGCTTGAACCACCTCGGCCTTTTCCTCTTCTTCGTCGCTCAGTTCACTAAGTTCGGAGTCGGAGTCGCTTTCCAACCCAGTCTTGATTTTCGGCTTTTCCTTCTCTTTGCCTTTTCCCTTGCCCTGGTTCTTCTCATTGACAAGCCGACTCGGTGTCTTCTGGTTGGAGGCCGAACCCCGGGTCTTGCTAGGCGTCAACCATTCCTCCGGGATAGGCTGCCACACCTCTTCAGTCGCCCTAGTCCGTCGAGTCGACCTCGATCCAGACGCCGGGTTTCCATTGGCCGATCCTGCCATCTTCGTTGGGGTGGAGAACGAAAGACCAGCGGGAGCCGCCTTGCCTGATCGATCTCTCAACCGCTTGGTTGGCGTGCTCTCCGCTTCTTCCCTCATCCTATCTGAAGTAGCCTCGTCCCTGCTCCGTTTTCGGGTCGACCGGAGTCCTTTCTCCTCGGCGATGAGTTTCTGGATAACATCCAGACTCGGACTAGCCGCTCGACCTCGACCCGATCGCCTCGCAGTCGAACTCTCCGGCTGGTCCTCATCCATCGGCTCTGCTGCAACAGTTTTAGGCTTCTTTTCCTGAGTCTTGCGTGTTGACGAAGCGGTGGTGCCGGCAGCCTTGTTTTTGGCTCTAGCGGCTTGTTTGGCCTTTTTCGAATTAGTCTTGGGTTTTGGAGGAGGTTTGGGCGGTTTCGGAGCAGGGTGTTGTACCCAGAGTCGATTGTCTGCAGGAACATAGCTCGATTGTCAGCCACATGTGAGAAGATACAGGGATGCAGGGAGCGGGACTGACCATCGAATAGCCAATAGCAGTTCTCGTCCTTGTCCCATCCGATCGGTTCGACCCGCTATTGTGACGTCCACACACAAACACTATCATCAACACCTCACGCTCCACCTAACAGCTGTCCACAACTCTCCCTTGTAGGGACTCGACTCACCCAAGCCGTCGGCTCATCATCCCCCAAGAGTGCCCTGAACCTCTGCGGGTTCGCCCACTGCCACTCGCACACCCTATACAGCGCATCCACCTTCTCCCCCAGTCCTAGTTCTGCCCACGGTCTCGGTTCTCGCTTGAGGTCGGTGCCGAATGGGTTCTGTTTAGGGGAACGGGAGATGTATTCGGTCTGTAGTTTCCGTTCGAGGTTGTTCCGGCTGAGTGGGTGAACGTTAATGTAGACGGGGCGTATGGGAGAGAGGTCGGATGAATTGAGAGAAACGATATCGATTAGCTTCAAAGAAACAGACCAGCCAAACAACCTAGAGTTGAGCAGTAGAGGACTCACTTGACGGTCTTATCATAAGTCAAAGTATACAAGAACTTGACGACCGTCTCGGGGACGAGCACATCCGGTTCTGGCGAATCCAGGTCTGCTTCGAAGAGCTGTTCCGGGTATCGACGAATTGAGGGTTGGGCAGGAGTTGAGGTGACAGCGAGTTTTGCGATGAGGTTAATGGTCAGAGACGGGCGGAAACAAAGCAGATAGGCATCACAATCAGCCGCAAAACCTAAACGCAACCAGCCTCGAAACTCTCTTACATCGATATCCCAGCTACTCAACCCAGCCGCCTGCCCAAACGTCCATAGAAACTGGCTGATGGACGCCCATCTCCAATCTCTCCTCAAGGACTGAATCAAAGGAGAAAGCGGCGGGTTGGGTGTAGCAGGAGGAAGCGCTTTATCTTTCGTTTGCGGGGTAAATTCTTTGGCTTTTGAGGTTTGACGAGGCATGGTGGAGGTCGAAAGAGGTGTACGAGGTGGGATTGAGGGTCTCGGTGATGATGCTGGTGATGGTGATGTAGGCGAGGAAAGACAAGAAAGGTATTGGAGAGGTGCCTATATCGCCGGTGTCAACGTGAGAGGCTACCAGTCGCTTGCTGGATCGCTGATTTGATGTCAGATCGACCAAGTGTTACTTGCTCGTATCGACTATTTGAGCACCTCGGGCGGAACAAACTCCGAGGTTGAAGGTCGATTGCCCCAGGGTGACGAAACGTGAGTGATCGCGTCTTTCCGGCTGTCCCTTTGGCCCGGTTCGAACCAGGGTGACAGGTAGAAAGTCGTCGATCAGCCGGTGGGCCAGGAGGTATATCGTAGATGATACCAGCTAGTTGCTGCGATATCTGTCTGTCGAGTGTTCACCCCAGGGGTTGATGCAACTTCTACCGAGATCTCTGTCGATTTGTATGACAAGGACTTGAGCGAGGGTCGAGGGTTCAAAGGCAGAGCAAGTGCACCACCCGAGTCGCGATCATGCAAAGAGACGCGTCGACCGTTGCACCGCGGATTCAACGAGACCACCAGTCACCCACCAGAGTTGAACGAATCGAAACGGTCATGAAGCTTCGAACCATCCACCATCATCGTCGTCATCGTTCTCATTTATGATCATCGCATGGAATCTCCCTTTACGTGTATATGCGGGTAACTAGGATGATACAGTGTAGTGCGTGTATGTGACTGGTAATACAGTATCTCGTTCAATTTATCAGAGCGCTCTCGGACTGCTCCCAAATCTGCACGAATCAGATGGCCTCCCCGCACTCCCGGTGCCAATTTCCTCCTCGTCCCTTGCCCCGTCCGTCTTTGTGATGGGGTCGTTGGAACGTCAACTTTCGGACCATCCTGAACATCCTGCGTTCAGAATCCGGGCTTGTCGTCGGACGTGTAGAACCATCGCTATGGTTCCGCCTAGCTTTTGGAGAAGGAATAGGTGCGTTGGGCAGAGTCGTCATGGCCATAGCCCCAATCGAGCGGCCTTCGACGTGTTGTACTTGCACGTCATTGGCCTTGGACTGGGTATTGGAAACGGCGACCATCGACCTGACCTGCAAGTTCCTATTCTCCTTGTCGCTAGCGTACGACCCTCCTCGTCCCACCGTCGGTCTCATCTGGGTCATCCCGAACGCTTTCCCCAAGTAAGAGTTCGACCTGGGCATAGCAGCCGGGGTAGGGGGGTGCGCCAACTGATAATCTTCCAGCAGGCCATCGATGAACCCTACGTCCCGTCCGTCCGAGACCAATCCGTCATCCGCTTCATCCTCTACAGGTGCCTCGCAATCGTTGTCGACGTCCCAGCGGGAAGCGCTCAATCCGCTCATCGTCCGCCTGAACATGCCCTTACGGCTGACTAAGGGGACGTTGGCCCCAATGCTCCAGAACGGTTGTTCACCTGCAGCCAACGATGCGCCGTCAGCCGTAGTAGCGGTGTTCCTGCCTCTGATCAGCGGGTTGACAGAAGGGGTCCATAGCGGGCTCGGAGCGATGGCTGCGAAGCTGTCTTCCGACTCGGCTGGGGTGGGAAGTGCCGATCCGAGTTCGCTCGAAGAAGCGTTCTTGAACGCATCGACAAACGACGGAGCGCGACTCGGCACGAGGGAGGAAGCCGACTTGGGTCGTTTGGTACCCGTCCCCATCTCCCCTGATGCTGAAGAGGGCGCCGATGACGCAGGGGTGATCGTCATAGCCGTCAGTCCCAACCCGAGCGCCTGGACCTTGGCTCCCCTCGCAAGCTTCCTCTCGATCTTTTCCCCAGTCGTTTGATCCACCTTGTAGGATACGGGGAAGACGGTCGGCGAACGAAGAGGGATGCTATAGTCGATGACCTGCGCGACATCCTTCTGGAGATTTCCTCGGATCGACCCTGAGGCAGGCGAAGGTGAAGTCTGACCGGTGATGACGCCTTCGTCATCGTCATCATCTTCTTCTTCTTCGGGACAGGCCGACGACCTGCTGACTCGCCCCGTCCACTCTTTCCGCTCCGTCCGGCTCTTGGGCGTACTTTGGAAGCTGGAATCCGATTCATCACTGCTCGACCAAGCCGAGACTTCCATGACCTCCCTCCTGGACCTAGACCCGGATCTAGATCGGGATCGCGATCGAGGTCTCTCCCTCGAAAGCCCCGGGATCCGCCTGACTTCGGTCGACCGACTTCGGGACCGTCTCCCATCCTCCTGATCATGATCGTGCTCGTCTCGCCTTCCTCGGGAACCGAGACTGCCGCCTACGCTGGCCAACGATTTGACCGGGACGTACGTCCCGCTCTGGCTCGATTCGACTTCCCGCTCGGCCCCGAGCCGGGACCGGTCTTTGGCAGAAGACGCATCAGACCTCGTATAAGGTCTGTTCGTCAACGGGTTGATCGCCCGCTTGCTCGCCTCCAATCCTAGCTCTTTCTCGTCTTCTGCAGCGTGGCTTTGTTGCTTGTTGGCCATCATCCGGTCCCAACTTCCCAACGCGCTCGGTCGTCGAGAAGCACCTTTAGTCGGTTGACTAGCCAGGAGAGCGAGTGCTGAGGGACTCAAGGGGGTCCCTTTTCGACCTCCATTAGTGTTTCGCTGGGGAGTAGGCGTGGGTACAGTTGCTGAAATTGAAGTTGATGAAGATGCTCTCGAGTTGGGTTTCGGTGCAGAAGGAAGAGGGACGGGAGAATGTTCGGCCCAGATCCCATCCAGGATCCTATCCCTCAACCTCTCATGATACTTCTGCAGCGCTGCTGCGTAGTCTGTCTGAGGTGGAGATCCAGGCGAGGAGAGGTCGCTCGGTGGCGTCGAGGGGGATGTCGTTGAAGGAGACATGTTGTGAGGTATCGCTGCGTTTGTCGCTGTTAATGCTATGGGTGGTGGTGAGGGATGTTGGTGATGTTGGTTGAACACTAGATCTACAAACCGCTCAAACTTGATCAGACGAAAATGTTCCTCGAGACAAGACCCCTCAACTACCCCACATCCGGATCCTCAACTCACCTTCCGAAAGCTATTCAAGGGCCTTTATACGATTCCCCCCTAATCCGCTGATCCTGGTCCTGGTGAGTCGTACAAGTGGTACGAGGCGAGGGTAGACAAAGGGCGTTGACGTAGTCGACTCCGGATTTGCCAGAGCTCAAACGCGGTGACGTAGAAACTCGTGAGGGTGAGAGGTGAGTTTCCTTTGATTGCGAGAGGGGTGAGGGGAAATGTGAAACGAGGAGGTATCCGGGGGGTTTGTAGACTTAGCCGGGGTATGCGGATGGGTCAATATCTTCTCGTCTTCTCAAGAACGTTCGTCTGGTTTATTGGGTACGGATGATTGACTGGTCCGTCGGAGTATTTTCCTTTAATATGTGCCCCTTCTTGATCTCGCTGCGAGCTACGTGCTCAGTCCGTTGCTGTGCACTTCGCGACGTGTTTCGCCGCTGATCGCTGATAGAGTTGCGGGTAGCGGCCGTAGCGGTCGATACGGTTTCTATGCTGTGAAATGATCTTCTCTGCTTTTCTCGCCGAGTGAATACAGTAAATGACCGTAAGGTGGGTGTTTCCCGTGATGTCGTGCAGGGTCTAGGTCTAGATCGAAGGCGGGTGCAGGGTATAACAGCTATCTCGATCCTCCACCCTCGATCCCTTTTGAGAGGGAAATGCGAAGGATCGATGTCCTTTTTTTCGGGTTGATGGGGGATGGTTCTGCTTACCTCGACCTGCTCGCTGCTCGAACTGCGAGGTCCCCTCCGTTTCGCGCGATGACGAAAGCATCAGACCCGACCCTCGTCCTCGACGCGATCAGGACCAAAACAAGCTCCAAAACCGTCACCCAAGCGAGACATTCAGCACAGCAGCACGAGGAGGAGCAAATGTCGCTGGACCCAGGCTACTGGAATCCATCGCTGCCGTCCAAGCGACAACATGAAAACCGCGTGAGCATTGCATCATTCATCATCAAAACAAATCGCGCGAGACCTGGACCGGTTGGACGAGAACCGTCCCCCTGCATCTCGCGTTTGAGGAATGCCTTCACGCGATTCTTGCGTCATCACGTCAGCATCCGTTTTCTGCCGAGACCTGTGCCGAGGAGTCTGGAATAGGATTCGTGGCGTTTAAGAGGCGTAGAGGCGCAGGGCCAGGGACGCAGCCTTTCGCAGTTCCAGGAAACCAATGCTCCGTCGGTCCGTTTGTCGTTTCAGCTTTCCGTCTCGGTTTGCGCGCGGTCTATCGAAAGAGGAGGAAGCGCAACCATCATGGGCGATTGAGCAGACTCGAGTCGGACTTGCAATCGTTAGCTGCTAGCAGAGGCCAGAGCCTCAATCGCGCCTGCTTGTCGATGAATAGCAAGAGCAAGGCGACAAGTCATATTCAAATAGTCGATGAAGAGCGTAGGTAGCTTTTCAAGAGGATCGGGTAAACGATCTCCGGATCGAAAGCGTTCTGAGAGAAGGTTCAGCACCGTTTCAGACGAGTTATGCCTTCATGTCCATTGTGGCGCGGCGGTAGGGGCCTTGTATGCCGCTGACCTCATCAAGAACAATCGGGTTGGCAAACCCTGACTCTGATGCCTTTGCCACGGCAATTGTGATCCAGTCAGCCATGAACTCGAAACAAAGGCAGCGACGGTCGTGACCCAAGAATCAGCAGAGACTACCAGGACACGATGTGCAGTCGGTGATCCAGCTGCAAGCAAGCTAAACGCAGTGAGCTAGTCAAACCTTCCTCTTTGGCACAAGATCATCAGCAGTGGCGACCATCTGCCAGCTAGGGAAGTTGATGCGAGACGGCGCCTGATTTCAAGCTCGAGTGGCGGCGCCCAGAAGCGAAATTCTGTTGAGAACGCATAGTAGCTGTATCTGGCCTTTTCTGACCGATTGCCGGTCCCGCCTCGAGATCAAGTCTGTGCGAGTCGCCCATTCGAGGTGTACTTATCTAATTACATTCTGCTTCGATTCTGCTACATACCTATATGCACAGCATAACGCTGCGCCTACTAGAGTAATTTCTAGTCTTCAAGAACCGATCTCTCGCTATTATGGGCGATATGTCGTCGGGAGATGCGTTGCATGAAGCCAACGCACAGTAAAGACTAGTGCAACGTACCGGCACTCGGTCCCAAGACTAGCGAGTGGCTCAAGCCAGGAATGACCTCGATCGTATTTTGACAAGCACTTACGAGGGACGAGTGGTTAAGAGGTTCAGATCACGTGATACAAAAGTCCCGGAAGCAAACCCGGCGATGGCGACATCTCGCTCGGTCGAACCGTCAACTCCGAGGAAGCGAGAAAGTGCACGACATTCAGGATTCGTCATTTCGATCAGATCAGATTCAGATTCCATCCATTCATACAGCGAAGGGAAGTGGGGGGTTGGTAATCGAGCAAGATATAGGTCGCCTCCCTACTATGACCTGATCGCAAGTAGTATAAGAATCGGGGCCCACTGTAATTGTCTTGGTTCAGGACGAAAACCTCAGCTCTAATCTCCATCTAGGACAAGCTTGATCAAATTCCACCGATCATGACGAATCAAGACATCCATCACGACTCGGACCAGGATGGTTTCGCCACTCGTGCCATTCATGTCGGTTCTCAACCAGATCCTACTACCGGCGCAGTGATCCCTCCTCTGTCCCTCAGTACTACTTTTGCTCAAGCCGGAGTCGGGACAGCCAAAGTAAGCACCCCAGCCCGAACGCTACTAACATACATCTTGATTGACCCTTTCCTCTCTGCTTGTTTGATTTGAACTCTATCTGGCAGTACGACTACTCGAGATCCATCAACCCTAACCGAGAAGCCTTGGAATCGCTCTTGGCCTCTTTGGAACACGGCTCTGCCGCGATCGCCTATTCGAGTGGGAGCGCGGCGACCGCGGCGGTCTGTCAATGGTTGACCCTGCCTGTAGCTGAAGGAGGTGGACGAAAAGGGTCGAAGCGGGATGAAATCAGGGTCTTGTCTATCAGCGATGTGGCAAGTAGCCAATCCGTGAGGTCTGGCTGGTCGCGACGCTCACCTTGAATACGTTGTCGATCCCCTGATGTGTAGTACGGCGGGACCTACCGTTACCTGAGACGGGTGGCAGAAGCCACAACCTCGGTCGAAGTTGACTTCCTAGACATGGCCCAGATTACATCCGACGATCTCGCCTCCGCCTTGACCCCCGAGACCAAACTTATCTGGCTCGAATCGCCTACGAACCCCTTGCTCGTTGTACCTCCCCTCGAGCTCATCTCATCTGTCGTCCGTTCGATCCCGGAGCAAGACCGCCCGCTGATCGTGGTCGACAACACTTTCCTCTCGCCTTATTGGAGCAACCCGTTGGATTTGGGCGCAGACATCGTTCTTCAGTCGATCAGCAAGTATTTGAATGGGCATAGCGATGTGATCATGGGCGCCTTGATCATCAGACAGGGGTTGGAAGGACGGCTCTTGAAAGGGTTGAAGTTCCTTCAGAATAGCTCGTGAGACGTTCCCCGTTCGTATATCCTGGTTGAGAAGTAGTAATGATCCCATAATGATTTTCGGTGGTGACAGAGGCGGTATCCCTTCCCCCTTCGACTGTTTCCTCGCTCAACGTGGTATCAAAACCCTGCCCCTACGCGCCCTCCAACACGGTATCAACGCCCTCTACATCGCCTCACGCCTGCAGTCCAACCCGCTTATCAGCGAAGTCCGGTATCCCGGTCTGGCGAGCAACGAGTTTCACGGACGAGCGAAATGGAGCTTGAGCAGTCAGGCCAAGAGGGACTTGCGTCGGCTAGGCTGGAGCCTCGACGAGAACAACAACAGCTCGAACGGTCACACAGAACTGGACAAGGAGCGTACTGAGGGCGGTATCCCCTTCAGCGGGATGGTGACCATCCGTCTACGTGCCAACGAAGCCCAGACAGAGAAGTTCCTGCAATCTCTGCGCCTATTCGCTCTGGCCGAATCGCTAGGAGGTGTGGAATCCCTCGCCGAGGCTCCGTGGAAGATGACCCATGGGAGTATTCCCGTCGAGGATCGGCTGAAAGCCGGGATCACCGAGAATCTGGTTCGGCTCAGCGTGGGGATTGAGGATCGGGAGGATTTGTTGGCTGATCTGGAAAGGGGTCTGAAGATCGCAACCCAGGATTGATTGGAGGCATAGAATTGGGTAGCAGCGCATCATAATACTGTAACTCCCATTTGACTCATGATTCTCTACGTACGAGCAGACCTGTTGACATGTTCGAAACCAAAATAAGGAGGATTAGCTGTCAGGATTTGATAGTATGAGCAAAACAGGACTCCGACCAAGTCCGAGATCGCTAAGCAGGTTCGGAAGCCTTTTCAGCTGTTTGCGCGAAGCTCGAACAAAGTTTCTTTGTCGCTGGATCGCTGTGAGACACCTCTCGCTTACACTCTTTGCAAAGCAGGTGGATCGCGATGCCGAAAGGTACCTTTCAAGGTGGATCGTAGATGGTCAGATTCTAGCGCGCGGCGATGCTATCGCCTCAACTTTGTATGCTTGAAGCTCTCAGATCGTAGAGTACTGTCATCTAGCGAGGGCGCAAGGCGTAAAGAGGATCGAGGTCGCATCATCGATATAGCTCACTATCACTATCATGACATAGTTGTGTAATATCGCCGAAGCAACAGATTGAGACTTTTTTCGGGCTCCGACTTTGAAACCCGACAGCAACGGAAGACCCACTTATGCCGAGGAACAAAAGAGGGCGATCATCGCTCGCACTCACCCTGAGATGATGAACTTTATCTCTTCAAGCTTTTGTGTCAGGACACAACCGATAGCGACAGCGACGGGCTGAGACATTCATAATCGGACGACAGGTGGATCGTGGATCTGTTGCATCGCACAAAGCGACTTCGGTCATTCTTTTCCCGTTCCTTGCCTCTTGCACAGCAGTGAGGCGAGAGCTCCGTCATTTCAGCTTCTCGAACATGTACATATAATCGAGCAGGCAAGCAGCGAATAGCTAAGTGATCGAGGAAGGCGGCAATGAGCTACTAAGCTGATAGCGGTCTTTCATATTGCTCGAAGTGAATTTCTCAACAAAACATCACTCATGGCACCTACGGTGAGCGAAGAAGATACCTCTTTATTCCGACTCAAGCAGAATACTGACCGATACCTGCAAATAAAGCTCGTATCGCCTTCGACCGGATCGGTCGAGTCTGTTCGGCTGATAATCGTCATTCAGATACCTAAAGACTTCGTGAGTTGGCTACAGCGTGATTGCAATAGCGCTCCTACTTTGACTGATTGAAAGGCAACTTCTTAGCCTGGGGATTTCCTGCCGATTCTGACGAAATACTTGCAAAAAATCCGCGACGACACCGTTTGCTTCATGGGTTCCGCTCGCCTTCGCCCCTTCGCCACGGACACTATCTTAGTCGACAGCGACAGTCGGATCCCGAAAGAGGTGGTGGAAGATCACTTACAAAAGCACCTCAATATGGATATCGGACTGATTACTCAAGACCATCGGGATGTACCAGGTTTCATAAAGGGCAAGCATTCGTTGTTCTGGAATCTTTGGCTGCATACTTATCCCTGTCGACCTGATGTGCTTGACAGGGGTTCTTCAATACTCAGACAAACGGGCTCCGACAGGCCCAGGTCCTAGTGTATTAGTGACCGTCCATCCTTCTGACCGGGCTTCCCATGGGAAGGTTTTACCCCCACAGGTCCCCGATATGTTGATTGGTTTGCAGGGGTGCTTCAAGGTTCATTACGCCCTGTGCATCGAGAATTACTTCAGAAGGTACTTCCGGGATAGACTTCGAGCTGGCCCCAGCTTCTATCGGGTCGAAGAATCGGTATCGCATATGGACTGCGACGAGAGTAACAGCGTGACCATCCAAAGTTCAGGGATCTCTCGTCAGTATCTCGCACACAACACTAAGTCATTGGATGCGCATGGCTACGCTGACACTATAAGATATGACAGATCTCGCTCCCGAGATCCAGATCAGCCAGACTGTGAGTCATGCCTCGGTCTGCGTCCTTCAAGGCCCACATACTCATTCTGCTCTGACAGGTTGGTTACACGGTTTCGCAAAATGAGTCCGTCTCTCAGATCAGGGCCGATCAGCATCAGTCGGATCAGATTCGTAAGTATGAACTCGATTTAGACTTCGCTTATGCCATTGAGCTGACGCTTGGTGTTCTTGATAGTGATCGCCGAATTTACCGGTGTTGAAGATTTACGCAACAAATTGGGAGGCACCCCTTGTCTCAGATATCACATGATGGACGGGAAATGCGAGATTGCGCGATGCGACTATCTACATCAACAAATCAAGTTCACTCCTGAAGCTGTGGAAGATTACCGCACGCACCTTCGCGAGACCCCTTGCCGGCTTGGCGAAAAGTGCAACTTCTTGAGTTCTGGCACTTGCTGGTCGAAACACAGGTGTCCTGCTGGAACCGCCTGCATAAACTCGGAATGTCGATATGTCCATCAAGGGGAATACGCATACCGACGCATTCCCTTGCCGCCCGACGACCGGGACGCAAGCTGGGATGATGCCTCGTACAGTACACAATGTGAGCCCAGCTCGATTAAGACACTTACTGTTCCTAGTTGATGATCTATCATATGTTTATTTGCAGTGAGATCTCTATTGTATCAAGCCTGGGACTTGAAAACTCCGATGAAGCCTTCTGGCTGCAAGTGAGTCAAAGATACGTAGCAAAAATATTGTGGTTTTGCATTTGACGATGTCTTACCTGATACTCTCCTCAGTGTCATAGACATTATCGTCGATTTCGTCCCCCTCGTCAGGGTATTATGGGACGTTTCCGGACTTAAAGCGGAATCTAAGCTACCAAGAGGCCTGATAGGTGCACAAGTCGACAAACACTGGTATCCTCTCGGAGCCAAGAGATATGCCGATTTCAAAACCTACACACATGTGGCTGCTCAGCGTGGCTACGTCACTCTGGGACTAGATATCTCTGGCAATGCGTGGATTCAATCCACCGGTAAGCTTGAGACGATGTGCGGCAGTAAGTTCACGGTTATGATCCTCTATTTGTTGTAAACTGCACTCACTCTACATTTCCCAAAACAGTTGATCCTGATCAGTAGTGATTGTGACGCTTGAATCACAAAGATGCAAATATCGAAGTATACGATTTCGATGGATATGAGTGCCCGCTTCTACAAGACTACGGTCGCTTGACAACCGACGGATACGAACTCGCTGAGAGTCGATGGAGTGTACTCTAATGCTCTTCCATATGTTACCGACCTGCATCTTTCACGATGCTCTATGCGTTGTTTATTCTATTCATCCGAAGGGGCCAATCCGACTTGAAGTCAAATACTGCTGCATATGTCGGTCTCGTCATGCGAAGCTACTCGAAGCGGATTCGCAAATCGAGCTATGTCTGCGGTCGCTGACACTGCAATACCACAACGATCAAAGACGAAAGCCGGAGGGACGGTGGTAGAACTCGCTCATCATCTCGCTAGCCGATGATGTAAAGCTACGTTAGCGCTCGATTACGAAGGGCTTGACAATTGAACCCTCTTCTCACGAGCTTCGCGTACTCCCCCTGTGTCCGTAGGATCAATGATTCCATACCGAGATCAGGGAGATGTCGAAAGGCTGTGGGATCCGGTCTTATCGGGAGAAGAAGCTACTGGAGTGACGTGAACCGCGTACGGTTCCGTATAACCGGGAAGCACCCCTGTTGTTCGGTGGATTTTAGGGTGTAGTACAGAACAAGAAGCGCTGCAAACGAACAAGATAGACGATCGCTTGTTTCACCCTTTGCTTCCGCTGGCGCAACGGATGAGAAGCGACAAGCGACAATAGAGTGCTTAACGATCAATTTGGTCATCATGTATCCAGCGAAAGACTGCGACCGGCTCAACAAGCATCCTTTGGTGTGTCGCTTGCAACTGCCCTTCTCAACGCCGACGTAGCAACATATTCTCATATGTCACTCTGTCTCAATGGGAGCGCGGACAAAAGGAAGAAGCATGTTTCATATTCTGCTTCCGCGGTAAAGTTGAAGGCGGACAACAATATAAATTTCTTGTCGTAATCCTGCCGATTGTCGCCAAGTGGATCAAGAAGCTTGAATCCTCGCTTCGAGATGCTACCTCGACAACCATTGCGAGAAGGTATGTCCATATATACAGATCATGTCAGTAAAAGCATAACAAATAATGCAGAAGCGATATAACCACTTTTCACGTCTGAATCGATACCGAAACTAAGGACTCGTAGCGATTATTCACCTTGATCGTGTCCATCGCAGTGCAAGAATGGTAGATGTGAGTATACAATTACGAAGCAGGAAATGGCATACTAACATGTGTGTGTAGCAGAATATGCATACCGGGGATCCCGCCATAGAGTATACTAGTACGCGATTGGTCATTGTCGTTGACATGCCTCTGAATTTCGTGAGTTCGGTAGCAGACCCAAATCTCGTTTGCATTCGCCTCACCGGATGAACATTGATTCGCATACACATGTCGCAGCCGAGCGAGGATGAAGTGCTTGTCTTGAAATATCTTTATTGGATTCAAGAAGATATCCTCTGGCGCCTAGGCTCGCTCAAGCAGCACATCACAAGCACTGAATTTGTATTGGTCAACAACTGTCTCATCGACCACGACACATTTGAACGATTGAAGGAACACCATAGTATTACTGTCCTCGCCTCGAAAATGTCTGGAGCCTACGAATGGGACGACCTTCCGACTACATTGAGTAGTGAGCCACCGTAGCGATCGTCCTGAGCCGCGTTATATCAAGAAGGCTGAGCCATATCGCACGGCTGACCTCGCAGAAAAGGCGACCGAGAACTCCTCTCCGGCAATTTTGGTTTTCGTTCAAGCGATGTCGAAAGGGTGGGGATGGCGGGCTCTGAACCAGCAGATCATCCTGGAATTCCCGGGAATCAAAGACGGCTATGTACTGCACTACGCTGCTTGGATACACGAAGACATACAGGTCTATGTGCAGGACAGACGTGACTCCCCTATACCCTTTTTCAAGATCGATCTGTCAGCGCCAGAAAAGGTGGAACCCAAGCTCGATGAATCCGCGAGAATTGGGTTGTTGCCAGAAATCCGTCGCGCATCGCCCGAATTGGGTCGATTTTCCTCGCCTCCTTCGGCCGATCTTCCCCTCAAATTAGGTGATGCCGTAGAGTCGGAGTCGGTATGTCATCCCTTTGAATTGTCGTTTGGCGAAATCATAATCTTTCGCTTCTTCTCCAGTCAATCCATAGCCACGATGCTACCTTCCGAGATTTGTGTCAAAATTCTCCAGGTGGAGGTCCTACTCGTACAGTGTCGACGCAAGCCGATAACGGTCAGTCGGAAGTATTGGTGATATAGACTCGTTTGCTGATAGGCGTACAATCAAACAGTAGTCGATACATTTACGACTCTTGCGGACATCAAGGATCGATTCGGAAAGGGCCCCTGCCATACATTCCATATGGTCGGAAGATGCAAGCAAAGCCGTTGCACCCATCTGCACGACCGGATCAAATTTTCACCTCAAGCTTTACAGCAGTATCGTCTCTACCTAAGCGGCCAGACGTGTCCTTATGGAGGCGCTTGTAAATACAGTGCTGCGGGCAAGTGCTTTTTCGTACACGACTGCCCTATGGGAGACTGCTGCCTCCGACCCCTCTGCAAATGGAAGCATCCAGAAAAGACCGCTCGACCTGCTCGAACGTCGGAACTTCCTCATCAGCAGATTCTCAGTCCGAGTTCTTTCTTCAATCACGGTCTAACACCCCATGCCGGAAGTGGCACGCGACGTCAGTGAACCAATCACGCAGCCGTGCCACATACTCGCTAACCGATCTTCTTCAGCGCTGGTCAATTCCAGAAACTCAGAGCTTTCCCAAGCCTGGCAGCAGGAATCGAATGGATTGCCGCTCACGCACGAGTAAGTGGTAGTCCTTCGATGTCACGGTAATTCAACTGATGCCAGCTATCTAGGCCGAAGGATTTTATACCCCTCATCAAAGCCATGTACGACATGTCCCAACGGAAAGACGACCCGAAAATATCTCGCGGTCAACTAGGAGCCTTTTTGAGCGCGAGATATGGGTGGCCTATCGGCTTGGAAAAATACGCAGACTTCAAGAAGTATTCTCACGCAGCTGCTCGGCATGGGTATGTTACCCTTGGACTTGACAGTGCGATCGGCAGCGGTTCCGAATGGATCAAGTCGACCGGAAGATTGGAAAATGCCTGTGGAGGTGAGTCCAAGCCTTGCAGCGAGTCTTGGGACTTACATTGACCCCAAAGACTATACCGCCGTTGTCAGTCGATCCTTACCACTAAATCGAATCGGCATTCAGCGCAACACCGTATCGATCTATCGAGTTTCAAAGCCTACGATCGTCCTGTTATTCTTCCGACGACCTTGCAATATGTCCCTCAATGCAGGTTGTACGGCAAATAGTAAATCAGTATATCTGTACAATTAAGACCCCCTTATGTGATCCGAGTAAAATTCGAAAATCAACGCAGGATCACATCGCGAATCGATTGTACTTCGTCTTGTGCTTTATGTTACATACACCGTGTACTGTCGGTTCCTGTTCGATACAAGAGTCAGGGTCATCGACCTTGTGGATCGGCAACAACTTTACCATTTTTCCCGTCAAGTAGACCTGTGTCTGAAGCAAAGTCAAGGGCGCCAAGCGGATCGACGGAAGCAGAAGGAAGGCTCGGCCGATCTTCTCAAAGGAGAGCGCCACCGAGATCAGCAGTGGATAGCCGATGTTTGACGTTTAGCATAGGTATTAAGTTTCCCTTGTTCATTGCTTGCATTTCCACAGCCATAAGATCGTCGATAACATAGATACGCTAAGATAACCGTGCCTGACTACACCGGTTGTACGACGATCCGTACATGTTCTGCTGCTGCTGTGAGAAGCCCGAAAGCTGAGAAGCATGAAACTGGCAAATCCGGTCAATTGAAAAGTCCCCTAGGGGCCTATATAGATGAGCAGCAGTTGTCTGGTGGGTACATTTGCAAGCTTTCTGATAGGATCTGACGAAGTTGCAGTGTATGATATTAATCTGCCTGCGGCAAGATGACGATGTCGACGATAGCGGTCAGTTTTACAAGAGCGCATGGATCCTATTGCTCGACTGACAATACGATATCTCGACAGATTGACCAGAACTTCCGCCCTACCGTTCTCAACCACGATGAATCGAGCAGAGCGATAATCGTGATGAGCGTTCCCGTGGATATGGTGAGCTGTATCACTTCGGTCAACCGGTGTCTCATTGAGAAAAGAAACCATGTCAGGCCGTGGATGATGAAGAGATCATGGTTGAATACATCGCCGCTGTTGAGGAGGACGTCGAACGGTTCCTTAAGACCCAGAACCACCGGATCTCTGGAATAGAGGAGATCATAGTTGATGATACAGCGGCTGGATTGGATTACCACGTTTGTGCATACTTACAGCAGTATCCCATCACAATCTGGCCTGGAAGGCACAATCGCAGCGCGGATGATGGAAGGGTGTTCGAGAACATGCTCAAGAGTGCGTTCAGGCCTTACTTAAATTGCCGAACGACTACTGACATGAAGGCTTTCAGTAGATCATGCATTGTCTGGATCTGGACCTGCTATTCTGATTACTGTACAGCCTCTCAAGCAAGCCTATATTCGGCCGCCGCCACCCCATCAGGTGGATATCGATTTTGTGGGGATACAGGAAGGCTTTCAAGCGCATTACGCTACCCTAGTCGACACGGACGTCAACAAATACTTGGAATTCAGAGAGGAGAGTTTTTCGAGCTTTGTGACCGTCAATCTACATCTACGAGGCGTCTCTATAATAAAAAATACGCCTTTGCTAGTCTCCCCAAGGGGATCGCGACCCAAAGCCGACCCTGAGCCGTCTCGTGTTTACGTTCACGGAGCTGTGGCGCATTGCGGAGTGAATGTAAGCAGTGCGAGCGAAGCGACCGATAATCTCAATTGCTGATTAGGGTCCGCGACTCCGTTTGCCGGAACTAAGGCTTCACACAAGTCCATTAAGCACAAGACAGTTGGAAAGACTGCGCATCATCTCGATAATCGTAAGTCTATGGTTTGGGTGCTTTTTTCGCGAAGCGCTGATCAAAGACTACTTCGCGCAGGCATATCCGACTTCAAAGGCGTCCAGCATATCGAGAAGAAATTCGGCAAGAAGCCCTGCCATGATCATCATCAACTTGGAAAATGCAGCAGAGGATGGGCGTGCCAGTATCTCCACGATCAGATACAATTCAGCCCTACTGCCTCGATTCAATACCGAGTTTATCTTGGTCAGCAGATGTGCAAATACGGAAGAGGCTGCCATAGATTGGCCAAGGGCAAATGCCTGCTGTTTCATCAGCAGGTTTGTTCCGCCATTCAACCAAAAACTGTGGCGTTAGGTAAGCCGCCGCGCTCAACCGTCGAGATTTTCTGTCTAAGTTTTTTTTTCATCAGGGATTCATGAGCGGCCCTGCACGTTTGAATGGAATAAAGCTGATCAGTTAGTCGGAACTGAATCTGCATCCAATCTGAAACCCCAAGAACCAATTAGTTATATTTGCGCAGAAAAATACAGCAGGACTGCCTTCTCCTCATCTCAACTTTAAGACAATTGGTTGAAGACAAGGGAGACCCGAAAGTACTTAGAAGTCTGGTAGGCGCCACTCTTAGACAGCAAACCTGGCCACACGGCCTGCAAGCGAATTTCAAGGCGTATACGAAGGAGGCAATTCGTCTCGGTTACGTCGTCGTAGGCACCGACGATACTATTCAGGGCCGTGACTGGATTCAATCCACCGGGAAGCTCGAGAGGGCTTGTGGAGGTCAGTAAACCCGCTACCATCTGTGGGTCTCACGAAAGATTTATGATGCATTTGATTTAGGCTACTTCTAAGCTCAGGCTAGACTCCATCGTTGGTCTAGAATGAGCGTTAAATCAGCAGCAGTGCTTCTTGATAGCAACGGAACTGCAACATCGGCATACGGAGATGCTATACGAAGCGCAGAAGGCTTTTAGATGGCCCATATAACGTGTACTAGAGTTACGATCGATCAACATATGGATTCATACGAGTCGCAAGCTGTCTAACCATACAGCACGACAAAATGGCCAACACAAGATGTTCCATTACACGTATAATACTAGCTTTAAGCTATCCGATGCCTATCATGGCTATTTACAACGCGATATTACAAATCGTGTCTCATAACGGTCGGTATCCCTCTTGACATCTGGTTCCCAAAATCCGTGATAGCAAATCCGTCGTTCGTGATCTCATACGGTTCGTTACGTCTGCTGCTTCGCGTCTGGCAATACGACAGGAGCGCTGCAGACCGGACACCTTCCCGAGGCAGTTATGAGCCATTGATCGATGCACTCCACCTGTGTAGAACGTCAATCAGTAACCTAGAACAACACACTGCAATACAGATCGAATACTCACATGGAAAACATGCCCGCAGCCCAATAACCGCAGTGCATGCTCATCCTCCGTCTCTCCCGCCGCCGGTGCGTCTGTCCTGACAGCTTCGACGAACTCGGCTAGACAGATGGAACAGCTGGCCAGTTCCTTTTGAAGTCTGATGACGGGCAGTGTGTACCCTTCCATCCTTGTCGGCTGAACCCGAGGTTGAGGCACACGTGGTTGTATTGTCTGTTTGGTTTTGCGATTCTGCCATCTGAAACCGTTCTTCAGAGGTTCCCTATCCTTCTCGACTAAATCGTTGGAGTCGGAAGTGTCGACTTCAGGTTCTTCCGCTACTGTTGATGCAGGAAGGTATGTGACCTTCGACAGCCCCTGTACGAGCGTCGCATCCATAGGTTTCGGTGGGAGAGGGAAAGGGAGAGCCGGTTCAGGCAGAGGTGCTACTAGCCCAAACCTCCTCAACAAGACCTACAGAACAACCGCATGGATGCCAACCATGAGCACGCCTGTACCACTGACAGACATGTAAGGATATTCTGAACCCACCAAGATACCCGGTCCAACGACCCCTACGACGAGGATCACGAGGACGACCTCTAACAACAGGAACCACCCCACGCCGATGACGACCATGACGGCCCACCATAACAAAGGGGCGGACCGACGACACGTGTCGAGGGAGGTAAAGAGGAGGATGTTGCCGTAGATGAACAAGGCTAGGGAGAGTAGGCCGAGGGATAAGGAGATCCTGGTTAATAATGGAAAGTCAACGCAGTCTGTCAATTGATGGCGGATCGAGAGATAAAGCGAGTCACAAAAGTGGACGAACTTGGGAGCGATCCAATCCATCCCTCTGGCAAGTCTTGAAGAAAATGTCTCGGGATATTCATCCACCCTTTCCGACTGTGGCCGGTGATCCTCCTTATCTTCTTTACCATACATAGTCTTTCCCTCGGCATTCCCAACACTGCGTCCCTCTCTGGACCCCAATTCCTGAGAGTCCTTGTATAGCGTCGGTAGAACAGTCGTCGAAGAAGGTTGTCTCCCATCTACTTCGATACTCGGCCGACCAGGTGCCAACCTCCCTGCCTCCAGCGTTTCTTCCTCTGCCGCCTCTTCCTCCTCGCCGTCTTCTCTTCTGCGGAAGACGACCCAGATACTGACGCTCCAGCAGACAGCCAGCCGCACGATAGACGCAATGATCCATTTCTCCAGTGGTTTCCCGCATGATTCGGATGGAACGGATGATTGGCTGATCCCGGGAGTTGTCGGTGATGTTCGATGTCGAGCGAGAATGAGGAGGACTAAGAGACAAGTGATCTAGCCGACATTCGCAAGAATGTCAGTCAAGCCAGGACTATCGCTCGGATACGGTATCAACTCACCTGGCTGATAGCTAGACCTCCCTTGAGGAAGATGACCCCCGAACGACTATCTTTTAGGGTCTTGTATCCGGCCAGGGCCAGCTTGATCGCCTGTGATCTAGTCTCTCGAGCCCACATCGCGTCGTCTTCGGCCGGTCCCGTGGGCGAGTTGATCGACACTGCCAGATGATCGGAGGTCGAGAGATCCCTGTGCCGGGATGCCATGATGATTCGACTCTACGAGCAGCAGTGTCCTTCTGTTGTATTTCCGTGTTGTGGAAATGATTCGATGAAGATGCCTGTCCACTTTTTGGGACCCCGTCCACCTCACCTCCCCTCGGTGCCTAAAAAGGCTTGGCCGGGACCGAGCGACTGTGTGATTGTCAGCGATTGAGCGGGAGCATGGTTAGGGACGATGGTTCTGCACCTCGTCTGATCTGCGAGTCATACGCTCGACAAGGGGGAAACAATGCGATGCACCATTGACAACTTTGTCCTTGACGGTATCCATGCTAATGTCATCCGGGATACGAGTAGTGCAAGTTGTTAGTGCCAATCATCATCTATCATCTGGAAAAACTCCGAAGTCCGCGCGCGCAACTACTACCGAAGACAGGGACAAGGTTCAAGGTTCGATATCCGGTTCCTTGCAGAAACGGCACAGGACGTAAAATGAATAGCGTGGCGAGGCTAGGTGTTCTTACAACATGGCGCAAGTACAAAGAATTTTCTTGACCTATCTCGCTACCGGATCATCGTGTTATTATAGGACCATTGGTAGTGGGTTTCCAAGAGCAAGAGACATGCATAAGTTTTGATCTTTCGTTTCCTCCTTGTTTTTACTTTTCTTGGTGCGCGAGCGTTGGTTTTGCGATAAACTTGGAAATTTGGTTCTGGGTGGCGTGCAGTAGATGCGGAAATGACGGTGTCGTGTCGCGAGGTCGTTAAACAAGCAAGGTGATTGAAAGAGAGTGTTGTTGGTTGTACCTGGTCTCAGATGCTACCGAGATGCCAATAAGACGCGTTCGGGTCGAACCCTTCATCCCACTTGGAATCCGCCAGACCTTCCGTGAGCCATCCGTCCTCCCCAAACAGGTCGACGTGCTGCTGCACGGGCGAGACGGTTCCGATGGGAGCTCGATGATGATGGATCGGCGGAGGAGCCTGACGAGGCGTCCCCGTCGCACCCTCGGACGACGGACTGACCTCGAACCTGGCATCCCCAGGACCGAGGAGATCGGGAGTGGCCGCGATAATCGTCGGCGCGCTTTCCTCGTCCTCTTCAAGTCCGCTAAAGTCGATAAACGACGAATAGTCGAACCCTTCCGGAACCGCGGGCTGCTGGATAGGCATCGACATCGCCGGTCCCGACTTGTGCGGCATCATCGACGAGGGACCGAAGGGCGCTTGAGCCGTACGCATACGCACGATAAATGCGCCCAGCGCATCGTCAAACGGTACCGGTACGTCGATCGCCAGATCCGCCTTGACATTGTCCAGCACGGTCTGGTCGTGCCGGTCCAGCACGTTTTCCAGCCGTTTCCATTGGCTCGTCAGATACGTCACCGGGTCCGACTGCGCGTCATTGTCCGCCTTGATTCTGGCTTGGACCATCTGTTCGCCCAGTTTTACGCCCAGGACGTTGTCCGGAGCCGCAGTCAATATCGGTGGCCGACCAGGTACGGCTGGCGCGGGGCCGTTGTCCACCTTGTCAGGAGATGCGGTCAGGTCGACTGGCGTGGACCCTGCGGCATCGACATCGATAGGCTCTTGAGGCATCCCAGCATTGGTCGGCTTTCTCCTCCGTTTGGGTTGCGGTCGTTTCGTCTGAGATGGCGGCGAAGTCACATTTCCGTTCGATTCTCCCTCCGCTTTGACCTTGACCGGTGAGCCTGAAGCCGAGGACGGCTTTTCGTCCTTGAGCTTGGGGTTCTGCTTCTGACGCTTGGCCGGTGGGGGTTTCAAATCCTCGATCCGAAGCCGGGGAGCGATCACCGGGGTGTTTGCCGACGGAGCCTGCTTGGCCTGCGCCGAATCGGGTATCGCTTGAGCGTTACCGTTGCTCTGTCCCTCTGCGGACGATGGCTGCCCCATAGTACCCCTCAGGGCGACGCTCAGATGGCCAACCTCCTCGCGTATACGAGGAAGTTGAGTCATCAGTTCCTCTCTCGACAGAACCGCCGTCCGATTCTTTTCCCATCGAAGGCTGGCATATTTCAATACAGCAGCCTGCACGCACGCGGAAATAGCCGAGACGATCAGCATCTAGACGAGTTATCAAAGCAAGCGCCAAGGATCTAACCGTGTTAACTGCCACGCTTGTCCGCTCGCTGACCTGCCATTTGCGAGCTATCAGGACCGTCAGCATCCTGTCGAATTGCAACACAGCGTTCTGAGCGAGCGCGATCATTTTGGTGTACTCTTGCTCCTGTTCGGCAGGCAGCATAGGGTGAGATACCAATCCTATAGTTCGTCTACGAGTCAGTACACAATGGAGATTGTCGAAGACTGCCCGAAAGACTCACCTTGAGTTGGGTCACGGTCTCTATACATCTGGTTCAGTTGATCCTTGGCGAATTCCAACTCTGCCCGAGGGACACCACCAGGAAGCAGGCTACTTTGAGATGCCGCTGCAGCCTGCATCTGTTCTTGGGAGATGCCCGCTTGCTGCGACAGCTGTAAAAGGCTCTGCTGGAGTCTGGCTTGCATCTGAGGGTCACCTGACGTCTGAGCCTTCTTCGCGAGTTCGGCGATCTGTTGACGTTGGTCGGCAATACTACGATGTTGTTCAGGCGTCAGGCCTAGCGCCATCATCTGCTCGACCGACATGGTCAAAGGATTGATTCCTCCGGGCAGACCACCCATAAGTGCATTTCGAGGTGATGCCTGCGGGGGGTTGCTCGGATTGCCAGATTGTGTCGCATTCGCGAGCTGTTGTGACACGCCCTCAGAAGTACTCCCTGCTTGCTGGTTCGAGGCGCGTTGCTGATTGGTTAGGGCTATAAAAGCGGCTTCTACGTGTGCCAGCGTCTCCCGATAGATACGAGCGAGCTCCTGAGCAACTTCCGAGGATGACAAAGCAGGAGGACCCGGCACGTCTACGAATCCTAGGGCGCCCCCAATCATGCTCCAAATATCCTTTGACGATACCTATCAAGACCAACTGTAAGCCTTTGTCGAGTCGCATAGAGCGAGAAAGCTTGTCGGCTTACCTCGGCATGACCCCCGAACTTGCACACGATCAGAAAGAGGTGGTACGGCTCCACCTTTTGTCCCTCGACGTATCTTGTGGACGTATCGATCCCTTTCCGCGACGACATCGCCCTGTTTAGGCCGTCAAACATACTGATGGGCATAGACTTCTGGGTTTGCAGCGTCAGCCCGGCAAGCGTGGCTGCTCGAGGGATAGTAGAAGCGTTCACCGCAAGCCCTGCCATCAGGTTGGCGGCGCTAGCGTTCGCCTGCTGCATTTGAGCCAACAGCTGGCCATTGTTGCTGGTATTACTGCTGCTACCGTTGTTACCGCTTGACAGATCTGGCATTTGCATTAGTCGACTGGCCGGGCTTCCTTGTGGCTGACCGAAAGACGGCTGCATCGGCGTCGTGCCATTCGGCCGTTGTGCGCCTAGTTGCTGCGATTGTGCGAGCGGTGATTGTCCTACCGCATTACCCATCAAGAGACTGTTGATTTTGAGGTCAGCCACATGACGGCTCGAAATGCTGTCTATGATACCCGATGACTCACTTTGCGGACAGACCTACGGTCTTGGGGTCCAGACCGCGCCGTGCCATTTCTTTCAAGAATCCGTTACGAAAGCCGTGGATCTTGCTAAGCTTCGCCTCGGCCGGTGGTCTCGATTGCGAGTCAGGGGAGTACGAGGAGATTTGCTGAAAAGAAAGATATCAAGCGTCAGATCGGCTTGAATTTGCGAATCATCACAAGTCGACTGACCGCCTCGGTAGTCCGGAGCTGTGCATTGAGCTTGGGAATCATGGTCTTGACAGTATTGATCAAGTCGTCGTCAGAAACTTGACGGTACAGGCCCTGGCCGTCAATGACGGCTTGAATGTTAGGCGTATTCGGCATCTGGCCATTCGTCATCGCGGCTTGCTCGTTCATGTTTTGTTGCTGGCTTTGGCTCTGGGTTTGCTGCAGCATCTGAGCACGCTGCTGCTGGTTCACCATCGCCGCTTGGTTCTGGTTCATCTGCATATTCTGGGTCTGGAGCTGCTGCTGTGGATTTTGGTGCATGTTCTGGGGCGAAGCCACGGACCCGGCAGTACCCGACGACATCTGTCTAGGCAAATTGGGTCCATTTGGCAGACCTAGACGTCCTTGATGAGAGGCATAGATCGACCGCAGCTTTTCGAGGGGAAGACTTGTCAATATGGCGGCGTCCTCGGTTCTGCACCCGCCGACAGGAGATCTCACCTGGTTCATGTGTTGCTCATTCATATTGGCTGCCCAACCAAGGGTGCCCTGAACGTCTTGGCCATTAGGCCCTACTGGCCCGGCACTATTCTGCCTCTGACCGTTACCCTGCATCCACATACCAGGTGTTTGAGTTTCGCTGCCAAGAGCCGGCGAGCTTTGGGGCAGAGCGTTCCCGGTCTGTGGCGTTTTGAGAAGATGCTGACCGCCCATTTGAGGGGTCTGGAGCTGCATCGAGCCGTTCATCTGAGACTGTTGCTGTTGCTGCTGTTGTTGCTGTTGGATTTGCAACGCCTGCTGTGCGTGAGCTTGTGTCGCCGCCATGTACTTTGAGAGCTGTTGCATCTGCGACGGGGTCAATTGAGAGCTCGACAGGTTTAGTTTTGCTGTCATGTTGGATTGAGATTGTTGAGCCTGCTGAGGTGTCGAACCACCTTGCTGCTGACCCCGAGTGATCGTCGCCATGCTATGATTAGCCAACTGTCGTAGGTCGGCCGGGGTCAAGGAACCACCTTGTTGTGATTGCTGTTGCTGCATCTGCTGATGTGGCTGCTGCTGTTGTTGCTGCTGTTGCGATTGCGATTGTTGCTGCTGTTGATTTCCGTATTGTACCGCTTGCTGGCCCTGCTGTGCGGCCAAACTCCTCTGCTGGTTCTGCGCAATCATCCTGGATCGTAATACCGATCAGCTCGTAGCCCTTCTAGACAGTATCACGCCGACTGACCTTTGCAACTGAGCCATCTGCTGCGGATCACCGCCCAAGTTCAAGCCCAGGTTCTGCAACCTCGCCTGAGTCTGATTTTGGGCTTGCCCTTGTCCTTGCCCGTTTCCGCCTTGCATGTTCATCCCGCTATTCACCCTCATATGTTGCGGCCGGCCGTTACCGTTACCCTGAGGTCGCATCATCTGAGGACTCTGCGTGTTCCCCTGGTTCTGCTGCTGGTTAACGGCCTGCACATTCTGAGGCATCTGTTGTTGCTGTTGCTGCGAGATGCCCCGATTGTACGAGTTGAGCAGGTGGGCATGAGGATTGTTCTGCGACGTACAATCGCGTGATACGAAATCGTCAGTTCGACTCGGAGATGAAAGGACGTGCGGCGGCTGAGCCCGACTACTCACGTTACCAACCCCTTGACCTTGTCCCTGCCCTTGCTGACTCATGCCTAAACCCAGACCCAATCCGGCGTTTCCTCCGGCACCGCCCTGCATCATTCCCTGCATCCCTTGTCCGCCTTGTCCTCCCATGCCCATGCCCATCCCTTGGAACATGCTCATGTCGATGTTCCCAAATCCATTGTTGGTATTGGTGTTGACATTGTTGCCGTTGGAACCCTGATTCCCTCCGTTCTGGCTCATGCCGTTCAAGTTAACCCCCGAGGAAGCGATCAATGCGTTCAGATCGGCATTGCTCATCCCGAACAGGCTATTGCCGTTGTCCCCTTGGTTCGAGTACATCTTTGCGTGTAGATGACCTAACAGGCAAGTCAGACTCTTCGTCTGTTCCCTTTCCTTAGTGTCGTCTGTCGATTCAGCGGAGCGGGTGACTTCACGAGGTCCGAATCGTCATTCGCAATTGCGTCTTTGGTGTACTGGCAAAAGAATATACTGGTTCCGAGGCCAAGATTTACGATCCGTATACTTACTATGCGTCGATTGTCGAGGTGACCGCCGGCGTACTGTATGGTTAGCCCGGATTGGCTATTAAGAGCAGACCAAAAGTCTAGCTCTTGGTCCGTCCTTTCACGTCCGGTAGGATAGCGAGGAGGTGTCGTGACGTGACTTCCAGGGGAGACTGTTTTCCTTTGACCTCGGTGACCGCTTAGGGTCGACCGTCACGGTTGTCGAGAGCGAGAGCGAGTGCCGAGGAAGAGGAAGGAGAAGAAGAGTCGAAGAGGGAGAGTGAGGCGGGTCGCAAGGCGATGTTCAGGTGGTGAGTGCTGTATGCAGGGAGACGACCAGGTCCGATTTGTTCAAGATCTCCTTGGTCTGCTTTGTTGCTTCTGAGAGGTTTCGGGTTGTATGATCTGGGTCGTCAGGATTTCGTGCCCAATGGCGATGCTAGGTCGAATCAGATGAGAGTGTTGGGTTGGCGTGATGAGTCGGACGTCAGACCGAATCGATTGACGACGTAGTCGAGGATCAGGTGTTGATGATGGAGTTTGATCGACCGGGGGAGTGGCAGAAGGGGGGCGTGACCTGTGACGACGCTTTTTGATGCGACGATCCACCTGCGAAAGCGGTCCAGATTGACTCGCGGCAATTGGCAAGGACAACCCAACCAACAATCGATGGCAGATTCTTCACACTCGATACACTGGTGTCGATGCAGACGGACTAGGGCGATGTAGACGAGCTCGAGTGGGTTACAAGTTGCAAGTTGATGATGAGACGTCGAAGCTCTGATCGCGTCGATTCGGTCTAGGTCGGATTCGGATTCGGGTGTCGTCCCCGTGATCTTAGCTCGCTAGCTGTGTGGGGTAAGACGGGAGATCGACCGCGTTCACGAGCTGGAACAGGAGGATCTCGACGTCGTAACAAGTCCTGCCGATCTACAACAGCACAACAGCAAAGCCAACTGACAAGTTACCTAGCATGTCTATACATCTAGACATCAATCTACTCAAAACCACCAACAAGACCACGCACATACGATCGAGAAGAGCGCAAAGAATAGCTCACGCGTAGGTTTAGTCACCAAGATCCCGAGAGCGAGAGACACATGTCAGTTGTACAACCACCGCCCCCCTCGTAACATCCCACGGACCCGGCAAATGCAAGCTTGCCTAATCGAGAAGCGAGAAGATGCCTAGGCATTAATCTTTCAGCACAAGGTACTTTCGTCAAGCTTCAGTACAAACCGTACCTCGTCAATAGAGCAACAGATCGATATAGCCTGTCCCAGCCTACCCTGCTGTTTGCTCACTCGCTCACCTGACACCTAGCCTCTGGAAAAAGCGCCCCTCCCGAAACCCGATCCATGTTCCATCTGCCCTTCCCCGTGGGTCACGGCTCCTCGCCCCCCTTGCCCGTTCTTTGTCTTTGTTGTCCACGCTCTCACGCCCCCTCACGCCTGCTACGCCTCCCATGACCGGGATCACAGCGAAACTCAATCTGCTTCCGATCAGACCCCGGGGATCGTCCCTCGAAAAGGGCAAGTCACCCGGATGACCTGGGGAAGGAGCTAGGGTCACGTGAGTGATCGACGCGCGGATTATCTGTTTGTGCCTTCATTTGTGCGCTTCAGAGAGTTTCCAGGTTCCAAGTGTGGTTTCACCTATCGGCCGTCAAGATCGCGCCGATCAGATCCGGTAGCGTCGTTGCCCTTTGGACGTGTGCAGCGTGAACTCTCGTGACCTTGTCGTTCGAGGTTCCCATGAAAACAGGAAATATGCTATCGCAGAGCAAGAGCATCAACGAACTTCGCGACGAGGACTTCGCGGACAACGAAAGTGAATTGTAACATGTCAACCGGGATGTCGACGAGGTCCAACTAATAGGTGGCCAAACAATGCACATACTCGACGATATTTGGTGTTAAACTATCCCTCAATATGGACCTCATACGCAGTAATCGAAAAAAGACCGTCGAGTTGACTGTTTCGGGCAAACCAGGTGGGAATTCGCGCGAAGCTGGCGATCTTCTCGACGGGTGATTCGTATCGGTTTCGGTCGGTGCCTAGCATTTGCTGACGTCCCCGTTGAACTCAGGTTGTACATTCCAGTTTCTGAGCAATCGAGGCATTTCTCTTGCGAATGATCTTGTGTTCAGCGGTTAATTTTAGCGGCAGGAAATTCTCGGACAAAGGTTCTTGGTTATCGATCATCCTTCTGGTCTCATATCCCATTCGCTAAGCATACCCCAACCCAATGTCGCTTCCTCAAACGAAACGCTGTCACGCTGATTGAGTCTAGTATTTCGATTGATGTTCTATTCACAAGGGATCGGAAGCTCATTCCAACCGCAACATTTCCATCACAATCTCGGAGATCGTCTGCATGAGATGCGCGACGACAAAGCCACAAAAAACATGTGCCTGTTGCCCTGCCAACGACAAGGTCCTTGGCCACTCAGCTTTCAATAGCGTTGAAGCTCGCTCCAGACCAAGTGAGTGAGGCATTCGTTCGTTTCCTTGCTTCACTGCCGCTGCCGTCATATAGCAATGTTGACCGGAGTCCACCGCCGGCAGAGCAATGAATATATTTGGCGGTGTAGAGGGTGATTCGGCAGCATAGATCCTCTTTCACCATAGTGGTTCTTGAATCCTACTACCCTCCTGGGCGATCTCAAATCTGGTTGTGAATCGTGGTCGCAAACCAACAAAGGTGAGCCATGTCGTGAGCAGCCGATCGATATCATCACGCGCAAGCGAGATCGATCGCTCCGATCTTCCAAGGCTCTAGGATGAATTCGGATCGATGCTGTCTGGCCACCCAACGATCAGGTCGTTGCGAGAAAATGGGTGGCGACTGGGTTGACCAGGTGCGATTGGACGTGACAGTCCTCGGTTCCGGTCAAGGCGAGGTGGAACGATTCCAGGCAGTCACGGTGGCCCGGTAGCGAGGTCCGGATGAAAGCGCGATCCATCCGATCAAGCGCTTATCGACGCGTCACCCGTTACGTCGCCACGATCGCCAGCTGGGCCTCGAGGGTACTGTACTCTGTATATGATGGCCATGATCACGGATCACAAGGTCGAACCATCTCCATCGCCCCCGCCCCCCTTTCTCTCCCTTTCTTGAAACACCTGGAATTCAAACCCTCGCATCCTTAAGCTAAAGTTAAAGAACACCCAAGTGGGAGTGTCATAAATCGAGGAAGTCTCTCTTTGTTCCTCATCGCCTCTCAACAACCGGACAACTCGGTCAATCTTCTTCACCTTTGGAATCCTTAAGTTCAGAAAGCTCTATAGTTCGATCTCGTTATAGTCGGACCGTCACTCTTTCTAGTAGTTCTTGATACCTACCAACAAACCGCCGTCGAGCTAGTACAGAACAACCTTGCTAGTATCACCACACCGGAACCCCCGAGCTTCATAGCATACGTCTTACAGACAACCCACACTGAACCACTAGAAACACTAAAGAGAAACGCATAACGAAGCATCATGGGTAAGCTATTGCGTATCGATCTGCTGAGCCGATTCGAGCTGACCTGGCCACAATAGGTATCCCTAAGTTCTTCCGATGGATCTCCGAGAGGTACCCCCTCACGTCCCAACTCATCACCCCGAACACGATCCCTACTTTTGATAACCTCTACCTCGACATGAACGGGATCATTCACAACTGCTCCCACCCTCCCTCGACCGAGGGCGACATGCACTTCCGGATCACCGAGGAACAGATGATCCTCGCCGTTTATGCCTACATCGATCACTTGTTCACCAAGATCAAGCCGAGAAAGGTCTTTTTCATGGCCATCGATGGATGTGCGCCTAGGGCCAAGATGAATCAGCAGAGAAGCAGGAGGTTTAGGACTGCCAAGGAGAACAAGGAGGCACAGGAAAAGGCAGAGAGGAGTGGAGAGGTCTTGCCCGAAGAAAAGGCATTCGACTCGAACTGTATTACACCGGGTGAGGCGTTGATGAGCTCTTCACACAAGTCGATACCATCTAACGTGCTGTCTCTTGATCCCTTTAGGGACACCATTTATGGCCCGTCTCTCGAAACATCTCGAATACTTTATCAACAAGAAGATATCGGAAGACTCCGACTGGCGGGGTGTCAAGGTCATCTTCAGCGGCCACGACGTCCCGGGAGAAGGAGAACACAAGATTCAAGAATTCATCAGGTTGAACAAGGCTCAACCGGATTACAACCCCAATACCAGGCATTGTCTATACGGGCTCGATGCCGATCTCATCATGTTGGGTCTGCTCAGTCACGACCCCCACTTCTGTCTCTTGCGAGAGGAAGTCACTTTCGGCAGGAACAAGAAGAAGAGCGGAGGCCTGGCTGCTCAAAACTTTTTCCTATTGCATCTCTCGCTTTTGCGAGAATACCTCGATCTGGAGTTTTCTAGTATCGCTGAGGCCATGCCTTTCGAATACGACCTCGAGCGGATCATTGACGATTTCATCTTGCTCTCGGTCTTCGTTGGAAACGATTTCTTGCCGCATCTACCGAACTTACATATCAACGAGGGAGCTATGGAGGAAATTTGGAACATCTACAAGAGGGTTCTGCCTGTCGCTGGTGAGTCGCGTCGAGTGTGCGCTCTGCATTGCACCAAGCTGAGGTGAATGCGATGCAATAGGCGGCTACTTGAACTCTAGCGGTACGATCAACGTCGATCGGGTACAGCTGGTCATGAACGAGCTGGCCAAGACCGAGATCGAGTACTTTGAGCGGGAACACGCCGACCTGAACTGGTTCAAGGGCAAGCAAGAAAAGGAGATCAAGGCGCTGGAGAACGCCAAGAATCGAGGCAAGCTGGTCTTGACCAAGAACCAACGAGCGATGTTTGACAAGGTCGAGAGATTTGTTCTTGACCTCATCGAACTCGACAAGAAGGAGATCGACCAGGTCGAATTCGTCAACAATCTGCCGGCTCGGGACAGGACTTTCATCCAGGACCTTGCCGATGCTTTGCACGTCGACCTGGCTTGGGACGAGGTGGACGAGTACGGTCAGAGTCTTGTCGTAATCGCTCCGGGTATGCTCGCCCACAAGAGCAGTCCCGCTACTTCTGCAACCAAGAGCGAGCGTGAGCCCGTCAGTGACGAGGAGAGCTCCAGCGATACAGCGGACGAGAGCGATGACGAGGATGCGGAAGGCAAGGCGGCTATCAAGCGGGTCTTAGACAAGTACAGGAAGGCCAAGGTCATCGACAATATCGATGAGGACGCTCAAAAGTCTTACCAAACGGTCTTGCACGAACGACTGAATGAATGGAAAGACAACTACTACAAAGTGAGTCTCTATCGTTCTTTCTGCGACCTGGCGTCGATACTTAACCTTTGGGTCGTCAGACCAAACTCGAGGCCAAGGACGACAAGGATGTCAAGCAGGTCGTCTACAAATACGTTGAGGGTCTACAATGGGTCATGAATTACTACTACAAGGGTTGTTCAAGTTGGGGCTGGTACTACCCTTACCACTACGCACCCAGAATTACCGGTGAGTACATGTTGTTGCAGGTCAATGAACCGTTTCTTACGCACTAGCAACGGATTTCGTAGATTTCGTCGGGCTAGGAGACATGAAGTTTGACTTTGTCCTCGGACAACCTTTCAAGCCTTTCCAGCAGTTAATGGGTGTTTTGCCGGCTGCAAGTTCCGAGCATATTCCCGTAGCGTACAGGGTGAGTCAATCGAGCCAGTGACCTGGCCGACCACCCAGTGAAGCTCATCAGGCATCCGATCGCAGGACCTCATGTTTGACCCGAGCTCTCCTATTCTCGACTTCTACCCTCAAGATTTCGAGGAGGATATGAACGGAAAGAAGCAATCCTGGGAGGCTACCGTTAAGATCCCCTTCATTGATGGCGACAGGCTACTTCGAACGATGGCCTGTAAGCACGCTGAATGTCATTGCGCTAATTGGACGACATGCTTACACGTATCACTATAGCTCGAGACCACAGGCTGACTGCGGACGAGCAAGCACGAAACCAATTGAGCGATTACAGCACCATGTTCATCTACGACGAGAGCGCGTCGAACCACTACACTTCGTCGCTTCCGGGATCATTCCCGGATCTGCCCAGGTGTAAATGTCGCATGGAGCCTTATGCTTTGCCCGACCTCGGAAACGGCGTTGAGCTCATTACTGGACTCATTGATGGCGTTCACCTTGGTGCTTCGGCTCTGGCTGGATTCCCTTCGATGAAGACACTGCCGCATCACGCCCAGCTCAACCATCACGCCATCAACGTTCATGGACAGGACAGCAGGAACATCTCGATGGTCATTACCATCGAAAACGCCTTCGAGAACGTCAAAACCTCCGAGCTGGCAGGCAAAATGGTCGGGGAGAGGACTTTCCTACACTGGCCTTTCCTGCAAGAAGGAATGGTCGTTGCTCTTTCGGACGAACTTTTCCGTTATGAGAAAGGCCCTCGAGGTGTCATTGCCACGCCTCACGAGCCCAACTCGCTGATCGACTTCCGAAAGAAATCGCACCGCATCGAGGACCACTACTCGAAACGCTTCGGGGTCGTGACTGGACAGATCGATGTCCTGATGCACGTCAGACCTTTGCAAGGTGAGTTGTATTGGGTCCACTGAGTCCACGCAGTCGTTGACCTTATCCTCGAATGACACAGGTCTGAAGCGAATGGACGATGGCTCTCTGCTCAAGGATTATGCTGAAAAGGAGAAGGAAATCGAGCAGGCCGTCCAGATGGCTGTCCGCCAGGTTGCGTTCGAGGATGAACGATATTTGGTATGTCTACCTTTCTACATGTTGTCATTGGTTTGAGACATCCGCTAATGTTCGAATCGATTCGCAGGAACAAGACCCGCCATCACTGCCTGCCGAATTCCCCAAGGGTACTAGGGTATTGTTCTTGGGCGACCACGCTTATGGTGCCGCAGCCCAAGTCACTGAAGCTACTGAACAAGCTTTGACCGTAGAACTGGCTGTGAGTATCAAGCATTGACGTCTAAGGTGGCCTTGGCTTTTGACTGACCCGTCCTCCTTGTGTCGACAGTACTTTGCCAATGAAGCCAGTGAACCCGCTGTCTATTCTCGACTCGTTCACTCGCGGCCGAACGAGAGATACCACCCGAACCCTCTCATCGCCAGAGGATTGGGAGTCTCGTCGTTGGCCATGTCTCGAATCATGTCTACAGTCTTGATCGAGACTAGCGATGGACGCAAGTACAACATCGGACTCAGCCTCAAGTTCGACGCCAAGGGTTTGAAGGTTCTCGGGTACAGCAGGAAGAACGATCGAGGTTGGGAGTTCAGTCAAGCTGCCTATGAGCTGTGCGCGCAGTACAAGAACGAGTTCCCGGACGTCTTTGAGAGGCTTGATGGCAACGATCGTGGGATCGCCCGTTCCAGGGACATGTTCCCCAATGCACCCAACCCGGATACTCGCGTCAAGCAGGTTCGGGAATGGTTGAAGGACCGCGGAGTTCTCGACCTCGAACCTGTGTCCCTCTTTGCAGAACAGTTGGACAAGGTGAGCAAGATAGCTTAGGCGACATCGTTGTCCGATCACATATTGATGCTATCTCCGCTTGTTCCAGACGACTGTGAAAGCCTTGGAGAAGACGGCCGATGAGTTCAACTCGCAGAGGCATCTGACCAAGATCAAGCGGGTCGTCATCAAGGCAGTGCCTAGGCAAGCTCTGCTGAAGCCGACACATGCCCTCTACCGTTTACAAGGACAGGTCTTTGCTATCGGAGACCGGGTCATCATGGTATCAGACGCGGCAGTCGGCGGTGTTCCCTTCTCGCTCAAGGGAGTCGTCATCGGTCTCAACGCAACCTCGATCGACGTGGTCTGGGACTCTCCCTTTATCGGTGGAGAGACGTTGACCGGTCGATGCTCCGAGCACCGTGGCTCGATCGTTCCCTTTGCCTCATGTCTCAACCTGACCAGGAAACAATTCGCCGTCAACAAGTCGTCTGCTCCGAAAGCAATGGGCCGGGACCCTGCCTTCCAGCCCAAGTTTGGCCCTCAGCCTGTCGTCCCTGGTCAGCATTTCAGGGCCAATCAGCAATTCCAGCCTCAGGTGAACGCAGCCTCGCAAGGCTTCAGGCCCCGGCCTCCTGTTCATCAAGGACCCATGCAATATGGTAAAGCTGCGCAAGGCATTCGACCTCGGCCGGCTCCAGCGGCGGCACAAGGGAACACGCCTCAGGTACAGATCCTGCATCAGGCTCTGACTGGAAAGACTGGTGGACCTATCCGGCCTGTGCGTGGACGAGGCGGATTCGCCGCTCGGCCTATGAATGGCCATGCTGTTGCTCCACCTCACGCAGCTGTACCTGTTCCGCACAACGGCGCAACCCCAGTCGTTCGCCCTACTCGGGGTCATCCACGAGGTCGAGGTGGATTCGCCGGACGAGGTCGAGGCGCTTCAAATGGCACGCCTTCCGCTCAGAGTGCGGCCTAAGATTGCTTGCGCTACGCGTTAGTCATGATGTCATTAGGTCGTCATGTTGTATTTGCTGCTAGTAAGCAATATGCTATATGCGTCAATTGTAGGCATTCCTCTTGTTCTTTCGCACGCCCATTTCGTCTGCTTGTTTTTCCAACAACCTTTCGATGTATCCACCTTCTGGGAACGTCCTGTTCCATTGATTATGCAAATGAATGCTCCAGATCTGGTTTATGCGCTTCTCCAGGTGCTGTCTGCCGTCCCGGATGGGACCCTCGCCGGACGGATCAGACCAATTGAGTCCCTTCCAAGACCCCGGATCCTTCTCGAAGGGATTAGGAAAACTGATATCGTCGTGACAATTGCGAGGGTCGGTAAAGCACCACGGAAGGACCGAGAACGGCTTGACGCCGCCGTGCATCAAACGGCGGTATAGTTTCTGGTATAGGAACGCTCCCCAATCGAGCGAGTTGGGTGTCGGGGCCGGTTCGGTGGCCATGATGTGGAACGCTTCGCACAAGTAGGGCGACTGGCGACGGAAATGCATGATATGGCCGTTGAGTATGAGATTTGGGTCGTCTATCGGGTCGTCCATGCAGTAGTATGAGCATATGACGTTCGAGCGAGGGGAGAACAGTGCGGATGGATCCACCACCACTCACCTCGACAGTCCCACTGGGTGACAAACTCGTGTTCCGTCAAGACGCCTAGATCCCTCGTCAAGATCTCGTCCATATCGAACCAGATCCCCCCATGGTTCCACAACGCCAACAACCTCACCGCATCCCCATCCACCCAAGCTGACCCGTCGTACATGCCTTCGAGCGCCTCAATCCGGTGCAAGACCGTGCCTTCCGTCATCTCCCGCACATCGACTTCTCGAACTTCGAAGACGCCTGGCCAATCCATCAAGTACTTGGCCACGACCGGAGTGACCGACAAGCCCGCGGCATCATTGGTCCAGAGGATCAACCTCGACCTCGAAAGGTCTTGCGTAGCAAGGAACGAATCGATTGTATACCCTTCCCTCTGATCAAAGGGCAAGAGGTCCATCCTCCAGTAGGTGTGATAGATCAAGGACGACGTCGTGTCGTCGTACCTCTCGTCAGGCCTGATTGTGCCCGCGAAATCGTAACACTCCATCTCGAATTTCATGTTACTCCCTGCATTCAAGGTATGCCGAGGTCGAGAGTCCAAGAATTGAGTGAGGTTGTAGTCTGTCCTCTCGACCCGTTCCGGGTCAAAACACCCTGACAAGGGTCTGTGCTCCCAATCCCGCGTAGGCACTACCGGGGGAGGTTTCTCTTTGAATGGGAATAGAGATAGGCGATGTCGTCTCCGTAAGAAGATTATGGTGGTGAAAATGCAGAGGATGACGAGAATCCGTTTCCAAGGTATCCGATTATTTTTCCGTCGAAGATTGGTATGATCCTCCAGACCCCCATTGAGGATCATGCTATGCCGGCGCCTCGACTTGCGGTACGTGGGTACCGGGGACAGAGCCCTCGACTTCCTCCTCCAATACCTCGGCAACTGCTTGACAGCATCCCTAAACTTGGCGTATCCTACCCAGGGTAGGTCTCGCCATTCCCACTCGTCGTCGAATGTCGCGTGACCTTTTCCCTTTTCGTCCGTCCGATCCATAGACATGCCGGGCATGTCATTCGAGACCGAGGTATCTATCATCGATCTCCCTGATCTAGACATCAGATCTCCGCCGACGTGCCCATTTACATTGACGTTGACCCTGACGTCGGTGTTAGGCAGAGAATCTCCCATGAGCTCATCCGACGCGACAAAGACGGCCGGCAACGACAGTCCTGTTGTCGTCGTTGATACTATTGACGGCTGGTGATTCGAGTTGGAAGATGAAGGCGCTGCGAACCGAATGTCTGGCGTATTCGGTCGACTGTATGGGTTCGCCAGGTTGATCTCGGACGGGTCGGGTACGAGGTAGCTCGGTCGATCCAGTTGACTGTGCGTCAATCGCCTTTTCGTCGCCGATGAGCCCGAGGCCTGATTCGACGGTGGCATATTGCTATCAAACTAATTGGGAGCCGAGGAGAGATGGTGTGGAAGGTGGGGGTTTGCGACAGGAGGAAACGTTAGTCAAAGGCTCTGTGAACAAGAGATGATGGAGAGGAAGAGGGAGGGACGAGGAAGAGGAGCGAGATGACGATTCCCGACGTGACGCGCGCGGTGGCCAGAGCAGGCGGTGAAGGTTTCACTGCGAAAGAAAGAAAAGGGACAACCAAGCAGCAACACAGCACGGGGACTTGATCGTGTTCCACCGCTTGGCATATAGCGTGGTCGGCATCAGGCAAGCAGAAGCGAGTCGTCGCCCCAATCGTCGGTGAAATTCGATCGACGAAGGGAGAACACGACCACGATCGCAGCGCCTGGTCGTCAGGTCCGCATGTCGATTGATCCTAATTCGTTTGCAGGCAGGTCTGAAGCGATTACAACCTGATCTCTTTGCACATTTCTCTTCTGTTTCCTTGTTGCACAGGTGCTAGAACACCGTCTTAGATCATTCCCTGCAAGACACGGTTAAAGGACGAGTTCAGCTATGTGTACGAAAGTCACGAGACATCCGCTTGCGGTACTCACCGACTCTCGGAGCATGCGGGCACTGTACCGCGATCATCGAGAGAGACACAAGTCGTGAGCCTTGCCCCGTTCTTTCCCGACCACTATGCTGGACTCACATCTTCTCGTCTTCCCGTTCCCGGGGTTCCAACTTCAAGCTCAACTCGTAAGCGTCCGGCCCGTTCTCGACGTTTTCCAATCGTTCCCTGACAAACGTCTGCACGACCGGCAAGCTGATGAATGTATAAGGCGTCGCTTGATACTGTTGGATCTCTCGAATGACGTCGGCGCATTTCTGGCGTTTGGCAAAGTGGATGAGCTTGCGAGTAGGGTCTGTCGGGCAGGGCAACATGTTGGCGTTGCCCTCTTCGATCGCCGTGAGAAATGTCAGGTAGGCGCCTGCCAGAAACGAAGCGATGTCGATCAGCTTGTGAGCGAGCAAGTTCCGTATCCATCCTGCGACTCACCTAGAAACGGAATACAAGGCGGGTTGATCCGTTTCAATAGTTCCCGATATCCCGCATATTTCCTGCCAATGTCCAACGTCTTGTCCAAGGATTCCCACAACGCTTGCGACTTGGTGCTCAGGTTATCTTTGGTCCGTTTCAGCCGGTTGATTGGTGTCGAGTCGGCGCCCGCCATGATGGCGAACATGGTGGAAAAGTTGTTGAACCGGCGGCAGTGCTAACAAAATTAGGCAACGTGTCAGTCCTCCGGTAAGGATACGGAGAGCTAGGGGTCGTCATGCTCACATCGGCAACCTGGAGGAAATACTTCATCACCTGGGCTCGCTTCTTGGCGTCGATATGGGTCAAAATGGCCTGAGCGACCCAGGCTGCCATCCTGTTGCTGGTCAAAATCATCGCCTTGATATTCGCGCCGTCCTCGCGGTTGCTCCTGGACCAAGCCGTGTCGAGGCAGTCGACGGGTTTGATGCGGTTGTACAGATTGGCCTCGAAGATCGCCAGCTGACGAGCAAGCTCTTCCGGGTCGATATCGAGCAACTGGACGCCCCGGGACGAGTTGATTTTGGGAACGATTGGAGGTGGGGGTTGAGCAGTCGTGACTGTCAACCGTCGAGCGCCGATGTCACCAACGGTTCTCTGTACAGATGGGAAATTCATCAGTAATCAAGTAGGAAGACTGTCGTTGAAGCGTCGACTCACCCGACGCTGTACCGCTCTCAAAAGCACTTGATACGGCATCTTGACCTGAATGTCTCGGGCGAGCACTTCCTCCGCGAACGTTTCAATCTTGTTGAGCACCTCGGGATCCTCTTCCTCGTTGAAGTACTGGTCGAGCCAAGTCTTGAAGATATTAAAGACTCTGTAGATAAGCCATGTAATTAGCCCCGGTAGAGCGAGGTGGACGTGAAGCCCTATTCTCACCTCAGCTTGACCGGCTTTTGTTTCCTGGTCTGCCAGTCCCTGACCTGGTCCGGAGTGAGACCAGCCGGCGGTTGTATACTGTACCGTCGGGCGAGGCGATCGACAATCTCGACTCCAGTCGCGAACGATCGATATGTCATGAGGAACGTTGCATTGAAGGAGTGGTCTGCATCAGACGCGTATCGTTAGCCTGGCGGGATCCTCTTCAACGGAGCCATCGAGACTTGCCTGTACGATCATGCAGTGTCAAGCGTTCAACCAACGCCTGCAACGTCCCGGCCTTGACGGAACCGTCCATGTACAGGATGACATCGTCATCCGAATAATCGACCGCGAGATAAGAGGGATTTTCTTCCACCGGCGGTCTCATCTGAGAGGGATCCAGAATCTCGGAGACTTCTTCCTCCCCCAACCATTTGGCGAGCTTCTTCTTGCTACCTGACACGGGAGATTGACCTGACGACTTGCCGAGTAAGCGATTAATCTGTTTCCCGCATCAGAGACGACTCACGAATATCAACCTCGCTCGCGGAACGATTACGAAGAAAGCCCATACCCCCCTTCATGAAGTTGCCCGTGCTACTCCTAGCCGACATCATCAGTGAGTTATCCATGTCGGCCATCGTCGACAGATTAGATACCGAGGAGGAAGCCGAAAGTCCATCACGTCCCAGTGATTGCTTTCGTGCGTGCAAGCTAGTATTCGAGCGATTTGCGAATGGCTGGCTGTGATGATCCTGTGACCTCAGCGATTCATTGTCTGCATCGTCGTAAGTGCGGTGTTGCCGAGGAGCGAATTGTTGCATGGAGGCAAGGGAACTTGAGCGCGATGACGACCGCATTCGTCGTGCAATCTTTTCTCGCTCCAATACTCGAGCGGATCGGCGGCCGATTTGCCCTTTGACTTGTCCGTTGGCAACAACTTCGGCTTGACGAGTAGCATTGCTGGCCATCTCTTCAAGCAGTGATCCGGTCTTGCCCCAAGTGGCTTGGAGCTCCAATAGTAGCTCGGCTGACCGGCTTTCCGCATCGGGCTGCATCATGCTCCACAGTATCTGGGCAGAAGTAGCCCTCGTCTCTGAACACATGTCCTCGTATGCTTGCTTGTGCTGAATGGCTTGTACAACCAGCGAGGAATAGGTCGAATCCGAATCCGCGATTGAGGACTCGGCTGGACTTGTGGGGCTAGCAAGTGTATCGAGATCGAGAGTCGCGGCTACGTCGAGGTTGCGCAATGTCAGCTCGAACCTTTCCACTAACGCGACCGCCTCCTCGAGCTGAGCTCTTCGTTCCAGATCGCTGACCACGGCCGCCTCGGTGCCTTTCAGTTTTTCGACTTGACCATCCATCTCGTTGACCAGCTGTTCGACTAGCTTGAGACTTCGTTCGTCGAGACGCTTCCAGTCCTTCTTGCGGGGCAGGATGACTTCGCCGAATCCCCACAGAGGATCGATGTGTTTGACTCCTCGTCCGGTCTCGCTAAGGCACCCAAGCGCCTTGACCTCGTTGATAAACAGCTCGACGCTGCCCAGTACGTCGGTCGCGTCTTTTCCAAGCTTTTCCGCGCAAGACTGGACAGGCCAGTCCATACCGACAGCAGAATGTGCAGTGAAGACGATCTTGCTGAGGCTGGCGACGATTCGACGCTGGGAAGGATGCAGTCCTTCGATAGACAGGAAGGACAACGCATGTTCCTGTGTAGGCGTCTGCGTCGTATCGTCCATCAGAGATTCTATGACGATAGCGGGTAGACCGAGAACAGCGTGGCGACACGCATGAACGAGTCGCCTTACCGGCGTACTCAATCCGAGAACAGTCTCACGCAAGGCCTCGGCTTCCTTTAGCCGCGTCACCTCGACCTCGCCAGCGTTGATTTCCGCCTCTCTCGCTTCAAAGACAGACAGATAAGTCGCGCTGGCAGAAATGATCTCGTCCAAGGCAGACGTCACGTCTTCCACCTTTTTTTGCAGGTCCATCATTGCTTCCTCATCATTGACAGCTCTTTCCAGTCGAACGGTCGCCTCTTCTTCCCAAGCTAGTAGGCTTCTACGCCTGGCGGATTCGGAACCGCTCTCCTGACTGTTGCGCAGGCTGGCATGCCTAGACCTGCTCGTCCCGTTCGATTGAAGACTCTGCATGCTAGTACGTTGCTGAACTGGAGAACTGGGTCCGAGGCCAAAGTCGTTCGAGCGTGGGGTACCACTGATTCTCTTGACCGCCTTCTCCACTGCACCGAAACGGTCCATCTTCCAACCGGACGACGAGGCTCCATTCTGATTACTGGAAGAGGGGCCGACGAACGGCATCGTCTGTCCGGGTCCATTGCTGAGGCTCGGGTTACGGGAAATCCCAAAGGCCTTCAGAGCATCTCCGAGGCCCTTCCTTGGCTTGCCCTTGCCGCTCCCATTCGTCCCGTTCTTTCTTGTCGACATGCCATACGAGTTGGCCGACTCGACCGACATTTCACTTGGCCGCCTGTCCATACCCGGTCGACCAGGACGTACGGCTTGACCGACATGCCCGTTCGTATCCAAGCTACCACCGGGTACATGTCCGAGCAATTCTGATGCCTTGCCTTTGCTTTGCGACCCGCCGGAAAATTGGGACTTGAAGCCCTCCTCGATCTCACTCAACCGTCTCCGCAGGCCATAGGGAGAGAACCCATCATCCACCCCTCGAGCCGCACCGTCCTCAAGCTGTTCTCCTCCGGCACGAACGTCTTCGAAATCTTCTGCCCCACCGATCGAGCTCCCTCTTGGCGGGACTCGGAGCGGTCGGCGTGGTTCTTTCGGAGCGGGGAACGTTGCGTCTTCTGCCTCGTCAGCAGAATCGATGTGCGGGATCTCCCAGGCCGTCTCCCCTGTCTTGGTGTTTTGATAATAGATCTAGACAAGTCAAGCGATCATGATCGACTGTTAACGCGAACACATTGAAGAGCTCGAGCATCAAGCGCACTGACCTGTCCATCCTGAGTCATGCTGGGTACCCAAAAGTCTTCAGGATTACCCGTCTCCTCTTCTTGGCCTTCAAGCGGTTCAGGATCGACCGCAGCAGGCCTCTCAATAGACCTCTTGCTCCCTTGTGATCCCCGGTCGATCCCCTCATGCATGATCCCACTTTCCGTGGGCGAATCGTCCGGTAATGGAGAGTCAACATAGTTCGAACCCGAATACCGGTCTATCGGGAGTTCTACATCAGGGTTCTGGTCCATCATCGGCCGAGGCTGGCTCCGGGTCCCGGTCAACGTATCGTCCCGCCCGTCCCTCTCCTCATGGATATCTCCAGTATCCAGCTCGTCTTCGTCGTCTTGCTCAACCTCGACCTCCTGAGCCAACTTGTCGTACCAGGCCTCCGCCTCCCAAGGCTCGATCTTCCTAACGTAATTGCTCGGAAACCAACCTCGACGGAGACCCAGGAGACCGTCCCACCATCCGGAAGGGAGTTGGGTCAGAACCTCGATAACGTCGTCTTTGGCGAACGAAAGCGAAGACGTATCGGAAGAGTTGTACGAGTACTGAGCCTGAACGAAAAACGAAGAGGGGCCCGGTGCATCTTGGTCTGACAGGTCATCCGCTTCGTTCGAGCTCGACCCGTCTTGGAAAGGCTCGTCCCGCTCCGTCTCCGTCGCTGGATCCCAAAACCGATCCACGCCAATACTTCGAGGGCTTTTAGAGTGTGGATTCTGTGCGTCATTCGGGTGTCCGGAGAGGTTGTTATTGTTGATTGTCGTTCGCAATCCGCCTTGAACGAGCATGACGTCTGGTCGGTAATCACCGTCGAGCCGGGTCTGTCGCTCGGAGTTGAACCACTTTGTGACTAGTAGTGCGTAGGTTGGTGAAGATGTTGTTAGATGCGGTTGTAATGGCGATCTGCCGCATGTGCCGTCCACGTTCAGGCCTCGACGATCCAAGAGTTCTAGCTTATCAGCTATTGTTCCCTGCAAGTCACGCTTTATCGATTATAGGGCCTGGGTCGTTTATCGGCTCGAGGGTGGAAGAGCCCAATCCCGCTATTACCCAATGTGGGAATAGTTTAGCTTCGATTCAAGAGTCCTTTGACAGAGTGGTCGACCCGATGGAAAAGGTTGATAGAGACCTCTAAGCGAAAGGTATCTGCCGAGAAGAGGAATGTTGCTGTTGGTCGTGAAATCAATTTCGGTCAGATCCGTCCCAGTCGTTGTCGCCGTTGTCTCGATTGCTGTTGTGGCAGCTCTATCTCTCGCTGTGAGAATGACACCCAGATAGCCGAGTCTGGACCGTACAGGCTGATTTTAGTCGGTCGCCTGTTCCTTGTCGTCGATCGTCACGGTGTCGACAAGAACCGGTATTTGACAAGCGATGGTCGCGACGTCGAAAGGACCTCCAAAGCACCCTCGACCAAGTCCCGGTAAAGGGAGGTCGGAGTGGGGTACTATCGTTGTAGGGTCCCTATTGTAGTGAGGGTGTGCCCCAGTTATCGAGGCTGGGTCGAACGCCTCTTTTGCAGACGGGATGCTAGGTTGCGACCGGAGGGATGATGTGCGACAAGTCGTGAACGTCGATTTTCGATTGATTATATTTGGAGACAGGTCACGGCGTGGCTACCTGCTATATGCTATTCGAAGCGATTGAAGGGCAAGTCTGGACCATTAAATAGATGATGTTCCATGATCTTCTGATGATCTCTCTCCCTCGTTACGAGATGTGCAAATCCCTCCCCGATAGCATGCCTCTTCCTGCGAGCTGCTGTGTTCTCCTCCGGAACCGCTCGCTGGAAACCAGGGCAGAACCCTAATTTCAACCACATGGCCACATGCTATCCTCATGAGGGATCGATCCCTGCTTTTGTCCCCGTCAACGCCCCGCCCACTCCCACGTCTCACAAGGTCAAGCCTAAAACCCGGAATTATATGCTAAAGGATCGAGAAATCAGGCCTGACCCCTCTCAGCCCCGTCCGCTTTACTTTTGATCATACATTCTCATGCCTGTCGCCATTGCGAATACCCTGGAGGGTACCTCGTCTCCGGATATACCAGCCGCTCTCCCGTCAAGTCTTGGGTGCCGCCTAGCGATTGGACACCTACGTGTCCTGGCAGATGTATCCCGCTAGAAGGCTGGATATAAGGCATCCCGTTCGAACCATAGACCTGAGGAGCGCCGAATCTCGGATCCTCTGTCTCGGGCGGGGTGTAGGCGTCGAAAAGACCTTTCGCATGTCCGTGAGATTGAGCTTGAGATGAGCCCTGATTCGTGCGCCATGCCGGTCCTGGAAGTTCAAGCGCTACTTGAGGGATCGGAGGTGAGGACCCCGCTAACGATGTAGGCGAGTGTTCCAAGTCAGGAGGGACTGCCGCTGTCGAGGGATACGCACCAGCCCCTGCGGAATCGGCGACGTCCCCAACGAAATCCGTGCCGACCGCCTGGCTGATACTGGACGTGTCCGCCAACATGCCGTCGGGCATCCAGCCGCTGACATTGGCGCCCAAGCTCGAGATGGCAGTCATCAAGCTATGAGGAGGGGGTAGCATCCCCGAGTTGGGCGGGGTTACCGAGGAGGACGCGTTGGAAGAACCGAAAGGTGTTGCCGAGTAGGTAGGGAACGCCATCTTGGCTTGCCGTTCCGCCCACAGGTCACGCAGTCTAGAAAAATTCAAGACTTGGGTTAACACTTCTGCTTCTGCCATTGGCAGCCGGCATCATTGTTCACCGCCAGACTCACTTGTTTGACCGCTCGCCAGTCTTTGCGTATGCCCAGCGCATCTCGTTGAGTGCTTGGAGACACGCTGCCACATCCTCTTCCGTACCGTGATCTTTGGCCAGCAACATCGCAGCATAGTATGTCCCATCTAGACGAGTTTGTCTTTCGATTCAGTACCGCATGTCTGATGGCTTACGATACGCTTGACAACTCACCTCGCACGAGACTCGCATCCCACTCGAAAAAGCTCGTGTTGATGTGCATCTTGACGATATCCACGATCAACCTCGTCAACTGCTCGCATTTGGCCCGGGCGATATCGTGCAAGTGTTTGATTTCCCTATGGATCTGGATCCGAGGATCCGTCTCTTCCGCCGAGAGCGAAAGCTCGGTGAGAAAGGCCCCTTCTGGTCGGGGGACGAGGTGTGCACATCTATGTTCCAAAGATTCTCGGATGACGTTGTGCGCCTCGAACATGAAGATGCGCTGCAATCAAGCATAAACTCGCACTTCTTAGCCGACACGCATGCGAGCCCGTTTTGTCATCTGAACCTACCCAGCCATCTGCGAACCGAATGATATCGTCTTTTTGCAAAAAGGTACCCGGTGGCTCTGCCCTGATCGCTTCGAACTCTTCCCAACAGCTCTCGAGTGCCTCCCAAGCGTCATTCATTAACCGTTTGTCGACTCGTTCCCGTTTCCGGGCTTTGGGACCGGTCAGCGCCTTGTGAATCAATCGACATGCGACCTGACGAAAGGGGAGACAGCTGAGCACGAGGTGTATCGTTCGATTTCAATCCGGAAACTCACAGCTAGTCGAATCGGAGCTGTAGCCAACTTGGCTACCGACTTGATGGCAGACGACCGCGTCACCTAGAAACCGAAGTCATCAGGAACGTGGTGGTATCGTATCGAGCGTACCACTACCGCTCACCAAGGCCCACCCTTGTGGAAGACTAGCTTGAAAGTTCTCGAGATCATCTTCATCCAGGACCAGGCGCCCGCCCTTGAGGCCTGACGTGATGCCCTCGTGCACGAACGTGTACCAGTACAGCCGCACCCGGATGATATCGCCTTCGGGACCCAAGTGATGCTGAATACCATCGTAACCGAGGGACGACAGCGAACACAAAGCAAAGACCTGGGCGACAGCGCATTCGTACATCGCCAGCCTTTCCATGGGAGTCGAAACGTATTCCGTCAATGGCAAGAGCAGGAGTAAACACCTCACTCCGTCAAACGAATGCCGACGCATGATCCCAGCATCATCGATCTCCTTCAGGATCTTGGCCACCACCCCATCGGTCTTGGCCCTTCGCCCAATCCTATCCCTTTCCCTTACTTGATCATGTGACCAAACATAACCCGTCTCGGGTGGCAATACCCCTCCAGGCCAGTTCCTCTCGGGTACGTCCAGATTCCCCGTCTCGTCCACCCCGTACGAACAAGCCCAGGCGTACATGATGTGGACGAGGATCGAGCCGTCCTTGCCCATATACGAAGCTCGAGGTGGGTCTTGGGCGAGGTAACGCCGGGAGAAGTCGGTCGGGTCACAGATGGGTCGTTGGATGTGAAACCTCCGGTAGAAAGCGCTCGACAAGAAGTCTCGGGAGAGGTCGGGGATTTCTCCTTCGCCCTGGTCGACGATAATGTCTGGGCCGACCGTCTTGTTTGTAGTAGTAACCGACGCGGACTTTCTCTGAGGCATGACGGGTCTCGTGGGTATCATCATATTAAGGTCCCGGGATGGCTCGACGGATGTCATCATCACATTCCCTGGTTTGTGCCCCTGCGAGGTCCGATCGAGAGGACCGATTACCAACGGTGGTATGTGGCGTTCCTGGCCACGTCCTTGGTTAGGGACAGCTTCGTAGGTGCTAACGAGCTGAGCTGGGCGAGCGTTCTTCGAGTTCTGGTCGATGGCTACGAATCTCGGATTCGGTCCAGCCGTTCCAGTACCGGTCCAGTTCATGGTCGATTCCGGTACGCTGGGCGCAACGGGTGGAACATGTGCCATTGACGACGAAGCCATGGGGTATGCCTGTTGGTGTTGATGCTGAGGTTGAGGTTGGTGATTCGGGTCGAACAAGCCCAGCGGTCGTTCCGGTGCAGGCAAGACCGAAGCATACGGCGGCGGGACAGGCATCAAGGCCTGCATGCTCGTCCCGGCGGCGTGTCCCTCTACAGATACATCCGGACGATCAGAGAACCCTGAGGAGCTCTGATAGGAAACCAAAACGGGTCTTTGTGGTACAGCTGGTGGCTGCAGAGCGTGTCCCGTACTCTGCTTCAACACGCTCATCATCGGCGCATAACCTGGCCGCCTCTCTGTTCCGATGGGATTATACCGGTTTCCGGGGTTCACCTCTCCTCGCGTCCTCTCCACTCCCGCTCCTCCTTCCCCTGCTGCGACTCCAGTTCCAGCTCCGGAACTCGACCCTACCTCCCCAACCACAGCTCCGACCTTTCTCCTCTCCCTCCTCTCCCCATATTCATCCACGCACTCCGAATTCCTGTTGAAACAATTCGTACAGCTCAATTCATCCCTCGTCAACCCTCTGATGTCCCTTGTCTTCCTTCCCGTCCTGCCCGGTCGAGATTTCCCTGTTGGCAAGATCCCTCGGGCTCGGTACATCTCCCCAGTAGTAGGATCGATCAAAGGGTTCCCACTCTGACCGGGAACGAGCGGAGGGGGCAGAGAGGGGCCGTATTTGTGGTCGCTGCCCGAAGGATATGAAGGATACTGAGATGAACCGGGTTGAAGGTCGATCTCCAGACTGTCCCATTCCTCTTGAACGTCCTTGAGATCGCATTTCACCCTCCGATTACGACACGCTTGACAGGCCGAGAACTGAGTTCTAACCTTTTTCGTCGACCCAGATCCTGATGCTGATACCATGGCGGCAGAGGTAGATGCAAGGGCAGTCGAAGGGTTGTTTTGTTTCTGCATGTCACTCGGTTCGCCAGCCTGGCCTTGCGGTACTGAGGCATGAATGTATCCCGTGTCGTCCATATAGCTCACAGAAGGCCGTGATAGAGGCAAAGGCTCTTGAAGAGAGATCGCATACGTGCGATCGAATGGAGCTTGGGGTAAAGGGCCTGGAGCTGTTCTGGCATCCTGATGCTGCGAATGATAAGGATATTCCACCGGCTCCATCGTCGATACGTAACCTCTTGCGTATTGACCCGTCCCAGCCGCTTGGGGGTAGTACACCTCATGTCCATCATTATGAGACAGACGATCTGTGGTGTAGACCATAGCTGGTGGCGCTGCTACGGGGTCTTGAGCGAGGTGATACCCCGATTCACCGTCAGCATGCCTGAGTGGAGGGTTGTTCGGGTCGTAACGACCGTTCATCCTTCTACCACGAACAATGACGAGGTCGATGTCGACCAGAGTAGTAGAAGCCAGGTAAGGAACAGGAGCGAGGACAATGGCAAGATGGAAGCAGTATGCTGTATGTAACGACTTGGGATGGAATGCTAACTCTCAAACAATCTTCATATTATTGCTTGCTTGGCCGTGCGGGCCTCTTCGGTGTTGACCGCGCTCGGAGACAAAATACTCTCAACAGAGGGACACCGGACAACAATAAGGTTTGACGTCGTGTGAAGACCACGAGAGTGAGGGGTGGCATACTTCGGACGACAGTCAAGCAGCTCGACACAAGTCCTTGGATGTTTGAGATGAATCCATAGCACGATCAAACCGTGAAGCCTGAAGCAAGCTGAGGAAAAGAACCTTTGCGCTCGGAGCAGGGCGGGCGTGTGGGGATGGTCAACGGGCATTGATTGGGGTGCTTTCAGCAGCTCACCCCGCTGTACAGCTCGAAACGCCTCGTGCTGCCAAGCTCACAACTTCAACCCGAACAACCCCTTCAGATCCTCATTCCTCTCCCGCTCACCCTTGTACTCTTTGATGACCTCCTTCTTGCCCTTGCCCTCGTCTGAAGTGACGAAAGTTGACAATACCATGTCCGTCAACGCCAGCCTCCCCATCGACCTCGTCCTCGCCTCACTGCCCGATTTCTTGCCCATATTCCTCTTGACAGGGAAATCTATGCCTTGCTCCAAGTCATACGTCCTCGAGACGGTCAGATGATCCTTGAACTTGGTCGTACACCCCTCGCTCCCCTCAAAGACGTGCCCCGACAAGGTTTGGAAAGTCTCCAGCCCGTGGTAATCGGCAACGCTGAACGCGTACAACGTCTCCCAGGCCCCATTACTGTCGTCGTCGTCGTCGTCGTCGTCGTCGTCGTCGTCGTCGTCGTCGTCTTGGTCGCTGGGATCTTGACCTAGGGCGAACAACCGATGCTGCATCAAGTAGTTCCTCTTCCCCTCGTCATCAGTCAACGGATGACCCTCCAACCACCTCTCTTCCAAGCCTTCCTCCGGGCCCGGTAACTCCCCCACTTTAGGTCTCCTCACTCGCCAAGCTTCTCCTCTGAGCGAATCATCCCAGATGACCTCACCCGCCGTCCCAGCCTTTTCAGAACTTGGGAGAGGGACCAGCCCGATAGGTCCCTTCCTCCCGAACCCGACATCCATCACCGCCCGCTCTTCGACCCCTGTGCGGGTGTCGAGCAAGGTGACGAGCGTCACACAGTGTGTAGGCTCTCGACGACTCTCGAAGATCGGGCGGTTGGTTTCTGGTTCTTTGCCTATGGAGACTACGCCGAGGACAGGTCTAGCGTTCGTGATCTGCCAACCTTGTCGATGGCCTCGCTGCCTATTTGAATTTCCTTCTTGACTGTGATCGAGATCCCGATCTCCATTTCGTTGCAGCTGAACAAGCCCTAGTACGACGTTGGTACTGTTCAACGAGTGGAAGAAACAATAACCGCCGAGCTGAGAGCGGACGATCCGGTCGTGCAACGAGGATGGGTCCAGTGGAGGCGATATACGGGGTTCCGCCACTGTTTGTTCATATAAACATCGGGAAAGAGATTAGAGATCGCCTTGCTTAGTGATCGCCTCCTTTGATCAAGCTCTTCTTGGGTACCGCTTACAATGTCTGAACGAAGAAAAAGAGACACGTACGTCACTCAATCAACCGCCTCGACTCAGCTCTAATCTTGGACTCACATGAAAGTATTCTCAAAAGGTACCCTCTCCAAATGAGCCCTCACAACCTGCCCCAATGCAGCCTTCGGATCCCGGCTGATCTCGTCTACCAAGACTATAGGATCGTTACCTAGGGGGAAATCGATCCGGTCGAGATAGGCTCGGAGCTCGGGTTCGATGTATGGGCGATTGGATGGTGTGGTCATCTTGCGTTGTAACTATGGATGAGATCGGTTTGTCCTGTATAGATGTAGAACGTCGTAGATATGATCCATGCGAGGAGATTTGTTCGAACCAAACTGGAGATCCGAAGATGAAGAGCATGAATGAAGGTTCCCTTCCTCGCCAGTCGTCGCTTGCTTTCGTCATCAACACCTCGCGCCCAAAGTTCACTACGACTGATCGCCCGATGCAACCATACACATCGAACTTCACAATCAAAGGTGACAAGCTGGACAAGACGCTCTCCTCGATGATCTATAGATGTCCCACGGTATGTCTAACGTCTCTCGAAAATACAAGTAGCAAAAAAAAGCCACCTCTGCCGCTCGCTTGGCGGTATCCTTTCCCCACCCTCGTCTCCACCCACGAGCCAGCGAACACCTCTCTTCCCTCTTCAACGTCTCGTCATTTGGTCCGCACGCCACGCCTGGAGCCCCCTACAGGTCCTTCTTGGCTCCCGTAGGCTTCTCCGCAGACTTGATGCTGGCAGCATCGGTCTGGACCTGGGTCGACTGTCCGGTGAACTGCTCCAACATCCCCGGGGCCGACTTGAACGGACGGGCGAGGTCACCCTCGGCCTTCTGACCGTACAGGTGAAGCTTGGCGGGTTTAGACCTAGGGGTATGGCAGGAGAAATTGGATTAGCAAGGCGTTCAGAATGGTCGGTATGAATCAACAGCGAGGGACTCACTCGAGGACACCCTTGATGGTCATGATGGCCTGGATGAACAAGGGCTGAGTGTACTTCATGTACACGTGCAAGAAACCCATAAAGGCGATTCCCTAAGAACCCACAACGCTCAGCACGTTCAGCCAAGCAGATCCAACTTTGACTGATGACCTGACGACGTTCGACTCACGGTGAACAACCCCTTCATAGCCTTGCTCGTCTCCTGCAAGTCGTAATCCCTGACGGTGGTCGTGACGAGTCCACCCTCCTCTTGCGACATGGGGCTGGCGGGCTGGACGTATTTGAGCGTGGTCAGGTCGTTCTTCTTCTTGATCTGATAAGGGGTCCAGCCGAGAGCAAACATACAATCAGTACGAGCTCAGAGAAGATCAAACGATACAAGCGACTCAGATTGCACGTCAGGGACTCTCAACTCACCTGCATCTGGATGTAAAAGTAGATGGCGAGCGAGATGACCTGAGCGGCGACGTAGCCGACCCTGAGCTTTTGGATGAAATCGCTATCCTCCATGGGCAGACGCTTGGCGACCTGCATGGCTCCTAGGGAGAAGACGAGGTTGGTGACCTGCAGCGATCGATCCAGCAACGAGCGATAGGACAGGAAGAGAGCATGAGAAGAGGCATGTGAGCATGGCTTTCGAATCGCACCGAGGTACTTCGGTGATCCGGGTCACTCACGGCGGGGTTCATTTTGAGGCTGGCAATAGAATTGGCCTGATTATTGCTCTATGCGACTGAGTTTTGAAGGGATAAATAGAGTGATGCAGGCAAGAGAAATAGCGTAGTCTGGAGGTAGAAGTTGAATGGATAATGAGGTCGAGGACGTGGCCTTCTCCTCGAGTGAGGTGCCCTGCGCGTGGGGTCGCGTGAGAAAAATCGGGCAAAACACCCAAAGTCGACCTCGGGAGAGGCAGCCCGGGGAGAGCAGGAGTTGGGACATCTCGGTCGATGTTATCGTTCATACCATTCAGCAACCAGTCCCTTCCACCTCTTCCCTGACCTATCCTCTACCACCACCATCCCTTAGATCAATCCCCTCCGCCATGCGTGTCTCTGCCCGTCCTACCATCGCCTCGTTCCGTCAGATCATCTCGCGTCGATTCGCTTCGACCGAGGCTCAGAACCCCCAGGTCAAGGCCGCCGTCGAGTCGGCTACCAAGGCCTACGACAACGCTCTCGGATCGGCCAAGAGGGTCGCTGGACCTATCGGGGAGCGTGTAGGAAGCATGATGGGAGGTGAGTGTATGCGGTGTATAGGCTGGAAGGAAGATCGAACCTGTCGCTGCATCCCGGTCCCGCCTATCCGAACCTCATATTCCACTGCAATCCGCTATTAACCTACCACTTGTTCCGGCTCGACATCCGCAGGCTACAAAGATCCCATCGTCTACAACTTCAAGGTCCTCGCCTCGCTCGCCCGTCAAGTCTACATCGCCGAGAAGATGGCACCCCCGACGAACCTCTCGGCGTACGTCAACTCGTACGCCAACATCTGGTCCAACGCCGTCTCGCCCAACTTTTGGAAGGGGCTCGCTCAGAACGGACAGTGGGCCAAGGTTGGAGTCGTCGTGAGTGCAGGCGTCCTGAGGGTACGACCGGGATGTTTCACTTGCAGAAAGTTGATCGGATCATCTATCTGCTACCTACTTGCTTTACTCATACGACCCTCGTCCCCGTTCTACCTCATCTCCACTTCTCGTCAAACACCTCAATCCGGCCTGCATTTGGGCTTCTGCACCTGTCATCACCTTCACCAGGGCCTCGAGGCATACGGTATCTTCAAGATCGGCGAGATCATCGGTCGAAGGAACCTCGTCGGGTACAAGTTGCAAGAGTAAACTCGGTCATCACGGGTGTATTCTTGATATGAAACAAAATGAGGACAAAGGGGAAGATATGAGGAAGAGGAGGAGAGATCGTCCCTGATGGCGATGGTGTATGATCATAGTGACGGTGTTGGGGAATTATGCATGGTCAGAATCAGTACGAGGCCAGCGGCCTGGTCAGCACTTCGAGAGCATATTGCTGGGAGTGAGGCGAGATAATCAGGCGACGGCTAGTGGACCGTGGCGAATGTCAGGTGCTTGCTTCGATCGCGATTAAGCCCGGGCGGTCTTTGCATCTGGTCGAGTGGATCTTGGAACTGGAAAGAAACCCTCTGAGGGAGTGGAGGGAGTATCGACCGGGCATAGTCTGCCCCGATCGGCTTGAAGAGCGGATTTCAACCTGCGGGAACGACCACCTCTCATAGTGGTTTGTAAGGCAAAGTCTCACTTCCCTCTTTAACCTGACGATGGAGACCCCTCGCATCATAATTCAGATGGGACACGTTCTAGGCCACACGCTCCAGCGCGAATATACCTGCCTATTATGTGAGAGATTGAAAAACGGTCTGACGAACCTTTGCATACATGTCCCGGAAGAGCTGGGCCGAGGCCTTGACAGCAGCAGCATGCGATCGACGTGCACTCGCGAGCATATTAGGCTGTCGACGCAGCGTTCTCCGCGCGAGCAGGCGAGCAGGCGACCTAGAGTTTCGCTTCATCGTCGCTATCCTCGACCTTTGTCTAACGTGACAACGCACAACTCGACAAGTTCACAGATCACAGTCGATGATATCGAGCTTACTTCTACAGCGGGCTTCGAGCAAGGTACAATGACCTGATGCCCGGTCGAGCTTGCTGACAGACGCATCATCGCCAAAGGGTCAGACTATCTTTCTCGTGTGCGGCTTCCGTATCATATATCCACCCGACTGTCTCTAGACCGGCGACCTCGACGATCTCGCATCGATTAACGATATATTCACGATGGACCATCAACATCATCAACACCACCAGCACAACTCACACATTCACCTCGCCGACCTACCAGACCTCGAATACGACCCGTCGACACTGTACCAACCCCTCTCTCAAACGGACGCTGATCTCGGACAGATCGAACATGATCACCAACATGCAGGGATCACCACCCTGGCAGAGTTTGCCGATATGGCCGGGAGCATCGGTCGGCGCCTACAATCCCGATTGAGTGGAAACGATAATGGAAACGAGATCGAGCTGGATGATAGGAGTCTGATGGATCGTTCGCTTGTCGGAGACGAGGCGATCATGGCGATGGCCGCGGCATCAGGATCAGGATCTGGGTCGTCTAGACGTCCACCGGACGAGTCTCTCCAGGAGGCGGCAGCTGCTGCTGCGACTACAGAGGCCACGACCGCCGCAGACGAGGATGTCGCAGATCAGGACGACATCGAGGAACATGTCGACGACGCAGAACAAGAGTTTTCTATCCCCTCTCACCTATCCACCACCCGTATGATCCTCGTCCCCGCCCACTTCGCTTCGGACCCGTACATGGAGGAGTTCGAAGAGCACCTAGTTCCCAATTATCTCCAGGCGAGAGCTAGGGAGTTTGTGTTTCTGAAACATGCAGAGAAGAAGAATCCGGTCGCGAGCAAGAAGGGGAAGAAGGAGAAAGAGATAGGTAGGTGCGAGGTAGAGCAAGACACAAACTTGATTGCGAGATATTTCTTGCTATGTTGCTGACAATACTGTTTTTGTCCTTATTGTCCATACCGCAGATGATGCAAGCGAAACCCAGCCGGAGATCCCTGTATACTCTGCCGAGACGATCAATTCTGCTTTCAACGCCCACCTAAACGCGTACCCATACGACCCCAACCCATTCCAATCCCACTCTCAACCCCTTGCATCGACCTCGAATTCGGCTGCCATGTCAACCTCGAACCCTCTTATCGACCCCGGACTCTCAATCGACCTCGACCAAAATCCATCCGAAACCCCCAACCCCAAACCTTTCAAACGTAAATTCGGTGGCCCTCTGCAGTACGCGTGGATATCCGAGTACCGATGTTGCTTCTCCGGGAAACATCGGGAGAGGGACCATGCGAGTAAAAGCGGGAGAAAGAGGAAGAGGGCGCCGAGCACGAAAGTAGGGTGCAAGGCCAAGTTCATGTTGAGAAAGGTCATCAAGACTGGGTTGATCGAGGCGACTTATCAGTGTAAGTTCAAGTTTCCGTTTCCGTTTTTTCGGTGGCTGTTCGCCGAGGTCCAATCGTATTCGAGTACCTCGACTGACTTTGGCGGTTGTTCATCGTCTGTAGGGCAACATACGGGGCACGACCCGGCCGACCCATCGGAACTCGATCGGGCAAGGAAGAAGAAGAATAACCCAGACCTCCGGGGTATCGTCTGGGGTCAAGAGGTCGCGAGGAGTCAGGCTGAGATCCAAGCAGATCTCGCTGCGTTCGAGAGCAGGGATGTCAAACGGCGACGAGGAACTGGAACTCGAGGGAACGGTAAGGGCAAGGGGAAGCAGCTGGAAAAGCTTGATATCGATGGAACAGGGGCGGAGGACGATCAAGCGCTCGTCGGATCGGGAGGTGAAGGCGAGGAGCAGGCGACCCTTTACGGAACTATGCAACAAGCCGCTAATGCGGGAACAGGAAAAGATGAGCCGATGGTTACCGGTAACGATCCTCTCAATCGAGCTCTCCAGTTCAACCCGAACGCTCGATTCGGAATGAGTCAATCCCTTTTGGCCCACCAACCGCCATCACACCCGCACCCTCAAACACAACCGGATTTCCATGGTTTTGAGACCAGGTACGAACCCGTGATTGCAGAGGGATATGGGCATAGTCAGAACGGGTTTTCGAGGAATTCTCAACAGACTTCGGATTTGAGGACGACGGGGTCGAGGCAGGAGACTGAACAACAACAAATGCAGCAGCACCAACAGATGCAATCGCGCTCTCAATCTCACGGACAAGACCAAGATCTCGCTCAGCAGGAAAACACGCTCGCTCTCAATTCTCAAGTTGACCCCGATCTTCTCTCGGCTGATAACCAGGCGATCATGGCTACAGTCATGGAGAGCATGTCAAACGTACCTCTTCACGTAGATGGGTCGATGACAGGCGAAACCGAAAATCTACACTCGCAATCTCACGTTCGGCGCCCCGAAGTCTTGTTGGCCGAGTTTGAGAGGTCTTATCAAGATATGGGCAAGCTTCTGGTCACCGCCCAGAAGGCCTTGGAGGACGTAAGACGATCCGGCGGCAGGCCAGAGGAAGAAGAGACGAGTACGATAGAGGATATCTGGAAGAGGTACGACGAGACGGTAGCCGAGTATAAGCGGTTGGAGGACGATATGAAGCAGGGGGGACTGTTGCCCTCGGGGACGGGCGAGTGACGATTTCCAGCGAGCAGAAAAATGTAGTTCTGTCTGTATATCATCCGAGTTGGAGATTGCGTTGTCGTATCCTGTGGTCCATCGATGAATGTGACCCTATTTGTCGCCTTAAAACTTGGTTGTACGCGTGAGAAAGCGTCGCCCTTGGACACCAGGAAGATGGTTTCGGAAACGATCGCGTCCCCTGGGCCTGGTTGGATCGAGGCAATGACCGGATAGATTGTCGACTTGTAACCTGAATGATCCAAAGGTCGAGCAACTACATCGGTCTTGTGAATAGTCATCAGATAGCATCTCGTTTCGGAAACCCGCCATAATGTCTGAAAAGTACGTATCGGCAAGGAGCTCGTAATCTCCCAGGAGCTCGGCGGATATCCCTCGACGACAAGATATGGAACTGACGAATCTTTTGATCTCGTCTTCTTACAGCACTTACGTCGTGCGTTAGGATCCTCGGAACAATAAGGTTGCGGGAAACGTTACAGAAACTGATCAGGTCCCTATCTTCAACTGCTTCATCTGTGAACCGAACGCAAACAACGCCTTGCTCGGACAATCTTTTTGCGATACTCAGCTCCAAACCGCCGGTTACGACGCCAGGTTCCCCGAGACCAACCAGACCAGGCACTGGTGAGCATTCTACTTTGTTTCTTCTATCTCGTTAGGAGATGAAAGTAAGAGCTAAACAAACAAAATCTTGCGGCTTTGATACAGCTACGTACGTATACTCGAAACCTCAATAAATCATAATTATCATCAACGCTTAAACTGAACCCCAACCTCGCCTCACAACTTGCAGCAAAACTACATTGACTACCACAAGTGCATCAACGCCAAGGGAGAGGAGTACGCTCCTTGCAAGCAGTTCCAGAGGGCTTACAAGTCGTTGTGCCCTAGTACGTCCATGGCCTCTTTCTAGACGTGCAAGACCCGTCATCCTGATTCGGAGGGTTTGCTAAACTCGACATGCTCTTCTACTTCTGCTGACGTCTCGTCTGCGATCGATAGACGAATGGGTACGTTCCGGCACGGAAAAAACGCTCATAATTCCTCCCAAGCTGACCGCTCTGCCCATTCTGCTTGTCGTCGACCCTATTCCAGGCCGCCGCTTGGGACGAACAGGTCGAGGCCGGCAAGTTCCCCAGCTCGTTGAAGCCATGAACAAGCGCTGGACCGCATCGAGGTTTGGGACTTAGTTTGTAGCATCTGAAGAGGGGGGTACGAAAATACATGGAATTCTGAACCGACTGCGCTAGGGGTATGGACTGGTCTGTACTGGGGACAACTAGGTGGCTTGCTGAGCAGGGCCCTGAGCACAACTTGGACTTGAGCGAGAGACCAACAAGCAAGATCGCAGGCTCTTATGGGCGCTCGCACGACGCACCTCAACAGTGGCTATAAAAATCCCTCTTCCTGACGCCAGCGTTCTTACAAGATTCACCAGCTTGGTCTTTGAGAGTATCTCAAGGATTTGACCGATACGGAGAAGCGGAGAGGTACGAGACGATAGGGCAGTGGATCTGAGAAAACAGGAAATGTCAACCTGCCATTCGTTCTTGGCTGTTCGTTTGCTGCCCTTTCCGGCTCTGACGGAATAGTCCAGTTCGTGAAGCGAACACGGATGAAGATTGTCAGTCCCTTTCTTAAGATTGGTTGTCGAATGTTGATGTTTGCGGCAAATTGATCTAATCCCATAGGCCAAGTTGGAAATTCACCCAAGCTTTGGTAGCAATAGCCTGCGCATGACCATCGTCTGTGACAGTGGATATGAGCCACTCGTCCCGTCCGAGTCTGTAGTGGGAAACGTTAACGCTTTATCGGCCTCTACCCTCACCGCTCAGATGATGACAATGTACCTGTACGCTTCATGTGCTTCTCCCAAGATTGTCTCGATACCGCCGCGCAAGTTGGAGAAGAACAACGCTGTTGTGAAGCCCTGGCCCGTATGGATCGAAATCATACGACCGCTTAGCATTGCGCTTCATAAATACAATCGTTAAAAAGTCGTCGTCATGTCACACCATCGTAACTTTTCGCTCTTCGTAAAACAATCAGGCAGGCTCCTGATCATCATCATGAATACCAATCAGGGCGACACGTCGTAAATCCCGATCCCGTCCTGGCAGCAGCGAATGAAGGGTCAGCGTGCGTGTGATGAACGCAAATGGGGGCATTAAGCTCACAGTCTGAAACACCGTCCATGTTGATGCCGGCTACCAACGGCGCCAGAATAAAGACACCAACCAAGATCAGCCCATCCGCCACCATTCCACGTGTATGAAAAAAAGGATCGATCCTGCTCACCCCAAACTTGTTCTTCAAGACCTCCACGACACTCCTCCCCGCCCCGTCCTTCCTCTCCCTGTCGTCTTGGTCAAACACCTCCCCCGTCCGCTGCAGCAACAACGTCACATCGCTCGTATACGTGAAGCTCAGACCCAGCGCCGGTTTGACCGAGGTCGTGCTGAAGACGGAGGGAAAGGAGTTCAGTTGCCGCGGACCTGTCAGGGGGGTTGTAGAGTTGATCATCTGCAGAGGGATCAGAGATGTTAGAGGGTCAGAAGTTCAAACGAAAGGATTGAACTGAGTGTGAGGCTTACTATACACAATGCCCCGGTTTTTTCTACCAACACCTTCAAACCATCCAAGAAGGCTTGCATTTCCGCCCGACCTACATCCCATGATCATAGTATGATCCGCCCACGAGGTTCCGATTAAATGAACACGATGTATATTCAGATGTAAGAAAAAGCTCTTTCGGCCACAACCCGTATAGGCATCATTCTACTTATCCCAGTCGCACGAGACTCACCGTGCGCGTTCCCACTGACCAGACAAGGTCCTAAGAGAGGTCCTATCGAATCGATGACGATGACCTTCTTCCCTGTGTTCCCCGTCGTATTTGGCTGCTCCACGATGCCGTCATTCGTTTCGTCGCAGTTCCTATCTGTATTACCGCTGCTGTTATCCAGTTGTTTCTGCCGGAAGAGGTTCAACGTCTGTTTCACCCCGTCCAGATCAAACAGGACAGCAAGCTCAAGCCTCTCCAACGCATCCTGTGCTTCCCCTTGTTGGGATCTTGCAAGATCTTCACTCTTGGCTGCTTCCACATCTATACCACCTTGAACGTGTGGTGTGGGTGACGGAGAGGAAAGCCTCGCGCTGATATCCTTGACCCGGTCGGCGTCGAAGGAAGCTTCTGTATCTATCCAGAGACAGGTTGATCGTGGGTCGTGGAAGAGGATTCGCAGGACTAGGTGCAGCGCTAGTAGCTACGAACGAGAAAGATCAGGAGTCAGAGCAATCCGTATGAACTATCAGTGTAGGGATCGAACGATGCTCGCAGTCCGTCCTGAGCTTTTCGTCCCTGCAACCTCTACAACTCCGCCTTGCGAGAATTCCTTGAAGAAACCCATCAAGAGGTCGTCCAGGCTTTCCAACCCGAATCCGAATCCCGCTGAAGTTGAGCCCGACCCCGCGTCTTCCCCGCCACTGCTACCACCAGCCAGATCCAGGATCGACATGGCGTTCAAAGGTTTCCTGCCCGCTAATTCCTCCTGCAGACAGGCTTCCAACAACGATCCCCATGCCTCCCCGATCGTCACTCCGTCCTGGTCGTCGTTGTCGTTCCCTTGAGCATCTCTGGCATTCCTAGTTGCTTGTCGGAGCAAGCCGAACAACCTTGTCGAGCGGGTGTGGACGACTTGATCGGTCGATTTCACGCCGATCGTGTCGAGTAGCGTGACGAGCTTTTGAGCTTCGGGGTTAAGGGATGGTTGGAGACGCTTGAGTCGCATGCTATATATGTACGGCAAGCGAGTGGTCGTTATAAGATTGAAGAAATGACGTCGAATAGCTAGCTAGAGATGGTTTGTTATGGATGTAGCGTGCCCCTCTCTCCCCAACTAGATCACGTGACAAACATGGGGGCTCAATCGAGATTTCAGAGAGAGTCGCCGTCCGTTGAGCATATTCAAGTCGATACACCTACATCATCTCTCGTTGGCAACTATACACCACCAACATAAAGACAACTAGCTCGTGTACATTCTCCTCGCAGCAGGTTTACCTCGATCTTATCACCCCTCGTTACAACTCTTTCGCAAACACCCTCGTCGAGACTCGCCGGCATGCCCGAGGCCTCCTCCTCGACCGCACCGTACACACGGATCTACACCGTCAACGGTCCATCTACCACCTCTTCCTCCTCCCTGCCCACATGGATCACGACAAAAGCCCGGACAAAAGGAGGTCCCAATAAGAAAAGATCACGGACTCAACACTCCTTGGGTCAACTCGAGCTCATCCAGGACTTTGCCTTTCCCCAATCGGCCATCAAGATCAAGCTCACGGACGATGGACAACATGCCGTAGGCACGGGGACGTATAAACCGATGATGAAGGTTTGGGATCTGAATCAGTTGACGGTCAAGTTTGAACGGGTGACGGATGCGGAGAATGTGGATTTCGTCATGCTCTCGCAAGACTGGACGAAGAGCTTGCATTTGCAGGCCGATCGGTCGCTGCAATTACACACGCAGGGAGGATTGCATCATACCGTCCGGCTACCGACGTACGGTCGTGCGTTGACGTACCACTCGCCTTCATGTGAAGCGCTTGTAGCGGCCACGGGCAAGGAAGTCTTTCGATTCAACCTCGACGAAGGGAGGTACATGATGCCCCTCGTCGTCGGTGGCGGTAGCAAGAAATCCACGGGCGCAGAGGATATCGACGGGGTCAACTGTATCGACGTCGACAAGAACCACGGGCTGTGGTCGTTCGGGCTCGATGGAGCCAAGAAGGGTCACGTCGAGTTTTGGGATCCGAGGTCGAGGACGGCGTTGACATCGCTTCACCTGCCTACGTCGAGCTTGAAACCTACCGCCACCGCCTCTCCCTACCTCAGTATCACCGCCTTGCAATCACACCCTACCGACGGGCTCTCCCTCGCCGTCGGAACCAGTACGGGCCATACCCTGCTTTACGATCTCCGAAGTCCGAGACCCTTTGCTGTCAAGGACCAAGGATACGGCGAGGCGGTCAAGAACGTCTCTTGGTTGACGAGCGCGGATGGGAGCACGAGCAAGATTTCGAGTGCCGACTCCAAGGTGATCAAGGTCTGGGAGAAGTCGTCTGCGGGAGAAAACCTGTTTTCCCTTCAACCTCACGCTCCGTTATTGAACCTCTGTCCTCTGCCCGGATCGGGTATCCTGCTGGCCGCACTCGATTCGCCTCAGATGTCGGCTTACTACGTCCCCGAACTCGGACCCGCACCGAGATGGGCGAGCTTCTTGGACGGGGTCACCGAGGAACTTGAAGACGACGTCGACGGCGTCAACGGGGGTGGCAAGGGCGCCTACCGGGACTATAAATTCGTCGACCGTGCCGAACTCGACACCCTCGGATTGTCCCATCTCGTCGGGACGTCTACACTCAAACCTTATATGCACGGATACTTCCTCTCGCTCAAGCTGTATACGACCGCTCGACTGTTGTCCAACCCTTCGAGCTATACCGAGCATCGGGAAAAGGTCGTGGAGAGCAAGATTGCGGCTCAACAGGAATCGAGGATCAGGGCGAGGAAGCAGCAGCCAAAGGTCAACAAGGCCCTCGCCGAGCGGGTCAGGAAGCAGGAAGAGAGGGAAGAAGCCAAGGAGAGGAGGAGGAGAGAGAGGAAGGGGCTCGTCGATGGGGATCTCGAAGAAGAGGAGGACGAGGACGAGGTGGACGAAGGCGAGACGGATGGGAAGAAGAAGAAAAAGTCCGCGTCGACGACCAACATCCTGCAAGATCCGCGATTCGCCGAGTTGTGGGAGAATCCGGATTTCGAGGTCGACGAGCAGAGTCGGGAGTACGAGTTGCTCAACCCCGGATCGGTACATGCGGCCGTGAGTTCTCGTTTGTCTCGTCTCGATGGGTGTGACTTGGAATCCAGTCGCTTACAGTGCAATTCTTTTTTTCCTTGTTTCCCGCGCGCGCAGAAACGACAAAAGACGGCAGTCGAGGAAGAAGAGGAGGAGAGCGACAGGGCGTCTTCGGATGGCTTGTCTCATTCCGATGATGACAGCGACGAGGCCGACGACAAGGATGGAGATGAGAGTCAGGACAGTGACGAAGAAGGAGGCGAGTCGGGATGCGAACGAATCATCGAGTCAAGTCTGTTACTAATCATACTTGCCTACATAGAGCTGCGACCCCGCAACTTTAGCTGGGTCGACAAGGAAGAATACGTTCAGAGGCAAAAGGCCCTGTCGAAGCCGCGTATGGTGGCAGGTGGAGGGGATGACGAGGATGAGGATGGTCGTTCACGGGTCGGACGAGGGTCGACGTTCGGACAACGTCTCAAGCGAGGCGATCGGGATGCAGCGGCCGGGTCGAGCAAGGGGAAATCGAGAGATGATGGGATCCTCACCGCTCGAAGGACGAAAGACGGGGGGATGGAGATGTCTTTCGTGCCACAAGCCAGCGGGGGACGAGGCGAGGACGATCTCAACGTCGACTATGTGCCACAGAAGAAGGAGGCTGCCGACGATGGCAAGAAGTCCGGCGACAAGCGTGTCGAGAGGTTCGCCGCCGGATTGGAGAAGGGTGGTTACCGGGGCAGCGCAGACGGGAACCGCGAGGTCACCGAAGACGAACGCAAGGGACGATCGAGCAGGCGACATCCGGGAAGGAGCGCATCGAAGAACGTGTTCAGGGGGTTGTAGATGGAGTTGCGACCACTCACTCCGTTTGTATGGGCGTCTGGTACGAGCTTTTGCTTCAATGCCATTATCATGCGTAATATCATACCATGTACAGCTTTACCTTGGGCGATCGGCCAACAAGACTCCGACCTTTGTGTATGTTGAGAAGTCCTCTCTGCCGTCACACGATGATGGTTCTGGTTGTGACTCGAGGCAGCAATGCGACGATCTTGAGAAGATGTAACCTGATACCGTGATATTAGAGGCGGCGATAGAGCGTCAGACGCGCGGAGGCAAACGATGACGCGCGGAAGCGGAACCTTGTGATAAAAACTCGCCGAACTCGCGGATATTGGCAAAAATATGGGGTACGCATCGCGGTTTCCGATCGCAATTCAACCATCCTGAGACCAGGACAACCGGTAGTATCTGAACAGGACTGCTGAGGACAAAAAGAATAGCCCATTGTGGGGATCGAACCCACGACCTGCCGATCGCAATGGCTGTGAAGCTATTAAGAGTCGGCTGCTCTACCAACGGAGCTCAACGGGCTAATCGGTAATCGATGTTTGTCAGGATGTCAGAACATTTATATACTGACATTGAAGTAAAGGGATGAAAGAGGAGGTCTTCAGAACCTCTGCAATATCCTGACACCCCGAGGGCAGAATTCAACACACTGAGCAGGAAACTTCTTTCATCAAGCGAAATCGACTCTCGATGACTCGCCGCGCTAGACACTTTCCTTTCTGTGACGTTCGTGGAGAATTGTGCTCTTGCTTTAACGCTTGTATGCTATTGAGCGAAGTTGCTGTAGTCATAGTACACGAACGCCGAAGTGCATCTACTCCTTGAACTCGTACATGCCACTTCCAAATCTGCGCTTCCAGCCTGTATACGCGAAACTTGCCGTTCTCTTGACCTTGCATTGCAACTGAAATTTACTGGGTTCCGCATTGGGCAGCAACCACCCGTCCTTCTTCTAGCGGTACCATGATATGATTCCCAACCTACGCTTGCGTGTGATGCATTTATTGTGAATTTCCGAAGGTACACAAGTAGTCACTGAAATATAGCGCGCCCGCATCAGCGGCAAGTAGTGCGGACCGCCCCCTGCATCGTTCCTCTGGCTCAAATCTTACACTCAAAGCGCAAGTGCTACAAGGTACTCAAGACGCCTGAACTCCCATCATAACATCGAGCTCGATCGTTTCGTTCAATGACTCTGAGACGAGAGCCGAGCTGATATGATAATTGGCCATTCCGGACGTGTAAGCGCATTAACGATTGACTTCGCAAGACTCTGGTCGATAACAATCGCCCCGATCAGCGTGTCTCGCCGTTTGGAAGCCCAGTTTTCAGTCGCCTCTCGTTTGCACGTATGCGACCCGTACCGGACTAAAGCTGACAAGTCACGCTGCAATGCTTTTGTCAAGGTCACTTAGGCGGTCGAGATCCCTTGATACGTCGCGTACTGGGATGCCGTTTGCGCCGTCTTATAAGCGCGCCCGCCATCTGCAGTCCTGTCATCGGGTAATGCGATCGATCTTATGATAGAGTGTGGCGAAGAGCCTGTGCTTGTCGATAACACGGCAGAATGTCTGGTGCCGCGAGACTTTTCTGCCCTCGTCCGGCCGTTTCGACTGCTTCCAGACGCTTTCTAGGGGTTTCCGGCGGCTAAGAAACAAAACAGTCTGATACAAACGGATCAGCCTGATGAGGTGCGTCTCTGGGGCTACTCTGTGCGGAATACCAAGAGCTTGCTCTGACAATTGGGTGCATGCAGCCACCTGGAACATACCCTCTTATTCCGTCTTGAGTGAAATTCAAGGGCATGAGGCACGCATTCATCAGTGACTGTGATCGGAGTGAGGTCTACCTAAGCACGAAGATACCTGACAAGTCGTGATCCGACGAATAGGTCTTTGATCTTTGCTGATATCACCGCCGGTTCTGATGGGAAGCCGGAGAATACATTTCGAAGGAGGGCCTCGCCGGGTACGGGGCGACGTAGGGCAAATCCGAGCTGTAAACACCTGCACCTTGTCTCGCCACTTGCCAGGAGCTTGAGGTCGAACGAGGGCAAACATGCTAATTTATGAACAAATTCGTGTTCCTGAAAGATTTAGGAGACGTCTGGTCGTTCAGGTGGACGAACAGCCACTCTCGTCATCCGCGACCACAATGAGCTGAATGATCGGGTTTTTGCGGGCATGGGCCGTGATTCTCGCCAACAATGGTCCACATGAGCATCGTATTTTCGCAATCCGGACGGCTTTGTTTATTCGATCTGGCTTCGGGACGCCCCGTAGGCATCGGTGCTGCGGGTAGGGCGAAAGTATGATCGTATAGTGTAGAAAGACACTCGAAACACCAGGTCTTTCTGAAACGCTCAGAACGGAAGGCCCCGCGAGAAATGTCAGGCTCGCACTCGGTCGCCCTCACCCTTGCGAGGGGTATTGAACCATCATGAATCAATCGGTCCTGTTCGTTCTGCACGACCCGACGTCCTAGATCATTTTGATCAAACACAACCAATAGCACGATCATGTCTGGACTTGTATCAGGGTACGGCTCGTCCGACGAGGAAGACACGGTCGATCAAGCTCAAGCCGTCAATTATGACGCTTCAGCCGCGATCCGACCGGCACCGGAAGATGACGATGAAGATGAAGACGACGATGCAGCAGCCGAGCAAGCCAAGAAGGATCTGTATGGATTGAGTGGAGTAGCGGGGTCATCAAACAAAGCGAACAGGGCGGATCGGGGGGTGAAAGTAGCGGCGGCACCGGATGTACTAGCGGAAGTGAGCAGCAAGACTTTTGTAGCCTTTCAAGAGCTCTCAGGCTGACCGCTATTACGAAACTGCAGGATCCGAACGCTCCTACAGCGATGATCACACGGCCAACAGACAAGGTCATGAACGTCAACATCACGTACGATGATATGATGCGTCCGGTGCTGGGGCCCGACAATCCGTTTGACACGAGGAAGAACAAGGGCATGAACAGTTTAGCTGGTGCGTCCGATGTCGACCGGTGCCTCTACTCATATATTCAGCTAATGCTCTGTGAATAATCCACCATCAGGTCATGTTGAGGAACAATCAATGGACGCCCACTCGTTCTTGCAACAACAACGGACGTTCGCGGTACATGGCTACGCTCTCAACCCTTCAGCCGTCTCGAACGACCCCTCATCCACCTATGTCGGGAACGTCGCTTCTGCTGCCGAAAACAACTATGCCTTGATCGAGAACATCAAGGGTACGCATATGTCTCGAAGAGAGAACAAGCGTAAACGACAAGGCAAGGGGGATGCTGGGGTAGTCGACGGAGATGGGGCATACTTGGGTCCCTGGGCTGGTTGGGAGGGTGAAAAGGAGGAAGGCGTGGAAGAGCTGGAAGAGGATGCAGAGAAATGGCGAGCGGAGAAGAGGAGACGAGAAGAGCAGCAGGAGGCTACTCGGGAGAAGATGAAGAAGGCTGGAGAGGAGAAGAGTATCTTCCACGGTCAGTACAATCCACGTCAACCCGTCTTGCGTCGTTCTTCAAGACTTGCTAGCTCACTCGGAAGCCTTTCACTGACAGGCAAATCACTTACCGACTACGCTGGAAGAACGTATATGCATATCCCTACCGATCTGGGTGTCAACCTCAAACCGGACGAAGATACCCCTGCCGTGGAGAGCTTCATCCCGCAGACTTGCGCACATACCTGGGTAAGCCGGGTCGGTGATGCGGCGGGTGTGTCCTGGAGGCTTATCCTCTTCGCTCGGTCGAATAGACTGGACATACCAAGGCCGTTTCGGCGATTCGATTGTTCCCCAAGAGCGGTCATCTTCTGTTGAGCGCTAGTATGGACACCAAAATCAAGGTCAGCATCAATGAGACATCATCCAGGGGCTACGGGCTAATGCTTTCTGTCCGCAGCTCTGGGATGTTTACCACGAAGGGAACGTCCTGCGGACTTTCATAGGGCACACTAAGGCTGTCAAGGATATATGCTTCAACAACGATGGAACCAAGTTCTTGAGTGCGGCTTATGATCGACAAATCAAGTTGTGGGACACCGAGACCGGTAAGAACCAAGTCGTTTTGATCAGTCAATGAGCTCGACCTGATTCAGGCCGTCCCATAAAAGGTCAATGTATCCAGGCCTTTTCGAACGGAAAGATTCCTCACTGTGTGAAATTCAACCCGGACGAGGACAAGCAGCACATCTTCCTGGCTGGTATGCAGGACAAGAAGATCATTCAGTACGATCTGAGACAGAAGGAGATTACGCAGGAGTACGATCAACACTTGGGACCCGTCAACACCATCACCTGGGTCGACAACAACCGACGATTCCTGACGACTTCGGACGACAAGACGATCCGAGGGTGGGATTACGATATCCCCGTCGTCATCAAATACATTGCCGAGCCGTACATGCACTCGATGCCTGCTGTTACGGTTCACCCCAACAGTGAGTTCGGTATTTGATCCACGCATGAATTAGCTCTTCGACCTAATGACGTATATTCTGTCGCTTGCAGAAAAATGGTTCGCCGCCCAGTCTCTCGACAACCAGATCCTGGTGTACTCAACCGACGGCTTCCGTCAAAACCGGAAAAAGCGATTTGCCGGGCACACCATTGCTGGTTACGCTTGTGCGATCGGGTTCTCGCCAGACGGCCGTTTCGTTTCCAGTGGAGACGGTCAGGGTAACATGGTGTTCTGGGACTGGAAGGGAGGCAAGATCTTGAAGAGGTTGCACGCGCACAAGCAGGTGGTCATCGATCACGCATGGCTACCAAATGAGCATGTGAGTCAGAGATAGCCCGGCCGATTTGGAGGGCAAAGGCTGATATAATCCGCATATACAGTCAAAGCTTGTGACCGCGAGTTGGGATGGAACCATCAAGCTCTGGATCTAAGCAGTGTCAATCACCGTCTGGGGCAAAGCTGGCCGCGAGGAGGCCAAGTTGTAGTCACACTGACGTGTATGGCGGTCAACATGTATACATCGCGCTCGTCTCTTGCCTGACCCGAACTTGAGCCCTGCTTCTTGACGATCGTTGCTGGGTATGGGACTTTATGATATATCTACATATTCACTGACGCAATGTTGATTTTCAAGCACGTCTGCTCAAGTATTAGAGCTCGAGGGCTGGAAGCCGAAGGAACTCTTATACGCTTCCTCGCAACCTTTCTGAAGCGTGTCGGGATTCGGCTGCTGGGACCGTCTTGATCAAAACTCCATCATACAACAACGGAGTTGGCGATGCGAGGAGGAGCAGTTGCCTCTTGTACTGTGCAGGGCGATCCTCGCGTTGACAAAGGCCCGGGCACTGCGGAAGTCTTTCCAGATCCTGGGTTCCGTAACAGACGAGATGGCAGGCGCCAGGACACCCGGGCCCTGCCCATTCAACGAGTGGTGACAACATGCCCTCCTCAAAATCGTAACATCCGAGTGTCCACCCCGTCGATCATGCCCTTGGCCACCCCGCTCCCTTCCGCACCCATTACGATGCCCACTTCCACACCCGAAGTCTCTCTTGGGAGCAAATCCGGCCCAGTATCTTCTGGTCGGCTGGCTACCGCTAAACGTGGTCGGACACCGAGCGAGGAGCAGAGGAGCTTGTACCGAGCTCTGATACGTTCGAGGAGTACGGCGAGATCGGGCTCGTCCTGGGGCTTGAGGGATTCCGTTCCAGCGTTCATGGTGGCGTCCGGCTGCACGGATGAGTTGTCGGGTACCGGGGTGGGGTTGTCGGTAGGAAAGGTCGAGATGAGGTTGAGTAGCGTCTGAATATGGTTCTGGGCTCTTATCAGGCCCTCGGAGGAAATCAGCGACATCAATCAACCGCTGAAATAGGAAACTTATGGCTTACCGTGGGCTGACTTTCTTCCCACCCTCCGCTTGACTCGATGTCTGTTTCTCCGCGACGGCCCGCCAGAACAAGGCGATCCCTTCTATATATCCGACCTCTTCCCAGATCTCGAAAGCCTTTTCCTGGCCGATCGCTCGACCTTCAAATAGGCCGTGTAGTCGACCGTGTTCGAATCCATCTTTGTAACCTTGTTGATAGTACCTGTATCGAGGTTTGTAATGGGTAAGGAAAACCTTGCGAGTAGGATGACGAACCTGGAGGCTCACGTTTGTTCGAGGTTGTTCAGCGAATCTAGGGCGTCAAAGTCGTCTGTGAAGTCCATGTCCATCGTCATGAGGTCCTCCGGAGTGATTAGAGTACCGCAGCGTAGGGAACAATTTCCCCAAAGCCAAAAAGGAAGTCAGGGTATTACCACATGAGCAAACGACGTACGGGCGAGTATCTCCTGAGCTACTGCTTGGAATAGAGTTGGGCCTGAGAGCGAACTTTGTGTGCTTACCTAATCGCTCAACCCCTCTTCTAGCGGAAACAAATATTTGCTTCCGATGGCATATGATACCGGGGGTTCAAGTTATAGCCGGTCGAAGGTCACGAGCACATCATCAGCTACAACTTCACACACACCCTCATCCACGTCCATCTCTCGTCTCGATCTGACAATCCGACTGCCACCTACATACAATGCTGAGCCGAGTAGCTCTCCGATCTCGACCGGTAGCACAAGCCGCACTCGCACGCACAACCCCTGCCACCATCATGTCCAGCCGCCGGATGTACGCGACCTCGAAACCGGACGATGCCAAAGCCGACAAGGTCAAGAGCATCACCGTGTTCGGTGCGGGACTCATGGGTGAGTTACCAACATCAGACTATGACGGATGGTTAGGTAGGAGCTAAGATACCAGTGCTGTGTAGGTTCCGGGATCGTTCAGGTTGCTGCTACGAGCGGGTACAAGGTATGTTTCACGGTTCAGCGGTATGTTCCTCTCTTCTTGGGCAACGCGAGCTCAATAGACCATTTTGTGCTCTTTCCAGGTTGTGATGACTGATGTAACAGAGGTAAATAACTAACCAGAAAATCAGCCATATCCTCGAAGCTTACGATGCCTCCAACTCAATCTCTACAGAAAGCGCTCGAGTAAGCTAAAAAAAAAAACCCCGCTTCCAATCCCCGACTTCCAGCTCAGCTGAACTGACTGGCAAAACTTGATTCCACATCGGAAAAGGAATGGAATGAACATCATCCACAAATCTCTAGCTCGAGTCGCCAAGAAGATGGCCCCTAAAGCGGAGAAGAGCGAGGAGGACTGGAAACAACAGGTCTTGGAGAGGATCACGACCAGTCAGGACCCGTACGTCTACTCAGCTTCCTGTACCGAGTGTCTCATCTTCGGAGAGGCCTGAAGTGTTGACGGTTTATATGGTGTGGGCTGAATCGCGTGTAATCGCAGGGCGGAAGCGGTACAGAACGCCGATCTGGTCATTGAGGCTATCATCGAGAATCTCAAGATCAAGCAAGATTTGTTCGCCTTCCTCGACTCTAAAGCCAAGTAAGCCATTTCCCACGATCGATTATTATACACGGCATAGAGAGAACGAAGGCTGATAGAGGTATAACATTGTCTCCGGACTGGTAGCAAGGATTGCATCTTCGCTAGCAACACCTCAGCGCTCTCAGTAGCCGAGATCTCATCCAAATGTTCCGAAGACCGACGAACCAGGTAAGCTCGCCGTTTCATCCGAGCTCCACCCAGTTCCCTCCTCCCATAACGATACTCACTCGACTGGTTTGACATCGATCTTTGGGTGAAAAAAGGTTCGCCGGCGTGCATTTCATGCAACCCGTACCCGCCATGCGTCTTGTAGAAATCATCAAGGCGCCCAAGACCGATCCGGAAATCATCGAGATCTTGTTGGCGATCACAGCTAGGATGGGCAAGAGTCCTGTTAACTGCTTGGATACCCCTGGGTGAGTCTCACTTTACGGACGTAACGATGGCGGTCATTTGGGCTGACCGAATTACGAGGATGGCAATTGTAGGTTCATCGTCAACCGGCTTTTAATCCCATATCTGAGTAAGTTCAGACGTGAAGGAGCGACTTTTTGTGTAGTATATCCCTCTGATGAAACTATGTTCTTGCATATTCTCTGTTCATAGTGGAATCGGTACGCATGTTGGAGCGCGGAGAGGCTACGGCCGAGGATATCGATCAGGCCATGGAGCTTGGAACCGGTCATCGTGAGTACCCCTTCCCAAAATTTCCGACACATGACGAAACATATCTGACGCATTGATTACGCTGAATACAGCCATGGGAGTGAGCTATCTTGCAGTCATTTATCTAGATGGAATTCTAGGCTCACAGAATCTCCTTTGACCTCCGTCATAGCCCTTCAAGTTGCTCGACTTTATCGGCCTTGACACCGCCTCCCATATCGTCTCGGGGTGGCAGGACAAGGCCGACCAAGGGCTTATCGACAAGAAGTTGGTTGAGCCTAGTCCGTTGATGCAGAAGATGATCGAGGAGGGGCGGTTGGGCCGGAAGAGCGGGAGAGGCTTCTATGATGTGGGTAGCGTGCTCACGTCTCCAGAGATGACCGGTCGCGCCCGTCCCCGTGTCTGAGCTGACGCCACTGCTCTGGTTTCCGTTTCTAGTACTCTTCAAAGTTGTAGGATCGAAATGTCTGTAGCTTGTAGCATTTAGGAACAATCCACTTGATCAAAGAACCCTCCACACTCTCCAAAGGAAGGGTTCTGACACGAAACGATGCCCCCCTCCACTTTGCCTCCACCTTTTCCGTAGCAAACGCCGGGGTTGAGTATGACGTATACCTAGGGAACGACGAGACTGTGTCTTCAAGTATAGAGCCAGACTTCGATCTATACCTACCTGCCTCGACATCCAAACCTAAGCATATCGCTACTCAGAGCTACTCGATCCATTCGCATCTCCTTGTCAACAAATACATAAGCACAGAAATCTGAACCGCAATGTCGCTTCCCAAGACCTACAAGGCCCTCCAGCAGAAGGAAAAGGGCAAGCCCTTCGAGATGATCGATGTCGAGATGAAACAACCTGAGAAGAGGCAGGTCGTCGTCAAGGTCCTCGCTTGTGGTGGTACGTTGCTCTTGATGTGCGACCGTCTTTCCGATGTATCATATTTTGTTGGGCTGACCGTTGTCCGATGCGTTTCTGCTCGTAGTCTGTAGGAGTGACGACCTGGTCAAGGAGGAGATGATGCCTGTCCTTCCCCGTATCCCCGGTCACGAGGTGGGTTTCAGAGTTGCAACCTTATATTAAACTAGAGCTAAGGGCTGAAACACCGAATCGGCTTCCGGCATTAGATCATCGGAGATGTCGTCGCGGTCGGTGACGGTAAAGTCCTCATCTTGTTCCTCTGCATCCGGGTCACGAGCTAATTCAGAATGGGTTTCACTTCTTCGTTAACCATTACGTATAGGTGTCGAGGCGTTTGAAGTTGGGGACCGAGTCGGGAGTGGATGGCACGGGTCCAACTGCCTCGCCTGCGTGTAAGTCGAACAGAAGAACAGGCGATCTTCGGTATAAGCCGGAACCCTAGTTGATTATTTCCTTTCTTCTCATCTGGCCAGACAATGCGCTAAGGGTGAGCCTTATCTAGAGTTATACTCGTCAGCTTTGTAGTGATTGACGGAGTATGCGTTTCCAGGCGACTACCCTACTTGCAAGAACGAGGGTATCAACGGAATCTTGACCGATGGAGGATACGCCGAATACGTCACCCTCGACTTCACCGGGATCACGAAGATCCCGAAAGAATTGGACCCTGCTCAGGCTCCTCTGTTCTGCTCCGGAGTCACCACCTTTGTCAGTCAATGTCGCTCGGTTGCAAGATATGGCCTAGAACTTTTGGCTGATGCAATCGAGTCTTGTAATACAGAACTCCATGAGGAACATGGGTCTTCAGCCCGGAGCTGTTGTCGCCATCCAAGGTCTCGGTGGTCTTGGGTAAGCGTTTTGTACAGGACAGCGGGCGAACTTCTCTCTGAATCTGAATACCTGCGATTTCCATATATCAGCCATCTGGGTGTCCAATTCGCTGCCAAATCCGGTTTCAAGACTGTCGCGCTTTCGTCCTCCGATTCGAAGAAGGATCTCGCCAAGGAACTCGGTGCTCACGTTTACGTCGACGGATCGAAGGAGGATCAAGCCGAGGCGCTCAACAAGCTCGGCGGTGCCGATTTGATCATGTGTACCGCGCCCAACGCCGATATTATCAAGAAGTATGTGAACGATTCTATTGACCATGGTACTTCTTACTTCATGGCTAATGGCTGATAACTGCGACGTTGTCGAAAAACCTTGATTACTAGGCTCATCGGTGGTCTCGCTGTCAATGGGACCTTGCTCATCCTCGCCGTTGTCGGCGACGATTTACAGATTCCTAGTATGCCGCTCATTCAGAAACGCTTGTCCGTCCGAGGTTGGCCCAGCGGGAGCCCTAGGTGAGATAATTACCAGTGTTCCAGCGTTCGCGATAATCAGTATTTCTCACTTCGCGCCGATCTTGACGCTCAGGGACTCGCTCGAGGCGATCCAGTTCGCGCTTGATCAAGGTATCAAGTGTTACGTCGAGAAGTATCCTCTGGAAAAGGCCGAAGAGGCCTACGAGTCGTGAGTAGCATTGCTCCCAGCCATTTCTCTGGGAAAGGGCACAATGACTGACTACAGCCTGAACCTCTGACAGCATGATGAGCGGAAAGGCTAGGTTTAGGTCTGTGCTCATCCCGAACCACCAAGCCTGAGCTGACAGCCACGCCGGCGACGAAACAAGAGCTATTCATTGTCTTGTCCCGGTAGCTTGAGGGCAGACCAGCCCGATAGGACGGCTGTTGCGATCCTTACTACCCCTGCTGTGATTCCCTGTATCGACATTTCAATTGTGTGCTATTATTGTCAAAGTATGCAGAAGATGGTATCTGTCCGATCCTGATCATCGTACCCGCAACACGGTTGTATCGCTATCAATCGTGTGATTTGTGCCGCATTCTGGCTATTCTGGAGTTGAGATCGACCGGATCAGTTCTATCAGATCGATGTCGGGCCTAGGAGATCAGCGCGAGTTCTCCCGAGCGATTTGCTTCCGCGATCTGCGAGCGATCGTGAAGGGTTCGCTTTCTTGAAATATATCGTCCTCTATTGGACTTTCGATCGGGAAGAGGTCGTGCGAGTCTCTGTTCACCAAGACCTGCTCAAGACCTGGAAACCCCCACGATGTCATCAATATCGACATGCTTTGGCTCTGGCCTACGGCTAGCAGCCGCACAGACGATCAAACCACGTTCAAGAAGCTGCCTTGTCAAGACGTCCGATCGCCTCCTCCGATCGCTCTCTACGCAGGCGACCCGTAGAGCTACCTTCGGTCGCACCGGCTTGAACGCTCGAGCTTCCTCCTCAACGATCGCACCGAGCCGTTCGATCAGCTTCACTCCTCACTCGAAGAGCTCTGCGACCCTCTCTCAAGTGCCTCCGGCGGCGTTCAACCAGGAAGAGAGTTACCACCGTTCCGAGTCGAAGACGGACAGCTTGCCTATCCTCACCACGTCCGCTGTGGCTAGGTGGTTGTACCTCTCATCGGGACTCGTGTTCTTCATCGTGGTCGTTGGTGGCGTGACCCGATTGACAGAGTCTGGACTTAGTATCACCGAGTGGGAGCCGGTAAAAGGGATCCTACCGCCCATCGGCGAGGATCAATGGATGGTCGAGTGGGAAAAGTACAGGGTCACGCCTGAAGGCGTCTTGTAAGTCAGAGCCAAACTTCATTTGGTTACAATTGTATGGCTAATGTGCGATTACTCTAATTAGGATGAACTCTCAATTGGATCTGCCCGCTTTCAAGCGCATCTTTTACATGGAATGGGCTCATCGTATCGCTGGTCGAGTCCTTGGAGTTGGGTAAGTCTCGTCTGTCGTTCCATTGCCATCGACCGTCATATCTGACGGTTCTCCTCTCCCATACTACAGCTTCATCCTCCCGGCCATCTACTTCGTATCGAGGGGCAAGGTCGGCCCAAATGTCCGCTGGAAGCTCCTCGCCCTCGCTGGAGGAATCGGGTTTCAAGGTTTCCTCGGGTGGTACATGGTGAAATCCGGTCTCTCTGAAGAAATCCTCTCTACGCCCGGTGCCGTTCCCCGTGTTTCCCAGTATCGATTGGCTATGCACCTTGGTGCGGCTCTATTGCTCTACACTGGGATGGTACACACTGCCATCGGGATCAACAGGGACTGGAAGTACGCCATGGGTCAGGGCAAGACGGCTGGGGTCGAGGTCAAGAACCTGATGAGCGTTTTGGACCAGCCGGCTGTCAGGCGGTTCGGTAAATGGGCTGGTCTTGTTACCGCTGCTGTGCTATTCACTGCTGTCTCAGGTGAGTCGCGAGCGGTTACTCTTATCTGCAATTCTCGATAAGCTTGATGCTAATGACGGAAATCACTTCGTAGGTGCCTTCGTCGCCGGACTCGACGCTGGTCTCATCTACAACGAGTTCCCTTTGATGGGAGGTGCCATTGTTCCTCCTCTCGACGAGATGATGGATCCGCGTTACGCTCAAAAGGAGGACGGGAGCGACAAGTGGTGGAGAAACATGCTCGAGAACCCTACTACCGTCCAGTTCGATCACCGAGCCTTTGTGAGTCGACCGATGTCGAGCTCCAGTGCAGTATCAAAAGAGCATCGTACTAATGGTCGGTGCCGCAAACTTCCTAGGCCATGACGACTTTCGCCTGCGTCGCTTCGTTGCCTCTGCTTGCCACTCGTCCTGCTCTCCGTCGAGCTTTGCCACCCAATGCCATCAAGTGGAGTAAAGTCGCCCTCGGTGCCGGCCTGCTTCAAGTCACGATGGGAATCACCACCTTGCTCATGCTCGTCCCCGTCCCGCTCGCTGCGGCTCATCAGGCCGGGAGCGTGGTCTTGTTGACGACCATGTTGGGATTACTCGGTACGTTGCGACGACCTAGCAGGATCTCGAGAATGTGGGCAGAAGCCAAGAGGAACGGGACGAGTTTCAGCACGGGGACTAGGACGAGGTTGAGTTCGGAAGCGTTGAAGGGGGTCAAGAGCGGGATGGAGGCTCGAGTAAACATCCCGTGATCCTGAGCACCGAATCAATCTAGCAGTTAGACAGTGTATCTGTATCAAGTCGAGCCGCGAGCCGTTCGCCGACGGTCACTACCCATATCATTCACGTTCACCATTTGTGTCATGTGTCACGACTTTGAACCTCGGCGTGCCCGGGTTGCTTCGGCCGACCTGCCTGGCTGTGGCAGTTAGATGACCGATTCGCGTCGCCCCTCCCCTCCCCTTCAGCTGATGCTGATGATTTCGACGCGAGTGAATTGCTTCCGCGCGTTGGGGATCTGCCGTGATTGGGGAATGTTGAGAGGAGTGCGAGTGGGAATGTTGGGCGAGCGTGGGGTGGGTCCCGCTCTCTCCCGATGCAATGTTGCTCGAGATCAAGAGGTCATCCCATCATTAGGTCCACCTCGTCGTCTTCGTCGTGCTTGGTCTCTCTCTCAAACTAGTTCTGGATTGACAACGGCGTGTACATCAGACGCTGTCAAGCCGACTAAAAAATCTACTTACGACCAAACCCACATCACCTCGTTCCCCACTCTTTACACGAGGCACGACGGAAATAGACGAAAAAGAGAGGAAGAGCTAGGGATCATAAGATTCTCTCGAGCTCTGACCTTCTCCCCCACAAAACTATAGACGTGGAACGTAGTTGTGAGTGATAAAAGCGATGAGATCGTGTTTGGTTGTCGAATCGAGAAAAAAGAGCTCATTGGTTGCTCTTGGGTTCGCTCTCAGGTTGACCGCCTTACTGGGTCACTGATCTACCTACACATAATCGCCAGGACCGTTCTGGCCCCCTAATACCGGAGAGCTAGTCAAACAAGGAGCCTCTTTCTCTCATCATGGCTTCGTTCTTCTCTTCCTCATCCTCGCAACCCTCCACTCGACCCCTGGTGCTTCAGCACGCTACCACCCGTCTCTCGATCCCCATCCCTTCGTCTTCCGAAGCATGGATCGCGGCCGAGGTCATTCGTGAAGAATTTTACCACTCGATCGAAGGCGATGCCGACCTGGTCGAGATTGTCACTCAGGAATTCGACGACGAAGGCAATCCCGTCCAAGCCGTCGCTACCACCGAACCTCAGGTCAAGCTGATCAGCAAGTTTTTGGCCTTTGTCAACGACAAGGTCGTCAGTTCGGGCAAACCTAGCAAGACGGACGCCAGCCAGATCCTCTTGTCCTCGTTCGAGGCTTTCAACAGGTCGTTCCTCGCCAACCAGGCCGTGCACTCGCTCGTCCAGGGTTACGATGTCGACATCCGCGCCAAGGTGCTCGCCGCCTACTACAAGGCGTTTTCGACCCTCCGAGCCGTTTACGGTGCGAACGAGGTCGAGCTGGTACAGACTAGCGCACTCTTCAAGGCTGCCGCTGAGGGTCAGGCTGAGCTCTACGCCTTGTTTGGAGGACAAGGTATCAACGAGGTGAGTCGAGAGGCGTGGACAGACAGCTGCTCGTTTTCTTAGAAATTTAATCATCAATCGTCATCCTCGCAGGTCTACTTTGACGAGCTTTACTCATTGTACGACATCTACAAGCCCTTCGTCGAGCCCTTCTTGGCTTCCGCCACCAAGTACCTCGATGCTCTGGCCACCAAGTCTCAGGCGGCCGGACACGCCTACTACGCCCACGGCCTCGACGTCATCTCGTGGTTGAACGGATCGACCGCTCGACCCCCTGTCGAATATCTCGCATCGATCCCCGTCTCGATGCCCTTGATCGGTCTCACCCAGTTGGTGCAGTACCTGATCAGCTGCAAGGTCTCGGACCTCACTCCTGGTGAGATGAGGAGCAGGTTCAGGGGTGCTACCGGGCACTCGCAAGGTATCGTCGCTGCCGTCGCGGTAGCTAGTTCGGACTCGTTCGACTCGTTCGACGTCAACGCCCTCAAGGCGCTCAGGCAGCTCTTCTACCTCGGTCTGCGAGGACAAGACTTTTTCCCCCTCCTCGCACTCGAGCCCAAGCTCGTCGAAGACGCTGAAGAGAACGGCGAGGGCGTCCCGACCAACATGATGATCGTCAACGGGATGCGTCTCACCGACCTCGAGAACCAGGTCGCCAAGACCAACAAGCATCTCCCTGAAAACTCGCAAATCTACGTATCCCTGCACAATGGACCTAGGAACTATGTCGTTACCGGTCCTGCCAAGGCGCTTTACGGATTCGGCTGTGCTCTTCGATCGGTCAAGGCTCCCGCCGGGCTCGACCAGAGCAAGGTTCCCTTCAGCAAGCGAAAGATGGTCTTTACCAACAGGTTCATGCCCATCAACGTCCCTTACCACAGCCCTTACTTGCAAGGCGCTACGCAAAAGTTGGTCGAGGAGGATCTTCAGGGAGAAGAGTTGTGGCAGGCGAGCGAGATCAAGCTCGGACTTTATCACACCGAGTCTGGTAAGTTATCTTCGCGTTTAGCGCATTTCCAAACGCAATTTACGAAAGTACTGATCCGCGTCTGCTCGTTGCGTTATTTTCTTTCAGGCGAGAACCTCCAGAACCTCTCGACTTCCATCACCGCCTCGCTGTGCGACCAGATCTTCACCGCGCCTATCCACTGGCAAAAGGCGACCGACTTCCCTCAGACTGCTACCCATGCGGTCGACTTTGGTCCAGGCCGACTCTCCGGAGCCGGTTCCATCACCGCCCGAGCTTTGGAGGGTCGAGGTGTCCGGGTCATCATCATTGGTGACAAGGGCAAGAACGGTGCCGAGATCTACTCGACCGGTTCTGTCAAGACCGAAAAGAGGTGGTCGGACAAGTTTACGCCCAAGCTGGTCAAGACGACCGATGGCAAGCTTCACATCGACACGCCTTTCTCGAGATTGCTCGGAAAGCCTCCTATCATGGTCGCTGGTATGACCCCTTGTACCGTGCCCGCCGGCATGGTCTCGGCCACCCTCAACGCCGGTTACCATATCGAGTTGGCCGGAGGTGCCCACTACAACCCCAAGGCGCTCCGTGCCAAGGTCGCCGAGATTCAGAGCCAGATCGAACCTGGTGTCGGAATCACTTTGAACGCCTTGTACATCAACCAGAGGCAATTCACCTTCCAGTACCCTCTCTGGCAAGAGATGAGGAGGGAAGGTCTTCCCATCGAAGGTTTCTGTGTCGCTGCCGGTATCCCTACATCTGAGAAGGCTACCGAGATCATTAGCAACCTCAAGTCGGCGGGAATCAAGCACATTGCCTTCAAGCCCGGTTCGGTGGAAGGTATTCGACAGGTCGTCAACATCGCCGCAGCCAATCCCGACTACCCCATCATCCTTCAATGGACCGGTGGACGTGCCGGAGGTCATCACAGCTGTGAGGACATGCATCAGCCCATCCTCGCTACCTACAGCTCGATCAGGCAGCACGCCAACATCTCTTTGGTTGCCGGATCCGGATTCGGTGGTGCCGACGACGTCTGGCCTTACCTCTCGGGAGACTGGTCGGTCAAGATGTTCAACACCCAGCCCATGCCTTACGACGGAGCTCTCTTTGCTAGTCGAATGATGGTCGCCAAGGAAGCTCACACCAGTGCCTCGGTCAAGCAGTTGATCGTTGATGCCCCCGGTGTTGATGATGACAAGTGGGAGGGAACTTACGACAGGCCCACCGGTGGTATCCTTACCGTTCGATCCGAGTTGGGAGAACCCATCCACAAGATTGCCAACCGCGCCGTCAAGCTCTGGAGAGAATTCGATGACACCGTCTTCGCCTTGCCCAAGGAGAAGCGAGGTGCTTGGTTGGCCGGCAAGAAGGCCTATGTTATCGACAAGCTCAACAAGGACTTCAACAAGCCTTGGTTCGGCGAAAAGGCCGATGGAACCGTCGTCGACGACCTCGCCAAGATGACTTACGAGGAGATCACTCGACGAATGATTCGTCTGATGTACGTCGCCAAGCAGAGTCGATGGATTGACGTCTCTCTCCGAAACCTCACCGGAGACTGGCTCCGCCGAGTCGAAGAGAGGTTCGCCGGTGTCGAGGGCTCCAAGTCCAAGGAATCCATCATCCAGTCGTTCTCGGACCTCGAAAAGCCGTTCGAGACCATCGAGGCCTTCTTCAACGCCTACCCGCGCGCCAAGACCCAGCTCGTTGCGGCTGAAGACAAGGCGTACTTTATGAACATCTCGCAGAGGCCCGGACAGAAGCCCGTCCCCTTCATCCCCATCCTCGACAACAGCTTCGAGGTCTGGTTCAAGAAGGACTCGCTCTGGGCCGCCGAGGACATTGACGCCGTCTTTGACCAAGACCCCCAGCGAGTTTGTATCTTGCAAGGTCCGATCGCTGTCAAGTACTCGACCAAGGTCGACGAACCCGTCAAGGAGATTCTTGGCAACGTCGAGTCCAAGCTCATCGAGTACTTGCTCGAGCGATACTACGGAGGCAACGAGGCCGACGTCCCTGTCGTCGAGTACATCGGAGCTGAGCCTTCCTCCGCTCCCGCCAACTTGCCAGGCGTCAACGCTGTCGAGAACGATGGCGAGCGAACTTACACCGTCGGCTCCGCCTTGCCTTCGCTCTCCGCCTGGTTGCAGACCTTGGCTGGTCCCGAACCCAGCTGGTTGCGAGCCGCCTTGACCTGCGTCAACGTTATCCAAGGGACTTCGTACATTAGCAACCCCTTCAAGCGTCTCTTTGCGCCTCGTCAGCAGCAAAAGGTCGTCATCGCTCAGTCGAACGGCAAGCCCTCATCGGTTACCGTCTACGGTGCTGCTCGTTCGTTCGGTGCTCACCCTAGCGACTTCAAAGCTTTGGAGATGGCTTTCGACGCTTCGACCAAGAGCATCAAGCTGACCATGTTCGAAGAGCGATCTGGTTCTAGCTTGCCTTTGACCTTCAACTTCACCTACCGACCTGACCAAGGTTTCGCACCCATCCACGAGGTTGTGGACGGCCGCAACCGAGCCATCAAGGAGTTTTACTGGAAGCTCTGGTTCGGTGATGACCAGGTCATGCCCTCTCTAGATCTTACCGCTAACCTCACCTGTGGAGAGACTGTTATCGACGTCGAGACCGTCGAGAGGTTCTGCACTGTCGTTGGCAACGCTGGAGAGACTTTCAAGCAGCGACGAAGCGAGAAGGTGCAAGCTCCCATGGACTTTGCCATTGTCACCGGTTGGCAGGTGAGTCAATATAGCTCGACGTTTGCCTTATAAGCAATCATCTAAGTATATAACTATCTTGACCTGCAGTCGATTATGAAGGCCATTTTCCCCGATGCCATCGATGGCGATCTCCTCAAGCTTGTTCATCTTTCCAACGGATTCCGCATGGTCGATGGTGCTACCCCCCTGACCGTCGGTGACAAGTGCAGTGCCGAAGCTCGAGTCGTCTCTGTCGTCAACAGCGACAGCGGCAAAACCGTCAAGGTCAAGGGACACGTCATGCGAGATGGAAAACCCGTCGTTGAGGTCTCTTCCGCCTTCTTGTACCGTGGCCGGTTCACCGACTACCAGAACACGTTTGAGATCGTCGATGAGGCCGACTACGAGGTCTCGCTCGACACTGACCTCAAGGTCGGCGTTCTCAAGGCCAAGGACTGGTTCCAGTGGGACGACGATTCGGTACCTCTTGAAAAGGGCGTCACTCTCACTTTCAAGGTCAAGTCCGAAGTTCACTACCAGGACAAGACTACCTACCGAAAGGCCATCGTGCAAGGGGCCGCTTACGTTCGTGATCGGACCAAGGCGTTGGTACAGGTCGCTACTGTCGACTACGAAGGTGGTCGCTCTATCGGAAACCCAGTTGTCGAATACCTCAAGAGGCAGGGCCAACCCACCGGCCTTGCTGTTCCTCTCGAGACTGGCGGTTACGCCTTGATCACCGACTTGGCTACATCTACGTACACCACTCCTAAGACCAACGAGCCCTACTCGAAGATCTCGGGCGACTACAACCCGTAAGTACAGCTCTACCGTTAGCTGAAATTCCGATCTGAAACCTGCTTTTTCCTCGCCATATAGTATCCATATCAACCCTTACTTCTCCGACTTTGCGGTGTTGCCCGGTACCATCACTCACGGGATGTGGTCGAGCGCTGCTACCCGAAGTTACGTTGAGACCGTTGCCGCTCAGAACCACCCCGAACGAGTCGTATCGTGAGTGTTACAGATACGCGTTGCACAAGGTTCGTGGACTGATGTTTCGAGTGGTTCAGGTACAATGTCGGCTTCGTTGGCATGGTGTTGCCTGGCGACGACCTCTCGGTCAAGCTGACCCACGTCGCGATGAACAATGGTCGCAAGGTCATCAAGGTCGAGACGATCAACCAACGTGGCGAAAAGGTCATTGAAGGTCAGGCCGAGGTCGAGCAGCCGCCTACTGCCTACGTCTTTACTGGACAGGGATCTCAAGAGGTCGGCATGGGAATGGAGCTGTACGCCAACTCCCCGACCGCTCGTGCCGTTTGGGATGCCGCCGACGCCCACTTGGGATCGGTCTACGGCTTCTCTATCGTCGACATCGTTAAGAACAACCCCAAGGAATTGACGATTCACTTTGGCGGAATCAAGGGTCAAGCCATTCGTCAACGATACATGGACTTGACGTACGACACTGTCGACGAGGACGGTCAGCTCAAGACTTTGCCCCTCTTCGGAGACATCGACCTCTACACAACCAGCTACACCTTCTCGCACCCTCAAGGTCTGCTGTTTGCCACTCAATACACCCAGATCGCTCTCGTTGTGACCGAGAAGGCCGCTTTCGATGACATGAGGGCTAAGGGTTTGGTCGCTCAGGACGCTGCCTTTGCCGGTCACTCGCTCGGAGAATACTCTGCTTTGGCCGCCATCGCCGACGTGTTGCCAATCTCGAGTTTGGCCGACGTCGTCTTCTTCCGAGGTATCACCATGCAACGCGCTGTGCAGCGAGATGCTGAAGGGAAGAGTCAGTATGCCATGATGGCCGTCAACCCGTCCAGGGTTTCGAAGACCTTCAACGAGGGTGCCTTGAGGGAGATTGTCGATGCCGTCAGCAAGCAGAAGAACTGTCTCGTCCAGATTGTCAACCTGAACGTTGCCAACCAGCAATACGTCTGTGCTGGAGAGCTGCGCGGTCTCATGACCTTGACCAACGTGCTCAACTTGCTCAAGGTTCAGAAGATCGATCTCGTCAAATTGGCCGAGATGATGACCCTCGAGGAAGTCCGCGAACAGCTCAAGGAGATCATCGACGGTTGTTGGGACATGACCATGGAAAAGGAGAAGGAAACCGGATCTATCGTTCTCGAGCGAGGATTCGCTACCATCCCGCTTCCCGGAATCGACGTGCCCTTCCACTCCCGATACCTATGGCCCGGTGTCTTGTCGTTCCGCAACTACCTTTCCAAGAAAATTGACGCCAACAGCCTCAACCCCGACCGACTCATCGGCAAGTACATCCCCAACTTGATCGCCGAGCCCTTCGAAGTCAGCCGCGAGTACGCCCAAAAGATCTATGATCAGACACAATCGCCCCGCCTGAACAAGATCTTCAAGGCTTGGGAGACTGACAACTGGGACTCGCAAGAGAACCGACAGCGTCTCGCTTACAATATTCTGGTCGAGCTGTTGGCTTACCAGTTCGCTTCTCCGGTGCGATGGATTGAAACTCAAGACCGACTCTTCAGCGAGTTCAAGTTTGAGAGGCTCGTCGAAGTCGGACCTTCTCCTACTCTGACCGGAATGGCTTCGCGAACCCTCAAGGCAAAGTACGAAGCTCAGGACGTGTCTTCGACCGTTCGCAGGACCATCCTGTGTCACGCCAAGAACACGAAGGAAGTCTACTACCTGTTCGAGGACGAGGTAGCTGAAGCCCCTACCACTGAGGCACCTGCAGCTGCTGCCGCTCCTGTTGCCGCTGCCGCGCCTGTGGCTGCTGCGCCCGTAGCGGCTCCTTCCGGTGTCGCTGCCGCTGAGGTCGCAGATGCCCCTCTCAAGGCTGTTGATTCTCTCAGAATCATCATCGCCCAGAAGTTGAAGAAGAGCGTCGCCGATATTCCCCTCAGCAAGACTATCAAGGATCTCGTCGGTGGAAAATCCACCCTGCAGAACGAAATTCTCGGAGACTTGCAGACCGAGTTCGCTTCGGCCCCCGAGAAGGGTGAAGAGTTGCCTTTGGATGAACTCGGTGCCGCCTTGAACGTCGGTTACTCTGGCTCCCTCGGAAAGCACACCAGCGGATTGGTTTCCCGAATGATCGGAGGAAAGATGCCAGGTGGTTTCAACATCTCCACTGCTCGAGGTCACATCAACAAGACTTGGGGACTCGGACCGCTGAGGACCGATGCTGCTCTCTTGCACGGTATCACCATGGAACCGCCCAAACGTCTGGGGTCCGAACCTGAAGCTAAGGCTTGGCTCGACTCTGTCGTTGCCGCTTATGCTCAGCAAGCCGGCGTTACCCTCTCTTCTGGAGGAGGTGGTGGCGGCGGTGGAGCTGCTAGCGGTGGAGCCGTGATCAACAGCGAAGAATTCACCAAGTTCCAAGCTGAACAGAACGAGTTCACCTCGCGTCAGATTGACCTCCTTATGCGTCACTTGAAGCGAGATGTCCGGGCTGGCGAGAGGCTATATGACGAGGAGAAGGCCAACTCTGCTGCACTGCAAGAACGTTTGGACGCCATCGCCCGTGAGCATGGCGACAAGTACGTCAACGGAATCCAACCCATCTTTGAGCCGCTCAAGGCTCGTCACTTCGATTCGTCTTGGAACTGGGTGCGACAGGATGCGTTGATCATGTGGTACGATATCATCTTCGGCCGACTTACCGCGGTCGACCGTGAAATCACCAGCAAGAGTATCGCCATCATGAACCGAGCCGATCCTACTCTGCTTGAGTAAGTATGGGTTTCTATCACGGAGATGGATCTACCTTGAGACTGTAACTGATACGATCCCCCGCTCACAGCTACATGCAGTACCATATCGACCACTGTGACGAATCGAAGGGAGAGACCTATCGATTGGCAAAGGAGCTCGGTCAACAGCTGTTGGACAACTGTCGAGAGGCGCTCAAAGAGAACCCTCTCTACAAGGATGGTAGGTCACATCTCAAGCCCGTTGGTCCAAAGGTCGTTGACTGATAGAGACACCGGTATAGTTACTTTCCCTACCGCACCTTCCACCACCATCTCTGCCAAGGGAGACATCATCTACGCTGAAGTCGTTAGGGAGAACGTTCGCAAGCTCGAGCAATACGTGCATGGTGAGTTCTCGCCTGCTTACTAATTTCAGGAGCTGGACTAACGGATCTGTCATGTAGAAATGGCTGCTGGTGGAAAGATCACCAGTGCTCTGAACTTGGACAAGGTACAGGCCGACGTAGCCAAGCTTTGGCGCCTCGTCAACAGCCAGCCTGCCATCTCGAAGAGTCAGAAGTCGGCCATCCGATCGCTGTATGGGGAAGTCCTTCAATCGCTCGGTCGATCGGCAGAACCTCGCGGACCGTCCGGCGTCAGGAGTCGTCGATCGTCATCGCAGTTCTTGCGACCCAACGTTGCTGAACCCAGCGTCGTTCAGGCGGCCAAGTTGCCCTTCCTTCATCTCAAGCGCAAGGTCGGATCCAGCTGGTCTTACAGCCAGAAGTTGACCAACATCTACCTGGACGTCTTGACTGAGATTGCTACTTCCGGTACCTCCTTCGCCAAGAAGGCTGCTCTTATGACCGGCGTCGGCAAGGGTAGTATCGGATGCGAGATCGTCAAGGGTCTCTTGGCCGGAGGTGCCACTTGTGTCATCACTACCTCGCGATACAGCAGGGCTGCGGTAGACTACTACAAGACCATCTTCCACCAATTCGGATCGAGGGGTTCCAAGCTCATCGTCGTGCCTTACAACGGTGGTTCCAAACAGGATACCGAGGCTTTGATCGAGTACATCTACTCGACCTTGGGCTTGGATTTGGATTACATCATTCCTTTCGCGGCTCTTCCCGAGAACGGTCGGGAAATCGACAACATCGACGATGTGTCTGAACTCGCGCATCGACTCATGTTGACCAACTTGCTGCGTTTGATGGGAGCGGTCAAGAGCAAGAAGGCTAGCAGGAACATCGTCACCCGGCCCACACAGGTCGTCTTGCCCCTTTCACCCAACCACGGTCTCTTCGGAAACGACGGTCTCTACTCGGAATCCAAGATTGCCCTCGAAACCTTGTTCAACAGGTGGTCGTCCGAAAGCTGGGGTGAATACCTCTGTATCGCTGGAGCTGTTATCGGTTGGACTCGAGGTACCGGTTTGATGAGCGCTACCAACTTCGTTGCTGAAGGCATCGAGAAGCTCGGTGTTAGGACCTTTTCGGCCAAGGAGATGGCCTTTAACATTCTCGGTCTCATGCACCCTCTTCTGTTCAACATCACCCAGATCGAGCCCATCTGGGCCGACTTGAACGGAGGTATGGACAGGCTATCTGATCTGGCTGAGGTTACCACCAAGATCCGTACCGACCTCAACGCCCAGGCTGGTCTCCGACGAGCCATCACGATGGAGAACTCACAAGACTTCAAGGTCATCAATGGTGTCGATGCTGAGCGTCTGCATCAGAAGATCTCTATTGCTCCTCGAGCCAACTTCCAATTCGACTTCCCTTCATTGGATAAGTCGGACAACTTGGAGCAGCTTTCACACTTGCAGGGTCTCATCGACCTGGAGAAGGTTGTCGTCGTCACCGGTTTCGCTGAAGTCGGACCTTGGGGAAGCTCGCGAACCCGATGGGAGATGGAGGCCAAGGGAGAGTTTACGATCGAAGGTTGCATCGAGATGGCCTGGATGATGGGTTTCATCAAGCACTTTGACGGTCGTCTTAAGGACGGCAAGACATGGGTTGGCTGGGTTGACGCCAAGTCCGGCGATCCTGTCGACGACAAGGACATCCAAGCCAAGTACGAGAAGGAGATTCTCGCTCACACTGGTATCAGGATCATCGAGCCCGACCTCTTCTTCGGATACAACCCCGAGAAGAAGGTCTTCTACCAGGAAGTCGAGTTGACTCACGATCTGGAGGCTCTCGAAATCTCGAAAGAGGATGCCGAGCGATTCAAGCGAGAGCAGGGGGAAAAGTGCGACACCTGGGCTCAGGCTTCGGGAGAATGGTTCGTGAAATTCAAGCGAGGTGCTCGGGTCATGATCCCCAAGGCGATCCGATTCGACCGAGTCGTCGCCGGACAGATCCCGACCGGATGGAACGCCGCACGATATGGTATCCCCGACGACATTATCGCTCAGACCGATCGAACAGCTCTCTGGGCATTGATTTGCACTATGGAAGCTTTGATCATGTCGGGAGTGACCGACCCTTACGAGCTGTATAAGCACATCCACCCGTCGGAGGTCGGTACAAGTTTGGGAAGTGGTATGGGAGGTATGCGAAGTTTGAGCGCCATGTTCAAGGATCGCCGCGAGGAGAAGGACGTGCAAAAGGATATCTTGCAGGAAACCTTCATCAATACCGTTGCCGGTTGGGTCAACTTGCTGTTGCTGTCGAGCAGCGGACCGGTCAAGATCCCTGTCGGAGCTTGTGCTACCGCTTTGCAGTCAGTCGAGATTGCCTGCGACACCATTCTTTCTGGAAAGGCCAAGGTCATGATCGCCGGAGGATTCGACGACTTTAGCGAAGAAGGATCGTTCGAATTCGCCAACATGAAGGCAACTGCCAACTCCGAGACCGAGTTCGCCATGGGCCGAGAGCCCAACGAGTTCTCGCGTCCTATGACCACGACTCGATCCGGATTCATGGAGTCTCAGGGTTGTGGTGTTCACGTTCTCATGAATGCCAAAACCGCCATCGAGATGGGTGCTACCATTCAAGGTATCGTTGCTTACGTTTCCACCCACACCGACAAGGCTGGAAGGTCGATTCCTGCACCCGGTCGAGGTGTTCTCAGTACCGCTCGAGAAATCGTCACCAAGGAGCCCTTGCCTCTGCTGGACATCAAGTACCGAGCCCGACAGCTGGCGTTCCGACGCAAGCAGATCTCCCAATGGTTCGAGAATGAGCACGAAGTCCTCCGTGAGGAGATCGAGTACAGGAAGCAGAGCGGTCTTGCGACCGATGACTCTTTCATGCAGACTCGGTTATCCTTCATCGAGGATGAGGCCAAGAGGCAGGAGCATGATGCCATGGCCACTTTCGGTATGCTGGAAGGCAAGGACTCGCGCGTTGCTCCGCTCCGCCGAGCTTTGGCCGTCTGGGGTCTCAAGGCCGACGATATTGGTGTCGTCAGTTGTCACGGAACATCGACCAAGGCCAACGACAAGAACGAGAGCGGGGTGTACAACCTCCAGTTCGAACAACTCGGCCGCACTCCTGGTAACGCTGTTCCGGTTATCTCTCAGAAGTACCTGACGGGACATCCTAAGGGAGGAGCTGCAGCTTGGCAGTTCAACGGCATGATGCAAGTCTTGCAAAGCGCTCTCATTCCGGGTAACGCCAACGCCGACAACATTGCCGAAGAACTCCGCGCCTTCCCCCACTTGTTCTACCCATCCAAGCCTATCCAACACGTCCAGCTCGAGGTTGGTCTCATCACCAGTTTCGGTTTCGGACAGGTCGGAGGTCAGATTGCGGTGGTCCACCCGCGATACCTCTTCGCTTCATTGCGGCCTGACCAGTACAACGCCTACGTTGCCGCTCGTGGTGATCGACAGTTGGAGGCCTACTCTCGAATGTCTTCTGCCATGACCCACAACAACCTGGTCCAGATCAAGGAGGGACCACCTTATACCCCCGAGCTCGAAGCCAAGGTGTTGCTCAACCCCTTGGCTCGTGCATCCGCCAGCAAGGACTCTTATGCCTTTGGGCCGAAGATGCCTCAAGGTCCGGCTTTGGCCCTTGGCAACCTGGACGTGATGGGCGACGTGCTCAACCAAGCATCGGGTGTTCACGGTGTCGGGTAAGTTTCTTCTTGCGCCGTCATATCATCGAAAACCTCCAACTGATAGTTTTCTCTCTACAGCGTCGATACCGAGTTGATCTCCAGCGTTCCTACGTCGGAGACGTTCAGGCAGCGAAACTTCACCGAAGCCGAGGTAAATCTGCGAACACGTTGCAAGCATTCCGATCGGTCATCAGGCTAAACATTTCAACCTTACTCTAGATTGCATACTGTAACGGCGCTCCTGACTCGGACGCTTCGTTCGCGGGTCGATGGGCTGCTAAGGAGGCAGTGGTGAGCCTTCGGGTTTGTCTGACTTGATTGTCTTGTACACGAAGCTGACCCCATTTTCCCTCCCCAGTTCAAGGCTTTGGGTGTGCCCAGCAAGGGTGCGGGTGCGAGCATGAAGGACATCGAGATCCAGAACACCGATTCCGGCCCAACCGTAAGTGCATAGGCTCTGCATGATAACGCTCGTTCAGTCTACTCAACCTCATATGGTGGCACAACTTGCAGGTAAACTTTACCGGCGACGCTCAGAGCGCTGCTGCCGGCAAGACGGTGAAAGTCTCCATCTCGCACTCTGACTCTACTGTCGTTGCCTTCGCGGTCACTCAGTAATCGACCGATCTCATGACGGTAAGCAGATCCTACCTTTCGAGACCATACACGATCACCTGTCTGATTTCTAGACATAATCATACAGACATCTCTTCTGTTCTCTCTTCGCATATGACGATCAACTTTTGGGCTATGGTATTTCCTTGACTTGATGTAGTATTACGATTTCACGCTAGACGAGCCTCACGAAAGGCCTTTATATATCACGATGCGAACAATGCATAGATTGATTTCCACCGAAGATTGGGCGGCCACAGCAAATGCAGCTTGTATTCCCTGGGTAGTAGGCATACGTAACATGACTACAGTTTGGTCGGCTTGAAACAAACAAACTCGACTCCGGTCGCTCTGCGACAATCATATAGAACTTTCTTGAGATTCTCCAGCTCTTGCTCCAATTCATCCTCGCTCGATTTACGTGAGTACGCCTGAGATATGGCCTCGTAAATGTTATTGAGCACAACTGTAGCTTGATCCGTGACGTATTGCATCAATGTCTGGTGAAGAAGCTCCACCTCGAGAGTGGCCTACATGAAACAGCGTGAGCTCTATTGTTCTATTCTTGTGATCCTTCGGGCGACGAGAACCGATACTTACCCGCAACATTCCACCCATTCCCAGTCTTGGTATCTGCCTCAAGCACTCCAGCAAGATCGTTCCAAGCTCAAACAGAAGCGCTCGAAGGACTCTCTCGACGAGACCAGGTGTTATACCGTTGACCTGTGAATGAACATGGACCAGGGATAGCAGGTTGTTCAATAGGTAAGGGCGAACCTCTACGACGATGGGAATTAGCCTTGCCATCGCTTGAGACAGGTCCACGCACGACTTACCTGTAGGTTTCGGCCCTTCAGCCCATGCGGTTCCACTCTGGATCAATCCTTTCTGCGTTATATCGAGGAGCCTTTCGGCCTTGCGCTTGATAAAGTCGTCGAACAGAATCTTGTCCAGCTGCTCAACGACTTCGTCCAGCGTCTCCCGATCGGCACTTGTTGATGTTCCATACATGTTCTCAAATTTGGTCATAAAGGAAGGCAGCATTATCGTTTTGAGATGGCTTAGGTTGCTGATAGTCAGCAGTACCCGTGCGTCCTGATTGGCATAACGTCAGTCGAGACCTGGCCGACGCTCCTAATATGGGAGAACTCACTTTGTCGTTATGCCGTGAAGCCCCGCCTTCCGGATCAAATTCGGATACCAGTAGTGGTTCGTCATCCGAAAAGGCGAGGTGCACCAGCCCATCCAGGAGGTAGTATAGCGAGTCGAAGAACGCATTCTTGATCTTGGTGATGAAGACCTGGGGTACCGTGCCCTACAGAGACCAGAATGCGGTCGATGGGTGGGCTTTAGGAACAATTAGACTGCGCTGCATTTCTCACCTTTGACGCGCCAGCTTCTATGGATCCTCCAGCTATCTGCCATGCTACGGTTGCATTATGTCTCTGCATAGCAGCTATACACTCCAGATATGTTGTGGTCGACGAATCTGTCGCACTCAAATTCCATCCCTCAAGGTGGAAGAAAGACTTTGCATCTGCGAACCGAAATCAGCCTTGCAACGTAAAGGTGAGGGCTCGATTCCGCAAACTCACCTTTCGACCATGTTGTGCAGATAGCTTCCTCGAATCTCCACCGGCAGCTCTCAACGAAATTTTTGAGAACATTGCGAACCTCCATCTGGCTGCCGGCCCGTTCACCATCCAATGTTCCACCGATACCCTCAAGCTCGCTTGCCGTCTCGACGATTTCGGCTAGCACGCGGGACGCAAAATGACAAGTTGTGATCGAATTAGAATGCTGGGGCAAAAAGTCTGGAGGTTCGCTGGCTGTGGGATTGTTGGGCGATGATGCGATTGCAACATCTGAGAGGGTGAAAAATTGGCTGATGCATGAGACGTAGAGCTTGATAATTTCGATGGTCATTGTTCGAGCCTGTCCGAGTTGTCTACGACTCTGGCCTTTATGCTAAGGATCCGGACCGGTTCAGCATTCTCATCCGAATCGAGGTTGTTCTTGGCTGACCTTTGTATATTTGCCCTCCATATGGCCTTTGGCGATGCGCCAGAAATCGGGCAAGCGGTCCATGAGAACAGTGGATAGCCTGTTGACCAAATGAGTTATTGCCTGCCATTCTTCGTGTCCCGCAGATTTGGCTAACATGGAAAGGGGGATTAGCTCTTGCAGCAGGGGCGAAGTAGTGACTCAGACCTACAGATGAAAGCGTCACCCTGTTGTCTAGTCAATCTGGCAACACATCGCCGAAGGTTGTTCGCACCCTGATACTCGTCAAAGTTCTTCCGCACAACTTCCTGTCGAACAGCTGATGGCGCGCTACGATCAGCTTATTTTCGGAAGGCCAACAGGTTGGAAGCGTCATTGCTCACTTTCGACATTCTTCATTTGGTTGGCGTAAACGATCTTGAGTTTGTCCATGATCTGGTAATGACACGAATCAAGGTAAACCCATACTGGGTCCTCCTTGGGCTTGAGCTCGAGGAGGATCCTGTACGAACCGGATATCGCGATCCGTCAATGGAGCACCCGGTCAGTGTGGTCGATGGTGACTTACTCGATATTCTTCTCAATATCCTCCACATTCTTGCCATTGGAATTTCTCAGACCACTCTCCAACCTCATCCTCATCTCATCCATGATCTTTTCCACCTCGCTCCAGATCTTGTCGAACACGCGTTTCTGCTGCTCTCGTCTCGCCTGTACCTGGATTTCGGACAGGGCAGACCCATCGGCCTTGTCGACAGCTGGATTGGCCTCACCGGCAGTACTGCCGATTGGCAACAACTGATTCGGTCGGGTATCTCGTAGATAAAGGCCCTTGTTGTAGTCACGCAGGACAGCGTCATATTTACCCTATTAAGCATAGATCATGCCTTTTATCAATGAGGCTTCTGGGCGCAGCTCTATTGCGTGAACTCACCGCTCGCATATACATCCTCAGATTCCTCGGCAATCCGAATAGAAACTTGCTCTGCTCAAAAACTCCTGCTGTAGATTTCAGCTTCTGTGCCTTCAAAGCATTGGAGAGTAGCGGTAGAAAGATCGTCTCGGCTTTATGAGATGTGACTGTGTGAAATAGAGGTTAGACCGATGGTCAGCGTCCAGTTGGACGGTTCCGACCCTTTCGGGACTTGCTCTTGATAATCTCTCGTGTCTCTCTTGTCCCGTGGTCCGTTCCGTCCGCCAACATATCCAGCTGCATATCCCGGTATACGGCTATAGTCGAACACAGAGTCGGTCGTCCTATAGTAGACCAAGCCCCAAACGAGAGTACTCACCGTCGTTGCTCCCCTTGACCCCGACAAACCTGCCAAACTCCCTCTCTACGAGGATCCTGACCTCTTCGCCCTTGGATTCGACGTTTCTCCGGAGATGTTCCACTCCATAGTGAAGATCCTGGAACGATGCATCGGGGTGGTGGAGCGATAGAAAAGCCGATGGGGAGAAGGTCTTGGAGGAGAGTAATGTCGGCGTGACTGATTCCCCCGACGAATACTGTTAGAGCTGACCAGGAACTGATGATCGAGTTTCCCACCCACCCTCATGTATATCCATATCCCTCGGGCTATTTCGGAAAATCTGTCAGCTGAAAGCTGGCGACCGGATGTCAAACCACTCACATTGCGAGCTTGTTCCTCAATCCAAGCGGATCATCCATCTCCTTCGAAGACCCTGCCAACCCGTCCCCATCGAGCCCCAGCTCGGCCGTCTCTTCACCCTGTACGTCCTCCCATCTGCTGGGATTTAGGCTCGTCAAGCCATACTGCTGTAACACTACAGTAGGACAGCGAGGTCTTTCGACAACGTCAGCTAACGTAGAGTCCGACAGCGAAGATGCCCGGCTCTTACGGGCAGCTTGATCGATCCGATCAAAGTCGGCCGACATGGCTTGTCCACTTGGCGCTATCTATGTCAGTGTTGGGCAAGATGCGAAAGTCTTGATTCGTTTGCACGAAGCTTTTGAATGCGTGATCGAGCGAGTACAACCTGTAGCTTGTAGATACGTAGATGCACCCTCGACCTCGGTCGACCCCGACGGGACGAGGATCTCGGAATTGCTCCCGCTCAGCATTGTCGAGGATATACATGACAATGGTTCATCGGCCCGTACCCAGCAAACCATCTATCTACACCTTACAACCTCCTCGTACCTCGTATTCGGTTCACTTTCTCTTCTTGGCCACAGGTCTGGGAGCCCGAACTTCTTCCTCGCTCTCGCTCCCGCTGTCATCCTGCCCATCTCCCTCTTCATCGGATCCCTCGCTGACATCCCCAACCTCTTCATCCCAATCCACCTCTTCCTCGTCTTCACCCTTCGTCGCTGCTCCACCAGCCGGTCCAAACTTGTCTTCGTACTCAAACTCGTCGTCCTCGTCAGACGAGAACCCAGCGACGTGTTCCGGCAGTTCATCCTCCTCCTCTTCCTCGTCATTATCCTCTTCTTCTGCCTCACCGTCCTCGTCAGTGGTGGCTTTGGCCTTGGAAGCCTTGGCCTTTTGTTTCGCCTCCTTTTCAGCCTGTTTTCTAGCGACGTTGGCCTCTTGTTGTTTCCTACGAGCCTCCTTGGTCCTCAATCGAGCCTCGTGTTCGGCCTTTTGCTTTGCGGCCTCGCTCTTGGTCTTGGCGACTATGGTATAGCAAGATGGAATGTCCAAACCCGTAAGTAGAGCTCGCTTCTAAGCAGCGGAAAAGACATTCGTCACTCACCAAACTCGTGGAAGACCGTCTCCCCTTCACCTCGCTTGCTTCCGACCAACCCTTCGGCGATCTTGATCAGCCTCAGCTCCATTCTCGGTCCGACCTCTACGAGCCTGACCGCCCTCCTCTCTCCCTTCTTGTTCCCCCTCCCGACATAGTCCTCGGGCAGATCCACCGCATTCGAATCGCTCTCCGCCTCACTCCCATCCGTCTCGCTCGCCGAATCCCATCCCGTTCCCGTCCCTGTCGTATCCGTGTACTCGGTCCCAGCTTCTGAAGGCGCTTGAGAGCCGTCCCTCTTATTCCGCTTCAAGAGGTAATCGGCGATGTCGTCCGCGTTGGACAGGTCGACTTTGCGAGAAGACTTCGAAAGGGGTTCTCTGCCACCTGCGGTGGTTGAATTGAGGATTTTGCGGACTCTGCGGGAGACGCCGTGGGGACGGACGGTGATGTTGTAGTGTCGGATGGAGATGAGGTTGGATTCGGGGTGGTAAGAGACCAGCAGTACTCGGCGGAATGAAGGCAGGGCCGACTATTCGGGGGATACGGTCATCTTAGACATTGATAGCAGTCGAATCGGTCTCGTGAGTCTAGGCTCACCTTCTCGACCTGGATAGGGGGAAAGAGACCTTGGAACATGCTCGTGATCAATTTCAAGTGGGGCTTGGGGGGTTGCCCAGCCGGCGTCTGGAAGTTGTTCATAACGAGCTGTACAGATCGGAAAAGTGAGCACATAGACATACTCGATTAGACCCAAACGCCACCGAAGTCTGTACTCACAAGAGGAGGTGTCCTGTATTCACAACCTGGCGCCTTGCCGAGGTTCCTCAACGACGCATTCACAAGATCCCTAGAGAACCGCAAACGACGTCAACGGGTGTCCATCTGGTCTGCAAAACTTTGATCTTGAAGACTCACTTCATCAAGCTATACCTCTCCACCCTGAATGTCAACGTCGGACCGGTCGGCAGCCTGGCCATACGGAAATGCACGTTGTTGGCCTCTGTCAAGGTGAAAACCATGATATGGGTCACGCCGAGAGGTTGAGCCATGACGAGGTAATCTCTTAGACGAGCAGCGTGTCGCTCCTACAGAACGTTCGTGAGCATGTGGGTGTTTTAATTCAGTTTCGACATCACTTTAGGAGGAAGGTGCACATGACTGACCTTGAGTCGACTAGCCGTGCCGGGTTCCATGACCTTTCTCATATCCCTAACCAACTGATTCGTACTCCGTGTCACTGCTCCTGATCTGACCACGAATGACCTCGGACCGGATTGATCATCCTACGAACAAGGCAAGCCGTAGATTTTACATAACACAGACGTCCATCAGTGGTCTCGTTTCCTTTTGCCGGATGTCGAGATGAAGCTCACCTCTTCGGGCTGAGCGCCCTTCAGATGGGTCCTGGTCTTTCTTCTACGTTTACCCATTGTCGAATTACGGCTGTCAAGATGCTTAGCTAATGATCGCTGAGAAGATGTTTCGGTAGTTGTGCAGCATGTGCAGACATCTTCGACATCGCAAACATCGAGATGATGATGGTGTGCTCGAACGCTGAGAACTTATTGACGGACATCAAACTATAGTTTCACGGGAAATCGGATGTCCGTCGCCAAATCTGTTTCCGGGCCGGAAGCTATTCTGGTCAAGGTATGCGATGCAGTCGAGACACAGCTCATGCAGCTCATGCATGTATCTATCTTGCACTCGATACGTTCACGTCAAGCTACAAGCTACCAAGTAGTCCCCAAGCAAATCGACATTCAAAGGGTTCAATTATCCTCAAGATGATCAGACAGATCGAGGCCCTCTCCTCGTACAGCCCCTTGTCGGTCTGCCGATTCGGAGCAGCAAGTCCAATTCTTCCTCTTGCTTGCCCTCGTTGAGCGCCGATCAGACCACCTCGTACTGACATCGTCTCGCTTCACAGATCTTCAGCCTGTTTACATGGAATCTCGTAGGGGAGATCGGTAAATGGAATTTCCCCATATATCTGTTTGGGATCGTGTCGCACGAGATGAGCGGCTTTGTGGTCTACCGCGAAGTGAGTCCACACGTCATATCTCCTTCCTTGCGCTCTCTGCTCCCTCTGGTCCGCAGCTACAAGATAAGCACCAACACAAGCTGATTTCTATATATCCCGCCGATCCTATCCGCACTAGTTCATTCACATCCTCTTCCCCTCGCTCTTCCTCGACGGCTTTGCGCTCCTCTCCTCTACCTCCAACCTCTTCACATTCATCCTCGCCGCCCTCTCCTTAGGCCTCAAGTTGGCCCTATACATGAGCGCCAAACGCGTCCTCCTCGAAAAGGGCGGAGAGGCCGTGAACGGGTTCGCGAGTCTGGATCCGAGGAGAGCTATGCAGAACTTCCAGGCTGCGGGAGGCGGGGGCGGATGGGGAACGGGGAACGGTGGTCAGACTTTGGGCAGTGGAGGAGAACAAGGAGGACAGACGAGTGAGTCCGAGCACGACTGCATGCCTTAAGCGTACAGATCGCTAATATATGTCCGCACAGTCTTTGCGATGCCAGGTGCGCTCTCCTCGACTCCGCCTCCGTACACCAACCAGGGATCTGGTGGGAACAACAACGGCAGGTTCCCCGGTAGTGGATTTACCCTGGGCACCGACGACGACAATGAGCAAGGTCACATCCCCGGACCTGGGAACCAGACCGGTAGGGGTGGATATCAGGCCGTACCCTGATCCGACATCGGTTCCAGTAGTATGATCACAGGGCGGATTGTAGAGATGGGTATCCATGATAGACAAAGGGCGATAGACTTTTTGGTTCCCACTTCTAATGCTTAGAAACTGCGCTCCCTATCTCAGACCTTGAGCCAACCATTTGCACCGACCACCTTGCAAACGCTTCCCGGCGTCCGAGCCGTCTTTTCCCCCTGGCCCGGGGAGTAAAAGAATCCGCCCTCGGTACCTACCGATATACCCTCGATGACCTCTGTCTTGCCTGACGTCGAGGCAGGAAGACGGACGGCGTTCTCTGTAGGTAATGTTGAGAATGACATGGTCCTCGCGCGGGGCACTGTCTGGTCCTGTTTGCCGTCATTTCGAGGTTTGTGCATGAACTATGCTCGACAAATAGCATTCCAAGCCAGGTCAGAACAGATGCGGTCGACGGGCGAGAACGGGACAGACTCGCAGCCGTCTCTTACCTGGACTTTCTGGCCCGTTCGCAAAGGCGTCTCCATATCAAGCGATAATGCGCCTCGGGACGGATCTCCCGACAAGATCCTGACGACCTCTCTTGGCTGTCACGAGGCACGGCTCATCGGTCAGAATCCCTAGCTCCGACCCCTTCGACCGCGCCTGACAACTCACCTCTCCCGTCCCATCTTCCCCATTCCCCCAGACTGCCAAGTAATACTCTTCCTCCTTCATCTTCTTGCCCAAGCTAACTCCTCCTTCAGCCGTACCCGCTTCTGAAGGACGTGTAGCGGAGGACGCTGACTGAAAGACGTTGAGAAGCTTGATGAGCACCTGGGTGGGGTTCGTCTGTTTTTGTGTCGAGCTGGCATTCGAGGGGTGGAAAGAGAGCAAGAGGTTGCCTTGTGCACTGCGAATCGATATGTATCACTATGAGCTCGGACTCGCAAAATAGATATTCGCTAAAAGGCAGACCGACTCACTCGTCGATCGTCTCCAGCCCGCTCAGCCTCTCAAGCCCTCCATATTCAATTCCGACCTTCGTCCCTAATGTAGAAAATCCGGGACCGCTGGGGTCGTCTCCTACTGTCGATTCACAGAATGCTAGTCCAACGGCCCCGGCTTCGAAAATGTCTTTGTTTCGGAATAGGGTGTGAGGTTTGCCGGTGAGGAAGGGGGTAGGTTCTGTCAAAAGCCCGAGCTGATGTGGTTGGAAATGCAACGCAGCGGTACAAGATCAGAATTAAGCCTACAGATGAGGAGAGTAGAATGAATGTAGCCAGGACAAGTTTTCGGGAACGTACCTTGCTAGCTTGGGGGAAATTTCGATCGAGCGAGGTTATCGTCGGGTTGGGTAGGCTATCTGATAGTACCAACATGTGTTTTACTCCACTATCGACTTGTATTATCAGCTACCAGAAGCTCCAACTAGGCTATCAAAGCGACGGGAAACTCACTCACGTTGCACCTTCAAGTCCCTCTAGACCTTTCATGACCCCCTGGGTATCCAACCCATCACCCGTACCCTCGCCCGTCTCGCCAGCCTGTAACCTTTCCGACCTCCATAGCCCTTCCCATCCGATCGACTCTCCCTTTTCGAATCCCAGGGATCCCATCAAGACCCTCTCGATCTCCCCGACGTCTTCTCCCTTGCGATCTTCTTGTCTCATCTTGTCCACGCTCGAGGCCGGGTTGCGCTCAGAGTAGGATAGTTCCGGACGATGCCATCGACCCACGCTGACAGGCGGGAGTCCCAAGAGCTCAGAGCGGAAGGGGAGGATGGATTCTCTGGGGTTAGAGGGGGTAAACGTTGCGATGGTGACAAACGGCTCTTCAGCTTCTGCTTGGGGTTGAAATTGAAGTTGTTGAAGTCTCGAAGCAGACTGTGCGAAAGACCCGATCGAATTCTTCCCTACTGCCAACCCATCCTGCACGGCGGACAAGACCGAAGAGATGTCGTTGAGTTCCGGGTGTAAGAGGTACAGCCCCACCGAGTCGGACGAGAGGGAAAGCGAATCGATATGGGCTCGGACGGATTGTGGGGTCGGGTGGAGGATGGTGTGCACCGTCGTATGTAGCCGGCGGGAACGAAACAGATGGCTCGATGGTCGACGAAGTATGGTCTGGAACCGGAGCATGACTGCTGAATGTTTATCGGGAGGTCGTTGCTATCCTTCCCCTGATAAATGGACGATCAAGGACATCGAGGATCAATCGTCATTTGGCTTGAAAGTCCAACCGGCCGTCCGGTCGATCGGCTGATCATCGCGCTGAAACGAGTCACGTGACCTCGACAACTGGCAACTGGTGACGTGTACAAGCAGCAGCAACTCGCTTGTTTGCGACCTCGACCCATGCCCAGGACGATCATAGCTCATAGTGGTGCAACCTGTCATATGTCAATAACCTGCATTATATATATAATAAAAAATGAAAAAGACAAGTTGTATGGAGACAACCTGCGCATGGCCTTCCCGGTAAGAGACCCCCAGGTTCAGGGTTCAAATCTGATGTGAGATATCTCTTTTTGCCCTGTGTGGTGCATTTTGCGCATTTTGGTTTCCTAAATTTGCGCATTTTGCTTATTAAAAAATCAGACGCCTGCGCAGTCTCATTAATATTGACGTCATGTCTTTGATACAGTGTACCACCACCAAGATTGAGGTCTAGCACATTTGTTAGCTATATGGGAACGATTGTAATAGTTGTTACAATTAATGCTTGCAAGTGATTCATTTTCACGTTTACAACACGTCAATTGCCTTGGTGCTGTTGTTACATCCAAGTTCAACTCATGAGTGTTATGTAGAGTCTACAACAGATGTTTCGAAATACCGTTACAAAACTTGACCCAATACCAACACGATTTGGCTGGCAAAGTTGCAGTTGTGTCAAAAACGAGCCTGAGCCCATACAAAAATGTCTTTCAAAAATGTCATATAAAAATGATTTTTATGGATTAATGATATTTGGGTCGCGTCGGACCTCTGCCTAGCAACCTCATAGGGAAGAGAGTACAGTAGTACACTTCCCTATATGGTCTAATAGCCGAAAAACGTCGATATAAGCGAAAACGATGACATTACCGAACAACACAGCCAACGGTACATTAGCAAACATCACTGCTATAAGCTATTACTATTATCAACTCACCTACAGCTACGGCTACCAAGTAAACACTTGGCTTTGAGACTAAGGCATCACACATCAGTGAAACACGTCGCAAACAACGAAACAACGAAACAAACACTATAGCCACATTATCATTACTATCGGTGGTGACATTCGACTAGACACTATACAACACTTACTTGAGCAGGTCCCAGCTCATATACTACTACATCATGCCACCTAAACGTATCAGCCGCTCTGCTGCCCTTGCAGAAAGTGCAGAGGAACGATTAGCGCGCCAAACTGCGAATCGTGAACTTGGTCAACAACGACGCAGGGAAAGGGAAAGAGCAAGAGCCAATAGAATCAATGAGCCTGTGAACACTGCCAACAGGGCAGAAGGTCAGCAAAGGCGTCGGGCAGAAGAGCGCGAGCTTACGGCGCAGCACGATGATGAAAGCTATCGCACAAAGCTTCAACAACTGAATGCTGGCAATCACCAAGTGCATTCTTTGGGCCGTATGGAGGTAGAATGTCCATCTTGCCATGCTCTACACTTCATAGAGGAACGCACGGCACAATCACCCAAGCGCAATCCACTGTTTAGTGACTGCTGTTCAACGGGCAAAGTGATCCTGCCATCAATTGGAGTCAATGTCGACTTTCCTTTACTTGACTCATTACTCAAGCGGGATCATCCTCAGTCAAAAGTCTTCATAGACAACTTGAGGCATATTAACAATGTTCTGTCATTCACGTCCCTTGGGATCAACGCAGACGCTACTACTTGGGGACCGCAGGGGATTTATAATCTTCGTATCAGCGGAGAATTAGTACACAAAATTGGATCCATCTTACCAGACCCTCATCAGCCCGCACGCTTTGCTCAGATCTATACTTTGGATGACGACTCTGCAGTCACACAGCGGATGGATCATTTCGGTGGAACGGGAATACAGCAGGAAATCATCAGGCAATTACAATCATGGCTTAATACCAATAATCCTTACGCTCGGACCTTCAAAAGTGCCGCTGATCGGTATCAGGCTCAGCCAGACGCACTAGCCTTCAGGCTCCGAGCTGTACAGAGGGAAGGAACTGATGTGCGGCGCTACAACTTGCCTACCATCAGTGAAGTGGCTTTGGTCATGCCCAATGACGATGAATCTGCAGGATACGGCAGAGATATTGTGATTCAATACAAGGGTGGATTCCTCAAACGGTTGAATGAACTCAGCCGCATGTACTTCCCATTGCGTTACCCTTTAATTCACCTCCGTGGTGAAGATGGATGGCATGATGGAATTCCTTTCGCTGCCAATCAAACTGCTGGAGATGCTATTCGAGGGGAAAATCTAGAAGACGAAGTGGTCACTGGACGCAACCAACGGGGAAAGGGAGGCTCAACCCGTCTCAGCCAGCTTCAGTTCTTCCAATGGCACATCCCCACTCGGCCTCAACAAATGAGCGTGCTATTCTATACGGGCAGACTATTGCAAGAATATACTCTGGACATGTGGGTAACGGTTGAGGCGAACCGATTACGTTTCATTCGGACAAACCAATCTACTATTCGAGCGGAAACTTATCAAGGTTTGGCAGATGCGGTCAACACTGGCTTATCTGCTGAACACATTGGCCGGCAGGTCATCTTGCCATCTTCATTCGTTGGTGGTAATCGTCATATGGCTCAACTCTTTCAGGATGCAATGGCCTTAGTGCGTAAATTAGGCGCACCTAGCCTGTTCATCACCATCACTTGCAATCCACGGTGGGACGAAATTCAAAGGGAACTATTACCAGGCCAGACAGCTACCGACAGACCTGATTTGGTTGCTAGAGTCTTTGCCTTGAAATTGGATGCCATCAACGGGGAAATCCTGAAGCAGGGCGTGTTAGGACGATGCATTGGTTATGTGCAAGTCATAGAATTCCAGAAGCGAGGTCTACCTCATGCGCACACTCTTCTCATTATGGATCCAACAGACCGTCCAAGGACCACAGAAGACGTTGATAGATTGGTCTGTGCCGAGTTGCCAGACCCTGAAACAGACCCTATAGGGCACCAAGTTGTGGCCTCTTGCATGCTGCATGGTCCGTGTGGCCTAGAATTTCCTTCAGCACCTTGCATGAAAGATGGAAAATGTACTAAAAAGTACCCAAAGAGTTTCCGGGACGAGACTCTTATGGCCGAGGACGGGTACCCTCATTACCGACGGCGCAATGACGGCAGATCTGTTAAGCGGACCATGGCAGGCGGTAGGGAATTTGAACTACGCAACGACATGGTTGTGCCCTATAGCCCTTACCTCAGCAGACGTTTCAACTGCCATATCAACGTCGAGGTAACAACAGGAATCCATTGCGTAAAATACATCTACAAATATGTCTACAAAGGACATGACCGTATCACCGTCACGATGGGACCAGTAGAAGAACCTCAGCCAAGGGATGAAACGAGGGAATATGTCGACAGCCGCTATGTTTCACCACCTGAAGCAATGTGGAGATTGTTCAGCAATAACATGCATAAGCATTCTCCACCAGTGATGCGGCTACAGGTTCACTTGCCGAATCAACAGCAAGTCCTATTCCAGCCTGAAGCTGGATTGCCACAACTCAGTATAAAGACTGTGACTTATTACTTGGAGGTTGCAGAACTGATTATTTACTGAGACAATAGATACAAGAGAACGCAGTACTAGCCAGCACCATGTTGATCAAGTTCTTTGAATACTGCTCGGCTAATCCAGATACCACTGCCAACATCACCTATCCCCTTGCACCTGAACACTTGGTTTGGGACCCAACAAAGAAGCAATGGAAGGCACGTCAGAAAGGTTATGCTGTTGGCAGGGTTTACTTTGCCCAGCCGCGTGAAGGCGAAAGATATTACCTGAGGATCCTCTTGAACACGGTACATAGCCCTAAGTCTTGGGAACATCTCAGAACATTTGATGGGGTCATTCACCCAACCTTCAAAGCCGCTTGCATAGCTAGAGGTCTCTTGGAATCGGATGAAGAGTTCGATATCTGCTTAACAGAAGCAGCAACCTTTCAAACTGGCAGTCAATTGCGCCATCTATTTGCCATGATCGTCCTACACAACTCTCCAGCAGAAGTTGGAGCTCTTTTTGAAAGGCATTTTGCAAGTCTTACGGATGACTGTCACCATCAACTCATTAACAGGTTCCACATCGCAAATCCTAATGATGTGCAGATCAAGGATTTCTGCTTACTGGAGTTGCAGAAAGTCTTTTCCCGCCATGACAAAACCTTGGCCGAGTTGGGATTACCTGTGCCCTCACCTGAGGCGGTCTTTGATGAAGCGGGAAGGTTGATTCAAGAGGAATTGAGCTACAACCAAGTTGAAATGCAGGCCGTAACAGATTTTGCCCTTGCCGCATTCAACCTGGATCAACGATCTGCTTACAATGCAGTCATGGCAGCTGTCGAGGGGGAATCTGGGTTATTCTTCTTACAAGGTCCAGGTGGAACGGGAAAGACATTTGTGGAGAATTCAATGTTAGCGGGTGTCAGGCAGAATCACGGAATAGCCCTGGCAGTCGCTAGCTCAGGTATTGCAGCGCTACTACTTCGAGGCGGACGGACGGCTCATTCTCGCTTCAAGATTCCTCTTGAATGTGGGAATGACACGGTGCTATCGATCAGCAAACAGGGTGAACTGGCAGAACTGTTTAAACAAGCTTCGCTCATAATCTGGGATGAAGCACCCATGCAGCATCGCTACACAGCAGAAGCTGTCTCTCGATCATTACAGGACTTACGGGATGATCCAAGGCCTTTTGGCGGTATTACAACCGTCTTTGGGGGCGACTGGGCTCAGACTCTGCCCATCATACCTAATGCTACCGAAGGGGAAATTGTCGGTGCTACACTACCCTCAAGCGCGCTTTGGAACGATGTTAGTATCCTCCAATTGGAGACTAACATGAGATTACAGTCGCAAGGTCTGTTACCGGAGGAGCGGGTCACAATGACTCAATATGCAGATTGGCTCAGGCGACTTGGACGATATAAGGTTCGCCAGCAAACCTGAATAGTAACACACGGGACTAGAAGGTACGGGTAGGGTAATGAATGTAATAACGGATGTCTAACTACTACAAGGTGCTAGTTAGACATCTTCGAACACATCTCCTAATAGGTCTCCGAGAGAGTCTCCGAGAGAGTCTCCAAACGGACCTCCGTACGAGGTGAAAACCTACATCCCGCGTGTGTATGACATGCGTACCGCGGATGCCTATAATAGGATCCCCCCCTTAGGGCGAGATTCCAGATTGCCCAAAGTAGTCGAGTAGTCCGAGGCTAGAGTAGACGTTTCATCTTGAAGTTCTTTGTTCCCTCGAAACGTCCAGTGTCTGTACCCCCGCGACTCTTCTCGTGCCTCCGCTCTATTGTCTCCGAAGAGATCGTCTAGAACCTTCGATTTGTACGCCCAGGTACACTGGTTCTTTCTGAAACACTGCTCGGCGCCCGTGGGTGCTGCAATGAAGAACCTATTGTCTATCGGTGTCGTCGACCCGTCTGAAACGCCTAGCCGACGACGATGACGCGTCGCGCGTCTATCTTCTATTGTCTTCCCCGCGGACATTGCAACATGGTCCTGTCCGCGGTATTGTTCGTTGATGTAAACAAAGGTGATGTCGTATGTATCGACGTCCTTTCTAACCGATATCGCTGTATTCTCTTTGTCGTGTTCGAAGTAACGACTTCTTGCTTTGTCCTAGTAGCTGCTACCTAGGTCTCTTTTGTCTTGTTCTCGAAATGTGAAAGGTATAAGACCCCCGAGGGGGTTTGTCGACTTGATGTTTTTCGACGTACGTATCCTCTCTCCTTTAGCAAACCTATAGCTTACTATTCCCGTATCTTTTCCTTCTCTCCTTTCGTACGATGCCTCCCTCTGCTCCCCCTACTCCCTCGAGACCCCGCAAACGCAAGGCCGCCACGGACTGGGTAAACGACGCCGTGTATGGCTACATACGCGGTAACAACTGGGAAGGCTTCGAGATCAACGAGGTCAACGCCTTACAGAAGGCGAAAGAACGATTCCGAGGAACCGTCCCGCCGGAGGTAATCTCCGCTTGGATGAGAGGGGATGTGGATGGCGTGAATGGGTTGCTGGTAAGCCTTTGATATTCTTTTGTTTTCGTGTCTCCGATAGGGTCTCCGAGAGGGTCTCCGACTGACCCTCCTTTGATATCTGATTTTCGATCTTCAGGCCCAATTCTCCGGTGGTTGGCAATGGTGTTGCCAACGTTGCTTCGACGGTGGCAAGTTCAAGAGCGTCACTCCCGCCGACTTTGTGACGTACAACCCGGAAGACGGCACGTGGTGGGACGTGATCAGCGTCGAGGGTCTCTTTTTCTGCCGCCATCTCATCCACCCGCCGCACACCGCCGGCAACGTCACCAGGTCCTGCGGTCGGTGCGCCCCGAAGAAGCTCGGTTGTGCCCCCGTTCCCCGAGAGATGGTTGTCGTCTTCGACGACGATGAGGATACCGAGACCCGAGTTCGAGCGGGGTTGGTCTTGTTGCGCGCCGACAAGATGGCCTTGGGGACTCGGGATGAGGTCGCGACCGAGATCGAGAGGCTCCTCGATACGGTTGTGAGTTTGTTTTCTTCTATTCTTTTTCTTTTTCGTCTTCTTCCACTGACTCCTCTTGCATGCTATCCAACATCCAGATTGTACCTCAACTCAACCGTCGGTCCGGGGTCTCCGTCATGAGCGAACGCGGGGCTCTCTACAAGGCCATCGCCGACAACAAGGAGGAGTGGGACCACCTGGACCCCAACACCCGTCGCGGTTGGGAAGGGTTCGAAGAGGCCCGCAAGATCACCTTCGATTTCGCCGAGGGTCAGTACAAGCCTCTCCCCGTGTGGCCCGGCGAGGAGGACGCCATGGATGTGGACGAGGAGGAGACCGAGGTCCAGATCGTTAGTACTCTCTTTCTACGTTTGCGTTTTGAGCTAACCCAAGTTCTCCTAGGCTGCGCGGGAACGAGACGCTCGTCTCGCGGCCGAGAAGGCCGACGAAGAGGCCCGCCAGAAGCGGCTTGACGCCGAGGCCGCCAGCAAGGTCGCTGAGGACGCTCGTTTGGAGTACGAACGGGCCCGGGACCGCCTCGCCGCCGTCAACCCCCTTCGGTTCCGTACTCCCCCCGCCGACCCGCCCCCCGCCAAGGACGCCGCTCCCCCTCCCGCCCAGGACAAGCAGCCCTCGCAACGAGGTAGCAGGGCCAGGTCCCAGCGCGAGGGGACCGCGACCGAGCACACCGCGGACCGCAACGAGGGTGATGGTGGCGATGGGGGCGGCGATGGCGGTGGCGATGGCGGTGGTGACGGTGGTGGCGACGGTGGTGGAGCGTGATTTTTGTTTGTGTTTGTAACGTCTCGTTTGGTCGCCGTTCGGGGGTCGGCTCCCTTTTTATTTTTATGCTATTTTCTTGTTGCGATTCATTTCTCCAGCAAAGTCTCCGAACGTGTCTCCGAACGAGTCTCCGATTGAGCCTCCAAGCGAGTCGTGGTACTTCATTGTTTTCGTAAGACAAACTTGATTGTCGTTGGCTCGTTAAGTTCGTAAAAAAGGAATGGTGATAAACATCTTCGTCGGTCCTGCCGACGAAGGTACAACAATGAGTAATGACAAACACGAAAACCCTAAGCACCCGGAGTCCACAGCAACGGCTCGTCCCCGTTCTGCTTGGCGAACTCCTCATCCCAATACGCCTGGTGGTTCTGGGCGGGAGGTTGCATGTACGTCGCAGCCACCTGCATTCGACCAGCCTGTTGCCGAGCCTGCCACCAAGCAGGTGGAGACCTCTTGGCGTTGCTGCACTGGGCACTCCTGTGGCCGGGCTGCCAGCAGTTGTAGCAGGGTTTCCCGCCGGGCATCCTCGCAGCGTCCACCTCCATGGGCGTAGCACCCGACGTGGCGGCCACCGCAGGAGGGGCAACAGTGGTGTTAACCACAACAGGGTTTCGGGGAGCGACGTGGTTACCTGCGTAACGATTCCCGCTCGTGTGGGCACGGTTACCCGAAGACGTGTGCCTATGGGCTTCCGCTTGGTCTTCGTACCGACGACATTCCATCTGGAACTCCGCCAGCGTCATATGCTCCTGGTTGGGCATAGGGATAATAGCGTCCTGAAAGGCCTGGTTCAGGTTGGCGCGGAAGAACGACCGTTTGCCGTACTCGTTGAGGTTTGGGAGGAGGGCGGCGAGGTCGTTGAACTCGGTGATGTACGTACTCAAGCTCTTGTTGCCCTGCTTCAGAGAGTAGTACTCCTTCTCCGTGGCAAGGATGTTCCTTCCCCCTCCGTACATCTCCACGAGCAACGCCTCGAACTCCCGCCAGGTGACCTGAGTTCGCCCCGACGAGTACTCCCTTGCCCATGCCTGGGCCTGCCCATCCATGTACGACTCCGCGTACATAATCTTGTAAAGGTCGGTGTACAACCCCGGCTTGACTTGGAACTCCCGGTTGCATTGGTCCAGGAATCCCCTAACCTTCTCTTTCTTGCTGCCATCGAACCTGTCCGGCGTACCGAACTTGAACAGCTTCGCTCTCGCTTCCTCCGTGGCCGTCGCCGATCGAGTGTCCCTCGACATCGCCAACTCCATCATCTGGCTATGCATGTTCGCCATCATGGAGAGCAGGGCGGAAACGTCCGGACTGGTAGGAGGCGCAGCGGCCGGAGCAGGGTTAGCTGCTGGGGGTGTTGACTGCACTTGTGGGGGAGTCTGCCCCATGTTGTGGGCCGGTGCGGCCTGCGTGGAAGCGGTAGGTACCCCCGTGGCACCTACCTCCGGTTGCTGGTGGGCAAAGACGCACTGGTCGTTTACCAGCGTCTCCCCAGTTGGGTTCCTCCACATGAACCTTCCTTGTCCATCCATCATCTGCATGTTCCCGTCTTCGCTCAAGACCGGGATCGCATCCGCAGGGATGGGGTGGACAGCCCTATCCGGTCCGTAACACTGCGTGAACGTATTCATCGTATACGGGGTCTCCTAGTCGGGGTGTTTGGGTGATCCGTTATTCTATAAGGTTCGCCAGCAAACCTGAATAGTAACACACGGGACTAGAAGGTACGGGTAGGGTAATGAATGTAATAACGGATGTCTAACTACTACAAGGTGCTAGTTAGACATCTTCGAACACATCTCCTAATAGGTCTCCGAGAGAGTCTCCGAGAGAGTCTCCGAACGGACCTCCGTACGAGGTGAAAACCTACATCCCGCGTGTGTACGACATGCGTACCGCGGATGCCTATAATAGACGAGGGCAATTGAACACCGAAGCGGGACATGTCGAGTTGCCACAGTACATAAGGACTTTGAGCCCAACTCAAGGTCTTCCAGTGCTAATTAGCAACATATTCCCTGAAGTCGCTCAGATTGAAGGTCAAAGTCTGGATCAGCAGTCAGATTACTTTGGCGGGCGGGCCATCTTAGCAGCACGGAACGACTCAGTTGATGCTGCCAACCAAGCAGTATTGGATCTGCTGCCAGGCAATGAGCACAGTCTGAAAAGTGCCGACTGTGTAATAACGGATGGAGAGGAATTGGCTGAAGGATTAGCATTCCCACCGGAGTATTTGAACTCCCTTACAATTCCAGGCCTGCCGTTGCATGATCTTCGGTTGAAGGTCGGCGCACCTATCATTCTTTTGAGGAACCTTGATGCTGCGGCAGGCCTTTGCAATGGGACTCGCTTACTACTCTTGCAAGTTGGACGAAGGTGTCTTCAAGCCAGGATCTTAATGGGTGATCATCGTGGAAAGACAGTATTAATCCCTCGGATAGCCTTGGACACCGTGACCAAGACCTTACCTGTCAAGTTACGGAGATTACAGTTTCCAGTCAGGTTGGCATTTGCTTTGACAATTAACAAAGTAAGTTACATTAAGTGCATTGAAAACGTGAAGTTGAGAGCTGATTGAATTGATGTGAATTATAGGCGCAAGGTCAGTCTCTTGACAATGTAGGGATTGACCTTTCATCACCGGTCTTTGGACACGGTCAATTATATGTCGCTTTCTCAAGAGCGACTCATCCTGGAAGATTAACGGTGCTATTGGAGGATTCTAGATATGGATTGGAACGGAAGGTTAAGAACGTGGTATATAGTCGGATGGTTGAATTGTATTAGTCTTAGTAATTTGTGGTCTCTTTTACGTTTCTGTTTGTCATTTCTGTTCTTGATCATTGTATTTGTACTTATGTGATTGTTCTTATAACAATTGCCTTTCTATCAATTTTTGCCCAGGGCCGGCTCTAGAATCAGATAATGGACTTTGTGAAAATTGGCATAACTGACACGACTTCACAAAACGCTAACAACACAAAACACCGAAACACCTGACGCCCATCTCATGGGTGAAAGAAACTAGTTATATATATAAAAGAAGACGGAAAAGACAAGTTGTATGGAGACAACCTGCGCACCTATGGTCCTCTAGGAGTCTAACCAAGCGAGATTTATGGTTTCCCTGGAGTCTCAGCTTCACAAAGTAAACAACTTTTGAACTGAATATCGACGGCGCCGCAGGTGACGTCGGCAGACACAGGCAAAGCAGCAGACGCCTATCTCATAGGTGAAAGAAGCTAGTCCTAGTATAAAGAAGCACGACTAGCGTAATTGGGAAAAAGGGACCAGAGGTGGGTGCTTGCCGGAGCCCGTAGCGCAATACGGCCACAACTGTTTCCGATCCCTTCCTCCCCTGACATCCGCCGTTCGATCCATGCGATAACAACTGACTTTTGCCCCCTTTGCCCCCTCTACGACATATCGATAACCGCCCATACTCCCGACAAGCCGACATCGCAGGTTCCCAACTACCCCTTCGTCACGCTTCACGATAATTCTTTTTGCTTGTCAGATCACCTGCTCAGCGCTCCTATGATTCTATGAACGCATGAGCCTATGAGCTATGAGCCTATGATTCATATCGGCCATCGTGGCTCGGCTTGGCATATGGCTCATCGCCCCGTACCGGTTGAGCCGCGAGTCAACGCATCAAAGATCAAAGATCAAAGGATCACTCCAGCGGCCAGCAATTCCATCAACATGGTATAACATCTTGCATGTTGCATGTGACATTCGAGTATACTACTCAAAATACTGGTTACGCGCTTACACAGCAGTGGTGCGGCAGTTCACCTCCTCATTCTTCTCTCTGTCATTCACATTGCGCTATCGACTCGGTGATTCAAAATCCCATCATGCAGCATACCGCGCCAGAAACCGAGCGAAGCGATAACGCCACCAGCGATACCTCCAAGTTCAAACCGATGAGACCGGCTGATATGGCTGGTACGTCTTGAACTCCCATGTTGCATCTCGTACGATCCAACCGTAGTGTGAACGATCTGCTTACGACCTACATCGCTTGTCCCTCTTCTTCTTCCCCTTTATCCTCTGATCGCCATCATCAGACGCTGTCAAACCGCTCGAAATGAAAGTCAAGCGTACCAACGACCCCTATGCGGATCAAGAGGCGAGATGGAATCTCGTCCGGCAATACGTCGTCAGCGTGCTGGAAGAGGAAACGATGGACCCGTCCATCTATGCTGCCGCGACGACTGCGGTGTATGACATGGAGATGGGTGGGGACCCGCGTAATGGGGCGGGAACGATGACTCGCCGGGAAGACGGCCTGCATGTGCACGGCCTAAGAGTCAGGTTGAGCAAACTCTTGCTCGACTACAGGGAACGTCACCGCGTACCCGAATCCGCCGAAGGACACGTTCCCGACGACGTCTTCCTCCGTCGATGGACAAAGGCCTCGAGGGTCTTTGGGTATCACGACCGTCATTTCGTCAGACGGTGTCAGGCCGAAAAGATTCGGATGCCGGATGACCTGGCGTTCCCGGACGATGGCCAGACGACCGTCTTCGAATTCGGGAGACGGATCTGGTTTGATGAAAGGGAGCTCGCGTAGCGGGAGAGGACTGGTCCTGTGACCCGTGCGCAATCGTACCCGTCGAAAAAGGCCGTAGCTTCCAAGCCGCCAGTCCACGATGATGGGCGTCACAAGTGATCGACTTTGGTGTACGAAGGCTGTCTGTCTGTATATCACAAACGTCTAGTACCTGGCTCCGACTTAGGAGTACGGATTTACACAATTTACATACGAAGGAATACGTTCTGCTCTCTTAGAATGTGCAGCTTGGATTGCGACCGGCTCCTACCAGATGTCTCTGCCACGAGTCTGTCCCAACCGACGCCCTGACAAGCATGGCACCAAGGTATATCATTCCAACAGCTTTAAGGCATACAACAAGCCTGGTCGAGGTGGTTCAACCGACCTCCAACTCTGGCAGAGACACCTTCAGCAAGTCGTGCAAGAACTGGCTTAAGCGACTCGGTCAGCTGCCATGGGCTGTGCTCGGGAACTTGTGTTTCCAAATCGACTCACTGCACAAAGACCTTCGTCTTGTCTAATATGGCTTAACATCATAGTTATTCCAATAATGAAAGTCATCATCTGCGTCGTCGAGCCCGTCGTACTTATCGTACTCGTAATGGAAATTATATTCCTGCTGGACTTGGGGTGCGAGTGTAGGTTTGGTCTCGTACACTTCGGCCTTGACGACCGGCTCCGCTTTGACCCGAGAAGACGGAACAGAGGCTGGTTCGCTCCGTTTGACAGCCTGCTTGGTCCGCCTACCGGTAACGGAGGAGCCAGATTTATGGGCCGCCTGGACTCCAAATGACGCCGATGAGGACGATGCCGCTTGGCCGTAAGATCGAGGTTGGCGGTCGGACAGGAAGGGTAGATGCGAGTTGTCAGGTTCGGTCCTGACAGCCGAGGCTGTGGTCTTGGTGGTGGCAGACTTCTTGGTCGTAGGCGCTGCTCCTGCCGTTGTCGTCTTGTTTGTAGTCTTTTTCGCTGCTGCTGAAGTCGAAGCCGGGGCCGTAGCAGCCTGCTTCGCAGGCGTCTTCTTTTTTGCCATAGCTGCAGCAGCACTGGCTCCCGCCGCCTTGGGCTTCGATGATCCGGCTGACCCGCCCAATAACTTCTTCTCAAAAGCATCCACCTTTGCCAGATCCGCCAACGCCCTCTGTCTGACCTTGGCGATCTCTTCAAACTTTTCCATCCTCTTTCTCTTCTCCTCCTCCGCCTTCTTTGCTGCGGCGTCTGCCTTTTTCGCTTCAGCCTCAATCTGTTTGGCAGCGGCTTCAAACTGCTTCTTTGCCTGTTTCTCCCTAGCCAGGATATGGGCTGGTACTCGCAGCGTCCCCTTTTGCTGATCAAACGCTGCCATCAACGTCTTCTTGGCCGGTTCCTTGGTCTTTCTCTCTGGCAGCCCATAGTGCGCACATTGAGCGGTATAGAACGCGGTGCTCTGTTCCTTGAGTGGGAAAGGAGCTCTACTGGGATCGAGCAGTTGTAACAGGGTCGTCTGATCGCATCGAGGGATCCTTTGATTGCCAGCGGTTTCGACCGCGAATGTGAACTCTGGCGTGTTTGTCGTCAAGTTTCGATGGTAGGTGAATCGAGATAGCGGGTCTACGGGAACGGCTGATGACATGGCTGACAGGTGTTCAAGGAAGGTATGATGACGCAGGTGATCGCGACCGTAGAGATGACGGTCTCTTTGGGGGAGGCAGACGAGTATGAGTGGTGTAAAACGAGATCAATCAAAAGCTGATCAGCCCACCCTACGCGCTTCGACCGCGACCTTTCCGGAGATGGCCGGCAGAGATCAGAGAGGGCTTTGAGCTTTTTTTGTTCCAACTTCTTGGTTCGACCCGATTTACAATAACAAATGAGTACACGAGTATACATGGTATCCACCATTAATGGTAACAGATGGCCCTGAACACGCTTCGACTGGACGGTTTGAGCTGATGGATTGGTCCCAGTAAGTCTCGTCTCGCATTGCCATCACGCCTTTTGATCGGAAGAACTGATCAATCAAAAATCAAACGGAAACCGCTCTGTCCAGATGCAACCAATTCGATTAACTGACCTCGTCATTAAACACCGCGGAGTACTTTGGCCGATCAAGAAGCTTGTTGGGTCCGGATCGAAAGTCACCTCGTCGACCCTCTGAAAGGCGGAACTTCAAACGTCATTTCTCATATGGCTACTGCTCGAGCGGTCTTCGACGTAGACACCAGCCTGTCGGAAAATTGGCGTTCGGGACGGACGGGAAAATGCAGAGAATTTCAACAACCGGCAAGCTCTCGCCGCGTTGACGTTCAGTTGCACCACACAGATCAAATTTGCAATGTCACACGACCGGCGCAATCATCGGTAGGCAAGCAATCCGATGATGAGGAGTAGCACGCAAGTCCGACGACCTCGGAATATCCGCCAGTGATCAAATGACTCGGAGAGGATAATATCGCGGGCCGGGGGTCGCCCGGCGAGTTTCAGGTTTCATTCAGCTTATCAAGCAGCGGGACCGCACGTGCACCGTATCGCAGGATACTCCTTCGTAGTGTCTTTCTGTCCGCTCCACGCTCAATGGCCAAGAGAACAGGGTTCGGAGTAAGCTCCGACAAGCTGTGTACCGAAAAGGTATATATACCGGTCCGTTCCCCTCTACGTTTTTTCTTCTTCTTTGCCTTCCCGTGCTCTTATTGACTTATCGCTCAACGGATTCTAATACCTCTTACATCGAAATCAACATGTCCGACCAGTATTACAGCTACCCTACCTACGGTACCAACCAACAAGTGCGTCTCTCTAAATATGGGCCGGGTGATCTTTCCACTGTCTTTGTTGAAGCTGATCCTATCTGATCATCGTACTACAGGGCAATCGTTGGTTCGCTGGCGATTATAACCCTTCCGCCCCCAACCCAAACGCTTATAGGTACGACAACAAGGACGGAAGTTCGTTCGACAAGTACCCCGACGGCTCGAAACGTTGGGACAATGGCGAAGGCTATGAAAAGTACACTCCTGCTCCCTCGCAAGATCCGTCTGCTGCGAACCAACAAGGCCAGTAATTCATGGAATTGTCGACCCTTCCTCGATGACGACGAGTGCGATCCAAGAGGAAGGTAGAGAAGGACCGAGAGGGGGGTAGAGAGGAAAGGCAGTCGCTCCGGGGTGAGCGATGAAGCAAACGATAAGAAAGAGGTTGAAGCAGCTGCAAGTTCAGCCTCGACATAGACAGGACCGACCACTACGGAGAGAGTGGCAACAACACAAACACTACGATGAGCCGAGTGCCATCTGTTCGACGCATCACCAAATTACCAGCGAGATCTGGCATATGTCCAACCAAGCAGACACCCCAATCAGCCGAGTGCCATTCGTTCGACGCGCCATCAAGTTACCAGCGAGATCTGGTAAATGGGCGAGTACCGATGTGCCGAACGAGTCGATCTCTGTGCTCTGCGAGTAGAGTTGAGGATGAGGAAGGGAATTGTGCGAGGACGAGGGATAGGGGGGGATCAGCCGAGGTGACCCTGAGGGAATTTCGTTCGAGGCTTGCGATGTACATAGCGGATTATCGAGTACGATGATTGTGCGCCGGCGAAATATACGGGGCGTTATGGGTCCTGAGTCATGGGCGTTAATGTCGGGAGACTCTCTAATGTCGCTTACCCTTCCGGTTTAGAGCTGAACAACATCTGCCCCGAGGCAAAAAAGCTAAAAGAACGCTTGTCAAGTATGCCGTTCACGCTATAGCATCTTACTGTTCTTCCGCTTTCTATCGCAAGGTGCACAGCGCGAACCGAACGAGATCCGACAACGTCGGCGTTGCTGGATGGGGTCTCGAGGGAATGTCTTCGGATCCGCACGTGCGTTCGAGTCAAGATACTCCGGTTTTGGTATCTCCGCCGACAGGGCTAGGTCTCGAAGGGCAGACGGTATATACACGGTGACGGCCACGTCTTGCGAGCCAATCTCTCCCACTACCATTGATTACGCTGCTCCATCCATACCATCCACACATCTATACTGCGTCCCGACTTGGTGTCAACCTCAACAACCAGAATCAACCGATAAAACCCAAATTCGAGACAGAACAACAATCGATAAGATGCCCGAGGGTTACGATTACAAGAGCAGCGGTACCAACGACCAGGTCAGCACCTACAACGCTTTCATTCCCTAAGAGCTAAGAGTTGATCCCCCACTACTCGCTTGCTAACTCGACTTTTGCACCACTCTCTATACCAGGGTAACCACTACTGCAGCCGCGACTATGGCGACTCGGCTCCCAACCAAAACGCCTACCACTATTCCAACAACGATGGGAGCTATTACTATTCCAACTCGAACGGGTCGACCTATTACAACGACGGGCAGGGGAATGCCAACTACAACCCTCCTTCGGGCAAGTGAACGTAAGGGTTCGTACGGGAGGGGACCACGTGCAGGAGCAGGAGAAGGGTGTGTTTTTGACATGGATGATGGAGAGGTTCGGTTTTGTACGCCAAAGGGAATGATGATTATATGATGGACTGGGTTTCAGAACTCGACAGAGCTCGACTTTGATCAGGTGGCGACGAGCATCTTCCTGTTGCTTCTTGTCCCGGCTCGGCCAACGCTTCATCGATAGGTGCAGGAGGATGCTGGTATGCTGATCGGCGACGCCCCAGGCCAACAGTTGTGACCACTCACTGACTAGACACTCGGCGAGAGTCGTTCGGCAACGAGGTTCGAGTGTAGACTCTATGTCTATCACCATGTACACCATGTCACCATGAGTCTCGACCTCGGCCTGCCAGCCTCGACGGCTCGATAGGGTTGCCGGCTGATCTCGGTCAGGTGACATCCGTTTCGGCAGCGAGTCTTCCGCCAAGAGAGGCTCGAGGTCGGCGTGCCTGAGAAGAATTCCCCGGCATCGCTGGAAGCGAGAGAGAGAGAGGGGACGATCCCCGGCGCGATGTTGCGTCATGGTCGCCGGCTAGAGAATACAAGGAGAATGGCTATATATAAGGATGTCGCCCAACCTGCACAGCGATAGTCTGGTCCTCCAATTTCTTGCCATAGATCTCAGCTACTCAGCGACATACACCACAATGCTATTCAAGTCCAAGAACGTACGCGCTACCTTGACCGGTCTCTCTTCGAAAGAGGGCCTTCTCCTGGACATACCCTCGAATGGCAGGCTCGTGGCTTGCTCGGGCGATACTATCCGGGGTGTCGTCCAGCTCGAAGATCCGGGAAAGATCGAATCCTTGTCCATCGAGTTCGCTGGGTACCAGGTCAGTCCCTACTTCGCCCCACGGAGATCACCCGGTCACTTAAGACCCGACCTCACGCTCACGATCACGTTCTGTCTCTTGACTCACAGTACGTATCCGTCGAAGCCATGTCCACCGGTTACAACACCACAGGGTTCAATACTGTAACAGCGCTCGGCGGGGTAGACGCTCAAGTAGGAGCTGCCCGAGCCAGCGCGAAACCCGTCAACCATCGGGTGGCTACCAAGCTCTTCAGCACTGTCCAGCATATCACCAAGGCTGAAGCTGGAAGTGCGGGAGGAGTGGTGAATTTTGATTTCGTCTTCCCCGACCAGGATGAGAGGGGGACGAGGATGCCGCCGTCTTTGCAACTAGAGTCTACTCGGTTCGCGGGAGGTTCTGTGGGATACTGTGAGTAGGTAGATTCCTGCTCATGGCGAATGGAAGCTGACTTGTCGCTTGTCGAGCAAAGGTCGATATCAGGTCACTGTGCTCGTCGAACGGAAGAGCATGGGTCGGACGAAATCGTAAGCCATCCTCGACCCTTTCGATCCAGGCTCTGGTCACCCAAGCTAATAATCCTGGTTCATCATAGCGAATCCATCATTCTTCCGATCCTCTACATGCCATTCAGCTTATCATCATCTCCCCCTTCACTCGCACCCATCTCCACCCTCCTCGCTCGGACGAATCCCAATGAAGTTGCCGACGTACCAGAGAAGTGGAAATCCGAGATCGTCAAGGATGCTTGGGAGGTGACGGCCTCTGGAGGGATAGGGGGTTTGTTCAAAAAGAAGTCTCGGGGCGATGAAGCCACTGAGGGGGTTGTGAGAATACAGGCAGGTCCACTCGGTCATGCTGATACAGTTTGAGGATTCGAAAACTAACTGACAAGATGATCCGGTTCACCGTACAGTTCGCCACACCAAATCTGGACTTGTGGCCCCCAAGCCGTCCTATCCCCTATCATCTCCTCCTCACGTTCACCTCTCGCACGCCCTCTTCCATCGACCTGACCCGATCTGAGATCTCTTTCGACCTGAAACAACGGATCCAGACGAACAAACGTTCGGCGGGAGTCGCAAAAGCCTTCGAAGAGGTCATCGAACCCTCTCGTTCGTCTGCGATGGGATCCGGCTCGGGGACGGGCGTGACTGTGGGTCCGAAAGGGTTCGGGTTCGAACTGACCAAGGATGGGATCTGGAGCGGGACCGAGGAAGACGGAGATGGATGGAGCAAGGTGATGGTCCAGATGGGGACTGTTCAGATCAACGGTCTGCCGACCATTTTCACCGACGTCACGAGCCTCGTTGTGAGTTATATGATTTTGGAATCGGTCTCTCCTTGAACCTGTGCATCGAGGCTGATCGAATGCCCCCGTTGTTTCCTCTCATCTTGATAGTATCAACTCCGAATGACCATCAACCTGCCAAGCGATTCCGCCTTTGCGGACAAGAAGAAGACTTTCGTCCTCGACCAACCCATTCTCTCCTCCCCCATCTACGAAGGACATCCAGGACTACCTAGCGACGAAGATCAATCCCTCGAACGCCGGAAACTGTTGGAACAGATGCTCAAGATGGTAGGGAAGGACTATTGGGAGGACGAGGAGGATTTCGGATGGTTCCGAGGGGATCCGGTCGGCGGTCTGGGGATGGCAGGGGATTCTTATAAGAAGCTAGCAATTGATACGACTTGAAAGTCGCCGCGGGGTTGATCTGGACAGAGGAAATTTGCCCTTGTTGTAACGTACACATCGTCCGAGGTGACTATCTATACCCTTTCTTGTCTGTAATCAATCATAATATCACCAACGATACCAGTCGCAACTCGGAAGAGACATCGATTGGCATTGCCATCGCTTCTAGCGCAAGTGCCATCGCTTCTAGCGCAAGTGAAGGGTGGAAATAAGCCCGATTTAAGGAGATAAATTGGAACGACTTTGCATTTCTTCGTGTCGAATTTCGACATTACCAGCAACGAAAACCAGGGTCTTATAAGTGGTAGTATAGGCAGGTAGAGGGTACATCCACGGTGCCATCACAGTTTTTATCAAGGGTATCCGGGTCCGTAACCGGATGCTAAAAGCAAAAAGGTGTTTACCGCGGTCACGTGCTCATGCCGATTCCTAAATCGACTGCATATAATCAAATGTGCTCGTGAAATATCGAGCTCACCGACGCATCACGAGCCGCGTTCCTAGGTAAGATAGGATCGTAGAGGGTACATTGTAGATCAGTTTCCATGTCTTATCTCAACATTCCGATGTATAGAAGGTATCCTAGAGGCGAAACCGTGATCAGAATTGGGTCAATTTACCGCGACCGTAAATCAGCGTAAATCAAGGAGTGAAGCGCGAGAAGTCTCAAAATCTATTGCCGGGCGCGAGCACGCGGGGGGTCGTCGGGAGTTTCAGGTTGATCAGCTTCACCGGGGCGCTGCGGGCTGCGGGGAACGGCGGAGATTTGTGTAAGCGATCAAAGTTGATGATGATCAGCGATCGGCGAAACCGAGGTAAACAAACAACAAACAAACAAACAAACAAGATCGATAAAAGCAGGTTGCAACTTGCTTTCGACATCGACCGTGATAGAGTCTCCTAGTCGATCTCGTACCAGCTCGTAGCTACTAGCTCACAGCTCGTCGTGTCTCTTTAGAACAACCTCCATAGGATCACAATCATCTCAAATCGCTCGTGATGTCTCCTACCTTTCCGCCAACGGAGCACCATACGTTCGTCAAGCGAGCCACTTCAGACGTCTTGACGCCTAATGATACCCAAAAGTACATGACTCGAATATCATCTTGAAGCGGCGTGTCTTAGCTGATTCTGACCTCTTTGCATTTCTCTTTGTAGGGTCACCCTGGGAGTAGCAGCGTGAGTTCTGCACCATGAATCATAAATATCGAATCGGCTAATCTCCAGAGCGAATGGTTGCAGCGGGTACATTCTGGTAATCGCTCTATGTAAGCCATCTCGTGTTCTCTCATGTTGACATACCATGGCATTGCTGAGATCTAGTCGCTGCTTGGGATCTGTACAGTATGGCATGGCGAGTTCCTGGTCGCATCTCCCTACTGACCATAGGCTCTAGCTAACCGAATCGCTCGTAGCTCCTCTACTCAACAAGATCATCTACCCTTTCAAACTGCTCGTAAGTACCATTTGCTCGTCTAATCGACCCGTTGACCCCGCTGCAGTAGAGACGACTGATTGCGGCTGTGTCATGGTCTATGGCTATATACTACTTGTGCGGTGGACGTATAACGGAAACAACAGGTAGTTGGGATGCACGAAGCGTGAGTGAACACCAGCTAGTACGATGCAATGTAGAGGGCTCACTGGCTGGAACAACCGGTTTTTCTTCGTGGTCGGCGATAAACAGCTCTCACGCTTTCGCGGGTGTGAGTCTGCTTCGACTTTCGACTCTACAACTCCGTCATGCTAATCCTTTCAGGCTTGATCCCGCCTCATCTTGCCAACAGGTCGTCACCTGCGCCGTTATCGAGTCCATCCAGCTGGACCCGGACGAAGGAGGTGCCACCCGGATGCGAGGCGGGGTTCCCGCCGTGAGTGAAGCCATAAAAGCGATGGTTACGATCCAGTAAACGTCTAGTGGTATTCGGACTGATCCTCTTCATGGATCGGGGTATAGATTACCCTACCCGCTGGGTACCTGGGAAGTAGCCTGATCGGAGCGGCCCTGATCGCTTGTGGATTCGATATCAATGCTAGCAAGATGTAAGTCTGGTCTCCTCACGAGTAGTTCGAAAGCGAACAAGCATCAGATCCCGGATGGATGTCCTGATGTTATCGCATGCGGGTCAGTGCTACATGTGCCCTGGCCGTAGGGTTTCTCATCACGCTCTGGTGGGCTCGAAACTCGTGGATCGCTTGGATCACCGTCCCGCTCTTCACCGGGCTGTTGGCGGTGAGCGCGACATTCTCTCCTCCTTTTCGTCCATATTGCTAGACTGACTGAGAACCAACTTCGAATCCGGCATTTTGAAGCTCTGTTGGCTGATCTACGATTCGGTACCTTTACGGTTCTTGGTCCTGTTCATCGGCGTGATGTCGTGAGTCGACGAGCTGGACTTTGACGTTTTTCTGCTGCTCAAAAGACGCTGCCTTCATCAAGATGCTTCTACGCCATATGGGATATCATCGATGGCGAGTCAGCTTTGACTATTGCTCAGATCTAACCTGGCATGGACTGATATGCTAAACCCGTTGATGTTGCGTTACAGACACGATCAAGAGAAAGGTCAACGGTTCAGATGCTAGCAGGTTCGCAGCCATGATCGGCTTCTTTGGACCTCGAGTCTGGGGTAAGTTTCCCATCGGTCTCACAAAAGTACCGAGTTGGCTCATTTCCTCTACCGATACTCTTCCAGGTGTTATCTGGTTGATCAACTCTATCATCTGTAAGTCCCGCGTCTTGCAAAAGGATACAGCTCAGGCTGATGCGCGTTTCGATGGATATTAGTCTTCGCGGGCGGCATCCTGATCGGCATCGCAGCGTTTAAGAGGAGCAGCGGCGAGCAACGTGAAGCTGCCGACCGATTTATGGGAGGTGAGTCACCAGACAGGAATGTCCGCTCTCGAGCCCGACGTTAACATCCTTAAATACCATTCTTTCGAAGGAACGCCCGGCTGAACACCAGGCAGAACCCATTTTCTGCTTGAGCGCAGTCAGCATCTATCTCTATACGTCTTGATTCCTCCTGCAATGCAATATTCGATCCGTGGTATAATGGTGAAGTACAAATTACACTGTCAGCCAGACGAGAACATCGCTGACCACCCAGAACAACTCGACCAAAATCCTCCAGTAGATAAGCGACCCGTGTTTGTTGGCCGCTTGCGCGATGATCCGAATGGGTTTGGCATGAGCCGATACCCACCGGAACATCAGGTGAATACAGTGTAGTGCTTGAACGAAGGTCGCGATAGTCCGACGTGTTGTCATTGTCTGTTGAGGCTAGTATGGGTCAGCTGGCGAGGTATATCGGCAGCAACAAGGTGGCAGACTCACTTGCGCCCTCTGCCGCTGAGCCATACCCGACCCGGCAGACGAGATCATCTCAATGATAGAAGGACCCTCGGCGAGGAACCCTTCTGACCGAGACGTCGCTGTCGCCCCTGCCCGCGATGTCAACGTGGCAACCATAGCAAGAATTCGGAGAAGCGCGCTGAAGGCATAGCCGATTCGAAATGCTTCGCTCGAGACAACTGGTAAAGGGGTTTGTGTATGCGGTCGGACCGCTTCAACGGAGACGCTTAGGGATTCTGTTTCTTCTTGATGCATTAACGTAGGAGAGGTCGTTATGGGAGTCATCTCGGTCGTAATATCGTTCTTGAAACGTGCCCAATCGTCAAGCGGACTCGGTGGTGCGGAAACGACGAATTCCATAGTCTTTGTTGGTTGCAAGGCCGGAAACGTTCTCTTGGCGGGCGTTTGAGCATTTTCTTGGAAGCTTGAATGTAATGGGACGGCTCGTGGATGTTCCGGTTCCCAATCCATTTCTTCTACCATAGATGTATCTTTGACGGGTGGCAACGGTGCCGACCGCGTGACGATGGAGGCGAGCGAGCGGATGACGGGTTTGCCACAATCTCTGGCGATTGACCGAAGGGAAACCTCCTTGGTGTCCGTGCGCTCGAGTCCAGGCCCAACTATCGATCCCGGCCGGATCCAGCGTAAACAGCTGATCGCATAGAATCGAATCTACTTCGAATGGCTTGAGTCAGATATACAACGGTAATCGTACGACCTGCGCGAGGACTTACCACCATCTCCGTTCCCAGACCTATACTCAGCGCGGTGCCAAGGCCCAACGTATATCCGACGAGCGTAACGAGGCGTAGAGTCGAGATGATTCTCTCGCATGCCTGCCACTCGTCTTCCCCCTCGACCCTGTCCATACGATATCGAAGTGCCCTCCACCAGGGTATCCAACGTCTCGTCAACCAATGCGCAAGTATACCACCCCAGGCATATTTCCGAGTCGCCGTTGCCGCGAATGCCACCGAGGCGTAAAGTAGCGTTCCCGCAGTCCACCCCAACCAACCGGCTCTCCAGACCCATAATTCGGCATCCATGCGAAGTGTCCGCATCCACCGGCGAGCCCTCCCATCCAGTGTACCAGGATCTCCGTCGCTCTCGCCATTGCGCACGGCATCGAGCGGGTCAGCTTTGCTCACGGTCGCCTCCGCCCATATCTTTTCCCTCATCTTGCTATCCCGCTCCTGTATGATCCGTTTGATCTTGGGTTCGCAGGCGGGACATGCTAGAGGGTGGGATCGCTCGAAAGCTTGGATGTCCCATTGAAATATCCGGAAAGCTTCCTGGTGACACATCAGAAGATAAATAAATCAATCTAATGAGTATACCATGCGCGAGTCAGGACAGCAGGGGGAATGGCCTGGTAGGAGCTACTTACATCATCGTCCCCCAGCTGATAATTAGATCGAAAGTCCAGACTAGCCTGCAAGCTTTCTTCGCATTGTGCACAGAATGGGCTTTCCACCGGGGTGGATGGTATTCTTTCCGAGAATACGTCTGTCACGTAAGAGCTGCGAGTCAGCTAAGAAGCCCTACGTTCGGGTCGAGTGAAGAGACTGACCTGTTTGACCGTTGGGTCTATCCGTGGCAGTGGCGGCTACTACCTCGTCATTCTGACGAAATTCTGAATACCTCAGTATGAAGACCGCCTGACCAAATCTTCCGGGACGCCCGCTTACATGACTTAGATTCCTCTGCCCACACAACGGATTGACGCAGTTCCAATCCGAGATCGTCGCCCGTTCGACGAGTGCAGATTGTCCGCAAAAGTGGCAGTCCCGCCAGACCTTGCGTGTCGGCCATCGCAGTCCAAGCATACCATGTGATCTAGGATGTGATGTCTGGATTCGAGTACTATAGCATGGTCTTGGGATTCAGAAGCAGTAGGTCTGTTAGTGACAGGGTTGGGAGGGTCGAAGGGTGAATATGATGTTCGAACGTCATCCCATGTCACTCGAGTCATGTCACGTGATTAAGTCGGTTCGTGCATGGTTGCGAGGTCGATTGTTGTCGATGTCTCTCTCTTGAATATTCACCTGTTCGATGTTTAACTCCTTGTTTGTCAGCATGCAATGCGCCTGCAAAGCACAGCGGTTCTGGATAAGCCATTCATCAGCTATTCGACTGACAAGAGCCCGTCTGCCAAAATCTAAAGGCCGCTATCGAGCTCAAAACACGCTCCAATATGGCTCACATTGTCGACCGGCTGGACATGCCGTCCAGCTACAAGGACAACAAGAATAGGGTGAGACGGACTTTGATACATCGCCGAGAGATGCATCTGAACTTTTTGAAACATCCGCAGGTCAGCCGGGAGGACGAGAGGAATCAGCTGGCCAACTCTACGACGCTATACGTGGGCAACTTGAGTTTCTACACGACCGAAGCTCAGATTTACGAGAGTCAGTCTGGATTGCTTGCTCAGTACCCTGTATGCCTCAGTTGCTGACTAGAATGCCGGGACTCTAGTCTTCTCTCAATGTGCCGAGCCGAGTGAAGGAGGTGGAATCAAGCGGTGAGTACGAGCTCTCGATCATGGAGGTACCGGGTCAGCTGTCTGACTAGCTCCGCCTGTCGTAGTATCATCATGGGCCTTGACCGAAATAACAAGTCAGCCCGGAATTCCTCCTTAGCATATGATGCACCTGAACTTCCACTAAAGTCGCCTTTCTACTTTCGCAGGACCCCTTGCGGATTCGCATTCGTCGAATACTATCTGCACTCCGAAGCCCTAGCTTCGATGCGTTACATCTCGGGGACCAAGTTGGACGAGCGGATAATCCGGTGTGATCTGGATCCGGGGTACAAGGAGGGTAGACAGTTCGGGCGAGGGAAGAGCGGTGGGCAGGTGAGTGTGGACTGGGATGTTACGGAGATGATATAGGAAGAGGGAGGGGAGCTGATCGAGGTCGGGAGGGGCAGGTACGAGATGAATACCGAGATGACTATGACGCCGGTCGAGGTCAGTTGATTGGCTTTTCAACCTTGCTCCTTTCTGCGACCCAAAGTTGAACCGTATTTTGCAGGTGGATGGGGTCATGAAGCCGCCCAAGCTAAACGAAGACGAGAGCTCGCAGCTGCCGATACCTATGCTGCTGAAGGTGGTCTCGGTCGAGATGGAGCGAATGTGCCGGTGGGAGCTAGTGCCGATGGTGAGTATCCGGCCCCGAATAACGGACTGTCAAGCTAAAACGTTTGCTGATACGTATTTTTGGGAATGACAGCTCCAACGAGGAAACGTGCGAGGTCGGAAGACGAAGACGAGGATGACGAAGGCGCTCGCGAGGTGAGTGCTATTTCGTCTTGCCACAATCCTATGTCTGCTAAGGCTTTCTTTCTCCCTCACTCCTAGGCACCTCCGATGCGAGGGGAGAGGGATGACGACGACGATTGATCTGCGCAGCAAGCGCGTTTGCCGTATGGGCTTATCTCCTGCTGTTCTGTATATCTGTACTGTGGTATTTCGCTTTGGAGGTCCTACCTGCGGGTATCTCGATAAATAGATACCGTACTTCACCATTGTCTCTGAATTTACGCCAGTGATTGATGTAAGCTCCTCCCAGGTATAAGGTCTCGGATAAACTCCGGACGCTACCTTCAGCGCATCCACAAGAGCTTGATCGAGGCGATGAGCACTTCTTCATATCGTTTCCTATGTCATTCCTATATCTTGATGTAGAGCAAGGCTGAAACTCCCTGCCCTCGCTGATGCTCTTGCTTCAGATACAACTCAAAGACCTATGGCCGCGCAACCGTATCGCCTCAAACGTTGTCGTGCAAAGGGCTGGGATCAGTCGTGTTCAACCTTCCCCTACTCCTGCTTCGATCGGCACGTCTTTCCCTGAGGCCATTCTTGATATAGTCGTCGAAATGAGCCTTGTAGTCGTTGTGCCAGCGCGAAAGAGCCGGACGGTTATCGACGACGTCGCCAAGGGACCAGGCAATCCGGAGCTTGTCGAGGTCCTGAGAGTGCAATGTGTTCAGCGTCAGAGCGTGATACGCATCGGTCGCTTGCCCACTTACCGACGTCACATCGTTGTCCGGGCAGATGATATAAAAGTCACCTCGAGAGAGCCTGTCCAGCATGTAGGCTACGGTCTCTTCGGGAGTCCAAGCTCCATCCGGCTTGGGCTGAGTTCGACCTCGTTCACCGGTGTGCACCCAACCGGGGCTGACGAGATGTCGATTTATCGATCAGAAGAGCTGCCTGTTATATTGTGAAGAATGCGCTGTGACTTACACAAAGAGGTGAGAGCTACATTTGCTGTCGGGCAGGTTTCGCAACTCGTGAGCCAACTGCTCCGTCAAGGTCTTGACGGCAGATTTCGAAGCGTTGTAGGCAGCGTTGCCAGGCGGGCACGTGATTCCTTGTTTCGAACCGGTGTTGATGATGACCGAGGGGTTCTCTTGGTGGGCCCTGGCGATGGGACAGCTAGTTAGTGTATGTTGGTATCACCAGGCAACATTTCGACTCACATGACGGGGGCGAAAATCTGGGTCCCGTTGAGGACTCCGCCAAAGTTGACCGACATGATGTCTTCCCAAGTCTGGTGAACATTGGCAACGGGCTCCGTGAGCGAGAATGCCGGAGCAGTTTTCGTCAACAAGGCCGCCTGTGCAAGAGGAACGTCGACGGTCAGTTGAATAGAGAACACACTCGCGTAAGCAAGCAAGACGCCCACGTTGTTCATCAAGATGGCAATCTCCCCGTGCAAGTCGAGAACTTTTTCCTTGAGCTTGATCACCTCGTCAAATTTGCTAACATCCGTGGTGATGGGCGAGACATCCCCAGCACCAGTGATGGACTTGACTTCCTGAGCAGAAGTCTCCAAGAGCTTCGTGTTGATGTCCACCATGACGACGTGCATGCCGGCCGAGGCAAAGTGTTTCGATGCGGCGAGACCGATGCCCGAGCTGTGATGGAAGCGAAAGGCTTTCGGGTCAGCTGATGAGATGCGTCGTAGAGACGGATGATTTGCTCACGCTGCGCCGGTCTGTAATCAGGAAACCAGAAACAATGTAGCCTCAGTATTGTACTTAAGAACCAGTGCCACCAGCTGGAAACATACCACGACCGCACATGCACCCTTGTGGATGATCGAAGCGTTGTCTAAAGAGAGATGAGGAGTGTTGGCCAGGATATCAGAGTTAAGCCGGCAAACCATTTTGTACTCACTAGACATGATGGAAAAGAGCTGACACAAGTGAAGCTCAGTTGGTAACTGTACGTCTGCCCAGGTGTTGCTCCTGATATTACAAGGGAATAAGGAATGGCTGGAGTGGTGGGATCAAGAGTACGAGCAAGAAGAACGAGGTCGTATCTCATCACAGCGCTGGAAGGGTGATGACGCAATCCGCTTCCGCCCCAAGGTCGTGTGCAAGTCTCGGCACACACACTGTTCACTATATCACTATCAAATCAGGAGGATCGGAATGTTGGCCAGGTTATTATTATATTTAGGCCGAGATTCACCGCATACTTACTAGACATTATGGCAGATAGCCTGTGCAAGCGAAGCTCAACTGCTGGTTTGCGTCTGGATGGTGGGAATGCAGGGGAAAAAAAGAGTCGTCACAGATCACAGCCCGACCTGAATTCGGGTCGGGATAGGTCGAGATCACGGCAACTGTCAGCGCATGTGCGTAAATATATTATCTTTCATAAAGTCATGGAGCTGATTCTGACATATATTTCTTGTATGTATTTCGTATTCTCGCATAAGTTGTCGGTATTAAGTAAGCTTCAAACGAGTTGCCAGTAGCACGTTACAAGTCGTCCTGAGCTCGCATGACCTTGTAACGCATCTGTAGAAATCGTAAGACTGGAGGAAACTGTGGGAGATTTGCTGTACCCGACTTACTTGAATGGCAAATGGGGTACGTTCGGAGAGACCAGCCATCGCGCCGATTGCGACAGCTGTAGCCAGCGGCATGACCGATCCGGTGACTTGGCAGGCCTAAAGGGGGATCGTTGCGTGAGCTATTGATCGCCTGCATTTATACCACGTGACATACGTTGGCGCCGGTTCGAAGTACCTACGAGGCGCCCGGCGTGATCATCAGCTAGATGACCTGAAGCACAGGAGCATCATACACGGACTTGCCTTGAGCTCTTCCTTGGTCCACCTCCGGTTGGACCTGTCCGAACCCAGATTGATGAAGTGCAGCAAGCACATTCGGCTGACAGTACCCCGGCTCTGACCGCGGTATCCATGGGCTAACGGATTGAGATGGACTTTGAAAATCTTGAAGGCGTCACTGTCGGTCTCGATGCGTTCCGCGACCTCATCGAGACCTAGGTCGTCTTGTGCGTAGTGGGATGACCTGACTTTTTTGAGCGCGACATCGGTGACTAGTGGTATAGCGCAGGCAGGATCAGCGCTTGACCCTACTACTGTACCCTGTTCCTGTCTATTCCTCGGTATCCGATGACTTACCTTGTCCTTGACTGCGAACAGCTTTCCACTCGCTTTCATAGGTTCTGAGGTTCTTGTGTAGATTGGTCCGTAATCCATATAGACCTACACCCTTCGCCTGCTCGTCTACGCCAGGCCAATATTCGAATTTGCCAAGTCGGTCGCCCATGAGACTGGTGAATAATCTCCCTGTGTGTCCAGCAACCAGTTAGCAAAGAGACGTGCATTCAGAGAAACAACACGTGCCAAACAGGTTCCAAGACGTAATACCATCCAGCAGCACAAACTCGCTGATCTGATCGGATGTAACGCCGAACGCCTTCATGAAGTCTACGTTCCGGAAAGAGAGAGTCGTTTGAGAGTAGTGAACAGTCAAGGAGTATAAGGTCCAAAGAGAAATAGTATTTCGAGTTTGGTATTGAAGAGCGAAGCGTAGGTAGAATTCACAAGTCGTTAGCGCAGAGACTTTGAGCCAGGCCGGCCTGGCGCACGCAGTCCTTCTGTCTGGCTGCACTTACCGAGTCGTAATTCCATAACAGCTTGATCGAAGCTTACCCAGTCGTCGAGAGTACGCCATTGCCGCTCCTTGACTTGGCTGGAACCGCCTCTAGCGGCACCGTCGAAAGCAAAGACTTTGCTGGCTTGCAACCATTCGTCGTAGAAGTCGCCGATATCGCTGCAGTCGACGTAGCGAGCAAGCGTGATGGCAAGGAGTGGCTGCAAGCAGTTCTTCTTCTTGGTATGAGCATGAGCGGCGACTTGTTTGATATCCATCTATCATTATTTGCGGGGCGTGAGTGAGTCGACGAGCTACGGGTTTCATCGCGCGAGAGCTGCACCCCACCTTTAGATCGTCGACAAAGAGCGATTTGATGGCGTGATCACCGGCTTCGACCTGGGATCGAAGCGAGTGGGTTGACTGTGTCGGGAAGCCAATAAGGTCTGTCTCAGCCTGATGTTCCAATTCAATGCATAGGAACGAGGGACTGTGCGGCTTCAGTCGACTTGCCTGTTGTTTGGCATCGATAGCGATAGCCCAAGGATTCGGGGGATAAGAAGCGGGTTTCAGAAGGGTGATATAAGGTGATTCCGAGTTGTAAGCCTCTGTGCCGTTCACGTCCCGCTGGTAGTGAGCTTTGATGAATCCGTCCATGTCTATATTCCAGACGGGACCATGCCTTTTTTGAAACGCAAGGAAGATATCGTGACGTTTAGGGTCGCTGGCGGCCCAAGCCTCTCGCTCGCTCTCGATCAGGGATATGACGTCGTTCTCGTCGGCGTGGCGTGCCTCTCGACGTTGATGGATAACCGTAGCGTTGTGCTTCCTGACATCCTTGGGTATGGATTGTCCGCTGTAGCAGCCGGGGACATCACAGTAATTCATGGTCGAGAATCTTGGCGAAGCAGTGGAGATGAAGGGTGAAACAGTGATGAGGGATGAAGGAGCGATGAGCGATGAGAATTAGAGGAGCGAGGAATTCTGTCGGAGCAGGTATGATCTTGACGTTGGAAAGAGGAAGGCGAAGAAAATTCTCAAAGGACCCTTTGATGAGGATCGTCGCTTCTTATAAACGATTTGCGACCCGGCCAGTTCAGGCCACACAAAAGCGCGCGCCTGCGTCCACCCGAAACACGACCGCTCGAAGGTTCCGTTCCTTCCTGGGTGACGATTGATCGAGCTCTTTTAAATCGAGTCGATCTCTTCCCACAGCTGTCGATAAATTGGTTCCTTTTCTTAGGTTTCACACATATACGACATGCCCTATTACGATACCATTCCCGATCTTTACAAAGATGAGGCCAAGCGTCACCGTCCACTCCTTCATGACTTGATTCAGAGAGATAGGATCACCAGGATCCGCAGCGTTCAAATTGCAGACTGGATTGGGCTTCTCGAACATCAAGAACCTCTCGACCACCTAGAAAAGGTTCTAGCATGCGGCCTCACCATCTCAGCTGCGGGTGGAGGGACTCTCTCGTATGCTCTAAACCGACTGGAAGCTCGAGGACCCAACGCGTACCCGTACTTGAATCTACAGGACTTGATGCCCAAAAATCGACGAGACCTCACGAGCAATGACACGGGAATCTACTTACTCGCTTTTCACGATGAAGAGGATGTCGAAGTTCGCGGTTACGTTGGAAAGACTAGCGACAGCTTTCAGGGAAGATGGAGAAGTCATAGGAGGAAGGGCGTAAATCGGAAGATACAGGTAGGGTCGCGCCTCGGTGGAACGCGCGCCTAGCAAATCGCTAACAAAGTGTCCCGTTTGCGCACAACCCTCACTGCGCACAACCCTCACTGTACAGGCGCTCATGGATAGAGGAATCGATTTCTCCCCAAGCATCCTGCTTAACACCCAGCGGGTTGCCCTGCCATACCGTACTCCCGGGTTGACATCAGCGCTCGAGGTACTGATGAATCTGCTCACCGGCGCTACACATGGGAGGAACCTCAACGTCAATATTTTCGACATACACTATGATCCCAACGCTCCCGACGCTCTTGAAGGCCACTTGACACAAGAAGCTCATGCTCTCTACGACGCCTTTCTCGATCACCTCATGACTGGTAAAGGTGATCTTGTCTGTTGTACTGATCGTGGCGCTTGTCAATTCGTTACTGATCGTGGGATCGATTTGCGATAAAGATTGTCCTGCAGTACGGGAGCGAAAGGAATGGCTGCGTATACTGGGCGTACCTTTAAAGCGCTTCCTCGACCAGTAAGTGATCTTGTCTATTTTGATCGTGGCGCTTGTCCACTCGGTACTGATTGTGTCATAACACTGCACAGCGGACTCGATTTGCAACACGCCATCGATATTTGCCGAGGTTACAAGTGGAAGAGAACGTTCGAGAGATACAACATGCCCAAAAAGTTGGAACCTTATCAACTTCAAATCAAGACGAGAAGCCAGCCTGCCGATCAGCCGGCGTCTACCACCGTCAAACCTTCTCCGTCTGGCACCCTGAAGCTTTCCTCGTCTGGCACCCTGAAGCTTCTCTCGCCTGCCACCGTCAAGCCATCCTCGGCTGCCGCCGTCAAGCCATCCTCGTCTGCTAATAAACGAACGATCAGCTTTATCGACATGATGAAGGCTGCTGGAATGGAAGTCGCTCCGGCAAAGAAACTTCGACTCAATTAATCTGAAGAAGCAAGCTCGGCTCAATTTAGCTACACGGATTTCGTCTCAAACCCTATCTCTCGTTCCGTCTCTCCTTATCGCCATTCATCTTCTCATTCCGTCGACCAAACGCGAGCAGGATTTGAGCCCTTGCTCGACCCAACCTCGACGAATATGACCGGCCTCCGCGGCACTCAAAAGGACCACTGTATCAATCGCTCTCAAGTAACACCACGAATCTCTCAGTTTCACTCTCATTTCGTTGGAACATCAGCAATCACACCAATCTTCAGCGTTCCCGCAATCAGCTCACTCTGACGAGTATCACGCTCTCGCACGAGGTCTCGCTCGTACTGCACCGAGAGCTGGTTCTGTACCGATCCCAGCTATCACAACGGCGCACCTTACGGAAGCCATCATATTTCATCACTCCCTCGCGCATTCGACACCAAAGGTCTATACCGCCCATGCCTTCTTTGGCCACAATGCATATCTCCACGTATATCCGCTGCACTGGCGCGGTAGTCTTTCACCAGACTATCGCGCGACCGACACCGACTGTCTACATCGCCCATAGGCCCATAACATATCATCTCTGGCCGTCCGAAGGACACGCTTCACGGGACCCGCGCGTCTCTCTACTATTTGCCTCGAACTTTTCTATCTACTGCGACTTTGCGCGGATGTCCCTTCTACTTCGCCCAATACTCTCGCCTGAGCCATCAGAACACTTTCGCTTGAACCATCAAATTCTTTCGCTTGGATTATCACTCCTCAAACCAATTTACGGACGTTCTTTCGCCATTACTTTCGCTTGAAAGAGCACTCCTCAAACCAATTTACGGACGTTCTTTCGCCATTATTTTCGCTTGAATGAGGACTCCTCGAATCGCTTTCGGTCTCGCTTGAGTCATCACTCCTCAAAGCACTTTCGGTCCGACGGCACGGCATACGTTAGAAGGAGATGAGAGCCGCACTCGTGAGCTACACGGATTCTCTTCCGAGAACGGCGCTGTACTTCACGGTACTCGATCAAAATCGCCGCCCTTCTCGACTCGAACGCCTACCTCAGGCTCCGAACCCCCGCACATCTACAAGAACCGTATCTTTTACCTCTGCACATCTACAAGGACCGCATCTTTCACGGACTCTTCTCGTACCTCCTCGTAGCAAAACGCGCCAGGAAGCGCCGGCGAAGAACGCTGTCTGTCACGGAGAACGCTGGATGTCACAGTTGCGTCAAATTCATGTCGAATTACATTCAATAAATACGCGACCTTTCGGGCACTTGCAGATTTGGATCAACGTCTCGATGGATATCGTATCGACTTAGAGCCAATCCTACGATTGACTTTGACTTTGCTGAATTTGCTCACTTTGATAACGATCATGCTGATATCTCATACGTCCGTAACGAGGCTGTGCAAGGGCGACCAGTCCAATCTGGTCCCGGATCGATTCAACCCGGCCATGTCTAGCAGCGGTAACGGTCGCGCCTTGAAGAAGAGCCCCGTCTTCAGCGCGGTGCGACGGTAGTTGGCCCTAGCCCGCCAGCGAGTCCAATCGGGCGGATCGTCAACTCGTCCACGTTCAAAACCCTGAACCGCCCCTGACCTTCGAATCGTTCCAGGCGTAGCCAAATCAAACGATCGTCAAGATCCCCCTTGCCTTGGTTGATTCTGGATATCGAATCACTGTGTATCACTCGACTTCATAACGAAGCGGTTTAGAGACACCAAGCCTGATTGGGTCCAACACAACGATGCGTTTGATGGGTACGGTTTCGAGTCTGTCCATGATCGGTAGGCTATCGTCTGCGTTGGCGCACCACACGCCGGTTAGGGTCACGACGTTTGACCGCCTCGACCATTCCTGCATCCTGATTCCTGCGCGCCCTGTCATGTTTGCCGGGAGAGAGTGAGGTTATGCACCGTTACCCACTATGTGGATGTACAAAGCGACGGCGTTTCGAGATACTTTCGATTGCGCGATCGGCTGGTCAGTCGTACATACCTGGCATTCGCTGACCCCTAGCCTGATGAGGTCGTAGGGTACGACGCTCCCATCCCGTTCGTCCTGCTCGCTTCGCTGAACGAGATACAGAGTGACCGGCGGTGGGGAACCGGGTTGTCGGAAACTCACAGCCGAAATCCCTCTGCTTGCACTTGCGAATCTGCCTCAAATCACGAGAACAGATCGCATCACCGGGGCTGATGTGAGTTCCCCCAAATCACAGGGTTCATCAACAACAGTCCTTGTAAGGATTTGGTCGTCTTTAGTCAGATCAGGCCGACCAGCCACTGCCGCAAGAACTGCGGTGGGCGATCAACTGCCTTCACTGACTGCAGAACTTCTTCAATCATCAACATTAAGCCGATCGTCGCCGCCAGCAACCCCGAAGGGAATGGGTTGGGTGGGTGATCACTGCTCTCATGTATCTGATTTTCAGAATCGACCAAGGCAAGGGGGACATCGATGCTCGTCGATCGTTTGCAACAAGAACGACTTTGATGTCGAGGGCGGTCGAGGGTCTTTTTTTCGCGGACGAGTCGGGGCGAGCCACCCAGTGAATCACAGACGGCCGCGCTGAATGCGGAGCGCTTTTTCTTGGCGATGGTTTCGATGCGGCAATTACCGCTGCTAGACATGGCCGGGTTGAATCGATCCGGGACCAGATTGGACCGGTCGAGCCACTTCGATTCACCGCGCATCCTGTAGCGGATTGGACCTCGCGCGCCTCGATGGTTTGTACCGGTTGGTCGGATAAACGTGTAGGGTGGCGCATAGCGGCGAAAATTCATCAACATCTTCGATAGTGCAGCGGAATCGTCCGGTAGCAGTCAAGCCTGTACGGGCCCCATACCAGCGAGCTGGTGAGATAAAGAGATCACGAACGGACGAAGCGCCGAACCTGCAGAAAACTTTGACCCGACCCGAATAGCAGAATCGTTTCGCATAAATCCACACCTCCTGCCCGACAATCATCGCTCGTTATCATAACGTTTGAGTATCCGATCCCCGAGTCCCGTCTTTGTACTGCCGATCATTATGACGTATGTGTTCCATTCGATCCCGTAAATTCCGTCGCTTCGTCAACCAGATCGAAGCAATGGAAGGATTTCTTACGGTTCCTCGACCCCTCGCATACTGGAAAAGCAGTTCGTCGGTAGCCCTAACCAGGGCTGAGCTACGACAGTTCATCATCAAGGCCGACGGCGAGACGGTGGGTCGGGAAAGTGGAAGAAGCAGGAGGGTGACGCGCTACACGTGATTCTCCGCTCGAGGCGGATGATGTAGTTTGACAGAATTACTGACAGGGCATAATGTATAAGGGTCGTGAGAGAATGTGAACCGATGAATTACAGCGTCTATCGTCTTCCGTGAGTTCCTCTCGACGTTTCTCGCGTTTGAGGAGATTACTTGCTGGTCTCCTCTGTGGAACGAAGGCAACAACGTGCGGTGAGCCAAATGATTCGATGAGGATTGTATGGAAACAAACACCTCTTCACCTACCTTTAAGATAGGCCACAAGGTTCTGTCTATTAGGATGATAGCGCAGTGCAAGTGAGGTTAGTCCCTATCATCTGCATGAACTCTATACGGAGTGACGATCGGAAAGCCATAATCTCGAGGAAGGGGCAATAACGAGTAACGAGCAGCGAAACAGTTCACGCACCTGTCCCCTAATTTCTTCAATCCAGCGAACGCCATCTTCGTTCCCGGAATGTATTTCTAAAGAGACGAGGTCAGAAACGCGTAGAAGTTCGAAGATTGCGTCGGGCTTACCTTGGGGTTCTCTGCATACGATGAAGGATAGGCGAGGCAAAGTTAGCTACTGGACAGCCGATATGATCGAGCGGGAACAACGAACCTAAATACTCGGTCATAGTATCGACCTCCCAGACAACACCTTTGTTGACGTTGGCGGCAGTGTAGGAGAATCCTTCCGCTTGACCCGATCGGCGTCCGAAAACCCCATGCAGGTTGGGGCCGACCTAGTTGCAGAGGAAAGGCGAGACCGCATCGGACAGACATCAGCTATCCTATCTCAACTCGAGCAAGATGATGCTAGTCTCCCGCCAGGGTTTCACACGAGACCCGACTGGTAGCTCACCTTGTTGGGCTCACCGGCACCGAGGGTGTGGCATTGAGCACATCGGGTCTTGAAGAGCGAAGCTCCCTTGTTGACGTCGGCTAGGTTGAGTGAAAACGATCGAGGTCGAGGAGGAAGGATACGTCGTGATCAGCTCGAGATCGGCAGATCGCGCGAAGGCGGGACCACCGGCTCACCAGGCATTTTGTAAGAGTTGTTTTGTGTAAGTGGGTAGTGAAGTGGGTAAAGAGTAGGTGTTGAGTATCAGCAGAGCAACTCGAGTGTGGCGATATAGATGTGGTCTAGATCGATCGAAACAATTTCAAGAGGACGACCGAGGTTGAGAGGGGGGGGAGGATGCGGATGCTGGCGGCGGCGAAAACTCGACCCTCCGCCCAATTGTTGACGAGCGCGCGGAAAACAAAGCAAACAGCCGCGATCTGGCTGGTCAGAGCGTGCTCAGGGCGGTGGCCGAGGGGAAAGGAGCGAGTTCCGTTCCGAATTCACCCGACCCAATGAGAGTCAGGTGATTTTGAAAGAGGCGTTTCAGACGCGGACTGTGGCTGAAACTCGATGTCCGCGTTAGAAAACCCCTGGTCGCGTCGCCCTGACGTCAGCGAGGTGGATCTTGAAACCCGTCGCGACAAGATTCATATTGCATGTTGAGCGATCAGATCAAGAATTCAAGCAACAACTAAACAACGCCGATATCGTTTCAAGCTTTGTTTCCATCACCACATCGTAGATAATCAGCCTCAAATACTACGATGTCCACGACAACCGCCACTCGCCCCGACCAACCCGAGACCAAGCTCGACACGGTCAAGAAATCCGCCGCCTACCTCATGTACGGTTCAGCGGCCGGTGCATCTGCGGTACCCAAGAGCTGGAAGACCCGTTCGGTATTGACGACGGCGAGGTACTTTTCCAAGTACATCTTCTGGAGGGTGCTTCGATATGCCAAGTATGCCATTGCCGTGAGTTTCAATGTCGTCAGAGTTGACGAAGAGACCGACACCAGGAAATAACAAGGCTGACCGCTTGCCCTTGTCTCGGATTTCAGGGAGCCGTGGCTACCGCACTCGGAGGCACCTTGCTCGCCGGGATAACATCCGGAGCCACCATGCTAGTCGCCCCCTCCTTCTTCAGCGCGACCGCCCTGGGTACAGGCTGGGCGGTGACCAAGTTCGCCTGGCACCACCGACCCAACTCTATCCGTCGTATCCAGGCGAACATCGAGAACCTCTTGCACCTCTCGCCGAGTAGCACGACACCTACGCCGGGCGAGGCTCTGGCTGCATCCTCGTCAACGGGGACTAGCTCGAGTCCGTGGTTCGAGCGGATCAGGGAACGGGCTCATTCGGGGTCTGATGCGAAGGACGACGAAGAGGTGGACCACGTCGGCGACAAGGTGCAGAGCGAAGCACGGGATCAGCGGGCTAGGGCTTCGGTATGAGCTGAGAACGGACAGCGGCTGGGTGTGACCGAATAGAGGACAAGCAAGGGATACTGTATCGATTATAAACATGAGGATTGGGATTACACGCCGCACTCCTGACGGTTGACAATCTCCATGCTCAACCGTCAGTGACACCATGCTAGCAAAAGGAGCCGCGCACACTGAGCTTTCAAACCTCTTATGTTGGAAAGGAACAGACAGATACAGTTTGGAGACCACATGTATCAAGGCAAAGAGTGATGCGGTGGAAGTTGTGACAGATTTGTTGCTGAACGGGAAAGACCAGAGGCTGATAGACCCGCAAGAACTCTACCCAAGTGCGGTCTACTTTGGCCCTGGTGGAAGTGCTTTACCGTCTCCTTTTCCTCATCCTCGGCCTAGATATGCCCGAACCACTGACAGTGCCGCCCGAGCAGTCGAGCCTGATCAGCCTGACGGCCAAACACAATGTCGCAAGATGATAGATAGTCATACAACCCGAACCGTACAAACCCAAAGTCCCGTAAAAAGTCGTTATGAGAGAAAGAAAAACAACAAGTCATTACGTCTATCCATTTCCCTCTCTCGTTTCTTGCTTGGGCCGATCCCCCGACACACGTCTAGGGGCTTCCCTCGACGACCCCCAAAGGCGGCTCGGCGAGCAACAAGCTCTGTTCGCTCCCGACTCTGCTCCCATTTCCGCCCTGGCCCTCGACATCCCTTCCCGTCTGCCCATTATCGCGAGAATCGTCCAGGTCCGAGTTGGAAACAGAGACTGCGGGATACTGTTGCTGTTGTTGTTGTTGGTGGTGATGATGGTCGTGATCGAGGTCGGTAGAAATGAGATCATGAATCGACGTCTCGATCTGGTCTATACGGTCCGACATGTGGTTCACTGGTAGCATTTCGAAGGGCAATTGAGATAGAGCGACGTCAGCGGGATGAACAGTCGGCACATTCGTACTCAGAAGCAAAATAAAGAAGAGGCAGACTCGAGCAGGGACTTACTTCGCTCTCTGTGAAGGGTTATAGAGGAAAGCATAGGTCAGCGGGAGTTTAGGAAGAGGTAGGGAGGGTGGAAAGTGTACTTGCAATAGATCGTGTGACATCGAATCAAACTTCCCCTCCAGGTCTGATAACAGCTTGTCCACCTATCACAACAGCAAGCAATAGGACAAACATCTCGTGAGTCTCAAGGAAACGGTCTTGAGGCGGGCGACCTGGTCCTATCGACTTACAAACACCGTCAACTCGCCAGGACTCTTGACACCTTCCACCCCCGCTCCGGCCCCGTTGACCAACGACCTCCTCCTATCCGCAGCATTCGAACCGGTAACAACACCGCCAGCACCCGGAGTGACGGTCGTCTGCCTAGCCAGACTGGGACGTCGAACGAGTCCTCCTGGTTTCGAGGGAGAAAGCGAGGCGAACCTGCCGTTCTGCGTTTCTCGTGGTGAAGGGGAGGTCCTGGGCGTGATGGTGGTCGCCGATGAAGAGGTCGTAGAGGTGGATGCGTTCAGGTTGGCGCCGGACATGATGAGTGTGTATCTCGAGTGGGTGGTCTGACGAGATAGAACACGTTGTATGGTATGAGTGAGCGAAGACCTGAACAATATCGACCTCGCATTGTTGTTAATTGTTGATGATGTCGAATGTCCCAACCTTGTTCCGAGCGAGCGAGTTGAAGGGGCGCGGAACCTTTTTTCGCCCGACCCTCGACCTCCCTCGACCTTTCGATCGATCTCGACCTAGAACTTTCGTGCTATCTCCACATCGGAACATTCAATAATAATCATAATATACACATCAGGATCCCGCAACACAACACAATCAGCTATAGAACAGGCGTAGAAACGCTGCAGCCTGACGGCCCAGGATGCCCGCCCTTCGACTGCCCAACGCGGCCATCTACACCCAGGCAATCTTTTCACCAGGAAAGCTCAACCCCGATCTTTACGCCCCGAGTGAGTCCAGGTCGGGCCGCCTCTGTGCATAGTGTTGTGTGGCATACGGTCGTCTTACGGTCACATTCCATCCTGCCTAGGCATATCACATATCGACTGGAAAGCCCTGAAACGAAGAGGTTTCAACGCCGTCGTCATCGACAAGGACAATTGCCTCGTAAGTTTCTCAATCCCGATCTCTCCCAGGGCGCGGGCATCTACCGTTCTCTGATTACTATGATAATGATATGTTCCTCCTCACATCACAGACATACCCTTACAAAGATCCGCTACACCCCTCGATAGAAAACGGGTGGAAGGACCTGAAGGAAACCTTTGGACCCGGCAGGGTACTGGTCGTCAGTAATTCCGCGGGTACGAGAAAGGATTTCGGAGGAATAGCCGTGAGTTTCCTGCAAAGCCGTATTGTTAGCAATCCTATACAAGTCCAGGTTGTTCGATACTGATATTCTTTTCGGTCGCTCCTCTATGGCATGACATCGGCAGGCAGAATCCGTCTCCCGCAAACTAGGCGTCCCCGTCCTCATCCACCCTCAACCCAAACCCGGATGCGCACAAGACATCATCTCCTACTTTTCCGGCGAACTACCCTTGCACTCCTTGACCGACCGATCACGGATAAAACATCTCGGCCCCGAGGTGGAGAGGGAGATCAAAGAGGCGGTCAGGGTGGATTTGAGGCAGAGGAGGGAAGAGGGGGAGACTCTGTTAGGCAGGCAGGCGGGGACGATCAGGGCAAGGGATGTTAAGGGTAAAGGCAAGGCCAGGGAGGTCGATATCGACTCTGCTTCTGAGTCGGGAAATAACGACCCGAACGACCCCTTGAGGATCTTGGTCGTTGGTGATCGACTCGCCACGGACGTCCTCCTCTCCCGCCGACTCTCCAAACATCTCGCATCCACCTCTGCCTCGACCTCCCAAACCAAATTTCCCGGCTCGGCCTCACCAGACGATTTACCACCAACCATATCGATCATCACGACCGAGCTGTTTAAAAGACGCGATGTCAGGCTTCTAAGGTGGCTGGAAAAGACGTGGTCACGGATAGGTTACAGGCCTACGGCTGTTGAGCGGGGGACGAGGGCTGGGTGGGAGACGTTTCTCTTAAAGAGGTCTCTGGAATTGAAAGACGCCGAAGAGGGATCGACCGGACTTAAAATCCAAGACGGACCTACGAGTTCGAGATTGGTACGGCTGATCGCCTTGATCAGGGGTATACCTGGCGGGATCCGGAGACTACGGAACTGGAGACCGCCAACTGCCCGGCAGATTGTCTCTCACGCTCAACATGTGCTCGTGAGGAACGTCCGGAGCGCCACACCCGTCGTCATTCGAGGCCTCAGATCAGGTCTTGGAACGGTAGGCGACCGCGCACGGGGTCTCGTCCTCGCCCGACGTAACCGAACATATTCGACTTCGGCCAATCTTCATCGGTTTTATGCGCAGCGGAGGGGGTTCGGAACGATGGGAGGGATGAGACTGAACATCAAGCATGATCTTCCCATGGAACCTTACAAGGCGCCGAAATCGGTGCTAACCCAACTCGGGACTGATCGAATGTACGAGCGATTTCCGGACGATGTCGACTATTCACAGTTCTCGGCTTCGTTGGACCGAATGCCGATGAAGCCCCCGGGATCTTTCGGGTTGGACCACTTGGAAACCCTCGAGGACAACGAGATCGTCAGCGTGCTCGACGAGGTCCTCAAGGTCCGCGCCGAGAACCCGCACTTGGAACATTGGGATATGGGCTTGATCTCGATCATGCTGTCGATTCGATCTCGAGGGTCTTATGACAAGATTCTCCGTACCATCTCGCCTAGTAGCATGGCGAGCCTGATCGCCTCGCTGTTGTCCATCGGAGCTATTCACTTGGGACAGCTGGTGATGCACGACATCGCCATCCGCCCGAGAATCGCAGACGACGTCAAGATCGCCGTGCTCAGGGCTTGTACTTCAGGTCAAGCGGCTATCATGGGTCTGGACAAGTCGTACCTCTCCCGACTCGTCGCCACGGTTACTGACGAGAACCTCGGCTTGTCCACATCCGATCGGACCGGGGAGACGGCTCTCGTTCCGCACAATGGTGAAGATCATCTTGCCGGCCTACAGAGCATACTGGAAGGATACCTGCAGGAGCAGGGTCCGGCCAAGACCTCGTCGGCCCGAATCTACAAGACGCTCTACACGTACACGGCCGAGGTCGTCGGGCTCGGCCTAGGCGACACCGTCTCCGCCCGAGAACGGGAACGGAAGGCCAAGTGGTTGGTCTACCGGGTCATCGTCTCGCTGTTGAAACGAGACGAGGTCGTCCCCGCGCTCAAGATCTGCAAACTGCTCGGTCAGGCCCGATGGTTCGACCTGTCGGTGTTTGCCAATCGTCAGACGGGAGGCCAGTACTTTGCCGAGTCTACCAGTTTGCTGATCTGGTGTGGTGTCGTCCGCGGGTGTACCGATCTTTTGTGGATCGAGCGAGCTTGGGGTCTGGCTTTGGGAGCCAAGAAGCTCGGGAGCAAGCTGGCGGGAACCGATAATGTCGCCCTAGGCGTGTGGAGCGAGACCATCAACCAGCTCGCGAGGACGTCCTTGGCTTCGAGAGACCCTGCCCAAGTTGAACCGCTCAAGGCGCTCCTGTTGGGCCCACCTCTTCAGCAATCGGGGTTAGTTCTCTCACGCTCGGTCTTGGATAGTTTCTACACCGCCCTGGAAGAATCCTCGATCGCCACGGTGTGGAGCGTTTACCGCCGGCTCCGAACTCAAGGTTATCAGCCTCCTCGTGACACCTGTCTTCTGCGTCTTTATGATTACCTGGCGCGAACGAGTCGGACGGGTCGGACTCAATCATCCGTCGAGACCTTGGTCAAGGACGTCCAAGCATCGTCAGAAACGCTTTCGCCTCAGTACATGCCCTGGTTCATCACCTACCTTTCTCGAAGCCGGAGCAAGGAATCCGCTCGACGTTTCTACGAAAATGCCGTTCAGCACGGCTCGGAAGCGATGCGAACGGCGGTTTTACAAAACCCATACGTCATGTATGGACTCGTTCGAGCATTCGGCGGTCAACGTACTGTGACCAACGCCCGGTCGTACGATCGAGGGTTTGCCCACTCCGTCATCCGGGCCTTCATCGCGTCCTCGCCGCCCGTAACAGATCTGACGCCAACGACCATCGGCTTGTTGGCGCGGAGTTTTGTCCTGGTCCAAGCTCCCAGCTCGGCGGAAAAGCTCTTCCAGCACACCTTTCCCGCAGGTACCGTGGCAACGACAGCGGGAACGATGGTGGCGTCCAAGGGAACCGCCTCGGAAGCAAGTCGCGATGCCTTTATCGCCGTGCTCGTCAAGGGCTACGCAGAGGCCCTACCCGCGTTTGTGCAGTACGTGATGAGATATGGCATCTCGCTGACCAGGACGCAGATGAACATCTTGACGACGTCTGTCGGGACGAGCAAGAGTGGGCTGCCCAAGAAGGAAATAAAGCAGCTTGCGCAAACATGGCGCACCTACTGCGACGAGATCGCGTCTGGTTCATCATGACCAGGATCCTCCTGATCGCGCCCCGGCGGCATGATACGGTAGCCTTTGTAATGTTTCAGTAAAAGACCGATGGGATGTCACCTGAATATGACGATGAGCGATATTTCCAAGTCGCCCCTCCACCGACCTGCGTTCAATCAGGTCCTGATTCATGACTGTCTGCTGCCAATTAATCCGCTCAGTGTGTGGCTGAGACCATGATCCCATCCGAGAAACCGGGAGGTGGATCTGGGTCGCGCGGGAAGGTGCAAAAAGTTCCGGATCAACCGCGTTCCTGATCATTCATCATCATCATCCCATCACGCCCCTGCTTTGATGACCAGATATCGAAGAGAGGAGAGTCTCGGATGACTCGGACGTTTCGTTGGAACGGGTTTGTCTTTCACAAGTCCCGTGTGGCTTCCCATGCCTGCTCTTCAACGCGATAATTCGTCTCAGTTCGGCACGCCATCCCAGGTTGGCGCAAGCAATCGGTTCGTGAGTCCTGCTGCCACGACCACCACGTCTCGCTCGCTGTGAATCAACATTGTCAGCAAAACGATAGGACTCATTAGCGAAGGGAGTCCACATTTGCCAAGATCATCGATCAGACACAACACTAGTGCCACTGCAGATCGCTACAGAAGCTTCTGCCCATCTGTCGAGTCGCGAGGTCGACGGGCCCGAAGCAGAATTGAAGTTTCCTTCCGAAAGATAGTCCAGAGCCACGAACGCTATCCATGATTCCCCAAGACCGAGGCCGCGTTCTCACAGGCTCAAAGTGTCACGGGAGGCTTTTCCGGCCGTTCCAAATCGATCCAGAGCGATCGCGACTAGTCTCTAACGCATGTATAGCATATAAGGTCACCAACGTTTGGCGGATGTCAGACTCGAGACTGTACAAAATGTCGTCTCTCGGTTTGTAGCAGAGTCCAGGCGACTTTGACCCACCTACACAGCAGCCTGCCTCGGGGTTCTCTACCGCGTCGCGTGTGTTTGTTTCCCTCGATTCTTTCCTCTTCCATCAACGCCGTCGTCCGTCTCGTCCTCGTGGGATCGGATCGATCGAGCGGGTCGAGTCGGTCGGGAAGCAGCAGTCGCCGTCCTGGATTGCGAAATCACCCAACCAGTTTGGGAAAAAATTGGTCCCCGCCATGACTTCACTGCTATCCTCGGGACCGTCGAACGACTTGGTGTTTCGCCAGACACACAAATCCATTCAACCTTCCACCCAGACCGTACCTGCCAGATCGCCTCTTCGCCCGGCACCTAGATCGAATCGGGACAAGGAACGGGCGAGGACCAAGTTGCTAGACACCGTCCAGAATCGTGACGAATACGACTCGACTTCGATAACGTTGCCGCGGGAGGACCGGGATTCCTCAGAAGACGACGACACCTCCTTGCTAACACCTGGCCTATCAGTATCTTACTCCTCAACCAGCTGGTCATCGGCAAGCGAATCCGCAGAATTTTCCCTTGCTAGACCCCCATCTCGGCCTCTTTTCAGTAAGTAATTAGATGCGTCATTTCCCAATCCTCGTCACTGATAACCTTGACGATCCCTCTCGCATCTTTCAGTCAAACAATACAGCAGTAGCGATTACGCTTGGGGTGCAAGCGCAGTCTCGTTGCTCTTGCCGACGCCAACAAAGCAAACCGGTTCTGCTACTCCCACTATCATGCAACGAGATGACGGGATCTGGTCGAGACCGACCTTTGGGCAGGAGGAGCGTGCCGACACCGGGTTATCTTTTTGGACTGCCGGATCTCATCCTCAAGACACCCCTCCCTTGTCGCCTTCGCCTCTTAACCTAAGCGCGCCGTTCATACTGGGTCCTCCCGTCTCGATGCCTACGAACGGCGGGCCCGTCTCCCCCGCCCTAGATTCGGAGATCCCTGCACTCCTCGACTCTCCCATGCCGCCCAACTCTTCGCCACCTAACGCTCCCAAACTAGGCTCGAGCTCGACTCCTCCTCGAGCACCCAGGGCTCCGACATTTGATTCCCCTAGCCGGTTCACCCAGACCAGCAATTCCTATCCTTCCCCTATCCAAGCGGGGTTCAGGACCCCTGTCTCCAAGGCATCCTCTTCCCGCAGGTCGGTGTCAAGTGCCAAGGTAGCTCGGGCTCTTACCTTTGGGGACGACGAACAGGCCGGGTTCTCTCCCCTGAGTTACGATGCCCGAATAGCAGGATTTACTTCCCCGCCGGCGATCGAGAAAAAGTCTTCCTTCAAATCCCTGTCGTCTGCTGGCAAGCGAGAGGCATTTGGATCTTCGAACGAGCGGGAAAGCAGTGACGACCGAGATTCATCATCCCGTGGACACGCCACAGACAGACAGAACGTCCTACGATCATGGGCGGAGGAGAGAGAGGACGAATTCGACGGGAGACCACCCGCGCTGATGTCGACCGGCATGATGGCGTTACATTCTGACAGCCATCTCCAACGGGTGCCGTCATCGTCCACGCTGGGCGGAGGGCGAGGCCAGATAGAGGTGGATTCCGTATTTCAGACCCACGCGCCTTCTCCACCTCGCGAACGCCCGACCCCAGCTCCCGTCTCCACGCAACCGCTGCAAGGCGAATTCATCAACATGGGCGATGGACTGGCAGGAGGTCCGCAGAGGGATGCTCGTGGCAAAAAGATCAATGTGGATAAATGGAGGCGCGCCGATCCCTTGAGCGCTCCCTTGGAAAGCGGTAAAGAGAAGGATTTGGGTGGATTCAAGAAGCGCTTCTCTGCGTCCCTCATGAGCCTCGTGGGCCATACAAAGCAGGCAGATGCAGGATCATCTGGGATCCCCAAACGGTCATCCGGGGAAAGTCAAGATCAGACGCCTGGCTCACGCGCGAGGAAACTATTCTTCCGTAGATCGAGCGCTGCCAAAGACCTCGAACCCGAGCAGCCTCCTCAGGTACCTGCGCGTACTTCATCATACAAGAACCAGTCGTTCTTGCGCAATCGAGCGCAGAGGCAATCTAGCCACACCAAACCCCTCCCATATTCGCCTTCCATGCCCATCTTGTCTGAAAGCCTGCAACGCGACACGCCGAACGATGACCGTATCATTGCGTGGCTCTCGACTACATCCCTGAACCTGGAATCCATGGACACGCAGAACCGTCAACGGAGACCAAAGGCGGCGCTTGGATTTCCAGACGATCGGATGAATTGGAGCGCGGCACGTTCTCGACCAGTGCCAACCAAATTGCAGGGAAACCCAAGCGCGAATGACCCGCCGATGGATAACATCGAGTCTCGCCCAACATCGATGGCCTTGTTTTCCAAACCAGCGATCGAGTCGCCATCTGCAAGTCTGCCCAGCAGGGCTTCGACTCCGGTTGCAGAAGATGGGCAGATCCCAGTCAAAAAGACCCGACCTCGATCATTGGCGCGCCTATCCCTGCTGTTCCGTCGAAGCAACTCGTCCAAGACGAGTCTGGTCAGTCCGGTCAAATCTCCGCAAAGGCTCCACACGGGCGACGCCTATCAATTCCCCCCTATAGAGTCTCGGCGTCAATCTGACTCGTCGCAAGCAGGTCTTCCCAAAGCCCAGAGGTCTCCCCATGAGGGCGAGCCTCTCGATGCTCCCGGCTCGCGTTGGCAGAGCCGACGCTCGAGCGGTGACTGGCGCAAACTCTTGCAAAGTTCCTCTACCGTGCTGCGTCCTGAGGAAGCGGACCACTTTGCCAGCATCGTCAGCGGCCCCTCGCCCACGATCCCCAGCTTGAGCAGATCATCAACTCCTGCATTTGAAGCCTCTCAGCCTTCGGTCTCGGTCGAGGATGATCAGCCAAAAGTCGCAATGCCAGAATTCCCAGTTCTGCGATCCCCCTTGGACAAGTCATTCTCGCTGCTCAGTGAAGTCATTGAAGAAGAGGACCACGCAAACATGACCGCAACGACCGTTCGGGCCGGCCCGATGACGACCTCTGTCGGAGTACAGACTGATCCTCTAGCCTGCTCGCACTGTTCCACGGTGGAACGCGCTCCTAGCGGGCGATATCTTTCCGGTAGACCCATGTCCCGGAATGGCGACAAATCCAGACATCAGCGACACAGCCATCGTGCCAGCGCATCTTCGACCTTGCTTTCCGAAGTGACCGAAGCGTCCGCTGTCGCCGATAACGATGTGCGCATTCGTACCATTCTATCCAGCCCGGTACATTCGGTACCTCCGTCGTCTTCCAGGACTTCGTACATATTGGTCAATGCGGAACAAGGTTTCGACAACGAAACCACTCCGTCCCAAACCCCCATGCCCGCAGAGCTCGACAGCAGAAGGCTAAGCCTCGCATTTCCGATGCCGCCAGGGACCAAGACGGTTTGAGTCAGGGCTGATAAAGGGCTGATAAATACAAGGTGCCGCCCACATGCTATCATATTCACAGGACTCTCTGTTGCTATAACTAAAGCCTGTAACGCGCAGGATATCGTCATAGATTCATGCATGACAAATTCACTTCAAATACACTCGTTTCGATTATAGGTCGTGTATGTCAGATTTGACACTATGCTAATGAGGATACAGTATGCAGACGACTTTAGTCAATCAGAAAAGGCTTCTACACATAGGGCAAGTCGAGCTGTTCGATGACTTGAACCAAGTGAATAAGCAATTGGCGTGATACTTGTTCTTGCAGGTGGGACAAGCTCGGCTTGGTAACGAGCGATCGTTCATCGAAATGATGCTGTTAGAGCGAGGCAAAATGAGCGATCACATCGAATCGCACCCGAAAAGAATATAGAACTCACGAGTAGCACTAAGATCACATCACACGAAGAGATCAGATAGGTTAGCTCATGCTCGTGGGCGATCACATTGCGCGATCAGCTTACGATAGAACATTCGGTCTTGCCCTCGAAATGCAGAGATACGTTTGACTTGAACAGCTTGAGAGCTTCCAAAAGCAAGCCATTCTGCAGTCACAGTCACCAAAGTCAGCCCGAGCCGAAGTCGGACAAAGTCCTGGACTACACTTACCCGACTCATGACCAATTGTTGCACGTTCAGCATCCAGCCTCGCCACTTTCCCTCTGTTACCCCGACCCGGTTCACCTCCTTGACCTCGACATTGCGCAGTGGGTATTCCTGAGGGAGTTTGATGGCAATTTCCATAGGTTGTTCGTCGATTATGTATTTCGCCGTAATCTCGGCCGAAGCAGACAAGATTCGAACACTCAAGCTGTCGTTTTCGAGAGTTCTGAGCACTCCAGGTTGACGGATGACGGCAAACTCGTGCTCTATCAGGACTGGCGAAAGGTGACGGGTGACAATGGCGATGAAGGACATCGCCAACTGCCGGTCTTTGCAAGCTTCATACCAGTTCCTGACTAGTTGAGGCACGTTCTCCAACGCCCTGTAGAAGACGTGGGTCGACAAGGCGATCGTCGTCTGCTCTGTCAGGGCATCCAAAGCTACGTTGAGTAGTAAGACGTCGGCGGTCAGTACGGTTCCCAGGAAACCCGACAGGAAACCCGACAACAACCGACGTACCCTCCAAGTGAAACTCGTCTACCGCAAAGTACATCGAATCGGACGGTTTGACTCCGTTGCACGCTTGTCGCAAGACATCCGGGATGTGCGACATCAAGGCGTCCTGCACCACGGCACGGTCCCGTAGTTGCTCGCTGTAGACTGACCTCAGCGATGCGGACTACATCGAACTGATATTCAGCAAAGCTAGCAATGCAAGAGACCATCGTACTTACGGCATCGCGGAAATGGTCAAAGATCAGCATCCACGCGAGTAGTGAACCAAAGGGGATCTATTTGCAACGCCGTGAAACTTAAAAAGGGTCTCGCTAATGTGATAGTCAGCAATAGACACATACCTGATCTTCGAACGCTGATGCCGTAATGTTGTCTAATAGCTCCGCGGGCAGTACAGGAGTCTTGCTCGAATCCTCCGCATCGATAGCAGTTTCCATCTCGACGACCAAATCCGCCGTGTGCTTGACGATCGAGATACGGCAGAGGCGATGAGCAATCTGCTGTACTTCGACATTGTCGTAACGCAGAAGTGGATACAACTGGTGATTGAAAGGCACGTCAACTTCCCGAAGATCTAGCTAGAAACCGCCCACTGTACTGACCTTGTTGATGTCCGGCACTTCCGGAATATTGTCTCCCATCCCGCGGATCATGTCACTTGCTTTTGATAATAAACGGTCTCGCACAGCGTTCTTGTGATGTTTCTCGCCATTTACGGAGGACAGGAACTGAACCAGAAGACGAATTTGGTCATCTCTGTCAGTCCATTCGGCAGCCAAGGCCTTGTTCGTGGTGCTGAGCTCCAAGACCCTTGACATCAAGGTCAACGTAGCGAATGACAGATTGTAGGTAGTCTCATCAGACAATGAACAAGACTGAGAAATGAGAATAACGTCAGACGCAGTGACTCGCACATGGTCATACGGCAACAGGTTCGACTCACTTCGAGATTGTTCGTAATCATGTCGTAGATCGAATTCCAATGGGCACCAGGACGGCCTTGCACGATAGGGGCGAGCTCCGCAAAAAGCAGGCAGATTCTGGCTTCGACCTCTTCCGGTAAGTCGTCAGCGGCGTCATCATCACTGGTGAGCCATTGTGTCAAGTGCTGCATGACAAAGATCGAGCGTTGCTCTGGCAAGAAAGCGTCCTCCGAGTCGATGCCTGGCGATGTTGCCAAGAGATTGCACAAGAGGCGAAGACCGTTCGAGCCAGCTTTGGAAACCGGGGTGGCTGTCAGTCGACTGGCAATATCATTGCGGACCCGATCTAGTCGAGGCGACTTTTCAAGCCGTGGGACAACCGCCTGTAGAATGACTCGGGTTGTCATGGGCTCTGGGGGCATTTTCCGATTAGCGTCTATCGATATCGCTCACAATCGCAATCCATACTAACTCTTGTCCTCCAGGTTCTGACCGCAAGCTAGCCAACGTTCCGTTATCTGAGTATCGCCTGACAAGGACAAAACACGTGACAACAGGAACCGAAGGATCCTTGGCGATAGGAGATCCGACTCCACCGATGTTGCGATGCGCAAGAATAGGTCGCCCAACAGCGATGGCTCCTTGCTTGAGTCCTCGCTCCTAGACAACGACGTCATGATACTGGCGTGCCATTGCGGCGTAGTATCGCCGGCCAAGGCGTTAATGGCATACGAAACCAGGTCATTGGTCTCGGAGCTGAGACTGTCGATGTATTCGCGAGATGTTGCTGTCGCATACATGCCACAGTCGGCACCTCCACAATCAATCAAATCCCGGAGCAAGCGATCGGCAAGTAGCAGGTGATGCATAATCTCGACAGACTCGCGGGTTTTGGACCGATCCGATCGCAGGAGAGCGACAATAGCCTCGATTCTGCGAGCGTATACCGATCTTCCTCGCCAATCATAGTTTACCTGTCCAGAGGCAGAGGTTTTGGTCTCGTAGGGCAGAAGGTCGTCAAAGACGATAGACGGGCTGGCGGTGCTGGAGCGCTGCAACAGCTCGCTTAGGTACTTCTGCGATCCCTGACACAGCTCATGAACCTGCGGGACAAGACCGCGGGTCTGTTTTCGAGACAAGAGACAGGTGACCATGCCCGCCGGACTGATTGAACGATACGAGTCAGAGTTATAAAGCCTATATCTAACGATGTTGCAACTTACTCTAGATGTATCGAATGATCGTCCAGTAGATCGTTAAGATGCGCAGCAGCGCGGTATTGGAACGAATTTGACGATGTCAAAGATTCCAGGTCTTGTAAAATAGCTCCGGATACCCGCAGTACTTCGTCGCTTGGTGGAGGATCCAGCAAATCGGCAAACGAGACCATCTCGGAGATCGAGATGATCGCGCTTTGATAAAGATCAGACTGATTGAAATCAGCAGCTCGCCGCGTCGCGAGAACTTTGACAGCATCGAGCTGATTTTGAAGACTGGCCGTGTCGATGGCACCGGCACTACCGACTTCCAACATGTGATTGATTGACGACGATATCGACGTGGTAATCAACAACAGGAGTCCGTCCCGTGTGTCGTTGTCGATAATATCATCTATGGTGTCTCTCATACTGTCAGATCAAGGCGATACTCGGTAGAGGAGACAAGCCTCGACTTACCAGAGTGAAGCACGACAGCCGAGATCAGCTGTTCGGCTGAGGTACTTCGGTCTTGCTTGTCTCCAGCGTGCTCAGCAGCCTCCATCACGATATGGCCCCATGTTGTGTCGTCCGCTCTCAGATCGATATCCGTATTTCTCCAGGTAACAAGCAGAGCCCGAGCAATGTCGAACTTTTTCGACACGGGAAGCCTGTCCACAACATGCGAAATGTTCTTCCATGCGTCCGATTTCTTTTGCGCATCCGAGAGCCAGCCGATATAGTCGCGGCACAAGGGCCCGGTGAGATTGTCATCTAGGGTAGATAACATTTCGGGGAGTCGTGCTTCCATGATCGATACCGTTTGCTATGAGGGCCCAGCGGATCAGATAAGAAATATTTGCCGTCGACACTGTCACTTACCGTTCGAATATCTTCTTCTTGGTACAACAGCTGTCCGTCAGATTTGAAGAAACGGACAACGAGTTTGAGGTAGTCTTCGCGTGTCGCCTTTTCACAAGCGGGGTCCGCCGCTGCTGCTATGGCGCATCGGTAGACCTGACATGTCAGAGTGTCGAGCGCTCGGCTCATGATGTCGTCCACTTGGTAATTGGACTTCAACGCCTCGGACAGGACAGTAAAGCGAGGGATGAGAATGCTTCGCGACTTGTCCTGGACGTTACTTTGAGGGCGTTCGTATGCTATACGAGTTCCTTCGCAGATCCTGTTGATGCTTTGTGAGCTGAGCGCTACCAGTCATAGGATCCAACGGTTAGCCAAATCCTGAAATGTATTTGTGGCGGAGCGCCTCACCCGATGATTCCTGTGCCAGCCTGGACAACCCTTTCGACAAAGCAACCGCCTCTCTTGTTGATTCGAGCCTCTGCTCAGCGAACATCGACCGGTCCATACGGGTTAGCTTCCCAGTCTCGGGAAGGACACCGTCTACCCAGACTCGTGAAAGCTCCTCTGTCGTAAGTGAGAGGAATCCCTCTTTATCGGCCTCGTCAGCGTTACGCCACGCTCGAAGCGAGAGAAAGACGATACAGTCGATGGTCGCAGTCAAGAATTGGAACACTGGAGAGGGACCAGAGCCCGAAGGGGTCGAGGAGAGCAACTTGGCGTCCGATGCAGCCCAAAGAGATGTAAAGAACCTCTGATAGACATCGGGGGACAGGGCGAGTATCTGGAATGCAGTATGCCTGAGTCAGGTAACCCGGAAGATTTGAAGCCGTTCATCGGCAACTCACCTCGGCAGGCAGAGTGGACAGTATCACCAGGACAGTGGGATAACCCTCGCTAGGGCAACCGTTACATCCTCGTTGCAAATACACCAAGAACTGGTTGTACGCTTCGGTGCCCATTCGGTATCGTGCCGGTTTAGCTGATACCTCCTTCGGCTCCTCGACGGCCTCCGTTTCTGTTTCTTGCGGTTCCTCATCATCATCCTCGTCATCATCCGACTCCTCGTCGGATTCTGCGTCTTCTTCCCCTTGTCCTGCTTGCTGTTCTGGGATCGAGGTTTTGGCATCCGGCTCCATAGTCCAGACACCTCGGAATTTGGTGACCAGCATAGTCAAAGCCTCGCTCACGGTCGTCCCTCCCCAAACGCTACCGTCGGACTCTCTCCAGACACTCGTCAAAACGGCAGGCCCCACAACAGGCAACAGTTTCTCTCCGAAGATTGCCGGGAACCGGGAGATCAATATCGAGAGTAGACCATAAAGCGCTCTTCGAACAGGAGGAGAGGCGACGACCTGATGCTTCGGGACGGCAGGACGCAGCATGTCCCAGAGGCCTGAAGAGGACAGCAGACCACCCAGCCTTTCGGGCCATTCGACGGACTCTGGCAATTTGCCCAACACGTACGTCAATCCAAGTACCCCACTCAAGTTATACCTCAATACCCGCTCGACCCTTTGCAATTCTTCCTCGGCAGCGGTTTCTTCGTCCACCTTGCTTGGGCCGAGAGCAGCGAGCGACGGGAAGTTCATCGGGGTGACCGCTGCCTTTCCTCCTTTCTTAGGCGTCGCGGTCCCTGACGACGGTTCCGTGCCCGAGGCCTTAGGCGCAGGATGTACCTCGTCGTGCAGGTCGTGCGGGTTCAAAATGGCCATTTCCATGTATTCCACTAATAGCCCTAGCTGTTCTATCATAGGCAGCTTTCCTTCCGTACCCTCTGACTCGGATTCGGAAGATTCTTTCTCTGCCTCCCACGAGACAAACCGCTCGAATCGCCCTAATGCAGAATCGGAACTCCCAGCTCCCAAACCGGCTTGTCTCCTTCCGCTCTCTTCGACACATGCAGTGAGCCAGGTGGAGATGACATCCCGGCCTTGATGTTCGCCTGCGAACAATCCGAGTGCGAGGGTATTTCGTAGCGATGAGGCGATAGAGGGGACGGAAATCAAAGAGGTGTGAATCGATAGCGCCAAACTGCGATGGCCCGGAGAGAGCAGCAGACTGGGCAGGTTGTGGAGCTAGAGAAAACCGCGGAATGATGTCAGAATTTGCGCTCATATCCACCAGAATTTCCCGGTCATTCTAGCCCAGCGGACTCACCCAGACCGGCATAGCCTCGAGCAAAGCGTCTTCAACTCCATCTCCTTCGATGTCAGCATCTCCTTCCGCCTGTTTGCCCGACTTTCTTTTGTTCGCGACGAGATCTACCCAGCTCTCTTTGAGCTCTTCCAATCCTTTCCGCCGTGTCACACCGTCCTTCTTCCCTAGCCGTCTCAGGACGACGACCAACTCGGCCGGCAGAGTCCTCGCCAATCCCTGCGAGTCCAATGGGTCCGGGATGGCAGGTGCCGGCGGTTTAGGCGGTGGAACGAAGATCTTTTGCTTGGGAGCATCTTTCAGAGCCTTCTTTTCGGCCTTGGAGAGCTTCTTCTGACCTCGCTGTTGCTTGACGCCAGATTTGTTGTTACTGGTCGCAGCGGTGGGATCGCCCGTCTTGTCGGCCTTTTTTGCGGCTTGCTTCTTCCGTGTGCCCGATGAGGCGGACGACTTGTTGGTTTTAGGCATCGCTACTGGAGAGGCCTGGTAGATGTTTAGCAAGAAGTGCTGGCGCAAGATCTGTGTAGCGACCAGTCAGTGCTTGATGTGCAAGTCAGAAAAAGTCTCGAGCGAATCTGCCCATCGAGGTTGATTGATCGAATGACGTAGGATCGCGCTACGCGCTACGATCGATGAGGACGCGCTTCTGCTGTACCGGGATGAAAGTAGAGAAGACAAGATATTACAATCGTGTATAGCATGTATGGATGTTTAGGGCGAAAGATCCTGCAACATAAAGGAGAAGCGGTCATGTAGACAATGGGGTATGGTGACATTCGAGATCGGTCTTTCGTCGATCATATTCTAGGCCATGGGGAAATCGCTTCCGCAAGCCGGAAGGTAAGGTAAGGTTCGCCTCGACGTATCGTGTATCGGTCAATCAGTGACGACGAGAACGAGTGTTTCGTTCAAGCAACAAGCGAGAAGCCAGGCGGACCTCGATTCCGTTCGGAATCGGAGAGCCGGAGAGCTTTGAATCGGTCAGTCCAGTCTTTTTGCCAGGGTCTGCTTTTCAGAGAAGCGCAGTCATCCGGGCCGCCGAAGAAGATTTCAACGGTACAAGACCTCGGGATGTGAGCTGAAAGCCATTTGTTGACTCTTTCAGGACTTCCCGCCCATTGCGAATGTAATTGCAGGTGCAAGTCGGCAAGACCAGGAGCATTCCACTTCGACTCGGCTGTCATGTACGGTAAAATTGCCGGGTCCAATCGAATGAACAAAGACGTCAGAGACGGCAACTCTTGGCCCAGGATCCTGTCCAGAGTGTCCGTGGTTGAGGCCCGAAGAAATATTCGCTTCAGCCGATGACCATGCCGACTTATCATGTCCGGCCTGATTTCGTATGATAGAAGCAACTCCAGGTTGATGCCGAGCTCCTCGAGTCCCGGAAACGATTCTAGGAGCCGGTCAAGTTCACTCATGTGGATGCGGTAACTCTCCAGTCTGAGCCTTTTGACCTGCTGACTATGGTCATGGTAATCAAGCGGAGCGTCCCATCTTGCATTGGTGCGGACTCGCGACCGCCAATCATCGCCGTGAGATTCCCCGAGTAAGATCCTCGGCCGATTTGCTGGTTTCACGGAGGGGCCAGCCAGCCAAACGCCGATAGCTTTCAAGGAGTCAGGCAGACTGACCCGACTCGGACTGACGATGATACAGAGTATCCGACCCTCAGGATTGTAGCAAATAGAGGCCTGCCTGTACTCTTGAGAGAACCGGTTCCCGACCTGCTTACGCCATACGTATTGTAGGCCAGGTAGAAAGCTCTCCTTGAGTTGGAGGAAGTCAGGAGGTTCGGATAAAGCTGTATCGAGAACGTCCGGATCGGTGTCGCCGATAGGAGGGTGGATCAGAACGCGGACAGCCTTTCTGTAGGCCTTCGTACGCTCTAGACTACTCTGTCCCCCATCTTCGGGCTTCCCGGAGGAACGAAGCAAGGATGGTCTAGAGTCGTTTAGTTCCAGAAGCGAGACCACCGACATGGGTACGTGTCGGTAGATGTGCTCTACCGCGAAATCAAAGGTACTCGAGAAGAGCAGGAAGGGCACCAGATCTCTCCTGTCCAACCACGAGAAGATCAAATGTAGAATCTCCGGAGGGACCATGATACCCTGTCCACCTCTAGGTTTGTTTTGTAGATCGAGTCGAATTGATAGATGTGAGGTTGACGTGTAGCTTGTAGTGGTGTCTGGAGAGGCAGTGTCTTCGTAGGCCCGCCGAGAAGTATACGGTGAAACTTGCGAGAGGATTGGTCGCTACTCAAATGATGATCACGTATAATCGAGCCGAACCGAATCGGACTGGTCTCCCGAGTCTAAGAGTTGTTATTGATTCTCTCTTCCATGCTTTCCCAGGATTGTAGGTTGACCAAAGCGCCGAAGTACAAGAGGGGTAAGAGGGAAATATGCTTTCGAAGCTTTGAAGAGAGGCCAGAGATCCAGAGCCAGAGAGGATGATAATAAGTAGTTGATGCATCGATGCGACAGCTGACTGACGCCATTGACGTTTGCTTCCGGTGACTACTCGTACGCCCATGCGCCCACCCCGGCTGCGACAGTGTTCAGGATATCAGGACATGTCGCTTTGGTGCCTCCGGCGCCTGCGTAGAAATCGAGGTTCCCGTCGTTAACAGCTCGGTTCAAAATAAAAGCTGTTGTAGATATGCCATAAGAGAGAAACCCCAAGTAGAAGACGGTGAGGAGTCGTTGCACTGATCACACCACTCAAACTAGTGTAACCGTAGACTTTGTAGAATCATTCGTCATAATATCGGATGCTGACACGGCGCATCTGGTTCTGGTCGCTACACTGATATCAAACTGCGTGTGCTTAATTCATCACAAGTACAACCCCTCGGGCGTGTTTTCCGTCTTCTGGTGAATGACCGCTTCCTTGGCCGCGGCAAAGTCGGCCTTGTTGACGCGCATCCTCCTCTCCCTCAAAGCTCGTAGACCCGCCTCGGCTGGAAGGGACAAGGGCAAAGGGTCAGTCTATGTGATTCACCTTTGTAACCTTCAAGGGCGTTGTCGCAACTCACTGCACACAGCCTTGATGTCGGCTCCCGACAAATCGTCCTTGGTCATGATCAACTCTTCCAAGTCAACGTCCTCGGCCAACGACATTCTCGATGTATGCAACTTGAAGATGTGTCGCTTGGTCTTGGTATCAGGCATGGGGAACTCTGTGATTCGCGGAAAAAGAAGGAGAAATGTCAACTCGGGTCTGCAAGTTCGCGATTGATGAGATCTTTTTTCACTTACCGATTTTTCGATCTATTCGTCCCGGTCGAATCAAGGCAGGGTCGAGCGACTCGATCTATATTCGAGATACTCTCCGTTAGTCGTTACGGCCATGTATTACTACCACGATATGTCGAATACTGACCTTGTTCGTGGCCATGATGACCTTGACATCACCTCGATCGTCGAATCCATCCAGCTGGTTCAAGAGCTCGAGCATTGTTCGCTGAATCTCTCGTTCACCTCCGGACGTCGAGTCGTATCTGCCCAGGCCATAACGTTCACCAGATCAGCCTCGCGTTCGCTTTCTCACCGAAATTCTATTGTGAACTCACCGTTTCGTTCCGATGGCGTCAATTTCGTCGATAAACACGATACTAGGTGCATTCTCCTGAGCCGTCTTGAACAACTCCCTGACCAATTTAGGCCCGTCTCCAAGGTATTTCTGAATCAATTCCGATCCCACGATCCTCAAAAACGTAGCGGAGGTTTGGTTGGCGACGGCTTTCGCCAAAAGGGTCTTGCCTGTACCGGGTACACCATAAAGGATGACACCCTTGGGGGGTCGGATACCCATCTCTTCGTACAGCTCGGGGTGGGTCAATGGGAGTTCGACGGATTCCTACGGATAACAGGATGGGCGTGGGTCAGCGTAAGAAATTGACACGCGAATAACTGGCCGCCCGAACGGACCTTGATCTCTTGAATCTGACTCTCGAGCCCACCGATATCCGCGTAACTCTCTGTCGGCGCCTTGTCCAACTTCATCACGTTCACCGCCGGATCCACATCGTCCCCCAAGACACCGATAACGGCGTTGCTCTTGTGGTTCATCAAGATCGAACACCCGGGTTCCAACAGGTCCTTGTCGACAAAGGACATGATGGTCACATAGCTCTCTCCGCCTCCGGCACCAGAGACGATAGCGTGGTCGTCATCGATAATCTCTTCGAGAGTGCCGATGGCCATGGGGGTTCCACGAAGAGCATCGACCTTGGTTCGATCTTCAGCGGAACGATCTTCACTCGCTCCAGCGCCTTGAAGGTGTTGCGACTGGTTGGCGATGAATTCTGCATTGTGTCAAGCCGTCAGAGTCTTGGTTAGCCATCGATTGTAGGGCGTTGAGTCAACGACTCGAGGCTAAACTCACCTTCCTCCAATAACAAGTAATCCTTGATTCTCTCCAGCTTGAGCATCTTGAGCTTACATCGGGTCGTAGGATAGACGGCGGGAAGCTTGACGCTCGAATCCGGTCCCTTGCTCTTCTTCTTGTGTTTCCCGATCCTGGTGGGCACGGGAGGCTCCCACTTCTTCGGTTCAGGCTACAAGGATGAAAGGCATACGACTCAGCTATGGAAAGGTGTGATGATGGCCGACGAATAGGGATTGACCTTTTTGCCATCACCGGGTTGACCGGGTTGTCGTCCGCCTAATCCTGAAGGAGCTTGACCCTATCATCAATCATGCATGCTCTGGTCAGCGTACAATGTGATACACACAACGCCCTATTGATTCAGGCTTACCATCTTGTATGTTTGTCAAACGTTTATGTCTTGTATGGCAGAGTCTCGACGTAGCTTGTCATCCTCGTCTTGAATGCGTGATCATCATATCGACAACCCTGCAAGCTGGTCATTGCGATTGCGATTACGCGGCGGCGATGAATTATTTGTCCTGATTGACACGTCATCTTGGCTGACGGATCTCTCTCTCCATCTTGCATCAACATTTTATGGATAAGAACCCACCATCATCATCATCGTCAGTCCAAAGCCGAAGCCTGAGATTGACTTCGATCACGATCATCTCAAGTTCATGAACCGTCGTCTCTGGACATCCCCGTACTTCCCACACATAGCACACATACCATCACTTGGAGTACTCAGCCATGCACACCGTATTCCTTCGCCTTCCCGCTCCTTTCCGGACTCTTCAAGTCCCAGCATGCTCCGGGTCAACCTCGCTCGCCTGTTTGCCTCTTCCCTTTGAACTCGACTCGAACACCTACCTTCGCACCTCATCCTCGCTTCCTCTTTCACCCAATACTCAGCTCTCAGCGCTCGGAGATGGGTCCTCCAGCTCGCCAATTTTCTTGGAGTTGGGGGTACGCGTTCGAGGAGGGAAAGGAGGGTTCGGAAGTCAATTGAGAGCTGCTGGTGGGAGGATGTCTTCGGGAAAGAACACCAACAACGATAGTTGTCGGGATCTGAACGGTCGACGGTTGAGGACGTTGGCCGAGGCGCAAAAGTAGGTATCCCTTAGATGCCCATGTGTCTGTCACTCTCTGAGAGGCTGAGTGAGCTGACCTTGCTCTCTGCTTTCGATTGACAGGATGGCGGAACTGGTCGAATCCTCCGAAAAGTCATCCGCAGCCGAACTCGCAGCCAACAAGGCCAAGCTCCAAGCTCTCGAGCGTCAACTCGGCATCTCCACGTCTTCTGCCTCTTCCAGCTCAAATCCTTCAGCCGCTGGATCTTCGAAACCTACAAACGAAGAAACAGACGCCGAGCTCGTCAGGATCGCACAGAAGCGGAAGAAGTTCGACGACAATGCATTCTTCGAGACAAGCAGGGAGATCAACGATGGGGTTCGGAGTGCCGTTGCTGCTGGTGAGTGATTGCATCCGCGTTCGTTTGGCTCTATGTCGTCCCAGATGTTTGGACCGCTATTTGATCGGTAAATGGAAGCTGATCCTTGTTCCCGTCTGTTCACCTCGATATACGTGTTCATCCTCGATAGGTTTGCTAAAGAAGAGGAAGAAGGCCAAGACGTCCCCCGAGCCCGCTGTCGCTGACAAGGGTAAAGGGAAAGCCCCAGCTGTAGAGGTTCAGAAGCAGGACAAGGTCGAGACGGGGCCGGCGACCGTGGCCGCTACGGCATAGGCTATGAGGGATCGCATTATTTACCAGTTTTACTCGGTCGGTCAGTTGTATGGTATCCACTTGAGATATTTGATGAATCTGTTCGTGTGATTGCATCACGACGTTGGCCACAGTACATGTTCAGTGTCCATAGTCACTTCCGCAATGTTGCCCTTCTACAATCTCCGACGCTTGTAGCCAGGAAAAACGAAGAGGAAACCCCGATGGCATTTTCAATGGGCCCCTGAGATACCAGTCGTTTCTCAAGAATTCCACGTCTGGTATAACGGCGGCGTCGATGTCGACAAACACGCGTTGGCTCACCTCTCTGTTCATGGAGGATCTGCCTCTGCGACTGCCTCGAATAGTGATAATCCTTGCATGATGTTGCTGAACATCCACTGGGAAAAGCCTTTACATGGCTTTTATTCAGAAGATGATCACATTATCGTGGCAAGGATCTGAGTCTTGGGTCAGGCAAGGCAACACCGTCATGTGGAACCTACATGGTAGAGAAATCTTGGGCTATATGGAGATGTGGTGAGAGCTTTGTCCGTGCTACTCGACAGAACTCAACGTTACAACATGCAACTTGAACGACCTCACTCTACCATCCCCCTCAGGAAACGTCTCAACGGCATGATCTCATTTGCGCCCATGCCCGCCCAGGGTCTCCCTGGTTCCACCAGCGTACTGATGTTCATCGGGACATGTATTCCGCAGGAGTTGACATGCGTTTGCAGGGGGTGTAGGGATAACATCGAAGTCAAAGGTGGCATTCGGCATCTTTCCACCGACACGCTGGATCTGGATGATCACGGTCTCGATGGCCTGTCTATATACCTCCATGGGCGAGTCGTAATAACCGGGGCTGAGTCGTATACAGAAAAGTACATTTCGCGGCCGTTAGCTAAAGCTGCAAACAAGTCGAGCCGAGTAAAAACGCAAAGAGGCAAAAAGGAAATGCAAAATTTCCGTTTAATTTGCGCGTAAAGGGAATAAAGACTGCTAAGCGGATTCAAGCACAGACCTACTGTCAAGCCGTTCAGTCGGCACCCGGGCTTCGTTGCCCAGGTGATCTTGGCGATGGCGCTTGCTCACTATATATAGCCAGAAATTTGCATGAAGCGGAATCCGTGCGGGATCTGCAGCAGGAAGAGACAGACTTTGTTTCCCGTCGCCGTCGTCAATCGCGTCGCTCTTGAGGGTATCATACATATTACCACGTCGTTGTTCTTGACCAATTCGATACAGCCACCCCGCCGCATACCCGCCCTGTAACGCGCGTACTTAGCCCGGACCGAGCCCAGCCTAGAAGAAAGGCTTGCTTGGCGTCTTGTCTTCCCCTACGAGCGGGATCCCTGCTTGGATCATCTTGACGGCCATCTCGAACAGGTAATCGGCGCATTCCGCCTGTGTCTTGGCTTGTTCCCAGGTCTTGCCTGTCAACGCCGGCGTGCGGTGTGAGAGAAAGGGTAACCGGAAGAGAGGCAGAAAGAATGTAGGAGAAAAGGTCAATATAGGGTATGTTCGCGAGGAATGGTTGGAATGACTTGCCCCAGTTGTAGCTCCCGTGTTGTCGCACCAAGACGACCCCCGACTCGGGGTACTCGTTCATAGCCTACCCGCAACGGCCCATAAAATCACATCTCTGTCAGCCTTCTCATCCCGTGACCCGCCCGCTAGGTTTATAATCCGTGATCCTGCGACTCACCGCCTCCATCCCACCCGTCAGATCCTCCTCGTCTGCCGTATTCTCAATGATCGGAATCTCGAGCGTATCAAAGTACGCCAGCGCTTTGCCTGTACCGGCTAGGCGCATGCCCTTGATCATCTCCATATGGGAGATCTTGAAGGATTTTGCGGTACGGGGGAGGAGGAGGGTGAGCATTACTGTATACGTTGAAGGAGAGGAAACGTGCGGAGTATCAGTCGACTGGCCGGTTGACGAGCAAGACGGACTCAAGAAATCGCACTCACCTGCATGCTGACTATGCGTATGGATACAGGCCCCGGCATCCCTCAACCTGAAAGCGTTCCAGAAGAGGGGCGTACAAGCGCTCTCCTTTAATCCCTGCTTCTTCGGTTCCCTTAGCGTCGTCCTCTTTGTACCAGCGCGGGGGACGGTAGGTTGATCATAAGGGAGCACGAAGAGGTCTAAAGGGGTGATTCGTTCCTTTTGAACGCCAGAGGGCGCCAAGTAGACGAGGTTTTGGTCAGAGGTGGAATGCCGGATGGAGATTCCGCCGCCTGTGCCGGTTACCCAGCCGAGTTCTGCAAAGTGGGTTAGGGTTAGTACAACATGGCACGCGAAAGAGAGCAAGCTGGAGACGTACGGTAGAAACCGCGACACAGCTCAGGGATCAAGTTTGCAGGCTAGAAGTCGTATCAGGTCGACTTTGTAGAATGAACATCCAGAAAATCGTAATGTAGAGGGCATGTCGATCCAGGACGTACATGTTCGGGGTCGTCCGAGATGACGAGGTGTTCGTTATCGCGCCGAGTTTGTTGTATGGCGTTCGAGGTAGAGGCTTCTGAAGACATGTTTACGCGAATCTGATGATTGTTCGAGTAGAAGCGAAGCGTCTCTGCCGTGATGTCAAACGTACAGGTTGATCGTTGATTGCTCGAATTGCTCGTCAAACGTTCGAGGAGAGGTAGATGTTCAGTATGAACCCAGACCGCAGCGTTTGCTTCCGACATCACGTCACACCCATTGTGCGCTTACCGTCTCCATGCGCTTCTTGCATTCACCCCATCCAAGAGAGCCAGGTCCCCCCCCCGCTAGAGGGCGTTCTCCCTTCTTCTCGTTCAGACCCCTCCCCCTGCCCCTCCCCCCCTGTCTCGCAAATTCTCTCAGCCTACCTTCCTCTCTTCCCTTCGAGGTATAAATATGGCAGCTTCCACTACTACCAACAACAATGTACGTCTCTTCTACACCTGACCCTCCTCCCATCCCACGTCATTCACGTCACGCTCGAAAGGGGGTCTGGCTGCACCTACCACGTCATCAGCCCAACAGATACAAAGTCGTCCTTACCGTATATGTGCTTCCAAGAACGTCCGTCTTGCAGGCACACATTCGGTGAGGATGACTCTGCATGTGTTGCACGATGAGATAGGTACAGCCACATCCCCCTTCGGAGTTGTGCTGGGATTGATCGATGCCGCATCCTGCCAGAGCCTCGCTACGATACTGACCTTTCAATCTCAACCATCACGTTGCATCAACGCCGATGTAGAAATCCCGCCAACGCACTCGGGTCCCGCAACATGAATGGGACAAAGGTCTCGCCGCCGTGGACGTCTCCAAGAGGTGAGTTATTGTTGCTGCTTGCTGTGTCTTCCCGTGACCTCCCTGCATCGTCATCACCACACCATCATCGTCTCCTTCCTTTCCTTCACCCCTGTACCTCGTCCCGCTCGACTGTCTACCCACGTCATCCGTCCCTGATGAGAATTACTATAAATGCAAAGTGGGAATCTCTCCTAAAACAATTGAGGATATATAGTTTACTATTGCTCTCTGAACCCTCGCTATCCCTCCGGTTGTCGTGGACACTTTCATCTACAACGGAACACATCGCTGATCGCCTTTGATATGTTTGTGTTCGACCCGGATAGTGATCTAAACAAGCTCGTCCTGGACTGGCTCATCATCGAAGGGTACCGTGACGCCGCTGTCTCGTTCGCATCAGAGTTGGAACTCGACGCACAAGCTTCTCAGCCTTCGACCTCGATCTCGGACAACATATCCAACCCGGGCAAGATCGACTTTGACTCGATCCACGAGAGGATGTTGATCCGAGAGTCGATCGAGGCAGGGCGGATCGACGAGGCCGTCAGACGGGTCAACGAGCTGGACAGCGAGGTAAGCGTCAATGCCCTTGTTCTTTCTTATCCCCTGCGTATTCCTGCGGCGGGACCACGAAACGGCAACGACGACCGAAAGCAACCCTCCCGATGATTAAAGATTTCATGCACCACGCTTAGTCCAAATCCCTTCGGGGTGGATATGCGGAGACAACCGAAATTTATCACAGACCTGAAATGAGGGACCCCATACAAACACCAGTTGCTTTCGTCGTCGTTGTCTGTCTACCGGTCGTCCGCAGGGCTTCAGAGCCTATCGAATCAAATAACAAAACAGTCTTGCTAACCGCTCGAGTCTTGTTCAACGATTAGATCCTGGACACGAACCCGCCTCTTCTCTTCCACTTGCATCTGCAACGCTTCATCGAGCTTATTCGCCATGGCAAGGTACCCGAAGCCCTCGAATTCGCCTCGACCGAACTCGCACCTCGAGGCGCTCAGAATCCCGAGTTTCTAGGCGACCTGGAAAAGACGATGGCTCTCTTGGCCTTTCCCGAATTGGCCGCCCTTTCCTCGGACGAAGACGAACAGGATCAACCGGCCGATGGTCCCGACCCGCTCGCTAAACAACCCGCTTGGGCCAGTCTCGGTGGACTGCTTCGACGTGATCACCGAACCAAAGTCGCTCGCGAGTTGAACGCTGCGATCCTCGAATCTCAGGGTCAGGGGCAAGAGACCAAGTTGAGCGGAATGGTCAGGTTGATGTGTTGGGGCGAGACACAGCTGAGGGACAAGGGCGTCAAAGTGCCCGGCTTGGACGTGGCGGGCCTTTTGGGCGACGTTTCGACGGCAAAGGTTGGGGCAGCGGACCGTCCCAGCGAGCGAGAGTCGGATGAGATGCAGGTCGGTTGACGGAGCGGTTTATGGTTTGTTACGACTTTTCCTTTTTCCTACGGGTTTTGTCTCTGTCTGTATCTTCTGTCCTTGACGTCCATCACATGTAGCTTTCCTCTGAACCTCTGACGAAACATTATACGAATCGATACCCCGTTTACACATGTCGACTGTGTTCATGCTTGCTACGAAAGAGAGTCTTGGTCTTCCCTAATTCGATCGTGTGACGACCAGAAATGGCAAGTCGTCCCGTCTAGTCGATTCGATTTTGCTTCCGCACAACCTCGCACCTGTCCCTGGCTGCGTGACAGCACAGGCAGTCCTGATAAATCTACCACGCGTCAGCTTAATTCTATGCTGGCCGCCCTTCCGTGAATCACCGCGCGACGAGTCGCGCGATGAGGCCTCTTTACTAGGGCCTCACGTGACTATCGAGACCTCCTTTGATCTTTTTGTTTTTGTTTTGCTTTGTCCACCGTTCCCGTCGAGATATGACGTTCCCGCCCATAACAATAAGCGATTTTTACATTCCCGCTAATTCGACCGTTCCATAACCTTACTCTCAATCGTTTCATATCGCGAGTCTTCGATCTGCTTATTGTCTGGACGACCTCTCATCGCCTATCGTTTGGATTCATATCCATAGTATCTCTCTATTGTCCGTTGACGCAGCTCTTTACGATCGCTTGAACGATGTATATATAAATATGGGCAGATACACACGCACATATGCAGTCATACCCTCGAGCAAAATTCTCTATTCGCACCAGCATATCAACATCGACTCACTACCTTACAATCCCTTGAAATAACTTCTGCATAACCTCGAAGCTATAACGATGTCAAGTACGACCGGTCAGTCTGAGCCAAGGATTCAATGCGGGAACAGCATCATCTTGGTACTCACATATGCCCACCTCAACTTTTCCTTTCCCGCCAATTCTAGGCAATGGCTCTGCCTCCAATCGTCCGAACACTTCGACTCAAGTCCCGGGCGAGCTCATAATCTTTCCAATCGTGCCAACCGGACCACCAGCGGATGAGGTCGACCCTTCCCGCCATTTCTTGAAGTTGATGGCGGATATGTCGACGGTTCTGAATGGCTTGGAGTTAGTGACTGAATGAGCTTGCTGTCATCGTCTGTTGTTTGTATTGATCCCCATATAACTTCATGCTCAGTCCTGCGCAGTATGGTGGCTACCGCTTTGCCATGATCGACAGTCCAGACCGGTCAACCGAATCCAGGGACGACCTCTTCAAGGCAGTATCCTCGTGGGTAATATCCGGTGCTGAGGAGATGCCGGTCCCGGAAGGTAGAGGTACGCCGGTTTTGTGACTTTTGCCGGGGTTTCAATACATCTCACCGCAGACCCTGTGCCACCCGCAGCCCGCGGGGTTCTTATTCAGTTCAAACATCATATGAAAATGGCGGTCGACCTGTTCTCCGAATTCCGTACGTATCTTGTGTCTTCCTCTGCACCCTTCTTAAGTTGACAGCTGATCTCTGCAATGCAGTGTTACAGACAAACTCTCGGGCGAAGAGCATTCCCGCCCCATCAAGCCTCTTCCCGCGCAGTCCGCCGTCAAGCCCAACGGGTTCCCGCTCACAGCCAGATACTCTTCCCCCCCACCCGCCGCTGTCAGGGATCAACCGCCCGCCACACCTGCTACCCCTGCCGCCACCCCCTCCGATAAAAAGCTCACATATCAATATGTAGCTACCATTCGTCCAACAGAAACGGACGCGGAGGCGCTCCACAACGCTTTGATGCGTGCTGCCCGACGAGCCCGGCTACCTGACGATCCGTCCGAACCGCCTCCACCATCTCTCCACGTTCAATTACCATCGATTCCCGCCGCCTGTCACAGGACGATCGATATCGGGCCCGACACGTTCCTCACTTTCGGCCGAGATCATCGAGAAGCCCGACAACCCTTACGTACGCGTCGCTTTGGAGATCGGACTTTACGGTACAGGAACGCACAGATCCGTACGCGAAGCGAGGGAAAGGACGTCGAAGCGAACGAGAGAGAAGAACGTAGACGAGTCGAGAGGCGAACGATGTAGAAGCGCAGGGAGAGAGGTCTAGAGTCCGCTTACGTACGCTTCGGTACGAGTATTTATCTTTCTGTAATGTAGCGTACTTGTTATGAGACGCTTGAGTACTGAATAGGACTCAAGCGTCGATATTACATCTCTTCGATACTTGATCATCGTACAAGAGTAAAGGTCACTATCCTGACGGTTAGCCACCTCTACGAGCAGTTCTTTACAGTAAAGTACCCTTTCGCGCCGGACTTCACCTTTCGCTTACGCGGCTAGCCCTCCCGTGACATTATATTGACGCTTCACTATGCCTCCCTTGACTAGAAACACTAGTCAGGCCAGGCAGGAAACGGACAGTATGGAACGAAACCTTACTGAACAGGACAGGATCGGACAAGAACAGCGATTCGAAGGACAGGACGGCAGGGATTTAGATGAAGAAAGTAATTTCGAAGGGGAACACGCAGGCGCAGTTCAAGAAGAAGGACGAGTCAGGACGGAAACGCACGAAGAGTTACTCTTTTGCGTACAAGAGGCTGAACGAGTACAGGAAGAACAGGAACAAGAAAAGGAAGCTCTCACTCGAGAGTTGATGAATGTTAGGGCGGAAAGAATGTTAAGCGGTGAGACTGAGTCCGTTCCCGCTCAGGAGCGGGCTGAAACGTACGAAGAATTACTCCGTCGCGCGGAAGAAGCTGCACGGGACCAAGAGATTCAAGCCCAAGTCAACGAGGCTTTAGCTCGAGAATTACGAGAGCTCAAGAATCAACACGGAACCGGACAGAGAGTTGCTGTACGGGGAATGTTAGGCGTCGAGAAGGCTCCAGGGAAGACCGGCTCGATGTATACCTGCGAGGACATATCCGGGAGTAATGTAGAACGTAGGACTAGGGTATATAGATGTAATAACAGATGAAAGACTATATACTACAATGCTGATACAAAGTGGTACAATACGATATGCTCCTTGAACAACTCCGCCGGAGTTGGTACGACTCGAGTCCGGCGTACGCGCGCGTCGCTATAACAGGATCCCCCCGTTACGGGCGAGCTCCGAACGCCCTAGGCATCGCCGTACTCCTCGAAAGCAGGTTTTGGCTTGTTTGGGTATCGTCGATGATAATCCAGCACCGCTTGGTCGTCATGGTGGAAGTCTTCCGGATGTACCCACTCGTTATACTCATCCTCGTAACCTTCCCACCGCACCAGATATTGGGTACGCGTCTGACGTCCCCGCTTTCTGCTCCGCGAATCTACGATCTCAGATACTACCCACTGGGTGTCACCGTTATCCACCACCTCTGGGGGAGGAGGCGGGACCTGTTCCCGCGAGGGCAGCTCGTTCCGCTTGTACGGAATCAGCATCGAGACATGGAACACGGGGTGTACCCGCCGCAGTTGCTCGGGAAGCTCCAACCTTCGCGCCATCTTCGCATCTCCCACGACCTCGGTGATCTTGAAAGGTCCGAGGGTCTTGTAGTCCAACTTCTTGTTTGGACGAACCGTCTTGATGTGGTCCGTAGACAACATCACTTGATCCCCGACCTCCATTCCCTCGTCGGGAACGGGTCGCCTCTTTCTGTTGGCGTATTTCGCCATATCTACCCTTGCTTGCTCCAACGCCCGGAGTACCGACTCGTGGATGTTCGAGAGTCGCTCCCTGAACTCATCCGCGCTTTCATTGGGCACTTCGGCCATCCGGATGGTGAACTTGTGGTCAGTCCCCTCGGAGGCCATGAAAGGCGACATCCCTATGGCGGAATGCTTGGAGTTGTTGTAGGCGAACTCCGCCAGAGGCAACAACTCCGCCCAATCATCCTGCTGGAAGTTCACGTAACTCCGCAGGTACTGTTCCAACGTCGAGTTGCTCCTCTCCGTTTGTCCGTCAGTCTCCGGGTGGTATGCCGTCGAGAACCTCCTCTCGACACCCGCAAAAGCACACACATCCCGCCAGAAGCTAGACATGAACAATGTTCCTCTGTCCGAGATGATCTGATCAGGGAACCCGTGCAACTTGACGTAGTGGGAGAAGAATAACTTCGCCAGGTACGAGGCGTTGTTATCCTTCCGACACGGGATGAAGTGTGCCCGCTTACTGAAGCGGTCGACGATTACCAGGATTGCATCCTGGCCCAATGACTCGGGGAGGTCCGTGATGTGGTCCCAAGTGATAGACGACCACGGCTTCCTCGCCGCAGGTAGAGGGGCCAATTCTCCGATCGGCTTTTGTCGGGGACGGCGGTTCTTCTGGCACGTCAAGCACGAGGCCACGTAGTTGCCTACCCAGTCTCTCATTCGGGGCCAATAAAAGTCTCTCGAGAGGAGGTCCTCCGTTTTGTCTCGCCCGTAGTGCCCCGCGAGCTTGCCGTCGTGAACGTACTTCATCAGTCGGACCCTTACCGACTCCACATCAGGGACGTACAGGAGTCCCTTGTAGATTAGGAACCCCTCGCCATCCTTCTTGTAGGGACCCTGCTCGTTGGGCTCCCCCTCCATCTTCTCCAAGATGGCCTTGACTACTTCGTCCGCCTCGTAACCTTGCAACAGGTCTCTCCGGAGGTCCTCGCCGGGAATTGGCAGGGTACCGTTGATCTGTAGATGCGGAGGAATCTCCCGCGCTGTAGCCGAGAGATTCATGGGCCGTAGCATCGTCTCGGTCTGTCTTGGTTCGCTCTCTTCTAGGAGCTCCTCTTTCCGACTCAAGGCGTCGGCCTTACCGTTCATTACCCCCGGCTTGTACTCCAGGGTGTAGCTCAGACTGTTTAACAGCTGAGACCATCTTGCTTGTCGCCTCGACAGTAACTTCTCCGTTCGGAAGTACTCGAGGTTCTTGTGATCGGTAAAGATCCGAATAGGGTGAGGTCCCTCCAGGTAGTGTCGCCATATCTTGCAGGCGTAGACGATGGCCAGCATCTCTCTGTCGTGAACGTCGTAGTTCCGCTCTGCGGGAGTTAACGACTTTGACATGAACGCTACTGGTCGGAGTTTTCCGTCCGAACCTCTCTGCGACATCACTGCTCCAATCGCTCCGGCCGAGGCATCCGTTTCCAACGTTACCTCTGCATCTTCCTGGAAATGCGCCAGTATAGGCGCCTGCGTGAACGCCTTCTTCAGCGTTACGAACGCAGTCTCTGCGGATTCGTTCCATTGAAACCGCACTCCTTTCTTCAGGAGCTTTGTCATCCCCTGTATCTTCTGGGAGTAGTTCGTGATGAACCTCCGATAGTAGTTGGCGAAACCTAGGAACGACTGTAGTCCCTTCAGGTTTCGAGGCGCCGCCCATTGTTCTATGGACGACACCTTGGAGGGGTTCATCTTTACCCCTCCCGGAGACACGTCGTATCCAAGGAACTCCGTGTCTGTTGTGTGGAACTCACACTTCTCTGCTTTGGCGTACAGCCCATTTTCTTGTAGCCTTCGCAGCACCTCCTTCACGTGTCTCTCGTGCGTAGTCTCGTCGGGAGAGAACACAAGGATGTCGTCCAGGTACACTACGACGGACTCGTCCAGAAGGTCCCTGAACACATGGTTCATCCACCTTTGGAACGTCGCCGGAGCGTTCGTCAACCCGAACGGCATCACCAGACACTCAAACAGTCCGTATCTAGTACGGAAAGCTGTCTTCCATTCGTCCCCTTCCTTTACTCGTAACAAGTTGTACGCTCCTCGGAGGTCCAACTTGGTATAGACCTTCGCTGTCGTTAACTTATCGAGCGTCTCGGAAATCAGCGGTAACGGGGTCCGATCCTTTGTGGTAATGGCGTTCAAACGCCGGTAGTCAATACAGAGCCTGAGCTCTCCTCCCTTCTTCGGGACAAACAATACGGGACTTGCGGCGGGTGACGTCGAAGCCCTGATAAAACCTTTATCAAGGTTCTCCTTGATCCAGCGCTTCAATTCGGCGCTCTCCTTTTCGGAGTGGTTGTAGAGTTTTCCGAAGGGGGGTACTTTCCCTTCCTCTACGTCGATCGAGTGATCGAAGTCTCTATGCGCCGGCAACTCGTCGGCCTTGGTCTTGGAGAACGCTCCGAGGAAAGCGTGATACTTCTCCGGTACCACCTTCCGTAACGTCTCCATATATTCGGGAGGGTCCAGGTCTCCCGGGAAACTCTCCGCTGGCTTGTCGTCCCAATCCCATAAGTCGGGACGCCTCACCCTCTCTTCTTCTTCATCATTGGCCTTGAGGTAGGCCACTACTAGTTCTTCGGTGACCCCTCCTTTGATTCGGTCCGTCGAACGTAACTCCTTCTCCTCCGATTCGTAATCCACGGGGGAGTATACTATTTCTTTTGCTGGTGTACATCCGTTCTGGACGCACTTATCTTCGAACGCTACTGCGCTCATTTCCCAGTCAATTCGGGGGTTGTGCTCCTTCAACCATGGTAGGCCGAGCACCGTTGTGAAAGTTCCGAGGCTACATACGTAGAAGTACGCCGTTTCGGTATGTCTACCGATACGTAGTCTAGCTTGTACCCGGTGTGTAACTGCGCCGGAAGAGATCTCTCTCCCATCAATGACCAGGAGTGGTCGGGGTCGTTCTAAAGGAATGAGGTCGAATCCGTGTTGCTCGACGAATTCGGTGTCTATAAACAAACTGGTCGCTCCTGAGTCGATCATCAAGACCGTCTCCGTCGGAGTACCATTCGGGTAGAAGGTGCCGGCGACCGTAATATGAGCCTCCGGCCGAGAGGGAGAACCTATGCTGCTCAGCACCAACGGTTCTCCAGTTGCTACGTTCAAGTCATTACCCGGGGAACTCGGATGATCTGTTATTCTGTTAGGCGTCGAGAAGGCTCCAGGGAAGACCGGCTCGATGTATACCTGCGAGGACATATCCGGGAGTAATGTAGAACGTAGGACTAGGGTATATAGATGTAATAACAGATGAAAGACTATATACTACAATGCTGATACAAAGTGGTACAATACGATATGCTCCTTGAACAACTCCGCCGGAGTTGGTACGACTCGAGTCCGGCGTACGCGCGCGTCGCTATAACAGAGATAATGTCGCCATATCCGACTGCAATAGACGATGGCCAACAGTTCCCTGTCGTGCACATCGTAGTTCCTCTCGGCGGGCGTCAGACTCTTTGACATGAACGCTACCGGGTGGAGCTTCCCATCGTCCCCTACCTGGGACATCACCGCGCCGATCGCTCCAGAGGAAGCGTCGGTCTCGAGCACCACTTGGCGCTCCTCGTTGTAGTGCGCCAATATAGGCGCCTGGGTGAAGGACTCCTTCAATTCCCGGAACGCAGCGTCAGCGGCTGCCGTCCAGGAGTACTTCACCCCTTTCTTCGTCAGGGCCGTCATTCCCTGAATCTTCTTGGAGTAGTTCTGGATGAACCTCCGATAATAGTTTGCAAATCCTAAAAAGGACTGCAGTCCCCGAATGTTCTTCGGGGGGGCCCAGTCCAAAACGGACTTGACCTTGGAGGGGTTCATACTGACCCCCGTCGGGGCAATATCGTACCCCAAGAATTCGGTAGCCACCGTATCGAACTCACACTTCTCCGCCTTCGCATACAGGCCATTTGCCTGCAGCCTCTTCATAACCTCCTTGACCTGACCGTCATGGGTCTCCTGGTCGGAGGAGTAAATAAGTATGTCGTCGAGGTAAACGACGACGCACACATCCAAAAGGTCCTGGAAAACCTCGTTCATCCACCGCTGAAAGGTAGCGGGGGCGTTGGTCAAGCCGAACGGCATGACCAAACATTCGAACAGACCGAAACGTGTAGTAAACGCGGTCTTCCAAATGTCTTCTTCTTTTACGCGTAGCAGGTTGTACGCGCCTCGGAGGTCCATCTTCGTGTAGACCTTCGCGCCCTTCAACCTGTCTAGCGTCTCTGAGATGAGGGGTAGGGGCGTCCTATCCTTCACCGTAATGTCGTTAAGGCGACGGTAATCGATGCACATACGCATCTCGCCGCCTTTCTTCGGTACGAACAGTACCGGGCTCGAACAGGGCGACTTCGACGGCCTGATGAACCCCTTCTCCAAATTTTCTTTCAACCACTTCTTTAGCTCCTCGCTTTCCCGCTGGGAGTGGTTGTAGAGCTTCTGGTACGTCGGCGACGTACCGGGCTTGAGTTCGATCGCATGGTCGATCGATCGCGTCGGGGGCAGTGTATCTGCCTTCGTCTTGGAGAACGCTCCAAGATGTTCATGATACTTCTCCGGTACCATGTCCCTCAGCTTCTCCATATACTCAGGAGGATCCAGATCGTCCTGGAACGAGTCCGTGGGTTTGACGTCCCAATCCCACAGGTCCGGGCGCCTCGCCCGCTCGTCGTCCTCCCGGGTCATCTGCATCTGCGCGACGACCAAATCCTCCGTGATCGACCCCTTCATCTTCTTGAACGGGTCGATCCCTCGTGTCTCCACTTCTACTTCGTCCGGAGCATACACCGTCTCGGGCCTCTTGAGGCATCCCGTGCTGATGCAGACATCCCCGAACGTCACCGCGTTGGAGTCCCATTGGATATGCGGGTTGTGTCTCCGCAGCCAAGGGATACCTAGTACCACCGGGTACCCACTCAAATCGGTGAGGTGGAACTCGGTCAGTTCCAGGTGCACTCCCGTACGTACCAGCGTACGAGCCTTCTGGGTGATCCTTCCTCCCTGGATCTCCCGACCATCGATCACCGTCACTACCCGCGGCGTCTCGAGGTCCGTTACGTCGAATCCATGTAGCGACGCGAATGTCCGATCCATGAACATCCCGGTCGCTCCCGAATCCAACAACATGAGTGCTTGGACCGGCACTCCTTCCGGGTAGAACACTCCTACCAACGTCAGATGGCTATCTGGACCGTTGGGTACTCCGCTTGCACCCAGCTGCAAGGGGATCCGGCTACCTCCTCGTGCTCCCCCATTCGGGGTCCTTTGATGATCCGTTATTCTGTAAGGCCCGGGAGCGGCCCCCGATGGGGGTCCCCCTGGACAGGCTGACGGGACGCAGGAATGAGGCAAGGTATGGGTAGACATCTAGATGTAATAACGGATGTAGAGCTATTACAGGGGTACTAGTTCTACATCCAAACAACAACACCGAAAAGTACCCCCGACGGGAGTCGCATACGGGAGTCGCGTACGGCGTGTCCGACGCGTCACGTGACCGCTATAACAGAATGGGTCATAAAGCAGTGGAATAGCGACAAGCTGTTACATTTAGGTCAGTTTGCCATCGTGAGGCAGACTCTTCCGGCCCTATAGCTCATCGCTCCCTCATGAATTTTGTTCTTGGCAGCTACCAATATACTTAAGGGTTGGCGGGAAGCGAAAACCATCCAACAAAGCAGTCTGGCCAACATTTCCCGCCTACGCCAGCAACATCGTCGCCCAGAATTCTCCCTGGACTATTTCAATCGCCTCTGGGACCAAGAGCAACTGGCTCGCGCACGTGAAGCATCCGCTGCCACCACCGAGAGCTATAACTCCGGTCTGAATCATGCTCGCCTTTGGTTATTGGGTACAGATTACCTACGTGCCAAGAATCAGTGGATTGCACTTACCAGAACCAACGCAATCACCCACAGCCTCGATATCATTCAAAGCCAAGTCCAAGATTGGTCATCATTTGCCCAACTGGCTGCTGCGTCACAAAAGTTACATGACACACAAACTCGACTAGTCGAGTTCCTTGGTGGGCAAGGGCGGGTTGCCAGCTTTCAAAACGATTCCCGCCTGGCCGAATGGTTAGTCTCCCCGGATGGTCAGCGCGGGAAGGTCTTCCACCTCCGTCATGCGTACAACCAGGCTCTGGACGCGCTTGAGCTTGCTTGTGTCGACAGGTTCGCAGAGGCAGAGAGGTGCTGTCGACCTGGAACGAATTATAAAATGAGAGCAAAGATCGCAGGGGCATTGAGATCTCGTACGCAGGGGATCGAAGCCGCGTACAAACGTTACGCCCAAGCCTGGACACAGTTGCCACTTCAACATAAGCCAGCTTTGATGCAGCGGGACGCTCTCAAGGGAGACCAAGACTCCGTCTCTCAAGCATTTGCAGTAGCTCGAGATGGACTAGCCAGCTTCTCTCAGGAGGATTGGGTGCAACCTACCATGCGGGAGGGAGTTCGCCAAGCCCGACTACACGCTTGCGCCACCTCCGAGTTGAAGCAATTAGAGATCGAGATCTCTCGACTTCAACTATGGATCAAGTCGGAACCAGAAAGAATATCTGACGCCATCAATTCCCGCCCCCTAAAACTCCCTATATCGGCAATTTGGGATGAATCTCCAGACAGCGTGAATCCGGACCGCTATCCCACTACAATCATTCCTATGCTTGCCCTCCTCAGGCTGCAAGAGAAATTACAGCAAGCAAACCGGAGGAGTGACACTTGGCAGAAAGAATTGTGCAAGTTGGACGTTCCCGCCATGTTTTCAGCGGCGAGATCTCCGAGCACATATCACATCGCGGCCGACCGTGCAGTATCGTCTTCCCGGAACCCATACACATCCGAGCAAATGTCTTTGCATTTCCCGGAATCGAGTCGTTTACCTGCCGTGCCAGAGGAAGGCAACGACCCTCAAAATGAAGCACAATTACCTGGACTTAATGACATCGCTGATGATGTACTGGAAGCTGCAGAGTAATGCTGTTCCCGCCGTGTGTTATTCCGTTCCCGCGGTCGCATCGGTACAGCAAATCGAACTTTTAGGAAGAAATAATTGAAAGGAGGGTACTCAACTGCGAACCGAGCCCAGGAACGCAATGATCTTCGGTCCCTAGAACACCTCGTCGGGCCCTGGTGAGGCTAAAGGAGGGTACATTCCAGATCTTCGTGCTTCTCGGATACACTGCCGATCCTTTGGGTCCTTTGTCTCGCTTGTGAAGAAGGGAACGATCCACTTGGAGTATGATGTCGTACCATCATTTTTGCGATTATGCAAACCCTATATATATCTACCGTACCAGCGACGTACCTTCAACTTCTTCATATCACTTCCAACCAACTTTTACCTTTAAGTGTACTTCTTTCGACCTACTTCTTCCCACCACCTAGATAGTAACTTAAGGCGCACAACATATCGACGATGTCCGTTCCCGCCGGCGCCAACGACCTTGTCTTGGTCTACGAACCCACTGCCCCTGGTGTTGTCCTTCATGATGCTGTGGGGAGACCTTTCACGGTCAACAGCCAAGGTCGCGTCGTCTACCAGAACGGACCAGCCCAGCCGCCCAACGACCTCCGAGTCCCGCTGTTTCCCGTTCAGCCCCCTCGATACTCGCCGGGACCCCCTCCAGGCTACATCCGGGCTTACTTTCCGGAATGTCCCAAGCTATGGCAGAACAGGCGCGAGAATCTCCCCTGTCTGATCTGGGAACCTTATGACGGCACTCGAATTATGTTAAGGTGGAACGATAATCTTGGGCTGCTTCAGTTCCCGCCGGGATTGCATGCTCGTAATTTGTCCCTGCCCGACTTCATGTCTCCCGCAAGGAGGCCTTTCGAATACCCTCTGCTGGCGTATTGCAACGAGCCATACACCCAATGGCTCTGTCACGTACGTTCTCCTTCTCGTGCCCCGCCATCGATGGATAACTGATATATACGCAATACTGGTGCGACAGGAGATCATCATGATGGCCATTGACGATGCGCGGGAATACATCTTGGCTACCGTCAATTACGAGACGCTTCGGTGGGAGGACATGCGAGAAATCTACTGGTTCGGGCAGGGATTGTTTCTACATATGCAGTACCGCCAACTCTGCAAAGAACATACTCCCCAGTCTTGGTCAGCGGTGGCCGCGGCGTTGTACCGCATCCACATTTTGCGACCTCGACTCCGACGACTCGGATATTCGACTGAGCAAGTGGAAGCTCGCGTTCCCGCCGCCGCCGACATGTCCGTTTGGACGGTCTTCATGGAGGAAGTCAGACTGGCTCGTTTGAGGTGTACTTGCATCCATAACGGACGCATGGGCCCGTTGAGCTAGACTGGTACGCTCACTTCTTCTTGGTCTGGAAAACCAGTGAGGCTAACGAGTGAATTCAAACAGAGACTTTACCGACTCAAGTCTACCGACCGCGTTTTGTGTGATCGTGTGTGTGCGTGTGATCTCCGAGGGACGGGAAGGCTATCTTGGCCAATATACAGACGGGAATATAGATATATAGTGATTGTAGTAGCAGCGAGTGAGGTCCCGACAATATGAAGCACTATACTCTTGACTGATGATGAGACACGGCTTCTCACCAGCGCGCGGGAATGTTTCATATCATCACCTCGATGTCGCCGGTCATGCCGTTGCCTGCCTGACATTGGTACGTGAGAGACGTGATCTAATAGAGACCTGCCGCAAATACGATGCTCGGACACAAGACAATAACACTTACATCTGTTGCACCGGCAGCGAGCTTGCTTGCGGTACCAATCGAATGCAACTCGGTCAATTGTTTCATCATGAAGTAGAGACTGGCGTTTCATGTTGGGGTGATGGCGCTGCGGTGTCGATTTATCCTGTCCTGCGCCTACCTCGTAAATCTTGATCGTCGACACACCTGCCGACTTCTCAGCTGTTACCAATACAAACGTTAATACCAACCTCAACGCAAACATCAATACCAACGCCAACACAAACATTAATACCAACGTCAACGCAAACATTAACAATCAACACCAATAACAACACCGAACGTTGAGTATCTGTGCCTCAGCACGATTTCCACTGACCCTTTCCACCTAGGCTAGCCTTCCGCTACCACTAGGCCCGACCGTAACATCAGCCTTCAAGAAATATATGTTCGCCATCTGGACATGCCCATCAGCTTCCAGATATACATGTCGTGACGACGACCTTCTCACGTTTTACTCAATCAATCTGAAAGATTGAGTAAACCGACACGTAAGAACCGATCGGGCAGTAGTAACGATCTTCACATGCGACCTTTTTGTTGGGATGAAGTGGTACGTGGTTCGAGTTGACGACGGGAATTAACTTTTTGCGTGCGGGAACGCGCGAGATTTTTGCGGGAACACGAATCGCTAACCGGGGATCGCGGGAACGGCCAGACATCTCTCATCGAGGACTCTTTGTGGTTCTTTCCGGAACATATGACTGAGGGTCTCAATAGTTCATTATCTGATCGATGTGCGCCAGAGGTTACCTCGTCGTTCTATATACCGTCTGAACCTTTTTGCATCCCTCCCGTTTTTTATGCCAGTAATATATAAGCTGTAAGCGTTTACCCCGGGCTCGGGTCGAGGTCATGTTCCCGGACCGCCTCTGGACCGAGTCCATGGCGACGTAAACGTCGCCATAGGCTCGGTCCCTCGTCAGTCCGGGAACATGACCTCGACCCTCGCTGTAAGGCTTGGCGTCGACCTAGTCATTAGATGCTGAGAGTATTGATTCCCGCCGCCAGCCATGAACGTTTGATCCTTCAGTGCCGAAGTGAGATATATTAAATAGGACGCCAACAGGTCTACAAGTCCATACAGACGGGAAGCTGTGCTATGCAGCGGTCGAGCTCAGATGACGAGAAGGATGGGGGATTACTTCCAAAAAATCGCTTAATCGCAGCCTTGTTGTCGTTTTTCAAGGCCATCTGTTTCAATGCAGTACGGATGGCGGTAGCGTAACCGGCATCGTAATCATTGATACTCTTGAGGACAAGTTGCCCTTTGACATATATTTCACCCAGGTACAAGAGCTGAAGAACAGGGAAGCGCCCGGATCAGCGCAGTCACCAAACTATTGGCCAATGACACGCACCGCTTCCTTACGCCCTTCACGCACCAACCCCCAGTCGAAGTCGACCTTAACGCATTCCCACCACACATCCCGCTCCAAACAGACCACATTCATTCCCGTCCAAGGAACTGTAGTCATCTTCTTGCTGAGTCCAGCACTCATGACATTATTAATCTCCTCTGTCAATCGCGATCGCTGAGCTTGCAACGACAGACGGGAATGCTGGACCGCAAGTGAGGCAGTGGAGCCGGTTCCCGTCACAGCAGCGGTGTAGGCATCCTCTGTTGAGCGCATAGAGAGGGAGAGAGATTTAGTCGCTAGAGATGGGGACAGCCCAGGCCACACTCACGACGGCGAGCACGAAGCTCATGAATCGCTGCCTGGATTGACAGGAGAACAGCCTGGCTTTGTCCGGAGTCGTTCCCGCCGATGCCCCAGCGCTTTTGCAATACCGCCTCAAGGTAAGGACTCTTAACAACAGCCTGGGGCATGAAAGGATGGTCTGCATCGAGAGGCATAAGCAGGAGAAAGCCGGCGATTTGATAGTTCTCGTGAAGTCGGGAGAGCTATGGGAGGATTTCGAACATTCCCGCCGTTATGTCAGAGCGTTGTACCAGCCGCGGCGACGTAAAAACGTTGACTGACCTGTAAAGAAACGTCCTGCATGACCGCGTTACCCCGATACGCTTGTAACCTCCGAGTATCTTTCATTTTTGGCAACGTGGCTTTGGATTGGCGCTTGTCCTCCGCTCGTTTTCTCTCCAACTCCTGTACTGTCCTCTCAATAACATCGGGTGACCAATGACTGGCAGCCTTTCTCTTCTTAGCTTCGGCCTGGAGGGTCGCGAACTGCTCTTGAACGCCAACAGCCGAGGTGGAAGGTGCATTGGTAGTTGGCGTAGAATTACCGCTGGTAGCTGAAAGTTCTGAAAGGCGACAACCAGTTTCAGCTCTGTGCAACGGGAATCTGGGAGGGGGAGCGAACGGGAAAGGAACAAGCTCCACTTACTAAGGTCTTTGGCAGTGAGATGCACCCACGCTTGCCACTCGTTCAGTTTGCGGCTTTTCTTTTCTTTCTCGCTTATATTAAGAACAGAGTATAGTAGTCTCTGTGGTCGGACATTGAGCTTAGTAGCATATTCCGAACACTGCGTGCGCAGCGAGCTGAGGATGTCTTGCACAGCGAGATTGTAGTTTAACTGGCCGACCTGATCGGCTCTCCCAGTCCTTACATCCAATTCCTCCCCAAGGTCAAGGTCGTCTTGAAACTGGTTGCCGGTGGTGACGACATCGACATGTTCGTTGTTGGGGATAGCGAAGGGGTCGATATGTACGTTGTTGGGGATAGCGAAGGGGTCGACATGTCCGTTGTTGGGGATAGCGAAGGGGTCGATATGGTTATCAACCAGGCTAGCACTCTCGTATGCAGAAGCGAGGGTTTGGCTATGGGGGAAAAGATCCATCTTGATGATTCAAATAGTTCAGAGCCGAAGGTAATGATCAAGTATCGAGGAGTGAATGGGTAACTCCAGCGTGCTCTAAAACAACTGTCGAAGTTTTTGTAATGTAGGTATGGCTCGGACTGCCAAATCTTCCACTTGCAATACTTGATCTGTTTACTTTTCAGTAGGCGGGAATAAGAACTCTCCCGCGCAGATCAGCGGGAATGACGAATAACGCCTTAACTCTGGTGCTCCGGCTTCCCACGTGTCGTCGAACAAAGAGTTCAAAGGCGGGTCCCACAATCAAAACAAAAGACTTATTTTTCCCGCACAATAACAATACCACTTCTAACCAGTCAACATATCGATAACTTCGAACAGAAGACAAAAGTAACTGCGCGGATCGACATAATATTGGGGAACAAAGAAGGTAAGTCTGTATATCGGCTCCGTCGAAGGATATACATATATATGAGCTGATAAACACCGCTCGAGAGTTGTACTCGAGGCGTGCGTGTGTGCAGGAAATCGAACTCATATCGCGAACTTTCATAGTTTTACAACTGTATCTGCCTCGATAATATCTTCATTATCCTCACATCATGTCAGAAAACGCTGCCCGAACTGAAGTGAAACAGCCCAAGCCCAAGCTGAGCAAGAAGGAACTCAAACAGCTCAAAAGACAGCAGTGCTTAATCAACGCGGCGAATCGGAAGGGACAGAGTAAGCGGAAGGCAGAGGGGACGCTTGGGGGTCCCGATGTAAGTGCTATTATAAGGTATACGGCATATCGATGTTTGTACTGATCGTATATCACATTGTATCTTGATGTATTCGCCAGGATAAAAAAGTAAAGATCTTACCCAACAAGGAGGACGTCCAGGTCCCGCTAAAAAGAAAGCATGAACGTTCACGGAGCTCGACCCCACTTACTCCGCCTCCCCCTACCGATACCACGAAGGAAGAGCGACGGGAAGGTGAAGCGGGAGCGGCGGGAACGGGAGAGCAGTTGGAAAAGAACTTGAGACCGGAAGACAAGGAGGAGAAGTCCAGCCAGAAGGGGTCGGACAGACAGAGGGAAGACGATAGGAAGGAGAAACCGGTGAGCGATTCGATTCGGCAGCAACCTGCCCCGTGTATTAACTATTGTCCTTGGCAATCTTGCAGGTCGTGCGCAAGAATTTGGCGGCGACGGTGGAGGATATGGACGAAGATGAGGCGGAAAAGGAGAGGATGGAAAGGGAAGGGGTAAGTTAACGAGGCTAACCACAGGCCGTTACTTGCGATTGAGATATTGATTGTGTCAATGGAATTTAGATGCAAACGTTGGGGGCCTCCCTAGACGATGACCTTTCGAAAGAGTTTGAGTTTGATCTCGACTATGAAATCCCTAAGGCAAATCTTGGACGGGAAGGCGAGCGAAGCAAAGATGGCAAGAGCAACGCCGAGAGCAACGCCGCAGCAAGCACGGGGAAAGATGCAGAGTTGGACGCCGGAAAGGACGGGAACGCGAAGGCCAGAAGTGAGAGTGAAGAAGGTCCAGCGGGAAAGGTCAGTTTTTGTTTGCGATGTTCTCTTGGGGATCTAGAAAGTGATTGCGAGTGCTGATGCGTATGCGATTGCTATACATAGGACAAGGATGTACAAAATTTGTCTCATCCAGCGGGAACGGTTCCATTTGAGCTCTGGGATACACCGACGATCAGCTTGACGCGTCCCGCCCCAGCTGTGCCTAAGTCATCTTACAAGATAGACGACAAGGGAATCAAGGAAAGCTTGGCGAAGTTTCAAGAGCGGTTCCCGCTATCCAAGTTCGAGCTGCCGGGTTCTTCAACTGTGAGAACCAGACAAGGCATGGCCGAGAAGGTAGAGGTGAAGGGGAGAGCTCGTAGGGAGAGGAGTGTGGACGAGTTCGGTGCCCCCTCAAACCGCGACCAACAGCCTCCAACGCCGTCCAAATCGCACAAGGAAGAAAAGGATTGGCTCGGCAGCGCTATATACGGGATGCATCAAAACTTGCGGGAACCGATCTACCGTTCAGGATCTCGCTGGGAAGAGCCATTCCCCACCGCTCGATACAAGAATCCTTACGGTCTTTGCGATGCTTGTTATAGCGGTCACGTGACGCGTCGGACACGCCGTACGCGACTCCCGTATGCGACTCCCGTCGGGGGTACTTTTCGGTGTTGTTGTTTGGATGTAGAACTAGTACCCCTGTAATAGCTCTACATCCGTTATTACATCTAGATGTCTACCCATACCTTGCCTCATTCCTGCGTCCCGTCAGCCTGTCCAGGGGGACCCCCATCGGGGGCCGCTCCCGGGCCTTACAGAATAACGGATCATCAAAGGACCCCGAATGGGGGAGCACGAGGAGGTAGCCGGATCCCCTTGCAGCTGGGTGCAAGCGGAGTACCCAACGGTCCAGATAGCCATCTGACGTTGGTAGGAGTGTTCTACCCGGAAGGAGTGCCGGTCCAAGCACTCATGTTGTTGGATTCGGGAGCGACCGGGATGTTCATGGATCGGACATTCGCGTCGCTACATGGATTCGACGTAACGGACCTCGAGACGCCGCGGGTAGTGACGGTGATCGATGGTCGGGAGATCCAGGGAGGAAGGATCACCCAGAAGGCTCGTACGCTGGTACGTACGGGAGTGCACCTGGAACTGACCGAGTTCCACCTATAAGGTTTGCCAGCAAACCTGAATAGTAACACACGGGACTAGAAGGTACGGGTAGGGTAATGACTGTAATAACGGATGTCTAACTACTACAAGGTGCTAGTTAGACATCTTCGAACACATCTCCTAATAGGTCCCCGAGAGAGTCTCCGAGAGAGTCTCCGAACGGACCTCCGTACGAGGTGAAAACCTACATCCCGCGTGTGTACGACATGCGTACCGCGGATGCCTATAATAGGATCCCCCCCTTAGGGCGAGATTCCAGATTGCCCAAAGTAGTCGAGTAGTCCGAGGCTAGAGTAGACGTTTCATCTTGAAGTTCTTTGTTCCCTCGAAACGTCCAGTGTCTGTACCCCCGCGACTCTCCTCGTGCCTCCGCTCTATTGTCTCCGAAGAGATCGTCTAGAACCTTCGATTTGTACGCCCAGGTACACTGGTTCTTTCTGAAACACTGCTCGGCGCCCGTGGGGGCTGCAATGAAGAACCTATTGTCTATCGGTGTCGTCGACCCGTCTGAAACGCCTAGCCGACGACGATGACGTGTCGCGCGTCTATCTTCTATTGTCTTCCCCGCGGACATTGCAACATGGTCCTGTCCGCGGTATTGTTCGTTGATGTAAACAAAGGTGATGTCGTATGTATCGACGTCCTTTCTAACCGATATCGCTGTATTCTCTTTGTCGTGTTCGAAGTAACGACTTCTTGCTTTGTCCTAGTAACTGCTACCTAGGTCTCTTTTGTCTTGTTCTCGAAATGTGAAAGGTATAAGACCCCCGAGGGGGTTTGTCGACTTGATGTTTTTCGACGTACGTATCCTCTCTCCTTTAGCAAACCTATAGCTTACTATTCCCGTATCTTTTCCTTCCCTCCTTTCGTACGATGCCTCCCTCTGCTCCCCCTACTCCCTCGAGACCCCGCAAACGCAAGGCCGCCACGGACTGGGTAAACGACGCCGTGTATGGCTACATACGCGGTAACAACTGGGAAGGCTTCGAGATCAACGAGGTCAACGCCTTACAGAAGGCGAAAGAACGATTCCGAGGAACCGTCCCGCCGGAGGTAATCTCCGCTTGGATGAGAGGGGATGTGGATGGCGTGAATGGGTTGCTGGTAAGCCTTTGATATTCTTTTGTTTTCGTGTCTCCGATAGGGTCTCCGAGAGGGTCTCCGACTGACCCTCCTTTGATATCTGATTTTTGATCTTCAGGCCCAATTCTCCGGTGGTTGGCAATGGTGTTGCCAACGTTGCTTCGACGGTGGCAAGTTCAAGAGCGTCACTCCCGCCGACTTTGTGACGTACAACCCGGAAGACGGCACGTGGTGGGACGTGATCAGCGTCGAGGGTCTCTTTTTCTGCCGCCATCTCATCCACCCGCCGCACACCGCCGGCAACGTCACCAGGTCCTGCGGTCGGTGCGCCCCGAAGAAGCTCGGTTGTGCCCCCGTTCCCCGAGAGATGGTTGTCGTCTTCGACGACGATGAGGATACCGAGACCCGAGTTCGAGCGGGGTTGGTCTTGTTGCGCGCCGACAAGATGGCCTTGGGGACTCGGGATGAGGTCGCGACCGAGATCGAGAGGCTCCTCGATACGGTTGTGAGTTTGTTTTCTTCTATTCTTTTTCTTTTTCTTCTTCTTCCACTGACTCCTCTTGCATGCTATCCGACATCCAGATTGTACCTCAACTCAACCGTCGGTCCGGGGTCTCCGTCATGAGCGAACGCGGGGCTCTCTACAAGGCCATCGCCGACAACAAGGAGGAGTGGGACCACCTGGACCCCAACACCCGTCGCGGTTGGGAAGGGTTCGAAGAGGCCCGCAAGATCACCTTCGATTTCGCCGAGGGTCAGTACAAGCCTCTCCCCGTGTGGCCCGGCGAGGAGGACGCCATGGATGTGGACGAGGAGGAGACCGAGGTCCAGATCGTTAGTACTCTCTTTCTACGTTTGCGTTTTGAGCTAACCCAAGTTCTCCTAGGCTGCGCGGGAACGAGACGCTCGTCTCGCGGCCGAGAAGGCCGACGAAGAGGCCCGCCAGAAGCGGCTTGACGCCGAGGCCGCCAGCAAGGTCGCTGAGGACGCTCGTTTGGAGTACGAACGGGCCCGGGACCGCCTCGCCGCCGTCAACCCCCTTCGGTTCCGTACTCCCCCCGCCGACCCGCCCCCCGCCAAGGACGCCGCTCCCCCTCCCGTCCAGGACAAGCAGCCCTCGCAACGAGGTAGCAGGGCCAGGTCCCAGCGCGAGGGGACCGCGACCGAGCACACCGCGGACCGCAACGAGGGTGATGGTGGCGATGGGGGCGGCGATGGCGGTGGCGATGGCGGTGGTGACGGTGGTG